ATGGATTGGCCTGCACAGTCACCAGACCTTAATCCAATTGAAAATATGTGGGCTTTACTCAAAAGACGTCTTAACGAGTACAGTGACTCACAAAACTGTTCACATGTTTGGTGTCGTATTTGAGGGTAGATGATATACAAATATTAAAGATATAATTCACTTTATGAAGGATAAAGATGAATTATACAATATTGCAAACCAGAAATAATTAGAAACTACATAAACTCTAATATATGAGTACCGTGAATTAAGTGTTGTGTTTAGTTGACAGCATCATATGAGATGTGGAGAACTCGTATACAAATTATACAAGATCCTCACACCTCATTACTGCTGAAATAATATAAAGTAGAGTAGGAAACGAATATAGAATAAGTGATGATTCTTATACGAGATTAGCTACCTCGTATAAGGCTGAACAGGTTGTCATTTAGGATATATAGTTTACTTATTTTGCTATACAGTGACTCACAAAACTGCGACAATGTTTTCAAATTTTGCATAAATCGCAACTTTACTATCAATTTTCCTTAATAAAGATACAAAATGAAAACGAGTAATAGAATAAGGACCCTTCAAGCTCTTATTTCATATCTAGTTTGTGGCATTTGCATGAACCGATCACCCATCAATTAGGAAAATTGACCGATGGGCGAATTTTTGGACATCACGCATAAAATGAGAGATGTCAAAAGATCACTTGCCTACAGAAAAGCGAAGGGATTTCTGAGTTCTAATGGAGTCAATTACTATTAGTACCATTCATTTAAATGCTTTTAATGCTTTTTTCCGTTTTTGTTTCGTACAATTTAGACATTTGCACCTAACTCATTAGTCATTACTCCACATTTACAACTAATCACCTTTAACTCTAGCGATGAGACCAATTCCTTATGATAAAAAGATGGATATTCTATCTAGACTTAATGGTACTGAGTCAAACAGAAGTATTGCCAAAGCTTTTGGAGTTTCAACCAGAACAGTCGACCGCATTGCTAAAGATCATCAATCGGCATCTGACAACAAAGGTGGTAGACCATCTAAAATCAGCAAATTGCTCGGTAGAAAAATTGTAAGATCTTTTTACACTGGGCATTTTATGACAGCTGTAGAGGCTGCCCGGAGCCTACGTGCTCAAGGGTATGATATTTCTCCTCAGACGATACGCAGATTCCTGAAATCTGCAGACTTTGATTCAAAGATTAAGAAGTCAGCTCTGCCACTGACTAATGATCGACGAAAGAATCGCTTGAAATGGGCCAAAGCTCACAGAAACTGGACGGTTGAGGATTGGAAACGAGTTGTTTTTAGTGACGAAACTAAAATAAACCGTTTAGGTTCGGACGGAAAGATGTGGACTTGGGTTAAAAAGGGTGAACCTCTTCAGGAGCACAATGTCAACTTCGCTTACAAAGGTGGTGGAGGAAGTTTCATGTTGTGGTCCTGTTTCACTCAATATGGACCTGGGTTCATAGCCAAGATCGAGGGCGGGATGGACGCCAAATTGTATTGCGAAATACTGAAGGGTGACTTTATGGAGACCCTTAAAGATTATGGGCTTAAAAAGGATGATATTGTCTTTCAGCAGGACAATGATCCGAAGCATACTGCCAAACTGACGAAAAAATGGTTCCAAAAGAACAAGGTGAACGTCTTAGACTGGCCTTCATATTCTCCGGACCTTAATCCAATTGAGAATCTGTGGTTCTACTTGAAGTGCAAACTAGCAGCGTACGATACAGCACCGTCGAACCTAAATGAGTTGTGGGAACGAGTTGCGGAGGTCTGGTATAATAAAGTTACGCCAGAACTATGCTTGAAACATATAGAAAGTATGCCAGCGCGAATTCAAGCTGTTATAAAGGCAAAAGGAGGGTGGACGAAATGGTAAATCGATGGATGTTCTCTGTTATTTGTTGTCACATCAAATAAATTGTTGCTCCGAATCTGTATGCCCTACTTTAATCCCACTTATCTCATCAGTGTATCTGACTAAAACTTAGCACATCTTATAGTATTTGAAAGCTGAAAACCATAGCTTTGCAATGGTGTAATTTTTTTAGTAGGTTTAGGAGGGTCTATATACTGTACGGTCAACACAAAGATTATTTATGCGAAAATTTGAAAACATTGTCGCAGTTTTGTGAGTCACTGTAATACGTTACTATATGACATAGGATATATAGTAGAATTAATATATGGACATGCAGGATATATTGATTCAACACCAAGGTATAATAGGTTATAAGTACTATTCTCTGCCTTCGGCATAAAGAATGATTACAAGATAATAGGTTGTGATCATCCTTTACAATAACTGTTCACTCAACTCAAACACCACGCACGAATACTATTTTCCTAATTAATACTATTTTCCTGCAAGCAGTGCTACATAATGGTTAGCACGGGAAAATAGGTTAGTTGCATGATCACTAGATCAAGCCATGGATACGTTTACAAGTCCACCCGCTCCGGGTAGATGCGTAATCTCCTCAAGGGAGAATTCTATTCTTTTACGGTTCAGAAGACGTACGTCTTCTTTGAGTAGAATAACTCAGCTGCCAGTTTCTAGGTTCCGCAATATGAAGAAGATATTTAAATTTTTGCAGTAGATATTTTTCTTCTCTTTGAACTTAACTTGATTGAAAATAAAACGTACTAGTTTGATCTCGTTAACTTTTTATTGTTTTAACTAAGTGATATTTAACTCCACAAGTCGTCAAATACCACATTTGGTACTTTCACCCTTTTTGACTCATATCTTTAGAAGTTTTTGCGTAATCGGGATGAAATTTGGGTCAAATGATAGCCCAAGTCTTGTAGAAAGTTATGTTAGAGTATCAAAGTCACATGCATTTTCTTCTGGCGGAAGTTCAATTTGAAAAAAATGCATATCCATTTGAACAGTTTTGTGAGCTAACAAAATTCCGAGGGTAACTTATGTGAACCACAATTCGTCAGCAGTTTTTTTGACGTATTCTATTACGATGGAATTGCCAAGAGTTAAGAAAGTCATTGTACATTAATTAAACCAATTTATACCGATAAAATTCCAATATCACAAACGATACCATCCAGAATGCAAAAACTTAGCAATGATCAGTACAATTCAATTGTCTCGCTCCTCAAGGACGGTGTAAGTGTTAGAAACATAGCCAAACGGGTTGGTGTTAGTATTGGGAAGGTCTCTCAGGTCCGTAGTCAGGCACTTCCACACTTAAAACGAGAGAAAGGTGGTCGTCCTCAGCTACTCAGTGAGGCAGATAAGCGATTTTGCGTACGCGCGTGTACCAAAGGCCGCGATGACAATGCTGTTCAGGTTCAAAAAAGGCTTAGAAATGAAGTAGGTATCTCTACAAGTGTTGAAACAGTTCGTAGGGCCCTTCGGGAGGCAGGTTTGGGTTCGTTTGAGAAGGAAAAGAAGCCCTATATCTCTGCCAAGAACGCTAAGGAGAGATTAAAGTGGTGTTTGGTGCATCGTGGCTGGACTGTAGCTGACTGGAAAAGAGTAGTTTGGTCAGACGAGACTAAAACTAATCGTTTTTGTTCGGATGGTCGTGTTTGGGGCTGGAAACGCGACGGTTGTGAGCCACAACCTCATCAAGTCAAGGCTACCAGAAAATTTGGCGGTGGTGGCATCATGATTTGGAGCTGCATCTCGTACGCTGGTCCCGGTTACTTGTGTAAAATTGATGGTAGAATGGACAAGCATCTCTATAAGTTGATTTTAGAAGAAGATTTACAGCAAAGTGTCAGTCATATTTGCGGTGAATTAGGGCTTCAGCCTAGCCAATTGATCTTCCAACAAGATAACGATTCGAAACACACGTCAGATATAGTAGTAGAATACCTCAATAAGCAGCCATTTAGCACTCTAGACTGGCCAGCACAATCACCAGATCTAAATCCGATTGAAAACATGTGGCGTTTACTCAAAATTAGACTAAATGAGTACGACACTCCACCTAGCGGTATGAACGAGCTATATGAGCGCGTAGTGAGTATTTGGTATAACAATATCACAGCAAAAGAGTGCCAAAAGGTTATTAACAGCATGCCAAAACGTATTAGAGCCGTTATCAAAGCTAAAGGATATTGGAGTGGCTATTAATAGTTCTAATTCTTATGTTTTTCACATGGCCACAAAACTGTTCAAATGACATACTAGCTTTCAAAGTCAACTCCTTGAAATGACAGTCACATTTTCAAAATAAAAAAACTTGAATATTAAACTACATTTCTTAAGCTTTCGATTGATGTAACTTTTGTCCAATTTCGTTGAGAATTGACCATACCATTGAAACAAATAACCTGTTGTACCAAACATGTGAACAGTTTTGTGAGTCACTGTATGAAACAGCCTGTAAAGGTGTCAATGAGTTGTTCGAGCGTTCGCGTGAGGTTTGGTATGACATCATGAAAGTAGAAGAGTGCCAAAAGGTCATAGAGTCTATGCCTCGACGTATACAAGCTTGTATTAGGAATAAAGGTCTCTGGACAAAGTATTAAACACCTTTATAATAAAGAATCACATCACTTAAAAAATGTTACAAAACTGTCCCAATGTATAGTCTGTTTTTAAATATCAGTTATAAGCATAATATGATTCAATCACCGCTAATGACAATAGTCAAATGTTCACCATGACCAGGGCTTTCATTTAAGCTAAGATACATCGGATTTAGTTAGGTTGTATGATACGTCAGAACCACTCAAACACAAAAGTACGAAACATTGGGACAGTTTTGTAAGTGACGGTATGTCTGCTCTGTATCTGTTTAGCTCTCTGTACATTAGGTCTACTGTAAATCTTTTTTTGATTTTAGTCGAGTTAGCATTCCTCCACTCCGAGCTCAACTCCTTTCCTTCGGGATGTGAATAACGCCTTTTTCTAGTTCTGCATGCGTCATCCTCGTCAGGAACTGAACTAGCACCGTGCACGTGACTGGTACTTCTGGTGTATCCCATTGGATTACATTTCGCTGTGACAAAACAACTGTCCGGCCTTAGCTCAGTTGGTAGAGCGGAAGACTGTAGTTAAACCGTCATCTTTAGGTCTCTGGTTCGAATCCGGAAGGCCGGAATCTTTTTTTCATCGCATAGCAGATGTAGTGCGGGTAAAGTTTTTGCCCTCTGAAAAATGCTTACCAGTACCGACGGCTTTTACGGTCTTTCTTTTGTCGCGCACTGAGCTAACGATAAAACAAGGGTAATCTTATACTAAACACAAAGTTTTAGTAAAGAGAAAAAAAGGATTATTCTTTATTCTATTCAGAGAGTCATGTTCCTTTTATATGCTCTATAATATTCAATCTGTTGATCTTCAAAGAATTAAGGTTAATTAAAAGAGTTAGAATTCTGTGAGAACTTGTTATACTCTTTATTCAGTGAAAATCGTACAAAAGAAAAACATATCTAGATTATGAAAAATTTTCTATCTTTTATAGGATGATGTGTTGGGCTGAATAGAGCGGGTTTAGCCGGTGTCATATAGACTGTTGTTTCATCAAAGACACGGGTACCTTCACCATGGTTGAGCGCGGGTACTTACTCATTAAGAGGTTAGAGGATTGGACTGTAAGCAATTAGCGACGAACATATAAATAGAATGGTAAGACCACTAACCAATGTCCGCTTTCTGACAGATCATTGTGAAAGAGTGAATTATTATTGAAGTACTATGTACTATGGATCTGTTAACCTCATATGTAGCATTTGTAGATCATAATTAATATCAGTCGCTGTATTTCAACTGTGCAAGATTCTAGAAGAAGTCTAATCTCATATTATGGCTATATGGTTACTCCTAATGTCATAACTCCGATCATTATGTAATAACTCTGGCTCATATATACAACACAATCACCGTTATAACACGACACTTTCGTCTATTCAGTACTTTTATTGAACGGACCAAGATTGCAGTATTTACAAACAACAACTGCATCTTCCTAAGAAGATCTCTAGTCATCGATCAACTCATGACGATCGAATCCCAAACTAAGCGTGGTGTTAACTGGTCGACCATCGTTGCTAATTGTAGTATCCAACAGCATATTACTCTTGGATTATTACATAACACTGAAATAAGAAACTACGGATCCGTATGAAGGTCAGAAGAATAACCGCCGCGAGTGATAGATGTGTCAGAACAGTTCTTTTCTTTTACGGAAGAATATCCCATCTGTATATCCGAGACGACATTGTATGAGTAATTCACTTTATTTAGAAATAAGATAACATTATTTAGCACATTCAAACCACAATACATAAATCTAATCTACTTAAGCTATTATCAAACTTGTTGATCCCTTACTTTAACTCTTTACATTCTAACAGAATTCAATAAGACTGAAACGGAGACATCGGCAGAATCAAGGAATAGGTTATCCTGTCCGTCACGTTAGTCATAATGAATCTGCCGAAGTACGGGTCAAAGGAACGTTTAGTCAGATCAACTCACTTACCTCCTCTCATCTATCCAATCGGTCAAGGCACCGCTATAGCATGATGAACCGTGAAGTAATAATTGGGTATGTCTTTTCTTTTATCATCAGGTCATCTTGTACCTAAGGGTGTCGATACAAAAAGTTTTTTACAATATCCACAAATATAAATAGAAGTACTTTTTTCCTACATGGTTTTTGTCTTCATTCTTTATCAGAATATTCAATCAATAAAAGAAGATAACTTGGTTTTCACAGATTTCCTTTTGTTTTCTTGTCTCTCTCGTTCTTACTATAACATATACAACAGACTCCAAGCAAATTAAGGCGGTATTGGTAGCAGCAATACCTTCCAAAGTGTTATATAACATTATATTACGCTTAGATTAATACAAACAACTGAAATAAGAGGCTATGGATCATAAAGATTAGAATAACTTTGAGTAATACTGTAGATTTGTCAGAACAACTCTTTTATTTTGCTGGAAGAATTTTTCATCTGTTACCCGAGGCAACGTCCTACAAGTAAATGACTTGAGTTGGAAATGAGATATTATAGCATTTGAATTTGAATGAAACCGAGCTTTATTTTGCAGGTCATACCATAATACATGAGTCTGCTCTACTTAAGTGCCATCCAATCTGTTAATCCACAACTCTTGTAATGACCATTCTTGTAAGCGGTTAATTCCAATAGAAATATCCCACCTCTAATTGTACACAGCGTAATATCTCATGGCTTGTTAGTTGTATGTAGATAGCACGTAAATTAAGAACTAAAAGCTTAACGAGATGAAACTAGAAAAGCGTTATGTTTAATCAAGTTAATATGGGCTAAAAAGAAGAAAAATATCTACTGCGAATATTTGAATATCTTACTTTAAAATGCAGAACCCAAAAACTGACAACCGAGTATTCTACTCAAACAAGACGTACGTTTTCTTAACTGGAAAAGATTAGACTTCTCCCTTGTCGGGCCTGCGCATCTCCCTGGAGCGGGTGGACTTGTAAGAGTATACATGGCTTAATCTATTGATCATGCAACTAACCTATTTTCCCGTGCTAACTATTATGCAGTACTGCTTACAGTAAAATAGTATTAATGAAGGAAATAGTACCCGTGCGTGGTAATTGAGTTCAGTGAACGGTTTTCGAAAAGGATGATTAAAGACTATCATCTTGTAATTACTATTTTACGCCAAACGCAGCGAATAATACTTTTCGTATAGCCTATACCGGGATGATGAATCAACAATCCTGCATGTCCATACGTTAATTCTACTATATAACCCATGCTATATAGTAGCGTATTATGGTAAAATAAGTAAACTATATATCCTGAGTGACAACTTGTTCAACCTTATTCGAAGTAGCCAATCTCGTATAATTTGTGTGGGAGTTCTGCACATCTAATATGATGCTGTCAACTAAACACAACACTTAATTCACAGCACTTATAAACTGGGGTTTATGTTATATTATATCTTATAATGCTTCTGATTATTTTCTGGTTGTAATATTGTATATTTCATCTTTGCCCTTAATATAGTGAATTATAATCTCTAATATTTGTGTATCATCTACCCTCAATACGACAATATGATTTTTTTGTCGCTTCTTGAATAGACTGTAACCTGAAGTCGAACGAAAAAGACAAAAAAAAAAGAAAAAGAAAAAGAAACTGCTGTGCAAGGGGGTCTCTTTCGTCTATTTAAAACTTTCATTGGATTGTCCATTCACAAGGGATGTTCTTAACTTTCTAACAGACCAGCAGAACGAGATCAAAAAGTCATTAAAGATTTTATTGAACATTCAGAACATGAAAGCTTTATCTTTTTTTCACAGGATGAACTGAGCTTACTATAAAGGTTGAAGTGCGCCTGAAATCTTATTTGGTTCAGTGTACCATAACTGAGTTAATGCAGTAAATCTAGGTTTCGTTGAATATTGTATGAATTAGAGATCAGAACGTGACAATATCTCGCTCCCGTTTTTTAAGCGGGATGTTCAATTGCATATATTTGAACTGGACATCAGATGTGTATAACGCAACAAGATAACGCAGTAGAAAGCATGGACTAAGGATGATTGTCTCAATGTGAGGTTAGCTACCTCTTATAAAAACGGAGCAAGTTATCTCATTAATTACTTATAATATGTATAGCCGTACGACGTTTAGATATGTATTGCACGTAGTATATAATAATTCAGCAACTGGAACAGGTCATGGTACTACTACCCGCTTGGGAAATAAAGCGTGGTTGGAGATGAAAGGCTCAATGACTCTTATTCAATAAACAGCAGTTCACGCACTCAAGAACACCGCGCCCGAATATCTCTTAGCTAAACCATAATCATTCCCACAACTGGTGGCCGATAGATATTGAATTATAGATGTAGCTACATAATCTGACTGGATCTGCCAGGATAACACATTACAAAGCAATCCGCTCTGGGATAGACGAGTAATCATCCATCTGAAGGGATGACCTATTCTTTTACGGAAGTGTCTGACTTACTTAGTATTAGCTTATCATAATACACCAATGTCAGCTATTAATCAAGATCTAATTCTGTAGCCAGCAAACATAATTAATCTTTAATCAATAGCAGTAGTTTTCTTTCTTTTTCTTCGTTTTAATTCTGAAAGAGATAAAGAAAGTGATTTGGCTATTTTAAGTTTCCGTATTTTTATGTCGTATTTTTCTTTTTATTTCTCCCTCATTCAATCAACGAATACCACAGATTGAGCTGACTTAGGAGCTGGGCAGTCAGCTAGGCGGTAACCACCTTAGTCCTAGGCATAACACAATACGTTTGCGAAAGCTTTCTTTTTGCAACTATACTTCGTATGATCCTCTTCGTGACAGTAGTGGTACCATATTGGCATTGTTGGATATGTGGCGTGGCAATACTCGTGTCACCCAATAGACTACCATGACAGAGGTGACAGAGGTGGGGTCATGAATGTTTTTTTACAGCCAAACCTACCTCCTTTTCGTCGAGGAGACCGATGACTAATAGTCACCCAAATTTGTGTGTAATAGACTACGATGATATGCAATAATTCACCTCGTGAGACCATGAATGAATCTGATAATAATTGTGCTATTGCCTTTTCGAATGGCGCAGGACATAAGGCGAATGTTAAATTCTTGTATAAGACCTCTTCAGAGGCAAACTTAATAAAAATATCGTCTTTGGGGTAGATTTCCATAGAGACCCCGTTAAAACTGGCTGCACAATTGTATTGATCGAAGGAATTGGCGATCAGTAAAATTAGGAGTTCAACAAAAGGTAATACTTCTGCGAACAGCCATGACACCGTATGTCACTTTTGACGCCTTTCGGTTTATTGTCATTGGTGGTGTTGTCACGGATTAAGGTTATCACTGCTTTGAACGAATCGGTCGGTGAATACAATTTGGTTCGACATTGTCTTGTAGTGAATGTCATAATAAGCTTTGATAGTAGTATAGCAGGTCTTCTTTGCTACAGTTACATAGATCCTAGTACTAGTAGTGTCCAAACTGGTTGGGCCTGTATCGTTAAGCGGAAAAGCCATGATTCGTGTAGTTTAGTCGATGAATATCAGCACCTTAAAGGGCAAACTACTGCACAATAGCTCGTCGTTGTTTCAATAACAATATGAAAAAGTGAAAATATAATGCTTAATGAACCTGATAAGTTTTTTTTTTTTTTTTTTTTTTTTTTTTTTTTTTTTTTTTCTTGTGATATTCAATCAAATAAGTTGAAGCTGCTATATTTCATACAAGCGTGAAGGTACCATTTTTAATTGGATGGAATAATAAATACTTTACGCGGTAATATTGGGAATTTACACAGCGGAAATGCAGTGGATTTACAAACAATGTTGAAAAGGGCACTTATTGTCTCATTAAAGCCAATTCAACACTACTTGTTATGCAGCGGATAGTCCTCGTTTGACGCCGTCGAAAATTTGAAATACTTTTCTACATACTGCCTTAATAATTTACTTTTTGAACGATTAAAAAAAAACGGTGTTTCTTTCCGTTCGTTTGTTGAGTATGACACATTCCGTCTAATTCCGTGACTGATTATCGTTGTCCTTATCGATAAACTTTGTATTTAATCCTTGCTGACAAAGACTCCCGTACTCCTTTTCCTTTTGTTAACTAATCACCAACCCTTTTTTTTTTTATTATTTTATTTGCATCAACCAGACCACAATGTTTGTTCCTTGCATTGATTTGGTTGATTCCTCACAAGCTTCACTTTATTCTTATTTAGCCTTTTTTAACAATGTCATTTTAAGACCTCAGGGACACGTCGAGCATGTCAAATCACTCGTGAACCAAACAGGCTCCACACTTTATTGGGCTTATGCCGCTAACGTTGACGAAGCTATTGAATTATGGGATAGTGGTGTTTTAAAAGTAATTTTCGATCTAGATGTATATTTAGCATGCCAAGAGGAATTAGAAACCATTTCTGAAGACCGTATTGCAGTCAGAACCTCAAACGTTTCTGCTCTCCAAACTATCAAAGGAGTTTCATCATTTATTGTCAAAACAGATGATATGGACAGTGTTAAGTCTCTGGAAAAGCCGTTGTTGACCTGTGGCGGCCAGCGATCCGTCATTGTTGAAATGTCCAGTCCTGTTACTATTGAACTGATTACCCAATTGGGTAACGAACATTTGGATGTGTTGGTGCCTGCCTCCCAACTTTCCGTTGATGATACAAAATTGAATATTGCCGAAGCGTTTTTAGCAACTGTCAAGACGGACCGTCCTGATGGTCTTTACACTACTATTGTAGTTGATGAGTTCAATAAAGCCTTGGGATTGGTTTACTCCAGTAAGCAAAGCGTAGCCGAAGCTATTCGTTTGGGTCAAGGTGTCTATCAATCTCGTGGTCGTGGCCTCTGGCACAAGGGTTTGACCTCCGGTGCCACCCAAACATTGAAACGTATAGATTATGATTGTGATGGAGATGCTATACGTTTTGTCGTTGAGCAACACGGCGCAGGTAATGACGAGATTATAAAAACTCAAGTTGAAAAAAGGGGGTTTAAAGAAAAGAGGACAGTTTGTGTTTCTATGCATTGGTGAATCTTTTTTTCAGATGGTTAATATACTAACGAATCGTATGCTTAGGATTTTGCCATTTGAACACTCGTGGCTGCTTTGGTGCTGATTCAGGCATTACTGCGTTGGAAAAAACCTTGCAAAGCAGAAAGAAAAACGCACCTGAAGGGTCCTACACAGCTCGTTTATTCGCCGACTCCCAATTATTGCAAGCCAAAATTATGGAGGAAGCTGAAGAATTATGCCAAGCCAAAGATAAAGAATCTGTTGCTTGGGAGGCGGCTGATTTGATTTACTTTGCCCTCACCAAATGTGTCAGTGCGGGTGTTTCCTTAGTTGACATTGAAAAGAACTTGAACAAGAAAGCTAGAAAAGTCACTCGACGTCCTGGAAATGCAAAGCCCAAATGGGAAAACGCTATCAGCAAGCAACAGCAGCAACCTGCAGTTGCAACTGCCCAACCTACAAGCGCAAATGAGGAACGTATCGAAATGATGAGGTTCAATTTGGATGACCTTACGAAGGAAAAACGTGCTGAGCTCTTATTGAGACCTATCATTGACTCTACTGAAATTATCCAGCGTGTAACGCCTATTATGAAGGAGGTTAGAAAAGGTGGTGACAGAGCTTGTATGAAATTTACTCGTCAATTCGATGGTGTCGATCTCGATCACCAAACTATCACTGCTCCTTTCAATCCTGAGGACATGATACTGGACCCTGTCACTAAAGCTGCCATTGATCAAGCCTACGATAACATCTATAAATTCCATGAGGCACAGTTGAGAAAGGAAACCATGACAGTCGAAACCATGCCTGGTGTAGTCTGCTCACGTTTCGCCCGCCCTATTGAAAAGGTCGGCTTGTACGTTCCTGGTGGTACTGCTGTTTTACCTTCCACTACATTGATGTTGGGTATTCCTGCTAAAGTTGCTGGCTGTAAGGATATTGTTATTGCCACACCACCCCGTAAAGACGGCAGTGTTGTTCCGGAAGTGCTCTATGTTGCCCATAAAGTGGGAGCATCTCACGTTGTTAAGGCTGGCGGTGCTCAAGCTGTTGCTGCCATGGCTTACGGTACTGAAACTATTCCTAAGGTTGACAAAATCTTTGGTCCTGGTAACCAATATGTAACTGCAGCTAAAATGGTTGCGCAAAATGATACATCTTCTCTTGTCGCCATTGATATGCCAGCAGGCCCCTCTGAAGTTCTGGTGATTGCCGATAAGACGAGTAATCCCGCTTATGTCGCTGCTGATCTGTTATCTCAAGCCGAACATGGTGCTGATTCGCAAGTCGTGTTGATCGCTGTCGATATTACCAACGATCATATGAAACAAATCGAAAATGAATTACATGAACAAGCCATTGTCCTGCCTCGCTGTGACATCATTCGTAAGTCTATTCCTCATTCGTACAGCATTCGTGTTAAAACTGTAGAAGAAGCCATGACGTTCAGCAATGAGTATGCCCCTGAACACTTGATCTTGCATTTGGAGGATGCGGCTTCCGTGTTGCCTCTTGTTGATAATGCAGGCAGTGTTTTCGTGGGCCAATGGTCACCTGAAAGCTTTGGTGATTATGCCTCGGGTACGAATCACACTTTGCCTACGTATGGTTATGCCCGTATGTACTCTGGTGTCAATACTGACGAATATATGAAACATATTACTTCCCAGGAAGTAACAGAAGAAGGCATGGATCGCTTAGCTGATACCGTTATGCGTTTGGCGGAGATTGAAGGACTTGGTGCTCATCGTAATGCTGTGGCTGTCCGTGTGAAGGATGTCCGAAGTAAAAACAAGAATTAAGCCCTTTAAAAACCTACTTATAAGTGACAACGACAAGTGTGAAAAAAAAAAAACCAAAAAACCATAGGATTTTCATCTGAAAAATGCCTCATTTTTTGTTTTTGTTTAATAAAAACAGAAGAACTGACGAAAAAAGCGCCAGTTTTTGTTAAAAGGTATTGATCTGTTTTTGCCGCTCATTCTATTGTATCGTCAGTTATAGTTGATTTCGCTCTTTCTTATATTAACTTTGATCTGACGGCTCAGCTTCTATATGCCATAAGAGCAATCATAAAATGATGAACTTTTTGAAAACAAAAGCTGCTTTTGATCTGGCTTTCCGGTGACGATTAGGGCTATATGCTTTTATGATAAATCAGCCAAATACTTTATTATGTGAGTATTAAAAATGATTGAGTTATGTACATAGTGAGCACTTTGCGCGGGCAAATTCTTTTAAAGTGTGCAATCATAGCGTACCACGTGCCAATGCGGGGGAAAATGGCTTTAGTGTTGTTGCTGCTGTTGTTGTTGGTGTTGATGCCATTCTTTAACAGTGCTAGTAGTTGGATCAGACATGGCAGCACTGCTTTCATGATATTGATGGTGCTGGAACCACTGCGTCATACAATTTTCAATTCCAAAATCTGGATGATGGAAGTAGAATGAAATAGCAGGGAAAAGGCTTCCAGTCGCATCATTATTGATACCGTTGTAATGCTGTGGAGTGACGATAGAGGAAATAGGAGGTAGGTTGTAGCGACTGTCTGTCCTTTGCTGCTGCTGTTGGTGGTATGAATCGAAAATAGGATGAGTAGTTGCGAACGAACTAGGGTAGTAGTTCGCATTCTTAGCTACGAGCGAAGTTGGGTTAGAGGTACAAGCAAGAAGAGGATCAGAAGCAAAACTGGTCGCAACATAACTAGTGTCATTTAAAGCCTCGGCTCTAGTATTAGTATTTTTGTTTGCCGTCTTTTGTTGAGTACGGTTGCCAGTACGTTTTCCTTTGTGAAAAGCAGCATTTTTGTTGATTCTATTTCCTTCCAGAATTCTTTTTCTTTTGTTGTCTTTAGCTCTTCTATTTTGGAACCTGTACGAGGCCCCAAAAAATGATGATTAAGTTAGCGACTACAATGCTGTGTAGTTGCTAACTACCAACAAAAGAACTGTCATTGCTTACCAAAAGTGTACGCTTTTTTCAGCCATTTGAACAACCTGAGAAATGTGCTGCTTTTCTTGTTGACTCGGGTTGGGATTGTTCTTGTAATAACTTTCAAGAATAGCCATCTCTTCCCGTGAGGTACGCATTCTTCTTTTAGCTGTTGTGCTGAGAGACTCTGGGTCGACCGAAGGAACACCTTCAGTTGCAGCAGTTGCAGCCTTCTGATTGTAGACAGCTTTGTTGTCCTCCGTATCCTCGACTTTCAACATGATGGGATAATGTGCAAGCGACTATGTCTTGATACGTTAAAGATTGATAAAAAAGTAAAACCAACCAAAGAGTGAACAAAAGTGAAAAGATATCTTTAGAAAAAAGGAATTGTTGTCACTATCACAGCGGTACCATCTGCTCTTTTTTTTGTGGATCCAGAACAGTGGAAAAAAAGTGATATATTACAAATGGCTCAAAATAAATTGGGAATCATACGCTGCATTTACAGTAACTGTTTTTGCTTTAACTCTACAGGTATGGTTCTACAATATCCAAGCAGTAAAGCAAATTATTTCACAGTTTTAAGACGTATGGTATAATGCCATTGCATATACAGGCTTCAACCTTCCACAATAGAAAGCCTAATAAAGCCCCAGCAGTAGGCCAAAAAGAAAGAAAAAATTATAAAATAAAATAAGAAAGTATATAGGCTAATTGACAGCAATACTGCCTAAGAGAATAACACTATTCGTCATCTGGCTCTATCGACAATATACGTTCAAATAGCAATGCAGAAAAACGAGACAACTCTCCTAGCTGCAGATTACAAAAAACCCGTTTGCTTAGAAACATCAATATGTACCAATGACAGTACAGGTTGCAAGACGTAATAGTGTATCGACTAATGGCACACTAATGAATCATACAATCCCGTCTCCACAATCGCCGACACCTCATCTACTGATAGGCCGCTGGTTAATTGACCTCAACGCCTGAATTGCCGTTCTCTTTTTTAAAGAGGCTCATTTTGCATGCTCGTAGGTACTTGCTCTTTTTGCAATTTTTCTTCCGCGACTCTAGTTTTGTTTTAACAGATGCCAGCATGCCGTTTAACTGCAATAAAATGAATAATCATTCAGTCCCCCGTGCATAGTTCAAAAGAGTAAAAGCTGAAGCTTACCGTATTTGTAATGTCAGCAAGCTGCTTATCTACTTTTAACGCGCTTTGTTTTTCTTGGATGATCTTCTCGGCTTTCTCGATCTGTCCTAATTGAATCAAATCCTCCGCAAAATAGAGCCAGCATTTATATTCAAGTATCGGATGCTTCAGCTTTCTGGCTAACCTAATTTGTTGTATAGCCAATGCACCTGCTTTATAAGCCTGTAGTAATATGTCAGCTCTAGCACAAGCAATATGAGCTTTTTAAAAATATTTATATTTACATAATTCGTATTTTGTTTGCCCAACGAGCAATACGCTCCTCCCAGGACGGAGAAATAAGTGCTGGTATAGACGATCAAATGCTCTCGCAAAGTCAAATTCCAGATACGTTTGTGCCAGCACATTGTCAGTGGGAATAGCAGCGTTTGAGCTAAACGTATGCTAATTTTGACAGTTTGGGCCGTAATAGGTGGAAGTCTACCCAGTAACATGACTTTGACAGGTTCCAACAAATCTTTACTCGATAAATAGCCTTGAATACGGCTGAAAATCCGACAATCATAACAAGTAACAAGATACATTGCTCCTGTTTGCCTCTTTTTTCTGCTGACAGGGTCAGTCTTTGAGAATGGCTGCATCGTTATACGAATTTGCTGATCAGGTGTTGTTGCTATAAAAGAATCCTGTTTGATTGATGGACCTTCAACATCCATTCCGCACTTTGAACGATAATTACCTTTACTATTGTTTTTGCTGACAGAGCTTTTATGTTGACTGTAACAAAATATATCCTCGTAATTATATGTTGCATGCCACATTGGCAACTTTGACATTCCTTTCTGTTTCGACAAAAAAAGTAAAATTAAAGAAAAAAAAAAAGGCTGCCCTTTCCCCCCTTCACGCATATTACATAAGCAGATCCGTTCCCAAAACAGGGAATATTTCTGTTCTTTTTTTTTGCGGGTTCTTATTTTTGCAGAGTTTCCTTTCTTACGACTGTGAGTCCCATGAGTACTTCGTCACAAGAAAATACTGTGAATGGTTCGAACAAAAGCACCTCATTGCGCGTACCCTCCACACATATAGCAGCATCGTCAATAAGCAATCCGAACGAGTCAGTCAGTGATACACCGATGCTTGAAGTGCCACCACGAATCAACGATGTAGACAGCTCAGGGAAAGATGAACGCACTATTTCAGAATTTTTAGCCCTTATGGATAATTATACACCTATTGTAAACGTCAGAAAAACCAGATATCTGGACTAGCAGTTGATGTTTAATTGTCATTATTTCTCTATACTGTGTTAGATACCTGATGCTGTGACAGAGTATTATTTGAATAAATCAGGTTTTTACTGTGATGAAGTTCGGGTGTAAGTAAATACATTTACTTTAAAACAGATCAGAAGCAATGCTAAAGTAATCTATTTACAGCAAACGCCTACTCGCTTTGGCAACTCAAAGATTCATTGCTAATATGGCTACAGATGCATTTCAATATTGTAAGGTGAGGCAGTCAGGAAGTAGAAAATCAGATAAGGTAAATTCCGTAAGTAGTATTGAGTATATGAGGATCGATTTGCTTATACACATAGTCGATCTTAATGTGAATAGGATAAAAAGGCTGTATTGACCATGGAAGATCTGAGTGCTGCATTATCTGAATATGGCATCAACATCAAAAAACCCGACTACTACTCTTAAATACCACTCAAACCCAATAGGAGCAAAAGTTGATTATCATTTTTTTTTTTTTTTCTTTGGTACAGTCAGAGAAAATAAATCTATTTATTTGTATTGTTTCTATTCTATCAGTCAATCCTTTTCTGTTACTTTTCCCCTCCTTTCAACGAGAGGTCATCTGTTTCCAACGTCATGTCCATCGATCAATTAGCTGCAGACGAGGCTTTGGCAAGGAAATTATTTGAAGAGGAACTCAAAGAAGAAGAAAGGCTCAGAAAGTTACAGGAAGAAAATGACGCAGCGATAGCACAGCAACTCTCAGAGGAGTCTGAGCACCAACAGATGGATAACAACAACAACAGGTTGTTGACGGACGAGTTGCTCGCCAAAGAACTTGTAGCTGCGGAAGAGGCTGCGATGGCTCAACGTTTAGTAACAGTAGGCGATGAAGGCAATTTGCTTGGAAATAATTTGCAATGGAACCATTTATTGAATGAACAAGTAAAGAACCAACAACAACCAAAGTCTGTCACAAACGGGATCCTTGAATTGACGTCTCGAGCAATAACGGATGACGAAAAGAGAATGTTGACGCAGATTATCATCAATGAAACCTACACTGACCTTCATGAGATGTTTAAGTTGTTCAATCAAATTTATTTCGACCATCAGCTAGACATGGTAGAGGTGAAATGGTCAAAGAGGATGACACTTTGTGCAGGCACCTGCGCCTTTCGTAATGGCGGGCATTGTATTATTACACTCTCTGAGCCTTTATTAAAATTTCGATCAAAAAAAGAACTGGTAGAGACATTATTGGTAGGTTATGCCATGTTTGGTTATATGATTAAAACTAGGAACTTAATCTTTTTTTTTTTTTTTTTGCATTATCATGGGATATAGCATGAAATGATTCATGCTCTACTGTTTGTCACTAGTAGAAATACGGACAGAGGTACGCTATTTCCAACCATCCTCCTGCAAAAGTTAAAAAAAAAAAAAGCAGCACTTGACTAATATCTCCAAAATAGATGGCCACGGTCTTCCCTTTCTAACTGAAGCAGATCGAATTAATAAAATAGGCAATGTCAAAATTACCGTTTATCACAAGTAAGCGCCCTGTTCTGAACTGCAAAATTTTACGCTTCACTCACTTTCAACTCTTTTCCCATAGCTTCCATGATGAGGTGGAGCATTATCAAAAACATGTTTGGCGATGTAACGGTATTTGTCAGGACAGGCCACCCTACTTTGGTATTGTTAAAAGATCTATGAATAGGTATGTTCCATTCGCAATGTACTTAGATGGTGAAGTATTTTGAACTAAATGTGTAAATGAAAAATTAGACCGCCTCAAAAGGCTGACCCTTGGTTTGCACAGCATCAATTAGATTGTGGAGGCACATTTATTAAAATCAGTGAGCCTGAATCATCAACCAAAAGTAAGAAGAGGAAACAGCAAAGTACTAAAATAACAGACTATATTGTACTCGATGATGTGGATGACAATGATAATGCCAAAAATACCAGCAGTGATAGTAGCTTTAACAAAAAGCAGAAATCTTAGATTCGCAGCAAAGATGGAATGGTAACTTTTTCACTCACCGCTTTATTTTTGCCGCTTTCACTCGCACGATTATTCCCCTTATATTTTTTATTTCTGCTCGCCTTATTTCTTAATGATACTTACTCTCTTACTCTTCTCAAATTTCTTTGCTTGATTTTCTCATATTTCCTCTTTCCTTCGCTATTACTTATTTATTCCTACCTTGACATAATGTTTAAATCTTTAATATCAAATAAACCGACAACGTCCCTCCTACCGCAGCAGCAACATCAGAAATTGCCACTGCGACGCTCTTTTCTAAAATCGAAAACCAACCCTTTTATACCTTCATTATTCTCTTTACGAATGTTTGTGACAATACCTCCATCAGTCTCAGTGAAAACGGCGTCGAAAGAAAACGGTATAGCTCTTACGGAGAGAGCGATTAACGTATGTTGACATTTCCAAACAATGGAGGTGAACAAAAAACGATCTAACTATTTTTCTTTTAGCAACTCAAACTTATACAACAAAGAGAGAATGATACAGATCAAATGCTGCGAGTTTTAGTAGATTCAGGAGGATGTCATGGTTATCAAAATAAAATGGAATTGACCAAGGCAATAGAAGAAGACGATAAGTAAGTTTTTCTTTTTTTGGTTTGTTTGTTAGCCCAAACCCCAGGCTGGTCTGTAAGTTCTGGCTGATTAATTCATTCTTTTTTTTTTTTTTTTTTTTTGTTTTAAAACTCATCATAGTATTTTTGAAAAAGATGGTGTTAAAGTTATTGTCGATAACATCTCTTTACAATTCTTAAAGGGCTCTACTGTAGATTACGTGCAAGAATTGATTGGTTCTACGTTTCAGGTTGTGGAGAATCCAAACGCAAAGCATAGCTGTGGTTGTAATATATCCTACGATATCGATTTAGATAAAATTATGTAAATAAAACAATTTTTGTAAAAATACCATACTAGCCATAACTGAAGAAGTGAAAGATATCAAGAAAAAGTTATATGTGCAGTAGAGGGTCATAAAATCATCATAATAAAAAAGTCAAATAGAAATGTGTGTGCAGCAACTTTACAGTGCATACGTTTCCCTCCATAAGCATAACAGGCACTTGTGATTAGGCTTCCTGTAATGGGGGCTGTAATTCAATAAAGTTTTCTTTTTTTGATCTTCACAGTTCTCCTACTGCCCTTTTTTACTAACTTTCTAGTCGTCTCCGGATATATGAATGACCGGGAAAAGAAGATTCTGATTTTGGCAAGGTCTCATTCTAAATTCTCTGTCTCTCTGTCCTGCTTAGGTCATATTTTCAAATCGGCCTTATTTTTTTTCTTTTTTTTTTTATCGCCAAGATCGTCTTCTTCCCACTTCATTGCCAAGGAATAAAACAAACGTAGCAGAAACCATATTGACGTAAAGACCTAGATATAAAACTTCAGCTATAGTCGTTGTAAAGGGGGAAAGAACTTCCTTTTGCTCAAAGCTCATACATCCTACTTCAACCTAGATTTGCCCTTCCCCCCATCTTTTTTTTTTTCTCGTCTAAAACAATTTAAGGGACCAACAAGCTCAACATGACGATTTCATCCAGATCAAGATCCAATTATGAAACTACTCCGAGGTATTGATGAGAGTGGTCATCTACAATCTATTGCATGTTGTCACTTTGATGTTAAATAGTACCATCTCTTTATTCTGCATTCTGCAATATATTTTGGTGGGTGTTGCTAATATAGTAGTCATACTTGGTTCGATGACATATTTGCGAGTTATAAAGTGCCTGCTGAACTAGGCAAAGAAGATGTCACAGATCCTAGTACAGGGAATGCCATTCGTTTACAATCCCGCTATTTGGGTAATGCTTGGATGTATTGCGGATCTCATTCGAGTCAAGTGATGGTTTATGAAATTGTACAATCTGAAATATCTGATTTTATATCAGATCATCAGCTGCTTCACCCATCGACATCGAACGATCAACAGCCATCCTCATCGCATGGAAACAACTCAACGACAACAACAACGAATCTGGATTTGCATTCGTTTCGTCGAAGTAGTAGCACAAGTAGCCATAGTAGTAATGGCAGCTCCAGTGGCGGTGGGAGCGGAGGCGAAGACAATATCTCTGCATTACCGCCCAAAAAGCGTAGACGTCGGAAAGTTATCCATTATCAAGTGATATTCTCTACTTTGTTGTCTGAAGATATGACAACACATATCGATCCTAATCAAAATAGATATTACTTATTTCCTAAAGAAGCTATTTTGGATACTGTGAATGATATGCCCCCTTTTGAGGTTTGTAATCGAAACAAAAAGATAATGCTTGGTATACATCGAGACGCCTAACGAACACTTTCCTTCCACCGGACGACTCTCGTTCTTAGGCATATATATCCTTTCATCTACCTGATCATTTGAAAGAAAAACGAATAGCAGCCACTTGTAGTACAACAACTGTTGATTCTGTCACATCATCTATACCTCCTATATCAATAAGGCTGTCGGGTATGTCCAATACACTTTACGTAGCTTTAAAACAGACGATCTCGGAGTTTGAGAATACATACGAAAAGATGATGGCCTTGATGAAATTACATAAGCAGCAAGTGTCAGCACAACGATTTGAGCTGGATGAAGAAGATTTGAAGTTTGAGAGTATCATTACACAAAGGATCAACAATCATGGCATGAATGGGTGGACAGGGAGTGAGGAGGAGGAGGAGGAGGAGGAGTTGGAGGACGATGTTGATATTGATGAAGATGGGGAAATTGCAGGCGATGATGATTATGGTAAGAGTGAAGCTGTTTGAATGTAAGTCATTGTAATCCTTAATATACCTGCTGACTTATTCATTGTCTGGAACATAAAGTGGAGCATGCCACTACTGTGTCTGCAAGGGCAGATCAGCAACAGCAGCAGCAACAGCAGCAGCAGCAACAGCAATATACAAAACGAAGCAGTACTGCATATCAGCATCAGAGCAATAACCAACATTCCAACAATACCCATGCGCAACATAATACCAATAGCAATCCTTCTTCTTCGTCCAATGGTTTTGTGAAACAATGCTTATACTGTGGTTCTAAAACGACCCCTATGTGGAGACGCGGCCCTCAGGGCGCTGGTACGCTCTGTAATGCATGTGGTGTAAAATGGAAACATGGTAAGATTTTATGTGATACCGCTGATTATCGAACGGGCACAATGCATCCTCATCCTGCAAAAAAAAAGAAGAGAAATAACACGGCCAGCGCGACAGCGACAACACCCAACAATGCCAATAAAAGGAGAAAATCTGCCACTGCTGTTACAACGACTGGAACTACCATCAGTCATAAGAAAAAACTGAACGATGATTCCTCTTCGCTACCGTCCATTTCTTCGCCTCCTCAGTTCTTACCCTCCTCGCCATTTTCTAATTTTCATCAAAGAAGGCATACAACCGATATGTCATCTTTACTGCACAACAGTGATAATGGCCCAAGTATGATTGATATCACCGATTTCCCTGCTTTAAATGCTGTTGAAGAAGCTGCTGCTGTTCTAACTCTATTGAAGCGAAGTTAGAAAAAAAAATTTTTTTTCTTCAAATAATCTCATTTTCTATTTTTTTTTTCTCTTTTCGTCAGTAATATAAAAGAAATTCAAAAAACCTCCATTGATGCAAACGCTTTTCATGTGATATGCATGGTTTTAATACTGTTTTACTAGTGATGGGCAATGGATATTATGTACAAGAAGGAATAGATTCTTTTATCTCTTAAATGCCTAGCGATTTCTATATCTTACAAATCTACTATCCAGTCTATCTAAAGCTTTGAATCATCCGTGATGAAGCTGGTACCTTTAACAATATTGCTCTTTAATTCAGCAACAGCCTCTTTCAACAACTTATATTCATATTTCGAGATTTTGCCAATCGGTAAAATGCGCTGTATGCCGTTCTTGCCAAACTCAACCGGCACTGAGAAATAGTCTATCTCTTTATCGCCTGCAATTCGCCAAACGTTTTGAGCACCTCCATTGGGATCCGCCTGTAAGTTCACATAGGCACATTCTGTACGTGACACACCGCCAAAGACCGCTTCTATCACATTCAATGTGAAACGTGCACCTGCATAAGCCATCGATAACGTGGCACTGCCGCTACCATTTTTAGCCTTGACTACTTCGTCACCAGCAAATTGAATACGTTTGGTTAATTGTTGCACTTGTTCTTCGCTTAGATCGCCAAAGGACACATTCGTCGCTTGTGATAAAAGTGGAATAATAGTAACACCACTATGGCCGCCGATGACAGGCACATTCACTTGGCGAGGATCCTTATTGAAAAGTTCAGCTAAAAACGTGGAAGAACGGACGAGATCAAGTGTGGTAACACCAAAAATGCGTCGCGGATCATAGACATTGTATTTTTTAAAGACTTCAGAGACAACAGGAACCATGGAGTTGACAGGATTCGAAATGATACACATCAAGGCGTGTGGAGCATAGTTGGCAGCTGCGACCGCGAGTTCACGCACAATGTTAGCATTGATCTTGAAAAGATCATCTCTTGACATGCCAGGCTTGCGAGGTATACCGGCAGGAATAACCACTGGGCAAAGGAGGGGGAAAAAAACGGGTCAGAAAACGTGTCCTTCCTCATGATGTGTCTAGACCAACTCATGGTACTGAATAAATGATGTTTGCGCCTTACCCACATCTGCACCCTTGATAGCTTCTTCTAACTCTTTTGGTCCGACATGACCAGTAACTTTACTGTGGGTATCGATATGACTGATAAATGAAAAAAATAGATACTTTGAGCATAAAAAGCTTGTCAAAAACCACAAGTTCTTTCCTACGAAAGACAAGTAAATTACCTTAAATCAGCTGCTACGCCATGAGTATTCACAATATCATAGAGCGCGAGTTGTGAAATGAGATTAGACTGTTTTAATAGGAGTGAAAGGGGTTGGCCAATGCCTCCAGAGGCACCACAGACTGTAACTTTGACCATAGTTAGCGACAATTGAAATAAAAGAAAAAAAGAGGTGATGGACTTTTGCCTTCAGATAAAAACCACCAGAAAAAGAAATTTTTCATTTTATACACAGCGATTCAATTTTTGGTCGCTGTTTAAAGTCCTCAAGGGCAGCCATCAAAACCACGATGGTCGTTCGAACCAATCAACACATCTCAAAACGTGTCAAATTCGTTTTATTAATGCTAATACGAAGGAAACAGAATCTTTTTCTTTCTTTCGATCCGCAGAGAAAGGCATCTTTTTGCATGATTTTGAACAAGGAAATACCCATAAAGTACTGACGAGAAATGCTTCACAGACATAGTCCAACTTTTTTTTTTTTTAATTTTTGATGGATCGACAATTTGAGGTCATGTCTCACCATTGTACAAAAACCCTAAACTCAATCTAGGAGTACAAATATTCCACAGAAGAGGATATGAAAAGATACGTCAATGATACAGAATGCGATAAACAAGTACAATCGTGCAGTTATTGTAAGATCAGTCTGTAATATAAAAGTGAATACGGTCTTTAGATACTCACATTGCATTAGAGAGACATGAAATTTTAAGAACTTTAGCTTTATAAAAGTGTATGAAAGAGTGTAAAAAGTGAGACAACTTATCAATCGAAATGGTATCTTTTATATTTATATGTGCGAACATGCGTGCAAAGCAGAACATAAACAGATGGGTACAATTGCAAAGGAACGCAAATTAATCCAGAAGATCAATCAGAGCTTGAAATACGAGGGAGCCAACCATTGTACACAATAAAACTATTGCATCCAATTTAGCAAAAGGAAGAGCACACATTGACCATAAAATAATAGCGTTCAAAATTCTTGAAAAGATAATGATTTTGCCGTAAAGATCTGAAGGAATGTAATTTTATCAGCTATAGCAAGAACTCTCCGCCACCCTAAACTCTAATCATATTACTTACCGCTTAACCGAGTGTTCAACGCTTTAATGAACGAGTTGATGACTAATATCAATCCAGCAAAGATGAGGAATGTTTTGTACACAAATACATTTTCGTACAATGTCATGCTATCTGTAAATGATTCTTCTGCTGTCTCAGCAGAGCGTTTTATCAGCGAAGAAGAATGACTGTAAACGTGTGTATTGGCAGGAATAGAGTACGTAGAAGAAGGTGTCGTAGAGTTCAATAAGTCAGAAGACGTATAAACAAATGATAAAATGCTGACAAAAGCTGATGATACGTAATGGAAAACACCCCATATCTGACTCTCTCTTGTAAGAGAAGCTTGTTTATGTGGTGACACGTTCATATCGTAGTTATCCATGACAACAGTCCAATTCTTCATCGGACTATACTGTTGTAGTTCGTTATCAGAAATCATCGCTATGGCTCGTTTAGCCTTCTGGTGTGCTGTGTCTGTATCAATAGAAGGGGATGCATTTTGATCATTGTTTGCGCTGGAACTTGTAGTGCCACTTCTTTCGGATGAAGATGCAGTGCTTTCTGACGGAGGAGAATGTTCAGCTGTTGAAGTTGCACCGTGAGCACTCGTGCCTTTAGCATTTGCCGTACTTCCCTCGGCTTCATCAGGTAATTTGTGGTCTCTTAATAACTGTGCCCGATATATCTTCAAGCTAGCATTGAAAGGAAACGTACTGGAATAAGTAACGAATAGAATGCAGACTATAGAGGTCTCCTAATCATAAACTGGTGCCTGTATTGTATGTAATACATTCCATAAACTTACATATCAATAAGTGAAATACCAAAAGCTACCTGACATAAATGCAGAGGGAAATGCAGATAAACCCAAATTTGATGATATTTGTTGTGTAGAAATACCTATTATAAAGAGAGTCAACATTTGGACAATAACCACCTGAACTCTATCACTCGTGTTGCTGTACCTCCTTGTTGAAATCTTCAAAGTACATAAAAAAGAATCCGAAAATAATGAAAACGGCCATAAAGTTGGGTACACTATATGAGTGAGCAAAGAAATGGTTAGTATCACACAATTTTAATGGTATTTCCTAAACTATATTACTTTACACTATAATTAAGTAGTTGCCTGACATTGCTACTAGCGACACTAAACCCATCAAGTTCTCTCCTAGTACGATCAAAGAGAGAAGCCCAAGTCTTTCTGCCAAATGACTAGCTGCCCATGAAAGTGTCTTGTCATCCCGAACGATCACATTTACCAAAACTTCCGACAAAATACCAAGGTACCAGAGAATACGGTGAGTTCCCTTCTCTAATATTACCAAAGAAGAAGCCCACAGTGCAATAGAGACCAGGTTGGCACCAATGTAAAATGCTAAAGGTACCCGGGACTTTGATTTGGCCAATATGGCGACAATGAAGACTATACAGTAATCAAACAAAACGCATCATTACTACTATCGTGTATAACGTCAAAAACTAGTTGTTAGGTATGACCTTACCAACAAAATATTCAATAGCCAATACTGCTTTCAACGCTATATAAGATAACAATAAAGTAAAACACAAGCTTCAAATCAGTTGTTGATTATCCCACTAGGCTTATTGCAATTTCCCTACCTATATAACCATAGACGTATCCTGTAGAGTTTTGGAAATACTCAGACGAACCCGCCATGCCAACTATAACAGCGTAAGAAATTTTCTTCTATGTTACTCTGATTTTTTTTTTTTTTTTTTTTTTTTTTTTTGCGTTCAAGATACTTACTGACTGCACACATTTCTATTAGTTTGTATATATGGTGCACAACATCATCGCTGATTTGAGTAAGGCCCGCAGAAATAGAAAATGAGGAAACAGACATACTGAAATCGAAGGAATGGTAAATTGTTCTTGACTTACGTGTCAAATCTTGCTGTATACCTAAAAACGCCCGACTGTAAGTTTTAGAAATTCTTTGGATTTTCCTCTGTGTACATACTGTTAAACTTACAAAGAGCTTGCACACCAAGCCCACCAGGTAATAACGAACCACTGAGCATACACACCCAACGACGCCCAATCTTTAATATGATGACTGTGTGTGAATTGAGTCAATGTGGCTACGTAAAATAAATCATAAAATAGCTCAAGCCACGAAGCTGCTTTCTCTTGACCAATATCTGCACTTAAATCAGGTTCAGGATGCTGAAAGAACGGACGACGTGTGGCCTCTAGAAGTGGTAAATGCAGATGGCTATTGAATTTGGGCTTGAACTCTATATAAACATTTTCATTGATCTCTATAATATGGTTGCTGCCATCATTATGGTGTTGATGATGCACGTACTTTCCTGATTTATGATGGATTTTGATAGAAAAGTCGCGTTTGATTTTGTAAAGGAATTCAGTGAGTGAATCTGTATCATGAACACCATTGAATTGAATACGCTCTTGTAGACTTAAATGAAGCTAAAGATGTTTTTGAAAGAAAACGCTGTATTGTTACACATAATTCGGTGATAGAGAATAGTGATTGTATGCTTACTCGTTGACAAAAGTCATTGGCTGCATCATAGTCCAAGACAAAGCTTTGATTACCCCGCAACTGACGAAAGTGCAGAACTATTGATATCAAACATAATGGTGAAAATCGAGATCAGTATATGGTTCTAACCTAATTCACTTTCTAAACATCGTTCTCCTTACCGATTGAATAATGAATTTGTTCACTTTGTCTACGTGAGAACATAGTGTTATTTTTAGGGAGGACGACAGTGATCAGCAATATTAAATGGGGTTGTTGTAGTCTCTTTTTTTTTTACCTTTTTGATAATTGACGCTGTATTCTTTCCCCTTGTTGCTGCTGTGTTAGCGAATGGTGAACTGACCAGCGGTGTGCTCTTGATTGAAAACTCTTTTCACGCTTCTGATGAGCATGATATTCTTCCACTGGATGTGATATTATATCTGTAAAGGTTTCCTCGCTATGTTCTGTTTCAATCTTCTCAGACATACTACTGCAAGTTTCGTCCGGTTGTATTTCCGTTAAGCCAATTTGTTCTTCATCGTCAGGTGATCCTTTTGATGGACGACGGACACTGTTCCTACTAATGGCAGGACGATATCTTCCACTGCCCCGAAGTGTTGGTCCTCTTCTAACAGAATGTTGTGAAGAATGATTCATTTGGAGAGGTCAAAAAAATCAATGTATGAAAAGAAATAAAGAATAAGAAAAATAAAATGAGGAAAAGTTAAAGTTATTTGCTAATTGCTTATGGCTTTTCATAGTTCAATATTGCTGTTGTAGTACTTTTCTCCTGATTGTATATTGACTAGCAACAAACAAAAAAAATTAAGGCTTATACATTTAAAGCACACAGTTACACACATCTGGTAGATCACCATTTCTTCGACCAGTTAAAAACTTGCCATAAAGTGCACTAAAAACAACGCCATAGCCTAGATTAATTGCTGAAAGCCCATTATACACAAGTAATTCGTTTTCAAATGCACTGTTTGCTCCAACAGTTTGCATTCACTGCATAGGAGAATGTCGCACAATCAGCCGACGATACATATGATAAGTGATATGTTTACGGGATACAAGGTTTTAAATGAAATAAAAGACATCGCTTTTTGTGTGCTATAACGTTTTAGATAGCTAAGTCTATAAATAGTGTGTCTGACAAAGGTAGAATTGTAAAAAATCAAATTGTTCATCATGAATAAATAGACATGTTGATGAACGATGAGTGAATTTTGTGGAGAGAGTGCCTCAGAAAAATAAAAAAGAAGCCGAAAAAAGAGTTTCAATTGAACTAATCACTTTATTCTGGAATGCCTTTTAACATACTGATGCAGTTTTCAATTTCATAATTATATATGACATTGACCTATTGAGAAACTGTAATATTCCTATATTTGTAGTATGCCAACTGACAGCTAGTTTTGTATAGTTAGCTGAAATCATAGTGTAATAAAATTGAATAGGGTTTTGCTGTCAAAATGATGAATTATAAGTCTGTGTAAATACATAGCAAAACTTGATAGATTATAAACAGTTATTTATACATAGTGTCGTGCCTAGTTAGATAGCTTTTAAATGTAAAAGGTCTTTCTGCTGAAATAAATCCACATGCATTTAACAAAAAAAAAGGTCTTGCCACGAAATATTGGAATACATGTTAAAGCTTATGTAACAATGTAATTGTATACAAGGACCAATATTACAGAAGAGGCAAATTAGAGGTGATAGAACCTAGTATAAGAGGAGAGATGGAGGACTAGAAGAGGCGCATTATGGTCGATCCTCATCAAAGTGTTTAAGCTACGTCTTGTGGGGGCAGGTTTTCCGACATTCTGTAGTGTGACCCTTAAGGTACTGAAGATTGAAGTCTCTGAAATGCATTCTCTGTAGACCAAGCTTCATTGTTGATGAGTGCATATCAATGATGTTGGCCATTGAGGAGATTGCATCTTGAGGGAAAACGTTGAGACTCCTTGTAAAGAAGAAGCTAGTATAGTTCGAAGAAAAAATTCAAATATCAGTTTGAACAGTATGAGTGATAAAGGATCGCCTTGACGTAACCTCGGTTCTGGATCAGAGACATACCTAAGAAGCCGTTGACTGACACTGAAATGGCTGCTGAGAAGAATAGTGAAGACAACGCTGATACCAAGTGAGCAGGGAAACCGAAGTGAGACAATACCAGACGGAAGTATTGTGGATGAACACGATCGTAAGCCTTTTCTTGGTCAAGCATGACAGCCGCAGTATTCGAAACACGAGGATCGCTACTTTTATAATAATTCTCCATGAGGGTCACCAAGATTGTAAACTTCGAAAGGCAAACCGTCCAAGCCAGACTCTTTTGGTTAGGAGTATGATTCACTACGTCGAGTAATTCACCGGTAGTAAAATCAGCATGTGAAACCTGTTCCTCTAAGATCACATCATCTGGTATATTAGCTAAAAGAGTGTCTACTGCTGCTAAATCAATGTCCTTGGGGCATATAAATAACTATAGCAATGATGGGCCTCTTGTTAAATCTTGGGCGTAGTTTCTAATAGTTTACTACTGACACTGCATCTTAGGTGATGAATAGTCTGCTGTATTTGACGTAATTTGATAACCCTATAGAAATACTTGGTATTTCGTTCTCCTTGCTCATGCCACCTGGTAGCGGAGCGAAGTAAAACTTTGTTCATTTCGTCCTTGACCTCCTTATCTAAGACTGTTGGCGTGTGTCATTTTGGGGATCTGGAAAAAGATCTGGCAGACAGCAATTGCTGAAGCTCCTGCTGTAGCTTTTGAAGGCGGTTGCGTCGATGCTTTTGAAAGCCACGAGTGAACCTTTCACTGGTATCTTTCAAGGCACGTTTCAGACTTTCCCACGATTGTTGAGCAGTTTGATCACCAAGCGACTCAACAGAGGCGAAAAAGAAGTTAACGTCATCAATTACAAAAGCTACAAAAGTATCATTCTGCAATAGAGAATTATCAAAGCGCCAAAATCCGGGGTCAATATCATGCCTTTCTGGAAACAGGTCAATCTGTAGTAATTGGTGGTCTGTCCACGAAGCGGGTAGATATATCTGTTGACAATTGGATATTCGAAGCTGATGATTTTCGCTCTAAAAAAGTAGTCTATGGTGGAGATGTGAGAGCCATGGTGAAACGTAGGTTGACCGGCCGAAGCAATTGTCGGAATGCTCTAAAAGCCATTGATTCCACGAGACAAAACGATGGTCGTCAACTTTCGTCGAGTTTCAACAGACATACATTAAGATCTCCTAGTGATATGAAAGGGGACCCTGCGGGATGCGAAAGGTGAGGACGTAAATTGTTCTGGAATAGGCACTCTATCGGCGGATTGTGCAGGGCCATAAATGTTGGTAATAGAGCATTCTACTTGTTGTAGAGTTTGATTATATACTGATGCACTGATAAACCGTTCATCAAGTGAAACGGTAGCATCCTGAAGTGTGAGGTTTTTGTTTAAGCATATAATAGCAGAATATTTAGTGAATAATACGGAGCAGTTGGGGAAAATATAAGATTGAAAATAGCTGTATTGTTGTTGTGTGAGATGATCTTGTACGTAGAAAGCAGAAACTTCCTGTAAACATAAAACATCCAAAGAAAGAGATGATGATTAAAATAAGATAGCGTTTTCAAGGATGCAATACGGATATGCTTTTTAATCATGACCCTTACGGGCTATCGTATCAAAGGAGGAGCGAGAATTAGCTTTCTCACTATTTATCGGAAGACTTATCTTTGGCAATGGTAGACATAGTTGGACGCTTCAAATCTTCCTGGGAAGAACAAGCGGGGCGTCGACATCCATGGTTGAACGTTCGTGCACAGGAGCGGATCTAGAGTGAAGGGTTCTTAAACGCGGGATATCAGCCCTGGTTGATTGCTCTGCATCAAGAGCAATTGTTTCTATAACTGGGGTTGACCTCAAACGGGAATCTACCCTGTATTCAAGCATTTGTGCGTCCTGATCCTCAGAGAAATGGACGGGCTGTGTAGCAGTATTATTGATATCCCTTATCTCAGCAATATCCTTTGCCATGGTTGACTGCGAGTTTATCTCATCTGTAGATGTCTGCTGTGACGTAAGAGTTTCATAGGCATCTAAACCCTCAGTAAATGAGGTCTCTTTTTGTGCAGGTTTTGCTAAAGGGGCGCTACTTTGAAGACACGGCCACGACGCTGAATGTGCAAATTTCCTCCACAACGGAAGCATACTAGTTTCTGTAACGTTGGGCAATCTTTCTTGACATGCCCTTCTTTACGACTGTTGTATACGATAAGATAAAGTAAAAAAAAAAAAAAAAAGAAAACAAAAGGAAATCAGTGAAGACCAATTTATCTTCTTTTATTGAATAGAATATTCTGATAAAGAATTGAAGACAAAAACCATGTAGGAAAAAGTACTTCTATTTATATTTGTAGATATTGTAAAAAACTTTTCTATCGAGACTCTTAGGTACAAGATGACCTGATGATAAAAGAAAAGACATACCCAATTGCTACAGCACGATTCATCATGCTATAGCGGTGCCTTGACCGATTGGATCGGTGAGAGGAAGTAAGTGAGTTGATCTGATTAAAGGTTCCTTTGACCCGTACTTCGGCAGATTCATTATAACTAACGAGACGGACAGGATAAACTATTCCTGGATTCTGCCGACGTCTCCGTTTCAGTCTTATTGAATTCTGTCAGAATGTAAAGAGTTAAAGTAAGGATCAACAAGTTAGAAGATAATAGCTTAAGTAGATTAGATTTATGTATTGTGGTTTGATGTGCTAAATTAAGTTATCTGATTTAACCAAATCCAAATACTATAATATCTTATTTCTAAATGAAGTCAATTACTCATCCAATGTTGTCTCGGATATACAGATGAAATATTCTTCCGCAAAAGAAAAGAATTGTTCTAACAAATCTATCACTCACGGTTATTCTAACCTTCATAAGGATCCGCAATCTCTTATCTCAGTATTATGTACTGTAATAATCCAAGAGTAATATGCTGTTGGATACAACACCAAAAGACTTTCAAAATACGAGGATGGCACAAACCGGGTGGGCAGATATAAGGTACTTGTGGGATGCCCAGCATAGAGAATGGACCCGGTAGTTTTTCTCGAAGGTATTGCTGAGACCAATATTGAATTTATGCGAATAGAGAGCTCGTCATTATATCTTCACTCAAAACTTAGAAACGTTTCACAAAAAGAATACGAACGTGACTGGCAGGCTAAACCCAAATCGGAGCAAATAAAATGATTCTGTCCGGGTTCGAACCGAAGACCTTCGCCGTGTAAAGGCGACGCGATAACCAACTACGCCACAGAACCTATATTTTGGTGCGTGGCAATAAAAATTATAAGAAGTCGCTTTCCGAACCAATAAGTTCGACCCGGAGTGACCCAGCAGTTCGGCTTAAAATCACGTATACTATTGAAGACAAACATTTAATACGGACTTTAAATGTTACTTAACATAACTATATACATCAATATACATATTAATTTTTGTATAAATTCTATTCATAACGTAATATTAGGAACCCTCTCTTCTTTTAGGCATTCATATTTTACTATAAACATTCTATTTTGATTATTGGAATTTGTTAACTTCAAGTTCTATTTTATATTTCAGGATTTTGATTTGATTACTTAATTTTCATTATTTTTTTTTTTAATTAATTCTTTTAGTATTGATCTACATTTTTACACGATCAATCATTTATAGCTAGTATATTCATAATATAAGAAGAACAAACCAGTAAAATTTCTTATATTCACTTTTCCATAGAAACATACTCTGTTTACTTGCTCTCAAATTATATCAATTTCACGTATATAACTTTTACTGCTTATTTTAACACCAACTTTTCACGCTAAAGCACCGCAAACGTATTAATTTTGATATGGTTTAGTTAAAAGATGGTTCGGAAGATGAAATTCGAACTCAAAAACGAATATGATAGGCTGGAGACTTGGAACTCATAATTGCTCAGTGGAGAGATCAGGTTGTGAAGCGGGAATTAAATGTAGAATAGTTAACTGTATTTAAATGTCACTTTGATTGAAAGAATAAACAGGGCCCTTCTCCACATTAACAATACTTAATAAAGTTGAACCTGGACTCTTGAGTTCCAACCTAAGTTATATACATAACAATTTTGTTATGCCCGTATAGAAATGTCCTGTTAAAGGTAGTTTAAACTCAGTCACATGACTTTATTACATGAGCAGGCTATGATAAGTAAACTACAAGTAGCTCATGAGCAAAATCGGACATTGAATAATTTATGTGGAGGAGTATATAAATCCGATTAGACATGAAATGGATGATCGAGGCCTTTTCCGGACATGATAAATTGTACTATTAAGTTAACCTGAACTTGATATAACCATTTTACGATATTAATCATAACAATTTTTTTACATGGAAGGTGTAATGACTGTGAGCTGTGACAGAGATGATGAAGACCAATTAACAGAACAAGACTGTGGGGTTGGTGTTATTAATGTCTCTGAAGATAAGTTACAACGACAGAAAGATAGTACTTAATATGACAACGTTTATTAAACAGATGTATGGGAAAATAATGTGAGGGCAAGAAAGAGCAGGATAAAAACACTGAGGATGTTTTAACTACAGTGGTGAGCCATATTTATAATTTAAAGAGGTGAAACCTCTCTAATGATTGTATTCGCCAAGGAGGCATCATAACAACGTATCTTGGCTTCCACATCCGGGAAGCCTACATACCGACACATTCACAATTCCTTAGTCACAGTTCCACCTTCCTTACATTCACCCTTCGTGAAATTTAATCAACTGTTGTCTACAGAAGCTGATTCACGAACAGATACCACGCGCAACAATGATCACCCCGTGGTGGCCCAGTGCAATTTGGTTCCCGTTGATTCAGTCCCTAGCAACAACTTCCCCTTTACTACTTCCCCAATCGGTAATTCATCTACCAACACCAACCGCAATTTGGCCGATGCAAAACAACTCCTGGAAACTCGCCGTGTGGAGCTTATCCAATCAAAGTACTCCAACACAAATCTAGACACCAATGCAAAAACTACATTATTAAATCGCTATTTGGATAACACCTCAACTATTCGATCCTATCACCACGCACAGCGTAGGTTTTTAGAATGGATGGAAAACTATAATATTCCACACACAGCTTTTACCGCAATGGACGTGATTAATTTCTTAAGTGATATGCATACAAGCCATGATTATGCTATTTCCACTTTACAACTTTTTCGCTCCGCTTCATCTACATCATGATCCTCATAGCTTACAAAGAAATGAAGACCTCAACACATTTATCACTTCTTTATTCCATCAAGCTCCTATGGTTCGTCTACATCGGTCATCCATTAGTTTACAGCCTACTATTGATCATTTGCAATCGCTCTCGTTGACATCTATATCTTTAGCTACGTTGCAAAATAAATTGGCCTTTTTACTTGGTATTACCTGTTTCCTTCGTCCGTCGGATCTACATCGTATTCCATTTTCCTCTGCAAAACTTTCAGACGATCAAACTCTGCTCTCTTTCGAGGTACATGCTCCTAAAGAAAAACGTGGCCGCAGGCGTATAATTAAATCCTTTTCTGTCAAAAGTCATTGAGATCCTCGTATTTGCCCAGTAGCCACATTCATCGCCTACAAATCACGTCGTCCTGATTGTACTGTATCAACACTCTTTGTGAATTCTCTACGACCCAACCAGATTGAGTACTCGTACTATTCAATCCAGGCTTACTAAGCTTCTTCGTTTGTCTACTACGGAACCCAGAGTATCTATTCGATCAATTGCTTCATCGTTGGCGTTACAGGCGGGCATTCCAAAAGAAGACATTGTTACCATGGGTAATTGGGCTTCATCAAGTACCTTTGAGAACCACTATCGTAGGGAACATCTTAGCACGTTTGATTTTACAAATACTTTTCTTACCATACTTCCGGATGCTGAAGACTCTCTTGATCAATTTTCTCTGGATTAGCAATCATATTTCTTATTTTGTATTTTCATGTCTAATTTAACAATTTCGTCGCGATCCCTTTGACTTAATGTTACTGCTCTGCATTTTATCATATATGATATTACTGTATTGATATACCAGATTCTTGGTTCTATATCATTTCCTAATATGTGAGAATTTAGCGATTTGATTGTCTTGGGCATAACATCCCTCAGTCAAATATTAAGGCTCAAGGGCAACTTATTTCGTTATTCACCCAACTTTAGGCTTAAACTGAATGCGCTTTCTGTTATTTCTTTTTTTTCCTTCTGTGAAAAGCATTTACATCTGAAAGTGATACAGCATGAATAAAAAAACCCCTACTGTCTATATTATTTTACACAGTCTGTATCAGCACACTTACAAACTCTCATTAGCCATTAAAGAAGGTACGTTGCCGAATGAACTTGTACATGTAGGGATTATTAAGCAAGAATTCTCATACATCTTCTACTAGGTCTAGAAAGCAAAGGCATACAGGTTCAAACATATATTGTCCCAGAGAGTTTGTCTACCGAAGCGCTCCTCTGCGGTGTGAGCGCACCTACATCCCTTCCTGACCTACCAACCCTACCTTCCATTAATAAGCTTGCTGAACCTGATGGCATACTCTTCGGCTTTCCTAGTTGTTTCACAGTTACCGTGCCAGCCCAAATAAAAGCCTTGTTTGACTCTACCTCGTTGCTTTAGTCGAGAGGCGCGCTCAAGGAGAAATTTGCAAGCACTTTTTATTGCGCATGTTCACCTCCTGGTGTACAACTTGTCAACGCTCTTTGTACTCCCGTTTCTCGCTCATCATGGTATGCTGTACGTGCCGCTGGACTATTCGAATGGTCAACTTAACGAGGGAAGTTCTTCTTATGGTGGAAAAGCTGGGCAACCTTGTAGAAATGAGTTGGAAGTGGCGAAACAGCGAGGCGCAAGGTTTGGAGATGTTGTAGCAAGTTATATTAGAGGCAAAGAGGTTTATAATAGCAGCGATGCTAACATTCGAAAGACAAATGATTTTTTGAAGAAAAATAGTTCTTGGGGTTTGTCAGATTATGATTTTGAAAATGACTTGAATAATGATAACAATAGAAACGGTGCAGCGTTGAACGAAACAGTAATGGCTATTTCTCTGGTTCACCAGCCCCCGGCTTCTGAGCAATCAACTTTTAATTGTGCTTCATCACATATAGCAATCGCGAAAGCTAATGTTGATTTTACTGCAACAAATAGCTATCAAAACAAAAAAATGCTTACAACGGGGAAAAAGTGTAACAACATAAATCAGACGAAGAACAACAGCGGTCGTGGCAGTTCTAGTATAGACAAAAATGAGTGTAATAAGAAATGGTACATAATCAAAAAATCCAACAATTCTTGCGATAATAGTGTAACTAGTCGTCGTATGAGTTGTCAGAAATGGATGTGTTGGTGAAAAACGCTGTGAAAAAAACCATTCTGATAAAACAGAAGGTACCTTATCAGTTGCATATATGATAAGAATAATCGATGTCATATATACGTAATGTATACAGAAGGGTCAAAACGAAGGACTTCTATTCTTGTTGCTTTTTATGATGGGGATATTAAATATTACGGTAATAAAAATAATTGCGTACGGTATTATAAATATATACAAAGTAAACATGAACATATTCGACAGGGACAGGATGGATAACGATGGAATCTTCAATAATGTACACTGTTTCGCTACCCACTATATGTCTAATTTGTCTTTTTACTCTCTTTTAATCTTGTCTCTGTTGAGAGAATCCTGTCTAGTGAAAGCGCCGTTAACCGCTTTTGCCATAAAATCCATGAACCGTTGACCATATCTTGCGGGATGTACTGACGAGATTGTGTTTTTATCCTGCGTCATACTCTTCCACAAGTGCTCCGCCTTCTTTACGAGGTTGTATGGAGTTAAGATATCAATCACACCGATATAATATAGTTTATTCAAGGGTATCTCTTCTTCATCAGTGGATCGAAAACCACCGTCGTCGGCATAAAATATGCACCATTTTCGTCTACGAAAAAATAAATGATTTCAGTCATTTGAAAGATCTGCTTGTTCCTATTAAGAGTACTTACTCCTCTGATGGACTCGCTGGCAGTTCTGAAGTATCAATATTGACTAAATTGGCATTTTTCAGTGCTTTACGCACAATTTCAGCTTTTTCAGTTCTGCTGGTTCGCTTCTTCAAAGGCGACTGAGGCATGTGATGTTGTTGATGATGATCCGTCGGTGAAGGTACAACCATTTGCAAATTTTGGTCACGGATGCCTTCCGTATTGCCTTTATTCAGATCATGTATACCCACTAATAAACTATAATCCATAATATTCAATGATTTCAAAATTGCTACATCTCGTTCTAATTGAGTCAGCAACAAGGCACGCTTATGAGGACCCAGTTGGATGCGACGGCGTTGATTTACCCAATTTTGATCTTTTTGAATAGCTTGTGGGTTCTTGCGTACTTCTTCATTAGAGGTGAGCCGACCATATAAAGACCCTTTCAAATCAAAAGTCTCGTGAATATCCTTATTGGAGGGCAAAACGTTGCCCATAATGATAAAGTGAATTTTTTTGCCGTGCGGCAACTTGATTCTATGCAAACCGTAAAAGCGACACAGTAGAGTGTTGGGGTTCTTAGATACATGCTAATTCCCCAAGATAACTGCATGAGTTACTGTATTTCCCTTTTTCATTTCATATTATTTGCCAGTATACCTCATAATATTCCTTTAGAATTGCTCTAAGAAATTTATGCTCTGTATGGTGAATAGTCTTGATGATGAATCGATAATCTCGGGAATAGTAAAAAAAACTGCCACTTTTGCCTGGTGAGCCAATTTCACTTAAAATATATTTGTTGGTCAAAGACATCATATAGTCAGCGGGATCCACGTGGAACTTCTCTCTTAGATAACGAAACACCCAAGGAGCATAGTCCTTAAATTTGAAGTCATATTTTACGCCTGGTGTGAGTTCATTACCAGTGCTATATGATAGTTGGTAGGGTACGTTAGCAAATTTAGAGCAGTACACTAAATATGTAAGAAAATGAGCCTACACATCAAATACAAGCTTATGCGCAGCTGTAAAATCTTCCGGTGAAAGAGGCCTGGCCATTTTTGCAGAAACTCTGCCTACAGCAATCCTAATACCTGTCAGCATATCATACATTAGCTGATAATTACGGTGGCCTTCTGTCACTCTAGTCCCTATATGAGGCAAGTGCCGATCATCTATATCATCATCATCATCGGCATAGGTACGATGAAATCTATTGTGTTGCCGTCTTGCTAATCTTCGAGCTTTGATATCTTCTTCTAAAGCTTGTTCATCATCCATATTCAAGTGACCTAAATCGACAAGCTGTTGTTGCACCTTTTTTTTTTCCAAGATCTGTGATACTTTCTGCTCTTGCTGTTGCAGTTGGTCATCTGCATGTGGGTATATGTGCCATTGTTGTGCTGATAATGAAGGTGAGTTGATAGAAGCTGGCGTCGAAGGGGCAGTAGTAGCAGTAGCAGTATCGGGAGATTCTGTTTCTTTCCGAGTAACACTTTCTGTTTCCACATCAAACTTCTGTGGCTGTTGAGAGATGGCCGTGGTTATACTTGTTGTCGTGGTTAGAATGGTTAAAGGAGGTGGTTTTTGAACAACTTTTCTTTTCGAACTGTTCATCTTTGGGCTATTGCTATTACTATTGTTGATTGTCTTTAGGAAATCATTATCTCGCACGACACCTTCGACTGTTCTGGGTTGTTCCTCTGCTTTTGCATTTTTTTCTAAGGAGGTTTTCTGCAATGATGTAATCACTGGTTGTTGTAAGTTTCGCAAATTTTGCTGTTGCTCTTTTGATCTGTCCAATTGAGAGTTATTTGATTCTCCCGTAGGTGAAAAAGGCAAATTGATGTTTAGCGGCATAAAGTCTGTTTGGCCTCACACAAAAAAATGCGAAAGGCATAAATATGAGTTCCCAATTTTTCTTGCCCTGAGGATATATATGGGGTTCCCAAAATCAAAATCGAAGAAACGGAAAAAGAGTAACTCTCAATAGGAAAAGTAGGATGCGGAGATTTATATTAACATCAGTATTCATATGAAGCAAAATGCAACTTGCCTCATGACGTAATTACATCGTTTGCAATTTCACAGCATGCAAATACCTAATTTTTTTCTCAGTGTAGCTCGTTTGTTCAAAGACGAGAGAAATGAAAGCAAAAACGGCATGCTTGTTCAGAATATTTCAAATTCCAAGGAAGGGACGAAAGGTAACTGAAACACAGACACGGCATAGCAGCTGGATTCGCAATATCCACAGCTTCGTTACACGTATTTTATCGGACCTCTTGAAGTCTATTTCCAAAGTTGCTATCACGTATTAAGCCGATTTGAATAATGAATAGCTTGTATATTTTAAGTAATCCTACTTCGACAAATTGCATGCAAAAGAAGACACGAAAAGCGATTTTCTTCGCCTAATGTGGCTGATTAGAACCTCGTTTTGCTTCTTTTTCTCAAGAAAACGCACCAGAAATTGTCCGAAATCCTTTCAACAATTGATGCCCCAAGTGTAAGATTGAGAAATGCGCTAGAGTACCAGCAAAAACGAATCTAAGCATTTTGACCAAACTGTATTTTCAGAGAACCCTCGGAAACTGCAAATCAGGTGGCCCATTTTTTGCCACGCTTTTTCAGTTTTCCGCTGTAGTCATTAAGCTGTCCTTTTGTTATAAGTCAATTCAACTTTATTAAATTGTTACTGACCAATAAATAGCCTACTGACACATTAGACTTCAGTGTATCTTCCGAAACTAGAACATACTCGTGATGAACCTCTTCCTTGACATTCAAAGCACTTCAAGCAAACTCATAAAAACTACTTCATCAATTCAAGTGATAGTGGATTTACATCGTTGCCAGATCTACACCTTTCAAGAGCAGTCAAAAGCTCAAAGAAACAATCATTGTGCTTTTTTGAGTATTTTTCAGTAATCCGAATTATTTTCCGAAAAGCATAAGAGTTGAGACCGCATTTGTATCCAGTCATTTCGTGGTTTATTCAACAAAAAAAAAAAAAAAAAGAAAAAAAAAAAATTGACTTCTTTCCTTTTGTTTTTCATATCGTTACAACTGAGTAAGTAATCTCATTATTTCCAAACGTACTCTCAGAATAACTACATCGAAATCAAGGCTTACTTTCTGTTCCTTCCTCTTTTTGTGTGAAGGCTTAGATGGGGCAGAAAAGAATATCAAAGAATAGCAATGGAGAATCTTCTAGTTCATCAGGGAGAAACAACAAAGCAGGAGCACAAGCAGGCAAAAGTATGTTTTTAATTGATGGCATTTCACCTATTCAACCTCTCCCAGCTCTTATTGCCGGCAAAACTCAACAGACGATGAGTCGTGGGGATAATGGGCGAGGTAGACAGCGATCGATGGACATTAAAGGATTAATTTTGGAACTCATTGAAGAGATTTACCCACCTCTTTATTGCCCTGAATGTTATGAGATCAGTTCATCGCGTTCAGAAGCAGACAATCATGTGAAAACTTATCATCAAGGATCGAAAATATTTGCATGCGTTTCACCTGCCTGTAAACAGTCATATTCTTCAAGAGCAGGATTGAGGTATCATTTGGAGCATGGCCACACAGTGACCGCCTTAAACGATAAAGGAATTTCGATCAATAAACGCACAAACCGTCTCTCTGCCTCAAATAATACAAAATCATCGACAATTACAGCTCCTACGCTGCAGCATGATGCCAACAATAATAAATACAATTTGACAACTGAACTTCAACAAAAATTAGATGCCCAGTATCCTTTACTGACTTGCCCAGCCTGTCAAGTGGACTTTGTGAAAAAAACCCACGTTATCAAACATCTAGTTGATGAACATAAAGGAGAAGAGCCTTATAAATGTATAGTAGATGATTGCAAACGCACAAAAGCATACGCTACAAGAGAAGGACTTCTTTACCATTTAGCTAATTATCATGAATAAGCAATTTACTATTTACTATTTTAATTTACCCTCTTTTATATATATCATGATGGAGCTCAAGCAATAAAACGATAAGGTTTGGACATCGAACTATAGTTTGCCACTGATAGTTCCTGGAATATTCGTGGCACTCGTTTCATTTTATAGCCACAAAAAGTGAAAAGCTTAATCCTTATGTAGAGTTAATTGTCGGATCTGAAGATTATCTTATCACATTGCACCATTCAACGTACAGTAATCTGAGTTTCCAATCATACTGATAATAGTACCTAATTTGGCACGTTTTCAAAAAGCTAAAAAACCATCCCAACAATAACGGTGATAAAATAAAATGCCGGTTAGGAAGCTTTGATCACCCGAAAAAGGATTACAAAAATTATGGTATGTGTTAATAAAGGCACGTACCTAAATCACACACACTTTGAGGTGCAGAACTTAATTCCGAACCTAGCATTAGCCTGCATTTTTTTTCATAGTCATGTGGCAAATACACTAGGTGATGTTTTTGCATCGCCTCCCGGTAACCAGAGAATGCGCCATTTATTTATTGATCAGTGCAGATTATGATTTTCTACCAATATACCGAGAAACAGAGTATACCCTCATGCCTACTGTCATCAGTCAAAAAAGCACTGATGACGCTGTTTTACTTTATCTACTGCTTTTGATAATTGCCCCAAAGACTCAGAAATTCCTCTTCTATCTTTTCGTCATTATTGCAGCTCAATTAGAAATGTTCCTTACGTGTATTAACGAAGAACGGCGATGAGTATTTTGCATGAATTTCAGATTTTGATTTCTCTCAAAATGAATGATCTGCCATAACTGCTCACTTACTCCATGCCTGCAGCTAATATTTATGATGTATTTTTAGAAAAAGGGATTCTGATCTTCATAAGCGTTAATGAAAGTCACCATAATGCATGATTTTGACAAATAGAAAATATTTATGAAATTACCTTTTCCTTTGTCGATCAAACAGCTTGCTATGAAAACAAGCTGTTGCTGTGAATTTAAAGTATAATAATAAGTGGTATGTAAAGAATATAGAGAACAACTCTTGATGTGTCGCGAACAATTGTATGGAACCTTTACAAAAGTAGTCGTTATTTCTTTCAGTATGGTAAAAGGAGCATCTGTTTGGAAGGTCGCTGTAATTCAGGTACTCTCCTGATTCAAGGTATGCAGAGTAGTTCCAATGCTCTAGTACATAATATGTATGAGTCGTCTCATACATAAAAGATGAGCAAAAGGCCCTTTTTAAGAAGGAGAAGAAAACATTAAAGGCTTCAGTATCACCTTTTTCTTTCTGGTACCTTGTTTTCTACTCTTTTCTTTTCTAATTTTTAAAAGGATGCAAACCTTTCAAAAGCTGCTCTGTAAGTTAGCTTTTCTACTACTACCAATTCTTAATGCATGGTATGTTTGCGCTTTGCAAGACTACGTGGTACCTACAGCCAACTTCAGAACGACAAAGAACATAGCTTTCGGGAGTTTGGGCTCGGGTAGTAGCCATTCTATTTGGGTGTTGGAAATCATGAAAGAAATGTACGAGAGAGGCCATAACGTTTTCTACTACGCAAGAGTAAAGTATAAGTATAGCTTTCATATTCTGTAACTCACCGCAAGCAAAATAGAGCTCATCATTTTTGACTTCCAACCTTAGGGTGACCAGCTGCGTTTTTCACAAAACTATCCAATGGTTCAATCTAGGCAATGGGGCGGTATGGATAATTTCATTAAATATCCTCCTATTGCTAAATTAATGTCGGCCCATCCAGATCAAAGCTTGATCTCATTTGCTGTGGTAGAAGGCCTTTTAATGACTTATTCTGAAGGTAAGTTCTTTCAAGCATACCCCGTTTAAAATGATCGCTCTGATATGTGTTCCATTAGACTTTCTTCAAATTCAGCAAATGTTCAAGGAGAACCAAATAGATCTTGCACTATGCGATTCCTTTGCCACAGCTTGTTTAGATGCTGCTATTGTATCCAATATTCCCGTTGTTCTAACGAGTACCTTAGGGTTAACATCAGGTAACAAAGTCTTGATGAGTGACCTTTTTCCGCAACTGCTTATAGATTTATTTCTGTTACTACACCGTAGACTTTGTTACACCCTACGTAAATAACAAATATTATAATACAGTGGAACTTACCAACGAACGTGAATCTGTATGGTTTCGTATCTACCGTGATTTCTTTAGAATTCCGTACGGTCTCTACAAAGTAGCCAAAAAAACACGTCATGCTTTACAGTTTCAGAAGCAAGTCCTGAATTTGCCGCCTGCCATTGATGCATCGCACAAACGTTACGAAAATACAACAAAACTAATCAATAATGTATTCGGCCTTGAGCTGGCTCGACCACACAGTCCTTTATTTCATATGGTAGGCCCTATCATTAGTCGACAATACCCTGCTCTCGATAATGTTACGGCCACTTTCCTTAACAGCCATTCTCGTGTTGCTTACGTTGCTTTCGGTCAGCATGCTGTTCCTTCCGATAACGATCTTGCACTCATTCTCTCTTCCTTGTTGAGACTCAAAGCCGAAGGCTATATCGATGGCATCCTATGGGCTCGTCTCGACCCATTACAAATTCCTACTGCCGTTCGACTGGCAGGCTCTTCATTGCCTTATAGCAACATAACGGTTGATCCTGATTTCTTGATAAGTGCATGGGCACCTCAATTCGCTATTCTGCAGCATTCTAGTACCTCCTTCTTTCTAACTCATGGTGGTATTGGTTCCATGCACGAAGGTCTTTATTCCGGCAAACGCCTTTTCGTATTTCCATTTTTCGGCGACCAGCCTATGAATGCACGCGCGGTGGAACGTACAAATCTCGGGCGCTTCATGGATATGTTTGACATTGTCTACGATAAGGCCACATACGAAGAATTTTACCGAAGAATCAAAGAGGTAGCTGCTGACCCCGAACATCGAATTCAAAAGACTGTGGATCAGTATAAGACCCATTTACAAATCAGAGCAAGTCATGCTGTGTTGCAAAGTGCAGACCTTCTAGAAGAATGCATTTTTGCAAGCGATGAGTATGGAAATTTACCTTACCGCCGTGATGCAGCCTATGATATGAGCTGGATCAAACGATACAATCTCGATGTGTACACTGTAGTACTTGTGTGTGCTGCTGTTTTTACTTGGTTAGCAGTAGTTACGGTGCTGCCAATGACTATCAGACTGTTGCTGCAGTTACATTCTATAGTAACTATGGAGAAACAAGAAGCAAATACTAAATTGAAGAGTTTATAGATTATATTCTCTTGCTATCTAAAATTGTAATGTCTTGCTGATAATCATTATGCGGTGATGCGACTATTTTTTTATGCTGTTCGAACAAGTGATATAGTTCTAACAAGTGATATAGTAGATCAAAATAAAACTTGATATGAAGGAGCGCAATTGTTTGTCGCGTCTGCACCATGTAGAAAGATTGCAGGATGCAAGAACAAACTTAACACATTTATTTACTGAGTCATTACTTAAGGTTTTACTGCATATGCAAAGGATTTGGAATGCTCGCTAACATACACTGCGTGTGCTTGATCATTGATGCAAACTCTATCCTGAATGTTATCATGCGACGAGTGAAAAAGAAAATTTTACTGCTACTTTCATTGAAACTTTTGACTGCAGAGAACGAAGAAGTATATGTTCTTACTTTGGTATAAATACTATTTGTTCGACGATTGTAATTAGAAGACGTATAAAACAACTCAAAGTAATAGTTAATATACAATTGATAAAGTACTAATTAGAAGAGGTATTCAACCGAGGTTTTTTCTTCGGTTTTTTCCAGTAATATGACAGGTGCCATTCAGTCATAATAAAGAGAAACGGCAACAGCATGGCTACCATAATAATGCTCCTGCAGTTGAGATAAAGATGCAAATATAGTATGATGCATTTTAATAGAATTTATGATCTGTGATGATTGGAAGCTTTGAAATTTTTATGAGCAGGATGGTATATAAAAAGACTGAAAGTTTATTGAGCTTTAATGGAATTTTCCAGGAACAACTGGAAGGCTTGCAGAAAGACCGCCATCCACAGCGATAGCTTGTCCATTCAAATAAGAAGCTTCATCAGAAGCTAGGAAAGCGACGACATGGGCAATCTAGCGAAATGAAACCCAATTATTAAGTTTATCCTTTTGGCACAGTTTCCTGCTCTTTGAATGATAACTTCTCCTACCTCGGATGCAATACCATATCGCTTTGTAGGGTTCAATTGGCCAATCTTATGAGATGTACCCCTTTCACGGGCGTAATCAAAGGTTGTTTTTGTCATACCCGTCTCAATTAAACCCTATACAACAAATCGATTTAGACCTCGGACAAACATTGCTATGAACATCGGGAGAAAGGGGAGGGGAGTACTTACAGGACACACTGCATTGACCCGAATGTTTGTTCCAGCAAATTGATAAGCACTTGTTTGACACAGATTAATGACACTAAGGGTCAATCAAGCAGAAGGAGTTGCGCTTAAGTTAATTTAGGAAGGCTCCCTTCTGCGATTTGTAAGAACATAGGTTTCAATTTGCACACCACACTTACGCTGCTTTCGAGGCGGAGTATTCAGGCGATCCTGCACCCGACCGCAAGCCTGCCACAGAAGCAGTACAAATAATCGATCCACCTGTCATTTCTTTATTTCCACTGCCTGTTTTCAACATGGCAGCGCCGGCATATTTGATCGCCAAGAAGCAGCTGAGGGTATTGACACGCATGACATTCATAAAGCTTTCCGCATCTTCATCTTGAAGTCGGCTCGCTGTAGCAATACCAGCATTAGCGAAAAAAACGTCTAAACGACCGTATGTAGACATGGCTTCGTCGATAATGCCGCGTACAGCATCCGTAGATGCAGCATCAACAGCGCGAGCAATGCAGTCGACACCAGGAAAGGTAGATTGAATCACTTTTACAAGGCCATCAAGGTTGTCTAGCGTTAGATCTGTGACATAAATGGCACGAGGGCCGCGTTTAGCAAGACTGATAGCAGCAGAACGGCTTCACATGTATAATGTAGAATTAGCATAAGAAGCTCATGGTCATCACAGCTGTAGTTAATTCGCTGTTACCCAATGCCATAAATCGAACCAGCTCCAGTGACAATACAAACTTTGTCCTTGAGTGAAGGAGTTATTTGAGCCAGATGACTGAAGATTTGAGTTGCACGTTCGTTTACTTTGCTTGCTGAAGAGGACATGGGTAGTTAGCAAATAATTTATGAAGCTACGATAGAATAAAAGAGTTCAAAAAAGAAAAGATAGATCATTGCAAAAAGCCGAAAATTTAAGCGTGGTATTTTGTTTAGTCATGCAATAAAACAGTCCACAAAATTTATGTTTTCTCAGTGTAACCAAAGAGCATTGGCTCCACTGCGAGTAAAGGAGAAAACATACTCAAAAAAAAAAAAAAAAATAAAAAATAAAAAACCATTTATTTATAATTGGCCATCTTCCTCTTCTTCAACTTCTTCGTCAGAATCTTTCTTCTTCTTTCTACCGCCTTGCTTAGTTGCAGCATTGGCGTTGCTATTGAACTTGGTTTTCACCAAACATTCTTCCGGTATGACACCTTCTGGATTAAGGTAGAGATAATCAGGTCCATAATGGGCATCCAAGGATGTCAAATAACCATCAAAAATGTGTCGCTCGTTTTCTGCGTCAAAGATCTTGTCATAAATCCATTCTCTTTTGAATTGCTCAATACGATCTTTGTATTTATCAAAATCGATTTCTTCTCTTTCCGCTTCTGATTTTGTACGCACTTTTGTATTATAAATATGGAAAATAGGGCGTTCTAGTAGCAGACCCAACGCAGGTGCTTTGGGAATATTGATGCGATTCTCTTCAAAAGTTTTAGGAATGAGATGAAGAGGTGTATTTGTACGGGTAACCAACATGCCCATTGCTATTTGTAACGAAAGATAAGAGCCACGAAAGCTGTTAGTATGCATATTTGAATAGCTAGAAAAAAAAAACAAAAAAAACTTGAGGGACTTTACATATCATTTTACGAATTTGATGCAACATGAATGATTGCCCATGCAAAGTGATTTTCACCCACTCCGAGCCATGAATATACATAGGTTCTGATACATCGATCGTCTTCATAAATCGCTTTGAACTTTGATCTTTGAACGATTTGCCATTTGTATAATTATGAAAGTTATGAGTTCCTTCAAACATCTTCATCGCTAGTTTGAATTTTAACAGTTGTTCTGGGGTGGCGCGATAATCATGTCGTTTTTTAATAACTTCTGGAGAGCTTCTTGGTGTATATTTGATCGTGGTGTGTTCCAAGTTCTTATTGGCAATAACAAGATCATCTTCAAACTGAGGGTGATCCGTCAGCTCTTGCTTAATAGGTTCCATAAAAGCGCAGGTAGGTAAGAGATATTCATATATACGTGAATCGCAGAGGTTTTTTGAATGAAAAGAGCGAATAGTTTGTACATAACCCCATACGCGAATTTGAGGTGGAAGGAATGAATTGATGTGTTCAACGAGGTCGGGGATGTGTGGAGGGATCTGCATTTTTAGCGAAAGGATATTGCCGGCGGCATGCACGCCTTTGTCAGTACGGGCAGCCCGCATCCAATTGGATTTGCGAGGATCATCTGCATTGTCTTTAGAGATGGCTTCTGCTTTACATAAAGCATCAAAAATGACACCTTCAATCGAGGCTGCATTAGGATTTCTACAAAATTTCGTATCATTGTCAGACTCATTAACTTTTCTTCTAATAAATCAGACAGCAATATCGACTTACAATTGCATGCCTTGATATCCTGTACCGTTGTACCCAACTAACAGAGCTGCTTTGATTTTAGGGATACGCGGTCCTTTCGATTCACCCACTGCAGCTTTGTCACTGTCGTGTTGTTCTCCCACATTTTTATCAGTGTCTTCTTCTTTCTCCTTCCTAGTGCCGTAAGATCTATTGTCAACCTGTCGTTTATCTTTTCGTCCTTTTTTACTGTATTTAGTATATTTCTTTTTCTTTTGTTTCAATGTTGGATCTGAAATGGTCTCATCAGTAGTCGACGTTGAGGCTGATGCTGGACGTTTTGCACCAATCCTGGGCGCATTTTTATCATCTTGTTGATCGTTTGTGCTGACATTATTATCGTTGCTAGTTTTCGACCAGATGTTTCCCATTGTGTCTAACTCTGAAGGATTATGGGACGATGCTTTCTTGTAAAAAATACGAAAGAGTAAAGAAATGGAAACTCTTTTTAGCAGAAAAAAATTTTCCAGCGCGCATTTGAGGGGGGGCAGAGCAAGATTTGATTAGCCAATCAGAAGCAAGTGTTGTAAAAGTGCGTTCTTTTATTTTCAAAAGAAAAAAGGGGTAAAAAAATCTGTTTTGACATTTCAGATGCATGTGCATCGGGAAACAGAGAATAAATAAGAGATAAATAAGAGGTGGAAAATAATTAGATCTAAGCTAATTGTGTGGTATCAATAAAATGCTGAACAGTAGCTATGCCGCCGTCCATTGTAAATCTCTTTTGTCTGCATACAATGCTTCCATGAGCATTGAATGCCTTGATATAAACATACACACGTTCCCAAGGTAATTTCTGTAGGTTGTGACAGATTCGTTGTGTTGGTTTCTCCAATGGTAATGCTCTGGAAACCTTTTCTAAAGCCGTGGAAGGCTGAACGTTGATATGATGTTGATATGCCTTCTTGACTAAGTAGTAATCATCCGCTTCTTCAGCTTCACTATCATATTCCACAAAGTCGTCGACTTGGGTATGCGGCTCTTCTGTAGGATCGACATTGTTGGCTAGGTTGACAGCATCCAAGGCACCGGTCAGTAAGTCGCCTTCTATCTTTCGACCAGCGGTTTCAATAGAGTTGTCTTTGCGAGAATCATTTTGCACTGTTTCCACCTTGTGCTCGATAGCGTCATTACGTATATTCAAATGAGAGGCGGCTGTTAACAATGACGGCTGTTGATGCTCTTTCAAGAGTTGGGCAGTACGATAGCGGCTGATAAGGCCTTGAACGGCAATAAAAGATAAGCCCCAGAGGTATAGAAAAGGCGCAAGCAAAGGCAATATACATAATAACACATATTTCTGAACAACAGGCTTGAGGCTTTTCTCTTTTCTTCTCTTCTTTTGATCATTGCTACTGATGTAATTTTCATGTGATTTTAAATCAAAGTCGGTGATAACTGACATATATTTTTCATCTAGAGTACTGAGCAGATGATGACCCCCATTAGTTGATGATCTTGTTACTGTTTGGTTTTATATTACTCACTTACATGTCAAGTTTGCCCTTCTTGTTGAAAAAGAAATCCTTTGATTCCATGGCTGCTGTCCAGTAAGGAACAGTGCGGTCGTTAGCAATATTGGCATAGCAACGTAAGACTTTGAATTGTGACAGGTATTTGTAATAGATGTCATCTGCACGAGAGATTGGCTGTCAGTAATCAATAAAAGTGAAAATAGGCTGTACATATCTAAACAAGCTTACTAGGATCAGAGAGAGTTTCTAACAATGTCCTTTGTTGGAACATGTCACCGTCTAGCAATTGCAATTGCTCGCCTGTTCTGGAAACAATTTTTCCACTTATCACATTGAATAAAGCCGAGAAAAGAGTTGATTTGGGCAATTTTACGCTCATATGAGGAGTTGCAAAGGATGTATAGTACTAAACATAAAAAGACATAAACTATAGGTAAATGACACTGATATAGGTGACATTTACATGATATACTTACATGAGGTTGGATCTTCTTGAATAATCCTCTACGACCCAAATATCCGATAGCGTATCGAGTGATTAATCCACCAAGCGAGTAACCAATGAAACTAATCCTCGTTATGGTCTTTCCATTCTTCTCGAGTTGTGAAATGGTAGATTGAACCTAGAGTGAAAAAAAAAAACCCATTGTGAATACAATTAAGACGCTATTCCAAGCATTATACATAAAGTTGTACAAAACCATGACAACTTTACGTCTTTGGCCAAACGAATACCACATATGTCAATTCCATCATAGGAATATTTGCCTTCATTGACACTAGAGTTCAGCTAAATGTAAGAAGACAGCCATTTAGATGATGTTCTTGCTTTCAATATACTTGTACAAAAGAGAGGCTATGGACTCACAATGTAAGCTTTATTTCCATATTTTTCTTTCAACTTCTTTTCAATAAAACTCATGTGGGATTTAACACCCCATAAACCATGAGATAGGACAATGAGTGAGATACAATCATTTTTGGTAGAGAATGTGCCGGTATGATCGCTATTGCTGCCAGTTGACATTCAGAGTAAATGGTTGAGTGAACAAAAAGAAAAAAGAAGATGTGCAATTCAAAAGTTTGGTCTATTGTCCCTTAAGTTTCATAAAGCCGAGTGCGGAGTAACGTTTCACCGCTTGTTCAACCGTTATAGATGGACAAATTTGGCAAGCATAACGTCATATCCCGTAGTAAAGTAGAAAACAGAAATGATGCAGCATTTTCTGAATTCGGAGTTTTGCAATTTTGATATCGGAATTCTAAAGAATAAAAATGCACGCTTTAAATTTGATTTGGACAGCTAACATGAATCATCCGAAGAGTATCTCGAGTTGCCCGGTTTCTTGACGTTACGGATATTAATGACATGGGAATTTCGAATGAAGCTAGAGACACCTTGCTTATGCTGCTGATTTGAAGATGGCTGATGCATTGTCGGTAGAATAGTTCAAGCAGGCTGACAATGGAAGTTTTCTCACGGACGATATCAAAGAGATTTGACGTTAAACGCAGGCAAACAGTATCAGTAACCATAATTCCAAAATAGTATATTTTCTTGAAATAAGACCAAGAAGTTTCTTCAATTTCGTCGAAAAGATGCATTAATAAGCGCTACTGCTACTCTTTGGGAATACCTCATAGCACAGCATATGAGCTGAGGGGCAGTCCAAGCTACATGATAGTACTCTTCTACCTCATACTGCGAAGAAATGGGAGGCAATATCATCTTAGGAGGCGGTTTCAAGAGCACACTCGTTGTCTGATTAAGCTTCTCGATAAATATCCATACACAGACCCGAAAATTGTGAAGCAAAGGCTTTTATCGAAATGAGCTGAAGGACGAGCCATTGGCTTACTCGAGCCTTTTATACGCATAAAAGAGAAGATGGTGCCTTTTCATTAAAAAAGCAACAAAGCAATCAAATGTAAGGAACGCCTCCAGAATACCTCAGCCCGCCTTCAAGTTCATTACTGAAAAAGAGGTGCTGGCGTCAATTTTCAAGAATAATGAGTGTCTTTAAAAGTGAGGCTAAGTTTGACACATCAATTAACTATGATAAGAGATCAACCTTTCCTTCGTACAGTTGGCCTTTTGTACTCTGTGTCATCGTGTACTTTCATTAAGCTAGACCGTATGACAGCATCCATCTCAAAAGGAAAAAGACATAAAACGATCAAGATAGGCAAAGATTCCTCAATTTGGTTCAACGGTTTCAACTGCTCTTGAGGTAGCTGCGAGCGGTCGTGCAATGACGAAAGAAGTATGAGTTACCTGGTTAGTACAACAATATAATGGATTCTCTTGGGTCGATAACTGTTTGGATGAACCTGACATTCACGTTACACCTACGATATCATTGTCAACACAGACCAGAGATTACAAAAAGTAGTTTCACCAATTTCAGTACGCAGAAAGAACAAACTCAGTTTTGGGTAAAGATAGGAGCAGAATCCTTCTGATTAGCGGTACAAGTGGCGTAGCTATTATCGTTGGCTTTAGTCTCGTGCACCATCTTAAACACGAGCGAAATTCTTTTCCCTGAACTTTCGGTTGACAAGGTACTCAGATTGATGAAAGATTTAAGCGTAAACTCTTTCCTTTCTTCGACGATGATAGAGCTTCATGCCCGTTTTCTGTGGCGACTTTATCGTGACCGTCGTGAATAGAAAAGCCATATCTTTTTTTTTTTTTCCAGGCCTTTGGTCTTTATTTTACGACCAATGGAGATACTGAATCCAAATGAACACAAAGTTACACACATTAAGGGGTAGAAGCTTAAATTTATTCATCTTACTGCTTTGTTGGATAACACAGGATGCTATATTTTCACCTCAGTTAGTGGTGTATGAGTATATTTGGTATTTAGTCTACTTTGACACTACCAAATATTTTTCTGAGAAACAATAAACATGTAAGATAGCCGACGGATCCTATAGTAGAGTAGAAGAACAAAAACATGATCAGTGATTCCATCTTTTTATGTCATTTACGAATAGAAAGGAGGAATTGCTTTCTATTTTTCTTTAATCACTTTTCGATAACAACAAGACGATCGATGCTTTTCTTTTTCTTTTTACCTGTCATGACAAAGATAACCAAACTAATCATAGATGAATATCCGAAATAGAGTATAGTGCTCGTAATAGTAGTGATATTGAGTTTGGTAAAGTAATACAAGAAGGAATAAGCATAGACATAAAAACCCGTTGCCCCTGCTGTAAGAAATGCTCGCCATGACCATCGATAATCCTCTTGGCAGATATGGAAGTAACACATCAGGGCGCTGATGTGTGCACAGGTCAAGATCAATAAAGCAAACACCAAGAAGAGAAAGCCAATGCCGTAATAAATGCGATGAAACCAGATGGAGTTCATGATAAAGTACAGCTCAATAAAGATAGCGCCGAACGGTAAGAGGCCTCCCATAAAAATACTGGGCCATTTTCTCAGAAACAGTGGTTGCTGTTCCTCAGGAATCTGACGAGGGATCTGGTTTGTACGGACAGGGTGTTCAATAGCGGGTAAGCGAACAAATCCGACGTAGGAGCCAAAGATAGAAAGCGGAAAGGAGATAAGTAGGTAAAGACATGCGACCGTGAGCATTGTCCCGAAAGGAATGGCGCCAGAGGCATTGGAATAAATCAATATGAAATTGAGTCCGACCAATCCACTTACCAAGACACTAAATACAATGATTGACTTTAAGTCCATCTTGTCTTGCTACTCTACTCTTCAAAAAAAAAAAACCAAAAAAAAAAAACAACCCAAAAACCTGCGTTCCTTCCTCCTCCTCCTCCGGGTTCCCAAAAGTGAACCACTACAAGTATATGACTTTGAATATCTTACCCGGGTAATAAGGTGGCTGTCATTATCATATTTGTTTTCCATGCTTCTCCTCCATTCATCTTGTAGATTCTTGCTGAAGTGAAGCCTGCCAAGCAGCTAAAAACCATAAAGAATAACAGCATCATGGTTGCCAACGAGCCGCGATTGGAAGGACTCAAAAAACCCAACACGGCAAAGACCAAGGTAACAGCGGTCATGACCATCAGCTGTACCCCATTTCCTACCAATACGGATAAAAGCATAGGGCGCTGTGAAGGACAGCGAAAGATATCTCCGTGGACTAATTTCCAGCCGTAATCTTCTTGCGCCATTTCCATCGTGTGTGCTTCGTCCGCCAAAAGGGATGTGTTATTGTTGTCGTCGTCTGAATGAAAATAAGAAGCTGCTCTATTGTACCGAGAAATATCCTTATGAAGCGCCCTTCGTAGAATGGCAGCCATCAAGCCGGTCAAAAAGAGCACCACCACTGTCGAGTTGATAAGTGAAAACCAATGAATGGAAGGATCCGAAACATGTAGACAACCATCCCAGCGTGTAGCCCACACTGTATCCGAAGGAACCCATTCCACTGTATAAGTATAACGGATCGTCGTTTCTCCATCTTCCCTCAAATAAAAGGGGGATTGTGGTTGCTGATAATGTTGTCGACAAGCATTTCCATTGATATCGTTATCAGCGATACTCGAAGGATTCACTACAAAACCTACTACCCTCGCTAAGCCTTTTTTCTGGGTCCTATGATAATAAATTTTGATGTGATAGTGATTGTTCAGAAAAGGCTTATCCTCTGTGATTGAGCCCAACGGAAAACCGATTTTGTAATAGGGTTCACCAGTTTGACTATCCATGGCTTCGTTCGCGGCTGGTAATCCATCCACCACCCAATTCAGGTGATACCCTTCTTTGATGCGTTCGTTGATAAAGATAGCATCCTCTTTTGGAATGACTGGGGTTGTACACAATACTTTACATTGTTCATCGATTTGCATTTTGAGTTCAAAAGGTGAGTTGAAGATGCGATCGCCTAGCAGGATAGAACCTAGGTTTTCTGGCTGTTGGGAAGGATGAGGGGGTTGGCAAAAGTGAAACTGCTCGTAATAGTAATCAAATGAAATAACAGATTCTATCTTTTGTTGTTGTTGTTGTTGCTGCTGCTGCTGCTGATGGTAAGAGGGTGTTAGTGTATTTACACTTAAAGGAACAAGCTCGGACTTTTCATAATCGTGAGGCGCCACTCCTGGTAAATAAAACGCTGCACAACCTGCAGTCAATAAGGCAAATATACATATTGAAAAGCTAGCAGAAGCATTTCTTTCCTTCATTCTTTCTACTGCTTGATGAAATAAACAGAGAGAAAAAGAAAATGAAGAGCCACAAAAATAAACTTTGCCACGGTGTCATCTCTATCATGCTCTCATGGATTTGAAAGAGGCTAACAGTTTTAAGGTACCACAACCCATTGTCGCATTTGAATAACCGCTTGTGTTTTTCCCAAAGATGCTATCATGGACAAATTACTCTACTCACATTTCCTTTTCTTCTTTTGGTTTATTCATCTTCCAGCGCGCCAACATGTTGTTCTTGCATGTTCTTTTTCTTTTTAAGCTTATTTACTAACCCTAACCGAAATTCTATCCGAGAAGCAGGGAAGGGGAAAGCACTTGATGGTTTATTATTGAGTAGCATGCTTGGACTGTTAGAACAGATCATTTGAAAGCATTTCATGATAGCAAAAGTAAAATCGTCAATAGTAAGTACTCTTATTCAACCTTCCCCCCCACACACACACACAAAAAAAAACAGGCTTGGATCGTCGACCATGACACGTCTAACATCAAGCTATAAACGACAATTGTCCTTTTGACAAACAAGCGTTAGACATTACAGACGCCAAAGTTGATGGAACTGGCAAGATAACGTACATATTCTTTTTGACAAAGGCAAAGATGAATCATGAATAGATGACCAAAATTGTTATTTGGGTAAACGGGCCAAGAGATTCTCTACTTGCAGATAAAGCAGAATAGTGTCATCTTGTGGATGAGAGCTAGTTCACGAGGGCCAAGCCATAGCAAAAAGTACCTCTTTCATCACCTCTCCACGAACCTCTGGGTGGCAAATCATTGTTTAGAGAGCATGGCAATGACAGACATGTCCTTTTTACTTTTTTTGACAGATGTGATACAAGCTCTTCTTTACTCAACATCTTCCCTTATTTAGTATTGATTGTTTTCATGGTGATTTCCTCTCTCTCTCTCTTGTTTTTACTTGCTTTGCCAATGTTTGTTTTGACAAATCGTTTCTTTACTTTTTCTTAATTTTGCAAACTCTGCTTATACCCTCTGGAACCAAAGAATAGAATTTCTTGTATTAAAAAAGCTATCATGCAAAAAGGATCATTGTTACTGATACGAACGGTGTTATTGTTGGTATGGCTATTCCATGATTCATTTGCAGCTCCAGCGGGCGTGGATTATCCGACATATGAACCGGGAGTTTTGTATTTACCTGACAAAGCCATTGCATTAGGTAAAGTAGGAAGTATGCATTTTTGCATCACAGGTCTATGTAAAACAGGCATGCTATTCATTGACACTGGCTGATATCCTATTTTTTTAATGACTTGAACTGACTCTACATTACATCTATGGATGCTCATGGGACCCTCTTTTTCTTTTTTCAATGCGAATATGAAGACGACGGTTATCGACTTAGTATTCAAGGAGTGCTAGCAGGGATTGTTTTTATTCTATGTGGATTTTTGCTGGCCATGCGATCCATGTGGGATCGAACGGCCGCTGGCACACGTACACAAGAGCTGGCAGGTTTTATCACGATGGGGTTTGTCAGCTGGGTGATGCTGGCTAATTTTGAACCTTCTCAAACGTATGGGCAGAACCGACTGACGATCTACTTTATTGTCCCGCTCATGGTTGGATTTGTAGTCATGTTTTGTATGAACTATACCATTCAACTGTATTTGATGTTACTGGGAGGACTCGGTGGGCTGGCGTTTGGACTCTGGATTTTGGGATGGAAATCTGACCTGGCTATTACATCCTCTTGGGGACGGGCAGTCTTTCTCACTGTGTGGGTGGTGGTGTGTATGATGCTCTCGTTGTATTCGTGCTTTTGGCATAAAATGGGCGCAGCGGTAGCAGGATCGTATTTGTTTTTTATGGGCCTTGATATTTTTTTCCATACAGGATTTTTGTATTGTATCACAACGACGTTGGATGCTAACCCAAATCATGGTAAAGAAAAAAAAAAAAAATAGCAGCATGCGGGAAAGGAGAGAGAGAGAGATACATATTCATCCTATCGTTACTATTTATCTTATAGCGCATCGATATGAAGTGTATCGAGGAGTCTACATTATGCAAGCTTGTTTAATCATTTCGTTCATGATCACCTATATATTCCAAAGCTTGGGTCATCGTCCTGAGGTAAATCTTGTAGAAAAATCATGGAGCGCCGACATGCTGGCTGAGCTAACCATTTGCTTGCTTTACAAAAAAAACCAAAAAAAAAACCACTATAGCATATTCGTCTTCAACATTCCGTAGTGATGGATACGATGAAGAATCCACTTTACAAATCACATCTGATACCGACGCAACGATTTATTCCAGCAGGTATGGTACGCACAGGCTGGCGATCCAACTGGCCTTTCTTTGGAAGAACGGTGGTACCTCCTCCTCCTCCACCACCAGCACCCGTGGCTGCTGTCGTCTAAAAGAAATCAAGCAAAGTGCAATTCATTTTTCACATCCGTTCACGGGCCATTGCAGCCGTACAATGACACCAATCTCTTTTTAAAAATTTCTATCTCAGCCCGCGCTGGTTTTTTTTTATGCAGATCCACCCTGTCTCCTCCGCTTTGCGAATCGCCGACCCCGTTCCAAGCTACAAGCTTTTTTCTTTTTTTTAACTTGTCAATAAAAAGTGTCTTTCTTCTTTTTTTTATGGATATCTATTTTATTTGACCATGTCCTTTCGTTTCTTACGCTCCACCCTTCATGCTTCAAAACCTCTTCTTGCTCGTTCCAACTTTTCGACGGCTCTAAGACCTGTGGTTCGACCTCTCGTCCTCTGTCCAACTCTACAAAGAAGCAGATATTTTGCTCGAACTTTTAGTATCAGTAGCGCTTGTTTGAACAACGGCGAAGGTAATCTCTATTTGCCATGCAAGAGGGAGAGGTCTTTGCTCTTGAAATGCACACGAGCTGATCATGTCTTTTTTCCCAACAGTGGATCCCGATCTTGCTCATTTATTACAGGAAGAGTTGAATTTTGCAAAAGCAGAGAAAGAAGAGACACCCGCATTTATACAAGAATTTTTAGACACGCATCTATTTCAGGTAGTCGCATAGAGTAAGCGATGGAGATCCTCCTACTGATGCGATTTTTACTTTTATTAGATTGAAGATACAGAAGGTGACGATAAAGTTACTTTACGACGTCAATTTGGAAATGAAAAGTAAATTACCAGAAAAAAAAAAAAAAACCAAAAACGAATGGAAAAAAGGTTAAAAGCCGTGTGATATTCAAACCATCCATCTATGTTATAGAATAAGCGTCCTATTTTCAATTTCTGATATCAATCATCCAGTGGAAGAGGAAGAAGAGGTTGAAGCAGACATGGATATACCAGTGACAACGACAAAGACAAGTGATAAGGTGAAGGAACCACGCTTGGATATGGAGGAGGCCACGACAGATCCCTTGAGCGGAAATGTAGCATCAAGAGCCGCTGGATTGACAGACAGTGAGGAGCATAGTCATCCTCCACGTTCTCAAGAGAATGCCTCCTTTCCTGTGCGAGCCACGGTGATGATCGAGAAGGAACATAAAGGCAGTCTCGTTTTGACGACAGTAGCGCAAGATGGATACATTGAGATAGACTCAGTACGTTACTTTAAGGAAGGTGATTTGAAGAAAGAGGATCTGATAAAGGCAGAGATGGATGCGCCCTGGAAACAGGATCGCTATGCAGGACCCGTGTTTGAAGAGCTGGAAGATGAACTTCAAGCTACGTTCAGCCGATATTTAGAAGAGCGTGGTATTGATACAGCGCTGGCGACGTTCTTGCCTGACTATATTGACTATAAAGAACAAAAAGAATATGTTTCTTGGTTAAATAACGTAAATGACTTTGTGTCTTCTTAGGCTTTTTTTTTTTTTCTTTCCCTTTACCCATAAAAAACTACTTTTGTAAGGATAAAAGATAGCTCTCGTCACCTAAATAGTCCGATTCATCTGAGAGGTCACTTAAGCGAATTGCTTCGTCGAATTCAGCACTATGATCTGATATATAATCCTCATGACTTTGGTCTGTTTCATAATCCTCTTGAGGTCCTGGCGGCATTGGCTCTTGCTCATTGTCTTCTTTTCCATGAATGACAGCAACATGTCTGTTGAGATCGTCGCCTAAATCCGGCAAGCTGAACTTGAGTTCCATCGTTCGACCTGTCTATCGTTTATGGGGGGTCAGTGGTTTTATTTTTCCGAGCTTTACAGTGATTTGGTTTTGTTTACCTTGATCCCATCTATAGAAAATACCAGTACATCACCGTCTTTCAATTGCATTTCTCGGTCTTTCGGCATAGCAGCCTTGTTTAAACGTACAACCTTTTTCGTCAACTGGTATATATCAGTAGACAATGGATAGAGAGGGTCAATAGGCTCCTTGTGTAGGCGGTAGGGAGAGAAGGGGAGAAAAAGTGTCTATACAGAGAGATAGATACCTACTTTTGTGGCATAGCATCGTCCTTCTTTTGTATAGAATAATTTGACTATAGATAGCGCGTTGGTATCAATAGAGACCATAACCAATCGAATAGGAACCTCTCTCAGTTTTTTTTACCTGCATGCGCACTGATATAGACAGATTCTAAACCAAACTTGTGTCGACCTATGATAAGTTCTTCATCGAGGGCTAATGGATGTGTGTCGTGGGTCGACAGATTGGTAAATGACATTTCTTCTTACTGATGACAAAAAGAAAGAGAAATGACCCATACCTTCACAAGTGAACTAATGCAGCAACCATGAGGTATTCTCCTATTGGTTGAAATCTGAAAAGTAGTTCAGGGCCTGATATTTTGATGATTCAGTGGAAGTATTTTTTTTTTTTTTTTTTTTTCCTTTTTTTCTTTCTGATACAAAACGGCTCCCTCCACTCACAAGCCGAAGGAATTCCCGCTCTCTCTCTCTCTCTCTCTATGCATATATAATTGTATCAAGAAATAGAAGTGCTTTTTTCTTTTTTTGTTTGTGTTTATTCATCGAATCATGGAGTGGCCTTTGATGACGTACATCCATGGAATACTTGTTGGTTGGTATTGCTTTATGTTTCTATTAAGTCTTTATGGGCAATACATTGGGTACGTACGATGGATATCATAAAAAAAAAAAGAAGCAGAGCTGTACCGTCGTGGCGGTGTCAAAGATTGAACAAGCAATCCTTTTTTCTGGTAAAGAATAGTCAAACAAGATATAACAGCAAACAGAGATCGAAACCAAAGTCTTCTCAGTTATCGGCCGTGGAAGCCGAGGGAGTCTCTATCCTTCGACCGCTCAAAGGCATCGATTTGGAATTGGAACATAATTTACGGTCTTCTTTTACGCAGAATTATCCATTATTTGAAATCATTTTTTCCGTAGCCTCTGCTGACGATCCAGTGATTCCCATTGTCAAACGATTGATGAAGGAATATGAAAAGACCGTAGATAGCCGCTTGATCATAGGTAAGATAAGCTCACCCATGTGGGGGGGGGAGGGTGGCTTTCAAAACCCTACTCTCCACGCACGCACGCACGCATACACGCATGCAGGCACCCACCCACCATGCTCTTTTCTTTTTCTTTTTTTTTTTTAGGAGAACGTCATGTTGGTATCAATCCCAAAATCAACAATATGATGACAGCTTATCAAACGGCCAAGTACGATATTGTGTGGATTCTCGACTCGAACGTGCATGTGGAGCGAGACACCTTGGGGAGATCCGTGGATCAGCTCCAGTTACCGGGCACCGGACTTGTGCATCACTTGCCTATTGCTACCAAGCCTGGCAATTATGCGGCCGAGATTGAGCATTTGTTTTTGGACACGAACCATGCCAAGATGTATTTAGCCATCAACGGTGTGGGCATCGCGTCGTGTGTGGTGGGGAAATCCAACCTGTACCGTCGATCGGATCTGGACCGGGCGACCCAGGGCGTGGGGTTGGAGGCGTTTGGAAAGTATATGGCGGAGGACAATCTCATTGGCGAAGCGCTGTGGCGGCTAGGGCTGAAACATCGCATGAGTGCCGATCGAGCGTGTCAAGTGCTGGGGCCTATTTCGTTGCAAGGCTATTGTGCTCGTCGCGCACGTTGGGTGCGACTACGAAAGTATATTGTGACCGCGGCGACCTTAGTGGAGCCGATGACCGAATCGATTGTGTGCGGGCTGATGGGCGCTGCTGGATGCAGGTATTTCTTCCACGTGTCGATGCCCTGGTTCTTTTTCTTCCATTGGAGTTGGTGGTTCACGAATGATTATGTATTGTACCATGCTTTGGTTCAGCCCCACAATGACAAAGAGGATGCGTTGCATCACCATCGTCGTCTGCCCTGGTTCAAGTTCTTGCGTGCCTGGGTGTCTCGAGAAGTGCTGGCCTTACCCTTGTATCTTTATGCGATAGCGGGTACAAAGATATCTTGGCGAGACCAAGACTATCGTTGTATCTCAGATGGCTCAGCTGTAGCTCTTTTTTCTCCCCCCAATAAATAAAAAAAAAAAAAAAGCCATTGCGCGTCCCCCCTCCCTCAGGCCTTGTTCTGAAATACAGTTTTTTTTAAATAAAAAAATGGTTTATTATTCGTTATGCGTAGTTTTTTTTTTTTTTTCAGGGAAAAAAGAATGATACAAAATGATATATATTCGAGGTAAATAGAATAGGCACACACACATGTTTGTGACGTGTGTGTGTGTTTTCATATATACATACTCACAAACAAAAGGCGAGAAACTTTTTGTTTTCTACATAGGAAACGGGGGAGGTTTATTTTTTACTCGGGACTGAATTGGACTTGGAAGTGAAGTTCACCGTGGCTGGTGAGACCCAACTTGGCAGGCAACTTGACCCATTCATCCATCACTTCACCTTCGAAAGCGGGCTTACAGTCAAGAGAACCTTCACCAATCTTATCATCGTCCGCGACGTCCTTATCGAGGACCTTGAACTTTAACTTGTGATCATGAGAGCCTTCCGCAATGTTAAAGACAAAGGTGTTGTTCCAAACAGGGTTTTCAGAGTTCTTGAAGACTTCAGACTTTTGCTTGTAATCATCGTTGAACCAGAGTTCGACGTAAGCGTCGTTGTGACCGAAAGAATCTTCCTTGTGGAGCTTTTGACCTTCAATGAGCTTGACAGTGAGAACGCCCTTGGGAGTAGAATAACCAAACATGTTGAATGAGGATGATAAAGAGAAAAAGTGGAAAAGAAAAGCAAAAAAAACAAAAAAATGGGCTCAACCAACGCGCGCTTTATATAGTGTATTTTCCCAAGTTGGTTGGTTTTTTTTTTTTTTTTTTTTTTTTTTTTTTTTTTTTTTTTTGCATCTCCTCTCATTTCAACACGTTTCTTTTTTTAAATTAGACTCGCCATGACGTTTCAAGCTTGTATTTTGTGTTCATCCAACTAAACCTCTTTTATGCAAAAAAGCTATGTCTCACTACATACGACACACTCGTTTCTTTTTCTCTACACGTCAATCACTACCTCGATCTGTTGTTCATAAAGATGTTTTAGCATAGCTATGGTAAGTGAAATGAAAGTGGCAACGGAAAGGACAATGACATCATGCATGGAGAGCAAAGGGGGGAAAAGGCAAGTTTCCGTGTGTTGCTAATTCCTGCGTTTTTTTGTTGTTGTGTGGCGCACAGAATAGATAGAACCTAAATTTGGAAAGTGCTTCCCCTCCGCTCCCCCGCCTCCCCAACACAAACAAGCGGGTTTTTATGAAAAAAAGGAAAAAAAAAATAAAAAATAGACAGAACTCGATGTCTATATGAAATTGTCAGGATACAGCTTTGTACTATTTTTAAAGTAATTGAAAAAACTCAGTGACGTATCATTGTCCATAACAACAACACACATTGAGCAACGTAGGTTGTTCCTGTTGTTGTCGTTGTTTTGGTGGTGGTGGTGGTGGTGCCCTGTTTTCATTTTGTATACCCCCTTTGCTTTATTCCAGTGCCTTTTTTTACTTTATACGTCCAATGGGCTTGATGCTAGCTCCATGGGATAACCATGATTCTCTATGCCCTTTTCCCTCAGTGCTTTGTCGCTCAATCATTGAGCAAATCCGGTCTCTTGAAACAGTTCATATATGAAAGTGGGCGCGAGACTGCATGAATTTTGGCGCATTTCCACCTAAAGCAGTAGAGTTGCACAATGGCTGCTTTCATTAAAAAGGCAAAAAGGATAGTCACATAGTCTTTGGGATGTTATGCTGAGCAAAGCAACAACACACCTTATTGTATCCCAACAGTTTTTTTTCTTCAATCGCTTGAGAGATGTCTTTTTTTTTCCTCTGCTTTGGGACTTTTTTTCAAAAAAAGGAAAAAACCAGAAAAAAAAAAAAGAAAAAGCTGTTTAAAAACACACTTGTCTTTTTTCTGTTCGCTAGAATTTTCTAAATGAGTTTCACATTGCAATAGTGTATCGACAAGAGTGTTTGGACAGCATGAATGAATCGAATCAATGGTTTCAAAAATACGGTAGTGTCAGTCACTACAGGCAAGGGACCCCATTGGACTGTTTAAAAGCAGAAAAAGGGGAGTTGCTGTATAAAGATAGGATGGACATAATGATACGAAAGCGAATAGATGGATCTCGTGCGCAAAGCAGAAAGCAAGTTTTTTTTTTTTTTACAAAAGGAGTAGAACGCTTACAAAAAGGAGAGACATATTTCAAACTCCTTTAATGAGGGCATACACATCATGAGCATTTGGATAGAAAGAACAGCATTTTTGCATGAACGCTCTACTTGGGAGCACGCGAATTTCTGTTACTTTTTTTATTCGCTGTTTATCGTCATTTCCTTGCCCTGCCATCAATAGAGAGAACGTCATTCCAGCCTTTTCATACGTAATCAGTCCTATTTCCTATTGTAACAAACCAAAAATTCTCGAACGTTGTTTTGACGCCATAGAACTTGCGGCTAAACCTTTTTTTTTTTTTTTTTTTTTTTTTTTTTTTTGCGTCTCAATTTTATAAATATATGACCCATGTTAGAGCTTTTTGTTGTTGTTGAGGAAGGTGCATCTAGAGCGGTTTTTCATTTTTTTTTTTAGTTTATATTATTGCTACAATAGAGGGGGAGGGAGTTGTGCTACGCCCAATGAGATTGTTCCCAAAGACAAGGCCAGCTCAAAAATGACGTTTTTGAGAGCCAATTTTATCCAATCATCGTCAAGTGCTTTTGCTCATTTCATCAACACGTATCGCGCTGTAAGGCACAATTTTGCCTGGTGCTCAGCATAAAGCAGCAATAGAAAGTGGGGTTCGATGATCTACAGAAGAAAAAAAAAATATATATATATATAAGAAACGGTAATTGTCTTTCATTTCTCTTTTTTTCTTTTTTTTTTCCTTTCCTACCTTTTCCCTGAATAGTCAATGCTTTCACCATCCCACCTATAACCATTTCTTACATAACCCAAGTCTATGCATAGTCAACCAACGACGATTCAACATGATGTGTGATACAAACTGGTGTACTTACTGCGATAATGCTATCCATCCTTATTCCAATTCATTGTACTGCTCCGAGTACTGTCTGCGTCAAGATGCCCTCACACGCCATCCCATGTTAGGCTACGATTACGCCGACTTGGAAGGATTTCCTCACCAACAGCAACAGAAGCAACAACAACAACAACAACAACAACATTACCATAGAGAGACAACCATGCCTTATGTACAAAGAAAATCATCTCTTCCGACGCTTCTCCACACCCATGCCATCTCCACGGCAACCACCTCTTCGACGCCCATCACCACCTATGCTCTACCTTCTTTATCCTCTTCTGTTTCATCCACAGGCTCCATGGAACATACAAACGATACCCGTCGACAACCCACCCGTCATGTCGTCGCCCCACCTTCTGTACCTCTCCAAACTTCCTTTTCTTTACAACCATTATTCTTAACCGATCACACTCCATTGGGTCTATAAATGAAGTTTAATACGCAGCAACAACAATTACATTTACATTTTATTTGTACATAGTATCTCTTCGTATGCAGTTCCCTTTTTTGAAGGATTCTCATCATAATAAACTGTATTATTCCCCCCTCCCCCCACCGCCCTCTCTCTGTACCCAACATGAACCCTTTAGAGATAAATATATAAAAACTCGAGTTTTGTTTTTAGGCCCTTGTCCATAGGAAACAGCTCATTTGTCTGAGCACATGCAAGAAAAGACAAAAAAAAAAAAACGGGAGAAATTATACACACAAGAAACCTATATCATCATCAACGCATCATTCAAAGCGTATCCATAAACTGAGTTCAATAACACTTATGGAATTTCAATCGGTACCTTTTTTTTTTTTTTTTTTTTTTGAAACTTATGGCCCTTGACGTCATTTTGGCCGTACTCTCATTTCTTTGACAAAAAGTTTGAATAATGGCTTCCATACCTCAGATAACGATTGAAATGCTTGTCTTATGGATGCCTATCGACCGATGGACAATGTATTCAAAGTGCCTTTTAGATCGGGCTACGTCCCGCCTCCATGTGTTCAAACGTGCTTTCATTTGAACAGGAACAGAATGAAAAACTGTGCTTAATAAGGATGAAGTCTCTTTGCGGATCGCGCCTAGAAAGTGGAAGGCGACCGTTAAAAAAACAAACGAGATAATTATTTGCTTCTCTTGGTTCCCGATCTCAAAATGATAATGATTGTTTCAGTTGACATAGACACCTGCTTAAAACACGGTCTAGAAAGTGTCATTGAGCAGCCTCGTTTTGAACGACGAAATGGATCACATTATTTGTTGCAGATGAATCTGTTCATTCGACGGCTTGGCACAAAACGGATGACTGTCTTGTTTTAGCGGATGTAAAACTCATATTGTATCCTCGTTCTCATGACATGTAAGCAATCATAAAGCAAACCAAAAGTAACGCTTTCTGCTACTATATTTAAGCTTTTGGGGTTGCTCACAATCTATTAAAAAAACAATTCATTCCCCGCCTAGCAGCCAAATTTGTTGAGTTACCGTGCTAAAAACAAAATAAAGTGCGACGACAAGAATAAAACCTGCTGCCAATACAGAAGGCGCCCAACTGCTCAGTTGCCTTTTATGGACAATTTAGCATCGCTGCTTTGTGTGTGTGTGTGTGTATGTGTGTCTCTATGCGTGTGCGTCTGTGTGTGTGTATGTGTGTGTGTCTGCGTCTGTGTTTGTTCAATGTGCGTGTATTCAAAAAAATAAGAAAAAAAAAAAAAATCAAATAAAACGAGATATCAACCTATTCATAGAGAAACACACTGTTCTTCTTCTTACATTTGCTCCTTTTTCATTTTTTTTTTGTTTTAGTTCTCTTTTTCCTTTTTTATTTCACTCACTCTATTCACTAACAACAACAAAAAAAAGGCATGGTTTCCATCAAGACTGTTCTCTTTTCTTCAGCCGCTCTTTTGGCTGCTTACATGAACGTGGAAGCTGCTGTTGCACCCACATATCCTTCTCCTGGTGCTGTTGAAAAAGCCGGTCAACCTATGGAAATCACCTGGAGTAAGTGAGGGAGGGGGGGGGACGGATCAAGACATCTATGTGTTTAGAAGCGAATTATGTTTCGCTATGGATAATTGAATGCATGGACTCACTTGCGCATCATTTTTTTTTACTTGAAACATCTAGCTTTTGATGGAAAGGATCCTGATGCAACTTACAAGATTGGTAATGAATAGATTAAACATCAACAGACAAACGACAGAGCCTGCCTCTAACCACAAATACCCATTGCGCTTGTTGTTCCTATAGATTTCATGACTGGTTCTAATACCCAACAAAAGAAATTAGCCACTGTTGCCACTGTAAGCATTTCTATAAAAGATCAATAGGAGAGAATAGCTTTGGGATTCGCATTCAACACGTCAAAAAGAGAGAGAGAGAGAATGAGAAAGGAGATACGCACTCAAAGGAGAACCCTCCCAAAAAAAAAGACTAAACTAATGACTCTTCGTGATAATCGTAGGCCGTGAAAGCGAACGCTTTAAAATATTCTTGGACTGCTCCTGAGGTCAATCCTAACGCTGCTATTTATTTCTTTATGTTTACAGGTTAGAAACGCAATCACATGAAATCATGGAGCACAAACTAAACATCCCATCCATTCCACGATAGGTTCCAATGGTGATACTCAATGGACGACACGTTTTGGTATCTCTGATGCTGATGGTAAATTAACCGCTGAACCTGAAACAAAACAACCTGATGGTGAAGCCATTCCATGGGGTAATGGTGCTCTTGCCTCTGGTGCTGCTGCTGGTTCCAGCAGCGTCAGTGCTTCTAATGTCCCTGCCACTACTCCCATCCCTGATGCTACTCATGCTGCTACTCATGCTGGTGCTGCTGCTGCTGCTGCTGCTACTACTACTACTACTACTACTGTTCCTGTCACTACTCCCTCTCCCGTGGCTTCTGAAGTATCTTCTTCTCCCGTTGTCAAGACAGCTTATGTCACGACCACCGTGACAAAACATGTTGCTCCTACTCCTCTAGAAGCTGCAGCAACTGCTGCTCAAGTCGCTCCTGCTACCAATGCTGCTTCTTCTTCCATGAAGCCTTCTGCTATCTTTTCTACATTGGCCATGGTTGCCGTGGCTGCTTACTTTGCCTAATTATCTAATGACTCTCTTCCTATCATCTGTACACCATAATTCATCCTTTTTTTTTTTTATTTCCCCAACTTATATAATTCGTTTACTTTTTTTTTTTTTTTCTTAATTTGTATCTTTTGATCCTATTTTCCTCCTATTTCTTTTTAGACTCTATTTTTTTTTTTTTCCCTTTTGTAAAATTGAAAGATTCATACTATCCTCCAGTTCAGACTGGCTTTCTCCCCCAAAAAATACCATTTCTTTCTTGTTTTACAATGTATTTTTATGCAAAATTGTTTGATGTGTGTAAAACCAGTGTCCAACATTTTCCAACATTTTCTATTCCTAAATATGGGGTATTTATCGTGAATTTAATATTTCACAAATTATTGTACATGAGCCCTATTTGAAATTCAGCAACCAATAGAACCCATGGAATGGATGGGGTGAACCTACTCCCATGGTTCATGGAGTACCGTCGTGTTGCCTCGAATTTCTATTTCTTGATTGCAATAAACGAAGTCTTTCCAAGGCACTTAATCGTTGTTTTTTAGCAGAGGGTGGGGTATGAGACACGATGGATTCTTCATCGTGCTGTTGTTGTTGTTGTTGTTGTTGTTGTTGTCGTGGCGGCGAGTGGGGACAAGAGGAAGTGGCAGCAGGCGATACAGTAGGCTGCTGCCCTTTTCCCTCCTTTTCACTGAACGTCCGTTTCGCGCTCGTCGTCGTGCTGGTGCTTCGAGGGACAGGATCGAATAAAGGCGGCTCCTCCTCTTCTGAAGCTTTATTTTGTTCCGTTCTTGTCGTTTCCTTTCTCTGATCTCGTACGGATGACGCATTCGATGTTGATAACGAGGAGGTAGACGACGAGGAAGAGGAACTCATGTGTTCCTCTGAAGGAGCATGCTGCTGCTGAGGGTCCTCATGGTGATAAATGACAGTATCTGCGCTGCTACTGACAAACCCATGCTTATCCTGACCGATGGAACAAGTAGACTCGTCTACCGTGATGGTGGAAAGTTGCTCTGCTGTCGTCGTCGATGCCTGCTCCTGCTGTCCTTGTGACGCTCTTGAACGAGCAAGCCTGTGTCTCTGAGCAGCAGCCGCCCTTGAAGACGACGACGCGTGATGGGTTGCACTCGCCGCTGTATCTATATCGGATATAAAACTAGCATCTTCTGTGTCGCGTTCAGGATGCCGTGTCGATTTTGTTTGTAATGCGATAAATGAACGAACAGCCCCTTCTACCGTATATTTACATAAAAGAGGGCTTTTAGGTTGGTTAGAAAAAGATGATCCCTACCGAAACAAAAGGCAAAAAGGCCAAAAAAAAACCAAAAAAAAACTGAACTTACTGTCCAGGACCTTGAAATTCCAAATAGAGCTGAGAATTTAAGCTTTCCATATACTCAATCATTGTTTTGAATTCACGGAGGCTGACAATAAGATAATCAGGCTGTTCTGGGTATCGAGTAAAGTCCGCAGCAGGCAAAGAAAAAGTAGACTTGACACGATCCTTTTTATCGCTGCTGCTACTATTATTACTACTACTACTGCTGTTGTTGATCATCGTCATCCTACCTATAGCGTCATTATTGTCAATATCCACTCAGAGACGGTGTGTTTCTTTTTTTCTCACTCTGATGTACCTTCTTGAAACTCATCTCTCCATACTGAGTCTCTTTCATACGATGATTGTAAAATAAACTTGCTTTGCGTGATAATCAGTGCAATTTCTATTGTTTTAGGATCGAATTTTGTCATGAACGGTTTTAACAAACATGGATGACATTCCAGCTGCTTTGGATAGGACGGTCGAAAGTACCTATCAATCGGACTTCCCTCATGATAATGGAGTGTGTTCTTTTTTGTGACGCCATTCTTCAGCACGAGCTTCATGTAGATGCGTGCTTCTTTATGAACATGTTGTTGTTGTTCTTCTTCTTCGTCTTCATTTTCTTGGATGGCTGGCTGCACAATACGAATTTGGCATTCCTGTACCAAGTTCATAGAAGCATACGACATATTATTTCTAAATATACTATTCAAGTTCTTGTCATTTTATAAAGTGAGAGGTGTGAATCCATCACTATCTTGAACGAGTTCTTTTTTTTCTTTTTTGTTTCTTTACTTTGTTTGCAACAGTACAACGTAAGGTGATGGCTGAGGATGACCTGTCCGTGATGAGTTTGTAATCCTTGAATGTATCTCTTGATATCTGTGAAAACCCTTGTGCATTCCTTTGAGCATCCACTGTACTCATCACCAACTGTGTATAAAAGAACAGCCGAGTCAGACAAAGTAACGGTAAAGCTTTTTTTTTTGGGGGGGGAGGGCGGGACGTACCTGACCATTTTGCGCTTCAAGACAGACAATTTCACTTAGATGAGAAAACGCTTCCAGTGTGGCAGCATAGACTTTATGAATGACATGAAAAAACCAACAAAAAAAGAACCACATGAGCAAGTTGTCGTCCATGCCCACAGGAACAACTTTGTCACTAAGTTACATTTGAAATACTTTGCGTCAATCGTCGCTATCAATTCCATTTCGCGTTATGGACGGCAGTCGAATAGCGTTTTTTGCTTTTTCTTAATCACAAAACAGATCGAGGAACAAGATCAAAATGGAATCAACATGAGGGAAACCTTTTTATGCATCCTCTCTCTCTCTTTATTTTTAAAAGTCAGCTGCGAAAACACGGATCCCCTTCCTCACGTGTTCTCAAAAAAAAAAAAAAAAACCGGTCCAAGCCTACCTCCTATTGAAAATGTAGTGTGCTTAAAGAAGGTGGTACGTTATAATCAACTTGGTAAATAAAAGCAAAATAAACCGAGAATATACAGCCTAATAAGCGATCGAACGACATAGGCTCCCTATCTTTAGCAACAGCATCCGTGTTGCCCTTTTTTTTCCACTTGACATGTGTATAATATCTCATAAACAACGATTAGTTCATTATGATAATGAAGCCTTAAAAAGCAAAATTTTGATTTATTATAAAGTAAATAGTAAATAATAGTAAAGATGAATGAAGAAGAGGTATCCCCACTGAATAAATAGTATAAAAAGTAAAGGGCGCTTTTATAGTACGTGAAAAGGCGAAGGAGGCGGATGGGGTATCATATCATATCTTGCGGCCCTTTTTCCTAGCGTGAAAAAGGATGATTACGCGCCCGTATTGGTACAATCATAACCATGATTCAGAGAAAATCTACCGCCCATGGGATCATTATAAAAACCAACGACATCAGGATGATTACCACAACGTGTAGGGTCGCGCATATAACCAGGAGGGGGAGCCATGATGTTTGTAAGAGAACTATTGTTCGATCCAGAGTAGATAGAGTTGGTGGGTGAACGTGTCTGTGGGCTGGAGGATGAAGAGGAGGAGGAGGACGAAGGTGTACCAGCTGCTGCTACTGATACTGAACTCGAATTCGGGCTACTTGTTATCGTTGTAGTAGTAGTAGTAGTAGTAGTGTTTGAAGACGTTTCGGATTTCTTGTGCGAGAGAAGCTTTTTTAACGAAGAGAGACCCATTGTTTGAGTATGGTGTATATGTTGAATTAAAGAAGAAATGTAAAGAGAAGTGAAGGTAGCTGAGACTAGAGTACAGTGATGAGAGAAGATTGAAAATTTTTTCTAGTTCACTCTCTATCCAACGCTTTATATATTGTTCATCTGTATAAACGGTTATCCGTGGATTCCGTACAATTCCTTACAATTATCGTCCATTGGACAAAAGTGCTCCAATGTATTGTCTATATATGGTCATCCGCGGAGCGAGTGTATATGAAAATCTTTCAATTTTTTGCCATTTTTTGGATCCTTTCGAATCCAATTCCTTTATTTCTGACACCCAACCCACTCTGCTTCCGATTCTCTTTAGTTTTATTCCTTCACTGATTGGATCAAACTTTATTATTCCTCAACGTATCCACTCAATACACACTCATTTTGCTTTGTAATCCATTTTCTTTCCAAAGATCATCTCACTATGCTGTAGTTATGATGGGATGTAGGATGCTGAACCATGCTTATTCAAAAGAAGCGCGTGACAGTTTCGGATCGTTTGCTCTTTGTTCAATTTAATATCCTGACAAGCCCAATTTATCGGTAGCAAACATATACCAACGATAGGGTAGACGAGGGAAAACAACATATTACACATCAATAATGATGACTTTTTGCATACAAAGAAACACGTTTGGTCAAGCCATGATGGTTGGGAGGTTTTGTAATTTTTTTTTTTCTTTTTGGTTGGGTATATATGGAATGAAATGCAAAAACTACGATCCTCACAAAGTGTTCTCATTAAGAAAAACTAGCCATCGTTGTACTATGACTAGCTGAAGTGGATCGTCTTTTCAAATCAGGATGGATGCCTTGCGGAGAGCAGAGAGGCCCTTGGGCTGTCGTTGCCCTAGCTGCTGCTGTTGCTGCTGCTGATACTGATGCTGTATGGGTTAACTGACCTATAGGCCTTTTTTTATGACTCATCATTGTCGGCGTCATGAACGACCCTGTTGTTGTTGTTGTAAGGTTCAATAACAAATTTGGGATGGGTAACAAAGCAGAAGCTCTTTTTAGAGTCCAAAAGACGATATGGATGGGCAAAAACATCAATGTGGCCACAATAGATCGACGTTGTTCTTGCTCCACGCTATAACAAATAAATTGGTCGACGTCCTGGAACTTTTTGTTTACTTCAGTGAACCTGTCTTCTGACCATGTTTTCAGTTGACTTTCTTTCTTTTCAAAGTTTTTGAATGCTTTTGATAGTTGCTGTATGCTCGGTGTAATATTTTGAGTAACCTAACCAGCAATCATCCATAATGAAGGGGTGAATCATCATTATTCCGGTGCACACAAAAAATACCCCATCCTTACTTGTCCTAGATCTTTCTTTGTGGCCATTGCTTTCTTGAGCACATCCAACTCATCCTTTAATAACTCCATCTTTTTTTGTAGCAGTTCCAGGTCGGTTTCATCCACTTGCATTTCACTTTGCAAGAACAAGGTTCTTTCTCGTAAAAGGGCCATCACATGAATCAGAGGCTTAATGCTCGCGCCAATGACGAATACCTTGATATTGAAGCTACTCATGTATTTCTCATGATTCGTTAGAACATACCGGCTATACTGCAAGGTGTAAGCTGCGATCGCTGGTGACACGATCACCCAGAGCAATCCCAGCAATTCATGTCGCCGTAGTTCTTCTTGAACCATCCGCTTCCGTTGTGAAAGTCTGGCTGCTCTCACATTTTCATCGTCGTATGCATCGTCTATTTCGTGTCCGCGATGCTGGTAATGAGAAATGCGTCGGGATCGTGCTCCTTCATAATAGGACCAAGGCACTAAATAGTTCAAATCCCCCCCAGGCACGGTTGAGAAGAGAAAAACCGAAGGAATTTTAGTGTACTTGATTTTTTTTTTTAAGATTCATGTCTCTTCTACCTGTGATCCACATATAAACATAGTATAGCACTAATAATACCATGATAAGATCACTCCAAACATCCGCATTTCCAACGATGAATGCCCCTAACGTGGGAACAATGGCTAACAATATGGGCCATGAGACGGCAGCTGAGAACTCCTCCGTTTTTTCATGTTGCTGTTGCGCTAATGTGGGTCTTCTCGTATGCGTATTTCTTAATTTATCATTTGTACGTTGTTGGTACTCATGGTGATAGGGCTGTTGCTGTTGCTGTGGTTGTGGCTGCTGCTGTGGCCGTAAAGGATATTGATACGAGTTTTTTAGCGAGGAAGGCGTTGGAGTAATGGGTGAAATATTGCTGCTACTGCTACTACTACTAGTACTACTACTACTACTTTTTGAAAAGGGTCTTTTTTCTCCGAATTTGGTTCTTGTACCTGAATATTCCATGTAAAATAAGTTGTAGTGTCGTATGTGTATCTATCAAAAATCCCAAAAAAAGAAACAGAGAGTCAAAGTGGTTACTCTCCAGGTTATAGCCACTTCCCAGTAGAAAGACGCTGAAAAGAAGAAAAGAACAACAAAAATAAATAAAAAAAGTGAATGAAACGAAAAAAACAAATCATTATCAAACGCTGTAACTTTAACAATGCACAATAAGAAAAAGGAACGACGACGCGGGGAATCAGCAGTTCTTTGGACCTCTTCAACTTTTTTCTTTTTTTTTTTTACACAAACACACACACACACATATACATATACAAAGAAGTGTTACAAGATGAATATTGCTTTTTATAGAAAAAAAAATGTGTAACAAATTTCAATTTTGCTAAAAACATAAACTAACTTTTTGACTAACGAAAGTCTATGTAAAAGACGGTCTACTTTGAATTGTTGTACCAGAGTCGGAGCATCATTGCGCTTAGACCTTTGCCCATACCATTGCTGTTTGGATTGAAAGTCTTTGAGCAAAACCATCCTTATGGACTCAATACGAGTCGTTTGGTATCATGACATTGTTTTTGCCCACTCTTGTGTATGTTAGTTTCATTCACCTTCAACAATAATCCCTGAAAAACAATTAATTTTGATTTTTTTGAACAATGCGAGACTCCTAATGCTACCTATCCAATTCTCTTTGTTTATATAAATGGAAGGCTTGCTATTAAATGAGTTGACTTTCAGACTGAATCTTTAACATATTTCAAATCACACAGTCATTCTTCATCATAACAGTAACACGGAATTACTTTGCGGTTGGCATTCTACTAAACAGAATAGGGTTCATCGTCATCCATCTTTCTTTTTGGTAGAACAGCAGTTGTTGTTGTTGCTCTATTGGATCGGCATGATCCCGGGTTCATCTCCGAAGACCTGTTCATACCTGCTCATCGTAAAAAGCCTTCCACGTTCGACAACAACCGAATAGGCTTCATCCTTCCCTTCCGTTTACCACCCTCGTAATAATGCCTTCAACCATATCAGCCATTAAAATAAAGAAGCATAATAGAGTCGATGGTTAAGGATTACTGTTTACGGATTACTGTTTACGGTCGATATGAATGTATTATTACATGGCGCAGGTAATTAACCTTTCCCTTAATACTGTGCAATACATACCGTATTTCTTTGAGTCTTATTATGCATGCCTCACTTATACAGATGCTATCAAATGCCAGGTCTGAATTTTTTAAGCATTTTGTGCGAAAGTCAAGCGGAAAAAACAGTACAATAGCTCACAGATGGACTTATGGGAACTATCGTGCGTCTTTCAAATCATCACAGATCCGAAGTATGATAAGCCAAAGATGATTAAAAAAGAGCCACAGTTCTTGAGCTCAAGTTTCTTCTATTCAGTAATATAAATGATGAAGAAAGTAATACCACTTTTTTTTTTTTCTCTTTAAAAAAAATTGAAAAGCATTGAAAACACAAAATACGCGAGAGCCTTACTTATTTATTAGCACCGCTAAATATGGCAGAATTACATACACCTCACAAGATCACGTACCTGGATCCATTTTTTACATGAAATGATACTCCAATCTTGTTCCGGGAATAAAGCAAGTAAAATATTGCTCAATTAGAGGAAAAACAAAATAAAATCTCAAAGGGATGATCCCTCATACGAAAGACTTCATCTCTTGGCTCGCTAAACCGACTTTTCTTTACCCGAACGTTTCACATTGTCATTGGGCCATCATTTAGACTACCAACCGCGTCGTCTGTCCTTGGTTTTTTTTTTTGGCACAGAGCTTAAGCGCATTTCTGAGTATAGGCGATTCTAACTTGATGCTTTTGCAAATATTGGGAAAAAATTCATATATTGATTATAAGCAAATAATATATTACATTTTGTTATTAGTGGGATAATAGTAAAAACAGTAAACGATGTCTATAAGGCTTAACCAAATCTAAGATTATTTTTCTTTTCTTCAGTGTGGAATATATGTACAATAAAAATACAGAAAGTTGAGCTGTTAAATGATAACAGATTGGATTTCTTTGACGCTGGTTTGCTGTGGTTTTGGTGATTGTTGGAGAGGATGATGTCCATTATTGGTCGGTGTCGTTAAAGAGAATGGTTCAGGGATAGAGGGCCCTGCTATGGATGATGTCTGTAGCGTATCACTGCTGCTACGGGTAGGATGGTATGGATTGTTCGAATGAGAAGAAGCAGTATGGCTGGCAATTTCAGGAATTGTACTCATCATGGAAGTGTCGTCTGATGCAGTCGTATTTTCAGAAAATAATGTCTCCATTGGTATATGTTCGATTGAGGGATCTGAATCACAGTTGGATCGTCTACTATTCCTCCTCCTGTAGTTCGGCCTATCCAAACTCGAAGGATTGTCAGTGTTCGAAGCCGTTGTAAGCTCATCCTTAATTTGTACTGGAAAAGTGCCAGATGGAAGTCGTCGATTTGGCACTGGCTCTATCGTGTCTTTTTCTTCGTTCGCCATCTTTTTCTTCTTGCTTGGATCCATGCTCTCAGTGCGATTTGTAAGCTCGTTTGCCGTTGTTTTAGCCTGATGAAAAACTTGATTTAAAGCTCTCGATACATTGACCGGCTCAGATACTGCCATATCAGAGGGCCAGCTTTTTTGCCTTGCAGCGGATGAGGTTAATTCATCTGTCTCTGAAGGTGCAGAATTGATTGCAGCCAAAGAATTTGCTCTATCTAAAAGCTGATGTCGTTTATCTCTATGTTGAATTTGTTCTAGATGCAACAAAGCTTCTGCTGCTGTCGTAGGATGATGGGCATCAGGTCGTTGATCAATAAGAGCACCGCTGAAAATCAATTGGATTTCTTCCAAGGAACGTCCCTGATCATTATAAAGAAAGAAAAATAAGCAACCCTCTCCAATGTGCTTGAAAACAAAATGGTTGACTGCTTTACCCTGGTCTCTGGATACAATTTATGTACAATGACCGCCATAATGAGAGATATTAAACCAAAAAATAAATAGGTCCCCCACGTGATATTCCGAAACATGACGGGTGAAGCGAGCGATACAAACAAATTGAATAAATAGCTGAAAAAGGTAGTAACACCCATGGCCTGAGCACGGATCATTTGCGGATAGATTTCAGCAGGATAGATCCATCCGACCGGACCCCAGCTAAGCGCAAAGATAGCGATGAATACACATAATAGAATAAGCAAGACATAGCTTGCCGCTGTGTTGGACATCACGCTTATTACATTCATGCCGTCGCTATCATCGTCGAGCCTTGAAACAAGCTGCTGATTGTAAATGGCGGAAACTATCGTAATTACTATCATACACAAGCCCATCAAGACTGCTCCCCAGACTAAAATAAACCGACGATTCCATCTATCAATCTACCAAATAAACACAATGTAAGATGCCAGTGATGAAACCCTATACTGTACAAAAAAAAACCTACATAAAGTAAAACAAATAATGTAGCCACGAAATTGACAGCACCACCAACGCCATTTCCCAACAGGACCGAGTAAATTTCTTTGATGCCTGCTGATTCAAGGATGTAAGGAAGATAGAATCTACACGATAAAATAGTAAATATATACACCCCTTCTCTCTCACCCTTACTCGAACAAGGGACACACAAAAGAAATAATTGTAACTTACAGAATCGCATTGATGCCAGATAACTGTGTAAAGATATGTATGCCTATACCGAGCAGTGTTCGTTTACGATTGTTATCTGTTCCTTTCTTCAATAAACTGAGGAAGGGTCGTGTGTAGGCCATTTTATCAAATGTGACATCCTGTACAATACCGGTGAATTCCATCTGTACCTCAATATCATCGTCATAGTTGTGAGACCGTAGTCGAACGAGAATCTTGTTGGCTTCATCATTACGTCCCTTATAAATGAGCCAACGTGGTGACTCGGGTATAAACCACAGACCTATCAACAATAATAAGCCTGCTCCTAATTGAAGGCCAATGGGAAGCAACCAAGCGCCATCGGAATCGAGACGGAACGATGCATAGCCAATCCAAAACGCCAGAAAGAAACCAAAGGTGATAAGAATTTGATAAAAAGTCATAAGACGTCCACGATTTTCAGGTTGAGCTATTTCACTTTGATCTAATGAAGCGGAAAAAATGACAGCTGAGTTTTTTTTTTTTTTCCCTTTTTTTCTCTTTTGTTTACCAACGTGCACTGCTCGGTTTTATGAACTTACATAGTGGTACAAGCATACTAAATATACTGGTGGTAGCAATGGGAAAGAACGATAAAATGAATGAGATATAACTTTGGAAGAAACTACGATGTCCTTAAATAAATCCTACCCAACGCCTATGCCTGTGATCATTCTACCAACAATTATTGTTGCATGATTTTGTCCAGCAAGCTCAACAATGCAACCTATCTCATGAATAATCGAAGCGAGAATGAAGAATTTTTTCCGACCCATTGAATCAGCAAAGTAACCGGATAACAAGGCTGCTACCGAAGAAGCTGCTAATGATACAGGAACAATAGCATATCCAACGCCTTCCTGAGGATCCAGTTGATACTTCTCACGAAACGGCGGCATAGCTAAAACAGTCGTGGTAACTCCACTATCATATCTATTGATTTGTTGAGCAAAATGAGTAGGATGAGCGTTCAACGAAATAGGCTGGTCCAATTATTTCATATCAACACTAAGAACAAAGAATATTTACCCGTACTAAGTTGAGAATTTGCAGAAACGAAAAGGTACACAAAGTTGGATTTAGTCATCGTAGTTTTAGTCTGACATTTGAATTTCAAAGCGATTGCTTCTATTTATTGCGCAAAATCAAGTGGGATAATATGATACTTACCATAAATCCGCCTAAAGATACAAAACTGTGATGGACGATATATTGAATGTTAATATTCAAAAACTCGTTTGGAAGGGAAAAAAAAAAAAATGAGAAAGGCCAATGCATACGCATAAAACATTTACCAGCATAATATGTAGATTCTTAGTTGTCCATCAAATGTGAACCCCATCCATTTCCTCTGCTTTGTTTCTTGCTGTTCATGTCTTTTTCTTGTGGATCGTTTTCGATAGTAGCGGCCTCTATACCCATAATAATTTGAATCGCTTTGCCTTCTTGTTACTGCCGAGGTGATGGCTGTATCATTCGTTATGATGGATGAAGACTGGTTTGGGGCTAAAGTTCCTGCTGATAATAGTTTGTGTTTGGACGATGAAGGATATCGCAGATGACTACTACCACCACTGGTACTGCTGCTTGCGTTATCTACTAGATGATGGTTTGGAAGCGTAGGAACAGCAGCAGCAGCATCAGCAGAGGTAGTAGTATGATTGTTTCTGTCTGCAGCTGTTGAAATTGTCAGGTTTGATTTTTGTGAATGTTTGAAAAATGCTGAAATCTGGTACAAAAGAGACAAAATGGGGTTCAAAAAAGGAAGAAGAGGATGTGCCAAATGTCGGTCTCTACTTTTTTTCTTTTTTCTATCGGGCCTTTTCTACTCTACCAATGCAACCTTTTCACTACTTTGATTTCCAGCTGTAACATTCAAACAAAAACTCGATGATAACGTTGCTCTTCTCAGTCAATCAGTACAACTATATGAATACTTAAACTGAATAACGTTAAAAGTAAATGCGGAGGAGGAAAAAAAAATAAATAACAAAGGCAAAAGAAGAACAAAAAGTCGGGATAAAAAGGTAGAGATTATCAACTTAGGGTAATCGACAATAGGGAAAAAAAAAAAACCAAAAAAAAGAGCCTGTCAAAACCGAGCTGATGAGTTTCTACTTTAATGCCGACAATAGAAAGTTTACATATCATTGATTGGCTCGGGATTTTCATCGGTTTAGAAAAGTACCCCATTAATGCTCAAATGATATTCCTCAGCGGAATGACTTTAAAACACACATAAAATACACAAAGGAAGAATCCACGGGGGCATAGTAATTCTTATTACATCACGATAATGACAAAAACTTTTATTGAAACCAATGCCAGCCTTTCTTGTACAAATTATTCATCAACTATCCATTAAAAAAAGCCCAAAGGTCCCCCCAAAAAGTTTTAGTGTCAATTGTACTCGATTCCTATCATGGATACTACTCACAATACCATACCTTCAAGCGTAGAACAGTATCTGGTTCAACCTTGTATCGATTGGGTATAAGCCAGTCAGGTGGACTATGATAGACGTCATGATTGATCTCTGTTGTTTCTTGCTGTTGCTGTTGTTGTTGTTGTTGCTGTTGCTGCCTTAACCGCAGCTCTTGCTCTGGCGATGGGTCTGTTGTGATGTAGGTTTCCATGGTTTCTAAATAATGGCGCAATTGCTCTCCTGCTTGGTGAACCATCATGCACATGCCATCGACATCTACAGGCTTATCTGCTGCTACACACAGTATCAGCAAATCTTCTACGTTGCCAGTCACTAACGCTTCTCTGGCACATTCTTCAAAAGTACCATCCAGATTGGATTCCAAATAAAGACTTGTGACATCAAACAAACTACCAAAGAATGAAGCGAATCGTGCATGTATTTTTCGTTGCTGTTGCATTGGATGTACGTCAGCAGCCTTTGTATCGTTATAACGTGCACAATGCTCTCGCCAAATACTGGTATAATCTCTTGGTAGAAAGGGTGCTAATGGATGTTTCGTGCTTCGTCGTCTATATTTCTGTCATTGGAACAAGGGATGGATTAAAAAAAAAGACAATTCTCGCCCCCCTCGCCCTCGTGGAAGCATCATTAAGCGAGCATCGTATCATGAAAATTGACTTACAGGATCATGAAGCACTCGGATGGAAGGTGTATGTAAATAAATAGTTCGTATCTCAAGACATAGATTTGCATAATCATATTCTAAGCCTGCCTTTAAATGGGTATCTAATATTCTCTGAATCACTAACTGTTGAACAATATCTAACAATTTTGTAAACTCATTACGGTGTTCAAATTTGGGTAACTTTTCTACTAGCTGGCAAATGGTTTGCAGAACTCGATTAGCCAAAGATTGCTTTGTTTCCTCCGATTGACGCTCACTAGGAGTGAGAATGGCTTCAAAGAGGTGTAAGATGGTAGATATACGATAGTGAAAGCTGTAATTTTGTTGAATATATACAGAAATAGCAGATGCTAACGGAGGGCAAACGTCATGACCCACACTGGTTTGCAAACAAACAATGTCTTTGTAATCGAGATGGTCCAAGACCATAAAAAGTAACTCATTGGGTAAAGAAGAAATCATTGCGTCGTAGCATTCTACTGTTTTAATAACTAAAAAGAAAAAAAAATTGTTTCAAAGTTTAAGAAAAAGAAAAAGAAAGAATCCCTGATCCCGTTTCAAGTGTGTTTAGCGTAAGCATAATGATTTACCAAAAAGCTTTTTCCCTTTTTATCGGCCGAGTTCTATTTTCTTTGTTCATGCGCCACCAACATGATCTTTGCCCTTTTTGGGTTTACAAAGAAAAAAAAAAAAAAAAAAGCAAAGGCTGGAACAGAAATTGGGCTGTAAACAAAAAACAGTTCCGCAGATATATGAAATCTCACATGATCATGGTTAAGTTCCTTTTCTTATGCTTTGCCAAATGGGCCAAAAATAGATGTAGAAGTTATCCAATCTTTTTGCTGCAGTACTTGTCAAATAAATCACTGACACTCACACACCGCATATATATATATATCTATGGCAGCTGAGTATTTTCGAAAGGCCGTTCAATAAGACATGGCATCAGTGGGCAAATTCAGGTATCTGCAAAAAACGGACAATAGGATTAGCCTCCTTTTGATAAGGAGTGTTAGTGAAAGAGTCATTCGAAAGGTAAACTCATACTGGAGTCACGTCTAGCAAACAGTTGGATATAAAACCTATTTCAGCACCCTTTCATCCTTTTTACGGGCTATCCTATGATGAAGTCATCATTGAAACAAAATAGTATAGTTTTGATAACGGCAGTTTTCAAAAACTAATAATAAAACTGTCTACAGTGGTGCCTCACTTCTTCTTGGCTTGAGCGGCTGAAAATCCTGGGTTATGTTTGTTAGTATTCAACCTATTTCCTGCGTTATCGTCAGCTGCAGGTCTCCAACCCCCCCCCCCCCAAAGCATCTCAGTGCGTCCAGCGGACAATGTATACACTGTTTCAATACTGCAATGGTTGCATTTGTTAATTTCGTAACGGTTCATTCCCTTTGTATGATAAAAAACAGCTCGTTCATAACGGTATCATGGGATATAGTTATCACAATTCTATAGCCAACGATGACCAAGCATGACATCTAACAAGAGGGTGTTTTTTGGTGCTTCACAGGGAGACACCAATTTTAGAAAAAGCTATACAGGTCTTTTATTATAACATTCACAATAACGAGCGGCATGGGGGATAAGGAAAGGAAGGATAAAATATGGATGAATGAATGGTAGTGAGGTAGCGGACAGAGAATCAACTCTAGAACCTGGTTCGGATAGAGAGGATATACAAGGGGGGTATTTTATATGGCAGAACAATAAGAGATCATAAGGGCCTTTTGCCAAAAAGGTAAAAAAAATACAGAGAACGCTACAGACCGGCTGGTATGCATTAAGCATAAAAACTGATTTAGATAACCTTCCAGTGAATCTTTCCAACACCCTTGTCAAGATTACCAACGACGCGTTTGAAAAGGCTAGGAGTAAGATCAACTAGCATAAAAAAAAAAAAAAAAGAAGCCATCAGGGTGAGTTACGTGTTTTTGTCCTTTTCCATGTAGAGATGAAATACATACGATCTCCCCATCCACAGCCAGGGCAAGCATCCAACACCTTGGCAGTAGCAGTACCATGAGGACCTGAGATTTGAACCTTGGTGCCACACCAGTCAGAGTTTTTATTCATGCTACCATATTGATTGGCATTGAGAGCGACAATAGCAGAATCGTCGTCGATCCATTCACCCCAACAAGCACCGTAGTTACCACCGTTGTTTTCAGGAGAGAACCAAGTGGCAGTACCAGAGTATGTTTCTCTCTTGGAGAGTCTTCTGAAGGCGGCAGAGGTTGTCTTTTTGGCAACACGTTCTTCAGCGGGGACGGCAGAGACGAAAGCAACGATAAGGGCAATGGTGGCAAAGATAGCGAGGAGGAAGTGGTTGAATTGCATAGTCAATCGAAAGTGATGTTACAAAGTAAATAAATGGAAATGAAAACAAGACGGCCTGCGACTTTCAAAAAAAGGTGAGATACTAAGGAAATGGTAAAGATAAATAGCTGGAAGTAGTTAAAAAGGTCTCTCTTATATATATATTTAAGCAGATCTATTGTCGTTGGGTATATACTGTACCATGTTTGCCTCAGATTAAAAATGAAATAAACTTATCACTATGATACACAACTCTATCGAAAAATAAAAATAGAAATAGGTACATTGGAAGGCATTTCCGACTAAAAGCTCTATTGTTTGTATACAAACGCAGTAGGTGCAGAAATCAAGACCGCCACCTTTTTTAAGCTAGCCAATAATGAGCGATCGCAGAACAACAAGTGAGTGGGGGGGGGACGGGGTGGTAAATAAGCAATGATCTAAATATATGAAAGATAAATTTAGAACTTCTTTTAGTCATTGCATTTTCGTAAGCTGCAATTACTGAACTCTATAGAATAGTTTCCAGGTGCATACGATTTACAGTTTTACGTTTTGACACAGTGAAATAGGAGTAGGAGGAAAGACAAAGTAGGGTCCTGACAGCCCAAATGAAAGTCATATTTAGACGACGCAAAGTGCGAAGGATGGAATAAGCATGATGGTCCTGTTGTGCTAATGAAAAGCAGTAACGCATGGCTCACTCTTTCCAATGGATACAAACATGATTTATTTATACAGCTCATGTTTAAGCCGTTTTAAACTGACTTTGACAGCTGAGGCTTTCGCTTTATTGGTAAAAGCGGCTTGCAAAAATCACTGAAGCCCTTATTCGTGATGTAGACTAGTTTGCTTGAAATGAATAGAGTCTTCTGATGAAGGCTACTCTCGCAATAAATGAAAGCTTAATCCATACATTCTACTTTCAGAATCTGCCAAAGTCTGTATAAAGTTAAACTAATACTTTTAAGTTTACGTTTCTCCCAAAAAAAAAAAAAATCAAAAAAAAACTGAGCAATTACCATGTTTGAGACAGTTGCTCTGGCTTTCAAAAGCATTACAAAAATAAATCGACAGACCATCCACTCAAAGGCTATAGATGCTGCCTACTGATGCTTCCTCAAAGCCTTCTTTAAGTCTAGCAGAATAAAAATTCAAGATTTTTAAGCGGAAAGTTATGGTCCCATGGCTACCATTTTCTCTGCTTATCAAAAAAAAGAGAGACTTGTTTATTTAAAGAAAAAATGATGCATCATGGAAATTGAATGTTTTATGATGGCAGTTGTAGAAAGATTATAAAGATTATAAACAATGAAAGTAGTTTTATTTGCGTGTCAAATTTGCCACAATCTTGACTAAAACAGTAAAGGAAAGTGTCAGGTTCTGTATCCATTCATTCCGGCATGTCGGTGAGTCTTTTAGCGCACCCATGATATAAGTAAGGTGGGAGTGGGAGGGGGGGGATTGTAGATGTGCTGTTACGGTCGTAGCACTTGCACACACAAGCACACACATACAAACTGGCATAGACTGATCAGTGTTCGTTCCTTGCCTTTACATAGTGCTCACCGTTTCTTTATTAAGAAGGAAGGTCATTTATTATGTAGGGAATCCTTTGTCATTCAGCATGCTGTCTTGAGTCAATCACTAGTAGGAAAATGCTGATGTACTGGCTCTTTACTATTTGAAAAGTATCGCTCTAGTGATGCATAAAAGAGGATGGAAGCTTCAAGGAACGATAAGAGCGAGATCTTTTGCATTTCCGTCAGAGTAAATGATGTTAAAACTAAGAAACGTTTCGTTGCGATTTTACACTTAGGGCAGCAACACTCATGTCCACAGTTCTTTAAAGCGAACTTTACTACAGGCGCTTCTCCTTTTCTGCACCGAACCCATCCTTCACAGCGTATTTTATTCAACATTCTAACCGGTTGTGTCGAAGAAGTCGAGGGGAGTAGAGCGTGGCCCAGAAAAGATAATATGCCGAGTAATAATACAGGCACAAAATAAAACAAGATGAATTGTATACCCATTGTTGGGCTATGCAAAAGAGTGTGTTCTATGTCAGGGAGAGCACGTGAAAGGGAATCTGATCGTCGCGTTCATAGTAAGCACCTCCACTCTCTGTGACAAAAAAGTTCATTTATTGGCCGGCTCAACAAGTTTCTGATACTGCATATCATCTTGATCAAGCCAATGTTCCATACAGAGAGTAAAAAGAAGGCTCTCCTTTCATGCTGGCGAGTAACGCCAATCCATTCGTCGGGAAGGAGCGAGGACGGCGGAAGGAATGCTACACGCGTGTCCTTTTTCCATTGGTTTCTATGTGATTTCAACCGTTGCATTGATGACGAAACCATCCTCGTCTGCATGAAAAAAGTAGCAAGTTCCATGTCCTCACACACTTCATTTTGTGATGGAAGAAAAGAGTGATGCATACGCCCGAACGTGGACATAAAATACGGTACATCATTGGGACACCGACTTTGGGTTGGTGTTTTTTTTCATACTCAGAGTGGCTGAAAAGAGAGAGTTGAGAAAAAAGCAAGGCACACACATTGTAGACATGCTCATTGGTGAAAATGAGTAAATGCAGGGACAATCCAATCATTTATGCACAAAACAAGCACGCGGGTTAGGGATAAGCAATTATGTCTTCTTTTTGCCATTTTCTTTTTTTCCTTTCCACACTATTTACTAGTAACTCAAGCCATATTTTTCCACCAACAAATTGAATGCAAAGGAATGATACCACAGTAGTTCTATCCTCTTCTTTCTTTCCTTTCCTTCTTTTCTTGCCATTATCTCTCTCCTTTCTTCTTTTTCTCCTTTACACAGAATATCATTTTGACTGTCTACCCCCCTCTTTTACTTTTTTTTTTCCAATAGGAAATCAGCCTTGGTTATCCATCCATAGAACCCTTGATAACATAGACGTACACCCACCCACATACATATATATACATATATCCATACATCGATAGCCTATAAATCATCTTGGAAAGACTTGAATAGAGACAACATGCCAATGGACATTGTAGGTTTTTCTACAAAAAGCTTGATACAGATCATTGCTAATATACTGGAATCCATGCTCCAGGCCAACAACAAAATGATACCCAACAGTCAAATCACCCATTTTGATTCTCGTACAATACCCACTATATCTCTTGTCGCTTATCTGGAACGACTACAAAAGTTTGCCCATTTTACCAATGAGGCGCTATTGTCCATGCTCATTTATTTCGACCGCATCTCAACGAGTGCGAGCAGCGATCCCCAGGAGGGGTTCATTATCCATGCTTATAATGTACACCGTCTCCTCATTGCTAGCCTTGTGGTCGCTTCGAAATTCACCTCGGATGTTTATTACACCAACAGCCGCTATGCAAAAGTCGGTGGCCTATCTGTTGCTGAACTGAATCAACTAGAATTGGAATTCTTATTCTTGATCAAATTTCGATTACATATCAGGCTGAAAAAGTTACAGTCTTTTGCAGATCAGTTATTGACGCATTCAGAACTTCAGCAACAGCAGCAACAGCAGCAACAGCAGCAACAGCAGCAACAGCAGCAGCAGCAGAAAAAGAAAACATACCAACCGCAGAATACGACGACCTATCTGTCACCTTATCTTGATACCACACCTACTATTACTTCATCATCATCATCATCAACATCCTCATCCGTGAAGCCATTTTCTCCATCACGTACCATACCCTCATCTAGTACAACAACGCAAACTGTATTTTCGAAAAATATCGAATTGCCCTTAACACCTCCTCCCTGTGACAATACGCATGAGAAAGAGAGCCACCCTTCATTCTCTTCACAGCCATCATCGAGTCTCACTTTTGGCTCTGTGAAGCGAAAGCGTAGCCCCAGCCATGAAGATCATTTGAGTAGTAGTAGCAGTTGTCGAAAAAAGCAAATACCAGATACGACGACACATGAAACAGGCAGGGACAATGAGCCTCCACCCTCTCCCCAACGACAACTACATCAGCCCTATTTGAAAAATCAGACATTACCATTCCTCTTGGGAGTCATTTTCCCTTAAGACCCTTTGGTCCCAAGTTCTATATCATTTTAGCAAAAGCAAAATGTCATGATCATGATGTATTAAAAAAGTGCCTTCCAACAATAAACCCTGCTTTACCCTCCTCCTCCTCCCATGTCTCGCATGTTTCTTTCCGCAACCACTTGATAGTCTAAATTCTCCCTTCATTTTAAAATAGGCTCATTACAATTTCTATGGACTGTAGGTTTGGAAAGGGAAAAAGCTCATCGTGTGAGGTGAAGCAGACGAGATAAACCCAAATAAAAAAAATAAAAAAAGGGGGGGGGAGTGGAAATAAGTAGGGTTTAACGTGATACGTTACGTTGAATGCTTATCCCGACACGCCCCCCCCAAAACAGTGGGTTTGTATAGTAAAACCGGGACAGTCAAAGGAGGGTCGATAAAGAGAACAAAGTGTGTTTGTTCTCTCATGAATGTATCTATGTAAATGGTCACCATCCCAGTGATCGTGTAGATAGAGATTGCTTTTACACATCCATGAGAACCCATTCATTGATGTTGCAATATTACGTACTACTTTATGTCATCTGACCTATAAAAAACTGCTTTTTTTATACCATAAACATCGATTCAAGATAAGATAGCCAAGCATGACTGGTGCGTTTCCTTTCTATGTGCCTATTACGTTGTTCATTCTCTCACCTCACCTCTTTGAAACAGTATCATGGCTTTTTACAAGAACGTTTGACTATCGACGCTCTTTTGAACACATGCATCACTTGTCGCTCTCTCTCTGTCACTCCAAAAAATATAAAAAAAAAGCTCGAATAAACGAGTAACACATAGATAAGAGTTGTAAAGGGTACTATAAATGGTTTTACCGGCTTTTACGTGGCAATGGGGGGGGGTGGGCGGAGAGGGGGTTGGGGGGTCAATTAGAATAATTTCTTTATATGTGAATCAGGTAAAAAAAAGACATTTATTTTTTTATTTTTTTTTCTCTCTTTCTCTTTCTTCCCATCTTGGCCATTTGAATTATAGGATGAAACGTCAACAAGCATCGTTTACAAAATATTTACCGTTACTGAGTCTCGTCGTTTTTGCGCTCCTTCTAAGCTATGTGGATGCACAAGAAGATAATCCGATTGAAGATGTAAACTATTAAACAAGAGAAGAGATTAATAATAACTCTGTCATAAATGATGTTGTTCCTGTTGGGTCTTTAAATCCTATACTCAATGAGCTATTTCCGGTTCCTCTAGATGATCGATGTCAGTCCTTCTCAAGCTCCACAGGTTGATGCGAGCAGCACGCCATCGGATCTCGACCGGATCATGCACGACGATCTTGATCCTCATTCGGGTATTGTGGTTGAAAAGTCGTTTGTGATTTCGTTCCTCATGATTATAGTGTCTGAGATTGGCGACAAGACCTTCCTGATTGCTGCCATCATGGCGATGAAACATGCCCGTTTAACAGTGTTTTGTGCGGCGTTTGCAGCACTGTTGATCATGTCTGTTCTTTCGGCGTTTTTGGGACATGTGGTGCCTAATTTGATACCCAAAAAATATACCGATGTGTTGGCAGCAGGTTTGTTTTTGGTGTTTGGGTTACGTATGGCGTTCGAAGCGTACCAGATGGAAAAGGGAGCCGAGAACGAAGAAATGGCTGAAGTAGAAGAGGAATTAAAGCATGTGGAGGATAAAGAACGCACTCATGAATTGAAACGTATGGAAGTCGGTGGTGCGCTTGGCGAAGAGGACGATGAAACAGAAGGAGATCATTTGATGGGCGGAGGATCAAAAAGCGCCATCCAGCCAAAGGCAAAACGAGTCAAAGAGGGATTGATGAATTTGCTGCAGTTGGTGTTCTCGCCTGTGTTTGTTCAGACATTTGTCTTGACCTTCTTGGGTGAGTGGGGGGATCGTTCACAAATTTCTACTATTGCTTTAGCAGCAGCCAATGTAAGTGACATGAGTCATCCTCCTCCTCCAACAAAGAGGGCGGCCGGGAAAGCTTCGTGAATCTACCGTGACAAAGCGTCCAGTGATCTCATCCCCTTGTCTGTTATGTTTTAGAACGTCTACTATGTTACATTGGGTGTCGTTTTGGGTCATAGTCTATGTACAGGTATAGCCGTCGTCGGTGGTCGAATGCTCGCCTCCAAGATTTCTGTCAGAACAGGTAAAAAAGAGGACAACATCAGAGAACGATCCAAGAGAAAACTAACATGATGTCATGGCTACTTTAGTGACGTTTGCTGGATCTATCTTGTTCCTTATTTTTGCTGTTGTCTATGGTATTACGGCTTACGACGAACTTCAACATTAAGCTATCCATACAACCCACAAGCGCTTAAAATAGGATCCCGTTCTATCCTACAACCTCAACTATTTTACGTAGAGATGTCATTCCATTATATTGTTTATTTTTGTTACATAATCCCTTTGTTTCCCCTTTCATTCCTCTCTTTTCATTCTTTTCGCCCATCTATCTATCTATTCATCCACATACACAAAACACATAGAGTTACATTATTGCTTTTTTTTCATTTTTTTTTTTTTTTTTTTTTTTTTTTTGCCTTTTTACCTTTTTACCTTCTTTCATTCACAGTATTTATATTATTTTAGCACTTGATGGTTTTTATTATGAAACAAAATAGACCGACTTTTTCTAAAAAAAAAAAAAAAAAGAGGTTGTGTGATGGGATGGTTTCTTCTATTATCATTGAGAATAGAAAGGAGATGGTGTGTATGTGTTTGATCCGTTTCAAAAGGAGTTTAAAGTGGCATAGGGTGGTTGACAATGAGAAAAAAAAAACCCGGTCTTAAGGATATGGGATGGGTTCGAGATGGGGGAATATCAGTTTACATGATGGTACAGCGACTTTGGGACTTGGGCTTGTAGGACTCGACAAATTTCAACTGTTTTTTGTTAATAGCGCCTCTACGACGTTCACGGATATACTGCACGGCGTCCAAAGCTGGCATGCCTTCTTCTATCAGCGCAATGGCTACTAACACAGGAGCTCTACGGGCACAAGTGTGTCAAAAGAAAACGGTCAACACTGCTATCGTATTTTAAAGAGCGTCTCTGCTGAGCATGATTTTCATGTTGTACCTTCCTAAGCCTGCTACACAATGGGTGGCAATACAAGATGATGGCTGCGATGGGGGTGGTGGTGGAAGATGATGGCTACTTTTTTCATTCACTTCATCTGATCCCGTAGGTAAATGGTCTTTGTTCTTTTTAAAGCGCTCTTGTATGAGGTGTAGCCATGCATCAATAATATGGGTGGGTGGTGCTTCACCATCGGCAAATACAAAATCGTGCACTTGGATGTGTTTTTCATGCAACGGTTCCTTTGGATAAGTGGCCTCACAGCAACGGACCACATCCGTCACATGCCAATGTTCGAATTCCTGGGTTGTGTGATACACGTCAGGTACGATAAGCTCATCCATATCCATCAAACGCTACGATAGAACCACTCACCTTGATATATAAGGGCAGATTGTTTGAACTAGGTGCGTCTACAATCAAGAAGCGTAATCCATGATATTCTATATGTGTCGGAGGATTGATAAGATATCTAGTATTGTTGGAAGAATTTCTACTATTGTACATTGGGGAGGGTTGATATAAATAGGTGTGTGTGTGTGTGTGTGTGTGTGTGTGTATGAATGTAAGAGTGAAAAAAATGAAAAATCTACAAGTTAGAAAAAAGAAATCTAAAAAATCATGTTTATATCAGTGAGTCTTTGATTAATCTTCTTTTTCCTTTCCCCCTCTGTATGAAAGAGAAACGTTTCTTTGCCTTTTCTTTTATATTTGAATATATTGTCTCTTTCAGCGCCGCGCTCTCCTTCTCTGTCTTTTTGTCTTTTTCAATGAAAACGATGAGGGTAGATGATGGAGTAAAAAAAGGTGTCAATGACAAATGAATGCCGCAGATGGAGAGTGGGGGTTAGGTGGGGGCGTTTTTTGGCTGAGTCAATGGGCTTATAGAGCCGTTCTTTCAATGATAAAGTGTCGTCGTTGAAATGCAAAAATGAGAGGAAAAGAGACTTTGTCTATTCACCTCAGTCATGAATAAGTGATCTTGGATTGTGGAGTCACTTTCTTACTCTTTTCTTGTTTTTGTTTTTTTAATTCAATTTTTCGCTTTACGAGTTGAAATAGGAAAAAAGAAAGGCTAGCAAGAAAAGAGGGGGCCAATTCTTTAAAACGTGTTGTCCCCATTTCCTAATACCGCACACCCCCACTACCTTTTCCCCCCTTTAGCATTGTGTTCATGGATGGCCCAATCAAAATACTGAGAATGCATAGGGATGGAAAAACGCCGCAACAATAAACAAAGGTTTTGTATTGGTTGTTGACAATAGAGTTTTATGCCATGAAAAGAGTTCTTTTTTTTTTTTTTTTTTTTTTAATTTTCGATAGTCTGACAATAAGCATTTTTCCTTTCAAATAAAAAAAAAATAAACAACATTAAAAGAGTAAAAGATTTTGTATGTAATAAATAGATTAGCAAAAGAAGGAATCGATAGCTGTGAATGCATGGCCTCACGCTTTCTGCTATAGTCACATTATGACATGGATAAGGCTTGACGAACAAAAGTGATGGCGATCAAGATACCAGCCGTCATATAGGTCATTGGTTGGAAAGAAGCAGTGGCACCGCTTGTTTGATCAGCGGGAGGAGGAGTAGGGGTGGCCACAGCACTACTAGAAGCAGCGGCGATACTTGATTGCACGCTAGCAGAAGCTACAGAAAAAAAGAATCATCATTTTTTATTCCCAGAATGGAAACGTTAGAACCTCCAGATAGGTCAACTCACAACACTACGAGACAAAAACTACTTTACCCATTGAAAGTGATGACATGGCTGAGGAAGACATGGAAGCAACAGAGGATTGAGCCGAAGCGACAGACGATTGAACAGAAGACATGACAGAAGCAGAAGACTGTGCAGCAGTAGTGGGAACGGCAGAAGAGGGTGCAGCAGTTGAAACAACAGCAACCGACGAAGGTGCTACATTCGTAGCGATGGGCGAGGGAGAAGAAGAAGAAGCTAAAGTACTACTTCCGACAGCTGCAGAAGAAGTCGGCGTTACCGTGGTTCTTGTGGTAGTGGTCACGGCTGGGATACTAATGAGTGTCGAAGCAGCAGGTTCTGTCGTGGAAGCAGCCGTAGGTTCTTGACCAGGCCAATGTTCTTGGATACAGGCACGATAACAATTGTTGTTGCCGGCGCAATCAGCAATACATCTTTGACCATTATTGACTATCGATTGAAATGAATATGAATAACCCCGCCCCATTCCATTCTCAATGTGTCTACACGTTGTTTTAAAAAAAAAAATACATTACCGCAATTTTGAAGACAGGCAGAATCTCTTGGGTCACATTGACAAGCAGCTTCTACACGAGCTGACAAGACAGAGGCTAAAGCAACAACAAAAAGACTCCAGTAAACTTTTGAATGCATTGTGTCTATTTTTTGGTATCTTTCAAGTAGAAAGAATGGTAAAAAACAAAGAGAAGAAAAAAAAAAAGGGAACAGAGTTGTCAAAACTGAAAAAGGGACCCTTTTTATTGTATTTCTGCAGTTTCTCGCTTGTATCACTTCGGCTTTCACTTTTTTGACTTTTTAGTATATGAGACTGTGTTGGAAAAATTAGACTTTTTTTTCTATTTTTCTTTTACTGCTCTAAAAAACGAATTTACCATTTCTGTGTGTATTGACAGTCATCATTTTCATCCTCCACTGTCCCCCTACCAAATACGGTGTACTCCCCTCTCTTCCTTTTCTTTCTTGGCACTAGAAAACAATCAAATCGTATCGCAAGGAAGCTCAGTGTACAGAATATCTCATTTTTATGTCATTGAGGTACAGGAACACTGTGATCCCCCCTTTCACAAACCTTCTATTTTGGGACAAGGAGAAAATTCCATTGTGAGCAGACGCCCGCACGCCCGCCCGCACGCACACACCCATACCTACACAGACAGAAAAAAGCGGGTCGTACAATAGGATGCATGATGGATGCTGAGAGGGAATAGAGCTACACAATGTTACAGAATGTGTTTGCCGTCAGAAAAAAGACTGAGAAAGAAAAATCAATTTTCATTGTTATAAAAGTCAAATACGGGGCTCATTGAAATCAAAAAGTCTCCATTGTGATGAGAGAAAAAAAAAAAAAAAAGAGTCAGAGATAGAGAAAGCGAGGCTTTTACTGTTTGCAATGGCTCATCCCCTTTGTATAGAATCATTTGCTTCTTTTGAGAGAATGACATAATGTCATGTCATGGTCTGATGGGTTGTCTATTTCGTGCATAGAGCCCTTTGTTATCTCGAAAAGGCTAGAATATCACAGAAAAAAAAGGCGTGTGTTACGAACAACAAGGATATTTTCCTCAGCTGAATCTCCGTCTCGAATGCATATGGTAACGAATACCCTCTAGGTCATTGCCCGCCCTTCCTTCCTTCTACTATGACTACTACTACTACTACTACTATTACCTCCTATGTGGTTCACTTTGGTTGTTCAGTTTATACAAAATTTTTCTCTTCAACACAAAAAGTGATTTCAGTATAATAAAGGTACAAGATAGGCTATTCTACAAATGAAAAGGATGGGGGATGAAGAATGGGATTTCAAAAATCCCACCGAAAAAAAATAAAATGGTATCTAGTGGGTTTTGATTTTCAAAAGAGAGCAATGACAACGACACATCCTACTAATCCAAGCGATGCTAGAATTCTCCAAACAGTATAGGTTCGTTGAATGACACCTACTAATCCAAAATGATCGATAATACACGCCATAATGATCTACAACGACAAAAACAACACAACATGGGTAACGAACAAAGTAATAGAGTTACTTTTCTTTTCTCAGCCTCTTACCTGTGCACTCACAAACGTGCTTAAAACAGTAGCAGTACCTAATCTCGGCACCGTCAAAATATTCACCACGACATAATAGGCGCCCAAAATACCACCTAACCAAGCATACCATGGTGCAGCTAATCAGAGAAAAGAAGAACAATGTATAAGCAAACAGACACATCCAGCCCCCGTCACAGCGACAGATGAACAGCAAACCTACTTTTTACATGATCATTGGGTAGCGGCGTCTTTGCCAGACCAATATCAAATGCGAAAAATATCAAACAACACACGGCACCTGTGCTAAAGGACATGACGGAAGAAAACGATCGACCACCATATCGATTGAGGGTGGCATTACAGCCTAGACACAGAGGAGGAGTCTGTATCAGTCACGGGGGACAATACATCTATCACTCTGTCTACCTACCTGCTTGAAAGGCGATCGCAAATCCTGCAAGAATCAATAGAAATCCACAAAAAATGTTATTGTCCAAGAGGCTCATTTTCTCTTTTTCTTGCTCTTCCTCTTGCGCCTGTTGTCCTAACTCGATATCCTTGTCGTCTTGTGTCGTTGTAGTACTTTTGTCTTCTGTTTCTGCTTCGGCGGGTGGTTGTCTCGTTGGATCTTGTATTACGCTGTCAGACTCAATTTGGGTAGTGCAAAGACTGTTGTTGTTGTTGCTATGGTGACTATAATGAGGGCGATCTTCTAGGCTGGTTGTCTTCTCTGGCTGCAGGCGTAGCTTTTTTAAAAAAGACATGTATCAGATATGGAAAAAAAAAAAAGCAAAGAAGCCTAAAGAGAGAGAGAGAGAATAAACGAAAAAATAAAATAAAAAACGGGTTGTTTCTTTTTTTTTTTTTCTCTGATGGAGTGAAATCTCTCATGTTCTTGATTGGGGAAAATCTGGAATATCAAAAAATACTCTTTTCTTTTTTTTTTTTTTTTTCTTTTTTTTCCCCGCCCAACCCACACGCATCCCACAGCTTGCCTTTGGGAATGCACAGACGCCAAATCCCCAGATTCGGGGTGTGTGTGTGTGTGTGTGTATCGATCATTTCAATGGTCACCAGACTTTCTCGCGTCTTTTTACAGAAAAAAAAATTGGACACATCATCTGGGATAGGGTTTCTTTTTATTGTTTCCATTTATCATGTTAACAATATGTATATATATATATATATATATAAGAGTATATAGGTTGTGTGTAGGTCAACTTTTTTCATCTTTTTTTACATGGGTTGTATATAAAATGACAATGGCTTCAAGTCGAAAGAGATTATTGATCATCATTGTCAAGGTTATTCTTGTATTTTTGAGCGTTCTTTACGAGATTAGCAAAACGATTTTGTTGTTGACGGGTGGCACCATAATGTCCACTGGCGGCTGTATTGGCGTTATTGGCAAACGGCAAGGGATCACCCGAGTGCATGGTACTGGAACGACGGGTGGCACCTCTGTTACGACGCAACAAAGAATACACACGCAATTCATTACGGACATCGCCGATAGCGCCTTCCCAGTGCATGCGAGAGTAGCTAGCCAAAGGCTTGGCTTCTTCGTTATAGCGATCCTCGTAACCGCCGTCGGGCAGCAAACGGATCACGGTACCGAGAGGCAACGACAAAGAGCCGATCAGGACGGTGATGAGCCATTGTTGAGGGGTCAAAGGCACGGTCTTGAAAGCAATTCCTCCAAAGGTCACAATCAAGAACTGGCCCACGATGACAGCGACCTGGACAGCAATAAAGATCCAATTGTCAAACATGTCTTTAAAGACGTTGATGCTGTTGTCGATACGACGACAGTTGATTTCGTTAAAGACCTGAAGAAAGACAAAGATGTTGAACACCATGGTACGCAAGACGGCTTGATCGTAGGCGCTGTCACTCAAGTGGAAGACACGGGGACCCATGTACATGACAATCAAGTTGATGAGGACTTGGAAAATGGCTTGGCCGCCAATCATCTTGGCCATACGGTAGTTGATGAGATGGGCAAACTTGGAAATGGGCTTACGGTGGAGCAAGTCTTGTGTGGGAGGTTCTGTAGCCAGAGCCAACGCCGCCAAGGTGTCCATGATCAGATTCACCCACAGCAATTGGACAGCACTCAAGATACTCTCGGCCTCTTCCGAGCCGACGGCAGAAATGAAGGAAAGGACGACAGCCGCAATATTGACGGTCAATTGGAAAGTCAAGAATTTGCGCACGCCATCATTCACAGCGCGGCCCCAGAGAAGCGCCTTCAAGATCGAGTTAAAGTTGTCGTCCATCAAGATGATGTCCGAGGCTTCTTTGGCGACTTCGGTCCCTGCGATACCCATACTGAAACCGACATCGGCCATCTTTAATGCAGGGCCGTCATTGGTACCGTCGCCGGTCATGCCGACGACTTGATCTTGCTCCTGGAGACGGCTGACGACGATGGTCTTGTCCTTGGGAGACGAACGCGCGACCACCTGCAGACGAGGAATGATCTTGCGTTGTTCTTCCACCGACATGGCACGTAATTCAGGGCCTGTCAAAGCAATACCGCCTTTGGTCAAGATACCGGCGTTACGCGCAATCGCCTTGGCTGTGTTGATGTTGTCACCGGTGATCATGCGCACAAAAACACCGGCTTGTCGGAAAGCAGCGACGGATTCCACGACACCCGGACGCAGGGGGTCCATGATGCCTACAATACCCAGCAAGGTGAGACCTTCCAAAGGAGGTTCCTCGTCCGAGATGCTGTTCTCCATGTCCGATGCAGAGATATCACGGAAGGCCAAGGCAAGGGTACGGAGCGCCTTGTCGGCATAGCGAGAGATGATGTCCAGAAACTTCTTTTTGGCTTCTTCGGTGTCCAATGCTTTGCGTTCGCCTTGGGCCGTGATGTAGTGGGTACAGGCTTCCAGCACAATTTCAGAAGCACCCTTCGTGTGAATTCTGTAGCGGGCGCCTTCACGACCCGAGGGAGCCGAGTTTTCCTTGATTTCAGAGATGGTCGTCATGGTCTTTCGCTTGGAGGCAAAGGGATAGACCTTGGTAATGGTCGCGTCGTGACGGATGGCTTCATAGTCACTGCCCAAGCGTTTGGAAAAGCCCAAAAGAGCACATTCCGTCTTGGAGCCGACAAAGTCCGTACGGCCGTTCTCGTCTTTGCCTTCAAAAGCCGTCGAGTTCAAAGCAATGGTTTCGTGCACCAACGCTTCGATCGTGTCCTTGTCGACTTTCTTGGCCCACGCCTTCATCTCGTCTTCCGAAGTGAACGTTTCTTCCGCCAGCGTGCCCTCCACGACGGTCATCTTGTTTTGCGTCAACGTACCGGTCTTGTCAGAACAGATCGCGGTCGCATTGCCCATGGTTTCACAGGCAGCCAAAACACGGACCAGGTTGTTGTCTTTGAGCATTTGCGTGGTGGCAAAAGCCAGCGCCATGGTCACGGCCATGGGGAGGCCTTCAGGGACAGCGACGACAATGATGGTGATGGCTTGAATGACAATACGGATCATGGCGGCAGCGACATCCCCGATGGCGGGGAATTCAGGCGCCAAGGCAGCGGTGACAAAGTACTTGATGACCAAAGCAAACAACATGATGATGGCAGCCGCAAAACCAAGCTTGGCGATTTGTTCCGCCAAGGTGTCCAGTTTCATTTGCAAGGGCGTGCCTTCCGCTTCTTCGCCGCGCATCGACATCATGGTCTTGCCAAAGAACGAGTTTTCGCCGACGGCCAACACGACCATCTTGCCCACGCCTTCCAGCACCTTGGCGCCCGACAAGATGAAGCAATCCCCTTTGCCTTCAGGCTTCTTTTTCATGGTATCCGATTCACCGGTAGCTGAGGATTCATCACAGGCCAAATTGTGGCCTTCCAAGTAAAGCCCATCGACGGGAATAATGTCTCCTGGTTCCAACAGGAGGACATCCCCGACGTTGACATCATAGACACTGATTTGTTGTTCACGACCTCCACGGAGCACCTTGACGACGCGATCTTCCTTTTTGGCATTCAGTTTCTTGAATTGAGCTTCCTTTTGATAATCGTTGATGGCGTTGGTAAGCACCACAGCCAAGACAGCCACAATAATAGCTGTGCCTTCCACCCTAAAGAAAACAGGGATGTTTTAGTTATGATTGTTTTATGGGGGCTGTAGGTAGAGTTTCCTTTTTTTTCTATTTCTATTTCTTACCATCCAACACGAGGCTCGTCGGGTGGATGACGAGGAGAATAATCTTCCCAGATACCCACAGCGAGAGACACTAAGGAGGCAATACTATTTTATCCATGTTAAGAAACGTCATCAGTTCCAATTCCATGTTGTTTTCCCAATGACCCAACAAAAAAGAGAAAAAAAGGAAAAAACCCCGTATTCAGGGTAACACTAAAACACCACTCCTTTTTATAGTTATCCTGTGTGCGTTTCTAGCATCCTAGCTGTAGTAGGTAGCCCACAGACCTAGACGCACAACGCATAGGACACACACACCCGCCCCCCCCCCACCTCCCCCCTCCCAACACAGCCACACAGGTGGATTGAATGGGGATTACCTCAACATGATGAGTGTTTTATCGTTATAAGCAGCCCATAATAGCTGTAAAAAGGTTTTTGATGGAGGTTCGGGTAACACATTACGCCCAAAAGTCGCTTGACGATCTTGGTAAGGTTGTTGACCAGAACTCGTAGAGCCTTCATCAGCAGAAAGACCGGTAGAAGGATCCACCTTGACTTTCTTACAGATGGCTTTCACACCACCCAGTTTTTGCAATAATTCTTCATTTTTGGGGTCAAATAAATCGCTTAATTCTTCTACACTGATATCAAAATGACCACCGCCATTTTGATAGTTGTTATTGACAAGTGATTGTCTCTCTTCCCTTGTCGGTGGCATGCTTGAAAAGAAAGAAAGACAAGGAAAAAAGAAAAACAGATGTCTGAAAAGAAAAAAAGAAGGGAAAACTAGAAAAAAAATAAAAAATAAAAATAAACGTTAAATTACTGTTTCTCTTTTTTTTTTTTTTTTTTTTTTTTTTGAGCAAATGTTGTTGTGAAAAATGACAAGCAGCCAGCATTAAATGAAATTAGGCTGTAAAAACCTTAATTCAGAAATATTTAATTTCCCTTTCGATCGGGCTGTTAAATTTGGGGGGGAGGGGAAAGGCTGGAAGATCATTTTTTCTTCCATTTTTATAAAGAAAAAAAAAAAGCCCAATTCTTTGAGAGGTGATAGAGGGTATCTTTGGGGGGTTGTTTTTTATTGATCTAGTGCTTCATCCAAAATATCAGCAAAGTCTGATAAACTACTATCATCCGTGTCACTGTCACTACTGTTTCCTCCGCTACTATGACTACTCTCTTGGTCTTGGTCTTGGTCTTCTTCTTCTTCTTCGTTATTATTGTCTGTTGTAGTAGAGGCTGTAGCAGATGTGGTGGTGGATCCTGAAGCCACGACTTTGGAAAGCTTGGACTTGCCTCTTTCTTTTGCTTTTAGTTTTCTTTTCGCTAGTTTACTCAATCTCATCAAATCCTCAGTACTTTCTCCTCCTTCTTCTTCTTCTTCTTCTGCTTCTGTAGCGGACGATTCTTCTTCTGCACCACTCGTAGGAAGACTGCTGCTCTCACCACCACCACCACCACCACCACCACCACCGGCACCCATAGGACGAGGACGACGGTGTGGATGTCTTTTCCGTTTCATACCCACGCCAGAGAGGAGAGGGGTGCTTGTCGCTGTTGTACCAGGCGTCCCTGTAGCACTTTTCGGTGTCGTGGCTGCAGAAGAGGCAGAGGAATCCTCATTCGCGGTGTCTTCCCATACATCATCAATACCACTTTCGTTAATAAACTCTTCTACTTCTCTATCTGCTTCGTCCCAGTTGATATCCTCAATCAAATGATGATCGTGGCCGTTCAGTCTTCTCGCGTCCTCCTCGTCCCTACTTTGGGTATCCTCGCTTTTCGGTGTGAGTAAAGGTATAGCAACAGTACCAGCTCTTGCCATGTTCCCTCCTTCAGATGCGTTCTCGTCCATGTCGTTTTCCTCTTCCGCTTCTTCTGAATCACTACTGTCGCTGAGCGCATGAGGAGGATGCGTGGGGAGGACAGGATAGTTTTCTTCTGGCTGAATCGCCCATTTGGCCGTACTGTCCAAGAGCCAAGCAGGTGTCACGACATGCAACGATGGACTGCCGTACTTTCTGGCTGCCTTTACTTTATGCCGACTGGTTTCTATCGCTACAAGATGGGTTGTTTTGCCCGTTAAATCAATGGAGCACATGGCACCAAAGGAGGTGGCCATTTGCCATATCCATGATAGTGTTGGATCCTTTGTGTTTTGGTTGGGCAAAATGGTATCTGAAAATGTAATAATGACATCCTTCAACACTCGTTTTTTCATTTTGGGTATAATTTGTGTCACGTCCGCTTCTTTAATATCGTGCTGAGGATCTTTTGTGGCATAAAATGTAGTGTGAATTTCCTTTAGAATCTACAAAAAAACCCCATCCCCAATACGCGCACACCCCCCCCCCACGACCAATAGAAATTCTATTTAGTTTTGCTATCCCTAATGAAGATATGCCCTTTTTGCCTTGCTTCACCTTTAAAATAGTTGATAATTCATCATCCTCATCCTTTAAACGAAAAGGGGCTAAGTAAAGAAAAAAAAAATACCAATCGGAGAATTAATGCATTAGGGCATAGGATAGATGATGTCATGTGGTGGCATCCTTTACCAGCCACTTCTTGTGTCATGTCGTCCTGTGGGTGCATCTCTTGTTTTTCTTGCTGAGGAGAGTGATCGTTTGTCCCAAGAAAGAACTCATCTTTTGTCATCCATGTAAATACCTTTAGTGTCTTTTGATCTATGTCTCTTTTTTTTTTTTTTTTTTTTTTTTTTTTTTTTGCTTGAATTTCTCGTCACTTACATGGTTTGATTCGAATGAGATTGGGTGAGAAACTCCACACGTCCGAGCGATCATCCACTACCACCACCATCGATGTATCACAAGGAAATAACCGCTGAAGTTTCTTTTGTGTCACGCCTAAGAAAAATCAGAGTGAATGGGCTGACATCAAAAAAAAAGAATCGTCTCTTTTCTCCCCCCACCCCCCACCACTTACTGCCACTTTCATCCCGTGATAAAATTCGTTCTTTGAACAACGTTCCATCGGGATCAATGTTACTCATGATGGCTTCTGCATATTTCCTTGTACCCATTGTATAGACATGAAGTTCGTAATAGGCCTCCACTTCTTTTAAAAACTCTTGTAAACCTGGTCTATTTCAAATGAGAGACTATCAGCATTTTCTATGACAGACACATGCTTCCATGTGTGTATTTTTTTTACCTTGCTTTCATAAAACAAATCATATCGCTGCCAGGCAATTGGAATTGTGCGATTGGATGATTGCCTTTATAAATAGAGTTCAATACGCTTTGATCCCATGTCGCATGGACCAGCGTTTGATCTAAATCCAAAATGAGTGACAGTTTCTTATCCTTTAATAATCTTCTAGCGGTTTCTGCTTCTAAACGTTCTGCTTCCTATCACAATGACAACACTTTTTGCGTGAGCTAACCACTGAGGTTCACAGATCATCATGGAGAAAGACACATACAAAAAATGATCATCTACCCCAAAGAATACTTACTTCGCGACTGACAGTGATTCCCTTTGTGTCATAACCCATTGTAATACCACCACCACCACTGCCACCACCACCACTTACTCCTCCTCCAGCAGCACTGAACACTCCTGAAGGATCATCTAGACTGAAATAGTATCATGATGTTTAGATAAATCTATAAAGTAAAAACAAAAGATAGATAGTTTCTGACTTTACGTTTCAAGTAATGTACCGCAAACAGCGCATAAGCCATTGTATTGTACTTGATGTTTGCATATCTCCATACTTGCTGGATGCAATTTTTTTTGTTTTTTAAAAAAAAAAACAAGAAAAAAAACTGCTTCGTTAGGAAATTTTTATTTTGAGGTACTCAAATGCACCAAAAAAAAAAAAAAAAAACCAAAAAAACCCACTCTTATAAACGCGTTCAAAGAATAACGACGTCATACCTTTTTTAAAATGTATATATCAATTTTTTTTTGTTAACTTGCACTTTTTTTAATTTAAACACTTGGAATATAACTTTTTTATATATGTTTCTATTGTTCTGAAAAGGAATTAAAAAAAAAAATGGAAGGAGGGAAAATAAAAAAAGAAAGGTTTTTTTTTGCATGAAAAAAACTGAAATGTGATGATTGGATTTCCAATCAAGCAGCTAAAACGAACCAATCACAAGAGGGACACTATCTCTTCCTATTGAATTTTCTTGAGCGATTTTGAGATATTGTAAAGCTTTTCAATGGTTTTCCTTTTTTTGGGTTGGTGTCCTTTTCCTTTTAAGTCTTTCATTCCTCAATACCCCCCCTTCCTCACCACCCCCACTACTCCTCCCTCGCCTTTACTCTTTGAATTAGACTTTGCTGTTTCTTGACAACGCACAAAACAATGGCGGCTTCATCGTTTAGAGCGACAAAGTGGGATCCTATTTACATTCTATCTCAAGTAATGTTGCGATGTTGGCGTTTGACAACTACACAAACTAACCTGAATAAGTCCATTGAATGGTAGATATTTGCATTACAATCACTGAGCTATATCCTCTTCAGCCTACTTCTTTCCATTGCCCTCCTACTACTCGGGACAGCAGATACATCGCTCGACCTTATATTTGACGATGCTGAGATTCGCACAGATACAGGCTTTGGTTGGTCTCTCATCATACTATGGATCGTCCATGCTTTCATCACCATACTCCTTTTAACGTTTATTGTACAGCGTGCTCGACAGATTTTGGATTTCGTCTTGACATTTCACTTTCTTCACTTTTGTTTATGCTGTTATCTCAACTCCCGATGGCCATCCAGTATAGCATGGTGGTTGTTGCAAGGAGTCGACATCATCATCATGACTTTTGGAGGTGAATGGGCTTGCATGAAGAATGAAATGAAACCCATCTTGATTACCGGAGGAACGAAAAGGCCCACGAGCCATAAAATGAGTGATACAACGACACTATCCACAGAGCCAGACATTGAACTGGGAGACATGGCGGCCAGTAGTAGTCATAGTCAACGCGATCAAAGCAAAACAGCCTTATTAGAAGACGATGCGTTGAGTAGAAGCAATAGTCCTGCTGGCAGAATGAAACGAAAAACATCGGATGCATTTGGCTTAACACATCATCAACAAGAGGAGGAGGAGGAGGAAGAGGAGGAAGGCGGCCCACTCATGACAGCTGTTGGTAAAGCAAAAGAAGTGTTACTCACAAAGAAAAATAGTAGTAGTAGGAAATCAAAGAGGAAAAGTAGACAACCCTATGACAGACTCCCCATGACAGATAAGGAGATCGATGACACCAGTTCCAGTACCCATGCCAGTTCTTAGAACAAACACGAACCCACATCGTCTCCTTCATCCCACCCTTTGATTCCCTTGTCAAATACTTTAAAGCAATGCCACAAACTACATAAATTCTCATTTCTACAGCTTTTTTATTGAACTGAACTCCATGAGCACTGTGTATCCTCTAAACCAGTAAATCTTTGCTGATTTTATCACTGACAGCAAGGTCGGATTGAAGAGTTCGAATCGATGAGCGTTGACAGTTACGAATGATGTGATGAAAAACGTCCTCTGAGGGTATGTCACATGGATGATGACTATGTGCATAGTGTCTCTGTAGATTGGCCAATAATGTACCGACGAAACTGCCAAAAAAAAAAAAAAAAGAAGGGTTACCACCACCATGAGATGAGACTGCTCTTTCACACTGACACACTCTTTTTCAGCCCCATTGTACTTTACCAGTCGCCTGCTCCAGTAACGCTTTTAATCTCATCCTTTTGTATGACTTCTGGTGAAAAATAGTGGGCGCTTTCTTGGCCCACCCATAGACACCCCTCCTCTCCTAGTTTTGTTATCACGTTCGGTATAAAGCGAGTCAAAAAGTTTGCATAAGGATAGACGCTCTTGGCTAGCTCCGTCGCCTCCTCACAGTTGAAAGGCTTGTTGGCCATCTCTATTTGAGTAGTTGCAATGTATTGCTTGAGATTTTTACGACTTGCTGTTTGCACTACTTTGCGAAACATAGCCTTTACTTCAAATTGATTTGGCGTAATATACTTGACAGCTGTTGATAATGCCTGTTGATAGTCACTCTCCTTGTGTATGTTTTCAAACAATTTCAACGATTTCGTCACCGAGGTTGGCTCAAAGACAGCTTCAAAATGAACCCGTCGTTTGTCCGTAACAGTCGTAGTAAAGAATAAAAGAAATTGAATTGGCACCTTTTCTCTTGTTGGGGCATCGTTGAAAGAATCGACTCACTCACCTGGGACCTTTAGTTGATGACAGCAATGAACAATGGCTTTCATTGTGTGGGCTGTGATATTTCCATCAAAACACACCAAACTGGGCTTTTCATGCCGTAGGATGTCTGCTATCTTTTACTTTTTTTAATATTATTTCTTTGCCTTTCAATAGACTCTCTTTCTTTCACTTTTTACTTTTTCAGAATGGATAGCCTCAAATATACTCATGTCAGCAACAGCAGCTACCAATTGTCCATCACTGGAGTGCAAAGCATTATACACTGCCGTTTGCTGATGGCTCAGCGTTTCCATATATTGGGTAGCCTGGGTTGGTTTGTTTTAGCGATGTGTGTTAAAAAGATGAACACAGTCAGTCAGCAGACAAAGTATCCTTCACTCAACTACTTGTCGAGATGCTTTCTGCCTACTCTTCTCTTCCCCCTCTACTTCCTCCTGCTCTCCCAACAATTACCATGCCTAGTTTCTTCATTCCAGCTTTCACTATGTCACCTGCCATATCTTGCCCTACCACAGACACAAGTTTGACTTGTTCGGCACCTGATCGCCAAGCTGACTCTGCTACATTACGACCTACACCCCCTAATGTTTGCTTTACTTGACCTAAAGTAGAGGTATGAAGAATGCCTTTCAACGATCTTGCTGATGAGGGCACAGAGGTCGTAGCTGTAATGTCGAGAGCGATGCCGCCAATGACAATTAACTAGGATGAGGGTTATTTTTATAGATACACGTCTTAAGCGCATAGCTTTTTTCCCCCCTTCCCTAAATTGGCAAGGGGCAAGCTTATATAATGAAAGGCATACTAACTGGTTTTCCAAGCATGGATAAACAAATGAACTGCAATCCCTTTCTATTGAAGTGGTAAAATAGAAAAGATAGCAGAGAAAGGGAGCCTCAATGCATCAAAAAGAAAAAAAAAAAAAAAAAAAAAGCACAAACTCTCCCTTCCATGGTAACACAGTTGGGTGACCAGAAGACAATGACAAAAAGGCTATGCTTCAACATTCATTTGCCATGAATATAAGGTACACTGAAAATTAGAATGCTGAACAGAGTCAAACTGTCGCCGCTTTCTGCAATAAATGCAGCTGAAAAAAGTTTCGTTTACCTGTAAACCGGAAAAAAAAAAAAAAAAGGTTGACGTGAGGTCAACATGACGCTATATTTGCACCGAAACAATGACATAGAAGAGGGAGGGCATTTGGGAATAAGAACGCGGTCGTCTTTCCATTTTCTATCCTTTTTTTTTTTAACGTTTGATACTGTTATTGTACATATCATGTCTGCCCAACATCCTAAAAACGAACAAGAAGCATTCTCTGTTGAAGAAAAAGGACTAAAACATCAATTATCACAGACGGTAGATGCTCAAGAGCGTATAGTAAATGAATTGAAGAAACAGAGCGACAAGAAGGAAGATCTCCAACGCGAGCAAGATCACTTGAACAGTCTAAAGAAGGAATTGTCTATCTTGCAGAAAAGTGATCAGTAAAAGGGAAATGTAGCGCTTGGTGTCAAAATGGCTCTTTCCTCATGAGTCTACTCATAACAGTCTCCATGAAGAATGCCCTCTCTTTTCCCTCCCCGCCCTCTGTACCTTATCCCCCGTCCCCCCCCCCTGCTCACCTATACATTCCTTTCATTGTTGCTTCTAAAACAACTTTGCGTACCATAACCTTTCTTATCTAATGAACACAATAAATCACTCATTTCCAATCCTTATCCTACTATTTTTAAAACGATGCTTTGTCAAAACAAAAGGAAGCTGGGAGATGATTTGCTCGTTAACCACTCGAACAAAGAATGGTAGCGTCAAGGAAGACGATTGAAACGGGTGATACATTGACTTTATATAAACAGTATTGTTTGGTTATTCATTTTCTATTTGGAATGACATCGGTAAATAGTATCAAAGACTTTTGTCCGTTTATAGTAGAGGCTGCCTTGCTGCTAATTCTTCATCTGTACTAGCCACGGCAACATCCCAATAATTTTCTACATGCCATTTTCCCAACTCTTCTCTTGCCATTTTTTCACTTTCAAACGTACGCCAAGTAAACTTTTTGAATGTTTTTGTTTTTACAGGTCCCGTCCATACCAAGAAGCATTTATTTTCCTCCCCTTCTGGCAATCCGGCCGGCATCGCGTTGTCGACAGCACCACTGGGCGAGTCGATCTCCATAGCCACACTTTCATCAGCAGCTAAATTTTTGGGTGGTGGCAAATCATTCCAATCGATACGTCTCAGCATCAACTTTTTATAGGCTTTAATCGCTTTGGGTCCTCCTTCCACGACCACCAAATTGCACTTGGGATGAACGATCACCATACCCGTCAACTGATGTTGCTGAGCATTCACTTCAATTTTGTATCGTAATTTTGGATGAGAACAAAATTTGATTCTACCAAAAAAAAAAAAAACGTAGCAGTTTAGTACAAGCTCTTGACATGTAAAAAAAAAAAAAAAAAAAAAAAAAAAAAAAAAAGCCCACTCACTTGAATACAGCAGCTTCATTCACATGCTTTTGATCTTCCTTTAACTTGTTCAATATCTTTGCTCTCTTTTCTTCAGGTGTCAATTTACGCTGTTCATTCGCCTTTTCATGCATCTTTTGTCGAAGCTCCATCTCCTTTCTTACTTTTGCTTCCACCTTGGTAGGGTCTTGAATGGCTTCATCACCCAACACTCTCATCAAATTACTGATTTTCACTTTAGGTGCATCTGGTTCTAGCAAACCTAATCGGATCTTGTCTCGTTTATCTTTCAATGCTTCGGCTCTACGCTGTCGTCTCATTTTTTTCAGTTCCTTTTTCGTCAACATTAAGGATCGAACAATGGGTGTTTGATTGGCCTCATAAGGCGCTTGTATCGGTACAGGATGATGAACGTACATGGTGACGAGCGTATCAAACTGAGCAGGGTCGAAATCGACCGCCATGTCGTTCTCGTCCGCAGCGGGTACATCCTCATACGTTTTGTTGGGCAAAAAGGGCGCGTCCCACCATTCCACAGCAGGTGGAGGATCTCTTTTGATCACTTTATCCGACACATCCAATTCAGCTTGCATACCCGCTTTCTTTACACTTTCTGTAATCTCTTGCTTCAACTTTTCTAACTGTGCTTTGGCTCTCTCCTGATTGGCGATAGCGACGTATTTACCCGGCTGAACAAATTTGAGTTGACGTGCACGACGTTGTTTAGGTGCTATTTTGACCTCCATCGAAGGATCGAAATATGGATTTTTAGTAGGGTCGGTGAATTCCGGTGGCACTGTATCCACCAATTTGAACGCTTTTTTCTTTTCAGCCAAAGCCGATGTCGATGTCGATGCTGCTGCTGCAGGTGAGGCGATGGCTGGTATAGATGCTGCTGCCGATTTCTGTTTCGAGCGTTGCATAGCCTATCCCACCTAAATATGAGTATCATCCTCAACCGTCTTTTCTGCACTCCAATGCTTTTTCTTTTAGTCTATCTATGCATTTACCTTTGTATTCACAGTTTCTCTGCGAGGAATAAGACCCGTATCTAACATTGCTTTCAAATCGACCTCGCCTGACAGCGGCAAAGCAGGAGGTTTGAGACTATGGTTGGGTGTTGCACGTCCAGAAAGAGGTGAGCCTGAAGCATTCGCTGTAGTTAAAGCGCCCGTACCCGCCGCGATTCGCGCTTTGGCTTCAGCGATTTTACGTTGAATTTCTGCCATGGATAAACTTCCACTGGTTCCTGATGCTGATGTTGGCTGTGGGCTGGGGCGATTAGGCTGTTTGGCCTGAAATTGGGCCATTTTTGCCAGCACTTCAGCACGTTTCTTTTCAATAAGTTCTTTCTAATTCATTGGACAAGAACCCATGGGGACCATGTTTTTAGTATTCGAAAATCAAAATCAAGATGGAGGGGGAAAAAAAAAGAAAACGTCTTTACGTTGACATGTTATACACTGTAAATGTTTATATACTTTACTTGTTTATTGGGATCCATCGTTGTTGGTTTTTTTTTTTTTTGTCACAAAGCGTTCCTCTTCCTCGCCTTTTCCTTTTCTTTTTCTTATTGAGTGAAAAAGATAATCACAAATAGCCAAAGAGGAAAAATGTCAATTTTATGCCAGTTCTAAATTAATCTTCAGCTTCTTTTTTTTTTTTTTTTTTTTTTTTTTTGAAGCCACTGCTTGAGCGTCAGCTCCAAAGAGGGCAATGATGGTATATTTCTCCAAGATGCCTACTCTGTTGTTACAGAGAAAGATGCAAGTCATTCAAGGATAATAAAAGTAGGTTCATTTATTCCCAAAAAACTTGGCCATAGGTAGCGTCGTTGACTGTTCAAAGAATGGAATGTATGCCTTGTTGACGAACCATAAAAGTGTTTGTAGCAGGGAGAAACCTCCACTTATAGCGTTCATGCCCAGAAAAAGCTTAGGATGGTGAGTTCACAGCTCCATTACTCAGAGATTGCTTTTTTGAGCATGTCCTTTCTTGTTAAAGTAACATGCCGTTGACTAGCAAGCATTCAATACTATCTGAGCTCTCTACCTAGCAAACAACGTCGTCCGTAGAAGACGTGGCTCTATCAATTACTCACCCTCCCTACAGCAACTTCCTGCTTTTATTAAGTCGCCTAACAAGAAAGTCCTTTCGTAAAGTGAATGAAAGTGAGAGTAAAAAAGAAAGTGCTCGTTTGAAAAAAATGATAAAAGAACCGACTTTTTTCAGTTGCCAGCCGCTAAAGCTATATAGCTAAATGGGTCTTTATTTAATCTACATTTCTACATATTTGAAAAAAAGGCAACGTTGCAGAGAAAAGGTAACTACTGCTTTCTATTTCAATCGTCTGGGCTCATTCAGGTAATCATCCAAAGCTTCTCCTTCTTCAGCACTCGAGTAACCGCCCGTTGTCTGTCTCTATTGAAACATAACGGGAACGAAATGAATAACGGAAAATAGGACACTCACACCTACATCAGTTTTATATTTTTTACCCTTCTCTTGTTTAATCTATCATATTCTTCAAATTCGTCATCATAGTCTCTTCTAGGGGGCGCAAACTCCCGTCTACTACGACTTCTTCCACTGCGACTTCTACTACGTTTATGGTGATTACGTGAAAGAGAAGGTGTACGCCCACGACGGTGATGTGATGACATTGAAGCAGCATTATCATCCACCAAACCTTCTTCGTCGTCCTTTATCATACCTTCTTCTTCCTCGTCATCTTCTTCCTCATCATTACCGCTTGCTTTATTCTCTAGCTTTTCTTTTAACCGTTTAATATATTTGTCAAATACTTCTTCTCTTAGACTATCGTCTTCCAACTCTTGATATTCTTCAAAATGTTCTACACGTGGTTTAACGGCTTCCCACGTATCAGTGCCGAGAATAGGCTGATTTTTCAATCCATGTTTCAAAGCGTGTCTGAATTTATCCATTTTCCTTCGCAGTTTCTTCTCTTGACGTCGCTTCTCGTCCTTGACGCGCTGAACAGCCTTTGATTGTAAGTGTTCGTAAATAAACCGCAAGTTGGTTTCATTCACTTGTTCCTCTTTAATGCGAGGGTCTACATCATCTAGTGCTTTCAAGAAGTCCTCGAAAGGAGTGTCCACATCCACATCGAATGATTCTTCCGCCTTTTTTTTACGAAGTGCACTGTAAACAAGTTTCTTTTGCTGATACAGTTGTTCGTCAAGATCATCGATACAGTCCCAAAACATATCTAAAGGTGTAGAATCCGGTAGACCTACAGCAGCTATATATCGCGGATCATCTTTGATAGTAGGATATATCTCTTTCCATAATGTACGTACATTGATTTGGTGGTTATTGACGAGATCGCGCAATAGACCCTATTGCAGTTGGAAAGAATTTTGGATGAACTACTTATAACCTTTCCACTCTAGATGACTAGCCAAGCTCTACTTACTTTAAAGCCTTCCCTTGCTTTTCTATCCTTTCTTCGTCGGGCAATGACCCTCTTATTCAATTCAGTTAACGGTTCTTCCCAAAGCTGCCGATTATACTCTTCAAATACAGAAAAGAAATCGAGCATGTCCATACCTACAAATGTAATACCCTCTTCTTGTTGCTTTTGCTCATACAAGGCCTTTGCTTCCTCCCATGACATTTTATACATAATTTCTGGTATAGATCTCAGTAACCGACTGAACCTTTCCATACTTTCTTTTCTTAATTCACGTAAACGATCTTTTTCATCCCGTTGCATGCTTTGAATATACTCATCAAAATAAGCCTCTCGTGTTCTGTCGTCATTCTGAAATGCAGTGAATGCTGGTAATTGTCCACATAGCTTTACTAGGGTGCGATAACGTGTGTAAGATTTGATCGTATCTCCTTGAGATTTTAACATATTGAAAAAGTCATTTTTGAGTTTGATCTCCCTTTGTTCGCGTTCTTCTCGTTCGCGCTTCGCTTCGGCATCTGCCCAGGCGTGAAAGGCGGCTTTACGTTCGGCGGTCGTTCGTAATGCACGGTAGAGTGGTTTGGTAATAATGGCACGCATGGCCTCTTCCCAGGTCCAATCGGGTCGGACACCCTACGATGAGGCAACAACATAAGCTATTTCTATCTTTTTTTTTTTTTTTTGCTCCATTTGGATTGATCACTTACAGTTTCTCTTAATAAGCCAAAAAATGCTTGCTCTGCCTCTTCTTTTGTAGCAAACTCCGGAATGGCCTGTTGCTGCTGTGGGACAAAATGAGACATTAAAGGTGCTCCTGTGGACATCATAGGTCGGATAGGTTGCTGTGGCGGTGGTTGTTGTTGTTGTTGTAGCGCTATGGGCGGAGGTACAGCTGAAGGTGGCATAGGCATCGCTTCCGCTGCCGTTTTTCGTGCATTATCCAATTGCTCCTTTAACTCAATCGGCATTTCCCAAACTGTTTCTTTCGTATTTGTATTGCTGTAATACTTTTTGCCTTCTGGTGTTGTGTACTCTTTCCAAGGTGAGTATTTCCATACTCTTTCTTCTGGCGTTAATAACTCGACTGGTTTTTCCCAAGTACTTTGTTTTGTCACGGTGTTGAACCAATATTTCTTCCCTTCGGGGTTGTATGTTCTTTCCAAACCATCTATTGTATACATAAAAAAAGGTCAAAAAAAAACTTATCGGTAGTGCGTCCATTGTTCCAATGCAAATTTACGGCAGGTGAAGGAGGCGCTTGTGGTGGCGGTGGCTGAACCATGTGAGGTGGTGGAGGGCGTTGATTTGGCCATTGCATTCTGTTAGGTGGTGGTGGCCGACCAGCAGGTGGTGGTCCGTACTGTTGGCAACATGAATAAAGGAAAATTAGCTTTTGTTCTCTCCCTTTACAATAGTCATAGTTCCGTAGCTTACTGCAGCTGGTGCAAAATTGCCTGATGGAGGTCTGTACATAGGAATATAAACGTTGAAGTTTGGAAGAAAAGGTGCGTAGATAACTGAAAAAAGTTCGGGTTTAAAAAACTGACAGACAGTGACAAAAAAAAAAAGAAGGCTTTTTGGTTCCGTTAAATACACCCCAAATGGGCTCTTCCCCAAGTGTAAAAAGCTCAGGAACATCAAAAATAGTTCATGCTAAAAAAAAAAAAAAAGGGAAAAAGATATTTTATTTGATATACTACAGCTCAAACGAGATTGCTATGTACAAATGGCTTTATTGTAGCTTATTATGCTTCCTTGATATCTTCTACCAACTCCTCCAGTTTCTCTGCAGCAGCCGGTTGCAACATATCTTCATTATTCTCTCTAGTAGAATTTAATGCTGTTGTTAGAGTCTCCTTTGTAGTAGTTGTGAAAGAGTCAGCATGAGTTGTTGTGGTGGTGGTAGTAGGGGTGGTAGTAGTGGTAGCATTGTCTTTCCATAGATTGGGTACTTTAATCTTCACAAAAGTGGGATAGACGAGTTTATCAATATATACATTTCTAAGTTTTGTTTGAATTAAATCTCTCAATTTTGGTATGTCCTCTAGCTTTGTTCTTGAACCTATCGAGGACTGTACGTCAAGGTCCAGTATGAAATCAGAGTGTGATGAAATTGCAATATATCTTTGTAATGGCGTTTTCGTTGGCGTAGTCGTCGGTGGTGGGTTGATGAGTTCGATAGTAAGTGTGCCTGAAAATCGAACAACAGATAACACGAGTGAGATAGGTAGCGCTGCAAATGCTGGCTTGGGCCAGTTGAGTATGATCTGTGTTTCGATTCCCAGTGTTATTTGATCATTGTATTCGAAATCTATCTCTGCCTTCTGTGTATATTTCAATTACACAGCTTTTTATGTCAGCTACTTTTCCTTGTTTTAAACTATACATGTTTGCTACGGGTGCAAAGCTTACCATAGAGTCAACCTCATCGGATCTTCTTATCCTTGCATTGCTGAATATCGGAAACTCTTCTCCTAAATTGAGTTCAGTAACCTGTATCGGTCCCAAGAAGCTAGGCTTTACGCCACCATTTAAAATATGATCCACAGCCATGATCAGTCGATTATTAATTTTAGCATCCTCCCTGTACTGCAAGATAGCCTGTGCCAATAAAACATTTAACCAATCTGTACTTTCTGGGGGATGTAAATTCATGTCGTAATACGTTTTTATTGTGATATGATCTTTCGGTAAGGGTATAGAGGCATTTGATATACAAGATTGCTGTGTTTTTGCTGCTGCTGCTCTTGATGCATATGGAACGTAGTGCCTCTTTTCGCGTTGAACACCTTCTGTGAACAAATATCTTAGTACCAGCGCAACAACGAAAATAACACTCAATTGACCCACAATGAATCCTTTAAGGAATGCTAAAGTGCTAATACTGCTACTTTTTGTACATGCTGTTTGTAAAAGTTGCAATTTCAGCGATTCTATTGCTTGTAATGCTGCTACTGTTGCATTTTCAGCATCCATTCTTTTTTATAAGAATAAAAAATAAAATAAAAAAGGCTGCAGGGTAATCTTCATCCTTTTGGAAAACAGCCAAATATCATCCCGCCAATAATTTAAAAAATCAGCCCAAGCAAAGTGGTTAGCGATCGGTTGCAAGTGTTTCATCGCCACACTTGGCCGACTTGCCTTCAATCACCTCCTATCTTCAGTAACAGCGCAATTGGCATTAAAAGCACCTTGAGACAAAGAGGAATACTGCTCGATTAAGCTACAGTTTCTAACTTGGAGCTAGGCAGAACTCGAGTTGTAGTAAATAGTAGTATTTGCGATAAGGCATTTTTAGCATATCAAATTTTTTCCTTAAGCTGCTAGTGCTAACATTTGCGTCGACTGAGCAATATTTGGAGGAAATCTCAAGGAGAGAAGACATGGATAAGCATTCTTTTTTGTAAGGCCTTTCAACAAAACTAGCCCTTTCTTATACCAAAAAAAAAAAAATGAAATGAAAAAAAAGGCAAAAAATCACTATAGTTGAAACTTCTGTTCGCCTTTGAGTATGTACTTGAGAGTAAAAGGGACTGGCACAGGATTGAAATATCTATTGGAAGTGATGGTCGGATACTTCTTGAATGTAGCCTTCAACGTGGCAAATTGTTATGGATCAAAGAGCGGAGCAAAATACTCTAGTTATGCTTGCCTTTTATAGAAAAGCTTCTAGACTATAGAGTTTTATTGCCCTTTTTTTCCCTTTTATACATTGCCCCTTCCGTCTTTCTTCAAGCAAAAAGAGATCAAGTCATGCGAAGAACTGTCCCTTTGTTACTCATAGCGGTAACATTTGCCTTTTTATTGACGACACTGGTGCAAGCAGCTCGAGATTTTTACGAAGTACTCGATGTACCACGCGATGCGACAAAAACTCAAATAAAGCGACATTTTAAAAAACTATCTAGAGTCTATCATCCAGATAAAAACTCAGGTGATGAGGAATCAGCACAGAAATTCATGGAGATCGCTAATGGTAAAGTCAGCCAAAGCACGTTTGGCGAGATTACATTTTCGAAACCTAACCTATATGCTTGTTGATGATCGTTATGGATAGCTTATGAAGTACTCATGGACGATGAAAAAAGAGCCATTTACGATCGATATGGTGAAGAAGGCTTAAAGCAAGGAGGCGGCGGACGCGGTGGTGCCAATATGTTCCATGATCCATTCGATATCTTTTCACATTTCTTTGGAGGCGGACACCGACAAGGTAAAGGAAGTAACGAATAATTCGAAATCAAGCATATGTATAACATGAATGTTATTTAAACAGGTCAGCAGCATCAAGAAAGAAGAGGGCCCAATATTGCCGTGCCTCTTCAAGTCAGTTTAGAAGATTTATATAATGGAGCAGAAATTGAAGTGGATGTCTCAAAGCAAGTGCTTTGCGATCATTGTCATGGAAGTGGGGCTCGTAAAGCTGAAGACATTCATACCTGCGATGTTTGCAACGGCAGAGGCATTGTGATAAAACGACAACAATTCGGACCAGGCATGATCCAGCAGTTCCAGCAAACCTGTCAAAAGTGTAACGGAAAGGGCAAAGTTATCACTCATAACTGTCCTGTTTGTAATGGTCAAAAAGTGCGAAGAGGAAATGAAAACTATTCGATCACCATAGAAAAGGGCATGCATGATGGCCATAAGATTGTAAGTGTGTGATAGACCTTATAAACCTTACTGCAAAATGTACTTACATGGGCGCAATAATTAGGTTCTAGAAGAGGAGGCAGATGAGTACCCTGAAACTATTCCGGGTAACATTATATTTGAAGTAAAGACAGCACCTCACCCCGTCTTTGAGAGACGTGGCAATAATCTATACACGATACAGCACATTAATTTGATTGATGCACTTGTGGGCTTCAGAAAGACATTAAAACAATTGGACAATTCAGAAGTAGAACTTGTCAGAGAAGGCGTAACACAATATGGATTTGTACAGACTATTCCGGGTCATGGTATGCCTTTTGAAAATGAACCGAGTAGAAAGGGTGACCTTTTTGTCGAATATCAGATTATATTCCCTACAGAAATCGATGATGAAACTATTGAATGTAAGTAAACTCAAGCCCTCGTATGGAAGTCTGCAGAGACGCTGGCAATAATTGGAGACTAACTTTTTTTGCATTTCTCTGATAGTTCTGAAGAAAGGCAGCAAATTCCCTGCAAAGCTTCCAATGAATCATCAGGAGCTTTAGATAAATAACTTAAACACTATACATATAATTGTTCTATAGACAGTATACTTTGACAGTTAAAATATATCCTTGAGTCTAGTTTGATTTCTTTTTTTTTTTTTCTTTCGGGAGAAACCTACTTGGTTAAACAGGAGGATTGCATTTTATGTGCTTTGAATATGAAAAGGTTCTAAAGGAAGGAGAGTGCCTGAGCTCACGCCAGACAATGAAATTCTATATGGCGTTTGAGTAATCTTAAGAAATCATTAATGCATCCTTATATACCATTCGTCCAATATACGGACAATTTCTGTGCTGCAAACAGCAGATGAACGTGATCTAACTGAACTTTTTTTTTCCCCTTGTACAGCATTACATGTAACGGATCTTCATTAATACATTTAGCAGAATGTCAAAATGATGCAGTTATTAACCCATTATCTGCAGTGTTTCCGTTCAATAAACCGATTCTTCCGGAATACAAGTTTGATGGGAATTGACACTTCTGTTTTTATTACCGCAAAGGGTCTTCAAATATAACGCAAAAAGGAATGTCTAATGTTTTGCCTACAATTTTTAATGGGTCTACAGTTGGAAGATTAGTTGAATAGATTAAATGAATAATCCAAATTGTTGAAGAGCTGTATGATATAAAATTACATTAAAGCAAAAAGTTTGTTTGCCAATACATTATATAAGCGGATCTGTAAAACGAAGGCGCAAGAGTTTTAGAAGAGCAATGCTTTCAGGGGATGTATAAAATGTATTGTTTCTCGCTGGTAATAAGTCAACTTCTATAGAGGGTTCTACAAGTACTATAAATTGTTAAAAAGTTGGTCAAAAGAACAAAGAAATTATAATGCATAAAATCTGTTCCTGAATCTCTGTCCTGTCCACCTTTGTCAATTACTATAAACGAACATTTGTTAAAAGGGAAGGCTCTTCTTTTAAGTTTCCTATGGAAAATCACCTTGGCAGCCTTAGAGCTTTTACATAAATTTAGGCAAAGAAATGTACCTCACCAAAGAAGCATCAAAGACAATGAAATAAACCATACACCCTCCAAATCCCCTTCAAAATATAAATCCCAAGACAAAATTACTCATTCTTTCCAACTTCATCTTCTTCTTTCTTAACAATCTCCCCATTCCTACAATACTTTCCTTTACCCTTTACATTCCCTCAATAAAATTAGCAGCAGCTACATTCATTATTCTTAATAAGCATGATCACACTCGCTGAACATAACCCTAACTGCGAAAAGAATGAACCTGCACCATCACCTGTAGGGTTCAAAAACGTTCCTTCTATTACAACACCCATTGAACTGACTGTACAGGGTTACATTCCCGCTTGGGTGAATGGTGTCATGTATAGATCAGGTAATTATAATAATCATATACTTTAGTTCAATGCTGTACAATATTTAAGTGCTCCAATTTTCAATTCGTCGACAGGTTCTGGTCGATACAATTTACTTATGGATAATGGAGACACCTTCCATATTGGTCATCCCTTTGATGGCTTGGCTATGCTTCATCGATTTGAAATTCAAGGTGAATCACAAACTGTCAAGTACAATTCTCGGCATACTTCTCATGGTGTTGAAAGGAGAATACGACAAAGGGATCCAACCTTGCTTACTTTCGGCCCTGATCCTTGTAAAACTATTTTTGGACGCATGCAAACAGTGTACCATCATATTTCAAAGTTTGACACAAACGCTGCCCTTCAAGAAGACGATCCAGAATTTGATATGGTTAATGTAACAATCACGCCTAATTTTCCTCTTGGCGAAAGTTTAGAAAAAGAAACTGGTATAAAGAGAGGCGAAGCTCTAGTAGTAAAGAGAGATGCTAATACATTGCAAGTTGTTGATCCTGAATCTTTAAGTAAGTTCAAGGGCATAAACATATTTATAATTTTGCTTCAGGAAGATATAACTGATACCATCCTTAAATTTGTAGAACCTATCAAAATGTTTACTTATGGACATGTCAGTAAGAAGTTACAAGGTCAATTGTGCGCATCCCACCATCAATACGATGAGGAAACAGACGAATACGTTAATTTTATGGTAAAATTAGGGCCTTTCCCTACTTTTCAGACATTTACCCTTGGGCCTTATTTACCTTCCCCCCCGGGTGAGAAAGAACAGATGCCTGCACCTGAACCCACACTACATCAGCCTATCTGGCGCCACCTTGGTGCCTGGAAAACCATGGAAGCACTCAAGCCCTCTTATATTCATTCCTTTAGCATGACGAAGAATTACATTATCATCCCCAACTTTCCTTACTATTATTCTTTTGGCGGTCTTTCTGCTATTTACTATTCTTGTGCATACCAGACCTTCTACTGGGATGAGACTCGTCACACACTCTTTCACGTAATTGACCGTCATACCGGGCAACATGTTGCTACATACGAAGCTGATCCTTGCTTTGCTTTCCACACTGCAAATGCTTGGGACGAAGACGTAGAACTTCCTGGAGGCCGTCGTGAGCGCGTTATATACATGGACTATTGTATGTATGAGAATACTGATATCGTTGATGCCAGCTTTGAGCTTGGTAAAACACCCACAGGAAAGCTCGATCTGGATCAAGTACAACCAGCCCGTTATGTCTTTGACAAAAACACACATCATAAAAAAGAACATCAAATTGCTCCTTCTCAATTCCGTCGATATCGTCTTGGTCAAGTACCTATTACTGAATCCAGCGCTAAAAAATGGACACCATCGTGGAAGAATATGTTTGACTTTTCAAAATGGACAAAGTACAACAAGCGCCGTGTTGCTTCGTACACAGTCATAGGTTATGATTTAGAAATGCCCCGTTTCAATTCTCGGTTTAATTTGAAGCCTTACCGCTATTGTTGGGGTGTCTGCGAATCACGTCATGCTCCTTCGTATGCTTCTGGCTCGGTGGTAAATGGTTTAATCAAATTGGATCTGAATAATCCTTATATGGGCCCTAATACAGACCAGGATGCGACTGCAAAAATATGGGACGAACCTGGTTGTTCATGTGCTGAACCTGTGTTCATACCAAATCCTGAAGGAACCGCTGAAGATGATGGTGTAATTGTTTCTATTGTGAACACAACGTTAGATAATGGCAACGAGTCGTGCTTTATTCTTATTCTAGATGCGGCTACTATGGAAGAGTTAGCGAGAGCAACAATAGGCTCTTTCAACGCCGTTACTTTACATGCTAGCTTTGTGGATAATTACGGCAGAGGCGTCTCGGTGAACTAAACGAGTGTTATACCTAAACATGCCACGGTGCAATTGCCATGAAAGACCTTTTTTATTTTTGTTTCTCACAATTACCGGTTTTAATATTATTGTTATCCTCTATATATTTATCAATAAAATTTTTAGTGTACTTTTCCCATTTGAACCATGCTAGCGCTTGCATTAAGCAGTCGCTCAAATCATCCCTTTTTTTCTCTTTCAGGAACATAGCTTTAAAATTGTCATCGCAGTGAAATACTGAATTGGTTTGAAGCCAATGCTGCACCAACATTGTGCTAGCTTGTTTTTTCAAATAATAGCCTTTTTTTACACCTTTGAACCGTTCTGAATTCTGTTTAATGACAGTCTCCAAATCTTCCATCCACACATTATCAATACTCTGTCGTAACAAAGGAGTCATTTCAATATATCTTTTTTTGGGAAGACGATCCACTGCTTCATATAAGCCGGTCCACAGTACAGCTTCTACACAATTGACCCTCAACGTCGCCTCTAATACTGCATGACCACCTCCGCTTCTAGCACGCTGTTGCTCTATAAGCACCCTGTCAACTTGGCCTAAATGACACTGAACGCGATCTGTTACAAACTGACGTACAACAGGGGCAACTACTGAGGGATGAAACGAGTCCAAGTCGAGATCTACACGTGCCCAGTCCTTTATATTGGAATCTTTGTCCAAAACACAATAAGCAAGGTTGCGATAACCTAAATCAAAAGAAAGTACTTGCGAAGTTGTGCTTGCTGTTGTAAACCCTCCAAAGTGAGACACAAGTCTGTCGACAAGATCAATTTTTTTCCCAGTAGTTTTGACTCCACATTGGACAGCTATGGATTTTAGTTCAGCTACCTTCTTTGTTGACAGCGAAGAGAAGCCTCGCTTTACAATAAATAGCATTTTACTTTTACGAATCAAAGAAAAAAGAAAAACTCAAAAAGGAGTATATTATACTGTTGGAAGTCAAATAAATGTAAGCTAGCGCAAATCCACACAATGCGCAACTGTTTGCTCTTTCTTCCTGCATACCATATCATTTTTCTTTTTAGCGATTCCTTCATACTTGAGATACTCATAACGGACCCTTCGATGTTTGAACGTACAATTGACAATTGAAAACGTAATAAATGACGGATCAACTTCATGTTATACACAAGCAGGAATTCATATTGCAGCTTGAATCCATTTTTTACAACTATTTTTTAATGTTTCTTTTATTTGACAAGCCATATACAACATAATATAGACCTTAAGTTACAATAACCGTAGTCAAAATATGGTGACGAAATTGAGTGCTACAGTAACAATAAAAGATGGGTTGAATATGCTGTTGGTTTGTTGTTGATGGAGAGATTTAGAAAACAAGAGCGGCACCCTTGGTCTTCTTATCACCACCCAATTCGAAGTGCTTGCATCTCTTGATGGCGAGTTGCATCTTGTACTTACAAGCTATCACGAAGCAGAGAAAGGAACATGTTCAATTTAAGTATCAACCCAGTGACGTGATTTCGAAATGTGTGGGATCTATAACTTACCGGTACATTCGAGACGAAGGACAATCTTCTTGGTAGTCTTAGCCTTCTTGTGGAAAACGGGCTTGGTTTGACCACCATAACCGGATTGCTTACGGTCGTAACGTCTCTTACCTTGGGCAAAGAGAGAAGCCTTACCAGCCTTGTATTGAGTGACCTTGTGGGGAGTGTGCTTTCTACACTTAGAACCCTTACAGAAGGTATTTCTGGTCTTGGGAATGTTGACCTACATAACATTAAAAGGTCGTGGCGGTTAAAAACCAGGTTCATGAACGCAAATCCATCACAGCAAATTCCACATCCACATTCATGTTTCTATTTAATAAGCTAATGAAGAAATCCACAATGCCGAGGTGACAGTATTGTTGCCTTGTAATTTTCTCTTTTGATTTGCCTTAAATTTCTTTCTTAGTATTTCGAATTGAATGTGTAGCAGAATATCTACTTGCTGGATGGATGGATGGATGAAGCTTGGTCTTGTCCCTTACCATTGTGAATACTACAGATAAAAGAGGAGGATGACACCCAGAGCATCTATCGTCCAGCTATTTTCCTTGTTTGCTCTCTTTCCACAGATTTGCAAGTGGTGTCCTTAAACCGCCGCAAATTTGCCCTTCTTCCTGAGATTTTAAATGCCGCTACCGGACAGAAGTAAAGCATAAAAGTTGAGAGTTCAGCTATACCAGTGATTTACTACTGAGATATAGCTATTCATAGTAAGCCAAGGTCAAAACATACTGTATAAAGTGGGTCTGCTTGCAGCAGGAATAAAACGTACCAGTTGTACTGTACGATAGTTTATAAAAAGTTCCCTTTCTGATCGGTGTCAGTTGAGCTGCAAGGCAAAACTACCTTATTGAACTGTTGCTCTCACCCGGTGAGCAAACATTATGGACGGACTTTGAAAATAAATTGCTGCTCTCACTGTTCGCATCTATGTCAGCCACTGGGTCTTCGAACTGTGGGCTGAAATAGGACGAAATGCAACACACATTCAAACCCTCTCTTCTCCCCTCCCAAAGTAGGGTATGTCAATGATAGTAGATATGGAAAATATTGCAATTAGATTCACAAAGAGAGGTTGAATATGACGAAGACAAAGGATGGATTGCAGATGGATTAAACCAGAACGAATACCATATCATAATAAATGGATGGATGAGACAATATGCAGCTGTATTGAGTGACACGATTCGTTCTGCATTCCAGTGCATCGAGATTTTACCAGCTTTTTCAGACTCTATTTGTAACGCTTCGCTTTTTGGTTGTGCATTTAGTTTTACTATTGCCCCACTTTTTTAGCAACACAAAGAACAATTAACATCAGCTATTGCCCATCAATTTATACAACTTCATGTTTGCTTATCAATAAGTTTGGATGTTCGAACTGTCGGCAATCTTGCTTCGTAATCAAACCTCACTTACACTACATCAAATTTTTGACAGTTGTCAATACAAATCATCCACTTATTCTATCTCTCTCTGTCGAGTCACCTTTGCAATATTTTTCTTATCAATTGAAGAAATACTTCGTTATCGCACTGTTCAAACTGCTAATTTATTTGGTCGTTTTTATAGAAAAAATTATCTTAAATGGGTCGTGTCATTCGTGCTCAGAGAAAAGGTGCTGGTAGCATCTTCAAGTCTCACACTGTTGGTCGTAAGGGTGCTGCTAAACTCAGAGTCAATGACTTTGCTGAACGTCATGGTTACATTCGTGGTATTGTTAGAGAAATCGTTCACGATCCTGGAAGAGGTGCTCCTCTCGCCAAGGTTGTCTTCCGCGACCCCTATAAGTAAGTATTTAGTGTTCTAAGAAAATTGAGTAGAGTACATATGATTGGATATCATCTATAATTTTTGAATAGTTTATTAATTTGTTATATATCATTCACTATCTAAAATTAGGTACAAGCTTCGTACTGAAACCTTCATTGCCACCGAAGGTATGTACACTGGCCAATTCATCTATGCCGGTAAGAAGGCTTCTTTGAACATTGGTAATGTTATGCCTTTGGCTTCCATGCCCGAAGGTACCGTTATCTGTAACGTTGAAGAAAAGGCTGGTGACCGTGGTTCCATTGCCCGTACTTCCGGTAACTACGCCACTATCATCGGTCACGGTGATGATGGTAAGACTCGTATCCGTCTTCCTTCCGGTTCCAAGAAGGTCGTTCCCTCTACCGCCCGTGCCGTCGTTGGTGTCGTTGCTGGTGGTGGACGTATTGATAAGCCTATGTTGAAGGCTGGTCGTGCCTACCATAAATACAGAGTCAAGCGTAACAGCTGGCCCAAGACTCGTGGTGTTGCCATGAACCCCGTTGACCATCCTCACGGTGGTGGTAACCATCAACACATTGGTAAGGCCTCTACTATGGCCCGTGACTCTCCTGCTGGTCAAAAGGTCGGTTTGATTGCTGCCCGTCGTACCGGTCTTCTCCGTGGTACTAAGAAGGTTAAGGATGCTTAAATGGTCAAACTCTAAGAAAATCATTAGCACGTTGATGAGGAAGAGTATCACACTAACAAATCACGGCGAATCACGCATTTTTTCTCTTGCAACTACTTTTCTTCCATTATAATTTGTTATTAATAAATTGTTCGGATCGATGTATTTTTTACAGAGCTTGTTTTTTATTATGGAGCCCCATTTTTTCGTGATAAAAATATGAGAAAAATCGATTGGAAAAGGTTTTGAATATAATGTGAATGGAAGAGCTATCAGCTTCTAATAGAAGATGTTATCGTAAGTTATCATGCTGAGAGTAATCTTGGAAATAGTTAATTCTGTCAAAGCTATGATCTTTCGATAGCATACAGTAGTAATCAAACTGTGCTTTTGGATAATCACAATGATACAGTATATCCGTTTTGCTCCTTTAAGTCTTTAAGGATACAGCAACAGATTTTTATTCGCATTAAAGGACCGCGTGATGTACGGGCCTTAAACGGAAGCCCTTTTTTTTCTCTTTCCAAAAAAGGGAATGTCTGGTCTGGAGGGAAAAAAAAGAAAAGAATATCACTCTCTTTTTCTGTCTTTCCTTTCATCGATTCTTGTTTTCATACTTGTTTTCACATAAAAAAAATAAAAAAAAATAAAAATATGAAACATGAGGATATCCCTATAATCACTGTATCTACTAATGAAGGTGGAGATACGGAGAGCATTTCATCGAACCATCCTTTAACGACTGAAGACCCTGTGCTTGACAATCTTGAATTAATAGAAGAAATCAAAGATATGAATGCAGTCAACCCTGATGATAAACAAGTACCACATGCTATTATTGTTGACAAAAAAGATCCTAATAAATTAGACAACAGTTGTTTGGATGAGCAACAAGTACATATCCAGCCGGAAGAAAAAACGATAGAAAAAGAGGATATGAAAGCGAGAGAAATTGAAAGGACTAAGGAAGATGGAGACGGGCAACCCGATATTGTAACGAAAGCATTACAACAACAACATTTAAAACCATCTCTCTCACCTAAACCAGCTGGTATGAGCCTACCGCAGCATGCACCAGCTACTACTGTTACAACCACAACCATCGTAACGGGTGCATTAGATATTACATCGCCTATTCATAGTCCAACAGATGATAAGAATAATGTGGACCCAATACAACAAGAAGATAAGAAGCACGGTGATGGGGACGATGATGAAGAAGACGATGATATGGACGATGAGCTACATCGTATCACTGAACTAAACCGACATATTTCAGTCAATACAACAAATTCGTTATCCAAAGGAGATCAAAATACTAAAACGACCCGGCGAAAATCCTTACGTAGTCAAAGCCCCACTAAACGTCGTCAATTACTTGTCTTTGCTGACAAACCGAACGTTATAAAGAAACCCGACCGCATCATTATACACAACCATTATGGAGCAGGCCCTACTGGAACATTAGAAGAAGATTTGAGACCTATGCGTCGCAGACGATCTTATATGGTAGCATGTGATTTTAGCGACGAAAGTTTTCATGCAATAGAGTGGACGATGGGTACAATAATGAGGGACGGTGATAGACTACACGTTGTCACTGTGGTGAACCGGGAAGACAATCCTGAAGTTGTGAAGGAAGCAGGTTTATCATTGTCAAAAGAGGTACATTTATTGAATGGAGGCTATCAGCGAATTTTGCTAGAGATGCTTTTACTGACTTATAGAGCTTGCTTTTGGAATTTTTCTATTGCAACAGTTAACGAAGGCTTCGGAAATAGTGACTGAAGAAGCTAAGAAGACATTAGGGCAAATGCTATTGTTCGATATTGAACTGGTTACACATGCTATTTGCGGTAGAGTGAAAGATGTTTTATTAAATGTTGTAAGTAATATAAGAAGCATAATTTATTGGGCATATGGTTCTAAATTGTCATGTTTGTTTTGATAATTGAAACCGTAGATTAACAGTATCAGCTTAACTATGGTCGTGTGTGGCAGCAGAGGCCGAGGTGTTGTCAAAGGGTACACAACGGATACTATCTAATGTTTGTCCTACGATAGAATCATGCTGATGAACTCCTATTTATGCAAAATAGAATGTTGATGGGGTCTATATCGACTTTTCTAGTGCACAAATCTCCTGTTCCAGTTACTGTCATTCGACCGCAGAGAAAGAAGAAAGCTACTCTCAAAAAGCCTGTACATGTAGCGCCTTTGAGTCAAAGTAAACAATTTTAATGCAGAACAAAGTCATTGTAAGAGAAGAAACTGAAGTATCTTTTTGTCCTTAAATAGGTGTTAAATCAGGTCAATTGGCTGTAGATGAACTCAGTAAGCCTTCAATAAGTCAAGCAGCTTCGAGTAGCAGTAGTAGCGCTGGTGGCGTATAGCTTGAGAACTTAATTTGTTATTGTTAGAGTAATGTAGAGATTTTTTCCTTTTTTTTTTTGGATAGACACACATAAGCATATTATTGCATATTTTTGGGAAGTATTGCCCTACGCTTTTTCGCGGTATACATAGGATATATATCTCATAAACAATATCCTTCGTAGTCTATTTTATCAGGCCATTTATTCCAGCGGAAATGTATTGTACAATATTGGCATCCATATAAACTATTTCTCGTCTTCTGAAATGGCATCAATTTCCTCGTCAAATGTGGTAGTGCCCAGCTGCCCACTATTAGCGCTTAAAGTCATATACTATTGGTCATGCGTCATAGTCGGCATATTGATATCAGTTAGCATCGATGTATTTTGCTTTGTCTTGATTGCACAATTACCTTTCCTTGGAAAATTCTATTTAATCCTTCCAATTTATTCATATAAGCAACACGATCGTTCAATGTAGAAATTTCGAGTATGCGATCTTCTATATTTTTTTGCTGTTCCTCATTCTGAACAATATTAAAGTGTACCATTTTTATGTGTTGATCTGTGACTGAAATAGAAGCTTGAATATGGTTCTGGTTGATCATTTCGATTAGAATATGTTCTAATTCTTCCGGTGACACATCTTCGATTTTACGTGCCATTTCTTCCAAACCCACTGTAATATACACTTTTGTCAATTCTTTGATCTTTTTGCGTCGAAGTGATTGATAGCATTGCTTAACTAAGCCCATATGGTTATCCTATAAATGTACGCAAAACATAAGTACTTTACAAAAGTTATCTGCTTGATCTATCTTTTTATAACAAAATATGTTAGACGAGCTTACCCCTCTGAACACATTAGACGATTTTTGAAGTGTATCATTAAATTGGTGTATATTAGTATCTTCAAAAGCTTTCGACAAATTGATATACGCAGTGGAATGAAATCTACACGCTTTTTCTACGCCTGGTGCTGTATATTTAGGTAAGGTACGAATGCGTGCATCTGTAATCAAACTGGCAAGAACGAATTTTTTGTACGCAGCAATTTGAATGGCGCTAACTACATTCTGCTGAGTAGGTGCAGATATCACAATAGTAAGGAACTCTAAGGCTCGGTCGTACTTTTTGTTGCCGATGTAAAGGATAGCTCCGTAGTAGTAGTACTCCAGAAAGTTTCGAATATTAACATCGTAATTCTGTGACGCGAATTATGGAGAAGAATCTCTACGTTAGATATAGTTACTTATAAAATATAGGGAACATTGTTACGTTACATTTGGTTGAATAATTTCAATGTCATGATCAAGTAGATAAAGTGGATATCGATATGCCTTAGCTCTTATACAGGCCTACGATGATGAATGCTTTAACCAAAAAATCTCTATTGATTCACTTTTAAAAATTGGTACTTACCCTTAGAAAAGGCGCATGAAGGGAGGTGAGCACATTTTCTCCTTCAGCAAACCTTTCAATGGCTATCCTGAAGCTTAAAAGTGGTAATAAAGGCTATTCAAGAAGTGGTTGGATGCCTTATAGCCTCGAATCCACAATGATTATCATCTTTGGCTGTGCACCTTACCTCTCTTAATACTTCTGATAAATGTAATAATGTGCTTCCTATGAGTGTAACTAAAGAATATATATGAGCTTAATCTTTGTTTTTGAAAGTGAAACGCCTTTCCTTCACTTGTCATGGAACGAGAGCTTTACAGCAAGCTGCTGCTATTCTAACTTGTTCCGGGTCAAATTGTCTGATAAAGTGGTCAAGTAACTGATATAACTGCATGCTATTTGTTTCTGTTGCTTCTAAGCATCTTGCTGTACTATATTTGTACGTTGCATATAGATAAATATCCCGTCAGTTGTTTGAATAGGACATTCATTTCAAACACTCGACATAATTCTTGGAATTACATGAAATATAGATAAGCTGCCGAATGAGTTACTGGATTCAAAATCGTCAAAGGATCGAGACCGTCAGAAGTGTAAGCCGTAAGCTGTTCTCTGTTGAGCTTATCTAACGTAGGCACATAGAACGGGGCCGACTGTCCTGAAACGATCAAAGCAACGATTTCATCGATAGTATTCACTCTCCCAGCTGCAATGGGTGATGCTTCAGTCATAACAGCTTCAGAGGAAAATTCAGAATGCTGATTATGTTCGTATTTTTCTTCCATGGTGTGGATTTGCAGGTGAACTTAATTACGAAGACGACAAGAACGAAGAGTTTACAAGCATTATCTATTGCATAACGAAATGAAGACCGAGAATGATACTCTGAGATTCAAAAGGCACCTAAGGATGTATGAACCGGACGCGCATGAAAAATGAATAATTTACATTGCGGTAAGTATTAACTAGTAAGTGACAGGCGTTGATTTTGACAACTTTACCACTTGTTCATGATTGCTGTTTATAAAGTAGTCTCGTTTCCGGAGCCGTATAATATAATGGTTATCCGCAGTTTAGTCAGGTACTCATGCTACTTCAACAGACAGAAGATTACTATAAGTTTAAAGCTGCTCACTTCAATATGATAATTACAGTTTACAGTGCTCAACAGTTGCTTATTTGAACAACTATTTCTCATTCTCTAAAGCTCCTTTACTTTAATTTTGCTTATTTATAGTTCAAATATCAGTGCGTGTGCACGGAAAATCTCTGATAGAATAAATTTCATCCTATTGATTTAAATGCCATACTTCTCAATTTGTTCGGCAACTCTCTGTTTGCCGACAACAATAGCACGCTCTACATATCTTGCATGAGCTGCTTTGGTAGCTTCTCCACCAAATGATGCTATAGTACCAAAAATTATGAATTTTGTCAGTCCTGCCTTTCAAATAGAACAATGGGTGTCAATGCATATTTTTATTATACCTAACGGTACGGGAGGGGTCATTATCTCAAGACCATCAGGCAGAGCCATCAATGTTTGGGCTATACAATATTTGTAGAAATAAGCAAATATACAACGCTTGACCGTTCAGTTGTTAATGTGAGAATGTATGTTACTTACTGTTTCGTGACTCATCTGTGATTAGAGTGAAAAAAGCATCAATCACAGTACTCATGGGAGTACGAGGTGAATTTTTCACAATGTCAGCGTAGAGTAGGTCGTCTTCTGCAGTGGCATTGGATACACTTCGGATAAGGTCAGTTTCTAAAACAGTCAGCAACGAATAAAACATTGTAAGTATTGTCATTTCAAGTGGTCGAAATCCTACGAAGCTTTACTTACCAACCCAATATGGACAAAGAGCATTCACACGAACATTACAAATATGCGGCATCAATTGGAATGATCGGGTGTAGCCTACAACTGCATGCTTGGAGGCACTATAACTGGACAGTCCTCTATGAATAGTTACAAGTACTGTCAAAATACTTATGCTGTACTAATGATTACGCTTTTTCCTTTCCAATTGCAACGTATGACTTACGGAGATGAGTAGAACCCTGCAACTGAAGCTATGTGAACAATGGATCCACCTCCCCTTTTTGCCATATATAAGAGAGCAACCTTGGTTCCTTTGATAAGGCCTGTAACATTGACATCAAAAATATTTGTTTCAAGGTGATCTACAGTTGTAACCGTAATAATAATAGTTTTGTTTAGTCAAATTCGACATGGTCGTTTTAAGTTATTTCCAATTACCATCCAAGGCGGTAAAGTTAGAGTTGGCATTTGTAGCAATTCCTGCACCTAGCAACGCGTGCTTAAGAATTCAAAACAACACATTAATTACTGCTTCAAATTGAAAAACTACTTCGTTATTCATATAGTTGAAGCAAATACTCACATCGACTTTTCCAAACTCTGTATCTGCCAATTTAAACAGTGCAAGATTATCTTCGTACTTTGTGACATCAGTACGAATAAATACTGCTACTTTGCTGCCAGCTCTGTTACGATATCAAATTTTTTTATACTGTCAGAAAAATGTAGCTATACAATTATTGTTTGCAATAGCTTATTCCTTACTTTTTATTGTATGCAGCTACTGCCTCTTGTCCTTTCTGTTCCAGTATATCTCCTATGACAACCTTGGCACCATTATCAATCAGAGCATCAGCAATTGCCTTACCAATGCCTTGACTGCCGCCTGTGATAACTACTACTTTATCTTTTACAGAAGTGTACGATGATGATTCAGCAGTCATTATGAATTTTCTTGTATGTTTTCTTTCTCAAGGAATGAAGTAAAAGGCAAAGAAAGCCCTTTCTGTTTATGAGAACTTTACTATGAGAACGAAGTACAATGCTTGATCCTTTTTATGTAATACAAAGGATGAGAATAATGCTGTAGCATGGAAAGTCGTACAACTGATAAGTTAGGTGGCATCCATAGGCAACTTTATCATTTCTTTTTTCTGTTTTTATGCGTCGCAGTTAAAGTTCTGCGTAGAATTGTTTGCATACATTAGAGCATTGGCTCAAGAACCAACATCTCTCAAAAAGGAAGGAGAATGGGTAAATCTAACCTTGTCAATCTTCAGTAACTTGTTTTGCTAATTGGTAACTCTAAAACTAAGATTGTCAATAGGAGCCAAGCAGCTTCTTATTATACCACTTTAACTTTAGAAGAAAGCAACTTAGTTGGGTTAAAAAGGGAGAGTAGGGTGGTAAATAGACGGCTTTGCTCAACAACTCTTCGATGCTGTTAACAGGGAGAACTATGATCCGTCGCAGTTAGCTAATAACAGCAACAAGATGCCTTGGAAGAATATACTGAGTACATTATCTGGCGGAGGCCGGTGCTGTAGCTTTCAAGGATTTGAGTATTGGCACAATCGTCAATAAAAGAGCATTAAGTATTTTTTACAAGCAGAAGAACGACTGTTGGAGTAAGAACTGCATTGGATGGCCTGAGGATTGTCTTTCATCTGAGCTCTGATTAATGCAGACTTAGCCTGAAAATTCTTGGACTGTACCATAGACGAGTTGGAACAAGTACATATCGCCCCTCGTCGGCCAGGCAATAACGAAAGCAATATCAACTCCCCGCCTTGCTGAATCAAACGTATGATATTGAGATATCTGCTTTATGGTGGTAAATTGATAACTGTTATACACGATGGCTATGAACTTTGTGTCTTTATTACTCTTCAGATGAAGTAGGAAGATTATTTTCTTAATGTCAGATGGGAATATATTTTTCAAGTATGTATATGCCGGTCACTAACTTTTTTCATGTTCAAATGCCTCGTTATGTGTAACTGTTTACACTCCAGGCCTCTTTCTTGTGTATATACTGTGTCATTCTTAATCTATATTAGATGCAATATAGGTAAACCGTGGTAGAATGTATTCTCTACCTGATTGTATATCGATTATTGTAGTTGTTTTCTCACCAAACACATAAGTTTATATTAGTATTAGACACATGTAAATCATGACATGACAAAATACGATTTGATTTATCAATCCAACATCACTTTGTACTTGGGAATACACGCTAAATTATGCAGAATTAGGTGAAGCCTCAACTAATACTGAAGCCGAAGTTGTCTCAAAATGGACCATTAATGGTGACTGTATATCCGATTTATGCTTCAAATTGAAAAGTGCAGCATCATAAAAAGTCAAGTACGCTAATCCAGCACAGATCTCAGATATGTAGATCCTCATATAAAATGGCATTTATATCTTTGACAAGAATCCTACGTTTTTTGTTGCAAAGTATTTCTAATACAATTTATACCGCCCTCAAACCAACTTTGTCTTTGAGACATATATTCCTACACAAGCATTAACTGTTATGATTGATGCTTGGGAAATGAAGTATGTCCTCCTGTAGACTCTGGTTCTCATCGCTATCGTTCTGTGCTGAATTACTGACCACAGCATGCAAATATTGGATATGCATAAGCCGAGGTCTTGACGTAAATCCTTCCATTCCTGATGAACAACCCTCCTAAGGACATAATCGAGTATAGTCATGTGCATTATCATCTTTCTCCTTCATTAGCCGCTGTAGTGGTAGGGTGCAGATAGAGGACTTTTGTAATTATAAATAGAATAACTGTATGAAAAAAAGAAACTCATCCTCTTTCAGGTCCAAATGCCCCCACTTAGAAGAATATATAAGTCATATAAAGCCGTTGGACTTAATAAGTATCAATGCTTAAAAGAGGATGAAGCCCAGTACAGTATACATTCTATCTCTGAATGGATAACATTTCATCTCTGTTTGGGCGACATTTCGTTCGGCCCGGAAAGCGTAATTTTCTGGGATTAACTGTATAATCGACCGTGTTAAGGGGTATGCTTTTATTTGTTACTGTATGATGTAATGAAGTCTATTTTCTCTATAGGTTTCACATTTGATATGCCCCTAATGACGTTAGCAATATACTTCATCTTACTATTATTTACTTAAATTGTTCTAGAACAACTTAAATTCATTCAAGCTTTCGATCGTCGACTGCCAGGGCCCTAGTTATCAATACAATACTAGTCTAAACAATTAGGCAGAAGGATAACAAGCAAAACGAATACTTGTTGGTAAATTAGACTCGCGCTCATTTCAAACCAACCTTAGTTACGTTTGCAAAGTATAAAATTGAAAAAGAAGGAATACAAAAATGATATAGGCTGCCAAAGAACAAGATCGTCTCTATGCCTTTGGTAAAACGTTTTACTGGAGGAAGATTGAAGAAAAATTCTATGTTGGGTTAGTGAAAAGCCAACTGTTTTTTCGCTTGACATTTGCCCGAAATGGCTAAAAAATTGAGACATTTTTACTATATGCATTTAAATAATTTAACAATATTCTTGGATACCCAAACTTAGTTTTTGGGATTATATCTTTTCTGTCAAAATGCTCAATGCCAAATGTGCAGGTTACTCAATCCCAGACAGAATAAATATGCTGTGCTTTAAGCACAGTATATTTTCCTTGTAAGTATGGTAGGAATTCCCAGCATCAATTAATAAAACTGTAAAAATATTAACAATAGTAATTCATACAAGATGAACTCATCTAAACACGTAAATATCTCTAAGCAGTCTGTTCTGAAGAGCTGACAGCACCGTCTTCGGTACGGCGATCTCTGTTGTAAGGGCCAGGTCTTTTCTGGCCAGTCCAGATGTCCTTGGCAATGGTGATAATGTTTTTGGAGGCATTAACATCGCGTTGCCACTGTACTTGGCAAGTTTACATTCTTTAGTACTGTAGAGTCTTGAGCCATCTTGAATTATTACGCCTTCCATATTGTCGCTCTTGCAATTGTTACAAATCTAATAAGGAAGATCATCAAGTTTTTTATCAAATTTAGTAATAGTAAATCCAGCATACTTACTTTTGATGTGCGATGTTCATCAATATCAACAACAGCGGTTGGAAACGTCCGTTGTTTCTTCAGTAGCTCTTTATACAATATACTGGTGACTCCAGTCGTATGTTCCCTCATTTTTACAGCATATTTCCCATACATATCATCCAAATATAACATAGTGGCATCAATTTCTGTTTTCAAAGCCTTTCAGGCTGCCACTTACTTCTTCGTTTGATTTCGTTAAGCTTTTGTGTTTACTTTCTCTTGTGATATTCTTTTACTGTAAATCCTATAGTTAGAGTTTAGGGAATACCACAAATGGAACAGAAGTTACTGCTGTCATGGAGAAAACACCTGTACGACCTCTAATCTAAGTGACCCTGCTGTCCACAGTGGGTGCATATTGCTGTAAATAATGACTTTAACAGAATTGAAATTATTTGATGCAGTCTGATAGTGTTAGTTTACCTTCTGTCAACTCGAGCCGTTTCATTTGGAGTTTTTCTTTCAAGTAGTTTTTGGCTTCTTTGGACGGCATTAGGTAATATTATCATGCAGAAAGAAAAGAATGATGGGTAAAAAATACCACTGTATAAACAGACAACATTTGATAAATTAGATTATAGAAGACGAGATGACAAGTCATAACTCAATATATCTTGAAGAAAGACAATCTCTGTGGTGGATAATTAATCTAAAGCGACCGCTTCCTGCAAGAGCTCCAAAGAAGACAGCTCAATGAAATAACATTGTGTGGGGTTAAATGGAATGGCAGACAATATTATTCGGAAAAATGATGTCCACATTGCCCATGGATATTAAAGCAGACGATGAGAAATCAAGATTGTTCAGACGAAGGTAGTCATGGTGGTAGGTTTACTGAAAGTGTCTGAATTTTAGGAATAAAGTTAATGGGAAACGATTACTTGGATTGTCTGAATTATGTAATTGAAAAAATCCAATTTGATAAAAAAACGTCTAAATCAAAACTGAAAATACTAGTAATGAGGAACGAAGAAGACCAGCAGTGCAGTAGATTTAGAAAAAAATTTTGTTGTTGTCATTTGTTATTTTTGCTAATGGACCAGCAGACGCCATTGTACAAGTGGGCTTCTGAAGAACAAATTAATCAGTTCAAACAATATCTCATACGGTCTACGCCTACTACAACCTCTCTACTAGGATATCTTATCAGTTACGACTATTACGGAACCTCTCACCGTGAAGATGCTGAAATAAACATTTGGTCATCTCATCCAGATCCTTTTGAAACAGAAGATATTGTTGTCTGGGTGATAGAATCAAATAAGGACACTATTCGAATTCTGGTTAATACAGAAGTTTATTTGGATCAACATGTGAATGATAAATTGACAGCTGCAGAAGCCTATACTATGAATATTGAAGCAATTGCGCACCAGAAAGAACAACCTGCATATTGCAACTCACCAAAAGATGAAGCTTTGTATAAAAAGAGTAAAGAAATTGTGGAACGAGTATTGATTACCTTTTTTAAACAATTTTTCAATGCAAAAGCAACAGGTTTGTATTATGAAAAATGTGACAATGACTCACCGAAAACCTCAGTTTTATTTACGGTTCACCTTTTCCATTTTAGAAATCACTTTTTATGATATAAATCTGTTATGGGTGCCTGTACTTTATCAGCTCTTTGATATTGTACATGACGGTCCATGCTACAAATTTATAAGACAATGTTCTCTTCCTCAATTAGAATATGGTCCTGGTTTGCCGATAGAGAAGTACATTTTTACGGATTTGGAAGAAAATGATGTTTACCTTGTTCAATCAAGGAATAAAATACCTTTTGACCCAGCCTATGTCAAGGATTGTTTTCACACCTCGTCAGCCATTCGAACCCGATCTACAAACGAATTAGTTGCGTGGGCAATGACGCATCAAGAGTGTAAGTGTAGTGATCAGTAAATTTCTTGTATTGTTCTGAAGCAATGAGTGTATATACAGCTCACGTTTACTTGTATAAAACAGTTTGTGTAGGTGCACTCCATGTATTGCCCGAGTACAGACGGCAAGGATTGGCCGAAATGGTACTTGCCGATTTGTGTAAAAAATATATCCAGTTTTTCGAAAAGCATTTACCAGGTGTTCCTTTGTCACAGCTTTACTTTGGTGCTTTTGTTGAAACATACAACAAACCGAGTGCTGCTTTATTTCGAAAGTTAGGCTTTAAACCTTTCTCGTTAGGCAAAAGCTGGCTTCTTTGTAATACTGAATCATTTAAAAAGTAGACTATGCTTATTTATTTAGACCCTATATTGTGTATATATGTACAATGCTCAAATACACCTTAATTTATTGAAATTCTCAATGGAATGATCATTTAAATAACTGAAGCAAAGAAACCAATAGTTTCCACTGGTGTCCCTTGTTTCTTTTTCTCTTGTACAATCCTTTCATCATCTATTAACTTTGTATCAAATTGCTGTATAATTGGTTTTGCTACTTCTGTTGCCGTTGTGATCATCTCGTTTAATAAACTGGTCTCAATACTTCCGTTCAGTGATTTCTTCATACTACACACTTGTCCTAACTTATTCACGCCCACTGTCAATACAGCGTCTGAACATAATTCTTCTAATGTTGTAGGATCCAAGATATATCGGTTCAAGCCCATTTTATAAAGTGATACAGAAATGGGCATGTTATCCCAGCCTTTAATAGGTTCAGCATCTTCGATATCGTCCATTACATCAAAAGCAAATTCACCATCTCCAAGATCTTCTATTTCTGTTTTGGGAATACGGGTATTGTATAAAGCGGCACGTGTAGCCAGAACAATACAATCGAGTAAATTGCCTGCTGCATCCATGACCATGGCATCTACATAAAGCACCCAACATTGTTGGTTGGGAATAATGCATAAACTGTCTAAGTCGAGACCGCTCTGTGGTCCACTGAAAAGCCGATCTAAAGTTCGAGTAAGTGTGTTGTTCAACTCATCTGCACCGCGACCCTCGAACTGTTGAGAGGCACTAGGAGAACTATAGGTTGAAATTGAACGATATAGATGTTATTGTAGGTACTATAAAAAATCTACAACTGCAAAAGTGAACATAATCTCGAAACGACGAGGAAGGGATTTTACCACTCAACATTACAGACGATGCGCCCTTGTTTTGGTCGTAAAGGATCTACTTCGCCTATTTCTACTTTAACACCTACTAATATATCACTGTCACCTAAACGGCATCGCGCACTTCCTGATGCTTGCGATAAAATGCCCGATTCAACTACAAAATGACGGTAATCTAGTCGTGCTCGGCCATCCGCACGGCAATCTTGCTCGACACCTTGTTGTATATAGCTTTTTTCAGCAGGTGAAATAAGTGGTGCTGGCATATTTCTTTAATTAAATAAATAACTTGCAGAAAGTATAAATCGCCAGATGTAGGAATGAGCGGTAGCTGTTTTAGCATAAACGTTTCTAGTGGCTTGTGAGCATGATTGCCGCTTCGCGGCTTCCGAATAATAAGCAACAGCAAACACTCTGAAATAGCAGCCTTTACACTTATTGCTGATGAACAAAGCGATATTGCTAGCCTATGAAATTAGTACTATTTTGTGAAAGTGCTATTAGCACAAGCGGTCGACTTTGCAATTTCAGCAAATAGGTCTATGCCTCATGTACATTATTTCTTTGTTGTCAAATGTCTATGAAGCGGAGGGCAAAATAATTTTGTCTTAATTCAGTTTTGTCCACCACAGAAGGGTCACTTTTGTTGACCTTCAGTTTCATTTATGCACACCGAGTATCAATAGGCAATCGTCGTCCATATAAAATTTCTGTAATCTTAGTGCAATGGCACCACCACCTACCGTTATATTAGACAATGGGGCGCATACGATGAAAATAGGTATCTCGTCTTTTGATACACTACCAAGGTTTGTAGTTTGACCAAGACAAAAGATTTCGTCGATCAGTTCAAACTGACCTGCAAATTTCATACATTATACAGGCTGGTATCTAACGCTATTATACGTGGCAAAAATGATAAGCGTTTGTATGTTGCAGACGAATTTGACGATTGTAAGGATTTTTCCTCTCTTTTCTATCGGCTTCCCTTTGAGAGAGTAAAGTTTCTTTTATTTTATTTATATTATTGCGCGGCAATACAATCATATCACTCAATGGATACTCTCTTATCTTCAGCTTGCGATTCTTTAACTGATTCATACATCAACATTGTTTTTGGCTGTAGGGCCTTTTGGTTAATTGGGATATTGAGCGTACTGTTTGGGATCGGGTTTTCAAGCATGTAATCCGGTTAGAACCTAAGGAAAGTCGATTACTTGTAACTGAGCCTTGTTTCAACTTGCCTAAAATACAAGACAATTACGACCAAATCATTTTCGAGGACTATCAGTTCCAAGCTTGCTATCGTACTATAGCTCCCGAACTCTGCTTATTTAATGAAGTAGGTGGCCTATTTGGTGACAAACTTGGATCAGTGCCTGACTGTACGTTAATAGTTGATTCAGGGTATTCGTTCACGCACATCATCCCTTTCTACAAAGGACAAGCTATTGCTCAAGGAATTCGACGACTTAATGTCGGCGGAAAATTGCTTACGAATCAATTAAAAGAAACGGTGTCATTTAGAGCGTATGATATGATGGAGGAAACTCATATTATAAACGAAGCAAAAGAAAAATGCTGTTTTGTATCAATGGATGTATATAAGGATTTGGAAATATGCAAAAAGCCTTTTCGACAAAATTCCGTCATTCAAGAATACGTGTTGCCTGATTTTATACACACCACAGCAGGACAAATACGGCATCCTTCGTCGAATGAGAATCAACGACAGCAGAGCAAAGATCAGCAAATTCTGATGATGAACAATGAGCGATTTATGATACCCGAAATATTGATGCGTCCTTCAGATATTGGAATAGATCAAGCAGGAATACCGGAAGCAATTGTTCAAAGTGTGAGTGCTACTGACTCTTCTATGCATGGACTATTCTATGCGAATATCATACTCGTGGGTGGTAACGCTAACTTTCCTGGTTATAAGGAAAGAATGTAAGTAACTACGTAACATCAACCATCTGTACGAGTATATTTATTGATACTCGCTAATCTCTGCTCTCTATTGCGGAACAGTGAACAAGATCTGCGGCAATTGGTCCCTAGTGAATATGATATTCGAATAGTGGTGCCCATTGAGTAAGAATTCTAATGCTCCTAAAGTGCATTATCAGAATGATGAAGTAGCTTATCCAACCTTTTCGCTGTCTCTCTTTGTTTGATTTATATAGTCCAGTAACGTATGCTTGGGAAGGTGGTGATCGATTCATATCACAAAGCTCCAAAAGTGAATTATCAAGGACTTTTGTTTCTCGCAAAGAATATTTAGAGTATGGCAGTGAGATCTGTAGGAAGAAGTTCGGTTCTATCATGATATGATCTGATGGTTATGACGATTCTCCGTTGGGAATAGATTAGGGGCACAGTAAAGCAAACGATGTGACAAGAAGAGCACTTATATGCTTGATCCTCCTTCAATTCTTTTCTGATTACGAGGTCCCTTATTTTGGGATGTTTGCATAGAGTTGACCATTATTACTGTTTATCTCTTTCAAGATAGTCATAGAAATAAGACAAAAATAAATTAAATGCCAAGGGGTTGCAATTATTTGCGCAATGGATGCTACTTTTATAACTGGCAAGAAAGTCTATAGTTATTATTCTAATGGTCTAAGCCTACATTTTTTTTTTCAGTGACGAGGGAAGCTTATTCATATCTGTGCTGTTGCTTATTGTATCTGCATAGGTTTCATATAGAAGCTGCTGAGCATAAATGCCTAAGTATTCAGGAGGTCTCCACTTCTCCCTGTTTGTCAGAAAAAAGAAGCTGATGAATCCATTGCCGTATATATTACTTATATTACTTTGTTCATAACATTATACGGTTTTGCATAACAATCCAATACTGTATTATGTTATATTATGCATACTTTCAATATGCTCTTGCGAAGCTTAGATTGTGACAGCTTTCTGACTGTGTACACATGTATAAAAAAGCAACCACCCACTTTTCTCTCCTGACTGTTATTTCCGAAAATAGCCTGGGGCATAGTTTAACCACAACGCTAGATTAGAGGCATTTTTGTATTTCAATTAAAGACGATTTTGTGTTGTAGTTGCTAAGCAATATCGATGAAATTACAAATAGTGTACAATGACATGTAACAACAATGATATGGAAATGGATCTAAAGCAAATACAGCATTCATTTCAAATTTAAAAATAACAAAGAAAAGTCCAGATCTGTCTTTTTATCTGAATTTCTAAGCAACACTATAGCACGTATGTGAATAGAGATAAAAATGACGAACATGATTACATGTACAAATTGGTAAATGAGGCTAAAAATATGATATTGAAACTGCACTCAAAAACTCAGGAGCTTCGTACTACGAACATAGAGCTAAGAGTGATTGAATACGATCCAGGCACCCGGCGAAAATTTTCTGGCAGTTATAGGCGCCTACAATTTTAACAGATTCTTATAGCAATAGCTAACCAATGGTATTTCAATGGTTTCTTGGTAATCTAATCCACCTAATTTAGGTTAATGTGCGTGTGTGTGCGTTGTGCGTCGTGCAATACCACAGAGAGGTTACAACAACAATAAAAAGCGCTTTCTTATTCAATGAACTATTCCTAGCACCCCTTTTTCCCAATAAATTGACTTTAACAATCCTTTCTTTCTGCTGTCTTTCCTTTTCTTCCCTTTATTTTATTTTAAGTGAGTTATTCTACTCTCAGAATTTACTAGCATATTCGAATAGTATCAGTCTTAAAACATAAAGAAGCGATCAGTTTACGCTCAACGATAACAGCCCTTAACCCATCCCAATCATTTTGAAAAACAATCGAATAATGCGTTCAGCTTTCCTTTGTCTTGCAGTATTGGCTCAACTTACACTAAACGCTATTGCTGAGCCTATCACCGTCCCGCTTTATCGTCGTTCAGATGAAGGTGGAATTTATAAAGCAGCAGGAAAAGCGCTCAACAATGGTGTGGTAAATATCTATACATTTTTATCAAACCCTAGGCAAAAGACGAACAGCTGCGGCATCAGTGGTTTAACAAAGAAACTATTCAGAATTTCGTTGGTGTTACTGCCACGGAAAAGATGTCTTCGTACTGCTGCTTCTGATTGTCCACCATTTATTTTTTACAAATCGGTAGGCTAATTTTTCTTATTGCATTCTCAAATTATTAAATAGCTTGCTGGTAAGGTAAAGATCGGTAATCCTCCTCAAGAATTTACTTTTGCTTTCGATACAAGTAAGTTCGTTACTCTTTGTCCTCCCCCTAATTTATCCCCAACGTTGTACACTTTAAATTTTCATTATTAATTTTTTCTTTTCCTACTTTTTTTTGAATTGCAGCTATCGGTTATTCTTGGGTTCGTGGATACAGAGTAGGTTGATTCACAACTGTTTCTATGCCTGCTTCATTGAGGCTTAATCTAAAATTCAACTTTGTGAAATAATATTATAGTGCAAAACACCTAACTGCCGTGGTCGCTGTACTTACTACGCTCTCAAATCAGAAGATGCCGTCTCTACTGGCAAAAGATTTTCTGTCAAATACCAAGATGCTTGTGTTGATACTCACATCTACACTGACACATTTGAGTTTGCTGGTCTTACTGTAAAAGATATGCCTTTCGGTGGAGCTTATCGTATGTCTGGCTTTGCTGATGGGTTTGGTAAGTATGACTGAAAAGGAAAAAAAAAAGAAAAAAAGACGTTACCAGAAAAGAAGCAAAATTCATCATACATTGCACAAAGAACTATTTTTAACATCTTTACTTCTACTATTTCAGATGGTTATCTTGGTCTTGGGCGAAGTGTTGATTTCAACGAAACTATCGTTAGATCTACAGCTTCTGGTAAATTTCTAATTCTTTACGCTTTTTGTATTTAGTTATTTAACGAAATTATTACTGAACGTAACTCCTAATTATCTTTTTTTTTTTTTTTTTTGGCAGGCTTCAGCAAACGTGATGCTGCATTACCGGATTCAGCATTTGTCCCCAATGCTTTTCAACAAGGTAGTGGACTTGTAAGTGCTCAGTTTGGTATGTACACTACTACAACCAGCGGCAGTTTTGACCAGTCTGGTAGCACTGGCGGTGGAGCGAGCACTGCCCCAACTACAACTACTACCACAAATAATGCTGTTAATGTTGACCCCAACTCGCCCGCCACGAACAACACTACAACTGCAACGACAGCTCCTGGACAAACTACCAATCAACAACCTAATGGCTCTACTACCGCTACTTCTCCATCCACAGACACAGGAGCTAACATCAGTGGCGGTGTTACTGGAGGTGGTTTTGGTGTCGTCAAACGTAGCAACAAAGAAGACAATAATGTTGAAGAACAGCCTGCTGGCTATCTTGTTCTTGGTGGTGTTGATAAATCTATCATCAAAGGTGATGTTGAATATATCCGTCTCGCCGATGATCCCGGTGCTAAAGCCAAGAACTGGGATATTTGTATCCGTCATGCAGGCTTTGGTGGTGATTTACACTTCAAACAAGAAGAAAACGCTTTAGCTAGTATCAGTACAGCCACCAGTTACATCGTCATGCCTCCTGAACAAGCTGATGCCTTCCACGATAAATTTGGCGCCGTCTACAAGGAAGATACTAAATCATACGATATCAAGTGTTCTAAAATTGAACAATTGCCTCCTCTTAAGATGACTCTGGAAGACCATATTGTTGAATTGCCCGCCAAATATTGGACCTCTGTCGTGGATAAGGACCGTGATTGTTGTACTACCAAAATCAGTCGCGGCAAGTCTAATCGCGATTGGGTCCTCGGTACAGCTCTGACCAATGCTTTCTATACTATCTTTGATCCTGATACTGAAGCCGTTGGTTTTGCTATCAAGAAGGGACAAAAAGACGATGGACTTCGAGTTTATAAGAAATCACATTAAGTTATTTGACTTCCTCTCTATAACACAGATTAAAAACATCTATAAAAAATCACAAATTTAACACAAATACATTAGATTTCTTTTATTATATACTTACCTGTATCTCTCTCTGTAACACCTTCTTTCCAATCATTTAACCTCTACCTGTTTTCATCGACTTACCTTCCATTTATATCATCAACTCTGTAATTCGTCACTCATATATGCATATATATTACTTCCAATAAAGCTATTCATCTAAAGTATTCGGATTTAATCTGTTCTAAAACTAGTAGTCATCTCTTTATGCCGAACTGACAGATGTTTATACAGCTTTATTCATTACTCACGTGTTTCTGCTATCCTTATCGAAAGCTGCAACTATGAATCGTTGAAAGCCAAACATAAACTACGTTAATCAACTTTTAACCATACTTTAAATTAAGCTAACAAAAAAAAAAGGTGTATAGCTAGTTATTAGAGTTTATATTGCATCAATCAATTGCGCGTTAGTTGAACCATTATGAAAGAGAGCTTTTCATAAATGGCTATTCTCCAAATTTCAACTATGACAAGAAAGTAAATGAAGAAAATATACAGCAGTTATGAAGTGATTGATACTTTGGGAATATATAGAAAAACTGCTTGATGAACAAGCACGATTAAGGCGGTAAAATGCCTAGCCAATTCTGTAATATAAATTTGGCTGTTTCTGATAAATACAGTCTGCGCTTTCTTATAAAACCTTTAAAGGACCGTGATATTCCACGCCAGAATTTTTATTAAGAATACCTCTGACAGGATATAATAGTCCTCCAAAAATATCATACACTCTTAATTTGAGAAAGAAAGTAAGTCGCCTATCCTTCTGCAAATAATAAACTCCTTCTCAAACTACGTATACCAGTATTTTTCTCTTTTTTGCGTAATGATTTCGAGCAACTTGATCGATTAGTTTGCTTACGCTCAGACTTTTTCTACTTTACATTATAATTTTCAGTCATTTTTCATAGACATCGATTAAGCTGGATGCATTCTGATAAACCTCAAGTATCTGCCTTAACCAAGGTCTAAAATTATTAAATGCATCGCTAATCCCTCTAAACACTTGCGCATCGCAGAAAACAACAACCTGAAAGTAACATAATTCACTGTTGAGGTAAGATTTGTTGATTGCCCACTACTGGTCAATTCCTTTCAAATGGTTTACACCCAATCAACGCGTAATGACGCACTCATGGTTACAAAAACAGCAATAGTTTTAGGTGTTCTAAGAAACCGAGAAATGTTACAAAATGGTTATCGAATTGAGAACTACATAACCTTAATATTTACTCATACCATGTCGGATGGAGAATAATAAAAGCAAAAAATTTACTCACAATATGTGGGTTGCTTCACGTTTCTTTAATTAAGCGTGAGTTCCCAAACAGAACAATTATTGATTTGACATTTCAACGCCGCTTCGTATATTGTTTACTAGGCTTATACGTTTAAACAAGGATATTTATTATTGACATTTTTAAGCCCAATGGACAAGAGATATTAAAGCTTATCTAAATTGCCCGGGGCCGCTCGATTTTTTGAGATTAGAACGATGCATAGTGTCGGTCAGGGTGCCGTGGTGGGCGAAAAAGCATACTATCTAAATGGGGGGAGGAAGAAGGGGCTAAGCTAGTCATTGTAATTGGTAGGCTAAGACTTTGGACGGGCACCACAATTATTCATCATTTGTTTAAACACCAACACCGACCGAGAACCAACTTGATAGCGGCATTAAAATATCCTCGGAAGCAGAGAGAAAGGGATCAAAGCTGAACAAATATCAGCGGCGTACAGGAATCGAACCTACAATCCTTGGTTTGGAAAGCCAAGGTGCTAACTATCTCCACTGGGGGCTAGGCCCCTACTAGGCTTATACAGTTTTTTAACTTTGGGTTGGACAAAGCCGCAATATAACTAGACGAAAGAAGTAAATTTTTGAAATGATTAAGTTATAGCTTCAAGATCGAACTACACATAAATTGAGACGCTTACCTGTAAAAATCAAACCAGCTTCGTGCTGGCGATTGGAGGATGCCGTTAAGCGTTGATGCGGGTGACTTCCTTGGTTTTCTACAAAACTCAGTAGGTCTTCCCGCTAGCTTCCATATCGACACGCTAATTTCCAACATGTTTTCAGCAGCGTTGACGTCCCGGCTCCAAAGTATCGAACAGGTTTTGCAGGCAAGGATACTTTGGCCGGGAACAGTTCTAAATGCTTCAAGATTGTTGGAACGGCAATTATTGCATATTCGAGAGGTTTTGTATTCATCAATTGTCATCGTCAGTAAATCGCCAGCAGCCTCTCTTCGCTTCAAGGCGCGCCAAAGAACTCCCACGACACCAGTTTTATGGCCTTTGATGGGCACTGCAGTCTTCCCGGACATGCCATTACCAACTACAATCAAAGGGATCTTTTTAGTGTCGCCTACACTAAAGGGTTCAGGCTTGCACTTATTCTTCAGTGAATCGCTGTAGAAACATGAGTTTTATCAATTTTTCTGCGAATAGTGGATGAATTGCTTATCATTTAAAAACCTTACCTATCTTTCTTAGCGAGAACATCGCTTACTTCTCTCGCATCTGCTTCTTCCCTCTCTTCTGGAACCTTTTGCTTCTTCTTCTTCTTTTTTTTACGTTTACAAAAGGCCATTCTGTCGGTATTCTTCTTTGGCCACTTGCTTCAATCTTTCTTCTTCTTCTTCAACCTCAATTGCTTATTGTACTTTGTGGTTCCATTAATAAGCATATTGACCATGTTGTTGGCAGCACACTCCTGACCGTGGTATAGACGAAATCTGTCTTCAGCAGTTCTTTCGCTGTGAAAAGAGAACAAGACTTTAAAGTGCTGCAATATATATTGTACATGACGGTCAAGTTGTTCGATGATAGAAGTTTTGGCGGTTGGTATGCCACTTTCAATCACTTTAATAGTACCTGTTTTCTTCTTTTCCAGCTTTGCAGCGTATCCGGTACTTCCGGTCATATGATAATATCCCTTGGTAGAGCAGCTGCGTACTTGATGTTTGTTATGATCTAGTCCGGTTGCCGCTGTGAAGACAGATCTTCGCCCTGCGGGTCTGTAATCGTCTTGTACTTCGTCATAAGAAAAATCTTCCAAAGTCCAGGTGTGATTATGAATGGCCATGTCTTCTTTTGCTTTCTTTTTGCTGAAGAAGTTCTTCTACAGGTTTTACCTCTTAAAGCCAAACTTTTTGAAGTCGAAGCCTTACAGAATTGTTCGAGTTGGGTCGCATAACCCTTGGCAACTTTTCCATTCAAGGGAATGAGAAGCAGAATGACCCTTTAAGTCACAACTGATGCACTTGATATCTCCAGTTGTTTTTGCTTCTTTTCTTCCTTGGTTTTAGCTGATTGCTTACGTTTCTTGCCGCTACTTCCAACTAAATTGCGTTCGTTAAGCAAACATAAACTTGTCTTGCAGTGAGAGCATGATACTTACCATCAGCCGCAGAACTGCTTTGTAAAACTTGCATTCATGGTATGCCTTGTTGAGATGTCCGAGTTTTTTACAATCCATGCACTCGATGTTTACTAGTCATACAAAACATAATTTGAGAATTACCACTATAACTTATTTGTGGCAGCGCGCTCATGTGTTACTTACGGAAGGACTCATCTTTGATTTTATTCTTATGGGCTTCTGCCACCGATTTGATTTTTTGCAAGATTTTGCCTTTGTACATGGTGAGTAGTAGCTTACAGGATGAGGAAAAAAATTATAGAAGAAGATGATAATGATGAAAAGTCAAAGAAAAGACGTCTAAATGCTTCGAATTTGACAACAACAACCGTTATCTACGTGGCGGAAGAACGTGCCTGGGATCAGTTTAACGCGTAGTTCAATTCATAGGGTCCATAAATAAAGTCTTGTAAACCACGACCCTGTATCTATTGCTCATAAGACCTGTGTCACACTAAAATACTCAATAAGTCTCGTAGTACTTTAACGTAATGCCACTATCAATTGAAAAATGTCCACTGACCTTCAAAATAATGTCTCCAATTAATTTATTCAATGAATTCGTCCAAGAATATTATACCACTTCATCCCAAAATAATTTAATTACCTAAATTATAAATATAACTTGTCCAAAAAAATATGTATCAAGTGTAAAATTGAAGCTAAAAGACTGTATCTTAGAACTTTAGTGGTTGATCTATCGTTTTGATTCGTTATTTATAAAGTATACTATTGTTCAGGTCGACCCAAGTCTAGTTTGTATGCAAGACTTTTCAACAATAGATAAGGGTCAACCATAATACATAGGAACGGTATCATTGTTTGTGTAGAGTTAGTGAAAGTACCGGCTCATGCTTACGACTCTTAATTTTACTGATTTTGGAAAGCAACCAAAGAATGTAAACGTTTTCTCTAAGTAGCATATTTCACTCAAAGTTAACGATTGCTTGTCAAATCTTGTCAATCGCAGTATTAAAATAATTTAAAACTTAAAGAAATGATTTTTGATTAAAACTAGTCTAGACGAAGCCCGAGAAATAGCACACGATATTTTGCAATTGATCCTGTGCTTCTTCGGCACAATTTAAATCCGCTCAAATAAGTTTTCCTCTTTTTCATGCGCACAAAGTGATTCTGAACTCTCTGTTGTAGTTCTTTATATGCAAGCCTAGCTGAATCTAATTTTCATACCAATCAGTTGGCATATACACTTCCAATCTCTAATAAACGACTGCGCCCTGTTTTCTTCGTCACACATGGCCACACCAGTAGTAGTCTTTAACGAATCGACGTCAATTAACAGTAACCGAAAGACATTATTGTCCAGTACTGATTATGCACTTAAAGTAATTTTCAATCAATTCGAACGAATCGCTGATGCTAAAATGGCCATCATCCTAAGCATGGGGATAGTATGTATACAATTGCATCATTATAAGATATGCTGCTGCAGAATATTTGTTACCTTGAAATATGTATTTTAAAACTGTTCTACGTCTATGCTCAGGATGCTGACGTTGACTTGAGACGAATATTAGGTCAAGGGGTCGATGACAACTTTGACAGAATGATTTACTCTCTGTCTTCTTTAGCTGCAACACAACAGAGTGCAGTTATTGATGCAGTTATGACCTGGAGAAAATCGAAAATTGAGCCATTGGATCCTATTGTTATAAAGAGAGTAAGGTAAAAGCTAAGAGATGTTTCTATCCATTTCAATAAATCATATACAAAAATTGACTAAGCGAATATGTGCTAATAGCGACTCTGCACCTCTATCCCGGGGACGTGAAATTCAGTCTATATTGAAAGAGAGACAATCTGTAAGTTTATATTTGCTGTAAAGAAGGATCAATCTTGTATCATATGCATACTTAGAATCCCTTATCAAATTAGCTTGCTTCTGTATTCATTTTGTGTAGAGCTTTGATTGAAATTATAAAACGTCTCACTCCAGGATCCTTACCCGATGATTTGGGGGAGAATCTAGAGGAAATCGTGTTCAACCAATTGAAAAAAGCAGATCCGTAAGTAATAATACAGAAAAACTAGGAAATATAAACGGAGGACAAGCTGAGCTTCTTGTGATTAACGATGATGGGTGGGCTCGAAACGTAGAGATGCTATTAAAAGGTCAAAGAACCGAACGGCTAGTATGGAGTTATTTGCTGAAGTAATCGGTGAACTCTCTAATATCCGATTTGCTTCAGTAAGTGATCGGTTTATTGCCGAATTAGAAAAGTATAATAGCCAAACGATCATGAAAGAAAGACAGGGACACATGGAAATGCTAATTCGGGGCATGCGATACCTCAAGATCAAAATTTATCCTGTTGATGCGTTAGAGGAGACTGCTGATTTCTTGTCTAGTTGTGCGAGCTTTTTTAAAGACGCTCATGGAGCCAAGGTCAAACACGCCTATGGTAGCTTATTTGTTCAACTACTATTACCGATTGCCGAAGTAGCAGTAGCAGAGGTTAATATGCCGGCTTGGGCGAATGCAGTTGACCTAATGTACCCTCGTGCGCTCAAGATGACTCTAAAGCCAAGAGATATGCTAGCAGGTTATCCTTTGGTAACCACTTTACTATGCGTAAGCCGTAAAGATTATTTTGCAGCCAACTGGGTGTCTTTTTTAGAAAGCTGTTACCAGAAGTTCAGTAAGGTAAAGGAAGAAAATATAGTCATCGGGACGCTTTTCGAGAAACTTTGACAACTTCTAACAGTATAATCAATATATCTCGTATGAACTGATTATAGCAAGACAAATATACCCGTCTGGTAACATTGGGATGTGTTTCGCGATTGTTATGGACTTATTTATTTCGATGTACAGAAAGCGTCTCAGTAACGTACAAAAAAGTAGATTCCATTATCAAAACAATCTTCCCACCTTTTCGTCGAGCTATTTATCCTTCAGACACACCGTTAGATCACTTCATTCTAATAACTTATTTTTCACTAATGCGGGATGTGGAGTCAGGGACCAGGAAAGTACTATACTACTTACTTAATGCTGAAGCATCCACTTCACTTGTTAATACATCTCATAACTGGGATCAAATCAGCCCAGAACGTATGATAATCGGCTTAACAGCGTTTCGACTCATGCTGGCCGATTTAGAGAAGAATACCCAACGACCTCCTTTTCCAGTTGACACAGACATGGCCAATACTGGTATTGATATTACATCTATTGCTGCCGATGTTTTTTCAGCCCCTATACGTAACTTGAAGCAGGACGTGATGGAAAAAATTGAAGAGATAACTTCGAAAACGCTGGCAAGTTTGGACGGCACATTTGGCCGTCTTCTCGTGTTAGACGAGAAAAACATCATCATGCGTTCAATGATGGTTTCCAACAGTGGTGGCAGTGGCAATATAAACACACTCACCGGAAATTATTCAGTCCCCATTTTCAACAACACAGTTGCAGAGGGCCCCCAAATTCATCATCAATATACGGCGTTTTCTGTTTCTTACACAAAAGATAAACAGCCTTATTTCGATGTCATCAAAACGATCCTGGATGGTATGCCACGGATCATGCCGGCAGGCATTCAGCTTAAATTACTAGTGGATATGTTAGCAAGATATACTGTTCATACTGATCCAGATGTGATAAAGTCGGCTTCGAGTGCTCTTCTACGTATTGCAGCTCAAATTGATAGTAAGGTCGTCGTAGTAGCATTTGCTGACTTCATATCAAAGATAGAAGATAAGTTTTCAGACGTGGTTCAATCATTAGCCAGTGGACCATTACTGATAACAGCCACAGGCGGAAGTAGTTTGAATGAGGCTCATGGTGGTGGCGGTGTACTTAAGCTCTACGTTGATTTATTGACAATTTGGGTCAATCATGTAGAAACGACAAAAGGCAGAGGTGACCTTAACGTTAAGAATTTGATGGAGTTGGTGAGGCAAACAGAAGCGAATGGCTTATTATTTTTATGCCACCAATCCACTTCTGTTCGTCGATTTGCTACCCAAATTATTGAATTAGCGTCTAAAGTGGCGAGTGGGTTGAACATTTTTGAAGATAACAGCATTGCCAATAACGAAGTAGCCGAAACAGAAATGACGAAGGACGAGCATCAACCTCGTCCAAAAAGTCCAAAGGAATGGACGCATCTCAATCATTTATTGGAATTTGCCGGTCAAATACTGATACAGTTTGATAAAGATACCAACACTTTAGAAAATGTTAAATTAAATTCAGATTTACGTAATAGACTCATGCAATATCAGAAACGCTCTTCAGACCATGTCCTCAGACAATTGGCTGAAAGTGATAATCCACTCGATATCACTATATGGAATATTTGCTTGCCACGTATGTTCAAACTCTGTTTTGAGTATTTTCAACAAGCCACTGCTGAATGTCGCCGCAATATCTGTACTAGACTATTGCAAATACAGCCCTCCATATCTATGTGGGTTGAAACAATGAAAACAAATACAACAGGCACCTTGAGTATGGCTAAAAGCAGCAGTGCAAGTCATAACCGAGCTGCTAGTCCGGAAACAATAGAACAATGGCGCATATATCTCATCTTTGCCTGTGCTACAGCTGTACCCGCTGTAAATCCTACTGTGTCTTCGTTACCAATATGGTCTCATGTTGGACGGAAAGTAGCAGGCTCCAACAATAGTCATATTGACCGAATCACTACACCTCGGGATCTGTTTCGTCTCATAACACCTTATTTGATTTGTGAGCATCGGCAAATACGTGAAAGTGCAATTGAAGGATTAGGAAACATCAACCGTAGGGTCCATAAATCGCTAATGTCTGAACTAGAAAGTTATATCAAGATTATACTTGATGACGGGAAGCAACGCAGTAATCAAAAACCATATCAAAATAAACGCAGCAAAAAGAATGACCGTCTGCGTATATCAATTATGCATGTCCTAGATTTGACAGCTGACTGTTTAAAAGAAAGTGAAGAGGCCATGAAAGATAAAGAGTCGATGAATATCATTATGAGCTATATTAAGGAAACAAAATCGTTCCTGATGGATACTGAAGTTCAAATGGAGTGGGAGTATCAAAGATTGAGAATTCATCTATGTGGTTTAGTGAAAAAACTATATGAAAACATAATGCGCCTGGATAACCCAACATCGCTGATGTCCTTCGAAATGAGGCTTAGTCTATATAAGATGTTTGAGGAATGGTGTGGATATGGTGCCACAGCAAAGACTGCTCAGCAACGAGAAGCGACAATGATGCACGAGGTATTAGAAGAATGTAAAGACCCAAAGGAAAGAGCAGCAATGACCAAGTTGATGGAAGAGGAAAGAAGAGCACTCGAATTTGCCTCCCTGAATGCCATGGCTACATTATGTGTAAGTTATCAAGGAGCGCTCTTATTGAAGCTTTGAAAGCATCACTGATGTTTTCTCTTTCTAACAGCAAGGCCCGCTGTATGCATATTTAGGTCAAAAGAAAGCAAGGCAAGCAATCATCCAATTCGATACCCTGAACGTACTCCGTTGGATTGATGCAATTTTTGAAAGCCGAGATCCTAAATATCATGTTATAGCACGGTAAGGTCAATAGCATCATGTATATGCGAATCGCATTAGCAAACTGATAATTTAAAATACTTTGACAAAAATGTAGTCGTGCATTGGAAGCAGTGATGATGTACAACGAGGATCAGTCTGTATTGCTGGATGACATTATCGAACAATGTTATGCCGGTAATCCGAAACTGGAATTTACTCAAGGTTATTTTCAAGCTCTAGCAGACATTGTAACGAAAGTGGAAGACTATCCTTGCCATACCCATCAAATAATGAGTTTAGCTCTATTCAAAACAGGAGATGCGAAGAAAGCAATCCGCAAAACCGCTATCAATCTACTTAGAGTCATTGAAGAACGCGTTTTTGCTGACTCCTGTGCGAAAGAATATGAAATCGGTATTACCAGTAGTTTGCCTGCCATTTATAAGCATACACAAACCTTATTATCAGCACGATTAGCCCTGGATCATCCGGAACAAACATTCTCTATGCTGTCTGAAGTAACTCAACGATTTGAGCATATTACACCAAGTTCTCAACGAGAAGTATTAACGTATATGCTTCCTTGGCATCGGAAAGTTGACTTATCAATTGGCCCACACGATACGGAACTGAGTGCTTCAGCCTATATGGTTCTTTCCAATCTGTATTATATTACAGTTAAATTTGGAGATATTTATGTCAAGGAAATAGCAGCCTTATGGAGCCAATTGGTAGACTACGGTCGAAATGCCAGAGCTATCATCATATACTTATTGAATATGGGCCAGGAAACGCGTAACCCGTGGTTCATGATTCATGCCAAGCGTATATTCGTATGTCTCGGCCGTACACATGCCTTTCCGAATATTATTGATGAAGTTATAGCCGAAATTGCGCCTCGGTCCATGGTGCCCCAAGTAAAAGAAGCAAGCCAACGGCATGCCAATGCCTTCCCTATGCTTTTTGTCGCCGAAGCTGACAAAGTACTGCCAGCTTACCCAAAAAAGCCAGTCTTTTCACGAGGGCAGCTTGCTCTTACATTCTTGGTTGATCTCGCTATAGAAGCCGGTGCAGATTTGGCTCCCCATTTGCCCTTATTGTTGCATTGCATCTTTGTTCAGCTGGATCACTTAACAAGTATTGTTTGCGACCAATCACGTTGTCTTTTAATAAATTTGATTCACTCTATCGTTGTACGTCAATCAATGGATACAGAAGCATCACAAAAAGCGTCCGAAATTATACAATGTCTTGTCAGCAAAGAAGGAAAACGTCTTTGGGCATATGAAAATATTACACCGACGCATCGGCGTATTTCCAGCGCTAATGAACTTAAAGATTTGTTACAACGTGTCATTGAAGTATTCTCCTATGAAGATTGGGATCTGCGGCAGAAATGGGGTGAAACAGCTCTCAAATGGGCTACATGCTGTTCTGTACGTCATATCGCTTGTCGTTCGTTTCAGTGCTTCCGAGCTTTGATGCCTGCATTCAACCAACATATGCTTGCTGATATGCTGGCTCGGCTATCCAATACAATTGCTGATAAATCTGACGATATTCGAGGATTTGCTTTGGAAATTATATTAACACTCACTGAAGTTGCTAAAGCCATGGACAAAGCTCAAATCGAACAATTTCCTCAGCTATTCTGGGCCGCTGTGGCTTGTCTTTACAGTCCTTATGAATCAGAGCACTGTGAAGCTTTATTACTTTTGGATGTTGTTTTACAGAAATATGAATTAGTGCCCAAGTTGGTTGAAACCTTTCCTAAAGATTGGTCTAGTGAGTTCGATGGATTACAGCCTCTGTTGTTGAAAGGATTGCAGTTTTCATCAGCCGAGAAAGATACATTTCGCATTTTGAAGTATATTTCATTGCAGAGTAATCTGCCACTTATTGATCCTACAGAGACGCGGTTAATGTATTTGATTCTAGGAAGTATCCCAAGGCTACTGCATGGTTTAGACAACGAAAACGAAAATGCCTACACAGAAGCCAAAGCATGGGCTGAGGTGCTTCTCGAGTTATTGGAAGGATATGGTTTGGTTACCATTCATCGTGTTTTGAGCACCTACGCTATTCAGAAAGCAAAATTTCAGGAGGATTTCTTAAAACAGATTTTGGGCAGTATGCGGGATATTTTTCTCCACAAGTATATACAGCAGGCATTTATGTTTTCTTTGCGTATGGTGAAGAACAAGATACCCTATTACCGCGAAAAGACCTTGCTGCTCATTGAAAACTTGGTACCATATATCACCGATCAGTTTATGCGTCCAGCACATATTTCGGAAGCAGATCTATCAATTGATATAGCAGCTTTGGAACCTCTATTACAACTCGTATCTACAGAATATGCCGATAGAGCACTTGCCATATTGAATTCTGGAATTAATACGGTTACTAATGGTAATAACAGAATAATGAATGATGAAAGTGAATTGATATGGGGTTTCAATAACTTTGCAGCAGCTGCCAAGATTACCCGGCACAATATACATGCCGTTGTTTTTGAATGCTCATTTGTTTCTAACGAGATACCATTTGCCAATAATATTCAATTTTCTGTCGAGGACTTATCTATGCTTACAGGCGAGGGCAATAGCAGTAACAATCTCGTAACCCAACAGCATAGTGGTAATGCGTATCAGTTGCAAAGTGCGGAAAGAAATGGTAACTTCATGGTTATGGAAAATATACCATTAGCAGGCGGCTTAACAAACGCACCGGTTGGCTATGGAGACGATCTTATGGATGCTCTAAAGGATCTAGACGACTTTTTCAATGAAGATGGTGAGCCAGTTCCCTTGAACACAACGAATAACAATTTTCAGGACGGTGATGATTTTCAAAGAGAAGGAGAGTATGAAGAAGCAGCCGATCTAAGCGGCACATCTTATTCTGCCACGCCGCCTCAGACTGATAGTAGCAATTTAAGTAACAACAAACATAATATCGGTAGCCTATTCTCATAAAGAAAACTTGAACCAATATCCATTTATTTATTGTTAAGCTAGTCTTAGCATAATAAAAGAAACCGACACCGTGCAACCAATCGTAGATATTAGGGTATAAGCTCTACTAAAGTTCTTTTTGTGTATCTATTTGAATGATCTGTTTCGTTGTGCCTGTGAGGATCTTACTTTACGATGATTGAATGTGATAAACGATGGCTTGTTATCCATGGTATCAATTGTCCTAGTATTTTTATGTAAGTTTTTCTGTGAGTATTTCTAACGAGTAGATAAAAGAACTGCAGAGTAGTGTTAGAATTACATCTTTGAAACTTCCTCTTCCATTGCAATCGGTTTAAAGGCGTCTGCAGATAAAACAACACCCAGAAGAGCGACAAATGCTGATGTTAAGCATTCTGCTACGATCTAATCGTTTCAAAAGTATTATTAAAACAATCTACACTGACGCATTGTTTATGCTCAATACCTCAATTGGTAGATTGCTACTAAACTTATCAACTGCTTTAACATATGCTAAATCTAGGTTGAAAGCGATTGTGATTATTCAATACTTTTTCTCGCAAATGCTAGTTTTATAAATGAGAACCTCTAGAGCTTACGTTCGTAGGTTGAGTATGCTGAATGCGCAAGAAAGAGCGCTCCTATCAGCGCTATGAGTTTTCCGGCCGTTTGTGTGCTCATTCGTAGTAGGTTATCGTACCAATTGATAAGATGAAATACTAAATGGAAATGCTTGGAGGACTTAATTCTTTAAGCGCATTTTTAACAACGCGACTCAATGCGTCCTCTGTCTTTGGCATTTTACAATATTCAAGCTCTGAGTGATTTTCGCCTTTAAAATTAAAAAATTTCAAATCAACAATAATAAAAGGTTCGGAAAATGCATGAACTATCAAGTATGAGATGGTATTGGAAGGACGTACATGGGAGATAGGATTGCTTCGAGACCGTATCATCAAAAATAGCCCTATTTTCGAAACTAGTCGACGCATTGTCTTCTACGCCGTTTCAATTTTTTTGGAAAAGTTATACTACTCAAATTCTAAGCCTGTATTTGATGACAGTAATTGACTACGTATAAAAAGCAATACATCATTTACAATTGCACCGCTCAACGTGTATTCTCAACTCTGAAACTCAAAGCTGGTTTTTTTGGTACAAAATCAAGGAAACCTCATCCGCTCATTCATATGGGGCGTATGCCAATGTTGCTATACATCTGTTTAAGAATTCCGTTGCCCACTCACCAACATGCGATGACTTCACATTAAACGAACTATCAACACCAATCAACGTATTGATCGTCTGCCCGTTCCTGCCCTACAGCAGTTACTGTTTAAAAATCGCGCTATTTCAACCCTTTTATAGTGTTATTGCATAGCTCTGTCGCCCTGATGAAAGTATATAGGAAAGGAAAGGTAAGGAAAGAAGAACAGGAGCTGGAGTTTTGTGAAAATTGGGATTATAGTAACTGCACAAGATTGAGTATTGGCTGTTAATGTACATAAGATTTATTAATAGTTGCTTTAAGCGGCTGTGTCAACTTCAGAACCTTTTTGCTGCTCTCTTAGGATGCGTCTCTGTTTAACGTCCCAGTTATATACACGAGCTGTATTTACTTCCATTGTTGTAATTTGACTTCTCAAGAATTCCAAGTCTTCTAAGGTATTTTTTAATGATGTCTTCGCTGTCTCTAACTTTGATGATAGCAACTCCTTTGCCTCATCGCAAGTGTATTCCAGCATGACGTTGGCCTACGTACAAAAGGAAAGTAAAGTATTGTTAAGCCTTACTACTCTCTCAAATGATCAGAATGTCGAATTGTTATTTCTCGTATACATTACACCTAACCACAAGTAAACAGAATCTGTCGGAGCGATCTTTGCTTTGGCATATAGAGTATCATTAAGTTCAAAATCTGTATACAATGATTCTTGTGTTTCTTTCTTTTCAGATATTAAATCAACCATGTTGATCGTTTTCTCGATTTCAGGAATCTTATCTTCTAGTACTTTTCTTCGTTGTAACAAATTGATCTCCATAAACTTATATTTACTAGTTTTGACAATATGAACTGTTGTTCAGTATATCCGTGCTTTCTGTTCAATTCATTATTTCAGTACCTTATAGCTTCTTGGAACTTTTTCAGAACAACTTCGACTGGTTCAGCTTCTGATACAAAATCTTCAACGCGTTCCTAGATGTAAAAAGGTTGATCAACTATTGTATAGTTGAGGCAAATAAGCAAAAGTTTTGTTCACATACCACAAAAGGAGAGTGTGGAATACCACGAGGATTGGAAGGCAATTTCTGCTGTGTACTCATTATGACGATAATGTTTGTCTTCGACAAAAAGGGGTATTTTTCTTTTTTAACTTTGCTACTTCTAATTTTATTCACTAAGGCTGGGTTCAATTGATGAGAGGAAGAGTAAAAAAAAAAAACTAAACTATACGAGAGCCACCCTGTGTTCACCTTGATAATATGAACATCTAAGGATGAAACTAAAGATATCAATGATACTATGAGTTACTCGCATGTCTGATGCTTCCAGCTCAATTTGGATCCTCATAGCGTCGAGAGAAATATTATTCAAACTGAAGATAAGTCAAGATAAGTCATCTAATGCCTATGAAGTATATTCGGTTGGATAATGTTGTAAAAAAGCGAGCTCATTTTTTGCTAGTGGTAAATTGATAACGATAGGGGTACAATCGAATGGAATCGTTACAGTAGTTGATTATACCCAAAAGCGGATGATTGACGTCCAATCTCACCACATATTTTTTTTTACACCCAAGGCTGCATCCTTCAAAATCCGCTTATTTTCCTGCATTTTTCGCCAAACTATACAAAAACTTACAACTCTCTTTTCGTTTTTTCTGTACTCATTCGACAATGCGTTTTCTCAAAACCAGTTTTTTAATCATCTCTGCAATGGCGGCAGCCGTCACTGCATTAAAAGAAGCTCCTTCCACCTTGCAAGTTGGTAAATAAGAAAGATATACATTTAATATACGCCATACAGGACTCTTCGCTAACTACAATTATGGAGCACAGGCATTCTGAAGCGTGTTCCTCCTGAGCAATGTAAACAAAAATCTAGTAACGGGTAAATTAATAGTCGCCACGCAATAACCAATGATTTAAAAATAATTATCAATAACTCATCCATCACACGACGTAACAGGGACCAGTTATCTATGAATTATATTGGCACATTATTCGATACAGGTGCCAAGTTCGATAGCAGTTATGATCGTAATGAAGCTTTTACCTTCACGCTTGGCAGAGGTCAAGTTATTCAAGGATGGGATCGAGGATTGGTTGGGTAAAGTACAAGAACGCTTAAGATGTCTAGCGAAAGGCAATTTCATGACAACTAATGTTGGCTTTTCACTAATTATATTAGCATGTGCGTCGGTGAAAAACGAAAACTTGTCATTCCACCTTCAATGGGTGAGTTTGTGTATGATATAGAGCCTATTGATTTATGACACTAATATTGTCATAATGCTTTTATAGGTTACGGTGAGCGTGGTGCTGGCAATGTCATTCCTCCAAATGCAGCACTTGTTTTCGAGGTTCAATTGGTGGACATTAAAAAAGTGAGCACTGCACCCACCATGAGAGCCAATCAAACTCAACAAGATAAGATTCCCAGGTAATGAAGATATAATGACAGTGATAGAGCATCATTTCGTAACAGAAAATTAAACTAAACATCACAGATGAGGCAAAACTAACAAAACCAACAATTTTACAGCTTTATTTCCCCCTCCTTCTTAGTAATCTCTGGATTGGTTGTTCTACTGTTTTATATCGTCTTCAAGGTAGCTAAAAGGCAAGATTTGGAAGAGACAAAGAAAATAACTGTCGTGGAATCTAGTGCTGCCACAGTTGATGAGACAAGAGACACGAAAAAAGAATAAAAAATAAAGGCGAAAAAGCAAAGGTCTTTATTTCTTCTCACCGGCCAATGTATCTGCTACATTCTGTACGCTATTTTTCACGGATTGAGACGCTTGCTTTGCCAAACCGGGCTCTTCAGCGTTACGAGACGGTGATTCATCGTAATCACCAATTTTGAATAAACCAGATCCAGTTTTGCTACTGTTGCTTGAACTTGTGTCATCAGTTTTCTGAGCTTGCTTTGAGTAAGGGTTCTTGAGTTGACCAATATCCATTTTGAGAGACTTTATGTAAAATTATATGTAACTTGTAATAGCAAAAGCACGAAATATTTACTTGCGTTTAAGTATATATAAAGTGGAAAAAAAAAAGAGGCTGGTTTCATCGAAACCTGCCTTTTTATATTTTTAATAGCTCAATAAACTATGATGCCGTCATGCATTCATGCGAGACAAAAAAGTAAGCCAATCAGGAGTGCCCTTATCATTAAGCGTCGCGATATAACTTTAGTTGTTTGTTTATTTGACTTTTTTAATTTTACAAGTTTCAGTATTACTGCAAGTGCATTGAAAGTGTTAAAAATATGGTATTGTAACTGAGGAAAAAGTGTGTACTTAGAAGGGAGAAGGTGTCAAGCGCAAGTAAGGCTTGATGACCTTAACGCCCTTGGGGAATATCTCTTTAGCTTCTTCAGTGGAGACAGAAGGATGGACAATTACATCATCTCCCTTCTTCCAGTTACCAGGAGTGGTAATGCGATGCTTGTCGCCCAATTGAAGGGAATCAATAACACGTAAAATTTCGTCAAAGTTACGGCCCGTAGAGGCAGGATAGGTCAAGATTAATCGAATGGTTTTCTTGGGATCGATAATAAAAACAGAGCGAACAGTGAAAGGAACACCTTTAGCATCAACATTAGTTGTATCCTAGAGTTACATTAAAGTCAGCTATACTTTTCTGTTATAGTTTACAAGCCGATAAGCATTTATACCTGATGATCTAACATATCATAGAGCTCAGAAACCTTACGGTCGGCATCAGCAATAATAGGGAAGTTTAACTCAACATTACTGATTTCATTGATATCAGCGATCCATTTTTCGTGTTCATCAAGACCGTTCGCAGATAAGCCGATGACATTGACGTTGCGAGCATCCCATTCATCTTGAAGAGCAGCAACAAGACCAAGTTCAGTTGTACAAACAGGTGCTTAAAAACAACTCGATGTTAGTCGGCATCACTAAAAACTTGATATGCTGGGCCAAATATACTTACTAAAATCAGCAGGATGTGAGAAGAGGATGGTCCATTTATCACCTATAAATTCGTGAAATTTGATATCGCCTTTGGTAGTCTTGGCTGTAAAGTCTATTTCGTTTGTGGAATAATATGTTTAGAGACACAAACCCTCCCGTCTTTTCCAGTTTTATGTAGCAGCCTCATTATACTTTACCAGGAGCAGTTGAACCGAGTCTTAAAACCATTGTCTTGAAGCTACTTGCGCTGTAGAATGTGAGCAGAAAGTGAAGAAGGGATTAAAAAAAAGAAAAAAGTTCATTGTTTATAACTTTGCCAAAACGCATCTCAAGCTTCGCAACCTCAATCGGAGGCTGTTAATAGCCAATCATAGCTAGATTCTTATTTTTCCATAGACCGTACCTGAGCATTTAACAAAGTACAACTTGGCTGATACTAGTAGGTACAATAAGGACCAAAATAGTATAAAAGTTACACGTCGTGCTGCATAGCGTCATTTGAAGCAAAATAATGCAATGCATCTGTTAGCTGTTATACTTGGTAAGGATAAGCGTTGAAAACCAAACCCTCTAAATTTGCTCAGTCGTTGAAGAGTGACATTCTGAGTAGCAAACAAGAGAGAAAAATTGGAAACTCTCTATAGTATCAATACTAATACATGAAAGGAAAGTAAGTCTGTCGAGTATATGTAGGGCATAAAATGCAATAAATGGAATCTAGGATTCAATTGCTCATACGAAAAGGGTAAGATCTTTAAATGAACCTATCATTCAACATGCCTTCTCACGGACGGAGATACCCCGCGCGTAGGTATCTAATGTTCATAATGACCTCGAACAAAGTGATAAAAAGGGTGAATGGCCTTACGGAGGCAATACTGCGCGATGTGTAGGCTATTTTTACCAACAAGTTATCTTTTTGTCAATTCTCAATATCAACGTCGTTAGATATTTACCAGCTGTTCACCGCATTGACATCAGGCACTGAAATAGCATACAATTTGATGCATTTGATTTTTGGTCAGTTTAATTACGAGTAGAATTTATGTTACGCCGATACGTAAAAAGTTCGTGTGCCATTGAATTCAAACACGTACAAGCTTAAGGATCTGTACGTCTGGTAAAATTTAGGTCAAGAGCAGCACGTAAGAGGATTGATGACAAGTTTGAGGTGTAGGTGGATACAGGAAATTTATTCATGTCAAACAATTTATAATTGTATGCAACAAGGAAGTCTAAATGAAATATTAGTGATATATGAGGTGATTATTGAATTTTTTACATGTTGGCAAGTCTAGATTGAATTTCCTTGATCATATCAGCACGAACAACAGTAACACCGCCACCTTGTGCTTCATTCTTTGATCTCATGTCCTTAATACGGACTTCACCCTTTTCTAGCTCATCCTTGCCAATAATAACAGCAAAAGGAATCATTTCCTTCTCACAAACATCAAATTGCTTATCTAATCTAGGTTTGTTCTTGAACATGTAAGAGGCCTTAATTCCGACATTCCAAAGTTCTTTGGCAATAGCCATTCTTTCCTTCAACAGACCGTCACCGACAGCAATAACAAACACTTCAGTTTCATTGCTCTTGATTTCTTCAGCCTTTTGCTTGGCCATCAAAATAGAAAAGACACGTTCGACACCGATAGAGACGCCGACGCAAGGGATCTGTAGGTTAGGTTGACCCTTCTTATTCTTACCGGAGAACATACCAACAAGATTATCGTAACGACCACCAGCAGCGACGGAGCCAACGCCAACAGTAGATTCGTCGAGCTCATCAGAACCCTTTTTAGTTTGAGGCTTCACGCCTTCGGCCAATTCTAAAAGTCAAGCAAAATAATTAGCGTTTTGATCGGGGAAAAGAAAAAAGACATTACCAACTATTGAACACTTTACTAGGTGGAGCAGACTTTTCGGTAACAGCTTCGTAGATAATACCGGTGTAATAATCCAAACCTCTTGCTAAACTGAGGTCAAAGGACATCTTATCCATAACTTCAAACACTTCCAAATAATCAAACAAAGTCTCCATATCCTTCAAACCAGCTGCAGCATTGGCATTAGCCATCAAAACTTCATCCTTCTTCAAGTAGTCCAATAATTCACGTCCACCCTTGTGCTTGACATATTCACCGATCTTGTCTGCTGATTCAGGGGCAAGACCCTTCTCTTCAACCATTTCCTTCTTGACTTCCTCCCAAGGCAATTTATCCAATTTATCAACAGCCGAGGAAATGGGACGGATATTATCTTCAGGAACACCACATACTTCAAAAATACCGTCCAAGATTTTACGGTGGTTGAGTTTGACGGTGAATTTACCAATATCCAAGTTGGTGAGTGCTTCGCATAAAATTCTCAAAATCTCAGAGTCTGGAATCATAGAGTCGTAGGTACCAGCAATATCAAAATCCTAGGAAATGAAGAAATATCGTTAGGTAAAGAAACAAACTTGTCAAAACTCTCAACGCACGCGATTTCCTATCGGCAGCCCAACAACTAGCAATTGGCGTCTAATGATAGAGACACACTTACACATTGATAAAATTCTCTCATACGACCTTTTGTCATAGCAGGTTGATCACGTCTGTATACTTTGGCAATTTGATAACGTTTGATATTTTGGTATTCCTTGCCGTTCATAGCCAAGAAACGAGCAAAAGGAACAGTTAAATCGTAACGGAGGGAGCATTGCTCACCACCTTGATCAGCTAAATCGTAAATGAGTTTACTGTCCTCACCATATTTTCCTGTAAGAACTTCCTATAAAGTTTTTGTCCAGAGATGAGTGCTTTTTGGGTCAGTGATGTGCTTCCTTCATTAATGCAATTTCTGTTTCATCGTTCATACCTTGAGTTCAAATACAGGAGTATCGATAGTAACAGCACCGTGCTTCTTAAAAACTTTGGTGATAGTATTGAAAACCTTTTCACGGATAGCCATATCCTTATCGGTGTAGTCTTTGGTACCCTTAGGTGTCTTTAAAGTGAAGGCAACCTTGGCAGGCTTCTTGCTTTCTTTTTTAGGATTTTCTGCTGGTGTAGACATTGCTGTTGATTCTTAAACGGTGTAAAAGGATGAAAGATTTTTTTTCCCTGAATTTTTTGTTTATGAAAGGTTAAATGCGAAAAAATTAAGCAGTCAAAATGATTTATAATTGCTCATTAAAGAAATACAACATTTTAAGAACGAGCAATTCAAGCAACTTCAAAATGCGGATACGAGTCTGTCTGTCTATAAACTCTTATTGACAGGCCCGAAGCAATGTGCGTCAGAGTATATTGTTTTTCATGCAGTTTTCTTTTCAAATATACTCTGGGTATACATCTAATACACACAGTGCCATTGTTTGTCGTTCATTAAAAACCTTTAATTGAAGCCGTATCTGGTAAACTTTCCTGCCTTTTGACTTTTCTTTGAAGCCTCTCTTACGTACTCTTTCCTCGCGTTTTTTCCAGTTTTTGGGAGTTTCCGATTCTTATCTACTTGTCATAAATTCCGTGATAGCATAAGGTGAACTAAAAAAAAGAGACATCATATCAAACAGACGAGGTTCTGGACAAGCAGCCATAGAAAGCTCTGTAGAAGGAAGAGATCGTCATAGTAGCAGGCAGTCAGCCCGCTTGTCAGACAAAAAAGAGTCTTATCATCACGTTGAGGATTAGGAAAAAAAAAAGAAGAAAAAAAGATCGTACTCGCTTATTTATTGAGCAACACATCTACTATATCCTCGTATGGACACTTATTTACCATAATATTAAGTATGCTTATTGTACCCGTTTTAATAGGGGAAATGGAATGTGTGCTAATCCGAAAAATGGAGAGTTCACATTGAATTAAGCTAGCTGCTGCTGATCCTTTGCAAGAGCTAATTGACGGTGGTTCTTTTTTTCATCAACTTAGAAGCAGCCTTCCTTTATAGATACTGCGGCTTTCACAACGAGAAAGTCTTTTCCTGGATAGAATAAAAAAAATACAGCTCGATCAGCGCATCAACAACAATTGCTTACAACTGCCAAGGGCTCTTTTTATTGAAAAATGTAGGATATCCATTCTTAATTAAGCAACACCAAGAAGTACCGTGAGATATACTAGTTCATAACGATAAATTTATTTGTTCTGAAAAAAGATTGTACATCTGTTGCTGCCTCCACTATTGATTTGGAAACGCCTGCACTTTCCTCAATTACATTCTGAGATTATAGGTGGTGACGAAGCTCACTTGGTATTGCCATCATTGGCAAAGTATGTATTTTCATTGCATGTACCCAACTTGAGCAGACCTGTCAACACTGACTTATATCCGTTATCTAAGGGGTGCACCTCTTACGAATAATGCAAATGCAAATGTATACCATCCATTAGCTCTTGAGTCATTCACCGCAAACGTTATTGTGAGTAAATCATTCTACTATAGGGTATCAAACTAGGTTGGTATCTCTGGAAATGGATCTGCACTTAATTTATTGGGGATGCAGGATGGTTACCAACCTACACCACTATGAATGAAATTGAAGCTGTTCAATTCGTGTCCAGTAATTTAAAGGGGGGGGGGTCTTTTCCGTGCGTGTAGACAGGAGACCCACTTGATATAGAACGCCGAGTCCTGCTCAGTCATTCAAAAAACAAAGGCAGGCCGTGTGTGTGTGTGGGGGGGGGGGTTCTATTCTTTTACTCTTGAAGCAGTTCCAGCTTCTAATGCAAAGCATTAAAAGATTTTTAATAGCATGACACTTGGGCTAATTATACTCACGCGTTATCGAACGAATGTATATAGCCTATTGGTTCTGGTTGTTGTATACTATATAGCAGATCTATTGTCTGTTTGAGTCGAGACCATAACCCATTACTGTCACTCGTATTGCTCCTCTGATGTTGATAATATTCTCTTTGCAGTTGGAATACAGACTCTTCAAGCGACTTGAATTTTTGCAAAAAGTTTATGGCGTGTTTACTGTCTTTGCTTGTTTGCTGCTCATCCATTGTCATGGTATGACTCTGCTTGAGCCGATCATATATCCTTTGGAGTAAGGTAGCTTCGGCTTTGAATAGAGCAGGAGGATAAGAACATTGTAGACAAAAATCCAATACAGTAGGTGATTCTAGTTTTTACAATAATATAAAGTGAGATGTGTCGTTCAGTTGCTTCATACGAACGATGTTTGCTTGCTTATACATTTACCTCTCGATAGCTTCACAATGACAGGGCTTCCTGGATAGGCCACTAAAAAGAATAAAGCTCTCTCTGCTCCGTCCCGTAAGATATCCTGCACCGTTGTGCTTATTTGAATGGAATGATGCGGAAAGGGATGATATGAGACAAACTAGGAAAAATCGTTCAATAAACGAACCATTTCTATACCTACAGTGAATGACCCTCCCCGAAAATGGTAGACAAGAGAGATCTGTAGGACGCGTCACTGAAATCTGAAGCAATGTTATATTTGATATGTATTGATTTGTAAGAAAAAAGCGACAACAGTTGCTCTGGCACCTGGATCAGAATGAAAGTAAAAGTATGATTTAGAGATAGCTTTCATTAAAGGTGAGATAGGGCAAGGCATCCTATCACTCACCTTCATAGGATGGTCAGGTCTCAAAGATGTATGAACCAGACTCTGCCCTTGTTTTCTCAATTTTTGTGCGTTGTAGGAAGTGATCAGTCGATGGGTAACCTCATCCAGCCCTCTACGCTCAATGGTCATAGCCATGTTGGGATGACAAGGATAGAGGAAATGAAAGTCGTCCACAGTGGTGTCTGACACGGGAAATTCTATGACACTTTCGTTCTCAGCATCAAGCGCTTCACCCTCTGTGACACTTCCATTCATTGTGGCCCGCGTAGACATGATAAGCGATGCTTTGACATTCAGTGGTAATGGGTAGGTGTTCACTATGTCAATTTCAATATCGCGCTCCCATATAATGAATCGTTCCAACGCATTTTCGTAAAAAGGCTCAAAGCCAATGATGGGCACTAATTTGGCTGTAGTATGCATGATAGAAGCTGTAGGAGAAGGATCGTCATGGCTATCCATGTCATCGCTGGCTCCCATTTCTTTTGAAGAGCCCTTGATAAGGGCGGTTGAGAACTGTAGACAGAGAGTCCAGTCTTCTAATTCCAGAAATGGAGAGGTTTTGATACAAACCCTAAGAAAAGCCTTTGTGTTGAAGGTGCAATTTTGATCGGAAAAAGATTTTACAATGGGACGTATGGAAAACTCAAAGCCTGTGGATTCCAAGGAGTGGCATATGCCTAGGTTCCTCTTTTCATTTATAGCATGTAATGCATAGAGAGTACGGTTCATGGAAACCAATGTTTCGCTCAGTTTCTATTTTTACCCGTTATCATAACGTAAGGAACGAACATGCATTTAATCTAACTGAAGTCCATGCTTGCCTTTTTCGTTCTTCCTTTCCCCCCCCCTCCACGAACACCTCATTTTGTCATTTACCTCTTCTGCCTGCTTTTGTAACTTTATAGAAGATTCCTCTTCCGCCAGATCCTCTAAACTGTCCTGTATCATAGTATGAATGACTTCTGGACCAGCTTCATGCGTTTTTTTCAGTTTGAAGGCTTGACTGACTGAAGCAATACAAAGAGTGTCGTTGGGTTGTCCTTGCTCAGGATGGCAAAATGCTTCAAATGTCTGTGCATCTTTTTCCTTTATGCAAAATACATTCGACAAGCCGTACACGGGTAGAGTGTTCAAGGTGAATTCGGTCCCTGTCCAATCTATTTTCAAAAGAGAGAGTCGCCTTTGCTTTCTTGAAAGTACCCAGTATGCCTTGCGCTGTCATAGGCGTAACAATGTCTGTTGAGTTCACTAGAGAAAGCTGACGATTGAATAAAAACAACACACTTACTCTTTCACAATAAAAAATGGTGTGGATGGGGCCTGGTAAATTGAACTGTTGCAACAATACCCCTTTTCGTTGATCGTCCACTCTTTGATAGCATGTAATCGTCCCTTGGTCACTAAAAAGAGGTCGACATTACTTTACTGTACCTTTTTTTTTTTTTTTTTTTTTTTTGTCTCATAACGAAGAAATGAATTTGCTATGACTTTCTCAATTTTTACCCAAATAATACAAATCCTGTCGCTTGATCGTGCGTTTCTTGCTGTGGAACCTGATAATAAAGAGGGCTGACATATTTCAGCTTTTCAGAGGGGCTCTCATATTTCATCAATAGGGTATCCTGCACAGAGTCGATGCTTCGCCATGCTACTGTTCCGTAAGATGTGCCGTAAATAGAGCCTTGTTGACTGTGACCTTTGATGGCAAAATAAGTCATCAAAGCCTGATCCAATGCGATGAGGTCTTGATAAAAGTAAACCGTTTGTGTATCGGAAGGTCGAATGATGGTGGATATGGATAAGGCTCCTGAAAGGACATTGAAGCGCAACACTTCCTCCGTCGATGTCTGTATAAAGTACAAGTCGCCTTTGAAAGCGACCATATGGGCTACGTTTTCACAAAGAGTCCTTTTCTTGTAGGGCTCACTCTCTTCCATACCATCTATGTCCATTTTTGCTCGCTTAGGCTGACGTTCACTTGTTTAAAGAATGTATGAGTTTTTGGCGCGCTCATCGAATAGCTTTTCCCCTCTCTCGTACGAACCTCCTATTCAATAGAAACTGGATCACTTTATTGGATTCTGTTCTGACGAAAAAGGTGCAATCATCCTCTTCTTGTGCACACACGTCCACTACTTGCACGGTTCCTTCAGGCAATGGAATTGAATTGAAATTCTTCATTTATGTTGTTACGCTTGGTTCACTTTTTCTTATACATTCAGGTCATTTATGAAATGCGGATACCTCATGGTGGAACACATAGATCTGCTTTTGATTGTCGTTTGCAAAGTGTACCTGATGCTGCTGGCAGGAGTAAATGGCATTGTTTCTTATATTTTTTGATTGAAAATGGTAAGTGTCTTTTTGAAGAATGTAAAGTTGAGCATATTCCATTCCAGGAACTAAGTGGTCTATATGAGTTGAATAGAGAGATAATGCAGGTGGGGTAGAAAGAAGGTTTGCATTTTAGCTTTTTTCATTTTTATTCGCACAACTCGGCGTTTTCTTTACTCTTTTTTTTTTTGTACACATCGGGCGGCATGGGCTAATAAGCTTTATCAGAAAGTGGCTACACTCTGGTAAAAAAAACGCCTCCAAGGGATAAGGCACGCTGTAAAAACAAAAGTAGAATACGTCATGGACAAAAATATCTTCTATGTACTAAAGCAGGTATATATTCTATCTTTGACCCTTCTAAGAGTACGTTCTTTAAAACTAGCTTAGTCATCGATGCATCAGAAGAGATGATGTAAAGCGCCAAGACAGCTTTTTGGACGAGCGAAGAGTTTATCCACGTAGAAGGAAGAAGACGGACATCACTACAGGCAAACCAAACGGAAAAACAAAAAATGGCTCCGTAATTAAGCTTGATCACCTTGATCATTATCTCAGATAAGGGGGGTGTTCCTTTACCTAGTGAGCAAATGTAGATGTCTTTTGTCTCCATAGGGGAAGGATGATCTTTACTACTGTTTTGTTACCAAGGTGCAAGTATAAATCGATGTTTATCTTGGCAAAACTGTCAAAACTGAAAAGAGGTATGTCTTTTTTTGGATGGTTGGTAAAGGAAAAGAAGGGATAGATAAATAAATAAAATAAATACGTCAATAGGGGATGGCTTTCTTTTTTCCAGCACTTTGTGTCCCACTTTTATAAAGATGTAAATAAAGGTTAAAGTGTTGAGTGCTGGGTATGGGTGGTGGAGGAGGAGGAGGAGGATAAGGTGATGATGCGTCCGTTTAAAGAAAGATGGGTGTGGCAGATGTGTTCAAATTAAGACTTCATGTTGATCTCGCCTTCTTTGCTCACGTGCTCGCTCTAATGCTATGGCTCTTGAATCTGGTATATTCGAAGCTAAACCCCGGGTTTGGATGGTGATGAATTTTGGCATAGGACGTTGCTCCAAGTCAAGTGATATGTTGATGGCTATTTATAAATAGTTAGACAAATCTACTTTTTGGGTAATATTGGGATGATTTTAAGTGCTTTTTCTACCTGCTTGCAAGTGTTCTATCCATGATATCATGTCTACATGTGAAGGTAACTTCATGAGTAATTGTGGTCCCTGTTGCGTTGTCAGACGGAGGACATTAGGTCGCCTAAAATAGTCTAGTGCACGAGCGGCTTCCGCTCCTGCCAGAGATATGGAAACGATGGGACAATAGTAATATTTATAATAATACTGATAAGGAAGTCTGAATAGCCAAGGATAATGCTCCATGGCTGTTGTTGTTGTTGTAGATTCTTGTTGTGTCGCTTTCGGTGCTGTTCTATAAAGTTTAAGCACTGTACCCCATAACTCTACATAAAGTTTTCTATTCAGACCGAATGGAACAATGTGAATACATACAACACACACTCATGCTGTCTGTAAGCATCTTTGGTTTTTTTTTTGTTTTTTTTACCTCCATCGTCTCCATTTCGCCTTGACATGAGGCATATCGTATTCTTTCTTAATATAGACATAGCCCATTTTATAGACCGTACAACTGTAGTCGGGTAGATCTTCTTTTCCATCTTCCTCACGTGGTGTCGATGCTACCAGCATGGAACGGCATCTATCCAATTTTTTTCCGAGAAGGGCGGTAGGTGTCATCATATAATCTGGAGGCGGTGTAACAATATAGGAAGGTAATGGAAGAGGCATGGATAATGGACGTTGGTTGAAATTGCTAAAGTAGAGAGGGTTGCAGCCAAGACTCGTACGACTACTATGACCACGGTCTTTACTACTGCTGCTGCTGCTGCTGCTGCTGCTGCTGTTGCTACTTTCATGATGATCCTCGATCTGCCGAAAGTTCTTTCTTCGTCGAAGAAGGATGGGTTCGATATGATTTGCTTGGGTGGAAGGAGTTGATGTTTCCAGTCTGAAAGTGACGGAGGGTTGTTGTTGCTTTTTATTCAAAGTGATATAAGCATTGAAAGCGATCATGGCTTTGGACGGTTGAGTGAGAGTATCATGATGATCCTCTTGATAGAGGAGCGCTTCCTTGTCATTCTCATCCGCATGGAGTGTCTCTTCCTGTGGCTGCTCTTCTTCTTGTTCCTGTTCACCCTCCTCCTCCTCCTCCTCCTCCTCCTCCTGAGGATGATTCTCTGGAGAGTGGCGATGGATGTCAGTGATGGTGTGATGGTTTCTTAATATATCAATGCAACTGGACAGCAAATAGACATCTCCTGCATTGTCTTTTCCTAATATGGCTCCAAGGTCTGTTTCTGTCATCATTAAAAATTGACCCAGATGGTGAATGCCCGCTTCTTCCAAGAGGGGCTTGCAATGTAAAAGTGACAGGTGAGCGAGAAATTCGTCTAGATAAGAGGTGAGGGTGGTTGTATGGCCATCCTCAGGGTCATGTTTGTTGTCGTGTTCGAAAAGTGACTTGGTCTCTTTTGCATCCAAGTCGATCCTGTTCAAAGCAGCGACAGTAGCAGCAGCAGCAGCAGCAGCATCAGCAGCAGTAGCCGTCGTCAGGGTCGTGGTTGTCGTCGTCGTCGTCGTACGGGTGGGTGTGGGTGTTGTTGTTGGCGTCGTGATGGGGGGTGGATGAAAAAAGTTCCTCGCAGCGGGAGAAGCAGTCGTGTTCATTCGAAGCATAAAAATAGACTCGTTGGTAGGAAAAAAGAAAGAAAATGCGATAAAGAGAGGAAAAGAGAAAAAGAAGCAAAAGAAAAGAGAGAAGAGCTTTTTTTTTTTTTTTGATAGAAAAGTAAAGAAAAAAACCAAGGAAAGCAAGGAATAAGCTTGAATTTATACGAACCAGAACATAACGGGTAAAAAAAGAAGAAATGCACCATTTACTGCTACTCACTATTATTACTACTACGACTACGACTACGACTACCACTGCGACTACTGCTACTAGCTCTCCTTCTAAGCCAGCTGTGACTCCTGCGCAAGACAATGGCTACCACTCTAACTATGACTACATCATCATTGTATTATTCATCTTGAACCTATGAAACGTGGGCTTCAATTAGAGTTATTCAGAAAAGTCTCATGATCGGGAAAACTATGATGAAAAAGCATTGTTGGTGTGGCAAAAAAGAAACTCCCTCTATTATCCTTTTAACAAACAATTTGCAATGATTGATCCATTGATTGGTTGAGCGCGGTGGGGGCATCATCATGCCCACACACGTACCCCAGAATTGGAAAAATTATAGAAAATTAAGGGGCTGGGCCTTTCTTTTTTTTATTTCGCTTCCCCCCGTCATTGTGAATTTTTACAAGATGAAAAAGAACCTTTGACAACGACATTTATTTCAATAAGTGGGTAGATTGACGAGATGTTGAACTCTAAAAGATCGGCTTGTCTACTTTTTTTCACGTGATACATACACAAGGCCCTTTTTTTTCGCGTTTAATTCTTTTTTTTTTTTTTTTTCATTATGGAGTTTGCCATGCTTTTTCTTCAGTCGCTAGAATTGGCATGTAGGAGTTTTGATCCAATGCTGGTATGCATGATCCATCTGTTAAAAGGCAAAGGCGGGTCTCTCTCTTATCAAAGAGAAAAAAGAACAATAGGAAAAGTCCGGAGCCACTATTTTTGGGTCTTCAAATCTAAATTCGTGTCACCTTGAACTTTAATATTTTTTCAATTTTTTTAATTTAATGCATTTCAATGGTTTCTGTACCGACAGAATCTGTTGTCAATAGAGTTGCTTTTCCGAGGACATGTCAATGGGTGACATGAACTCAAAACTTGAATAACTGGCGCTCACCATGTCTTTAAAGGAAAAATTAAACCTACTCCAAGTAAAAATCAAACCTATTCTTACCGCTTACATCATTCGTTCATCAGCTTTTTATTGAAAAAAGTTTAATTGTGAAAAAGAGCCTACTAAAGCATGGCTAACCCTATCCATGTTGGATAGAGTAAGGGGCGGCGATACTTTATTTTAAAGTTTACTCTAGAGAACAGTGAGTAGTAGTAGTGCGTGGAGAGTCCGTTGACGGAGAAAATATCTCGCTTTTTTTCTAAATAGGAAAAATAAAGGTATATCAAACTACACAGATTCTATAAAGAAGTTTGTTTTAATGTCTCTAGCAAAGCCATTTCACATTGCTGAATTCTCTCTGGTGTTGTTATCTGTGAGGCCATCAAGTAGATGACGTTACCCAAAGGTCGAGCAAACAAGTGGATGCCAGTTTCTGGCGTACCATCCAAACCATTTTTGTAATGAGCCGAGCGTAATTTTTGAATGATGGACGCGGATACCGACGAGCCATAGCCTAGTCATCATAAGAAGAACGATAGGGCGTTTAGAGCATGATGAGCAAAAAAATAAGGGCACGATGTAAAAATAGACGTACCTTTGGATTGAAGATCTTTGAGTTCCACCGCCAACACAGACCCCAAGGTCATGACACTCTCTACTTGATCGAGATGAGATAGCTCATTCACTGTCTCTGGACGCCACATGGACCACACAGGACGCTCGTTCTCTGTCTTGTTCTGCGGTGAGGGTGTCCATTGCTGACGGAACGGTGTCCAAGCATTGTTGGGTGAAGCTAAACGGTCGAGGGTGTCAATCGAGGTGCTGGCTACAGCACAACCCATGGGATGGGCGGTGTAAGAGTGACCATGCAATAAACAATCGGGTTTCTCGTTGCTCAAGAAGTGGCGATACATCGATTCTTTGGTGACGGTGAGAGCGAGTGGTAATAATCCACCTGTTAACGTTTTGGCATAAGCTGTAATATCGGGTTTCTATATGAACGGCGGAAGAGGGGGTTAAACGTGGTCGTCCCTGCTCAACAAGTGGGCCCCTCTTTGTTGTCACTACTACTACTACTACTTACCACACCCAAGAATTCAGAGGCGGATCGTCTACCTAACCTATACCAACCACTGAAGACTTCATCAAAAATAACCGGCAATCCTTTCATTGCAGAAGAAGGAGGGGCAGAGCGTTGTGGGTCCTCATAGAAAAGGTCTTTTTCTTCTCTGACGGTATCGATCAAGACCCGTTGAAACAAAGGGTCGACAAACATCATTCCGCCCGCTCCCATGAGCACGGGCTCCATGAGTAATGCACCGATGGAACGCTCTTGTTGCTTCAGCATGGCGAGCTCTTGGAGAATATAGGTGCGATAGGTGGTGGCCAAAGCAGCGTCTCTGTCGACGCCTACTTTATCCACAGAATAGATAGCATCCAACGTGTCATAATACTTGACTGTAGGTGAGGCGTCTGCGTGTTGTGTTTCTTTTCCTTCTGCTGCGAGGATGGCGCTGGGGATGCGAATCAAGGGCTTTCCTTTGGAAATATGGACCGTGGGAGGCTTCAACCAGTGACCCCGCGGTTTGTACCAATGCACTTGATCGTTGTAGACGTTGGGGGCACACGCGTCCATGGCGCCGATGGTATCGCCATGATAGCTGCCTTCGATCCCCAGAATCTCTGCCGTCTTGCCTTGTGTGTTATGACTGTCTTGCATCGGACTCCCGAGACGCGCGGTGAAGGCCATCTTCATAGCGACCTCCATGGCGGTCGAGCCATTGTCTGAAAAAAAGACACGAGAGGCCCAGGTGTCTTTGTGCAGCACCTTTTCGGCGAGACGAAGCGCAGGCTCATGGGTGGATTCAGGGAAAATAACATGACCGTAACGACCTGCCGCATGCGCCGCGGAGAGGGTCAGATCGGGGTTGGCATGACCCAGCCCTTGTGTCCACCAACTGGCACAGGCATCAAACATTTCCTTGGGCTGTCCCCCGTCGTAGGTGGTGAAATGGTCTTGATGCGCCGAGTCAATGACCGTCACGTCCTTGACGGTCTGATGCTGTGTAAAAGGCCACCAGAAAATGGATCGCGATTTTTCGGCCATGGTCTCCAAACGCTCGAAACGTTGTTCGTGATAGGCATCGAGGTGCTGAATGACGGGGACGAGATGTTCGTCCAGCTGCTGATAATAGGCCTTCATGGACGCTTGATCACGCACTGGGTCCGCTTCGTTCACGGGAGGCGGCGGAGGTACGGTCACGACCAAGCCTTCACCTCTCCCCCCGTCCGAGGTCATTTTGCGATATCTCTCCCCAATCAAGACGTGATTTCTGTAGTGGGGTTGCTCGAATAATAAAACGGCCGGAACGTCATAGCCGCGTAAATGGAGTGATTCAAGAGAAGTCAAGGTGGTTGAAATACCGCCCAAGTGACTATCACCGATCAATAAAGTGGGGAGTCGCAGTGATCGATAAAAATCGACTTGAGGTGTACCTTTTTTTTTTTTTTTTTTTTTTTTTGTAGTTGGGGGAATGCCCGTGAGTGGGGAGGAAAACGAGGCTAAAAAATTTAAAATCCCTACCTACCCGACATGACCGGACTGTGAATTCCTCCAGCGGTTTCTAAAAAGTAATAACTGCCAAAGGTTGGATTGGTTTGCGATTTTACATCTTGAAGCATTTGAAGCTTGACGTGTCGAAGGACCTCTGCATCGGCAGGCGGCTGTTCAAAGAAGGAGGGGATGAGTAAAAAAAAAAAAACATGCACTACGCGTCATACGACTCCCAAGTAGGGTGTACCTGATCAGTAGCAATATGAGGACTGACAGGATCAGGATAGGTGTAGAGTGTCTTTGTTTTGACTAACTTGGATGGATTATACGTCTTGACATGTCTTTTATAGGCATGCATGCATCAATTTTCATCCGTGCCCCTTAAAGTAAGTGTGTATCAAAGTCTCTTTACTCTACCTTTCATCGCTATCTTTTGGATAGCCTGTTTGCACAGGTTTGAGATAATACACATCACGTAGCTTGTGGGCGGCTGTATTTTTCAATTGTTGAGAGGCAGCGGCTGCACGACATAGACCCGTGGCAAACACGGTCTTGCCTACATTGGTATTGGCTGCAAAGAGTTGATAGGCCTGAAATGTCCTTGAGGGTAAAAAGGGTGTAGGCATAATCTATATAATGGTTTTTTTTTTTTTTTCACACACAAGGTAGGAAAAAAGAAAAGAAAACAAAAAATGCAGTGTGGTACACTCGCCTCATGAATTAAAAAACACCCGATAAAAAAAAAAAAAACCAACCAAACAGGATAAAAGGCTATTGGTCATAGTATGTAATTTCATTTTACAAGAAATGACGCGTTTCCATGACTACCTTACTATCCTATATTCTTGTTTTTGGGGGTGGGGGTGAAGAGGGACGAGAGGATTGACAACATTCTTTATCAAAGTGGGGTGGGGAATGGGGGAGCAGAGAGGGGAAGAGAGAGAGAGAGAGAGAGACACTAACTATTTCAAGTGGATGGATAGATGGGCCAGATTTGTAAGATTTAACTATGTATAAATTAAAAAAACGATTAAAAAAGAAAAAAAAAAAAAAAAAAACGGTCCTTGATAAAAAGACGACTTTAGATAAGCGTATAAGCCATTGTTCCCTTTCCCATCATCATCTCTTCTTTCTCTTTTTTCTATTTTCTCTGACCCTTTTCTTTTTCTTTTTTTATTTTTCCTTTTACCTTACATTAACAGCAAAAAACACATTTCTTTCTATTTCATCATGTCAGCTTTACGGTTTTTCTTTTTCAACAAAACATCAACAGCAGCGCTGAAACGGAAAAGGAACATTCATTTCGTTGTTGCTGAACGGTACCTGACAACGTCCTTCTCTACGAGACTTGCAGCGGTCACCACACAAGAACAACAACCACAGCAACAACAACAACAACAACAAAAGGCAGCAGATGCTAGTTCTCTATCCGCCGCTGCCTTCCATGCTTTGAACAGTAAAGCAGCAACAGAAGGCATTCTTAGAAATGATTGGACAAGAGAGGAGATCCAAGCAATATACGATTCTCCCTTGATGGACTTGTTGTATTACGGCGTAAGGTTACAAATGCCCATCGGGATTCTGAGAATTCTTTCTCACACACCTTTTTTTTTTTTTTTTTTTTTTTTTTTTTTTGCATTTTATATAGGCTAAAACACATAGAGAGAATTTCAATCCTCGCGAAGTGCAACAATGCACTCTACTTTCCATCAAAACAGGTGGATGCACAGAAGACTGCAAATACTGTCCTCAATCCTCTCGTTATAAAACGTCGGTGAAAGCTCAAAAAATGCTTGATTCAGATTCTATCCTTTATGCTGCTCAAAGAGCCAAAGACGCTGGTAGTACTAGGTAAAAAAGCAAAACAGCAGATGGGGCTTTGTGATCGGGGGCATATCTTTAATGATCTCTCTTTTTTTCTCAAAAGATTCTGTATGGGTGCTGCGTGGAGAGATTTAGCAGGTCGTCATTCAAACTTTAACAAAATTTTAGAACATGTTAAAATCATTCGGTAAGCAAGCAAAAAAAAAAACAAACAATCCATCCTCTTGTTTCTTTTTGATATTCATTGAAATCCAATCGAGTGGATTAGCGCCATGGGTATGGAAGTATGTTGTACTTTGGGTATGTTGAATGAAGAACAAGCCAAAGCACTCAAAAATGCCGGCTTAACAGCCTACAACCACAATTTGGACACGTCGCGTGAATTCTATCCAAGAATCATCACCACGCGTAGTTATGACGAACGTCTTGAAACCATCAGCAACGCTCAAAAAGCGGGCATCTCTGTTTGCTCGGGTGGTATCATCGGTCTCGGTGAAAGAAAAGAGGATCGTGTCGGTCTCCTTCACACATTATCAACGCTCCCTCAACATCCTGAAAGCGTGCCTGTCAACGCCTTGGTGGCCGTCGAGGGAACGCCCTTGGAGAAACAAAAACCGGTCTCTGTCTTTGAAATGGTGCGTATGATTGCCACAGCACGTATTCTTATGCCTAAATCCATGGTACGATTGTCAGCAGGACGTGTGCGATTTTCTGTACCTGAACAAGCCCTGTGTTTCATGGCGGGGGCCAATTCCATTTTTACAGGAGATAAACTGTTAACAACACCGAATAACGAGTTTACAGACGACCAAAAGATGTTTGAGTTGTTAGGTTTAGTACCCAAAGCACCTAATTTTGAACAAGGTGCTGATAAAAGAAAGGAGGATATACCGGTGTATCAAATGCCAAAATGCTTCAAGCCTGCTGCTGCTGTTGCTGATGCTGCTCAAAACGATGGGCAGTAAATATAGAAATCGTGAAAGAAGAACAAGAACAAATAGTCAACCATCATAATTAAGAAAAAAAAAATGCAGCTAAATAAATGCTTATAGATGATTTACATTGATACAAAAATAAACAAAAAAAGAAAAAAAAAAGAAAAAAAAAAAGAGAAAGATGCTAACAATTTATGTATGTAATGTATTTTGTTCATTTTGATTGGTGGAGAGACAAGCTTCTGTGATACTTTTTTTTTTTTTTTTTTTATTTTGTAAATAAAACTAAATTCTTCTCTTCTAAATAAACCATAAAGATTGTACTTTTTTTATTTTTTTTTCTCTTTTCTTTTTTCTTTCTTCATACAAGAATTGCCAACCAGGCTTCCTCTCCTTATTATTTTATTCCTCGTAGAAAGCCCTCTTTTTTAACGACAGCCCTTTCACCGCCAAATTGACATAGCATAGGACAGCTTCCTCATCTCTCTTCATTCGCACCATTTGACATTTCTTTTAAGACACCACCAAAATCAATTTTAACAACTAACCGATAGCAAAGGTCATTTCAATGAGAATGTTGCTCTCGTAGAAATCTGCCACTATCTAACGCATTCTTTTTCTTTTTTCTTGATTGAAAACAGATGGGCCAATTCATTTCTAGCTTGAATCTCCGTCCTGGAGAAGCTCTCGTACCTGAACTGGGTTTCGACATTGAAAGTAAAACAGAAAAAAAGAAAAAAAAACCCAGCTTTTTTCATCATTTATTTTTTAACTTTAAATTATTTTTTTTTTTTGTTAGACGCTACACCTTCTCATGATGAGTTACAGTTGTACAACAAACTTTCTGCTTTGTTAGTCAGACCAGGTCCTACGTTATTATCTCTTTTAAAGAGTTATGTGCCTGCTTCTGAGCAAATTCGTGATGCCATTGCCAAGCCTACACACGAAAACGAGACAAGAGCTTGGGATGCTGTTGCACCTACTGTAGATATCTTGCGCGAAATCTATGATTATTCTGCTGATCTACGTAAAGTATCGAATGAATGTCTTGAGAACTTGTTGAACTTGGTTGATTAACATCCTATTTTTTTTATTTTATTTTTGTTTTTTCCTGCGGGCGGGGGGGGAAAAAAAACTCATTTTTGTACATATAGAGGAGGGGCTACCTGAATTATTAAGCGTTCTTTGTCAAGGAGATGTCAACAAGAATTTAGAAACAAATCAAGGCTTAGCCAAGTTATTTGCAGAACTGCTTGATTTTGTGTTTGAATTTGATCATTTGAAAATGAGAAGCCCTACATTACAAAACGACTTTTCTTATTATCGACGTATGTTGCAAAGAGGAAGATACAGTAGTAGCAGTAATAACAACAACCATCCTACGAATAGTAGTAGTAGTCACTCGAATGCCATGTCAGATTTGAGAAGTGCCATGATAGAAGATGATCAAGCCAATCGCATCTCTCTTTTCATTGCTTATCCAACTCCCATGCTGAAATGCATTATTGATACAACAACGACCTTTGTCAATAACAATAAATTGCAAAAGAGTGTAGGTGATTGGTTGGCAGCTTTATGGGCAACATGCTTCAATACCGTGAGCAAAAAGAGGTGAGTCATAGTAGCGCCGTTCGTACAGTTATCGTCACTTACATTATTTTTTTTTTGCTATAGAAACCAAAACCCGCAAATTGCAGCATTCTGTATGAAAGTCATGGTGGTGTCCATCATCCTGTACGATCATATAGACCCAAACGGCGCATTTTACAAGAATTCGCCCATCAACATTAAAAACTCTGTCAAAATCATACAATCTGTACCAACCACTCTTAATTTATCAGCTTCATCCACTTCAACCAACACGCATCACGGCGGCAACAGCAGTAGTAGTAGCAGCAGCAGCAGCAGCACCAGCAGCCGCAGTCGACTTCTCACCAGCGAATACAGCTCCACGAACCTCTTATCCGCTTTGAAATACAATTCGAAACATTTGAATGATGAAACCACACCAAAAGGCGTAAAGAACTTGGTCTTGGCCACTTGAGCCAACTTTTTCAAATATTTTATTTTTTTTTCACTCAATAATACTACACTACTTATTACCAACTACAGCTATTTTTACTACTATTACTACCCACTACTATCATATCTTTATTTTTCTTTCTCTCTCTATATATATACATCTATAGTCTTTTTAACAACTGCATTCAAATTCTTTTCATTATCATACTATTACTAATCTTAATAATACTTGACTATGTGTATATATATATGTAAATCTATAGATCCTAATTTTTTTTTTTTTTTTTTTTTTTTTTTGATTGAGAAAAACTTTATCAGACGACAATCTGAGAATCCTCTATGCCCTTCACCAGATGGGGATCCGTAGTTGTTGTTTTTGTCACTGTTTGCATGCGCAGACAATGAGGATGTGGCTGCTTATTAACAAGCATAGGACATAGATTTGGGTATCTCTCCCGTCGTATGTCTAGTAAATGTAGGGTAAATGAAAACAGGATGGAGATTAAACTCTTTTTCTTTTTTTATACATAGACTTGAGTTGCGGTTACATTTTTTCATGTTGAACAGTCGTAACATGTCCGTGGTGAAGGTGGTCCAAAAAAATTGAATAGAGTATCTCAAAGCATGAAAACTTCATTGTCTGTGCAACCCAACCCCACCACAAAAGTGCCACTCATTGGGTCATGGGCTTCGTCTTCATCCTCAACGTATCAACGTTTGATTTCTGGTTGTACGCTTAGCATCTTGTAGACAGTCATCATCAACCAAGGTCACTGTGTTGTGTTCAAATGCGATGACGGATGGATGACGGTCAGAACTCTATTCTCTTTTCTTCTTTTTTGCCATCGAAAATAAAAACTAAATTCTATCAAAGTGCTTGTTCAAGAATAGCTAGAAAAGATCCCAGACATAATGCGCAGTATGATTCACTCTCTTTCATTGATAATGCATGCATCGATATGGGTAGGACGCGTTTGCTAACGTATAAAAATTGTCTATCAATGTAGAATTGTTCTCTCTGATAAAGCGAATCAGTAGCCCCCTGACTGTATGGGCTGATACGAAAGATGTATATATCTTGTATGCCTCACAAAATACGAGCAATAAGAAACTCACTCCAATTGTGGATGCATAAACCATGTCTGACCGACTATAGTCAGTCGAGAGTTCAATTGAATAGCTATGAAGAAGAACATCCCGAGCAATAGCACTTTGAAACGCGTCCTACCCATATGAATGCCAATAAGAGAGTGAATAGGATTGCGCATGATCTCCGGATGACTCAATAGCATTACCAATCCCTCACCCTCTTTTCATTTACCATCAGGGGATAAATACCATCAGTTTTTTGCCATGTCACTCCTCTTCCTATGCTTTCCTCTGTGCTTTACATAAACATTTCTTGAAGCCCCGTTTTGGATTTCCATTAGGGTTTGCTCTACGTTCCATCTCGCCTCTTACCGTCCATCTCAGTGGGTATGAGGACTATTCCTGTCTGAGCCATATAAAAAGATGGGCTGTGTTGCCATAGTAGATGTAAGCTTCCTATTGGAAGCAACCACCTGTAACACTGGGTGGAAAATGCATCTTCATTGACAAACACTCTACTACAGTCATTAAAATGCTGGCATTTTAAACAAAGTTGGTTTGCTTGCTTTTCTCTTACGACCGAAATCAGTCTCCACACCGTTTATCTACCCCCTGATTCATTTCTTTCCTATAAAATGACTCATGGGTTCTATGTCCTCTTCGTGACTACAAGCACAAGACAGTGGGTTTACAAAACTTGCTCAGGAAATGAGTGGAGGATTGGGTCCAAAGTTTAGAAACGTGCAAAATAAAATGAACAGGGGACAGAAGATGGAATGTTTATAAAAGATTCCTTCTATCAATGCGCTATTCATGTTGATTACACTGAGAAAACCTCCAACTGAAATCGAATCGTTCTACAAAGAATTTCTGCTGGCTAAGGAAATGACGATGTCTTTCAACTATGTCTGAGCTTTGCTCCCCCCCCCTGAATCGCTCTACCAAATAACCCCGTTTACGTCAAAAAAGAAAAAGTCCCATTTTTTGCATTAACCGTTTCCCTTTCTCCAATGAGAGTGTGATGAACGAATTCCAATAGTGACAGGCGTAATTGTAGTCTCTCTACAAATTCAAAAGCACTGTAATAGCCACTGCATAGAATATCAATAAATCTCATGGACCGATTCTGCGATGATCTACCACCCCCTTTTCTTTACGAATTCTATAATTTCAACTATTTTTTTTTTTTTTTTCCAGTTTCTGCTCTCCTTTCATTTGATCTAAAAGCCCAAGGTTACATAAAACTGACATGAATGAGTAACGTGAATGGTCCAATAAGGTGGAAAAATAAAACCACCCATTATGCGTGGAAGCATATTTGTCTGCTTTTTACCACCCTTTTTTAAAGAAAGCCCATAAGAATTCAATGAAACGTTTTGAGACAGCAGCTGACAATGAACCAGGCAAAGGCATTTTAATCTGTCAGTGTTTCAACAAGCAATCCAAGTTTGAGCGCATTCATGCTCAATACCCTCTCAAATTCATCCCAACCACAGGACATGCTGATCGATTAGCTGTTGTCTACATGCTCAGTTATGGTGGTGGTGTTATTAGTGGCGACACATTCGATGTGGAAGTCAAAGTGAAACAAGATGCCATATTGCTTCTCATGACACAGGGCAATACCAAGATCTTTAAAGATCGCGTTCATCAACGTTTATGGTTGTCCTCGCTTCAACAAGAGCAAGAAGGCGGCTTATCCGCTGGATCCATTGTGAAGCATCTTGCCAACTGGGTGCCTGAAAAGCTCCGTAGCCTGATACACCCGGCACCTGCTGAAGTAGCCCCTTCCGTTCAACTGATCCATTATACTGTCGAACCCCATGCTTCTCTCTTTGTTATCCCTGATCCCGTCACTTGTTTCCGCCATTCTTCATTCCAATCACGTCAGGAGATCCACTTGGCCGACGATTCCTCCGAGCTGATATTGTTGGATTGGTTTACGAGTGGTCGTATAACACGAGGTGAAAGCTGGTCTTTTCGTCATTATTCAAGTCGCATCCATGTGCATCTTGGGTCACGACTCGTCATCAAAGATGCAATGGTGTTGGAAGATGAGGCCTATATGAAGGAACTGCAAGAACAACAACAGCCACAACAGCATTCGGATGAAACGGCCTATGCATCTCGCTTGAATCCCTACCTTTGTTTTGCTACCTTAATCATGATTGCATCACAGCAGCAGCAGCAGCAGCAGCAGCAGCAAGACGATGTGTCGGAAGAGCAAAAGAACAGTAAAGCTTTGATGGATGCCGTAGGTTCGATACAGAAAAAGTCGGAAGAAATGAGACTGCTGCCAAACTCTCTAAAATCAGCACAAGACAGAGAAGTGCTGTGGTCCGTAAGCCCTGTGTTGAAAGGAAGGGGTGTGCTTGTACGTATTGCTGGTATTCATTCAGAAAAAGTAAAAGATTTTGTAAAGCAGGAATGTCTCGGCAAAGGTCTAGAGCAAATTGTAGGCGATGGCATGTTTAAGAAAATATTGATGTAGACCCCCTTTTTCTCTAAAAATAAAAAAGCCAAAAAAAAAAAAAAAAAAAAAAAAGGTATTATTCTATACATTCACAAATGACGGATCATTAAAGAAAGCCGCCAGTTAGAACGCTATGTAGAAAGCCTAAGCACAAAATCCTCTCTATCAGATATTGCAGCCACTACAAGTGATTAGGCATGCTTGCAGTAAACATAGCAAATTTTTGTCATATTATTACACTGGCTATGATCTGACAAGTGAACGTTATCAGTTCGTACCCAATGCCTTTACTTTTTTGCAAGTGTTGCTTTACAAAGCTGTTAAGCGGCTGTCCTCTTTCAATCCACTGCACAAAAGTAATTCCTGATGTAAACTTTTCCATCATTGTAAATAAGTGGACCGAAATCAAATTCAATCTTTTGACTGCATTAGCTACATTGTTGATCTCTCCTTTTTTCTTTTTTTTTTTTTTTTTTTTTTTTTTTTTTTTACAAAGTAGCTCTTAAAGACATAAAGTATTTTCTGATAATGTCTACAATAAAAACGCTATTGTATAGCTTTTGACATTGGCGACACAGTAGCCATAAAATGTGTTCTATTTGGGAATGATGAAGTGGTTGTTGTAGACATCTATGAATGGTTCAGCGCGTGAAGCTCGCGTATCTTGGTTATATTTCGCTTCAAATCTTGGTACTCATCATACAGCACATCATCTTCAGCCTTGAAGTACTTTACGAGATCACCACCTTCATCTTCAAACCATTTGTCCAAGACTTCTTCTATCTTATCCATCTGATACGTCAAGTCAGGTTGATTCTTCGATAGCTCTTTGCCTACAACTAAAGCATTATATCTATTCTTGACGACGCAGGAAAGCATGGACAAAAATGTACGCCAGTTCCATCCGGCATGCATAAGCAGTAATTTCTGACATTCTTGGAGAAACTCGGCCTCGTCCACACTCTCTTGAATATCCTCAATGGATTTCCTGCAGTCGTCATAATCCTTCTTGAGTGAGCGGTAAGTATGCATAATATTGTTTGCGTTAATCCAATTGTGATTGAGTGATATAGCAGCGCCAATGTTCTCCACTTGATGGAACCAGTCAGAAGGAATAAACATGGTTTCGCCATCTCTTTGATAGATGACGACTCTGCGTGCTTCATTAAAACGAGGAAACTGGTCTGGGTCAACGTGACGGACATCATATACTTGATTTCCATATTTGTCTTTGTAACACTCTTCTTGATTTGGTGGAAACATCGTCCATTTCTTTACACCACAAATATTGCTTGACCAGGAATGAGATCTGATAAAAAAATGTCGGGTTATTCACTGACCAGCTAATTCTGAGAAAATTGTTATCTTTATACCTATGAACATCAGCATGAAGAGGCGTGAACGTTGTATGTCCTCCAATATAAGAGAATCTATAATCATCATCGCCTTTCTGTAACCAATATTCATTGAGCCAATCATCTGTTTAAAGTGCAAGAAATAAAACAGGGCTAAAGGGTAAGCCCAAATGTGAAAGGCAGACAAAGCTGATTTCCTTTTCTTTTTTTCTTCGATTCATTCTGCTATTCTCCTTACCTTCGAATAGGTTGGGAACTTTATAAAACTTGTCGTCTGGAAACGTTCTCATCATATGAAAGTCTTTAAAGTACCAGAGAGACTCTTTACCGTCATCGGCTTCCCATAGATCTGCAAATTGTTCAAAGGACATGGACTCTCTCCACTGATCCGTGAAATGACGTTGGTTACATTTAGCGACTTGACTTTCAGCGCTTCCAAAATGCTTCCGCATATATTGATAGTTAGGTTTATATTTGGGTCGGATATTCTCGGCTACTTCATCTAAATTATCCACAGGCACAATCCACTCTTTTCTAGCCTTCCAATTATCGATGAAAGCAGGGCCAATAATGCAAGGCTTATTGGGAATAAGGTGATTTTCTAAAAATTCTTCGTACGTAGGAGGAACTTCATAGTACGGAATGTGAAGATCGTCGTCAACATTGGAAATCTTCTCGGTCATTTCACCAGATCGACCTCTTATCTTTGAAAAGCTGCTGTTGCTTTGTGGTCAATTTAGACAGTGACACTCTATAGTTTTTTTTTTCCCTGGCCAATCAACAGTAACGTACCGCATGAATTTTTCGGCCAAATGCCAAAATGTTGCATTAAGAATTGACCCTTATAAGAGTTATGAGCCATATAGTTATGAGAGACCAGAGAACCGACTCTTATATAAATGAGTTTGTACATTTTGCTTTATATATTGTGAAAAGAATAGTTGAGAATCTATCCTCTCCAATTTATATTTCATAGTATGTTTCAATCTTTTTTGTTTTTGACTTAATAGAGACGTTTTCTCTATTGTCAACACGTCTTCCACCGAAATATTCCCACTTTCGTATAAAGGAAAACGGTTGAAAAGGGTTAAAAGTACGAGTCGGATGGACCTTACTTAACGCTTTTTAAGGAGCAGACAAAAAGGAGTGTATCCTTTTTGTTTTCAGTAACGCCAATAGATTATGAACCGGTGTAAAGGTACAGGGGTAAAATGCATAACAGTCGACCTCTACGAGAGAAAACCCATTCCCCCCAAACGCAGCCATGCTATTAAGGGAAGGAGAATACGATCATCTATTTAAACACGCAGTTTGCTCTTTAATTTCAATATGCTTTTGCACTCACAACTTTCGGAAACAACGTATACGCCACACCTGAAAAAATGAAAGCTATTCTAGCGATCTATCTCACCGTTCTTACATTCATCGGCTATACATATGCTGCAGTCATCGATCAAACAACTCAGGAAGTAGAGAGATACACTGATTACGTGCAGAACGAAGTCGCGGCAGATTATCATCTTGGTTATTCGGCAGCCGTAAACTCCATCGTGCGCTCTCTCTTTAAATAGCAAGCCAATTTGTTTTTTCCAAGCTCACTCAAGATGTCGGACACAGTCGGAAGACATTTTTTTCTTGATACATCTAGTAGTATTCGCCCAAAAAACCAAAGATGCTACAAGCTCAACGCATTGTTTTTCCATTCGTTTGCTCAAAATCAAAATACGCTAATAAAACATCCCTATTGCACCTTAAAAAAATGATAAAGAGGCAAAATGTTAGATACACAGATCACTTAAAGAAGCGGGAGACGATGAGATTTGAGACAAACAGCAAGGAAAAAGGGAAAAAAAAGAGGGGAATACCTACGGCACTTTTCATCAAATAGGTTCTTTATCGATAATTACACTTGCCTTTGGTCCGTTTCTGATCTCTGAATGCTTAGGATATGTGTTTCCAAAGCACTGATTTGTTCTAGACCATTCTTTTCTTTTCCTTTGTATTCCTGGATCTCCTTCTTCTGTTTTGCTACCTCTACACTCATATCATCGACTTTGTTTTGCAGTTGAACAATACGATCTTCATTGTCACGTGCGATGGAAGCGAGTAGATTCCTTTCCGAGGATTTTAACTGCTCGGTAAGCTGAACAGATCTTCTATAATACTTTGCAATATCATGCTGCTGAGGATAGGCGTCTGCCGTGGATGCCGACAGACGAGCATCGTCTGTTCCTTCCTCTTCTTCCTCTTTGATCGCTATGGAATGCTTGCTTTTATCCATGATTTTCCCGTTCAAGTGTAAACGATTGTCTTTTTCCATGCTAAAATAGCTTGTGAATTGTTGTCTGTCAAAGTCACTCAAGGAAGTAGTAGCTGCAGAGGGTCTGCGTTTCCAGGATGCTCTCCTTGTTGCTGTTGCTGTCTTTTGAAAGGCCATCTTACCCTTCTCGTTAGGGTGATTCCTGCTATTTCCCAAGGACAGAGGGGCTTTCATTGTGTTGTTGAATGGATAGGCATCGTTATAAGTTCTCGATGCTGTAGGTTCAGAAATAGATGGTTTTGGAGCACTAATTAAACCTGCCTTTTCTAAGTGCAGATGTATGGTTGAAACGATAAAAAATGATATTGGTTTTGACTGGCAGCCATACAATAGGAGCCAATTTGATGTGCATAAACGATAGAATCGGGTATAAGTACTATTTATTATGACAAATAGGTATGATTGTCAAGGCGCCGTATGCTTGCAACAGTTTCCTAACGTTAACGCATGTGAGGGGTGGATTCTACTTTCAAAAGTTTGTCGACTTTCTCATTAAATATTCCTGTGCTTGTTGAAGCAATTATTTCAAACTGCAAAAAGCCGAAATACCTTCTCCATCATTAAACCTTGGCTACGCATTTTTCAGCAAGCCATAGGCAACAGTAATCATTAAGCCTACATCCGACATATCACACCCGTTTTTAAAGTCGCTCTCAAATGTTTACCCGCACTTATCATTTCTCAAATCCCTGTATGTCCAGAGAATTGATAGAGGCGAGTTTAAACAGCTTGGTAGTTTACGAAATATAGCTTACATCATCTCGCGATGTCCGTTTCCGTTGGTTTCTGTAGGATGGTGTAAGCACAGATCTGAAAATTCAGAAACATTTTAATAGACCAGAAACCACTCTATTTTTCAAAAAAGAGACATCATTTATTGTAAATTTGACAAAGGCAAACAAGACAACGGCGTAACAGAATATAAAAACAGGAGTTTATATATAAAACTAAACAAGTGAAACACAAAAAGTTGGATTACTTTATTTCTTCTTGTTAGCTTCTTCTTCAGCTCTATCACGGGCACGCTTTTCGCGGATACCGAGAGTACGAGCAGCAGCACGAGCAGCACGGAGCTTAGCGTAAGCATTGACAGCCTTATCTTCAGCGGTGATTTCACGGGCTTCAGGAGCAGCAGGGATTTGTTCAACGGGGAAGAGAGGACCACGGAATTGGGCAGCAGCGGCAACTTCGGAGGCTTCGGCATCACCCTTCTTGGCCTTACCGGCCTTACGGGGGAAGACGATAAGCTTAGCCTTATAAGCCTTCAAACGTTGAACGTTGAGTTCAAGAGATTCGTTGGATCTGTTGCGACGACGATGGTCGACAGCAATACCGATAGTACGGGCTTCCTTACGACGAATACCAGCTTCCTATTTTTTCCCAGCATTGCAATAATTCATAAAGATCAGTCATAAAATTCCCTTTGCGAGTCTACTTGAGTTGTCAAGGAATCTGTATCCACTCTTTGTCTCCCCCTTTATCTGTTTTCTCCATGAACAACTCGTAATCAGCTTCCTCCTTTTTTAACTATTCTTACCTTGAGTTCTTCAAGAGTGAAACCACGGCCAGCTCTCAACTTCATGTTGTAGCGAACAGTGGGGCAACGAACAGCAGGACGAAGGAGACCGTCAACGGGTCTGGGGGCAATACGAGCAGCCTTTTGGACACGTGCGATTCTTCTGGACTTCTTACGGCCAGCTTGATCGAACCAAGTCTTGACACGACGGGCCCATTGCTTGCGGAAGTGCTGGTTAGGCAACTGGTTGTTGTGCTTCAAAACCATGATCTACAAAAATTGTTTCCAAGGCACAATCGATCAAAAATTAAGACGATCCAATGGAATTGGATAGTGTATAAACATAAATATGAAAATGTACGTCAATCCAAAACAGAGTTGTTCATTATTGTTGGAAAATAAAATGAGCAAGAAGGAGAATCGAATGGTCAATGTTGGAAATGTTGGTAAAGTGAAATTGAAGGTTTGAAGGAAAATAAAAAAAGGAAGATAAAATATGGTTAGTCCTGCTTTCCTAACAATCCTTTCAATCCATCACAACTCAATCTAAACGGATCGATTCATTCAGATGTATGATGGATTGATCCTTTCTCAAATTGATTATTGAAGTATACGTACAAATCACCAGTAAGTTAAAAGAGAACGGGCTTCAAGCTGCCTTCAACTTCCATTACAAAGTACACAAAAAAATCGAAGCCTTTTGCGGGCTTTAAAAAGTCTTGCTTGCTGCCGTCTTTTTCTTTTGATCTTGGGTTGCCTTACCAGCAAATGGTTGGCAGATCTATTATGAGCCCGGCGAAATCAAATGTTTCAATTTCAGGCTTGAAAGGGCAGCCTGCACTTTGTATGATAAAGACATTGCAGCTTATTTCAATAGTGACTCTTTTAAGCAAAAGTGTGCTTTCTGCTCAACATTTTTTATCACAAATTTGGTAATGATATGCATTTGATTATGGATATTTTTCATATTCTTGAACGCAATGGAATGTAAGTAGCACAAATTCTATGTTCCTTCTCAGCGTTCAGGCATCAGCGTTAACGACATTGGTGACAGAGGCAATGAAACATTTCCTGAGGTGTGCCTTACATAGGTAATTACTGTTGCATTTCAAAATTCACAAAAAGGATGTATCCTGTGCGTTCTATAATAGCATAACTTATCAAAATAAAGTAACATCTGTTTGCCCATGATTGGATTCAATAAATATACTTTTTTATGCTCAAACCGTTACTGCATACCAGATAGATACGATAAATGAAAACCTATCAATCTCATAACAACACTTGCTATTCATCTGTGGAGCAAAACCTCCATACGAAATCTCAGTCTGTTTAACATTTACGATCCATCTGAATCTTTTATTGATTATACTGCGAAGATATAGATTATTGGTTTAAACTCTCTGAGTCCTTCTTTGAGTCTTATATGTGTTTTAATAAATTACATTTGCGAAACTTGTTCTGCTACAATATTGAGGAAGGCCCTAGGTCGAAAACGACATCTCTGGGTAAGGAAGCGTTAGCTATATAATGGTGAGCATTTCAGCCCTACCATTAATTGCAAGTGATCCCAACCGTCGGTTCATATTATAGCTGTCCTGTTCATAAAATGTGCTTGCTGTTGCAATTGATCAATAAGCGATACTAGAGTGATTATCTGAATATAGCAGATAGATGGTAACAATGAATAACAAGCGAGTGAATTTTCGTGGCTGATAAACTACTGATGTAATGGCGATCTGAGAAGGGTGATAATGTGGAGACTTATCCGACGCCATAAAAAACAGTAGGCTGAAATGATACAGTACTAATCAATGAAATTTTCTGTATATCGTTAGAAGCGCTACCAATAGTATTTGGGCTGGACTAAATTTATAGTAGTTTTTAAATCAAACGACAATCTTATGAATGGTGATTGATTTAGAGAGCTGATACATGGTAGAATATGATAGGGATGTTTTAATTGGTTCTTGCAAAAGGTTGAGGCCACCCAGTTGTTGATAAATCGGGTCGTTATGATGTTTATGCAGTCCGGCTACCTTTCGGATTCTGAACTTTTGTGAATTACTGTACAGTTTTTTAGCTTTGGGTTTAGACGACGCCGCAATATAACTAAACGAAAAAAGTAAATTTTTGAGACCATTAAGTTATAGTTTCAAGATCACTACACAAAAATTGAGACGCTTACCTGTAAAAATCAAACCAGCTTCGTGCTGGCGATTAGAGGATGGTGTTAAGTGGTTGTTGCGGGTGATTTTGATTTTCTAGAAAACTCCGCAGGTCTTTCCCGTTGACTTCCAGATCGAAACGCTAATTGCCAACATGTTTTTAGCAGCGTTGACGTCCCGGTTCCAAAGTATCGAGCAGGTTTTGCAGGCAAGGATACTTTGGCCGGGTACTGTCTTCAATGCTTCAAGATTGTTGGAACGACAATTATTGCATATTCGAGAGGTTTTGTATTCATCAATTGTTATCGTCAGTAAATCGCCAGCAGCCTCCCTTCGCTTCAAGGCACGCCAAAGAACTCCCACGACACCAGTATTATGGCCTTTGATGGGCACTGTGCTCTCCCCGAACATGCCATTATCAACGACAATTAAAGGTATCTTCTTAGTGTCGCCTACACTAAAGGGTTCAGGCTTCCACTTGTTCTTCAGGGAATTGCTGTAGAAAGCATGAATCCTATCAATATTTCTGCGAATAGTGGATGAATTGCTTATCCTTTGAAAACCTTACCTATCTTTCTTAGCGAGAACATCGCTTATTTCTCTCGCATCTGCTTCTTTCCTCTCTTCTGGAACCTTTTGCTTCTTTTTCTTCTTCTTTTTACGTTTACAAAAGGCCATTCTGTCGGTATTCTTCTTTGGCCACTTGCTTCGATCTTTCTTCTTCTTCAACCTCAATTGCTTATTGTACTTTGTGGTTCCATTAATAAGCAAATTGACCATGTTGTTGGCAGCACGCTCCTGACCCTGGTATAAACGAAATCTGTCTTCAGCAGCTCTCTCGCCGTAAAAAGAAAACAAGGCTTCGAAGTGCTGCAACATATATTGTACATGACGGTCATGTTGTTCGATGATAGAAGTTTTGACGGTTGGTACACCACTTTCGATCATTTTAAGTGTGCCTGCTTTCTTCTTTTCCAGCTTTGCAGCGTATCTGGTACTTCCGGTCATATGATAATATTCCTTGATAGAGCAGCTGCGTACTTGATGTTTGTTATGATCTAGTCCGATTGCCGCTGTGAAGACAGATCTTCGCCCTGGATCAAGGAAAGCGGGTCTGTAATCGTCTTGTACTTCGTCATAAGAAAAATCTCCAAAGTCAAGGTGTGATTATTAATGGCCATGTCTTTTTTTGAATCATGGCTGGGAATATCTTGCGTATATTGGTCTTAGCACCCAAAGAAAAACGGAAAGGCTCACGAATTTCCAAGCCAATTACCATTCATCCACATACAAATCCTCTTTTGTGCCCGGTTGAAGCCTTTGCCGCTTATCGTCAACGGTTCGCTTCAAGCCCTTGTATGGTTCCACACCCGGCGTTCCCACATATCAAGATCAATGCTCTCTTTCGATCCTTACAAGATCACAATGCTGCTATCGGTGTAGAACGTATATCCAAGCATATCAGAACTATCATGGAGCATGTAGGTCGTGCGCCTGAAGCACCTTTGCCAAAGGCACGCGCATTAGGGGCAACACTTGCAGCTCAGGCAGGCGTCGCCGTAGACGACACCGTGGTGCATGGAAACTGGTCCAGTAAGGTTCTCTTCGAAGAATCTGCCGTATCTCAGTCACTACCAACAATAATTTTACGGCTAGTACTCTGGATTCTCAACAAAGATCCTGAGCTCGAAGTATAATAGTACTTAAATACGAATACATGAAGTATTGTACTTATTATACGAGAGCGAAAGGATTTTTGTTGTTCTCGCCCACCACTCCTCTCTTATTCTCTTTGCTCTTTCTACTGTCTCATTCAAGAAGATGAAGTTAAAAATTTTTTACTATTTTCCATATATTATATATTTTAGTAGTACAAATTCGATAAATAAAGTATGAAAAATTGATACCAACAAAGATCCTTTCGCTCTCGTAGAATAAGTACAGTACTTCATGTATTCGTATTTAAGTACTATTATAGCCTGTACTCATGTTTTTGCTACCTTAATTAATATGATTCTTTTTTAAATTGAGCCAAGAAAAAAAGAGCAACTGCAGAACACAATTATAGTTTATGTAGGAACAAAACTTTGTACAACCAGTTGGGCCATATTTCCGATACTAAGTATGTACCGAGTGTGTAACGAGTATGCACTGAGTATGCACCGAATATGTACCAAGTATGTACCAAATGTACCTAGCTGAAATAAATGATAAGTTCTGAATGTATCCAAATAGATTATCTTTTCTTATACCCTTTCATAGAATTTATAGTATTAAAATGTTCATCTCCCATAAGCAAGCTGTTTGTATGTACTTTTCCAAGGAGTGCACGGAGGAGAATTATAAGTCATTGTTGAAGAAAATAGAGGATTTTGGAGAAGACGTTGGTGGAGCAGATGTTTGCTGGTTAGAAGATCCTACAAAACCAGTTTTGGTTCCCTTGCCAAAAATCCTCGGCGATGTCTATTCATACAAGAGATATGCTGCAAAGTCTCAAGAAAATGAGGAGGAAATACTCCAATTGAGTAAGTGAAATGATAGCCACTACGTATTTTAGTTTGACGTTAACCAAATAAATTTAGCAACCGAAGTCCAATTGATACAGTTTCTAAACACGGTCTTCGTACCTGTTGCTTCACTTGAAGAAACAGCTGTGGTACTTCCATACCTCCTATAATATATAAAGACGAATTAGACACACTTTCAAGCAATTGACTCGTTATTATGATCATAGAATCATAATAACACTTGTACACGTCATCTTGTATTTCTAAAGATGCGCATATAAAATGCTGCATTATTACTGGCTGAGAAATTAAGGAACGAGGACTTTTTTTATTTTTTCTTTTTTAAATACAAACACTCAGTTTGCTTTGACCGCTCCCCTCTCTGATTTTCAGTGTACAATAAAAGGACTAAGGAGACTCATTTCACCTTACAATTTCATATCAATTATAAATCGCGTTCACTAAACCAAACATCAATTACAAATATCACAACAGCTTATGAAGAAAAGCCCATCAACAAGGAGTACGTACTTGGGATAGTTAATTTGTACTCTGATCTGATGATTGACAAAACTATCCAATCGTTTGGAACCTGGTGCAAAACGAAAAAATTGTTAATGTTGAATGTTCCTATCAAAAGAGAAAGGAGGAACGTTAACGGTAAAATTTCAAATATCAGACTAAGAAAAGTCTTTGTTTTAAAGAGGAGATATTTAGGTAAAGCTATGAGTTAACGTGTGATTATGGTATGTTGCTTACTCTACTTCAAGACAATTTGGTCAAGGGAATTGTTAGTTATATTGCAGACTATCAGAGCCATATAAAGAATCTGAAAAAGGAGATGTTTTCGATCGTTGGTTACGTCAGAAAATCACCAGGCAGCGAGAACGAGAGCACAAGAATCAAACTTCTGCAAAGGATGGTAGATTGCTTGATCAACAGATCACTTGTTGAAAAGGTGTTTGTTTCTTGTCGTTGCTCTGCCTCTGAGCAATTGTTTCGCGTGATACAAATGATGCAAAAGTCTTTACTGAACTAAGCAACACATCCGGAAACACACAAGGTTAGTATGCAAGAGTAGTATACATGGACAGTATAGCTTGCAATATTTATGAAGTTTACTCTCCAGATTTGATAAGCTACCTAATTGACACAGATAAAGACGTCTGTTTGATTGCCATCGATTACGCCTGGTTGAGTACCAACGTTGATGTATTATAGCAAAATAAGTAAACTATATATCCTAAATGACAACCTGTTCTTATACGAGGTAGCTGATCTCGTATAAGAATCATCACTTATTCTATATCGATTCCTATTTTTTATATTATTTCAGCAGTAATGAGGTGTGAGGATCTTGTATAATTTGTATACGAGTTCTCCACATCTCATATGATGCTGTCAATTAAACACAACACTTAATTCACGGTACTCATATATTAGAGTTTATGTAGTTTCTAATTATTTCTGGTTTGCAATATTGTATAATTCATCTTTATCCTTCATAAAGTGAATTATATCTTTAATATTTGTATATCATCTACCCTCAAATACGACACGGTAACACTTGGTACACACTAAATGCACACTCGGTTCACACACGGTTTACACACGGTTCACACTCGGTACACACACGGTACTGACGTGTTTGGTGAAATAATAACTACAATACTCGAGTACGTAAACCAGGTAGAGAATACATTCTACCACGGTCTATCTACATTGCATCTAATATAGGTTATGCAACATAGAACAAGATACAGGCCTAAGTATAATAATCACACAATAAGCATCTGAACCTGAAATTAGTGATTAGCATACGCGTCCTCAAATAATATAATTCCCATTAAAAAAGTAAATAATCCTTCTACTTCATCTGAAGAACAATAAAGACACTTAAGTTCATAGTCATCGATTTACAACAGTTATAAATCTTTAATTAAGCAAATACAACATTTTTTTCGATGAACACCGAACATAACAACAACAACAACAACAACAACATTTCAACTGGGGATCAAAGACCCGACTTTGTTGACGTTGCTTCTGGTCGCAGACCTTCACCCAAGTTGTTCTACATTGATCAACAACTGCGTGGGAGAGAAAATCCTTTGGACTTCGAACTCACGTTGGAAGAAGAAATTGAGAGAGATCTCATGGAAGCTGTCACATGGGTGATGCAGATAATGCAACTAGCCCTATCGAAGAAAATGCTAAGCCTTAAGAAGAGGACTTAGACTTCAATGTCAACATAAAGAGTAACATATCAGTACTCAACAAAAAAATCATGCAACTAAATGAAATGTTATGTGATGCTATAAATGATGATGATATAAAAAGCACCAGCATGAAGCTGCAAATATTAACGCAGCAACGCAATGACTTGTTGCAACAATACAACATGTTGCATTCGGGGGGAGGCGCTAAGCCTACTGCCCATGCTGATCGTCAGCAAGGTATATCAACCAATTTGATGGAAAAAATCAATTCCTGTAGGCGTTATACCGCACTTCAGAATTACCAGCATTGACGCCACTCTTGTCCATAATAACAAGAATGGTGATCCAAAAAAAAAAAACGACAATGGAACATCATATCCATCATTGGAAGCATTTTTCATTACTTTTAAAAGTGTCTTCACTCATTTTATGACAGATGAGTCTGTTGAACATAAATGGTTTAGTGCATTACGTATGTCATTCACAGCATGTCCTGATTTAGTTTTTAGTTGGTACAAGAAAAATATAAAAAAAATAAGGAGGAGCTCACTTGGACGCAAGTGAAGCGACTCATCACTGAAAGGTTTGATATACAGACGACCAACTTTCAAAAGGGATTACGGTTACTCCGTATATCACCAACATTTGATGAAGATTTCGTGGACTATGTTGACCGATTCACAAATCTTTTTGACGAGCTTACGGAAGTTAATGATAATAAGTTGGTTGTAATGTTATTCTTTAACAGTTTACCAAAGCAGTTTAGGATAGTTATATTTGATTAAATCAACATTCTCACTGGCAACAAATCTGATGAAACAGATCCTTTTTCCGCGACCTGGAGAGAAACTGCAGAACTCTTCAACCAACATAAGGTGATGCTCAGCAATGAACTGAAAAAGGTTTATGCGTCTTTTGGTAACAAAGACAGCTACGCACAAGGTTTAAAAAGGGATAAGAAAGCGAAATCAACATCAGTTAATGATGTGGCTAGCAGTGGCAATAAGAAATATAATTCTTTGAGTCGTCATGATGTCATCACACATTATGATAGAAAACGTAAGCATGCAGCTGATGATCATAATCCTCAGATGCAAAAGACTTTCAGGCATGGTCCTAATGGCAGTAATGCATCTCGCTGGGCGCCTCATAACAGGTTGTCTATGACCAATATTTGCCACTATTGCAACAAAGAGCCGTTTAGTTTGGCACACAGAAACAATTGTGCAGCATACATCAAGCTGCAGAACAGCAATTTCAAGTCTCATACGAATAACAATCGTGGTAATAATCATAGGAATTATACTCCTTCATATGATAAACAAAACAGCGAATTTAAACGCGTCAACATGGTTGTTAAACAGGATAAAAATTATAATCTACAGGAACACGACGTTGACATGATTGACATGGACCATCATCCTGACAAATCATTTCATGAAGACGATATTGATGAATTCAATGATGAATTGAATAGACTCAAAAACCAAAAATCTGATGATTAAGGTCAAAGACTGATGGCTCTTCTGGATACTGGTTCGGATATATCAATCCTAAATAGAAGTCTTCTGAAGTCAAATAAAACATTTCAGAATCTTAAATTGAATGAGATTGAGGGCGATATTGTCTTTGCACAAAAGCACAACACTATTAAAAGATTAGGCCAAACCAATAAGCTTAATATTTCGTACAATGGCCATGTCTGTCAACATGCCTTTGACGTATTTGAATTACATGATGATAGCATGGATGCCATCATTGGCAAAGATCTTATGCCACACATTGGCGTAACCTTAACAGGTGTAGTAATTGGGATGACAACAAGATTATCCATGATGATTCTATAGATGATCTTGAATACCAACCCAAGATCTCTTATGCAGGTACTGAATTGCAACATAAAACTTTACTATCTGCATTGCAAAAGTATATTGATGAAAACCAGAAAATTGAAAAGAATTCATTTTGTAATTTACCTGAAAGTGTGGTACATTTGTCTACACCTGAAGGTAAAGTAGCCTATAGGAAACAGTATCCCATTGCAGATACACTTATGTCCGTAGTGGATGACAATATAGAAAAATGGTTATCAGAAGGCACTATTGTGAAGTCTAACACACCAACAGGTTTTAACAACCCTTTGACTATCAGCAAGAAAAAAGATGCTCAAAGCAACCTCACTGCTCATCGTGTATGCCTTGATCCTCGAGAACTCAATAAAATTCTCATAGAGGAAGATAAATATCCCCTTCCACTCATCAACGATATCTTTCATGATATGCAAGGTGCAACTGTATTCACTACACTTGATTTAAAAAGTGCCTTCAATCGCTTCCAAATCTATGAACGTGATCAACACAAAACTACATTCACACACAGAAATGTTCATTATCACCATGTTGGTGCACCATTTGGCACCAAACACTCACTAGCAAATTCTCCCGAGTAATGGATATCATATTCAAGGATATGAAACAATTTACTCACCACTTTGTAGATGATGTCTGTATCTTTAGTCGTTCTGTTGAAGAGCACTTTAGTCACGTTAAGCAGGCCATTCAAGCTCTCACCAGGAGTAATCTTATATTCAATCCCGAAAAATGTCATAATAGGCATGAAATCAGTATATCTTCTTGGTTTCTGTATTTCAGAACAAGGTCGATCTCTCGATCCCAGAAAACTAAGCAATTTACATGAATACCCCAAGCCTACTATGGGCAAACAAATGCAACCTAAAAGAGAGATTTTTCACAATAACAAATCCACCATAGCTATCCGAGCAGTACCTCCGTTCTGAAAGATTTTGATAGTTCTATTTGTAAAGTTATTTATAGTTTGGGTCGGATCTGCAAAAGACTCGATTAATGAGAAAATGGGCAAAGCACTGCTTTTGTCCTTCGAAAATGTCCCAAGATGGCACAAACCCTTATTCCCGATCATCATATGATCAAGCGATTTGACAGAATTTTACAGTTCCAATTAAATCAACATTTCAAAAAAGTAAAGTCAAGGTTTACTGCTTTACCTAATATTGTATATAAAGCGATAAACTGCTGCCTGCCCCGCTCCCTCCTCTTTATAATCTTAAAGCCCTTTCCTCTGTACTTCTTTTCAAGCCATGAATTCGGGCTTTTCGATGAGGAAGAAAAAAAGTAAGTTGAATGTTTTAACAGTCAAAGCATTTGACCTAGCCATATTAAGTATATCTCGATGGACGAAAAACCAAAAAGCTTGAAGACCCTGCAACGGGTGATTCGTAAGCCTCAAAATATCACCATGGAAAAATATAGAAAAAGGGTTCGGTTCACATACACAAAGCGGAAGAAGAGTGATAAGAGGGGTATCATTACCATTTTCAATTGCTCTATCGAGCACTTATTTGAGGCTTACATAAACAATCTTTCCTATTTCAAAAGGTCACTCGTTTGCCCTATAAGTTTGTAGTAGTGATTCCACTACTGTCAAGTCTATTCCAACACTCTGCAAGCTTAACATTCTCGGTTTCTCCACAGACTGTTTGATTGGCGATTACAAATTAATTACCGCATGCTCCCACACCTCTTGAATTCGATGTAACCTTCTGTATATTGCACGCTACAGAAGCGGAGAGATAAATTTTTTTGGTATTAAATGACCCTGAGAAAAGCGATTGAAAATCTAATAAAGGGCGGGAACTTACTGAACCAAAATAACCTGTTTCTTCCATCATATTAAGTAATTGAACTCATAGACCCTTCTTTTCGCTCCCATTCCTATTGTGTGTACTATGGCTAATTCTGCAACTCAATACAACACCAATACAAAAGTTTCTATGTCCGCAAAAGCGATACCATTATATCATCATGAACAGGTCCCTCTTTTGAACAGGCAACGGCAGCCACAGCAACATCAACCACAGCAACATCAACCACAGCAACATCAACCACAGCATCAACAGCCACAGCAACAGCAGCAAACTTATAATTTGAGCCATTTATCTATAGCAAAGCAACAACAGGGAATACAACCGTTACAGCAACAGGATTCATTGCCAAAAGAAATGAGCCAAGAGTCCCAACAGTATCAACAGAACTTGATCTCTGGTGACCTCCAGGATATCATTTACAGTTACCAAGCACATCCTGAACTACTTAAACTCATTTTATTAAGTAAGTTAGAAGAGGACAAAAGAAGGGCTGAAGAAGCCAAGTTACGAGCCAAGGAGCTGGACCTCATATTATTACAACAACAGGATCAATACCAGCATCAGCAACACCAATATGATACTACACTCAATCTTAGCAATGAAAATTCTAATATACCAACTCTACATGGCATAACTTCAAACAATGACAATATAAACACTAGTTTTGTGCAGTCTACTCCTCCATTAAGTAGTAGCTCGTCGATAGACGGCAGATCAATATTTCAATCTCGGCCAAGCTTAGATGTTCTGCTAACAAACAACACCAGTACTTCCAATACCCATGTTGCATATTTAACATCACAACAGCAGCAATGGGCGTTCAGACGGGAATCTGTACTCTGCTCTTCTTTTAAGGGAAGCGCAGCAGTGCCCGGCGAGTTTGTTGACCGTCCATTTTCACCTACAACGCCCAGTACAGTAACCACAAGCACAACAAATGCAGTACCTACACCTGTGACAGCTACACCAACCTTCACAGCGTTAAATAGGTATGTTCCCTATGTTTAATAAGTTAATCCGTCTATAGGAATTTTACTCAGCATTCGTTGTTTCATGATCTGGATTAGTTATCCCACCTCTCCTAGCGGTGCTGATACAATACTATTTCAGAACCAGCAACAGTCAAATAAGCACACTGTAGGTAACCAACAACGTCTATCCTCTATATACCCTCATTACCAGCAGCCACAACAGCAACAGGCGCGTGTATCACTTAGCAATAACGCCAATCCATACATATCATCACCATCATCCATACAGCAACAGCAGAAAGATGTTGCACCTGCTTCCATGCCGCCTCCTTTCAAATATGATATTCTACCGACTATGACGCCAGTTCCAACAGGTATCGATAATACTACCACCAATACTACACTAAGACCTCGAAGGAGAAGGGAAATGCAAGCTATAACAAAAATTGTAGAAACACGTGAATACCCATATAACGACGGTTATTTCTGGAAGAATAACGGTAATACCGTACAGAAGAAGACTGGTAACAAAAGTGTATACTATAAATGCTCTAATAGCACTAAGGTAAGCTTCTCTTCTGTTTGCCTTTCGCTCTCTCCATTATCAACTGTAAACTGTTACAAGAACAATCTATTAATGGACTCTCTAATGAATCGTTCTTTCATTATTCAAGGGCTGTCCTGTTAATAAAACAGTAACATGGAAAGACAATGGCGAGTTCTTGATTAAATACCGGGGTGAACATTTGTCCGATTGCAACAAGGTGCAAAGAATAGTAGATATTTGATAAAAAACTTCAACAGCAATTATGCTATTCTTACTTTCAATTCTTCTTTCATCTTTTATTTATTCTGACATTATGCAGGCCTACCAAAACTGGTTTTTGGAATTGTAATTCTTTCTTTGTTTCTTTGTATGATCGTATAGTTTTATGACTCGACTGTATTTGGCAACAAAATTATGAGCGTGTTGAATAGTGCTTTTTGCATGTAGTTTTGTTTTATCTTTAATCACGCTGTTATATAGTATAGAAAACAAATGGGAGATTCTTATGTATCATACGATGGTAATCTCACGCTTTAACGATAAGCATGACAACTTCAGGTTCCACAGTAAAGACATATTTACACCATTTGATAATATCTTCTTTTCTTGATGAATGACCCTGTATTATCAGCTCGATCATAGAAGGTAAACATTAGAGTACATATTCATCGAAAAAGAAGAGTTTTAAGTTTAGTGAATATGATACTTTAATAACATGATTATTCGAGGTACTCTCAACGGATTGACATCCAAAAAAGGCGTTTTTTGGACATTGCTTCGGTAAGCCTACAAGTACCGACGAAGTACGGGCATACATACCATATTTGTTGAAAGTTATTCTAGAGAAAGAAGCAAATTGTCAGCTGAGGAACAAGTCATCCTATTACCGTTCCACTTCCGTAAAAGATTAGTTTAAGCTTGTAAAGAATACAACTGCTACTCTTATTATCATTGATCAAGCGCGTATCGGTTTGAGTTGTAAAAAAGCTTTCATCCGTTCAAATCCTTATAATTGCATTGTACTCATTCCATATTGCTGATACGAGCTCGACAGTAATACTTCTATTGTTGACATACTTCGTGAATAGGTTGAAGGCTTTCGTTAAGAGCAATATTTAAACACCTTAGATCTAAAACGCAAGTTTTCTACACAGTTCTCATACACAATAGAATCATCATCCTAACCATAAGAAAATTTAGTAGCATCAACAAGTGCACGAACGACATTATATCTTATGCTATCATAATTGAATTGGTGTCAAGACGAAAAAGATACAAACCGTATTTCTTGCTTCCCCCTGAAGCATGAGAGCAGATAAAGTCTTTACGTTTTTCAGCTTACTTAAAGGAGACAGTTATTTTGTTACCGAAGGTATAATACTTGTACAAGATTCATTATAGCTGTTAGTACAATTTCACACACTTCACACAGCTATGCGTGCCATTGACTACGGACAAAACAATTAAGATATCCCTTGAGAAATAAAGTTAATCATGCGCAGCAAAATTCCAACTGCAATTTATTAATACTGTTCAACTAATTTTAATACAGCAACGGTCCGTATTTGATCCATTGCAGCATTATAGATCGAGCAGCCCTTCCTTTTCTGTTATCGATAAGTTTATGAAGACGCTCACTATTGATAGAAAGCAAACGAATATCAGTCTCTGTCTCAATTTATAGAATAGGTAGAAGCGTATATTTGGTGGCCATCAGGAATAAGTAAAAGATATGGTTCAAGTTTATTAACATCTCTCGAAAGGGTAATAGAAGACAGTGCGACTCAAAGAATTCATACTCAGGGAAGCTTTATAGAATAACCATTTACATTGAAATAGTTTCAGCAACCTGATGAGACAATAAATGCAACTATGTTGTCACTTCAAAGTTGTTCAATAATTGATGTATCATGCTATGACGTGACTTCTAGTTTACACTATGGCATTATTGTTAATGACGCGATACATCGCCATATTTTACTGCAAATGAATTGATGCTCGCGTCACCAAGTGAATAAAGAAGCCGGCATGTACGATGGATCGGACATTTTGACGATTTTGGAAATAAAGGGCTACTGTGGTCATGTAAACTGTATAGTCACGCAATACCGTTTTTATAGCTGTGTAGTTTCTGCAATGTACAATAAGTGTGATTATTATACTCAAAAGCATAGAAGCAACTGTATCATTAGATGATTATCGGATAAGAGCTACATCGTTGTTAATTGTAAGAGATTCCGAACAAAGTCAAATTTTGCCAAGCCTTTTTGTGATAGATATTGGAAGCAAATTGATTTCTATTCACTAATTGATATTAAACAGCGAAAAAGAGAGAAAGATAGATAAACAACGCTTATATTAGCTTTTTTACAAAGTATGGCTAGTTACTGCGTAAATTTCGAACTTTATTAAACCGATTAACTTATTTAGTTGACTGTTTAACTAATGTTTAGTAACGTTTAAACAAAGGGTAAAATGGCATTCAATGCGTTCCAATATAATTTAAAATTCTAGATTTGTTTTATTACGCCAGAAAGAGTGCTTACTAATGTTGTCTTTGAAATATACTTCTTGCAAGAGAAAACTGACATAAATTCTATATATCGGACTAGAAGTGACACATTTGAATAGCTCAATATTCGTTGAAGTGTATCAACACTCTCTATCCCATTCTATCTCTATTATGAACTACATTGTACATTTGAAACACTCAGGGGCACCGAGAAGAAAGACTTTAAAAGGCGCTTTTCTGTGTTTGAATTTGGATTTGCTGGTAATGACCGATGATGATATTTGTGAAGCAAATCAAATTAATGAGTTATAGATTTTTTTTTTTAAACTAAAGAATCGAATACAACAAAAAGAAGAAATTCTGTCAATTGCCTAAAATGTACACCGTATTTTCTAATTTTAAGTTTCTTTCGTTTCGTTAAGCGTAGCAATAAGGATTACACTGGAAATGTCCCTGATTAGAAGAAGTGCAAATCTTTTTGATTTAAACTACGCAAGAATGGCTTGGCTTATTTTTTTTCAGGTATAACAAACAAGCTTGCATGCAACCAATTTGCATAATGGTAATGGTTTCCCTGTAACATTATAAAAGTTTTGATCTTACTCGAAATACACTCAGACTTTCAAAGAATAAAAAATAAATTACTACGGCTGTTTTGGCCTTGGTGGATAAAAGGAGCAGGCGTTCTTCTGGTTCTCTTTTACATATAATATTATATAAATTAAATAATAACGGGAAACTACAATTTTTTGGTGGAGCAAAAAGGGATCCCTTCGTCCTTGCTATTTTGCTGACGTAATTTGCACAGGTCCAATTATGTCTATGGGTGTATGTGTGAGCGTGTGTCGTGTGTACCCGATTGTGGCGGGTTGCAAAACTGCAGAAGAAAGCTGGCTTCGTCGGTCAGATCTCTCACGAACAAAAGAGAGGTCATTTATTAGCTGTCTTTTAAAGTGATTTATTGTAAATTAAGGTACGAAGTATCATTACACAAATATATCAGATCATTAAAACTGGTTTTTAAGCTACTTGAACCTATCAATTTCACTATTTTTTCTGCAAAAATTGTCATATATTAACCATCTTTTAGTATTTGCGTACAAAATAAATGTTAAAAAATAACGCGTACCCGTATATAAAAGGTGTGTGCCAATTTCATTCTTTTTCTGATTTTCTTTCGTTACCTTGCACAGTTCGTTTACTTTAACCTCTTATTCATTGTAATGGTTTTCCTCAAATCTTTAACATACTCTGCGCTCAGTCTTTTGATTGCTTTGAACGCAATCCAAGCCAAACCTACTACTAAAGCAAGAGCACTTGTAAAAAGAAGTTCAAAATTGCATGGCAAATTTCTTCATATAACAGGTACATAAAGCATATTTTTTTTTTTTTTTTTTTTGCAAGCTATCGATGGGCATCAAGTAAAGCAACCGATCTTTGAAAAAATATATTAACGTATGCACGCATTTCCTTTTCCCGAAAGATATTCACTTTGATCCCCATTACAAGGCTGGATCGGATCCTGATAGTTATTGCCATAAACACAGTAGCAAGCGTGGAGAGAAGGCAGGCACATTTGGAGCCTTGGGCAGCGACTGTGATACTCCTGCGGCTTTGCTTGATGCAACATTCAGTTTTTTGAAAAATGAAATCGATGATATAGATTTCATCATTTACACTGGTGACAGTGTCAGACATGTAAGTTTATCATTTTACTTTTCAACTACAATAAAAAGAAAACTTTAAATGATTTAAGGCTGTAAGACATTAACTGATCAAATTGCATACTCATTTCCCCATCCAATCCTACCCCCTTGATTTTTTTTTATTCTAGAATCGCGATGATGAAATGAAAAAAAGCGATGATGAAATTGTTGACATTCATAAGAGTGTTTTGAAATATTTTCAGAGTGCCTACGACACCAAAAAGGTGCCTTTTGTAAGTATGAAGTTAATGTCATCTCACTGAATAACCTAATGCTGACTCGATAGCAATTTATATTTTTTCTTCTTTTTTTTTATGATAGATTCCTACTATTGGTAACAATGACGGTTTCAATCACAACGATTTCGTTAAAAAAGATAGTATTTATGGCAAACTAGCCTCAGTTTGGTCAGGCCTCAATCTGAACTTGGACACAAATTTCAAAGTAGGTGGCTATTTTGCGCAAGAACTCATCAAAAATAAGCTCAGTGTGATCAACTTGAACAGCATGTACTTTTTCCACAAAAACGACGAAGTGGACGACTGTGACAGCAGTTCCAGCCCTGGTGCAATTCAATTACGATGGTTCGAGCGTATGCTGAAGCAGTATTCAAAGAAGAAGGGTCATTCAGTCTACGTTATGGGTCATATACCACCAGCAGACGATGAAGGCGAAAAATTGTACAAGGACGCTTGCTACTCAAAGTATATTAATTTGCTTGGTAAATACGGTAACACCATCGTAGGACATTTCACTGGTCATACCAACAGTAAGTATCTTTTTTTGCTTTCTTTTTTTTTTTTTGAGTTGAGAGTCCCGTCCTTCCAGTCACTTAGATGGTAACAATATTACTCTACTTTCTTTAGATGATAATTTGCTCGCTGTGGTACCTGAGGGCAAGAGTAGTAGCAGTTATACCGTTGTCAGAGCTGATGGCGATGATCTTGATGACGATTTCTTGAAAAAAGCCTCTGTTGGTCTGTTCAGTGCTCCTTCTATCATTCCTGCCAATAACCCTGCATTCCGTGTTTACAATTATGACACAAGCGGCAAACAATTCAATGTCGGCACCATTCTTGACTGGGACCAATACTATGTCGATTTAGAAAAGGCTAATGATAAGGGCAAGGTACAATTCGAGATCGAATACTCTGCTTCTGATCTTTATCACACCGATCATTTCAACGGCGATGGCGTCGGTGAAGCTTTTATGTCTCTTTGTGATGATGATGACGCTCGTGATCTCTACAGTGAGTTTGTTGATGTTAAGGGTGCCCACTCCTAAAGAATTGATCTATGTTCAATTTTCTATTAGTCTTGTATCATCTGTAATTATTTATTTACTGCCAAACATATTCCCCATTTTTGTATAGTCTTACTTTATTCATCTGCCCAACATTCAAAGCTTAAGTTTGTACAGGCCGGTCCTATACCTAACTTAATCTTGTGCGGGCTTATGACCTTGGCAAAAAAACCCAAAAAAAAAAAGCTTCTTATTTCTTGCTATGATACTTGTACTATCAATCTAGCTTGTCCCCCTTTGATCACCAATAAAATGTTCTAATTTTGTATAAATCATATTGCTTCTCTCCGTTTTACTTCTATGGCTGCAGTATTATAAACTTTGGTTTAGGAAGTATCTGATCTCATTCTCATTTTTGTTGAAAGTATGTTGCGCAAAAGTTTTTGTATTTGACATAATTACTATGTTACGTTTTCAACTTTAATAATGTCAAATCAGAGCTCTAGTATACCTCCTTCATATTGTGGTACCTTAACTAGCAACGCGCTAAGTCAACATATTTTAGTAGACCGAAGAATACTGATAATAATGGCCTCTAAAAAATCGGGACATACATTAAATAGCCTTCTGTTATAATGTATCAGCATAATTTGAAACCATAACGCAGGCGAATCAAAAATGACATTATAAATTCTATCAGTTTGGATTGCTTTAAACCTATCATTATAACCACTTTCCCTCAATTAAATTTACTACCAAATGAGTAGAAATGTCGCACATCTCAGCATGCAGTTGTCTCCAGTTTTATAAGATATAATGTGTATTCTGCTTGAATTTTACTAGGTCGGTTTATTTCGAATCTGCAAGTCGTTGTTAGTCCTCTATTTTAGCAAAGTAGCTATGAAAAATTAAAAAAGGCTCAAGCAGTCATTGTATCACAACTTTACAAGAGTTAATAATCGTCTTCGTTAATCAACATGAAACGACAAAGAGATCACTGCAGCCATAAGTAGCTACAAATCAATGAAAGACGACAATATCAAAAGATTCAGCGAGTACCGACCAATAGATATATCCTTAATTGCCTCTTTTCAAATTGCCCGACACAATCGTATCATTATTGTGAGCAATATTCGTACAAAAACATATGTCCTGTTGAAAGCAGTTTTATCAGTGTGTATTATTGGAAGGCTCAAGTTGCCCATAAGACGCAAACCGTTTTGAATAACTAACTATCTGTCCAAGCGTAAGGCATAAAAAAAGCTTGTACCTCCAATCAGAAAATGAAAATTTATGCCGCCCCGTTCTTTTTTTTTTTTTCATGAATCCCCCTTTCTTTTTGCCCAGCTTAATCAAGCCACTGTGACCATGAATTCTGCAGTCTTTAGTTTTACGGAAAATCAACCAAAAAAACTAATACCGAAAACCCTTTTTAATTGAACTGGCCTTTTCCCCTCAATTACCTCAACTTTTTGACTTTATACAACGATGGGAAAAAGAAAATCGAAAAGTAGCGAGACCGAAACTGATGCTACAGCTGTTACTCTTGCTCCCTCTGTAGAAGAAAGCTTTCCTCGTGGCGGCGCCAGTGCCTTGACACCTCTCGAACATCGTGAAATTGCTAATAAAGCGGCACAAGATCTCTTTTCTGTAAGTCATTTGCTTTCCGATGAGATATTATCACACTGAAACTAAGAAATTATGAAACTAATGGAACTTTCTCAAAAATAGAGTAAAACTGAAGACAGCACAGAAGATGCAGCAGAACCAGCAAAGAAGAAGAGAAAGCCTTTGAAAAAGACAAAAAAGACCACACCTGTCAAACAAACCAAGCCAAAATCAGACAGAGCATATATTGAACAGTTGAACTTCAAGGTAAAATATATTCTGTTGGATATAGAACGCATGATTTGGACAGAATGGAAAAAGCTCACATTTATTTCCACAGAAATTGACAGTTGGCACTTCATTCTTGGGTTGCATTTCTCGTATCAACGAGTTGGATTTATTTGTTTCCTTGCCTCATCAGTTAGTGGGTGTTGTAGCTATCACTGAAATATCAGATGCCTTAACAGCCATGGTTGAAAAAGCAGCTAATGAAGACGAAAATATGGAAGATTCAGATGACGATGATAGCAATGACATTTCCTTGCCCAAGTTAGATAAATTATTCCGTGTTGGTCAATGGGTCCGTTGCAAAGTTATCGCTTTGCAATCAGAGAACAAAAAAATGATTGAATTAACGCTGAATCCCAGTAAAGTAAATGAAGATGTTCCCAAGATTGATATTACACCAGGAATTGTAAAGCATTGTTTTTAGCAGCAGACATATTCAGGCATAATGATGAAAAATATGGTATATTGATAGTAACCTTCAACTTGTTTTGTTTTTTTCCCTCCCACTACAGACCCTAGGTGCTACCGTTCAAAGCGTTGAAGATCATGGTTATATTTTAGACTTGGGTGTGAAGGATTTAGCAGGATTTTTGCCAATGAAAGAATCCGAGTCTTACGTTAAGCAATACAACCGTAATGAGGAACTCGTTGTGGGTCAATATGTTGAATGCGTTGTAGAAAAAGCGGCAGGCCGTACTGTCAACGTTTCAATTGATCGTTCAAAGATCGCCAGTGCAGTAGTCGAAGCTCCTTTCTCTAGCATCGTCTCTATCCTTCCAGGACAGTTAGTGCAAGGCAACGTTCAAGCTGTTCAAAATAATGGCTTAGCAGTTAAAATGCAAGGCCTTTACTCAACAACCATCGATATGTCACATATTCCAACCTCAAAAGATATTGAAAATGATTACAAATTGGGTCAAAACATTACCTTCCGTACATTATTTACTATTCTCAACACGGATGAAAAGAAAATCGGCGGTACACTGTTGAGCCATGCTTTAGAATTGGACGTCCCATCTCTCACAGACAACCAGAAATCAGATAAGTTTGTTGCTGATCTTTTCCCTGCAGGCTCGTTTTTAGACAACGTCAAAGTTGCACGTGCAAATAACACTGGTATTTGGGCCACTTTGGATAAGGTGACTGGTGTTTCCGGTTTCGTCCACATCTCTCGTTTAGCTGACGAACGTATTGCCAACATTACTCCCACCTCCGGCAAATTTAAGATCGGTAGTGTTCACCGTGCGCGTGTATTATCTTACAATCCTGTAGACGCTCTTTTGGTTTTGTCTTTACAACCTAGTGTTTTGGCCGAAAAATACTTACGTATTACGGATATTGAGGTTGGCTCGGATATCGAATGTGAAATTGAAAAGCTGATTGATGCAGGCATTTTGGTCAAAATATCCAAGTCTATTTCTGGTCTTGTTCCCGCTATTCATATGGCTGATGTAAAGTTGACTCGTCCGGAACTCAAATTCAAGCCAGGCAAAAAAATCACCTGCCGTGTGTTTAGAATCGACCCCGTCAAGCAAAAAGTCTTTTTAACACTCAAAAAATCATTGATCAACAGTGAATACCCACTTTTCAAGGACATTCGCGACCTTAAGGTGGATGATGTTTCTCACGGTGTGATCGTTGCTATCAGAAGCAACGGCTGTATCGTGTCTTTCTATAACGGTGTAAGTGCGTTTGCGCCAGGCAGTGAAATGACGGAAACACATGTGAAAGATTTTAAGGAGGTGTTTAATATCGGTCAAACAGTAAAAGCAACCGTGCTGACAGTGAATCCTGAAGAAGGCAAACTGTTAGTCTCTTTCATCAACTCTAAAAAGAAAGCAGAAAAGCAGGCTGCTAGTAAGGCCAGATTGGAGGCAAAGCATGAAGCGAAGAATGATGCTCTTGCGCCTGGTAAAATCGTTACCGCTACCATCAAGTCAATCAAAAAGACACATATCAACCTTATCTTACCTGGTGATTTTGAGGGTCGTCTTCATGCCTCTGAAGTTTATAACAACATGAGCGACATTACTAATCTGAAAGCACCCCTTAGTCAGTTCAAAACCAAGCAAGAGATTCAAGTCAGAATTTTAGGTGTTCGTAATATCAAATTGAAGACTTACCTACCTATCACTCACGCTGCTAAAGTGAAGCAACATCTCGAATGCTCCCTCAAATTGGAAAGCAATGATGACGGAAGTTCTCGAGAGCTTCGTAATCTTAAAGTGGGTGATGAATTCATGGGCTTTGTATCTGATATTCATTCTGGATATGCACTTGTCAGTATTAGCAGTCATACGACCGGTGTTTTGCACAAGCAGTTGGCCTCAGCCGATCCCACTATATGTAACGATCTGTCGAAACATTTCGTTGCTGGTCAAGCCATTCGTGCTATCGTTATGTCTGTCGATGCCAACAAAGAAACAATTGAGTTTATGAATTTGGATGATGAAAAGACACCTCGCATCACTAGTATCTCAGATGTCGAAGTTGGACAAGTACTTAATGGTATTGTCAAGAGTGTCAATAAGGTGACAGGTCTCAATGTCCATCTTCTTAACAAACTGCATGCCAAGGTTTATCTTACTGACATTGCTGATACGTATACCGAAGACCCTACTGCAGCTTATAAAGAAGGAGACGTTGTTCGCATGGCTATCATTGGTGTAAATAAAGAACGTGGTCAAATTGATGCTTCCTTAAGACCTTCTCGTATCTATCCTGATATTGAATCAAACGAAGTCAAGTCTTTCAGTGACATCAAACGTGGCAATGTCTATGAAGGTTATGTCAGTAACGTTTCTTCTGTTGGTGTATTTGTTAAATTGAATCACAATATTGCCGCACGTGTCAAGATTGCCAACCTATCAGATTCATTTGTGAAGGAATGGAAGGACATCTACAAGTTAGGTCAATTAGTAAAGGCTAAGATTATTTATATTGATTACGATATGCAACGTCTTGAGGCCTCCTTGAAAACCAGCGTAGTAGAAGGAACCTCAAATCCTGCTGGTGAAAAGAAGAAAGCACAACATCATATTGAATCAGATAGTGATGAGGAAATGCCTGAAGTTGACGAGTCTGATTCTGATGAAGAAATGCAAGATGTCTCTGCTAATGAAGAAGACGAAAGCGATGGTGAAGATGAGGAAAAAGAAGAAAACGCCATTGCATCTGATGGTGGCAACGACAGCGGAGAGGAAGACGCTGAAGAAGATCAAGAGGCTGCACCTACGCCTGCTTTGAAGATTGATAATTTCGATTGGACTGGTATAAACAATAGACCCGATTCAAGTGACGAAGAAGAGGAAGATTCTGATGACGAAGATGATGAAGATTCCACCAAGTCCAAGAAGAAGAAAAATCAAAAGCAAGAAGTGGAAGATATCACTGCTGAACTCAACACAAACGCACCGCAGACAGCAAATGATTATGAACGCTTGCTTGTCGGTTCACCTAACTCATCATATCTTTGGATTAATTACATGGCATATCAATTGCAACTATCTGAAATTTCAAAGGCTCGTGATATTGGTGAACGTGCTTTGAAGACAATCAACTTCCGTGAAGAACAAGAAAAGTTGAATGTTTGGGTAGCCTTACTCAATTTGGAAAATAATTTTGGTACTGAGGAGAGTTTGCAAGAAGTTTTCAAACGAGCATTGATTTATTGTGAACCCATCAAAGTGTATAAGCAACTGGTCAAGATTTACGAACGTAGCGACAAGCAAGATAAGGCTGAAGCCCTTTATGAAGAAATGACAAAGAAATTCGGCCAATTACCTGAAGTTTGGACTGGTTTTGGACTCTATTGTCTTCAAAACGATAAAGTTGAAAAAGCGAGAGAATTACTTCAACAAAGTCTGAAGGTTTTACCCAAGTTTGAACATGTACAAACAATTGTCAAGTTTGGTCAAATGGAGTTCAAACATGGTGAACCTGAACGTGGTCGTACAATACTTGAAGGTGTCTTGAGCAATTATCCTAAACGTCTAGATTTATGGAATATATATCTAGATATGGAAATCAAGACTGATGTGGAGAAAGCAAGGTAAAAAATTGCATTTTGATTGCTTTTTTATGTAGAGACGTAACAAACTAACTGAACTTTTTAATTTTTTTCGTAGACGTTTGTTTGAGCGTGTTGCATCAATGAAATTCTCTTCTAAAAAGATGAAGTTCTTATTTAAGAAATGGCTTCAGTTCGAAAAAACTCATGGTACCGAAGATGATATTGAAAGAGTTAAAGAGAGAACCTTAGCCTATGTTGAAAGCATGTCTTAGATCTGTAAAAAAAATTATGTACATATATTTTCCTTTTTTTTTTTCCCTTAAACCATTTTAGATTTTCCTTAGTAAACCAACGTTGATAACACTTTTATATTTATATATCTTCAAATAAATAATAATCATTTGTTCGAGCTATACGTAGTTTTCGCTATTGCATTTTCTTTATAAGTTCGTTTCTAATGTCATTCCTTTCCGTTTATAGTGGAGGCTCGTTGATAGGCAACATGTTGAAGTGAGAAATAAAAAGGAAGAGTTTCCATCAACCTACGTGCAAAAGTATTTGTTACCATCCACTTATGCTTCTCTATTTGAATTACACGCCACGCGATAGCGGCGACATGCTCCGCCAACAATATACTACTCAAGGAAGGAGTAGACTTCATTCAGACGCCGCCATAACTAAACCGAGATTTGGTGCAACCGGTGCAAGTTGCAGAATTTTGAAATTTCAGAGGCCCAGATTGTGCCACGCACTGACATTAACTCTCAAGGAAACTTTATACCACGCCGAGGAACCGTCAAGGCCGAAAAAGGGAACACTAGGTTGTACAATTTTCCCGACTTTTTGGCGATCAATCTGTCTTTCCTGAATTAGGGTTGGGCTCCTCTTTACTCTAAATCCTTACTGATGCCACCTAATATACACTGCAAGTCTGATATTGATCGATCTTCAAAAATGCTAGATTATATTCCAACTACAACTTACCTGCTCAGGTGAAAATAAGAAGAATGAACGGATATAAGTTTATAATCGATGAAATGGTCTGCCCAAAAAGAAACCATGCATTTGGATATTTCGAGACAAATCAGGTCATTATCAGTGAAATTATAAATTGGTCAAACGTTGCAATGCAATCAGAAGAGGCATCTAAATATACTTCCAGGGCGGAGAAAACGCGCAGTGTACTTTTTCTGTTGTAAAAAAGAATTTTCTGCTAGCATCCTCCTGCAATAAGTCCAATTTCAACAAGATTATAACAGTTGGAATAGGTGATACTTGGCATATAAAGGCTAATAAACATATTTGAATAGTGATTTATGACACAGACTATGACTACTAATCGAGTGGTTGAGATAACTATCCATCAGGTTCCCTTGACGTTAAAATTTGTATGTCTCGCGGTCGATGAATTTCTTATCACGCCATTGAACAGCAGAACAAATACGACAATCTTATTTAAAGCAAGCTTTTAAATCCTTTTTTCTGAACATTTTCTCTTTTCCGTTGTTAGAACAGTAAAAATATTCTTACATTAATTTCTTAACATGCCTTCTTCGTCTATGTCAGCAAAATATGCTATTTATAAAAGCGATAATGAAATTGTAAAGTAATCAGTTTTTGAAAGTTGGGCTGTTGTGTAGTAACACATGGATTGTGGAAGTAGAGGATCAGTAAATTAGGTTACTGACAAAAAATTGCTTTTGCAATTGTTGTTTCTTTCTTTCCCTTCTCATTACAGCGTGCCAAGGGTCCCATTGGTGACGATGCGCCTATGCGTTTAAGAATGGAAGCTTTTGTTAAAGACTTGCAAAAGAGAATTTGTGAGGGCATTGAGGAAATGGATGGTAAGGGAAAGTTTATCCGTACTGAATGGCAACGACCTGAACATGGCGGTGAAGGTATCACTTGTGTTATGCCCGGAGGTGATGTTATGGAAAAAGCTGGTGCTGCTGTTTCTGTAGTCTATTCAGAGCTTTCTCCTGAAGCCGTTCGTCAGATGCGTGAAGACCGCGGTAGGGATATTGATGTTGACGGTGTGGTTCCTTTCTTCGTCACTGGTATTTCCCTCGTTATGCACGCTAAGAACCCCAATGCTCCTACTGTCCATTTGAACTACCGCTACTTCGAAGTCATGAACCCTGATGGCACACCCAAGCTCTGGTGGTTCGGCGGTGGTGCTGATTTGACACCTGTTTATCTCTACGAAGAGGACGCTGTTTACTTCCATCAGATTTATAAAGAAGGATGTGACAAGATTGATAAGACTCTTTACCCTGAACTCAAAAAGGCATGCGATAAGTATTTCTGGAATGGTCATCGTGGTGAAGCTCGTGGTATTGGTGGTGTCATTTTTGATGACTTCAACTCCAGACCTGCTGAAGAGATTTTCCAATTATGTAAGGAACTCGGTAACCGTTTCTTGCCTTCTTATGTTCCTATTGTCAAGAAGAGAAATGCTATGCCTTTCGATGACGAAATGGTTCGCTGGCAACAAATCCGTCGCGGTCGTTATGTCGAATTCAATTTGATTTGGGACCGTGGTACTAAGTTTGGTCTTGCTACCCCTTGTGCTCGTGTCGAATCTATCATGATGACAATGCCTCTCACTGCCCGTTGGGAATACATGCATGAACCCGAACCTGGATCCAGAGAAGCTGAACTCGTTGAAGTTTTGAAGAACCCCAGAGATTGGATCCCCCTCAAATAAACATACACACTTGTACTTATATTCTCCTCATCCCATCAATCTATTCAGATATATAATTGTTACCACCTATGACCCCTTTCCTAGTTTTACTGTATTACCACGTCTATATTGTATATACTTTTCTTTTTCAGTAAACAATTAAACTAACTATATGCATGGTTGTCATGGATATCCATTACATGTATAAACAAATTCATATTTACAGTCTACTTTTATTATCTAATAGAGATATGTACATTCAATAATTTACAATAGTTCTACATCTACCCGGCCATCCGCAACATTCAAATTTGATATACGGACTTTTACTATTTCACCCGTCTCAACATTCCTATTTAGTTTTACCAGACGTCCGCGGATGCCCAATTCTAATAATGTGACGGTGGCTACTTCCATGGCACCACCTAGTTTTGTTAACGCCATTCGATTTGTATTATCCACAATGCAATTCCACTCCATTTCCTTTGTATAATTCATTCGCTGCAAGAGATGAATGACCCAAAATTGGAGACTGCTTGCTTCTAATAAAGATAATTGTTTTTCACGGGCCGTCGTCCTTGATTTGAGTATGTCTAATTGATTTACAGAAAAAGGCGTTTTTGGCTCTTTCAACAGGTGCGATTTGAGTTGCCAATGTGTCACCATATCCATGTAGCGACGTAAGGGAGATGTGGCTCTAGTATAACCATCTTTAATGCCCATAGCCACATGAGGGAGACCTGCCTCTGTGACGACAGTGGTTGGAGGAAATACTGAAATGAAGTGGACCATATCTTGTAGTTTGACAAACCCAGTCACTGGATCGCGCATTGAATACATTTCCTCTCGTAACTTGACGGCGTGTGTGGGTGCATTTGGATTCCACATTTGCGCTCTGAACGGAATGGGAACGGAACGTTCATTAGCGAATTTACTTGCGACGCGATTACCTATCATCATGGTTTCCGCCACCATTTGACGCGCAGGAGAGAAGGCATAGGTATCCAGTCTCAAGCGAATGGCAGGCAAATGGGATATATAGTTTGGTGTCGTATATTCAGTTGAGGGTATATCGAGGACTTGCGGAGAGATCTGTAAGACAGGTTGTGGTTTTTGGAAGATGATAGCCCCGTTCGCTATACGGTGCTGCATATGCTTCTGTGACAAATGATAAATATCAAGCAAGTCTTGCTTTGTGTGTTCGGGTACAGTGGATTTTCGTTTGACGCTTTGCTTTTCAACGTCTTTAAACACCTCATTGGAGGGATGACTGAATGTTTTCGTTGTATCGATGAGAGGATCTTTGGGAATACGGGCAAGTGGTTTTATTAATTCATCCACATCGTCATAGTACATCTTGATAACATTTTTGACATAACTTGGTCGAACGAGGAAGTCGACAAGGTCGCCTTTTGAATCGAGGCGCGTACTAAACGTCAAGGCGTATTGTGAACCTAGCGCATTTTTGTGAGCCGTACTTCCCAAACTGAACTTTTTAGACGCGAGTTCATCTGGTAGCATTGGAAAGTGACGTTCTGGCAAATATACTGTCTGCACTTTTCTCATTAAAGTCTGTGATAGTTCATCAAACGGTGAAATATAAGTGGTTGGATCTGCAATATGAACATGAAGCCAAGTTGAACCATCGGCCGTCTTCTCTATGGATACACCGTCATCGATTTCCTTTGCGGACGGGTCATCCACAGTATAAACTGGCAAATCACCAAAATCATGACGAATAGATTCGTAGGGGTCCTTATGCTGATCTTTCTTGGATAAAAATGTTGTTGTAAATGTATTCAATATCTTTTCATTTTGATCAGCTTTCTTGGACCAGATCCATTCACTTAAAGCTGGTGCATATTCTAGCAAGCTTGTATTGGCATAAGGTTTGAACATACCAATTTGTTTTAGAAATCGAATGGCCAATTGTTTGTCAAAAAATAAGTCATCGTAACATTTGAGTCCTTTCAAAATAATGGGTGCAAACAATTCATAGGGTGAATCGGTAATCACTTTGGGGGCTCGGATCCATTCAGCTATAAAGTTGATATACAGCTTATCGGTTGCAGTGATTTTGGATGAAAGTGAGGGCATTACTTCAAGGGCTGTCTGAGAAAATGTACCCAAAGCAGGGTCCGCATGCGTGTTATAGAATTGAATCAAACTTTTCATACGCTCTAAAAATCCGGTATAGGAAGGATCTCGCTGACGTATGTTTTCAACGATTTGACTTATGCGCTTGGAAGTTTGCTCTGATCGCAGGATCCATTTGTCTGTTGCACGTACATCAAATGTCGATACAAATCGAGTATTATCAGACACAATATGAAGGAAAGTGACATGACGCTGAAGTGGAGTGGGACTATCTGTTTTGAAGATAGTGGAGGCTAATTCTTCAAGGGTAACCTCCGTCTCATCATCTGGTTTAATGAATCGCTTATGGATCTGTACTAAAGTTTGATGCGCTAAACCCTTCATCGTCGATAACTCTCGTTGGTACTTTTGTACTGCCTGCTGTAGGGTAGGGGGGTAGCTTTGTAAAACACCCTGTTCATCAAGCTGGGTGAGCTGAATAGGTTCTTTAATAACAGAAGTAACATATGTTGTATCGATAAATTCTTTCCGGCAAAAAGCAACGGAATCACTTTTCACCTCGACCGTCTTTCCGTTTCTCAGTAGGATGGTTAAATGTTGAAGACCACCACTGATTAATTTTTGTCCTATGACTATACCCCCTAGTTGCGATCGCCTACAATTCAACAGATCTTCTTAATCTATTATGTGCTATACTTGTTGAGCGAGCACAGAATCGGATATTTATTATACCTGAATGCCTCTACATAGTCACCGATGTCAATTATCGGTAGCTTTTCTAGTTGTTCTTGTACGGGTAAAACTGTGTCGATATTAAATGATGAGGAGTTGATTTCCAGTTTATTCTCAGGCTGTTTGCTGTCTAGTTGAGACAGGGTGGCAAAGGGCGTTGTTGTAGTAGCAGTTGTGGTAGCTGCAGGAATGTGTTTGTGCCTAGTAATACACCTGCATAACTGCCTGAAACTGGCAGCATGTCGCATACCCTGCCGAGCAATTACAGGGCTAAACATGAATTCAAAAGTGGGGAAAACACCGAATTTGTTTGTGTCGGGTGCAAGAACGAAAAAAAAGAAAAAAAATAAAGAAAAATTCAAGTTTGAAAATTAATGCTGTGACGTTTTCAATTGATGAAAGAATTTAAAAACGTCATGCACACGTATGCTTAAGGATACTACATGTCCTGAATTTTGTGCTAAGCAATAAATATGGATCAAAAAAGGGAGTCTACAGCTTTCTTCCATCCGTTAGTTTGCACAGTTTTATTGTTTTACATGGTAAAGGTGTCAATAACAAGAACGAGTATGGTAATAGGTATCGATATCGCTTTACTCTATGATATGACTAGTTTTTTTACTTCAAAAGAGACTTTCCTTGAGTGGTGACTTCACCATCGGCTTCAACGCTTTGAATGTTAGGATGATTGAAGGACAAAGATCTGACAGAATCATCAGGAACTTCAACAGAGTAGCCCTTCATGGCACTATTGTATCTATGCTTGATGGTACAGCCAGATTGTTCGGCTTCCTTGATGTGCTTGTCGATAACATCATCAGCAGTATCTCTTGCAAAAGTAACAATATAAGTAGAGGCTATTCCAAATGATAGTAAATTAGATACATAGAAACAAGTACCACAATATATCAAATGACTTACAGGACATGGCTTTAATATATGTATAAAAAGAATAAAAATAAAAAAGATAAAAAACAATTATTGTCCTGCAAAAACAATGCTGTCTTTATATCTCCCAGAAAGTAACACAGGACTTTCCCCGAAAGATTTGCTCACCCGTTGTTCTACGTTTTCGCGCTATCACGTTTTTAGTCAAATTACCACGGGACACAGTCGTAAAAAAAGATAAAAGCAATTTTTTTGTAGGCATTTTTAGAGACTTCGATGGTAAGTGAACGGTACGTTGTTTTGCTTTATTAGGACGGTAAAAGATAAAGAAGAATCATATAAAATTACACTACTATGCCATCTATCACTGGTTTTTTCTTTCTTGGATGTGCTCGACCAATAAGAACTCGGGGCATTTGGTAAAAAAGCAAAAGGCAAAGTTTTGCATGAATCTTTTTTACGATTTTTTTTTTATTTATTGCGCTTTATTTTCCAACATACGGGCTTCTTGCCATAATGTATTCCCAGAGCAAGCGCAAACCATCTTTGTATTCTCAAAAGCACCAGCACTACGGGCAATAATACCACAAAAAACGCCATTTCCACTATTTCCATCTTTTGTATCATCTTTCAAATCGTCTTCGTTTTCTGAAATGACCATGCTTCTACCAATGATATCCCAGACTTTGACTCGTGTGCTTTCAACAACTAAATCGCCCCAGCCATTCTCATCCACCTCGATATTACCAAGATCACCGATATGACCGGTATGGACACCATCACCATGCTTTTCGTTGGTGGGGTTATAATGATCTCCAGTGGATTTCCAACCTTCAGAAATATCACCTGCTTCATGAATATGAACGCCGTGCTTGCCGGGAGTTAAGCCTTCCACTGTCAAATCTATTAAACATGTCTCTGGATCCACCTGAATAAATCGTGCTAGACCTGATTTTCCCTTCGGAATGACTGCCAAAGGATCCGAACCGTAGCACTCGAAAATGCAAACAGCTGCGCCTGAATGACCCTGTCCATCGGGAACACCTTGACCTCGTACAATAACAGTACGACCTGTTTCCTTTAACTTTTTACAAACGAGGGAGGGAGGCGCTATTACGGAGGAGTGAGCAAAGACACGAGAAACAGAGAGAGAAAGAAAGGAAAGCAATTTTAGACGAGGACTTATTTCGTTTAAACATTCAGAAAGTATATCTTATATACCTCTGCCTTCTACAACAACACGTTTGGCGGAAAGATCAACATCGAATGTGTTTACTTCTATTGTATATCGAACAATTTCAGTTGACATATTCTTCCACTCAAATAGTCATAACTCGCTGTCATTTTCTTGAATATAGTTCTATTGGTTGTTTAATTATTTACCAGGAATAGATTCAAGAACTTTTGTTACGTCCTTGACACAAGACTATGTCGTGGGCAAATACTGTTGGTTAGGATTGTGGCAATGTCAAATGGTTATTGAGAAACTTTTGTAACTCACATCGCATGTCATCTCAACAGCAAATTCTGTCTAACACAATTTTTTTTTAGTACGTCAGCAGCATAATTTAAGAATGTTGAGTTTATTGAACTGTTTGCTCATACTTTAAATATCTTGCTTGACATATTTCTACTTTAACTTTTTAATGTAATGAGGAGGCAAAAAAAGATATAGAGTTTCTTCTGTCAAATTTGATTATTAATTTCGGAGCGTTTTGGAAGTCAGCGTCCATTTCAGGTATTTTTGGTTTAATGCAAAGATGATGGGATATCTGGCAGCTCTTTATTTTAAATGAGGGACAGATATAAATGTCGTGTATGAATTTGCTATTTCACTTATAAAACTTGATCATTTACTACTACTATTACTACTACCGCAACCCTTTCATCCATTCTTTTATACAGAACCAACAATCTCGTCTGCTTTCTGCAAAGCTTCAATCATCTTCTTGCATTCTTTTCTTCTTTGTTGTGTAAATTCAGATTCCTGCAAAAGATCATCCAAAACGTCTGCTTTGTATAGCTCGGCTAAGAGCTCTCTTTGTAATTCTTCTTTAGCATGAGTGACTAAATTTAACATGACAGCTTTAGGTACCATATCAATCATTGTACGCTTGACAATGTTAAAATAAGATTGGATCAAGAGTTTGATGACTTCGGTTTCCATAAATTCACGCTCTGATAGAGCACCCATTGCTTTTAGTGTAGCAGGTGGCTAAAAGAGTTTAGCGTCAGTAACCATACACTATATAAAGGAAAAACATGTTCAAACTCACAGCTTCCATAATGGCGCCAGAAGTTTTCTTTGTCTTCTTGGGCCCAGAGAAAAAGCTACCAAAGAAGGACCCATTATTTTCAGATGTTGAATCAAAGCTAGATGCACTAGAACGAGGGCCGGTTTGAAGAGAAGCTAATTTGCTGTTACCATTCATAGTGGCATGTTGTTGATGCTGTTGCTTATCATGGTTTGGCTGGTTTTTGGCTTGTAATTGTTCATTAACAATAGCAATCGCTTGATGTCCGCTTAAGAAATCAGGATGTGCTGTATTAATATAGCATGATTCCATACTACATTATGAATAAAAAAGAACATGGAAAAAGTAAGCAAAGGAAAAACTTTTAGCTGACATAAAAGCACGGTTAAAATGGATAAGGGATCACTTACGCAACTAAATCAGTGACAAGTTTGCTTGTGGGTGCCATGGCTTTCTTGAAAAAGGACAACACTACTTGGTAGAAACGTTCTTTCAAAGCTGGGAAACGTTTGAAGAATTGCTTATTTAAGAGCTGACTTAAAATACGGACAAGCTCGTCATAAACCATGTTGATGCATTTGACACTGGGATCTTCGAGACGTTTGATTTGCTGTTTGATGATGACTTCAAAAGCAGTTGTAGCGACAAATAAAGCAGGCGAAGAACCTGAAGAGTTGTAAAGGATTGTACGAATATCGACATCCTTGATCTGTTCAAAAGGATCAATGTTTTTGATACCATTGGCGTAAAGCTCGTGAAAAACGAAACTGATTCTAGCACCTCCGGACAATTCAAAGCTTGTTAGGTCGTTTGAGTTACCGTCTATGATGGTTCTGAATTCTGTACAGAATTCAGTAATAATATTCAAGACGAGATTGGCTTGATTGGAACCCGAGCCATCGGCCACGGGATCACCCAATTGAAATAATTCTTGTTGGTATTTCGTCAAAGCTGACTGAATTTTGGCTTTGATTTCGGGAAGGGTATTACGGATATGGTGCATCAAGATCTATCCAAGAATAAGGAGGTAGTGCATGTGAGTATTTTACCTGGAAAACTCGTATATTTTACACATGGATATATTTCTATGTACCATATTCAATTTGCGTGCTAAGAATGGAGTACCACAATACTGTGCCTTACTACTATAAGAAGGGTGGTTTTCAAAGAATTCACGTTCTGCTGTCAAAGCTTTTGAGATGGATTTCTTGGATTCAATATCTCTTTGGCCTCGATTAACGACTGGCACATAACCCAATCGTAAAGGAATCACTCTGCCTGCTAAGATATCAATCACATCTGTTCCTTGATCCATCAGATCCACTTTTGTCAAAACACCGATTGTACGTAAGCCTTCAGGATCGACCTCCCTTGCTAGCTTCAAACCATCTGAATTAGCCAAATCTGTATTCGCTGCTGTTACTGCCAAAATGATGGTATTCTGTTTGGTGATGTATTTCAAAATCATTTCACGGATTTGCTTCTCAATATCTTTGGGCTGATCACCCACCGGGACTTTTGTCAGACCAGGCAAATCGACTAAAGTGAGCGTCAACACGTTGGGTGAAAAGATACGTAAATTGATGGGTTGAGGGGAAATACCAAGGTTTTTGCCGGTTTTCAACTCGGTATCCTTTACAATTTCTTCACGAATTTTGTTGAAATTGTAAAACTTTTGTCCTGGTAAATGTAAGAATTCACCCCACTCGTCATGGTTTTCTTGAGCGTCAGCAGAAGGAGAAACATCGTCATCTTTTTTGGCATCTGTGGCATTTGGCTTTGTTGCAGGACGGTTAATGAGTTGCAATACCTACATACACACGAAGAACAAGGAAATTAGCATGAAAAAGGAAAATGAATAGGAGCGGTGGAGAGTACAGTAACTAGCATAATGAGGTGATGGGAAAAGCTCTTTTTGCTCTCATCTTACCAATGGTCGACGTGTAACAATACCGGTTCCTCTTGGTAAAAAGTCTCTACCCACAATGTTTTCTAAAACAGAGCTTTTACCACTCGACTGAGAGCCTATAACCGCAATTTGGGGCAAGTCGACCGGATTATGGACTCCAACGGTAGCAAAAGCGTCCTGAAGCTTATTAACTAGGAAAATGAAAATGCAAGTTTGCATGAGTAATGTTGGCCCTTTGCGCGTTCATACAGCAAGTCAATTTGCACATTAAAAGTACCTGTCTTGATTAACTGCGTATCCATCTGTTGCAAGTTAGATTGTTGATGTTGTTGTTTTGATTTTTTGTAAGCTCACTTGAAAAACAAGTCTTGTAGAAAACCGTTTAGGTGGAGTTACTTGGATAAAACGAAATAAAATAAGGGGAAGGCGGGCGAATAACCGACGTCTCGCTCAATGGAATTCTTGTCTAAATTTGATTGCCCGCGGTCTGCACACTTTGTCAATCCAATGGACTCTGTAGAAATGGCACTATTTCCTACAGCTTGGAAGTTTCTACAGTATTATAGAGAATATAATTACATCTGATCTGACTTATATTGAGATTCATGGTTACTTTCATATGTAAAAACGGTAGTTCATTTTTCTTGCTGAGCAGGCGAGAAGCTATTTGGGGCACCTTTTTTGAAATTTTGAGAAATTGGAGATTGAGATGAAGAATCCTAAAATTAGTTGATACTCTGAGATAAAGCTATAAGCTTTATGGTTTCGAATAAGTATTTTATTTTTAGATAATTTTTTCTCATTTTGACTTTTTTAAAGTGTTTTATCTCATTTTTTGGATAATCAGAATTATGATAGAAGTTACAACCTTCTCAGAGTATGACAGGAATTCTACGTCATGCCTGTAATGTGGAAAATCTTAACCTACAGTAGTTCTTGACAGTTGTGAAGCGGATTTTCCATGTAAGAAGCATTTTGGCAACCTTATGTGAGGATCACCTCATTGCTCGATCAATAATAACAAATAGTTTATAAATTAAAACACACTAATGCATTTTCTCAAGCAACAACTACAATACTGCACCACATACGGCCAGAAAGAATATAGTGCATGATAGTTTATTGATTCTGCATTTAATCTACAGAACGATCACACTATCATTGTTATAAGTATATTGAGTAACCTTCAATATCTGAAACCACAATGGTGACAAAGTATAACAGCACTCGCCCCTACAGATATTGTGAGAATGGCGGGATTGGCCTCCGAAAACAAAGTCCAAAGTAGCGAACAGAACGCAATGAAAGTAGAGTTAAGAATCGCAGCAATATGAAAGCCTCGCTCAAATGGTGAATTTTGTTTGGATTTTTTATTAGGCTAGAGGGACCAAATCAATATCTTTTTTTCCGGTGCGCGGTAAGGTCAAACGCTTTAAAAGTCTCATGATTGGCTGAATGAAAATCATGATTTCAAAACGCAAATCACACTGAAGCCAAAAGGATTGCGGGAAATTCTATTATACAAAAAAAAAAAGAAGACTACTATTACACGACTTGGATAATTTCTGGGGGAATCAAGGGAGGGAAAACAGAATGGCGTTTTAAAAGTAACCTGACCGTTTCGTTCCATAAACATCAGAGGGATCTGAGTAGCTACTACTATAGGGATCCCTGTAATAGCCTGTTGATGCATACGGTGTCGTTCCATAGCCGTGATAATAGCTGCTATTCTGTGCTGGATAATAATGTTGGTCAGATCCATAATTCGTAACAGGAATAGGAACAGGAACAGCACCAGCAGTAACAGGATGCGCACCATACCCGCCGCCAGCAGCTCCATACATACTCATTGGGTGTGTCCGACTCATATAATTGAATGCTGTATTTGTAGGAGCTAACGGCTGACTGTACATAGCACCTTGATTGTAACCGTTTATCATTGCTGGATACGGTTGGTGTTGTTGCTGTTGTAAAAGGGGATTTTGAAAGACACCTGACTGTGGGTATTGCTGCTGCTGTAGTAATGCAAAAGGGTTCATCTGAGAGCCGTTACTCATCATGACAGCGCCTCCTGGGGTAGTTGGCAGCAAGCCATTCGCCGTATTCAAGGGTGGTGTAGCAGACATGAATGTACTCTGATACATTGCCGCCAGCATTGCTGGATTCATGTTACTGATATTATTCCCTAACAACATATTACTATTTCCGGGTGCCGCAGCTGCCATCATATTCATACTAGCCAGAGGATGATTATTTCCACCATTATTGCCTCCGGCCGCAGCCATCGTCATCAAAGCCATCATAAGTGCCTGCTGTTGCTGTTGCTGATGTTGTTGTTGTTGCTGCTGTTGCTGCAGCATCATGATGTCTTCGCTGCCTGCTACTAAGTTATTATTGTTTCCCATGCTACCACTGAATGGAAGCATTCCTTGCTGCCCTTGTGTCATGGCTGCTCCTGCTCCTGCTCCTGGCATCAGCATCATCATCGGATGAGGCATCATACCGCCTGTGCCTGGCATCATACTCGCACCTGCTCCTCCAGCGCCTCCATATCTACTCAACACTGCCATAGCATTTGGATCTAGCATCGGTGTTCGATATCCAGCTGCTTCCCGTAATTTACGCTTCACCATATCAAAAATGCCGCCTTGAGGCTCAAACAAACCCCCTCCGTTACCGTATAAATTAGCAGCGGCAGCGGCAGCGGCAGCAGCAGCAGCATTAGCAGTGGCAGCCTGTTGTTGGGCAGTCTGTTGTTGTTGTTGTTGTTGTTGATGCTGTTGTTGAGCTTGAACCTGAGCTTGGTTTGTCTGTTGAAGATTGGGTGAAGTCACTGGCGGCTGCTGACCAGCGGGGACGGTGGCTGGTTGAGGTTGTGGCTGTGACATTGAATCAATATATCAGTGAGAAACACTTGCACCAAGGTAGATAGTCTATATAAAATGTGGAGGGGGGGAAAAAAGATATGGAATGGAAAGCTGATCAAATAAAAAAATGAAATTACTGAAAATCAATTTCCTGGTTTATGTTGTTGTTATTTCCTTTTTCTGACATTCGACTAGTTTGAAAAAGAAGGGTCATGTGTGTACGACAATGTTTGAACAGTTTTTTTTTTTTCCTCGTTGGTGTTGAGTTGCTTGCTACATGATTGCTGCATCCCATGTATATACTTTCGGTAAAACGAATTTCAAGAAAATCAATAGTGTAAAACTATATATATATATATATAATCTTTACAGATGCTTATTATCATGCAGTAGCGAAGAGCTAAAGGTTATTTTTGCAGGTAGAATGGACTTGTTTTCCAACATGATCAATAACAGATAGACCTACTTTGACCGTAACGAAAGTTTTTGGCTAAAAAATACAGGAATGTCTAGAAAAATAAATCAAACTTACACCTATATACAACATCAATGAAGAGCGAACGTGTCCCCTGAGGCACACACAGTCATCCGCGTACTGATAAAGCAGATGAGGAAACAGGTTTATGGCTAGAGATATGGCGAGTATACGCATACAAAAGCACACCTTGTGCATTGAAAATAGGCTTGTACGTAAAAGTGGATAATGGAGGGGAGCAGGGAAAAATAGGCAGCCATAGGTTCCTCTTTAGTGCACGAGACAATGAGCAATTTATATTTCCCTTAACAGAGCATATCCATCTGATGAAGGTGCTGACACGCCACGGAACCAACTGGGGAGTTATTGACTGGCAAACTACTGCTGTTCTTGAATATGACTGATTCTGTATACTTTGGAAGAATTCGAACAGCAGCCATTCTTCATAGTCTATTTCTCATCCACCTTTCTGATCAACCATTGCTTTTGAGTGGGATGTCATTGACGTGGATGATACATTTATTCCATGACCACAATTATGAAAGCTCGTTTGAGGTCAACCTATTTCAATCGACTCTTTGTTCCTGCAAGTACGATTTTTAGATGAAGAAGAGGATTTGCAATTGTTGTTACGAAAGAAATTATCTCATCAGTGAAGCATGAAACGATCCACTTTTTTATTTCCTGAATGATATTCAAGAGAGCATAGGATGACTTTGAAAGCTTTTTTAAGGCCTATTCATCTTAAAGCATGATGGGGAATTGTTGCGCAAACCGTAGGGTCTATGTCTAAGACGATGGCTATTCTTTGCAAGACACCGAAAGCGCTTTTAGATAGATGGACTCTTCATTTAAAACGCGTAATCAAGTGGAAAAAGGATGGCCATCTAAGCCTCTACGAAAAAGCAACGTTATTCGCGACATTGTTGTATGAAGAGCCTACCACTACTACGACGACCGCCATGTCAGTTTTTTGTTTCATTGCATGAGGAAAGCAAAAGCGGGGCTTAAACATTTATCCCAAATTCTTGGATGCAATTTCAGTTGGGGGGTGGGGGGCGGGAGCAGAAACGCAGAATTTTTCCAAAAATGGAGACGTGTACGCGCAATGACAGCTTCAAAATTGGCAATGGATGATGTTTGCTTGAGCTTGAAAAAGATGTGTTATCGGTTGGTAACCTATGCATAGTCATACGTCTCTATATAAGATCCCCCCCCTTTGCACAGTTTTATTACTTTTTATTCAGTTTTATTGAAAAGAAATCATGTCTGCTACTACTACATACAACGGTAACGATACTTTCCACGGTTGGGCTGCTTCTGCCAAGGGGGCACCTCTTGTTCTTCAAGAAATGACATTAAAGCAATGGACTGAAGACGATGTGGAGATCAAGATCAGCCACTGTGGTATGTGTGGTAGTGATGATCACTATCTTTGTGAATCTTGGGGACCTTCCACCTATCCTTGTGTCGTCGGTCATGAAATTGTAGGTACTGTCACTCGTGTCGGTAAAAACGTCAAGTATGTGAAGGTAGGCGACCGTGCTGGCGTGGGAGCTCAATCAGGTGCTTGTCAAAGGTGTGAAAACTGTCTCACTGGCAACCCCAATACCTGCTCCGATCTCAAGGGATTTATCTTGACGTACGGTAGCCGATGGCCTTGTGGCACGCCGTCCTACGGTGGCTACGCTGACAAATGGCGCGGTGATCAACACTTTGTTTTCAAAGTGCCCGATAACATGACAAACGAAATAGCAGCTACATTTTTCTGCGCGGGTATTACAACCTATGCTCCTTTGAAACGTACTGATGTGAAGGCTCACTCTGTTGTGGGTGTGATGGGCATAGGTGGTCTTGGTCACTATGGTGTTCTTTGGGCCAAGGCGATGGGCGCTAAGGTCATCGGCATGTCCCACAGCGATAAGAAGCGCGATGTTGCTTTAGAATTGGGCTGTGATGATTACATTGTGACCAGTGATAAAGAAGATAGGAAGAGATATTTCAAAAAGATGACACACATCCTCTGTACGGGAACCAGCCCTGACTTCCAATGGGAACCTTACTTTGATCTTTTGAAAGTAAACGGCCACTTTATCAATGTCAGCTTACCGAAGTGGGACTTTCCTCCCTTCCACACGTATGACATTCTGAAAAACCAGGTATTCATTCACGGTTCCGCTATTGGTTCACCCAATGAAATCAGAGAGATGCTCAAGTTTGCTGCCGAAAAGAATGTCCGTCCTTGGATCCAGAAATACTCTATGAAGGATGTCAATAAGGCCATGGAAAATTTCCGTGCTGGCAAGCCAAGATTCAGATTTGTATTGGAAAATTAGAATGGAACGCACACTCTTCAGCACATGATTTGCTATTAGCCTTTTGTTTATGAAAAAGCCATCATCCTATAATGTATATAATAAAATGAGAATGTTTGCTATTGTTTTGAAAACCAAAATAAAGAGTGACTTTTTTCAATTTTTTTGAAAGACCCAACGCATCTGAAGGCATTCGGTTTTTTTTTTTTTTTTTTTTTTTCTTTTTTTTTCTTTTTTTTTCTTTTTTTTTTTTTTGACAGTTCTCAAAATGGGGAAAAAGCTTTTTTTCAACTTTCTTTTTCCTTTTCCCAAAACTCTTTTTTTTTTTTCTTTTTTTTTTCCTTTTCCGCTCCATTAGCGATCCGTCGATTTCATTTCAAAGTTTATAGAAAAGAAAAAAAATTATGCCATTTGGTTGGGGAGCCAAATTCTGTAAGCAGTGGGCCAGAATATCTCTATGGTCCTTTTTTTCAGATATTCAAGTGAAAGATATCGAAAATGCTGATTGCAGCCATGGGCCGATTATTTTGTAAATGTCCCATCTCTTTTTTTTAAACAAAGAAAGGGGTTTTTTTTTGGGGTGCACTATGGATTACATTTGAAACTTTTTATTCAATTCATACCAAACATTTTATTGTCTATCTAGCGCGGCTACACACCATAATATGCTGATGGATCCTGCAGTGCTGAACAAAGCCTGCACGGGTCTCACGCATTGGTGGGCTAAGAAGGAAGTGTTTATTGAAAACAAATATTGGCTCAAGTTCCTCTACAGCAGTGGTTTAGTGCCTGTAGACAGGAAGGCCAAAGATCACACGTCGCTTTATAAAGAAACGTTTGATGTGTTGGAATTGAACGAATCACTCGTTATCTTTCCAGAAGGGACAAGTCATACACTACCCAGCTTGGGAAAATTGAAAGATGGAGCTAGCTTTGTTGCTTTGGAATACAATAAAGCTTTGAAAGACTATCCGAGTGATAAGTTAAATCAACATGGCCAACGACCCAAGCCAGCGTCGATTGTTCCAGTAGGCATTGTCTATACAGACAAGTCGAAATACCGTAGTCAAGTCATCGTGAGGTAGGGGGGGGTCATTCAAGGAGAAAGTTCTACAGGTGACCATGATTGGTTCTAAATCGCTTGTTCTTTTTTTGTGTCAAAGGTTCGGCCAAACCATCCATGTCAATGATTATCTATCCGACTATGAAAAAGACCCAAAAACAACCGCCAAAAGAGTCACCCGGAGAATCGAAGACTCACTTATTTCACTTACCATTAATGCGCCTGACTGGACGATTGGCAAAGGGGCTAGGATGGCGAGAGAGCTGCTCTTTCCTGGTGAATATGGTCTCATGCATGATTTTGTGCCAGTGACACAGAGGTAGAAAACGAGAAGGGCAAACCTATGCGCCCAAAGGGATCATCCTGTACAACACCAACCTGACCACGTTTATTTTTTGTATAACAGTCTTATTAGAATCCTTAAAGAGAAACCAGAGTTGGCACAAGCATGCTATGCCTACAGAGAGGACCTGAATCGCTTGTCGCTGAGAGATACAGATATGATGGACTTGACACCTACCGACGCTTCCTCTTCTCCAGCAACAGCCCACATGAACGTGAACGTAAATCATCGTTACGTCCTAAAAGATTTTTTCATGAAAACACACACTCTCCTCTTTGACTTACCGATACTCCTACCGGCCTTCGTGATCCATTTCCCTCTTTACGTTATGGCTCGCCATTATACCAAAGTCCAACCTTACGAAGAAGTGCTTGCGCAAGAAAAGATTTTCTATGCTTCCCTCAGCGTGATGGTCATCTATAGCAGTTTGTTCCTGTTCAGTTGGTACTATGTTTACCATCTCACATTGTATGGCATGCTTTTTACAGGGTTGACACTAGCCATCCTGTTCTGGATGCATACAGAGTTTATTGATTCAAAGTACGAGGCATTCAAGCAGTGGAAGGGGGCTGCAATACTGTTGGATGCATTTGTGTTGAAACGCGACGGTGGACGTCGTCAGCAAGCGATCATGGCGTTGGTCAATAGAAGAGAACAACTGCAAAAAGAGCTGCTGGATGTGGTATGGGCAGCAGCAGCCACAACAGATCCTGTTTCAAGTAGCAGCAGTGCTCCTAGCATGGTGGAGGAACATCCAACTTCTTTTATGCAAGCTGTTCGAAGAGTCCAAAAAGCACTTTACACGCGCCATTCGTTTTAGCTTTTTTTGAATAGAAAATAAACCCACACATTGAATTCGGTTGAGCCGCCCCTTTTATTGTCATTTCTTTATACAGTATTTTAGGTTACAAGATTGATTTCGCCATGAGATGGGAAAGGATCGTCCTGTGTCATTAACGCTCCATTGTTACCCATGCTTGTAGCTGTAGTCCCTTAGCATGTGGCACTCAGCTGCAGTAGTTTGCGATATATCAAATACCTGCCTTTTGATGAATACACAAAAAAAAAAAAAAAAAAAAAAAGGGGGGAAAAAAATCTCGATGAAGGTATCGACTTTTTTTTTTTTACAAAAAAAAATTAAGAATACGTCTCAATTTAAATACAAAATACTACAATGCTTTTTCCGCCTCCCATTCTCCACTTTTTGGATGGTGATGGTAATGTTGACGTGCGATGGACATAATGGAGAAAGGGGTTTAGGCTAGCGGTTCAATAGGTTCTTGGTCTTCAAGTAAGAAAAAGAACAAACAAGCATACATTGATGGGTGTGATGGAGTTTTGATGAATGGTGAGAGTTTAAGAGTGACGGTTATTGATAAATCGTAAGATGAGAAAGATCGATTGGAATGGCTATCCATGTACGAAAAACAGAAGAGCTATGAGTTTCATGGAGCTCAATCTTTCAGCAAAGTGTGCAGACTACTTACAACAACCTGTTTCTGCACCTGTAGGATATCTTTTCAACTTTTTTTCAAAAGGGGGTGGTGGAGGAAACTCTTTTTGTGAATGGAAAGTCCAACGACCTGCTTCTGTTTGCGGTGGTTCAGGTATGTCAATATCGACACTATGATAAGAAGGTTGAACAGGAATGGTCGATAAACGATTTAACGGTGATTGCATGTTGCGCTGCTGCTGTTGTTGTTGATGAGCACTATCTGAGCTTGTATTATTGCTGTATTGACTTTGTCTATAACTCATCGCTTTCTTTTCAAAAAGACAAAAAAACTCAGTTTTCTTTCAAAAAAAGGGGAGTAGGGGAAAGAAGAAAAGTGAAAATGTAAAGTCCGATTCCTTTTATTTTCCTTTTATCTTCCAAATTTGGAAGGGTCGGAAAACGAACTTTCGGTAAAAAGCTTTTACTTTTTTGAACGGGTTTTTTTGCCCCTTTCCTTTTTTTTTTTTCCCTTAACGACAACCCAACTATTAAATTTTCACATGTCTTTTTGTGTCACACAAAATTCTGACGTGAATGCTCTGTGCCGTGTTTTCGAATTGGCTACAGACGAGGCATGTCGTGAGGCCAAATCAGTCTCTCTGTGAAAATGATTCGGAAAGGAATCGACTCTAAAACGATGGATTGGCCCTAGGGACGGGGCAAAGAGGTCGTTCGCTGAACTCATTTCTGCTTGAATAGGAAAACAAAACGAGACTCTTACACACCGTCTTGAGAAAAGAAAACTAGGACACTATCCAGAAAGGGAGGGAAGAAAGGAGAAAAGGGGAATTCGTTGTGAGTGACAGACACTAAAAAATAAAAGTTTGGGGAACATTAAATGGGCATTCGTTTTTTTAAATTTCCGCTCATAATGCAAAAAGGTAAATGAATGGGGCCATCACGTGATAGATGGGGTTGTAAGTGTATGTCTAATACACACACACACACACACACACACAGCTTGAGTTGTCTCTTTTTTTTTTTTTTTTTTTTTTTTTTTTTTTTTTTTTTTGATGGCTAATTTATGCTGGCCAAAAAAAGCATCTTTTTTTTTTCTTCCTGTCAAAATAATCCATTTTTCTTTTTCTGTAATCCTACTTTTTTGCTTTTTTTTTTATATATATATTATTATTGTTATTGATTCAATACAAGCACCCTACGACAGCTTTTCAACCATAACAAAAAACATACAGATGTGGATCTACTTGTTGTATTTATTCTATTTCGCTATAGCAGTAACCGTTGCGCTGTCACTATTACTCTATACTTATCAATGCGAGTTATTATATGCCTCGGGATTCCCAAGCGGATCAAGGACAGTGGTAAGATGGTGGTTTACTCATAAACCCAATGGAGACAAGGAAAACAACTCACTTCTTTCTCTCTCTCTCTCTCTCTCTCCTGTCTCACCCCCCCCGCCTCAACCCCTCGACTTTTATAAACAACCACACAACGACTGGGATATATAAAGGTGGCACGACCTTCACAATATGGATTACCAGATAAAGAAGTGATATTAGTAACAGAAGATGGGTATAAAATCAGAGCCTATGTGATGATACAGAGAGGCGAAGAAGTGGCGATACAGTCACCTACCGTTGTTTGCTTCCATGTAACTATCTTTTTTTTGTATTTTCTTGGTTTGCGAATGTGAACGTTCAAATGTTCTAACGGAATATATGACTGAAATATTGGGTATTTAGGCACATACAGGGAATATGGTAAATTGAGAAGAAAAGGAGGAAAGCAGAGGCATTTTTGGGGATACTGAAGCACAAGTCTTTTTTTTTTTTTGTTGGTGCTTTCTTTTTTTTTTCGCAGGGTCATCGATTGCCTATTGCCCAGGTATTTTACAAGAAATTAGGATACAATGTCGTGATGTTGTCGTATCGAGGGTAAGGGAAAAGCATAGAAGTTTCCTGGGTTTTTCTGTTGCTCATCAGACTTATCCTTTCCATTAGCTACGGTTTAAGCGAAGGCAAACCAACAGAAAAAGGCCTCAAAATCGATGCAAAGGTAAAAAAGGGGGAGATCTTTGTTCTTTTTCTTTTCTGTTTTTGTTGCAGCAAACATTGATTTTTCCTCCTTTGAATTCTAGACTGTACTGCAATATATAAAACAACATCCCATACTGAAACATACAAAACTGATAGCTTACGGTCAATCCTTGGGTGGATCAGTGGCTATCAGTCTTGTATCAAGAAATGAAGATCAATTTGACGCCTTGATTATCGAAAACACTTTTTTGAGTGTGCCTTTACTTGTGCCGCATATCTTTCCAGCATTACGACATCTTGTCTATCTCGTTCATCAGACGTGGAAATCTTACAAAACCATCAAATACGTTCAACATGTACCCATCCTATTTTTATCGAGTTTAAAAGACGAATTAGTGCCGCCAGGCCATATGGCAAAATTATACAGTATTTCGCAGACAAGTGGAGTCAAAGTATGGAAAGATTTTGAAAACGGGACACACAATGATACATGCATGCAGGTAAGAAAAAAAAGCAACAAAATAACAAAGGATAAAGAAAACAGTCATTGATGAATTCATCTTTCTGTGTACCTGCTGCCTTTTATGAAAAGAGCGGATTCTTTGAAGCCATAGCAGAATTTGTACGGGATTATGTATGGGAATTGGACTGAAAGCTGGACTGAAATCTGAATAAGGGGAGGAGAGGAGAATACTCGTTTCATAGTCCGGGAACAATGATTGTAAATATATATATATTCTACCCATGCACACACACACACACACACATGCACACACCACACGCACACACACACATACACACAACTCTATCGTACATCGTTTAAAATACCTTTGGATCAACCCACACGACAAACACGGTTGGGACGGGAGGGGGGGGGAGGACGCAACCACGACCACTACTTTTGTTATTACGACCCCCCAAAGATAACCCATTCCCTTCTTCTCCCCATGCTCATCATCCTCTTCATCTGTCACGCACCCACGTCCGCATCCCTCCCTCCCTCCCTCCCTTCTTCCACTAGCGAATTCCACGTATTTATTTATGGACATCATAAACCTATTTTGAAAGGGAAAAAAAAAAAAAAAAAAGTGATAATAAAAGAAGCATTTCACATTTTTATTTTTGAGGCAAAAAAAAGAAAAAAGAAAAATGGGGGGCCCTACTGACATAAACACTGTAGAAAACAGGTCTATTCGAAGAAACCGAATGGAGTGTTGGTAGATGTCGATGCCCTTTGTTTTTGAAACGTATCACGATTTCAGTGACTATAACAAGGTAGTAAACAGATCAAAGAGAAAAAGGGGGATCCCTCCTTCATTACCCACTTGCTGGATAGTGTCCTCAGATGGAAGGGTTTTCTTTTTCCCACTTACAATGGTGGGTTGGCTTTCGTAGGCACAACCCCCATGCTGCCTTGTTGTATAAATCCGAAAACACGAGGACCGCAAGAAAAAAAACGCTCACTTACACATTATTCATCACCCTCTCATGTCCAGTGCTTATGGAAAAATCCCTAAACCGACCTTGATGACTGATCTAAACACCGTTCTGCCCATCTCAAACACCTTACGCAATGGTACCAAGACCATGATTCAAAAGGTCGATGCCGAGAATAAATCACTTTGTGCTTATCTTCACGCGCGATTTAACGCTGAACTTGAAGCAGGGTAAACATTCAAAAAACAAAGCGGTGGGGGAGGGGGGGGGCGGTGAGTTACCACGCAAGATATTGAATAGAATACATAGATCTACGTATCCACAAGAAGAATTATTGAACGATCAGCAATTCAGAGACTATTTTCTTGCCTATGATGCCTTTGTCATGGCAAAAGATGGCTTGATTGAACCCAATACAAACTATGACTGGGATGATAAGGTGGTGGGCATGTTTTACATTAAACCAAACTACCCCGGAAGGTGTTCTCATGTAAACATTCGAAGCATAATGTGGGCGTTGGACAGGGCAGCATGTTGACTTATCGCCTCGTTTTTCACTTTTCTTTTTTCCATGCAGATTTGTAATGGTGGATTTTTCGTCATGGATCATTATCGTGGGCTGGGAGCTGGTGTTGTCATGGGAGAAGCCTTTAAAGTGTTGGCTCCTGCCATAGGTTACAAGGCGTCCTTGTTTAATTTAGTTTTTGAAAACAACCCTGCCTCCATTGCTATCTGGGAGAAATTAGGCTTTCAAATGGTCGGTCGTATTCCTAAAGCAGGAAGATTAAAAAATAGTCCTGATAGGCTTGTAGATGCCTTGATGTATTACTACGACTTTGAAACACCAGCAGAGAAACAGTAATACAGCTGTCATAGATCGATAAACCCCTCCTTTCTTTCTATACACATGATTTAAAAAACTCACATTGCTGATTTTTTCTTATGATATGAAATCCATCTGGTTTTTTTTTTTCTTTCTTTTTTTATAAAAAAAAAAAAAACTTTGGCTACGTGACATAAATGGGGATGGAAAGGGTGTCATCGTGAGTGCCCCCCGCCCCCTTATATACATATAAAAGAGTGTCTTGCCAAATAAAAAAGAAGAGGGTATCAATAAAAGATACTCTTTCTTTCCCAAAGACTTGTAACAATCAATGAAGAAAAAACGATGAATTTTTTTGTTTTTTTAATTGGCCTTTCTACGGAAAGAACAACCTTCAGTCAAACGGGCACGACCACCAGTGGGTTGACACAAGACAGTACCGCAAGAAGAACACAAGACAACAGTTTGAGCGTGGCTGAAAACAGTGCTAATGTTCAAACAACCTATCCATGAACAAACCCACAAGAAGAATGGTTAATCTGGCTGCTTGACTTGCAGTGAAACATAAAGAAAAACACTTACCGGGACACTTGACATCCATAAAGTAAGAGTTGGGAGATTGCACAAGTCTCTTGAGCTTGTGAGAGCGCTTCTCGTGTTCAACGGAAGGGTTAAGAAGATCGACGGCCAACTAGTAAATTGAATGCAATGACAATAAACAATGTTAGTCCTACTTTTTCAACATCCCATCATTACAGGACGCCAATATGACATCAAACAACGGTCATCACAAAAGCGGAAAGAAAAAAACATGCTCAACATGCAGCCTATGTATTGAATAGGCACTCATTAGTCTTGCATTATGAGCCGAATGGCCATTGTAGGAGGTGGATGAACATGTGAAAAATGACTAAAGAGCTGATTGAAAAGTGCATGTATGTAAATGTAGGTTGTATTGGGCTGTCGAGTGTAAGTCACTTGATGATAAGTATAAATCGTAGGCCAACAGTTTGAAACGAGCGCAAAGAACTGCGAGATATTATATTTTTGGTGCATTCACGATGGGCTTCATGACGAATGTTGGTGATTCCATTCCGTTAATGTCGCAATGTAAAATGAGCTGTCAAATATCTAAAAAAAAACCATTTCCATCCATATCCTATTTATTCATCCATCTGTTCACTGTTCTTCATCCATTGTCAAAATATCCATGGTTTTTTTTTTGGTTTTTTTTTTTTGTGATGACCTGACGTTGATACATATTGGCAAGTCGTTTATTCAACAGAACTTACAGTCATGTTTACTGTTGTCGAAGCTTGTAAAAGGGAAGGATTCTTCTAATTGCCACAATTCTACCTTCAAAGATAACTTTTTCCGTCCCCCGCCCCTCTTCGGCTTCAGAATCAGATCAATTTCAAAAAAGTGCTCGCTTATGATTCGGACTTTCATACTGTTTGCTCCAAGCGAAACAGAATAACCTGTTTAAGAAACACTATAACTATATTTTATATTTTATTAGTTTCTATTTGAGATGAATTTTTTAGAATCTGATTTTTTGTCATGGCACAATAAAATCGGAGGGGTGACGAAGAAACAGGAGCGCTTACCCTCCTCTGTGTAATATGTTGGCCATACTATAACACAAAAGCTACCCATGACCATCTGTCTATAGCACTGAGTCTTAGTTTTTCTTTCATTTCAGTAAAGATGGAAAGGTAAACAACGCCTCTGATCTCAGAGCGGCATGTAAAGGTCCCAAACTACACAGAGGCTAGACTGTTTTATGACGGCTTCTATCAAAAAATCATGAACGTTGCTCCAATGACACACACACACACTAATACCGATGACAGACAAGGATTCTTCTACTGCTTTTTTCATCGAAGCCAGTGCTGTCAATAAAAAAGAAACTGCAGCAACTTGAAACAGAGACGGTGGAAATCTGCTTCATCGATAAACATCTGACTCGTCAATTATGTAATAGATGCAAGCATCCAAATGCGGAGAATGCAACGACACAGCAGCGTCAAAGCGAAGAGTACATGCTGTATTGCAGTGTTAAGACTGTGTAATACAGTTTTGAATCGCGACGTCAATGCTGCCGAAAGCATCTTTGGTATTTGCATGTTTGCTGTAGTAAACAACAATCAAAGGCCTGTGGTTATTAAACGAAAATAGTTTTATTCACATGTGAGTTTGTTATTATACTTTCCCACATGCTTACATTGTAAGCTGAGAAATACCATAAAATAGTATCAAAGGCTACCCTTATTGACTCGACTCACAGATCGATAACAACTTGGATGAATTCTGGCAAGCAGTCTGAATTTATGATACCATTTATCTAAAATAGATCAAAATTCTAATCTCAATTCAAACATATTGTGTCCGAATTCATCCTCCTTTTTAAAAGACAGACAACCATTCGTACTCTCCTAAGGTGTTGCCTTTTTTTTTTTTTTTTTTGGTTATCAATATCAATCAATAAAGAAACAATGGACCATGTTTTAACGTGGAATGAGAATAAAGTAACCAAATGGATCTCGACCATTGGTTACGGCTGTTATGAAAATCAATTTCGCGGTAGGCTATTTTGCATTTCCGTTGGAAGGGTCATAAAGCCCTTTTCTTTATTACCTTTTTTTTTTTTTTTTTTGTTTTACTCTGGGGTAAGAGTTCTTATATGCGCCATATTCATTTATTAGAACAGGGAATCACAGGCGATGTACTTGTTAATCTCGACCATGAATCTTTACGAGACTTGTCTATTTTAACTGTGGGTCAACGTATGGATTTATTGAAGAATATTTATCAGTTAAAGATGCATTACAAAGTTCCTGTCAATGAATGGGATTATATACCTCCAAGTAAGTATGTTTTTCCGTCAGGAAACTATTTTTTTTTTTCCAGCTTAAAGGGGCAAAAGCTAATCCAACTTTTCTTTATTGTGTGTGTGCGTGTGTGTGGTTTTGTATCATGGTGGGGCTTTTAGGTGTATTATATGAAACTGTAACGTATGATAAGGAATCTACAATGAAGACTATAATATAGACCCTTTATTTATTCCACAAGAGAGAAAGGACAAAAAAAGCTGACATTCGTTCCTTCATTAGGAATGGTTAGGTCAAAATGGAATGGCAGATTATCGTAAAATAGAAGCAGCTTTTCAAGAACGAGGTAAGCAGAAAAATGTAGCCTCTATTATATGGGGTGAGGGGGGGGGAGTTCTCATAGACATCCCGTGAGATGTTAATATGATCTTCTTAAAAACAGATGCACGTATCAAGCGATTGACAGAGGAATTACATAAAATGGTGAGTGACGTGAGTTTATTGAAATATGAACTGAACCAATTGGTAAAATGGAAGGTAAATCATAAAAAGAAGCTGGGGAGGTGGGAATGATAAACAAGCAAAGATAGAGATACTGACTTGAATACTGGCTATAGTCTCAAATAGAAAACAACCATACCAATCACAAAGCTTCATTGTCACCAAAATCGCCATTTTATCGTCATCTTACAATCAAAGGCACAACGTTATCTGATGATGCATCTCCTAAATCAAACTCATCCTCTGCTATAACTGCAACTATTCCAACCAATGATGCTGGAGCCATCAAGGTGTACGGTGATAAAATCTCTACAGCTACAGTAGAGCACAGGAGTAATAGTAATAGTAATAGTAGTAGTAGTAATAATAACAATAGTGCCAGTAGCAGCCACCATAATATCACCAGCACGAGTAGTAGCAGCAGTAGCAGCAGTCATGGTAACAGTGAAGTAGAATCCTCCAAGAATGTTCGATTATTACTCGACGACCCAACATCCAAAGTCATCATGTCAGCCTTAAAAAAATACAATGTCAACAGCGATTGGCAACAATATGCGTTATGGATTCAGTATGGTTCAGCGGACAATATACAAGAAAGAGCGTTAGGATATGATGAACGGCCTTTGAGAATTTCACAAAAATTAAAGGAAGCCAAGCAGAATCCTGTATTTGTATTGAAGCATGTAAAAGATAATAAGCCTTTTATACCTCCCTCCACTGCTTCACCCTCGTCATCCTCCTCAGCAGCAGCTAACACTGCTACTTTGACCGCCAGTAATAATAATAATAATAATAATAATAATAATAATAATAACAATGCTCAAATGAATGATACACCACCATCATCATCATCTATATCGACAAGTGCCGCCATCTCTTCATCTCCTTCCTCATCCACCCATACCAATCATCATAATACCAATAGTCACCCTACAGCGACTTTTATTTCTTCCAATACTTGCACTAATAATAATACTCGATCTGCTCCACCGCCAAAATCAACTTTACAGCAACAGCAGCAGCTTCAACCACCGCATTATTCTACGGGCAACCTGAATAATAAAAATATCACTTCAGGAAAAGTGGGCTATGAAGTAGTTATTCCCGTCATGTCATCTACCTCTATCAACAATCATAATAATAACAATAACACGACAGCTAATACTCCTTCAAGTAACAATAATAGCGTGGGTAGTCTAAAACGATCGCAAACACCGGCTTCAACGACGAACTCTTCTACAACCAACACACTACCCACTGTTTACAATAATGAACTTGGGTTAGATAATGCTGTAGTTAATGCAATATTTTCAATCAATAATAGCACGGAACAATCATAAAGACTACTTTTTTTTTTTTTTTTTTATTCCAAGAAAAATGTGGGTTAGTTCAAGAGCAATGGCCGTCTTTCATTTTCTTCTTCATTATTATCGTCGTCCTCATCATGACTTATAGTAGGAGATGCTGATGGCTGCTGAAGTGGATGGGTTGTCACCGATGAACGCATGCCTCTCCTTGTTTTTTTCGGTGTTTTGTTACATTGTTGATAAGATCCAATAAGTATACAAAAGGATGCAAATAAAATGATAAAAGAAAAAAAGACAATGGATAAAGAAGTAATCCATAAAATGCCACATGAAAAAAGGGTATCCGTTTGAATTGTCAATGGTATCACAGAAGCGTCAATCTCTTTCGCTTTATTCATAGTAAGTTGTGTGCCTAATACAAAAAAAAATCGGTGAAACCACGATTTAGGAAACGAAATGACAGTACAGAAACTTACCAAGCAGAGCTACAAATAGCTCTGTCATTAAAGTCAAACAGAAGAGTCGAACAAACCATGGCTTACGACGGCGACGATGACGATGATCTGCTATGCTCGTCATATCTTTATGGACATGGCTGTTATTTATATACTTCTTACGCTCTTGGCTGTCCTCTTGCCCTTCGATATCATCCCCCACAACAGCTTTTCTTCTTGCACTTTCTTCCTCTCTTTCCGCCACGCAAGCTGCTCCCACTTCCTCTGCAGATACTGCTGTTGCTGCTGCTGCTGCTTCTTCTTCTGCAAGAACTTCTTCTGTTTCTTTACTGCGTAAGGTCAACCATTGGCACTGACAAAATGCTACAAATGTAGTTATATTATGCAGTACACTAGCCATAGAGGAGGCGGTTAAGAATAGCAGATAGAAAAGGACTTCCTTAGAGATATTGATAAAAATGTATTGTGGCGGCTGCTGTAAATTCACTGCTGTTGTTGTTGTGATTATACTTAGGGTGGATAGTCTGTCATATTCGAACAAAATCAGTTTTATTATCGTACTTGATGTCAGGAATATATTATAACCGTTCAAGGGAAATAAAGAGACGATGGCCAAAACAAGGCCACCCATACCAATGAAGCTTGAAATTAAACCCAGTATGGTGAACATTTTTATATAGATGCGGGATTTGTGGGTATGTATGTTTCTTTAGTTAAATGATATTACGGAACACTATGGATACAAACAGAAAACATGAGGGAAAAAAAGGAAAAGAAAACGAAAGACTTGCTTTCTTCAGATCAGTAGACTATGACTGTGATGAAAAATGAAAAAAAAAAGATGGAAAGGGATAGAAGAGTGATATCTTTTTGTTCACAAAAAAAAAAAAAAAAAAAAAAAAGCTTTTTTTTTTGTGCAAAAAAAAGGACAAAGTTTAAAATTGTTATTGTGTAATACATAAAAGCTTTGTTAACATGGCCTGTTCATCCTTCTTTTGTTCATGAGGATTCGGTCTAATATTCCATTGCTGTTACGCTCTGATCTTCGCCTTCCTCTTCTTCATTGAAGAAATTTGTTAGCAATTCCTTCAAATACGGATTCTGTTCTATATCTGTGGCGTATTTATCCAAAACACGTAACACATTAGCCTCATTGCTAGCTTTATCTTCATCTCCTTCATCATCTCCTTCTTCCTGATAACAGGCAGCAAGATCTTTGAATACGTTTTGCAATATGATATCCGCATCCTAACATACAACAACCACAAAAAAAAGGGGGTGGGGCATATCGCCATACATTAGTCATGGTAAAGAAAAAAGCGTTTCAATAAAAGGAAAAAAAAAAAAAAGATCTTTACTGCAACAGCCTTCTTTTGGGAATCTTCATCTTGTTCTTGACGTTTCTTAACACCGCGTAACACATCTTCTTCCTCATCCAATTCTTTAGCTTTACGCTTTGCGACTTTCACAACAGCTGAAGGAAAATCAGCTAATTCTGCTACATGAATACCAAAACTACGATCACCTACACCTTCATGTACCTTGTACAATAAAGTGACATCTTGTTTATCAACGTGTGCTGTTACATGTAAATTCTTGACATAAGGAATGGTGTTGTTCAAAGCGGTAATTTCATGAAAATGAGTAGCAAACAGACAAAAACAGCGGATATTGGTAGCAATATACTCTGAAATAGACCAGGCTAAACCAAGACCATCATACGTACTCGTACCTCGGCCCAGTTCGTCGATAATCACCAACGAATGACGTGTCGCTGCTCGCAAAATAGTGGATGTTTCCAACATTTCTGCCATAAAAGTAGATACGCCCTTCAGTTGAAAATCACCTGCGCCTACACGAGCCAAGATCGAATCAAAGACACAGAGGCTGGCCTTGGTACAAGGGACAAAACAGCCCATTTGCGCCATGAGCGCAATCACTCCCACTTGTCGAATATAAGTTGATTTACCGCCCATGTTGGGTCCAGTGATGACAAGGAATTCTGAGCTGTTGCGTGTCATATCCACATCGTTCGGTATAAAGTTGACATAATCTTGTACTTCCAAGCAAGGATGACGCGCTTCTTCCAGCACCACGCTACCTTGACCACAAGGATGCATCGTAGGACGTACATAGGGTATAGGTGCCATGACAGAGACGTGAGCAAAGGCCACCAAGACATCCATATGAGCCAGTGTCATACCAAGCGACTCTAACGAAGGGCAATATGTAGCGACAATATCGATCACTTCTTTCACTAATCCTCTCTGCGTCTGCTCGTATTCCTCTGTTAGCTTTCTATGCGAATCGCTCAATTGCTTCAAAGCACGTGTCGTAAAGAAAGTGCCCGACTTTTGTGTTGATAGTTCGATGTAATCATTTTTGTTTCGAATTTTGCCACTTGCTTCATTACGTCCAATCATACGTAAGCAATAACCATAAAGACTATGGTTTTCTAATCGCAGTTTCTTTTCTATTTCCAACCGTAACTTTTCTGCAGTGTTGACGAATTCATTTTCCATTTGACCATTGATGGATCGCAGTTCCTCACGTATATCTATATTATAGGAAAAACCGTGATTTTGCTAAGTCATTCTCCTTTTTTTTTAATCAGGCTCCAAAGTTTACGCAGCCTTACTTTGTAAATCCTCATTAAACTCGGCTTTAATGATATACTCATGATTCTCTAAGGCTTCCAAATCAATTGTCGTTACCACCAATTCTTCCAACTTTTGTAACTGAGCTATATACTCTCGAATTTTTTTGGTATACGTCTCTTCTAAAAGTGTTGCTAATTCTGGATCAGATGGTATTCTGGCTTCTAAGCATTGAAGTAATGCAGGCAAACGTATCACCACTTGATAAATACGTATCACGTCTTGTAGAGTAGCTTTCTTTTTCAGAAACTTTTTGCTCAGTCGGTGTAAATCAGGCACTTGTTTCAAATGATCTTCTTGTAAAGATTGTCTTAATTCTGTATCATCAAAGAAGATCTGAACAATGTCTTGACGTTTCTCTTTTTATAGAATGGTGCAGGGGATGAAAAAGGGGAAGGTGTTAGTTCGTTATCCCATCTTGTTTTCCCTTTTTCATAAGATGTTAGTGACATTTTACTTATATCATTTAAATTCAACAAAGGCTGTTTCAGCCATTGTGTAAATAATCGGCTTCCTTGAGCTGTATGACATTTATTCAATAACCCATAAAGACTGGTGGATTTGTGCGGACCATCCTGTGGTGTTGGAAACAAGTCTAATGCTGTTAACGCAGGGCCATCCAAACGCATATATTCTGATAAATCGTGATGCTTCAAAGTAAATTTGTCAAAATTGTTCTCATTGTCTAATAGTTGTAGATATTTGATAATACAAGCACAAGATGCCATAGCACTTTTCATCTCGAATTCAGCTATTGATCAGCGTATTTAAATAATGTGAGCAGGTTGATTTTCTTGTACATATCATACTGAAAATATGAAGGGTAAAGGAATCACTTACGTAGTGCTTGAAGAGATATTTTGCCTTCCACCAAACGATTCAAATCTTGAGCAATATTCTGTGCATTAAAATCGCTAGGTTTCCTTTCTGTAAGTATCACATTACATCTATCCAAAATGCTCTTGATCTTTTTTGTCTCGTAATTTTTCTCCTCCATTGTTGTAGCAAGTAATAAACATTCCTTGACACCTAACTGAATGATCAAGGACTACGATGGTAAGTTGAAGACGGCAAAGGAAAAGCGTGGGGGCGTAAGTGAGAAATCAATATATATATTGTATTTTTTTTTTTTTTTGCCAAGGTGTCTCTGTTGATTTTGTTACCTCCAAATTCGAATACAACTCATTATCAACAAATTCACTCACACCTATTTGATAAATCGTAGTATCTGCAAAAGCAACACCAACTGTCTTGTTATCCCCTGAAATTCCAATTTTAACAGCAAGGACGACGGGCGCAGATGTCATCTGTTGATTTGAGAACAGAAAGTCTTCTACATCTTGCAAGTTACCAGGTGACGCTTTACGGATCAACTGCCATTCTAATCTGCTTTGTTTCCAAATTTCAATCCTCATTTGTTTGTTGAGTAAAATATCTCGCAAAAAGTTTTCTGCTGCTTTTTGCGATAGTTTTGTCGTTGGTAAATCGCCTACGATGAAAAAATTAAAAGTTATAGACATGCCACTGTTTGATATGTATGTATATAAAGGCGTCTTACTTACCAAACCAACGTTGAATGACAGTCGACGTTTGGTATACATTTTTTGCTACATATTCAGCATCATCTCCATGAAAAGTATAATAAAATGATCCATTGCCTTCTCTTTCAAATAAACGTATGGTCCCTTCTTCAGGCTGATATTATAACGCAATCATTTAGCCCTTTTTTTTTCTGCTTTTTCTACCTTTTGATTAAAACGCATAGGATACTTACAGTATCTAGTGATCGGAAGAACTTGACAAAGGCTTGTTGTTCAGGTTTTTCTAATGTTCGATTTAAGGAATTCGTTTAGTTAACCTTTTTTTTTTCCCTGAGCGAAAACAAAAAGGGTCTTCTGTAATAAAGACTCGCTATCTATCTGTTCCTTCATTGTTCTTACCAAGATCGGGCAAGTCTTCCAAAGAAGGTGTAGAGCTCATTTCAAGACTTGATTTAACGCTCTAGGTTGTATCAAAGTGTAGAAAAAGAAAAGAAGAGTTAAATTTAACATATGCACGTCAAAAAAGAGCTGAGAGAGAAAGAGACAGAGGCGGAACGCGCGCGTTTACTGATCGTGTCTTTTTCCTTTTTCTCCACCCAGCTGAAAAGCCCGAAAGCAAGGAAAAAAGAAGAGGGAGAGAGGGCGTAGTATAGTAAGTGACTTGCCAAAATTGAGCAGTGAGGAGGGAACAAAAAATATCTCTTTTTGTGTTTCTCACTCTGTCTCTATTTTCTTTTTTTTTTTTAATACTTTTCTCTTTTCAAAATGGACAATCAGATCGATGAAGATGAAGAATTTTTGTACGGAACTTCGGCCATGCCTGATAATAGTACATCAAGTAGGTTGAACAGCACCTCTCAGTTGAACGTAAACGAAGGTAAAACTCATACTACAAGATAGTGTTATGGAAAACACGCGCTTTATGCACACATACACATAGAATGTAATGAAGGCTAATTTCTTTATCGAACTGTAAATTCTGTGTCAGATGTCGACGACTTGTATGATATATATGAAGAAGAGAATGATACAAAAGAGTAAGGCTTATTCAAACAAAATAAGGGAAACACTCACGTGGATACTGAACTCCTCTGTTCAATTCTCTTATCTTAGTGCTGAAGAGTAAAGTTGTGCATTTCAAGTAGTGCATCAAGAAAGTGTGAGAGAGGCATGATATATTGATAGCCTTCATTTTATCTGTGTCTACTCTATTAGAAGAAAAGATAATCTAGATGATACAGTACGTGAAGATATCAAAGACGGCCAGGATACCGATATGGGCGAAGATATACCCGCAGCAGAAGTGGATACAAATTTTGTAGACCCTGAACAAGAGCAAGAAGAAGAGGAGGATAGCGATGATGTAAAGTGTGTATTTATAAATTAGCAAACGAGATAGAAATACGAATGTTCACCTTTACAAGAGTAGGATCTCGAAATTATCATAGAACCCGAAGAAGAGGAGACGGAGCAAGCGGCAGAGGGTGAAGACGGCAATCAAACAGCCCAAGAAAACAAGCATTCTCAAGGGTAAAGTAAAAATGTCGAAAAAAACTCAAAGAACGAGGAGATACATCGATCTGTGGATACATATGAGATATTGATAAGAAATTTCCATATTTTTTGATGCTGTACACTTATGTACGCATATATGCATACCGATAATAGAGATGCATCAGATTCTAGAAAGAATGAAACCTCCTCGGCACCTGTCAACATTAAACCTGGCCAACAAGCGAAAGCATTAGCAGACAATGCTTCTGCTGGTGGAACAGCGAATACATCATTAGCTCAAAAAACGACACAAGGAGGAATCAACCTGGAAGCTATTGGCGAATACAATGGTCAACCCATTGTCGATGTAGATTTGGATAATGTAGAAGACAAGCCTTGGAGAAAACCAGGCGCTGATATTACAGATTATTTCAATTATGGTTTCAATGAAGTGACATGGAGAGCTTATTGCGCCAAACAAAAATTGTTGCGTGAAAATAAAAAGGTGAGGGAATGATGACAATCGATGCATTATTTTTTGCTTCGTGATGTAACAAAAATTTCTTGTTTCAATTATAATAGATGATGGGAGAGATGGATATGGGAGATATTATGTCATCTATGGGTATGATGATGCCACCCAACATGTTGGATGGCAGCGGTATGCCCTTACCAGGTCTGCCCGGTATGCCAGGTATGCCAAACCCAGCCATGATGGGTTTACCACCCATGGGTATGGCCAATAATCCTCAGGCAGCAGCAGCCGCCGCAGCAGCCGCGGCAGTAGCAGCCATGAGAGGTGGTGGTAACCGACCCCCACCTGGCCAATTCAATGCGAACAGACCTCCCAATGCAGCAAACAGAGCCATCCATCATCAACCGAATAAGCCTACTCCATCTACATCGTCACCTTCCACCGCCTCGTCATCAACAGAAGCACAACAAAATAGAGAGCATGACAATGAGAACGACAGCCCTATGGATCAGCTCCCATCTCCACCTTCACCTTCAGCAGCCGAAACGAATCATATGGAAGAGAACAATTTAAAACAGGTCATGCACCCAAGGCAACAACAGCCAAAACAGCAGCAGCAAATGAGCAGAAATATGAACAATATGATGAGAAACATGCAACATGGACCTCCCGGTGGACCTCATCCTGCCCATGGTCCACCCCCTCCTTTACATTTCAATCCGAATGGTAATATGTTTGGTGGGCCCATGGATTTTGGTCATCCGGGTGCTCCTGGAGGCATGCCACCCATGGGTATGTTCCCACATCCTGATATGCCTGGAGGGCCTCCTATGGGTATGCCGTTCTTTAATCCAAATATTCCTGGTATGCCACAGCCCCCACCACCCCATGCGATGGGATTTGATGGCCAAGATTTTAGAGGGGGACCACCTAATACAAACAATCCCATGGGTCGACCCCTACCGCCGCACAATTTCCAAGCCTCCATGAGAGGAGGAGGAGGAGGAGGAGGAGGTGCAGGAGCAGGTGCAGGCAGATCTCCTTTACCAAGACATTTACAACAACAACAGCAGCAGCCACAGCAACAAGGTGGTAACTCTTCTCCTGGTCAATGGCGGCCGACGACTTCGTCACCCTTGGGCGGAAATAATCAAGCAAGAGGAGATAGAAGGGACAGTCGCGATAGCCGAGATAGCCGAGATCGAGAGAGAGACAGAGGCGATAGGGATAATAGTCGTGATAGAGGAGGATCTTCTAGCGGAAGACGAGACAGAGATGACAGAGATAGTAGGTCAGATCGCGATAGAGAGAGAGAGAGAGACCGGGACAGCAGAGATCGTGATCGTGATCGCGATCGTGATAGAAACAGAGACAGAGACCGCTCCGATAGAGGCCGTGATAGCAGTCGACGAGACCGAGATAGAGGAAGAGATAGCAGTAGTCGCAGAAGTGGGAGGGACCGTGATGACTCGAAAGACGGACGCTCTGAATCGTAAGTTCACTCATTGATTATTGATTTCTCTTTATAAACAAAAAGGAAATAGTATGACTCATTTCACCTACTCTACTAAAACCTAAAAAAAAAAAAAAAAAAAAAAAATAGACGGAAAAGGCATGACAGGGATTCATCGTCTCATGATGATCACCACAGCAGCAAAAGGTCTCGTCGTTGAAGTATAGTGGATAGAGCTGTTGCTATGTAAATACGTTCGTTTGCCAAAAAAAAAAAAAAAACAACCCATCTTTCTCGTTATTTCGAATTGAATTTAAATAAATACGTTACGACACCATGTATGGAGTATACAAAAAGTGTTTTCCTCTATTCGGTCTTTTTGTTGTAATGAGAGAGGGATTGCGCTTCCGTATACCATTGAAATTTTTCCTTTCGAAAAAGTTGAATGAGAGGGATAGTCTCCCCATCATTCACGTTGTGCTTGTAAGATATATATCGATTGAGTATCATTCATTGGAAGAAGGGAAAAAAAAAGTGTTGCAAGACATTCCCAATAAAGGGACATGCACCTACACACTTGCAAAGGGCGTTTATTGATAACATGAACGATAACTATCTAACGTCCTGATCGGGTAAAAGTGGGGATAGCAAGCAACATCAACAATGAACAACATCCTAGAAAGCACAAAAGCAAATAGACTTTATTTAAACTATGTGAGAGTCGTCGTCGTCGGATAGATCATAGATCTCTCAGCAATTCTAATTCTGCATTTAGTTCTTCTTGCTCGCGTTTTTGTCCTTCTCCTGCTTCACCCACTTCTGTGATATCAATCAGGAAATCCCTGATATCTTTTTGAAATCTCTCCAAGTCGTCGCTATAATCAAACATGCCCTTGACAAGTACTTCAATTTGATCCCTATTCCAAAAAACAACACGTCATTTTCGTGTCCTTCTTTTCCTTTCATCCGTTTCTACAGTGTAAAGTGATTCAAACTCACCTTTGTAATAATGGAAATGCGTTGCAAAGGAGGTTTAAAACATACTGCTGTAAAAAGTCAACGTTCGACATGAGCGGATCTGACACTTGTTCAGGAGGAAAGACACGCGTGTAAATCTCTCCTTCTTGAACGAGAGCCAGCATTCTTGCTAATATTTGACTTTGATATTCGAACCCTAATCCAAAGATGGGACGATCTCTAGATGAATATAAAAGCACGCAAAGGGACATCTGTATGAAAAACGTAATACATTACCGTTTCTACAATCAGGATCCACCAGCACTTCCAGTATATCTGTTAGAATGCGTACATAATAGCGCTCAAAAAAGAGACTAGATATGTCTTCATCTTCTATCTGAGGTACAAAGTTTATCATATGTAAACATATCTGAAGGGCGAGATGAGAGATATCCGATAGGTTATGTTTTGTGCCCCATAATATGCTGTCTATGTTTAACTGAAATAAAGAAGATGTTTGAAACAAATCTATGGGAAGCATCCATATAAAAGAGCAGGTGAGTAGATTGACAAGAGGGGGGGGGGGGAGGGGGAAACCACTGCCTCCTATAAGAAAAGACTTACACATAAAACAGCATTCATTCAATACTTTCAACAGGCTATAGAAATTTCGACGGATTTCTGGGTAATCAATAAAGTTGGACGTGATGAATGGCAAGGTGGTTGAAAATGCTACATCTATCACTTGTTGAAAAAATTGTGGGCAACGATCAGGGTTCTATAGGAAAAAGAAACGTTCATAAAACCATTCTTTCTCTTTCTTCCTCTCTTCCTCGTCCACTCACATGGATTGCTGTTACTATGGTTGTAAGCAAGTTCAAGACGGTAGCCTCTTTTTTCTCGGCGGGTAGTGCATTATTTTTGAAATCTGTCAAGGCAGTGTAAACCAAGTCGAAGGGGAGGGATAAGAGGTGCATAAGGGCTTTTTCGTCTTCGATGGAAGGACTGTCCTCAGCATGGCGAAGACTATTACTACTACTACTACTACTACTACTACTAGTACTGTAATAGGCCTCCAGTAACTCTAAAATTTGTTTTCTGATTTGCCACATGAGCTTGAATTGTACAGAGCCATTTCTCTTGCTCTCCACTATATACTGAGCGGCCATGGTATAGGCTTGTATGAAAGAGGGTTGGATGTCGACCCATTGGTATTGATAAACAGTCGACTTGGCGGATAAACAGATGGCCTTATTGATCTTGACTACGTTCAGCACAGATCTCAAAGGGGTGAAGGGTTGTTCTAGTAAGAGTGCTGACGGGTGATTGAATGCTTTCGTTATCTAAAGGCAAAGAAGGGAGAGAGAGAGGTGGTGAAAAGACGACTCTAGGGTTTGGAGACCATTTATTGATTACCAGTCGATTAGGCGTATTCATCACTGCCTGCAAAGTGGCGCGTTTGGATGGCTCCCGTGCTATAGCTGTTATCACAGTGCCTAGGATAGCATACATCGTTTCCAACTTTTTTTATCCATGCAACATAAGATGACAATGAGAGGAGGGATAAAATGAAGGCAAAGAGAATTCACGCAAAACGTTTACCTGTGCTGGAGTCAACTGCTGGTAGATGAGTTCCCATTTTTCCAATAGGATGGACAAAAAGGAGGGCATGATGTGTCCGTTGATGTGAGTGGATGACATGGCCATGTTTTCCTTGCATTCTACAGACAATTTGAGTAGAGCGTGCAAACAAAATTCTTTTATACCGTCTTCGATGATGGGCTGTTGTTGCTGCAGGACAACCGCTTGGAAGAGTCGTTCCAGCAGCCTGTAGGTCAAGTTCCAGTAATGCTCCATCAAAAAGGGTGGGCGGGATTGTTCGGCTATATAGACAGCGCAAGAGAAGAGCACCCAGGCATATGGATCGTCCGTACTGCCGTGGGTTTGCATGGCAGGGTATAATTTCTCCAGTAAGAGAGCTCTGGCCAAGGCGTCGCTCTGGTCGAGTGCTGCTTGTTTGTGAATGAGCGCCCCAGTGGCCCACACGCACCGGTAAAGATCGTGCCAGTTTGCAGGCGAAGGGCTGAGAAGTGCGTTGTGGATACGGTCGGTGAGGATCTGTTGCAGAGGATGATGGAAGGAGGGTAACTCGGCCATGTTGCACAACACATCCTGCATCAACTGAGGTAGCACGCGTTCCGAGTGGCTCAGTTGGACAAATTCTCTTTGATCGGGCTGCACGTATAAGACAGCGTCTGGCGGCATCATGTGTTGTACTGTTTCGATGGCGAGTTGTTCCAACACAGGAGGAAGGGCAGGATGGCATGGAGAAGCCGTCTTGTTATTTTTCAACGAAAGGATGAGCTGATGCCAATAGGTCAAGCCTAATTGACGCAGCTCTTTTTCGTCCGAAGAAGCGAATGTCATGTGTAATAGGTAGGCCCAACATTGGCGCATCGTGTCGGTTGGCAAGGAGGACACTGCGATATATGGAAGAGTGAGAGAAGACGTCAGGAGAGTGCATAGCGATTGTAGCACATCCTCGTCTTCTTCGGCCAACAGGGCAGGTGTGTCCCCGAGAAATTGATGATAAATGGCTGTCACGATAAGGTCAATGATAGAACGATGCTGTGCCAGCTGCTCCATGTCTGTGCTGCTGCTGCTGCTGCTGCTGCTGTTGAAGACTACTTTGACGATTTCTGTGAAACTTTGTATAATCAGGTTTTTTTGTTCGTTGTCTCCGTCTCTTAGCTAAAAAGAATGTGCGATGAGTCATGTGTACATTCATGTTTAACCCCCCCCCCTTTCCAAAGAAAATGACAGTTAACTATTATCTGTAGCAGTTGCAGTAAGTCCTGTTGTAGTATCATGTCTGGCGATATCCAGCTTTGGAACTTTAAGAATGTGTGTAAGGTGGTAGTGAGAAGAGAACGATTGAACACCGGGCGCGTTTGTGTGGACGAGATAAAGATTCTTTTGCACAAATCGAAAATAAGACTGAATTCATCCATGAGTTGTTTTCGTAGCTTTTGCATCTTTGCTTTTGTCATGTAATCGTCCGAGTAGTCAAAGACCTCTTCACTAGGGGTATTTTTTTTTTTTTTTTTTTTTTATACGCTTCATTGATATATATTTATATGTGTGTGTATATTTATGTTTTTATGTCTATTCCTCAACTCATTTACCTGAGATATTGTAATATTCTCATATTATTCTCACAGATGGTTTCGTTGGCGAGACTAGAATCAACAATTTCTTGTATAAAGGTAGGCCAATACGTTGGCCAATCCTTTTTCAAGATCTGCACAAGGACCCAATCCAACTTGTTGATATAAGCCGCAGACCGGTTGTTGTTGTTGTTGTTATTGCTGCTGCTATCATGAACCGTACTTTGATGACTGTCAATGATCAATTTGACAATGTAATCACGAATCACTAGAGAGTGAAGCCAACAAACAATGAGAATAAATTCTCATTTCGACGGTTCAAAGATAAACGTTTTTACCCAATCTTTGTTCCAAAGGCAACAAGTTCCACTTGACTTTTATAAAGTTTTCTAATATACCAAGCGCTATAAACTATTTTTTTTTTTAACTCTTAGTCTGGGAAAAGAAAAGAAAAGGACCCCTTCACCCATGAATGGCTCACTGATGGATCCTACTTTAGACTGTATACGAGACGATCGATCAAGTATGCGGTCGACACACTGCCAAGCGTCCGGATGACTCTTGAATTCAGTCAGCACGTTTTGTGCATTTTGTCTCTAACACCCGTAGGAATAGTTGTAGATAGTTTTCATGATGTAAGCCTTATAAGAATACAGTAGGAAAGGCAAAAGTGACACTTTTTTTTTTCATCTTTACTTCTGCATTACTCGTGCCTTCATAAAATGACTGAACGACACGATCGAATTGCTGTACATCGATCTCTCCAGACTGGAATAACTATTTTGAAAAAGGGGATCATGAGATAAGCTTGAGGAAAAGAAAACGACCATCGCTTGAGTAAAAGCCTTTGTACATTATTCATATGAAGAACGGAAGAGCAATGCTTATGGATGGAAAAAGGTGAGCCAGATTAAAAAAAAGGAACGTGATGTTTAAAAATATTACATAATATATTCGCTTTGCAAAAAAGTACTCTTTTGAAAGAGAAAACAGGGGCCTCCGCTATTTTTTTTTTTTTTTTTTTTGTGGAATTCAAAATTAAACATGTCCAACAAAGACGATAATAAAGATGATCAACAGGATGCCAAGTTTGAATTCAATAAGCATAGCAATACATCGAAACGAAAACCACAGCAACATCGCTGTAATGGTCATTTAGAAGATGTGCTGGAAGGTTTGACACAATGGCCACTTGATGTGGCGAAACCGTTTGGCTTGTTTTTGACATGCCTAAGATCTCAACCAGGTAAAAGCGACTTGAATTCGAGCTTGCTTTTTCAGACGAAAAGTGATACAAATAGTCTATTTTTCTCTGTTTGTGAAATTATAGGGCAGGAACCGCCGCGTTACAAGCATCATGAAAAATAAGCTTTAGGATGACTAGGGAACAGCTCATTTCGCGTTCAACAGACAGTTGGGACAGCGAGCCAAAGAAAGCAGACAGGAATCTCTAGGCCAATGTTTAGCTTTTCCATACCTTACGACGTTGGATCAGGATACCATGTGTGTGTGTGTGTGTGTGTGTGTTTAGAATTTTTGTATTTTTATAGAGTGGCAATAAACTATCCAACCCGCCCCCATTCATGTGACTTTTTCTTTTTGAGGATGAATGAACCAAAGTGCCTATGACTGCTCTTACTGCTGATGGTCATTGCTATGGACCATCTACACAGAAAGCAAAAGGATACTCACCAGAGGTATGCCAAGCTTTATCTGATATATCATGGAGGTATCACCGTGCATAGCTTTTCTTGGCTATGGAAGTGTGTATGGTTTTTTCTTTTTTTACCCGTAGCAGCGTATTCGGGTAGAAACCCCCTATCCCCACTTTTTTTTTTTAATCTACACACTTTCTTACTAAGCTTTCATAAGCCAATCGTTCATGCTGGGATATGGATAAATAGATCTACAGTTGGGATTTTTTTCATTGATTATGACAAGACCTTTTTGCGAATATCCCCACTGTATTGATGGCTGAGTCATATTTGTATCTAGATTACACACTTTTTTCAGTCATGGGCTTTTTAACATCAAGTTTCTTGGCGTAACCTTGCCGTTTATTCTTTTTTCTTTTGTGGGGACGGGGTTTTATTGTTTTTATGGAAAGGCGGATTTGTGATGTGGATAGCACCGAACATGCGATTTTAATTTTCTTTTAAGCGGTCTTTGAAATAAATTTTTATTGAAGGTCCTAAATCAGAAACAAACAATTTGAGCGCCCATTTGTTTAGTGTACCTGAAGTAAAAACAAAAAAAAAAAAAACAAAAATAACAAACAGAATTTGTATTCGTCGGGTCTAACGGGAAAGAGCGAGTTTTTTCAATCAATTTTTTTGTTTGTTGACGAAAAAAGCCTTGTTCAAAAAAGAGAGAGAAAAAAAAAACGTGCGATTTTCATGCAACAACAGGGGAAGAAAAAAAAAAAAAAAAAAAAAAAAAAAAAAAAAAAAAAGATGGTACTACCAGTGCGTTGTAAGTGTGTGATGGCGAAAAAACAGAGCTTTTGTTGTATAATTTAATTTACCTTTAACAAAGGGGGTGTCTACTGCGGTCTTATTTCCATAATTGACACCTAAAAAAAGAGCCGTGCGAGTTGAAGAAATCTCCCAACATTTAGGAACCAATCGTTTTGTGGAAAGGTATACTTTTAGCGTATCTTTTTTTTTTTTTTCAGAAAGGGGTTATTGTTAATAAAAGAAAGACGACAAAAAAAAGAGCTGGGCAAGATGGCTCTATTGTACGCAATAGAATAGATGGGAAACCGATTCACTTTCTCTATGACATTTCGAAAGGGATGAAAAGTGTTTTGGATAACCTATCGTCTTTTTCAAGTATATATATATATTATTTATATAGCGAGATCTGGGACGATCCGTCCATTGTTTATTACAGATTTACCTTTTGCAGTTAAAATCCCAGAAAAAAAAAAAAAAAGGTTCCTTTTGTAACTTACCCCGGATGGAAAGAATGATTGGCTTAGTTGACACGCTTACTAAAAGAGAGAAGAAGAAAAAAAAAAAATGAGAAACGCAAAAAAAAAGACCCGGCCAAGGAAAAAAAGAAAAAAGCATTGATGGAAAACCCTCTATAGACGAACTTTTTTTTTTTTTTTTTTTTTTTTGATTTCCTCAACCATGGATAAAAAAGTCAAAAGAAAGAGCCACAGAAGGGGGAAAAAAGCGTTCTGGACAACATTTTCATGTGTAATAAAAAAAGTTCTTTTATGGATTTTGTATTCCCCTCCCCTTTCGAAACAAGGTGACAATGAAAAGGAAACTGAGGAACGGATTGGCCTCCGTGACAACGTGTAACCCGAAATATTGCACAGTTGACATGTTGATGGGTTTATTGTTGAGCACGGCGCCTTTTTTGTAGAAAGGGATCTTGTTTTTTATTATGAAAAAAATGATATTTTGTTTCTTTGAAAAAATAAAAAAAAATAAAATAAAATAAAATCAAAAAAATAAAATAAAAAGAGTTATGTCATAATTTGTTCTATTTAAACAGGTCGATAGTGACAGTTGTATGTTGTTATAGAAATTTATTCGGTGGAGGTAGGGAGGATCAGAAAAAGGGAATTTCCTACTTGCTATCTCTCATTTTTTTTTTCTTTTTCATTACGTCAGTTTTTAAGCTTAAAAGAACGAAAAAAGCCTAAAAAAGGATCGAGAAGGGGAAGAAGAGAAGAGGATGAAAGGATATTGACTTTTATTCTCTTTGCCGCCTCACAAAGGAAGGGGAAACGGGAGATGATTCAATTTCCAAAACAATGCATGAATTCCCTTTTGCCAAGCTGATCATGAACTTGTAACAACAAAAAAAAAAAAATTAAAAATTAAAAAAAAAAAAATTACTCTTTTGCAGACGATCCCTTATGAAAAAACCCAGGGTACTCAAAAGACCACAAAAAGAAAAAAGAAAAAAAAAAAAAAAAAAAAAAAAAAAAGCTTTTTTTTAAGGACTATTCCTGTAAAAAAAAGTTCTTTTTTGTTTGTGAGTTCAGATTTCCGTTATTTATTCTTTTTAGGGTATTTGAAACCAATGTAACTGTATTTTTTCTAAAAAGGAAAGTGAAGAGTGGAACAGGTCGAGTGTGGACCTCTTTTTGATCTCCCGCTTTTTTTCTGTGTATTCCAGTATATAAAGGGATAGCTTAAATAGACTTGTTCTTTTTGTCCAACCTTTCAATTTACACTCTTTTTTTTTTTTTTTTTTTTTTTCTTCCTTCTTTTCTTTTTCTCTTTTTATTTAGATCAAACCAACAATTGTAGTTTTTTAGTTTTTTTTTGTTTTTCGCATATGTATTATAATCATCCCTCATTTTCACCCACTATGGATGCCACTATGGCAGCTGTACCCTCCACAGCAGTAACCAACACAGCTACCACAGCAGCGACTGCAGCTGCCGTGGAGGATGATATGAACCTATTGATCAGTCCCTTTGAACCCTTTTCTGTCAATGACATGAATCAAATCAACTATAATAATACGATGCCAATGCAACAACCCAATACAAATACGTTGCATGAAAGTTCAATGTCGCCTATGCCCACCAAATTCAATTTATATGAATCCTCCCCTCCAATGCAACCTCATTTTGAAATGGTACGTTTTTTTTTGGTGGTTTTTTTTCTTGGAGGATGCGTACTGTGACTAAATCTTTTTTTCTTTCCTCCATTAGATGAGTCATTTTACTACCAACGACTTTATCTCTCGCTCTCCCGAATCCTCTTCTTCCTCCATGAATGATTCCAATATGATTTCACCGCCTACACAGTTTTATTCCACAGCCAATTATATGCACCCCACAATCACAGCAGCCAATGATGATTATCCAGACTACATCTGGCCAGATGCCTTTGACCACTATTCCACATTAAAGCGTTCTTCATCTGTCCCACCTGGCTTTCATAAAAACAAGCCTGATCCACAAGACCCTGTTTATTCCTTTCAACAGCAGCAGCAACAGCCTTCTTACCCCATGGTTCCTTCACAACCTCCACTTCCACAACAACAACAACAACAACCACAACCACAATCACAACAGCAACCCAAAGTGCCGCTACCTATACAAATCAAACGTTTGATTCGATCCCATCAAGCCAATAATGTCAACCACAAAGCTCCTTTGGATCCTGAACAACACCGTCGTCAATTGGATAAAAAGCTTGAAAAAGTAAACTTTGACGATATCACGGTAGCAGAATTGAAAGAAATGCTAAGGGAGAGAGGTTTATCAGCGACAGGTCGCAAAGCTGAACTCATGCATCGCTTAAAAGAAGAACACGGTAGGATGATCCATCGAAAGCATGGTATTGTTTCTGCACCACCACCACCACCACCACCACTGCCAGCCATGAACGGTATCGCGGCTGTTCCTGGTGGTGCTGATACTGTTGCTGCTGGATCAGCCAGCGTTCCCATGACACATCGTCGCGTGTCGGCAGCGCTGACTCACAACAAACCTCACCACCACCACTCCAAAAATGTATACAATTACTATTACAACTATCACAGTCCTTATGCGACACCTCCCATCCGCCATAATTCTATTTCCACTGCTCATTTAAATCTACAACACCAATATGAAATGATGGCAGGTGATACGCTCGCTTCTTCTGCTCCCCATCCTACCCCCGCTTTTTATACTCATTATCCTCCTTACCATGCCATGGCTGCTGCTGCTGTTCCTTCGCCGTCTGCTGTCACCAACACAAACACATCGGCGATGAAACCGTCTCAATTACGTGCCAGTTTTGCTGCTCCCACACAAGAACAAGACAGCCACAGGATGGAGGAGGAGAGCACCCCTCTGTCCAGCATGCCTTTACCTTTGCCACCAGAAGCTCAGTTACAACCTCATCCATTACCACTACAACATCATCCCTTCAGCCATGACCCTTCTGATCTGTGGGATGATCATCAATTACAAAACTTTCTCAATCAGATATAGAGACAAGAAGAAAAAGCAAAAAAAAAAAAAAAAAAAAAAAAAACAAGAAAGAAAAAGGACGCTCGCATTTCTTTTTTTTATACATATATATATTTTTTCGTTTGTTTGTTTGTTTTCCTCCTAATACCTCCTCTTTTTTCAGCTTCATCCTTTCTCTTTCTTGGGCATATTGTAAATAGTTTTCATTTTTCTTTGTATTACTAGTCTTTTGATCAAAAAAAAAACCCGCCCCAAAAAAGTACTAATCATCCTAATGTGCTATAGTCTCTTTCTTTTTTTTTTTTTGTTATTTCTCTGTTTTCAAATAATGAAGTCATAAAAAAATAAAAAATTATTGTTTTTGCTATAAAAGGAGGTTTCATCGAAAATTCTTTTGTCCTTTTTTGAAAAGGAAGCCCCGTTTTTTCTGTTTTCTGTGAAAAAGACCGGAGGATCGTGCCGTGCGCCACAGAAAGAATAGACTTTCACCTCTGTTCAAAATGTATAAAACCAATGTCGTCATCAATTCATTCCAAAGAAAAAAAATAAATTTTTTTGTATCAACAAAAGCAATGTCTGTAGAGGAAGGATTATGTGAGAGGGATTCTATTGAGCTAATGCTTCTATATCATAAAACAATTCTAAACTTTCTGGATTGGCCAAGGTGCCTGTGGCGACGACCTTTTTACCGCTTAAAATTTTCTACAAGAGAGGAAAAAAAAAAAAAAAAAAAAAAAAAAACGTCAATTTAGTTGGGAAAACCCACCGCCCTCCCCACGACAGGGAAACAGAACTTGAGGCATTCATTCTCAATTACCTTGACGGCCACTTCTACCTTTTTTCCATTGATGGTATACTAAGAAAAAAGAATATTTTTTTTTTTTTTATAAGTAGCGTGTCCCCCTCCCCTTTTTGCATCATAAAAAATACCCTACCGGAATATCAGCAATCGGAAGAATGAAGGCAGGAACATGGCGTGGGCTAAGCTCTTGACGGATCATTGTCTTTAACCGCTGGACCAAGCCGTCAGTGACAGCATGACCTTCTTTCATCTTTAAAAACAAGACCACGCGTTCGTCGTCTTCGCCTTTGATCTTTTGCCCCACACAAAGACTATCCTCAATGCCCTCCGCGTCATGTAACCTGTCGACCACATTGTAAATCTCTGCACTGCCAAAACGGACGCCGTTCGGATTCAACGTGCCATCGGATCGTCCCAACATGACGACACCGCCCGTGTCTGGGTTGATCCACACAAAGTCGCCATGGTACCACACGTGAGGATACACGTCAAAGTAGGCGGCTTTGTATTTGGACTGTTGTGCATCGTCTCCGTACATCGCGACCGGCATGCAAGGGAACGGCGTCACGCACACCAGGTCGCCGGCTTGGGCGTACACTGCTTTTCCTTCTTCCGCCCACGCTTGGATATGCATCCCCAAACACACACATTGAATTTCACCGCGATAGACGGGGAGGCTGACGTTATGGCCGGCAAACAGAGAGCAGATATCAGTGCCTCCTGTAATACTTCCGAGCATCACGTCTTTTTTAATGGATTGATAGACAAAATCAAAACTCTCGGGTTTCAGAGGTGAGCCGGTAGAGTAGACAGCCTTGAGTGTGGATAAATCACATGTTTTGTCTAAGAAAAAGGGGGGGGGAGGGGGCAAGGAACAGTGAGCGAGTGAGTGTGTGTGTGTGTGTGTCAAAACCACTTTTTTTTTTTTTTTTTTCCCGGCGAATGTCTTACTTGGATACACTTTGGCTTCTTGTAACGACTGTAGGTATTTGGCAGAGGTACCAAAGTGAGTCACCTTCCATTTGTCTGCCAATTGCCATAGATGTAAAGGAGAGGGCTTGAACGGACTACCATCCCATACCACCAAAGTGGCTCCCACACTTAAACCTGCTACTAACCAATTCCACATCATCCATCCTGTCGTCGTATAATAAAAAAACACGTCTTCCGGTCCCATGTTTCCATGAAGGACATGCTCCTTCTTCAACTGCAACAAGAGTCCACCGCCTGAATGAACGATACACTTGGGCAGTCCCGTCGTACCCGAGCTGAACAAGATAAAAGCGGGATGATGAAAGGGCACCTGAGCAAACTGAATCTCGGACGGTAAAAGATCGTCAGGAATGGTGTTGATGAAATCGGACCATGTGACCGAATACAGTATCTCTTTTTCCATGTCCTCTCGGTGGGCGATGTCACCCACAAAGGGGATAAGAATCACTTTTTGTACGCAAGGAAGGTCTAGCAAAAAGTAAGAGGCGTGAGTCAGTCAGTCTGCACAGACGAGAAAGAGAGAGAGAGCGGACCCTCACCTTGAACCACCGTCTTCAGTTTGGATAGATGGTCTAACGTTTTGCCGTTATAAATAACAGCATTGACAGAAATCAATACCTTGGGTTGAATTTGTGTAAACCTATCCAAAACACCCTTTTGACAACAATAAAAGAAAAACGCTTTCTTAGTGAGGACATGCTCCCCCATCCATCCATCCCCCTCGGGGGGGCTCTGGATACTTACTGTAACGCCAAAATCAGGCGATGTGGAACTAAGAACCAAAAAAAAAAAAAAAAAGGGCAACCTACAATCAGTCATGTGGATCACCCTATGGGGGGTTGTCTGTCTACTCTTCTTTTTACCTCCAGATAGCTCCTATACTGAGCGTAGCGAGCATAGCAATGATCGCTTCAGTACAGTGTGGAATATAGGCTGCCACACGGTCTCCCTTTTCTACACCTTGCGATTTGAGTGCTTCAGCAAATTTCAACACCTGTTGGTATAATTCTGCAAAACTCATCGACGTTTCATCGCGGCCTTCGCCTGGAGAGAGAGGGATGTGTGCATCAGTTTTTGGGAACAGCTCGCCTCGGAGAACAAGTACTACGTGTAGCGTTACCTGTAGCTATAATAGCCGTTTTATCAGCACTTTTACACCACAGGAGATTCTCGGCAAAATTGAGTCGAGCTTCCTGAAACCAAACGGGTATACTGTCCATGGGTTGGTGGACATCCAGAACGTGCGATCCTTTTTTACTCGAGATAATGTGGGTATAATCCCATACTTCGGACCAGAAGTGTTCAGGATGCTCAACAGACCATGACCACAAGTCTTTGTAATTCTCTTGATTCAATGAAAAAAAAAAAGGGGGGAGGGAAACATCAGAGGATGTGAACGAGTTACCAAAGAACAAGAGGATGTTTGTTTACCTAACGGGACGTCTTTATACGTTTCTTGCATCCGTCTACGAAACTTTTCCATGTGTGTCTCTTGAATGTGGGTGGGTCGCCAAAGACATTCTGGCTGCGTTGGAAGTCTATTTTCAGATACCATCATTTTTTTTATTTTTTTTTGCGGGGGAAAAAAAAGGGGGTTAGAAAGAGAGGAAGAAAAAAAAGAAATGACTTTCCTATGCCTATCCTATCCTACAAACCCTTTTTCTTTTTTTTTTTTTTACCCCGTGGGGAACTCATTCATGCAAACACCTGTCGACCGTGCTATTTCGGTCAACACAACCACAACAGTCACGGCTTGGGATTCACAAACCCACCATCCTGAGAAAGCCCGTGAGAAAAAAAATACCCCCAAAGGCTTTACTGACAGATGTCACTCTCATTTTTCAGAGAGGCCATCAGAAGAGCAGTACAGTATAGGGTAGGGTAGACCACCTACGACCTCGTCTCGTTTACTGCCAACCACTCGATAGGCTGACCGTTTGACATAGGGGTCATCCAATTGAGGTATGCCCAAAAAGGAGACAATCCCCATTTGACAGAGTCGAGAAGGGGAAGGCGTTGTTCAGTGGGGAAAGAGGACGAAATGAGTATGAAAAATGTCATGATGAAAAAGACGTTTCTTTTGCGAGCAATCCATGAAACGTCAACGCCCTTTCTCCCCCCCTTCCAGCACAGTGATCCTCCTACACTGACGCATCCCATCTACCTCTGTTCTCCTGCGACGTGTGGATGGATCCCATGGATGAGCTGTCATGGGTTACCCATGTGGCGTCTTTTTTCCTAGGATCGATCGACAAGCAACTTTTTTCATTTATAGTGAAGCCTATCCAACGGAAGGAAAGCTTATATACTATGTCTTTGTTCAAGAACTTTTGTCTTTTTTTTTTTACCAACTGGGAGGCGGGCGGACATATCAACAGCGACATCCATCTAGAACATACATCCATCCATAGTATCACGTAGCACACAGATCGAAAAAAAAAACCCATTCAAAGATTCACTCTGAGGTGGGGACTGGGAGGAGGAGTTTGAATGACAGATAGATGGAATGATACATATTATAGGCCGCCGCGAATGAGGAAGCATCCTTTTCCAAGCTTTATATAGACACATAGATGCTTTTCTTCATCATAGAAAATGCGATGGTTTTGGCAAACACGGGAAACTCACCTACATTCTATAGAGTCGTTGATGAGCTCGAAAAGGGAATAGAACCATTCTATTTCAAAATGGACATGAACAGAAAGGAATCATTTGAAACCCAGTCTGTAGACATAGAGACTGTACATTCCTATACGTATATCTATATAAAAGTCTTCGATTGCCCAAGAGATAAAAGGGAAATTTTTCCAGACGATGGACGCTTAGTGTTGGGTCGAATCCAATAGGTGGCATCCACTCACTTGTAAAAAACGTGAAGCGCCTGTGTAAAAGAAGGCTCCCACTTAAAAATGTCTGCAAAAACCACATATGTTCTATTTCCAACAAAGCTTATTCATAGGTAGGGTAGGTAGACATAGACGGCCCTTTTGTATGAAAAACTTGGGAAATCGTAAAACGTGCCCATGCATCACCAGGGCACTCCATCTTTTTTTTCTGACAATGTGTTGTGAAAGAAACTAGAAGCAGTTCATCATCCTCTCATCCCGTGATGATAACAACCTATGAAAGGACTGTTCATATCATTTTCAAAAGCTGAAAGATGTGGCAACAAGTCTCTCTGTTTTTTATTCTTATTCCTTTTCTTTTAAGTCAAATAAACATAGTAGAATGAATAAAACTGCAATGTCTGGATGGGGGGGGTGCCGAGCGCGGGATAGTAGAGGGATGAAATGTGCGGGTCGGGGTGGGGGGGGGGAGGTGAGGGGTATATCCATCTTGATTTATAAAAGACAGATGTCGTTTTCGTCGTAGGGAAAAATTAAAAAACGTGGCAAAAACTGCTCTGTGGATGATGGAGAGGCTATCATGAGTGAGTGAAATAACGGCACCAGTATTCATGTGAGAATAGAAAAACATCCACACCACAATATTGACAAAATTCTATTTCATATGGATGAAAGGTAGGACTGTTACTATAAGTAGGACAGGGAAAAGGCATGGAAGCTGCTTTATTACCAGAAGCTGGCGCCACCGAGGATGAAGAGGCAGTGGTGTTACTCAGACTCCTTGAGCAGCAAGAAGAAGAAGAAGAAGAAAAGGGTGCAATGTTCGAACAAGTTTTGCGATAGTGAAAGGATGATTGAGTGCAGCCAGTCATGGTTCGTTTCTCTCTTCTTTTTTTCTTTTTTCAATCAAATACAATGGATGGTAGTAGTTATAGCAATGGTTTGAAACAAGCGGGGGTGGGGTGTGTGGAAACAGATGGTATGTGCTTTTATTTCTGTCGACTTCAATTCTTGTAGGTCTATATATACACATTTTCTTCAATATTAAGGCTGTCGTTGGAAATCGAGTACTCAGGCTGTACTGCTCGATCGACAGAAATTTGCCCATTTGAATTATTTTGGACAAAGCGTCTTTTTTCCCTTTTTTTTTCACGGGGGTGGTAAGAATTTCTTCATTAAGAAGAATGGTCAACTCAAAAATACCCTATTGTCGCCTGTGTGACGCATGTGCAAAAGCATCTTTATGCTTCTGAAAGCTTCTATGTCAATCTTGTGGTTCTCCATCTGTCACTCATGGGAAATGCCCCCCTCCCTAGCAACAATCAAAACACACATGCAAATGCATAGAGCAGCACAATAGCACTCTACTTACTGGGGCTTCATTCTACAATGAATGAAATGCATGAATGGGCTACCGTAGCTATAGCCATGTATGTCAATAATAACGGGATGCGGAAATCTTCAATACATGGACTGGCTGGAGTCAAGTATTTCCGTGGTTACTTTCGCTCATAGAACCCATTGGACACGTCGGCATCTTTCAAAATTCTTCCATGCATCAACGGGCAAAAGAAGCATTGATCATGAAACATAAGCCTTTATAGGATCCATGACTATTTCCTACAGTGTAGCTTCCTTTTCCCTGGTTGGTATTTCAACACAGAGCAGGAGATTTTGTAACCGTACAACTTTGAGTCACTTTATCAGTCATTGCAACCGTACTATGCAAATGTAGAGATCCCATCGAAACCAGTTATCATCTGCTCATGAATGCCAATTCATTTTCTGTGGCACCTATGGACAGACACTCACGCAAAAGGTCTCTTTTTTTTTTTTCTCTCTCTCTCTCTCTCTCTGTTTCCCGTAAAGGAGGCTCTTTGATCATTTGCAACCAGTGCCTTTCTCTACTAAATTTTCTACATCCATCTATACAATGTAGCATCCCATTGTTTGATAGACAATACAAGGAATATGTATGTGCAGGAATCATCCTAAAGTCCTTTGATTCCATGCGTTACCTTTTTCCAATTTGGACGGCTTCTACAAAAGTCGATAGGTCTTTCTAGAAGTAATGCAATCGAAAATGTCACATTCGAATGACAGAACCCAATGCACGGCTCTTTTTTAGGAAATGAAACGAACATTCAAGAAATATTTCGAAACAAAATAACAATAGGCAATTTTATATTCCCCTTTCACGAACTTTACTAAATGGGTAGAATGCGCATTTTTCGCTCACCCTCTTTTCATCTTTTACGATAATAAAAATAAAAGCGGTTGCACCTCACCTTGGCATCTTTTGGAAATATCAGTGATTTTTATTGACACAGTGATGGACGTGTTGTAACACATAAAATGATGTCCACACCTGCTATGATAACCAAGGACGTGTACCCGTGTTTGCTGCTTCGTCTATGGAATAAACCACTATTTTTTCATAGACAAAACTTATCAGCTAGATCCAAAAGCCACTCTTAGTGGCAACATGTTGAGAACATGGGATGGTTGAGTACATAAAACGATGACCAAACTCCCAAGTAAGAATAACCTGATAAGAAGGAGTTTACAATGATATATATCATATGAAAATTTGGCTATTCAATTAAAAAAACGTTTCAAACTTTCAAATGGGAGCATGCTGGTTATCTGGTGGTTTTTTTTTCCGTTCTGTATATAAACTGGCTACAATGCAGTTACTGCGTTGTCTAATGTCAATGAGAAACTCCGCATCATTCAAGCAAAAATCAATGGCTTTCCAAATACGCCCCGACTTTCAACAGCAAAAGCAACCTTTCCTTTTTTTTTCTCTTTCTGCCATCGATCAACGCAACAGATTCGCGTATACAATGTCTGATCATGAACCTATAGAACCAGACGATGAAGAGTCCTACTATGAAGTGGAAAGAATTGTGGCCGTCAGTGTAGAAGAAGGCCGGAAAATGTTTCTCATCAAGTGGAAAACATATGACGAATCGTAGTAAGTTGAGAATGAGCTCTTTGTGCATTTCTTGTCTTGATAATGTACAAAAAAAAAAAAAAAAAAAACCAGTGAATATTAACATCTCTTTTTTTTTCAATATTTATAAACTTAGAGTATTTTCACTATGAGTGGAAACCCGAAAAAATGAACGTGTGTGAACGAATCTCACAAATGAACTAAACCCTGTTTGCATCCTTCTCTGAAATAGATACAACACCTGGGAGCCTGAAGATAATTTATGTTGTCCGGAAATATTAGAAAACTTTTGGAAGGGTCGCGAACTTTTAAAGGAAAAGATTGAAAAAGAGCAAAAAATGCAACTGAACGAGCTGAGGAAGCAGGAGAAAGGAAAGCGAAGAAACGATAGCAAGAAAGCAAAGAGACGAAAAAAGAGCAGTATGGAGGCTGCAAGGAAGCCTCCAGAAATTAAAGCATCAGCTGCTGTTGGAAACGAACACAACAAGCCAAAGCATACGACCGGCCTCCTATCTAGCAATAAAGTGTCAGTCACTCAACCTGCTGCCGCGTCGTCGTCGTCGTCGTCGTCGAAATCAACGTCTATTTCAGGAACGAACTATAACCCTTCTCCAGTGAAAACAATGTCAACCGCTAGCTTCAAGACGGCCTCGATGAAAACAAAAGAAAAAAGACCCCCGATGAAACCCCAGATACTGGATGAAGACGATACAGAGGATGATTTAGGAACAGGCAATCATCGATTGACAAAAGTAGGTCATTCTAAGCAGTCACTCGGACAACCTTGTGTCCCTTTACTTACTGTGTTCTCTTTATTTCTACATTAGAGGCCTCGACTCAATGAGATAAAACCACCTACTATGCAACCACCAGCTATAGCCCATAGGGTCTTGCAACGTAAGACAGGATGAAAAAAAGGCCCATCTTATTGTATTCATCCTCGATTGACATACCTTTCTTCTTTTTGTGTAGCAACGATTGATATTGACAGTTTGGTCAAGACGGCTAAGGCAACCCTACAGCCAGTATCACCAACGCCTAAACTCTTACTAAAGAAACCATTCACTTCTCCCAACCTCATCACTGCATTGAAGGCGAATCCAAAAACTCCTTCTCCTATCATAAGGTCAGCTGCTCCCGATACGGCGACAGCTGCACCAAAAGATATGACATTACCTCAGCAACAACAAATAGTACGACGACAATCTCCCACTCCGGAATTTACTACACCACCTTCATCTCCTTCTCAAATACAACGTCGTGAATCTCCTCCTGCCGTAGAAGCAGCAACAAAGACTTTCACTACTCCTTCTACTTTGTCGACCACGACTGGTCCAGCAGCAATCGTTACGAATACCAATACAAATGACAATAGTAACACGGCCGCGAATATACCTACTACTACCACCACACTGACTACTACTACTTCTACTACTACTACTACAATATCTAATCCTGCATCATCATCTTCCAGCTCACTTGCGAACAATCCTACTCCTGAATCTACCGTCGCTGATAACTCATTAGCACCATCTACCCAGTCAATACAGTTAGTGAGAACACACTCTCCGCGTTCAGACCCGCGTTTGGCTCATTTGAGTAAACCTGTCAATTATGATGCTATTATCGAGTACAAAAAGCATTTTGCCAAGGTGAGATTGGAAGGCACATTGAACAGGGATGGTGACTATAAGATACGGTAAGCCTCCCCCCCCCTTTTTTTTTTCTGAATATCAAGCTTGCCCTTACGTTGTTCTTCTTTCCGTTACCCTAGTGATTTTATGCAATTGTTCAAGAATAATGAGAATCAGACTATCATGCGCATTGCTTCATTCATTCCCATGCATGTGCTGGAAAGCTTTTTGAAGAAAAAGGTATCACCACCAGCACTAAAGGTTCTTCCTCTGGAAGGAGGATCGGTCGCCATCAGCAAATTAAAGGGAGTTCTTTTGGGAAACAATACGGTAAGTCCCCACATACCATGGAAGAGATGGCGATGACAGAGTCGTCCTCTGTTCGTGGCAATCCCCTATGAACAATTGAATTTAATCCTAAACCTATGCATCAGGCTGGTAGTATATCACACATCCGAAAACCGACCGAAGCATTGATGATAATGAATCAGGTACAAGTCGACAAGCTCTTAGACAAGCCAATCTCTACCTCAACAGATAAACAAAGCACAGGCATCTCTCATTGGCCACTGTATATGGTCTTCATTGAGGGCTTACCACTTCGACCAGGAGCCGTTTTAGCCAAATTGCAACATATGCCGCATCATGTGGATAGGAAACAACTATTGCAAACGTATGCTTGGAGTAAAGTCTCCTACTTGCTTAAATTTCCTGATAAGGTATAATACAGAGTCTCATCGGCATCATGGATGAACCCGCCGTTTGACTGACCTTGATCTTCTATAGCTGCACCAGGCAAAACAGAACAAGTCAAACATTGTTGTCTATGGTCATTCTGAAAACAGTAACCTATTAAGACTCAGTATCGAAACTCTGGAAATCCCAATACCGGCATCATCCCATGTGATGATGGTAAGTATCCTTCCAACAGCATCCCATCATTCGTTTGTCTGTTTATTTTTTATTTTATTTTTTTTTGGTTCGCCATCTTAAGAAGCCCCTTCTTTGTAGTTTGATAGATTTAATGCTGAGGTCTTCCGCAAGGCTCTATTCAAACATAAGAAAAAAGGCACGCAAATTTGGGAGTTTGGATCTTCCGAGAAATCATTCAAGATAGAGCCTGCCACTGAGTTATTTCCCCCCTTTTCGGGAGGCTTTATAACGACCGATATCAAAAACATTGTACACAACCCCTCCATCATCAACACGATTTGTGATCAAGTGGAGAAGGTAGGCAGTTTCCCCCCCCCCATCTTGGAGTAAGATCTTGGCGCAAAACAAATTAACGCAGTTGTATGTATTATGTAGCTCAACTTGACACCCGGTTTAACAGGATCTTGGAAATTCTTGGTTCCAATGAATATCTTTGCACAACTGAAGACGGCTATTCGTGATTCAGAAACGTCTCAGAATATTCAAGTGGCTGTAGCCAATCTTACCATTGGGTTAAGTAAAAACCAAATTGACGCTATACGATTATGGCCAGCGGAAACGTCGCGTCCTACACACTTCATGGATCAAGTGGCTCGAAACTTTTGCAAGACACGCCAATACTTTATTTACGTCGATGATAAAGACTCTGTTCCAGAAATGGAGAGACAAATGTACCCAGCTGTCGATTTCTTCACGAGCAAGGAAATTTATAAACGTTTATACACTGAAGAGTGACGCCAGCCGTTTTGATGGCTCTGGCATCGTTTGAAGCGACGGTAATTGACTTACTTTCAAGCCCAATGAACATGTATATTATACTTTAAAATCCACTCCCAAATGATCCCGTTTCTGGGGTTTCCTTGTGCCCTAGGACACTTTTCCTCACCATCCGCCCCCACCCCCCGCCTGCCCTCCCCTCCATTCATTCAACAAATGAAAGATCAATCCAATGTACTTGTACCCCTTTTATTTTTTTTGTTCATTACTCGTTTGATTCTGGCCTATGCTCCTTCTCTCTATTTGTCTGTCTTCTATTGCAAAGCAAGCGGAAGGATAATATGCATTTTTATTAGTAGCGGGAGTGGAGCGATTTTATGCCTCGGTTTTTTGCATTTTCAATTGAAAAAATTGATGGCTTCTTATGCGTCCTTCAAAAATAAGCGATGAGCAGCATAAAAAGAATAAGTTTTCTCGATGAAGACAATAAAAAACAATGGGATATTTACATAAAAGAGGTAAAGCAATAAAGTCAAGTGTGTTTGGGATTGGGGGACAGGTTATTTTTTTTTATGGTCGCAAAGATACAGTAAAATGACATGACCCCATTTCAACGACATCAGATGTTGAACCCTGCTTATGGTTGTTATATTTGGCCATCGGCTTTGGTCATGGCCGAGTTTGTTTGGTTTTTTAAATCAGAATTTGAAAATAAAGTTCTATTGGAGGTCCGTAAAACCATTGCCATTCATAGGAGAGAGAAGCCCATGCGTAAGCTTACTTTTGGCATGTTTTTGCAAAATACAAAATATGTTAGGTTGGAGCAGGCACGTCACTGCCATCACTTTTATTAGCAAAAGCATCGATATTGAAAAGAGCCATTCTAAGCGATACTCAAAGCACCTTACCGGTGATTCAAGGATGTGTCGATTTGAACACATTAGAGATACCTGTACATATCCAGGCGTTGAATTGGGGCACGTTTGGAACAGCAGAAGACAGTATAGACACATTCGTTCAAAACACAGTAGAGGCCAAATGGAATACAAAGATCGATTACATTATTGGAAGTGATACCTTTTACGAGCCTTCGCGTAACTTTTTGGTTTTCCTACCCCCATACTATTCAAAAACGCCAAAGCATAGATTGATTTTATTTTTATTTTTTTTTCTATAGAATTTGAAAATTTACTCACTCTTGTGTCCTATGTCATACATCAGCACAATCCTCAATGTAAATTCATCACGGCTTATCAAGAAAGAAGTCCTAAAAGAAGCATCCAATATTTACTGGACAAATGGCATTTAAAGTGCAAACTTATACCCAAAGAATCATTTGACTTTGACGAAATTAAATACACTCATCCTGAAGACAGTCTTTCCAAAGTGAAAGTGAATGCAGGCTCTTTATCCAGTGTATTTGTATTAGAAATATCTAGGTGATCGTGCCTGAACAAGATGCATAAAAGCATAAAGCATTCACTGTGACCTTTTTTCCTCCTACTTTAATAAATTTGGAAATTCCTCAAAATTCAAAGCCCACAATAGAGAAACGCCCTTTGTAAACATTTTCCTACTGTCTTTTACTATTTCTCTTTTTTTTTTTTTTTGGTCATCATCCACTCAACACCATGTCATCGACCGTACGTAACGCTGTACAAAGAAGAAATCACAAAGAACGTAGTCAAATCGCTGGCCGTGAACGGCTTGGTCTTTTGGAAAAGAAGAAGGACTATCTCTTACGTGCCAAAGACTATCATGCAAAGCAGAAAAAGTTGAAGGCCATGAAAGAAAAGGCCTTATTTAGAAATCCCGATGAATTCTACTTCAAGATGATCAATACACAAACCAAAGGTGGTGTACATATACAAAAAAGAAACGAAGAATTACCGGATGAAATGGTTCAGTTGATGAAATCGCAAGATAAAGAATATATAAAATACCAGAGAGATCTTAGTAAAAGAGTAAGGCTGTTGAACGCTTAGATTTCCAAAGAAAAGATGGGTTATTCATAGGCATTCTGTTTTCCATTGAAAAAGAAATTAGAAAAGTTAAAGGCATCGCTACACTTCATTGACGATCCAGAAGACAAAGATGAGGACGATGTTGAGGACGATTCTGATGAAGAAACTCTGAAACCAGCCAAAAACAAACGATCAAACCATATTGTGTTTGTAGATACAGATGAAGAGGCTCGTCAATTTAACCCGGCAAACCACCTCGATACTTTACCGGAACTCGTGAATCGTAAATTCAATCGACCACGCATAGAGACATTGAAGCAGATAGCGATCGATAACCCACATAGTGGCAAAGAGTTAAAGGAACTGAAAAAGGAGAGAGAGAGATTATATAAAGAACTAGTGTCTCGTATGAAGCGTGAAAAGGAGTTAAGCCGAGCAGAGCAGGAATTAGAGATTCAAAAAGCGCTGAGGACAAAAGGTAGAAGGAAGGAAGTTGGCAAAGACAAACACGGTTTACCAGTATATAAATGGAAGGCTGATCGTAAGAAATAAAATGATTGTTACCAATGTGTATTTATCAATCACTTTGCACAATACCAATCCGTAATGTTTGATCAAATGAAGTACATGCATAAAGACCCTTTTTGTCTCGATTATAATCTAGTGAAATAATTGGATGTTTTGATAGACTAAGTTCCTGGATGTCATCGATTGTGTGTGTTTTGTTGAGATTGAACGTGCTCAGTTTGCCATCGCCACTGGCTATTGTAAAATAGTCTGGATTTTGTGGCATATGACGGATGGACCACAATGTGGTTTCCTTTTCAAACTTTGTTTTAATCTCTGTTGTCTTTCCTGATGGCGATTTGAGTTCAACTGTATATGCTCCTGACAAAGTACTGACGAGCAAAGAATCCTGAACAAAGTCTATCGAACATATGCCATCCTTCATTTTTGTTCCCCAGATGTACTCTGAGGTACCCACATGGAACAACTTGAGAGAACCATCTTCAAATCCAACGGCTATCACTTTTTCTGTTTGTATTCTTCCATAAGCAACTGCCCAAATATCCACATTGGCTTTTTTCGTCGATCTGATAGTCAATACTGGCTTTTCCGTTTGCCGCATGTCCCATACTTTAACTGTGCCATCACGACTTCCAGTGACCAATTCTTGTGGGTCTTTAAATCGATCAAAACTGTCAATAGAGTTGATAATGCTCTGATGTGCTTTAAAAGAAATGAGTGGTATATCAAGACGTTGTGAATCCCTATGGTTCAGTGTGAAAGAAAAAAACAAAAAAAAAAAAAAAAAAAAACTGTCAAGAAAACCGAGCAGGTCATACGACTTGAACTGATCGTTCAGGAGTTTCCCTTTACCAGATTTGTAATTGTCCATCAAAATCGCCTGTTGCGATTTGTCGACTATGACCTGTAATAGTGCAACAGCGTAATACTGTATTTGTTTCTGTCTGTAGTCGTCCAATAGGAATTTAAAAGGAGAGATAAAGTAATTAGTCAAGTATTGAAACTTGAGAGTCGTTGCTGGTGAAGCATTCGTACATACTTCTCGCTTCAACTCTAATCGTTTTCCTTCTAATCCGTAAATAGATATCTTGCCTGTACCAACTTCACTTGCTCCTACAACACAAACTCTTGATGATGAAGGAATCCACTTTACATCATATGGCGTTATTGAAAGGTGGTGGCTGATTAAATTATGAGCCTTCACCGCTGTTGACATTGTCAAGTGTATTGGTCAAAAGAAGAAAAAAAGAAAAAAAAAAAAAATCAGAGAGAAGGCCGCTGTTGCTTCTGCTGTTAAATTTTCAAGGATTAGATTATTTGAATCATTGTAATGAATGCTTCTCGATAAATTTATTGTACATTTTGACTTAAAAGAGTCTAATGGTTTGAAAAAGGGATAAAAAATGACAAAACTGGGAAAAGCAAAGGAGAAAAAATTTTATTACACGTATAAATCACAAACAAGGAAGTAAGTTTACAACTTGGTAAAGATAAGGTTGAATTTGACACCGTTGATTTCTTGTTCTTCTTCAGCAATAGGTTCCTCAGAAGAAGACTGCTCAGTGCTAGGCTTCAAAGGTTTCTTGAATGCTTTCACTAAGAAAGCTTCTTGATTCTTCATGACTTTTTCCAATTCAGTTGACATATCAGAAGTGAAGCGGTAGTACATGTTGATATCATCGGTGGGCAATAAGTTAGCCTTCTTTCTTAGACGTTGAACACGGTTGATGATTTCACGAGCAACACCTTCTTCCTCCAATTCAGGATATAACTTGACATCCATCAAAACCAAAGAGTCTTTGTCAGTATTGGCTTCGTAAGAAGCATCAGAGGCGCCATCGAAATAACGGACAACGTTCAAATCTTCATCAGTCACCTTGATGCCGGCAACAACAATTTCTTTCGTTTGAACAAATTCCTTGATCTGATCGCTGGTAAGCTCAGGGAGACCCTTCTTGACTTTCATAGCATCCTTCTTTAACTTTTGACCAAGGACCTTCCAATCAGCCTCAGCCTTATATTTGACACCATATTTATCCTCATCATTGGTGATAACGACATTTCTAACGTTCAATTCTTCAATAATATAGGATTCAAGAGCCTTCACATCGGCATGGTATTGAGGATCACTATGAATGATGACCAGTTCCTTCAAAGGAGTCTTCAAAGAAATGTTCTTACGTTCACGAATGGTACGACCCAATTCAATGACAGCTTGCATACGGCCCACGGCACGTTCAATTTCAGGATCAAAGTATTCCTCACGAACGGTAGGGAAGTCTAAGAAATGAATCGAACGATCATCCACCACGTTGGGACTCTTAGGGGCAAAGTTCTTGAGGTTTTGATACATGTTTTCAACCAAGTAAGGTGTGAAAGGAGCCATGGTGGTACACAAGGTAAATAGAACTTCATAGAGGGTATTCATAGCCATCTTGGCATCTTCAACCCCATTTTCACCCTTCAATCTCTTACGGTTGAAACGGACATACCAATTCGTAAGAAGGTCAATCATATTCAATAAGCGAGGAACGACAGTGTAAAGTCTATAAGCGGCCATTTCTTCGCGAATGAATTTGATAAGTGATTGACAAGAGGCCAAAATCCAACGATCCATGACGTTATCGGATTTCTCAATATTGACATCGTATTGGAAGTCAAAATGGAAGTCCTTCTTCAAAACAGCGGCTTGTGTAAGGAAGAATTTGTAAGCATTATACCAAGGTAAGAAAACCTTGGAAATAACTTCCTTGACACCATCCTCCTTGAACTTCAAGGTTTCTGCACGTACCACGGGAGAGTTGATGAGGTAGAGTCTAAGGGCATCCGAACCGTATTTATCCATGACAATACCAGGTTCAGGGTAGTTCTTGAGACGCTTACTCATCTTTTTACCGTCAGCAGCCAAAACGAGACCACTGACAATGACGTTTTTAGCAGGAGGCTTATCGAAGAGATGAGTCGACAAAACCAAAAGAGTATAGAACCAACCACGGGTTTGATCAATACCTTCAGAAATAAAATCGGCAGGGAAGGAACCGTGAACCTTATCCTTGTTTTCGAAAGGATAATGTTGTTGAGCGTAAGGCATGGAACCGGATTCAAACCAGCAATCAAAAACTTCTTCGATACGACGAAGCACACCCTTGCCCTTCTTCGAAGGAATAGTAATCTTATCAATGGTCTCACGGTGAAGGTCAGTAATAGGCTTGACACCACTCAATTCTTCCAATTCAGCAATAGAGCCAATGCAAACCATTTCTTCATAATCTTCGCTGACCCAAATGGGCAAAGGAGTACCCCAATAACGGTTACGAGAAACATTCCAATCACGAGCGTTAGCTAACCAGTTGGCGAAACGCTTTTCTTGAACAAAAGCAGGAACCCAACGCATTTGTTTGTTGTTGGCCAAAATCTTATCAATGATAGGTGTGACACGAACAAACCAAGAAGGAATGGCTCTGTAAATCAAAGGTGTATCAGATCTCCAACAGAAAGGATAACTGTGCTTCATCTGAGATTGGTTGACCAGACGACCCTTAGCTTTAATATCCTTTTGAATGGCCTTGTCAGCATCCTTAATATACATGCCTTTATAATCAGGCACTTCATCAGTGAAAATACCAGAATCATCGAGAGGAAGAGGGAGATGACCATCAGCAGTAATAACACCATGGTCAAGACAAACACGGTAATCGTCCTCACCAAAAGCAGGTGCATTGTGAACAATACCAGTACCTGAATCGTCGGTAACGTAAGAGTCCACCATCACCTTGAAACCTTTACCCTTAAATTCATCATAGAAATAGTTGAACATAGGTTCGTATTCCCAACCCTTCATGTCGGCGCCCTTATATTTTTCTAAAACTTGGAACTTGGCCTTCTTAGGATCCTTATATATGATGCTGAGACGCTTTTCCATCAAAATGTATTTTTTGCCGGATTGTTCGTCAAGAATCTTAACATATTCAAATTCGGGGTGAACAGCAACACCCAAATTGCTTGGTAAAGTCCAAGGAGTAGTGGTCCAAGCTAATAATGATGTTTCTGGATCATTCAACAAAGGGAAACTGACAACGACTGCATTTCGCCCAAAAAAAAAGAATAATAAAGTGAGTCGTTTGCAAGTTTGTCGAATTATAAGACTGTTGTTTGCAATAAAATAATTACCAGTAGGGTCGTTGACATCCTTATAATTTTGAGAAGATTCGAAATTGGATAAAGGTGTAGTACAACCAGTAGAATAAGGCATAACCTATAAGATGATGAAATATTCAGTATCGTGACATATATATATATATATATATCAATCCAAAACTATGTAAAAATTTATGGTTTGCTACGTACTCTTGAACCACGATAAACCATTCCCTTATCGAACAATTGCTTAAAAACCCACCAAACAGTTTCCATAAAAGTGGGATTCAAGGTTTTGTAATCATTGTCGAAATCAATCCAACGAGCCATACGTTCGACTGTCTTACGCCATTCGCCAGCATATCGCATAACGATAGCTCTACATTCAGCGTTGTATTTATCGATACCCATCTTCATAACATCATCTTTGCCTGTAATACCCAACTTCTTGTCAATTTCGAATTCAACAGGCAGACCATGGGTATCCCAACCAAAACGACGTTCAACGTTATGACCGGTGTTATGAGCATAACGAGTAACAATATCTTTAATGGTACCAGCTAGCAAATGACCGTAGTGCGGGAGACCAGTAGCAAAAGGAGGGCCATCATAGAATGCAAAGACGGGTTTGTCCTTGTTTAACTTCAAAGAAGTTTGGAAAGCGTCAATTTCTTTCCAAAATTCAAGAATCTTTTCTTCTTCCTTAGGGAAGCTAGTTGAAGGAAAAAAAGTTAAGAGGTGTCAGTCTCTTTTTATAGAACGTTTTTGGAAGTTGGCAGTCTGCGTCGCGAATGTTAACTCGAGATTGTCAAAAAAAAAAAGGATATTTACTTGAATTGACCAGATACTATTTGTAAATTAAGAAAGCAGTCAGTTTGAATGTAAAAGCCGCTGAGAGTAGTAATTACTTTTCAAGTACTTACGGTCTGCTAAAGACATTGTTGTTTTTGCAAACGATACGCTTACCGGAAGAAGGAGTAATGATCATGGTTTAAGCTTCCGCTTTCCCAATTAATAAGGCTGCAAAGCCACCTCATAGTGACAAATTTTAGCCGATCTGATTTGTCGGCAAATTAGGTACACATTAACATGAAGATCTCTCCCTTTTTTTCTTTTGCTATGGAAAAGATATGCTTCATCATATGCCCCAATAGACCTGTTTTTTGTCAAGGAGCGGTTTATTCTCTAAGCAACCGAAGGCATGAATTAAACACAAGGTTATCATCCATTATGAGTCTCTCAGTTTACAATTTACCATTGATTTAATTTAATGCTTCCTCAATGAAGGAAGGTCAGCAAGAGCGTTCATTGCAATATATACCACTGCCTCCATTGGACATAATCTAAGGTGAGTCGTACGATATCCAGGACTTTCGACATCCCATCTTTTTTTATCAAAACACATTGTTTGAAGGACAGTTTTGGACACAGGATTTAATGCCGGATTTTTAAGGATATAGTAAAAGAAAACAACCCCGCCCGCATTATTTGCTATTTTAGATTTTCTTTTTTCTTCAAAGTGTTGTTCATCTCCACATTCTAAGCAATCCTCTATTAAATGACTTCAGTTCAATTTACGGTCGGGAAGCTGGACGCTGGTATGGTAAGTATCACCCTCTACTTCTCTTATTCGAAGTAGTTGAAAGAAATTTCTCCAAACGCTAATATCAATAATTTTGAACACAGGCTATCCTTCTGACAGAAGATCATCATCTCATTGAATTCCCATCACTTTTACTTCCCAAAGGAGTTACTTCCGGCAGCATTGTAAACATCGGTGTCAGTCGTAATGTCCCAGAAGAAGAAAAGAAAATGAAGGATTTTTGGGAGCTACAAGATCACATTTTAGCTACCTTTGGAGAGAAAGAGCCCGAAGCACCTGTTCTGCGAGTGAAAAATATCACGCAAACATCGCTCATATTAGAATGGGACCCTCTCGTTCTTCATACAGCCAAACTTCGATCATTGGATATATATAAAAACGGTACAAAATTAGCTCAAGTAAGGCTTTAACAAAGGATCAACGTGCTTTGAGCCATTGAAACCAGGCAGCTACTAAAAAATGGAAAACTAATCTATACCATCTGACAAATTACAATAGCATATACCTGGCAATACCAACTTTATCAAACTATCCGGTCTTGATGTGGATCATGAATTTGAATTTCATATTGTTATCAAAACGACTGCTGGTGAATTTAAGTCGAATATTATCAAAGCACGTACACATAAGATGGATAATCTGACAGGTATCCGCGTTGCTTTTGGCAAATTTGATGAACCTGAATCTGCCGTTACAGAATTGAAGGATTTATTGGACAGAATTGGCGCATCATGGTCAGAAGAAGTAAACATAGAAACCACCCATTTATTGGCACAATTACCTGGTGGAGCCAATTATGAAAATGCTGTTCAACACTCTATACCAATTGTCAAACCTGAATGGCTCGTCCAATGTGATCGTAACAAGAAGATTCAGGTAAAAGCAATAATTATTGACATATTAAGCGTTTGAATTGGCAAACATTGGACGTAACTTTTCTTTATTACCTTCTTAATAGCCTGCTCTACCCTATTACATTGTCAATGTTCCTAATAATGCTAATACCAGTAATAATGAGTAGATTGTTACAGCTAAAAGGCGCAACAATACATCTTACCAATAAAGCATTCGATATCACAAATCATCATATATTTTTGTTCCGTCAATAAAATTTATACATAACGGCATTACGTACCCTCAGTTTTGAGGGACCACTCGAAATACAAAGATATTTTGCACACTTTGCTTAGTAATGTTGAATCTTACCAAGAGTAGTTAACTGCGCGATTAAGTCACTGGCAACGAACGATTACGTTTTTTACTTTTTTCTCTTCTGTTTGTATTCTTTAAAACGTCAAATCGTTCGTAAGTTTTTTATTACTGCTGCTGTAAGGTAACTTATATGGTAGTATTACATCAAAAATAGAGATAGACTGTGGAATAATTGATAATATTGCCAATATAGCAAATGAATAATAGTAACATGGAATGCTTGTCAGAATAAATGAAGACGAGCCATGTGAACAATGAAAAACATCGCCATGAAAACATTTTCTTACTCGAACACGTCGTCGCTTTCTTATAATAACAATTACAATGTAACGTTATTGGAAAATACAAATCAGTGTAAAAGTGACGAGAAGGAGGCTTTAGTATTTTTGGAAGAATTTCCTTCAGGATATATAGGTACTGATGGCTAACAACAAAAGTAAGTATGTCTAATACTAATTCCATATGTTGGCTTTTTTGTTTCTTGATCTCATTTCTTGCTCGTATTCCATTGCTTCTACCACGGCTTTACGTTTTTTGGGAGAATCGATATGCTGCTTTAAACGCTCAAGGCTGGTAGTAGGCTTCTTTTTGATGTCTATGAGTGATGATTCTGGTTTTCCTTTATTCTGCTTGCTTTTTTTCATAGTAATCCTAGGTTGTCCCGCTTGGCTCATTACATCTCCTTCCAGCAGTTGCCATAAATTATTCATAACTTTAGGGTCAGCTTTTTTCGATTTTGGATCATAAACTGTATCGTCGATTGGATCATTTCCTTGCATAGTTGTCGTCGATTGTTCCGAAGCGGTTTCTCCATCCAATGGTCTTCCTAGTTCATCTCGTGGAATAATCTTACCGTGGAAAGGGCATATAAGAAGATCTCTCCGTGGACAAAGCCCACCATTGTGTAGTGGATGCCGGCAGATCTATAATTTTATATCGAAAAATGGAGTTAGTCCTTTCCCCTGGTATTGCATTATAAACAATATTAACCGTTGATTTAAATAGTATATGTATACCGGCAGATCAGTGGGAACTTTTGATTTGTAATATACAGGCCTTTTACGCAGCTCTTCAAGTACATGCTGAGGAATTTCATTTGTACCCTCACCTACCCCCATGAATCGATGGCTTCTTTCTATACCACTAGTATTGAACTGTACTTTATCTTTATCCCAATAATAAAGATCATCACCCCACTAAGCTTGTCAGGCTGTTAGTGAAATGAATTATGCTCAGATTTTATATTAAATCTGTGTTTACCTCTACAACTGGAGCGCGCTTTAATAACTCTAAAGGATGCAATGAAAAGATGGTCAGCTGCATGTTCATTTGTAAAGATCCCAAAATGGTATAGTATTACCTTCCCGTTTATCATCCATTTTCTGCTTTCCTTTGTCAGTTATCTGCACACTCCTTCACATTCGAATGAAGAAAGTTACTACATATATATTACCATTTTATCGTTCATTTTGCTTACTCTTCATCATTAATTATCATAGGAGCACCACTATACGTCGGATCCTCTATCATCTGAGGTTCGTATGCCAACGGAAAAATTCTCTTCATCGGCGGTAACTTGGTACTGCCAACGGCCGCTGTAGATCTTTCTTTAGACGTGCTTGCTAAGGGCTTCACCTCTACTTCCTCAAACAATTCATCTACAAACTCATCATCTTCCTCTTCTGACTCAATATTGTCGCCATCGATGCCATGGGCCTTACGGTGTTTAACATCAATCCCCAAGCTTTCCGCCTTCTGCGTTGCTTCTAAAAGCCTACTTTTCAATTTGATCAATTTTTTCACAAGTTTTTCTTTTTCAGCTTTATCCTGAATTAATGCGAGCTTAGCCGTGTACTTCCGTAAGAGCTATTGATATCAGAATGAAACTAATATATCACTTACTGGTATTTCTATTCTAACTAATGTGTTGATCCAATTATTGACCTGATTGATATGTTTTGTCTTCAAAAGAGTATAAGCTTCACGTAATTGGTCGAAAATGATTGCATTGTCCTCCGTTTCATGAATCTCTTCCCTCAATGCTTCGTCAGACATATCAATCGTTATTGTATATCGACTAGATCCCAATCCATGTTCCGCAATATCCTACAGATTGTACAAAAAACAATTAAACTAATACAGGCGTTTTCAAAAAGTTCTTCATTACCTGTTTGTAAGTATCGGGGTTTATGCTTTCGTTCGCAGTATCCCCACGAAGTAAAGCGTCGAAATCAGCCTCATCCGTGCCTGTAAATCTTGGAATTAGAATATCAAAGCATCCTTGCATGCTATTCAAATTATCCAGAATCAATTCTGTATGCTCTTCAACATCAGCCTTTAACAATTCATAGCGATTTACTTGAAATGCTTTCTTTCTCGCCTATTAAGGAGAAAACAATTAATCATAACTCACTATATCAATAAGTGGGTACAATAATCCAACACGCGAAGTCAACTTTACACTTTTATCTGCTTTGCTACGGTTTTCAGAATGTATTGTGTTTAAAGACGTACTGCCAACAATATTATTATCCAGTAAAAACTGGTACGAAATACCGATTTGAGGGTATTTATCATTGAACTTTAAGAGCCAAGATCTGATCAAAGCAATTGCATACTCTTTAAGTTTAGTTGCAAATTGAGCTGGTGGTGGCAAAGGCTGCTTGCTTTGTGCACCAATAGTCAATTGAATGAATAAGGGAAAGTCATCGGTTAACAAACGTCTGAACAATTTCGAGCGCTCAAATAACTGTTCAATCAATTGTACACAAGAATAGCGTATCTTTTCAATGCGTCCACCCGAAAAATTGACATATATTTTAGAAATTACGGATCACTATATTAAGCTCTTTAACATAATAACCAACCTGTGCATGCTTTTTCTTTAATTGTGCCATAATGACGTGGAATGCACATTCAACTAAGAGATCTGATCGTTTGCAAATAGATTTTATACTCTTCATTTCAATTATGAAAGAAAAGGTCCTTTATGAATGAGTTGGCTCATACGAGTTCAATCGACTTAAATAGTAAATGCACCTTTAAACGAGTTGAATCTAACAGCCATTCCCCAGCTTCAGTAATTTCTTTGATTAACTTGCTCAAGACTTCCCTTTCATCGGCGTTCATTGAGCAAAAACAAACTTATGGCAATGACAAAAAGAGTAACTTCCGCAGCTGCATAAATGCACAAACATTTTATATCTAAAACTTTATTTCCCGTAAATCGATCTATAAAAAGTTCAGCTTACACAGCTGTATTACTTTAATTTTTCAATGCATCCAGCGTATGATACACTTTCTCATATACTGTAAAGATGATACCACCAGAAAACTATCAATAGAAAGGCATTATATCAGTCAAATCTATATTGCTTTGTTTGGTGGTTTTTCTGTTTGGTTCACTTACGATAAGTCTGACGAGACGTGGTGTAGTTCCTTTCCAGAGTGAGAAAACACCATTCGCTTTTACCACCTTGGCAATACAGTCCAGAGAGTTTTTATACAATTTCTTGGCATCTAAACCTTGCATTCTTGTTTTCACTACATCCAAAGGCATTGTTGTATAAACTGTAACAACACCAGCTAATGCACCAGCAGCAAACGTATGCGTGGAAGGCAATGGTTCGTCGCCTTTTCCTCGCCATGATTGTAGCATAGATTTGAAGGAAGTATAACAACTGAATCGCACTGCACTATTTGCACCTTGTTTTGCCATGACAGGACCTAATCCACGGTAGATACCCCCCATTCCTTCTTCTGCTATGATCATTTTTGTGCCGTGAACTAATCCTTTGTATTTTGGTGTTCCACTGTTCTTATCGTGAATCATTTTTGTTTTGATGGTTTCTGAGGGTGTCACTACCAGAGCTCCCTCTGTCATACCTGCTGCAAGACCTGCTAGCATACTACGGAAAGGTGTGAGTTTACCATTGTCATCTCGCAGTGCGTTAGCGAATTGATCATATGACAAGAATCGGACGCCTGCTTTAGCAGCATTTCCTATTGCCAAAGCGGATACACCAGTATAAATAGTAAGGAGACCCTGCGTCCTTACAATTTTAGTGAAACAGTCAATGGGCCCTTTGAAAATTACCTCTCCTGGATGGAGAGTGCCACCAGCTTGCAGTTGTAGGCGAGTCTTGACGTATTCTGTGGGGTATGTTGCCATACCTTCAACGGCACCTCCTACGCTTCCAGCAAATAATGATAAAATGGGGTCTTTTGATTTTTTGTCGGATGAGGCCATGATATTTTGGATTTCTTCACAACGTTTTCCTGGTAGTTTACTTGATAAAACTGATGATGGAAGAAAGATGGGTAAAGGAAAGGCCAAAATGTAAAAGATATTTAAAGCATGATTGTACATTCTGCTGGTGAGTTCGTTCCACCTTTTAAGAGTTTCTATATAAGGTAATTCTGATTAGATGTACTACCCATTCAAATTGAAGAAATAAATATAAAGAATACTGTGGGGTTGTGAAAAATACAGTTTCTCCTAAAACCTTTTCAAATCTATTACAGAATAAACAGTACAAGATTGTTGAAGAAAGGGAATATAATTACGAAGTTTTGCATCCAAAGCAATAGGGCTCATTGCACACACTTAGGACCAAGAGCAAGCTAAGGATAGCTTCTAAGAAACTGTTAAGAACCAGAAGCCCTCAAATTTATATTGGGTAGAATGACGTGCCAACTGTGTTCGGGCTTATATTATATCTAAAGTGCTACAACAAGCTACTACAGAACAAGCTCAGTATAAGCATCATAACTGACTGGGCATTAGAAGGTTATAGCTCAGTTGACGAAAACTGCAACGCCATATATTATTCCCATTCTCGTAGTTAAAGCTTTGACATTCCCATTGAACGTTACTTCTTTGTTGTGTCTGGTCTGGTTTAAGTATCTCTGTAAGCTGTATCATTTCATACATCATCAACCAGCGACAATTGTCTCAGCTATTACTAATTCATGCCCAATCAAGAGTCAGTTTCCTCTTTCGGTGTTCTTTCCTTTGATGGTTTCATTGTTCGCTGGGTAACTAGCATCAAGTTTGAACTTCGTCATTTATGAGATACTTGTTGGTAGTCAATGATTCGACACAGACTGATAATGCAACTCACTGCACGGTTTAGCGATTTTCATTGTGTCCCTCTGAACCCCAAGTAAAGAGGAGTAGCGACTTTCAGATAAATAAACCTTCTCATAACTAAAGGAATAATTTGTTCGTGACTTATTTTGGAGCCGTTAATATAGCTTCACTGGTATAAAAATTCAGTTAATGGTCAGCAGTTATAACTTGTATAACTAATATATGTGCAATAATTATCGTGATCCTTGTATTGCGAGAGTATTTACATGAAGTAAGGCTTGATTTGATTCGGTATCCTCTTTGAAGTATTTTTGCTACTACCGCTATATTTATAGTGAATAATTATGTGTATCTATCTTTACACAAAATCAGAATACCAGTGTTTTCTGTCCACTTCTCTGGTATATGACTTGTTGTTTGATCTTTTGAAGATAAACTCTATCCTTTTCTGAGTTTTAACAGGCCCACTTATTGTTCACTTAACTATGTATTTCTCCGCAACAATAACTCTAATAGTTATGCTTTCGATTGTCCAAAGCAGAGGTTAATAGGAAATTCGTACTCTGTTTGAATCTTGTTACGTAAAGGTTAGGTTTATAATGTGTACAACTTCAATGTTCTCACGGAACTGACTTTCAATATGATTCGAAAATGGGTAATGTTGAGCCTGACATGTGTTTGTGTAAAACTACATTACATGAATATGTCTTTTTAGTACGACCCAGTTTTTTTTTTAAGTTTTTTCTTTATAAAGAAAAAGAGATACGTGAAGACAGTGGTCAAAAATCGTTCAATTTTCATTTTTATTCTTCATTTTCTTCAAAATACTACAATTCCATTATTAGTCGCAGCGATTACCTATTGGTATTTCAATAGGATTTATGAGCGAACACAGATCAAGTAAATATAGTGGCGGACAAAACACGAGATTATAGTACCAAGTGAATTAACAGCCGATTATTTATTCTTCATTGGATCTTTGCAATCGTTGAGTACCTAAAGTGGGTTTCGGTAATCGAATGTAAACTCGAAAACCTATCTGCTGGCTGGATTGAATCAAAGCCAGCTAAAAGTTCATAGACGTATTTGCCTCCAACAGGTAATTGACATGCAGTACTGACAGTCGAATACTGAGCAGCAGAGACTTAAGCTTCCGGCACAACAGAATAAATGCGTATTTGCCAATGTTTGACGCGGTTGAAAACAATACTAAGTAAAAGATTCAGATCATTTTTGATTATTGAATTGGTTGTCTCTATATTTAAAACAGTTGCCGTCTTTTTTCTTAGCCTTGTTTGACCGTTTAGAATCTTACGCACTGTTTTCTGTATAGTCCTCTTCAATTTTTTTTTTCTCTCAAAGTACTCCTTTCGTTTAAAGTGTCGTATTTGAGGGTAGATGATATACAAATATTAAAGATATAATTCACTTTATGAAGGATAAAGATGAACTATACAATATTGCAAACCAGAAATAATTAGAAACTACATAAACTCTAATATATGAGAACCGTGAATTAAGTGTTGTGTTTAGTTGACAGCATCATATGAGATGTGGAGAACTCGTACACAAATTTTACAAGATCCTCACACCTCATTACTGCTGAAATTATACAAAGTAGAGTAGGAAACGAATATAGAATAAATGATGATTCTTATATGAGATTAGCTACCTCGTATAAGGCTGAACAGGTTGTCATTTAGGATATATAGTTTACTTATTTTGCTATAATACGTTACTATATGTTGTATCGATGAAGGTATCACTGCTGAATATTACATAATAAAACAGAAGTACGCTTCGTTATTGATAGTTATAATTAAATGGCAGGTTACTTCACGTGCATGATCTATTGGACTTCAGAAGGCCCCTTTATTCAGATCAAGTTTTCTACTACTTAAATACTTTTCTATTCTAAATTACAACATCCGCTATTTTCACTAAATTATTGCACACCACCTTGAGTCGCTCAGTTTATATCATTTTTCTTATTTGTACTCCGTCCAATCATATTCACTTCTTTAATTCACGTGACTGAGTTTTAATTATTCCTTATGTTAATTATATTTTATTATAACAAAATATGTGGAGAGATGGCCGAGTTGGTCTAAGGCGTCACGTTAAGGTCGTGATCTCTTCGGAGGCGTGGGTTCGAATCCCACTCTCTTCACTTTTTGTTAAGTTGTTCGTGTGGTGTGTATAGCTTTTCCATTTTTTTGTTTAATGTTGAATTGTGAGTTTGGAATTATTCGGTACATTCTAAACAGTGCTGAACACCTATTCCTCGAAGAAGCAGTGTAAGTGTCCTGCAGAGGAATGGTAATAGCATTTGCATTGTAGCTTTTATAGAAGCTCTTTCCCTCACTATTCATTTATCACTTCAACTCTATGCTCCATAGCCTATGTTTTTCTTCTCGTTGAAAAAATCGTATATGAATATAAACTGACGTGTTTGGTGAGATAACAACTACAATACTCGAGTACGTACAACCAGATAGAGAATACATTCCACTATGGTTTATCTATATTGCAATTAATATAGGTTATGTACAACATATAATGAAATGCAGGCCTAAGTATAATAATCACACATCAACCATCTGTCCCTGAGATTAGTGACTAGCATACGCATCCTCAGATAAGACAATTCCCATTAAACTTTACAAAGTAAATAATCTTTCTACTTCATCTGAGAAACAATAGAAACACTTGAGTTCATAGGCATCGACTTATAACAGTTATCAATTTCAAATAAGCAAATGCAACATAAACCGCAAAAAAAAAGAAATGAAATTGTACGATTAAAATAGGAAGGGTAGAAAGATATGTTAAACTTCCAACGATTATCAATTTGATGTTGTTCTATCTTATAAAGACATAATTGATACATTTAATAAGGAACCGAGAAGAACGAAAAAGTTGAAAAGAATAATACAAGGAAGGTATACAAAAACTACAATAAATAGCTAAGGTAAAGGATCGGTGAAATACAGACTATTGAAGATTTATTTCGTTCACACAGCAGAAGATATCGTGGTAATACTACAAGCAAGCATGTTAAGCAGATTTATGTATGTTCTACAGTCTGACTTGTATTATATAACGATGTTCCTTTGTTATTATGATGTTAAAAAGATATCTTCGTGCCTTTATAATATGTAATATTTGGTTAGTCCCTGTTTTCAACCATAATTTTATACGGGCTAAAATGGCTTATCGTATAGATTGCTAAGCAATTCAATGAAGGGAAGTTTTAAGCTCTCTAGAAGGCGCAGTTTGCTTGTTGGGGTTAATGACATGATGGCTCGAAGTTTATCTTGCTGATTCAAAATATATTACAAAAAGGTACAGTGTAATGGCAACCTAACAACGCAGTGTCTAGATAAGACTTATTTTGCTGATGTAATGGTTTTGTAGATAGAATTCGTTGTTCTTATTGTTCATCTGATATAAGCTGTAGTTTATTTCGGGTCATTACGTATTTCAAGCTTTTCCATGCATCTTTACAAAAGTCTCGTATATTTTTGATAATCTTGATCCACATATAACCATGCTGAGAGATCGCGCTATTCTTCACTAAATCAGCCAAACTAGCCTACTCTTCTATATTTTACTGAGAATTTCTTTTCAAAAGTCATGATGCTCTCACTCAAATGTCTTGACACAAATTTCCATCATTCTAATCAGTTAAATGCGATTTTATGAAAGATTTGAAAAATGTTGACTAATTTGGAATTTAACGAGTGGAAGATATATAAAATTTTCTGATGTCTAATAGATAAACTGACTACCTTCAATTATATGCTTTACTTAAATTTGAGTATTACCCTAAACCGTCTTTTTATAAGTTACTCTTCACTGAAAGCCCATCTTATCTTAACCGCCTATTTCAGTTTCTTTTTTTTTTTATTCTTATCTATTTATACGGTCTACGTCTTGTAAGTCAGTGTTCAAAGCTCCTCGTAATATCAGCGAATATTTTGACTTCAGCAGACGAAGCACTTGATGAATGGGTTTCTTTTTTTTTTATTCTTCAGTCTCTAACTCGATATATCTAAGCGTATCCAAAATATAAGATTCTTCTTCATCGAAATTCTTACGTATGATAGTCTTAGTAAAATTAGGAAACAAAACATCGGTTTGGTTAATGTTCAGGTTATCAAAAGTACTGAAAGGTATGACTATATCATACCGAATTACTAACGGCTAGGAAAGCTATATAACCGTGCAAAAATCAGTATTTTGCTATTTTAATGATAAAGAGATTTATTGCGATAAAATAAATCATCGCATAAAATTGACAGCCTGAAGTTGACAAGTAAAGCATCTTCATCCATAAAAAAACATTGAAATAGAATAGGTGTTAGCTGCCTGGTTGTTGTACATGCACAATGAAATGTACCAAACTTGAAGAAGGTACTATTTGAGGGTTGAAATTGCAACTTTATAGACTCAGAAATCAAGTAGAGCCAACTAATACTATCATCATACGTGGTAAAGGCTATCTAAGGTTACCCCCTGGAAATCTTCTAAGTATCTGCTGTAAACATATTATGAGTACGTAGCTTATCTATTCTAAGTGTTCATTACAGTACACAGTATAATGATTTCCTTTACATTTACGGTAATTGCCCACTATCGTAGAGCACTTTGAAAGCAAATGTCCCATGTTGAAGTGCAATTAATAATGTCACCGCAGCGACATTACATAGCACTTCTTTTCAACAGTCATAGCGGACTGTTCGATTTGAAACTGATGAGCATAATATTTGCTTTCCTTTTCTAAATGAAAGAATCGCATGCTTCTCCGTTTTCCCTAAGAAAATATACCCTGTATTTTTGTGTGCAAAATCCCGCCATAATTTTTGACAGCTGCTCAAACGCAATTTAAAGAAAGAAAAATGTCAGACTGTTGGAATGTAGCACCTATGTCCTTTCAAAGCCATTAATTTCATTTTGGACAATATTAAGAGAAGTTAAGCAAAAGGATGACGTTATTTGATTACTAGTAAGCTTCGAAGAACACATTCGAACAAATTTACGTTACATGCTAATATGGTGGCTGAACTGATACCCTTGCGTAAATCACCTTTAGATGAATAATTGCTTACTTCACTATAAATTCTTATTGTAAGCAGTTTTAAGACTGCGAATATACTTAAAAAATTATTGCGAATTGAAGAAGAAGGCAACGGCGTCCATGATATGTTATAATAGCGAGGATTTCCATAAGTTTTGGTTGTATGTGCCCAGTAATTTGCTGTTCAAGGGATATTTTGTTTGTTTACCATGTTCTGACTCATCACATGCAAGATTGAAGTCCGCAGAAATGAAGAGAAAAGTGGAAACCTTTAGAGAGCTGCAAAACGGCTGGTTTTGTAATTTTTCCCGCCATGTATTTCGCAGAAGCGTACTTCAGTATTCAACCCAGGAATTCCATAATCAGAATTATCAAAGTTACATCTTATCTGTCGCGTTTCTCGCGTTTATCAAAGTTACACAAAATCAAAAAATGTCAATGCTGTTAGTTTGCGGATTTCCGATTCAGTAAATCGAGATTGGATCCACTAAGTTTGCTCCCAAATAGTACGTTGAGATTTATCACACTGCTGAACCCTAATATGGTATACTCTGATGCTTGAAATTCGCTTGATTTTTTTTTCCTATTTTATGTCCATCCTCCAATATAGCACCTATGAAACGTTGTTTATGACAGCTTACAAAGCTGCTACCATTTGCTGAAAATCTTGTAGTTTGAAACATGTCGTTGATTCTGCCGGTACTTTTTATGTTACGGAATGGTAGGAGTTTTGAGGGCAATATAGCTGATACATACGTTCCTTGATGCGCTTAATTGGCGACAATACCCGATATATTTGACCTGAAACGAGATCGACAAAAATAGCTATAGGATTCAAAATCTAAAGTCATTGTTTCGTGGTTTCATGAAAATGCGGATGGTCAATACTGAATTTTTTTTTTTTTTTCCATGCAAAATAAGTAACTATAATTTGATATATCTCTCCTACATCTCTTTTCGTTTCTTCACCCCTGCCCATTCTGGCTTTAAGAAAAAGTAGCATCTCTGAATAATCTGTCCATGCTGCAACAAGAAATCGCCGGATTAGATTTTGATAGATACCTTAGTGTTTCATCAAACCCTGTTCATCATCCAGAACCACACCATCCCGATTATTTCCACAACCATCATCATCAACAGCAACAACAACAGCACCAGCAGCGCGTAATGTATTCTAATCAGCAGCCTATCATTCAACGATCTATTGAACCAACTGAATCTTCACGCTCGATTCCTACGCCCATCGAATACCTGCCGTCACAAGTGCAGCACAATTCGAAGTCGCCCATTGAGGTCATCGATTGGTGTTTCAAAGAACAACCACAAAATATACACGCAGTTCTGGCTACAAGCACATCACATCAACCCTCAATTCAAAAGCTTCACTCACCAAACCATTACGCCTATCCCATCAATCAACAAAGCGCCAGTGCCTTTCCTTCTGGGCAACAAGATGGTAAACCTTCGATAGCAGCTCAACACTTACCGTCATCCTCTATGCTAAACTTAGGGCAGCAGAACATTGCTTTTACTCCAAGGAACAGTATAGTCAACGATAACAGTATTAGCCTGTCAGGCATTGAAAACGGAACCGGTGAAGGTATGAGCCAAACACCTGGGCTTATGCACGCTAATAGCTTGCCGACTCCTGTCTCGGATATGCTGCCTGGCACTCCTCATTCGCAGTCTTCTTTCCATTCAAACGAATCATGTCGATCGCCTTTTAACAACGATAACACTTACAAGTCCCCAAGCATGAATCCGCCTACAACACTTAAAAACGCGTTTACAGCGATTGATCAATGGAAAAAAATCAAGCAAGACAATTTAATTGCAGGTAAAGTAAGCAGCAATCGTTACTCGTTTTTGTATCAAAAAGTTAATTTTAGTTTTTTTCTCTTACTGGTTTAAGACAATGAAATAGCACCATGGAAAAATGCAGTAGAAGATCGTCGAGAATCTGGTGCAACCAATGCAACTGATATGGTAGCAGCTACAATAGCAGCTGTCAAGGCCCGTTTTTCCCCCGGTGCAGCACCTGTGAATCCAAACCGACAGTTTCAAAAAGTAGCGCATAATGCAATTGAGCGGCGATACCGTAACAATATAAATGACCGCATTCGTGATTTAAAAAACGTTGTTCCCGCATTATATAAAGCAAATGTTAAAGAAAAGAAAAGCAACAGCGCAGGAAGTAATGGCGAAGAAGACGATAACTCTTCCGACGATGAAGATAGAGATGATATTGGCGAGATCATTGATGGAGTGGAAGTTGCTCGAAAATTAAACAAAGCAACCATTCTGCTAAAGGCGGTGGAATATATTCAGCATCTCAAACATACGAACGAATTGGCTGAACGTGAAAACCATGTCCTTCAACAGCTTCTGTCTCAAATGCCCGGCGGTAACGAAGTACTTGCTCGCTTCCAGGTTCAAAAGAACGAGTTTCAGCAGGCTGAATATCAAAGATTAATTGCTGAACGGAGGAGTGTTTTAGAGCAAGAGAAGATAGAACGGCAACGAATGCTTCGTGAGCGCGCTGCTCAACGTGCAGCGTTAGCAGAATTGATTCCGAAACCTGAACGTAAGCCCTATCGTCGCAGAGCAAAAAAGCAGCAAGAAAAACAACAAAAACCCAAAAACCATGCACCTTCCAAAAGACATGCGTTTAATTCCAGTCTCAATAATGAGGAAAAGACATTTGCAACCCATAATTCTCCTTCTAAATATACCGTTATGTCCACAACAGATAACCCTACCAAGCCAAACGAGCCCAATGTAAATAACGAAGGCGCAACACCATTCAGAAACTACATTATATCTACATCAAATCAGTCGCAATTAATCCATTAATATATGCTACCCGCTTTTAAGCTGGAAATAATTGCGCTTTAGTAAGCATACCCGAACTACACAATTGGTTTCATTCTTAACAAATTAAACTAACTTAATAAATAATGACATTGTAGTTTCTTCCATTGCATACCTATACACTCTTTCCATGCAAAAGACGTTGTTTTATTGACTGCTTCTCAGCATCTTCCCGTGACATACACTCCTATGCCTTATGTTTGATATACCCTATTTTGCTCAGTTTGATACTCTGATGCTCATCAAACTCTAGTTATCCTTCACATAGTCTCTGTAAGAAATCAGGACTTCTTTTTCTATTGTCTCTTTACTCAGATCACAATGTAAATACACATTTATTCAATTTTTTTCAGGCCCTATATACAAACAATAAGCTATTGTATGCCATTATTATCTGCCGGACCGATTTGTAAAATTGAAAATCTTCTTGGATGATGATAAAGTTGGTCGGCCCAGTCCTAGTCTTCTCTTCTTTGTAGGCACGCTTTGCGCGCTTTGCATTGGTGGAGTTGAACCTGGGGAACGAGATGATGACGACGAGTCCGGAGAAAGAGATATAATTTCTTCATCATTATCCTCATCTTCATTATTCAAATCAAACTCTATTATTTGCTCCTCTTCCTCCTCCTCTTCTTCATCTTGCGCCATATCAATTGCGCGTTTTGTAGAGATCAGAGAAGTTTGATCTCTGCTACCGATACCGTCGACGCTTACGTCTTGTTCCTCTTCTGAAGATGCTTCATCTTCTGAAGATGAAGGTACTAACTCTGACGTTCTGAATCGTTGACCTGAATTGGTTGTTGGTATAATTGGTCTTTCACGTCTTCTTTCTTTACTCTGTTTGGAAACACGTTGCTTTTCCTTTCTAATTATTCCCGAGGTTGACGAAGTATCTGTTTCAGCTTGATCCGATTCTACATCGTCCCCTTCTTCATCGCTTTCTATTTCACGCGGAATCTAAATTGACAAAACGATTATACCTCCTAATTTAGTATATCGGTTTTTCGAAACTTATACTCTCTTCTTTAACCTACCTGGGAAGATACTTCCGCACCATGAATATCTCTATGTTTCAAAGCACCTGTAGATTTTACAGATAACGTGTTAAAAGGAGAGCATATCTGTCTAAAATGCAAAATCGTGTATCAACATATACGTTACCCATAAAGAATGCAGATGGAGGTATCTTATTTTCGGTCAGCAGCATTTTTACTTGGTATATCACAATTTCTAAAGCCTTTTTTAAAGGCGGTACATATGCAGCTAAAGTTACATCTTTCAACACTTTGACATGAGAGCAGATAATCTTTTTTTTTTTTTTTTTTTTTTTTTTGGGGGGGGGGGTTTCAACATTGAAAGAGTAACCCGTGGTTTCAATAAGCGAAAATCTCAGTATAAAGTGTCATAAAGGTTTCAATTTAGCGAAAAGCCTAGAGAGCGATTATTACCTGCAACATACGAGTGCTCGACTGGAAATCTTTGAAAATACTTATGATGTCGTTACTGTAAGCCTTGAAAACACGCGTAAAGTAGGGTATGGAGTACTTTGTGAATTGCTCCACAAAGAGTCGACTGGCTTTCAACAAAACTCCGAGCAGTAGGCGTTGCTCCTTTGTTTTGATATGATTGGTAATTCGTTCGAATACTTTAACAATTCGAGCAGTTTGTACTATCATCACATCAGGAGTTAGCTCAGCATCTTTCAATAATTCAAGTGATTTCACAGCTTGACTGAGAATCGCCTTTTGCAGTAAATGCAAAAGAGTAATAGAATGAGCGAGAGTTACCGATACTGACCATAATATTACTCGTTGTTTACCTGATAATGCTGCAAAACCGTATCCGCTTTTAGTAATGGAAATTCATCTAAAGCACCTTCTGCCTCATACTGAGGCAATATAGTGTCTATAAAATTGTGCATTAATGACAGAGGGTCATCACATAACTGAATAAGCTGTTCAATCATGTAGGGTATCTCCTTCTACAGTACAGGGAAGAATGTATCAGCCTCCTTTTCTTCAAGATGTCTCAATTTGGGTGCCTTTTTTACCTTAATATCTCGCCAATCAAACCAATCAGTTGACACTATATGAGTTACTACTCTCAGGGCGTTCTCTTTTGATTTCGGTGTGTCAGAATCTTCATAAGACATCATCAATCGTATTGTTTTGAATAGTACAACAGCGGTATTTGCTTGCGGCACATCTGTGACGAAATTGGATAAATATTCAGTTGCTCTTTCAGTGTCAAGTAATGATGGGTCATTAGATTGCTGCTCCTCTTTCAACAGTCTCTGCGCAATGCCAGAGACAAGATTCTATTCCAGATAGTCTGCAGGTCAGCATAAATGAAGTTTTGTTAGAATACTACATGTATGGACTCACTTGCAATATATTCAGATTATCTGGGTTCTTCAAATCTTCCCATTGAAATAATTTGTAGATTATATTGAAAATTTGAGAAATTGTCTTGACTAGTGTTTCATGTCCCTATGCGCGGCATAAATAGAAGATTTGAATGAATCACTCACCATTATCGTTCGATCATTTAATTACCTCCACTCGTCCAGCCTCAATAGCCTATATCAAAATATTCAGTCGAGATGTTTTAAAAAAAGTGATATCTGTACTACTTACATTTTGCTGGAGGTGTACGTATAATCTTTCCAACGTGTGCAAAATGAAAGGTAAATAAGATACGATCTAAAATATTAGAGTTAGACAAACCGCCTTGTATATGAGATCATTCGGATGAAGAGCCAACCTTTTCCATTAAGTGATGATTACTAATTCTTGAGAGCATTGCTGTATTACTGCTTGTATATTTATGTTCGGCTGCTACCTTCTTTTTGCCAAAGAATGTAGGAGTGGTTGGAACAATCTTACTGTCCAGCTTCCGGTTGAGATCCTCTAAAATGTAACTAATCTCCTCTAGCTAATGAAAGCATGTTTAGTATCTAATCGATAAACACGATTGTTGTGAAGGCGTACCATCATTTTATCGGTTTCATTCTCTAATTCTGAATTGTATTTGAACATCTCTAGAATATTAAGCTGAAAGAATTGTTTTGAACCTTTCAGCGTCCTCTTAGCGGCAAGGTTTGGTTGTTTTAACTTACGTCAAAAGGTCTCAAGTACGGTCTTAAATCATCCATCGAAGAGAAGCTCAAGTTATGTGACGCCTTAGAGTCCCTCTTCTGCACCTTCTTTGTGATGGACGTTGGTTGCTCTACAGTACTCTCCTCGGTGGCATCTTCAGCAGTGATAATCTGTGTACCTCTATTCATATCGGCAATATCTTCAGTGGCAGTAGATAGGGTTATATGGAATTCTAAAGGTACGTAGGTAGGTAATTGTCGCATCAACTGATTTAATGAGTTTTCCATGCACAAAATACTACGTAACCGAGCTATTAAGCGCTCCCGAAAATTTTCTTCCTCTGAATACATAAACGCGTTCAACAGCTCTCTAAACCTATCTCAAAATGAGCCATATTAAACGATGAGTTGTCACCCTTGAGTCTTATAGTGCGTAGAACTAACCAATTAATTGTATAGAAAAGCATATCACAAGCATATTCAGTCTCGTCAGCAGAAAGATCTTCTGTATTCTCTGCATTAAACATAATGATGCTGCAACCGAATAAGGCATCTACGTCCACTAAACTTCCATTATTCAACTGCTTCTCGCAACTTTGCATCAAATTGAAAATAGAGCACATTGGAACCACCTTGGCTTTTTTGAGTTTTAAATTGGCATCGTACATCAATTCATACATTTTGACAGCAATTTGATCATTCTGAAAATTTCAAGTGTTTTAGAACCAAAACGAGCTCTAGAGCATGATTCTATCACATAATATAGGCATACCTCTCCATCCAAATTCATTTTCAATTCAGGTTGCAGATTCAAGTGGTGCTCAGAATTCACTTTTTGTACAAAGTCCAAAGCATCCTCTTTTCCTACCACATAGAACTCTATGAAATCAGAGGTCATGTTTTCTTTAATCCACAGTTCCAAACGCTCGTCCATATTGCCTTCACAAACTATGTGCGACAGTTCATCATAAATCAAGGCTATACAATTTGGGTATTCTTTGGCGTATCTTAAGGCTGATTCAAGCAAGTTTATCGCTTGGGTTAAAAGAGGGTGCCTCATAATCGGTTGAAAAGAGGATGTTTGAGTACTGGAACCAGCTGCTCTATTCCTGTCGGCGCCGTTACAAAGATCGTTCGATCCCAACACTTTCACTGCTGATAAGCTGGCTATAATACCGATATTTTTATATTTTTCTCGTGGGTTCGAAAGTTGTTTTCTGATAATTGTTTGAATTTCTGACCAAAGGTTTGCTGAGCCATCCGCTGCGTTTCCTGTCTGTTGTCAAAGCTTTTTAGTTACCATTGATTCTTTGAAAAGAATGAAATAAAAAAAATAAATACAAGATTTGGTCTTGCTTTTTCATACCGTCAATGCAAGCAGGCTAAAGATATCGAATAACGTTCGAATCTGATGTTCATTTAGATTGTCTAAATACTCCAAGATCCCTTTGATAAATACACTATATCCAATCACATTTGATGCATTCATTTGAACTAGTTTCAGGAGCACATCTAAAGCTGTGTTAATTTCTGCTTCTATCCCACTTCCTATATGTGTGACTAAAGCACCAATGATTTCCTTACCAACAAAAAAAAAAAAAAAAAAAAAAAAAAGATTTCAGTCTTTCTGATGGAACGGGGATTTACTGTCATTCACTTGAAGCTGTACCTGTCTGTAATATGCATCCGCTGACTGAAATAAACTGAGATAAAGAGCAGCAGCACATGAAGAAATACTGTTGTTTTGTTGGCATGACCTCAGAAGACTCTCAGCTAGCGTGAGTAATGTGTTCCAATAGCTAAAGTAAAACATGTAGGTGTTGGGATAAGATCTTTCAAGAAACTTCATTATTTTCTATAGCATTACCCGGATATACCGTCAGAATGATAAAGAATGGTTTGTTCAAAAAGGGATGCTGTCAATTTTCCTTGAACAATTTTCTTTTTTATAATATTCTCGACCTTCTTCTTCATCGAAGTCATTGAGCATAGAATAATCAATACTAACATGTCGATCAGCTTGTGTTCTCGCTATGTTTTATCCAAAGACAATAAGTGGGTTGTTATTATGTCGAGTACTTTAGGTTATCCAATCATCTTTACCTGTGAGTGCAATGCAACGATAGACTTCAGCCATGAATCGCATACAAATCTGTGAAATTGTAATCCAGTTTTGATGGACTCTAAAATCAATGCTTCCGGAGTGTCCTTTACTGCTTTTTCTTTTGACTGAGTACTCTGTTCCTGTATTTTACCCAGCTGTTTGAAATCCAACTTTTGTCTTATCTCAAGTACAACCCAGTCGACTGTTTGCGGTGTAACCGTCTGCAACAAGAATTTGACAATGACTGGTAGAGCATCTAACTCTACTGATACGAGCCGTTCCAATACAGTTTCTCTCACATCTTCCAAGCCTTCAGAATGGATCGTTAAATTGGACAAAGCATCCAATACAGGAACCATCAAGTCTGTGTTTTCGCTCATTAGCTCTTTTAAGTAGACTACAATAGGCTGCTCATAAAAACCCGTGTAAGCGAATTGTTCAAAGCTTTTTCTTATTCCTTGCGAGAAGCCGCTTACCTTATGTTCAGAGTCATTTACAATATCAGGAAGAGATGTTATGATCTCATGTTGAAGACTCGGTGTTGTGATTTGGATAATCTGAAAGAAGAGAGAAAAAAAAAAAAAAAAAAATGGCTGTGAATATAGAGGGGCCTATCTATACACACAATGTCAATTGAAAACTTGCCTCCATTAACTTTTCCGTCAATAATTCAGGTTGAACGATATAATCGAGCCATCTTAGCTGGTGTAGTATCAACCGAGACGTACAAGAACTTGAGGAGCTATCAAGACAAAAAAAGTTCAGGTCAAATAGCTCTCGTCTTTCTTTTGTTAAAAAGGTGGTCTATTGCATCTTACTCATGTTCTAACTCATCATAAAACTCAGGGAGGCGCTCAAGAAGGTAAACAATCAACTCAGATTGAAGTGAGTCATTAGAGAGTAGAGTTCTAAAAAGACTCTCTGAACTAGAAGTTCTTTGTATGTAATAGACTTGGTTAACAAGTTTGAACGTGTAGGAAACCTGATGAAAGAGGGAGAGATTACCGGTTGGCTTTGGGAACAGTGTCTGCAAGCTTGGAAGGTAGAAGAAATTTCCTAAAAACAGATGGATCTTCAATGTATGTTTGAAGCTCATCGATCAACTGATCCCCCAAGCCAGGTTGACTACGCAGTTTATTGTCTAGTCTTTTCCTAAACAATACAGGTTCAACATCTGTTTGATATCGTCAGAACAAAATTGAAGTATAGAACGAAAGGAAGCATCCAAATGCAACTTTACTGAAGATAATGGTCGAGGATTCACAGTCGCATCCTAATTCCGTGAACAGCTGAACTATGCTCATTGTAAGATCTGCGTTCACTTTGACGATCCCAAAGTTGAGGAATTCGTCTAAAGAAAAAAATAATAATGGACAAGTAAAATCGAGAAAGACGCGTTTTCTTCTTGTGTACGCGTTTGGCGGAGCTGTTTCTTCTGACCTTCTCTTGAGACAAAAAATATCCCAATTGCCCAACTGTTGACATTTAGTTTGGGCTGATCTTGATCTCATGATGAGTGAGCAGTCTAATGATGGGCTGCCCATCTTCCATAAATGCCAACCACTTCATGTAAAGACACCTCTCCTTCATTCAACAAAATTAAGCATCAAGCTTGACTGGTATGTTTGACGCTGACGCCATCGCGAGTTATTTGACTACTTTTCTCACTAGCCGCTTTTGCTGTAGTAATATATTCTACAAAATGGAGAATATACAACCCTCAGGCTCAGTGAAGATAAGGTGAATAGGTTTCGTTTGTTGTGAAGAAGGAACGTGTCTACTTATACTTTTCTTTTCCCCCACCCAACAACAGAGGAATAGGCAATTTTTGTACTAAAGCAGTACAATCTAGAGGAAGAGATATCCATTTAATTAGCGGATCAGGATTGAACACAGTCTTAGCTGTAGCTTACTGTGCTCGACAACTAAATGTCGCAGCCATTGTCGTCATGCCAAGAGATACGCCTAACACTATAAGTGAAGCAGTTCGACTAGAAGGGGCTCAGTTGATTTTATTCGGGGAGAGCTGGGCAGCTGCTGAATCACACGCAAGAAAATTAGTCAAACGCGATGGGTGAGTGAAGAAAAATTAAAAAAAAAAAAAGCAAAATGAACGATAGCAAAGCAACTGCTGCGCGGGAGAAGAAAAGAATCCTGACTATATCACAGTATCTATGTCCCTTCAGCAGATCACGCGCATATTTGGGAAGGTCATTCCAGTCTAATTTACGAATTAAGAGAACAATTGAATAACAATCCACCGGCCGCCATTATATGTCCGGTGGGGGGTGGTGGGTTGCTTAACGGCGTCATCATTGGCCTACAAGAGGTAGGATGGAAAGAAGTGCCAGTGATTGCGGTGGAGACGCATGGAAGCAACGCGTTTCAGGCATCGGTGGTGGCTGGAAAATCGGTAACAATACAGAAAATATCGACGATCGCATCCGCATTGGCATGTCCAACCATCAGTTCGAAATCATTGGAATTGAGTATGAGTCATCCAGTGGTTCCTTTTGCTGTGAGTGACGCCATGGCCGCAGATGCTGTCCGATTGTTCGCAGGTAGACCCACAAAAAGGGGAATTTGCTTTTCATCATCTTATTCCCTATTGATGAATTTCTCCTTTTTTCTTTCCCCAAAGACGATTGTAAAACACTTGTAGAGGCAGCTTCTGGTGCTGGTTTGTCTCTTTGTTATACACAGGTGATTCGTGATATTTTACCTTCTTTAGATCAAGAATCTGAAATTGTGGTTCTGGTAACGGGTGGATCAGATATAAATCTTGCTCTACTAGACGACTATAGAAAGAAATACTATCGACCTCCGGTGATTGTAAAAAGTGGTAGCGAGGTCTTTTTAAAGATGGACGATAAGTTGACCTACATACAAAAAGTGGATACAAGCTATCCCATGGGTATTTCTGGTGAGAATCTCGCCAAGATAAATCACAAACCTTCGAGGACGAAGGAATTAAGAACAAATAGCGCTCAGCAGACGGATACACAGATGGAAGAAGCACCCGTCTCGCAACAGCCAAGGGATGAAAACATGAACACAAACGCTATGCCTTCCTCCGTCGATACCAATGACAGTGTGCTCTAATTTCCCAATTTCTTTTTCCCTCTGATCCCAAAATTGACCAAAGCAAACATTGAAAGCGAAAGCGTCATTCTCTGATTGGGCACAGGCTTTTGTGAAACTGATTTGCAAAAATTATGCAAAATTTCCGACGCGACTGCATTGAATAGTGAAATGACATAAAGGCTCTCTCACGGTAGAGCCTCGATTAATCTTGATACCCTTACCGTTAAGTGAATCACTATAAATTTTTGTTAAAAAAAAAAAAAAAAAAAAAGAAAAAATTGTTGAATGAGACAATTGTTTACATCGTATATAAAGTATTTTGTTGTTTTTTAAAATTCTCGTCTTTTTTTGTTCTTTCACTTTCTTACATTAACAAAATCACATCCTATTCAAAAAAAGCCAATATGAATCCAGAAGGTGCTAAACTCGAAGAATTATACGAAAAGACAAACCAAGTATGTGCGGATGGTTGCTTCATTTTTTAGGCAACCAATCTAACCCTTCTTCATAAACAAACATAACTTATATCATTCCAAATGGTTGTAGGCTGCCACCGACGAAGAGCGCAAAAGAGTCGCACAGCAGATGAGTGCTCTCCACAAACAAGTCAGCGGCTTCGATGTACACTTTGACGAGCATGGCTTCATTCCAATGGATACTGAATCAGCCAAGAGATGTCCCAGAACGGGTGGTATTAATTTGAACGTCCACAATCGTTAAAAAGATCCCAATTTTGATTCGCTTTTTTCGATCCAAATAAACGGGGAACAAGATAATGCTTTTTAAAAACCCAATTATGTTTTTTTTCTTTCAATTTTCTTTATTGTATGCATGAAGTCTATAAAGCCTATATGAATCTTTTTTTTTTCTTTTTTCTTTTTTACAGTGAGAGAGAAAGGGAATGATATTTTATAATACAATAGTATAAGATGTAAATAATGATGGTGTTTGAAATAAAAAAGATAATTTACAATTAACCACTGCAGCTGACACAAGCTTCAGGGTTTTCAAGTGAACAAGCAATAGCAGCCAATTGTTCAGCTGTCTTTTCCACTTCATCTTCAATGGGGGTCTTCTTATCATTCATATTCATTCTCATTGCTTCGAGAGCATTCGCTCTGAGGAACTGCATACCTGTCTTCAAACCTCTCTTCCAAGTGTAGAAATGCATGGAAGAGAGACGGCTATAATTGGGATCGGCAGCGAACAGGTTAAGTGTTTGAGACTGATCAACAAAGGCAGCACGGTCAGCAGCCAAATCAATAAGAACACGTTGTGAAAGCTCCCACACTGTCTTGTACAGTTTCTTCAAGTCGTCGGAAATATAAGGGAGCTTTTGAATACTACCGTTGGAACTGACCAAAGTATCCTTGACTTGGGCACTCCACAAGCCGCGTTCAATCAAGTCCTTAAGCAAATAGGGATTGACAGCTTGGCATTCACCGCTGGCGGATCTTTGAGTGAAGATCATACTTTGATAGGGTTCGATACTGTTGTTATTACCGAGGAATTGGCTAGTCGTAGTAGTAGGCATAAGAGAAATAAGGACAGAGTTGCGAACACCGTGTGATTTGATGTTGGAGCGGAGAGTGTCCCAATCGAAACGGTCAGAGCCCTTCACATTCCATAAATCGTGTTGCAAAATGCCTTGGCTCATAGGAGAGCCTTCGTAAGAAGGATAAGGGGCTCCTGCTTCCTTGGCTAATTCATTAGAAGCTTCAAGAGCAGCATAATAAATCGCTTCAAAGATATCCTTGTTGAGTTGACGCGCTTCGGGAGAGTCATAGGGATGGCGCATCATCAAGAAGACGTCAGCCAAACCTTGCACACCGAGACCAATGCCTCTGTGCTTAAGAGCACCCACCTTGGCTTCTTCAAAAACATAGTTATTGACGTCAATCATTTTATCCAAGTTCTTCACGGCGACTTTGACAATATCATGAAGCGTCTCAAAGTTGAAAATACGAGTTTTAGCATCCACACATTTGGGAAGTGCAATAGAGGCAATGTTAGCAGAGCTGATTTCATCGCCATCAGCGTATTGCATAATGTTAGCATGGCGAGTGGAGCCTGAAATAACACCCACGTTCTTTTGGTTGCTCTTTTCATTGACAGCATCTACAGAAGAAATTCAGGAGGTCAGTTCAGTCAATGCATTCCCCCCCCCGCCTCACCCCCTATTCTTTTCAATAGAGAGGTCATTGTTTGAAGTGAACTCACCCTTATAACACATGAAGGGCATACCGGCTTCAATATGAGAATCCAAAATACTGAACCAGAGCTTTTGAGCAGATACAGTCTTTCTGGCTTTACCGGCCTTTTCATATTTGACATAGAGTTCCTCGAATTCCTTACCATAGCTAGTGTCAAGGCCAGGACATTCATTAGGACACATCAATGACCATTCACCATTTTGTTCGACACCTGGAAAAAAAAAATGCAAACGGGAGTCAGTCAGATAAAACTTGAGAAAGTAAAAAAGTAGTGACCATCGAATATATACTCACGCTTCATGAAAAGATCAGGAATCCAAAGGGCGATGTTCAAATGACGTGCACGAAGATTCTCTTCACCTGTCAACTTTGCCAAATCGATGTATTCGAAAATATCGGCATGCCAAGGTTCGACATAGACTGTATACATACCCTTGATTTTCTTCGCGCCTGGAGTGATATAACGAGCAGCATCATTGAATACCTTCAACATAGGAATAATACCATTGGATGTACCATTGGTACCAGCAATGTAGGAGCCTGAAGCACGGATCTTTTGGAAACTCATACCAATAGTACCAGAGGCCTTGGAAAGACGAGCGCAGGTAGCAACTGTATCGTAAATACCTTCAATACTGTAGGACGTGTGTGTGTTATAAATAAGTAGGTAGGTAATGCCAAAATTTTACGGTAATTCCATCCCTTATTTTTCATACCTGTCTTCCTTCATTTGAACATGGAAGTCACTGGAAAGTTGTCCGTTGGCAGTACCAGCATTCAAAAGAGTAGCAGCAGCGTGTGTATAAAGCTTTCTTGATGTATAATCGTACGTCTTGAAAGCAGCTTCGAGGTCTTCACCGTGGATAGCGAGTGCGACACGCATCATCATGTGTTGAGGACGTTCGACAACCTTGTCACCAATCCTCTTGAGATAATTTTCTTCAAGTGTCTTGAAACCAAAGTAGTTGAAATCGAAATCACGTTGGTAATCAATGGCGGCGTCAATCTTGTCCGCATGCTTCTTTACTAATTCCAGGAATTCTTTCGAAATCAAAGGGTTGGGTTCTTTGGTCTGGGGATGCACATTGTCATACAGTTCCTGCATGACTTCAGAGAATCTGTCGTGAGTTTCCTTTTGAAGGTTGGAAACAGAGATACGAGCAGCCAAAATAGCATAGTCAGGATGAATGTCGGTCATGTCAACAGCAATTCCAGCAGCCAAGTCATCTAACTGGACTGTAGTAATACCCGGATACATAGCAGAAACGACCTTCAAAACGATAGTTATTCGGAATAAGTACAGTAACTATAAAATCAAAAAGTGGGGGCATATAGAATGCATACCTTTTGGGCAATCTTAGGAGGGTCGACAAAGTTTTGGTCAAGACCTTCACATAAGATATTGATACGAGAACTGATTTTATCAAAGAAGACCTTCTCTTGGGTACCGTCTAGATAGTTTTATGCAGCAGTTTATTCATCTATTCCATGTTTAAAGGGAGAATGTGTGTCCTATTGCCAGCACCCTTACCTCTCTTTATGACATACATGGTTGCTGTTGATATGCTTTTCGGAAGGATGAAAAGGGAAAAATAAGAAGAAGTGAGGGAAAAAGGTTAAAAAAACTGGAACACACGTCTTTTTTATGAGTGCAGGAAAAAAAAAAAAAACGAGAAAAATCGCGTCTTAAATCACGTACCTTCCCTTTTGTGCTGCGCTAAAATGGTCATGAATGGAAAGCCCATTATCGGTATCTTTCACTATTGACAAGTAAAGTTTTGAAGAGACATGTCAAAAATAGACCTCTTATAAAAATTGAATACAGGTCGTATGCTGATAGCGTACTTGTGTATATTGGGTCGTCTGATGGCTATCGTTGTAGGGTACTCTACGTCAGTATCGCGCACTGCATGCTTTTTAACCGTGTTTTTTTACGCGTAAATTACAATTTAATCTGAGCAGGAACCACATGTTTTACTTCATCCCACGGCGATCGATTCCGTCAGTTAAATTCTTTGCCGACTATCCCTTAGTATACTCAAAAACTCCTTCTCGCTGAGTAGTAATAAAGCCGAAAGAATTCAAACTATTGCTATCGTAAACACATGCTCTTGTAGTCTAGCATTCATATCCATCATTTGCAATCAAATCCTAGAAGCAAGTAGATTAACCAAGAATTACTTTAAAAAGAAACTCAAATGGGTTGAAAAAGCAGGACTGAGATAAAAGCAACGTAAGTGCACCTTTCGATGACAAATCAACGGAAGAAGGGAAGTAACACTCCAAGCATTGGCGTGTTTGTGAATTTATCAGATCATTTGGCTAGTGCCAATGACTTTTTACCATCGTAAATCAGTGGTTTTAAAGTCAGTTGCCTAAAGACGAAGAGAAGAAATCCATCAACCAGAAGGAGGCGTCCCGTTTTCGCTGGAGACACATCTCATTCACGAGAAAAAAATAGAAACCGTGACTAAGCAGTTTAGCTTTTATCACCATAGCAGAAATATATATTGCGAGCTGAATGAAGACTATGAATGGGTTTGCTTACCAGCACATAAGCTAGATAAGGGTAGGCTATGTCTTCTTAGTCCTGTTTTATTATGAGTTAGACTTGCTTAAAAATCAGAGTTTGCATCGCTAAAATCTGAAAGCCAGCTATTAACATAGAAGATTGCTTGTATTTAATCCTGAAACTCCTTCGAGCTTTAGTAAACTGGTGGGGGAACAAATTACCAGATTGGACAATCAGCAAGGAACCCCATCGATTTTTAATAGAACGCTCATACACGAACTTTTTTTGGTTAACAATCTAGAAAATGGTAGAACAATGACTGCCCGTATAAGGATCATACTTTTTTCCAATGATGACAGTCTATCCATATGTTGTTTACTTGTTGTGATACAAGTACCTGTAAGTCTTTCCAAGCGGGTAGACTCTATGCCAATACAGCTGAATTAATTGAGACCAACTGAATATGGGATGATGGGCGGATTACGAACGTAGAAATTAAAAAAATGCCATCATTCTGCAAACAGTTATTTGATTCTATTTGTTTCACTATGTTCTCGTTTACTGTTAATGCATACGAAAATTATGTACATAGATGGCAACTCTCCCAAGATTGATTTTCTTCACTTATGCTATTGCAAAGTCCTACGAAGCGATGAATGTAAATTCAAGTCATTTTAGGCTATAGTGGTATCCACATTTTATAATAGTGCGCATGATCCTCATTACGGCCTTTTCATCAGGAGCAATGGATCAATTCAATTTTTCAAGAAAAGAGATATAAGTATCATTCATAAATCATTGTACTTGCAGTAGCTGTTTTTTCATAATGACATAAGCAGAGCAACCCTTCACCAAGGGTTTCTTATACTTAGGACGTCTATGATTGGATCAAATAGAGGGTATGATGTCTTGAAACCAAATCTTCCGTTTCAAAAAATTGCTACTAAAGTGTGAATTAAGTTTTTATCTGCATTTAACTTATAATATTTTGATCAACAACGACTCCCATGATCTTTTTAATTAACTGTCTTTTCTTTCGTGTCCATTGAACATTTTCTTTTTATTTTTTTCCAACTTATCAACTAATTAAAAAACAGCTTGAAACGAAGAGAGAATCATGTTTTCAGTTTGTACAGCCATAGGCTCTATATTTCTACTATTCAGTTTTCTTTTAGAGTTCTTTCTCATTATTGGCAACGTATCTCCCAAGCCATTGATCAGAGATGTTTACTTTGCTCAAGCGTGGAACACGGGTCAAGGAAGATCCTACAATTTTGGTCTCTGGTAAGTCGAATTTCTGAGAAACTTTTTTGATCCGATGCTCTATCGCTACGTGACAGATTTTAATAAGAGTCAAATCATCAATTGTATAAAACAATAGGAACTACTGTAATACAGACAACGCTGGTTATGTTACGTCGTGTGCAAAAACAAGCGCTGCTTATAACTGGGCCCAAGCTCCTGGAGTTAACCAAGCTGTACCTGGTATGGCCAACAGTTATGGAACAAAGGGCGTATTTTTAGCTTTGTTCATCTTGCTTTTTATTGCAATGGGTCTCAGTTTCATTTTTTGGCTTATGAGTTTGCCTATCTGTTGCTCTAATCGCCGTGGTCTGGGTTACTCGATGACTACTCTTGTCTTGATTAACTTTTTCATCATGCTCGCTGCTCTTATCCTTGCGTTGGTGTTGGTCATTGGCGGTATACGACAACTGACACGAGCAGATCGAACCTGGAGTGCTCAAGCTGGTAACTCTGTATGGATCACCATTGGTGCGGTTGTGTCTCTGTTCTTGTCTTTCCTTTGTTATTCTGGCGGTGTTTGCTGCTGTAAGCCTAAGAATGATGGTTACTACGGCAAATCCAGCAGAAGAAGAAAGAAAAATGATTATGAAGCAGATTATGGATACAACAATGACTACAACAACAATTACGGTCGGGATGCCGGTTATGCTGGTGCTGGTTATGCTGCTGGAGCTTATGGAACTGAATCCTCTGGAAAGGCAAAGCGTAGCTGGTGGCCATTCGGCGGTCGTAAGAACAAGCAAGTCAATCCTGATTACAATAAGGAATACGACAGCAACAACAACTTTACGAGAACCGACAACAACAACTATACGAGAGCGGACAACAACACGGCTGCTGATAACAGCAATGCCGTCCGAAATGACAATGTTGGTACGACCACTGACAATAGCAACTTATATTCTGGAACAAACCAAGCATACAACACAAATGATGCGACTCAAGGAGACACTATGCTTCAACAATCTTACATGTCCCCTACTGCAGAGCAACAAAATACTTACGGCGAAACGGCCTACAACACAACTGCTTACAACACGACTGCTAACGGCGGCGCCACTGTCAATGATGCAACTCATGGATATCAGACGCCAGTGCTTGAGCCCGCTAACCTTGCAGCACGCTAAAGCAGTGTTGGGGAAGCATATAATTTAGCATCTGTAAATTACTTCCATCTTTTAATTTTTATTTTAGCGCCTTTCCAATATTTTATGCAAGGCTTTCCTTACCTAATTCAATATTATATTCTGTACAAGTTATTACATTTTATATATTTCTTAATTTATTTTTGTAAATAAAAAAATTTTGCATGTTTTTCTATGCTTGAAAGAACCTTTGTCTTTGCTAATGCTGCATCATGGTGGATATGAAGAGTAGGACGAAAGACTTTTTTAAATCACTTTCAATAAACCACAGTAATTCTACCAACAGAAAGTGACTGCTACAGCTTACTACGAAGCCGTATTTCTCTAAGAGATATTGTTAATATTTTTGTTTTGTTTATTCCTGCTACATCAATTGCCAACTCTATTTTGGTGATCTGAAGCTGCATGAATTTCGGATCCGAAAAGTCATTTCCTACTCCGTGCATTTCTGTCCAAAAAAAAAAACCAAAAAAAAAGGGTTCACTTCTTGGAAAATTTTTTGACTAAGACGATCTGCCATTGCCCCTTTCATAGATCGATTAGTCATGTCGAACGAAAAAAAGTTAGAAATCCTACTGCAATGGTTCGATGACAATAAAATTCAATGGAATAAAGATACTTTAGAAGTCAGGGATTTGAACGATTCCTTTGGTGTCTTTGCCAAGAAGAATATGAGAAAGGGCAAAGCTGGTAAGTTAACGAACTATAATACTTCGCTGGGCTTTTTTTTTGTAACGTCGAATCAAGACTCATTATGAACCTCTCAATTTTAGTCGTCAAAATTCCCAAAGAATGTATTCTCTCTATCAAGTCTACTGGAATTGCTAATATTTTGGATGAAGCAAACCTTGAAGGCGGCTGCCCTCTTGCCTTAGCCGTATTGTACGAGCTTGCTATTAAGGAACACTCCCCTTGGTATGGATATCTCCAATCACTTCCTGAAAAAGGTGCGGATATTCCTGTCTTTTGGACGCAAGAGGAAAAGGCATTATTGAAAGGAACAGAAATGGCAGCCGCTCTTGAAAATGACTTGGTAAGTTCTTGTCTCGGCTTTCTGTTTTGCAGCAATGTCCTCATATCCTTATGATTTCTGTAGAACGATTTGAAGGATGATTATGAAGAATTAATTCAACCTATCTTGGATGCGCACCCTTACATCTTTGTTCGTGCAGAAAAGAACGACCCTTATTCCTTTGATGAATTTCTGCGGGTCTCTTCTTTGATATCCTCTAGAGCATTTGAAGTAGACGCCTATCATGAAAATGCATTAGTGCCTTTTGCCGATTTATTTAATCATCGTAGCGAAGGTGAACATGTGCATTTTGAGACCGAGTATGGCGTCTGTGATGCATGTGGTTTAATGTATTGCGAACATAGATATTTCGACTTTATGGAAGAGGGGGCCGAAAGCAAAGATAATGCTCCCTCAAATGAAGAAGACGAAGATGAATGGGAAGATGAGGAAGACGACGCAGAAAGCATGGAATTGGACACTGAATTGCCAGATCTTGAAAAGATGGAAGAAGAGGGTATCAATTTCTACGATTCAGACGATGGCTCAGACGAGGAGGATGAAGACACTTGCGATATGGTACTTGATCGCGACATCAAGAAGGGCGAGGAAGTGTTCAATACTTACGGTGACCATCCTAATATTGCTTTGCTAAGCAAATATGGTTTCTGCTACGATGATAATAAGAACGATTATCTTTCGATTGATGAAAATACGATTGCCGAATGTTGTATAGGTTTGCACACAGAAGCGCTGAAAGAAACGATGCCTAACGCCTCAGAAGATGAACTTCAGAAGAAAGCCGTTGAGTTAGTTAGACCTCGCTGGGAATTTTTCATGAACAATGAGCATATACTTTGCCCGGACCCTAACGCAGAGGACATTCAAGATGACTTTGAAGATGAGGATCATCACGATCACACCCATTGTGACCATGACCATGATCATGAGAACGGTCATGTTCACGGAGAAAACTGCGATCCTAGTCATGACGACGATCATACTGATGGAGAAGAGGAGGAGGATGAAGAGCATGCAGTTGAGAGATCTCCCCCTTACTATATCAATTGGGAAGGTCTTTTCGAAGATAAGGTCATGTGCTGTCTTCATATTATGTTTGTAAATAACGAAACATTTGCGGATTTCGTGGAAAATACGGATAACGCTGTGAAATACTTTGAAGACCTCTCCAATAGTCAAGGACAAGCCAAAACGAAAGCACTGATTCAAGTAAAGAGCAGTGTTTATAAAGCGTGTCGAGCACTTGCCGAAATCAGAAAGCTTGAATACGAAGAAAACGGCGAATGGAAGTCAGTAAAAGAGGAAACCAAGGAACGTGATGAATTGATGTACCCCACTGATAATGTAACGTATTGAGCTCATGAGTAGTTTAGTTGGCTTCTTATACTGACGTAAGCTGACCTTTGTTATTTAGGGGCCTGTCAATATGAGGAAATACTATGCACTGACATGCCGCATTGGCGAAAAGAAAATAATTGAAAAATGTATAGCGTACTATAGTAAAATGGTGAAGGAATGGAGTGGCAACGGTCCCACTACGAACAAGAACAAGAAGAAGCCAGCAAAGAAGAACAAGAAAGCGAGATACTAATGGGGAGATCCTTCTTAAGGCCATAGGGCGTTCAAAACTTTTGTAATTAGAGTCAGAATGTATAGCTTCTGGGAAGCTCCCTGTCTGATAAATAGACGTTGTTCCATTCGAACAACAATCACATCGTTGTAAAAATAAACTAAATCCGTCAGTAAACGTATTAAGCATTGCCTTAATGTCTTCGGTTTGAGTTATTCATGTGGTGAATTGCTGCCATATTGTAGAGAAAGATTTTAGTTGGCTTAGTAGCAAGCCCATCTTTCGTCTTTCCCTCCTCCACATAAAAGCAAAAGACACTTTGATGAGCAAAATGGTGCATTATCCTCTTGAGAAAAGCTCATTACTTTTCAAGCAAAGGCCATTTTAGCTGTAGAAGGCTTAATATACGACAATACAGTGCTTCCCAGCAACATCAATTTTGAGTGATCGGTACTTTTGTTTGTGGGCGCTTATAACACAATGATTTCAATGACGTTAGACCATTCCATGTAGGACAAACATCCAGTGTTAAAAAACGGTTTTTACGTAGACCAGCGACATTTTCCGGTTCAAGCATTTTAAACTCATGGCTGCTATCAGTAACCATGGGAGTTTTGTCCGGGGCGGGTCAGAAAACACAACCATCAGAAATGCTGGCTGCCTTGCCACTTCCTATAGGTGGTAGGATTTTACTATTTACGTAATTACCAAAAATACCAAATAGGATTGCTGAGTGGTAACCGGTACAGTTTTCGCACTGAACAATTGACACTGTAGAAACTATTTGTGCTAAGAGTCTACTTTGATTTTTCTGTAAAGAAAAAAAAGTGAGCATCAAATGAAATCAGTAGAAATAAAGAACAAACCAGGTGGTGGAGATCAGCGCTGTAGATGAAAAAATGATATGTTATTTAATGTAGAGACTAGGGATAAGTTTGATCTCTAATAAAAATAACTCTTTTTGCTATGCGTCTTACGTAAGTTATTTGATGGCGTGAAGCATCACCACCAGGCTTTCAGGGACCTCTTTACTTTTATATCCATTATAGGTTAGACCATTCTAAAAAAGGCAATTAAATAAGCTAGCGATTGTCTTTGACATGACGTAGTGCAACTTTTTCTTAGGTTTCACATTTACCAGCGTATTTTAAACCTACCATTATACCAACTGTCATATTGTCCGAAGAGAAACAATTGGATCATAGACTTGCCATAATTCATATAAAATATAAAGCTTCTTTTCTCATTTTTTCTTTTCAATCAATAATCGACTATACTGCTTAACTTTCGCAACTTACTTATACAAAAATGTCTTCTAATGAAAATCAAAATGTTAGAGGCACAGCCAGCCTATCAGAAATTCGAAGTAACTCTTACAACTCACCCAGGAACATTGGATCAAGCAACCTAGCTAATTCAGAACGCAGACATACTCACTTCTTAGACGATACAGTTTTCCCTAATCGTATGTCTAATTCACCGAACGTCAACTCTAACAGAATGAGCAACAGTAGGCCTACAAGCGCACGCTTCGCTTCAAGACCGAAAATCAATAGTAGAACCACATCCTTCGCCTCAGTAGCCGCGAAAAGAAGATCTATTGCCAGAACCATTTCTTCACTTTCCGTGTACAGCCATTTCGCAGGTGAACATTTGGATGATAGTCCTGCTGCTAGTCGTCGACATTCACAAGTTCTCTCAGAAAAAAGAAGCAGTTTTACATCTGGCGCAACTGATCCTAAGCATGAAGAAGCCGCCGTTGGTGAGGAAATCGAAGACGTCGGTGATCAGCCACCTAAAGCTTCCGTAGGAAAAGCTATGTTCATGTTTTTGAAGGCATTTATTGGATCCGGCGTTCTCTTCTTACCTAAAGCGTATGTATATCACATATTTTTTCTTTCTATTTTTGGCTGAAACCCCCGACCAGGGCTAGTGAAAGAGTGAGGAGGAAGGTGGTCCCAGGAAATATTGGACGTTTTCCAACGCGGGGTACCATGGGGTACCATGCGATTATAAAATTAATGCATATGATTTATAGCGGGAAACCCTAAACATTCCCCCCTATCAAACGAAAATAGTTTATAGTCTTTATTAACTCGTTTTCAATCTGAATCCAATAGGTTTCAAAATGGTGGTTTAGCTCTATCTATAGTTCTTATGGTTGTTATTGGTTCGATCTGTCTATTCGCATTCTTGCGATTAGTAAATACTCAGAAAATTATTGGCGGTTCCTATGGTGATATGGGTGGTGTGTTATATGGCAAGTTTCTGCGTTATATTGTGCTTTTCTTCATAGTGATATCCCAAATCGGCTTTGTTTGCTCTTACTTTATCTTCATTTCCGGTAATCTCGTGAATGTTGTTGATGTTCTCTCCCACTGTACTGCAGGCATCGAACAAAAATATTATATTTGGATGCCTTTGGTTATTCTTATCCCTCTTGCTTTGGTCCGCCACATTGCAAAGTTATCCTTCACGGCTCTTATTGCTGACGTCTTGATTTTTTTTGGTTTAATCTCCATCATCTACTTCACTGCAGCTGAACTTAGTGCGCACGGGGCTGGCCCCAATGTTGCAGCTGTCAACCCAGCAGATTTTGCCCTCATGATCGGTACAGCAACCTTCTCTTTCGAAGGTATCGGCTTGGTCATACCTATCGTTGAAGCAATGGAGCGTCCTGAAAAATTCCCCTTTGTGCTTACCTTGGGTATGATAATTGTTTGTACCGTCTATGTCCTTATTGGTACTCTCTCTTACTTAGCTTACGGTGATACCATTCAATCTGCTGTCGTTTACAACTTCCCTCCTGATCACAAGCTTACTATTGCTGTTCAAATACTTTATTCCTTAGCCATCTGTCTAACCGCTCCTTTAATGCTCTTCCCTGCTACAAAGATCATCGAAAATGGATTATTTGCTCGATGCAAATCTGGTAGAGACAGTTTATTTGTCAAATGGGCGAAGAATCTATATAGAATCATCTTATGTGTTGTATGCGCTGCTATTGCTTTTGGTATTGGCGGTGACAATCTTGATAAGTTTGTTGCTTTGGTAGGTTCCGTTGCCTGTGTGCCTCTTTGCTTTATTTTTCCTGGCATGTTCCATTTTAAGGTTACCAAGAAAACAATAGATAAGATTTTGAACTGTCTTCTGGCTCTTTTTGGTGTTGGCATTATGGTTTATACACTATATGTGAATATTAATAACTGGGTTCATCCTGTCCCTGCTGAAACTTCTGCATCATACTGCGCCAGTAGAACCTAAACACCTTTATACATAGTTAATTCTCTAGAATTTCTCTTACCACATACATAATCTTTTTACAGCTTAATATACCAATTTTCCTACAACTTGCTTAATATTTTAAGTTCATAATTCAAATATTTGAATAAAAATTCTCATTCAACAACCCATAAACCAAAGTTATAGTTATAGAGTTCATTATCGTATTCTTAGAATTTATTATTGGATGGAGGAAAAGTAGTGAAAGATATGGAGATGTAGAACTATACAAGAGCAAAGCCAGTTGAACATTCGTTGATAGCTTTGAAAAGGTTTGCACGCAAACTTTCATAAGAGTCATACTGAGGCAAGTCTATTTGATTGAAGCTAAACGAGGAAACAATGACATGGTTAATAAAACTGTCAAGAGGCTTTATTTTTTTTTGGTCCAAAAAATGTATAGGTGTATATGACACTTACCAAGTATGAGCAGATGGAAGACGATTCTCTCCGCCAAAATCTTTATGAATTTGAAACTTTTGAACACCACCCGAACCTTGCAGTTGGCTAAAACCTTCTAATGGGACCTTTGAGGTACCTGTAGCAAACTGTAATAATTTTGCACGTTCTTCCTGATCAAAGCTTCTTACAGCACGCCAGAACCATTGGATCTGGGGGGAAGAAGCAGTGTAACCCTGGTATTCCGTGTTATTCTTCCATTCATCTATATCAATATCAGGTAGGCCGGAAATGAGAAGCTCCAATTCTTGCTCATTAAAAATTTGAATGAGATGGGCAGGGATAATGTCATGGAAACCTTGTACAAAAGCATTAATTTGATCTTTGATAGCTGTTGTCAGTTTCTGTTCACTGACGAGTGTTACATATTCATGCTTGTTGGCTTCTGTAACTGGTATATTTCTACCATCAGGCTTCAAATCAACAATTTCTTTGTTGCCGAAGAAATCTGTTTCTATACTGAACGTTTGCTCAATGATATCTGTAATGTCGTTTTCCAGCATCCATACTAAGCTCTTGTAATATTCAGGATCGAGAGCTTCCACATCCTTATAATCTACTGTTCGTCCCAAAATGTGTTTATAAAAGGATCGAGTAAAATAAGCGTCCAAAAGGCGACCATCATAAATGGCTTTACCAATAACCCGACCAACAAATTTGAAAAAGCTTAAATGGTCTGGATTGACAGCCGAATCACGGTTGGGTTGATAAGTCAATTTGTCGGCTGCCGATGTAATGAAAAGAGCATAGTTAGGATCGAACATTTGTCTCGCTAAAACGGAGAACCATTCACGAGTGACACCGCCAGCATCGACACCTTCTTCATCATAGAATCGAACGGCCAGCTTTCCATATTTGATTTCATCACCACTGCGACCTTGAAGTTGATGGTACGAATCTTCAAAGACGTATTGTCGACGAACATTCAGCTGCAACATACCAAAGTTTTCTCTGGGAGCTGTACGTTTATGCAGTTGCTGGACAAAGTAATTGCGCTTGTTATCAAATTCAAGCATTTTTGGATTGCGTACCAATAGGGCGAAGGAGCCGCTCATTAGGCTTGGATTATTTCGAACCATAATATTCAAAACCTTTTTATGGCGTTCAGTAAATTCGAAAAAGAAGGTCTCTCCTGGAGCTTCGGATGCAGAGGGTTTCAAATCAGCAGCTTGATTACCTGCCTTTTCTACATTTTGGCCTCTTTCAGCTGCGCACTTAGAGATAACCATAAACGATTCAATCAATGGCAAAAGAACAGTAGCAACATTAATCATTTCTTCTTTCTCACGAATGATAGCGAGGCATTTGCCCAGAGTTTTCCATAAAGGCACAAAGTTAAGTTGCTCATAAATTTCTAAAAGACGTTTTTCATTATCTGCTTGTTGTGATTCTGCTTCAGCTTTACCCTGGGCTGTCTCCTTCAAAGCAGTAGGCTTCCGAGAAAACATATAGTCCAGTGTTTTCAGCACACGTAACAGTTTAGCTTGATAAGAAGTAGCTGCAGAAAATGGTGCTAAAAGTGTAGGGTTCACTTCTGTACCGGCCATGGTGGTATCCAACACTTCTAACAGGTTTTGGAGGTCCTTCAAAATTTCGGCTCCGGATTGTTTAGCATCCTCCATAAGTTCAGTTACAATAGTCTTTAGTGCACCATCAAGGGCTGACAAATGGGATATGGCGTTCAGAGTGCTTTGGAAAGTTTTGCTGGAACATTCACCATTTGTTAGCACATGAACAACTAATTTGAGATAGTATTCAGGAATAGTTGGAGGTTTAGGCATTTTTTGTTCTACAGCTTCGAGATCTTTCTGCTTGTTTTCCAACTTCTCCTGGTATTTCTTGACTAATAACGGGAACGGACGGCACATTTTAGATAATAAATCCATGAGTTGTTCCATTAAGCCAGAGTTATTAATGAACACAGGGCGATCAAGCAAACTCATCAACACCAAAATAGGATATTTGTTCCACGTGTGAGGAATTTTTTCCTTGCTCTTGCCTTTTTTACTCGTTGAACTGCGACGAAGGCTGATCAATGCTTCGCTTTCTGTCAAAAAGTAAGTTAAAGACTGCTCGTTTGAGATGACAATATAGGTCAAGGCTTCAAGGCAACGTTGTGCAATAAAGTTAGGGGCATTATTCATTGAAACAGGAGGAGTAGTGTGCTTGCTGGATTTGGGTTGGTGGGCTTTGACCGATTTTCCATTCGAAAGTAGGGAGAAACTGCTGTCGACAGATGCCAAGTCATTGTTTCCATCATAAAGAACACATACAAGATATGATAGTAAATCACTTCTGGTTTTGCCGTTTTCACATAAGTTGAGCAACAATCTATTCAAGGATGTTTTAGATATGCTTTGAGGAATAAACAACAACCTGACTAATGCGCCAAGCTGAGACTTATCGATGAGTTGTGCAGCCGCATCTCCACGGCGGAACTTCGATTTCTTCTTCTGATTATATGTTTTGTCCTTAGCATTAACGGATGTTCTTCTACCGTTGGTAGAATCATCTACAATGACAGGAAAATAAAAACAAAGCTGAATATACAAATTTTTAACGATTGCGGTATTTGTAAGACTGGCTTACCTGTTTCATCTCCCGTTGCGCTAGGAAGATTAGTGACTAAACGTTGCAAACGTTCACGACGCTCCCGTTCTAGCGCTTCTTGGTGAAGAACTTCTTCGCGGATATCAGGCGGTAATGCCTCAAGGAATTCAGGACTGATTGAATCATCGTCAGTTGGTTGTGCTTGTGTAGGTCGATTCTGCATATGTTGGTTTATAACTTCTTCACGTAGATCGTCAGGTAAAGCTTCCAAAAATTCAACATCAATACCAGTTCCAGAAATATCGATTGTCTCACCGTGCACTGTAACTGTGGTTCGTTCGGTATCAGCTTCGTCAGTTGTACCCTCTGTGGTTGTATTATTTTCTGCTGTATTGTTAGCATTTTCAGCCGTCGAAGAGGATTCAGCAACAGCATTAGCTGCGGCTTCAGCTTCAGCAGACTTACGTTCCTTTTCAGCTAGCCGCTTTTCTTGCTCGGCCTTTTGACGTTCTTCTTCATCTTTGCGTCTTTGTTCTTGTCGTTTCTTTTCTTCCTCCGCACGCGCTTTTTGCTCGTCTTCAAGAGCAATAGGTGCCAAAATATTGAGAAGCTCATTTACTAACTTCAAAGCCTTATCATTAAAATTTGAACCATACATCATACGCGCCTCTTGTCCCCAACGTTCACAGGAAGACATGGGTTGGAAGTTTTGCAAGACTGCAAGACTTTCTTGTAACTGTTGGTTGTTGGCTGTATCGGAACCAGCAGTATCAGAGTGAGTGTGCGACACCAGCGGTTGTGGAGGTTCGAGGAGGGCACGCATAGGCCCACCTTCTGTTCCTATTTCAATGCCACGTATTTGTGCTCTTCGAACGGATGAAGGAGCACGAGCTAAGAAATCATCCAGCAATCTAATCGCGCTACCGCCAAGGAATTCATCAAGTTCTTCCCAACTACCAAAAGTGCTTCTGAATCTGTCAAATAATGTTTCATGGAAGACCTGATTATTGGCATTTCTACCAGAAACCTGGTTGCTTGCATTATTAGATAGCAGTGGATGCGTGATAATATCTTCTTGGCCAGCATTTCTTATGGCACCGAAAGGTCTACCTACTGCTTTAATTTTGCAATCAGTAAACTGTTTCTCAAAGTACACCTTCGTTAAATCACTTACCACTTTCTAACAGAGAATGTCTACTATGAGGGAAACGACGTCTAAAACCAGCAGGAATGATTGTGCGTGAGCGTTCCATAGGATCTTCTAGCATTAATAGTTCCTCACTTTCGAGAGGGGGGAAAGTTGCTTCAAGGTCCTCGGGATCCAGTATCACTCCATCTGCTTCCTCGTTATCAGATTCATTTTCCATATTATCAGAAGCTTCATCAAATTCAGAGAGAGCGTCCATATCTTCTTCCTATAGAACAGAAATTACAAAGAAGCATTTTAGAAAGGGTTGTCCAGCAAAAATTATCATTCAAGTATACATAAATATACCTCATCAAATATTTCAGATAAAGTTCGTCTAACGTCCTGATTATCGTCAGTAGTATCAATGACTGCTTCAGCATGAATAATTGCAGGGTCTTCATCAATATCTTCCAGGTGCCAAGTCATTTCTCGATCGACTTCATCATCCTCGTCTTCATCTTCTTCGTTTTCCTCATCAATAAATTGGGCTTCGGCATCAATATCGCTAGGATCATTTTCATCCTCATCCATATCATCTTCATCATAGCTATGCTCATGAAGGATAGCCTCCATTTCTTCTTCTCCATTCTCCTCGTCACCTTCACTCATATCCGATAAATCACTTGAAGATTCTTCATCATAATCTTCTTCTTCTTCAACGGACGAACCAAACATATCTGTATAATCCCCGCTGTCATATTCATCCTCATCTAACACGCTGCCTGCGCCATACATACCTAAAGCTGAATTTCTGTAGAGGTCAGGCGCTCCTTCGTCATCATCAGCGGCAGACGTACTCGGCATTTGCACAGTTTCTTCGCTTGTATCCATTTTATCTTGACCTTCTTCATCCGATTCAATCGCACCTTCAGGTTTGATAGCCAGCTTTGTTAATTGTTCTAAGGGTCTCAACATGTTATTAATGATCAACTTGGCATGAGGATAGTTAATATCCACATCACTAATAGCAGACGTCAAAACAGCAACAAAGTTCTTATCCAACATAATTTTAGCATTACTCATGATACCGTCTTCAAAATTGGACTCTTTCGAATTAGTCTGAGTACCGGTACCACCCATGGAACGTGGCAAAGTAGGACCACTGCTAGGTCGAGCATTCAACATACGGTGGCACAGGTCGGCTAAACAAGCATATTTGGAGTATTTGATGGAAGCAGTTTCATTCGAGGCAATGGCTTCTTTCAACGATCGAATGATAGCTTCCAAGACATACTTTCTCACTTGAAGGAGTTCGCTTTTTTGCTGCGCTGTAAGCTCATTACTGGATGTTTCAAAGGTCATAGCAACCAAAGTAGAAGCTGTCCATCTAGCCAGTCCATGTTGTTTACGCATCTCATCAGTGATAGGTAGGGTCTGATTTACAGGTAATAGGTCGTTGATCAGCATGGATACGAAGGGACGATGCTTCCCATCAGGGGTTGTTGTACGTTGGCCATTTTCTTTCTTACAGAAGTTGAAAACATCATATTTACAAGAGGGATAGGAAGATATAAGTTCTACAAGGCATTGTAGTAAAAATCCAGTATAAACGAACTTGTTATTCTCTTGTTTCTTTTCCTCGTCTGTTAGAGTAGATTTCTTATTTAAGGCAATCACTTCGGAACGAACTGTCATAACTTCATTCAAAAGGTAATAGACGACCTTCTCAGAAGGGGAGGATGGTTTGGCTTGAGTGGCTTCCATACTATTAGTGCCGCTGTTTCCACCATTATCAGTTTCAGAAATCGATGTAGCTTTCTCATCTTTATCCTGTTTTCTCAACTTGATTTGACGATTAACTTCATAATTTACATAGCGAACTAAGCGACAAATATCTGTTGTAACATTAACGAAAACAGATGGAGCACGAAGAGCCACATGAGCATTACTGCGTACAAAAGAATTCATATCCATAAATCGTGGCCTTGGATTTGTAAACCAGTTGGTAATGATATCCTTCATAATGCTTTGCAAAACAGCTTTACTTTCGACGATATGACGAAGAATTAAGATAATGAAAGCTTGTTGACCTTGCAACCCTTCTAAACCAGAGCGAGGTTTAGCGAAAAGAAGAGGAACGCCGCCTAATTCGACGAAACGAAGAGCTGAATCATAATCTTTGGTTAAGCGTACCACCATACGTAAAATAGCATAAATATCATCACGGGACAAGTTTCTTTTACGCAACAAGGTCACACAAATTTCCAGAAACTTGGTACGATGTTCAGGTGTAACATTACCATCCTGCTCAGCTGTTGCTTCTTCCACATTTGTCGCAGCACTTTCTGAACCCCTAATTGCTGCTGTAGCATCAGGTGTTGTAGCTTCAACATCTTCCATAGGATCGTCTGCTTCACTTTCATTGTCGTCGTGGCCGTTCGCATCTTCAAATTGAGAGCTTCCTTCTTCGTCATCAGATGAGACAAACATACTAGATTGAGAATGGTTGTTCAGTTTTGCTTTCCTTGGTTCATCAGTTTGAGCAATAAATGCTTCCAAAACTAAAAAGAGAGTGGCTGTCCAAGCAGGCAAAGGCTCATCTGGATTATTAAAACTATTAGCAAAGGCATCAAACATGCCAAATAAGGAAGCGAAACGATGTCTAAGCTGCTCCATGATATTTTGGATGGGAGATTCGCGCAATAACAAAGCTAACAATCGGAATCGACGACTCACTAAAACTGACTTGCTTGTATCGTGACATACTTGACATATTTTATCCATAAGCATTGTTACTATCTTCACTGAAATAAAATCTTGTGCTTTGTTATCCTTATCGGAATTGCTTTCTGAATTATTGTTTGAAGCGTCCTCATGCTTGCAAAGAACTACTAATAAATCTCGTACATCGAATAACAGATCTTCACGCGCATCTGCCAAATCTAATAATGGTGAGGGCAAGGAATCACTTAATTCTCGACGGATAGTCTTCAGTTTCTTGACATTTTCCGAGACACGTTCATTCGTTTCTGATCCACCACTGCTTTCCACATGGCTATTAAAGCCAAGAGAATCAGTTAACTGCCGCATACGAGAATTATTCAAAGATTCCACAAAGCTCCCAATAACATCTTCCATCTCGCTGGATAATGGTTGATCTGCAAAATCATTGTCTTCATCTTGATCATGATGATTGTCGTCATCTTCATCTTCATCTTCATTAACGCGATCTTCATTGCTTTCATCATTGCCTTCACCATTGCCTTCAGTTGCTTCGTTGTTGTTTGGATTGCTTTCATCCGCATTTTGTTGACTATGTCTATCGTCAACAATATTGTCATTGTCAGTCTGTACTGATGTGGAGGCTCCCGTATTTCTTGTGCTGGGTGTTGAGCTTATCACCGGTGTAGGATGGCTAAACAAATAATCCACCGCACGAGAGACTTGATTATTGCATCGCATGAGAGCTTGCTCTGCCGATCTTCTCTCGAACCCCATATCAACTAAGGTTTGAATATTACGTTCTGCCACGACAATTGGTTGACGTACCAAGTTAAAAGTTGACGACATCAAAGGCCCGCCTAGTCCGAAAGGATCTACTGTTCCGCTTCGATTACTACCCAGATGACCTGGTGTATTGGACAGAAGAGGACCGACTAAACTACCTTCTCCTTTCATAATTTGTATAAAAAGCTTGATCAAGAGTTGGCTTGTGTTCTTAGAAAACGATTTCAACTGAGGGTCCTTCAAGTAATCCTGAAGAGCCATCAATTTCAGTTCAAGACCGATAATCCATTCATAAGGGTCAAAGTAATCTGCAGCGTTCTTATCTCTCTGTGTTAATGTAGTGGTATAGGTAGATTCTCGTAATGACTTGGGAGAACTTATCGCTAACAGAACTTTCAAAAGGCTTTCGATTGCGTCGTTGATATCGTTTTTGAGAAGAATGAGTTCTCTTTTCTCTGTTTTTTGGTTAGGATCGCTTAAAGCTTCAATTTCGCTTTGCAAAGAAAGCACTGATGTCCAATGTTGTTTAAATTGTTCAAGTAACAAATCGACACCGCCCTGTCGCTCAAATACAACCGCCAAAGGAGTTTGAAGAGATGTCTGAGAACGTTCATCTCTGAGCAACGTAGAGGCCATATCATAGGCGCCTTTCAGATAATCGTACCGGGCTGCAGTTGCCTGACGTTCCACAGGAGGCCAGGTAAAATTAGTCTTTAAGATTTCGGTCATATATTCTGCTAGTTTCATAGTCTGTGCTTTAGAAAGTGTAGCACCCGCACGACGGCTTACTGAAGTTTTGAGGAGAGAATGAAAAACAGGCATAATGACTGTCTGAACATCGGATAGTAAAGCTTTAAAATGCCTCAAATTGATCATACGAGGATCGTTTGCTGGCGGTACTTTCTTTGTCGTATCCGCAGTTGTTGATGTAGAAGCTTTAGCTTCCAACGATTCTTCAGTGGTCTCTTGTGAGATTATATCATTCTCATTCTCACCGCTTTCATTAGTCGACGATGGTTCAGCAGATTCATTTTGAACATCGTTCTCAGCATTATCTCTAAGTGAAACCGTGGCATCTTCGTTGTCGTTATTGCTGCTGGAAATGCCTAAGGGACGGTCAAACACACCAGGCCCTTTCTTTAATCCCGAGTAGACGTATGAAGACGCTTTCGCACGATACCAAGAAAACGGTACAGAATGCTTTAACAAAATACTTTCCCAGCTGACAGCACGACACAATTGGGCTAGCAATAGAATAATATTGTCATCCTTGTCTTCTGCCAGGAACTCAATTAGAAGAGATGCACCATTTTTACCGTGGGTTACAGGGGATGAACAACAGATATTAGAGAAAAGGGCTGTATAGCCGTGTAACACAATCAGATGACGAAGGAAGTCATTGCCACGCTCATATTTGTCAGTTTCTCCCTCTTGGACGTCCACAAATTCCTTTAAAATACTTTCTGAAGGGTAATTGTCACCTTTGTCTGTCAAAAATCGAATGGAGTCCTTCATCTTGGCAGCAATAGCCATGACAGTGGGTAATGGACTGACTTCACTGATCATACGGAAAAGGTAGGACAACGAATCATGGGCAACATCCATGGTGAAATTAGCGGGCAACAGAGGCAATGTGTAATAACTAAGTAAGAGTTCAGGACAGCCTTCTTCAACAAAATCCTTGATATTACTTTGATTTTGAAATAAACCTTCCAAGAACCTTGATACCAGATCAATGAAAGTAACTAATAAACAATCCACCTTTTCATCTTTGACATTCTCCTCATTTGTGTCCTGCATAGTGGTTTCTGTGCTGTTTGATAAAGTGCGCACTTGAATTAGATGCTTATCGTCTTTCGGTTTTCCAATGCCTTGCATATCATTCCCCATATCAATTACTTTTTTTATCATTGCTGTTACACACTTGAAAATGTTCGGCTTCAATGAAGGGTGATGCCGAATCAATTCATCGAGGGTTGATCCTAATGCAGTTGAACTGTCCAGATCAATAGGGTTTCTGATGAAGTCAGGTGCTGTCATTAAATCAAAGAAATGAGTAAGAGGCTGAATCGTATTGAACATATCTAAACCCTGGGCATTGAGACACATGGCTCCAAAAGCGTTGACAGCAGCCATCATCACTTCATTATTGGGTTGTTCGTACGTGGATATTGTTTGCAAAAAGCTTTGAGGTAATTTGGCTTCTTGTAGAATAGGTAAAGAAGTGGGCTCATTATGAATAAATGTAGTGGTGACGTTGGTAGCAAGAGCGAAAATACTGTTGCCAAAAATTTTGGGGTTTTCCATGATGATTCTCAAAGAGTGCGGTAAAGTAGAATCAATCAAATTACGTAAACCATCAGCGGTGCCTGAAGCTTCCATCATTCGTAACAAGAATTTAAGCATTGCTTTAATAGCTGATATTCTATCATGAGGAACAATACCATCGTTGATTTCTTCCATTTTTACGCTGTCTTTGACTGTTTCGGTTTCCACCTATTGGTAATAAGCATTTATATCAGTATTATTAATAACCGTGAATACAATGACGTTATCATTATTATAATAGACATACCTTGATGCGTGTCAATAGAATATCCAAACCGTTTACGTTACAAAAAGCCGAAAATGAAGATGTAAATCCATTAACAAGCGTATCAATCAACCCAACTACCTTCGCAATATTCTTGATCTGCATGTACTGAGAGTTAGCAACAATCTGCACAGTAATGGGAATAATGCCCGCAGACATCAACATTTGTCCACCAGGTTGAGTTTGTAATAAATAAGAGAGGAATGAAAATAATGAATCCAAAAAGTACTGTTGATATAATAAAGATGTTGATTCCTGCTGTTTTAATTGCTCTCGACTCTGATTGCTGATCTTGCGAAGGATTTGCATCAATGTGCCGTGATTGGCAGATGCGTTCACAGCTGTAAGAACGTCAGCCAATTTACCTCTATGGCGTACAATTCCTTCCAGAGCATATAAAGCAAAAGTTTGGATGGCCTAATGTATGAATTTTGCAACGTTTTCAGTAAAAGACGTTGTTTCTTCGTTTAAAATCAATACTAATTAAAGCGTATACTTACGACATCTACATTTTTTTCAGGGACAATAAGCTCGCCTATCTGTTGAATTAGATAAGGTTCATATATTAGGACTTTGTTTTGAATGGTCGTTTCTGTAGTAATATAACCTATACAACAAGAGAGGAATCATGTGTTAATCACTGCATCCAAAATTGACATTACGAGCTCCATCTACGATATCTTACACATATTAGCGAAAGACAATAAACGAATTCCTAATAACTGTCTTCGCTTATCCGGTTGATGTACGTATTTTGCAATTCGAATTCTATTCAACAATTCAAATTCATTGTCTTTTGGTATCTCATATTTCTTTCTCAACTCTGTAAATAACTCAAAATCAGATTTTTGCAAATCATCATTTGACAAGTTTAAATGTATCACTTGAAGCCCTTCATTTTGGGTATTTGTGCTGTCATTGCTGTCATTGCTGTCATCTTTAGTGCTCTCATTGATATTGCTATTAGATGCAGATATTGCTGCTGTAGATGACGTTATTGTGGCTGTTGAAGAGCGGTAAAATTGCAGATTGATTGTCGACATAGTGGGTGTAACCTCTAAGTCTGTAGATTGAATACGTAATAGGTTTGCTGCTTGCTGTACATGATTCCAACCTCGGGCCATTTCAAACACTTTTTGTTCCGGTATAGAAAATGAAGATCGAATAGCTCTCGGGTTGTGAACTCTTTGTGCTGGCCGAAGCATGAAATGGAGTACATTTTGTAAAATATCCAAATCAAATGTGTTGAATAGGTAACATAAATACTATAGAGGCTATGTCAGTGACAATTTCTAACGTGATATTTCGTGAGCTTACTGATAAATACCTCGTATGAGTTGTATATATTTCTGTTGGTACAATTTTCGAATAGAGTACGCGAGAGATCGAGAATAGACATAATGAGTTGCTTCGTTTGATCATCGAACGGTCTCGTTTGAAATTCTGTCAAATTGTATTCTACTTTACAGATTCTTGCTAAAATATCATCGAATCTATCCAAGACAGCCACCCAATAGAAAAGGTCACCTCTTGAATAGGGCCAGTGGATCAATTGTTGAACAAGACTTGGGATCTTTTCCTCAGGTCCAGTTTCCAATTGCTTGATTAAGTCACTCAGCTGACGTGGCTATAAACAAATCAATGCAAAGAATCAGTATACTTCATGGTTTCTCTACTACAAGGGTACTATTAATAATATTACCAAAGGAGTAAGTTTCTTTGAAGACGCTTTTTTGATCTTCATTTTTGGATATATACAATGGCTAATGAAGGTGGACAAAGAACAATTGTGCTTTTACTGAGAATTTATTCAGAATTCACACACTCGCAGCTGAAATAACTCTTTTTTTTTATTTTCGGACTAACAGAAATTGCTTTGACGTCTATCTACTATGTATGTCTTTCCCTTATTATTGTAACTGTTTGATGTCGAGTATAAAATTTGCCTGTATGAAAGTTTACCGCTTTGCCGATATAATAAAGGGAAGAGAAAGGAATAAGGGAGAGCCTCTTACATTGCTACGGCATTCCTCTAGCAGGCTTTAGAGCAGCTGAGGGAGGAGTTTGAACTATTAAAGCAGCAGCAGCCTAAACCAGTGAGAAAGACAAAGTTCGAGGCTATCCGGTTATGATGATGAAACCGCAAGAGAGAACTAGAACCAACCGCTGAAAAGTTGCCAGCAAATAGAACTCTGCAAATTTATTATTTTAATAGTGAGCACAAATAGTAAATGCTATAACGGGCCCAGTTTATAGAACATACTTGAGCGGCCCTAAAAAGATTTTGCCAGTTAATGACATCTGTACGCTATACTTTTCAAGAAACTAGCAAGAATTGAATTGGCTAAACGTACAACAATCAAACTTCTGGCTATCCATGTAGCTCTGAACACTGGCTCTGTTGAAAACTGCCCTCTCTTTTCATCGAAGTCTTCTTGCTATAACGGCTTATAAAATGTTCTAATCTATTTATGTCATTCAACTAATGAATTAGTGTGTGAATAAGAAGACAGCGAAAGTCAACGATGAATTATACTGCATATACTCATAGCAAGGGCGGAAGTATTACGAAGAGTCGAAGGGTTTGATGTATAGCATCCTCAAACAATGGCTCTCCAAAAAGAGGATGGTGCTCCACAGGTTAAAGCTGACATAAGGGAGGTGAAGTGAAGTTGACAGAGAACGCTCAACCGATCTTTGAAACGTAAATTACGAGACAACAGAGTCAGCCAACAGCAAGAAACATTCAAATCAATCATTTGCTTCAAATAAGCTGTCAGCTATTATGCTTGTTGAACAGCTTCACTTCATAATTTCATCAAGGGAAAAGATGAGCTAACAGTGAATACAACTGTTGTTTGCTTTATTTCGGGAAAATTATTCACAAAGTTAAGTCTTAAGTGATTCATTGTATATTCTTATATTTCTTCGTTTTATGCATGCTTATTGCGGGTATTGTTAAGCTACTTGGACACTTCTGACTAAAATTTCGGAAAATGGAAACGGACAGTGACTCACTGAGAATAGAAATCCGGTCGAAAAAGCTGCTTAGAAAGTTTGTTCATTTGCTGCGCCCTCAATAGTATTATATGAAGTTGAAATGAAATGGACAACGTGGTATCTGAAGATGATTTAATGGGAAAGTTTGATAAAAATGGTGTTCTGATTTACGTTGTTGATATGATTGTTGACACAGTTAACTATCCTCTGGGTGCTGTTATTGATGTTAATAATATAATGAATTTAAACCTCCTGAAAGATCCAATGAAAGAAGATCAAAAAAGAATCCAACGATAACTCTGATAGAAAGCTGGTAACAATGAAGAGATACCGAAAACATCCTATAGAAGATTAAAAAAAATAATATGGAAACGTTTTTCTATTTACTTACCGAAAAAGGATTGTTAGTTCGCGGTACAGCGAGCGCGCTCATCATTCCTAAAAGCACCGCGTATGGCTGGCATAAAAAGGGTATTGAGGCGGCAGATGAGTTTGTCGATATAAGGAAGGCTGGCAGTGGCCAGCCAGTTGGCAGACCATCACCTCTGACTGAGACTCGTCGACAAAATCTTCCCCAGCTTATTGACGGTAGCACTGGTCTTCGTTCAGATCAAATGTTGGAGAGCTTGACCAATCACTTCATGGGCCTCACTGTTTCGAAAACGTTCCTCTACAATTTCGCAACGCAAATGTGTCGCTTCAGCTTTAAAAAAAGAGTCTATGATGACGCTAGTAATACCTGTTAAAACAAAGGCGTAGTCCCGTTGTAAAAAATTAAAAATGGATTTTGGCCTCGTTTTAACAAAGGCGTAGTCCCGTTGTAAAATAATAAAAATGATTTGGGCCCGTTTTAACAAAGGCGTAGTCCCGTTGTAAAATAATAAAAATGACTTGGCCTCGTTTTAACAAAGGCGTAAATTTGTCCAAAACAGAATTTGTTTCCTCTCTGGCAATAAGCATACGGCCTGGCTTCACATTACTAATCAAGAATCAATCTCCTTTCATACAGTTGATAAGTCCATCTGCTGTGAGATACCTAGGATATCCTATCTTCTCCGCAAATGCCCACCTAAGACATTATTTACATTCTATTAATCTGAAAATCGCCCGTCACAGTAACCTACTGAAACAACGGGGAGTCACTAATTGCTCAAGTCCTTGATGCATAGCAAACTGTGGCATATATTGCGTGTTGTAGCTGTGCCTGTAGATTGGTTTGATAAACTTCATCGTATTGCCTGTTCCTTTGAGGTACCATTATGGCCTGCTCCATCTTGGGATCGTATGCTTATCCAAACGTTTCGTTTAGATTTAATGGATCCGCATCATCAGCACGTGGCTCTTCATCTTGTGTATGTCCAGCGCCTCTTACAGCGCCCCTAAACCATGGATTTGTCTACCCATTACCGAACATTGTATCCAAGTGTACACTAGTCCGTTGTCATTATTACCATGGATTTTAACTGACAATTAGAGCATGTACTTTCGCGTTTTCCCAATATGTTCCACCTATGTTCTCTCTGATGAAACTTCCTTCTTCATCTCTTTCATCTTCGTGGTATGGCTGCTGAATTGTCGATCTACCTCTTCGTTTTGCTTTTCATTGGTTCTCCACCTTTGGATCTCAAGAGTATCCCACTGAATTTGCTCGTTTTTACTGTTCTAACTTGGTCTTTGGTAACTGACTGTTTCTAACTGATAGAGAATATGTACTTTTAGGAGTATCCAAAGTTACAAAGGATACGTAGTCTGCTTTTCTAAAGACCTCAGCAGACCTCCACCACTTATGAAGCCAATAATCATTTGTCACCAGTTGACATATTTGATATAGATATCGAACATTTGAATGATGACTGGGGTACCATTACCCGTAGCCATTCAGCAGCCTCAACGTATGTACAATTTAGTAACAGAGCTTCCCGAGGCTATGGAAGCATAAAGACCTTCACATCTATCACATTTTTTCCCCATCGACATAAACATTACTGGAAATAAAAGTGTTTAACTGCACTTGAAAGAATAACCATTCAGAAAATATCATTGAAGTTAAAAGTAAAAGTTGTATTGCGTTTTGTTTGTGTACGCGACAGGCCCATGGTATTACTGCCGACAGAAAGTCCTTCTTCCCCTTGATCATTACAGGATGAAGTTTAAATAATGATTGTTGGATCTAAACAGTCAATTGAGAAAGATAGAGTGGTAGATATGAACTTCCGTCAAAAGCTGTTCTAGAGCCTAGGAGATGCGGCGTAAGTCAAAAAGTCCAGTCATTAATTATAAGACTGTAGTGATCACATTGTTCTTAGTTATCTATTTATAACAAGAATATTTATGCACTTTGAGAGCTAAGAGACGGAATTGTGCTTTTATTAAGAGGGTATATGGTTTGTATGCTATCATTGCCTTTCGCATTTTAAGACAGCACTCAACATCAGACAGGATCAATCGGAGGAGTTGATATCCCCGTTTTCCATTTCTTTTCCATTCCATTACATTTTTCATGCGGGTCAAAAACAATTTTTGCTCCGAACTTTTTTTTGCTACCTTTTTGAACGTTTACTAAACCAGTCTACCTCATTAAAAACAAATCCAGAAGCAATCATGGAGGGAATGTTAACAACTTGCCTTGAAATGCAAAAGAAGCATAGTTCCATGCAGGATGCAATTTTAAAAAAACTGGAGAATTTCAAGGAACTGTTGGAACAGACACAGCAAGATGTTGAACAAGGTAGTTTGTTGACCATGACCACAACTCCTTGCATTAAATAACGAAACAGTAAAATACCGGCTAACAATTAATGTTTTGTTACGTCTTGGTTCAACTTGTAAAAGGTGATCTCGACCCTCATACTGCATTTCTAAGGATACATGAATCGTACAAGAAGTTTCACTTCCAAAAACCACAAAAGGAATTTGATAGTGCCATGAAAAAATTACATAAGGAAATTGATAGGGTAAAACAGCATAGAAGCCGTTGAACATATCTCATTTGGAGCAGGACTGAATATGTTAAATTAGAGATTCAAACAAGATATTTCGGCTATTTATCATCCAGAAGCCTTTGTTGGAAAAAAGAATGTCATTAATCGTAGTTTAGCATTGCACTTTGTTCGACAAGGACAATTTGAGCTCTGTGAAGAATTCTTAAACGAAGCAGATATTCCCGCAGATGACGAGATACGGGATACTGTTGAACAGTTAAGGCACCAGTTCGAGCAAATGTATACCATTATGTATCAGCTTGAAGCAGAGCAAGATCTGACAGAAGCTATCAAATGGGCGCAAGAGAATCATGACGGGCTTGTCAAATTAGGAAGTACGTTAGAGTTCAATCTACACAAAATAAGATTTATCCAGCTGTTATTATCTGGGGAAGCTATACAAGCCATTCAGTATGGAAGAGAACATTTTACTCCATTTGGAGAGAAACATTATGCGGGTAAAATACAAATATTGGACACAATTATGACTTAGTTTAGGCCTGCCAGCTTATAAAGGTTGCTTTACAGACATCAAACGATTGATGACGGCACCATTATTCATTAAAGATTTAGCAAACTCACGATATGCCGATTTATGTTCACCATCGAATTGGGTGGAAATCAAACGAGAGTTTCAAAAGGATTTCTGCTCTTTATTAAAAATGAGTGCTGAGAGTCCGTTATATACCAGGTTAGAACATCAAAGGATCCTGTGCGAATATATGGGCAGTATAATGATGATTATTTATTGGTCAATAGTGTTTATGTGGGCACAACAGCATTACCAGTCATCAAAAAGGTTTATACCATTATGGCAAGTAAAAAGACAGAGTGGAGCCAGCAGGATGAATTGCCAGTTGAGATACCTTTGAATGATGATTTGCGGTATCACTCTGTATTTGCTTGTCCCGTCTCCAAGGAACAGGCGACTGATAATAACCCTCCCATGATGATGCCATGTGGACATGTTATCTGCAAAGAGAGTTTAATGCGCTTATCTAGAAGCAGCAGAGCCAGCTCCAGGTTCAAATGCCCTTACTGTCCTAGTGAATCTTCAGCGGATCAAGCGGTGCAAGTTTACTTTTAAAATTCAACAAGCATTTAACAGTTGGTTTCTTTTTTATTGAACTTTTTGTTCTTACAAATAGTTGAATTATAAAAGAATAAAAATAATGTATATTTATTCTAACTTTTTAGCCTGATAAAGAACAATATAAGCAGTATGCCAATCACCACCTCCATCTAATCTTTCAATATCACTGTCTTGAAGAACAGAAACCTTATCATCATCAAACTTGTGCCATTCATTCTTTCCCTTCTTAACCCAAGCAATATAATGGCCTGAATCTGCAGATCTTCCAACATGGGTTAGGACTGCAACGAGTTCATATTGTCCAGTAGGATTGCAGCCGACGTCTTTTACTAACTCAGGGTCCAAATATTCTTTCCAATCCAATTTCTCCGTCTCGTCTACATCCATAGTTGTGGAGGAGGATACTCCTTTTGCTGCTGTTGAGGACGTTGCTGCTGCTACCTTACCGCCGTTGACATCGTCATTCATTTTCCTGCGCTTCTCTTCTCTTTCTTTAGCAACCTTTTTATCTTCAATCTCTTTAAGCTTTAGCTTTGCTTTGGAGAATTTGTTTTGAAGCTCAGGTGTGCAGAGTTCTGTCGCATCAAATTCTAGAGGGAATTTGACTTTACGTAAAATTTTTGCTTTGACTAGTTCTTGAGGCTTCCAAAAGAAACGAACAAATTGAACAGGCAAATATTGAGGTAACCTCGTGACGCGAGATTTACGTTGATATTTAGCCGAACGGTTTAATGTAGGTGAATTCTTTTCAATCTCTTCATTCAGTGACTCCAAAATACCATTGACCATATAATTGATATCTAGAGGAATACAAACAGAATTAGTATGGAACAAAATTGTAGGTTGTCAAAAAAGGTACAAACTGTATATACTCACTAATAGAAATATGACAGCTCAATTTATTGAAAGTGTCCTTGGTGATTGTCTTTTCTTCTTCAGGCGCCTCCTCACAGATAGTTCTACCGAAAACAAATTACCCCCATCAGAAGCTAATCGTTTACTCACGTTACTGATAGACTACTTACTCCGTTTGTAATTCACCTGTCATATAACGTTCGATAAAGTTCTTTTCCTCATCCTCCTTGGGCAATTTAGCCTTCAAGACCGAGACTATTTCACTCCAGCATTCTTCAGCATCTTGTTGCATAGGAATGCCTCCTTGACCTGTTTGAGAGAATTGAGGGAAACATTGACGTAGCATTTGCCAAAAAACCAAAGGAGGAAAGCCTTCAGTAGTCTTATTGAGGTTTATGAACAAATCACGAAGACTAGCTACCAGATTGCCTCTGTTATCGACACCACCAAGTCCTCCTGTGTATTTCTCTAAAGAGGATTGAAGTTCTGGCATAGCTCTCATACATTGCAGAGTAGCATTCTACATCGGCAACAGAAGTATTAAGTAAACAAATTCATTCTTTATCATTACTTTCACTGTCAGCAATGATGATGCGCTATGACAATTACCATATAACAAGTATTTCCAAGGTTCTCAAGACCAGGAGGAATATCCAACTATTATCCATATCGTAAAACAATGTTAATTTCTATAGTTTATCCCTCCAATATATTAGGCTACTAAAATATAATGTACCACTTCGGCAATTTCAGCATCGGTCATATCTTCCAAAAACTGAGTTGGTTTTGGTGGGGGCTTAGGCAGTTCGCCAGCAGTACCCATCATCATAAAGCTGTGTCCCTGTTTGATATTGCAAACCGTGTTTAGAATTATTTGATCATTATCATTTGTTTAGTTTATGTTGTCATATTTCTTACATCCTTCAAATTCAACTTGTTAAGATCGGTGTCATCCTTTTATCTCAAGAGAAAAGCGTTAAAACAATGAAAGCTCCTGGACAAAGTGCTTCTTGCACTATTCTTCAATACCTTTAAAATGCCACCCTTAACCATTATCTTTTGACGTTCTGGTGGAACGCCAGTCTGCGAGTAAACTTGAGTTTTGAAAAGTTCGGGTGATTCATCAGTATCTGTCAAAAACAGAATGCAATTTATGCATCAAACGTAAGCTCATTGTCAAAAAGGCTACATTATCTAATTACTCGATTTGTCAATGTGGGTTGATTATTATAGTACCTAGCTCAATATTTTCGAACTTTTTGCCTTGCCATTTAACTGTTACATTGATCTTTGGCATTTTGTGTTTTAATGTTTTTTTGAGCTTCCAGTGAGCAGAGAAATATTGCAAAGATGAGAAAATTCGCAGCAGGAATTGCTTTTACGATTGTTTGCAGTGACGCGCGTACAGACTGAAGGGAGTGATCTGAGCAAGTCGGTCTGGTTTTTTTTTCCTGCTGCGTCGTTAGTATTCTTTAAAATTCAGCGTATCGCAATAGGGTAAGCCAATCAGAAGGAGGCTTCTTTTACTGTGAAGAAACAGCTTTGTTTCTTAATGAAGTTATGCAATTCACAGGAACAGGGACTAGCATCGATAAGTTCTCGAAGAAAGCTCACAACCGCCAGAACTTGAAGGAATAACGGGACTGATCTGGGGCATAGCGAACTGGAACGAATAGAGTAATCTGACGCGTGAAGCTTTTCGGAACAACTCAATTTTTTTCTTATTCAGACTAACATTATTATACCGTGATCAACTGGAGAATGTCATTGCCGAAAACGCCAAAGTCTGAAAGGCATCATCCGGTATTTAACAGTTCCTTGCAAAGGCAACATGCACCGATTTTTTTGCGTCAGGAATTAAACACATTGTTTAGCTGTTCTACAGTTAGAATTTGCACGAATAGACTTAGATTTTTGTTCTACTTTATTCAAACAATTCGGACCTGCATTCAAATTCATGCGATTTCTAATTTATTGCGAAATTGCGGAAACGGTAGATCTCTCCCCTTCCTGTCAAACGGTTTTTCTAAATACAGATAATGTGATTATAACGCTGAAATGACTGTCGTTCAAAACCAGCATACTACTTAATGAAATGGAAAGCTGTTTTGTTTGATTACAGCATAAAATATGGCTATGCTATGATATTTAGATAGCGTTTTTGTGTAGCTTTTTTCAGTCTTTGACGCGATTTTAACGGTTAAGAAGTCTATATAGGTTTTCTATTCTTTATCAAAAATGTCAAAGACATCTTGAATCAGATAAAATTGGTAAAAGAGCACCTTCTTTCATGACTTTCTATTCCAGTTGCATCTGTCCATATCAGGGGTAAATTTTTTTTTCTTTTTTTTAAAAATCAGTTAACGTTCTCAAATTTAAAGCTTATATTTGATAATAATTGGACTTCATTTTCTTATACGCTGACGGTGTTCGTACTGACTTTCTATAATGATACGTAGTATTTTGGCATAGAGTGCCTATGTTCCATCGTACTCTTGAGTGTATACCTTTAGATGAAAAATCTTGCAAATATACACGTTTGATTTCTACCAACAGCTACCAGACAATGTAGAAACTTAGTATTAAAACAACGATATTAATTCTTCTCGACTTAAATGAAATGGATATTGAATTCAAGCTTGAAGATGGTGAACGCGTGCCAGATTACTTTTAAAAGAATATTTCTTACCATTAACTTGTTACTATGAAGACATCGTTTAAGCCGATTTTCATTTGTTTCGATAAAAATAGGCTAATAGCAAGGAATCGATTACAAAGGGCTTACTTTTCAATATTACATTGAGATGCAATTGTTATTGAAATGATAATAATATTCGGTCATATTGATTCCCTTCTAGCGGTTAAAGGACTTAGACGGGATATAGGGTGTTTACCAAAAGATCATCATATAAAGAGACAAATGTTCGTTAAGCCATTGAATCGGCGAAACCCGATTCCTTTTATAAAGTGAGAATTTTAAACTACAGCCAAAGAGCAAATATAATGGTTATAGTGAAATAAGAATGCGGGTAAAACAGAAATCCAGAGATCAGGAATTAGTATGACAGTTTATAAATAAAACAAGATATATATCTTTAGTGAATAACCCTTATATTTACTTTAATATAAAAATAAATAGAATAATATATTTCACTTTCTTTTCTTTCAAGTTATAAAAATTTTACTCTGCAATCTTACTCTTCTTCTTCTTGCTTTCTTTCTTTTTACAACTTCTTTTTCGATTATAGTTACATACACATTATAAGCATCACAGCCCTTTGGTTAACAGCCCACCCTATTCCCTTCTCTTCCTTTACGGCCGTAGTGTAACCTCTTCCCTTCCTTACTTCCTTATTCCATTCCTTTGCATTTTTGCTATATTTTTGCACCCAATCCCTTCGTTTTTTTGATATACAATTTTACTCTAAATAATGAATACCTCTATGAATAACACATCTTTCGGTTTTGACAATTACAACTTTATGCCCGCACCATACCCTCCTAAAATGGACTACTATGATACTCATCTATATCCTTCTGCGTCCCCAACACCAGGTATCACGTCTAACATGCGTTATCAATTGATTCTAACTGGTTTGCTAAGTTAAATTTGCTAACAATTAACATTTTTTTGGTTATAGGTTATCATGGTTACGAAAACATGGTTCCTATGCAAAATGTACAACCTGTAGTTCCATCGCAGATCGATATGTATAATAACATGCCTTCCAGTCCGGAGTCATCTGCCTCAGCGTCTATATCATCTTCTTCATGCTCACCTCCCAACCCTTCCGTCGCAGCAACGCAGCCTACATCAGGCACAACAACCGCTTTACCGTCTCTGAATACAATCTCTACTGCGACAGTTGCCACTGGTGGCACAGCTAACGCTTCCAATACATCTGCCACTGCAGCTAATGCCTCTACGACTACCACTTTACCAAGCTGTTTATCCCTTACGGAAAAGATCAACGAACGTATCGCCCAGGTGAACAAACTTCCTGATTCATTTTTGCCCGAGTTCCATCAATATTCCAAAGAGACATACGAAAATGGTGGTTCGCTTTTGAAGAAACGAAGACGCCGCCATTGCAACAATTTCGGTGGCGCTGCCAACGGTGAGGATGGAGAGGATGAAAACGGCGGAAATGGAGGTATATCCGCTGCGGAACTGCGACGTCAAGTTCATATTCAATCTGAACAGAAAAGAAGAGCACAAATCAAAGATGGCTTTGATGTTCTGCGTCAACACTTGCCGGGTTGTGCTAATAAGAAAATGAGCAAAGCTGCTTTGCTACACCGAACAGTTCAACATTTACAACATTTAAAGAAGAATCAAGCTTCCATTTTGACAGAAATAGAGCGATTAGTTCAGGAGAATGAGAAACTGAAGGCAGCAGCAGCAGCTCAGCAGACACATTCACATCCTCATTCACAACCACCACATCATACCCACCTTCAACCCCATCCTCCACATCATCAACAAGCTTCTGCACAGCAAAGACTCTACATATAAGCTAAGAGCAGATAGTACAGCAGACTACAAAAGAAAAGTTCGACCAGTATTCTGGAAAAAAGACAGAAAATCTTTCCAATACCGAGAAACCACGTTATACTGCTAACTCTCCTCTGCATTAGTAAAGATTCAAGGTTTGAGGACACACTAAACCATCAAGGCTCCTCATCCGTTTTTCCTACATTTTCTTTATGCCCCTTTGATTTTTTTCTTTTTTCTATCCAATTTCCTAACCAGTGATATACAGTTCCTTACCCATACCTTTGTACTCTTATTTGTTTCCCTTTTCCTCAATAAAACTCTTTTTTTATAACATCACTTCTTTATAAAGCTTACAGAATTAAGCAGCAGTCTTATAAGGACTTACTAACTAGAAACCAGAGGATTTAACAGTAAGCATTAAGTTCGGCTTGCGTTTGAACGATAACATTTTTTTATAAACGCTTTGGTCGTTCCAGATTACAATGGGTCGTAAAAAGATCAAGATTCAACCCATCCAAGAGGAGAGAAATAAACAAGTAAAGTAAATATGAAAATTTTTTGCTTGCCATTCTTATACCAAAGCAAAGGTTGGCTGAACAACTTTGGTAACAGGTCACCTTTCTGAAACGTAAGCATGGGTTAATGAAAAAGGCTTATGAACTCAGTGTCTTATGTAACTGTGATATCGCTTTGCTAATATTCAACCACAGTGGAAAATTGGTACAGTACGCCAGCACTGATATCGATCGAATATTGATGAAATATACGGAGGTACGATTATCACATCCTTCAATCCATCAATTTATATATGAAACCTGCATATTCATGCTAAATACTTTATCCATCCATATTATAGTACAATGGACCATATGAATGCAAATCAAACTTGGATGTAAAAATGCATTAATACTGAATTTGTTCGAACGAGGAATCCACTAACACGCATATCTATACATGCTACCCTCTCAAACACTCATAGTTCGCAAATACTGAAGAAAATGAACATTGGGAAGATGCAGACGATATGGTAGCAGATGACATGGATATAAAGATGAAAATGGAGGAGGAACAAAACAACAATCCTTCAAAATTGTTGACAGTTAGCTCCCCTGAGGTAGAGCCACCTACGCTTTCATCTGAGCAACAGCCGGCAAATGAAGTTATCAACAATGCAACAACACCTGTACAAGTAGGAAATATACATGAAACAGAGCCGAAAGAGACTGAGGTCAGTGATCTTTCAATCACAGAAGCACCAAAAGCTCAATCACCTCTACTTTCAATACCAGCATCTGCAAATGCACTCCCCTCTGCAATGATGGTGTATCATGGCCATTCCGCATTTCCACCGCCAACACAGCAACAAATTCCTTTACCTACTGCACGATTTCCAATGCAGTATGCCCCTCCTTTGCACCCATCTTATCAGGGCTATTACGATATGTACAGTCATTCGCTGCCACCAGCTCCACCACCAGGTACAATATATGCAATGTCGCAACCTACGTTTACACAAATGGTACCTGCACATCCACCACCACCACTCATGCCTTATCCTACCTACATAAGTTATGCAGATAATAGCGCAAAGTTTTCAATGCCGTACCAACCGCAGCAGCTGCAGCAGCCGCAACAACAGCCGCAACAACAGCAGCAACAACAGCAGCAACAACAGCAGCAACAACAGCAGCAACAACAGCAATTGCAACCGCAACAACAACTCACTGAAGAGGAGAACAGTAGTGTTAGAAAGCCACCAAAATTACGAGTACAAATACCAACAGAAGCAACATCAACACCATTGATGCAAACTTCGTTACCACAGCGTCGGCAGTATCCTGCGCCCGTAGGGTTATCCTCAGATACACCATCAACAACCATGATGATTGTTGGCCCACCATCAGCGTTACCATCACAATTTGCTCATAATTTACCTTCTCCATCTACTTATTATCCGGAATTTTATCAGCCTGCTGAATTGTTACCGAGCCCATTGCAGTTCTCAGCAGCAGCAACACCGACAACCTTTTATTGGCCTCCACCCTCAGCAGCACCGTTAACAGCATCAAGCAATACTAATTCTACCACAAATAATAATAAAAATGCAGCACATCATTCAGGGAAAGTAAACGTTGGAGGATATAATGAATGTAAATCGTCGCCTTTGGTTAAAATGTAGGCTTCTTAAACGTCAGGTTCTTTCACTAATATATATAGAAAGGGGCTGTTAACGACCTTTTTATTCTTTTTTTCCACAGTACTGAAGAAGATAATGCTTCTTGTTCAACCGCTACTACGACTAGAAAGCGTACACGCGAGAATTCCATCAGTTCAAGGGATGGCCATAAAAGTGATATGGCAACTAAAAGGCCAAAGTAACAAACACAATCTGTATTTATTTGCTTGAGACTTGTTCAAATTATTTTTAAGATATTATATATACAGTGCTGTCAAACAAAGGCTCACAGTCCGTCAAAATAGTAGTCATTGTCAACCAGAACCAAATTTCGCACTTTCAGAAATAGAAGTCGTATTTTTCTAGGTGAAATGATTTCTTTGGGCATAAGTTAAATTGAGTACAATATTTGAAAAGATGGGTATGGAAAACATAATTGATCGTATGATAGTTCCGAGCCTATGGAAATACATTGTTTTATGTTATTGCTGAGATAGTGGCTATTCAAACTGAGTACTTGAAATCCACGACTCTCGTGTGAACCTTCTCTAAATTTCCCAATGTGGGTTGAAAATCAAAAAAATTAAAGATACTCATATGTAGGAGACAAGCCTAAACCAGAAATATACGTGTTATATTGTCTAGTTTTTCTTTCTTTTCTGACAGAACGCGGGAATAATACCTAGCGATTGCACACATACTGAAAATGCTTTGGCGAGAAAAACGCATCAAATAAAAGACATGAGTAGATCCGCGAATCTGGAATATTAAACATTATGGGATATCAATGGCTTCTTTGCATCTGTTTGATAAAACAATTTCGATGACCGAAGGGTGTATCATAAGAATTATTAGATCAAAAATGAAGATGCTAGTACGAAATAGATAAATAGATACTCAGCTCATGATGTTTTCGGTTTTCTCACCTTGAGAGTATATTGAGAATTACCTACATTGGTTAATATTACTTGTTATTGTTTAAATAGGAAGATTTCTTTATACAAGGCATAAACCTATTCCAATAGATATGTTATAATCAAATATAAAAAACAACGTCTCATGCCATTATTTTAAGACAAAAGTAACAGCGAATTAATTGTTCAAATGGTTCACAAATCAACTTACTAACACAAACGCCTCTTTTCATTTTATATTAATTCATGCCCAAGATTTCATTAGAATACAACAGCACTTCACGCCATGATTTTTTGATTGCGAAGTGGTTGCGGTTGGTAATGACATCTATTCTGACGGCATGCGAGCTTTTCGAAAGCACTATACATACTTATAGCACATAAGAATCAACTGTAAAAGGAGAGGTATAAACAATCAATTTGTTGTTCGAGTTGATTCATCCGTGTGAAGAATAGTGTTTGAGTTCTTCTTTTTTCTTATGCGATGTTGTGTCAACTACATGATATTAACGGAAAGACGCAATAAGCACAACTATATATAACACTATACCGGTTTTTGAATTGTATAAGATACCTACACCAGGATTATTTATCATAGTATAAGCCAAAAACCAACGAAATCTTGCTCTTTTATTAGGAGTTAAATCTTTCCCTTTAACTCCAAGTGCTTTTGATGTTGCTGACGAAGAAGGCATCAAAATTCCCTTGGATGGTGTGTAGCATTGCCTTTCCAGATCTTGCTTTCGTTTCTCTTTTATGTTCTTGTGTGAATAACAATAGCGCATTTTTGAGTCTTTGCCCAACAATTTGCGAACAACAGAATGGTCAATGCTGTCGAGTAAACATTCCAGAAAGACCAATACTACAGGATTGTTGTAGTAATGCTCTGCCAACAACTACATAACAGTGATCAATCAATTTCTGTAAGGATATGTAAAGAATTCTCTTTTATACTTGGTAAAAAAAAAACAAAACAACCTACCATACCACAATAAGCAGTAAACCCTGGAATCAATAAGTGACAATGTAGATTGTTAGCTTCAAGTTACTAGTAATAAGAGCAAAATTACAATCAAATGAGAAGTAACTCACCGCCATCACCGCGACGGACACTCCAAGTTTCAGCATTTCTATCCACTCGTAGACTAAAAAGAGGGTATCGGAACAACAGCTTCAAGGTTCTCAAAATATATGATGTGAGTGCTCTGGTCATGGAGGTTAACATCATAAAATACCAATAGTGCAAAAAGGGTGCTCGGTGATGAATATTGAACCTTGTGCGATTCTCAATAAATATCAGATTTGTAATTCGCTTCTGAACCATCTGGACCAAAAAAGCAATCAGAAAACTTGTGAAGTAGACACCGTACCCGACACGTTGAAAAATAACATCGCGAAGACGGTCCAATTGGATCAAAAGTGTTATCAATGTCCCAATGAAGCTAATCTCGAGCATGAAGTAAAGCGTACCAGTAAAACCTATAGGGCGTTTTAAACTATTTAATTACAGAACATCCGACTTCAAAAAAGAGGTAATGGCTTACCAAAACCGATACAAACACCCAAAAAACGGATAGCATCATCTATATCAATTCTTTATGAAGAAAAGATTATTATAAATAAATGAGAGCCTACAGATCATAACAGATGCATTACGTTTACCCGTTACATCTTTTGCCTTTAAACAGAAAGTAATTGCCTTGACGCAATAACAGAACATCCTTGGTGAATCGGCGAAGTATTCCGAGAGAATAAATCATACATACTATTACAATGGAAATCCAGATTAAACAATGAGTGCGATAAGGACAAGAATAAGCAATCTTTTGAACTTATATAGCATACATCCACCTGCACCTAAGGCCGATATATAAACTGCAATTTGCATAAGTAAGAAGGTTTTGATAGCAAACTCCATAGGTTGAGGATGGTATTGAAACTGAGAAAGGTACGGTGACCAACTACAGATATAAACAGGTACAATACCGCCAACACCTATCATCTGCGTCAAGAGTAATGGTATCTACAATAGAACAAAAAGTTTGTGGTAAGCTCTTTCATTTTTGGTTTCTTTTCAAGAATGCGTTAGAAAAGCTCTTATTTTTAAGCGTATGTACCAATTGAGCTAGACAATAAAGCAATAATGTTATAGAAGTCTTGATAGCAAACGGAATCCTATGGAATGTTTGTAAAAGTGTCATTAGCAACTTACATCATCAATTGAAATGCCATAGACTAGCTGACGGCTTTCGACCAATTTTCTTAACACATACCTAACAAACTCGTGCAATCCGAATAATCTTCTTAAAAACTTTTTAATATACATTGGTTTCACTAAGAGTCGATAAAAATCCTTCTTCCATAGAATATCAGACAACATGAACCATGCTAAACTTAGAATAATGTTTACGTCAAGTAGCTATGTATAGCCAGTAAAAAACCAAATGTTAGTCATTTCAGTCATCAATTTTTAGTTGTTGACTAGCTCTTACATTATAAGAGGCTTCCTTCTTTTTTCCTTTTCTTGATCTGATCAGACGCTTGACATATTGCTCTTCTATGTCTTCTACAGCTAAAAAATCTATACTGCATAGTGTACACGGTTGAAACGTGATGTAACGTGTGATGAAATAGAGTAAAACGATACAGTAAGCAATGGCAGTTGGTATGGCTGCTAGAACGTTGATGATGAGGAAGGGCAGACTACGAGCATAAGTTATTACGTATGAAGGAAGGTCCAAAGACAACCGAAGACCAAAAAGCGTACAAGTAGTGAGAATACCTATAATAGAGCAGAATAGGAGAATTATTGTCATAGCATTAGATCCTATCTTTCACAAGAAGCATCAATAGTCTTCTCAAAAATAAGTTTACAGAATTTCATTTACCAAATAAATTCGCTGTTCGTGAGCGATAACTAGCATGATAACAAAGGAATACCTTAAAGACAAACATAATAGTACAAAATGAGTGGTTGATTGCATTGACGCCTCAATAAAAGAAAAAAATTTTTCGTACAGGGTAGAAATACACGGCATACAGAAAGAACGATAGAAAGAGCTCTGTTATTCAAGAGTCAAAGATATGGTGAGCTAACATAAAGTATCTACAAAGGAACAAAAACGAAAAGCTCGCTGCTCGTACAACTTACCAATAATTTTCACTGCTCTTGGAAGCCAATCGTGGAACATACTCGACTGAGAATTGATCATATTCCATGCTTGATTGAAAATAAATGAACCTGAAAGGTACTTATCAGTAAAAAAATCTGACGAGAGATTGTTGTACTAGCGTATGTTACCCAACATAATAATAATACACATGAGAACCTTATGTGATGGAGTTCTGCTTAAAAAGCGGACAGGTCTGCCAATACAAGAGTTAGAAACGTCAATCCGATTATTTTTAATATTAGTTGTACTTACGGAGGGAAGCTGAAATTCGTTACCAGAGTCATGATACCAAAAGAAACTGGAATAAGTACGAAATTAAACAACGAGACGTATTGCAGCAGCGATGCCGTCTGATTGCAGATTTTTGTTATAGTAGCCAAAGGGCTGTGGACGTAAAGACCAGCATATATATATGAGAAGCACATAGGATCAGCTCTTGAGCCATAAAATTGAATTGTCTATGTATATAAATAAATTATAGAGGATTTTTTATGTTAGTGAAGTCGGATCTCACACGTAGTTGTATGATTGAAGGACGATTTTTACGATTCGCCTGGTATATCTAGGCAACGTGATGTCAGGTATAGTAAGCTTATTTCGCATAACACCACTGGAGTGTTTACCGATGAGTTTATCTTGGTAGTCAAAAAACTGATAATTGACCATCATGGCTCTGTCAAAAGCAACAATTTCGAACATAATCGACTGTTTATCTGGGTGATGAATGGAAGGAATAACTGTAAGGTTCTATGACGACGAAGATATCGTTTAATCACAGAAATAAAACCTATGGGAAAGCATATAGCAAATATGTCAGAAAGGCGCAATCTTACCATAGCATGATCGTCAACAAACTTCTTCATATACCACCCTGTAACAGTAATATTTTGCGATAGCGGTCTATCAGCTATGGCGACTATTTTATTGCCAGTTTGAGCATATGTGCTACCATCATCCTTGTATAAGAACCCAGTATCTTTGTAACGGTTTGGTGCACAACATCCACCCACTAATTTTCGGAAAAGTAAGTATACAAAAGCTATGAAGTAGTGATATGCAAGTATTTTACCAAACGCAAATGAAACCACAGCCTCTGTCATCGACACATTGACTACAATAAAACACGCGAGACGCAGAAGATTAGTCTATATAGAGATTCTAAAAAAATGATAGTAGTGATGTTCCATGCTCTCAATACCATATTGCTGTGGATAGTATACCCAATCATTATCTTCTGGTGTCTTCCATCCCGTGTCATTTAATTGATTGATCTGCTTGCAAACGCCATCTTCGAACATATTTTGCTTTCTATGATTTGCAGCATTGAATATTGAATGTCGGATTTGATTCTCTTCAACCATGAGCTGGATACTTACCCGTTGAGTACTTCCCAACATTGTGTGGAGAACGCGACTGTCAAGGATATGTTCTATTAGTCACCGTCCTCTGGACAGATTCTATTACAAAAGCAAAATTTCAAGAACGTACCACTATACACCAACGGTGCATAAATTAAAAAGATGATAATGCCATGCAGTAAGAGCATAGTTTTGGTCGAAAAATAATAACAACAGGAAAGGATGCTTGAAAAATGACTGTAGACACGTACTATTTAAATCGCCCGAACCGTACATTAAGGAGTGTATCCGCAGAAGAGATGCATCAATGATACTGTCAATTGTTGATGAATTTTATTTTTGTTACAATAAATCAAAGAAAAGACAGTTATTTGTGTTTTCCATCACTATAAAGTATTACAATGTAAAAATATATTGCCCTGCGTTGACTGTTGCAGTGATTTCTCGGCTGGAATAGTAGATGTGAAAAATTATTCATGTAAGCTTTTAAGTAATTGACATTAGAATCGACATACTTTGCTATAAAGTGCGTCTGGTAACTGTTCTATGACTACAATGAAGCAAATTATGGTTGAGCCAACTATGACAATATAATAAATGACAAATGAAACGTGTATCCTTTAACCGTTATTTAGGTCTCTTGACTATGCTCTTGCGGTAAGTGACAAACTTCCCGGTATAACTTGGCCCCTTTATCAGTGAGAAATACCCGTCTTGAACTGCAGCTTGGGATAACTTTTTTTTGCAGCAGCCAAATAATGACTCTCTAACAAATGCAATTGCCGTGCCCATCAAAATTAATCTGTAGCACCAAAATGGCGCGAAGATCAAATGTCAGGATGTTGTACAAAAATTGTATATTGTTGCTTAAAAACAATCTCTTTTCTTTCTGTTTGCAACTTATGTCGGACACAAAGAATCATTTTTCATTGATATCGAGCTTGTGGCAAATTTTTTGTCGATTATAGCTTTAATCTTTAAAAGCTTCTACATACTTATCCAAATGCATTTACTCAGATAAACTGTAAAGAACTCTCTTTAGAAACTATCTGTAATAGGTTGGTGAAATTTGCATTAGATATACACGCTAGACAGCGTGAGAAGGCAACAGAATAGGTTTAGGAGTTCAATGGAACCAATGGCAAGATTAGGACTCGTTCTTTATTCTAAAATTGGAGCATTGCCAGCTTTAGAGGCAAGATATCTTATTACGTGTACAATATACAATTTCAGTTTGAGCTTTCGGTAAGAAGTTCATGCAGCGGTTCTCCGCATTTATGTGCGACGTTTCGGGATTGGGGACATCTTTCTACGGGTTTTATTGCTCGCTTCTTGTATCTTCTGCAATCCAGCAATACGGCCTTATCAATGAGCGACACTCGTGCGGCTGTTTCAACGTCCTTTGACTTTGAGTCTTACATTAACAATTATACAGGTGATTACTGATAACACTATGTTTGATCACAAACTTACTAGATCTACTTTTCAGAAACCTTACAAACATCTGCTAATCTGTAGGTTATACACGCATTTCAAGGGCTTTATTCATAGCAAAACAAAGGAGAACACCGATCACACTTGCGATCGAAGCCTATAAATCAGCGCTGAAGGATGTTCAGGAGTTAACATTCAACACAACTAAGTATACCCAAATTTTAGAGCAATTAAATGCTTTATTACGCAGCCAAAATCAACCAGAGATACCGATTGATGAACAGTGGCTAAAAAACACAGCAAAAAAGTGCAAGCAAACAATAGATACATTAGACGCGCAACTCAAAGTGGCCAAAAGTCATATCAATAAAGAGGAGATTAGAGTAGGTGAAAATGCAAAGCAGACACAAATATCTAAGTGCCTCGTCCTTTTTAATCTCTATTTACAATTTTTCATTCATCATAACAGATAAGTCATCAAGAAATCGGCAACTTCTATTATAAAAAAGGCGATTTTGCGAATGCGTTAAAGAATTATGTCCGTACAAGAGATTATTGCATAGGAAGCTCCCACGTATTAGAGATGTGTTTCAATACCATCAAGGTAAAGAAGCATTCTGATCAAGGGTCTCTTTGAGTGGCCCCTAACATTTCAGTTCCTAACGCGGAATATAATTAATAGATATATATAGATGAAGGCAACTTTTCACATGTTATTCAAACCTATATCTCTCGTGCAGAATCTATCCCCAATGTAAAGGACGATGCTGACACGATAGCTAGGTTAAGATGTTGCCAAGCTATTGTAGCACTCGGAATGACTAGTGGTAGTGGCGTGAATAGCAGAAGTGGAGGACAGCAACAACCATCAGATTTTTACATCACTAAATACAGATCCATAGCAAACGCTTTGACGGAGATATCTTTTGAATCGGCTACCAGCACTCATAATGCAGTAAACGACATTATCTCACCCAATGATATAGCTATCTACGGCTCATTATGTGCTCTTATTACTTACAGTCGAAATGAACTCTACACAAAAGTATTGAACAACGTTAATTTCAAAAGCTTTTTAGTCATGGAGCCGGATCTTTATCATCTGGTGGAATCATTTTACAAGTCAAAATATGCTGTATGCTTTGATTTGCTTGAGAACAGATTTAGGCCCTCATTGGAGATGGATATGTATTTGCAACCACATCATGTAGAAACCATGATACAGTTAGTGCGCGAAAAATCGATGGTACAATATTGCTTACCCTATTCCGTCATTGATATGAGGAAAATGGCTACCGCATTTAATATGAGCTTGACTACGTTGGAGGATGAATTGTGTGCTTTGATTGCAAAGAAAGGAAAAATAGCAGCACGCATAGATAGTCATAGAAAGGTAAGATGAAATAATGCAGTAAAAAATTTTATGCTTTTACTAAATGTCTCTCCTCCCAGATACTACGAACAAATAAACAAGAAAAACGCAGCCAAGCATTCGAAAAATCTCTTTTAGCAGGTGAAGATTTCGAAAAGTCAACAAAAGCACTCTTGTTAAGACTGAATATGATGAAAGCAGATCTAATTGTTAAAAACGTAAAAAATTGAAGCGGGCATTGTCATCAACAAAATAATAAAAAAAAGCTCTAAAATAATCAGCATTGCATGATGAACTCTTTTTTTCTTTCTTCCTTTTTTGTAAAAATCATTTGTTAACCACTAATTCAGAATATTCATTACTTCACATTTGAGAGCAAATTGCCCACACTGGGATGGAGTCTGAAGCACCTACCAACAAGGTACAGAAGAACTAAATTCCACCTATTTGTAGTATAAGTAACATTTGACTGATTGGCAGCAAAAAGGGTCATCGATTCGCGAATTTGGCGGAGGATTTTGAGGAAAAGGAGCAATGGGCAGAAGCAGCCGAGGCTCATAAAAATGCAGCTGGTAAACCAAAGATAAAGCTGTTTCTCAGGCAACGGTATGGTTAAGCGAGCCTTTGTTTATCAAAATAGAGCAGTTTGAGAAAGCAATGAAGGATACTGCTGATACGGAAGTAAAGCGTCACTAAACAAAGCAGATGCAAAACGAAGCCTTGATAGTAGAAACACTAATAGTGAATATACATGTATACTCAATAGACCGTACGGACTCTACGACTGCTATCTGCAAATCATAAACGTAAATCGAATGAGTCAATGCGAAGATTACAAAGGATCAAAGCTGTCGCCAGTAAACAAAAAGAGGCTGGAACATCAGTACACAATCAAATAGCTATGTCAAGTGGGCAACAGCAACAACAGCAGCAAGAAGCTTTATTTGACAGAAGATCTCGGCAAAAGACTACAAAATTATTACACAAACAGACAGCAGCAAAACCATTAGATATCAATGATCATAGAATCAGCGAAATCGAGGAGTCTTACGCATTATTGTCAAATGTAATTATTAAATCTTCTAAGCCTATAATGCACATATGTTGTTAATGATACTTTTGCGTTGACGTCTGATGACGATAGGAAGATCAAGAAGATGACCCTTTCAATAAGTTCTTAGAAGCAGTAGAAAGTCTAGTACAACAGTTACTTAATCCAGCAGTCGCATTTACCTCTGCACCTTTGAACGAAAATGACTATCCCTTGCCATATACTAGACTTGAGCTGACCGATACAACGCGCAAAACGGTGTACCAGTACTCATCTATGCTTCAGCAGAAAGGCACAAAATCTAACAATATGTCTGGATCTTACTTTATGGTACCAACACCCGGTAAAGAAAATCTTGTTGAGTATTCGAATAATATGAAGATGAGGACAGAATATGACAATCGAGAAAGGTAAATACAAAGCTATACAACAAACGCCTTAAAAAATTCAAGAAATTTTAAAACGGTGACGTCCCTTTTTCATACAGGCCGATTACTGATGAAGAATACAGATTGGAGAACGACAGTCTGCGGAAACAGCTAGATCAGTTACGAAAGAGACTAAAAGCATTGGAAATGGTAAGTCGCAGCTCTAGAGCTCTCACTACGTCCACTTATATAACTATGATCTGGTAAAATAGTCAGCAGAAGAGAACAGCATGCTTAAGAGCAGTGTGCTTCAGTTCAGAAACGACATACATAGACAGGCTAAAAGAATAATGCAATCACAGCACGAATCTAATCTTATGAGATCCTCGGCCAATGCACTACTACTCAACCAAAATAATAATAATCAACAATATACCTCTAGAAACATGTATGGATCCACTGCCGCCATTCGACATTTAGCACCGCCAATACCCTCGACCACCCATCTTAATGGATCTGATTTAAGTGAGTTTAACTTGGTTTTTCAATTCTTCTCACTTATTATTAAAGACTGTTTTCTGATAGTTTCTCGCCTGAAAGAATTGGAAGATGAAAATAAAAAACTAACATTGCAAAATGAAAAACAAAAGTTATTGATGAACAAATATAAAGAAAGGTGGGAGATGTTGAAAGAGAACGCCAAGAAACGAAGAACGCCAGCATCAACAGCAGCTAATCAGGCCAACAGCGGTAAAACGTTACAACAACAACAGCATATTAATGTACAAAACGATGATGGAAGCGTTTAATTTATGATTTTTCCAAAGTATTTTCACATGCAATTTCATAGTAAAGTGTATTTTACGGTGTATAACTTTTACAAGAGGTCTGGAATAAAAATAGTATACCCTTCGTTTTTCCTCTCTGACTAGACATCGGTAAGTTTTGCCAGGTTAACGATCACTATGATGCACTTGTTGGACTCTCCCAAATCCTACAGATTACATGAACTCAAACAAACCCTTTGAATTTGATTGTGCGTATATGAAGTGAAAGAATTAACTTAGAGTCAGCCAAAATAACTCTTATAATTAATCTTGCATATTCCTAAATGCGCAAAATGGTTGTTGTTTCCATTAATTAAAGAGCTAAAATGATCCATCCTCATGCTTATTAACTATTATTTCTTACCGGTGCTTGGGTATTGGGTAAATCAGTTGCTGACGGTATCTCATACTACTAGTTGAACATTGCAGCTGCAGGGTTCAATTTGTTCCTATTTATTTGAAAATGATATGTATTCATTATCAAACATTCCCTACTCTTAATACTAATGTAGGCATCTTATATGCTCTTTGCGCATTTGCCTGTCCAAGCTAGAAATTTGACCTGAGGTTAAACTGGTGATTGTTATCGTTTTCAAGTAAGTTACTGGTCAGGCTGACGGACAGAGTTTCTGAATAGAAAGAAATGCCTTATGTTTTTTTAATATGTACAAACAGCTGTAAAGTGCGTTTTTTTTTTTATTTTAAAATCTTTTCAACATTTGACATAAGAAACTGAAAAATTCTTAGTATCAGTACCATTGATGGCCCTGAATTGCTCTTTACGTTCGGAATTTAAAGTTATTGTTTCCTAAATTCAAATTCCTGCAACCTTAATGTTATTTCTATTTTAAATTGTGCAAACTTGGCAAGTTGGGGAATATGCATTTCTTTTTCTTTCCTTCTTTGAACAAAAAACTGAGCTAGTCAGTACTTATAGTAAATTATTATGTCAGACAATATTGCTAAATATACATTGGACACCTCCGTTCCTGGAGAATTGAAGTCTAACGTTGGTGAGTTAGCCAAACTACCTGATATGGCTACCGCGAGTACTCTAAATGAAGAATCAAACATAATTGATAAGCCTAACGTTGATGATGGTCCATTGAAAGAACAAGAAGATACTATTCAAGTTGCTGTAGAGCCTACAAGTAATGGTACTACTGGTGTCCCAAATCTAACAGAGGCCAACAACAAACGACCCAAACCTTCTGCTCTCTTAGAGTCTACGTTGGACAGCTTGGCTATGTTTCCGACAAAGATTAGTCCATTCACGCAAAGATTAAACAAAGGATTTGTTCAAGTGAGACAGGTAATGGGGAGGGGGTTTCGAGCAACTTACACTTCTTAGTTTATTCAAGGAGCGAGAGCCAGTCGTGTATTAATCAATCAAATGTATGCGTTCTTAAAACTATTGAATAGATGGCCCAAGAAAGATTAGGTACAGCAGGTGATATAACTGAGCTCCCTGAAGAATATAAGGATTTAGAAAAGGTAAGCGATAGTTGTAAGACCTTAATATGAAGCCATGAATGAAATACATGTTGCTATTATGTATTCAACAGCCTTGCACTAATTAATTAATTTCCTAAAACAAAAAAAAAATCTTTTTTTTTTTTTTAAACACCTTTTCCGTGCATTATTAGAGAGTTGACGCGCTCAATCATGTATATCAGAATATTCTCAAGGTTTCAAAAACATACAGTGCACCTTATTATGATTATCCTGTTCAACTTCAAGAGTCGCTTCGTGGTTTGACGAATACTGTAACTAATCAAATTCAACAATTCAGAATTAAGCAGCCTTCTGCTGTTTCGACAGCTGCTGCTACGGATGCTGCTACACCTGATGCTGGTGAGCCAACAAGCGCTGCTTCTGCTGTTTTAACACCAGTCGTAGAAGAGCATCCAAAAACACTTTCTCATGCTATCGGACGCGTTGCTTTACAGTCAGCCATTGAAATTGGTGTCGATGATTGTGTAGGGGCCGCTTTAGAGAAATTAGGCGCCGCTTCTGAAAAATTAGGTGATGCTCGTGTCCATATGGATCAAGAAGTTGCGAACCGATTAAATACACCACTTCAGGGTAAATTAAAGAGCTCTATTGATGGTGCAAATAAAGCAAGACGCCAAGTGCAATCGAAGCGGTTGGCCTTAGATGCGGCTAAAGCCAACTACAGAGATGCTCCTCAAAATAAACTGGATCTGGCAAGATTAGATGTTGAGCAAGCTGAAGATCAATTTGTGGGCGCTGTTGAGGAAGCCACACAATTGATGAAGGCTGCATTAGAAGACGTAAGTTTCCTACTATAGTGCGTCTGTCAAAAGAGTCTAGGACTAACAGATAATTTGTCTATGTGTATGTGTAGTCGGAATTTTTAAGTGATTTGACAGAATTTGCTCGTGCTCAATTAAATTATTTCAAGCATGCTCAAGATTTGTTCTCTTCCTTAGTGCCAGAATTAGAAGGAATTAAACTAACTCAAGAATCAATGTATCGTAATATCGAAGATGAAGAGTAGAGTATATAGGATAGCCTTGTTTTTCTCTAATAAATCCCCCCCCACTGTTTTATAATGTTATGCAACAAGGTGTACATGTCATCTGCTCTCCCGTCCCCGGTCTCATCAGTATTGTTCATTTAATCTGCAATAAAATAAGAAACAAGAGCCTACTTACTTCTTTAGCTAAAAAGAGGGAAGAAAATGGCGAGTCTTATGCATTCATCAGGAGACATTTGATAATGTTTAATCTGAATTTAAAGTAACGCCAACAGCTGGCGGCCGCACACGGACAATCAATGCAAGGAAAAGGTTATGGTGAGGTGATCAGAAGCTCCCCACACTGCACTGGCGCTGGTAAAGCCCCGCCTTGGGTGATAATTGCAGTTAGAACACTTCCTCTTTTTGTCAAGGTAAAGGCAGCAACAATTATAAGATAACCATTGCCAAAGGGGAATATAGATGATAAGTTATAGTAAACGCCTAATGGATGGTCAAACTATCAGAGATGGATGGATGGATGGATGGATAGATTCCCTGTTGGGATGTATGATTGTATCCAGCAAATTAGGCGCAGTGTCAACTTACATAAAATCATACTATGGACCCCTTCGTCAATGGTGAATATGCCTGATTCAAAGTGGGACTCACTAAACAGCTTTTAGTATACCAGAATGGCCAAGTCTAAGAATCACACCAACCACAACCAAAGTAAATACAAACGAGAGATTGACTGGTTTAAGAAAAAGTATACTTAAATGACACTTTCTGATTTTCTGGTTGCATAAATGGAATTTTTTTGAAATAGACAAGAAGGCTCATCGTAACGGTATTAAGAAGCCCATCGTCCACAAGTATCGCCCACAAAAGCATGTAAGTTGGCCCTAACTATGCGCCATTCACAGTTGAAACTAACGAAGTTGAACTTAATTTACTACCACTTATAGTTGGATGCCAAATTCCTTCGTAACCAACGTTTTGCCAAGAAGGGCACTCAAAAGGCTCTTGCAGCTTCCAAGAACAACTAAGGTGGAACTAATATAGAAGGACACCCTCCGTCTTCCCCTTTGTGTAATTTTTCGCGCAAATAGACATACAACCCTGTTCATATATACAACATAGCAACAATCATTCGTTTTTTTTTTGCAAATATAATTTATCAAAGTAATTATTCTCGATTATATTGATGACAATTTTGACAAAGCATCTAGAACGAAAAGTTTACCAAAACAGGTTTGATTTTGCGCAACAAGGATTGCACCTGTCCTTCAAAAAAGAAAAAAAAAAGCTCGATTACAGTCTTCGGACCAAAATAGTGAGAAAAGATTCAAATGCGTCCAAATGGAGTCAAATTCCTAGTGCTGTATTTATTTGACAAAATTATATGAGACATGAGGAACTTGTTCAAATTGTTCGACATCGTCTTACTTCATTATCGCTGAAGTAAAAAAAGTGGAGAAGGAAATGAATATAGAACAAGTGATGATTCCTACACGATCTTAGCTGTATTGTAAAAGGTTGAGTAGGCTGTCATTTAGAATATACAGTTTACTTGGTTATGACCTTGGATATATGGTAGTAACAATGTATGACTTGGCTGTTGCTTTTCTTATTACAGCATCCATTTTAGGCGTTATCTTCCCTTCCATATAATGGGCTCCCGACCTGCCATATTCGTTGACAGTAGAGCCTTCCTTCTTTTCATACAAGAATTGTTTGTTTGAATAAAATACATTTTTCCAATGTGATTACGAGAAAACGAGAAAAATAAAAGCATTTGTCATAATTCAAACCGACGACAGCAAATAAACATTTATTTCTCGTACAAGTATAACAAATTCTGCAAAAATTTGCAAACTTGCTTCCTCGATGTGCAAAGCATAATTTTTTCATTTGCGAGTTTTGTAAACAATAGTGATAGTAGAGTAAGCGTTAACGAAGAGCAGACTCAACAATCAATGGCATAGTCCAACATCGTATGAAAAAGTCAAACAATGGGTGGATGTCTTTCAGTTGCCTTTTAAATAGTGGGTCTCAAGTACTGTACTCAATATTCTAAATAAGAGAAGGGATAACAATGAGGTTCGTGTCTTGTTCTGGAAAAGAAGAAAAGGGAAATTAAAAAAAGGGAACTTACATTTTGCTGACAATATTCCTTTACTTGATCAAACACTTTCAACATTTTACGTCGGGCACCAAGAGCAGCTACGCCTTTGGTCTTTAACGCCTCATCATCCAGTTGGATAATATCTTGCCAACGCATTTTTTCAAAAATGGGATTGTATTTATGTAAACGCATACTTCTGAGCCAGGCAGGCACATCTTTTACCAAATCCAAATTGACATTGTAATCGTCGTTATTATCATTGTTCATGAAAGTAGAAGTCGATGTTGTTGAGATAGTTTGAGGATGCATCCCATTCAAATGGCTGCTACTCATAGAATGCGGTGGCTGTTCGTGTTGTTGCTGTTGTTGGGAATGGCGTGGATGTTGATGGGATCGGTGGGAAGCGCTTGTTGGAGGAACAGGTTCACTATAGTCACTATTATAGCCATACAACCCATCTTGAGAAGCACTTTCCTGAGAAGATGATCTCGAAGTAGATAATCTTGCTGTAGAGTTTGAATTGAAAGAGGAACCGTACATGACAGGGTTATACTGCTGCTGCTGCTGCTGCTGCTGCTGTGGTGGTGGTGGTTGTGATTGTGATTGTGATTGTAGAGCATACGAAGAACGTCTTCTGCTACTATTAAATGCTGGAAATTGATTGCTATTGGTATTGTTGTTGATAGTCGCGGTAGTATTGAATGGATGCTGAGTAGTCGTGGTGGATAGAAAGTCTGGACTATCATATTCATCCTCATGAAGCGTGGTGTAATCAAACGGCATCCAGGATGTATGTTTCGATGGCCGGTTTAGACTACTCAACAAGGATGGAGGGTGTGTCCCTCCTGGTGTGGCTGTTGACCAGGAGGAAATATCAGCAGACCGTGGCCTTTCAATAAAATTTTGCTGTTGCTGTTGTAGCATAATATTGGATTGTCTTCTATTTAGCCAAGAATTAGCAAAAGAAGGATCAAATTCATGTTCAATAGAGGATGCCGGACGTGTCCTAGCGGTAGAAGCATTGCTCAATTTTGATTCCTGTGTTTGTTGTTGCAGTTTCGCAGATGCTGTATTCTCGTCGGGGCTGCTGAACCAGTCAGTGCCCATAAATCCGAACAATGCACTTCTATCGTTTATAGGGTCGCCGATAGCATAGGAATGTCTATTATTGAGATGGAGGCCGCCTAAAGCGGGGTTTGCTGTTGATGAGGTAGAAGGATGAAGTTGTTGTGTTGGCGCCCTTATACTCAAATTCATCAAAGCAGAAGCCCTCTGGGAGCCTATATTTAGGATGGAGTATTAATGGGTTGAAAAATTCTTTGTGCATTTTCAGGGGGGGGGGCAAAAGAACAAACACTCACTTCGATTCACTGTTTCAGCTTTGGACTTTTTCATTTCTTGAAGTAAATGAGTAAAAAAGGTGATTTGCAGTGGAGAAGAATGTTGTAATAGTGTGACCACGGTGGCTGTTCGCTCTGCTTCCGTCAAATAACTGAACCATCGATTGACATGTTGTAATTCTTCTTGAAATGTCTAAGTTTTGACAAATGCATGAAACATCCAAAAAAAAAAAGGTTAAAATATCGGGATTTCCTTTTATACCAAAATAGATTCATGAAAATCAGTTGCTTTGATCATATATCTATACCTGGTCTAAAGACGCAGCTGACAGCGCATCGAGTTTAAGACCTTGTTTTCCGTCAATGCCTGATTGACTCCTGGTATTATCGTCTACAAGTTTAAAATGATGATGACAAATACAGTTAGCACGCTGTAGACTTTCTACATAAATCAACGGAAAAACAAAAGATGCTGTACTATCAACCGGCTTTGAATCGGTAGTTGTAATTGTAGGAATAGACGTATGTTTAGAGGTAAAAGCAGAAGCAGACTGCGGTGTAGCAATTGTACTGTCCGTGCCGCCTACGTCAAAGGGCTGCATTGATAATAAGTTGCAAATTTGCTTGTATGAATCTCAGAGTGGGTCTTAGAAGGAGAGCGATATGGGAAAAGAGAGAGACAAAGAAAGTATGAAATTGAAGAGAAAGAAGAGAGAGAGAGAGAGTATCTAAGAACTTATTTTTGTCTCCATAAAAATAGAATTCCTTTTTTTTAGCACTTGTTTTGTTTTTTTTTTGGTTTATTTTTTTTTTAAGCAGCTCGAAAGCAAAAAGATCCCAGAGACATATTCATTCATCATTGTCATCATACTTGTTCATTTTTTAAATTCAGAGGTGAGAAACGGGACGAGAATGATTGATCTGTCATATCTTAGCAAACTTAAAACATATTGAATAGTAAGCAACTGTTGGAAAATGAATTTCTACGCTTTGCGCGATCCTTTTTTTTTTTAAAAAAAATAATATGTCAAATTGCTCCCTTTTATTCAGATTTTGGATTCTCCAGGTTTATTGTCATAGCTTCTCGATCCTTTGACCATCCAATAATAACACCAGTCAGAAGCACGGTTGATCATTTCGCGACACCATTCATGACCTATATTAGGCACAAGATAATAGTCCCAACCATATCCTTCCTTCATAATGTGATGCTTTCTTAGAGATCGCACAAGTAGCAGGTTGTATTTCGCTGGCACAAGTTGATCTTTTTCGGCATTCATAATAAGGATATGCTTCGTCTTTAATTTTTGATCCAAGTCATGAATGTATTGACGAACGGTGTGATGAAATCGTGAAGGAAGGTATTTATCCTTTGTTTGCGGTAAATATTTGATAATTTGGTCTAATCGAGCATCCATCAACGCCATATAATCTGCGGTACCAACGATAGGAATAGCCACTGTTATGCGAGGATCTGGGATAAAACATTTAGATTAGTAGGGAACGGAGATGAAACAATGTCCACAGGCTCTACTTAATGCAATACCATTGGCAGCTGCTAAAAAGGTCGCATGTCCACCCATGGAAAAGCCTAGCACACCCCATACCTCTACCAAGGATTTGCTAGCATCTTTAAATAGGTAAAATTCCAATACATCAATCAACTCAGTGACAGTTTGAGACATAGATACGACTAAAGTCCACATATCAAGCGCATGATGAGGGTTTCGATGAGGCCCTTCCATCCAAGTATGATTGGATAGTTTGTTCACTAAACGACTACCATGATTAGGTGCATCAAAAGTGACAACGATGATGTATCGATTTCCATTCTGATATTGATTGTTCAATCGACAGATGGCTTGAGATATAGGTTCCATTTTATCTTGGTTTTCTGCATAGATAGTATAACCCCGCCGCCGCCCCCATTTTTTTTTTTTTGAGAGAAAAAAGGTTTAGTTTGATTTTTCTGAAACTCAATGGTTTGTCCATTTCAACCAAGTGGTGATCACTTGTCACTCTCGTTTGACATTCTGAAGGCACTTACGAAGTCTGCCGTGAAGGGCGAACAAGACTGTAACCGGAGTCCCTTTGGGCAAATCTTCATATTCGTCTAAACCGTATACTGTCAAATTGAGACCAATGACATGAATAATGGATTTGGATACCATGGCTGGAGGTTGACAATAGTTGTAGGGGTGCTGACAAAAAAAGTGTTGAGCAAAAGAAAAAAAGAAAGAGGAACCAGGTGCTAGTAAAGAACTAGGATTATGTAACTTTTTCAAAAAAGTTAAATATGAGTGGGGAAGTTTTTTTTTTAATCTTTTTATTTTTTTCTTTTTTTTTTGCGTGACATAACAGCAACGTTATGGTATAAAAGTAAGCAGGTTTATAGGGTATTCTCGCTGATCTTTTGCACAAAAAAGGATTTGTATGTACGAGTCAATATGGGTTGTACAAGACTATCGATGCTGACATAACGTGTGTAAACTTATCAACAATTAATGTGAAGTTTATCTTTATGCAAGATACTATGCGGTTTATAAGAAAAGCGAGCTCGCAAATCATTGAATATAACCAAGAAATGAATAAGCCTATGGATTAAAACATAAAAGTACTTCTAATGCTACAAATGTAGGCACTACTAACAAAAAATTCAAAAAAATAGAAACAAAGAAAATGAAGCAAAACTAAAATAGACACAATAAACATATATAATATACTTGATAAATTAAAAGAAACAAGCGGGTTCATAGACAAGGTTTCTAGCTTTGTTTGTCCTGACAAGAGGCATAGCCAGCATCGTCGTTGTTCATATCAACTGTTGTTGTTGTCATGTCAACCTTATCATTCGTAAGATTACTGTTGTTGCTATTGTCTGGTATCATATTCATTGAGTTATTATTATCTGTCGAGCTTACGCTTAATGTTGGACTGTTTACTGAAGGGGTAGTAGAAGCAGTAACCTGTATGGAGGGCTGATAGACAACCGAACTACTATTATCGCCGCTGCTTCCATTGCTACCCGAGCTACTACTTGCTTTTTCGTTATTCGAACTGACATCAGCTAAGCTACCACTGCCAGGCGATCCTCTTTCTTTTGCTTTTTTGCGCATTCTAGCAATTTTCCTATTCATGGCATCTTGCTCAGCTTTGAATTTCTTCAAGTATTTTTGATATTCCTATTCATAAGGAGGGGAGAAACGAAGCGTGTAAGCATTCGAATGGTCATGACCGGGCATGGGGGGGGGAGGGGGAGGGAGATAGAACATCGGATGAAGACTTTACCTTGTACTCTTTGGTTTTTCTGTACTCATTTAACGCTGCGATATATTCGTCCTTCGCCCTCATCGCCGTTCTTTCATAGGCCTGTTTTCGATCCGGACTTAAGTTCTTCCATTGATCACCTACTAACTTGGCAATTTCGACAAACGACATGGTATGTAGTTGATGTCTGTCTTTTAGTTGAGAACGTGCATCATTGGAAAACATTATATAAGCTGAAGGAGGCTTGATAGGTGCATTTTTATCAAGCTTAGGGTGTCTTTTATATTTCCTTCGCAAAATATTGTGATTATGAGAAGATGAGGTTGTGGTGGTGGAGTCTCCATACACGTCATTGTCATCATCAGCATAATTACTGTCATCATCGTTGTTGTTGTTGTTGTTGTTGTTGTTGCTATTGTTATTGCTGTCATCGTCTATATTATCTTCATTTTCCCCTAGATCCACGGCTGTGGTTGTGGTTGCTCGAGCGTCCTTCCTAGCGTCTATACATTGAAAAAATTAGATAAATAAATTGAATACCCCATACTGATTTCAACCAACTCGCCTATCCCTAACTACTACGGTTAATGTAAACCTACCATATGTATCCTCTTCATCATCATCATCTTCATCTTGCGAAGAGAATGAAGATCTTTTATCATGTATAATCAAAGGAGAAGACTTTCGTGGTTGCTGAGATGTTAAAGAGAGGGGAGGTGATGTTTGATTGTAGCGTCTTGGTTCTTGTCGTTCTCTGACTGTGTTACAAGAAGAGGGTACAGAGTCGAATAATGGCGCTTGAGCATTTGCTGAAGAAGAGAGGGTATGGGGAGGGTTATGCGTAGGGAATAGAATATGATGTAATTGATGGCGATGGGACGAATAAGGCTCGTACATATGATGTTGACGGTTATTACGAGAACGATTGTTATTGTTATAATAACTATGAGGATCAGAAGAATGCTGATGCTGATGCGAAATGGGCGATGTACCTGCAGCAGTGGGAGATGAATGCACATGCTGAATCGGAGGAGTTGTTATGGGAGACTGTATAGATAAGGATCGGATATCATTATTCGCAAGAGGGCTTTGTTGTGTGTTATACAAGTGATGGGTTGGAATAGGTGATGTATCTTGTTGTTGCTCACACGGATTGGGGTTAATACCATTACTGTTACTCATGGTATCCATGGATGTGGAAGAAGATGAAAATGAATTGTTGTAGAGGGGGTGTTGATGCTTCGAATGATAGCCTCTTATTCCGGAAGAAGAAGACATAGAGCCGTACCCACTCGTGGACGTACTGTTGGTAGCAGAGCTTATCCTTTCTCTATTTGGACGGTCATTAGACGTATCGCTTTCGGAATTTTCTAAGAGAGTTCATTCTTGGTTAAAGGAGAATAATTCAATATTCGAAAAAAGAAATAGTACTTCATACTTACTAGAAGGAGCGAAGACCGTAGCCATTGGGACGTTATTATACCCATAGAAATTCAAAGGTTGGGTTTTTGGTACTCCCTTCAACGTTGCGATACCTCTTTGAATTACCTGATAGTAAAGAAGGACTGACTGTCAAAAAACAAAACAAAACAACGACTGACATTATGAGGAATTATTCATCGGTTTTTACCCTTCTATGGCCTCTTTTGACATTCATGGCAATTAAATCTTCTTCAGTAATTTCCATGATCTATATATATTGTATAACACAATATGTAGATAGAAAAAATCTGATGAGCCTACGATCCATAAGGCACCTACCAAAACGGGCACAGAAACGGGATCCCAAAAATCGCGGGTGGGTGGGTGGGTATAAAATTGCTGAAAGCAGCCCCTTTTGAGCTATCCTTTCCCCCGCCCCTCTCTCCGCCCCCCCCCCTTTTTTTATGTCCCTCAGAACAACTTGTCATTATATTAGTTATACTTTACCGCCTGTAAGGTCTCAAAGCCTTCTTCCATGAATACAGGAATATACTGTGATAAATGGCATTTATCCAAGAACTCCTTTACTAGCAATTGTTCACTCTCTGCAAAAGGAGCAGTTGAAACCTTTGGCTTTCCTGAAATAGAATCAATCGTGGTGACCGCTGTAGGCAATGGATTTGTTGAGTACGAATCCATGGCTGTTTCATATGGAGTTATAATGAAGATGACGTTTTAAACAAATGAAAAAATGAATAAATGAAGACCACTTAAGAACAGCTACACTTTACGTAGCTACTGTATAAAAAGTCGAGTGATTGTAGGAGAAGAAAATCAGTGCAGAAAAAAAAAAGTTAGCTTTCTTTGTATAACATTTCTTTTTCATATCTCAACACTCTCTTCAATTTTTTTTTTTTTTTTTTAATCACAAAGATTAAGCATAAAAATGTGTCCATAGGTTCTCTACATTACTCAATCAATCAAAAAAGCTTGGTCTCTTTTTTTTTTTTTTGGGTAAAGAAATAGGATCTGATGTAGAAGAACAATTATAGAAGTTGAGAGAACGTTTGCGAAAAAGACGAAAACAAAAAAAGTGAAGAAAGAAATGAAAATCAAAAAATTCTCGGTTTCAAAAGAAAAAGAAAGAGAAAAACGAACAAGGAATAGAAGTTAAAAGAAGATCGTAAAGAAGAAAATTCCTTCCAAAGCAAAAAAAAAACCCTTTCTCGTTTGTTTAAAATATCCCAAATCATAAAATGATCATGCTATTTTTGGGAATAGAAGCTTTTCATCTTCAGTTCCAGAATGTTCGGATGTACGTATTGGAAAGTTACGGAATAAACCATTTCTGGTCAAAAATTATTTTTGCTTACTGTTAAAAAAGGGTATTAAGGAGCGGACCAGAGACGTCATTTTGGTAACCATATAAAGCCATGTTGTACTCCCTGAATTTATCGATAATAGACATTCATGGAAATCGCAATATGGTCGTTATAAATTAAATGAAGATGTAGAAGAATAAGCCAGTTTAAGACGTTAATAAAGGTGCAATATGCTTTTATCTGTTTTATCAAAGGCAACTTTGGGTTAAATAGTCAGTGAACATTGAGAAGCATAAATTGCCCTTGATCTTACCTATTGCTGTTAAAGTGAAAATGGGAGAAAACAATCATGTAGAACACAATTTTAAGTGATACTTGTTTCCTGCTTTTATTCTCATCGGAAAATGACAATAATGATGATTCAGCAAAGAGGCCAAAAAAAAAAAACCAGAAAAACTTCAGACCGCAAAAAATAAAATTGCACCAATTGTATACAGTATGATGCAGTATGAATGAGTTGAGGATTACATTAAAAGCCTCCTCCATCACCCCGGCTTCTGCTCATCATAGTGTTCATTTGCTGTCTTCTTTGCTGTTCTAATTTTGGACAATCATTAATACGATGACCCAGACCGCCGCAGAAGGAACAACCACCAGAGAGCAATTGCCCTCCATATTTCTCCATAGGATCTTCCATAGCTGCCAAAAACGGCGGGATTTTTTGTTTGGCTTCTCTTAGTAAATGCTTCAAATCAAGTCGAATCTGTTCAGAGCATTGTTGATTGATAAAAGTCGTTGCAATACCAGTTTTACCACTACGACCTGTACGACCAATTCTATGTACTGTATAACAATTTTAAAAAATTTTTTTTTTTTTAGTCCAGGGCCAAATTTGTTAGCTTGCCCATTTGTTTCACTCTCAAAAGGGAGCAAAAAAAGGAAAACTCAATTCAAAAAGAAGGGGAGAAGAACAAGTAAAGAAGCCACTGTAGTAACCTCCTTACTTCTTTTTCAGTCTTCTTTTTCTTTCTTTTTCTTTCTTATTTCTTCTATTCCTCACTTATTTTTTTCCCCACTTACCATAATCTTCGATCTCCTTGGGCATATCGAAATTGATAACATGTTTGATTTCTGGAAAATCTAGACCTTTGGAAGCCACATCTGTAGCCACAAGTACATCCTTCTTGTAACTTTTAAAGGAGTTGATAGCATATTCACGTTCTTCTTGAGCTATAAATTATTATAAGTACATAGGTAATTAGACTTAGGATAAATTTCATTTTATATCGAATGTAGCGTTACTTTTGCTGCCATGAATGGCCACTGCTTCTACACCCTTCAACAATAAATATTCATGTATATCATCCACATCATTTTTATTTTCAGCAAAAATAAGTACCTGCATCAAACATTTTTTTTGAAAAAAAAAAAAGAAATTACAATCAATGATGATATCATCATGGTAACTTTTTCTTTGTGTGTACAACTTACGGGTGGTGGTGTCTTTTGTAAGCATTCTAATAAGTAAACCATTCTTGCCTCTTGTTTCACATACTCGACTTCCTGTATGACATCCAAATTAGCCGCACCTGCACGACCGACATTCACCACCATCGGTTTAACAAGTGCAGACAACGCAAACTCTTGGATCTTCTTGGGCATAGTAGCTGAAAACAAAAGCGTTTGACGTTGACTTTTAAAGAAAGACATGATGGTTCGCACATCATCCTCAAAACCCATATCAATCATACGATCTGCTTCGTCCATGCATAGGTATTTACAATTGTCTAGGTTGAATTTCTTTTTGTTAAGCATGTCCATTAAACGACCAGGGGTAGCGACCACCATATGGAACCCGCGATAAAGCACGTCTTGTTGATCACGCATGTCGATGCCACCGATACATAAAAGAGAACGCAGTTCAGGGTATTTTCCGGATTTTGAGAGGGCTTCTGACATCGCGTTGAGACCGTCGTACGTTTGACGCGCTAATTCACGGGAAGGACAGAGGATCATGCCGATAGGGCCTTCCCCTTGAACTAGTGGCAATCGCACTTCGGCTTCCAAAGCAAACAAAACGAGAGGAAGTGAGAAAGTCAATGTTTTGCCTGAACCCGTGAATGCGATACCAATCATATCACGGCCCGTCAATCTGCTCGTATAAAAGCGTCGCGATCAAGGGAGAAAAAAAAAATGGGTAAGTTTTCGCATCCTCTTTTTCTTTCACTGCATTCTCACAACAACTTACGCTACGGGTAAGCCTTGAATTTGGATGGGGGATGGCTTTAGAATCTTTTTATCCTTCAAATAATCTAAAATAACTGATGGCAGCTTCATATCTTCAAAATATCGAATGGGTGGCACAGGATCTTCTCCCTCCACTAAAATATGATATCTTTCACGTATAGCTTGGTGAAATTCTTCTCCTTGTTGTAAAATACACTTTGGTGGTGACCAAGACGTCTTAATGGGGTCTGTGTATATCAATCCATGGGCTGATTCTTGTACAGAAACCAATGCTTTATGGCGCGCCTGAGCCTCTTCAATCCTCCTTTCCTCCTCTAGTCTCTTTTCTTCCTCTGTTTTTTCAGGAATCTGCTTTCTCTGTTGAACTGTTTGATCAAGTAAACTGATATTGGCCCTCGGTCCTGCTTGCACAGCTTCGTCTTCTTCTGATCCTTCATCATTGCTTGATCGATCTCGTAAATCGTGTGTCATTCGTCGTTGAGTTGCATATTTATGTAGTTTTTCTAGGCGTCTTTGCTTAATGGGAACGTAAGGTACGTAATCATCCTCTTCATCTTCGAGTAACTTATAGAACAAACGCATTGGTATGAATGTTGTATAAAAGTACAAGATGAGTACAATACATTCCTTTATTTTATTTATTTATTTATTTTTTTGCTTCAGTTAAAAGAAAACGCTTACAGTGGTATTATCTTCATTGTTTCTGTTCATAATTACTTGTAATGAACGATTTTATAGTATTAATGGCAAACGATGATCAATAGAAATCCTTAAACTCACCCAAAAATAAAAAGGGAAAAAATAAATCAAATTATAAACCGCAGCGGGGGGACCATTCTTTTTTAGTCATTTACATAATGATATGGCTCTTTTTAATTTCGTTCATAAAACAACATATAAGCTTCGCTCTTTAATACTGTATCCAAATCAACTTCCTCAATCACTTCATCACTACAGCGCCAGAATTTGACAGGTTCCTCTTTTTTGGGCGTTGAGCTCATGAAAGGGCTTCTAACTTCGTGCCCTGTTGGTAACTTTTTTCTTCTGTAAGTAACAAAGTGCCCGGAATGATGATTTCCATAATGAACAATCACTGCACATAATCTATACTGTATGGAACGGTTCATTGGCAAGACAGAAAGTGAAGGTAGAGCACTCTGGATGATTCTATCATCATCAACACCATTGGCTGGATGATGCTTGCCGTTGTTGTTCTTATTCAGCTGCTTCATAAGCGCTATTCCCTTCAACCCCATATTGTTATGACCACTTATTGAAGGATGATGGTAGAACCGATATCCATTGGCCATATTACGTAAATAGACTAGACTGGTTCGGCTTGTACGTATCGTCTGCGGTAAGGAAGTACCAGATGCTGATGGCGTCGGAGAGCTGAGTGACACAGTTGGCTCAGTCGTATTCAAATAACCATTCGTGGTAAATGGAGCTAAATCAAGGTATTCAGGGAACTCTACTGGACAATGATTCTTCATGATCATGCCTGATGGGTGGTAAATAGAGCGGGAAATATGCAGGCATAATGCTTTGGGTGGATTGGCAAACATGGTTTGCTTCGTCGTACGTGAAGGTGAAGGGGGTGTTACCAACTGGATCCCAGGCTATATAAATGCACAGATGTAAATAGCTGAATCCATAGACTATAGCAAAAGAAATGCTTACCATGCTAGCTTCTACATTTGAATTTAAGGCATCCTTCAATCTTCTTATATTGAAAGTTAATTGTGCGACTCGCTCATCCGTTGTAGAAAACCCATGCTCCTCTATCAGAGAACTCAATTCTTTTTCTGTCGCATTCAATGTAGCCATAAGGGAGCATTTTTTACATTGATAGTCTGTCAAAACATCAACCTTTGTGTAATTCTTCAATAAGCTTTCCAATGCACACTTGGTGGGTATTTGTTGTGATGGTAAATTCAAGGATATATTATCAAACGTATGGTGTCGAATAGGTGCTGTATAACCACAATTCATACAACTGATCTTAGACGCTGCGAGACCTGTGAACGGATTCCTAGGTGTACGTCTCCGAGGGCGTAGATGCCCACCTACTGTACACACAGAAAATGAACTCCACATAGATGCTGTTGTCCCAAAAGAGGAAACAGATGAGGTTTCAAATTGATCACTGTTGACGTCTGTTGTTGTTGTTGTCGTTCCTGATGCTGTTGGTCCACCGTTATAATTATCATTCATCGTCAAATTTCGTAAAACAGTCGAGTCTAGCAGAGAAGGCGCATTTTCTTTATATTGAACTTCTTCCTCGGATGTTAATACACTGGATATGATCTGAAAAAGTTCATGGGCGTCTTGTTGGTCAGGGTTTATTTTTGCTCCAAATTTTCTTTCTAAAGCTCTTGAGAAATCGTCAGGAGTAATAGACTTAGCTTTCGGCAAAGGTCTGTTTAACACTAATGTATGTCAATGAAACATTGTATCAGTTAACATTTCTGTATAATATATGCATCCCAAGCTGTTTGCGCTTCATCTAGATTTATGCATTACTTTCTATGGTGGCATATAAAGCACAAGCAACGGATTGCAATATGAATTCATTCTGGGGCACCGTAGGTGTTGATTCATCACCTTGTTCGTCAACGCGTTCTGCCTGAATCAGTGAGTGACAAGATATAGCTAATGAGTAAAGAGCTTTTCTTCGCCTTCTAAAGAAAATTGTGGCAGGAAATGTATGTCTTACCAGATAAGAACGTAAGCTGGGTAAAGTCGCAAATGCCTACGGAATGAAATAAGCGGACCATGAGTCACTAAAAGGTTAAACTAGCATACTTTCCATTTAGAAATAACCTGTAAAATCGAGTTTAAGAAACAGTAGTTTTCTGAATTGGTTAGACCAAGTATATATTGGCCGTCTCGTTCTATATTTTCGTAGAAAAGGGAAAAGAAATTGTGTATGAGCTGGGCTATTCAAGCTACGAGAAAAATAAAACCAGGAAACAAAAAAAAAAGCTCGCTTTGCTACCTTTTTGTATTTTGGATTTGATTCTTCTTCTCCGTTTCTTCAATTCATAAGCGTTAGTACTGTTATTGGACGTAGAAAGTACGTAACCTGAAGCAGCCAAGGCAATCCCTGCAACAGCTGCAATAGTTGGCAAGTGGTAATTAGAAGATGATGACATTCGGGATCTTCTTACTACAAGTTAGTATGCCATAAAAGTTAAGCGTAATATATGTACGAAAAAATAGGAGCTCTCTACAGCAGCAACAAAACAAACAGCTATAAAGAGTGGTAACAAAGTTGAATGTAATTATTAGAAATATGAAAGAAAATGACATACAAAGCAATTTCTAATTGAGAAGTTTTGTGCGGGTTTGCAGCTGCTTTTTCCTATTGGCTGTTGTTATTCCAAGTGCTGAGTGGCATTTAAGACTAATATTATGTCTGGTATTTTTCTTCTACCCCACATTTACTAACAAAATCTACAATAAACAAAAATAACAATAATCAACCATATCTGAAAGCAAAAGAATGAAACAAATGATCATTTGGGTAGAGAGAGAGGACTATAAAGAGCTCGATGTGAGTTTGCCTTCTTTTAGATCCCCTTTCTCTTTCTGTATCTCTCTCGCTCTTTCTTAATAACAAGACCTTTCATTTCTTTCCCGCTTCGTCCACTTCAGCTTTCCCCTTTCCTCTCATTTTTCCCTTCTTTTTCTTTCGTCTTTTTTTATAACAAAAAATTTTTATATTATGTCTAAAATGAAATCTTTGTGGCTGTCAAGAAAGATCAGAAATACATTTTTTCTTTCATCATCATTCAACAGTAACAATAATAATACGAATAACCATCAAAAGCATTCAAATAAGGTAAGTTGAATGACCGCTAATGTCTAAAACGAGTAAGCGCTTTTATTAACGGCCTATATGAAGGTCAATTTTGTATTGGGAATAGTTTATAACAATAGCAAAAGTGTTGACAGCCGAACCTTAATACATAATCTGGGCTTGATCCGAGCAGAAGAAGAACAGACTGACAGTGATCTCAACAGTGATTTAAAAGAAGGTTTGTGCATGCGTTTCAACGTAGAGTAAAACAGTCGTAAAAGTGCATATACTTATTGCTCGCTGGGACTTAATAGTGAGTTTGTATCGGTTGAAGAATAATGAACACTACACGGTGCAGATCAACCAATACTTTAACTACATTGCACCCGTGAAGGATCTCAAGTCCTTGGATGGTGTCTTTGTCTGCTTTATCGATAGCAAGTCTTCTTCCTCTTTGGACCATTGGATACCAAAAATCAACCATACATTTCTATCGCATCACATCCCTTGCATGCTAATTAATTTACGTGTTAATAGTCAACAACAACAACAGCAACATCAACAGCATCATCACCCTATCTTTATCAATAGTATGTATGGATTGCAAGTCATTGAAATGAACCAATGGTCGACATCATCTACACAATTATTGCAGCAGCATGTTTTGTTGTTTCTCTACGCTGATAAACATTTACTTTCTTCGAGTCAATTAAACGGCGTACTAGAATTCCATCAACAGCTAAAGAAGAACAAGAAAAAGCAACAAAAGAAGAATCACAAGCTACTGAAGCATAAGGAAATATCGTTACCGAGTCTGCCACATGAAAAGCCCCTGATTGCCACCCATAATAACAATAACGGCTCTCAGCAAAAAAAGGCGCCAATGTAAATTAAAAGATTATTTATTGTAATCACCGTTGGTACCACAGTGAGGCTAACTCTTTGTACTTTTTACAGTCTTTACCGCTCTCATAAAGTTATTGCTGAAGTTGTAGATCAGATATTATTAACAAAGCCAGCCGAAGGTGAGCAACAAAAAAAAAAAAAAAAAGAAAAAGATGCTGAACGGAGATAGAAGAGACGACTAATATCAAGAATTAAAAAAAAAAAAAAATAGGAGGCAGTAATGCTGAAAGAAATAGTATGATTATCTTTTTGACTGTTTTCCGCAAGTTCATGCGGCCTATTGATTTAGTATCTATTCTTGTGCAAAGATTTGAAATGGATCTTAATCAACTCCAACAGTACAACAACAGTAACAGCCAAGCAACAGCTGCAAAATTTGGCTTACTTATACCGAGCTATCGCCAGGAAAAGATCAGTAGCATCTTCAGTTACTGGTTATCTCATTATTGGAACGATTTCAAAAGTCCTGTAACGCGTCGTTTATTATCCGACTTTTTGATACGAATCTCAAAATTCAAACATTTTCAGTCGATGCACCAGAAAGTATCTGTCTTATTTACGTCAAGAGAGGCACCAGCGCTGGATATTGATGCTTTGTGGGGTGTCGCCTCACCATCTCAAAGACAAGAAGAGGAGGATATTCTGTTTCAAAGAAAGAAGGAGGATGCAAAAAAGGACAGTGGCTATTTCAGTGGAACTACAATGTCATCGCAGACAGCACCATCTACTGTTGCTGCAACAACTATGACAGCGGGGTCGGAAGAGGATAATCATCAATGGCTTTTGAACGAACCTTCTCTGTTGTCACCTACTCCTTCCATCAGTAAGAGTACCTGCAGTGTGATGAGTAAACGATCCGGTATAGCACTCTCCTCTTCGACTTTGTCTGTTCTGAAAAGCAATTTTGACAGTAGCAGCAATAGTAACGATGAAGACGATGGAGAGGAAGAAGAAGAGGATTACCCAAAGACACCTACGTCTCCTACTTCGTTCAGTTCTTTTTTCTCCTTAAAACCGTCTGTCAGTACCTTATTGAAGCGAAGCAATTCCTCGAAACTCACTCAACTCAACAATAGCAGTAGCAATGGCTTGAATACACCTTATAAGAATGATAAATCAAGAAGAAGGTCTCTTTATTTCTTTCAAAGCAGCAGTAGCATTCATAACACCCTAACGTCTACAGCAACAACTAACTCAACTTCCCTTGATCACAACAGCATTGATCTTGCTGAAGCAGAAGCTGCTAAAAAGAGGACAAGAAGAAAGTCAACACCCATCGTTCCTTTATTCTTACAAAAATATCACTCAGTCTCCTCATCCACTATTTTTACAGCCCTGAGCAACGACAACAGCAATAGTCTCAGGCAGCAGCAAAAACGACAGCATCAGCAACAACAACAAGCAGAACTGAATCGCTTGGCTATTTTCGCAGGTGGAGTTCGATTGTTCGATGATACTACTACTGCTAGCATGTCGCACTCTTCTTCTTTCAATGATCAACAACTATCTTCATTATTACCATCACCTTCTAGAACAACCTCTATCATTCTAGAGGATATCGTTTTCTTTATTACATTGATACAACCCAGCAAAATAGCCGAACAGTTGACATGGATTGAAATGAAGTTATTCCAACAAATACAACCGCGTGATTTCCTTCGACGATTATGGATTAAGCATTCTTACTTAGTTCAACAGCAGCAATTAACTCATCGGAGCGAAGATAAAGGAAATGCTAATAGCGAGAATAGTGCCAACAACAACAATAACAACAGTAATAGTACTTTACTGAATAATCCTTTATACGCTTCAATTGAACATTTCAATTTCATGTCCGGCTGGATAGCTACTATCATCTTGAAAATAACAGAATTGGACCAACGCGTGCTTGTGTTTGAACAATGTATGAAGATTGCCTTGGAACTCAAGCAACTCAAAAATTATAATACATTGATGGCCGTGTTAGCAGGTATGAATAATGCTGCCATTTCTCGATTAAGGCAAACGCGCGCCTTACTTCAACGCAAAAATAGGCCTTTGTACGATCAGTTTTTGGAACTGGAGACGTTGATGAGTTCAGAAAAATCATTTTCGAATTATAGGACTGCTCTAAGAAACCATGATACTGATGTCATACCCGGAATACCTTACTTGTAACGTTGATATCTTTTATTTTGATAGAAACATATTCATGTTATACTTACCCAGTCTTTTTTATTTACTATATAGAGGAATCCACCAACAAGATTTGATATCCCTGGACGAAGCCAATAAAGATTTCCTTCAAGATGGAAAAGTGCACTGGAAGAAGTTTTCTCTAATAGGCGAATCTATACTTGAAGTATTACGATTTCAACAACAACAACAACAGAATGGCTTTTTATACAGCATAATACCGGATCCTAAGATCATTTCTTTTATTGGTCAGTCCAAGATTTTTACGGAAGATGAACAGTATGAAAAATCCATCACGATCGAGCCTAGAATTTCTTCTTTAAAACCATCACCCTCTATTTCGTCATCAACGAGGACTAGTAGAAGTAGTAGCAACAACATGTCTACAGCCGCAACAGCGACACAACAGACAACAACAACAACTACTACGGCTTCTACGTCAACTCCTACTGCTATCAATATTAACACGACAACGTTTATATAATAAGTATAGCGCATAACACTCTCTAACCGATTAATATCTAATTACAATTGTTTTTATCTATTAAATGGAAAATGTCTTCCACTTTTTCATCATTTAAATGGGAATCTGGAGCGAACCTTTTACAAATTGGTGTCTTTAATTTTAAAAACAAAAACATGAATTTTTACTCAAAATGTTGGTAGCAAATAAAAAGGTCTATGTACAAAAGAAAAGTTTCTTCAACTATGTGATAATCGAATAAATACAAACATACATATATATGAAGACAAAAATGGTCCGAGTTATTCTGTAAAACCATCTGTCAAATGTGCAATATCAAACACGTTTTCCAGAATGAAAGATTCCATCTCATCAGTGCTGTTATTCTCGGCTATAGTATTACACTCATTGTTTGAAAAAATATTCATTATGCTGTTTGTAGACGTATTAGGAGATAATAAAGGTGTTGTGGTGGCTGTAGTAGGCGCTGCTGTGGAAATAGGAGCGGCTGTGTTTGATAAATACAAAGGTGGAGTTTGAGCTGCTGCTTGACAGATACGGGTATTGCTTGAATCATTCATTTTAGATGGAGTAGGTATGTTGGGTATCGATAAAGACGTGGAATCAGCTGATGGAATAGAAACGTCGGTATTATGATTGCTAATAGCAGTGGAACGAGCAGTGGCGGCAATAGTGGTAGTATAAATTTTAGGAGTAGGAGCAGGAGTAGGAATAGGAGTGATACTGTTGGTAGCGATAGTCGGGTTTGCCATCAGCATCATTAAAGGCTGTATCGCTACCAATGGTTTTCTTCCCCAACCCATGCAGTACGTAAGGTAAGATCGATATTGGGTATATTCCTTTAATATGCTGTTTTTTGTCTCTTCATATTCTTCGGGGGTTAGGTGATATGCTCTTAGAAAGAAATCTTTGTAACTGTGAAATGGATCCGTGAGACATGCATTGACTGCAGTCGCTAAGGGTCCTTCACCGCCATAGTAAAGATTGGCTTCTTGATAGTGAATATCAGTAAGTCTTGCATATTTAGCAAGAATGTCAGGTATATCATTTGTCCAAGTAATATCAACTCCGTATATTTCTTGCATACGATCTGGAACTGATAATGAGAAACGTGTGTTATGATTTTACTATATTGTTATCAATATCAAATGGATGCTTAGCTTGTTTTTTTTTTCTTACTTACAAACAGAAAATATAGAATCGGTTATAGGTCCAGGGTTTTTGAGATAAGGTTGAACATCTCGAAGTTCAACATAACCTCCTGGTTTTAACACACGATTGATTTCATTTAAAACAAACTAAGGTTTCAAAGCGCGTGAGATATCAATCTTTTCAGTTAATTTAGGTTGAGATATTGTTTCCTTACCCTTAGTTCGTCTGCAGAAAAACTGTTGTAAACAAGGCGCATATGAACATAGTCAAAATACTCATCAGGAAATGGTAATCCTTCAGGCTCTAGCACATTACATTGTTGAAAATAAGCATTGGGTGGTTTAATGCTTGAAGGGAAGAGAGGAGCGCAATCAATCCCGTAGAAATGGGAATTAGGATAGTGGCTGGCCATGTCTAGCACCCATACACCTGAACCACAAGCAACATCAAGCACTTTGACTGTAGTTAACCAACTGCTTTGTCGAGTGGTTGAGATATTGCAGTTTTTGACAGATGACGCTGTGCTTGTTGTAGTAGACGATACATTGGAAGATAATGTATTTTCTAAGTTGGGTAAGCTGCTATTAATTATGTTGGAATCACTATTATTATTACTGTAAGCCATGGAGACAGATCGAGTCAATAGATCATGCACAGGTGCAGAAAAGTTATCACCAAAGCAATGCTTTATGACATAATGCTATAGGATAATCGCAAGTGGCAGGAAGGAAAGGGAATAAGTTCACACTTGCTGGATTGAAGGAGCAATAAGCAATTAATTAATTTACTTACAGTGTTCGTTAAGCGGTCTTGTTCATGATCGTCTGCTGGAAGACAATATCTGGAAGAACTTCTTCTACAGAGCCCTGGAGGTGGTGTTATAGCCGAGCTTATATTTGTAGAAAAGTAATCTGTTGCCGCAGTCATATTTGCATTCATCTGTGGTGATTGCACAGTTGAAAAAGATGCTCTCGGCGTTAACCGACAAAAATACTGAACACGTTCCATAGAACTAGTTATATTGGTAGGCGGTGGTGATCTGGCCGTCAGTTTCTGCACATTTTCTTTCCTGTCGCCTAATACTGAATTGGAGTTCGCCGTAAAAGAAGAGGAAGAGGAAGGTCGGCGTATCATATTTATAGATGTTGATGAGTTTTGCGTGGGTGTCGATGCGATCGATGATAACTTTCGTGAAGAACTGCTCTGCTTTGGTTTTTTGGGCATCGAAAAACTAGAGTTGCTTACTATTTGGCTATGTCGATCATATTTATTCTGAGTATTGGTATACGAATCCCTATCACTAGTTTTACTGATGCTGCTTTTGCTATCTCGGCTTCTACTTTCATGGGCAGTCAGTTTCCGTTTTCCTACAGAAGTAGTATTGCCCATATTTTATGTAGATAAGAGCCAAAAAAGGAAGGAAGAAGTATAACAAAAAAAGAGAAAAATAAGCAAAAAGAGTGAGGGAAGCAAAAGATAACACAGCAGCGAAAAATATGAAAGATGAAGAAAAATTCGAGGAAAAAAAAATTGAACAGAAATAGCCAAGGCACCAACAAAGGGAGGGGTGTGGTTGACAAATCAATACAATGGTTGGAAAGATCCTGTTCGCCGGCTGTGTGTGGTATTTTTTTTTGAGAGATATTGGGCCTTATCCGTTGGAATGTCTTTTTGGGCTTTCCAGCTTCAAATCATAAACCAGTTTACTAGAGGTCATGTTTCAGAACTGAGAGAGAAATCTTTATTCAGGACTATTGGGAAAAAAAAAGTTTGAGCGTCTGAACAACAAGCATTGGGATGCTTTCTATACTTCGTGTTTTTAGTCAAACAAATTATACAAAGGGTCCTTGTTATATACATGGATTGCCACTGCTCTTAAGAAGAAAATACTGTTTATCAAAAAAGCTGTGGAAGGGTCTCGTTAAGCATACTATGCTTCGAAGAAAGTATATGCTCATGGTGTCAAAAAAATTAGATTAGATCATGCATGTCATTATCGTATTAGTAAAAAAAGTGGATTATCAATAAAACAGTCATTAAATTGTCAATAAGGTTTCTGTCGGGTGCAGTAACATGTAGTTACGATAACGAATCCCTATTAAAAGTGGTTCGATTTTTTCCACATTGTTCACTTCAGCAGCATCGTTTTATGATCTGGATCTTCCCGGATTTAGACTCTGTCTCATTGATGCGGGTTGCAGATCCCGAAAAAAAGCAACAATTAATTTTTTGAACTAAGCAATGACAGGCTTTTAGTCGAAAGGATTTTGTTGCTGATGTTTTTGGTTGTCAATGTTTTTAAAGGTTATATATATGATGTAATGATATTATGCTCCCTTTCACTTCAACAAGCTTCTTCAAATATCTTCCTTGATTTGTGTTACGATAAGCCTAATACATTGCTTCTACGTTGACTAGTGATAAGCGAGATTTTTTGATTTTCTTTTGAGTGGCCAGCTTCATTACAATCCTACATATAGCTTCTAAAAAAGTATGGCAGTTTATTATAACACGCTGAAATGCTGCTGTTCTGTATGTATACTTAATTACTCTTTTTTGGCTTTCATGGACTGCAGTCAATAGGGTGCCTACCTTATCCCTGAGCATTGTAACTATGAACGGAGAACTCAAGATCAGTCGACTGTACAACTCATTCGCTCGTAGCCCCTTCCCTCGAGAGAGACTGCTTACAATGATTTTGACATATCGTCTGGATGAGGTCATGTTAACCGAGCTTATTGTGTTTGTTAAGTGCTTGTAAAGCGGTCAAATCATTGACCGTATGTAAGAAAAGAAAAAGATAAATTCCTAGCAGCAGATAATGCCATACACATTATTGTTAACATATTATGGAAGACTCAGAATGAGTGCTTAACAAACATTCAGGGTCTGCATCTTCGAAATTTATCGACGACGCAATGGTTGAAGCCTTTTCTGAGTCGCTTTACACCATTCATTGAGATACAACATGAGTTAAATTCTTCATGCTCCTTCAGAAATCCTACATGCAAGTAGTGAAGTATTATGCTCTTATAGAAACCATCAAAAATTTTGCATTACTGGCTTGTCAATACCTAAGCTGCGGTTATTCGATTCATGTAAGCTACTATACAACAAGACTTTTATTTCGCAAATAAGAGAGATTGATCAAAAAGTGCTCCGCGGTATCAGGGCTGCGACGTTTTTGAAGATTCCTCATCACGTTCTTTTAGCAAGTCCTTGATATGTTCACTTAGGGGAAATTGCTTCAGAATTTCAGACGACAAATAATGTGCTCCACGTACTACCTCAATGCACTATAAGTGTAGACGGTATAAGACATATTTTTGATTAGTATATATTGCAAGTCAACATTCAGATACACAGCACTACCAACAGTCTTGAAATTCGTCATCATAAACTTACTTTTGCCGCGCCACACCAGCAAGTGAAGGGTTGAGCTATTATTGATCATATTTAAATAATAGATCGTTGATTGTACAAATGTTAGGGTCTAAGTTGTTGACAGGTTTACTTCTGTGTTTTTGGTGCAGTAAAGATCTTACCCATATCCCATTCGGTAGAAGGGTAAAAGAATGTCAATTCATCACCTGGCAATATATCTTTCAAAGCGGACACGACCATACCATCAACATCCATATGAGCAGAGGGGTCGCAAGAATGATTCATAAAAACTAAGTCGCTATTCAATTCAATGTGCTTATCTTTTGAAATTTGAACGGTAGAATAACGTTTATCACCAGGTGTAAGGCCCTCCATATGAGCAATGACAGCTCCTTTGGTGAAAGCGCGTTGAGCAACCAACTTGCTTGTAAAAGATTCTGGAGGGCCTTGGCAAACAACACGGAAATCATCGGGATGAGTAGGCTTATCACTGACAAAAATACGACCGTAATTTTCAAGAACAGTATTCGGCATTAGGGTAATGATAAAGAAGACAATGGGGAAGAAGAAGGAGGCCCGTATAGAGGAAAAGGATTCAGCAGATTAAAAACTTTCCATTTAAGCAAGTTGTTCGTATCAGTGCTACATGAAAATACAGAGTGGATTTGCTCAAGTCGCTTCAACTTGGGATGAACAGCTGCTTTAACCCTATTACTTGATAAAGAACCTTCAAGTGTAGAGGAATCTGCCAAAAACTGTGAATACTCCGATTGCGGTTTGTAATCTTCAAATGTGTTTTGCTCTTATTGCCAGTTTTACCTTTTTAAGTAAAAAGTAAGGTTACAATACAGACGATCTTCAAAGCGAACTCTGTAATTATTAGAATAGTGTTTGTTACAAAATTTCATTCCTCACTTTTGACCCTTCTCAAACAATGATAATTAATGAGTGAACAAAGCTAATCTAGCTTTGTTTTTTTTTGTCGCTTCAGTAGTTTTGATCTCCAACGTAATATTGGCATTACAATTGCAATGGAAAGCAGTCTTACATACGCCAATTGAGCTAGGACCTAGACATTAGAATTAGGTAAGCCTTACATAAAGTCTTAAATATTACAGAAAGTATCATTTTTCAGAACGCGCTGTTCATGCATAGAGTGTTTCTCTCGTCCATGTTAATCAAAATTCTTCCATATTTCAAGGATAATAAGCTTGTCGTATTTGAGGTACGATGGTTATATTTTACATGAGTGAATCACTTACAGCGTCTAATGGAATAGTAAAATAAAACTTGATCTCAGATATGGGTACTGCTCATATCTTCGTTCCCGTTTGGTAAGCGGTGTGTTCGATTGCATACATTTGAAACCTAGATCAAATGTATGATAAATAAAGATGACATAAGAAAAGAATATGGATTAAATATAACTATTATGTGAGGTAGCTAATCTTACATAAGAATCGAACAGGATATATATTTATGAAATATATTTTACTTGGATTATCTATGGTTGTATGATGTTTGGATTATAGCAGGATTGTAATATGTACTCGCTGGATATATTGATTCAACAACCGGAACTTAATAGGTCAGGGCACTGCTCTCTGTTCTTGAAATAGAGTATGATTGGAAATAAAAGTCTCATTCACTCTTTATAAATACAACGGCTGTTCGCGCAATCAAGGAACACCACGCACGAATATCTCTTCCAAGCTAGCATCTATAAACATTTTCACAATATTTGAGCTACATACCTGGTGGCCGATAGATATTGCATTACAAATGTAGCTGCATGATCACCCTGGATCTGCCAGAATAACACGACAAATCAACCTACTTTGGAATAAACGAGCAATTATCCATCTTAAGAGAAGACTTCTTCTTTTACGGAAATATCTGACTTACTGAGTATTATCTGACCATAATACATCAGTGTCGGCTATAGATCGCGATACACTCATTTCGGAGGCAGCAAACAGTATCATTCTCTATTAATAGCAGTAATTTTAGTTTTCGTTCTTTTTTTTTTTTGGTTTGATGTCGTTAAGCTTCTGTGTATATTCTTCTCTTGTGCTCTTCTTCATTTTCTTGATCCTATAGTTAAAATCAGCGAATACCGCAAAGTCAAAACAAACGTACAAAGTGTCAAGGACGATACGTCTCTCAATCAACAGAGGGTAAATCTTGTAAAAAACTTTTCCATAAACCCACAGCCACTTTTTTTTCTTTTGTTTTTGAGTATTAACAACTATCGTAAAGAGATTGAGAAGCAACATTTGAAAAATTTTGGAGAGCACGAAAGAAACTGTTTAGAAGACTCAGGCCATTCTTTTCGCATGAACCAAATTGTCAGAACGGCCATTGCACGGACTTTTATTCAAACAATAGCAACTACAACACAAAAAAGCAGGACTATATTTCTAGCTCCTTTGCGTGAGCGACTGAATCACATTACTAAGAATACTTTTGTGCCAATTCTTCATGTTATGTGGTTACTGTGTCATTTCTGCGCATATGAAATAGTTGCTCATAGTTGCAGGACGGCTAAATGTAAAAAGCAATAAGCGACAGATATGAAAGCTTCTGAAATATGTGTCAATGTTAAAATTAATCCGTATTTTTCAATATGCTTCACATTTATATTTGTTGTCTTAAAAAAATGGAAAGGTTCATTTAGGTGTGCTCCTTGTTATTGAAATATTGCTCGGCAGTTGAGGAAAGGTAAGTCAGAGGAAGCTGGAAACCTAAAGCGTCTTCAATAAAGTCAAATTTAAAATATGCTGCAAAAGTGGTTTTAAAATTTGGTAAAATCAGCACCATCAGAAATCTGGAGCAGAATCTTATCAGATTTTTGGGGAAAGAAAAATCCATTTGCAGCGCATGATGTATTTAAATATTCTACCTGAATGCACGTCTATATCCAAAAATGATCACTCTTTCAACTATTTTTTCTTACTTTGTGTTCAGACTGAATTGTAATATGAAGTGATCTGCTGCAGCAGTAAAAGAGAGTATGTTGAAGCAACGCAACTAAAGGCTCTTCATGATAGAATACATATCAATAAACAAGTAAGTGGAAAAGCCTGGTTTCTTATTGAAAGCCTTCTATGCTGTTGAAAATGGTATATGTACAGTAAATTTCTTATTTTGGCCGAGTTCAATGGGTGCTATTTTCTCTTATTTATTGCGTTTAGAATACAGGTGTTGTTTTACGACAATGGCAGGTTATGTTTGACCTTGAATTTGATTCTGCGCCCAGAGCAACGATGAGAAAAATTGAATATCAAGTCAGACGTTACAGAGTGGCACAGGCACCCCTTCATTTCCTTTGCTTACGTTTGATTACAGTCGACCGATAAAAAATTAGCTGAACTAATCATCCATACAATCTCATTACCTATTGTTCCTATGGCAGAGTAATATGTCTGACCAGCTACCACCGTTGAGAAGGACACCTTGCAAAGGTAAGTTTTCTCTGCCAAGTAAACGTGCACAAATCAGCGAATGACTAATCTTTTTGCTTTAGCGTGTCGACAGCGAAAACGAAGGTGCTCCTATGAACAGCCTTGCGCCAGGTATTTACCACTCAAAGATAATTTGAAGTCATACCTTTTAATAATGCTTCCTTTTTTTTTTTTTTTTTTTTTTTTTTTTTTTTTTTTTTTTTTTTTTTTTTTTTTTTGCATTGTTAGATGTCTTAAAGCTGGTACCGAATGTGTTTATGAAGTCATACCTTCACCGAAAGATCTCGAATATATACAGGAATTGAAATATATTACCCAAATCAACGAGCTTGAACATCAAATAGCTACTATGGAAAATGAACTAGCCGTATTAAAGATATCAAAAGAGAACGAAGCTAGGCGGCTGCAAATGCAACAACAGCAGCAGTCGTCTATCGTGCCGGACGATTATCCGTCGCCCATATCGTTGCATGATCACCATGATGATGAAAAGCAGCAAATAAAGCGATTTGTAGATCGCCTAAAAAGTTTTGAGCCTTCCAATATTGCAACACTTGCACCTATATCACCACCACAGTTTCTGGATTTTGACAAACAATTGCCGCCAGCACCGAGAAAGCCTATTTCAGACAGTGAAGCCGAACATCAGCAGAGCTGTCGTGAAGAAAGCCGAGAGAAAAAAAAGACACTCTTTGTCGCTGGTGAACTGGAAGCAGATATTTCAAAGAAAGCAATCAGAGATAATGATAGGAGCGGATGGACCTTAACAGTTAGAAACGGCAATTTAAGCATTCACACCTCCATCGCATCCTACACAGATTTGATGGATAATTTAAGCAGAATGCTACCTATTGCCGTGAGCCAGTTCCCTGGCAGCAAACCGAGATATAACCCTAGGCAATTTCCTTTCAATTTAATGCCATTGCAAGGCGAGAATGCCATAGGGATGGTGATCGGTGTGCTGGTATGGAGGAATTACAGTAAATCACGATTAAAAAGCATGAACAAGATTATCCCCCGATTGAAATTGGATGAGACAAAACAGCAGCAACTGAATTTGACTATCAGGATGTCGTCGTCTGTTGAGCAGCTTACCACGATTACCATGCGTTTGCTTTTCAGTTATTTTCATTGCTCTCATTTGATGCATTTCTCTTTATATGTGCCAGAATTTGTTCGACGCTATATGCAGCCTGATACTTTATTATCGTCGTCTGCTGTGATGGCACTTTGTAGTGCTCTTTGCCGAATGCCGTGCAGACACCTCTACGGGATCTTACCGGCCGATGCCCTTCTAGCCTACAGCGCCTATTATTTCGAACAGGCTCGACTCTTAATTGAGGAGAAATTTGATGACATCGACCTGGAAAGCATGATTACGTACAAATATATGGCGATCCATAAACTCAAGACAAAGGAAGAAAAGGAAGCAGATCGATACTTGTGTTTAGCGGAACGGATGTACAATCTGCTGCTGCCTCAATATGGATATAAAAAGTCGACAGAGAACAAAGCACCTCAATCAGCTGCTTCTATGTTGTTTCACCGTGTCTACCGCGGCATTCGTTATACCAGACTCAATCTGGAAGTCCAGTACATCATGGCCAACCTGTGGTCACCTGAACAGCGCGTCACACCTCAGCAGTTATTTTCTGTTTTAAGCGAGAAGTTCCACGACGTGGTAGAAATATACCCAGGCGATTCCGAACGCGAGAAGCAGTTTGCGAAAATGAGGTACTACTTGTGTGCCGTCAAGACAACGATCAACGAAGCAGCGCAGTATGCAGCGGCATCGGATTACCCGACGTACATTGGCGTGCTCGGTCATCAAATTGAAATGGGCCTGCGTCATTGCTATAAATCAGTTCTTCCTGCCGACTATCAGCTTTCTGTCCCTTTGTTTGAAGATACCATGAGTGATGTAGAGTTTTTCACAGCGCTTGAGAACGACTATATCAACCGAGCTAACAACTCACCTATACCCATGCTTACAGCAGTATCTATTTATCATGAATATTTGATCATGGCCAAGTCTTACGTGCCCAAATGCCCGATGGAAGCGAGCGTCAATACAGAAGAGCTGCTTCGTCGTTTCAAAGAAAGCCAATATGGTACAGAACATCCTCACTTTTTCAGCCCCTCTGACGATCGTTTCCAGAAATATAAAGTTGGACGAGGTAATTGTCATACGCACGATCTTTATCCGCGATCGGCGGCGGACAAGTTGGGTAGAAGCATGACGGCGACGGATGTGAGAAAGAAGCATGGCCATCAACACACGGTAGACAACTGGATGAGGCTCATTTTTAGGATACAATACATGAAAAAAGAGCAGAAGGGTCATTTTACAGATGAAGAACTCCAAGAAAGTGATGAAGTTTATATAAGCAAATTTATAAAAGCACTGGACCCGAGTAAATTGAACTTTGATCTGCCTATCGTCAACACGTCCGTCCGTGTTGCTTTCAACATAGTACGTCTTGTTCAGTTTCTACTGTCTAAACCTGAGTCTGTATGCTTGGTGGACATCAATTGGATATACAGTGCTTGGGAAATCTTGCTAAGAGCCGCACGATTTAGATATCAACAGCACTTTAACGATAGCAATAATCCCATCACTCTGGAAAGAATCCACGCGAACTTGATACTCTGTTTAAACATGATGAAATCCCAACTGGCCCTGGACCATTTTGAGCCCAATGACCCTTTCATCCATGGTATGGAAGAGCGCTTCAACAGCGTATTTTAAAATACTGATTCAGCAGCCTACTTTGTACATAGTCATTCATTTATTTCTATTCATCCCCCTTCCCCCTCCCCTACTCTTGTATATAGTAAAGCATTATAAAGTAACAATTTAAATCATTTGCATTAGATGGGTGGAAAAAATGGTGTATAATGTTTGTGATAAGGAGAAACTATCGATGAAAGAGGGGGGGGGTATTGGGTGGTTCAATGAGTTCAACATTGGTTTATAAATAAAGACGCAACAACGCGTAGCAGTGAGTAAGAGTAGTGAGGGTTGGGGTTGGGGTGTTGGGTAGATACGACATCATTCACGTTTTATAAATTCAATACTGGCGCCTTTTGTTTCTGTTCTGCCAATCCATGACCAAATATTCGTCTTGCATTCGATTTTATCGTGTACATTGCCCCCTTTCAGCTCGAAGGAATGGACCAAGTGTAATACGATGGTTGCCAAAAAATCTGTGCTCAATTGACTAGCAATACAAGCACGACGTCCAGCACCAAAGGCCAAGTGATCGCTTGCCTTTTTATGTTCACTTTTAGCAGCTTTTTGTTCCTGTGGCAACTGTAAAAGCGGTGCTGTCTCTTTTTCTTGTTTTAAAAAGCGTTCAGGCGAGAATGTATCTGGCTTGGTATAGTATTGTGACTGTCTATGAATCGCATGGACATTGACAATGATCTCTGTATCCTGATCGACACGGTAAGCGGACGTGGGATGACCGTCTTCCACATTGTCCAAGTCGTAATCTGTGCGTGGAGCATAGGCGAGTAAAGGTTGAGGCGGGTCGTACCGCAGAGACTCATGGACCAACGCTTGCGCAAAAGCTTTCCCCTGTTCTCTTAATTTTGCTTGTAGGTCAGGTGAGGCTGCTAATCGTTGAATGAGAGTAAACAAGGAAGAGGATAAATAGGTATAAGCATGTAATGCCATATGCACCAGATTGACCAAGGCTTCGTCTTTTTTCAACTGAACAGGTTCAGGATCATTTCTGGAGGGTTCAATATGCAACAAACTCTTTACAATGGCATCGATCTGCTTTTTCTGCTGCTGCGGATGCTCTTGCTCTTGCTCTTGCTGTTGATAGATAGGTTCAAACCAAGGTAAGAATATTTCCAATATTTCGTTTCGTAGGTTTACATTGGTGGAATCCAACGTAAAGAGATTCTTTACGTCCAACAAGGCATTGATGAAAGGGAAAAATTGACCGACACGATTGAGGTGTTGCGTTTGACGCGCTTCTAATGCCTTTATTTTTTGCAGCAATGTCAACATGGTAGCAGGGTCGTCATGGTGTTGCGGTGGTGGGTCCATTGCGTTTGTGTTATTTTTCCCCATGACGATGGTCAACGCTGTATTCATCGCTATCAAATCCACCATGTGGCGCAATTCGGTTGCTGTCAAGTTTTTTGTAGTAGAATGGTTACTGCTGTCCATGGTCATAGCTGAGCTGATACCGAGCGAGAGTCTGTTCGCCTCTTGTTGAAACAGATGTTGAAATTGGAAAGCGTTCCATTTGCCAATGACCAAATAAGTGGCTCTTCTCAACCGAGACCAATAGAGCGAGAAAGGAGCGGTAAAGATGGTTTTGGCATTGTCTGTCAAGGTCTTTTCCAAGCTGTCAGAAAGCATGCGCGACGAATTCCATTGCTCTTTCTCAATGAGCACTTTATGCACCCATTCAGCATTATTGAGCACGATGATACGTTTTAAACCTAGTTTGACAGAAAACAGATGACCCAACTGTTTTGACCAGCGCGTGAAAGCATGATAACCTTCGTTATTGTAATCGGTCCACCCTTTGGTGAAAAAAGGGAGTTGCTGAGGAGAGACGGGCCATGGTGGTTTTGGTGTACCGTCTGCTTTCTTGTTGGCCCATATGACATTTTGACCCACTTTTGAGATGAGAAAGGTAGTAGCCAAACTTAAAATGTAAGATAGCACCTTGTAAATCATTGACAATAGGTTACTCAATCATTTGCTTTTGCAGTCAAAAGAAAAAGGAAAAGTAAGAAATACTCGAAGGATTGTAATGATTGAGCCTTTTTTTTTTTTTCTTTTTTTTTTTCCCATCCGTTCTACTATCTAGATATGGAATGAATGCCTAATTATGGAAGTGCTTCTTTTTCATTTTTTCAGGCTTCTATGCAACCCTTCGTGCAACTGTAGTACTTGCACTGTGCTTCTTTCATTCTCACTCCATCCAACCAATGGAACGCTTAAGCCATCATTGTGGTGAGTAAAGATAACATCTGATATTCTTTATTAAAGTATGACTTATATACAACCATTCTTTATGAAATTGTAAATGGTCTGTGTGATTGTTTGCTATTGCACGTTTCATCATCACTTTTATTACTGTTCCTTCAATGATTCAATAGATGGCTACTAGAGAGGAGCTCTACTTATCCCTTAGACAATGGGATCAGTACTTGTTTTGGGATGATGACACATAGGGTGAGCTGATAATATACCGACGGCTACCTAAAAAAGTTGCATGATGAATGAGTGCCACCATCTGGATGTAGAATAGTAGTAGTAGGTTATCTACATTGTCCTACCCGCACCCTCTTTTTGTGATGTTCTTTTTACGCAACCCTTAAACTAGCCTTGACAGCCTTTGATTTGTAACTACATGAGGTGACTAACAATGAGCTAAAATGGATGGGATATGGATCAGTGATTTCATCTAGATAATCCAAGTAACATCCGTAGAGAAACTCTTGTTGGCCCGCTCTCCACCTCCACATCTTATCCTTGAGATCGAGAAGGGTTGCAACTTTTTTTTTTTTTTTTTTTTTTTTTTTCATGGAAGCGTCACGATTGTCTTTGTAAAAGAAATGTAGATATACTGTTGACGAATGAGATTCATTAGGGGGTGGGAGTGGGGGTTGAAACCTTCCAACGTCTCTTTGCTTATGTTGACTAATTCTTGTGAGCCAATAATGTCTCTTATCTAGGGCAAGTGCGATTCGTGGTTATAGGGTACCTATGTGAATAGCATGCCAACGTATTCACTCTCGAAACAAGGATGTCTTGATGGAAAAGCATGCCAAGTCTGAAGACTCCAACTGACTAACAAGGTTTTTTCCCTCTCCCAAAAAAAAAAAAAAAGACGTGGATCAATGCAACTGAGCGTGATGGATTTTCGCAAAGGCCTTTCAAAAGGAATCACGCAATAGTTGAGGACGATTTTTCTTTGAAACTAGACATTGAAATCAAAATTAATAAAAGTGGCGTAACCATTCGTGATTGTTTGTTTCATTCTTGTTGCCCATTCAGTTACCAAAAAATGCAACCTTTTGATTGGTTCTTTGAGAAAGAAAAGGAAAGGAAAGAAGACCCGGAACTGATTGACAAAATGAGGAAAGTGCGGCCAAAAAGAACACGTTTCCTCCCATCTCTCCCAATCAGATACACAACAGGATTCACACGGGATGTTGGCTCATTTGATACGAAAGGAGTGTGTGCACAGTTCTCAGATACGATAATATTACACGAAAATGATGCTGCCCTCCCCCCCTCCCTCAAAAGTGTACAAGAGATCAGCAATATCATCATTGTTATAATTTGTCATTTTCCTATCTTTTGTATAAGCAATCCTTTTTTTTTTTTTTTTGGTGCCAACAAAAAAGAACAAGACGCTGAAAAGATCCAACTACGTACTATAGACATTCTGATGCGTAGTCATTTCTATTTGGAAAAGGAATAATGATAACAATAAAAAAAAAAAAAAAAAAAAAAAAAAAAAGATAAAAATTTTATCTCATCTTTTTTTGAAATTGCATAAAATCAGAAAAGCTTAGGTAAAATCAAATCTTGATTCGGATGGCGGCGATAATTGTAGATTTAAATCGTCGAAAAAAAAAAAAAAAAAAAAAAAAAGACAAGATATCGTCTCCTCTATGACAACATGAGTACAAGTGTGTACGTACTTGGACAATGCGGCAGTCCTATGCGGCCTAGGTGTGCACTATGTAGGATGTAAAAATCTTTTTCATCTTGACTGTAAATGAAAAAATCAATGGATACGACATTGTTAAAAAAAATGACTCAGTACGTAAAAAAAAGTGTCAAATTACTTTATTTAGGTTAAAGCGACTTTAATGGGTGGAAAAGTGAGTCATGAACAATTTTTTGTTTGGAATTTCAAAGAAAAAGCAACGAGTCGATGAGAAAAAAAGAAGAAGGGGGTGAAGAGGGATCCACCATAAAAACTTTCCAAACTCCGATATCGAACTCCTTAATTTGATAAGGGAGGGGGGGGGGCATGGCTATGGGCGTAGTGGGAGAGAGAGAGAGACAAGAGCTTGTGTGTGGGTGTCCAGCGGGCGCGGACGTGTGGGTGTGAGTGTTTACTCAGCGGGGATATGGATGGTAATATTATATAAGGATTCCCTTTTTTCTATGATACTTTTTTTTTTTCCCTTTTTTTTTTTCTAAAAAAAACTTTTTTTCAATATCACTTCATGTCAAACTATAATAGCCTTACTACTTCTTCTAATACGTTGAATAATGATCAATATGAATGTTTAAAAGAATATTATCGCTATTTAGTGGGCATGTCGATGAATCAACAACAACAGCAACAACAGTCATCCATATCCAATACCCTTTTGCACAATATCCAACTTGTAAATACTTTTATTCATCATCATCAGCAACAGCAACATACCCTTCATACTACCCTTCATACTACTACTACTACTACGTCTACTGTAAATCCTTCGAATTATGTCAACAAAACCATCATCAACGATGTGAACCGATATCAAAAGATTTATGTCGATACACTGGTTGGTAAGAGAACCCCCTTTTTGCGTTGTCAAGCTCGGTCGTTTTTATCCTCATCCGTACTGTTCTTGTACCCCCCATAGATATCACCTCACTTACGATCCGCACTTCTTGGCCTTCTGAAATGTCAGCTACGAATACCAAAGATGGTCAACTGGTAGTCAATACCAACACCTTTGTGCGTCATCTCTTAAAACGCTCAAGAGCTACTCGCTCGACCCTTCAACTGGCCATTTTTTACCTTTTCCGAATTCGCCCACATATCGGTCAACGAAGCCAATACGATTCGATTGTGAAATGCGGCCGTCGTATGTTTTTAGCAGCCTTAATCTGTGCGCATAAATATTTGTATGATAATACGTTTACTAATGCCAGTTGGGCAAAAATCAGCAAGCTATCTCCTCGGGAAATCAATCATGCCGAGAGAGCGTTGTTGGAAATGCTTGACTATAAGCTTTTCGTACCTGTTGAATTGTATCAAAAGTTTGAGAGTCAACTAAAAGAAGCTATGCCAAAGCAGGTTGTCTCCCCCTCCTCTTCTCCTTCCTCTGTGCAAAATAGCCCTCTTCCTCGTACGAGCAGTCCTGTGCCTTCTCGAAAACGATCTTATACCAGTGTAGAACAAGCCATGTATACTCCTCATTCGAATGCAAATATTAATAATAATAGCAAAAAACCAAAGCAAACGCATCCACCTCACTATCATATTCATCACGGCATTCCTACACCTGAAGACGATAAAGTAGACTTTTATTAAAATACCCCCCCCCCTCCCTTCTCTCTCTCTCACTCTCCTTTAAAAAAACCTGTACATTTTGTAATATATATATATTTTTCTATCGATCACATTTTATATTAGAATATCTCTTTGGGAATAAAACCACCTTTTTCCTCTTCTCTTGGGGCCATTTTCCTCTTCATTTTTATCTTGTCCAATCAGAATGTTTCAAGTTTCAAATAATGGAAACCCAATCCTTATTTTTTCTTTTTTTTTCTTTTTTTATTTTTTCTTTTTTTTTTTTTTTTTTTGATTGCATTTAACCTTTTAAAGTCATCAACAATACAATATTTTTTCATAATCTGATACCAAAAAGCGCATTCTTTTTATTCTTTTCCTTCTTTTTCAACCCATCCTCCAACAAAGACTTGCAGCAACACACCAGCTTTAAATCATAAGCCTTCAACCATTGATAAACATCTACAACAGACATTACACACATACACACCATAACACACATACAGACACACTTACATACATACATAAATACATACATACATACATACATACACACGCACGCACACATGTTGACAAAAAATGAAGGCAAAACATTCACAACACTTGACCAAAGTTCTATGCCCAACTTCAATTCCTCTTGGGTCAATTACAAAGGTTGGTTCTCTTGCTTACTAACAAATAAAAGGAAAAACTTGTTATTGACGACGACGATGGGATTGGGATTGGGGGGTTTATAGGTGCATGGTTTACAACCATCTTTGTTGTCGTTGGCTTGAAAGCCTTATTTACAGTGATACCTTTTATTTCACCGGAAGCAAGTTGGACACTCACCAATTTGACCTTCAACTTTGGTCATTACATCATGTTCCATTGGGTGCAAGGCATTCCCTTTGACAACAATCAAGGAGCTTACGATGGATTAACTTTATGGGAACAAATTGACGGAGGAGTGCAATTCACAGCCACTCGTAAATTCTTAACAGCGGTGCCTATAGCCTTGTAAGTTACCCTAGCCAGTGCCCCAATGTCATGATGAGGACTGTGCCGTTTGACCCACATTTTTTTTGTTTTTCATTACCAAATGATAGATTTTTGTTGAGTACACATTACACACACTATGACTTTTTTTTATTCTTCATCAACTTTGCGTCCTTGTTAGTGGTTCTTATTGCCAAGTTACCCGTCATGCATAGAGTACGCATCTTTGGTATCAACGCACTGGACTATGAAATGGATTAACAAGGAACGGGAGAGGAGACCGCAGAGACAATTTTTCTTTATTAGAACTGGGACGTACGTATAACAAGAAAATACAAAAAAAGTGTGAATACCGCCCATCGATCGAACCACGCTTCTTTGACTACGTTTTATGTATTTAAATATCTATGCTCATCCATATTATCCAAAGCAGTTCATCCTATTACATCTACCCTCCTACCCACACACACACACACACATACACACACACCCTCTGCCCGCTCTTTCCCTCATCCCATTGAACCTTTCTTGGTTTTTTTTTTTTGGTTTTTTTTGCATGGTCCTCTCTACCGCACTTTACTATGGTAGTATCACTGCTCCTTCCTCCCTCAGCAGCAACAGCAACAGCAACAGCAACAGCAACAGCAACAACAACAACAGCAAACAACAACTATACTACTACTGCTATCACTCAATCGTTGTATATCACATTGTCCTTTTGATTTTGAATTTTTTTTTTTTTTTTTTTTTAACTCTTGGTCTCTTTATACTCCCTTCTCCATATCTCCCAACAACACCCTTTTTCCTTTTCAGATATAAACCTGTACTACTAAATGGCCTTTTGATCTTGTAATGTAAAAACGGGGGTTTCCTCTACTTTCCGTGATGGCTTCTCGTTCAATAATGGGACACACACACAGATGATGTTATTGTACAAGCTAAATTAAGGGTCCGCAGTGGAGGGGGGTGGGGCGGGGGAGCGTATAGGATAAAGTGCTGTGGTGCCTTGTAAATATTTGGGCCAAAAGGGAAAAAAAAAAAAAAAAAAAAAAAAAAAAAGAAAATCGCGACATGATTATATCATCGTTATGCAGTCCATTGTTCTAATGAACGAGAGAGAGAGAGAGAGAGAGAGTAAAGTGATCAAAAAGTCCCAGATGCATTTATAAAAAGGGCTTGTTGGCTTTTTTCTTTTGGTTTTATTTTTTCTTTTTTCTTTTTTATTTTTTTTCCGTTTCTCGTTTCTTCTCCCCTTGTTGGAAATATCCTATCTTTTATCATGTCTACAAATAACACTGCCTCCCAAAACGAACAGGTGATGAAGGAAAACATCGATAAGGCTGCTGAACAAGCCAAGCAAGAATTGTCCAAATTGAAGGCTGAATACGAAGAGTTCAAGAGAAATGCCCAACCTAAAGTGCAGGAAGCTGAGAGTTTCTTAACGTCTCCTTCTGCTATTGGTTTCTATCAAGGTAAGGGAGAATGAGAAAAGACGCGGGGATGTTCAGTGGAACCTGTCATTAAAAATCACAACATCCTCCATAGGTCTTGTTGTGGGAGCTTTCCTTGTTTTGGGTTATGCTAAATACAAGGGGGGTCTCAGACTATAAAGGAAATCCCCCCCACCTGTCTGAAAGGGAAGAGAAGAATCACTCTCTCTAACATGTACCCTTCCAGTGGCACTTGTACAGACACATTACACGCGCATCTATCACCCTCACTTTTATTGTGGGGTTTTTTTTTTTTGGGGCTCACCCACTTGACATACGATTCACAATAAACGATTTTTTATTCTACATTGTACCTATTGACCAGGATTAGCATGCACGTTTTAAAGTTTAAAACATGTCATGTGGAGTGCAATCAATGATCTCAGTTTTAACCAGGGAAAGGGCAGTAATGTTTGTTGCATTTATGCAGGCGTTACTCATCATGTGTGTACATATGGGGGGAGGGAAAAACATAAAAGTGATAGCCTCATGTCATGGACTTGAGTGTGATTGACCATTTTTGTGTCCTTCTTATTTCGACTTTTTGCTTTCCACATTGTTTCTGGAAGAGGATGAAGCCTCCATTTCTGCTCTTTCAGCATGATCTGCTCTCTTGTTCAAAATATAGTGCGTGATCTGCAAGCCAACAATGCCTGTAATGGCCAACGTGATGATAAAGTGAGCTGCAGCTATGTTCTTCAAATGCTTACTGATCTCAGCTACTTTCTCCGTTTCAGAGATATGTTGCATGGCTTTTTTTTTTTTTTTTTTTTTTTTTTTTTGTCAATATATGTTTTTCCACAGTCGTTCGTCATGGTATATTAGTAATGACGTAAAATCGTTTTCGAACAATACAAATCCTACAAAGGACCTACCTGGCTTTACAGTGGTGGCATACGTAGAAAGAGCAAAGAGCATCAGAACTAAAGAAGCGCCATCAAACAAGATATTACCGTCTGTCATATTGGCGATTCCAGCAGCAAAACCGACAGCAGCAATCATCAGATTGACGAATGGAATATATTTAATGATATCGGGTGCGTTCAGCTGATTGATGTAGTATTGCTAATAAGAAACACTATTTTAGTTTGTCAAACCCTCTCAGAACAGATGTCATCCTTGACCCCCCTGAGGGACACTCTGTAAAAAACTTACTGCTGCTCTCGCCACGGCATCAGGTCCGCCTGTCTTGGCCCAGAGAAAATAATAGTCAAACGCCCAGTCTGACCAAACTGTCTATAGAGCGTGGCATAGGTGTTAACATTCCACACTTTGTCCCATTAGCCATGGGTACATCTCGTTTCCCTCGCATTTCCAATAAAATAGAATAACACTCACTCCATACGCAAAAAAGCATGAACAGAGAATAAGAACAACTTTGGCTGATTGCATATGTTCTTTTGCCATGGTTCGACTATTGGATTGACTCTATCGAAAAAGTGGCAAGCCAAAGTGAAGAACGGAAAATTTCCTTAAAATTGGATCCATTCATTCCGGAGTTTAAAGTTTGATAACTTTATTTTATACACAATCTGAGGGAAAAAAGTAAACAAAAGCATCAAAAATGATGGATTTGGGTCATTTAAATACATAAACCCATCTCTTCTTACTTTAAGAAGGACATTTCCTTGTTTTTGGGTACTTTTATTTTCTTTTTCTTTTTTTATATATATATATATTTTTTTTCTTCTTAGGTTCACCATCGCTTTTTGTCTAACCTCTAATAAAAATGCCTTTATCAAAGACGCTACTAAAGCGACTCTTTGTAGACTTGTCTACATGATCCAGACCAAGTGCATCTTCTTCTTGTAGTTTGGCTTTACGTAAATCAAAATCAGGTTGATCGATTGTCATCACCTGTGGTTCTGGAGCATTCAGATTTTTCAACACCGTAAACTTGACCTTTTTCCAGTCCATATCGCCCAGACCCGTTCGTTTCTGTAATCTTTTCTTTGTTTCTTCAAACGGTTCCCCTTTGATAGCAACAAATCTGAAAGGAATACTATGAAAGTGGGTTGGGTAGTTATGATAATGAACCACTTGAATAAGGCGATCGGTATCTTGATTCATTTCCAACTCATCTTTGGGTATCGGCTAAACAAAAAATAAATAAATAAATGAGCTACGTTAGCAGAAGCACGCAATGACAAATGCACGTACTCTCTACTCGACACTTTTTCACACATCTTACCCACTTTTTCTTACCTCTGCATAAACAACCGTGGACTTCCCTGTGGTTGCTACATTATCAATGGTTTGATCCAAAGAGAACTCCTTGGTCACCTTTCCATCCACAGCTTCATACAATCGAATTCTCGCAGGGTCCTTTACTTCCATCTTGCCTTTACTGATAATTTGTTCCAGCAATTGACGCACAGACCCTGTTCGCGCTAAAAGTACTGTTATCTTTGTTTCCTTGCGTAACGTCGGCCCCAACACAATCACATCCATCGATCGCTTCGTTTCGAGATCAGCCACATCGATATCCAGCACTTCATAGTACATGACGGACAAAGGCGCACTCGTATCAAAGTTGGCACACTGAAGATACTCTTGAGGCTTGGCTAGCGTCACCATCTCTTCCAGTCGCGTGCCAGGTTTATAGTGAATCACCTCTCGCGGTTGATGCGTGACTGCATACGAATTGGTGAACCGAATCTTGCTCGCTTCGACCTTGAGTGGATCTGCTAACGACTTGGCCACGGTCACATAACTGGCCGTTCGATCCAGTGTCAGCTTGATCTCTTCATGTTGAGAGTTATTTTCACTATTCGGCTTTGGTTTGAATAAGACACCGACTCTATTGTAAAGAGACTGGTAATAATCAGGTACAGATGTGATCATGCCTTTCTGTGTATAGTCATCCACCCTACATTGAGTACAAGAGAATGTTCAGTGAGACATGCCATCCCCTCTTCATGAACAACAAACGACCCACCCCGGCCGCCCAACTTACTCTCTTTGCGATAATGTCCTCTGGAAGCAGATAATATCACCATGTTGTAGCTCGGCTTTACGGAAGGTGAGATCACTCTTCAAGAGATCGATAGAGGAGGGCTTCACTTCTTCGTATAGTTGAATAGATGTACTCTTGGGTAATCCTGCTTTTTCAGCCAAGGTACTTAATATCGAACTCACTTTTTCGTTCATTGCGACAAATAGATGACCGAGGCCTCTAAAAATGATATAAGAAGTACGCGTACGATGCATGAGTTTTCATCCATACCCTCCGCTTTAAACCTCCTTACTTACCTGAACGCTTGCTCGTGAATGTCGAAATACTTGACAAAGACAATGATTTGGTCGTTTCGAATGACAGGTAAAGGTTTACCCTTCTCTGCTATTTCCACATAAAGTTTGGCGAAGCCATTCATCGAAGTACTGACACAAGTCAACTCTCTCAGTTTTTCCATGGCTACAAAAGGACAAAAAAAAAAAAAAAAAATACAAGGTAATGCATGGCATAGGTTAATTCGATGTGCTATGGCTTTAATAAAAACCCCCCCCCCCAAAAAAAAAAACATACACTGCTTTTCTTCAGCGGCCGTCAATAACTGATCAATACGAATCGTCTTGTTTTGACGATAGACAATATTCCATAATCTGAACGTATCAGGTTCCAGTTGATAATGAGCCATCAGCTTCTCTTTGAAGGCACTGATCTTCTCTGTCTTGGGCTCCTTGAAAATATCCACTCGAGGCGATGCTTCAATCGATCGGTCGTCAAATACAGCCAAGTTGAAGCCCTGATAATCCTCAAATGCCTTATCAGTAATGACAGCTGCTTTCACATTCAAATGCATGTCTTGTCGGTCTTGTTTGCGTTTTTCAATCGTTGCTCTTTCGTCATCCAATCGACGTTCTAATCACCAAAAAGTGGAGTGAATGAGCTGAGTATTTTCTTTTCCCCGACGGCTTCCCACACTCCCTCATCCAACCTGCTCCCTGACTAAGTACTTACTCAAATGGACAGGAATATCCGACTCTGACACAGGACCGAGAATTTCATCCAGCTTACTCTTTCGGATATAAACCAACATATATGCATTAGTAAACCTCTTCATCATACGAGCAGCAGAATTCGTCCTTGTGTTGCCATTAAGGAAGCTGGGTGCATCTCGACCGTTGCGGAGCGGTTCATCGCCAAAATTCTCTTCATACACTTCTTTGTGCGTGACGGGTATGACACGATCATCATCAAATCGATACCATTTTTCTTCTTTTCCTGGTCTAATCAAAGCGAAATAATGTCCACCAGAAATGTCACCGCTGTGTACGAGAACGCTACAAAAAATAGGGGGGGGGGAAGAAGAAGAAGAAAGGGATGGCTGGTAAGCTATCGGTGAAGAGGTCCTTTTTCAAATGCAGAGAGCTTTACCCATGTAACTCATAATCATACGGTCCATCTTTATCAGAGTTTGAGCAATACTTGTCTAGATTGATTTCTGAAGGGAATTCATAGCGGTCATTGATCTGTTCATAGTAGGATACATACATATTAGCCAATCACTCCCAGAAACACTTGTAGAAACCACATAATCCATTACCTTCACCATGGTATCTCTCATGAAATCATATTCAAATCGCTTCAACTGTAAATGTAATACTGGCGGAAAACTTTCGAAAATGACGCCCTTTTTCGCATCCTGCAACCCATGACCTTCTGCTTGATATTTATTTTCACCTTCCAGCGTTTCCACTTCAATGTAATTCTCAAACGAATCTGTCAGATCTTTACAACCCTTGACATTCAATTGAATGTCATAATAATTCTCAACTCTGGAGGATTCATAATCGACATTGATGCATTTGATGTAGCTTTTCATTTTGCCCTCAAATAGTTTCGAAATAGCGCCGTCAGCGGGTGTGCCTTTCATCTTTTCCTCCAAATTGTCTTGTAACACACGATTGAATTCCTGAACGTCATGCTGCATGAATGCATCCAATGAATCCCAGCCGAATGACTTTGTCAGCTCGGTCGTGCCAACCGGCTCGGCTGAGTATTGAAGGTTGTAAAAGCAACGCTGCAAGGCAAGAGCCACACTGTTGGTGGGTTCTTCTTTCTCGGTAGGTATCTGGTATACTGCTTTTCGGAAGGTATTCGTGCAATAGAGCGATTGAAGAAGTGAATTCATATAGCATGTGGCGCCTTGGTTTTTGATACCAACGTACCCCGTTTCCTTACGCGAGTCGTAATTGGTGAAATTGTGCCATAGAACGCCAGTTTCATCTTGAATGCATCGGACAAAGGCTGAGATAACAATTTCATTGTTGTCGTTGATCAGGAAGGGGCCTTTGCCTTGTGCTGATAGTTGATTTAGCTCTTCTATTTCGTAAAATCGAGTAAAGCCCCAATCTATCTCTTCACTTGAAAAACGATGATTTGCGCCTAAGAAGGGAGTAAAGATCATGATTAGACTATTGCTTTCTTTCTTTTATCACTCTCGCCTCTTTTTTTTTTCTCTCTCTTGCACATGCACATAGATGCGCACGGCGCTATATATCCTACAAACACTTTACTATTTGTTGAATACAGGGTTGGGTCTTCTGGATTAGAAATGACGAGCGCAAATTGAGCACAGACATGCCAATTTGCTGGTAAGCTGTTCTCCGTTTGATCGGCTATTTCTAAATAGACTGAGACGGATTTCTTTTGATTATTCCCTCTAGGAAACAACAAGATACGCCTATTGTTATTAGGATGGATGAAAAAGTAAGTATAAACTGTAGATTTTTTTTTTCTTTGAGGGGCCAACGTATGGACGTATGTGTATGTATCTGTACGTTCTCTCCACAGACATTCCACCAGAATTATCTTTGAATTTCCCCCCGGTTTCGCCCTGAATTCTTACCAAGGATAACCATTAATTTGAAAAATTGGACTATGCGTTTTGGCTTCAAGATTCTTCCAATTGCTTATATGCCAATGATAGGCACCTGTGCCCTCAGTTTTCAAATCAGGATTTTCAGGTAAGAGTGTTTTTAGCATAAACTCCTCTATTTTTTAATTTTTAAAACACAAACATTGGTTGGAAGGCGGGTGAACGGGACGTTAGCTCAACTTCTCCTCATCTACATGCATGCGTTTAGTACTAAGCTGGAAATGACAAACACTCACGATCTGTAATCTTTGGCTTGGTTTTATGTTTGGCACTCGTCATAGGTGTAGTACTATCAGTATCGATATCGTTGTTCAAGATATCGTCAATGCTTTGCGTTGACTCCAAGTTGTTTGGAGCGTCAACAGCATCGTTCACACTTAATCCAGCAAAGGTGTCAACCAACTTGTCTTTTCTAGGGTCGAAAACCATTTATTATCTTTCGTGTTCTTTATTATTTTAAACAGCAAGTTGAAGAGAAAGAGTAAACGATAAGAAAGAAAAGGGAAAGAGACGGGTAAAGGAAAAGAGAAAGAAAAAGAAATACAGGAAATAGCATTGGGTTCGAGTAGAGTTAAGTAACCATATTTGGGCAACAGTCGTTTCTTTTTTTTTTCCAAGTGCGTGCGGGCGTGTGCGTGTGCTGACTTTTGCCTTGGTTATTTCCCATTATTGCATTTATTCATATGAAAGCGCCCAACCCTCCATAGTCATAGGAAGACCCTTGAAATGTTATCCTTGACTTGATGTCGTGTTGATTAATTCACTCTATTATACCAAGACATGGAATGAGGAAGAAAGCAGTATCACGCAATTCACTTTACTTTGGCTTCAAAAAACCATAAGAAAGGCATAGGCGCACTTGCCCTAGCAAAAAGCTCCCATTCATAAAGAAATAAGCGTTGTGAACGGCAGTGGTAGCCCAGGAAGAGGGGCTTTCAAAGGAAGTGTTTTGTTAAACTAGGCTCCAAACAATAAACTCGCTACGGTAATCCAAGGAACAACAATGGTGTTGAATGAATGCTTTTAAGCTGGATACTGCCAAAATAAGAAAGTGAGAAAGCTATTTATACTGTACTTATCGGTTCTACGTAGGTATACATATATAGAATAAAGTATGAGCATTCCTATTTATCCCAATACTGGTCCTATGTATTATGTTTGCTCTTCATGAAGGCACGTCTCACAGATATGATGACGGCAATGAAGAAAAGGAATAACACCGGTAAATTGAAAGGTTTGCTCTCCTTCCAAACCTTCATCTTTATCGCTTGGGATAGAAAAGCACTTGAAGGCAGGCTGAGTAGAAGTAGTGGTCGTAGTCGAAGCCGTAGTAGCAGTAGTGCTGGTAATAGGATACTCATGGATTGTCTCTACATTATTGCTGACGTTCGTTTGGTAGTTACTGCTTCTACAGTTTGTAAGGAGGATATCTCTCATTACTCGTTAGTCTCATTCACATTAGTTGTAAAAAGCGAAAGCAAAAGAAAAAAGTGATATATCAAACCCATTGACAATAAATCAGATTCTTATTTTGCTAGTGAACACAATACCTTTCATGAAAACCATTGCTGCAGGAAAAGTGATAACTTTGTCGTGGCCGCTGATAACCATTTGATTCTTGAAACCCATTCAGAATGCGTTCGTCATGAATATCTCTTTTTTTATTGTGAAACAAAAACATGGAAAGCTTTTCCAAGACATGATAACATGTAGGAATCTTTGTCGAATACTTGCGAATGTCCTTGAGCTCATGTATACTGTACTGAATGATTTTCTGTGGAAAGTGATCTATTACGATATGGAGGGTGAAATGAGTATGGCGTTTGCTCCTTCAAAACTTCATCAAGAAAAGGCCCCTTTTCTTATTCATCATACCATGTTGTTGTGAGCTATTCAGATACTTGCTTTCACCAGCATTGCCACTGCTATGACTGCTATTATTGACGTTAGTCAGCGTGGCAAATGGTGAAGGCTCTTTGTTGCTGTAGTTGGTCCAATGTGAGGCTGTAGGTAAGCGGCACGACTTATTTTCTCCTCTTGCATGGTAGCTGTTTTCTTGCTTCTGTTGCTCATTTGACTCTACACAAACGTTTTTTGTTTCTTCTTCATACTTGGTATCGTCACGTACAATAAGATCAGACAAAAAAGAGCAAAGTCGCTGTTCTTCCTGTATCAAGTCAGCTATGTCAGCAAGGTAATGAAGCGCTGCCTTCTTCTGTACACATGTAAAAGGCTTTGCTTTTGTCAACACAAGAAATTTGTTTTCCTTGACTTGGATGCTATTTCGTACAGATGCGATTCTGTCAGCCAATGCATTAATTGCTTCACGAGTGTTGCCTACTGCTTGTTGCCAATATGTCCCATCTTTATCGTTATAACCGTTCAATTCGGTGGGCAAAGGAAGCAATAGGTCCATGAGGGATCGTTCCGCGACATCTTTTTGCATAGAAACAGGAAAGCTCTGGGCTCTTGAAGCATTTAAAGAAGCAACAGGATGATGATGAACTTGGTTTTTACCAACGGTATTGCTACTTTGTGTGATATTCGTTCTAAATGTTTGATCCAAGAAGGCTGGATAATAAGTCTCCATGTAATCTGACTCGTTACGCACAATTTTCAGTTTCAAATATATTGTATAAAAGCTTATTTTCAATCAGGTAGCGTAAGTTACAGGACTACTACCTTTAGACCAAAAAGCGAAAGGGAGAGGAAAGAGGGGGAAAATAGATAAAGATGGACGGAAAAAGCAAGCATTGATTGATATTTCTCTTGGTTCATTCACAAATCCAAATCTGCTGCAAATTTATTCCCGTCGGATATCTGTTACTGCTGCTGACAGTGTTGAACTGTAGATACGTTGTGACAACATAAAGTCGGTCAGAGCCGTCGATAGTATAGGCAAAAGAATTTGATGGCATGGTCAGTCGCATATCGAACAGAGAAAACCAGAAATACATGAGCACCTAGTTGTCATTAAGCTAACTATCTTTCCAGTGATATATGTATGTACAGAAGAGATGACATTTGATAGAGTAAGTAATGATCGCTAATTCTTTGTTGTAGTGCCTTTGCTCAAAGGTTATCACTATGTCAAAAAATTCAAATATGCCGTATGTACAGAGGTGGCTTGTCTTGAACATCTAAAATTGTGTCAATAGTTTCTAACAAATTTGTTTTTTGTTATATGACTATAGTGCATGGCCCTCTTTAACGTACAATTGCTAGAAATGATACCTGCTCTTACTAATTCACGGTACTCATAATTACTAAAGTTTTTTTTGTAGTTTCCTATTCAATGAATGGCCTGCAAAGCTGCATCATTCTCTTTATTTTAAAGTGAATGATGATCTTTTTTTATAAAGCATCTGATCTCAAATACGAAAAAGTGTTCTAACACTATGTGATGGATGTCTTTTTACCACCCATAATGCTTGCCCTGAAAAAACCCTTTTTTTACAAAATTTATGCTTGATTTACCGATCTCCACAAAAGAAGATCGGTTGGTGCGGAGATGAAAGATGTTTTTTCGCTTTTTGTATGCAGAAAAAGAAAAACCACAGACAAAAGGGATTTCTGTCAATTGGGGACTACGATTTTCATTTTTTGAATTTTTTCATATAACAATAACATACAGTTAAATGTCAACACAACTTGGCATTGCTAATCGCCTTTTCGGTAAAAATATACGTCGCTATACGACGAAATGTATGTGTTTAAATTATACGTACTTTTGAATTGCTTTGCACTGGTGTTCTAATTTATTTTCGCGGTTCCATTTTTACTTTTATTATGACTCCAACAGCTTTATTGACCCCTGGTCAACGTCTGCATGGTTATCAAGTTCAACAAGTAATAGTCCTATAACAAGTGCAATTGATGCTGAAAAGCTCTCAACAGCAAGTGCCTTATTGACGAGTTTCTAATCTTTTTCTTTGCTACTGAACAGGTTAGAAAAGTACCAGAACTTGAGTTAACAGCTATCAGCTTGAAGCATGAAGCGACAGGTGCGCAACATTTACATATTGATAGAGAGGATACCAACAATGTATTTGCAGTTGGGTTTCACACACCTGTGAGCAATGATACTGGTGTTCCGCATGTTTTAGTAAGTTTCAGTGTTTATAAAGGAGAGGAAGGTGTGTATATATTATATGACGTTAGTATTTACACTTGACATATTACTTAGGAACACACAACTTTATGTGGAAGTGAAAAGTACCCAGTTCGAGACCCTTTTTTCAAAATGTTGAATAGAAGTTTGGCTACCTTTATGAACGCATTTACAGGTAGAGTCATCATGATGATATTAGTAATAATAGTTGATAGAATTGAAAGCACAAGTCATGTATACCGATAATTAATCATTTTACTTAATAGCGAGCGATTACACCCTCTACCCCTTTGCAACAACAAACAGAGCTGACTATAACAATTTGAGGGATGTGTATTTGGATGCTGTATTACATCCAAAGCTAGATAGATTAGATTTCAAGCAAGAAGGGTGGAGGTTAGAACATGAGATACCTACAGGTAAATATCATCTACACTATGGAAGGATATGCATTCTTTTCCAGCTGAACGAGAAGTAATTGAGGCTATATCTTTTTCTACTTTTACAGATACGAAATCGCCCATCCAATTCAAAGGCGTTGTTTATAATGAAATGAAGGGCCAAACAGTAAGTTTAATTTTCATGGAAGGCCATACTTGAAGAGATGTTGATTTAATGATAAAAACTGTTCCAATATCTATTAGTCGGATTCCAACTATTTATATTACAGTCGTATGCAACAGGCCATGTTTTCAGGCACAACCTACGAGTTTGCTAGTGGAGGCGACCCTCCGTTTATTACAGACTTGACACACCAACAGCTACTTGATTTCCATAAACAATACTATCATCCCAGCAATGCACGATTCTTCACCTATGGCGATTTTTCGTTGGAAGATCATTTAACTGCTATCAATGATAAATTGAGTGGATACAAAGCATCCACGGTGCCTTTTGTCAATAAAGATGTGACACCTTGGAAAGAACCGAGAACTGTTGAAACAACCTGTGCATTGGATCCAAGTAAAATAAAATAGAAATATTGGCCGAGAATGAATCCCTCTGTGAGGACGCAAACAGACAGAACATGGCTTACATTTTATTTCTAAACACGTAAAATAGTGAGCCCACCAGACAAGCAAACCAAGCTGTCTATATCTTACCTCGCCAACGACACAGCAGTAAGTTTATTAAACTAGATGCATTAATCGACTTTTGGCTAATTTAATTATCGATATCTACTATTATTAGGACACATTTGAATCCTTCTCTATGCGTTTGTTATCATACCTATTGTTAGATGGACATGCTTCGCCAATGTACAAAGCATTGATTGATACAAATTTGGGATCAGAATTCTCTGTAAATACAGGTTATGACGGTTCAACAAAGTAAGTAGTTGTGAATTTTTTGAACAAAATCCAAGCATGTGCAGCCATGAAAGGATCACTGATGAGCCTTTTGTTTTTCGCTTTGGAAAAAAAAAAGAACAAGCTCGATGGCAATTGGTTTACAAGGAGTGAAAGAAACAGATGTTGATAAAGTCAAATCAACGATTCAATCTGTTCTTGAAAGGGTTAGAGAAGAAGGTTTTGATCCTAAACGTATCGAAGCAGCGATTCATCAAATGGAGCTTGGACAAAAGCATGTAAGTCTTATCATTTGTAAGCAAATGCATCCCATTCAAAAACTCAAAAGACTTTCCTCTTTAGAAAACGGCTGATTTTGGCTTGACAATCATGCACGGTATCTCTTCTGGGTGGTTCAATGGAGTCGATCCTATTGACTTGTTAGAAATCAATAAGGTAAGATAGAGTGTTACCTTTTTGTTAACCACCGAAAAAGATGTTAATTTTTTTGTTGTTTTATTAAAAAAAAAATGTAGAATATCGATAGACTGAAAAGCGAGCTGAGCAAAGGCAAATTCTTTGAGAACTTGATCGACAAATATCTTCTCAACAACAAGCACACACTTACCTTTATTATGCGTCCCGACGATAAGTATGCCAATAACGTTCTTACTGAAGAACAAGAAAGATTAGCAAAGAAAGTAAGCGCACTTACAGAGGAAGACCGAAAGCAAATCGAAGTGGATGGAAAAGAATTATTGGCGTCTCAAGAAGGCACTGAAGACCTATCTTGTCTTCCTTCATTACAATTGAGCGATATTGCAACCAAGGCAAAGCATACTATTTTAGAGCATACTGGTATTTGCAACACCCCTGTACAATGGAGAACAACATCCACCAATGGCCTTACGTACTTCCGAGCCATCAGCACTTTACCTTCGCTTCCTGACGATTTAAAGATGTATTTACCGTTGTTTTGTGATGCATTGTTTTCTTTGGGTACTCGTCAACAATCCATGGCTGAAATTGATGAAGAGATTCGTCTTTATACTGGCGGATTGCGAGCTTCAACGACTTTGACAACGAATCATTCTGATATCGATCATATCGAAGAAGGCATTGCGCTCACCGGTAACTGTTTGGATCGTAATATCGAGAGAATGTATGATATTTTAGCCAAATTGGTGCATGAAACGAATTTTGACGATCTTGAAAAGCTAAAGACACTGATTAATGGCGTAAGTATATAAATGAAAAACATAATATTCACATGTCGACATGTCATGTATCTATTGATATGATCATCACGGGGGCTGGGCGCACACTTATCACTATTTCCCTAAATAGAATGCATCGTCTATGGTGAATTCGATTGCTGATTCTGGACATGTTTTTGCTAGAACTTTTGCTGGCTCAAGTCTAACACCAGGCATGTATAACGCAGAATTGATGGGTGGTATGACCCAAGTGGATTTCATGAGTCGGTTAGCTGCCAAAGAAGACCTTTCCGAAGTAGTAGATAAATTGAAACAAATTGCTTCTGTTGTGCTATCACAACCTTCATTACGTGTTGCCATTACTTCCGCAGAAGATGCAGTAGATAGTAATACAAAAAGTCTTCTCAAATTCATTCAGGGATTACCATCGGAAAGCAAGAATGTATCCACCAATTCGGTAAAGTAGACTTTGTATGATTATCATATGTCTGATCTGTATCATTAATATATATGTGCGTATGTATGAATAGTTATCCTCCTACACTCCTCAATTCAAAAAAACGTTTTTCCCTCTGCCTTTCCAAGTCAATTTCTCAGCTCAAGTCTTCCGCGGCGTTCCTTATACTCATCCAGATGGTGCCAGTCTTCAAGTGCTCTCCTCTTTGATGACCAACCATTATCTTCATAGAGAGATCAGAGAAAAGAACGGTGCTTATGGAGGCGGTGCCCGTTATGCAGGCTTAAACGGACTCTTCTCCTTCTACTCTTATAGAGATCCTCGCAAATTGGAAACTTTAGATACGTTCAAGAACTCCATTGATTGGGTACAGCAACGTAAATTTACGGACCAAGAAATGGTCGAATCAAAACTCTCCATCTTCCAGAGCGTTGATGCTCCACAAAGTGTGTCAGAGGAAGGAATGCTTCAATTCGTACACGGTATTTCAGACGAAATGAGACAGATGTAAGTTTACTTGTTGTTGTTGTAGCCTGTAAACAGTGAGCATAAAGCTGAGCTTTTTTTTTTTTTTTTTTCTTCTAATCATCGCACTTTAGGCGACGAGAAGAATTACTAAAGGTGACGCAGGACGACATTAAACGTGTTGCTCATGAATATTTGAGCGAACCCGTGAAAGAAAACAGATCTTCGACTGCACTGTTGGGTGAACAAACGGATAGCATCACTCCAGAGAAAGGATGGTCTATCAATAAGTGGGGAGATGTTCTTACTGCTTAACTCTCATTTCTGTATTCATCTTCTGTATCATTCTTTTCTTTAGTCAATTGCTACTACTATTTATAACTATTTATAGATAAAAAATAGATAAGATAACAATGGCAGCCCCCTTTTTAGTGCGACACGTTTTATTTATTTTCTGCTTTGTCTAATTCTTTGTCAACTCAATGTCTAGTTTATCATTGAAAAAGTGTGATGTTTACTTGCTTTTTTTGTTGCAAGTAGAAGACAACACCTTTTTTTGGGTTTGTGTAAAAAGCGTGACAAATTACTGAGCAACCCAAGCTGAACGGAAAGTTCGGAATGGCGGTAATGCAACTTTTATTTGCAGCCAATTCCAATGAGGTTCGTTAAAAGGGATTTCGTTACCCCACATTTCTTCACATGGGGAAACTTTTTTGACAAAAAAAACAGAACCTTGAAAGTAGATCACATGCGTCATTAAAATTTCCCTTTATTTCTGACTTTCAAATGGTTTAAAATATACAGCAACCTTCTAAAAGCTATATCACACCTATTTTGGAAGCTTATATGTGGTTATACACGCTACCATTAGTGCGTTTGATCGGGGAGAGCCTCATTTTAAGAGATATAAAAAAAAGCCTGTTTTGATCCTTTTCTTTTCTTCTTTTCTGTTTTCTCCTGTTTTTTTTTATCAAAAACATATCTCAAAATGACCATCGACGCCGAACAACAAGCTTTCCTTGAAGAAGTCGAACAAGTTAAGAAGTGGTGGGCTTCTCCTCGTTTCGAAGGTATCAAGCGTCCCTACACTGCTGAATCCATTGTTTCCAAGCGTGGTACCCTCCCTACTACTTACCGCTCAGATGCTCAAGCCAAGAAGGTCTGGAAGATCCTCCAAGGCCACAAGGCTAACGGCACTACCACCCATACCTTTGGTGCTCTTGACCCCGTTCAAGTTACTCAAATGGCCCCTTACCTCGAAACCATCTACGTTTCTGGTTGGCAATGTTCTTCCACTGCTTCTACTTCCAACGAGCCTGGACCTGATCTTGCTGATTACCCTATGGACACTGTTCCCAACAAGGTCGAGCACCTTTTCTTTGCTCAACTTTTCCACGACCGTAAGCAACGTGAAGCTCGTCTCAAGATGACCCCTGAAGAACGTGCCAACACACCTTACATTGATTACTTGAGACCTATCATTGCTGATGGTGATACTGGTCATGGTGGTATTACTGCTGTTATGAAGCTTGCTAAGATGTTCGTTGAACGTGGTGCTGCTGGTATGCACAGTAAGTATCTTGTCCCTTTTTTTTTATGTGTTTCAACCTTTAATTTTATGCCCGAAAAAAGGATTGATTGGGTGGAGGAGACGACGGAGTAAAAAAAAGACACTATGCAGTTTATGGAAATATTTAACATCTCCTTGTATAATGTGTGTATGTGTGTATGTGTGTATGTGTGTATGTTCAAGTAAGAATTAACAAAACCTAATTTATTTTTCTATCAACAATTACAGTCGAAGATCAATCTCCTGGTACCAAGAAGTGTGGCCACATGGCTGGTAAGGTCTTGGTCCCTATTGCTGAACACATCAACCGTTTGATTGCCATCCGTGTCCAATACGATATCATGGGTGTCGAGAACTTGATTGTTGCTCGTTCTGATGCTGAAGCTGCCACTCTTCTCTCTTCCAACATTGATCCTCGTGATCACGAATTCATCGTTGGTACCACTAACCCTGACTTGGCTCCTTTGGCTACTACTATGTACGAAGCTGAACAAGCCGGTAAGACTGGTGCTGCTCTTCAAGCCGTTGAAGATGAATGGGTTGCCAAGGCCGGTCTTAAGCGCTATGGTCAAGCCGTTGCTGATGAACTCATCAAGGCCGGTAAGAAGGAGGCTGCTGAAGAATTCCTCAACAAGATCCACTACAAGTCCAACGCTGAAGCCCGTGCTATTGCTAAGGAATACGGTGTTGAAATCTTCTGGGACTGGGATCTTCCCCGTGTTCGTGAAGGTTACTACCGTTATGAAGGTGGTACTGAAGCTGCTACTTCCCGTGCTATTGCTTTCGCTCCCTATGCTGATATGTTGTGGATGGAAACCAAGAAGCCTGTCCTTTCTCAAGCCAAGAAGTTCTCTGAAGGCGTCTTGTCTGTCTATCCCAAGAAGCTCTTGTGTTACAACTTGTCTCCTTCCTTCAACTGGTAAGTTTTTTCCCCAAAACAAATACAAAACAAAAGCTGTGAAACTCACACTCATTGTAACTTTATTATCTAAATTAGGGATGCTGCTGGTTTGACTGATGATAACATGCGCACTTACATCGCTGACTTAGGTAAGCTTGGCTTTGCCTGGCAATTCATTACATTGGGTGGTCTCCACGCCAATGCTTTGGCCAGTGCTACCTTCGCCAAGAGCTTCAAGGAACAAGGTATGCTTGGTTATGTCAGCCAAGTTCAACGTAAGGAACGTGAACACGGTGTCGATGTCCTTCAACATCAAAAGTGGTCTGGTGCCAACTATGTTGATGAATTGATCAAGACCGTTACTGGTGGTGTTGCTGCTACTGCCGCTATGGGTAAGGGTGTCACTGAAGACCAATTCAAGGCTTAAAGTTCTTTGACTGTGCTCTAAAAAGAAACCGCCCCACTCGGAAAAAAACCATCATGCCCCTTATAAACTTTGTATATTATTCTTAACTTAGAAAAAATAGTCCTATTTATCCGAAAGCAGAAAAAAAAAAATAATGTATACCATATCCCTTTTTTTATCCTCATTACATTATTTGTTATAAATACGCTCTTCAAGAAAATAAATCTTGTTTCCGTACATACATCAAAAGACAAAGTAGTTAGTTGATTCTTCACTCATTTTTTCTATTAAGCCTTTATTTAAATTGTAAAGAATAGTTATTTTACCCCAAAAACCTCTTTATTACAGAAAACGTGTATCACCAATGCTGTCTGTGCTTCCCCTTTTAATGATAAATAAGACACGCTGACGAAAAAGGAACACTATTGGCTTAAAATTAGAAGTGAGTACTGTTTAACAATGCTTTTGCATACACCTGTTCGATATATTATCGTACACCGATCGTGTAAGGTTTGTAAACAGTTGTGAAAAGGTATAATTCGATTGATCAGTTCAAACTCTTTCTGTTACTCTAATGAGTTGAAGGAGATGTCTCATTGCTTGGAATAAAAAGCCTTGAATTTCAAAAATGAAGTGATAGGCGCGTGATCACAACTTATTCAGGCCAAACTTATCCAATTCCAATTTCCAGATAGGCGCTTTGAGTTGCACCTGTATTTCTGGTTGATACTGTGGCAGTCGTTCTTTTACGAATTTGAGCAGAGCAAAATGTCGCTTTAAAGAAATCGTATCCCATTAAATCGTCCACCATTTTAGTGACAAAGCTTTATTTAGCAGCTGAGCTGTTTGCTTTTTTTCAGACGTGACAACTGTTACTGAATAACCAGGCGTCCATGTGTTATATAGACTTCATCTTTTTTGTCCTTCTTGTTAAGCTAATGATGCGAAATAGGCAATAATGGATTTTATTAGTTAAATTGATCTATCATACGCATGATATTGTCGAAGGTAGATATCAGAGCCGTTTGTGCCATTGGAGGCTATCTACCCGATAACTACGTCTCTGTAGCTACTATGCTGTACTGTTAAAAACTATAAGGGCAGATTCCCTGAGAACTGGTATGGTGAGCATAAATCTATTAGTGTTGAATGTAAGTTCTGAAAGAGAGGAGGAGATGATATTTAATCAATGAATTAGATGGCTTAGTTCTTTGAATCATGTAGAATTAACTATCTTGGTGAGCACTATAAAACTGGTCAGCCATTCTATTTATTCCTTTTTCTATTTATTTATCAGCAATTGCAATAAACATTCAAAGCAATTAAGTAGCACGTCTGAATTTTCAATGTAGAATGCGTATGATGAATATCGGTGAGAGATAATATTCTGCACCTTTCACTGACAAATTATAACGATTAAAGTCTCCCCTTACTCTCTTGAACTGAATGTTATTATTTAGCCTTTTCTCTTGATATTCTTATCCACTCTCTTACAATAGCACATTGTAGATGAAGGAGAAGCTGAATAGTTATTTGCGTGTAGTATATGTCGGTAATAGATCCAATTTTTTCGAAAGGTTCGTTTACACTGCTCTGTAAACGATCTTAGCTTTCTGGTATTGCTACGTACAGCCTACTTGATTACAGTTAGTAGTACTTACCACAAATACCATTTCGCCGTAAAAACTGTAAAAATAATTTGAAATAAAGTATAATAATGTATGAAATAGATTCAATGATAGCTTCTAAGAAGTAACACCTGAAACTGCGTTATTATGTGGTCTCCCTCCCCCCCCCCGAAAAAAGCAAAACTTTGTATTCTTGACAGCTTTTTTCAGATAATATGCAACAGATTAGAAAAAGAAGCATATCAGTATGCGAGGAATAGAATTGATGCCACATGTAAATGAGTGACAGTGGAAATATGAGCCTTCAAAGTACTTTTTACATAACTGATCAGAAGTAGACATCGTATCCGTCTCACCATGCTCAAATTCAGTAAAGCTATTTGAATCTCATAAAGGCAATACACAAGGTAATCCCGGCTATCACCAAGCTGAGAGTTGAATGATTCGTTGTTATTTTCGCTACTGAAGGCATGTTTTTTGGCTTCAGATGTACAACGTACGCCGGACCAACTGGAGAAGTCTCAAAGGACTTAAAGGAAAGACTTTCCATCAGCACTCTTTTACCAGACAATGGAAGTCTATTATAACGCAAGTATTTTGTGGTTGACAATCAATCACAATCAAAACGCTTTCACAACTATTCCAGTCAAAATATTTACACACATTTTCAATAGCTGGCAATATTAACCGTGGAAAGAATTGGGCAAAGATCCAAATATACTTTTGATCCACTTTTTTTAACAGTATCAAGTAATAAAAGAAGATTACTGGTTGTTACAAAATGTATGAGTAACGGAAAGCATAATTATGATTTTATTGTTACAACTACTATAGTTCTATTGTAAACTCTGTCATATTTGAAGGTAGATGATGTACAATTATCAAAGAGTAGTTCACTTTATTCAGGCTAAAGATAATTCACGTAGTATTGAAAATTGGAAATAAGTAGGAATTCTGTAAACTTCTGTTACGAATACCGTGTATCAAGTGCTGTGTTTAGTTGACAGTCTCATATGAGGCATGATGGACTTGTACTAAATTTATCAACGCTGAAGGAGTAGGAAACGAATATAGAAGAAGTGATGATTCTTATACGATATTAGCTATATTGTATAAGGTTGAACAGGTTATCATTTAGGATATATAGTTTACTTATTTACTATAAACGTTACTATATGACATTGATATAGAACAAAATCTTTTATCGCATGTATATCCCATGTTAAGATGAAAGATAACATTTTATTGATATGTTGAATAAAGCTCTCTTTGAACACGAAAAGGAGATAGAACTTAGTGATGAAAAATTCAGCAATCATATATATCTTCTATTTACGACCAATAGTCCTAACCAGCTCTGGTACTGCATCACCAATTTCCGTACCCAACTTCTTCATCTGCAGTAAAGGGACCCCGCCAATTCGAAACTGACCACCATTTCCGCCACACCCTTTCTATCGATCCTATCATGTGGCCAATGCAGCCGATGTATTCTATGGCGACTACACTGATTACTTGCTTCCCCAATATTACAGCCACAGCTACCCTTCCTTGTTACTTTTGAGCCCAACGGAGTGTTCAGCTTTATTTAACATTTGGATCTATCCCGGGTACTTTAGATAAGTTTGAATATTTCGTGTCCATTGAGTTTCAAAAAATTCTGAAATGAAAATTCTGTTTAAACGTAATAAAAAAAAATAACTGTTCGATAATGCTTCTTAATGTGAGTGTAACTAAATGGAACATTAAAATTACCCTTCTTTCGTGTATCCATTAACTTACCCTTTTTTAAAAACCGATGCATTCTGCAAATAACCGTCTCTTTTACATTCAAGTCTGTGTACGTCATGACTTGTACTAACATGGGCAGACCTTCCTAAACTACTCTTCCGTAACTATTCAGTATTAAGGTTATAAAATTACTTAATCTTATTATTAAAATCATCAGTGCTCAGCAAGGTTAATTGCCTTTTCGCTGCTGAAAAGCAACAAACCGACCGGACAATCATATCCAATGTTACAGGCAGGGACAACATCTGTTTTATAATTGGCGACAGCACGTCAAAAACAAAAGGGTACATCAAAGAGAATTGTTGAGCTAGGTACAGTATTAGTAAATGTAGGATTACAAACGGTGAAATTTCACCCAACCAATTCGCTTCCATTTTTACTTTAATCAACAATAAACTCGCATTATGATGCACAAGCACTGGTATATCACTCAAATTGCTGCTTCAGTATATAGACCTTAGACCATCGAGTTTTTCTTTCCGGCACTCATTTCAAAACGGGGATCATCGGACATGTTCAATGAGATTTACTATGGTTATTTATAGGTACTATTTACAGAAAAACAGAATAATTTACGCGGCACGCTTTATTATTATCTATACAGAGCACATAGCAATTAGTTGAGGGTTTCAAAACATGCTTCCTACGTGTATTAATATGTCCTACAACAAAGCCATTATTGCCATCACCTGCTGCTGCTTCCTTTACTCTTTCAATTGCTTCTTTACCGATTGTTAAATATATTTTATATTTTTGAATGCCTAAGTATATTACTATGTTTAACAGCTGTTACTTATTATTCCTTTATACGTAGGAAATAATATACAAAAATGGTGCGCCAAAGGGAAAACCCGATGATATAGTCACTTTAATTCTGAACCATGCAATTGCATAAGGAAAATGAATGTGCTTTTACCCTACCAGATCAACAAGTTTAGCATAGTTGCACTGCTATCACATTCATTGTACTGTTGCGTACATTCCTCCGCCGCAGCTTCAAATACATCGTGGCACCAATGTGATTCACTTGTATCGCTTGAAACTTATTGTCCTTGATCGATCCAAGCAATTGCAACCTAGGGCATTAGGTATCGCATCTATTCCTGATGTCGCTCGCTTTCGAAAACAGGCGCATATCACTGACTTAAAGTTGTAACATCATTCTGCCGGATCCCTATAATCTTTACGTATTTATATGCATACATAGATAATTGTGGGCTCGTGGATCAATTGCAATGCCTGAACGTACTTGGTCCTACAATGAAGATACCTAATGAGTGATACCAATTTGATTTGAGTTCTTGATTCTGATTGTTATCTGGAAAGTTTGCTTATGCTTCCAGCGAGCAGCTCAAGTCGCACCATTGCTTTTATACGTTTTTTTTTTTTTTTTTTTTTTTTTTTTGTTTTGTTTTTTCGTGCAAACGAACGATTCACAACCCTATATAAGTATAGATAGGGTCTGCCAGCCTTTTTTTTTCATTTTTCCTTTTCCTTCCTTTTATCATATAGCTGCACTATGCTTAAATCCCTACTTGTTCCATTCATTACTCTGGCCGCTATCGTCTCTGTTGGCAAAGTTGAGGCTATAGATCCTGTAGTTAACATTGTTTCGCCTTTTCCTGGTGATACTTTTGCTGTTGGTTCTACTATACCTTGTGTATACTACGTCTACGATCTATAAAATGCTGCCAGTAAGTTTTTCATTATAACTATGTGTATTGTCAATATTATTGAACTTTAACCTTATGTTTTTCAGAAATGGATATCTCATTGAGCTTCAAGAATTCGACCATGAAACTTGATATAGCAACTTCTTTGGATTTCAGTAAATTAGGGGGAACAGAAGTCGACGTAAGTTAGTTGTCATTCTACAACGAAAAAGCAATAGTCTTTATGAGAAAAGACAATGAACGCTAGGAAAAACCATTTACGTCCTTGACGTACTTGCTATTACCGCCTAAACAACAACAACCAAAAGGATATTAATGGCTTTTACATGGATGTAAATTTGATAGTTTGTTATTCCTGAAACCATATCTCCAGGTCTATATCAGGTAAGGTATACTTGGAACGTTTAACATGGAACCATTTTGAAAAAGCCTATGGTTAATCTGTCAAAGGTTTTCTACAGGTCGAGTATACCGATCTAGATCATAAAGTTTCCTTTCCCATCCCTGTTCATATTGTTGAGGCAGGTCAAGGAGCCAACCTAGCGGGTGGAAACGCTGCTGCCGCTAATACTGCCTCTGCCACTATAGCCTTCACTGTCACAACTGTCGGAAACACCGTTCCTAGTGAAGTCGCTTCAGTGATATCTTCTGCGAAAACTGTTGAAACTGCATCTCCAGAACCTACCAACGCAGCTGACGCTATCATTGCCGCTGCCAATGAAGCTGTGAAGAAAGGCCTCAATTCAGCACCCGGTGTATCTGTTACAAGTCTTACCGTCAATGTGGCCATTTTCTTCTCAATGGTTCTTGCTTATATTCTCGCTTAAGATTAAAAATCGATAGTTTAGTAAAGGATAGAAAAGATGAATCAATTCCTGGTTTTTACACTTGTTTGATTTCCAAAAACCTTGACAGATGGGTACAAACATAATGTAGTACTACGTTCTTCAATATTCTTAGTTCCATTTTTTTTTCTTAAATTGTTAATCTTTTTTTCCTGGAAAGGATAAAAGGGGTTCTCACATTCTATGCTTTCTCCACAGTTTATAAAATTGCCTTAAACAGACATTGGCCGTTCTTCATCAAAACTGTTACGTAAGGCTTTCACAACGCCCCTTTTTGATTGACTCGTATCAAAGAACCACATGCAATGTATAGTTTTGACCCCTCAGTATCTACTCAATTTGACTTTCACATAGTTCTCTAAATACTATTCTTGTGCGTATATTTTATTTACAATAATGTATGTAACAAGAGTAAGAAAAAGAAAAAAGTGTACAAGGGGAGGGTATCATAAAAGAATGGAATCAGGATATCTACAATTTACGATAAGGAGCATTTCGATCTAACCATGCCCTTCCTCTGTCCAAATCTTCCTGTTCTTGTTCTATAGCCTTTACGCACCAGCCCAATTCATACTTTCCTTCAGCATCATTATACAATATTTCTGCCAAAAACTTCTTTCTTGTTGTCGATTCATCCACACAGAAATACAACTGATCAGGCTCTGGCTGAATTCGACTGTTATTCAATTGTCGTGGTAAGGTTTTCAAAATGGGGATCAGCATACTCGCCGCTGTAGTCGCGTCTTTCGGATCGTTTGTCGAAGTGGCACAATATTTATTGCGACACCAGGCATGTCCACAACCGACCGTCAGTTGTGCGTGTAATTTTCTCGCTATGCGTTGGAATAATTTGGCATTCTTTGGGTCTTCCTCCATGATCCAAAAGGGGCCGAAACAGTATTGACAAAAGCCCAGTTTATTATTGGCACGGGGACGGATGCAGTTGCGGTTACAGCAGAGGGGTGGTAGAGTTTGCTGCTGTCGTTTGACTTCGTGGATTTTGGCGTGGACTTGGATGTCTTTGATAGGGACGGGTTTATGACATTTCTGACAAGTAATGGTGCGGGAGCCGCAGTAGCTTTCGTGTGAGTGAAGGCCGAGGAGTTTATCACGCGGATCTAAAGAAGGAACGCCCTGAGCAGTAAGGATCTGCCAAAGAGACAAAAACAAAGATAGAACAGGGATGAGTCAACTATTCCCTCACACACATTCCGTATTCCTCGCTCTCCTTTTACTGATACGTCCATGAGAGAACTACTTACATGACAGTAGCGACAGATGATCATCTTTTCTGGGCAAGTCGTGCGTTTATGATCTGCTAGCGCTTCATAGGATGGAGTGGTATACTGCGTGCAGATACATGTTTTCGCTGTATGCTCATAATCCATATGCTTCTGTTTGGCTAACGCGAACGACCCTACGGCTTCACATTGATCACAATGCCAATGTTCTTTGAACTCTTGACTGTCTTTTTTGAATACTTTGCCACAACCCCAAGGGCATACACGATTGTTTCGTAAGCAGAAACCTTCATGCAGCACAAAGGTTTGCTTCAGTATCCAAGCATGACAATTGGGGCATTGCACTTTTCCCGTCAAGTCCTCCTTCTTTTCCTGTCCTTGATGGGTGCTCCTATCGATATCTATTTCATGGGTACCATCAATTTCTTCTTCATCGTCGACTTCAATTACTTCCCATGAAACGACTGTATTTTCCACAAAAGCATGTATGCCTACTTGCAGGAAAGCAGTGGTGGAGGATGGGGGATCTGTGGTGGTGGACAGCATATCAGTGATGCCAACAAGCTTTTCTTTTTCTGACGAAAGATCCGCGATGTCAAAAAACTCCAAGCTAGGTAAAGTGGCTGTATCTCGAAGGATGATTATATCCGCATCTCCATTCTCGACCTGGACTCGAATGGCCATCCTCCGCTTGTGGGGTTGTTGATGCGGAAGATGTAACTTCCAGTATTTATAGTCACCCTTATTGCCGAGAGTGATATTAGACACTTTCTCATTCCATTCAACTGTTGATTTGCCGATGTCTGGGGTGGTGCTGCTGCTACCGTGACCATTGCTTTGACGGCTGCTGAGAATGGACCCTGCCTCTGTTGCTGGTTCGATAGGGTCCAGATCTACTTCTAGGTCTGTATCGACAATGGATACTGCTTCCTGGGGCTTTAGATCCACCACTTTGAAATGATATGCTTGATCACCATAGCGACAACTTAAAGGCTGGTTGACTGTTAACGTCTGATAATGCTGTCGTAAATGAGCTTCTAAAGCGGCTCTATAATCCGTAATATTCTTAAAAAAGGCATCGGATACAGGTTTCAATCGAGCATACGTCCCCTTGGGTAAGATGGCTAATTTGACAAGGACATGATCGCCATGATGTAAAGAGAGAAAGTCAATCATCCAACGAGGCAGTTGGATCAGGGCGTTGTTGGTAAGACTGAATTCTTTGACGCCGGCGTAGATGACTTTATCTACGAGTTGGTGATTTTTTAGCTGAAAGGTAAGTGGTGAAGGTAGAGTGCCGTTGACGCCGCCGACTTGTTGAAGAAGCTGTTCAAGTACGATCTGTGGTAAGATGATCTTGTCACCTTGATCTAAGTGGGTCGTTGCATCCGTGTTGCTGTCGATCACAAAGTGGGAACTCCATCGGATGTTGGGTACATCAAGCTCAGCACTGTTAGCGTTGGTGTCTCTGTCGGTATTGACTGACATGGAATTAAAAGTGGAGAGGTATTTGAAAGAGGTAATGAAACAGTAGATGGGAGACAGAAAATAGCGTTAGAGAAAAAGACACGGCAAATAAATGCAATCGGAAATGATCAGTTGTCTTTATTGATTATGTAATAATTTGACAAATCACACAATATTGAAAACAAGGAACAAAAAACATTTTGCTAGAACTTGATAGAAGCTTCAGGATACATGATCTAATTTGGTACATTTTTGTAAATGTTTGTTTTAAGAAGAGACCTTAATTATTTGGAGATTCCAGTGGTAACAACTAGCCAAAAGACACTGTTCAGTTGACAGCACTCTGAATAACTATAGTATGAACGCAGTGGACACGTTCTGACCTATGCCTGACGACTCAAGATGTTATGCTATTGGAGGGCATACAAATGGCAATGTACTCCTTTTTAGATATGATAAGGCGCAATCAACATTTATATACTGTATCAATACAGTGGTTTACGAATGAGAGAAGGGTATTCTTTTGTAGATACCCAATGATATACTTGTATCTCAATTGCTATTTTACCTGCCAAAAAAGAAGTTGGAAGAAAAAGTCAACTGAAACAGCCATATTGTTTTGTCAATGTTGCGTCAAATATATCTCATCATAATGAGGGATAATATCAATAATATGTAGAGGATAGCTCAACCACGGCATCCTTGGTTGGGCATGAAATTGGATGTTCTTTTCCCCTCAAAAAAGTATCCATAAAACTTGAAACTCAGAATCTTCTTTTTTGTGAATTTTATGCTGTTTTTGGCCTTTTTTTTTTGCAAAAAAAAAAAGAAATTAAACTTTTTTTTCTGTGGTGTATGCTGCCAAAGAAGTTAAAAAAACCAGGCCCTCAAAAAAGAGCGAATAAGAATGAAGATACTTGTGGGTATTGAGATACAACTCCATTTGGTAATTTTTCCTTACTTTTATAAAAGTCGGTTGAAGGCAAAACCTGTTGGCTTTTTTTTTGTTGTCTTTTTCTTCTTTTTTCTTTTTTTTTTTTTTTTTCCCTTTACTTTATTTTTTACATTGTTGCTGTATAGTAATGGATTATTTTGCGTATCGTAGTAGCAGCAGTAGTAGTAGTAGTAGTAGTTATTGTCACAGTGATGGCAGTGACAGCGACGAGGCTGGCAGTAGTCATCCTAACTCATGGAAAGGCGAAACATCTTCAAATTTAACAAGCACCGCCACAACGACAACAAGTGGAGTAAATTTAACATCCACAGGTTCCCTACCGCCAACACCCACAGCTTATCCGCAAGACATTGACCGATCTGCGGATAGGAACAGTAGACCGGCGCATATGAGATATTCAGCTTCTTTCTTTATACCCGACCATGGAGAGCCGTTCAATTTGATATCGCTATCACAGTCGCTCCCTTCTCCACCTATCACACCTCAAACAACAGAAAGAAGACAGCAGCAAGAAGCTGAACCACAGACATTAAAGAAGCCTTCACTGTCAAGGTACCCATTTCAAAGCCAAGCTTCGTCAGCCAATTTTTTGCCGCCGTCGCTTTCCGTTCCTTCCTCGTTAGGCGATTCTTCCTGTGCAGATCATGTACAAGATACCCTTCGCGACAGGAACGAAGACGACGACAACATCATACAACGACGATTTAGTCATCCGCCCATGACGAGACACTTGCCACGACTACATATTTTGCTCGTAGATGACAATAGTATTAACTTGGCTATTCTATCAAAACTTTTGAAAATCCATCTATCGCAATATATCGAACATATCGAGCTGGTGAAAAGCGGTATTAAGGCGCTTGAAGTGCTGAAATGCCGTCCTTTCGATTTGATTTTGATGGACATCGACATGCCTCTGATGAACGGTGTGGAAACAACCAAGCACATTCGTTGTTCGTTTGAATTTGATGTTCTGCCACGTAATCGTAAGGCACCTATATTTGCAGTAACCACCAACGACTCTGAAGCATGGAGACAGCTTTATAAAGACATTGGCATGGTAAGAAATGCATTCATTGTTCCCTTCCTTAACAATTGAGTAACCTTGTTTTCGTTTGCTTAGAATGGTTGCATTAGCAAGCCTATTTCACCTATTGATCTTATAAAAAGTCTCTGTAGTGCGTTCGATTTGCCAATGTCAATGCCACCTTACACACCGCAGTGAGATAGTTGAACAAAGAAAACCTTTATTTATTACTTGTATACCCCCTCCCCCTTCTTCTTCCTCATGAGTTACTACTGCAATTATTACCATTACTACTCATTACTACTACTGTCACTAAGGAATTGCCTTTTTTTTTTGGGTTTTTGTCATTTTTCTTTATTCTTTTTACTGTAGTATCCTTTATATATTTCCTTACTTTCTTCTTCTTATCGTACAAAAAAAAAAAAAACAAAAAAAAAGAGATGGATGCATCTTGTGAATAGATGGAAAAGAATAATTCAGAACACTTTCTTGCTTTAGCACATGCTATCTATTGCAAAAAAAAAAAAAAAAAAAAAAAAAAGCTGAGCAAATTTCGCTTAAAAAACGATGGAATCTGTTCTAGGCTGACAAATGGTTTTGTTCAGAGAATACAGCATGGCTGGCACGGGGTCTTTTGTGTGCAACTTGAGATGAAATGATGTTGCACTTGGCAGGGAAACATGTCCAGATCAACCGAGAATCAGACGATATCCACAGTCCAGGGAAATAAATATCAGGGGCTAAGTAAAGTACGGAAAGGAAAATTCTTTAAAGAGGATTAGAAAAAACCAACGTTATCCGAGGAGCATGACAGAATGGTCCCACCACAGATAGATGAAAGAATAAAAAGAAGACGCGAGCCCATCTGATGTTTACGACGCTGGTTTTCTTTAATAGCGTATTATGTTCTTTATTGCTGCTTTGGTAAAATAAAACCGAATCCACCTATATTCCAGGCACTCTTGGGGACGCCTCTCTGAGGTAAGGTGGGGAGGGGATGGGTTTTTGAAACGATGTTTTACATCGGAGTGTCCAAGTATCTCGCTATAATTGCTGTTGTTGGTGGTTTTTTTTTTCTATAATACAAAACAATTGTATAACCCATGTGCATAAATTAGGTACAAAAGACCAATGGTTTTCTTTTGCTGTCTTCAGTACACCCCCCCTCCTCCCGAGTGCTCTGCTTAGTTTGCAACTTTATTTTGAACATGATCCATCCACACGCCTGGACAACGGACGCGTCGTTGTTAGACATCATCTCCGCCATGCTTTGTCTGAAGAATTTATCACTCAGCAGCCTTAACAGCATGAGACACACAGACCTCCGACACACACCACAAGCACACAAAATACACAAACCACAAAAAAAATAAAAAAAAATGCAGGCACAGGCTCGCAAGGAAATAGGCGTTGGAGAAAAAGGTCTATCCATTCGATAACAAAAATTGACAACACTGGAATCCAGACATACATGCTAGGGAAGGGATTCGTTATAGAGAGCAGAGGGCTTATGACAGTAAAAGGAAAAAGACAAGCGTGATAATGCCTTTGATAAGTGTGAGGTGCAGCAGTCCACCGGTGAATCAATTACCCTTTTTCGTGTTACCAATGTTGAACGGATCATCATCTTAAATGCGTTATGCTTTTTTTTTTCCTATCCCGCATTTTCATTGTTCTTCTCCTCGACTGGGAAGAAATAAACTTTCCACGTTGGTTTGACGGCTTTTCATGTCGAGAAAGCTGGCAGACAGCCAAGAACCCACGGGTCGTCACAGATAACGTAAAGAAGTTAGGGGGGGAGGCTTTGAACACCCGATACTCCTAAGCATTAACATCAGCATTTTTTGGTTTTTTCGTTCATGTAGACGTAAAAAAAAAGAGGTTCGACGATCCTTTACGAATCAAATGTCCAACAAGTAAATCCACGGATCCATGAGTGGAATGAAAAAGAGAAAAGGAGTCTGCTAAGCGTACTTTATGGTTTTCTGAGAAGCTTGGTTTTTTCTGCTTGTGGGATCGTGTATTTGTTGATGGAAGAACAGAAAAGTTTATACATGTTTCTGTTTTATTTCTGTCCTGGTGCTGCCTTATTCTGTATTTTTTGATTTAAAGAACGTCATAATGTTTTGTAAAATTACGTGCGCTCAATTCAAAGACCGATATAGAGTGCCTCAAGATTGGACATCCATTTTGTTTTGGTTTTTTTTTTTTCAGGTACGTAACAATCACATAGTGTTCCACAATCTTACTTTTTCGTCTAACGGAATCCTTGTACTGATCTGGACCTATTCCGGAGTTACGGTAAGTTCATCTCAGGAATAAAACGAAATTATTGTGGATGGGTTATGTTAGAGATAGTCGTGAATGCAAGAAGAACGATAGAGTTTAGAAGTAGCATACCTCATCTGTAACATCATTAAAAAGAACGAGCTTATATCATAAACTCTCTTATAAGCTTCCTGCCATTACAAACTATATATTTATTTGATATGAGAGCAATTTAAGGCTTAAAAAAACCCTTATGCAAATAGCGTTCAATATAGCCTTAGTAGCTTAGGAGCCAAAAAAAAAAGTGCTTTTATCGTCTACAATAGGAATCATGTTTTCTTGACCACTTGTGAAGAGGACGCATTGCTATTGTCAGTATCGAGTGTCGTATATCAACATGTGATTTTCCATATGCTTTGCAGTGGTTTGTGAGAATTAATAGTAGTAAGTAAAGCTTTTGTTAGTTGTCTCTCAAAGTAAAGCATCCCCATCGCAACGAATCAGACATAGATTGTTTAATATTCGAAAATAGACGCGGTATTGACAATAGTACACAAATGGACAGAAAGAAAAACGCCAAGGAGTCGAGCGACAGAATACAATACAATCTCCCTCGTTTTCAATGGTAGCCGCGAAACAGTCTACCTCTTTATTTTAAGCTTGTCATTTCATCAAGTAAGTGAACAAATTTTGTAAAAAATTCAGAGAAAAAAAAAATATATACAAACTTGTGCACCACGTATATATTTGACGCTAGTCCTTTAGAAATCGGGCTCAAAAGCACTGGCGATGAGGAACACTGATCGGTCGGATGTAATACTCTTGCTGTCAACTTTAAGAGTTGTGTTGTACAATGACAATTAAACAATAAGGACTAGATATAGAATGATTTCCTAAATGTTCGAAAACTGACTATCAGGTGAATCAAGAAAGCATAGTCGACACTATTGAACTGAAATAGTAAAGGTAAGGTTACAGATGCTTAAGGAAATGATGACCGCTTTCAAATGCTTGATCATAGGTTGGGGTCCCAAACTGTGGAATATAAATGGAATGGCAAAGAAAGGTGGCTAAATTTATAGAATACAGAGATGAGGAGCTCAAAGCAAGTTAAGTTATCTATCAGATAATGTCCGTAAGGAGACCTGCTATTCCATTTGAATATCAATAATAAGGAGTGTACCTCATTCTAGTTATGTCATACGCAGCAATAAAAACCTGCGAAAAACATTTACTAACCAGGTGTAAACGTGATAAGCACACCTTCAGCGAACGTAGTGTCTTGTTTTTCAAAAGCTGCTCAGCCTGAGGGTGGTATATTAGCGAGCCATATTGATTATGGAGTTGCAATTGTATCAAAATTTAGTACAGCTTAGTGTAGAGTTGTATAACGGTGAAGAGTATCTCGACTATTTTTTTTCTTTATCACAAACATACATAAGGGTGGTGACCATTGTTTATCAAGCTCTCTCTCTCTCTTCGATGACCTATAGGTTACAGTCTCTAACGCATAGCATAGGTACGGATACCATCACGACAAAGTGAAGAGAGTAGATCCGTTTTGATCCTATACGAGTGTTTCTTGACCAAACAAGTATTTTAGCCCGAAAAAGATGAATGCATTTTGATATTGTCACAAAAAGGGCGTCGGAAAATGAATTTAAATAAATTCATGAGCCATTTGAGCGTTTCTTAGAGTGGCGGATGTTGTTATTGTGGAAGTGGGGTCAAAAAGGGGGGCCTGTCTAAATTTGAGGGGTTGACAGTCAATTGAAGTGAAAAAGACAGTTACCAGATTTTTCAAACTCTCTATTCCCCTCTCTCAAGATTGTATAATATGTTGAGACTTGGAAGAACAGCTTTATGGCATACAACAAAAGTGCCTACTACGACAGCGCTTACAAAGAATTTACTACAACCATCATCGTTATGGACAAGGCCATCGACAACAGCAACAACAGCAACAACCACAATGGACAGCCTTACGCAACGAATGAGTCAGCTTCGATTCTATTCTTCAAAGACACCCAAGAATCCAAGTACAGCAGAAACTGCTGCCAAAGCAAACGCCAAGTCTGACACAACTACTCCAACACCCTCCTTCATTTCCGGCTTCAATACGAAAGGTAGTGCATTCACCACGATTGAAGCATCGGCCTACCCTTCTCAACAATTCAAGACCAAAAAACCAACCACACCTGGTAAACGTTGGCTTCGACGTGTCCCTCGTGATCATCTTTATAAGGGAAAAGCGGTGCGTTCCTTGACTGTCGCCAAACGTAGTTCAGGCGGTCGTAACAATTCAGGTCACATCACCGTGCGTCACCGTGGTGGTGGACATAAACGACGTATTCGTATTATAGATTGGCATCGTCGTGAACCGGGTACACACAATGTTATGAGATTGGAATATGATCCTGGACGTACAGCGTGGATTGCCTTACTAAAACATGAGGAAACGGGCAAATTGAGTTATATTGTCGCACCACAGGGTGTGAAAACAGGAGATAAGTTGATTTCCTATCGGTCACTCAACACAAAAACAACCACCACTACCACTACCACTGCCACGACAGTTCCATTGTCTTCTACAGCGACAACAGCAGCACCCTCCTCTTCCACCATCACCACCACTACTACCACCACCTCAACAACAGTGGCGCCGACAGAGACCCTTTCTCATTCAGTAGATACGATTAAATACAATGTGGGTAACTGTTTCCCTATAAAGATGATTCCTGTCGGTTCAATTATTCACAGCATCGGCCTTAAACGAAATGGTCCTGGTATCATGGCCAGAGCTGCTGGTACTTATGGTCAATTGATTCAAACGGCTGAAACGGGATATGCTCAAGTACGTCTGTCCAGCGGTGAAGTGCGTTTAGTGCCCGTGGACGCATGTGCCACTTTGGGTGCGGTCAGCAACCCTGATCATCAGCACGAATGGTTAGGTAAGGCAGGACGTAGACGATGGATGGGTTTCAGACCTTCTGTTCGTGGTGTGGCCATGAATGCAGTGGACCATCCCCACGGTGGTGGTCGTGGCAAATCAAAGGGTAACAAGGACCCTCGATCTCCTTGGGGCGTGTTGGCAAAGGGTGGTAAGACTAGAAAATCACCCAATCCATTTGTCGTTAAGCCTAGACCAAGACGTTAAGAGGCGACCCTTGGTTTTGTAAAGGAAAGAGGCTGGGTTCAACCTATGCCTTTTTCATCGAGATACACTTCTTTTTTACACACCTTTTCTATTTTTATTTGTATTATAAAAGTATATGTTCCTAATGTAGACCGTTTAAGGGGAGGGGAAAAAGGCGGATGTATTCCCAATATTACCACTATAAAAACTAGCTTCATCACCAAAATAATAAAAAAAAAGAAAAAAACGTGATGTGAGTACAGTAAAGTAATATAAACGAAAAAGCAAGTTTGTTGTCATCATTTTATTCGCGATAAAATCTTTTTGATGTTCCTTATCTACTTTCTCGCCCTTTCTTTATCACTGTCATCATTTCACCTGTGTATTTGCAAGTACAGTATATGTCATCTTTTTACCATTATACGGAAAGATGTACTAGGTCTTCACCGAGACAGTTCACGACGCGATCAAGCTATGCAACGGAAGCAGAAGAAGAAGAAGAAGACGAAGAAGGAACTGACGTTTACAAGGGATCACGTCAAAGATCTATAAAAGATATCCTAGATGAAGACGAAGACGGACATCATGGCGATGTTTCTGCTTTAGAGAACTATTATCCTTTGTTGAATGAAACTGAATACAACGACCCGTTTATAGATGAGTTTGGGCGTCCTATCACACTGACTCCTCCACCCATTGCTATGCCGCCTTATGATGCCAGTTACAGTGATGAATTCCTTGCCATCGTTCGACAGTGCGTGAACAAAGCAAAGAGCAGCATGCCGTCGACTTTGTTCCCTACTGCTAGCAACAATAACAACAACAACCGTCATGATAGGCAACAACACCTGTCTACAGAGAAGGATGGATTGGTGGCTGACTTGCTCGAAGGCCTTCCTCATCGAATGACTGTTCCGGCCAAAAACAGCATCGGTTCTCGTCTGACCCATAATAGATTCACGCAGAAAGACAAAGGCAAGCAGAAAATGGTTGGACAACAACAGGATCAGAAAAAGTCGTCCTCCTTCAATTCGTGGATAGATTTTGATGCTTTCGACACACCCAAAGGCACTTCAAGTCACAAGATGAGACTGTCGCCGCCCATGCCACCACAGACCCCTTCCTACGTGAAAAAACAGACAAAGAATAGGTTAGAAGACGATCCCCATGGCTTATTCGACAACTACAGACAGTATCCACTGGTAGACGATAGGACAACCACTATAGAGCAAGGCAGACGCGCTTTAGCTCCACACACTTCCTGCTTCACCCGCCAGCAAGCAGATATAGACCCATTGCTTCTTCCGGAAGAGGAGGAGGATGAGTTTTTCGTTTTAGATAAAGTACCTACGCATATGAATGATCTGCATTATGTATCGAATGGAAAATTTAAAACCAAGCAAAATGCCAAAAACAGGGAAAAGGAACTTATGAATGCTATTGACACCAAATTTCACTGTGAACAAGAAAAGGCTCATCATCCTTTCATCTTGCAAGAACAACAGTCCTTGGAAGAGGAAGAAGAATTTCCCATGGATGACTCAAAGGATTTTTCGTCCTGGCTATGCTTCGATAACGACGATGAATATGCTAGCTTCAAGGTTAGAAAGGCACATTACCATTATTCACCAACAATAGAAAATCAACTCTGCTTACTTTTTTTTTTTTCCCCCGGATAAATACACAGAATTTTATTGATCAAACATACGGCAACGGTCATCATGCCAAGCACCCAAACGAAGCACAGCAGGTTCTAAATGAGGATGACGACAATGTTGACACAGTGTCTCTAACTGGCAGTGATCTTCCTCAAAAGTCGTTCCGTTACGGTAACAGTAGCAGCACTAAGAAGAAAGTAGGATTCTCAAATACAAATGACAGCCTGCTACCTGTACCATTCATGGAGCCTTCTGCCAAACAGAATAATGAGAGAAAGGATGCTGACACAGCTGAACAAAGTTGCGAAAAGACAAGTAATGCTGAGCAGCAAGATCTCTCCACTTCTATGCAACAGCAACAGCAAATAGAGTTATCCTATAGCGGCTTCAAAAGCAAAATCTTAAGGTCAAGTACACCCAAAAGGACGACAGTAGGACATGCTATTTTCAATAGTAACTCGCTCTTAAGGAAACATGCGCAGCAGCAAGAACAGCAGCAACTTGTTTTCAAAGGCTTATTTGAAGACGAGGATGGCCAAGATGATTCATTTGAGGAGAAAGAAAACATGGCTAGTAATACACCAAAGAATGTCGAAACAACAAGTGGTAGCGCTAACATGCAGAGGTATCTTTTTCACTCTACAGCCAGCATGGGCCGAGAGCAAGTCAACAGCAGCAGAAGACCCCTCTTCAATTTGACCAAGTAGCCCGATAATCCTATGTATTTATTTCTCTTAAGCAAAATAAAAAGAAATACTTTGCTTACTCTGAGCGTGTATTAGTCATACAGTCATGTTTCCTTTCCTGCAACCATTGCACTCAAGAAATAATAAGCGTGCATCGTTCGGTGGCGTCTTCTAGTCACGGAAGAAGTTAAGCAGAGGGACATTGAAGGAAAGGAAACCGCCTTCTACCGAACGTAGCTGTTACACCAAACAATACAGTTCATCAGCAGATGGTGAATCATCTGATTTCTAAACAAACCACTTTTGCCAAGTTTCTTTTGAATAGTAGGAAATTCGATCAGATAACTCCACCGAACGGAGGGAAACACATACGTGCACAGACCATTCTTGTTTAGGTAAGAACGGCGATAAGTTGGGCAATGTAGGAAAAACTCAGCCCATCCACCCCGAGATGAAACCGAAAGGTGAGAAAGCACTGTGTCATTATCGACATCCAATCATTATTGAGCAAGTTTAGGCTTTCTCTTTCTCTATCCGATAATATGAATCTTCTTATTAATGTTACTACTATTATGCGAGCCAAAAAGGGATGAATAAGCTTGCCATAACAATCTCTGTAACGTCTGTCTTTCTGTATAACCAGTACAATCTTCAAACTTGCACCCTTCTAGAATTACTGCTTATTTGATATCTCAGTAGGAGACGCAAAATGGTAAATAAAAGATCCAATTTAAGCACCGCACACGCAACCAGAGATCAACACAACAAACCTTTCTTCGATCGAATCAAAAAGCACGGGAACAAACAGAATTTCCACTTTGTCAACTGATCGATAAAAGCAGAGCCTATTGACTTATAGGGGGGGAGGGCGGGGCGGGGAAAAAAAATGGGGGTACTCAGAAAAAAACTGACAACTTTTGAATTTTTCTAATAGCAGCTTATAATGTATGAGCATTGCTTTCTGTTGCCCCTTTTTTCTTTCTTTATCTTTTTATCCTTTTTTTTTTGATTTACTTTATTGCTGTTTTTCAATTTTTGAAACGTATAAAATGCCTAAAACCGCTCAGAAAAAAGCAGAGGATAACAACCTATGTCCTCTTTGTCATCATGGCTTAGATAAGGATACGACCAGTATTCCTGAATTACCGTTTGAAATATGTCTGAATGCATTTGTAAATGGTTCGCTTTATTATTGTGAATTGGTAGGAAAAACGACTTACTAACGATGATGAATCACTTGTAGTGCACCTACTTTAACAATATTTTTGATGAGGCACAGTCAGATGCCACAACAACAACAACAACAACAGCGACAACGACTAGCTCAGTGAGTAAGGGAGGAAGAGTCCGTGGAAGAGGCAGAGGTCGTGGTAGAGGCCGAGGAAGAGGCGGAAGAGGAGGCAGCAGCACAGCAACTAGCAGAAACGGCAAATCCAGTCGCTCACCCATCATTGAAGTTATCTCATTCGACAGTAAATCATCCATACCCCCTACTACACCAACCGCCATTCCATCTAAAAATATCGACCCTACCACATCCTCTTCTACAAATACAGCTGTTCCTGTCAGCAACAGCATCGTAACAACCTCTCCAGCAACAGTCAATAACAATGTAACAAACAATTTTCATACTACCAATTATATTGCTCATATCAATGATACCCTCTTAAATAACCTGAACAGCACTGATTCTCTTTCCATCATCCCACCCTCTACATCCGAAGATACACCAACGACTACTCATACCACCTCCTCCTCCTCCACCACCACTTCAACTACTACTGATTCCGCAGCAGATACAGTATTGAATTTTGATTTTACAACCAATTTCAATTCGATAATCCAAAAACAACATGGTGTCGTACCCTTCAATTTTTTGGAGGAAGATAACACAACAAATATTCTTTTTTCGTAATCGAGATACCAGTCCAAATCGTATGCTTTATAAACGAACCCTACTCTGTGCAATACATATATTTATAACTATTACTACGAATCCATATACCACGGCTACTCGAACTAATCTATCATATTGACAAATCGCTATTTATCATCTGTACGCAGCATCATTTCGCAATAAAAAAAAAGCTGACCATAATTGCATAACACTTTTAACTGCGAAACTGATTCTTACTTTCCACTAATTATTGCAACCTCGATCTTGTTAACTTTAAATAGTCTTTTTACTACGTTACACTCAACCTTTCACCTGTTCTACTCGTTTCAATGTTTTAGTGGCATAACGATAAGTTTCAAAAAAACTCCTGTACCTGCAGACCGACCACGTCGCTCACCAATCCCTTTTTTTTTAAAAAAAAATGCCTCCTTCTCTATTCTCCGCTGATCTCCCGTTAAAGCGGTCACATAATCAAGCCACTCTGGACCTCTCCTAATTTCAGATTTTCCACAAATAAAGCCTATTTTTATTATTTTTTTTTTCTCTACATACAAAGTTGTGAAAAGTCTCAACCCTTTTTTGTAATGGCAACGACTACACTTCAACTTTATTGGGACTTGGCATCCTTTGATGCCACAGCTCGTCAAACAGCTGCAGCTGCCCTCATCAAATCCTTATCCGACTTTCAAGCAAAGCATGAAGAAAGTCTAGAAGCTACTGACAAAGTAGCTGACACAGAGGAAAAATTGGACCTTTTATGTGCATCCGACGTTTCTTATGCTGTTCGTCGTTTATTACGTGGTCTTTCTTCTTCAAGACAAGGTGCGCGTCAAGGTTTTTCATTAGCTCTGACCGAGGTAAAAAAAAAAAAAAAAATTGACGAGAGAAAAAAGATGAACATGACATGTCATATCAGTAAAAGATACAGTAGCTAAACACACAAATTTCTGTACTCAAAACAGCTTCTTGCTATTGTCGATTGCCTGTCGATTAAACTTGTACTCGATTTGTTATTCAAATTTACTGAACGCACTAAATCGATGAGCGGTGAAGAGATTCGTGACGTGTTGTTTGGTCGATTATTCGGTTTACAATCTATTGTTGCTGCCGGCATGATCGCGCGATCCTCAACAACAACAGCTGATATTATACGTATTGTTGAAAGTCTGCATGAAATGGCCACTACTAAATCCTACCTTGCTGAAGTGTGTCATCACGTTGTCATTAACATGTTATCTCATGTAAGTTGCGCCCAAACCATGACTTGCATAATAGATCGTGGAACAAAAAGCATTTACATTTCTTTTTTTCCCTTCTAGTTCAAAGACACAAAACACCAAGATGAAGTTGTTGAGAAAATCAAGGCATTGTTTTTGGACGGACCTGTCTCTAATGTCGATCAATTAAATCTTATCATTGGCATGCAACAAAAGCTCAATAACGTTGATTTATCTACGCAATTAGCCAAGTGGAAAAACCATAACATTCTGCATCCAGCCAACTTGAAGCTCTTATCCAACATTTTGAAAGAAATACCCAGCGAGACTCAAGAAGCTTTGGCTCAATGGAAGCCTCAATTGCATTCTGTCTGGGATCCTATTTTGAACATGTATTTTTCAGAAAACAAGCCCAAGAATATTGCCTCTTTCCAAGAATTTTGGACTGTGGCTGTTGACAGTATGTATTCTTCGTTGTTATACACCGTCTCTATTTCTTGGGAACACCCCATCTGAGCTCATTTTTTCTCTTTGTTTTTTTAGACAGCATGTTCGATCGTGATGCCTCCCATGGTCGTAAGTACTGGGGATTCCAACTTGTTGAAAAAGTCCTCCGCCGTCTCTCATCAGAGCAAATGCCTTTGATCTTTACGTCCAACTTTATGAGAACCTTCATCAATAATTTGGCTTCAGAAGACCGTTTCTTGAACCGTGCTGCTCGACACACTGCTCAAGTTATTCAAACTGTTGCTGAGGAAAACAAGCAAGTCGGTTTTGCTCTCATCACACAACTTTTAGGTCAGCACGGTAGTCAACATTTTGATCGTATCACCAAGACCAAAACAGTAGAAAATCTGTTGACGACGATGGACACTGAAGGCATCCAATTCTACTTGGAATATTTGGCTCATACTTTCATCGAGTGTTCATCGGATGAGGATGAGGGTGAAAAGATGAGTGAAGCGAGTCGTGATTGGGCATTGAATCAATTTACTTTATTAATGACAAACTCCAAAATTCCCAAGAACGAAAGCTGGATTACCGAGTTGATCCGTTTCTTCTTGATTCACTCCTTCTTTGACATCAACTCCAGTGCAACAAATGGTAAGAAGAAGAAGAGCGACAGCAAGGAGGGTAGTTACTGGACCGGTCTTTATAAACCTACACCCGCCTTGTCCCAGGCTACTATTCGTACTTGCCAGCAAAAGTTCCAATCCATTCTCGTTGCCCTCAGCAAACTCGCTCCTACTGAAAAGATCAGCGCTGGTACACCTATCAAAACCCGCAAATTGAATGGCATGACAAACGATGGTGAATTATGGGCTTATAAGGTGTTTGACATCTATCAATCTCTGAAGAAGGATAAAAAATTGGTGTCCCATGTCCATTTGGAAAAGGAAACAGCCGCTGTCATCAATGAGGCTGTCAAGAAGGTAATGGAGTTGAGAAGCAAGATGGAAAAGATTGACAAGAACGAATGGCATGATAGTGTGGAACGTGGTTTTGAAATCCTCTTGTTGAACTTGATTCTTCACACTCTCATCAATGAAGAGGAAGGTGTCTCTGTTTTATCAGAAATTACGGATTGTTATGACAAGATATTTGCTTCTGCTGCTGCCGCCTCCAAGCGATCTACTAAAAAGACAAAAAAGGAACAAGAGGAACCATCGGATGCTAATGAAGAGCAACCTGACCCTATCGATGTGATTGTTGATATTCTTGTTTCTTTCTTGACAAGTGAATCACCTGTCTTGAAGAATCTTGCTGAGCAAGTCTTTGAAATCTTCTCACACAAGTTGACCAAGCAGTCTCTGGAAAATTTGATCGCTATTTTGGCTGGTGATGATAAACAGGGTGATGATATCTTTGATGATGATGAAGAGGACCTCGACGATGATGTAGAAATGATGGACATGGATGATGTGGATATGGTTGACGAAAACGAGGAGGAGGAAGAGGATGAAGATGACGAGGAAGTAGACGAGGAGCTCCGTCAAAAGGTAGAAGAAGCCATGAAGGCACAAGGTATCAATGCCACAGAGGATTCCGACGAAGAAGAAGATTTGGATGACGATGCTATGGCTGCATTCGACGAAAAATTGGCTGAAGTATTCAAACAAAAGAAACTTGCTAAACAAGAAGGCAAGACCATGCAACAGAATATTGTTCAATTCAAAAATAATGTCATGGAATTGCTTGTCATTTACGCCCGTAAAAATCCTACCAACCCTCTTGTGCTCAACTTGATTGTCCCTCTCTTGAACATTATCCGCGATACACCTGCTAAATCCGTTACCAATCAGTTTGTGACAAAGGTCATTGCCTTCTTGAAGACGCGTTTACCAAAGTCACACGAATATCCCAAGGATCAACATAATGATGATGTTTTTGCTATTTTACAAGCCGTCCACGACTTTGCCAAGCAATCTACTTCCAAAGATACCTCAGAAATGTGCGTTCAACTTTCTCTTTACCTGCGCAAATGTATTTTAGGAGGCGCCGATTTCGAAGTGACTGATAGCACATTGGATAAAAAGACCAAGAAGGCTTTGGAACGTTTCATTGCTATCTACAGCGATTCAACCAAGTTCTATCTCGGTACAAAATCAACCTCGTTCAGTGCAAATATCATTCAGCAGTTATTACAGCGCTACCCATTGAATTGTTGGGACTTGTTGGATACCTTGGCGACTTACTTGAACAGAGCCAACTGTGCTAATGCTTATAGACTCTCCATGGTGACAAAATGGATCAGTTTAATTGTTCAGCGTACCGTTGGCAAGAAGAACGAAGCCTATAATCAAAAGTTCATTGAATTGGCACCCAAACTTGTAGAATCTATCTTGGCCACCATTGACTTATCTTTGAAAGACGATTCTAAGGGCTTAGAATACGAAAATATGAAACTTTATTTACGATTTATAGCATTACTTATTAGACTTTATAAAAAGGTAGCACCTGAAGCCGTTGATGTAAGTATATTGTTCTTAGAGTGCATGCCCACTTTGACAGATTCACTCATTTTTTTATTGTTATATTCGCAATCCAGGTAAATAAGGTGTGGAAGACTGAATCCATCCTATCCATTACAAACAATGAAAAATATTCCAAACCAGCCATTTCTGCATTATGTAAGCAGATTCAACAATAGTTATACTTTTTCTCTGTATCTCTCTTTTTTTTTGTATTTCTTTTGCTCTACTTTCTGCCCTTTTTTCCTCTTTATTCCTGTAAACATAATCCATATACAACAAATAAACGCTATATAATGAAAACTACGGTTTTCTTATTTAATTTAGAATGCCACAAAGCCGAATTCTGCGGATATGTATTTTCATATTCGCTTCAGTCGCGCCCTTTTTTGAAACTGTTCAATTAATTTAGATCGGATGAATTCTGAAAGCACAGCCGCCTTGCTAACTCCTCTTTTTTAATGCAGATCAATAACCATAAACAATGGTAACTTTGATGCTCGTTTTCACTTATCAAACCAGTCCACAAACACTGACTCTCAATGTCCCTGCCATGACTAACAGCTGTTAGATCTGATAAAAGATGTTGTTGTATATCAGTCACACAGACAATGAAATCAGTGTGAGTAGTACAATGCAATAATTGTTATCATAGATCTTTTTTTTTTTTTTCTTCATTGTTAGCTCTTTCCTTCCCGACGAGCATTTTTCAGTCTCCCCAAATTTGAACACGATTGACATTTTTCCTTTTTCTACAAATGTCTCAGAGTGTGTGTGTATCCCCTTTCACAGAACATTGGGGTAAAAAGACGTCATTGGTTGGGAAAAAAAGGGAACTGTTTTTCTTCTGTTTATTGTACATATATAAATCGTATATCAAGCATTGTAAAGTTCTGTATTAACCTAGTACGAGAAGAGGCTCTCTTACATAATAGAAAGCGACAAAAAGTGTCTATATTCATTAGTTTAAAATTAAACAAAGAAACAAGCAACAACGTCATGGTACCTCATGATGCCAGACGAATGTCAGAAGAAGATGATTTCGACACTTACACTTTAGACGGATACGATGACCCGCTTCTCTCCAAAAACCAACACTCACAGCATAATACCCAGCAACATCATGATATATCTATGCATGCAACTATTCCTTCCCAACCTCGTTCAAATACATTGGGTGTTTTTGGCGAAGATCTTGATATCAAACCAGAAATCGACACTGGTCAAGTATCTGATTCTTGGTTTTCGTTTAAAAAGCTATGGAAATATACAGGGCCTGGTAAATATTGATAGTACATCTTTTTGTATGTGTATTGACATGATCATTGTGTAACTAATTTCCTATATTTGCTTTGCTTATTTCTGTCTTTTGCAGGCTGGTTGATGTACAGTGAAAGCAATAACCGTTGTATTTGATCTATTTCTGAAGTTATCGCTAATTTGAAACCGCTTGCATTTCATCAACAAAAATAACCTTGAATTTAGGTCAATAGCCTATCTTGATCCAGGAAACTTAGAGTCCGATCTTCAAACAGGTGCTGTAGCTGGTTACGGTCTACTTTGGCTATTATTCTGGTCACATGTGATAGGTAAGAAAAAGACAGAAGATCGCTCTATTCGTCAGTATAAGACTAATCCTATGGCTGATTCGCATGAAATATAATTAGGCCTCTTTTTCCAAATTCTTTCAGCTCGATTAGGCACGATTACAGGCAAGCACTTGGCACAGCTCATTCGGCAAAGTTATTCAAAGCCATTGACTATTACACTATGGATCTTTGTACAAATCGCCATCATTGGTGCCGATATTCAAGAAATTGTGGGTACAGCTGTTGCATTACATATTTTATTACGACTACCTTTGTGGACAGGCGTTTTACTGACAGCGACAGACACAGCTACGTTTATGATGATTCAGCGATACGGTATTCGGAAATTGGAGGCATTTTTTATGATGTTAATCAGTTTAATGGCTGTTTGTTTCTGGCTTGAAATGATACAATCCAAACCGAGCACCCTCAATATCGTAAAAGGCATGCTGGTGCCTTATGTACCCAAAAATTCGGAGTTTCAAGCTGTTGCTATGTTGGGAGCAGTTGTTATGCCGCATAATATGTTTTTACACAGTGCGCTTGTTATGTCCCGCGATTTAGGAAAACAACCCTCGACTCGCAAATTGAAAGAAGCCAACTTTTATTTCGGTATTGAATCAGGCTTAGCTTTGATTGTTTCATTTTTAGTCAATTTGGCTATCGTCGTTGTGTTTGCACAAGGTAAGGGGACAGGAATCACCCATACGGTTTACTGAAAGTGGGAAAAGGTAAACTAACATCCAGCTCTATGGTATATCAGTTTTTTATAAACCAAATCAGACAGGCAACGTGCAACTTCCTGGTTTAGCAGATGCAGATGTCGTGCTAAGTGGTACACTAGGTTCAGCTGCACGATATCTATGGGGCGCCGGTTTATTGGCAGGTAAAATGCACACGCGAAAATGATTTATCGTCTCGTTTTAGATAGAAAAAGTTTTCTCACCCTCTAATTATCTGAAATCTGAAAAAAGCGGGTCAAAGCTCGACGATGACGGGTACATTAGCAGGACAGTATGTTACAGAAGGTTTCTTTGGGAATATTTTCAAAAAGGATTGGCATCGTGTTGCTGCTACACGTAGCATTTCTTTAATTCCTGGTATGTTGGTAGCTGTATTTTTCGTAGATCATTTCGACGCGATGGGTGAACTACTCAATGTTTTACAGAGGTAAGATACGTAAGAAGAAGAAGTTATCTACTGTGCTAAAATTATAGCTTACTGATGGGTTTCTCTCTTTTGACAGTATATGCCTCCCTACCGTCTTGATCCCAATTATCAAAATATCAACTTCATCCCACATTCTACCGAGAGAATTCCGGCCTTCTTCGATACTCCAAGTAACATGCTGGATTTTGACTGCAATTGTCATTGCATTTGATATATTTTTGGTCCTCCAACACGTTACTAGCTTATCATCAGCCTTAGGCATCGGTATCTGTGGTACTGCGTTTCTGCTATTTTTAGTCTACCTTTGTTTCAAATCTTTGGTACACACCAACAATAGTAGTAGTGATGGTGATGAATGGATGGCATTGAACGAAGAACATGAAAATATTTTTGACGATCCAGAGATATTGTTAGGTTCAACTGATGTTGAATCAGAAAGTCGCCTCCCTGAACACCATGATCACCATACTTACAACTCTCATATCGAGAGGCAAAATGCTAACCTTTTCCGCGAAAGTACAGATGATATCCATGCACGGTAGATGTGCTAATAGAAATTTGAAATAGACACAGAATACCAATTCTATTATCTATAACCTGTCACCTTTATACACTATGCAACATTATATATCATTTTTGCCTCTCTTTTGTCTTGCAGCAACTCCCGCACAGCCTTCCTTCTTTCTCTTTTGCTGAACTTAAATCACAAATCTCACCAAAAACAGGAAAAGAAAAGGGATATTTATCTTGCATCATCGCCGCATATCCTTTTTAAAAACGACACAACTGAACACGTTTCGATTACATACTACACTTATTTTGCTTGTTTGTTTACACCTTTAATTCTACTTTAATATCAACGCGCACACACGATATATTTACATTCTCAAAAACATTGATTTTGACAAATTGTACGCGTACTCAATAATAAAGGTAAAGTTTCATTCCCCGTCTTTCTTCATAACCTGTACTAGCTGGTGAATTGAAACTACTTTTGTAGAATTTGTTGCTGTTTTATCTGACATTGTAAAGTAAAGTGGTTGGGGTACTATTGAATGGCCTTGATGGGCATGTAGATTTGAGATAAAATGAATTTCTTTTCCTCTAAGCACCTGAACAAGTTCAGTCTGTGTATTAATATGAAAGTACAAAAAAGAGGTGAGTTATAAATACAATTATTCAGTATACTGCTTTAAATGCAAACAACGTACGGTTTCTAAGTGTCTTATTTCAATGACTGATTTGGAGAAAGCCACAAGAAAAGGGTATAATACTGATACATGATGTACTTGAGACTCGAACCGAACTTTTCGCAATATGTTGTTATTATTACTGATAGCGGGAGATGAAGGTACAGATAGAATATGTACATATTGAGATTCACTGGCAACAGCATAACAGTAGTGATTTCCATGGCAGCAGGCATCGACTGTGTTATTCTTCGTTAATGATCGTATGATACTGAAGCTTGAATTTTTGCCTATAAATGCCCAATTAACTTTCTTCATTTGCAACATAGCAGCTGCAGTAGAAGGGGCATTTTTATTGAAAATATCAATTCTCTCCACTCCATTTTTGGCTGATCTGACAAATAATATATTATCAACTATCTGTACTTCACATGGATTTTTGACATTCACCTCGAATTCTGTTCTGTACTTTTTATACCAGTGATATCTTCCCATTGAATGTATCGGCCTCTTTTCAGTTGCAGTTATCGGCGACAGCGACAAAGACGGTGTTTTATTGAGTAGGTTACTATTGCTGCTGTTGTCGTTGGGAACAACAATGACAAGCCAAGTTGCCTGCAGTCGTTTGGTCAGGTACACGATTACGGGTTGCCCACGAAGACAACCCACAGTAAAGCAAATGACATCAGAGCGTTTGATCATACACCACCAGCCTGTCATAGCATTGGACGTAGAAAGACCTGCTGTGCGACGATGGAAGGCATCAATCAACGGCTCAAGAGCATAGGCTACGAGCATCATTTGTTCTTTTTCTTCACGCGCTTGAACAATAAGTCTATCTCCCCATACAGCAAGCCTATAGACGTCTTGGTTAGGTAGTACAAGATGATAAGGCATGGTGGAGCCGTATTCATTTGACCCCATATAAACCCCAAATGGTGTACCGAAAACCACTAATTTTTCAGTATAACCGGTTTTCGCTTGACGAAATTCTGTTTGCATGTATTAAAGAAAATTATGAATGAAGTAAGTACAGTTGAGCGTGCGTTTCACGTTATCATATAAGTGGAATGTAATACAAAATATGTCAGGTTTTCCACCTACCGAACGCGCAGGCACATCTTATGTCCGTTACGGTCCCCGCACTACTACTGTTATCACTTGTATAATAGTAGTTGTTCGAGTGAGCGGCTGGTGTCATTGTAGGTACTGGCATTTGCTGTAAATGTCCGACCTGATGCTGCAATTGCGGTATTAAAGACAATGAGTGACATACAATTTGCATGTTGAATAGGTCACCTTTCGCTTCAGCAGTTTTTATCATATTTGCTAGGAGATTTTCCCAAATCATCTTATCTGATCGAGATAAAAATTCAAGTTTAAATGTAATATCCGGATAGGACATGTGACAGATTTTCAATGTTCTCCTTTGTTGTTGGCGTAGACGCCTTCGCTGTTGTTGTTCTTGTTGTTGTTGTTGTTGTTGTTGTCGTAAATGCAATTCCTTCAGTTGAATTTCAGGAGCTTTTGCTGTCGCTGTTATTGCTGACGTAGGCACTGAGTTACATACAGTACTGCCGCTGCATAGCGGGAAGTCCTTGTTGAAATGGGGAAAGTTCCGTAATAACATGGCAGGCGCAGATATTCTTCGTGAAACAGATACTCCTCCTTCATTCTCAACGGCAGACACTGTTGTTGTAGTCGATGAGAGAGGCAAGGAGCAACTGGGAGTAGTGCGTATACTAAAACTATGGCGTAATTTTGAAAGCCTCGATTTAAGACTGACAGGAGGCAAGACATGGCTATTTATTGTATCATCAACGGTAGTAGTAAAGGCATTAGCTACAGGATAAATTTTCCGAAATGAGGCATAGTTCACATCAGACATAGTTCTCCGCCGGCTTTGTTGTTGTTGCTGCTCTGGAACTGAAGAACCCAATTTTGATAAAAGTCTGGCTGCTGGTGATACTGTAATGGTAGTATTTCTTCTGCTTAAGGGACTATTCTCCTTAACGCGATTGGAATTGGAGCTCGCATTTTTATACTGTTTTCTACTTTCTAACAAGGGATCAGCTCTACGATTACTATTACTATCGCTACTACTACTGCTGTTAATATTATTAGTGCTTAAAAGACTGTCACTCGTTGTACTTCCAGATGAGGAGGAATCAGAATTAACACTTTTCTGTCTGCGAAGTTGGTTCAAAAGATGTAGCGGGGTTGATACCATAGAAGTTGAAGCCAGGGATAGCCGACGTATGACCGAAGAAGTGTTTGTATCAATCGACAAGAGACGTATCGGAATTGGAGTTCCCGAGATAATAATGTACTCTATTTTTCCATTAGCTCTCATCCTTGGATGGGTTAATATTAAGGCATGCGAGAATAAGAACATATGACACAATAAAGGTTGCAATGGATGTGTTGAGCGAGCAAGCCATAATGCTTCTTCTCGAATCAGTTTACAATTTTCAGATAACGGAAACAACTGTAACTCTGGGTTTACTGTTGTTGTACTATTGGTACCAAAATGACTGCTACTACTCAATATATGGCCTTGTTGCTGATATGCTGGATAGTAATAGATTGAAGTTAGCAATTCTTCAAAACGAAAATCTTCTGGTGAGCTATTAGAGATAGCGGAACTATTCATACGGCATAGTAAATCGTGTAGAATAGCAATGGATGCTTTCAGTGAAAGTTGATCTGCATCATCTGTTGTGTTCTTCAGAATCGCTTCTAGCATCAACTTGAATTTCCCAATCCAAAGTGTTGGTGAAGTTAGGTAATGCCGTAATCCTAGTCGGCGTGTACATTTTTGAGAATTTTGAAGTTCGAGGAATTCAGCAAACTGAGGATTGTTCTTCTGCTCTATCGTCAAACAGTAAATGGCTTTGATATGATTTGAAGCGTAAAGATTATAAGGTTCGATTAGACTAGTAGCATGCTGCATGATGAGCGTCCCAATACGGCCGACGAAAAAGCTAGAATGACGGGTTTGTGTTCTCAGCCTTTTGTAGAAGGAATGATGAAGATAACTGATATCACGATAGTTGCCAAACACATTTTTATAAAATCGTTGCCGACGAGCAGAAGACGCAATTATATTTGTGGATGCCAGTAAAGGCGCTGCATAGACAGTGTGTAAAATATCTAGATCTTCACAGTAATTCATTTCAGTTACTATAAGCTCAGCAATGCCTGCTTGTCGTTTCAATTCTTTCCGACTCGTAGTTTCTCGTAAGTGAAGAGGAATATGATCAATCCAATCTATAGACTTCCATTTTAAGGAAATATAAATGGTGTAACATGTATAACAAAGAAAAAAGAGAATATTAGGAGCAATGTTATTTTCTGCTATCCTTTTTATCAAACTTACAGCTCTATTAGTCTTTGCTTTTTTGCTGGCTTCATATGTAATTGTATCTTTGTTTGCCTCATCAATCCAAACGTCACTGTTAAGTACGCGTAATAAACCTGAAGTACGCCTGTTTGGACACGTTGTTGAATAGCATGTATACCGATTTGGTTGACAAGTTGGCGAATAACATTTCGTAAGGGGCAAAAAAACACCTGTTCTCTGTGACATCTGATTCAAATAGATGGAAACGTATGTTGAATTTTCATCGTCTCTATCAACGGAGGAATCAGTTTGCAGCAAATGGTTATCCATAAAGCAATCAAATAATTGCCCATGTGTAATATCGTCGTAATCTTGTAGAATATACCCTAACGTATCCTGATTTACGGAATTTGTACAATTGTTTGTGCTATTAGATCCAAATGCGGAAATTTAAAATGTCTCTCTTTCTTCCTGCTTTCTTTTCAACTGATATTACCATTGCTTCTTGCTTTGTCATAATGTGGTTAGCAACTGTTGCAGCAAATTTTGTCGATAAAGTAGATACGAATGGAGTCAAAGTTGGCTGCTTATTGTAAGCAAACGCCCTTTGAGAATTTTCTTTGCTCCACAAGATTTTACTGTTAGTGTTATTGCTGTCTGTAAAGCACGAGGATGAAAGCATATCATTGTATGCCTAAGATTGCATTTATCGATTAAGTCAGTTATAAGAACCACAGCAAAAGAAAAAGGATTCACATACTATCTCACACATCATTTCCCGTTGTCAAAGGAATTAAATGTAACAGGGGAATTTGGTTGAAGAAAACGTAAAGCTAAGAAAAAGGGTATACAAAGAACAAGAATAAGAAGGGGGAAAAAATTGAATACGACGACAATAAAAAAAAGAGAACAGAGGTTGTGCCCACACTAGTAAATGGTTTGCGTCATGTGTGCCTTCCTGCAATTAATTCAAGATGAACAGCTGTCAAAAAGGAAGTTTTTCACATAAGCAGTACATCAATTTTTTCTGCGCATTATCATTTAACAAATCAAAAATCATTGGAACGACTTCTGCTGATATCTGAAAGTCTTCATTACAGTACGGGTACAAGCAATTTCACCATAGATTTCAATAAAAGAACCGATATCCTAATATGCTACAATAAATAGTTACAATAAATGCCTTTCGTACAACTCTAGTACAGGTCTTTATCGTTATTTTAAGACTTACTCCACCTACGAAATACAATTGTTTAAAGTCTGCATTCCATATTTATACGTAGTGTCAAACTTGGTTATCTACAGAGTCTTCTTTCAATGTTTCTCACACAAACAAGTTTATTATTAGGTATGTAAGGGCTTTGCTAAATGAAGAATGTGATTTGGTAGCATAACGAGAGCTCTAGGTACTTGCCAATGCCATATAATTGGCTCCAGACTTTATACTAGAGACCTTCACAGACCAGAGTACTCCACCTGTGCGTGCCTTCAGACAATAAACCCAGTTGCCTGCACCAATATACAATACTTGATAAGGATGCAACTTGGACAGATGGTTTGAAGGTTCGACAACGATGACCGGAGTTTTATAATAACCTCCAGGACAATTATAGGACCATACAATGTTACCTGTCTCGCTGTTCATTGCCAACACTATTCCTCTGGATCCTGTAAAAACCAAATGGGTCTCCAAACTTTCCTTACTAGTATTAACATCGGGTGATACCTCGTCAGCACTGCCATCAACTATCTCTGATATGGTTTCGAAATCTTCATCGTCAGTTGTTCCGCTGACGCGTATGGCATCATCATTTGTTACCGGCATTCTTATTGACGAGCTTATAGCAACGTCGTCGGTTCCAAAACCCTACTCCACAAAGAGTACATAAAGTAGTTGATCAATTTGTGGTTGTGCAAATATTACTTGTGAATGGATACTTTACAGGTATTCTATTAACCCACATTGTATCACCTGTTAAAACATTCAAACATGCAATTTTTCCACCAGCACCAGCAAATAACTTATTTTGTTCTTCGATAAAGAGAGATATAGCGCCGCCAAAGGCTCCAGTAGGAAAGTCGGTTCTTCATAAGCGGCTACCGTTGAGTTTATGAAGAGCATAGATTTTGCCATGGGTAGCGCAAATCAGTACATCAGTGCTTGAAAAGTCAGATTTCTTTCTGAAAGGTTGAGAAGAGGTAGTGATCAAGCCTCCCTCAAGGTCAATAGTTTCTAACTGATTTTCTGTACTGGAATTGGTTGCAATGACAGTCTCCAAATTGATCGTCATTGTAACTGAAATGGGCAACAGCCACGAACAACTGTCATATGAATTAAAGGGAATCTTTTATGCCGCTCAGAAATCATTTCATCAAAAAATTTTGTATGGGCATATGTTTATAGATGATGTAGTCCATCCTTCGCATATGATATAGAAACGTCTCCTTTGGGTAATAATTCATTAGATGCTCGTTATTTTCAAGCGAATTTTCCCCCGACTTCAAAGCAATGATTACCGTAAGAGATTGTAATTTACAGGTAGTAATACTCGACCTGTCTCAATAAAAAGCGTGCAAGTGGCCACGTCTTCATTGGCATTACAGCATTGAGTATTAATTATCGAAAAACACGTATCACATATAAGCACTACAACTAGTGATATGGGTCGTAGGGTTTGTGACATTGTCAAAGTATGATAGCATTTTTATCACTTCGTAAGAGTCGTACAGTCTAATAATATCTCGTATACTTCTGATCGCAAAGAAAACATATTGATATAAAAGGCAACTCCAAGCAAAAAGCCATGAAAATCCCTCGCAACATGGCTTCTGTTACACATAAGAGTTGCTAGATCATCATATATACGTTCTATGGCAATAAAGGAAGTCTGAAAACAATCGCCTGTTATAAATGGGCAATATGTGTAAAAACATAATCTTATAACATTAAAATTTTACTTATTATCTTGTCTTTTACTTCTAACCATCGGTATCTTCATTACTTCAGGATCTTTCCTTTCGTTCCTCACATCAAAATAGTAGAGGGGAAAAGGCATCAACTACAACAATTACCGAAATGAAGCTTTGTGTGCTACTTTTATGTTTGATATGCTCAGTAACAGCTATCGTGATTCAGCCACGGCCAACTGCTACATTAAGCAGCAGTACTATAGCAACTGCCGCTGTTGTCGCAAGAGGATCGCCAACACCTGCACCAAGAGCGCTGCAGAAACGTGATGTAGAGGATACACTTAGTCTCTATGAATTCTGGGCCGACGCTTGTGAGAATAAGTATGATGCCGACACAAATGTGAAAGTAGCTGTATCAGACTTGAATATGCTATGGCAGACGGTGACAACGACTGTATATTGTGGAAATGGTAAATTGAAAACAGTAACAAAGACAGTAACCAAAACATCAACAACTACGAAAACTAAAGGTGCAAGTTCCGGTGGAGGCTCTGGTAGCAGTAAGAAGAACAATTCTTGCGACAATAAATGTTGGAGCAACTATCTATGGCGTATGTATAATCACCATGACGTTGTAGTTACCATTCACCGTTATTAAACTTTCATGAATTGATACTTAATTCGATCGGTTTTCGTAGACACATATGGTCACGGCATATCCGTTGCTCAAGGCTTTACAGGCATTGTCCTGATGCTACTGGGTGTCTATTTTCTTATCTTTGGCTTTAGTTCGTTCAGAGGAACTTTAGCTGCTGTCGGATTTACTTTTTTTGGTAAGTAACAAAATCAATAGTTTGCTCAAACACATTGCTTACATGTAGCTTTCCTTTTCTCGCTTAAAGCTCTAATGACTTGGATTGGCTTGGTGAATAATGAACCTATGTATGGTTATCCTCACAATGAAATCGTATATACTTGTGTAAGCGTGGGCATTGGGCTTATTGGCGCCTTCTTGTTCGTATTCCTGTACGGTATCTCTTTATACTTTATTGGTGGTGTAGCAGGTCTATTCCTTGCTGTGTTTATTTTGTCTTGGAAAGAAAATCTAGTTATACAAATCGTGAGTATACCAACGAAGACTATACCATTACTTCTGCATCTTTACCAATAAGCATAACTTTTGCTGCTATCCTTTTTATAGCCTGTTGCACGAATCTGCTTCATTATCGGCATGGGAGTCATATTTGGTATTTTATTGATTCTCGCGGAGAGTTACATAGTCATATTTTGTACAGCATTTACTGGCGCCTATCTCTTTATCCTCGGCTTGGATCTGTTTATTCATACTGGCTTGATCAATGCTTTCTTATCCATCTTTGATGGCAACAAAAACCATGTCAATATTTACATTATAAGAATGCAAGTATATGTCATGCTTGCCTTTGTAATTATCATAATGTTGATATCCTTTGCATGGCAGTATTATTGGAACGTGTACTCAAGAAAGAAGAGATTTGGTATCCATGTTGAAGATAAGAAGGACTGCGAAGAAAAGAAATAGATATTATTCACTTTAAGAAAATCATCGACAAAAGCTTATATTGTCCACAATTTTAAATTTTGCTCTTTCATCAATTATACTCTCCATTCATTTATATTCCACAGTTCATATTAAATCGCTTATTTTGCAACATTTAAAAGAATTCTTTTCGTTATGGAAGTGGCTGTAGTTCTTGGCTTCAGCCTTTTTTATGCAAAAATACTCCGTGACCGTAAAAAGGGGTTTCAAGTCCAGAATTCGTACCGAAAAATACTACTTTAATCTTTTTCAGTTCAAGTGTACTTTGACACAGATAACAGATCTAATGGTGAACAGACCCGATCGTCGAACTGATAACACCCAAATCCGTGCATTCTCTGCCTCTCAGAACATTTTGAATAGAGCTGATGGATCTGCCAAGTTTAACTTTGGTATGTATATTCATTCATTCAGTGATTACACCACTCATACGGTACAAAAGCTAACTGCATTCTCTCTTTGTAGGTGATACTTCAGTTATATGTTCAGTCTCAGGCCCAATCGACGTTCAAATTCGCGATGAAAAGCTAGACGAATCCACAATTGAGGTTATCGTTCGACCTGTCAAAGGTGTCGCTGCAACGAAAGAGAAACTCATTGAGACTATATTACGCACTACTTTTGAGCCTATTATACTAGGCGGCATGATGCCACGTACACTGATTCAAATCGTTGTACAAATTTTGAAGGATGATGGTTGCATATTGGCAGCGGCTGTTAATGCCATTTCTTTAGCATTATTGGATGCTGGTATACCCTTAAAGCATATGGCAGCAGCTATTACTGTGATGGTAGATGGAAGATCGGGAGAATTAGTATTAGACCCCACTTTAGAAGAATTACAGGTATTAAACAAGCAATCATATTAGTGGTAAATAATAGTACAAGAGCAAGAAGTAGAGACTAATTAAAGCATACTTTTATGATTGCACCAATAGAATGCTAAATCAGTGCACACTTTCGCGTTCAATAACATACAAACGAAAGCATACATTCTGTTATCAAATTCAGACGGTATATTTAACGAGGAGGAAGTAAAGTATCAAGTATCAGTTCGGTATTGAATATAGTTATAGTAAACTGACCTTACTTTAAAATCATGTATTAGTATTTTAACTGTCATGATTTATCGGTTGACGCTGCGGATAAAGTACAATCATTTCTACGAATGGCAGTGGAATCAAAAAAGAAAAAGGAACTTCAACAGGCGATGGAGATGTAATATAGAAACAGACAATAAAAAAGAGATTTTATCTGTTAACAATATTAAAATGAAGCTTCAAAGGTGAAAGTGATTTTTTTCGATGTAACTATTCGATAATTGCTCGAGGACAAATATGAGTTTGTGCTATTGTTTAGCTCACAATGTCGAAAAGGGGTATGTGTTATTATGAAGTACTTGTACAGCGTATTACGATATAACAATAGTATCATACATTAGTAAGTATAGCCTATCTCCTTTTTCATTATTTCGTGGTATAAAAGTCGGTTCCAGTAATCCACAGGTCCTGGTAAGCACGTATGTAAACAGTCTTTATCAGGTTTTGAATGCGCATCGCCTCGTAGATTAGACAAGGTTGTAACATCAAAAATTTCGAAACGATTGTCTTTGCGGTAAGGTAATAGTATGTCTTTCCAGATCATATCGAACTGCTGAAATAAGTGCCATTCGAATTCCCCTGTTTTACCAGAAGGAGGAATTGGTGTAATAGATGGTTCCGTAAATTGCGAACATGCAGCATGACCATAAGGCGTTGTCCTGATCCATACCTTTTGATTGGATCGAACATGATTATCCAAATAATCTAAAATAGTGCTCATGGCTCTTTTGAACGCGTCGAGTAGTTCTTCTTCTGTTTCATTCGGACCCCACATAAGATTCGGATGCCAGTGTGGCCCCTATATATTGATGACATAATAGCAAAAAAGGATTTTGTTGTTATAACATTTTTTGGCAAGTTAATAGATATCTTTTATCACCTACAGTGTTGAGTACAATATAGTCGAAATATGATAGACCATGAACCCTAATAGAGGAAAGCTTAGTCTTAGTAATGTGATGGGTTCGTTTGTGAGCGTAGTCTTTGCTTTACCATGGATGGTTTAACCCGGTGCCCAATTGCGTACCTGGACTATCTGCAGGAATTGTGAGTTTGAAATCGTCCAACCGTAGCAAATAATCAGACCGAATGAAGGCCAAGGACGCTGTTTCTTTGCTTTCAGGAGCCTTTTCATCCACACGGATGTTTGGATTGCCACCATTCAAGTTAGAATGAGATGGATGCCTGTTCGTATAATAGTGCCCCAATAAGCACCCTAAGCTCTCAAATTGTAGTTGAGTGATGGAATCACCTACAAACAAAATGGGATGGTCATTGAGATGTTCAGACAGTAATTTAGGATTGAAGTCCAGAAGCGTGCAATTGCTTTCGGGTTGCCAACGATAGTCCACACTAGAATTGAAAGTGTAGCTTAGGCACTGGCATCATAACAATACGTTAGAGCATATAAAATGATATTTACATCGTTTTAGCTCGTATAAGCTCTGATTCAGATCGCCGGAAGCATCGATGGGCAAATTTTTTGCGACAATAATATCCAGTAGCCGTAGCAAAGTTAGCTGCTGTGAGGTTATTTCCTAAATTTACAATTGGGTCGTAAACCCACTTTCCATGATTATATGATTCAATTGTACATAGGGCGTGGCTATCAGATTTGTTAGATGTAATGCTTGAATATGGTTGTTTATGAGATTTGGGGCGGCTAAACGTAGGGACAGAGTGTGGAGTATGATAGACAGTCAGCCATACTAATAGTATAGTTACTATTGCTATGCTGTAGATGGATTTATGTGAAAGAAACACGGCTTTGTCTGCTTTGAAAACAACTGCTGCCATTTTACTTATTCAGACAATGGAGAATGAATCACCAAAGTAAGTCGAAGAGGAATCGAAAGACAGATATTACAGTTAGCTGTTGATAGAAGTGTATAAGGATTGGTATTGCTTATCGCCTCGTTGATGCTTGATAACGGTTTCCGATTATGTTTAGTTTGGTTTTCTCAGGGCTGTTAAGTCAAGCACCACCTTTTTTACACCTTTACTTGAAAGAAGAAATGATATTATCTTTAGTAAAAAGAATTACTTACACTAATTGAAAGGTTCTGAATCTTCTTTTAACAGCAATAGGAGGCTTCCACCACATCTTTTAGAATAATCAGCTTGTGATACTTCGCTCCATGTTGGTAGGTTGCCATATACGGTAATTGCTTTTTAAGAAGACGATCTTTTCGCTTTTAAGCTACACAAAGATACATTTAAGTTGATTTTTGATTTACCTTACTGTGAGTTTTTGAGAAGGTTAACAAGAAAGAAACGTATTCATAGTAATCGATGCTTAACGGTTAAATAAATGCTCAACTACTGATCAAATGCAAATTCATGTGTTCATATTCTTTGTCCGTAAACACTTCAATCAATTGCAATGCACAATTTATCACTTTTGCTGAGTAACTTAAAGGGTGGTATTTAATTTAAGCAGGAACGAGAACATAGTGGAATAGTAAGCTGACAAGGGTATTTGCCCGCTTAGTGGTAGGGAAGCCGCTTGGTCAATTATGCCGGAATATATTCAAGATACTAGCTCATATTTGATATCGACTGAACTTCCTTAGCAGTTATTTACTAGATTTGTTTGGGTTTTTATCAATAATGTTGGATTGGCATATATATATTCACTTTTTTCGTTGAAGCTCAATGAAACAGAGCAATAAAATAGAAAGTTTCTTCACCCTCTCAGTTAGATCTCCATGCTATAACTATGTTTGTTACGTCTTACTTAAACACAAGCGTGAGCAATAAACTTTTGGATATAATGACAAGGCTAAGGTTAAAAATATAATTGGAAGATGTTAAGCGACTTCTATTAAAGGGATGTGTGCATTTTTTCAATTTGAACACACGCATCAAAGTACTTACCAGCATAGTTGCATGCATCCAAGGTTTGTCTTAATAGTAATCCACTTTACGTCAAGAGTTTATAAGAGAAAGAATGTCTTTACTACAATCATAAAGGTTGTGCATCTATTGTAATCGATTTAAGCAACCAGAGAGAAGTAAAACACAAACTGCATATTTCATACAAGACATTATGATCAAACTGTCAATATTTTGGCTGAAAATAGCTGCAAAATGCAATAAGTTCAACGGTAATACTAGATCTATTAGGGCTTCTAAATAATCATAGATTTAACATTATCCCTCTTAGAAAAATATAAATGGTTTTTAAATTTTGTAGCGATATCAACTGCTCTCAAATGAATATCATTAGTCACTTCTCACAAACTGCAAATTGCTTGCATAATTTTCTTTGGAACATGAGTTCTACTACAAGCCTGCGTTCGCTTGATGTATTCCATATAACCAGTATGACATGTTCTTATCAACCTCAAAGCATAGTATCATTCAAGGTTGCTTGCAAGACTCATTTTCTCGTACGATGTTACTACAACTCTGAATACTCTTCATCAAAAGAAAACGTTTTCCTCGGCATTTACGATTTTCTCTGTGAGCAATGCTGGAGTCGTCATGTGAAATGCAAACAATGAAGGCTGTTTCTATTTTTACCATCGTTTTTTTTTTTTTTTTTTTTTTTCCTTTCCAGGTGTAAATTCACATTTGCCGTGTGCATATTTGCTATTAAAATAATTCAAACTTTATACATGAAAAATGCAAGAACATTGTAAGAATTTGATATACGGGTAAAAAGTAGTAGTTAAAAGAAAAAAGATAAACACAACAGATTATAAAAGATTATTTTACATGATATTTAAGAGATGAAATAGTATGACAATATAGGAGACGAGAGAAATTTACAATCCCTTCTTCTTTTTGAGGCGCTTTTCTTCGGCTTGACGGGCACGGTAAGCACGATACTTTGTATCAGTACCGAAGAGGTAATCCCACCAACGGAAAGAAGAAGCGTAGTTGCCAACGAAAGCCATATGATGATAATCATGATGATCAGCACCAGCCCAGAAGGGAAGGAAGTGACGAAGGGACCAAGGGAAATCATAACCAGAGTGGCAGTCAACGGCTTGGAAAAGACGGAAGACGATCCACAAAAGCATAGTGAAAAGATGAAGTTGCCAGTTACGGTCATCGTGGAAGTAGGTCTTTTGGACAATATGATAGAGGAGAGGACCACCAATGGTACCCATACCAAGAATAGAGGTTTCTAAGGGATGAGCATATTCAGCAGCAATACCAAAGGGAGCAGCATATTCGTGATGAACCTTGTGAATGCTCTTGTAAAGAGGAGGCCAGTGCATAATTCTGTGAACAACATAATGGAAGCCATCTTCAAAAACGAAGAAAATAGCAATTTGAGGCCAAATGTATTTCCTATAAGCAGATCGGTCAATGCCGTTAATACTTTCTCTTTCTGTCTATTTTTCCACACCGATAAAGGTTTTTCTTCTGACACTTTTTTTTTCCCTGTTTTTTTCTGCCCCTCATCCCCATTTGATGTAATGATTATGAATCGACTCCGCGAACACACTCTAATGAAACCGGTGCCTAAATATCCGTCCTATGGAATCCTATACTCTTTTTTGACAGATTATCTAAGCACGCGCAGACAGCAGAGACGAACATATGCATACATCTTCATCACCCTAACCCTATCTACAATTCCGTTATTCTACGTACCAGGCGGGGAAAGGAGCTTCGACATTCATGCCCAAATAAGTAGCCATGGGATGGAAAAGGAAAATAAGAGGACCTTCATAGAAGAAATGTTGGAATACAACTTTTTTTGTACAATTGATATAATCGGCAGTGGTGTTGACTTTGTTTGGTTGAATCTTATACTGTTTGAAATAAGGAATGTAATCACAGGCAAGGAAAGGCAAGAAACGACCAAAATAAACCAATTCGTGCAGAGTAAAGGCGAGAATACCGGTGACAATCAAAGGATTGCGTCCATCATAGAGGGCGTTCCACTTTTGTTCTAACCAATTAAATTGGTGTGCTTCACCGGCTGCTGTAGCAAAGTCCATTTTAATTCTGTGTATTAAAACGAACGAACAACAAATAAATAGTGAACTGTACGGATGCAGAAAAAAAGATTAGAAAAAGAAAGAAAAGAGTGATTGTTCAATCCATTATTTTAAATTGTTCGATTCAATCGACGCGTTCGGTCTATAACACCGAGAGCACAGATGAATCAAATGGGGTGATTTTTTGAACGGCCACTGAAATATCTTCAAGAGAAAAAAAAGTTTTTTTAACAATTTTATTTTACGAAGAATTCTGACTTGATTACAGATAGGCACAGAAATGAAAAAGCTTATCAAATGAGTGCATTATTAATGATAAAGAGGTAGTATCAGCATTCTAATTCTTTATCGTAACCATGATGACAAACCAACTAAAAGCACAGACAATATGTTAAAATGCAACTCTAAACAACCGTATGCTTCGGTAATACAGCAATAACAGGACCCATTTATCGTTTATTGTATATCTATTGTTTTCAACAATAACGTAAACTGCTGTCAATTATGCCGGGTTGCAGAGAAACAATGGCGTTCATACCGGAGTACAATTAAATCAATGATATTTCGAATAGAAACAATAAAGGCCGCGCCTTCAATTCTATAGCGATGATTGACATTTAGAATAGAGTTATCTCTGTTTTAAGACAGTTACACCATGGAAATCTCCTTTATGCAACTCACGGTTTAGAATTTCTTTACGCTCTCTTGTACTTAATTGCCGCAGGGATGCCACAGAACGAGGTACATAATAAATGTGTCAAATATGAAATAATGAACAAAATGAATGACGCAATACACTGACATGGTAGTCTTTATTCTAAAGATTGACAACAACATAAAGGCATAGTTCTTAAGGTAGCTTTGAAAGCGTTCCTCCAGTAATAATGTTTAAAACAGGCACTTTTGCCCTGTATTTTGATTCTGAAATCTAAGAATCAGAAATTCGACGAGTCAGAATGGAGATACTTCATTTTAATCATTCAGACACACATGATGCGGATATTCGGTCTTAAAAACATGGAAGGTTTATGAATATATTAATTGAGATGTTCGCCTTATATAATTCCAGAAGGAGGGAAAAGACTTTCAGTAAATACGAAAAGGACTGAGTTGAGATGAAAGGGGGCAGCAATATGAATTCAAAAAAGGAAATTGAAGCCCGACAGAAGTGCAAAAAAATTTTTTTTATCGGGTTCTTTGTGAAACTCATACGATATATGATCTTCATTGAATTGAACTACAATGGAAGAGAACAATAAAGATGTCAACAGTAACTACTCCGCAGAATTGTATTTGATGGCTTCGTATCTTGAGCTTCTGTCAGACGATAGATATCAAGTCCAATGTTAAGCACAAAAAAAAAAAGAAATGTATTTTAAGATGATCTGATAAAGAGAATACCAGGAGTTAAATGCAGATTTGCAACTAATGAGCCTGTAATAAACGGTTGATACTACATGAAGCACAAAAATAAACTTTTTACCGTAGATGCGGCTGTATATGATGATTTTTAACCAGCAAAAACGGAATGGACGCAACAGCAGTATCAAATTCCAACCGCGACCATAACTATAGTTTTCTTGAAAGATTCTTTTTTGCAGCTATAGGTTACTACTGCTTTGTTTGTAAAGGAGCTGCCAGTACATGCTTTTGTTTTATTTCAAAATAGAAGAATAACAGCAAGCCTTTATATACTTAGTTTTGCATTCATTTGTTGGAAACATCAAGATAGTTTTGCGAAGAATGTGCAAGAAGTCAATTTTGTAGACCATTCTTATTAGTGATCATTAAAACCTGCGGGAAAAAGTGTAAAGATATATTTTGACCGGAAAGGATGTATTTCGGTGTCAAGCTAACATTAACCATAAGTAAATGTCTGTCGCGTGGTTTCGGACAGCTTCCTATGTTACTTAACAGCGTTACCTATGTCATCGTTTGATAATACATTAAAGAATGTCCGAGCTAATGAATGATATACCGGAAGAATGCAACAATTTTCATAAAACGGATCAACCGACTTTTGGTTAAAGGTAAAGGTTTCTCTGGGATAACTCAACATACGATGAAATCCTTGAATCGCAAATTCCAAAGCGATAATACTGTTACAAGGTTTGATCAACAAATGCTGGTAGTTTATTGCTGTAATTCTTCGGTAGTTTAAATGCCTTATCTTAAAAAACTGAAAAGACTGTATTAAAGTCAGAATAGAAGACATTCCTACTTGACAGGAACCGATGACGGTCAATTCTTGCTTTAGCATTGCCATTCGATTCGCTAATGTTGAGATTCATTTATTTTTCGCAGCACGCAAGAATCAATCAAAAACCATCACTTTGTGAAGCAAGATGTAGGATTTTCTTCTTCTTTTAGGGCATTTACTGTCTTCTCTATGATTTTGCCTCTTGATAGTTTAAATGCAAATGGTACAAGAGGACGACTGAGCCAACTCAAGTGTCATCACGTTCATCCCCAAAAATGTAGTCGCTTCGCCTTAACTGTTTCACTACAAGCTTACAGAGAAAAATCTCTAGTCCATGAAAATCGCTACATATAAGAGTCCTTCAATTTTTCCAGTCATTGGCGACCCTCCAGATTTATCGTTGTAAGTCGACGTTTACCAGCATGAACCACATAATGAAATTCCTAACAATTTTGATCGTAATTTTGAAGACAGACGATGTATATACGGGCTAAACCTTACGCTAAGCAACCTGTAACTTAGTAGTCCCTCGCCTATAGAAAAAATGAACCTCGTATATAGTTCAATACGCTTACACTATACAGAGTTGAAGAGGCCTTGTGATTACCATACCTACCTAGTATGATGAGCAGGAGGGTATGCATGTATCTGGAACTGTTGAGAGCAATATCGACCAAAGGGTCATCCGTTACAGATCGAAACCAATATGATAACATTTATCAGCTTTGATCTAAAGCTAAAAACAAACTTGATAAAGTGTGCAAAGAGATACTGGACAACATAGAGTGAAAAAAAAAATCGAGATTTCTCGCGATTTTCAATAGCGGTACCGAGTTAATCGATAATACAAAAGAAGATCTTTGAGATAAGTGTCAGAACATAGTATTAGCAATTTTGGTAGTGCATAATCAATATGATAAATATACGTGAACATCTATCCTCGTGATTATAAACAAGAGTATTCTCTTACAAATGAATTTAAACTTATCACTATACATGCATGCCGCAGGGTAACGTGGTACTTTATTTGTATTACAAGGAGCGGAACAGAAAAGGAATGTCCGTAGAAGTTCTAGCGTTACAAAAGAAAAGGTTTCGAACATTAATTTAGATCAAATAAGACCAAGTACGTTAGGATGTTGATGAGCTCGAAGGGTATCACTTTTTTGTGTCTAATGAGAATAATGAAGAATAAGTTATAGAAATTATATTTGGAATCTATAAGAATAGTGCTTGACAGAATCCAACATTGGATGTATCATGCCAGAAAGCCATGGCGCTCATAACTCCCAGATAATGCGAAATAACGGCTATGGTAACACAGAAATGGAAAATTTGATGCGAAGCGCCGAAAATATCGAATTTGCCAGGACGAGCGCGTTCAGGGAAACGGAAGCCATAAATCAATGCACCGCTGATATACGTAACTGCCATAAGCGCCATATGTCCTAAGGAGATAGTTCTCATTGCATTGTTGAGCTAGGTACAAATAAAAACGTTTCGTTTAGCTTTAGTGCAATCAGAATGGTCAGCATTGAATCTCATCTACTACATACGCCATAAATCCAGATTCCGTGGAAGGTTGGAATAAGTCCAAATAAACCTAGTAGCATGAATAAACTTGCACGGATCCATCTATAAGCTGGTGTACGGAAATGCTTCATTAATGTCACAGCCGCCTAAAAGATGATGATGGAGATTAGATGAATCATTTTGGTCCAACTTGTATGACAGATGATAGTGGGGGTTTTCAATGGTCTTACCGTGATAGACCCCAACACCATGACGGTGGACAAATACACGACTATAAATTACATAAATAGCGTTAGCTTAAGTTATTCTCAATCCTGAATTAGCTTGCCTTCTTCTTTTGGGTATCATGAGTTTTAAATTACCTTGTAAAATGTGATGACAATGGAATCCATAATATATAACAGGGAAGAAAGATCCTCTAATACGATGGACATCCAATTAGTCTAAAAATTCATATCTCTTTATCAAGCGATTCTGCATCTTACACAATCAAACAGGTAATTCCCGCATAATCGCAACGATTCCAGGCTGCTGCTACTTTCTCTGAATGGTTTGAAAAACAATGGAAACAAGCGCTGAAACCCAAACATAATAACGCTCCACAGATGAACAAGTAGAAGTAGATGATGTCAAACGTTGTTAATGAGCCGTAGAAGGGCTTTCTCCAAAGAAAATGGATACCCAATCCCAAAAATAAGAAGAATGTCAACAGATGGCTCCAAATATTGACTAAACCAAAATTTAAATCATCATTTGTCAGTCTCACATTCGATGACTCTCCTTTACTTATTGCTAAAGTTGCACAGAAACACGTTACCGAATTCATTATGAAGATAAAACATGCTTTTCAAACATTCTATGTAATTATCGGATTGCCGTCTGTACCCTCTAATAATGTATACATTGTCACGCATCCATTCTGGGATCTCATCCCAAGTCAACACCATCTTGTCGAGTTTTTGATAAGGTTTTTTCAGCAAACTGGTTGTGTCATTGACTTGTTTAATATTACTACTGTCATCTTCGAGACGTTTACGAATGCCTGAATCATTTGATAGGACTGTTTTCACCATGGTGCTTTGCTGAGACATATCAAAGATATGAAAAAAGATGACGAAAAGTCAGTGTAAAATAGAGAAAAGAGAGATGCAGAGATCCATTTTAGCCTATCTTTTTTTTTTTTTTTTTCACTGTAATTTTGCAAATCACTGGATCTGATCGCCTACTCAATTTTGGGATAAGCCCACATAAAGGGGTGAAGGATTTTGTGTGTATTTCTCTCCCCCAATGTTTGGTCAATTTCGTCATTTATATTACGTGACTTTAGTGGATCAATTTTCATGATTTTTTTTCTCTTCGTATGCATGATTGGTTGAACATGTAAAAAAAACGTCTTTTTCATGTGAAGAGGCTTATTTGTTTTACGTATGAAAATTTCTATGAAATTACAAATAGAAATGTATGATTTTCATTCGAAAAACGGGATTTACGTTACAAAAGCGTAACGTTTTATTGTTATTCCGTAACTGATATAAAATCGAAAAACCGTTGATCTTCCTTACCATGGCAATTCTGTAGGCTTTTCGCAAATCACGAGCAGTTTGTTACGGTTGAACCGTTGATCAGATGCAGCAGCAGGGCCAAGTGTTGACACGGCTTTATTGGTAGCACTTGACTTATGAGTATAGTAGTTTAGAGTTAAGGTTAAATGTGTGCCTTTTATCGGCAAAATATTGGAGGCGTTTCCGCTAAAAAGTTTCGTTACAACTTTGCAAACACTAAAAAATACAGTTTTGAATGAAGTACGTTTATATCGTACATGTCAATTGATAGCCTGTTATCTCGAACTTTGAAAAGCCAGTTTCTATATGCAGTTAAAAATGCAGTAGATAAGGAAAATGGGTGTAATGACAGTAAAAGATCAAAATGTACTTTTAAAAATCGATTCTCTCAATAAAACCGCGCCATTGTATAATTCTAAAAGAACGATAACGAGGCTACTTGATTCAGTATTCTAAGCTTTATAGGTTGAGTTGCTTTATCAAGAAAGGACATTGTGCAGCATTATAATTCTTGTTCTTATCGTCGAAAACACTTGGTAGGATTCCATGAAAGCACTAGCCAACAATTCAACCCCAGTAAACCAGTAGCATTATCTGTAATTCTGCTTATTCTTCTGCCACCTTCTCCACCCACGTAGAGAAAGACAGAGAGAGAGTGAGAGAGTGAGAGAGAGACTTTTTTAGTTTTACTAAAACCTGTACTCATGTTATCTTCCTTCAAGGCAGCCACTACTACTAACAGATGTTTCATAAATAAAGCATCAAGACATATTTCAGCGCGGTCTATTTGGACAAAAGTAACAGCAACCGGACCCACATCACGAGAATGTGCGAAAGTTGCAATAGATTCTGTCAAAGGGAAAGATAGATTTTCTACTGCACCTGACATTTGTGTTGCTTTGATCTCAAAATCGTTTACCTTGAGCCAATACCAAGATGTATTGCACGATCTCGATACCCAGTTGCATAATCCCAAGATACTCATTGGCGGTGTTATCGATCGAGTACCTGAATTGAACCATGGTGTCTCACTGCTGTTGGGATACAACGAAAAAGTTGTTCCATTTTTCATAAAAGACGATCAACAAAGATTGAAAGTTCGTAATATATCCGTAGGTCGATGGGGACGTGTCGACGATAGAGAAAGAATAGCATTTCAAAATGACTATATTGATACCAAAGGCTGGGGTAAGCCTGATTTGGTTTCTTCGGCTGTTCAAGAGTTCACTCTTCCCGAAGGTTTATCTGCAGCAGATCAAACACCGCCTTCGTTCATATTCATGCTATCGGATAACGAGCCAGAGCAGTTATTGCATACATTAGATCATCACTATCCAGAAATACCTAAACTTGGTATTGTTGGCGCATCCACACCCTTCATCACTGGAACACCTTATACTTTATTCAAATCTGCAAAGGAAATAGTAGGTTCAGGGATAGTAGGCTTTGCATCTTATAACAACGATAGCAGCAGCAGCGTATCAAATGATGATGTGAAGATCAATTACACAGCAATTGAAAAATTAGGAGAACCTATGAAAATCACACGGTGCCAGGGTAATGTGATCCTAGATGTAGAGCAAGGAGGACCCACAGGCTTGTTGTTGCGCTTAATACAAAATAGGCCGAAAATATCAAAAGATGAAGAGTTTTATCTAGGTGTTTACCCATCTCAAGAACAAAATACCGCTAGCGCGATGGCTAACATGACAGTGAACAAAATCACTAGTGGAGATCCTGGAAGAGGAAGCATGTCTATAGATACTACAGCAACCCTTAAAGTGGGACAAATGATCCAGGTAAATGACAAAGCTGATCGCATTGTATTTACTGATTGTTTGTTTTACTGATTCGTCGTTACCTATTCACAATAGTTCTTCACCAAAAAATCCCTGGGATTCAAAAATGTATCGAGTGATTTGATGGAAAAGGAAGAGATTGCCTTAGGAGTGAGCGGGAAGGATTTCACAATCGATGCTACAGTTGTTGAAGTACCAAAGGAGCCAAAAATTACAACTGATGTTTTTGGTGGCGTCAGTGAGAACGGCATTATTGTGGGTCGCAAATCTGCACCGACACAATTGTTGGATGTGCCTTATTCTAGACTTTCATTCAAATTGTAGGATTACTGTGCAAAAAAAAACAATTCATTTATTTGTAAATAGTAGGAATAGCATAATAAAGATAGCGATCAACAAGATTATATACAATTTTTTATACAAAATGAACAAATATACAGAATACAACAGATTATATAGTCTCCCCATTTCAAGAAGGGTCTGTTTGATAATATCATTCTTTTTTGACGCCTTTATTAAGGTTTTTCTTCTTCTTTTTGGTGGTGGGACCTTCTCCAAGACTTGAGGAGCTCACAACTGCAAACTCACTTGCATGGTCAAAGTTTCTTTTCAAAGGGTTCACAATGTTCTTTTTCGGTTTGGAATTGTCCTTTGCGTATTTATTCATGCCAGGCATACGACCACTCTTGGCATCTTTCCTTTTCTTTCCCTTCGAGTCCTCATGAAGATGAGAGGGTGCTTCACGTAAAGCAAAGGATTTTGCTAGATGACCCAAATGTAATCTTTTAATGTGGAAAATATGCTTTTCAGAGGCAGGATGCGTAGCATAAGCACGACAAGTGGACCAGAAAGCTTTGCGAGCAAGCGCGATACGACTTTCAGCAGACAATATGTAATGCTCCATCGTATTTTGTAATTCTTGAGCAGGCGTCTGATAATCGTTTTTGTACTGAGCAAGACTGGACAACAAAGTCTCCATGGTGATGGGTTCAGGGAATAAGTCTTGTGCTTTCAAGATATCAAGGTATTCAATTTCACTCGGTAAAAGGAATAAAGTGGCTGTACCCGCTTTCCCAAGACGAGCTGTACGACCCACACGATGCACATAGTCTTTCAAATCAGTAGGAACATCGTATTGAATGATATGGTCGACATTGGGTAAATCTAAACCACGAGCAGCCACATCAGTACAGAACAACACGCCAGATTTGACTCTGCTGAATTCAGCGAATGTCTGTGAGCGAGTTTGTTGATTCAAATCACCATGCAAACGGAAGACCGGCTTTTCCAACAATAACGTACTGAGTTGACTGATGATGACTTTTTTTTCTTTCTTCTTGTCATCACGGGTCGATTTTTGTTTCTTGTTCTTTTTATCATTGATTGTTTCAGCGGCCCCTTTGCCAACCACTTTTTGTAATGCTTTTTTCATGATATCCTTCTCATCATCTTCAACGTCTTCCCTGTCCTTCGTTGTGTCATCATCGTCATTGTCGTCATCTGAATCATGATCGACGACAGGCTTACCGGCGTTGGAAAATAGATCAAAGTGAAAATCTACAGAATCGCAGCATGAAAAGAAGACAATGACTTTGCTATGTTTCGATTTCTGTTGTTCTTTGTCGTAAAAGCAACTTCTCAATAAAGCCAAAAGGGTAATGAGTCGCAATTTTGCTGGGATAATGGTATATGTTTGTTTCAACTGATTAGGCGTCGTGAATTTCATCATCTGTTCGTGTCTTTCCGCTGCTGCTGCTGCTGCTGCTTGTTCATCTGTATCGAGATCCATACGATCCTCAGGGTCGTTGTTATTCAAAAACTTGGATGCATCCTCTTGCACATCTGTACCGCTCACAAAAGCAGGGCTCTCCAAAGACCAACCTGCCAACTCCTTCACATCGTCTCTTAACGTAGCTGAACACAAAATCGTTTGTCGTTTTTTGGGCCAATATTTGGTCATCATCTGTTGTTTGAATTTCGGGTTGACGGGACCTCGTTTCGTTCGTTCTTGGATAATAGTCATGATCTTTTTCAATGTTTCTTCGAAACCCAAATCCAACAAGCGATCAGCTTCGTCCAACACGAGCCATTTCAGATGACTGATGTCAAAGCTCTTGGTATTCTCTAGATGATCTAATAACCGACCGGGTGTGCTGACAAGCACATTGACACCCTTTCTAAGACGAGCTTTTTCTTTGGCTTTCGAGTCACCACCGATGACGATGCCAGGCACAATCCAATGCAGACGACGCATCGCTTCATCTTTGGGTCTGGGTAAATTGACAAGCGTGGTCAGGACACCCACCACCTGTTGTGCTAATTCTCGGGTCGGTGTAAGGACAATCGCAACTGTGCCAACGGAACGATCACCAAATGGCTGCTCACTTTGCTTGACGGCGTCCTTAGGCGCTGTAGAGGCTGCTATTAAGCGATTGACGATAGGCAACAAGTAAGTCAATGTTTTGCCGGAACCAGTTTCGGCCTGAACGACCACATCGACATCTTCTTTTTGCTGTTGAAAAGAGGGACCCAGCAAAACAGGAATAGCTTTTGCTTGTACATTCGTAGGTGTAGCTACTTTGAGCTTGTTGTGCAAATGATCGGCAAGGTCAGATTCAATACCAATGCCTGTAAACGTTGTAGAGTCTGTAGGTGCATTACTGGCACCTTCTCTTTGTTGCTGCTTTATTGTTTTCTTGAGAGCAGCACGAGGAATTTCTGGATTGGAAGAGAAGAGTGATGACAGAACCTGTGCTTTACCGTGAATCACTTTCGTACCTGGGGCCAGCCCAGTAGGCGTGTCAGAAGAAGCAGTGGCGTTTTCATCGGTAGTGGGTGTGATTGCTTTTGGACTCTCTGAAGATCGAACCGCAGCAGTGCTGGTTCTCTTTACTGTTGTTTTGGTGGGTTTTTTCACCTTTTTTACTGCTTTTGGTGTTGAACTGGTGGTAAAGTTCAGCAACAAGCCATCATCTTCGTCCATTTCAATAACGATCGGTGTGAATCTAGATTGGAAAGTGAAAGAATGCAGATCAGTAAGAAAAATATTTTTTGATTTCCTTTTTTTTTTTTCAATTCAAATAGTTTGAACTCCGCGCCAAGCTCAAGGTGGCAGATTTCGTTCAGATCGTTAAAGACCCTACAAATTATGCTAGATACTTCTTCATTTATCTGTTAAAGTTGTGTCTTTTCAACAACTTGAAGGTTGAAAAAAGAGAGCTTCAATTATGAAATTGCTAGAGTTAGTTACGCTGGCATGATTTCATCAGCTTTAATGTCTTTTGCAAAAATAAAATAAAATAACCAAGTCGTTGCCATGGTGCAACATTCTAAGGAAACCTGTAAGGTCCGTCTATTGTCTTTACAAACCACAAACTACCTCAAGCTCGCATTCAGCACAGAAGAAGAGCAGATCCATCTTACTGTCCTTCACCGTTTCTTCTAATAGGAGACCTCTCACTGGTCTTTTCTCTTTTACTTTTGCTCCATCAAAAATGAATATAGAAAAGGATATAAACACGACGCATTGACACTTTGACCTAAGAGAGTCGTGGTTGTCAAGTACTTTATAAAAAACTCTACTCAGCAGCTGAAAAACGATAAGAAGGAGCTGGCTCGGGCAAAATGACAAGCGTCGTGCCCAATGGAGTCGTTGAATAAAAATGCATATTGAACCGCAATGGTGCCTGAATAAGAAAAAGCGGGGAATCTACACTTTTATTCTTTTTTGTTCCTTTCTGTCTCTTTTCAACCTTTGAAAAGTTATGAAACATACTATTGAATATTCCTCTTTTAAAAGTCATTTCCCTCACTCTAACAAACGACAAGAATGTCCAGAGTGTCCGGTTTGTTTCAATTGTCAACTACCCACTGATGCATGTGTGAATGGCGGTTCATGCGAGCCAAGTGGCCTTTGTACTTGTCCGATAGGCTGGGGTAAGCAGAAAAAAAGAAAAAAAGAAAGATTTTCTATGCAGCGGTTTGTACCCAATGCGTGGCATTCAGATTCTGTTGTTGTGTTCGCTGTTTAGGGGCTGTGGATTGTTCACAACCGTTATGCGGCTCACTTTCTGCTGGACAGAGACCACAAAGAGAGCCGGGAGAGGATTGTGTCTGTGATGAAGGGTAAATAGATATACTATACACAATGAAGCAGCTACCTAGAGTTGTAGTAGTCTCAACCATTTACTGCCTAGGTGGGGAGGCGTGAATTGTAATGTATGTCAACATGATGGTGCTTGTCGACCTTTAAAAGGGGATAATGCCACTTGCCTAAAGACAGCTATTGGCTTAAAGTCAATGCATGCGTGGTGTGCAACAACAAGTACGATTAAAAGAAAAAAAAAAAAAAAGGAAGGGGAGCTATCGACGCATGGAGGATGGAGGGTTGAGAAACCGTTTCCCACATATTTAAAATGATAGACATACCGTGGATAGAGAATACGCATGTATCATTGACGTGTGAATGGGATAAGAAGGATTGCATGTTTCAGTTTTGGAAAGATAATGAAGAACAGTTTTATTGTGAATTGAGTGAATGCAGTCAATCGTGTAAGTGTATACAAAGCGACTCAATGATGAAAGTGTAGGTCATTGTTTTTTCAATCTAAACGATAGACTGCTTTGGACACATTTAGCATCCAATGATAATGATGTGCATGGACATTGCGAAAAGGCCACATGTGGTTGCATGGATGGGGCTTTTATGTGTGGCAAAGAAGTAGGTAAAGTGATGAAACATACTCGAGCCCAACTACCGACAATGTCAATTGAAAGAAATAAATCGTTGATAATCTGTATATTTAGATATGTCACAGCTGGTTAAAAATGTAGTGGGACCTTCAGAATGGTTTTGCAAAGAGGGAAAGGATTGCTGGTACAATGGTAATGCATACAAAGAGAGAGAGAGAGAAACCATTGGTAGCGACACGCTTCTCATGTGTCCGTCTCTAGAATATTCGACTCTTGTGAGTGTCTTTCCGGATAATATTCAGCTTTCATGTGATGTTGGAGAATGTGTCAACGAGCAAGATTACTATGATGCAGCGCCTATTGTAATACTCTCAACCATGTATAACAGTTTTATGATGGGCTATCCATGGACCTCGTCTCATTGATTTTCCTTCTTTTTTCGCTTCGATGATGATGAGAGGATAGGAGAAACAATTTTCGAGTTATAGAGAAATGATGATTATAGGGGCTATTTTCCTCGCGTGTATCTTACTGTACTTTATCATCAAACTATCCGCTTCACGACAAAAACGAATGTTTCGTACTGGAATACAACTGTCGACCGATGGCTACGATGAGGAGGAGGAGGAAGAAGAAGAAGACCATTTGACGGATGCGAATAGGAGTGGTGAAAGTAACCTACCCAAAGTGGCACTTACATTCTCAGAAATCCATTACAGTGTTTCGGGGAAGCCCATCTTGTCGAACGTCAATGGATACATTGAACCTGGACAGATGTTGGCATTGATCGGTCCATCTGGTGCGGGCAAATCCAGCCTTTTAGACATTCTAGCGCGGAAACATAAACGGGGCATGATCAGTGGCCAAGTGCTCATCAACAACACGTTTCCGACACGAAAACAGTTTAAGAAAATGACAGGATTTGTTGATCAGGACGATAGTTTGATGGGAACACTTACGGTACGTGAGACATTGATGTATGCAGCCATGATGCAACTGCCGCGTACGTTGTCTCTTCGTACAAAACAGAAGCGGGTGGAGATGGTACTACAGGAATTGGGTATTAGCCATATCGCTGATAATCCCATTGGGATTCCTGGACAAAAACGCGGCATTAGTGGTGGTGAAAAGAGAAGAGTGAGTATAGGAAAGGAGTTGGTGACGAATCCAAGTTTGTTGTTTTTGGATGAACCGACGAGTGGATTAGATGCTTATAATGCAGAGGTTGTTATGGAATGTCTTCAACGCCTTGCCCATAGTAAGAAGCGGACGATTATTGTTACTATACATCAGGTAAAGAACGCGACAAAATCAGCATAGCCGTAGCCCGCCGGTCATTGTTGTTATGGTCACTGAAATACTCTTTCTCTTTCATCCACCTGAAAAAAAAGCCACGATCCAATATCTTTAAAATGTTTGATTCCGTGATGCTTTTGGCTCATGGACAAATGGTAGGTTGATCTTTTTCCTGTACTATGAGTGGTCATAATAGTAGTAGTAGCTTCCTTTTCTCAGTGGGAAAATGCATACAATTAGTTATATTTCGGCCCAACATCCTTTTGTTCGGGCTATTTCAAAAGCATTGGGTTGCCTATACCCAATGACTATAATGTGGCCGATTACTTGAGTAAGTCTCTTGCGTTTGCATTATAGTACACATAACTTTTACTCACTGCACTGGCCTCCTGTCCGTGCTATCGATTAGTTGACATCACCATGAAAAAGGCATTCGAAACGGGTAGTCAGTCGCCCAATGCATCGCCTGGAACACCGTTACCCTTGAGAAGACCAGAGGGTGATGCTTCTGAAGCTTTAGAGGAGTCAGCGTCAGCGTCAGACGCGCCTCTTTCACGATTTTCAAACCTCATGCACCGTCGTTTACGGAACCAGGCAGAAGAAGCCGGGTCAGAAGAGCTTAATCTATTACTGGAGTCCAATCAAGTTCGTTTCCTGCTCGATTCATTCAAGGCATCTCGTCTGTACAAAACTCTTATCCATCGTTTGCGTCAGGCAAGTAGGCAGCGACAGGAATCGCAAGAAGAAGGCAACATGAATCATGATCATGATTATTATACGTCAATGCAAATCAACTTTGCATCAGAGGCACAAGACTCGCCTTTTTCTTTAAAGCAATTCTACCATGAAGTGGCAAGTTTAAGTTGAGCATGGGAGTATGAGAAAGCTTCCATTTATCCTGATTTTTTTTTCTTTTTTTTTTTTTAGAGTATACTCTCTTCCCGTACGTTCATCAATCTTTACCGTAACCCATTTCTGTTTTTTGCTCATTTTATCGTCTCTGTTCTCCTCGCGCTTCTGTTGGGCAGTGTATTTTGGCAAGTGGACGTCGATCTCTCTGGGGTTCAAAACCGGTTGGGCGTTCTTTTCTTTATGTGCGCGCTTCTCGGATTCGCGGCGACGAGTAGCTTGGATATGTTTGACAAGGAAAGGATTCTCTTTATGCGTGAGCGCGATAACGGGTATTATAGTCCTGTAGCCTATTTCGTGGCCAAGGTGATATTTGATATCGCTCCTTTGCGTATCTTGCCGCCGTTAGTGATGGGATCGATCTGTTATTATATGATTGGGCTGAACGCAGCATTGCCTGTTTTTGGAAAGTTTTTGCTTGTTTCGGTCTTGTTTAATTTGGCAGCGACTGGACTGTGCTTGTGTTTTGCCACAGGCTTTCAGAGTAGTCACATGTCCGTGGCTCACTTGTTGGCGAATTTAGTCATGTTGTTTTCTATGTTGTTTGGTGGATTCCTGTTGAACAAAGGTAGGAGGATGGAAAAGGGAAAAGCATGAAAGAGAAGAAGATAACCGATTTCTGTTTTTACTTTTCAAATGATATGCTGATTCAGATCACATACCAGCTATGTTGAGGTAAAAAAAAAAAAAAAAAAAAAAAAGGAACTCTGAGAAGAGCATCAAGCGTTTATTCTACCTTTATCTGACTCTCTATATACATTGATGTAGTTGGTTACAATATCTGAGCTTCTTCAATTACGGCTATGAGGCGTTGATCGTCAACGAGTTGAAGGACATTACACTACGCGACAGATCCATTGCAGACATTCAAATACCCGGACCTATTATTTTAGCGAGATTTGGTTTCAATGGACAAGCATTTTGGCCGGATGTGGCTCGGTTGGTCTGTTTCATACTTGTCAGCTTCATTACATCTTTTCTTTTTCTGAAATATTTTGTCAAAGAGAAGCGATGAGCGGGCTACTATTGTATAGATAGGATAACTACGCATCTCCTTAAGAAGGCTGGTTTATTTCTTTAACAATGATCCGATTCATTCGTGTTAGTTGTCATCCGTGGTATGCCCAGCCATCCAAATAAAATAAAAGATCCCTAGCTATTCTACAAGATGCCAAATAAGGTATTCCTGTAAACATTCTTTTTTTTTCGATGATCTGCAGAGACACAAAACACTCTTCCGACCTGTCTCCCACCTCACCAATAGCTATCCTTTCGCTTAAACTACTTTATCCCGATCAATGAATCATTCTCTCTTTGTCATTTCACATTTGTTTAAAAAAAGTAAAAAGACGTCTTTTGAGACAGCCTTTGTGCCTTCTAAGCTAGCAAAAGAATCTGAATACATTATGTATAAAAGCAAGTTTTTATTTTTATAACGACTCCGCATATGGTCAAAGTGTACGTACGGTGGTGTGTGCGTGCATGCAGATGGATCCTGCTGGGAAAAAAAAATAGCTTTTCCCCCTTTGTAACTACGACGATGTCAGTGCGTTCGCTCAGTGTCATGGGCGTAGGTGCTTTGTCATATCAGCAACAAAAAAAAAAAAACTAAAAAAAAAAAATTGATTTAAGACATTGTATCTTATCTTAACGATTTTTTTTTTTGTTCCAATAGTGCTCATTCATTGCGAAATGTATCCAATCGAACAATTCATAGTGTAGGTTGAAGGACATCAAAGAGACTCGAGACACTTTTTTTTACTTTGGCGCCCTTTGAATTCCGGGAAAACCTACATGAAAGGTTTTTTGAATTCGCAAAGTAAGCGCCATTCAAAGCCATTAGAGTAGTTTATTCTGCTGTCGTTATAAGGTCCCCTTCTTATAAATGGGCGTTTGTTGTCTAATTCATCAAAAGAGGCTTTCTTTTATTGGAAAGGATGCATTCATTAGCTTTCTACATTTAAGGCAAATGGACAATGAAGAGAATGGTCTAAAAATAACCTTCAAGATGCTATACAAGCTGAGCTGAGCTGAGCTGAGTTACAAAAAGGACAGAGGGTAAAGAGAGAGGGCTTTATGCATAACATGGATTTTCACAGTGAGATGGAATAGAAGATTTTTCCATAAGTTGATATCTTTTACGATAAACACCTACTCGGGTACCGCCCCGCCTTTCCGTGCCTCCACCTCTTCACCCCAACACAATTCAAAATTCTAACTGAAATTGACAACAAAATAAGCAACAGAAACCCGTTTCAAACAACACTATAAATTAAGTAACTCTAACTTACTGAACGTCTTTTTTTCTTTTTACCGTACATAAACAAGCAAAAAGCGGGAATGAGGCCGCGCGCTGAGGGTTATAAATAGTATTCTCTTTTTCGCCCTTTTGAGGGATGGTAATTAAAAATAGAATCACTATAGAACCCATGCGAACCCATGCCCACATCCCGTAGAGAATGAGTGTTGTCATTTTTGTATGTGTACAAGTGTGCAGTGTGCAGTGTGTGCAGTGGCTATGTGTATCTGTGCGTGAATGATAAATGCCGCTAGAAAAAGTACGTTGATCTCCTAAAAAATAAATGCCCGCTAGAAACCTTTTACATTTCTGGAAGTATCCAGATCTAAATTTAGAGTAGAATGGGCCAAAATGAAAGCGCCACTTGAAAATCCCAAAATGTTTTCTCCAGTGTTGTTAGAAAGATTGGGAACAGAGTGTTTACTCGAATTTCACCAGGGCGCGAGAGAGAACAAAAGAGAGTGTGTGTATGAGTATGTGATATAGATGATAAAAAGATGAATGATACCCATTGTAGGATAACAGTAGCAAGGAAAAACTGAGTTTGTTTCAAGGTATTCTGTTTAGGATTCATTTAAGAAAGAATGATCATCATTTCTTGGCTCTTAGCGTTTTTGGGCCGCGAATAGGAATAAGAAAGAGCCCCTTTGTGATCTTAACAGTTGTTTTATCTTGCCAAAATGAACAACCATGTGTTTCTTTATAACGTTGTAAAAGGGACAAAAGAGTAATTTTAATTAATAATAGAAAAAAAGAGCGAGCAAGCGAGAGATATAGTGATGGTATCGAGTGGTAACAAACAAAAAAAAAAAAAATATATAAAAAAGAAAAATCAAAAAGAAAACGCTATACTATCTAAGGAGGGGGGGGGGAGGGGTTATAGAAGTAAAAAGATTCTCAAAAAGAGAAAGAAAATAAATTAGAATGAGGAATGTATGATGCAGTTCTGTGTGTGTGTGTGTGTGGGCGTCTGTAAGTGAGTGTGAGTGTGTATACATAGAGATGTCAAGTCGTAGTCTAATGTGTGAGTGCGTAAGTGTGGGTGAGTAGTGAGTGCATATGTGTGTATATGTATGTATTGTGTTGTGTGTTGCAGAGAATGCATGCATGCCAGATCAATTAAGCTTCCAAACGTGCATTTTTCATCAATTCCTGTAAAGCTTGAAAAGCATCCATTGACTTTCTACTATCGTATATGGAAGGTGATTGGATATCTTGCTGCTTTTCTTTGGTAGGAGATGGAGTTAAAGGTGGACTGACAACGAGTGTATCTGTTTTGATAGTGGGTGTCATGTTATTAAACGGTATGGATTGACTCATCAACTTGCCATCAAACGAAGAGCGAGGTGTAAGTTGGCCGCCTTGAGGACGTTCAGGGCTGATGCTAGAATTACGAATGGCTTCTTGAATGAAATCGTTGTTGGCTGTAGCTAATAAAGCCTCATCATACGTAAACCAACGACGATCACGCTTCTTACGTTCAGGAAACTTTTTACAAATCTCGTCTATATGCATTTCAAAGATCCAATGATGTGCCCTGATTTTCTTATTGGCGCGTTCCACAAAGACACCAATTTGTCGAGTAATATGTCCTTTCAAACCTGCTTCTTCCCAAGTTTCTCTTAAAGCTGCGTGTTCTTGTGTTTCATCTTGTTCCCAACCACCTTTAGGCTAATCATATGTAATAGATGATACAATATTGTAATAGATGATACAATATAGATATAAGAAATTATGTAACGATTGAAAATACATAATTATTAAAGTAATTAAAGTAAGACATTTTTTTATTGATTAGCGAATTTTATCGTCATCCAAAATTACAGGAAAATTTTATTTTACTTACAATCACCCAAGCTTCAGGATTCTTACTTGAAGTGATCAACAAGAAACGTTTTGAATACGGGTCAACGGGCAAACATCCAGCCACTTGTCTGATATTGTGAACATCAGTAACGTCTTTTCCATGACCATGTCTCGCTTTCTTCTTGTATTTGATCTTTGTTGTTGTAGGCTCTTCGGGAGGAGGGGTTGCAAGTGCTCTAGTGTTCATTTTTGTTTAAAAGTCTAAGGATGATAATTGGATGAAAAGTGTGATATAAATACAGCAAAAAATAACAAATATAAAGTAAAAAGAAGGAAAACTAAAAAAAAAGGGTCAGAGATCCAAAATTATGATTGCTTTATATATACATCAGTTTTTTTCTTTTTTTTTTTTTTTTTTTTGTCGCAGGTTTTAAAAATCTATATTTGCTTCAAAAAAAAAAAAAAAAAAACCATTACACATCCGATAATTTTTCCAGCCAAAACTTCAAAGTCCGAACAAAAGAGAAAAAAGAAAAAAAAGACAGATTCATGGACTTGAGCGCTTTCAACTCCACTAACTAACGTTTCTAATAGAAATGCATGAGACAACAAAAAGACTGTAACAAAAAAAAAAAAAAAAAAAAAGAAAAAAAGATCCCAGTTAAAGCATGTATAAAGGGAAAAAAGGGAAACTTGGATTTTCTCCCTTTAGAAAAAAAGTTTAAAAGACGATTGCACCAAAGAGAATAGTACTAAGCCATGTCAACTGATCTTTTTGAGTTTCTTTAACCCTAATCACGTCTACAAAGGCTGAGCACAGTAAAAATAGAAGGCCAACGTCATCATAAAGAGTTACTGAAAGACAACACTTTTCATGATCCTACAGAATGCACGGAAAATCCACCCTCATGATCTCTACGAGTCTTTTTTCTAAGTAATGAATAGTAATGTAATGTAACGTACCAATAGTTAAAATCCCTTAAAAAGGAAAACTGTACACAATTTAAAACGTCTTTTTTATTTCCCAATGGTCGTTCTAGTTGTCTACCCCCAGCCCCCCTCCTCTCTCATACCCTCCCCTCCCCCCTCTTTCTATTACTTGCATCTCACAGTATTCTGGTGTTCCAGGCATTAGACACACACACACGAGAAAACCATGGTTAGAATGATTCCCATAGATAACTCAGTGATGGTACACCAAAAATAGCTGCAATTTTCGCATGGTGGAGATAGCTCACAAACGACACGCCAACCCAAAACACTAGTAGATGACACACGCCAAAGGGCTAAAAAGATCGGCAGTGGAATAACCCATTTGGATTCGCTCCTATCCATTTTTTTTTTTGGCTGAATCGTTCTTTAAAAATGAAACACGCTTACAGCCCTTTGGGTCGCCAAAAAAGCGAACAGAAAGGTGGGAGGACAAAGCAGAACAGTGACGCGAACAGGTAAAGCTGAAATTGAACTGAGAGCATATGGATTAACGGGATTTTTTTGACTTTTTTTTTTTGTTGGATCAACTGTAAAACGCGCCAGAATGGGCTCATTATATTAGTAGGATGGAAGGGGGGGGGTGCTTCCCATTGGCGTGTATCTCTCTCTCTCTCTGCCTATGTGTGTGTGTGTGTGTGTATATATATAAAGTATAGAAAAGCATTTCCTTCACGATGCCAAGACCAACTAAGCCAACGGTTCGTTAGCATTCGATAAAAAAGTAAAGGCCAACAAATATGACAGATTTGGTATATGCCCAATTTATCAAAAAAATGGTGGCTGTAAAGAAATGACAAAACTTCTCTCCGCCAACTATTATCGTGCACCCCTGAGTCAGTGCGTGCGGGTTTTTTTTCTCATCCTTGCGCCCTTTTCCTCAGGGCTCCCCTTCATGTGCTCAACCAGAAACATTTCCAGCTTTTCAGTAACGCGCGCTTGTGGTTTTTACAAACTTGGCTCTATCTTTCCACCATGTTACTGCTCTACGATGATAAAGGTGTTTGTGGGGGCGGGAGGCCTTTTTCTACTATTTTTATCATCAAATTTGCTTTCCCTTAAACGATAGGCAGAGCTTCCAAATATAAACAATGCTTATCTACCCACACACACTCACACACACACTGAAAAAATAAAACCACGCGATCTCCACAGAAAGGTTCACTTTTTTCCACGACGAACCCAGAAACGCTTCACCGCGTGCTAAAAGGAAAGAAAGAAACAGGAGAACAGACTAACACCCCACATAACAATGAACAGTCATTGGCTCATGGCACGCTTTACACGACAAAATGAGCTAGTACCTCTACATTGAATGCAGACGATAAAAATGTACTTTTATGCCTCGCCTATGGATGTATCACACCGTATCCCTGTATTGTTGTACTTTTGCTTAATAAGCAATGACAATACTTACTCCAGCGCGTAACAAATAGAGTGGCAAGCAACCACTTTGGAACGCTATGACCATTTTTGTCACCCTTTTCGAAAACAGAAGGGTTCAAGAAAGAAAAAGACGGACAGCGGTATACACGCTATATTTCTCTCATCGGTCGCGTTGTCATTTTCTTTCCCTTACATAACACATCTATTTTCGTTACCATTGCAGCGTTGTAAAGTGTGTGTGTCTATGTGTTGCTTTACTGTTTTCTTTGTTTCAAAGGAACACCAAAATTTCATAGTGTCGCAAAGGTTAGTAAGCCTTTATTAAAAAATACAACAGTTTACCAGGTGATTGTATCTGTGCTATAAAAACAGAGTACAGTGTACAGTACATTGAAGCGATTTTTCTTCACGCGCCAAATTGAAAATAGTTTCCACTACTGCACGATTTGTGATGTCACCGAAAAGGGACTTTCCTTTTTTTTTTTTTTTTTTTTTTTCTTTTTAAGCATTGTATTAAGCATTGAAAACCCTTATTGAATTCATGTAGTAGATCTGTTTCTATGAGTGTAAACTACCCCTATGTACCAGATAACTGGTGCATCCACTTCATAGAGTCGTCATAGCCAGTAGGCTGTTTAGAAACATTCCATAGCTCGATACCTTACACACACGTACATTCACAATGGGATAGACACTCCACTCATTTACACAGCACACACTCCATTGCAATCATTGCATAGTATATATCGGAATGAGAGAAAAAAGGACCTTATTTAATTACATATGTATAAATAAAAAGTCGAAGCAAACAACGAACGTAAAAAAGTCGAAAGTAATTTTTTTACTTGAGGGGAACAAACTTGGAAGAGTGAGTGGCACCAATACCGGGACGACCGTGCTTGACAGGCTTGTAGGTGATGGAGAATTCACCAAGGTAGTGACCAGTCATTTCAGGCTTGATTTCAACTTGGTTGAAAGTCTTACCGTTGTAGATACCAATAACGGAACCAATCATTTCGGGAACAATGATCATGTTACGGAGATGAGTCTTGACGACGTCAGGCTTTTCACCGGGAGCAGCGTTCTTCTTAGCAGCACGGAGCTTCTTGATGAGACCCATAGGCTTACGCTTAAGACCGCGTTGGAATCTTCTACGAGCACGGCAGTGAACCAATTCCATGAACTTTTTTTTAAAAAAAAGAAAGAAATACAGTGAGTCGACATTCTCATCTTTCGGCATGCCCCATCAATCCAATCGCATCGATAGAGTATCAAATCAGCTTACTTGTTCAGAGGACATGTCCAAGAGTTGTTCAAGGTCAACACCGCGGTAGGTGAACTTACGGAAAGTTCTCTTTCTCTGAGTAGCTTGCTCGTTATCAGCCTATGATAGCCATCAATTCAAAACAGAAAATAGGTCAGCACAATTGATGCAGCAGGGCAGGATCTCATAGCAGAAAAGCAAAAGTCAAGCTCAAACATGGTCAGTCATTGTAAAAGAACGAAGAACAGTCCAGTCAACAAAAAGTCGTCATTCCAACAGTAAGTGTGTAAGTCGTTGTGTATGTGTCTATATCTGTGTGCTCAACGTACAAAGTTGCCACCATTTGAAAAATGCTCAAGTAGATCTACTGTTCTACAAGACTGTTTCGTTTTAACCCAGAAGAGCTGACCGAAAGCATCCATCCAATAGATCTAACTAACCAGACATATCCAACATAACTGCATCGATAAAGCTGTTCTTCCATCCTTTCACAATACTGACAAGATCGCTATTGACATTCGCTTCTGTAGGATCACTATGGATTTCATTAACAATACAATACCATGATGAGGAAAAAAAGGGAAGATTGTTCTATTGCGAGCTTTGCAATGCCTAATATAAAATTCCCCCCGCCCCCACCTTTTTTTTTTCCCTGTGCTTGGGGGCTGACGAGGTGGATACCAAAGCCTAAATAAACACCACACCTATTATCACGGTGTTTGCGGTCCGGAACTGCCTTTTTCTTTCTCTACCCAACCCCCCCTATGCGGTAACTGAAAAATCGAGAAAGCCTCTTTTTTTTTCTATCCACCAAAAAGAAATTTTCAAGAGGATTCTCTCTCGCACACAGTTTTTTTGTTTTTACACCCGCATATACACCAATACCTACGATGAGACCTATTTTACTTCAAGGCCATACTAGAGCTTTAACACAAATTAAATACAACAGAGAAGGTGATTTACTCTTCTCAGTTTCTAAAGATAAGGTCGCCAACGTATGGTACTCTCATAACGGTGAACGTCTTGGAACATATTCAGGTCACGTTGGTGCTATTTGGACTATCGATGTTAATGGTAATAAATGAATTGTTCAACCTTCTTTTTTTTCCGGAAAGAAACAACACTTGTCAACATCAACAACTTTGATTGAACAGAGAGAAAAAAAAAACCCCACTCAACGGTCTACTTGGTTTTGATCAGCAAGCAATAGACACGGACCCAATCATGTCAAAAACACGATTGATTCCGTTTTTTTTTTTCGCTTTTGTTCATTCAAAGATGGTCGATGAAGAAAATAGTAAAAGTCCTTTGTATTGACACGTCTCTTTTTTTTTGCCTAATCTGTAGCTGATTCCACATTAGTCGCTACTGGTTCTGCTGACAATTCATGTAAGCTTTGGGAAGCTCAAACAGGCCGTTGTTTAAAGACCTGGGAATTTAAGACAGCCGTCAAGCGTGTAGAATTCAGTGAAGATAGTAGCATGGTGTTGTGTGTAACTGAAGAACGTATGGGTTTCTCTGGTACTGTTACTGTTTATCCTGTCAATAAGGATATCAATGGCACTCGTAAGTATAAAAAGTTAAAAAAAATTGCTCTCACGCCTCTTTTTACTCATATTCAATGGTTCTTTGTCGGTCGATTGACTCGCTCACACAGAATCAGATACACCTATCGTTACCATCATCAACAATGGTGGTGCCAAGGCCGTCGTTGCCGGTTGGACAAGTTTGGATAAGTATATCATCACCGGCCATGAAGACGGTACGGTTTGTCAATGGGATTGGAAGAAGAATGAAAAAGTGAAATCAATTCATCCTCATCAAGGCGTTTTGACCGACATGCAATTCAGCCCTGATCGCACCTATTTCATCACTGCTTCAAAAGATAAGAGCGCCAAGATCATTGACGCCTTCACTTTAAAAGAAAAGAAGACCTATACTGCCGACACATCTCTCAATGCAGCCTCCATCACACCCAAACTCCAGGAATTTGTCATCTTGGGCGGTGGTCAGGAAGCCATGAGTGTCACTACCACCTCTGCTCGACAAGGTAAATTCGAAAGCCGATTCTATCACAAGATCTTGGAAGAAGAAGTTGGACGTGTCAGAGGTCATTTCGGTCCTATCAATACATTGGCTGTTCATCCCGATGGTACAAGTTACTCTAGTGGTGGTGAAGATGGTTACGTTCGTGTCCATCATTTTGATCCTGATTATTTCACTTTCAAGCTTGAAATCTAAAAAACCAGCAAAAAAGAAAAACCAACCAAAAAAAGTAGTGTCATACTTGTATAATCCCCAACCCACTTTTTCATTATTATATAATAAAGCCGATAAGAGAAGAGAGAGAGAGACATAGACACACACACATACACATACACCAATAAAAAAGATGTTTTGTCCTCTCCTCATCCTCCTTTCTGTATAGATGATCAGACGAGACAGACACATTGTCTTTTAATATCAATAAATTAAGGATTCGATGATTCGATGGTCTGTTTTGTAACAGAAATTTGTTTTTGTCTATTTAATTGATCCAACACAGCGCGCGTCAAGGAGGAGTTGGCTCTGCCTTGCGTTCTTATCACTCGTTGTTGCGGCGCCGCTGTGGTGATTTGCGTAGAAAGGTAAGTAGCTTCATTGTTCACCGTCTCCTTATCGGAACCATGTAGCTGTTGCTGTGATGGTATCATACCCGTCGTATTATTCACAGCTTGATTGTTTGGACGGCTAATGTAAGTAACCGGTGGCGGAGGAGGAAAATTACGATTGGGTTGATGAAAGTGAACGGCTGCCCATGTTGGATATTGCCGTTCTATTTCCATCAACGTGTTTTCAAGTATTTTGATCCTTTCAAATATCGAAAACGGTGGTTTTGCCGTACTATCAAACTTGACGTTCAAGTGCTCTTGTAGATTATTCAGCCTTTCTGACACATCTGCTCCCGTAGACGTACTGCTTGCTTTATCCACTCCTGTTGGTCTTTTCGGCTCCTCCTGGGTTGTCCGCGAGCGTGCCAATGGACCGTCTTCATTATTTACAATATCAAATTTCATTTGTATGTTTCGGTTAATCTCTCGTGCATCGGTTCTCGCGCATGTAATGTCATCCGCAGACGGATCGCGTTGGTTTAAAAACTCTGTTCGATTACTTTCGTCCAGTTCATGTTGTTTCGCTTGTATAAAGTTATTGATCCGCTGATCCACCTCCTTCGTAGTTGCTCTGATCTGTATCTGCTCTCCATCCAATCGTTTCACTCGATCTTTCTCATCTTCTTCTCTTTGTTCTTCAGGATTATCGGATCGTTTGCGTTTTGTCACCAATAAACCGTGATGTGTCTTGTCAGCTTTTTCCAACACTTCCTCTCTAGCATCGATGTGTTGTTCCAAACACTGCATCAGCTTCTCCACCAACGTTTCCAAAGCGTCAGGTAACTTTTCCAAGTTCTGCCGAGAAAGCACCACAAGTTCTGTGTCTAAGCATTGACTCGTCTCTAATAGACCTACTTCTTTAAAAAAGATGGATAATTCTTTATGCCATTTCAACGGTTTTGTTTGCTGTGCTGACTCATTATTTGACATGACCAAAGAGAAAATACGGGGTTACCAAAAAACGAAATAAATAGAAAAAAGTGCTGCTTCATCCTTGTTTCCCATAGGGTTATACAGTTTTCTTACTTTGGATGTTCGGATCTTTTCATAAAAGTTTCGGATCGTCTCCTTTTTTGGATATCTTTCAATTTATTTTTGGACGAGTTAATCAGAAGACTATTTTTAAATTGTTTTGGTACATGTCAAAAACATAAATTGGAAATATTCAAACTAAAATAAGAATATTTCAACGGTATAACTTGGATTTAAGCATCATGACAATGACAAAAAAAGAACAGATTTAATGAAAAGAAACACGTGCAGTATTTGCGGTCTCTCTCCACCCCGACCCCCGATCTCAACCCTTTTTTTTACATTGTTAATATAGCGAGACGCTGTTAATCTGTTTTAAGCTAATATATCTTGAAAGGTAAACAAATTTGACAACAATAAATGGACACATTCTCATTTTGGGTTGAAAAAGATCACGTTGGCAATCGAACTTTGATGGAGGCTCAGGAACTTTTATAGAATGTTGACTTTTCTCGATCTGAATTAGATAAATGCCATGGGTAGTTTTACAGTTGCTTCAACATAATGATACATCAAACATTTTCTTACTAACAAGCATTAAACAGTAGCAATACCCTTCATTTATAAAGGGATTCCTCAACAATTGGAGTTGATTCGCGTTCTACTAACTGAAATAGAAAAAAGAAGCGTAATGCAATGATTTTCTTTTACTCCTGCTGATTATGTATAAGACAGCTGCCGACTGACAACACCTGATACGTGTTTCAACTGTACTTGTCTATCATCGACCACTGCAAATGACAGAATAGATCATATGTCGACATGTCTGAACCAACAATGCGTGTTTATTGTAATATTATGCAACGAAGAGTAATGTATCAAGATCATGCCAAGACGGTATCAATATTATGTACAATTTGAATTATTGCTATGTATTGCCGATACTTTACTGCATCATCGACTTTTTAAGATATAGCTTATCATAGGGTGGTGTCTTGACAGAGAATGGTAACCTACGGAAAGTGTCCACGCTACAGCCAATTAGGTCGATAGTTTCGATCATATGGTACTTTTTCATGATCAAACGTCTCTATAAACTGTATGTAAACGAAAGAAAAAATGTAGAGGACGTTGTGCTTAATATTTTATCTTTTTGGACAATACGTTATGAATTCCCTAAATAAGGCACGTAATATTATTTCTTATCTTACCTCTTGATCAGCCAGTACTTTGGTTCCTGTAAATCGTCTATATTCATCAAAGATGGATGTCATTGACCATTTTTGAATTTTTCGCAAACATCCTACTAAACAGCCTATCCGATGCTAAAGTGGTTGTGAGCAGTCTAACCAACTTTTCTTAACAAAATTTTCTACCCTACCTTTCCTTTCAAACAATGAATCAGTACTGTTATTTGTTTGGGTGGAACGATATATTTTCACATTACGAACAAAAGGATTAGATACACTAGCTTGGTCAGTAAGCTCTCTTTTCTTGAAAAATATACCTGGATGACTTCTTCGATCCAACAATTTGACAAGAGCATGTGATATATCTTCATGATTCACTTCGACAAATGGTTCCTTATTGCCTTCTGTACGATAGTGTAATACTTCTATACCTTCGACTTCCACAAAGTGTTGCATTTCAGGAGGGTAGTCTTCCATAGCGAAATATCTTGGGTTTTTTTTTTGGATTCGAAATAGACATCAATCATGAATAACATTGAGACTGTTTCTTAGTGACAGAGAAAAGAAGCTTACAGTATTGTTTTCAGGCCCAACTTTCTTAAAAAAGCAAAGTTCTGTTTATTGGGATGACCAGATCGATAGACGCCTGATGCGATCATGGCAAAATTCAAAGGAGGCACAAATGGCATACCAGGTCGAGTATAGCAGATGGGGCAATTGTCATAGTCGTGCGTTGTCGCTGCTCGTTTTCGCTGCGTTTTCACAATGACTGTACTTTGGTCTGCTGTTGAGTTATGAACGTTGTTATCGATTGCCAAATTCATATTGAGATTATCGTGTTTCTACTGTTAGTTACTGTATTTGACACATTTTCGGATGGAAAAAAAAAAGTGGAGGATGGGGTGCGCACTAAGAATCAATTTAAATCACGTCGAAATCACAATGAAAAAAATAAATATGCATGAAGGAGAGTTGTGCGCATAATGGTTTAAAGACTAGAAATGTGATCTTCTCCCTCGTGTCAACTTACTCTAACAATAAACAAACATTAGAGAAAATATGCTAATTTAAAGTTGAGCTTCTAATAGTTGGAGCATCAATAGAAGAAAGTGACAACACTAAGCTTCATTGTCGTGCTCATGAAAATATGAAATTACTGGAGACCCACACCCCACGCAGATCTGATTATCATCCAGCCCATGACAATAGTAATATTATCATTATGCATTATTGGATCACACTTCAGACTAAAGGATTGAGAATATATAAAAGCTCAATTAAAAAGCTCATCCTCTAGAGAACCTGAACATAATTTCCTTTGCTTTTCCACGTAAAAGATATTGGAAATGACAAAATATCATTTAAGAGCCACCATTCATGACCTGTTGGAGCATCAACATGGACAAGACAAAGAAAACGAGTCCAAAGATAGTATTGAGCAGAAACTGACAATAAACGACTTACCGCAGGCTCCTCACCAAGAAACAGCCAAAGGTAATTCAACATATTTGCATCCATTACAACCCGTTACTGTTGGGCATTGACTTTCTTTCATATTTACTGTATTTTATTTTCGTTTATAGTAGAGTATACTCATAAAGCTAAACCATCTCAAACAGCTTCTTCTTCCCCTTCCATATCAGCAAACAGCCAATCCATCAAAGGCGATCAGCAACAGGGTAGTATTCCTGCTCTCAATACGCAAGCAATGACAGAAGATGACCTGCCAACTATGCATAACGAAAGCCTTTTATCTGGCCCTATACAAAAGTTATTGACGTCTGTTCACTTCCATGACACAAAAACGGAAGGAAGACCCAGTATCTATCTTTTTATTTTTGCTAATCCTCTCTCTGGAGATCAAAAAGGTGAAGATCTGATTCAGCTCCCTGTTCAGCATTTTCGATTACGACGATTCCCACAGATACAGGTAGAAATTCATAATATATTGGATGCAAAGGATCGTAAGATAGGAATAGAGAGCATAAAGCTAGTGGAAAGAATGGTCAAGTGGGGTCGGCTACCAACATTGGAGTCCCAAAAAGATGAACTATCGTCGGAAATGGATGAGCAGGTTAAAAGCCGGCATATTCATGTCTGGAGTGCAGGAGGAGATGGAACAGTGATGAGCGTCTTTGAATTACTTGTTCGTCATAATATCGACTTGAATCATATTTTCTTTTCATGTATGGGCAGCAATATCATACCTATTGACATTCACCCCATCCCCCAAGTGGTCTCCTCAAACTGAAGAAAGCATAACTAAACATTTTTTGTATAAAAAAATCGTTAGGTATCCCTCTCGGTACTGGCAATGATTTCAGTCAAGTTTTGGGCTGGGGAAGAACACTTACGCATCCAAATGTCTTGGGTAAGCGACTGGAGTATCTGGAACAATTGATAACAGAACGTTTAGAAAAATCGAAACCAGCACGATTGGATATTTGGCAAGTGAAGATGTCATCCCATCCCAACGGATACGTGAAAATGGCAGGCCCGAGAAGAAAAATCACTTATGATGGTTCAGAGAGAGAAGATTACCCTCAAGATGATGCAGACTCTACAGTCATGGTCAGAAAAATGTGCAATTACATGTCGATAGGTGTACAAGGCTACGTAGGCAGTGGTTTTGAAAAGCATAGAGCTGGCAAGAGATATTTCAATATGATGGTGTATGCTTGGGAAAGTTCCAAATGGGTTCTTTTCAAAAGATTTCCCTTGGTATCAAGCTTTATCCATAAAATAAAGCATCAAGATCAAACCGTTCTGCAATGCCAGTGTTCTGATACATCAGCAACAGCGGCAAACAGCAGCAATGAAAATGTCCCAGAATTGACAAGACAGCCTATTGATTTTGTGATTCAAAACATACCGCATATTTGGTAAGGCATCTGTTCGTGATGTAAACAAATGAAAGAGACAACAATTGCTTCAAAACGTCTCTCATCCTGAACACTATATTGTTTGCTTTTATCATTCAATAGGGGTAGAGAAGTTGATCTTTGGGGCGATGCCAAAAAGTCTGATGGTGCTGTTGAAAACCGGGCAAATTTTACTGATCCAGCGAATTGGTCTAGACAACTAGCAAACGATGGAAAAATTGAAGTGATGACACTTGAGGATAAGTACAGTTACTTCATGGAGTTGGCTAATTTTCGCGGACACGTTTCTAAGATCGGTCAATTTGCAAGCCCCTTTGAAATTCTATTCAATGATCCTCCATCATCATCTACTGCTGCTGCTGCCCCTGAAAACAGAAAGAGCACTATTTCGAAATTTTGGCATCAACTCTTTGAAAATAGATTCAAGAAGGATAATATAATCTGTATCATGTGTGATGGTGAATTCTATATGATGAAGAACCCCAAATCACTGAAAATTGAAAGATTCGCACAAATTTGGACTTTGGGAAAGTGCGATGGAGATAGCGTAGGTAGACTCGTAAAGGATGAAGACGAATTGACCTCTAGGCAAGAAGCTACATGAAGTTACTGGCAAACACTCTAAACGCATAGCTTAGATAATATATAATACTGTATACCTACCATTAACGCTTATTATTAACTACTACGTACATTTCAAATGCAATAAAAGTTGTATACAGATTGAGCAATAGTCTAAGACTCTGCACGGTAAAATCGATTATGTTAAAACACTCGATGGTCTCAAAGCTTTTTGGCATTATCCTTTCGGCTGTGCGATACAACTCCACCTAGAATGCTCAAACACATAATTTTGGATTTCAAAAGAGGAATTCCGTAGAGTAGGGTAGTTCATTTGGACTGTTAGTAGGAGATGTATGCGGCTAAGACCATCTATATACCAATAGCCAGATAAATAATGTTCATAATGATGACAGTGCAGCGATGGTACAACCTGCATTTTAACGTATGGTTTCATTAAAGTAAAAAACCATTTACCATATTACTTACGTAAGACTTCGTTGTTCATGCTCATTTTTTTTTCTTTTTTATGTAGTGAGCACTGCTACAATGCGTCGCCGAGCACGCTTAAAGGACCCTTTTTCTTTCTCTGTTTCGAGTTGCATTATTACCATTCAATCCGATAGGAACATACTTTCTACTAATGTATTTCGTGATACAGCTGCAGGTGTAGCTTGCTTTCATCGAATTTGATTGTCTCTATAAAAAAATGCCATTCACTGAAAATATTCGGACCCGTCCTTCATTCTATATATCAAGAAGTTCCAGTGTAGTGTCACTTGACTTCATAACCGTGCTAACCCATGTTGTCAGTAGAGGAACCAGAAGGTCTGCCAACTGACTATATAAATAGTTCAGTGATAATAAAGATAGGGACTATTCGATTGGTTTTCGTTTGCTGAAGAAAAGCTATATCTGATATTTGTAATGATGACTTCACAGTTCCCAAGATATCAAGCTTATACTGCGTCGATCTTCCAAGTCTTTTGCAAGTTTCCGCATACCAAATATGTATTGTCAAAAATCTTCAACACTGAAGAAAGCTGGATACTTTATTCCAGCAAAAGACTTTGTTACACGGTATAATCAAACAACGATGCCTTTTATATGGTAAATTTTCACGCTATGTTAGCAGCTTGCTTTTTTTTTATGATAATTGATTTAATTGTATCTACTACTACAATAACTTTAGAATCCTGGGTTTAAAAGTGGTGCTCTTTTTTCCCAGAACAATGATCGTAATCGAACTCCCCAAGAATGCAACCATAGGACACGTCGACTAGGCGGCGGTACAATACGTTGTATACGATGTTCTCCTATAAGTCCGTCATCATCGAAAGTATAAACAAAAACACCCTCTATATAACGTATTCTCGGCTGTGGATTGAAGAATGTAGCGTTCTTTGTTCCTAGCATTTTCCATTTTACTTCCAGTTTTCTAATTGTGCCTTTGAACAAAAGATCTCGCTCTGCTTGTTCAACTGTTGATGATAGCAATTTATAACTCGAAGAAAGTTTATCGCTACTACTGCTGTTAACTGTTTTTACTCCTATGCGATCAACAGCATGATAATTATCTTTATTATTGTTGCCTTTACTACTGCTGTAAAGATAATCATCGCCATCAATATCCTCACTCTCTGGTATATCGCGCATTTTAGTTATCTCCAATAGTATGTCGTCAAAATAAATACTGGTACTCCATCTTAGCATTTGAGCTATGCCTAAATATGCTGTACGTCCATGAAATGAGAATTTTGTATAATGAGGATCTGATAAAACAATATCAGGAGAGTAGATAGAATGTTCTGTTAATCCGTCCTTGAAGAAATTCGGTAAATCATTTTGTAAAGTGGCTATTGCTGAAGTATGAAAAAAAATAGTGAGTGTCTTTGTTCGTTATTCACTCTCCCCTTCCTTCGTAAGAAAACGTCTGCTTCCATCCTCATATTTACCGAATCCTACATTTAAGTTGTATTCGCTTGGCTTCTCAGTATCATTCCGCTGTTGTTGTTGTTGTTGTTGTTGCCGATGACCGATCGCAGAATGAAATGAACAACATTGTCTGTAGCAACGGCATAATAGTGGCTTTGTTAGTGTTCTACGTGTTGCTGCATATATAAGTGTGGACGATCGTGAAATGAGCATACGAAGTGTAGTTTATTATTCCTATAGTAGATCGTAAAGGAAATTATAAGGTGCACAGGAGTCTACAGAGTCAAATTATGCAAAAAGTATTACTATTGCTATTTCAACAAAGCAACAGCTGAAAGAGAGGGAATACTGATATGTTGAAACAACGGGGAAAGCAATTTCATATTCAAAAAAACAGGATTGAAACCAAGTGTGGGGTTCCGCTGGAGAACACTTCCGCCGAACTCAGTTCATCAATTTTCAACGAGCATACACATGTGATTTCATATTGATATACTGACGGGCAAACCAGTTTTTTACATCAAGCAGATGTCTGTCAAGTACACAACAATCTAGATAGGTAAAAGAGTATTCCTCAACGGTATTCATGTAAGACGGTCGTTTGCTAGTTGTCATTTTTGATTCATAGTTTAGTTGTTTCAGAGAATCTCTCTTGTACATTTCCGACGCACTATGTGTGCTTCTGCCTGCTGTCTTAATTTTGAAATGTTTATATAGAACATCACTACATATATATGTGATGCGTCTCGAAAAACTGGATGCAAAGATATTGCAGATATGTATTTGATGCCAGCATTCTTGTTCGACGTAATTAGTTACGCCTCCGATCAGCCTCAAAACAGAAGAGCTTGGAAATGGTTCTTCAGGGTGAAGCCTTACTTTTTTTTTGTGCTAAGAAAGAACTAATATTGAGTACATTGAAATGATTAGCAACAAGAATAGCAGATTTTCTGTTAAATTTAGCAACAGATGCAAATGGTGTTTCTAATTAAAGGACGAACATTACTCCCTCATCCTCATTTGAGCTATCGTTTTACAACCGTACTTTCGAATTCATTGGTAACGCCAACCATGTCAGAGGGTTAAGAAAGAAAAACAGTTCAATGATCAAGACTGCCTGCAACTTCAAAGACTTATCAACTGTATCTTAGCAGTTGTATAACTTTCTTATATCTCTGTTTGTACATTAAAACGAACATCATTTGATTTATGCATGTACCATTATAAATGAGTTCCTATAATTTCAGACAATAGACCAACTGAAGTTTAAAGTAAATGAGAATCTGGAGAAAAATGTGTATATATAGTATTAAAAGGCAATATTATCAAAAAAAAAAAGGATCTACGTATGATTTTCAGAGTGCTTTCAAGTGGTAATTTGTGTTTAGGCGCAATACGGTAAGTATGACTATGATTATTGTAATCACTTCTCCTGCAGAGACGATCGTAAAGGGGGGATATGTCGTTGAGTATACTTACCTTTGATTTCCACGGGGTAAAGATGATGATCGGATGGCTGTAACACAATGGATTTTGGTACGTCGGTTTGAGGAGGTTGACGTGTTTGGTGAGATAATAACTACAATACTCGAGTACGTACAACCAGGTAGAGAATACATTCTACCACGGTCTATCTATATTGCATCTAATATAGGTTATGTACAACATAGAACAAAATATAGGCCTAAATATAATAATCACCCAATAAGCATCTGAACCTGAAATTAGTGACTAGCATACGCGTCCTCAAATAATATAATTCCCATTAAACCTCACAAAGTAAATAATCCTTCTACTGCATCTGAAGAATAATAAAGACACCTAAGTTCATAGTCATCGACTTACAACTGTTATCAATTTTTTAAATAAGCAAATACAACAGAGGTAACAAGGAAAAAAACAGTTCCCACCATTAGAAAATTCATGTCTTTACTTTTCATTTCTTCTTCTACTCCCCTCTATTTTGATCCTCAATTGATAGAATACTTTTTTATTAAGTATAACAGAGCAGAAGCCGCTTGTACAGCTTTTGGATTGCCCATATTACAAGAAAATGGCGATCACTGCCTCACCGTGCTTGACCAAGCCGGGCTGGATGTGGTATATGTCGAAGAGTTAGGTGACAAACGACCTATTATTATGGGGAAAGAGGCCATAATACGAGACACAATCACGTATATGACATACGCTGCTGGTAAGCTAATGAGAGGTGCTTTAGTTTCAACTTATGTTTCTTACTGCAATTCTTCCCTCTTAAGGCACTCAAACAGCGCCTACAGCATCTAAGATATCATCCTCACCCCTATCATCCGAGTCGTCAGGTACGGGCGTGTTTGAAGGTACCGCAACAAAGCAGGCGGTGATGGATTTGCTCAAAGCCATCTCTTGTACGACAACACCTAATCCCGATCTGTATCAGAAATTTGACGATATCTGCAATGAAACGATCCGCGACATTGTTACAAAATTCATCCCAAGCGTAACCACAGTATCAATGTCAACATTTTCGCAATGGTTAAATGACCTTCCGTCAGCGGCCAGGCTGACTAAGCGAAAGCGACAGGGAAAAAACGGGAAGCGGATGTTCGTGCGAAGTTTGTGGATTTTGGTGCCAGTGTGACAAAGTAAGCGAAAAGGTTAAAAATCAGCGAGATTTGGTAGCTTACTTTTTTTATAAAGATCAGGCAGCAGCGAATTTGTTCAATAAGCACATGTATATTGAAAGCGTTAGAACTGGCGAGTACGCGACAATAGGGTACGCTCGCAAAAGCCATAGCAACGAGTCGCAGTCGGTACGCCTACGTTTATTGGAGAGTATGACGGCTATCTTGGTAGACCCTTGCCGGTGCAGCAAAATCTACGTGAGCCCCATTTGTGCTGCCAATTCGCCTCTTCAAGAACGCGACTTGAAACGAAGTACGCTCATCAAAGAAATTCGCAATGCGCATGGTGACATGCAAGGTAAAAAACAGCTTGATTACCTACCGCATTGTAACTCACAATGAAATTGTTTATTTTAGATCTGATATCGTACGCAAAGACAGCTGTGCGTCCTATAAGACTGGTCGTGATCGACTATGCCGGTCTAACGACGTCGCCTCAAGACCTTTCCGACTTCATGTTGTAAAATCATGGCTTATTTGATAAAGAGCATCATTCTCACACCCTTTTTTATGTTTATTTAGGTCTCTTCCGATGATCATGTTCGTCGTTGTATATCATGGCCACAAGTTTGAGTCTTTTTCCAGGCAAGCCTTGCTAACAGGGGATGGTTGCAAGTCCTTTGCATGTCGCAAGGCACCAGTACGTCGATCGCGTCAGTAATTCCTTTTTACGGGCAAAAACTATGACAGCAACGACAGCATCAGCAACAGCAAAATAAACAATTGCAGCATTGCAACCACTCTCGGTTTGCATCATTTGATACCCTTTTTTTTCTTTTTTTCTTTTAACTTCGTACAGTGATCAATCTTGCACAATTTTTTATTAAATTCCTTTTCTTTTCATGTCTCATTTTCTTATAAACCATGATACTATAATCATTGACAGTGTTTTATCGCACACAAGAAAAATATAACGAGGTCGGAATTCCATATACCGTTCAGCTCAAATTGGGTCGAGGTATCGTTCAGCTCAAATTTTTGAGTCGAGGTGTCGTTCACCTCAAATTGGGTCGAGGTATCGTTCAGCTCAAATATTTGTAGTTGGTTTATGTTTAGTGAACGCGACTTATAACGTTGATATAAACTGTAAAGTGAAATGAGTCTCCTTTAGTCCTTTTATTATACACTGAAAATCAGAGAGGGGAGCGTTCACAGCAAATTGTGTATTTAAAAAAGAAAAAATAAAAAAAGTCCTCGTTCCTTAATTTCTCAGCCAGTAATAATGCAGCATTATATATGCGCATCTTCAGAAATACAAGATGACGTGTACAAGTGTTATTATGATTCTATGATCATAATAACGAGTCAAATGCTTGAAAGTGTGTCTAATTCGTCTTTATATATTATAGGAGGTATGGAATACCACAGAACTGAGCTTATAGTGAAATGAAGAAAGTAATAGTGACAATCGAGTGCTATTGTCCCTGTTAATGAATTGTACAACGCACTACGAGATATCTAAATTATCAGTAAGGATATTTGTTCCAGTACATCATAACTTTTTAAGGCAGTAAACTCGTATTGTTTCTCAGATTGTTTTATAAATGAGAGGTCAGAACGTGACTAGAGTGTCTTTCTGCAAAATCCTTGACACTTAATCTTACTCTTTGCTCCTAACCAGAATTTTCAATTTTGTTAAGCTCAGGAGAGTAAGTAGGCAGATACACACATTTATTTCTTTGATACTAAATATACCTTTTTAAATTTCATGCGTGTAAATGAGTACATTATCCATGACTATATAGTGACCTTTCATCTGTGAATGTTTATCAATTTCATCGAGAAGAAACTAAAATAGTGACCTGTTATGGTTCCTGATCATACATATCAACCTTTCTCTTCTTCGTAGTTCTCGGGGGGGGGGGGGGTTGCGCCGGTTGCAATCAAACCTGCAGCACAGATAGCACTCAATATAGTCGTTGTGTTTGCTCTCGTAATATGTCTGGTAACAATGGTACGCGTTTTTTAGACCAAGCCCTGGAGCGTTTCATATGCAAAAGCGGATCCGTCTCAGAAACACGCAATTTGTCAAAAGTTCTTAAAATATTCCCATTTACGAACCCCGTCATATCTCTCATCAATCTTTCCTTGGCTGATTCTTTCGGCAGAATAAAAATCAGTCTTTTCCAACGAAAGGTTGCACTCACGTCTCATAAAGCTATTGTGCTGCGTGATCGTCTGAGATTATGAAATTGCTTCAATGAATGCTCAGTCATTTTAATAACAGAAGCATAGGGATTAGCATCAATGAAGTTGAAAACAGTTGTTTTATGCTCTCCAGTTAAGATATACTTATCGATCTACGTTTTTGCAGCTCTCAAAATTACTGTCAGGGTACAGATTATACTAGCTAACCCATCTATAAGCTGTTCAAGTGCGAATGCCCAACTGCTTTGCTGCAGCTGCTGCAGTCATACACTATTCATTTTTCAAATCAAAAAATCTAGCTTTATCCTGGATATTCTCGTTTTAATTTTGCCTCCTTTATGAATATCTTCATTTTTTGGCTTTTCAAATGGTCAACTCAGGGAAGATTCATTTGGGACTGCATTTCCCAAGTACTCTCTATGAGTAGCAATAGTCTCAACAATAAATTCAACTGATCAACAATATAGTCTATTGGTTCCGGACCACCATTCTCATCAATAACATTCCCCTGCCCATCTTCATATAAAAATATTGTACTTATATTGAATTATAAAGTGTTGAAAAAATAAATAAAAATACTCTCTATTTATATCTTTGAGTGCCAAGATGAAGAGGAATAAGAGTAAAGGATCATCTTTGGGGAAAACAAAAATTACGCACAAACTTGGAATTTTCTTGAAGAGCCACACCCTGCGACAAGTTTAGTGTATAGAAAGCTAGTGTTAACTATTTCCAAATTTTAAATGTAATGAGCCAGCATTTATTTAGGGTGCGTTTTATCAGAAGTTGCCCTTTTGAAAAAGGTTCAAAATTTTGGGAGATAATTTACAATAGGAATGAATGAAGTGCGGATATAATTGAGAAAAAAAAAATGTACAAATGCAGATATTTTGACGTATAATAGATTCATATGTAGATGTCGAGGAAACTTGCTGATAAAGTCTAAATAAAGCCCCATTTTATCTGACAGACACCAAGCGTAAGCGCACCACAAACCTTTTTGAACACTATTTCAATGGAAGAACGTTGAATTAACTCACAAATAAAAACCAGTTTTTGATCAGCTTTGTTTTGCCTTAAACCATAACTTACGTTGTGGAGACATGTCTAATGATCCTTTAGCGCAGCCAGGGCATGTATCAACAATGGTCGCCTCAACAGCTTTTTTTGTTTTGCCCACAATTTTCACCTTCTTACCGCAACGAGGATTTTTGTTTGGGTTGCCTCCTATAAATTTGTACAAATTGTAAGTAAATGCATCAAGATATTAAGAAAGGATTTATAGCTTACCATTCTTCATCTGAGCATGATTGACAGCCACCACCATTTCATTATCATGGTGCATTTTTCCACAAGAACCCAATCCAGCACCGACATCGTAATACGTTCCGGTTCCCAAGATAGATAGTAATTTTCCAGCTGTTTTACCAATTGCATTCAATGGACGTGGTTCAACTTGTTGTATGAAGAAACAACCGAATGACATGGCAATACATAATAGAAAAATGATTGTCTTCATTGTAGGTAGAATGGGATTTAAGCTGGTTTTACGCTGGGTTCTTTGGTAAACAGACGATGGACCAAATCGAATTGAGGAATGAACTCTATTGTCAAAGTCTAAAATGGAAAAAGGAAAAGAAAGGGAAAGAACAATGCATTTTATATACATCTAAAAATACAGTTTTATTCTGATAAAGATAAAGAAACGCTCCTTGCATCTCGGATGTACATGCTTTGTGTCCAACAAACAACGAATATCTCAAACAATCGCTCTTGATCATTACAGACCAAATAAAAATCTGTCTTCTGTAGATGCTTCTTTGATTTGATTTGCTTTCTGCAGTTTTGCCCCTATTTTTACTCCTGATACACGACAACACTGTTACAACGTGTGTCTTAGTATGGTAAATAAAGAAGCTGCCCAGGTGACAATTGAACAGTTATATCTCTTTCGAACGCTGTCTAATCTAAAATAACCATTATTTAATTGGTAGAAGAAAAGAAAGTGGCAAAAGAAGCTTTGTTTCTTGTTTATAAGAACGAACTACTACCACCAATAAAGATCTTTTTATAGCTTTTCCTTTTAGTAACTTGTTTGTTCAAAGTGTTTCTGCCAATAACGAAATATCCATTCTACTCTTTTTTTTTTTCTTCACTATCTTTCCTGCTTACAATTACTCAAATAATACTACTTTGTGTATATTGAAAGACAGATAGGAAGTCTGTCACTAATTTTCATTGTCTGTACGTTAGTACACTTTATCATAAGTAGATTAAAAGACCCTGACCGTTGAAGCTTATCAATAATTAGAATGCAAAGAATTAAGAACATTGCATGTGTATCAAGTGCCCGATCTTGTTATCCTACCACCACATGAGCATATGATATTAAGTAATATAAAATATATGTAGAAGTACAATGTAATGCCTGTGAATCCTAACTGCAACATATCGCGATAATTAAACTAGCGCTTGGAGAGTCAATGTACAATACAGGTTCATTACCTCGAAAAAGTTAATGGTCTATGACGGATTGATTAGTAACTCAAAAGTAAGCAACTGCAACTGACGTCCTTCAGCTTTAAGTCTTATCTGCTCTTGCTTACTAGACCACAATAATCAATTTTTGAGAGTATTTTTTAGACGTACCATGGCATTCATCCGGCATATACAATGTAATGCTCAAAAAATGATAGTCATCTTTTTATTCAAAATGCGTGCAAAAAAGTTCATGGAGTGGAAAAAGGGTTTTTAATGATTGTAAACTAATTAACATTACTCGCTTTTCAGGAGCTATTCTGTTCCATATAAAAGTCTAGGTCATTGCGTTATTATGGATGACCTAGAAATATATCTTCTAGAAGAAGAATAGAAAATTGAACAGTGTATAAAATAAACTTATAAGGAGGTAATGAAGAACTTTTGTCACTGAAAGGTCTAAGGAGATGATGGAGCTCGTGTTTAATGCTAATAATACAACTAAAACTATACAGCATCTTTTTTTAATAACGGCACTTTTACTAATTATGTATGAATGAGGGTATTTAAATCAGATGGATGACTAACTTTCAAAACAAATATAAGGTTTATAGACTTTCAATATTGGATAAAGCAGAGTATGCATCTTAATTTTGAGAAAAGAGGGGTTGAGGAATATCTTAATTTGATTTAATTGATTTCGGATAGTCAGTTACAAGATCAAAAATTTATGGAAGTTCTTTGGGTTGGCTGAAAAGTGATTCTCCAGTCACCAATGAAGGGTTTTCTGCCTTCCATTTCTCGTAATGATCCTCTGTGAATCCTGAAAAAATTTCCCAAAGTTCAGGGATACCTGTATCCATGCCGGGCTCATACCAAACACCTTTGACATCTTCTGCAGTTAATTCTTTCTTCCTCTTATTTTCTTCTTTTCCACCTTGCACAGTGTCTTCTAAATGACCTTCCGTTTTCTGCAAAACAGATGAAGAAGTTGTCTCTGATAATGATGGTAATGACTGTTCTTCTTCATTGTCTTCGAGATCGCTACTATCACTGACGAGATGAAAGGGCTCAAATAACAAGGCACTTCGTGAATTGATCTCCTTTGCTACCAATGGTTGCTTATGTTTCTTAGGTTCTTGTTGACGAGATAAAATCATCTCCACATCCTTAAGAACATCATTGGCATACATCATAGCATTGATAACTTTTCCGTCAGGTGTCATACCTGGCCTCAAAGCAGTAACTACGGATTGTTGCTGAGGAGTTGTGGAAGCTATCATAATTGGAAGCTTAGGAGATTGCATGCCAGTAGTAGTTGGAACATCAACTTGAGCTGGTAGTTTGGCATTTGCAGAAGGTGATTGCTGAACTTGCTGTTGTTGCTGGGGCAAACCGTGGGGTATCTTCTGTTGCTGTTGCTGTTGCTGCAATTTCGACTGTTGCATTTGCTGTTGTTGTTGAAGCTGAAGTTGTTGTTGCTGCTGTAATAGTTGCATCATTTGCGCAGCTTGTTGAGAAGTCCTAGGCTTGGTATCTAATTTCAGTTGGTCTCCGGATTGATTTACAGAAGATACTAATGCGGGATTGTTTTGTTGCTGTACTTGCACTGGTTGCTGCATTGCTTTGGCAAGTGGGGATTGTTGTGGCTGCAGTTGTCGTTGTTGTTGTTGCTGTAGTAGATTGTGTGGCGCTTGGGAAGATGACTGACCTTGAGCCTTTTGGTGCAACTGTTGTTGTTGAGCGATCAAATGAGGTGGCAATTGTTGTTGCATCACTTGAGGAGTATTAGCAACAGTTGATTGCTGAGCAGAAATTTGTGGCGTTTGTTGCTGCTGAGGCGGTACAGGTGACGGTTGCTGCTGTAAAGAATGCAGCTGTTGTTGCTGTTGAGGCGTACCAGGTGCTTGTTGCTGTTGCCGTTGCTGTTGCTGTTGCAATTGAGGTGCTTGCTGCTGCTGTTGTTGTTGTTGTTGTTGTTGTTGCAAAGCTTGTTGAGTTAATTGTTGTCGGGCCGCTTCTACGCGTTCTGCCAGCATAGTACGTATTTGTTGTATTTGTTGAGGTGCTAAACTAATTCGATTTTGCGCTACCTGTTGCAATAACCAACAACATTGAAGGGCACGTGTATCTAATAGATTGACAATTGCAGGCGGAAGTCCACTAGCAATCGCTGCTTGATAAATCATTTGTGATGTTGCCTGACTACTCAACCCCCCACCAGCCCGATTAGTGGCAGTACCTGCAGTAGTGGCAGCAGCTCCCAAATTAGCAGGTGTAGACTGCTGTTGTTGAGGGGTATTCAATTGTTGCATCTGCGCTTGCATTTGTTGAGGAGTACGTTGTTGCTGATTCTGTATTTGCTGTTGCTGTTGCACCTGTGATGGTTGTGGTGAAACTGTAGGATGTACGGAAGCAGCGTTAGCTTGATTAGCTGGACTAGAAACAACAGGGCTTGCTTGCTGAAGCCGACTTTGTTGAGGTGAAGAAATCTGCGCTTGCCTCTGTTGCGGTGTTCCTGCAGCAGATAAAGCAGGCGACTGTGCTGAACGTTTTTTTGAAGGTGGCAATTTCAAATCAATGCTAGGACGCTTAAGAGACGCTTGCGCAGTATTTTGCAGTACAGGTGTGGACATATTGGTGGTTTGAGCAGGTAAGGACATATTGATTATTTGAGGTGTCGGTCCTTGTTTCTGTTGATTCATTTGTGGAGTATTTGATTGTTGATGCTGATTGGGTATTTGTTGAGATTGATTCTGTGATGATTGAGACTGTGGTAATTGCTGTTGCTGTTGCAACTGTTGTGATTGTAACTGTGGGGTTTGCTTTTGGGTATTCTGTTGAGCGATAGCTTGTTGTTGCTGCTGCTGAGTCATTTCAGTAGTACCCATTTGCATGTTATCAAAATTCTGACTATGCAATTGCGCAGGTAAAATTTGAAGCTGGTTTCCGACTTGATTGCGTACCCAACTATAATATCCGGTAAACTGTTCTCTCAACTTGTTCAAATTCTCCACAGTGATGATGTACATATTCTGATTCAACAAATTTAATTGATCCTCGTACATATACTTCATTAAAATGAGTCTTTTTGTTGCTTCTATATTAGACGTGAGTGCCAGAAAGACAGGTAGTAAACTATCAACTCTGTCGTAAAGTGGCTTCATAGCAAAGATTTGATCACGGATATTTTGCTTTTCTTGTTCAGATAAAGTTTCAACAGGATTACCACGCACTAAATCACGGTGAAAGAAAAAAGTAAGTACTTGACAGCTGCTATATCAAAAAACCCTTCTTCCAGCTCACCTCTCGTACTGCGAATGTTCTCATCTAATTTGCGAACAAGCTCCAAAGCAGCCGCTCTTTGTTGAGCATTCAAATTAGCTGGTCCTGAAAATTGCTGTTGTTGCTGAGGTTGTCCTTGCTGAGGTTGTTGTTGAGATCCAACTGGTACAGATTGCACATTAGCAGCTGAAACTTGTGGTGTTTGCTGTTGTGACTGAGCAGTATTTTGCTGTAATTGTTGCTGTTGTTGTTGTTGCTGCTGCTGTTGAGCAAGCTGTTGAGCGGCCTGAGCGGCTTGTTGCTGCTGCGCTAACTGTTGAGCTTTCTGTTGCGCTTCTAATTGGGCTTTCTGTTGAGCTTGGGCCTGAGCTTGAGCCTGAGCCTGAGCCTGAGCCTGAGCCTGAGCCTGAGCCTGAGCTTGAGCCTGAGCCTGAGCCTGAGCCTGAGCCTGAGCTTGAGCCTGAGCCTGAGCTTGAGCCTGAGCTTGAGCCTGAGCTTGAGCCTGAGCTTGAGCTTGAGCTTGTTGATTCTGTTGCTGCTGTTGCTGTTGAATCTGCTGTGTTGCACGAGCTTGTTGTGCTTGTAATTGTTGCATCAAAAGCTCAGGATTCAATTGCGATTGTTGCTGTTGCAATTGCTGTTGCGGGTTCACCATCTATTATATAAATATGAGATCTAAATCAGACAATTTCACGTATATGTTTGCTTTCAAAAGAGAAAACTTACAAAATTATTTGGCTGCATGGGTGAGGTAGATGTATTACCAGACGACACGGGAGGGCGCAAATTTTGATTGTTCATGTTCATCATATTTGACCCATCTGCATTACCTGGTTGCTGTTGAGGCTGCTGCTGATTCTGCTGTTGCTGCTGTTGTTGCTGTTGTTGCTGTTGTTGCTGCTGTTGTTGTTGATGCTGTAACGCAAGTTGACGAGCGATGACTGCTTGAATTTGTTGAGGATTTAAACCAGCTTGTTGTAACGCATTGATGTTAAGGTTTTGTAATACATTTAAAGGAATCGGTGGCGTACCATTGACGCCAACATTACTATTATTTCCAGCCGCATTGGCAGCCATTCTTTGTAAAGCAAGCATTTGTGCTTGTTGCTGTTGAGCTCTTTGTTGTTGAGTTTGTGCTGCATTTTGTATAGGTGTACCAGTTTGCGGTTGTTGCGATGGCTGTGGCTGCTGTTGGCCAGATTGTTGTTGTTGTTGTTGCGGCCTAGTTTGCATCATATTTTGTTGTGGGAACATAGTAGGTCTCATCTGTTGATTTTGATTATTCATGGCCTGTTGAGGAACTTGCTGCGGCTGTTGTTGTTGTTGCTGTTGGTTCATATTCATTGCAGCGGGAAGGTTTTGCTGGCCTTGTGCTTGACCTTGCTGCTGTTGAGCTTGCTGTTGCTGTTGCAATAAAGGAGACATTTGTTGCCCCCCTGCAAGGGTATTTAAGTTTAATTGAAGTTGACCATCGTTCAACATGGGAACGCCCCCATTTACACTTTGTAACTGAAATTTGATCTGATGGAATTTCCTTGCGAATGCCAAAATGTATTGGTTCTGTTGTCAAAAGCAGCTTTGAGATTAGCTTAGCATTTTTATGTCATGTTATATAAACAATGATTACCTTGCTTGTGCTTTTGGTATACAGAGTTAACTCAAAATTTTTAGCAGCTGCAAATATATCCGCATCAGGAGTAGTGGGTGATAAGTGTTTCAAAGCGTTTCCCCTAGAGAATTTTTTCATTCACAAGAGAGAGATTAGCAAATCAAGAACGTATGAAAACGAAGCTTTTAGTATGCAGCGATAATGGTAGTTTGGTTACTTACAACTGCGTGACAAATTTCGCGCGGTCTTGTACAGACAGCTCTTCGCGCCAATTAGCATTGGGTGTATCATTTCCCATGTTTATACCGTTTAAAAAGTTTTGCTGCTGTGCTAACTGCTGTTGTGCCATCTGTTGCTGTTGAGGAGGCATTTGCTGTTGGCCTAGTTGCACTTGATTCAATTGCTGTTGCGCCAACAACTGTTGTTGAGCTAATTGCTGTGGAGTCATTTGTTGCTGTGGCTGTGGCTGTTGCTGACCGCCTGGTATATTACTATTTTGATGATTCATAATCGCGAAAAATCTCAATGAGGAGTAAGTATTTTATGAAATAGGCAACAACAAGGAAATTTATACAGCAACTGAGAATCAGAAAGGAAAAGAAAGACTGGTGTGGTGAGAAAAAAAGTTTACTGAATGCAAGTAAATACGGACATTTAAATACAGTCAAAGAGGATATCACGTTTAGATTGGGAAAAAGCGGTTATTTACTACTAGCTTTGCTTTTGATCCAATCTGCCATTTCGTCTAATATTCTAGGTGAGATTTGCCTTTTAGGTTCTAATACATCTATTCTTTTCTTTAACATTTCTATTTTATCCTGTACAGTGAAGCCCCACTTGTCAGAATACTCAACTTCCACATTCACCTGGTTCAATAGAATTTTAAGAATCGAAACACGACCTAAACACACCGCAATATCAATTCCACGACGGTTTTCAATTGCGTCGGACCAGTTGACATTGAAGCCCCCATCTAAAGCTATTTGTACCCATTTGATATCATCATTTTTAATGGCTTTGAACCAATAATGGCCCATGTCCTTCAATTCATTCTCTGCCAAATGAGCACCAGCATCGCGTAAGATTCTCACAATCTCCGCTCGTTTCTCCACAATAGCCTCAAAAAGTGGTGTATGACCAGATCGATCACGCACATGAATAGAAGCACCGTGCAGTAATAAATATTTAACCATTTTAAAATGTCCTTCTCGGCAGGCGACATGAAGAGGAACACGGCCGTCATAGTCAACACAATTGAGATTAATCCAACTATCCATACTTTCTACGAGCTGACTAATGCCTTCTAAATCATTAGAAGCAGCAGCGGAGCAAAGTAAGACGGGCCCCAAAGCTTTTTGAGCCAATAACTCTTCCTCTACAGACATGGTGAGATCGTTTGATTCTTCATCCACAGCAGCTTCTTCGGCAGCTGATAATTCGGTATTGATAGTGCTAGTAGATGAAGTAGTTACTGGAGAGGAGACTGCTGTACCATGCCTTTCCAATTCTTGCTTAGCTGCTAATTTGCCTCTGGCTGAAAATCTCAATAACATATTCACTAATGTGCTGGTAGGATTTTGAGAAGCACTAAATCGTTGGTAATGAGAACGAACGGTGAGTTCACCTCGCAAGTTACGCGTCATCATTCGACGAACATGTTCAGGATTGTCAGGAGTTTTGCCTAACAAGTAAGCAAGTTTGGTAAGGGCACATTCAGGTGTCATGTCAGCACCTGGCACAACACCAATGGCTGCTAATTGCCTGCCAGTAGCATAGGCATCAGTAACTAAACCTTTACGGCATTGGGTACAGTTGACAATGACTACGCCACGATCACAAGCTTCTTTGAGAGCTATAAGTAGTTCTGTGCGAGCAGGCGCATTTCCAGCACCGAACGTTTCCAGAACAATACCTTGTACAGGAGGTTGTAAAAATTGGCGAATGGTCATATCGCTGATACCAGGGAACAAGCGAAGAGCTGCCACATAAGGGCTTAGCTTTTGGCAAACTTGAAATTTCGCAATATGTGTTGGTCTCAAAACCAAAGGCCATTTCACATCTGGTAATGTTGAAAAAGGAATGATTTTTAGCGCGGTTTCAATTGAAGTTATGATGGCAAGTGCAGTGCATATGTGTATCTACCTATATTAATACCGACCTCCACCAGCGCTGGCATGTTTGGTGAATCAAACGCTTCAAAATCTACAGCACTGATTTTACTTGTTCTATTACCACGATAAAGTTTTTTTCCGAAATACAGTGTCACCTCAGGGATCACAAAATGACCAGCGATAGTCAAAGCTCCTAACAGATTATCTACAGCATCATTTCTGACTTCAGTCAAAGGAACTTGGGAGCCTGTGATTATAACCGTTTTGCCTAGTTCTTCCAACATAAAACTGAGAGCGCTTGCTGTATAAGCCATAGTATCTGTGCCGTGTAATACTATAAAAGCATCGTAGAGTTCGTAATTTTCCTTGATATCGCCTGCAACACGGACCCAATCTACAACGACAAATTTCCGTAGGCTAGTGTCATATTTGAATCTTTCTGAGAAAATCGATAGAGCTTACCTAGCATCGTGATATCACAAGAATCTAACAATGGCTTATATTCTAATATTGAGTAGCGGATTCTCTTGCCAAATAAACTGATAGGCGTGATCAAACTTGGTAACTGTAAGGTAGAAACTTTGCCTTTGTTGGAGCCTTCTTCTTGGCAAACAGCCTTGACAGTATTAGTAATTTTACCAAAATCTTGTTGCAAATCATATTCGGCCGGGGTATCTTTTGGTGATTTTTTAATGCTGCTGCTACTACAGGCGCTAATATCATGAAGGCAGGAAGATGAAGACTGGCGTGATAATGAGGGTGTGGAAGTTGAAGAAAAATCGGATTGGTTATAAGGATCATGAAATCGACGTAACTTCGATAGTTGTTGAGCGAAATAGTTGGGTAACTATGGTGGGAAATTTTCGCTATATTTAGCAATAAAATTCAACGTGCGAGTGTAACATCAAATTGACAGTTTACTGGGATATAGCCATGTTCTGGTGTATGCTTCATGCCAATGGTCCCGCCCGTGTAAATAACCAAAACTCTCGAAATATCTTAATTGGCAAAATACGTGGAGTAGACAGATCGGAAATGTATTAGAGCCAATCATGGTATACCTCAAAGGACAATCAAACTGTCCCAAATTTTTAATTACCAGGAGCTAACATGTCATGCCGATCAACACCTAACTGATGACCGACAGCAGCATTTTCATAAATATGTTTGTCGACATCGCTCTTCAATGGTGATGAATTTGAAGGTGTAATGGCATGGCTATTTTGTGACATTCAATTGATAAACAAGCTTTTTAAATATGATAAGTTCCTTTTGGTCTCTATTAGTATGTTAGAGGTTCAAAAAGAGAAAAGTGGAAAGAAAGTGGAGACCAAGAGCAATAGACCAAAAATGCAAATGCCTACATATAAGAAAAAGCTTATTTTTGAATGGATTCAAATCCTCGGAAGGAACGGGAAAATAAAAGTAACGAACGGAGTTATTAAGGCGTACGATGAAAGAAGGATTGGGGATACTGCGATACCGAATGCCAAGCTCATCAAGTGTTTTGGTGAGTAGTTGAAGGGAAAATTCCGCTTCAACTACAGAAGCACATATAATTGCTTGACACCAATAGCTGCTTTCTTTCTCCTTGACACTTTAATCTTTCAAAACGGCTGTGGCCCTCTGGCTTTTTTGTTCTTCGTCTGGAAGCTTTTGACCGTTTAATGGTCAAGTTCGTGGCATTGCTGCCTAATGTAAATTATTCTACGTCGTTTGATTGTCTTGCATTCGGCCGACGAAGGAATAAGAGAGCCGCATGCGTCACGTATAATCGACCAACTTACTTTTTGTTAAGTGTTTCTAGCTCCTTTGCTGGTTTGGACTCACTTTTCTTTTCGATGATTAGTCTCTCTCGCTTTTGAGCTATTCAATACTTCAAATGCTAAATCATAACCATAGCCAAATAACCTTTGGAAGCAGTTTTTAATAGTACAATTCTTTTTAGTTCTATACCATTCTTTTAAATAGAATAATGCAATTTGAAATTTAACGATGGTCTTTTTTGCGGTTATCGCCTAATGCTTCTCTGTACTCGGGTAAGGTATCAAGCTTTTATCTGTTTAATAAACTTTGACCTCTAGACTTGTTTTTTTTTTCAACGCTCATTTGATGTTTACTGAATCTGGATAATGCTGCGTATGAAGTTTTATAGACCTCTTTTTAAGATCAATTACTTCACTTGTACTGTCATAGTTAATGTAAAGGAATACAACAGATTACCAGAATGTGAAGATTACGAGTCTACTACTTGAAACATTCTTTAATAGCATTATTGAGTTGACACGGATCGAAGTATCAGATTATATTGTCTGGTGTAGAATTCTTACGTGTATAGAGAGGCGTTACTTAGCAAGTCGATTAAGGTATTTGAGCAAGCTTAAACTGTTTCCAGAGTAGAGGTTCGAAGAAAAGTTTGTTTGCTTCCACTAGGCTTTTATCGAATGGTAGATTATAACGCCCACAGAAAATCGATCACAAGAATTATCATGTTGTAACAGTTTAACAGAAGCCAACTTGGCAATATTAAACAGTAAAGAAGCGAATTGAAATCAACGCTAAAGAATCTTATATGATTGTAGAAAAAACTTTGATGATTATCACTTCAGCATCTGCAACCACTGCAGGTACATTGGAGGAATTTCTCCTCTTTCTTCGAAAAGGCAGTTCCTTGCAAGCAGCTTTATTGTCATGTATGACGAACTTTTAAAACACGTGAGATTAATGCAAAACAATCTGTCATCATTGAACAAGACATTGTTAGTACTTCTGCGTGTTCATATGACGCCAATGAAAGAAGCAAGTTGGAGAAAGCAAGCTTCGAAAACACATAGGACTAGGAAGAAGCAACAGAATGGTGTCAGTTTGCAAACCAAAAATGGCATTATTCAGAAGGAATATAAGAACAGAACAAGATGTGAGAGGGAACTTGAAGAAGTTCAACAATCTGTAATGTAACCGTGATTGAGAGACGAATAGTATAGGTTAACAAAAGTGAGAACTGAGCCCGCTATTTTAAAACAATTATAGTAAGAAAAAATCATATAAGTAGCAATATAATATGTTGCTTTTTTGAGACAAATGCTCCTGCATTGTTACGATAGTATGTGGAATTACTAGACAGTGATCCATTAAGAAAATGGAGAACAAAAAGAAAAGGAAGTTGAAAAACTTTCTGCTGTAGTAGAAGACATTCTGGAACGACTTATGCTTTGTGTGATGAAACATTTCCTGTGTTGGTCTTGTTTGATTCCAACGAAGAGTCGAGTCAGGAAGTAAGAGAGCTACTCTGCATCCAGTAAGTGATGAACTTACGATAAGTAGACCTCAATAGCTGTTTGTTGTACATACCGCAGTGAAGCTGTGTCGAATGACTTCCTTGCTGGACATATACTCCAACTGAATGGGTTAATAATGGTTTCCAAACTTTTGATTGTTCTAAGATGTTATTGTTGCAAACAATTTGGTATACACAAAGAGTCCATTGACTCACTTTAAGCAATTAATACTAGTTCGTGTCGAGCAACTTCAGTTGCAGAATAGGAATTATGTGTCGGTTAAAATTAATACTGGAAATAAAGAAATGCTCCTTCAAAGCTCAGTTAGAATTGTTAATGCGTTCCTCGATTTGTTATCGAAAGTCTATTCTTAATACTGTAATTGTACAGCTCTTACCATTTAAACCTCCTGGCAGAGAATCAAAGTCACCATAACGATATAATGTTAGTTATTCAGTATTGTAAATGGTGGAAGAGAAGTGACAAGCACTTACTATAGCAAAATTGATTGCAGGTTTTTCAAAATAAGACAGTCAGCTCTCTTATTGCTGGACATAATCATGGGTAATACGATTGCTTTTGGATTTGCGATCTACAGAAGAAGGCCATAGAGGCCCATTTTCTTTATTTCGTACCATCTGATTCCGTAAAACGTTTTTAACAGATCATGACGACTATAAATCAATGTTTTCCTATCTATGATTTAATATGTGTACAAATATGTTCACAACTACCGCGCTTCAGTGCTTGCTTCGTACTTCTAGAGCAACTTTTTTGATGTGACAGAACGGCATATAAATCGATTTTCAATTTCAGACAATTCGGTGTGTATGCTTTTTTCTCTTCGTTTTCAACAGATGGAAAGGTCATTTCTTCTCAGTTCCAATTGTATTTTGTTGCTCTCGTGCTTCTTAACACCGAGAACTGAATATTCATAAATATATACACGAGTATTCTGGGCTACTAATTAATATAAAGGACATATGACCTCGACTGTGACTAATACAGGCAATTGCAAAAGCATAGCTCGTTGTTATGCCGATGTAAACGCCAATATGCCTGCTTCCTATTGGGATTATGACAATCTTCAAGTAGAATGGGGGTAACTTCAACTTTTAATGAAGCTCATTTTGTGCTGGTTCTTTTGCAGAAAGCTTACTTTAGGATCTCAATTTGTTCTAACGTTTGACTCTTCGATCGACTGGACCTTTCGTTGTATAGCAATCAGGACAATTACGAAATTGTTCGTAAAGTGGGTCGTGGCAAATACTCAGAGGTTTTTGAAGGAATCAATATTACCGTTAACGAGAAGTGCATTATAAAGGCATTGAAACCCGTCAAGAAGAAGAAAATCAGACGTGAAATTAAAATTCTCCAAAATCTAGCAGGTGGAACTAACATTGTTAGATTATTGGATATAGTCAGGGATCCTATTGTAAGTAGAAGATGAGAAATAACGGGGAACTGTGATGCTCTCAAAATGTGTTAAGTACTGAAAAGAGACTAAAAAATAATCCAATATTGTTACATGATAGTCCAAAACACCAGCTATTATTTCTGAGTATGTCAATAATACGGAATTCAAGATTCTTTATCCCCGATTCACAGCCTATGACATTCAATATTATATGTATGAATTGCTGAAGGTAACAGTTTTTGAATAGTATAAAGCTGGAGTATCGGTTGGGTTCTTTAAAAGTCTAAAGTAGAAGCGTACATGTTCGACTAGGCCCTCGATTACTGCCATTCAAAGGGTATCATGCACCGTGACGTTAAGCCTCATAATGTCATGATCGATCACGAAAAAAGACAAGTAAAGTTGAAGAAGATCACATATCGTTTGAAAGCATCCATGAGAGAATTGCTAACTAATCTGCCCTTATCAAAAGCTACGTTTAATTGATTGGGGCTTGGCAGAATTCTATCATGCTGGCACATCTTATAATGTTCGTGTTGCTTCTAGGTACTTTAAAGGCCCTGAACTTTTAGTCGATTTCCAAGAATACGATTATAGTTTAGATATGTGGAGTTATGGCTGTATGTTTGCCAGTATGGTAAGATCGTGACGACTGTATCTTTTGTTGCATTTATCCCTCTCTTTTCGTTCACTGACCAGAAATATACAAATATTTCTTCTTTTTCTTTCTTTTTTTTTTACAATCCGTCATCAAAAAAAAAAATATATAATAATAGATCTTCCGTAAAGAGCCTTTCTTCCATGGTCATGATAATTACGACCAATTGGTTAAGATTGCTCGTGTTCTTGGCACGGATGAGCTCTTCAGATATGTTGAAAAGTACCAAATTACACTTGCTGCCGAGTACAACAACATTTTGGGTAGGCATGTGCGTAGACCTTGGAATAAATTTATTACAAGTGACAACCAGCGTTTTATTTCTGACGAAGCTATTGACTTCTTGGATAAATTATTGAGATATGATCATCAAGAACGTCTTACAGCTAAAGAAGCTATGGCACACCCTTATTTCGGTATGTTTTTTTGATCTTTGAAGTTACGGCTATATTATCAGAAGACTGACAATAGCTTTCCCCATTCATTGTCTTTCAGATCCTGTGAGACCTAATCAAGCATAAAACCGTTGTAAAGAATTATACACATATCATATATAAACTCCTTACTTTTTTGAATAAAATTCCATGATCTAACTCACGTCCTCGTCTTTTTCTTCCTTCAACTTGATCGTACATACTGCTTAACAAATATGTAATTATCTCGATTAATGATTCCGCTTCTTATCATATAATAAACGGATCAAGTAGTATGTCAGATTAAGTTTTTATGAATCGAATACAACATTTAGGCTAATTCCCTTATAGAAGTAAGTTAATATCCCCGCTCAAGTCAACAACTTGCATTTTGTTAATATTGCAATTATAGATATGCTTACCATTAAAAATTAACAAAAGCATTGATTTGAAAACACAGTCAGCCAAAGAGGAGCACATACTTGTCAACTTTGACACATAATTTACATTCTATACAACCTTCTAAATTACAAATTTCAAATTAGCGTGTCCTCTAACAGACTTTTTAGTGCCTCTTCTTGTACCAATATGAATTGGATGACAGAGGATGAAAAAGTTGCTATCTGTAGGGTGACAATTTGTCTCGATTACTCGATTGCTGTCCCTTATTTCTAACAGCGACAGAAAAAAACGACCTAAACTGTTGAAGAGAGAAAACATCATACGACTCTAACATAAGCAAAAGCATACCTACACTATACTTAGTGTGTTACATACAATAGTCTGGCCCATTCTAGAAAGTAGATGATACAAAGTATATCTTTTACAGTATCTGTTGAGTATAGCTCTTGACTTAGCATTATTCACGGTCTATTGTACGAATGTTGAACAAAATGTCAGTGTTGAAGGAGAGAAATAACTAGGTTATTAAAAAATTTACTCGACAGTAAGCTAATAGGTCATTCTCTATTTAGAAACATAAATAGCGTCGTAATGCAACGTGAGTGTTAACGAAGTTCTATAGTTGCGTATTATAACTGCGTTGTGTTATCAACGAAATATATTTTTGCCTATCTCAACGGTATGAAACGCAGGTGGCATACATTGGATCTGAGCAATGAGTATTCTAAGAGCTTTATAGTGAACAAGTAGTGATGAGAGCAATCCTAATCAGTTGCTCAGCTTAAAGCTCTACTTTTATTATCGATAGCGAAACAGTATAAATATAAATAGCTATTGTACAAATGTTAGGTTGAAATAAAACAACGAATGGGAGTAAACATCAATTTAGAATGAGAAATCCTTCTTTGTTCGTCTTTTCAAATTTTTGATAGCTTTCTTTTGACGTTTCTTCAATATTTCTTTAATTACTGGTCGTTGAGTTCGCCATTTGTTTTCGTAACTATCCTCTTCGTCAACCTTCGCTTGGAAAATACCATCTTTATCATAAGCAAAGCAGCTCCTATTAAATGTAAATTTAGAGGCTATTATATAGATAATCTATTTGCATTGTATACCATTTTGAATACCTTTTCAACAAAGCTGGGTCGTCAAAGTGGAAGAAGAAAAAAACACCAAGACCAAGCTTACCAGGAGCCTGCTTCGGCATGAATGAGGGTATAGACTCCTCTTTTTCATGCTTGCTCAATAGTGTTTTTGTTTCAGTGGGCTTCTCATTATCGTTACTGTCACCAAACAACGTAAATGGTGCTAAAAGTCATTATTCATACAAAAATTAAATATGAGTAAGTGGTGAATAGTAAACGATGAAATTTTCCCTTACCCTCTTCGGCTCCACCAAACAATGGCTTCAAATTAGTGTTCACTTCAAAATGCTTATCTGTGGATACAATTGGTAAGGCAGATTTTGGTTTTCTTGATTGCTCTTTAAAAAAAAAAAATGCATAGAATTTTGGTTAGAACAGTAATTTGGACCAGAAAGAACTAACAATCTTACCGAACAAATCATCACTATCTTCTTCTTCTTCTTCTTCTTCTTCTTCTTCCATATTTTCGTCCTCAACTGTTTGCTTACTCTCCATAAGGTATTGTGTAGAATCTTCTGCATCGGGATCATACCGTGCAGTAGTTTGCCATGCACTACTCTGTGGTGCAAGCTTCATATCCACCTTTTCCTCACCAAACATAGAACGTAACACATCCAAAGCTTGATTCTTTTCCGCTCCCAATTCCTGAGATATCTCGTCTCCCAAATCCTCTTTCAATTTCTGTGCTTTTTTTCTTTCCTCCTCTTCGTCTATAAAGTCTTCGCTTAGTTTGAAACGCTCGTCACCACCGAAGCCCTTTTGTAGCTCTAATCTTTTGCGACCCACTTCTCCTTCAAAAACAGGGTTGATTTTCAACTCATAGTCGTCATTGTCATCCTCATCTTCATCTTCAGAATCAAACATCCATTTCTTCATTTCAATTGGCTCTTTCCTAGTATTCTCTTCGTTTGCGATATCATCGTCATCTATAGATTGGGTATTATTTACGTCGGTATCAAAAAGAATTTTGGTTGATGTAGCTTGTTTGGAGAGCTGCTGATCTTCTACCAATTCAACATTCTCAGTTGCATCACTGTCATTCTGATCATTTTGTTGAACAGTTTGTTGCTGCTGTATTAGCCAATCGTCATCATCGTCATCATCTGAGTTTTCATCATCAACTTTTGTGATCAGCTTATTGACAGATTTCATACGAACACCGATATTGAACAGTTTGGTCAAATTGTTTTTATAGTGCGAAGGATCAAAAACAAACTATTACAATAAATTATAAGCATACTATGTTAGAATAGCTTGCCACGCTAGCTTCTATTCTTCTCGTCGGATGTCAACCCCGTTTTCTCTCATCATTGCAATTACCTTAGTTCCATCTTCTTTCATCAGACGCATAACAGCAATGGCTCGACCATATCTCCCTCTTTTCCATCCTTTCCGCGTACCAACATTATTATCTGTAACGGGAGTCATATCTTTCGCATGGAAACCATCACTATCATTCCAACGAAGTAGCCTTTTACGTTTCTTTTCTTCTTTTTCTGCAAATTTTTCGTCACGTAGTCGTTTACGTTCTTGCCAATCCATTTGAGCCTCTTCTAACTTCAATATATGTCCTTTCCATTTTGCATTATTGTAAACACTTATGCCTAAGAAAGGGAGTAAAAAACAAATTCATTTAAATCTTCGGTTTATAGTAAAGGTAAATACTACTATTTTTTACAGAGTATTCATACATTGTTCCCACTGTTTGGGTGTCGTATGGATGGTCATATGAGCGAAGCCTCTACATTCGTCTGCAATGAAATTTGTCAAGTATTGATCGATGAGTTATGTGAACTTTTTCTTACGAGCAAATTCTCCTTGCCCACAAATAGTAGCTGGCTAGAATAACCTACTTTCAACATTTTTTGCTATATCAACATTACTAACAGTTCCAAACTTTCCAAATCGTTCCACGATCTGATCTTCTGTTATTGAAGGGTGCAAACCACCAATATAAATACGTTTATCCACGGGATCTGATATATGATAAAGTAGCTTTAGCAAAATTTGTTGAGTCACTATATATACACATGCATGTACACACACCTAAACTTGTTTCTTTTGTTATTCCTCGGTTGTCTGTTCTTGCTGTTTCTATCATCGATGACATTTATTGAACAAGGTAACAAAGAAAGGAAAAAAATGCTTTTGAAAAATTGATTTGACAGCAGCAGTCAATTTTTTTTATTTTTTATAATTATTTTTATTTTTATTTTTTACTGGAGGCTTCTTTATGCACAACTGCAGAATTCTGTATAAGAAGTTAAATAGTATAGTTTTCGTGAGTAAGCAAAAGACCCAAAGAGAGATCTATTTGAAAATAATTAGAACCAAGTAATCACTGAGATATAGATAATTTGGAGAACAAGGTTATATATAAACTAGCTATTTTACCGTTTTGACTGATGTCTTCTGCTCAACTATCAATGAGAATTCATCTCTTTATGACAGACGTGCACTATTACTATACTGAACTGTGCAATGAGATTGTTGAAACGAAGATATTGTTTGTGCTGTCGAGCTTCCTTTCATTTGTAAAATCGACCTACATTGGAAGCCTGACGTATAACAATCCGTGAACCGTTAGTCACAATTGACTATAATCCATACAATCCAGTCAACAGATTCCATATTCTCTCATCTTTTCCTTCATCCATTTTTTCTTATCAACTGTCACAGGAATCTATAAGTGCTACATCTTGGTGATGAAACGCAGATATTGAGTTTCTAATGATGTACGGCAACATCATTTAAATATGTACTTTTGAACCAAATATTTGATCAAAAGGTTAAAAAGCTGATACTGTTTCTCATCAAAATAGTCATTCTATCATTCTGTGTCCTCTGCAACGCTAGATTTTGCTGATAAAAGCGCACTGCATACTATACAGAAGCAGTTTCTCTCAATGTTAACATATTGCATAAGTTACTGTAATCATGCCAGCATTTATTCAGATGTTGATGATCAATATAGAAAATTGAAATATGACCTATGGAAAATAGAACGTTGCATAGAAATTGGGTAATAAACACATAGTATCGTACACCAAATAAGCTTCTTTGATAAAGCAAATTGGTTGGAACGTAAAATCTGTCGTTTGAAAATGAGATGATTGCTGTTCGAAAGACTGTCGTAACAAACTGAATGTTGAATAATCTGCAACCGTCTGGAGCATATAAGATGCAAATCATTATGCAGAACACTTAGTCCCTCTCTTACTCGGATTCTATACATACCATTAAGCTTGTTTTATTCAAAAATTGTGGCATTTATAAAAGTAATGACGCCTTAAGTTGAAGAATTCAGTGTACACCGATTTCATATCTGAGGTTTCTTAAAGACTTGACTTCTCTAATTCGTATTGAAAGAATGAATAAAAATCGATATTTGAATTTGCCATACTATCTTTTTATCAAAAAAATGTTACTACGAATGATTGATTATACGTCGATATATGAGCACATTTGACAGAGATCAAAATAATGCACCAAAAGAGTGGAGATTGAAAATAGAGGATAAACAGTTACTCGGTCAACATCATACCTTCGTGACCCAACTTTGTTCTTACTGCTTAGTACTTTTCTTCTATTAAGAAAATGTCTGCAAAGCCTGAAAAAAAAGCCGCATCCAAGAACTTCGACATCGAAAACCTTGATGAGTTACTAAATTCTAATTTTGATGACCATGACCAAGACGTCGATGTTAACGACCCTGAATTGTTGGTAAAACTGTTTTCTTGCAAAAGCAGCTTTTATTTTTATAATACTCGCTCAGGTGGACTCATAAGCGCCTTCAATTTTCCTTTTCAGAAACAACTAGAAGATTTAAGCTCTTCTTCAACGTTAAAAGTATCGTCAGTCGCTGCTTCAAGGCCATCAAAGCAAAAAGCAGAAGCAGAAAAGCTACAGAAATTTGATATCGATATTGATTCATATACCGCACTTGCTCAAGGAGATAATGACAACGATATCCACGTTGAACTAAATGAAAATGATTTGAAGGATCCTACACTTCTGGTAAGAGACGCTATTCATTTTCTATTGAGCAGTGAAAAGCGGGTGCCGTTTCCATTTTCTAACCGAGAGTTATGTAGAGTGAGCTTTCCTTGCTGTCAAAAAATGAACCGCTAACAGAGGAGGAGAAAGAACTGGTGAATATGGGCTTCTCACAGAAGCAGGCAAGTCATGCCCTGCTTATGTTTGATAACAATTTACAGAGGGCTGCCAACTATTTGTTCGACACTCCACTGCCGGCAGCGGATAAAAACGAAGAGGAGAAAGATACAGATGTCGAAATGGACGACCACGATTATTCTGCTTCCACTATACATCGAGACACGCCTGCTGCAGCGACTGATTATATAGCAAACGACATAAATACACAGAACAATATAGACCTTCATGAAAGTTCCGTCGATCCGGTATTTTGGAAATCTAAGGCTTTGGAATATCAGAAAATGGCATTGCAAGCTAAAAAGGCAGGTGATAACAAAAAGGCAATATCATTTTTACGACAATCCAAAGGCTACGATCAACGATACCGTGATTTATTAGAGTTACAAACACCCGCAAAAGTAACAGCAGAGTTTCCCAAAACAATGAAAGAGCCACAATCTAATATCCAGGAAACAGCAAAACAGAATTTGCAGTCGCAAGAAGAAAAGTGGCCGTCTCCTGGATCAAGCTCACTAACTATCCCAAAAAGCATTTCAAATAGCCCTGCTTTAGAACGCCAGTCAACGCCCTTATTTGACACACAGAAACAACAAGAACTATTGCAGAAAATCATACCGCTTCAGAAACAATACAAAGAGGCAGCTATTCACTATAAAGGATTAGGTAACTTTACCGCTGCAAAGCACATGGTTCAAGTATCCAAGGAGCTTCTACATAAGGGTATACAAGTGAAAAATGGCGAGCTCTTAGATATGCATTCTATCGAACTACCAGGTCCACCTGACATGACTTTGGGCGATATGAAACTTCGTCCATTAGAACCTAATTCACCGAGTGATTATCCAACCTCTTTTGAACAAGTGGAAGCACAGCTTCAATATCAATTGAATATCTGCCACAATCTATCCGTGCAATCTCAATTCACCAATAGCAGCGGTGGCAATCGACGAACCAGAACATCCAAAACACTAACAAACACTAACCAGCAAGACATTTATGCTAGAGCTAAAGACTCCATTGCTGCCGACCTTGTACTCTTGAACGCTGATAAACCCACGATACCCTCTACTTTACATTATGAGCAAGTCAATTACACTTATAAGAACATCAATGATACGATACCCGACAACATTATGGAATTTAAAATTATTAGAGCCATCAGTTTACCTACACTTAACATTGCTACCCAGCTTGACCCATTTGCGACATGGGATTTTGGTGGTTGGCCTCCCGAGAATACTGCTCAGGCAGTAATGAACAGAGGCGAAACTCCTGTAATCACAGGTACCACTGATCCTCAGTTTAATTTTACTATGCAGATTCCCATCAGTCGGACGAATCGACTATTCCAACGTTATGTACAGAGACGTAAATTGACAATAGAGGTCTTTCATAATAAATATAGTTATGGCTTATTTAGACGCCCTGTACCACTCGGTAAAATCACGCTTCCCATGGAGCAATTGTTAACAAAATCAAGCATATCAGGTGTATTTGAAGTATGTTTCTTTTGCTCATTGCGCTGTGAGAAAAATCTTTTTAATAATCTCTTTGTTGCTAATACATACTTCATTTTAGTTGTTGGATGGTAGAAAGAAAACAGGCGGTAAAGTAGAAATTCAACTTAGTTTAAGACAACCCTTAGTTGGCGAGGATATTGTAAAAAGGTCTGAAAAATGGCTAGTATTGGATTACCCTGGAAGTACAGTATCACAGTGCTTAGTGCAGGCAGGTTTGACCACCGGTGGTCCTTATTCAGCCTCTTCAATCTCCCTTGAGAATAAGTCGAGTTTGATCTCCGTTGTTGATGGAACTGATGAGAAGGAACAACAATCAGCTGTTACGGCAACACAAAGCACGTTAGTGCCAACTGGGCAACAACAACAACAAGCATCCCTGCAAGGAACTAAGACGGATAATGTTGAGTTAAGAGCTGCTGAAGAAGAGTTCAATAAGTAAGTAATAATTTGTCACCTTCTTTAACTTGAAAAGCTCTTAACAGAAAACTGTCCTTAATTTTACAGTGTAGACAATATCATTTCTAATATGGTGCTTGAGTATGAAATTAATGCAGTTACAACAGCATTGGCTACTAAAGCTGTATCTGCAAAAGAAAAAGAAGATCTGCAAGATAAAAAACAAGCACTTGAAATCAAAATGAATATGCTTGTTATCCAAGTTCAGACAGGCTTATTAGATATGGATACCTACTTGAATAATTTACAGAAAAGAATCGATGCAGATCGTCGTTTGGCATTGGTATTTAAAAATTACGGTAGATTAGATTTAGCAAGAGCTGCTTTGTTGAGAAAGAAGATTATGCAGGATGAATTAGACGAAGCAAGAGCTGCTATGGCAGCCAATGATGAAGAGTAAAAAATATATTTATCAGGAGATGCAAATGTTGGCCCTTATTTGCGCCTTTCCCTTTTTTAATCTGATGAGAAATCTGTCACTATCACTACTCTGCTTACTATGCTTCTGCTTCTGGGCCCAAGTGCGTGTGTATTAACAGAAAATAGATTTCCAGCGATTTTGAATTAAAAAGACCACCATTTAATCAGACTGATTTTAAGCAAACTGTTTTATAGTAATGGTAATCGTGGTGATGTATATATTTGAAAATTGAGTCCAGAATTAGTATGAGAGAAGTTTCAACGACGTAGGAACAACATGTAAAATAGCAAGGCCTGGCAGAAGTATGTTACGCTCATGGCTCTGCCATATTTCTATTATTCGAGAAACATTGCTTCATCTTAACCAGCTACCAGTATGCTGTATTCAAAGTGCTGCATCAAGCTAACTACTTAGTAATCCCAATATTAGCTTTGTTTTTTGGCGTACTGTTACTTTGATGCCTGCTTGTTATTATGATATTATTCCTCCATTGAGAGGTATGGCTCAGTTATGTAGATAGTTTAACACCAGCTTATATCTCTGCCATCATATTTATCATGGATGTAACTTCTACGTGTCTAACTCGTTTACTATCTTACCTTTTTAGCTATATAATTGTGGGGTATATTACCTCCTCGGTGTTTGGAAAATATTGTGGTAAGCGGCCCTCTAAAGGCGAAGTTGTTGTATTTGTCATTATTACTGTTATTGCTGGCACTATTCTTGCTATTAGTATTGTTAATGCTCATTCTATCGCTGTTTCTACGGATTCCATCGTTGTTACGGACTAGAATGTAATAGGTCACAAAAATTTAAGCTCTTGTCATTCTATGCTGTTACCTTTAGAATATTGCAGTAAGATTTTGATGCCCCAGTTGAATATCGTCTGAGTTAGTTCTTTTTTGTCACAGCTTTGTGCTCACTAAAGGATATGTTTGCCTTCCAGGTTTATGATTAAGTTGACTTGAGCTTGAACATTTAGTACAAAGCAATGAAAAGGCTTAAATAATTAAGGAAGAAAAAAGGAAAAAGGGTATGTATAGCATTTACTTATCTACAATTTCATTAGTTGTTATTGATCTCTACAGAGTTTGTGAACTATCAGTGTGACCAATGATCACTCTGCTTCACAACATTGTTCGAATGCATAGTTCGATTATGCCTCGGTTATTCTTGGGAAATGAGCGCCATTGCCCAAGTTAGTAACGCTTCTTGAGCGAGCAGTAGAGCGTAGTTATTGTTAACCAACGCGAAGAAAATAAAAAAGTGGAGTATCAGAAAATAGAACATTCAGGCAACGTTAGAGACGCATAGCTGACACTACAATTATAGGATCATTGCATGTTTATTGTGGCAGCCAATTGACAGTGCAAGGGCGATCTTTTTAACAATTTCTATTTTTATTACACATTATGAATTGTACTACTACTTTACGTCTATGCACTTTTGTATTACCCAACTTGAATTCTCAGGTTTACAATAAAAGTAGAAGAGTTGTAAGTACACATTTGAAATCGCTTAACCATTAAGGAGGTTTCACCTGTTCCTGAACTAAGAATATAAACGCTTCTTTTCTGTAAACAGAGCAAGAATAGAAGGAGAAGGAGACAAGGCTGCCTTTTTCATTCAGTCTACGTAAGACCAAATATCCTCATTAAGTCTGTAGAACTTCACTTTTTGTTGCTAAAAAGAAGTCAAATATCTGTTGCATACTACTTTTTTCTCTTTCTTTTCTGGAGTCTTTTGTTTATGGTCTTTGTTCCTTTCACTATTTAATTCTTTGGAAATTTTACCATAAATAATAAACACCCAATAATTATCAATTATATATGACAGCATTATAACAGGATTGAATATCTATTTTTGATTTAACGCATACACAATCCGTTCCTTTTTTTAACACCATCCACTATTACACTCCTTTTGCACTTGATTATTTAATTACATTTATAAGAATCCTGCCCACTGAGTCGACCCTTCTTTTTTTATCAGTCCAAATACTTGCACAAGAGGGAACCCATTATCGAAAATGTTATCAGCCTCTACCTTAAGTTCAGCTCATTCAAGTGCTTTTAGTGCCAATTCTGGTATCTTAACGCCATATTCTCAATACTCCAGCAGCAACGATTCAGCAAAAAAGTCTAATGGTAATCCGCTGACGGAGCTTATTGAAACTGAACAATCTTTTATAGAAAACTTGAAGATTATTGATTCAGTATGTATAGAAACAGGCCATTGATGAGCGAAGAGAAGAAGAACTGACGATGCAAACGATCCATTTTTTTTTTTTTACCGATAGCAAATAGCTCCCATTTGGATGAAGCAGATGACATCTGCAGCGCCCGACTTTTCAGAATTGTTAAAGTTAATACATGATATACTAAAAGTCAATAAGCAATTTTGCATGGTAATTTAAACAGTAATTATAACCATATCACACTACCAACCTTTACAATTACCAAATGTTTTAATATTGTCATTCATATAGAAATTAACAAATATTGCTGCTAATCCTCAAAAAATGAAGGAACTCGGCAATGCATTGATGCAATGGGTAAAGTTTTCGAGTCAAAATAACCTATTATTATGGCTTGTGTAGAATATAAGTCTATATTAACATAACAGTTATATAGGTGGATAGCATGGATGCACCTTATTCCAATTATTTTCGAAGTTTCATCCCAAGATTAAACACACGGCATGATATAGTGAAAATCCAAGCCATACAAGATCTTCTTCAGGTACAAACTTGAATTGTTATTGAAATTAATATCCAGTATGTGCATGCGCTTAACTTGATACTTTTATAGAACCTCTCTGAAAATGCAGCGTATGAAATAACCCTCGAATCACTATTCAGTGCACCAGTTCAGCAATTAAAATATTACAAAGGATTATACAGTGTAAATGATGTTAAACAATAGAATGAAAAAGTTATGATGAACATTTTCGTGCCTAATGTCGGAATTCTCTCATCCTATTGCGTATATAGAGATTGCTGGATAGCACTGAGCCAGATAAAGAAGATTATAGGTTATTATTGAGGGCTAGTGAAAGAATAAATACAATTCAGAAGCTGATGCCAAAAGCTGATTTATCAACAATCAACGATATGTCATCTAACACAGTGCATTCTACAGTATCCCGCTTACCATCCATCAATACCAATTTTGATGTACTTGATACACCACAATCAGAACTGGCTACATTCTTGCGTCAAGTTGATTGCTCCAGAACCGTCGATCTTTTTAATGGTACGAAAATTGTAAGTAAACTACCAATTCTTGAGTTCTATAAATAGACTTATAATTATTGTGTTGCACAAGAAGGTCAAAGTTAAGCTTTTTTTTCAAATCCTTTAACAATCCGATAGAATTATGAATTATCCACAACACAATCAGGCACACAAATTGTAAAACGTAATAATTTTTTCATGATGCAAAATGATGGAAAAAGCACACCACCTACTCGAATGCATTTGGTTCTTACTACAGAATGCTTAATAATATGCCGTGAATGTGCAAGTACATTTTTTTTAATGTTCCCCGCTATTTCGAGTCATGATGTTACAGTAAAAGCAGACTTACTAGAAAGAGAAATAGTTGGCGAGTATATCCTTGCATTCACAATGTTCGGAAAAAAGCATATTACGCTACGTGCCGATTCAAGAGAAATAAGAAATATGTGGGTGGGACAGTCAGCGGAAGTGACCAAAGTAGACCTGAGCAATTCCAGATCCTTGAGTGCCATTGTCGAGCAGCATCTGTATTGTGCTAAGAATGACAATGAAAAGAAACACGCTAACGGTATTAAGAAGACGGACATATTTACCTACTATTCAGAACCCGGAGCAGTGTCACCATTAGAAAGCTCTGATGAGGAGCAAGAAGAAACATTCGCATTCTTTAATACGAAACAAAGCAACAATAGTGACAGCATTAACACTCCACGAGATACAATTATGGATATCTATAACAACCATATTTTTGGTGAGAGACAGGAATATGAAGTAAAAGAACCAATACCCGGTATATTCGCTCCCCAAACTGTCAAGATACTTCCTCAGATTCCTAATGTTTCACAACTGGAAGTACAAAGCATGGATGACATTACAGCAAACAGTTCATCTTCCCCAAATAAAGGCACCTTTAACGTGGACGATGAGAAAACATCGCTTGCTTCTGTTCCTGATGAGGCTACAACTAAGGGTTCCGGCCATGTTCAATTAATGTATATTAATGCACCTATAGCTCAGATGTCGACTATGTCAATTACACCCCCTGTTGAACAACCTAACGAATTATATCAGTCATCAACCTCATCATCCTTATCTTCTTCTTTACGAACTACACCTCCGACAACAAATTCAGGTGCTTCCTCTACTTCTTCTTCTACTTCCTTTCCCTCTTCTCCTTCAACTACAACTGATACTTCAACCTTTAGTCAGAAGACTGCAATGCCACCACAGATACAGCATAGCAGTAATAAAATTGGCCCATTAACACAACAACTGCCTACAAACGGTAGAATTGGTAAGAGTAATGATAATAAACCATCTTCTCCCTCGTCCCCCATGACAGTCAACATACAAACAGCTGCTTCTGTCCCTGTAGCTATGCAAGCAGTTACACAGAAAAAGGATGAATTTCTTTCAAGAAGTCAGCAGCAGCAGCAACAAAACAATTATCGGCCTATCGTTAATAACAATCTACAATATCATGCTCGTCCTCCTCCAACTGGCTTGCTTAATCAGCGTAACGATTCTATCCGGCAACAACAACATCCTGTCATTCCAAGAAGTTCGTCTATAAGAGGAGCTTTACCACAACAAAGACCGCCACCAATGGCAATATATGACAATCACAGTAATATCGCTAATCAAATTGCAGGTCAGCAGCAACTGTCCGCTCGGTCTATAGCGCAAAATCAACATTCTCTGCAACAGCCTGGACAATTAAAACCGCTCCCAAATCAGCCACTTGCAGGTCCTAATGAATATAGAAATCGACCTTTACCAGCTGTCTCAACAGCAACAGGTCGATCACAAGCGCCACAGCCACAGCCTCAACAACAACTTTCTCATCCTAATTTTCTTCAACATCAGCAGCCACAATACATACCACCATCACTTTCGCCCTCTTCACTCAATAGTACTGGTAACATTCTCCAACCTATTAATCACTCTCAGCAGCCTATGTCAGCACCTGCCAGACCTGTGCAAGTTGGAGGAGAACAACAACAGCAGCAACAACAGCGTCAACAGCAGCAACAGCAGTCATTATCTTCTCGGATGCCATCAGATGCAAGAGAGCCTTTGAATGGCAGTAATTCACCTATACCAACGCATTATCAACATCAACAACAACTCAAGAATAACAATAACAGCAAATTAGTAGAAGATTTGAACTCACCTCCTCATAGTCCAGACATGTTCATTTCCATGAAATATGTCCGTCAAGTACTCTATAGCAACAATCAGTGTGAGGTTTTCCATTGGAACAATCAATCATGGTATGCCGTAGAAGGCCAATGTGAGTTACAAATCAAATTGACCCATACCAATCGCACTTGTGTTACTGTGCAGTTACTACCCAACAATCAGCTTTATTTAAATGCGTGGATTATGCCCACTACTGTTATCCGTCAACCTTCTCCGACTGATGTGAATATATCTCTTTATCTGGGTCAGAAGAAGGAGAACTATCTCATTCACTTCCCTCAACCGCAAGAAGCTAATATGCTAGCTAATACGTTATATAAAGCTCACCAAGATGCCGTTACATTGCAGCAACAAGAAATAACATCAGCAGCAGTGGCAGTTGGAGATAGTGATAGGGAGCCTGACCTTCCGGAACCTGTCGATACCGTCAACATACCACAAACTTTAAAACCCTTAATGCAATGTAAAGCCAAACTGTTCGTGAAGAATGAAACGGCCAATTGGAGCACACTTGGAAGTGTTACCATGCGTATTTCTCAGCAATCGCCTAGCTTACGAATGTTGATACAAATCGAAAATGATAAGGCAAAATTGGTCAGTGCGATAGTAAGAAGTGGCAACGTGGAAAAGATTAATTCAAAAAGAATATCGTTTTTGTTGACGGATGACTCTTCAAAAACCAGTATTGTGTACATGATACATTTGAGAGAAGATCAGACGGGCAATAAGATTTATGAATATCTCCGAACAAAGAATGCTGAAAATGGGTGGTAATAACAGTAATTGTCTTAGACACTTCCTCATGTAATTTTACACATATAAACGTATTATGAATTAGTGGTATACTATAATACAATGTTACACGGAACATAATAATATAATGGCCTTTTGCTGAATTAAATGCAATAGAATTCAATAGAATAACTTATATCAAACCAGTTCTTGTTCCATAGATGGTAATCAATTGAACCCTCAAATGTGATTCTTTTTCCCTGTCTTTCATAAATGTGATAAGGTTCGCGCCGGGGGGGAGAACCATAATGCAAATCTCGATTGCATTTTGGCGGGAATCATCAAAGACAGGCATTATAAAGATTCCTAGTCATTTAGCTATCGTTATACCTTTAGAAACTCCACGGGTTAGGCCGTCATTTGCTAATATTACAACTATTGGCTCATCAGAAGCTTGATAAAAATCGTTGAAATTCACACTATTATCACCGTCATGAACGGCCTTATAATTTTTGACTTGATGTCCCGTTCAATACCTTTCCAATAATGCAAGTCAGACTAAAAGGTCTTACTATGTTTTGGCGTAGGGGACTTTTGCCTGGAATTATTGACAACGATTGCTACGGAACAAGTGTACATGTAGCTTGCTAACATGTTCGCATAATTTGATGGGACAGAAGGCCTGATTAACTTTGCGCTAGATGCGCGAAAGGTCTCTTTTCGATGTATTTGTTCGAATCAATAGATTTTTTTCTGTTGCCTTGTTGTTAGTAGAAGCTTGAAACTGCTTTTACAGTCTTATTAATAATTCATGAATAATGGTACAAATGTTATCAATCCGCAATATCCGGAAAGAATCCACAAGCAATGATTAAGTTAGCCATCACTCTCCATCAACATCGTGGCGGTCGTTCTAAACTATAAACTATATCGTTAACAGATACAGCCGCTATATTTGTCGATTCTAACTGTAGTTCTGTATTCAATAGTAAGATAACTGAATTAAAAAGTTGCTGGAAGCCTGCCAGGAAAACTGGTAACCCATCTACCTACCGCTGGTGCAAACCAACCTATATATTCCGGTAAAACACTCGACACTCATATATATAGATCTTTATCTGCTCTTCGAAATCAGTAACAGTAATTACGACTTTCATTTTGGACGCCTGCGGTTGTGTAATATCAAATTCACCATAGATTAAGCATTGTGCAATTAAATTCATTGTCCACAATTTTACAATTTCCCTTATTGCCAATAAGATAATGAATTAGTATTCATCCATATTAGATTAAACAATAAATCTAACTCTATTATGGCAAAGCAATATTTATCAGCTATTCCTCACCTAATATTCGATATGATTGCACTGAAACGGGAACCGCCTTTTGTTGCAGTGGCAAATGTCACGGGTATTAACCATTTCGGATGGCAAATGCATAATTGGATAAGTATGAAGAATGAGACCGAATGGACAGTTATGTAGCAATGATATTATAACCGAAATTGTTATAGTCTTCATTCTAACTGATATATTATTATTGAGAATTGTTATGGTACTTTTTTGGTAATGTCTACAATGATACCAATACAATTAAACAAAGGTGAATAAAAGAAGTGTACAAGCACTTCATTGCCTTTTGTTTCTCCTTTCTTCATAAAAGTTCGAACTTGTAATTTGCTGTGTGCTTATTCGCAATTTTATGATACAGTATAAAACAGCTATTCCTTGTGATGCATCGCTACCACCCACTATATCCTATCCCGTATTGATTTGCCAAGTTTGCCAAAAAGAATTCCCCAAATTTGATCAGCGTGGATTTAGGAACCCTGGGTTTACCGCTCATCAAAATAGATGCAAGCAGCGTGATGTCATTGCAAAAACCCAACCTAATAACACGTCTCATCACCTGCAGCAATCAAACAGACAAAGATTCATTTTACCAGCGCCGATCTTCTCTCCACAGCATATGCCTTTCACTACAGAGGACACGAATGTTGTACCACCAAAAGAAGAGCTCCGGAAGCCTTATCATCATCAATTACCTTTATTGGAACAGCAGTCTACCATTAGTTCTGCCAATATTTTTGCGTTAAACACTAATATTGACACGACTCCTTCTTTTAATGAATTGGCTACGACTTCTTCCCGACCGAATGCTAACGATACCTTGAATCAAACGATTTTTCCCCAACCAGAAAAATCCGAATTGGCTCGACATACAAGTACTCTTAATATGATGCTCCTGGGAAAAAATCACAATGGCAATGTAGAAAGACTCTTAGCGTCGTCAATCACGTCGTATAACAATGATAGCTGTATCAGTAAAACTATTGCAGACAATGACCACTCTATGTCAACACTCTGCTTTACCCCTATGTTTCGTGAAAATGAGTTTCTTTCCACTACTTTTCTTGAATGTTTGCAACAACAAAACCGATCTCCAACTGAAGAACCATTCTTACTTGGAAGTTTTCCTGTCATAGAATGCGAATATTGTACCCCGGAATATGGATTTCATCAAGCAAATTGCTTAATCTATGCCAGTTTTATGAATTTGCAACAACCTTGAAAAGTGTGATTATTTAGATGTTGCTCTTTTGATGTTCTTTTCATATGCACTATATAATATGTTTTATGCTCTATGACCAGATCAAATCGTTTCAGCAAAACCATTTATACCCTTCACAAATATGCAATTTTTATTCTAATAGCTATTCTTTATACTGTTTTTCGCTTAACTTTCGCACGAAATGGTTAAAAAATTGAACTATTTTTATTATTTAGATTAGATAAATTCAACAACTATTCTCAAATGATAAGCATAGTTTTTGGGATTATACCTTTTCTGTCAAAATGCTCAATGCCAAATGTGCGACTTACGCATACTCGGACAAGGTAAATATACTGTGATTAGTTTATTTATCTTGTCTGAGTATGGTAGGGATCCCAAGCATCCATTAATAAAACCGTAAAAAGTATATAGTAGTATTCATACAAGATGAGCTCACCTAAACATGTAAATATCTTTAAGCTGTCTGTTCCGAAAAGCTGACAGCACCGCCTTCGGTAGCGGTCCCTCTTGTAAGGGCCAGGTCTTTCCTGGCCAGTCCAGATAGCCTTGACAATGGTGGTAATGTTTTTTGAGGCATTAACATCGCGTTGCCATAGTACTTGGTAAGCTTTACGCACTTTAGTACTGAAGAGTCTTGAGCCATCTTGGATTTTCACGTCTTCCATATCGTCACTCTTGCAGTTGTAACAAATGTAATACGGAAGACTATCAAGTTACTTATCAAATATGTAGTAATAGTCAGTCCAACATACTCACTTTTGATGTGCGAAACTCGGCAATATCAGCAACAGCAGTTAGAAACGTCCGTTGTCTCCTCAATAGCTCTTTATATAATCTACCGGTGACTCCAGTGATATGTCCCCTCATTTTTACAGTATCATTACCATACATACCATTATCAAATATAACAAGTGGCATCAATTTCTGTTTTCAAAACGCTGCCACTTACTTCTTCGTTTGATTTCGTTAAGCTTTCGTGTTTACTTTCTCTTGTGATATTCTTTTATTATAAATCCTATAGTTAGAATTTAAGGAATACCATAAATGGAACAGAAGTTACTGCTGTCATGGAGAAGACACCTGTACGACCCCTTATCTAAGTAGTTCTGCTGTCCACAGTGGATGCATGTCGCTGTAAATAATGACTTTAATAGAATTGAACGTGCTTGATGCAGTCTGATAGTGTTAGTTTATTCTCCTTTCAACTCGAGCCGTTTCATTTTTAGCTTTTCTTAGAAGTAGCTTTTGGCTTATTTGGACGGCATTGGGTAATACAATCATGCAGAAAGAAAAGAATGGTGGGTGAAAAAAGTCATTGTACAAACAGACAACATTTGATAAATAAGACATAGGAGATGAGATGACAAGTCATAAATTCAGAAGAATTTGAATGAAATGGTGGACGATTAGATAGGAACTAGTTTGACTATGGACCTAGCACAATGATGGAATAGGTGTAGCATTAGGTTTTAATCGAGTAGACTCAGACGTGAGAGCTTCAGTTATCTTTTTCTATCTCTAACTTTCCAATTTCTTCTGTATATTTCCGATATTTGTCAGGGTGAGCTTACTAAATTTTTTACGGAAATCAGCATTGGCTCCATGGGATTTTCTTTATAGCAAATCTCCAAATTTTCCAGTGCATCAATAGTAGGCACAAGTTTACTTGACATTTTCAACGTTAAAAACTTCACAATATAGCATGCATATAGCTTGTTCCCTTGTTATGTTTGTCATATTTAGTAATTAAGTTGTGCGTACTCGAGTATTGTAGTTGGTTATAAAAACACGTCAGCTTTCCTTTCTCTCTCTCTCTTTTTTTTTATGTTAGCTGATAATATGTAAGTTGCCGATGTGAATTGCTTGATTTTCTTTTGACCTGTAGGCTGCAAGTACATGATAAACAATAGTGTCATTTGGGCGTTTTTGTGCGTTCTGCGAATTGTAAATAAATATATCATTTTCCCTTCTTTTGGTGGGGTTCTTATTTTGTGGTTGTACATTTTTGCCGTGTTTGAGGAAGGCATGTCGCCCTGCTATTTTGAAGTGATAATGTATTCGCAGAAGGAACATTACTTTTCTAAACGTATGATTGCAGTATCCATAACTAGTTGGTTTTTTTTTTATTCGTGCCCAGTTGTAAATTTTATAGTGTTTTGCGTGAGAGGTTGTGTCTTTTTCACAATATCCATGTATTAAGAAGACAAAACTAATCCCTTAATAGATATAACCGTATGTTTTTTTAATGAGAATAAAAAAGTATACATGACACTACCGCTTCGGCTAAACTAATTGTTAGAAAAACTATCTCAACCTGAGCGTGGGGTTTCCTATCTTGCTGTTCGTTGCTTCTTTGCAAAGAAAAATCGCTGCCCCATCGAATCTGTGGCTGTTTAAAATGGTTTTAAATTAAGCATATCTTTTTCTTGAACCTCGGAGTTGAAGCGTGTTAAGCCAGCCATTCAACAACTCTAAGTTTCAAAGGCTTTTTATTTTTTTTTATTTTTATTTTTGGGCATTTTGTCAAACAATTTTTGCCCCTTTTTTTGTAACTCTTCATCTTTTTACAGCTTATTAGCAGTGATAGGGAAAAACATGGCAAATAAGTTTGAACCACCTTATGCAGTAGAAGCTGCTGGATATCAAAAGAAAGAAGGCGAAACTCCAGTTTATCGCCACTTTTTGTCCCCTGATGAGCTGGTAGGTCATCCACCCAATATTACCACTATGTGGGAAATGTATTTACATGGTTATGAAATAAGTAAAGGTAAGCAAGTTACTATAATTTATTGACAAAGAGAAAGGCTTCATTTAGAATCAAATATGATTGCTGATCTAGTCGATCAGATATCCTGTCAAAAAGTGTGTAACCTTAATTTTTATTTTTCCATCTTGCATTAATAGATAGGCCATTTGTTGGCATTCGTCATAAAGAAGAGGACGTATTCAAAGAATACCGCTGGGAAACTTATGAACAAGTTAGACCCCATATCGAAAATTTCGGTAAAGGCCTCTTAAAACTCGGTTTGGCTAGACAACAAACACTTGGTGTCTATAGTATCAATCGTAGAGAATGGGTAAAGCTAAAACGAAAACTCCAAACGAAAAAAAGAAAAAAAAAGCTGTTCAAATTCTGAGCTCCAATAAGTCTTTTTAATTCTGTTATTTGTTGGTTGCCCTTTAGACTGTCGCTGAAATTGCTTGTTATAAAGAGGCATTGATTGTCGTCGCCTTATACGATACGTTAGGGCCTGAAGCTATGGACTACATTATCAATCAAACTGAAATGGAACACATCGTTTGTAGCAAGGATAAAGTTGAAAGTATTCTCAACATTAAAGAAAGGCTTCCTTTCATTAAATCAATTATTTCAATGGATGAGGATATAAACGATGCGGACAAAGAAAAGGCACAAAGTCTCGGTGTTGGTCTTTATACATTCGCCCAGATCGAAGAACTTGGCGCTGCAGTCAATGAAGCAAGTAAACTACCCTCACCCGAAGATATCGCTACAATCTGTTACACTAGCGGCACTACGGGTGTTCCTAAAGGTGCTGTCCTTACACAAGCCAACTGTGTTGCTTCAATATACAGTGCTGCTTATGCTGGTGATCTTGGCTCATTTGCTCATGTGGATGAAAACGATGTTTACATTTCCTACCTGCCTCTAGCCCACGTCTTTGAACGTGTGGTCGAAGGTCTAATGCTTTTTAGAGGTGCTGCTATTGGTTACTATACTGGTAACCCTGCTACTTTAATGGATGATATCGCTGAATTGAAGCCTACCGTGTTTGCATCTGTTCCCCGTCTTTTTAATCGTATCTATGATAAGGTTTTAGCTGGCGTCAATGCAAAGGGTGGAGTCGCCAGCTACCTGTTCCATATGGCTTATAATGCTAAAAAGGCTAATCTTGACAATTCTGTGCATCATTGGTTGTATGATCGACTCGTTTTTAAAGCTATACGCGAGAAGCTCGGCGGTAGAATTCGTTTCATTATCAGTGGATCAGCTCCTATTGCTCCTGAGGTGCTGGAATTCTTGAAGATTTGTTTATCTGCCACAGTGCATGAAGGTTATGGTCAAACCGAAAACTATTGTAGTGGCGCTTTGGTAAGTATTCTGTCTAATATACATTCGTCATTATCCAACGGCACTTAACATTCGTTCTTTTCTTTTATAGACCATTCTTAATGATAATACGACAGGTGTGGTTGGTGCCCCTTTCCTTTGCTCCGAATTTAAGCTTGTGGACGTTCCTGATATGAACTACTACTCAACTGATATACCCAATCCTCGTGGTGAACTTTGCATTCGCGGTAATGCAGTTATGAAAGGATTCTACAAGAGTCCTGAAAAGACACAAGAAGCTATTGATGTTGATGGCTGGCTGCACACTGGTGATATCGCTATGATTGATGATGCTAAGCGTATAGCTATCATCGACCGTCTCAAGAACATCTTCAAATTATCGCAAGGCGAATACATTGCACCAGAGAAGATTGAAAGTATTTATCAAAAGAACGAATTGATTGCTCAGGCTTTTGTATACGGTGAATCCAAGCAAAGTCAATTAGTAGGTATTTTCTTACCTGATCACGACCCATTGATGCATTGGGCTGCCAAAAAGCCTGAATTTGCATCTATGTCTTTTGAACAACTTTGCGAATCGCCAGCTGTCAATCTCGAAGTAATGAAAGAACTTACCAAATTCGGTAAAGAGTATGGATTGAAGGGTTTTGAACAAGTCAAGGCACTTCATTTAATTACAGAAGAGTTCAGTGTGGCCAATGAACTCTTGACACCCACTTTCAAGTTGAGAAGAGAAAATGCTCGTAGCGCTTTCAAAGAACAAATCGATCAGATGTATCATACCTTAACTCATGGCAGAGCTTTCAATTAGAATTTTTGACAATACCATCATCCCTCGTTTGAATAGACTATAAGAAACAACCTTAATGACTGTGAAATTATCATATTTCATCAATAAATAAATTATTTATTCCCAATTCCTATTTACATTCTTGATGCACGTTATGTAGGTTTGCATCAGATGGTGATGATATGTACAAAATGATGTTGTTTACTGGTAAGGTCAACCCAGCGTTTCTGTAAATGCACTTAAAGTATTTTGCAGTTGTTGAATTTGCTTCAAAATACGTTCTTTTTGATGTTTGTCCAGTTGATTAACGATGTCTTCTGGTAAATCAACAGCCAGTTTATCAGTATCTTCATCAACATACTCAGGATCTAATTGAACACTGATATCAGACAATACTCCTCTATTGACACGGAGAGTGAACCGTTCCACAGGGCGTTGGTGTTGGCTGTTTTGCAAGGGTGTCTCTTTGTCGGCTTCACGGCATTCTTTTATCTCGTTAGCTTTTCGATGGTTTTCCTTTTCGTGCGCATCTGGGTGAGCATGATTCTTCTCTGTACCGTCAACGCTTGTACTCGACTTTCTTTGTTTCATCAAACTATCAACTTCCGGCTCATTATCATCCACATGCGCTATACTGAAAGGGAGATAAAAAGTAAGGCGAAGCCCCTCTGTCACCTTTGGTTCTCATCTGCACCTCACCTTTTTTTGGAATTTTGCACCGAACGCTGTTTAGCTTGCTCATTCAAAAAATTCTCGGTATTGGCTTCATATGTCCCGCAAAACTCTCCAATGGTTAGCTGTCGTACCGACTTTAGCATTCGATTGATCTGTGTGTTTCCTTGAGCCCGCAAAGCTGCACATACGAAATCGATTCGTTGGCTGAGATCGTTGATACGTCTTTCAGCTGTTGCAAATATCAAATGAACTAAATGTTAAATGAAATCGAAAAAGAAAAAGGAATGCAGTGCGAAAAAGAACTCGTTAAGCATTACTCTCTTCTTCTAGAACTGCCAAAGCTTCGTTGATTTCCTCTTCAGTGTTTAAATGCATTCCAACCAGCACTGAGTCTTGAGCATGTTCTACAGTCATAGAAAAAGGGAAAAAAAAAGCTGCCCCTTAAAATTTGAAAGCATTGGAAATGTTCTGATATTCAAACCTCCATCTAATATTTGGGTGAATAACAACAAGATGGTAAAGCCAGTTCTCCCTCCGACAAATCATTATACAAACATTATATTGCATCCTGCGGGCTCTTTACTGTGTATTCACGGTCTTATTTTCTGACTAAAAGAAGCACAAACCGCTGATTTTTGACAAATCAGGAAGATTCACATATGAAATCCTTAAACAGCTTCAGGTTGCCACCAAACGAAAGAGTCAATAATGTAACCCTTGTGTCAAGCAATACTATGATACTCTCATTCAAAGCGCTACTGAGAAAATCATAGAAAGGATATTTTCAGTAGCTTCAGCCGTGGTTAAAGGAGCAGCCAACGCACCATGGATGCATACAAGACGTATCTAGTTGATAAAACTAGCTTTGACAATAATACATAGCCTGCCAAAAGAATGTGGAAAAATGCCAAAAACTATCAAGAGTTCTATGCTATTTTTTCCAAGGCTATAAATCAATATTTGTGCATTAAGCACTCTTAGAAGTTCAATTGAATAAGTACGGAGCCCTTGTCAGTTTCCGAAGTGCTAGTTCCTCTTAACTGGTGAGATTGTCAAGATTGCGAGCCGTATGCAAACGAGGATCGGAGACACAGTCAAAGGGCTTGTTCTTGTTGCTATTTATAAAGGGCTGAATGGGATTAAGCAACATATGAATTGTACATGCGTTACCTTCCGAAGGAGAATCATTGTTTATTACTTTCAACTAAGATCTCCCCAATAAGCGTGCATTGGTAAACTATGCATCGACTGCCTAAGCCAGTAGACATTTATTAGGCACTTTTCCCAAATGCTTGAGGAAAAAGACGAGATACAATCTAACACCTTTGTTCTTTGTTCAAATTCTGGAACAGGTGATATAGGACTGATAAGATCCTCATACTGCAGAGAATTTCGAGAGCTGTAAGTGATTGGATAGAAGTTACAAACGTAACATGTATAAGTTTCTATCCATTACTGTTATTGGCGTTAACAACGCTTACGAACGATATTGCCGCAACCAATACTCGGCCGTTGACCATGCTTTTTGAACTTATCAAACCATATTAGCAAGGATTAATAACGAAACAAGTCAACTTGAGCTGAAAACTCAATGATATGGTAAAAAGGGTAAGCAAGGTATAAGCGCAAACGCCTTATAATATAGTTGTTGTTTTCTCTTTGTAGATGTTGAAGCCGCTAAGGTATTTGCTGGAATAATAAAGACTGACAGATCATATTGTAAAAACTAACTGTGGCTAAAAGCTTCCCTCTCATAATGAAATGAAGACTCCTGGTTGATCTTGACATAGCATTGTAGTTGAGCAAAATACAGAGTCTTTAAAACAGTATGTTCAGAAAACTCATTTTGACGCTTTTCAACAATGCAAGAATCAATTTTGAGAAGTTTAAACTGGAAATCACTTTAGACACGATACTATGGGTAAGCCGATGTTTTATATGTTTAATTGTGTCTGCTTTACGTGTAAGCCAACATTAGTGTTCAAAAGCCGTTACATGTCGTCGAGATGAATATGTCTGAGAGCGCTAATGTGGTACCAATTTTTTTTTTTTTGTGGAAAAAAGCCACTCATGAAAGCAGCGAAACAACCTTACCGTGCCAGCAAATAGGCATGTATGTTTTCTAATAAATCTGGGCAGGATGGAGCATTAGGCCACAATAAAAAAAAATAGTAAATCTGGACAACTTATAACTTTAACAAGGCATTATCAATAAAACTAATTTCCATTTAACCGGATAAAGGAAAGATGCAAAGAAAAAGGGACTCTTTGCCTTTCATTTGGAGTATTTAATCAAAATAATATAAAATCAACAATAAATAAAATGAAACGTCAGCTTACCATTGTTCGTTGTGAATTATAGATGCAGAAAATTGGTTTTTTAGGTGTTACCAATCGTCAGAGTAAAATCGTCGTTGTACATATGATGAAGCCTTTCAGTTGAACAATGAGTTACAAAGCCAGTGAAACATTCAAAATTTTTCATACGTTCACTGAAAGAGATCTTGGACATTTATATACAGTTCCCCCACGAAGTTCAGAGATTACCAATGGCGCATCCGATTATATCTCCGTCAAAGCGATCCAGTGAAAATACAGTGTTTTAACTACTATTTCAGACTTTTCACAAATTTTTTTGGACACTATTAAATCTTAATTTAGACAACTTTCAATTATTTTACGATGAAGCGGTATATTATTCTTGGACGATTTCGCTGATAATCAATTATCCAGTATCATCCAAGCAGCATTAAGGATGGCGTACAAGCTAGTCCTAAAAATGAGTGCTCATAGTAAAGAGGTCGCTAAGAAAACTCTTATTGGCGTGACTTTGCAATAGGACGAGCTACAAAAAGCTTGACAACTTTTTCGTCATTTGACGATGTGTTATAAGACCCAACCAGATGTTCGTCAGTGCCTTTTTCGGAACTTTGCCCAATGATAAAGACGTGTCTTTCTTTTCTCGCGTTTTGTTGTCAAAGTTAGATTATAATGAAGGGGTTCTTTTAAACGAGAATAAGATCCCTTCTTTTCCGTATTTCGCTTTTTTTGTAACTTACAGCTCTATTCATGTACAAAAGTTTCTTTATACAGAAGATTAGATCTATTAAAGAAAAGCATAAGAAACAGGTTAAAAGGAACCCATTTGGTAAAATGCTTGATAATTGTAGGAGAACCGTCAGATCAAGATATAAGGATTCTGATATTTGTTGCAACTTTTTAGAACATACCAAGTGTCGAGACTGCTATGAACCAGGTCATTTTGACAAGCGTTATTACAAATGCAAGTATTACAAAGCCGTAAAAGCTGATGATGGTAAGCAATAAACCTAAATCTATCTTACACACAGCACTTAATTGCTTGTGAGTAACCTCCTTAAAGTTGGTAGCAGTGGCAAAAAGAGAAAACAGAGTGACCAAGTGAAAGAGAAGAAGAAAGCAGTTAAACGGAAAAAGACCACCGCACAAGCTGTAAAGTGCCTCAGCTGTGGACAAGATGGCCATACCACTGCTCGTTCGCCGCAATGCCTCAAACACACGCCTTCGAAAGAAGAACTCATTTCATCTGTTCTTGGTGATGATGCTACTGTATTCACAAGAAAGCTTCCCATCGACAGTGCGGTGTTACCAACCTTCCGCGAGAAATTCAGAGAAAGAGTCATTTCGTGCTGCAATGACATTAGGGCTATTGTGTTTCGTTCGCAACTATTTGTTAACGCTTATCTCATCCATAATAAGAAAGACACACCAAAAGAAATTTTCACCCAACAGTTCTGGTATTCGGTTGGACAACTTGTAACAGGTAAAACAGTAACCAACAAGAAAGCAATAAATGATTCCATGAAAAACTTCTATAAGCAGTTCAAAGAGAAGCATCCAGCTGTCGAAGTAAGTTATAGCTTCACCAAAGGCTATAGCCAATGCTTGACAGAAGCTTGTAAAGAGCTCAGTACCACATATACAAACAGCATTGTTGAGCTTTTTGAGCAGCGAATGCTTAAATATCTATACTATACCTTGCAGAATTTGTTCCCGGTAAGGATTAACTTTACATTAAACCAAACAGCAGCAAAGTCAATATTCTTTTCTCTTTAGAGCATGGTAAAGCGCGATATTGACGAAATCGCAACAAAATACTGCTATCAAGCGATTTGCAAAGGCGAACCCAAATGGCCTGGTAAAGTCAAGTTAAGCAGTGATGACAAATTAAGAATAGATAATTTGTGCAAGAACTTTGCAGACCTTGTGGAGGAAAAGGTTACGCTTTTATCATTGGCGGCCGATCCGGTCAAATTTGTCAAGCCCTTGTGGTTTATCCAGGACTACTACGAAGAAGAGCATTCTAATCATTTTGCCTACGATGTTCGTAGGTTACCATTACCTCATCGCTTCTTCCCTTTTCCAACACCCTCAGTATCATGGCGCTTCATTACCATCAGCATAAACGCCCTTACTCCTTTTTTATTTCCTGGAAGACTTGTAAAGGGCTATTGGAATCAACTTGAACAATTTTGTAAAGTGTTCAACTTCAAAAAGTTAGGCTTCAGAAGGTAAAGTAAATAGCACTCTGCTAAAAGACTCTGTTCTCAAGATTATTCTTTCACTTATATCATAGTATTGCTGAGTTAAAGACAAACACAAGTATGCTCTTCAGGAATCTCATTCGATCTGATGGCTTCACTGTAGACTTCCTATTTAGTCGTAAGAAGAAACCAAGAGAAGACGCCATCATTGATCATCATGACTTGACGTTGGAAGACTTCTCCTATGAAGAAATCACGACAAACTACAGACCCACATTTGTTGATCCTGGCCGAAAGACCGTATTTACAGCAGCAATCGGGTTAGAAACAAACAGACATGAGATACGGCGCTGCTCGACAAAAGAATATTATCACATGACGGGTAGTACTCGTGTCAATGCAGAATTAGAAAGGAAAAAGGCCGGTTGTATGATAAAAGCGATAGAAAGCAATATACCAAGTAGTAAAACAGGCTCGCCTGAACAGTATAAGAGATATATTATTTACATACTACAACATTTAGAGATCCTGTTCTCATTCTATGGGCCAGGTATGGGTGAAACAAGGTTCCGTCTGCATCAAGGCAGACAGCGTGCTGCAGACATGATGGTGAACATGCTTGTCGATGGAGGGATCAAATACGACAAAGAATTACGGAAGAAAAGAAAGGAAGAACAGATGAAATGGCCAAAGAAGAAGGGCAAAATTAAGCATAAAAAAAGAAGAAAGAAGACGAAACAGAAAGTGAAAGTAAAACAGGAAGAAGAGAATGAGAAGGAGATCCGGGAAGAAGAAGAGACAAAGAGCGATAACCACGTTCGGTAAGTCTGTAGCGATTAACTGTCCACTGAATTTGTGTATACTCAATCTACTGTCTTCCTTCAACAGACGATGGGCCCCTGAGAAATTCAGGCTGAGTGATCGCAAAAAAGTTCCTCTGGTTGTATTTGGTGACGGCATGTTCAATAATTCCGCCGTTCATCTAAAAGGCCTTAGAACTGGTGTCGTTGGTGTTTTGTGGCGTGCATTGAAGCGAAGAGAGGCTGCTGGTGATCTCCTTGCCGTGACAATTGATGAATACTTGACATCACGCATATGCAATTGTTGTCGCTCAGACACATTGAAAGCATTAGACACCGTGCGTGGCTGTAGTATCCTTGTTTGCAAAACCTGTAAGATACTATGGAACCGCGATGTCAATGCAGCAAAAAACATGATGGCCATCAGCATTTCGGTATGGAAAGACAAGGAACGTCCTACGGAGTTCAGCCGGAAGACAACTTCTTAGTCTTTTGATTTTTATTATCGCCAGAACGAAACTGGCTTGATATTTACAGGTAAACGTCTCCATTTTAGTGTAGTTCGATCTTCAAACTCTAACTCAATCGTCTCAAAATTTGGGTCATTCCATCCAGTTATTTTTAAGCTGCGTCTAAACCCGCAGTTAAAAAACTGTAACAATGTCCATACATGAATACTCAAATCTCAATCGATTTGCAAACTTTCAGACCTTACTAACATAACCTTTCGTCCCGTAGTACGATCAGGACACGAAAAAGCGGTGCCACTTTGATTGAAAACGTGCGTTGTGTATACTTCAGTTACAGACTCAGACTCACTGATTTATACAACACACAAAAAAAAAAAAAAAAAAAAAAAATAAAAAAGTAAGCCTTAAATGGAAAAAAAAAAAGAGTTGAGGGGAGATCCTTTTTTACTTTTTTCTTCATTCCTTCTTAGACTTGAGCATTTACATTTGGTACTTGCTAACCATCTGAACGGCAGAATATGAGCTCGAAAGTTGAAGCACCTCCGTCAGACGGATTGCAAGTAGATGAGAAAGAGAAACAACTATTCAGAGCGCCAACAACAACATCAATGGAAGCTGTAGACACAACACCCCCTCCCAAATTTCGTAAAGCAATTTATCTTTCAGCCATTGTAGCAGCAGTGGGTGGATTCGTATGTGGTTACGACACTGGCGCTATTAGCGGCATTCTTGCTATGCCTCAATTCGTGGACAATTTTTTCACAGAGGATAACCTTGCTTACCTTCAAGGATTATTGCTTGCTTTATACTTGATGACTGCAACGTTAGGTTCTTTTTCCTCTGGATACTTGTGTGGTAAGGTTCAATTTCATATTATTTTCTCGGATGACAGCTATCTCTAAAACAAAAATTATGTTACCGATGAAATTTTGACCTTTTACTTCATAGATCGTTTCAGCAGAAAATACTCTATCATTGCTGCTTCCGTTATTTTTGGGACTGGCTGTTTACTGCAGATCATTGGTGTCAAATATGGTGTTGTGCTAGCTGGTAGACTTATTGGTGGATTTGGCTCAGGTCTTATGGGTAATGCTATCCCATTGTACCATTCAGAAATCGCTCCTCCTGATATTCGTGGACGTCTTATCAGTTTCTTTACTCTCATGTCTTCCTTTGGTCAAGTGTGTGGATACTTTGTTACATTTGGTACCAGCTATGTGCATACAAATTGGTCATGGCGTGGACCATGGCTTCTTCATCTTATTGTCTGCTTTTTGTTTGCTGGTATCATCTTTACATTACCTTTCTCTCCTCGTTGGCTTATTGATAAAGAAAGATTCGAAGAAGCCAAGGCTGTTCTCAGTGAACTTCATCAGGTTCCCACCAACAATGTCGTGGTGCTTCACGAATATGACGAAATCGTTAGCGAAATTGAATTTGAACGCTCTCTTGGCAAGCGTACTTATATGGAATTGTTCCAAGGCACCAACCGCAAGCGTACTTTCCTTTCCTTCTTTATCAGTATATCTACCTCCTTCACAGGTAGTGTTGCCATTTGGTACTATGCTCCTCAGATTATTCAAGGTGCTGGTTTAAATGATGCTTCCGCGTCTATCGCTGCCACAGGCGGTACTGGCATATTCTCGTTCTTGTGCGCTTTCATTTGTCTTCAATTCTGCATTGATAAGATGGGTAGAAAGCCTGTGTTTTTGGTAGGTGCAGCGATTATGGGTATCAGTATGTTCATTGTCGGCGCTATGTTCCAGGTTTACACCATTGTCGATGTAGAAACGTCTTCTGTCACGATCTTGAACGCGAATGCCCGTAATACCATTATTGCCTTTTTGTATATCTTTGTGGGTGCTTTCCAATTTAGTTGGGGAACAGCGTCTTATGTATACCCTGCTGAAGTCTTCAATATGCGTACTCGTGCTAAAGGCCTTGCGATGACTTATGGCCTCAATTGGGCCTTTACCATTCTGATCACTTACTGCGCACCTCTCTTTATTGCGCATACTGTTTCCGGTGTCTACTTCTTTTTTGGAGCCTGCTGCTGTGTGTGCTTCTTTGGCTGTTGCTTTATTCCCGAAACCAAAGGCAGAACTCTGGAAGAAATGGAAGTTGTGTTTAGTAAATAATAGACACAGCTTGGCTACTCATTGCCATCCATTTTGATCTAACTGTACATATAATAACGACAATGAATAATAGATATTCACCTATTGATACATGTAAAAATTGTACTTATACTACTTATTTGTAAACCCATCTTTAATATATTTATCTCCCGTATCTTGAATCCAAGCTCTTGTTTTCTCGGTACATACTTGTTCTAAACTTTTTAATCTAATTCATCTTACAAAACGGAAAAACAGCGCAGTTTCAGGAACAACACCTATCATTTTCAAACCTTTGATTTGTTTGGAAGAGTCACTTGTTGGACCCTGTTTTCGTTCGATACAGAGAAATCAAAAGGGGTTTTTTTTTGTTGATAAACGACTTTGAATGACTGTATTCTTTCTCTTTATTCTTCATTTCAGTATGACTTTTTACGCGTTCTAGAGAAATACCCATCTTTTTGAAGAGCTTTTCCGCCCTGGGAGATGGAAAGCTTTTTTTGTGTCAAATCTGAAAAAGATTTAGATTCAGCAGTGCATGATCAAAGCTGGTGAATTTAATTGGCTAAAACAAAAAAAAAATTTCGGAAACTTTCGCTTTCTTGTCTTTTTCTTGTGTTGCCTTTATCTCATCAGCCAAGTCAACTGCCAAAAGCATGCCTAAATCCGTACGTAGCTTTGGTGTGTCGAGGGTTACCTGCGTTTGATACTACATCGTCATTGCAGGATACTGATATATATTCAGATCAAGCATGAACCTACCAGGTAAACTGCATTTAGACGCCAGTTCTAACGCATGAGACGTCGAAGGAATGTTGCATTGTACGTCGCGGCTATCGTAAATGGTTTTTATTTCCCAAGACGGCTAAATCTTGGGCTAGGAAAAATGGGAAATTCATTTGTTGATGAGATATGTATAATATTCGTTGTATTTCTGCAAATGATCTTTTTGACATATACAAAGGATACCATCTGATGTTTAGATAATACACATAAAGTGATGCGATCATGATGTGTCCATCAGCTGGTGAATATAACTCTTGAGCCAGCCTGTTCATTCTTCTTTGCCTCCTGCTTTACAATCTAGAAATCAAAAGTGAAAGAGGCTGTGCAGTTATCAAAGAGCTCAACGCAAAGGTGTCAGTTGTACCCATCGATACCGTGCCTGACTCAGTTAGATCACACCTATTGATAGCGCAAAGATATCCACAGGGTGTTTTCATTCCAAAAGAACGAAAGAACTCGTCAATTTGATACTGATCCTTATCGTGAGAACTATAAATAATATTCGAAAATATTCTTGCTGTATAAACTCTTTGGCAAGGATTTCCCAAACTGGTATTACGTCTTTTGAACACAATTTGTAAAAGTAAAGCGATTTACTTTAGCTTTTAAGTAATGAATGTATTATAAAACTGTCATTCCATTCTATTCGGCATAAGAAATCATAAACGACAGGCTTAATATTGTCAATATGGAGTGTGTTGCGTATAGGTAATAGTAAAAAACCCAACTTGACCTATTCAACTCTTCTTTAAGAGTAATAGCTTTACTATTGTTTCAAACAAGGAGAAGCGTACTTATTATTCAACGCCCTTTTTAGTCATCAAAAAAGGCTAACCTAAGCCAGAAAGAATTGTCAATTCTAGGCAGAACTGGTGCTAAAAGAGCATTTTTAGCCACCCAAATTTCAGAGAGTACAGCGTCTAAAAAGTAAAACTCTATCATAAGGCTTACAAAAAGAAAGAGTTTATCTGGATCAGTAATGGAAATGAAAGATCAATAGTATTTTCCTCAGTTTCCATTGTCAATTGCTGCATAAAATGGATCTTGACCAAACCGTGCACTCTTTCAATACATGCCAGATAAGAACAATTTTGATTGGCTGTCATTGATTCCGGATTTGTGGAAAACTGTTACTTTTCTTCCTGATCCGCAAGTGTTTGCAGAGACCAATGACTGTCCCGCCTTGTAGTCAAATAGCACATAGATAGGTACTTACTAGATCAAAAATTTCATTTGTTTCTATTAGGCGAATTTTACACCTATATATCATACTAAGGATTTCAAGAGCTGTTGTGTCCATCCTTTTAAATATGGTTTATTATTGTTTGTTTTTTTGTTTTTTTTTTTCTTTCCTTTTGTCTTTCCAGTTTAGACTTTGGAGCATTACATATATAGGCCATCTACTTCTTTCGTCGCTTCTAATTGCTAACTATAGAATCTTCACTCACACCGCCCAGCAATTTCAATGGAAGCCTATGGATATACATGGATCTTTGCCATATCTATGGTCATTGCGTTTATGGACGCGTTTGGTATTGGTGCAAATGATGTGTCCAATTCGTTTGCTACTTCAGTTTCTTCGGGCTCCCTTAGTCTGGGGCAAGCATGTATCATTGCTTGCTTTACAGAATTTGGTGGTGCTGTTCTTCTTGGTGCGGAAACTGCAGAGACAATCAAAGGCGGTATTCTTTCTCCCTCTTATTACGTCAATCAGCCTGAGATGCTAATGCTGGCTATGTTTTGCGCTATCTGTGGTTCCGCTGCTTGGGTCCTTACGGCTAGTCGATTTGGTTGGCCTGTAAGCACTACACATTCTATTGTGGGGGCGATCATAGGTGTCGGAATTTCTGCTTTTGGCGCAGGAAGGTAATTATGACCGGGTTCATATGATAAATACATGTTTAGAGCCGAATGATATAACTGATCATCTATGAAACAATTTCTATCCTCTCCCCCCCCCCTCCTCCCCCACAAATAGTATTGACTGGTCTTGGAATGGTGTATCACAAATTATTGCTTCTTGGTTCATATCACCTGTATGTGCTGGTATTGTGGCTGCCATTATTTATACTATCACCAAACACGCTATCTTACGTCGGGTGGAGAGTTTCAAATGGGGAATTCGACTCGTTCCTGTTTACTTCTTCTTCACTGCTGCCATCGAAGCCTTCTACATCATCTACAAAGCTCCTGGCGGTGGATCAAAACACATGTCGATAGGTCTTATCGTTGGTATTGCCTTCGCTGTCGCTGCTGCTTGCGCTCTATTTGCTCAATTTTTCTTCTGTCCTTGGGTGGTCCGTCGTGTCAAAAATAGAGAAGCTGTCAAGTGGTACCAAATCTTCTACGTTCCGTGGTTGAAGAGACAACGCACCATCGATGAGATTGAAGCTGAAAGGCAGCAACAGCACAGACCGGAATCCATTGTCACACCGAGCGATGAAGAGACCCATACAGAGACTGATGCTAACCATACGACTGAAGTGGAAGTTGTCAATGAAAAATTAAAAGAAGTGGACACAAAAGATGCGGATACAAACACTTCATTAGCTAACGATCAAGAAAGCGGCGATCTGCAAAAATTATCAAGCAAGCAATGGTTATCGAGCACATTGAACAAATACAAGACAAAAGTGATTCAAATGGCTACGCATGGCTTAAAACAAGATGTTCGTAATATTGACAACGCTAAACTTCGACATGTCCATGCGAACGCAGAAATATATGAAGACGATGCTGAATATCTCTTTTCGTTCCTTCAAGTGATCACTGCCTGTATGGCTTCTTTTGCCCATGGTTCGAATGATGTATCCAATGCTATAGGTCCTATCTCCTCCATTTACACCATTTGGTCAACCGGTAAAGTCGAAGTGGCAGGAAAAGTGCCTGTACCTATTTGGATATTGGTCTATGGTGGTGTTGGTATTGACCTTGGTTTGGCTCTCATGGGTTATCACGTCATGCGCGCGATGGGTAATAACATTACTTATTTCACTCCTTCTCGTGGTTTTTGTGCAGAATTAGCGGCTGCCTTGACTGTGTTGACATGCTCTCAATTGGGTTTGCCTATTTCAACGACACATTGTATTGTTGGAGCATCGACAGCCATTGGTCTATGTAACAAGAATGGCTTAAAGGCCGTGAATTGGAAGATGCTGGCAATGTGTTTCTTTTCATGGTTTATTACTTTGCCAAGTGCTGGACTTGTTGCTGGTTTGCTGTTCGCATTTTGTGCCAATTCTCCCAAATTCCTTTAATCCTATTCATTAGCTTACGTTTTGCGGAATTGAACGTTTTACCTTTACTTTTATCTTTTCTATTTTTTTTACTAACCTATAATTCTCATGCAGTGCACGAAATAATATATAATATATTCCTTTTTTTTTTTTTTTTTTTGGGAGAAACCCGTGTGTTCTTTCAATGTAAAGAAGTTTTTTTTCAAAATGATATGAAACCTATTTCAGAAATAATCCGTTGAACTTGCAACATAAATAGGAAGGATAGTGTCAAATAAGTTGACTGTATCTTTATAAATCATTGTAGTTAACAGTCAAATAATTCCTGTCAAGTCTTCCCTCTTCTCATTTTATGTTTTATCACATTGAACGAAATTCAAGGATTTTTATGATAGTCTGTTAAGAATAGATGATCAAATACTGCCATAGTTTAACTAGCCACTTGATCATGTATGCTGACCAAATTAGAAAGTAATACAACAATGCTTAAAAAAGATAAATGGTATGCTAAATGGGAGCAAAATTAGACTCGCCGCCAAACAATGGGCAATATGTATGAGGAGGAGTGTTTCCTTATATAGAAGCCTTTATTTTCTGTTCCACTCTTCTAAGAAGGGCTCTTTGCATTTTTGTATCAGAACTTTTAAACGCTAGTTTGCATTCCTCATATTTTACACGTTTACTCTCGTCACCAAATTATATCCAGCACCTTGAAGCCTTTCTTATATCCCTATTATGGCGGACCAGCCAACCTTTACAATGGGTGTGCCTCAAAATGTAAAGCTTCTTTTTGACATGCATAATTTTGCCTCGATCTGCACATCAACAGGAATTTTGATCGTTTTTAAACCATTGATTTTATCTCATGTAATGATAACATAGGTGTTCACATTACCTACGCCAACTGATATCACTCTAACGCCATTTTGGACAACTATTTTACAAAAAGACAATTTCTTACTGCAAAAGTCATCGTCACCCGGAAATCACCTGTTTCGCAATCTTATGAGCACCATTGCCAATGTGTAAATACACGCAATCTTGTAGAAAAAAATAATCGATATTTATAGGTTGTATTTGAGTTTCTCACGAATTTTACCACAGTTTCGACACAAAGTTACCACCGTTTCGCATACTATTTCAAAGAGAAGTCAATACGATGTGCCTTCAAATAGCTGTGGCCGAGACGGAAAGCTCCATCAGACTCGCTTGGTCATGGATAGAAAAGAATATGATACCCGAATTAGAAATAATAAATCATCCGCATGATAAGGAGAACTGGGTCCTTGAAAAGATCAACATGATAGTAGCAACCATAGGTATATATATTCTCAAATAGTTTGTTTTCTAGCCCATTGCCCCCTTCCAGATCGGTAAAAAGCGACTCAACATTGTTCATCTATATTTTTTTCCATATATGCTCTAACGAAAAAACAACAAAAGAATGTGGTACGGATGAATTATCATCGGACGAAAAGGTGCGGAATGCATCGAGAAGTTTTAGACAAATATTCGAGATACCACCTTCTGAAAGATTTGTTAATTGTAAGTGTAGTTTTGTTTGAGTTTCTTTTTTTAGGATTGATCGGCAAATAATAGTAACGGGATCATGGAGTCTAGATTATTCTTGTGCCTATAAATCTAGACAAGGTTGGTTATACATCAGTGAAAACTACCTAGGATTTTATTCCTTTTTATTGGGGATAGAAACAAAAGTCTTGATTGAATTGAAAGACATCCAAGAGATAAAAAAGGAAAGGTCGAAAGGTATATTTGGTGATAGCTTAAGACTTATCACCAAATCACAAGAGGAGGTATGAAGGATGGGTTTATATTCCTACATCGGGTCACCTCATCTCTTCTTACATAAACAAGTCGTACTCATGTGAGATTACTTCTTTTTTTGCGTTTCACGGTCTAGTGTTATTTAACGAATATGTTTCGCAGAGATGAGGTATATGAGCTCTTGCTTCAATTGGCAGGTCAAGCAATGCAAAGATGGTTAAAGAGCTCAGCGGGGAGTAGCACACCAGGAAGCCCTGTCTCCTCGCTTGTTTCATCTTCATCTACAAGATTGGACAGTCAAGTGGACGATCAACAATATCTTACAGATGATAACAATAAAAGGCAGCACCCATTACGAAGCCCTTTGAAGAAAGACCTTGAAGCTCGAAAACGCAACGACCTCTTTTGTGCACGCTTTCGACTGCCAGTGAACCAATCCGTTTTATACGCGCTCGAGGCGACGTATTACAAAGAGCCATCCGCCGACCGCGACCCTCAGTTTATATCACAGGTACCGTCCACCTTGATCCAAGTGGTAGGTCGTGTCTATCTGTCGCAGACATTTCTAACATTCGAATCGGAAGAGAGGCTGCCAGCACCACAACAACATTTACCCCTCTGTAAAGTCGTTCTTCCATTATATACAATTAAACGCGTGGAGAGAATCAGCAAAGGAGCGTATACATCGGGGGTTGCAATAACAACATGGCATAAAATGGAGCACGATTTCTTGTTACATGTAAGGAAAAAAAATAGGAAATGTAAAGTTGGTATTGTTCCTGACCACCCTTCCTCCCATTCGCACTCTAGGCAGAAAAGCATATCTGTGAGCAACTCTGTGAAGCACTTAAAAGCCACTTACTGAAACAGACACCCTTTTTTAAAAAGTTAAAGTCTTTTCTTACCTCTTGTGAATCGGAGCAGCTATTCCATATAGACAGCTTAATTGACACGAAAATACATATTGGCGGTCTCGGAATGGAATTCGGATACCCTGTAAACCCTAAGAGCTCTAAAGAGAAGAGTAAGGTGAAGTTATGGAAGATATATTTTCAAGGTAAAAAAAAAAAAAAAAGTAAACAGTTTCTGAGGGGATAAGGTGGAGAGAGGGGGATCAACACTTACACATACTTATTATTCTGTGCTTAGAAAATGGTAGAAATTTGACAATGATACAGTTGTCCACGTTCGGTAAATTGGTCCGTGTTGGTTTGCCAAACTTATTACGTGGTGAAATATGGGAAGTATCGTCGGGTGCAATGTATTTGAGATTTGCCAATCAAGGTGTATATCAAGAAATTCTTGCAAAGTATAAGGACCAGAAATCAACATCGACGGAAGAGATTGAAAAGGATTTGAATAGGTAAGAGAATTTCAAAACTTTTTTATCTATGTGGCGATGAACCATAGTTTCTAAACTTTTTTTTCTTATTCGGTACACTCATTAAGATCTCTTCCTGAATACCCAGGCTATCAAACTTCCGAAGGAATTAATCGTTTACGTCGCGTGTTAACTGCTTATGCTTGGAAAAATCCTGAGCTAGGTTACTGTCAGGCAATGAACATCGTTGTTTCAGCGCTTCTCATTTACACTACCGAAGAACAGGCATTCTGGATATTGCATGTGCTAGTGGACCGTTTCTGTCCAGGCTACTACAGTACGAATATGTACGGCGCATTGCTTGATCAGATCGTTTTTGAAAAACTTGTACAGCGAACAATGCCTCTACTCTGGGAACATTTTCAGAAAACAAATGTTGAATTATCGGTTGCATGCCTTCCATGGTTTCTTAGCTTGTACATCAATTCAATGCCTCTTGAATATGCTGTGCGTGTTCTTGATATTTTGTTTATGGAGGGACCTAGAATTATATTCCAGATCGGGTAAGCGTCGTCCGAGTGCATCATTGAGTCCAGATATTGCACTCATCTACTATTCATATACTAACATCTGTTTTCTTACTGCTTAACAGCTTAGGTAAGTAATTGTTCGCCGTAGAGTTTTAGCAGGGTAACAGATATCAAAATCAAAACTTCATTCAACTGTCTTTTGTAGCTATTCTGAAAGCAAATGGTGACGATTTACTAAAAACAACGGATGATGGTGGCTTTTTGAACGTTTTCAAGACATTTTTCCAGACGATTGGTGATAAAGAAGAGGTCAAATATGCTTCCATGAAGCACATAAAAACAACTGTAAGTAAAATGCTTTCCTAATAATAACGGTCTGGAGGTACTGACTTTATCCTGACTATCTCTATTAGAAATTTAATGAGATTATGTTTTCTGCAGTAAGTCTCTTCAAAGAATGATGGAACCATGCTTTGCATCTTGAACTTTTTTTTAAATTATATATAGTATAGAGAGTTCTCTTTGGTTACTAATGAAATGGTAATGGAGCTCCGTAATCAAAATCAGTTGAAAGTAGGAGCAAGTATTGAATCGTTCACCAAACGTACAGCTATTCGTAATCTGAAGGATATGGCATCGTTCAGTAAAGATGATATAGCCATTTTATACGACAAATATTTTACGACGCTCTATTATGCTAGAAAAGACAGTGACAATACAAGCATATCAAAAATGAATCGTGCTGCATTCCAAAGCATGCTACAATCAATGACGCCCTGGGCTAAACCTTCTACATCATTTCCATCCGAGGGACATGATAGTAGCCATAATGCTGATGCAAATGCAGCGAACAATGTATGCAACAGTTTCATAGATCGTCTTTTCAAACAGTTTTTAGGAAATGATTCACCGGACGATCTTTTGGATTTCCAACATATGGTGAAAGGGATGAGTGATATTTTACATGGGGTAATGTTGAATGGAACACTCGTAAAAGTTGAAGGGTGCTGTGGACTGTGATATATACTGACGAAGCTTTTTTTCTTCTATCGGAAAAGGATATTATGTCACATTTAGATTGGTACTTTGATCTATACGATACAGATAAAGATGGCTTATTAGGCAGCGAAGATATCGTTACGATGAGTAAAGAGATGTATTGGCTTATTAGTCACTTGAAAGATACAGACATGGCATGGGATGCAGTGACAAACCTTATTGTTAATAGCCATGAGCAGTCAGATATTGCTAGAGGAGGACAACCGGACGAGAACACACTATCTCATCGATTAGCAGATCTAACAATGACAACAACACCGAAAAGAGTGGAAGCAGAAGCAGTAGCAGGAAATGGTAGAATGTTATGGTCGTTTCGCGATCGTACACGGCAGTTGGAAAACTCTATGCTAGCAGATACTGTAGATCTTAGCTTACCGTCGTTCCGTATGGTGGCTCTTACCAACGAATCTTTGGAGATGTTTTTTGATCATGAATTTGCAAATAGTTTCCAATTAGTTAAATCTACATCCGAAGTGCCAAAGAGTCTGGGCCGTGAAGTCTTTGAGAATTTGTTTGCCGATGGTCAGAAGCTTGCAACCGCTGTACAGAATAGTAATACCTCCATGTCCAGATCTCCATTCCTATCCGATACATCGTCTCATAAAGAGAAACCAACCACACCCAAGTCGAGTGAGGATTCAAGTAGTCATGTTCGACAGAGTGAAGAAATGGATGCTGATAATGCCTTGATGGATGATTGGGTACATTTTGATATATGGAGGGAAAAAAAAACAGCACAATAAAAAAAAAGGTTCTGTTATAAAGTAGTAGTACTACTGTTGTTCTTTATTATTTAAAGAATAGGATAATAAGTAAGGGATCTATGAAAATGATATGTGGATATGATTAAAAAGAGGATAAGGATCAATAAAGACCCGGAGTAAGAGTAATATTAAATAAGGAGAAAAGTGATATTGTGAATCGATCAACGATGAGTAGTATGGAGTCATATCGTGAATAAAGAAAACGTGGTGGAGGGTTGAAAGGGTTAGTAAATGCGTAAGTAGGTGAGTACATTAGAGGGAGGATGTTAAAAAAAAATGAGTCGCGTAAACCATAGAACTTAGTGAATAGCAGGGTATTCGAAAGACTTTTCCCAGTAGGGTTGAGTGACGCCGTTACATTGCATAGCAGAAACGACGTTGAAGGTTTGCTTGACCTTGGGCAGCCACTTTTCGGTCATTTGGATAGTAGCATGATTCAATTCATGTTCGAGGACCATAATACCAGTTTTGTATTTACCTTGTTGTTGGTTCTTAATCCACTTAGCAAACTTGGCATCGACCTTTTCAGGGGGAAGGTTGGAACCACCAGGAGCAGGCATAGCCCAATCGTCGGTATCCTCATCCCAGATAACAGTGTGGAGACCCATTTGCCAGGCAATAGCACGGACACGATCATCAACGTCACCTTGAGGAGGTCTCCAACATCTGGTAGTTACACCAGCAGCGTCCTTAATAGCCTTAAGAGACCAGTACAATTCAGCAACAACTTGCTCATTAGTAAGAGTAGTCATGGTAGTATGAGACCAAGTGTGAGAACAGAGGGTATGACCATTGTTCAGGGCACGTTTAGCGGCCTCGGGATATTGAATAACGTTGGAACCGACATACTATTATTTTTGTTAAGGGGGAATAAAGAGTTAAGAGATTTGATGCGGGGAACAAAGTCTTTTTTGTGGGGTTTGAAATATGGATCACTTACGAAAAGACTAGCCTTCAAGTCTTCCTTGGCCAAAAAGTTATAAAGTTCTGGTTCAGACCATTTGTTTTCGTACTGAGTCGTCTTATCATCATCATCAGAGTAGACGAAGGGCCCATCGTCGTAAGTAAGACCCCAATCACCCTTAGTAGGACAAGTATAGAAATCTGAGGGAATATAGTCGACCTTAGGCTTAGTACACAGAGTCGCGGTCCACCAACAATCAGGGTCTTTATCTTCATCATAACCAGTTTCATCAAGGTCACCATTCTTTGCTTTACGCTTAGGAGATTTGGGCACCAAATCCCAATTGATCTTATTAATGACAGCCTTGACTTCAGCGGAATTGGGGGAAGGAACTTCCCAGGCCTTAGGGTATTTGGATAAATCTAAGGTCTTCTTTGATAAAGTAGTACCAGTGTTAATGGGACCACTGTTGTATTTAGGGTTGGGATTAGTGACCTTCAATCCAGGAAATTCAGGGGAGAATTGAGGGGCCCAGTGGGACTTTGTGGTGGTGACAAGTTCAGTGGAATTGACATCGATGGTTACACTAGGTGTAGGAGCTGCGAACACTAAGTTTGCTGTGGCGAGGAGACCAGCACAAAGTAAAGAAAGCTGCATAATTATAAATGATACAAATGTGAATAGAATGAGGAAAAAAATGGAACCAGCTTTTACATCCTATATATATATATCTTCGTGTTCTTTTCGAACAGAAGATGTTTACTTGAAAGATAACAGTTAAAAATAGAATCAACCGTGGTAAAGAAGTGCCTTAGGTTTTAGATTCATGGAAGCGTGTGGTTTAAAAAATTCGATCTGAAAAAAAAGTCCGCAAATGGCCTAGGAAAAGGGATCCGTTTTTATTTGATCGAACAGAAAAGCCTACAATACAAACATTCACCCACACGCATCTTACAAATACACAAGCACGCAAAAACGCATAAAGGAAAAGCCGTAAACCCCTTTATGCTTTCTACTGTAATTACCTTACTTTACTCATTACAGCCTTTAGTCATAACTATTAATAGTGCTGTTGCTCTATGATGTTTACCAACATTCTATTCAACCCATCGAAGATACAACCAGTTGATCTGTGTTTATTTATAGCTGTCCCTCGATATTAGTCAGTTTGAAATAATCTATATGAATAACAGCAAAGTAACAAACTACGTGTACACAGCTTAGTGATGGCTCATCCTCTGTTGTACTCATTCAGTTGGAGGCAATGGGTCCACAGCGACACATTTTATCTTTCTGACGTGTGTGTGTGTATGTGTGCAAAATAGAAGCTATAACTTTTCGAACTACTCTATTTCCGTAAGGTCCGCTGATCTGATTTTAGTAAATTTTTTTTTTTTTCAAAATACAGAAGGTACCATGCTTCTTCTATGCCAAAAATAACAACATGAATCGAAATAGAAATGACTAATCATTTCGTTGCAACTCTAAATTAGACAACTCTCTCTATTCATGTTTGTCACCTAAAGAAGATAGGCTTACTTTATCCGATCAGAAAAGTTAGATGAAGCCAAATTCAAGTTACAAAGAAGCATATCCCCAAAACTGAAAAAAACAAACATTTCCAAACACAAGCCATTAGAAATAACAGTTATCCAAAATAGCTAAGTCTATTGTATACAACACTTCCTCTCTGGGAAAGCTTTAAAATTGATGCAATGCAACTATGAAAATAAGCCATCAAAAACACGTGAATTTTTTTTTATTTTTATTTTTTAACGCCCATACAAAAAAAAAAAACTCCTCCCTTTGCTCATTAGTAAAACAATCCTTCTTTATGGGATTTTCTGTTGTAGTTTGCAAGATTCTTATCTATGATCTTGGCAGAGTCTTTTGATTTGAATTTGCTAATTACAAACTACTTATCGTCATCTTTGAAACAATGAAAGAAATTTTCGCATTCCGAATCCAATCATTGCTCACACTAATCTGTGGACCATCTCGTTTAAGCGCTGTATGCCATTTCTCGGTAAAATTAAAGCGGTTATTCGTCAATGTCTAGCGACTCAAGTCAAATGCCTGAGTCATCCTTACAATTAAAGCGGTTAATTGCGCTTCGTCTACAGTATTTAACTAATATTTTACATAAAATACAATTTTTTGGACGATTAATATTTTTATTTTAGACAAGTTGCAATTGTGTTGTAGACGAAAATAAAAACCGTTCAAGCAATGATTCAATTAAAAAACTTGTCAGTAGTGCGAAATTAAAAAAAAAACGGTACTATTCCTCACATGATCTAAATCCTTAAAAATATAAGGAAAACCGTGTTTATTACGGCGATACCTTTTTCTTCTTCGCTGGCTTGAAAACGTCAGGTCTTCTAGCTCCGGACCAAACTGCTTGAGATATAGTCATCATGTTAATAGCGGCGTTAATGTCTCTCTGCCATAGCTTTAGACATTGCTTGCAATGAAGAACGCCGGTACCCTTGAGCCCAGGAGTATCAACAATTTGCATATCATCATAGAAACAGAGGCTGCATGTTTTAGAGGTTATGAATTCATCGATTGTGACAACAATCAATTGACCTTTAGCTTCACGTTTCTTCAGAGTTGCAAAAAGTTTACCGACAACACCACATATTTGCCCTTTCAACTTGACTACATCTTTTCCAAAGATTTGCTTTTTCTTCTCATAAATTATTGTTTTGAACATGGGTCATAGTATGTATCATAAAACGTGAAATAAAAGTGAAAGAGACAACGTTTGACTATAAGAGAGCAATATATTTTATAGTGCTTATCTTTGAAAGTCACCCATGAATGCACACAAAAACATTGACAGCAGATAAAAAAACCATCCCGTTTCGCCATGGTATCTGTTATACTATGGCCCTCAGCCCTCTATCAATGGTTTGATGTTGTACAAAAAAGGCACTGACAAATATCTGGTTGGTCGCGGAACACATCGTCATTGAATAAAAAAGTTGTCAAGCTGTTTGTAATTTGGCCTATTGCAAGATAATGTCAATAAGACCATTATTGGAGACTTTCTTACTGATAGAGACTCATTTCTAGGGTTCGATTGGATGTCATCCTTAATGCTGCTTGGATGTCACTGAATAATTGAGTATCCAAATTCGATGTCCAAAGTATTATGAACTTTATTCTAAAATATCTTTGTATATTGTCCGTTAAAAATTGTAAATCGTCTAAAATATAAGCTAAAATACTCTATTAATGTTATTTTCTATTTATTCGCAGAACGCGTTGTTTAGATGGTTTTCTCAAATTATTTATACACATACTATGTTTTTTAAAGGATAAATGTTATACATGTGTATCACAGGGTGACATTAGTTGTCTTTTTCATCAGTTGGCGTGAAAAAAAATAGACTTCAATTGTTAAGCAATCAAAGATGTAATTATTGTATCTCATTTTAGTAAAGAAAACGCGTTTTAAGATCGTGACAAATAAATTTCCCGTTCAAGATATTAAGTAGCCATGTTGACATGATAAATAACAAAGAAGACGCGGATCTTCGCTTCATTCATTAATTAAAGGTAGAGGCAAAGGGTTCGTTTACCATTGACGAAAAGATGAACGTGTTGAAATATGTCTGACTACTGAAAGGCCATTGATAAGAACCACTACCTTGTCTCACCGATTCAACAATTTCTGATATATCTTCAATCTTTACAACGTCATCAAACTTTTTGATACACTAGATTGAAGCAGAGCTTTCACCGAGTCTCAAGGCTGATGACGATGATTAACCATTTTCCAAGAAGGAGGCATACAGCGTGTATTAACGAACATAAAAAACTCTCAAGATTTTGTGCAGTTGTATATGTTGAAAACTGCTAACACGAGAGATAAGTGGAATGTATTTTGAATTCGAAAATCAGAAACATGCTTAAACGATAAGCCATAGACAACCATACAATTCGTAATTCTTCACGAAATGCTTGATAGCACCATCGTTTGTCCCTGCTATCTTTCTTTCAATTATGTCACATAGCATTATAGTTGAGAGCACATGCACAACGGCTATTTACCAAGGACGGCTCAGTTATGGTTTACAATGACGGAACAAAAGGAGGACCGTTTCAGGGACAAAGATCTTAATTTCGGCATTCTAATTTCGCTTTAACATACAAAAATATACTTCTAGCAGGCAAAGAGCACACCCTGAACAAAAATAAATTCACCCATGGCTTGTCTGCTGTTGAGATCTAAAATTCTATTTTTTCATCCAGAAAAGTGTGAACGTGAATGAATGAGTGAATGAAAAGATATCAATTACAAGTATATTTTTAGACTAAATGTAAAAAAAGATTATAGACGACGAAAAACAATCTAATTCTGCCTTTTCCAATGCTTACGCCATCAAGTCGCAACGTTCACAACAAATAAATATAGAAGTAGATATCGTCTTTCTCCATTTTTTGGATCTTTTTTTAGCTGGTTATGGAACCCAAAATAGAAAAAATAGAACCTCCAAAGAAGACTCAGAAAAACCGTACAATGTTGTACGCTTTAATTTACAATATAGGTTTTAGCATCATATTCATTTAGCATTCGATAACTTTTTCGCACATTCGTCCAAGTTTCAATATGTTTGAACACGAGTTAGAGCTATGCACACTATTTTAACGGAAAGAAAGCTCAGACTATTTGCTTGATTTACATGTGTCATAACTTTTTTTATTCATGAAAATAATATGATGAGATGATAATGGTAGAATAAAGTCGAAAAGGAGTAATATGGATGCATATTAGGATAGGTTATTCATGTCTACAGTTTTGATGTGTTAATGTGACTTGATCAACAGGCACTTTTTTTTTTTGTGTTAACCTCAACTGTAACAATTTGCTTCATACATCTTTTTTTTTTTGGGTCTTTTTGTCAACTGAACAGTCTACTAAGTGTAAATAATTAAACATTGATTAGTAAGACCTTTATCATCTGTAAACACAAGCACGTTCTCCATTCTTAATAGCTCTCCGTCATTTTTTAATTTTTTTTTGACGATCTGGAAACAGCTGTGGAGAAAGGAAGACGGGATCACACGCAATCTTCCCGTCTTTTCCAACATTCCTCTTTCTGCCATCCATGGACTTCCTCCTTTACACTTTCCTATTTTGGTATTTGCCGCTCTTGAAATACTTACTGCTGTCAATACTTCTTTAGTGAGTCGCTTCAGGAGAAGCAGATTTTTCGTTCTCGCGAATAGTGTCGTCATCATTTGCTTCTGCCCCTTTAGCAACAGTGGCTTTAGGCTCCTCAAAGAAATTCTTAATCTTATCAGCAACAGATTCCTTGTCTTCGTCAACAGGAGCATCAGAGGGAATAAACATTTGACGGATAGCTTCAGCAGCCGTAGCATCTTCAGCATAAGCTTCAGGTCTTTCGGGCAAATTGGCGATAAATTTCATCCAAAAACGATCAAAGTGGACCTTTTGGTTCAATTGATCGACGTAGGACTTGGCATGTTGGTCATAAAGTGCCTTGGCTTGCTTGCTGGGGAAGTAAGGAGCGATGTACTTTTGGAAGAAATCAGCCAACAAATAAGCGAATTGGACTGATCTTCTGTAACCATCCTTGACGGTAGGTTCAACATTCTTGTATTGAGCACGACGACGAATTTGACCCACTATTTTGGCAACAGAGCGTCTACCTGTGGCAACAGAAGGAGGAGGGTTCTCCCACGCCTTTCTGGCATATTCACCAGCGATGAATGCCTTTTGCACAACGGGTTGGACATAGGGAGCCACTTGTTCTCTCGCTTTCTGAGCTTGTGTCATGGCTTTTTCAACATGAGGGTTGACAATAGGATGAATGCTGCTAGAATAAAAGGATTTGGCAGCGTTGGAACCGGCACCAACAAGAGGTTTGCCGTAAGAGTTGTACAGAGGAACGCCATAATCATTATAGGCCTGAGCACCCTTTTGATAAGCAGGAACAGCATAGTCATTGAAAACGCCAGAAGCTTGCCTGGTAATAGGTGATACATAAGGATCTACCTTCTTTTTGTAAAAGTCGGTCTGAAAAATAGAGTAAAGATCTTCTTTGAAAGGATCAATGGCTCGACAGATAGCCTTTTTGTTGGGATCGTGATCGTAAGGCGAACCACAAGCAAAGAAAAAAACGTAACTCATATAAGAAGCTACCATCATGGATATGACAAGCCGGAATTTGCGAGCAAAGTTCTTTTCTTTCTGTACAGCCTATATTGTCGTTGGTTGGTTTTCAATTTTTCGTTTTCAATGTTTCAAAAGATCATTAAGAAATTAATATCTCAAAGTAACTCACAATATGTGTTTGATCCCTTTATTAGACATATATATGTGACTTACGACTCTTTCTTCTACAGCAGCAGGTCTAGAGATACTTGCTGGCTCCTATAGAATGAAAGATTCATATATCAGCGCAACTGACCGTGTTTATTGTAGATAGAAAATGGCGCAAAATTCATTTTACATTTTTTTTGATTGCTGCTGCTTTTTCGTTCGTCAAAATAGAGCTTACCGTCAGTATTCGTTTCAAACAGCACGGGTATGTTTTTTTCATTTTATCAACTACTCATAAAAGTAGATTTGTTTTCTTTTTACCTTTATAGTAAGCGGGTTTAGTGTCTTTCGGAGGAACTGGAGGTGGGCTCTGCGGTTTATTTCTCTTAAATGTGATAGGCATCCTTGTAACGATATCTTTCTTTTTAAGAAAAAGAGAAAAGAAAAGTATGGAAATGCACACAGGAAATATTTAGAAGAAAAGAGAAAAAAGAAAAAAAAAAGCTCTGATTTTTTCCAGTATTTTGTCAGTATGGAATAATAATAAAAACGCGCCTTTTGCTTCCCCCAACGGTAATCAATTTTGCTAAGAAAACAAAAGCAGAACTCTTTTTTTGGTTTGTCGATTTTTGGGTTTTTTTTTTGGTTTTTTTTTTTTTTTTTTGTCTGGTTAATTGAGGTTTCATTTGATCATTTCATTTTTATTTTTAATGCAGGTCAGTCAGCCTTTTCAACACGATAGCGTACAATGTTGAATTACCAAAAGCAAAGAGGCTCTAGAATAGTCTCTTAGGTAACCAACGGCAAGAATCCACGAGTAAATGAAAGGGATATAGCTTGACTGTGTTGTTTAGCGAAAGGCTGGCTTAGATACAAATGTTTAAGCATTGTCAATGATTCTTGGATCAAATCAGTCAGTTCATTCTAATTGCACCAGCCATAAACCTACCCATTCTAAAAATATTTGTTGCGGGCAACTTACCTCCATCTTTCAAGCGGAGATCATCGTTTCCCAACTTACGATTTGCCCTCACATCTATTTACAAGCTTGAAATCAGAGTTCACTTTAGTGAAGAACAGCAGCATGTACATTAGTAAGAAGAACAACCCTAGTTCTTACCTTTGCATTTGTGATAGCGTGCTTTACCTTTTTCTTAGTATAGGTTGCACAATTACAATTCCATCTAACAAGGACATTGCAAGAACGTTAATTTTTGTCTTCGCGCTAATGCGTGCTATGCAGTCTACTGGAGATAAGAACTAATATAGAGTTTTGTATCTCAACAAAAGGCTGATGTTCCTTAAGCAATATGTGATTTGAACACTTTTTTTTTTTCTGCCGTATTGGTTCGTTTTATTCTTGCAACGGCATTCTACAAGACCGCTTCCGTATATATTGTCGGAACACTCGAGAGCTTCTACCTGCTACTATTCTTTCCATATCATCATGTTAAATGAACAAGACTACTCCTTCTACGCTTTTTATTCGGGGTTAACCATGATTTATGTGACAAGAAACGCTGCCTAAGCTTAGCAATGTACAATCACGTGAATATTACTCTGAACTATTTGATTATGCTGTGTGCAGTACCTTGGCAATTATGTCGATATACATATTACGTCTATCAGTCCAACAATAATTAATGCACTACGCAATAAATATTACATACGCGAATGACCTGCATATATTTCGCTGCTGACATACAATAAGAGATAAAAGCAAAACCTGTTCTACAAATACCATACACTGCTTCCATTCGCTAATTGTTGACGGCAGATAATATAACAAAATCTGTTTTTGTTTATTGTCAACACACGCTTGCTTTCTTCAAAGTAAATAGTGCCTTTCATACAGATCACGCTAATGATTATACGGATGGTAAAAGGAACAAAAACAAAAACCATCAATCCAGGCACTCATATCAACCTGTTTTGAGATCGTTATTTATTTATTTATTTTTTGGTGACCTTTATTATGATACATAAAGTGAATCGTTTAAAAATATTTGTTCATGCTCACTTCTATAAGATGATGCTCTTCTCTTTGGGTAATCTGGTTTGTTGTATGGTTACATTTCATTAGAGTATCCGATGACCTTGGTGAACTGCTCGAATTTGATATTCTCTCTAATCACCACTGCCTTGGCTTCGTTATCCTTGTTGATAGGGATTTGAATCAAATCATCGTCCTTTGTCTTCCAACCTTGGCTTTCACAAAACTTGTTGAACGCGTCCTTGTCGTCTGTTAAACCTAATTGAGCTGCTAAAGCAGAAGAAAGGATAGTTTGATGGGACATGGTCATAACACGAGCAATAACGAGACGAATTTCATCTTCAAAATTGGGAACAACTTGAGTCCAAGGCTTTAAATCGGATTGCCAGAATTTAACGTAACGGGCTTGTTCTAAAAGTTGTTGTAAATCGGTCAATTTCTGAATAGATTCAAGATGCTATTTTCAAGAATAAATGACGTTAAACAACTCTTTGTTCAGATGCCTCGGGATATACGACTATTATAGTTGTAGATATTTACTGCTTGTTCGGCTAAAAGATACAGACAAAGGTTGAAATCGGGTGCAGGAATGGCTGTTAATGCTTTAACAAGAATCTTGATAATGACAGATTCTTTAGCTAAATTAGGATTAAACTGATAGCTACCGAAGAGTAATAAATGCAAACAATTTTTGAATATGTGCCTCGTTGTCAATGCCTGATGACAGTGCTGTATCAAAATATTTCAGGTCTGCTTACAGTTTGAGGATAGCCAAGTTGGCTTCTAAATCATAATGATTTGTTTCAATTTGCTTTGTCAAATATTCCTCAAGAATAGAGATGTTTTCAGGGTTGTAACGTTCAACACCGTTAATCAAGGTATCAATATCTTCAGGACGTTGAATTGAATTGTTGCCCATGGTAAATGAATAGTTAAGATTAACTGCCAAATGAGTGCCCCTAACCGAAAGTGTATAGCACGGACAAAAAAAAAAAAGTTTCCTTTTGAAAAAAAGATGCGTGACTGTTGTCCCTACATACAACCGCGCAAAAAAGCAAAGTGAACTAAAAACCCAATAGCCGCCACTGCTGCCCTCCACAAAACTAGGAAAAGTCTAAATTGCATAAAAACCGCAGGGTTCAGACAGAATTAAATCGAAGGACAAATAAGGGAAAATGATGTCTGAATGATTCCATTGCATTTTCTTTTTTCAAAATGCTTTTGTATAACTTTTATCTTTCCCTTTTTTTTTCCTTTAATCATGTGAGTTTTGATTCCTTTTGTTGTTTCTGTTATAATAGATACTGAGTACCCTTTTTATATACAACCTAGTTTTCATTTATACTATTAGTGTTGGTTTCCAATATTACGACAACGTTTTATAGAAAGCTCTACAATTTGAATGCCCTACTAATAGAATGTATAGAACGCCATTGCAATCGAGATTGCTACAATGCTCATTGCGAAATACTGACCGAGCACTGTTACGAAAACCATTTTCAGCTACTAGATTGATAAAAACCGACATCCATAGATTAAAGTCGCAACCTACTTCAAACCGGTTGCTCTTCTCAAGGCTAGATAACAAACGAAGAGCCGCACAGCATGTTCTTTTAGCATCTTCAGTTATACCTCTTCATAAATCATTGATTATCAGCGATGCAAACTTGACGCAAAAAGGAATCCAAACGAATAACAACATACCCGTACCAAACATCATAGAATCCTCAAAGGAAAACCATACACTACTAAGTCGAACGGAGCCATTGAAACACAAACTGATCCGACTATGTCAACACATCATTCAATGGCTTGATATTTATGTACTCGAGCCCATTCTCACTCTGCGTCGATTGACTCACATATTACTACTATTTACCCCTGTGGTTGTAACGGCGCCATTTGCCCTTTTTTTGCCCGTTGGATCACGGTCTTCCAACAATGAATATCCTGATTTCGGCGAACGAGATGCCACCCTTTGGTGGTTCGACTTCCTTGCCAAACAGATGGAACGAGCGGGCCCCACTTTTATTAAGCTAGCCCAATGGATTGCTTCACGTACCGATCTATTTCCTTTAGCCCTATGTGCTCGACTTTCTAAACTTCATTCTCAAGTAGATCCACATCCTTTTAGATATACCAAAAAGATCATTGAGCAAGCATTTAGCGATTACAGTGCTCTTCATGGCAGCAGCAAACAGCGACACTCCCATTACCTTCATTATCATCAGCATCCATCTCTTGACGATATTTTTGATCGGTTCCAAGAAGAACCGTTAGGTGTAGGGGCTATTGCTCAAGTATATAAAGCGAGACTTAAACCGCAATTTTTGCTTATGAGTTTGAATGAAGATGGTGGTAACCAGCGATATCGGTTTATCCGAGCCTCATCTGAATCTGCAGCTACGGGATGGGTTGAAATCATCGATGATGAAGAAAACAAAATCCACCGTATTCAAACGGATGTAGCTGTAAAAGTCCTTCATCCGAAAGCACGCCAGATTGTCCAACGAGATTTGATTATTATGGAAACTGGAGCGACACTTTTAACCTGGCTCATTCCTACTTTACGTTGGCTATCTTTGCCGGAAGAAGTACAAGTTTTTGGAGAGATGATGAAGGAGCAATTAGATTTAAGAGGGGAAGGACGAAATCTCGAAAGGTTTAACGAGTATTTCAAGAAAAGTCGAACGGTCAAAATACCAAGACCCTTTATGAAGTTCTCAACGAAAGATATGCTGTTGGAGGAATATGCTAGGGGCATACCATTGGATGTGTTTTTGAAGCAAGCGCTTTATACGAGGCAAAAAGAAAATGATAGTTTAGAGCCTGTGTTTGATGCTAAAATAGCCGGTATCGGATTGGATGCCTTTTTGGTATGTTAAAAAAGGAATGCCTAGCGAAAAAACTGCACTGTTAAAAACATTGATATGCTCATTTATTCTCTCCCATTTTCTTCATCTTCCTTCTCTTTCAAACCTAAAAAAAAAAAAGCATATGCTTATTTTTTATAATTTCGTTCATGCTGATTTACACCCGGGAAATATCATGGTTGAGTTCTACAAACCATCCGCTTATCATCCTTTACGTGTCACTTGGTCGAAACTCACCGGGAAGGAAATTACAGATGAAGAAGGCGAAGAAGCAGTAAACCGTATCCTCAACATCACACAATCAGGCAACAGCAACGACGAGCTTAAAAAAGCGACTCTACAAAAAGAACTCGTTGCACTGGAACAAGAAGGCTATTCTCCTCGTCTCGTATTTTTAGACACGGGTCTGGTAAACGAACTTAACGATGTCAACCGTCGTAATTTTTTGGATCTGTTCCAAGCAGTAGCGGCATTTGATGGTTATCGTGTGGGAGAACTGATGGTAGAGCGCTGTCGCTCTCCAGAAGCAGTTATTCAGCCTGACGTCTTTGCGCTTCGTATGCAAAATTTGATTTTACAGTTGAAAGAGAATACGTTTCATTTAGGAGCAGTTAAGATAGGTAATTTGTTATCTCAAACGATGAATATGGTACGGTCGCATCATGTCAAGATGGAAGGTGACTTTATCAATGTCGTTGTAAGCATTATGTTGTTGGAAGGAATAGGGCGACAGTTGAACCCTGATCTGGATTTATTGAAGAGCGCGATACCAGTGTTAAGAAACTACAGCATCAAGGAAGGAAGTAAGGTAGCAGTCGAAACAGCAGGCAAAAAATCAAGGATGAAGAATCAAGAAAAACAAGATGCGGATGAAGGTGGCACGAATTGGATTATAGATTGGCTAAAGGTTTGGATCTTCCTTGAGCTCCGAACCTATCTCGGACAACATACCCGTGATGAAGAATGGTTACAACTTTGGTAAATATATCCTTAATGAAGAAAAAGTTAATTTAATCATCATTTGTCTGTTGAGCTATTATTGACTCCTTTTTCTTTTTGTATTGTTTTAGTGATATATTATGCCCAAATGCTATATAAATTTTATGAAACAACAACCCTCATTATTTATATCGTCCAATGGCATTAAAAAGAAAAATGCTTGCATATATACGCCCAAAACATTGAACAAAGAAGCTTCTAAGTTCGAACCCATATAGAGGAAAAAGCCGAAAAAAAAAAGTGAAAAGAGACGAAGTGCGTATGCGTGAGCGTGTACGGAGAGGGAGGCGGTACACAAAAAGAGATACAAAATGATGATGGGTTCAAAAAACTAAAAAGTGTAAAAAACCCAGATTTGACAGGCGATGTAGGCTAGCACAATTTTTTTTTTTTTCTCTTTTGGGCAGACCCCACACGATATCTTGACATAATGATACGTTTTTCCTTCAAATCAATTTTTGCGCACTTTTTAATGCCAATGGTGCCGTGAGTGGGCAAAACTGAGGTCAATCTAATAATTTTCATACGCAGTTCTTTAATAAGGATGTTTTTTTCATATGAGTCGCTTAAAATAGCTAGTAGAAATATAAGATATTCTTACTGTAAGAATACTATAACTTTACAAACGCATTCGAAATTCTTGAGTCATTAATTCTTATGCGCACTGTCCAAAATATACGTTTAAATACCTGCCTAATTGAGAGGTGATCCAATTTTTGCACTTCCGTTGTTTGGTAAGCGATAAGAAGAATCCTTTTGAGAATGTTTCTAAAAAAGCATCACAATTTACAGGAACGATACAACAGCCCTAAATTAATTGTTACCTTTTGAAGTAATTCAAACATTTGCGCTGCTTCATATAACATCATGTACAAACAGATACCACGCACACAACATTATATTATATGAAGGAACGTCAAAATGTTTCTTTGATAATTCAAAATTGGTTTCCTGAACTTCTTTTCTACCTTTTTTCCACTCCCCTTTTTTTTCCATCTTTCATACCTCATATTACAATTAAGTTGCTTATCATACCATACTTTTTGTTTTTGTAAATACATCTTCACCATCCCATGTCATAATGTCTTCTTTTTTACACGAGCCCTTTTCTTCTGCCTATTTAATACCATCTCACATGGATGAGAATAATGATACCCAACAGCAACTTCAGCACGAACAATACCAGGACAAAGATCAGCTCTGGCAAATTATTGAAAATCAGCGTACGATCATCAATGAGTTAAACGAGGCTTTGAAAACTGTAAAATTAGAGAGAGATAGCTTGATTCTAAAATTAGAGAACCTGACAGCAGCAGCATCGCGAGCTTCATCCACACCATCGCCCCCAACGCCGACTCCAACACCTCCCCCGAGGAGCCCTTTTCGTAACGTATACCTTTATCAGCATTCCTCAGGAGCGTCGCCACAGCTTCCTCATCATCAACAGCAACATTTATCAAAGCAGACACAACAACGGCAGGCCTCATCCTCCATTCATGATACCATTAACTATTTTACAGCTGAAGAACAAGATGAAGAAGATATCCAATCAATATTAACATTAGCCACAGCAACTACAAACTCCAATCATATACAGGATAGGATTGTCAGTGACTCTATGGACGAAGGCACTCTAGTCCAACTCAAAATCTCGAAAATCTCTTTGCATGCTTCATCTTCTTCATTTGTTTTGAGTGTCTTGAATCCTACTACCGGAGAAGAGTTATGGCAAATCGAGAAGGCGTTTTTAGAATTGATTGCTCTTGACACCCAGGTAAGAAATTGAGTTATTAAAGAAAGGAAAAATCATACCACTTTTTTTACTAATCACTTACTGTCTTTTATTCACCCCTGTTGATCATTTCATCGTTATTGTAGCTGAAATCTTTAAACTCTTCCGTGACAGCAGCAGAAAGGAACTATCAAGACCTGATAAATGTTGAACAGCTATTAAATTTTTGTAATACCAGCAGCACAACAACTGCAACTACAACAGCTCTTGAAGCAGATACCACACGAAAATTAAAGCTTTTAATTGAAGCATATTTTGATCAAATTTTGAACAAGCTGGATACTCAATATCCATTCTACTCATTTATTACTACCAATTACAAGATACAGAAGGAAGGTTATTTAACAAGAAGGGAGAGCAATGATCTAAGCAGTAAAAGGACCTTCTATTTTATTCTACAAGAAAAAGAGATTAGGTATTTTACTACCAATCAAGGAAAACTGTTTTCCAACCACATTAATTTATTACACAGTACACAGATCGTCCAACAGCAACAGAAGATTATTGATAAAAAGGAAGCAAACGACGAAGAGCACGCTTTCATCATTTTTAATACCAATGAGCAGCCTATAGTATTATCAGCACCGACGCAATGTATTAGGGATGAATGGGTTGACGTGCTATATACTTTCATTACTTCTTTGCAAAAACAGTCTCAACAACGCTTCAACAAAACTAATAGTCAACATTTGATAAAGACGGCGGCAGTTGTCCCTAAACTGCATAAGCATCCACAATTACAAAACCAAACAAAAAGTATGCTTATAACCTTGCCTTCTTCGTCTGATCTCCACACTAATATTACAACTACTACAGAAATAGTCGATGCCATTGATAATCACTCTTTCGAGTCTCCACAACATGAGCAACAGCATTCACACCAACTACGTCATCGCGTCAGTCTAGATGACCAAGCTATTCTCAAACACTATAAGAGTAATAACAACTCGGTCGCTTCTTTTGCTACAATTCAAACTATACAAACTACTACAAATATTAGCAATAATAGTAGCAGAAATATAAATACCAACTCTATAAATGATAATCAAACTCTAACTGACAGTAGCAATTGTAGCAGGAAGAATGGGTATAGCAATAATCATCGCAAAAGTTTCTGGTCTAGACAAGGGAACAAATTACTTTCACTAGCCGCATCACCTTTCACCAATAGTAGCACTAAGGTGAATAATGGCACTAGTAGTAGCAATAGCAGCATTAATAGTTCTAATAAGCAGCAACAGATATTTGGCGTCAGCATCGAGGAAGCATTGAATGTGTCCTCCATTACCGTTCAGCCAATTACTACTACTAATTCCGCCAATGTGAGTAGCAACGAATTCAGGTTACCTTCTATTGTGTATCGTTGTATAGAGTACTTGGATACATTTGATGCTATTTATGAAGAAGGCATTTATAGACTGAGTGGCAGTGCATCTCAATTATCTCAATTAAAGCAGCAGTTTTTTGAGCAACACGGCGATGTCAATTTATTGTTAGCATACAATACATTGGATGTTCATGTAGTGGCGGGACTACTCAAATCATGGTTGAGAGAATTACCAATCAATATTTTGACTGAAGAATTATTAGATTCATTTCGAAAAGTATCAGGTACTATTGTTTATGCTGAGAAACCGATTGTAAATCGGAGAGGTATAATTAACACGTGTCTACAGAAATATCAGATCCTATTTATCAATTAGAACAACTTCATTCTCTTGTATGCAACCTACCTTTACCTAATTACGCATTGCTATATACCTTGATTCAGCATCTTAAAAAAATCGTTCAAAACGCTCAACATAACAGAATGACGCTTCATAACTTAAGTATTGTCTTCGCCCCTACGTTATCCATACCCACTGCTATTTTTCAATTATTTATGACTGAATTCGAATCTATATTTACACCGGCTACGACTCAGTTTATACTACAGCAAGAGCGTCAAAATCAGCAATTACAGCAATTACAGCAATTACAACAGCAGCAAAAGCAGCAGGAAACACAGCAAGAGAATGAGTTAATGAATAAGAAAATTAAAAGAAAAAGTCAGGTTGTTTCATTTCTACCCTCCTCTACAACGTTTGAAAACGCGACTACTACTTCAGCTGACAAGATCAAACAATATTATCTGTCGAAGCTTCAATGACGATAAAGACTACTATAGACCTAACTCTACTTTCTAATTTTAATTGAAAAAGTTGGTCTGTACTCTCTTCTTTCAAAAGCAATAAACACATGTTTCATATCTGTAAATGAATATGCTAGTAGCGTAGCTCAACCACTTTTCTCTTGACCTAATGTTTCATGCATTTAATTTTTCAAGTCCGTTTATTCTTATCTTTCTCTCTTTTAACGATAAAATGGGGAATCACAAACCTGCCTCCTGTGTAAATATCTCTTCAAAAAGCATGGATCATAGAAACACGAGCCCAAAGACATCCAAACACTCTACAACAACAGTATCTGATACACCTCAACAAAATATTATACCCTTACCCTCCTACTGTTTATATTCTAAAAGAGCTTTACTAAATGAATACGCGCCTGAATCGGATATTATACAATACTTATCACCAAAAGTTAACAATCAGTTCCTCAAAGAAAAACTTCCGATGTTTGTGGGAGTTTTACAGTCATTATCTGCAGTAGTGAGCGACATGCCATTTTTCAGTGAAGAAGAAGAGGAGGAAGACGAAGAATATGGAATTGACAGTAGCAGTGATGACAGTGATTCAGACAGATCTAGGTTCAATGACAATGATTCTGTTGTCAATTTTGGAAGTAGGAATGCCTTTCAATCCACAACAAGGAGAGCATCTCACCATAGCGGCAGAGAAGGCAAACAGAAACAAGAACTTCAAAAGGACGTCAGTATTATTGGATTGCGTACGTTGAAACTGGTGGTATGGAATCAATCTTTGCATTTGGATAGAACTGGTGACTTGTCTTTAGTGATTATAGTATCTGCTCATCTTTCAGACAGCATCATCTTGAAGAATATGGAAATCTTGAAGCAGAATCTTAAAAGACAACAATATGACGCTAAGCAATTTAGACTTGACGAGAATCTAATGAACGCAAATGATGTACCAGTAAGTAGCACTTCCGAAGATTAGAGTTATGAATGATTGGGAGCTGAGAAATTGTACCTTTGACTGAAGCAAAAGGTAGTAACATCAGAAGAAATAGGCGATCGACTCCAACAATTTATCTATACTCGCTTTAATTACATACACGACGGATAATGATAAGCATGAAACTGAGTCCACAAAAAGGCTATATACACCCACATATACAAGACTGTCATTTTGTGTATTTGTTACTATACCCTTATTAATATCATTTCACCCTATAAGGCCCATAATGTTCTCTTTCATGAAATACTGTTCGAAGTCGCTCAAAAATACACCATCTACTCATTGCGCTGTCTCTATTGGACCCAATAGGTTCAAGATGAATCTAATCATCAACATTTAGCAAGGCAAAACTAGGCAGCTGATAATCTTATGTTAAGACTACTTTTGCATGTTACCGTCATAGAAACCAAGTAGCAAACATTTGAGGTTAACCACAGGTGAAGAGGCAATTTCATATCGCTTTTTATGGGCGGTCCATTAATTTTTCAAAGTTAAATGATGAGCCCCCTCGACCGATATTGATAAGTGAAAGGATTTCATCTCAACTAAAGTTACCAAATTTCAGAGCTGCATCCTTCTAAATACACTACGATTGATTAACGTAGTATTGTTATCTACAGAATTTTATATGTATATGCTTATATTATACATTTTATTTTGAGCTATCGCATTATTTCAATTCGACAGATTTGTTCTTTGTTTCTTCTTTCACCTAAATCGTTATGTCAATAAGGTACAGGTTCATAGAATTGCAAGTCTCAAATTAAGCAGGCTAAATAATGAGAAATTTATGACTATTATTTGACCTGGTCTGTGTAAAACGTATACCCAACCTGTTGCATCTTGTACAAACACTCCTTAACTGTAGTTGGAGGCAGTCCTGATATTGATTGAATGAATACTGATCTTTGTTTCACTTCCCTTTTTTCGTTCCTGAATTATAGAGCCCTGAGTTTGGATCGGTGACTCCTTGATGAGGAATGCTTTACAAAGTGGTTCGTAATTTGATCTTATTGCAGTGAAACATATAAGATTATGCGAATACCTTTACTAACAACCTTCACAGTAAAAATGTTATTATACGTCTCGCTCCTCTTACACTTACTAAAATCGATTAGTTTGGCGTCATAAATAATTTGTCCATCTCATTTCATTCTTAGACCAAACATATTCGCGGTGCATGCCTTATTGATTGCTCTGTCTATTGTTTAGCTTCCTCTTGCTGCTACAAAATCGAGTGCCTGTAAATGCGGAAAATAGACGTGTCTAGTAATCTGCATAGTGCACACCTAGAACATCGAATACATGTTCTTCAGAATCATGAATTTAATAGATTCATGTTTGTCCTGCTAAGTCTTATACTCATTTTCCAGCAGAATTTGTCTGACTTTCAAATGCAAATTGTCACAAAGCGTATAAAATGCTGCAGGAATTTCAGTTTCTTCTTTCTGATTCTTTTATTCCTTACACGTTAGATACCGAAAAGCAGCTCTTTTTTTTTTTCTATTGTAATGAATAATTTCGTTTATGGTACCATAGAAACTAGTGCTATTAAGAATGTTGAAGATAATAATTTATACAAAACCACTTATGCGCAATCAATACCAACAGAGCCCTTACTGCTGACCAAAAAAAGAAGACGTTCACAAATACTAAATGATAATGAGTTAACTGAATCACTTGAAGAGCCCGAAAAAAAAGCATTCAAGCCATCCCCATCTTCAACTTCTTCATTAGATAAACAATTATTCCATTCATTTTCTCAGCCCACAGCATTTGCTCCAACTGATACTACAACAAATAACGTTACTAATAGCAAGAATTCAATATTTGAAGCTTATAAAAGAATATGGCTGAATTTAGACATTGAACATAACCCAACGGATGCAAAGCTAGAACCTTTTATATGGAAAAAAATGAAAGAACTAGCACTATCCAATAACAGCAACCACTAGAACAATACAACGGTTGGAATATACCCATTCTTCATTACTTCCAGTATAATGCCCTCATCATAACCGGTTAAATGTGTCGATCCAAATGGATTTTGTTCACTTGAACCACGAGTCAGAATGACTGGTCTCTGCTCTATAATTGTTGTTGATTCTGCTGCTTCCTTATTGCTGTTAGACGTATCAGCCGTCGTCAATGTCGGAGCAAATACTGGGTCCCAAGGAATACGTTTTTTCATATCAGTGACCTTCATATCAGCAGTGATAACGTATTGTAAATAGTCATTATCTTCATCGTCTAGTATGTCCACCAATTGGTTCTTTTTTGTATTTCGGTCTTCTTTCTTTATAAACTGCTTAATTATACTTTTAGGAAACGTTAATTGAAAAGGACATCTTTTATATCTATTGAAAACGAAGCCATATCATTAGTTCTCGCGGGGGGTTTGATTAATCATGCAATCGATCTCGAATAAACTAACCTTTGGAAATCATAATGTCCCGGTATATTTCCGTGCAAAACGATTTTTTTACAGACATGCGACCCTCCATCAATCAATATATCGATTCCGAAATGGAAATAATTGAGAAAGTAATCGGTGTGATATGATTGATTGTCATCACTAATACTATTGCTGCTACTGCTAGTGTTGTTGACATCATTGTTGTTGCCATTGTTGCTGCTACTATTCTCCAATTGGTTGATATTATTATCATCCATGATTGTATCATTTTTACTGCCGTTACTGTTTCTGTTGTTTGCAGTTGCTTTATCTGCAGTAGAAGTATTCATAGTATCGTTCATATTTTTCACAGAATGTATCTTCATTTTGTCCTCTTCCTTGTAGAAAATTTTACTAGGTTTACCTAGATCGACTAGAATATCTTGTACACTGGTTTGGTTTAAATCAACATGAACAAATTGCTGTAGGATATGATTATTGCTACTGATGCTGTTAATAGTTTGAGTAGTACTGGTTCCACTTGTTTGACGAGAATGTTGTTGTGTTGTTGGAGATAACGTTGCTGCCGCTAACGATGATAGTAATATTGATGTTGGTGACTCAGTATGTTCGACTCCTACTCCGCTATCCGTTGAAGAATGACCCACGGTTGGAAATACCAGTGTAATACCCACTGTAGGCTTGACAATTACCTTCTCAACTTCTCTTCTGCCGACTTTTCCATAATTCTTAATGAAGCTTCTCAGTGTGGCTGATGTAGACATTACGTTTGATTCCGCGATAATTTTCGATAAATGAGAAGCAGGAATAACCGATTGTTGCCATGTATAACACTGACTACTATATACAATTACTTTAGAAGCAATTGGTGTCGTTCCATCAGGTAATTCCAAAGGTAAATCAGCGGTTGTTGTTTTATTGCTGGTATCGTTAGCTGCTTTATAAAGATGCTGGTGTCTTAAGGGTATAGGAAAGGTAAAAGCAAGACCCTGTTAATAGAGAAAGACAAAAGATTATTTGAGTTACTTTGCAACAAGTTACATATTGGGATTGATCTCATTTGTAACTCACTGGATATTTGAGAGTGTATATGCTTTGTTTTGCTTCGTATTCGCCTGGATAGGTTGGTCCAAAAGATTTATAGATCAACAAAAAAGTCGGTATTGTCCTACTTGAACTGTTTGAATAAGATTAGCAAAGATGATGTATGATTAATCCTACCATTTATCTTTTGCACAAAGAAACAATTACCTTACTTCGCTGTGTTGATACACTAGCTTTACTTTGTTAGGGTCGTAGCATTCAATCGATCGTAATCGCTGCAATGAGCCATCAAATCGTAAATGCAGCCCATTGACAGGAAGTGTAATTATAAAGTCGAATTTCAAAGGCTCCTACGTCACAAGGTACAGACTTAAGTGTAAGCTTGACTGTAATAGCTTTTAAAAGAGATGAGTCACCTGCTTCTACCTCCTGACTATATTGTAGCTCGACAGTAGGAAAAAGTTGAGATCGTTCGGATAGGAAATGAATCACATCCCATAGCGATGATCCTGAAAAACAAGTTTATTCAGTATTTGACTCGATCATTTTTACATTGGTACAATGACTCAAAGTAACAAACCTAAGCAAAAAGGACCCAAGCTCTTTCCAGGAACAATGTCTAATTCTATCCGTTTGGATATTCGATGATGTGCTGGCTTTGAAGGTGATGGTACCGCTGAGTCTGTCATTAGCGTATTAGTAAATGTTGTGATTGTATCAAATGCAAAAGATGTTTAAAGGGTATATTTAAGAGACTATCAATGATAAATCATAAAGAAAGATGCTAATATTGTTGTAGATAACATGTGCGAAATTTATGGACAGTATGATTATTTTTTTTTGGCCAGCAGCAGCTGTTATTAAATTATCGAGATGAAGCAGCTGATCTGCATAAATGATATACTCCAGACTCACACGCACCCGACCATTCAAATGGTTCCTGAGCAATTCGTTCCGGCAAGGCCAACACTGCTGTTACTATCATTCAATGTTATACTTGGATGTATCTTGTATTTACTGTGTCTATTATCTTTTGACGAGATGTTCTAGTAATAACTGATGCTGGGCGATACAAAAATGTTCTTTGCAACTGTTCGGCAAAAAATATTATGCTTTCTTTGTATTAGCCAATTGACGCCTAGAATTTTCAAACTTCTATTTTCAACCTTATTTTTTCCTCTTTCAGTGAAAGCACGAGCTTTTCTGCTTAATCCTGACTACTACTATAGTCCATTTTCTTGCTTCCCTTTCTATTCGTCATCAATTGTACATTTATTTCGTAACCTAAGCAATGTCTTCTTGGGAATTACAAGTGACACCCCAAGAAGTGAAATACTTTAAGCAATTATTTCAGGTCGCCGGTCAGGCGCAAGAGGGCATTGTCACTGGCGCTGAAGCCGTTCGATTTTTTGCTGGTTCTGGTGTACCTAATCAAATATTATCAGAGGTAGTAAAGAAATAGGTTATATATTGTTAGCGAATTGTCACTCACTTATGATTTCCAGATCTGGGAAACTGCTGACAGGGATAAAGCCGGCTATTTGACTGAAGAAACTTTCGCTATAGCGTTAAAGTTGATCGCTTGTGCTCAACATGGAAAAGAACCTAATGCTAATGTGTTGTCTACAGGTAGGTTGACGTAAGAATACTTGCGATTGAAATCAATAGTTTTAGTCTGCAAGTTGTTTACTTAAACGATCGTAGTGGTCCCTCTGCCACAATTCGACGGAGCAAACGGTATCACTCCTAGTCCCTACATTTCGAAAGCCTCTCCATTACCGACTTCAGCTTCCTTGAGATCAGCAGCAACAGTCCCTAGCAACAACAGTGAACCTGTGATTACGCCTCAGGAGCTCGAAAAATATCTAAATATTTTTAAATTACATCAACCCATCAATGGTATTTTAGATGCCAACACAGCCAAGTCGATTTTCATTAAATCCAAGCTTCCAACGGATGTTTTAGGTCAAATTTGGTAAGAAAAAACGATATGTTCTCTTTATAAATGGACAATATAGTATAGAAGGACTCATATTGATGGCTTTTTTTTTTCAGGAATTTAGCCGATGTTCGTCAATCAGGAACTTTAAATCAAACCGAATTTGTTATCGCTATGCATTATATTGCAAAACTTATGGATGGCACCATTTCAACTTTACCTGACAATTTATCACCTGCAATATACCAGTCAGCAGTTGGGAGCAGTAATATTAACAATACAGTACCACCTCCACCTCAATCGCCTTTAGCACGTAGTATGACAGTTAGCTCACCTGCCTTCCAAAATGCTCGTCAACAAAGTATGATGACGCCACCTCAACGTGCTCGCACAATTGATTCACTCGGAAACCTCGCTTTTGGCAGTGCAAGCTTTTCAGAGTTTCCCACTACATCTACGACTTCCTATCAGCAACAGCATTGGGATGTCACAGCTGCTGAAAAGCAACAGTTCGATTCTTTCTTTAATAAGATTGATTCAGGAAACACAGGCGTGGTTCAAGGCAAAGAGGCCGTTGAGTTCTTCAAAAACTCGCGCTTACCTGAGACAGATTTGGCTCATATTTGGGATTTGGCCGATATACAACAACGAGGAGCATTATCGCGTGATGAATTTGCAGTAGCGATGCATTTGATCCATAAAAGATTGTCAGGTGAAGCGCTACCAAAAGCTTTACCTCATAGTTTAATTCCACCTTCCCATCATACTTCTGCCGCTGCTAATGTTGCTGCAGCTGCATTCACACCTACTATGAATAATCAACAAAAAGCAGCTGCTTCCTCTGCACGACAGCCTACCAATCGCTCTCTTCTTGATGATGATGGTACTAACAACGCAGATTTGTTGGGAGATTTTGCCGATGATAAAATATCAGCAGAAACCAATCAACTCAATCTTATGCAAAACCAAATCTCATCGCTTTCACTGCAAACGAGAGAAGCGAAACAGCAAACGATCGTTGCCGGCAATACACTCGAACAACTTCTCCAACAAAAGAAAGAACTGGAAGCTCAATTAACCAATGTACGTATGACACATGAAGCGGCTGTAAAAGATCTTAATGAAATTCAGGAAACGGTTCGTCGAGAAGAAGCGGAATGGAACAAAGTTAGGGTCGAATATGAAGCAGCACAAAATAATCTGACGAATATGCAAAATGAAGTGACACAACTTAAACAGACATTGGAAAATGGACGTTCGGAAACAGAACAATTAAGGCGACGGGTAGCTGAAATTCAGGAAGAAACGAGGAATGTGCACGCTGAATTGGATAACATGAGATCTCAAACAAAACAACAAGGAATGATGATTGATATTAATCGTAGACAAGTAACAGCGGCAGAACAGGATAGAGCTCAAGCGAAACGTCATCTGGAAGATTACAAAGTAGCAGCCAATTTGACAAAGGATGAGAATGACGATGGTAGCAGTAGCAACAGTGATGATAACGAAGACGGTACATTTAGTAGTGATCTACCAAAGAAGAGCCCTGTACAATCACCATCACTGCAACAATCTGATATGTTTGGTAATAGTGGCGTTGGTAGATCGATCACTAACTCAACTTCTCCACATACAGAAAACTCTACTATGTCATCACTGGCATTGGATAATTTATTCGGTATTTCTTCGACATCTCCTGCTTCGGTAAACGCACAAGCGCGAAACTCTTCATCTCCTTTTATGGAATCTAACAATATAAGCAATAAAACAAGTGGCAGTGATTCTTTTGATCTGTTTGCTTCTAATAAGGTCAACGCACATGTATTTAGTACCCCCGGTACGGCATCCACTGCTAATGACTTTGATGCTATATTTGGCAGTTTTGCCAGCCCTTCACCCACTGCTGCATCTGCCACTATTCCAGCACACTCTAAGTCACCATCTGCAGCTTCAACAACAAATGATCCCATGTCCTGGGCAACTACTGCTACTTCATCATCGCCCGTAACTTCACCTTTCATGACTTCACCTACTGCTAAAAGTACACGTGGGCCTCCTCCTCCTCCTCCACCTCAAAGCAGACATCATAGACAACCTTCAGAAAGCGTCAGCTCAATCGCTTCTGGCGGTGCTATCATCGCTAGTAGTCCTGCCGCTGCTTCGGCTACACCTAAAAGACAACGTGCTCCTCCTCCTCCTCCTCCTCCTCCTTCACATCCTTCCCCTTCTAACAACGTAGATGCCTCTGCAGTTGCTCCTACGTCTCCTGCGTCTGCTGCGCCGGCATCTGTGTTTTCATCATCATCATCTATCCCATCAACAACTGGGGAGACTACAACTGCTATAGACCAACCATTATCGCAAACTAATCAAACAGTTAAGGAGGCGAAGAAGAACACGAACAGTACCGTTGATAATGATGACGAAGATGATGACTTTGAAGCAGCCTTTTCTGGAAAGGAATTATCAGAAGCCAAGATTGTTACCAACGAAAAGGACGATGAATTTACTGATTTTGACGATGCATTCAAAGTGCTTGATGATAATAAAAATAATAACACAGCAACGACAGAACTTAACACAAATGCTTTTACTAATGATGATTGGGCTTCAGCTTTTAATAGCAATGGCGGGGCAATAGCATCTTTTGGCTCACCTTCAGCACCACAAAATGCAAATACTAATACCAACGATGATTGGGATAAAATCTTTGGTATGCCGTCGAACGTTGATAACAATAATAACCATACTGATACACCTACCTCTGCCCTCAATAATAACGTTACAACTAATGCCGCTGCAGATAAAGGGTTTGCTGATGCATTTGCCAGCTTTGGGGATGATTTTGGCAAATCGTCCTTGACAGCCGCTATTTCATCACCCTCGTCTCACAATAATACTACGACTGCTACAGTGCCATCACCTCAAACGACAGTCAACAGTGGTGTTCAACAACCGCCATCTGACATCGGGATTGTGGGCGATAAAGTTGAGGAGTTAGTAAAGATGGGCTTCGGCGAAAAAGAAGCTAAAGACGCTCTGAATAGATATGACCAAAACTTGGAAAAAGCTAGCAATTTCTTACTTGATCAGTCAAGTACCAAGCAATAATAGATATTAAATCTGGTTGAGCTTTTTGGCTGCCTCAAATTCTTTTTTTGTTTCACAATAAACAACGACTTACGCATATACAGGATTGCATGATACATTATTATGAACCTTAGGCTACTTGGCTTTCTACCTTTCTTAATTTAATTTTGAATGAATAAATAACCAACTTTTTAAATCTCAAACAATGTCAATGAGCTTAGCTACGTGTAATAAATGAGATGCATGCATGCTAAGTGACAGTGAAATGATGCCTTTAATAGAAAACTTACTTTGGTTTGCTTTTAGTTTAACCAGAATAACGTTTTTTTCTTCTCCTGTGCTTCCATTCAACTCAAAAAAGGCAGAAAAGTATAATATTTTACTCCTTGTCAGTCAACAATTGTTCGCTTTCTTCTTTTTTTTAGTCTCGGAAGAAGTTCACATAAACTTAAACTTAAACTTGGATGCTAACGTACTGGCCGCTCTGTTCCTGCAACACTGCAAGCTTATGCAATTTATTTTTTGTCAGTTGACTGAGTTCTCGATGACATGATCGTAATAGACATACAGTTTGTTGTCAATAACTAGAAAGGAGAGACTTATTTGCTTCCTTGCCGCCAAGAACAGTATCAAGCTGGTTATGAGGGATATGTACCACATCCTTACCAAGATTCAAAATTATGTGCATTTTTGACACTGTAGTCGTTCTTAAACTAACCCTTTTTGGTCCTATAAACGAAGAGTAGAAAAGGCCCATTAAGAATTTATATGGACATTATCGAAGAATACTGTAATGTAGGTTTTAGCAATAAAGGAAATAGAAGTAAGTATTTCAAGGAGAAAGGCTGAAAATTTTCAAGAACTTTTATGGGGCATTTAGGCTTTTAAGCACAAAGCCTACTTTTTCGAGAAGAAAAGAAGTACAGAGGGTACCGCAGGAACTGTAATGGTTAAGTTGTTACTTTGTTTGTTTACCGCTCTTGCTAGGGTTTGGTACTTCGCGTCGGCGAAGAGCCTAAAGCTACTATATTATATAGCCATATGCATTTCTTGTGCAAAGTAAGTTTATTCTGGATAGCTATGTGCTTGGTTGAAGAGGACTTATGAATCACAGAGAATGCTATTTGTAGACTCGGCGATCATTTTCACGACAAACCTGCATTTTGTATTAGGGTATTTCTTTTGCTTATATCAGGGTTTTTTCCCTTTTTTTGTTCAATTCAGGCCTGGTATTAGCCAGTTAATTAGGGCTGTATCTTTTTCTAGGACCTAACTTGTCTTTTTGGGTTCTATCTCTTTCCTGTGAAAACTTGCCCCTACCCTTAAATAAAGAGTAAAGCTCCGGGCCTTTCTCTTTTAAATCTTGCTTTTACTATAGAGCATTGCTTTTTGTACTCACTGCCTTCGAAGAGTTTACTTCAGCATTCAACACTCAAATGCTCATTTGGTGCTGTTATTCAACTTTGAGGAGAAGCACGTAAGATGAAACGACATTTTCAAGCAATACAAGAGTTTTCAGTAGATCGATATCTTTAGTGATTAAGTTTGTCCGATAGCAAACAATTACTAGCTACTATGCTAATTGAATAACCGTAAAATTAAAATGGATCCTCTCCTATAAATCTTTGATTTGCCCATGTTCTGTGAATAAAATGCAAGATGTATCAGGTATACTAGTTAGTTTCCTTGCCTATTACCATTCGCTGTAATAGCTCCGTATTACGTACTCCAATAGAGCATCATAAGTGTAAATTTGACAGCTCCATTTCTGAACAGTATGGGATTTAATCGAAATAGGGGCAAAATTTTATGGAGTAAATAAAAATGCGAAATTAACAGCTACGTGCCAAAAGTTGCTTTCTAAGTGATAAACAGTCATCTCTTGGAAAAGCCTTTTTAAGAAAAGCTGAAGAAGAAAAAGGAGCATAATAAAATCAGCTAGAATCACATAAAGCTACAATACATATTATGGTGCCACCCGCCTCATTTCTAAGCATGTGCGCGAAATTTTCATATGACGTTGTATCTTGGATTGACAATCATTTTGCGACACGCAGGGAAAAAAACACATCAACAAAGAAAAAAAAAAAAAGTACCATAAATAGTTTTTGAAGCAATGGGATTGTGAAAGGCATATAACCCAGTTTTGGATCTGTTAAACTTATGATACGAGGTATTTATTTACGTTTTCCCACAACTCCTTTCTAAGGACTGATACGCAAATCTGATACTTTCTCCTCATCTCCTTTTTTTTGAATTTTTACCATACTACATCAGTTCGGTAAATCGCAATGATATAAATATGTGGCCTTCGAATAGCAAGCATAAACGAATTTTCGGGCGTCTTTTGTACCCTTTTTGTACTTTGAATCTGTTATAACAGCATTAATCATTTCATTATTTCTTTGCTGCATAAGCTATCGTTAAAAAATGGGCTATTCTCCGATTCCTCCACAAGCATACACTTCTGTATTAAAGTTCACTATTGATGGGCGACCTTCTGTCAAGGTATATTTTTTCTTTGAAGCTTTATTGTGCTCTTTCGGTTTCATTAACGGCCAATTGCTTGCATATAGGATATCCATGATCTATTTTCCGCATTAATAACTCAGTTGAACTTTAGTACACATCGATATATGTTCCGTACTTATACAAACTCTTTCACGTCAGAAGACGCCTTAGAGCGTTTAAGCTCTCTTCAATTTAACAAATCAACCGACGATCAAGGAGCTCAGTCGCGTAATATTACAAGAATCACAACCACTACGTTCAATATGAATAGAGACATGGCAAAAGCCCTAATCCAGCAATTCATTTGGACTCGACTGATGGAAAGTTCTTTTGACCCAACAAATCGTACCTACAAAGATAAAGGTATCTGGAGACTTACTTCCAAAGGCTTATGCATTCTTCAAGACTTCTGTCTGAAGAATGGTATCGATTGGGAGCAATTTATTAGCGTGGTGAATGTCACATCCCAGTTGATGTTCCTCATTCAAGTAGAACGTTTATCTGAGAACGATCGTATCAGCTGCAAGAGAAAGCATATTTCATCACTTTTTGTTATGATGATTGCAAGTTTACCACTACGCCAAAACAGACAAAGCGAGTCAAACAAAATTGCGGGTTATCATCAATCACACACACGCTCCCTTCAGGATAATGGCTTAGATGATACACACTCTGTTTATTCACATGATTCCGACTCCACATCCTCTCCACTAAGCACTAGATCTTCTCGTCAGCCACAGTTTTTTGATTATTTTCCGGATGCTACAACGTTGCCCAATGATTTACTAGTCGGTACAGGTTTGAAACAACCTCATCAAAATAATAAGGTCATATTTCAACAACACAAAGCTCTGTTACAGAACTTGAACCTAACGTATAATCGATTCAGAATGCGAGCTATATTTACATCTTTCTTATGTTGTACATGGTTGATCGAAAATTGTACCTTTGCATCAACCGACGAAGTGGAAGGTTTGTTGACAGATTTTCTCAATATGGGTTGGGTTGATTTCTACAACAAAAAAGATAAAGAACTTGGTTATGTTGAGTCTTCAAAGTCAATACTACTCAACATGACTAGGGAAGGTATTAATGTTGTAATGGACTATGCTCGTAAGAGATATAATGAATTCCAGCAAAAAGTTGAAGGTCAGTTTAACAGCATTGCAACACTTGAAACGAGGCTTTCGACAGTCTCGTTGACTTCAGAAGAAATTTACAGCGAACCACACCACCAACTGTTTGCCTCCATCAATGGAAATCCAAAGTTAGGCGTTGAAAATTATGACACAAACCATTTTTCTTGGGCTTCAGCATCTTTATCGGACATTACACCTAATGGCTATGCAACAACAACAGTTACGCCGAGCGTTCCTGCATATGCCCGTGATTTTTCGTCTGACTATTTTGATATTGATACAATGTCAAATAGTGTTGAGTCATCAACACCAAGCACTCCTTCGGACAGCATCAGAATACATTCGAATATAAGTACTCCACCACTAACTCCTACCACTCCTGCTACATCTACATCTGATATCTGTTCAATAAAAGAGGGTAACTCATGTAGACTTCAATCAATTCTCAGAAACTCACAATTAAGATCTATTTTTAAAGACTTTCTTGCCAATAACTTTTGTGTCGAAAATCTCAACTTTTGGATTGATCATGATAACCTTCGCAGAAATTACCAACGACAAAAGACCAATATGACATCAAATAGTCAACGCTTACTTTTAGAAGATGCATATACTCTTTGGAATGCCTATTTAAAACCAGGAGCTGCGCATGAATTAAACATTGACCATAACACGAGAGAACAAATGACAGAAGAGATATCGTACATGGCATCTATCGTTCACACTTACTCATTGGGTAACTCAACAAAGCCAAAAGTGGTTATGTTGGCACATGCCACTTATGCTAATCTTATGACAATATTGAATTGGCTCGAAAGAGTGAATGAACAAATTTGCAAGCTTATGGCAACGGATTCCATTCCCAAATTTGTTCGTACAGCTGAGTATAAGCAGGTAGTTCGTAGTCTGGATATTGCACCAATGCAACTCAAGCAAAAAAAACCTGAAAAGCTTTCTATTGTCACTAAGGATATCTATGACTTCCCATCTCCACCGCAACGAAAAGTAAAAGAAACAATCTATCTATAAGTAACATAATATCTAATTTTATACCCTTGAAAAATCTTACCGCTTGGTAGTTGAGAACATGTTCTTTCTAACCGTTTTAGCTTATTCATTTCTCCCCCGATAACCAATTTGTCATATTTTTTTTTTTTATCCTGTCTTATTAATTCATGTTTATGTCAATACATACGACAGTTATATTTTATTGAGACCTATTATAAAGAATGTGCGATTTTGAGACTGTATTTCATTCCAATATCTGTGATAAGCATAATATTACTAGATGAATGTACATGTTTCCTTACAAACTATAACGTTTAGGCTAGAAAGAAAAAGTAAAAAAAACAAAAGCGTAATTTACAGGGCAATATGATTATGCTTTGGTTTTTGTGATATAGAGGAGCCGGCATCCATTCAATAGATTTCTGCTAGATACAGATAGTATACATGGCAATGTGAACCATTGTAATAAATTTGTTAATCGTAAATGAATAGGCATTTTTAAACAAAAAGCAGTTTTTGTGGAATGGATAGCGTAAGAAAAGAAACAGAACCAGAGAAAAAGGTGTCATGTTAATATCGTCTGCCATTTTAGGCTAGTAATGGTTGAGGCTCTTAAGAATTATCATTATAGTGTAGTAGAGTGAAAAAAGATTTTGATCAATGTAATTTGATTCTGTTGCCGGGCAATCAACAGGAGGTTCTAACTTATGTAAAACAATTAATAGGATACCTGCTTTATCATAACCTTTTTTTTTTTAAAAAAAAAAAACTACTCAAAAATAGATCGGTATCTAGGAATTGCGAAGGTAAACAAGAGGACCATTTGCTTAATAAATCTTTGGGGATATTTACTACAACAGACGCTTTATTAATTAAAACATAAAAAAGACACTACCTTAACTTGAATTTAATATTGAATAGAATGTGCTATATCCTTTAGTATTTCCTTGGGCAACATCGCTAGTTTTGATGATCAGTCTGTCAGTGAATTTCTGTCTAGTTAGCTAAATCAAAATAAAGAAAAAGTTCTTATGTTCATATATTTTGTAGATATGAGTCTACTTCTTTCACAATTAATTCAATAAATAATGACTACATTTGATAATTATCGTAATTACATTATGAAGCAGATGTCTATGCATGATTCTGAAAACTTTAAAAGTCTGTTACTCTTGGTGACTAGAGATGATGACACTTTCGGGAATAGGAAACAAGGGTTCTGTATGTATTCCATTATGCTGTTGGTCAAAAGCATAACAGACAGGAAATTCATGCTTGAATAAGGGGTAAATACTTTAAAAAAATCATGTCTGTGTATACATCAAATGTAGGGGACACTTCTAAGGAAGATACAGTTTGTTTCTGTCACTCTATGAATATATCCAATACACAATACATAATTTGTAGAAAAACGTGTTGCTGCTGGAAGTCTCGCCATTTTCTGACTATTCACAAGGTTACTGCTGCTCTGCAAATCATGACAAAACTTCAAGTACTTTCCATCAGCTAATACAGTATGTAAATTTGCAAGCGTCCCGCTTGTAACAAATGTTGTGTTTAGTAAGATAGCTTTTATCTTTATTTTTCAAGTAAGAAAAAACGTTGATCCTATTCTTAAGTATGTGTTATTGGGTTTTATACAATAACATTAATACAAAGGCTTATCCATTTGTGTACGTCGTGATACGACACAAGTGCTTCAACAATAAGAAAAACCACATTCAGACAAAAAAGATACCCAAAGCGGGACTCGAACCCGCAATCTTCGGTTTAGGAGACCGATGCCTTATCCATTTGGCCACTTGGGCAACGATCGCCTGATAAAAAAAGTGGAGTGCTAAATTGCACAAGACACAACTTTTGTTTTCCGACTCGGATTTAGCAGACATGGCCGGTTGGGATCACGTGCAGCTACTTAACATTACAAATTTAGTAAGGGCTATTTCCTTATTAGTAATCGTTCTTCTTGCGGATCATTTGAATCTATACCGTTATAGTATATAAAGCATTTCATCTTTACTTTATAATTATCTTATCTCTATCTTTAGTCAGTTCTTTTTTTTATATAGTTTATATTCTATTTTGGATAAAACGGAAATTCTCATTAGAGATATCAAATCAGTCAATCACGTGCCTGACGTTAAATCGACTGCAGACTCCGATGACGACATCAACAGAATTAAAAAGGAGGCGCCATTGGCTTTTATTGCTCGTTTTCATATTTTGAATAAAGGGTTTTTTTCATCACCATCGACAGTATTGACAGTATCAGTTCGAAGGAAGCTCACCTTCTAGCCAATGTTCTATGCATGCCAATCCTCATTGAAAAAAGAAAAGATTCAAGCCTAATTTACAAAAAGCATAAAAATTGCAAGAAAAACGTAGAAAGTCTAAGAAATCTTGACTATATATATAATAAAATTGAAGGGAACTAAAAAAGAAGGAGAGGACCTATCTTCACATGATGTTACGAGTCGAATCTTATTTATTTCGGTACATTTTCAAATCAAAATTTTGACAATGGTCGCAGCAGGTTCTGTGAATCCGGAGACATGGCTACATCATCACATAGGTGAATCATTATAACTAAAGAGGGCAGATATATGAAAGCCCAAACTGTAAGATTGAAAAGTTGAGCTTCTGCATTATGCTTTACCGGATCTTCCAAGACAGAAATCTGGAGACCATTTTGTCTGTAATTAATTCAAAAAAAAAATTGAATGATCTGGCTTACAATTTTTTTACTTATTTTGACAGCTTTTGAAAACACCTTGTTGATTGCCATTTTCTTTTGACAGAAATTTCGAGAAAGGGACAACTACAATTTAAAAATGAGCAAAGTCAAACTCCTGAACTACAGTAATAAGCTTCCCACTTTAAAGGAGTGGACAAAGCACTTTCGATATCGTAACTCAATTGCGCCTAGGGTAACAGTTGGCAGTTTAGAGGCAGCAGGTAGAGTAGAAAACCCCACAAAAACGCTCGTTAAAGCTGTTACGTTGAGCCTTCAAGACACAAGCTCACAATATTTCAAATCTTAGAAAAAGGTTTTAAAGCGCTAAATCTAAAAAAAGTTGAGAATATGACAGCAGTGGAAATAAACCCTGGTAAGGAAGAAATGAGAAATGGAAGAACGGAGTAATCTTTGACGAGATAGAGGAACATCTAACAAGGGTTGGCATACGAAAACGTAGGTTTGGGAGCATGGACTACAGCATTGAGAAATAATGGATTCAAACGAATAATTGCATTAGAACCACAAAATGCTTATTTGAACTGGATGGAGGTAGTTGGATGATGCTCGAGGAAGCAAAGTTAATATATTATACCCCGACTGAGGGAACGATCTGACAGTTTAATTATTATACGTTTTCTAATTCCAATCCAGGGATTAAGTGCTTTATCTGATGGCAAAATAGAGGTTGTTAAAAAAGACGGCTATACATGGGATACATACAACTGTTTAAAGGATGATACAAAATATATCGGATCGTTAGAAAACAAAGATTGGTCACAGGGTAAGAGAGCTGAAAGAATAGATCTCATTTTGGTGGGATACCATTAAATTTAGACCGAATAATTCAATAATGCTTCACTCTTCGTTTATCATTGACAGTTCATTCTGAATTATTCTTTACTGGCACTTTACCTAAGACCACTAATGGAGAGCGGCTGCTAGCACAATTTACAGGCTGCATTACCAATAAAATGGCTATGCATACATTAGGGCGTATTCAAATGGCATTCTGGATGACAGACGTACTATACAAAGTAAGTTTCTACAATAGATGCCGAAAAGGATGGGTATCAAATTGAAGTAGCTGAATTTTATTTCGCACAGAAACTCGCTGCACCACCAGGCAGTAACGGTCGTTGTAAGATGAGCGTTGTTGCCGAAGCTTGCGCTGAAGTGAAAAGCATTTATGTACCAGAAGTAGAAGAAATGTATCCTAATGTTAGTCATTCAAAGTGAAAAGATACATGTCAGAAATTGGAGGAAAGAAAGGCTAATATTGACTTACATATGCGTACTACATAATAGGGCGAATATAGATTGGTCCATATTATACCCACCGCTGAAAGTCAGATTAAATGTATGAATGTTGGAAAATGTCATTCAAACCGACGATTGCACTGACATAACTACTTTCTTTATAGCTGAATGGGATACTTTTGAATATGTGTTGAAGCACTTGTTTGTTATGCAGAGACACCCATTACGACGTGTTATTAGGTAGATTATCAGAACAACAAAGCATGAAAGAAATGTGGTATTTGGTATGCTACGGAAATACTAATAATGTTTTAAAGAACGCTAGGACCAGGAGCTGAAATATTGTTGGGTAGAATATCATTTGATCCGGATATCTTAGTAGGCTCTATGACAGCACAACAAATTGATGAAGTGTCTAGAAAGTTTTACGAATGGCCATTGAAGCCACGGGTTTTATTTGAGGACACGTCCCAGTATTAAAAATGTTTGATATATTTACTCAAACATCAGCAGTAAACTCTCTGAAATTTGCTTCAATCAAACATAGAGTACAACATGCAAAAACTGCTATTGTAGATATACTTTATTATTTCCAATTACTAAATCATATAGCTCTATTACCTTTAACATCATCGCTGTTTATGAAAAGCGAGTTGAATTACGAACATTTCGTCTACGTTTTAACAATTGTACACACTAATATATATATATATACAAGAAGAGCATTACTAGTTTTTTCCCAGATTTTAGCAGCCCTTGAAATAAAAATTAGCACCTTTGAAAAAGTATCTGTCAAAGGCATAGTGCAAAAGTTAAAAGGTGTAATTTTAAGTCAATGGCTACCAAGAATGGGAAAAGACTAGTATTTTCTCTATTGTTATTATACCTTGCATATCGATGCATAGGGTGCATGTTTATGTTTTCCTGCTGTAAAGCACTCCTGCATTTGGAGTGTCCAGCATAATCGCGGCAATTTCCCAAGGATCAGAAAAAAAATGAAAAATGAAAAATGGTAGGAGTCCGGAGAGCATCTCTTAACCTTCAAGATGGCATGTTAACACAAACCTCTTCATTGGGAGCTTATTGACAGAAGTTACGATAAAAACAGCTGACATAATACTTCAGTCCAACAGAGCAAAGGTAAAGATTTCATCGTTAACAGATACAAACAGACTAGTGAAGCGATTTTAATTATGTTAATGACAAAGAAAAGTAATAATGGTTCACTATTAACCTATTTTGTTGTTGTAAAGGTTGGCATATTAGAAAAAAACAGATTTACGATGTTCGTAAATTGGGTAAATTATCAGATTAAATCATCAGCTGTGGGCAAAACAAGCTAATCATAGCGAGGTATCCATATTTTCTGTGGCTTCTTTGAGAGGCTCTTGCTGTTGTGGTTGAGGTGATGACGACGATACTATTCTTCTTCTGTCGTTATGTGAACCATAACCAAGAATCCACCACCAAATAGCTTCATAACAAAATACAAACTGTCTTAAGGTTTGCACCATACTCAATCTTTGTTCTCTGAACCTTGAGATGGTTTGTAATAGGATGTCTGTAGTATCATCAACTGACTCCTTATAAGCAGTAGTTGATAGACGATATATCACGGTATCTATCGCACAGAAGGCTCCTGATCTACCACAACCAGCCGAGCAATGGACTATCATTGGTCCAATGGATCTTGGTTGTATCTCATGGGAGTAATCTGCTTGAACTTTATCGGCCATTTGAATGAGCTGAAGTGTACCCAATGGGTTGTCGGGCACTCCAAAATCCATCCATCCTGTGTATTGTAGATGTGTGATTTCTCTATTATCCTCGCCCTTGGAAATAGTTAGATGTCGAACTATTACGACATCGTCCTCGTTGATGTGATCATCCGTATCTAATCGCTGTACTTGATATGAATTTTCCTTGACTAATGTTATGGTGAGGTTTCCATACTGTGTAGGGACATCTATTTGAGATGGCCAATACCGATGGCATTTGATCTGTCACCGTGCCAGAAGGTAATTTTTATGAGTACGACTGCCTATGCTTATTACAGTTTTGGAGCTATATATACCTTGTTCATTTCTTCTTCCTTTGTTAGCATGACCAATACACGGGAATTTTGTTCCCAAACCACTTGCCAAAAGTCATTGAATGTAGTCGGTAACGGCCCCTGCGTGGAGATATATCGACTATAAGGCTGCTGCTGTGGGCTATCTTGATTGCCGGCATGTTTTTTCATGATATTGACGGCTTGGGTATTGATTAGTTCCGGTCTTGCATCACTAACACAGTCATCAGTATCAATATACTGGACATAGCTGGCATTAATATAATCAGATGAGCCGTTGTTTGGTTTACGTATTTTAACTCGTGTATATTCTGCTCGAAAAAAATATTAATATAACATAAAAAGAAGAAAATAGAATAAGTTCCCGATTAGCAATTCGTTGAGCGGAAGTAACCTTAAAAGTCAACCTACCAAAAGGCCAGATATTCGTATATCGATTCAAGGCACCCATCTCTAAGCCTGCTACAATGCTAAACGGATATTCAGCAGGGTTATCTGTATGCTTAGAATGGAAATGCATAATATTCTGCAGTCTTCTTTGTTCAGTTCTTTCCAACCGCTACGGATCGTAGAGTTTTGATCAAAGAAGGATATACATAGTCAGAATAGAGTTTGAACTGTAATGCAAAGATTTCATCTCATCTGAGAAATCTTGTCTTACAAACAGCTTACCTCATAAGTTTGAGCTAAAAGTTGTGTACCTTCTTCACCTATGATAGAAAACAGCCATTTTGGAGGTTTAAACAAGATTAGGTCCTTGTCGTCCATGCCGTCATGCTTCTCCGCGCGACTTCCACCCTCTTTTTCTTCTGCTATTGAAGAAAAGCGACGCGGTACTATATCTTTGGTGATCTGAACATAACGGTCCGAATTTTCAACTATGTAACACTTGGGCGGTAATCGAACAGGAAATCTTTCGCGAATGGGGCCATGTGATAACTCCATATTTTGACGGATATTTGAAAAGAACGGATTGAAAGCTTGATTTTCAAATTGTGGCATAGGTGCTGTGAATGGCCCTAATGTAGGAGCCAAAGGCATATTATTGAGACGTAGTTTAGGTCGAGTGCCATTAGAAGCGGGTAACTTCAATGAGAAACTGTCGCCGCCAATAGTGGGTGGACCAAAATGACTAGTAGCGCTAGCAGTACCGTTGCCATTAGAAAAGGAGGTAGCATTTGATTCGCAACTTTCTTTGAACATTGTTGAGAATGTATCGAAGCCGCCTAAATAAGTACGAAAAGAGAACGAGAAATAGCAGGACTAGTTAAGAACAAGCTACTCATTTCTGTTCGAAAGAAAGCTGTGCCTATTTCTTTACCTTTTAGATAGAATAACTGTCCATTGAATCCTGCACGCGTCAATTTATTACCGAGATAAGCAGCTGCACTATTTTCGAGCAGAATTTGCGACTGTTGATCATAAAATACTATATACTCAGTTGCGTTCCAGGACCTTAATCTTTCACGAGCATTATCCAAAACAATAGCTTCATACACTTTATCCAACGTGAATGTAGGTCTTTTCAAAATGGTGTTAGGTATAGACACGTTGATCGATCCTCGAATTCTAGAATGTGAATACTGAACAAAAGAGCGTACATCCAATACGAGTAGTGTGGTCGTTAGTGAAGAAGCATCGTTATATCTATTTAACATCTGATTTAATTCTTGTGGATCAATAGGTAAGAGAATAGAGGAAGATAGTGCTTGTGCTTGTTGTAGACGTTGACGCTGTTGTTGCAGATGCTGTTGTTCGTCAATTGTAGAGGGAGAGTTCTGTCTTCCATTGGCCAGAACGCTTAAAGTTAAGTTGAAACCGCCAGGCCCACCACTACTGCTAGCCAATGGTGGAGTATGTACAGGATTGGCATTGGGTGAGGAAATAGGTGGACTTGTAAGTACAGTGGGTTGACTAGCATGGCGAGCATGTATAGCATTCAAGAACTCTTGATGAAGGGCAGGGTTTAAAGGTGCGGTGAAATACGGTGTATTGACTGAAGAATTACCACTGCCTACTGTATTATTATAATTGTTATTGCCACTGTTATTTAAAATTGGTTCGTTTGCAGACGTTGCAGTTGCAGGTGTTGCATTTGTATTATTGACCTGTGCATTGTTCATAATATTGGGCGTATTCATAGGGGTAAAGTACGCATCGTTTTGCCCATTAGCTCGAGTTGGTGATTCGTATGTTAAACTCATATTTTGTGCTGTATGATATTATCTCTGGAAATAATTATTTTTACTTTTTTTAGACTCCACAATAAATACACATATACAAATAGAAAAAAGAAATTGCAACAATTATAATATGATAATATCTATTCAAGAAAGATACGAAATTATTTAACAAACCTAGGATAGAGTAAGGTATCAAACAAATACCAAACCTTTTAAATAGGTTTGAAATCGATAAAAACAAAAAGGAAAAGAAAAAAGCAACAGCAGAGGTTCCTTTTTTACCTAGCCTCTTTTCTTTCTGTGACGGCAAGAAGCCAAGGTTAAATTATGGGTTGTGGAAAAAATCCAGACCTGTGTACGCCCAAATGTCGTCATAAATTATTTCTTAATAAAGTAAACAAAGTTTCTTTTCTCGTCAAACTTTTAAGCAGCAAAAGTCTCTTCTCAAATTCAATTGGAGAAGGAACAAGCTGCTGTTTAAATTAACTTTACAACAGCGAACAACCGCCCAAAGACAAAAAAGACAACCCAAGACGCCTTACAGACTGAGCATAGAAGCGTTGTTACTTCAGTAGTATTGAATACTGTCCTCATCTTCAAAGCTTTAGTCAAATAGAACTAGTCTTTAGAAGAAGCCGAAATGCTTTACATATGCTTGTGACGAATGACCTGATACTATAAAGTATTTTGTCATGAAGCAGTTTGATAAAGACAGGCAAGCACATCGATCAGAAAACGATCACTTTTCCTTGATGGATCATTCTAACTGAAAAAATAAATCAGTGTAACCTTTCACTTTCATAGTTTTAGAAAGACAGAAGAAACTCCAAGCTTAATACAGAAAAATCGAAAGAGATGGATAGAAGGCGACAAAGGCAAAACAACTTTGAACTAATAAAGAGGCTCTTTATTTACTAACTCACAAACGAGTATGGTCTGAACAAGACTATATTTTCAATCAAAAGAGAATTCTGAATGGAATTACTACGCATCAATTTACTTTAAGCGTTTGAACTGTTCACGGTTAACCTGGAAGTACTCCTTGAGAGTGTGGGGCTTGCGGTTCAAAACCTTTTCAAGATCATCAGATTGGATATCAGCCTTACCACCGTTGACGAATCTCCAATACTCCATTATCATTTCAATCTTTTCTTCATGCAAGAACTTGCCCAAGGGAAAAGAGCCGAATCCATCACGACCTTTACGGAAATCGTTACGTTCATTAGGACGTTGGTTGAAGTTTTTATGTTGCTTCATTTGTTGGAGCCATTGCTTCATCTCGTTCTCTGAAATTTCTTTGAGGCGTAAATCCTTGCGGTCTAAACCTTCACCAATTTGCTTGACGATTTCCTCTGTGTTGTGCACTTGAAGACAAGTGAAGTTGTAAGTCTGCTTATGATGAGTAGCTCCACCTTGCTGGCTATGTTCGGATTTCTTTTTAGCCAAACAGTAAATAGCCTCAACAACATCGTTCAGATCAACAGTGCTCCATTTCTTATCCTTCTTTACAGGAAGAGGAATAACATTTTCACTTTCAATCTTGGGGGCCATAAAATAGAAATATTGGTTGAGTAAAGGAATGCGAACAATGCAGTGCTTTTCTTCATGAAATTCGTCCTTGAGTTTCTTTTCCATCTTGCAGAGTTCTTGAAGATAACGGAATTCGCCAGCGTTCTGTTCAGATATTTCTCCAGAGTGGATACGGTCAACACCAATTCTAAAAATCGTAGACATGTTCAGTAAAGAAATAAGCCGTCAAAATCCCTTGAAGCTCCTCAAAGCGTACTATATTAACTCTACTTACGCAGAAATCATTGCAAAATGATCAACATGCTGACTCTTAGCAGCTTTCATCAAGGTTTCAGCTTCCTTTAAGCTATCACGAGAGCTTTCAGGAACCATCAAGACATGACAAACATCACGCATAACTTCACACATCTTTTTTTCATCAGTATAGTTCACTTCCATAATCTTAGCACCCATCTTCTCGAGGCGTTCCAAGTCATAACCTTGGCGTTGACGACAGAGAACACGTAATTCAACATTTGTGCCTGATGGAGCAAAAATTTGTTCCTTGTTTTCCATCGCTTCTAGGAAACGATAAGCCAAACAGTAACCGATAAGGGAGTCAACATTGGTGATGACACAGGCCTTCTTGTTGGTATTGAATTGTTGAGACATTTTAAAATACAAAAGATACTGATTTCTTGTAGAGAAAAATTATTCAGTGTGGAGAATGGGTCCTCTCCTCCTTATATAAGCTTTTTTTATATTTTTCGAAATTCACAGGAAGCTTGATGTACCGAAAATATCGAGGAGGCTGTAAACTGGTTGCTTCCAAAAAGACAACCTACATGCGTAATATATTCACACATAACATAATATGATGTAAATACCTTTAAATGTCAATATCTTACAATTGTCTGATAGTCGTACATAATTGAAAGAAGGTGCTTTTTCGCACGCTGCTAATCAATAAGTACTGGTCTCTAAACTTGTTATGAACTGCTGGTAAGGCGCTTAACGTGTCTAATGCAAAAATAACTCATTCAAAGCTAAGTTCTGCTATATTTTCTTCTTCGGGCGTTTTTTCTTCCTTTTTTTTGATACCGGTTGATAAGTTGAATGAGAACAATCAGCTAGAACCTAGAACCGACCAAGGGATATTTGCATAAAGTAGGTATGAAGTGTATTTATAGTCATGATGCCTTTGAATCGGTTAGCTGATGCTTTTTAACAATGATTTATTCGATTTCTTTGGGGCAAACTTTTGGTTTTAAATTGTAGTTACTGTCTATAAAGATTTGTGCTTAATCTTGTTGCTTCAAAAAAATAAAAAAATAGCCATACAGGAATGCCTGTCAAGGTTCAAGATGTTGTAAACTATTATGTCACTGAAATTTTGTTTCATCACTTCTATGTCCTGACACGACAAAGAAATTCACCACCAACACGTTTCTCACAAGCTTCATTCAGTTCCAAAACGCCCATGCTTGTATTAACAATACCAATTTCACCAGGTTGTAGTGGTGTCACAGGACCAACTCTTCTACCTTGAGCAATATCTTTCAATTCATTCACTTTGAAGTGTAATTTTCGGGATGGTTTGCTGACGACTGTAAAACTCTTCATAGCTGGCACATTATTTTTATACTTCAAGTCGAGCCAAAGGCGTCTTGTGGCTCTATTTTGATCTGTGGTAGGAGTATATTCGGTATCGGGCCCTTCATGACTACCTCGTGCAATAGAAGTCAGGAAACCTTGTCTATAAAGCACGTTAGTAAGGCCCAGGTTAATCTTGGTGTCAGGGACAGCGACAAATCGAGATCCCGATCTGAATGCATTGGATACTTGAGAACAAAGATTATATACACGCATAGTTATTACTGATGACAACTAGTTGAAACTGTTGGAAGTAATGTCAAGTGTTCAATTTTTTGAATAGAAGGTTATCTATCGCCCACACACATATTTCCCTAATTGAAAAAAACTGGGGTCAATCTGGGAATAAGGCACCACCACACACAAACGAGAAATGCATGGCCGCCCGAAACAACCCAATGAAATTAATTATTGATGCCGGAATAAGCCACCTGTGGGCTGGACTGGACAATGGTGTGGAAAGGTTGACCTCTGGAATTTTACCTCACGCATTTCATCGAGGATTCTCAAAATGCAGAAATTTGACTTAACTATTTTTCCCTCTTTTTCCATTTGTCAGTTCTGCTTTGTATATTCTATTTCTTCTTTTCCTTTATTCTTTTTGTGTATCTAAACTAATTGTAAAAGTTTGTGGTTTCGAAAACAAAAGTGAGAGACAGAACATATCAATTAGAAAAAGCAGAACAGTAATAGAAAAGAATCAGCAAAAATGGTATCTTAATCTTCGATGATGAACAAAAAAGTATGAAAAGTCGAACTTTTGACGTGTCTAACCCTGCTGCCATATCTTTTTCAAATGGATATAGGCTTCGAAAAGTTCAAAAATGGCGAATATCGTCAATTACAGACTTCGAATTACTTTAAGTGATTCTCGTATATTGACAGGTCAAATGTTGGCATTTGATAAACACATGAATCTCGTGTTAGCCGATTGTGAGGAATTCCGTAAAATCAACAAAAAGGCCAAAGACACTTCAGCAGCCAATTTAGAACAAAAGAGAACATTAGGTCTTGTCATTCTTAGAGGCGAAACAATTGTCAGTATGAGCATAGATGGTCCTCCACCACCAAACAATGATGATATTCGATCAAGAGGCCCTGGCTTAGCAGCTGGTACAGGTATTGGTAGACCAATGGGCCGTGGCTTGCCTGCTGCTCCCCCACCCATGGGTGCTCCTATGGCAGGTCTTTCTGGTCCAGTACGTGGTATCGGTGGTCCTGCACCTGGTGTAAGTGTTTATTATTGAACGCACTCTAATTAAGTAAAAGAAAAAAAGAAAGTGGTTGAAAGATTAAAATAATATTCTTTCATTTTTGCTCGATAGATGATGCAACCTCGACCTGGATATCAAGGCGCTCCCGTCGCCTATGGACGTCCTCCTATGCCCCCACAAGGTATGCCTCCACCAGGCTTCCGTCCAGCTCCTGGTATGCCTCCACCAGGCTTCAGACCTCCTCCTGGCATGCCTCCACCAGGATTCCGTCCTGGCATGGTAAGTTAAATAGATCACCTTCTGTTTCAAAATCACCATATAGCGCATTGCTAATGGAATGTTTGTCATTCTCTTATGGTTATAGCCTCCTCAAGGTTTCCCTCCCGGCGGTAGAGGTGCTCCTCCACCACCACCCGGAATGTATCAACATCCTCCACCTCCACCTCAATAAACGCACATAAACAAGCAGGCCTCAAATCAGATTTACAAAACGAATAAAAATAGGATTTATTGTCAACAGAAGAGGATCCACCCACAGTACCATCATACTTAAGGCACAATGAATATTACATTTGTACCAGCTATTGTTATTTTAATTAAAGGGAAATCAGAGTCTTTCTTTTTGAATACTAAATACGCGTTGCTTGTTCCACTTTTAAATGTTCCATGACACTAAAACCTATCCATCATTTCAGAAAAACATTATCTATTTTATATCAATTGAGTTCTTTATCTAAACAAAAATTGTATACAGTTAAGATCAAAGTGTATAGAAATATTGTTCTTAGAAATGGGGAATACATTTTTTTTTTTTTTTTTACAAAAATAATATCTTCAAGAGTAAAAATAAAGGACGTGTATTTATATAGGAAGAGGGATTTTAAGATGCAAACGAGGTCCTAAAATTGCTGGGACTATTAACAAAGCTAAAAAAAGGACAAATAAGGATGCCAATAGGAGCCCATAAGAGACAGCAATACGCCATCTTCTGGATCGCTGATTTGATGTATAGATGGGGTGCTGAATTTGTTTGCTTGGCTTTAACCAGAACAACATAAGTGAATGCCATTTATCGATACAAGGGATCAAACAAATCAAGAATAGAACGAAGAGAATGATATGGCCGAGTAAGAAGTCAGTTGCAAAGTGACTCATTTCCGTAACCTTACAAACAAACTCTCTAAATGGTTGAGTAAGTGCATGCCATCCAAGCTAGTCATAATCCCAAAGAAGGTTATTAAACAATCCTTTGTATAAGACATTTTAAAGGAGAAAAGACTATACATCAAGTCTATCACTTACACTGCGTCCATACCAACGTCCTGTCCACCAGCCATGATTGCTTCGGCCATCTTGAAACTCACGCGTGAGTAAAAGAACAGTAATAGCCCTGAAAATTAGACGCTGCATAGCGCTCACAGCAATCATACCGAGAATAACTTGCCCGAAGTTCCAGTTCTCCAAGAAAAACAAAACCTCAAAGAAAACCACATAGTTAACAACAGCCCAACCATGGGCAATAGCAGCAACAGTAGCACCAAACTTGACACCGCAACAAAAACTGGCCAGATAACCTCCAACTAAAGAGAAAAAGAACAGCAGACCCAAAGCTACCGCATTCAATAGCAGAGGACCCATAGCGATCACACCTACTCGTACCAAAACACTATGGATTTTACTGTTGTTGCTGTTGTTGTTCAACTGACTGGCATCTTGCTCGTCAAAGCTTTGCACAAAAAGATAAGCAGAAATACTCAAGAATGCTATCAACAACGGCATAAGTATCTCGGAAAATAGGGCTACACTGAACCTTGCACGCGCTTTTGGTTGAAGAGGCATTTGTAAGCCAGTTTGTCTCTTTTTAGTACCCGTTGTACGCATACGAATGAAACGGCAATATTCAATCCAGGAGTTATGATGCGTGGTGCTATGCCCTCGCGATAACCAACGAATATATTCTCGATAGTCCACTAAAAAGTCCATGATAGAGAACTGGTGTGGATTGAACAAGTAGGGAGAGAGGACAAGTGCAAGTATGGTGAACCAAAAGTAGGCAAGATGCGGGATTCGGAGTACCATTGAGCCAAATAACAAAATCAAAGCCATTCGAGCACCTGCATACATACCTGTGTCAGCAAATCTGGAGTAAAGCAAAGAAAATGGTAAACGTGCTGTAGCGAATCCGCGTCCTGTGCCAATATAGTGAGCGCCCCCAAAAGTCAAATTGTTTAGAATCGAGTTGGCATAAGTTTGTGTGACAAAAATTTCAAAGAGAGGTGATAACGATAATAGCTGTTTGCATAAACGGCTGGCTGCTTGGAAGAAACCACGTTCAGTCAATTCGTGCAAGAAAAGTGGCAAGAAGGATATGAAGACAACAGCAAAAATAGAGATTACGACGCGTTTAATCCATTCGAAGATTGGCGCCATATTGTAACAACCCTCCAGCAATAAGTCTGCATCAGCACCCAATGCAGGGTTGGTGTCACAAATCTTCATGGGAAGATTTGTAACACTAAGGAACAATAGAACAAACATGAAGACATGAATGGACAGCATGATGAAGATATTATTGATTTGAAATCCAGGATGTGCGTAAAAGAATGTCAGGAAACGATCCAGTGGTAATTGAGTGCCAAGATAATAGTATTCGCGGGAAAGTAGCTGCTCGCCCATGCCTGAACCGATCTTTGTTGCAAAATTAAGTACGGATCCAAAGCCAAGATCACGGCCCTTTCCACATTGGAAATATTCAACGTGCTTGATGCGCCCACCACGTTCGAAAGCGTTAATGCCAGCATAAATATCTTCGTTCAAATGCAGACCTTTTTGGGCTTTACTCACGCCTCCTCTGGTTGTCATAAAAACACTATTCAAAAAGTCTGGGTGGCCATAATGAAACTATCATTGAGAGAAGAGTAGGCATTGATAAGAGACCAATTACATTTCTTATTCAAATTGCCGTTGGATTCTCGCTTACCCTTCCGCCAATTGTCGCCATAATACGTTGAGTTACAGTACCGAAAGTCTGCTCTTTTCCAGCAGCTACATCGCCAAGTACGCCTATATTCTCAGAGAAAATATATTCTCTAGCTCCAACAATAGCTACAGGGCTCTTACTAAACTTATTACTGGCATAAGGTGACTCTTCAGTTATTTGCATTTCCTCAAACTCTCCAAGTAGGTTCCGGATTTTTATACATTCTTCGAGATAATTGTCCTGATTGGCATCGATGAGCTGAAGATATTCACCGCGACAAAAAGGTAAAGCTGTGTTTTGGTTATCAGATTTACCATCGCCAAGAATAGGATTTCCTGGCAGCCGAATACGATATTTGGGCGTTCTGGTACCATCGGGACGTAAAGCACATCGGCCATCGATTAAAACAGTATAATAGATAGTGTCGTACTCTCGAATAATATTAAATATGTTGTCTGTTTGGTTTCTTGCGCGTGGAACATTCTCCTCTTCAATGTAGGCTATCTGTAAATCTGGATAAGCTTTCAATATATAGTCCACATTTTCTTTTTCTTCTGCAGTAAACGAGGCGTAACGTTGCATAGCCACTACAAACCGAAATTTACGGTTTGCCATTTTCTCTAACTCAGTTTCTGCAGCTGTATAGGCCTCAGAAGGAGCAGTTGGGCTGTCAATATTGTTATGTTGGTCAAGATAGCTTAATTCAGGTGTTTCAACGCGATAGAGTAACTTAACCGCCTTTTGATAATTCATAAATCCTGTGATAGTACGGAAAAGAGTTTGTGATCTAAGAGATGCCCAAATACGAGTACGTAACGTATATTCTGGTGTACTTGTTTTGAAACCAACGCAGTAGAAAGGTAAATCGTCAAGCCTATCTTGTTCTTCTTTCTTTTCATCCAAGACAGGCACTGTAGTAGTTGTATCCGAGAACTGAGATGATACAGTACTTAAATCACCATCCTCATCCTTTGTTAGAGTTTCTTCGCCTGCTAGTATTTTTGAGTCTTTCACAAAATTTTCCCATTCAAATGGGTGCAGTTGCTTTAAATATTCTAGTAGAGTAATTCTGGTGTTCTTATCTTCCTCTCGGATGATTTCCCGTAACGATAAGAGAATTTTTTCACCATAATGAGGTGTCATCACTGTAAATGTTGGCATATTAGGTACAGGAAGAGCTTCAGGCATCGGCGTTGTTAAACTCTGAGCGAAGAATTGAATACGACGACTAGCTTCACTTTTTTGTGGATAATATTCAGTTTTGAAGGCAACATCTTCCTGCGAAACAAAAAATGTTGGAGTCTTCAAAGTTGAATTGTTCGCTCCGGTGCTTAATATCTATTGAAAGGTTAAAACGTTACTTTATTCTACTTTGGGCCACTAAACCTTTTATATGAACGACTTTTTCTTTTACCTGCTTATATAATAGCTTTGAGACATGGTCAGCAGACAACAAGTGTTCCCGAAACATCGATATAATTAAAGCATTCCAAACTTGCGAGCAAAGAGCCTTTGGTTGTAGCTGCAAGTCCAATTCAGAAGTTGCTAACAACTTGGCGTAGATTCTTTTTGGCAATCTAGAAAACGTATTTCTCCAGGGACTCCAAAGAGATATTCCCAAATAAAATGATCTTGCTACCGAAAATACCGTGTTCCAAATGACATACCAGAGATAAGTGTCGAGGAAGAACAATATCAGTTCCATTAAGAACATCAGAGCGATAGATATAATTGGCATACGCGCACATAAAATGGATCCTGTAAGCGGTTCGTTGCAGTGACTAATATCCAGTTTGGTGATGGCTTTTAGAGGATCTTTAAACGATAACGCAATGAAAAAATATGACTCCAGGAATTTACATCCAAAAACACAAACCCACAAACCAATTGAAGTGATGCGATCTCTTCTTTTCAGATAAGGAAAGCTGGCAGTGAATGTTTGACTTGCTGGTGTATTTTTTGAATTAGATGCTGATGCACTACCCTTCCGTATAAAAAGCCTTGATTGTGGAATAATAGCGAAAGAAATACTCGTAATTAAGCTTACGAATAGTTGAGTCAAAGCTATTGCCATTGATAAAGAGCCTGTACGCTTAAATCTGAGACAATAAATGGAAGGACCAGCATTGAGAATTAATATAAAGAAAAGTAGCACCAATCGTCCTGATAAGATCCCAGCTCTTTGGAAAGTCATCGGAACATATATATATTCTACAAAGCATCCAATCATGACCAAAATAGTTGCTAAAGCACCACCGAGAGCGGCCACAGATATCTTCACAGGCATTTCTTTTTCTGCTATGGACTTATCAGAGTTCAAATACAGTACGTCCGAATTGAAAGAGACATAATACCAAAAAGAGACTATATGAATGATCCAAATTCGTGTAAAATTAACAGCTAAATGCATCCATGACCTTTTCTCCTTGAAAGTCTTTTGAAAAGCCTCCTGCCAATTCACATGTTGTAACGAATCGTATCGAAACTGCGGTGATATGTTAACTAGTTTGGTCTTATCGTGAGTCCTCAATCTCACAATGCTTTCTGAGTACCAGAAATACTGATTTACATCATCATAGCCAATAACGTTGGAATGATCACGATCTCTCCGTACTAGGTTTGAGTTTTTCTCTTTATGATACACTTGGTCCTTTACAAAGTCATACAACGGTCGTATCACTTTCTCTATGAACTCTCCTTCTGGTGATTTTAAATTCTGGTTTTGTAGTAATCCAATTTTTCTAAGTGAAGCCTCATCAGCTAGTTTGAAAATGTAACATAGTGCTTCAGGGCAAAATCGAATAACGGAAGCTTCACCCCAAATCAGCAACCATAAAGCCAACTGCCTAATTCTTTCGACATCTGTCATCCGCTCCATTTTCCGACGCCACACTTCTTCCGCACGATTTAATGATTGCTGTTGTGCGTTGTTATCGGGCTCATATTTCATATTATTTGCGCTGTTCTTATCACCGATAACATCATCCAAGCTTAACTGGGATGCAAAGTACCATTTACGATAGTTAGCGTTCGGACCACCAATATAGTCCGCATGCAAAGTCAAGAGAGCCATGGCTGGGGACATCCGAGAGGCTCTAGAGTCCAGCATAGTCATCAAATAGTCTAACATATTCAGCATACTGTCGTATTGAAAGCCAAAAGCGTCTTTAAGATCCATAAATATATTGTTGATTTGTTCGTACGAAGGCAGGTTCTTCGAATGCTTTGTCGCCATCCACGAAGGGTAAGGAACAGATGATTCGTTTACTAAAGTTTCTTCAGACAGATCGTAAATTGAGTTCAAGTTTGGTGATTGGAAGCCCCTACTGAATATTGAGGAAGCAGATGTTGCCGTGATGCCTCTACGATTTCGTTTTTGTTTGGATCTGATCAATTGCATCAATGATTCCGTAGAGGGAGAGCATCGCAGATATCTACCAGAGGTGCTAATATCGTCTCGAAGAATGTCAAGTAAATCAACTTCGGTTGATTGGCGATGTTGATTTTGGTACTGATAGAATAGTTGTGGTGAATTTGATCGGCTGAGGGATGGAAAGTCATTCCAATTCAAATCAAAATCGTCAAATTCTAGGTTCATTGACTGATTATTGAATGGCTGATGCTGCGGGGCTTGAGGGAACCGTTGATGTAATTGCTGGATATCATTTGATAATGTAGAGCCTGAATAATAAAAGTTAAACAGGCATGATAGAGATGATTTCTGTAATAGTTTTTTTTACCTCTGAAATATTCTTGGGTGCTCATGGAATCGGTTCTATCAGAAAGTACAAGAACTGCTTAGCCTACAACTTACATCAATATATATAAGTACTCAGTATGAGTCTTACTTGCTTTTGGCCTCTGGTAGTAAGCTTTTACTGACAGCGTGATCGAATGACTTTGTCGAAGAGAACATGTCATTTTCTCTATTCACTCTGTCAAGAGTTGACTCGACTGTTTCTGTTATTCGCTCAGTTGTGGCAGTTCTACTTAGTGGTTGCTCCTGTGAGATGTCATTGTTGGCATCCTCATCATCGATATTACTTTCAGAGTTATTATCACTCGCATAAAACTCACCAATCATCTAAGTTTTTAGCGCGTATTAGTATTTGAAAAGTATATTGATGGTAATTTTAACCAAGACGAAAAGGTTAATAAAGAAAAAAGAAGGCTTCCGATATACTGCAAGTCTTTAGAACACGGAATATAGTCCAGAAGGATGATGCACTCGGAATGAAGTTTTAATATCCCTTACGGTTACCCAATCCGTGTGCTTCTTTTATCGTGCCAAAGCTTTTAACGAGTGTAAGCTTTATATCGACTTTAGTTGAGACAAGATATTCTATGCAAAAGCTAGATTTCGTGCGACTAATACCCCCTTGATTTAATTATGTTCCTTTCTTTGATAACCTAGCGAGTGTAGTAGCCTATTACATCTTAAGCTTTGGAAAGCTCTCAAAGTATGACTTGAAGAAGGAAAAGGCAACAAGGTTGACATGCGATGTAGCGTATCATTGCATTTGTTTGTACGAAATCGAGTGGAAGGTTCAAATCAAAAATGCTTCATTGTCCCACAACTCCAGGGCTTAAACACCTACTTACAGTCTGCATTTCTATTTTTACTAATATGCTCATCTTGTCCATAGGAAATCGAACATGCATAGATATTTTGCATAAAGCGGGTAGTGTTTCTATTTGCTGAATCACTGATGAGGGGTGAATTAATTGAATACTTGAACGCGACAACTAAAAGTATAATGATTTAGACAGAGTAAGATGTCTACTAAATATCATTCTTCTACTTGATAATAGTACCGAGGCAGAGTGACGAAATTTGGTTATCTTGCTGTCACTGAAGTAGATTCAGCTCAAAATAGTATTTGCACATGATCAATTCAAGCGGCGGCCATTTCGCAGCATTTAAAAAAAAGCATCTATTAAATTATTGTAAGAGTTTCCATTTTCTTTTTCATATCTGTCTTTTTTTCCTCGGGATTTCATCTTCACAAGTGTATATAGTATTTTAATTAATGCAAAAGTAGTGAAAAACAATGACAAGTTCATATAGAATAGCGAAAAATGTGGGTTAAAACGTAGGACTACTGCTTTACCAGGATCAACTTTCAATACTTATCGGACAAATTTTAGACTTTCGTTCTGCCCACTTCTGCAGATAATGCGCTCATGCCTTTCTGGGGCATCGAGCAGCAAAATCAATATTTTACGCTTCAAAAATCACAAGAACCTGGAAATATTATTTTCAAGAACGTTTTTAGTACAATTAAGAACTTGTACGTCCAGCATGAATAAATGTTTATCTATAAACAGAGGTCGAAAACGCCAAGGACAGACTAAATATTGATCAATATTCCCGTCATAGATTGGATGCAAAACAGCCGCCTTACAGGATATTATTCCATAAGGATTTGGAGAGTGTTTGCTTACAAATTGCGATTTCAGAGTCCAGAGAAGCGATAGAAAGTGCTTGGGATTGGATTAAAATCAATATGTTGCCAGAATTGGAGAACATCAGTAGCTCATTTGCAAAAGAAGAATATGTCGTGAAAAAAGTTAATGCGATTGTGTCAGAGACGGCCACCAATAGTGATGCCGATGAGCTAATACAGGATAATAATATTCGAAACGCTTCAAGAACATTCAAAAAGACATTTGATGTTCCTGCAACTGAACGTCTTGTCAACTGTAAAGCATGAAAAACCAAAACGATCATTACGAGGTTTAATGTCAACCACTGAACAATCATAACTTTTTAGATTATTCTTGCTCATGCAACAGTCGGCAGGGCTGGATGTATATATCAGAGAATTTCGTGGGATTTTATTCTTACTTATTGGGATTTGAATTAAAGATTCTGATCGAACTGAAAGAAGTAAAAGATATCATCAAAGAACCTATCAGAAAACTGTTTAGGCATAGTCTTCGTATTATAACCAAGGATAGTAAAGAAGTAAGCAGTTCAATCGATAAACAAAAATACCAGATACGGTTAACAGTACGACATTTCTGATTTTAGTATCTGTTCACAAATATGTTCAAACGTGATGAAGTGAGCTCAACCATAGTCTTATTTGCACCTTGAATAATTTCCTAATTGTCACGCTCTTCCTTAGGTATATGATTTGCTAATTCAGTTGGCAAGCGATTCTATACAGCGTTTATTGAAGAGCACTACTTCCAAAGCTCTCAAAGATAGTACAACGAATGCAATTAATCATTCTCCTATCAGTAGAGAGAGTAAACCAGAAGATGGCGATACCCTCATATCTCCCTCTTCACGAACAAATAATCCTTTAAAAACGATATTACAACATAGGAAACAAAACGAACGGTTTCGACAGTTGTTCAGGTTACCTGAGGAAGAGCAATTGATTGATTCTATAAATGTCACTTACTATTTCCAATCAACAACTGCAAAGGCCACTGTAGAAAAGATCAAACATCTCGGCATACTTTATTTATCACAGAATTTTTTATGTTTTGGATCTTCCAATGATACAGCAGTATTAGCGTCCGATATGGATCAATCTCCTTGCTCGGTCATTTTGCCACTCTATACTATCACTCGCTTGGAGAGGATCAATAACGATACATACAGATCGGAGCTCATTTTGACAATATGGCATAAAATGACACACAACTTCAAAGTGGATGTAAGCTCATTTTTTATTGGACTTTACTTTTAGGAATTTGACTGATCAGATTGTTATATCATACTTATAGGTAGATAAGATAACTAGTGAAAGATTTTGCGACAGCTTGAAAAATGGGCTTCAAGTAAACGTTGAACGAATGAAACGTCATCTTCGTCGATTCTTGACAACCTGTCAATCTGAAAATTTACTACAGACGGTTGATGGACCCATTCACATAGATAAGATTGAAAGTGGGTTAGGTGCACGTTTCGGCTATCCAAGCGATATGTCTCATGCCAAATATGAGCAGAAATTAAACGTTTGGATAAGTTATTTTGAGGGTAAATGTACACGACTATTGATAATTAGTTTTGAACGAGCTATTCCATTGACATACCTGGGTGGTGGTTCGAACGTTTAGAAAATAGCCGAAACCTCACTATGGTTCGTCAGCCCATCTTTTCGAAGATGATTCGATCCGGTATACCTGATGAGTTGAGAGGAGAAGTTTGGGAAATGAGTTCAGGGTCCATGTATCTTCGTTTTGATCAACAAGGACTTTACCAACAAATATTGAAAGAGCATGAGAATGACACATCTTTTGCTATTGAAGAAATTGAGAAAGATTTGCATAGGTAATAAGAGGTCCTACCACAATACTCGATATCTCTGATGCTGTATCATTTCGACTAATTAAGATCATATCGTAGATCACTTCCTGAGTATCCTGCTTATCAAACTAAAGAAGGTATTGACAGGCTACGCCGTGTATTGATAGCTTATTCATGGAAAAATCCAGAAATTGGTTATTGTCAATCAATGAATATTGTAACTTCATGCTTACTCATGTAGGAAAGCTTTCTTTGTACATACTGTTGCAATTAAATAAGTTCTTTGCCCTGACAAAATTATTTACGTAGATACATGACGGAGGAACAAGCATTTTGGATACTGCATGCACTTGTTGATTATCTATGCCCAGGCTATTACAGGTAAAAGTTCAATTTCTTTCAACACACCGATGAACGATTTGCATTGATCAAATCTCGTTTATATAGCTCATCGATGTATGGTGCTTTACTAGATCAAGTTGTATTAGAAAGCCTAGTAAAGATACATATACCAAAATTAAGTACTTACTTGGATGAGAGGAATCTTCAGCTATCAGTCATTTGTTTACCATGGTTTTTGACTCTATTCTTTAATTCCATGCCTATTGCTTTTGCTTTCCGTATATTGGATTGCTTTTTCTTGGAAGGACCAAGAATTCTATTCCAAATAGCGTAAGTTATTTTACTTTAACGATATAGCCATTCATTTATAGACTTCTAATTCTATACTTCTGCTTTACTATAATAGTCTTGGTAAGCTGACAGATTCGAGGGCAGACGAGTGGTAGACCCTTTCACTTACATATTCTCTGTTGTTGTTGTCAGCTATTTTAAAAAGACACGAAAAACAGTTATTAACAGTGGACGACGAATCTGGCCTTTTGATGATTATGAAAGAATTCTTTGCATCTTTGATTACACCAGCGGATGACGTTTCTCTAGAACAACACGAAGCAAACAATTCTAAGGTATACTTGTTAAAGGTTTAAGAGACGCTGCCTTTTCTTTTTGTTTTTCCTTATCTTTGGGTTCAGATTACTTACCTTTACCTTTTTCTTGGTCATACAAAGATTTTCAATAGCCTGATGAAGTCAGCATATGCTGATTTCCGGAGGGTGACTTCTACGAAAATCGCAGCCCTTCGTAAGGAGAGCGAACTTAAAATTATAGGCAGTGTTGAAAACTTTACCAAACGCAATGCTTTGAGAAGCATCAAAAGCACAGCCAATTTTGGATCAGATGAAATATCACTGATATACGATTACTTTTTTGGAGCGCTTTATTATGCGAATAAGCAGCATGATAAAGACTCCACACCTGAAATGGATTTGGTTGCTTTTACAAAGATGTTGGAAAGCATGACCACCTGGGCAAAGCTTAGTAGTCGTGATGACTATCAGGATAGTATTCAGCATTCTGAAGATTTCGTTCTTCTGGATGAGGTTTTGAAAAGCTTTATTCGGCGCTTATTCAACTACTTCAAATCTGATGATTTAACGGGTATAACGTTGACTGATTGTGTTAGCAAACTAGACGAGCTCTTACGAGGGGTATGCGATTTACTAAGAGCCTATTTCAATTGGAAAAGAGAAAGAGGAGGGGGTAGGGAAGGGGCAAGAGGAACATTTTCGCTTATAGGCTTTTTTTCTTTATTTAGGACATCCTTTCGAAAGCATCATTTTACTTTGCCCTTTATGATGAAGATAAAGATGGAAAACTCATGAATACAGACCTACATTCGATAACTGCCGAGATGTTCCTATTAATGAATTTATTGAACGTCGATTTTAACAAATGGGAGACCATCTGTAGCTTTTTAGCACTTACTGTTGAAGAATCATCAACGAAAGAAGCTGCTGATCGCTTGCTGAACAAGATTCAAGACAGCGAGCAATTGCCTGTTCCAGGCTTGGGAAAGATAAATGCGACTTATTTTGTAGCCCATATCAACAAGATTCATAACGCTCTTTTCGAACTCGATATCCCCTCAATTAAGCTTACGCTGCCCTCCTTTAGGGCTGTGTTGTTGACGGAAGACCGTCTAGTTCAGTTGATACAGACCGATATACCCCGAAGCTTCAGATTACAGAAAGGGACAGATGAAGCACAGAAGGGTTTGGGCCTAGAGATTCTTGAGACGTTGATCCTTGAAGGGAAAAAGCTTGCTGTAACAACTAACCTTGCTCGTTCTAATCAACAATTATTATTGCCTCCTCCTCCATCTGCAAGGCGTCGTTTGTCCTCCGCTTCTATACCACCACCTATTCCAACAAGATCGCCCAGATCTCCAATATCAACTTCAACAATGAGTACACACAACAATAATAATGAAACCCACTTAGAGGATGATGATTATGAGCTACTTTAAGCTTGTAGTGTTTAATCGGAATACCAATATAAGCCTCCTCTCTTTATTCTACGTAATGTACATATATAACAAAGATCCTATTTAACTATTTTACATACTCTTTTTCTGTCCAATGTACAATATATATATATTGCCAAGTTTGTAGCTGCTCCCAAGCCGTGTAATTGTATCTAAGAACTAGTATCTACAATTACTAATTTTGAACGTTTGCTTCCGCTTGTTGAATCTGTTGAAGCTTTCTTCGTTGATTCTAAAGTGAAGTTAGCTTCTGCTTCAATAGTTCGTTTTTGAAGTTCTTGGAAGGGTGTACGGCCAAGTGCTTTGGCGGCATCAACAGGAGTGAATGGCTGATCTTCATCGAGGATTTTGAATCTGGGTTTACCAATATGTGGTTGAATATCAATTAAAGGTTCTCTAAATGTGTATTGAGTTTGATCCACACCCATTAATTTCTCCATGCCTTTGTTGAACTTTCTCTGTAAGATGACCCCCTTCTTTTCCATGTCCTTTTCTGCATCTTTCAGCTTTAAGACAGCTTCCACACGTTTTAATGAAATACCATATTTTGTAGCGAGTTTACGAATTGTCCACTTTGCTGAATCAGAAATATATAAATCGTACATTTCTTGACGAAGCGCATCAGAAAGTGGAGGTCTAGGTCTGAACAGTGGGTTTTTGGGGAAGGGCTATTGAATAAGAAAGTTAAGCCATCAGCATATACATACACTTGTTATAAGTAGTGCCTTTTTTTTTGTGCGTGTGTGTGTGTGTAGTAGAAGAAGGACATTACGTATGAATCACCGAGATAATTTGTGGAGCCTTCTGATGGTCGACTATATTTGGCACCCTGACCTTTGATCCATTCAAGGAAACGTTTTCTTCTCCTTGATGGGTTGATAGCTTCTGCGGGTTCTGCGTCTGTTTCAACGGCAGCATCTGCAGTTTTTGTCTTTGCTTCTTCTTCAGTTGTAGTTGCTGCTGCTTCCGCTTCAGGGGTCTTTCCGGGCTCTTCTACATTCGAACAATGAAAGCTTGAAGAAAACAATCGCTGGCTAATGGGTGTCGTCGAGGAAATTACAACGTTCGAGGGTCTGTAAAGACCTTTAAAAAAGTGGGTCGAAATGTTACTCAACTTTATTGATTGCATTGAAAATGTTGCTCTGTTGAATACACAAAGATGAGGAATCTTTCAGGACAGAAAATAAAAAATGTGGAGCCCTGTCAAGCTCGAAAACAGAGCAGCGGATAACCAAAGCTCGTCTCCGCCGCCCTGTGACTAAAAATTCACCAACAGAAGACTGGGTTTTTTTTTTTCTTTGCCCCACATTTTCCCCTTTTTTGTTTTATTTTACGTCGATCGAGTCTCTTCATCATTGAAACTTTTTGCGTTAGTTAGTCTCATTTTTATTAGATGTACTAAGCTTGTAATTGATAGAATCAGACTAATGACAGTGGGTCCCTAGTTTTCATGGTTTTAAGTGTCTTTTTGCTGCCTCCGTGATCGTTTTCATCAATGGTTCTGATAAGCGGAAAAGGCCATTGTTTGTCACAAGTCGATGTGCAGGCATTCGTTGAAATGTTCCTGCTTTTATAGTGCCCTCATCCAGTTCAACACTTCCAATAATGTCTTCAGGAAGGTTGATTCTGCCCCAAGCCGGTGGATTACGCTCATCACCAATATGTAGCCATCTTTTTTTTTTCCATAGTTCCCCGCATAATGGAAAGGAATTTTTTCAGTCAACACTATCCCGTGTATTTCGCACTGAGTGTATATATCTTAAGCACACTAACAATTTAATTTACCCTGATTTTTGCCATCTTGCTAACGCTTTCAAGTTTGTATCATCCACTTTATGTATATTGTCCTTCAATACACGTGTCATGAAATCTATGAATTTGGCGTTTTCAATAAATGTATTCGGATCTACAAAGTCGCTTTGAGGTGACCACCCGATAATCAATTCTGAGGGCATATCTTTTGCGTCATTCAGTTGTTCTTTAGAGATATAAGAAATAGCAAACATATTCTTATTCGTTGTAGTATGAGAGAATACATCGTGATAGGCTACATAATGGCAGTGGCACTTGTAAGAGGATTTTTTAGTTAAAAGTACGAATACATGAGTTAAATAGCTTACAATTGAGTGGGATTTTCTCCCTCATTATAGAAGAAGAAGTGAAGCATCTGAAAACGATTGAAGGCTGCCTCATTCGAAAATGACATTGTAGCGATTTCAACATTAACATGGTGTGGATAAAGTTATTGTAGAGATTTTAAGGGAAAAAAAAAAAGGGAAATCCCAAGGAAGGGGTGTAGAGCAAATTTTGCATTAAAGACGCACAGGCATAGTTTTTTTTTTTTTTTTTTTTTTTTTTTTTTTTTTTTTGCGAGCATACACAAAGCGCCTTTTAAACCCTGTAACTTGACATTTGTAAACAGGCTACGCATGATACCTGCATTAGACGTAGTACAGAATAACGTTGAGATCTTCCGATTTTTGCTTTGATGTCACTCAACTGGCAGATTTCTGTCATTCGGTTTTTGTTTTTTTGTTTTTTTTTTTACTTAAAGGCATTCCTTCCTTCTAATACGATGTTTGATGGTAAAGACTTGATACTCTGACAGAACCACGAAGCATGCATTTTGCATATAGCTGTATTTAGCTTGGGTTTGTTGTTCATTTATTACTGCTCTTTGAAACTTGTTATCTTTTTAGTCCTATTATTGTTATAAGTATTATGATCGGTAGTATTGCTTTGACGTCTTATTGTAGTGTAGTTTCGTTTAATGGTGCTTGTTGATACAGCAGAAGTTGGTTTTGTAGTAGCCTTTATTATTATTGCCTTCTGCTTGCTCATTTTCAATGTTGTTTTAGCTGCTTGGTGCACTACCTGTAGGCTTTTGAACATTAAGTAATAACATGCTTGGTACATAAGCCAAGTAGTGGCTGAGAGCAAGGAAATGCAACATTGAACAAGCAAGTAATTCTTGATCCTGGCTGTGGATTGTTGCTGTGCAATTCTTTCCTTGACATATTGACCTACTAAAACCATCAGTTTCCAAAACTCTTCATCATCACTATCATCGTCATCGTCATCGTTTCCGTCTCCACTACTATAATTCTCATTTTCATTGTCATCATTATCGTAGGTACGATATTCATAACTGTAGTGTTCATTGAGCGATTTATCGACAGGATTCTCTGGCAAGTAACTGATCTCTATAATTTCAGAGCTAAATCGAACAGTGGATTGTTTGCCTGTATCAGAGGCACACTTCGACCAATACCGGTGATTCCAATAGTCTACACGCTCAAAGGGTGACTTGTCACTACCATATCTATAGATAGAAGTAGATAATCTATTCCTTTTCAATATTGATTTTACTTTTGTGGTGCTGTGGAGGTTATTATTGTAAGAGGAAGCTTTCGATGAGGATGTGAGTTTTCGGATATCGTCAGATGATGGCTCATGTGGTTCTGCTGTATTAGTATGAGTTGTGATGTATAAGGGACCGTATAACCCTAGAAAAAAAATAGAATTATTTGGTAAACTTCACCCCAAAATGATATCTTTTATTTGTCACAATCTTACATGTAATGTCAGATTCCTTTTGCCTAAAAATGTAGCAAATGATATGAATGCACAGGTCACCTATTATCTAACTTAATGATTCGATTTTTCTTACCAATTGACTGAGGAAGGCGATACCATCGAGTTCGAATAACCAAGTCTCTTTGTGCAGTATCTTGCCATTTGTCTCCATACAGCATTTTGGTACCGAAGTTGCTTATTACGTTCCACATTTAACTTTCTTCTTTGTCGACAAGATAGATCCTTGGTAGCTAAGGAAAATTTCGTTTTTGAGCACTGTTTATTAAGGCCTTTGAAGGTTTCAAGCAAGTCGTTGGTGGTCCATTCATGAGATAAATAGTCAATGCATATACAGGCTTTCATGTGTTAATAAGTCAAAAAATATTTGTGTAAGGAATGCACTGAAGCTACGAATAAAAACCAAAAAGAAGAAAATAAAAAAGAGGAAAAAGGAATGGGAGGGAAGAATGAAAGCCAAAATACGTTTGGTTATCAGATATGTACGTATGTGTGTGTGTGTGTGTGTGTGTACCTCGAAACTGTATACACTTATTTTAAAAAAAAAAAGGTCGAAACAAAATATAGCACAACAATAAGCTTAATAGCCGTTTCATCTTCCTTTTTTTTTCGAAAACCTAACTTTACTGCATTTATGCATAAAATGTAAAGAACGCAGCATTTTAAGAGATTTTTTGTAATTCTACGAACAGGTTAGCGAGGAATGTGTCTTATTCGAAATGATCTCTCCTTCTCGGTTAGTGTTGATAATTTTGTGGTTTCTCAGAATTATACTACAGAACCCCACCTTTGTTCAAGCTTTTCGTTACAAATGGTTACTCAAAAATGGGTGAGACGCAAGCGAAGAATGATCATGCATTTGACATTTAATTACCATAAAAATAAAATGATGTCTAAGCGTTTTATTATCAGATTAAGTATGACAGAAGGAACAATAAATGACTTATATTCTTCCTATCCGTCGTAGATGCAAGAAAGTAAACATACTGCAGACGACGTGAAGCCTTTTAGCGTTTTTTCAACCTTGTAAATCTTGAGGACATTTTCGAGCGACAAAGGCTTGTTACAACTTAAAAATCAAACAATTTCGTCTGTTCCACTTACAAATTCTAACTGGTTTTTTTTTTTTTTTTTTTTTTTTTTTTTTTTTTTCGTTAATAAATTTTTTCTATCTAAACTTATCAAACTGTACCAAAGCTTTTCATAACAAAGTGCCCTCATTTATACTAACAAAATAACAAATGCCAGCGTTTCCGATACTTTCCGTCTCACGGAAGCCGATATTACTCTTTCTTTTTGTCACTGTATTTATATTCTTGTACCAAATTGCAAGTCATCCGAAAGTGTCGCGAACGATGCAATCATCAGCTTATTATACAAACTACGATGAACGAGCTTGCCTACCGCAGAGGGTTTTAGATAAGAACCCACCAACAAAAAAAGCAAAAGCCGCTATTGTTATTCTTGTTCGCAACAAGTAAGTAAGAGAAAGAAAAGAAACAATAAAGAATGCTTTTCTCTGATCTGATCTCATGTACACTCTACCTGTATCAAATACACATTTCTCATAGAGAACTCGAGGCCATTAAAGAAACCGTCATCAACTTTCAAAATGTATTTAATAATAATTTCGATTATCCTTATGTATTTTTAAATGAAGTGCCGTTTACTGAAGAGTTCAAATACACAATTCGACAAGCAGCTCCTAATGCGTCACGCATCGAGTTTGGATTAGTACCTGAAGCCCATTGGAGTTATCCTTCTTGGGTGGATCAAAACTTGGCAGCACAGAAAAGAAAGGAAATGGAAGAACACGATGTCTTATTTGGAGGATTAGAAAGCTATCATCATATGTGCCGATATCAATCAGGCTTCTTTTTTGATCACCCATTGCTTGAAGGGTAAAGTTGGTATTATTCCTATAGAAAGTGAAGCGCGCATGTGTGGTTTTTAATGGGATAACTGTGACACTCATTCAGACTGTTATGTAATTATATAATGATACAACAATAGATACGATTGGTATTGGAGAGTCGAACCTGGCGTTCGATTTTTTTGCGATATTACTTACGACCCCTTTTTATACATGGAAAAGCACAAAAAGAAATATGGATTCGTTGTCACGTTGTTGGAAAATAAGAATACAATTCCTAGCTTATGGAAGACAGTCCAGCAATATGCCAAATCAAGACATATTGACATCTCCATGCCACAATCGCCATCGTCGTCACCCTTATCCTCGGCCTCCTCCAAGCGTGTCAACAACAATAACCACAACAAACGACTATTGTTTCCGTACTTTATCGATCCATCCACAGGTGATTATAATCTGTGTCACTTTTGGTCTAATTTTGAAATCGCAAGCTTGAATTTGTGGAGAAGCCCAGAATACCGTGATTTCTTTCAATATCTAGATCAGACAGGCAACTTTTTCTACGAACGTTGGGGGGATGCTCCTGTGCACTCCTTAGCAGCAGGGTTGTTCTTGAGCACAGATGAAATACATTATTTTGAAGATATCGGGTACCAACACGATTTATATAGGCACTGTCCCACCAAAGAAAGTAGCCTAGGATGCCGTTGCACATGCCCCGAGGGAACAACTGATAAAAGTATTGATCATGATCAATATTATGATACTTGCTTGCCAGTTTGGAAACAGCATGTGAAGCATGAAAAGAAGAATTTGAATTGGAATGTCTGGTCATAATTCAATATACATATTTAAGTAGATGCATTTTTCACGAAAAACGCATGTAAGCAGATATAAATGGATGTATCTACATATACGTTTGTTTTTTTCTTTCTTTCTTTCGCGATAATAAAGAATATTACAATAATTAAGTGAAATGGCAGGAGAAGGGAAGGAGAATATATTACAAAACGGAGATGTGGTGTGTGGAGAAAGAGAAGGAGAGAAAGGAAGCCAGGCATGAAGTTAGAGAAGAGTATATATTGAATATTAAATATTAATGATGTCTGCGATTCGCGGCTTTGTTTGAACCTAATCCAAAGACAATGTTCGCTCAGCCAAATGCCGTGGCAGCGAAGATCTCTGGTTGTCGGAATTTACTGTTTAAATGAAAATAATATATAAAAACAGGTCAGAAAAGAGAGTCTAGAACATTTCCTTATATATTCACCAAACAGAAACAGCTCTACTTACAATGTGGTTTCAATCCTTTTCCAAAATTCAGATAACAGAGAAATGCGTTAATAATAGTCAACACGACCAAAGCCAACGAAACACTCGCTATTTTAAACAAATTTGATAAAGAAGAACAGTCAGTTTTTGATTTGCATTCGAGCACCCCTCCCCGCCCAAAAAAAAAAAAGGAAAATAATAGTAATTGTAATAAAAAACAATGATGATAGCACGAGCACACTTTACCAAAGAAAGTTAATGTTTCATTGACATATTTGTATTTATCTCTTTGTGAGGGATCGTAAATTCGATAAATCTTGAAGATAAAGTAAGCGATACCAGCGCACATACCCAAGAAGAACAAGTACATCAGATATTTTGATTCATGCTTAATCTACGATAAGTAGGTCAATAAAAAGTGCAGCATGGAAAAGAACAAAAAGGTGAACTTACAGCATATACAGCTAATAATAAAAACAAGCACGTTAAGGGTATAGCGACTATTGTCAATGCAAATTCATAATCTCCCGACCGTAGCACCAACACAAGATACTGAATGGAATAGCCCAAGAAGAAAAAGAAATCGATCTTCAGTATTGTTAATATGATCTGATAACATCTATACATATCTATAGAAAAAGTCATGTAAATAGATCCCGGTCCCTCATCTGTTGTCTTTATAACTTCACAAATACACATACTTCTGATTTCTGGATCTGCACCAATCTTTTTATAAATCTTCCAACTACAAGTCCACAGAGAGCATAGCATTAAATATCTCTTTCCTTAGTTCTGTTCTTTGAATCATAATCATCTTTTGCTTTTTTACCCAAATTCTTGATATAGCCTTGCACCAACATAGATGTAAAGTAACTGACAAATACCAGTAATGACTGCAATCACAATTAACAGTCGGTTGATTAAGAATGTCAAAGAAGTTGCTAGTTGTGCAAGATCAGGATCGTTTGAATCTAATGCATCTGCTATTTGTTTAAACTGGAATAGTGCGTAACAAAAACAACATAAATTGAATAGAAAAAAGGCGATCACTTGAATGGTATTTTGTGCACGGACCTAAACAAAAGAGATATTATATATGTGTGAGCTTTGACATTCAAACCATAACGAAAACAAAACCATGAACTTACAGCATCCCACGCAATTAAGACTTGAAAGACTTGAGAGAAAATAAATATCATTAAGTAAACTGGTATACCTAATCCCAAATTATTCCTTGAGAATCTAAGCAATGTATAATACAGATAATTTTTAGGTAAGATGTACAGTCAGAGATTGCCAAACTCTTTTAGTTGTTCCTCTGACTTTACTCGGTATGATAGAATTTGGAAAAAATAGCAGCTTCTAATGCAATAACAATAATGGCCTCAAATACAGCTATAGAGACTAACAGAACTGAATTTGGAGATTTTGACCAGAACTAAATGGAAGATAGGTTATTCTTCTTAACAATTTAGCTCAATAACAGATATACATAATTTATTTACATTTATTTTGAAGGATGTCCTCTTCTCTCGACTAGTGCTGCTGAACTTCGAGGAAGGTTCTATTATTTTGTGTGAAGATTGTTGTTCAAAACTTCTTTGATCTTGAAAGCTGTCTAAAGACATTTTGTTCTCTTCCATTATTGTCGTCATTCTGGGACTTCTGTTGTTGCTGTTGGGGATTGACAAAGGCTGACAAGTGAGATGATGGTCGAAAGGACGATCAATCAATAAAAGGAAAAGAGTTGAATAAGCAGTCTAATAGCCTTTTGTAGAGTATTCAACAATAAGCACGACCGAAGTAAAGATTACAGAGAGACCAAGGAAAAGCAAACAAATAGGTTAGTAGATTACCAGGAAGATATAAGAAAAAAAGTTAAAATTTAGTGTAGCTTTTTCAATCTGCTTTCTAAGTTGCTCTGCGGGTTAATAAAAATAAAAACCCAGAAGCCAGAGCAAAATTTGTTAAGATTGAATCAAGGGGTTGAAATGAGCTATGACAGGAACGTGGTTTTGATTGGAGACGTTTCTACGCTGGTAAGTATATGGTTGAACCCTCTTACGAAACCCACATGAAATAGTGAACGGACGGATGCACCAAAATGTTCATGATAACAGATACGCAACTTTAAATAAATTGACAGTTCTTGAAATGCTTTTGGCATCCAAGTCGATCTGACAATCAAGATGCATGATTTCATTGTTACGGATCAAATATCGTACTCCTTATCATTGCAATGAAAATCATATTATTTTTGTTATCAAATCGATTGTTTCCATCATATAAACAAAAAAAAAAGTTCTATATGCCTATATTGGGATAAAGCGAAGTTACACTAGAAAGCATCGAAGCCTTTTTTCATATCAATGCACAGCAAACAGACCCACAAACACACACACAAAAAAATAGCGGATGAACAAAACGATCACAATGTGTACGTGTGGGTGGTTATTGTAACTAACAGAAAAAAGCCTTGATGAGCATGTGGCCTTCTTTTTCTCATTTCAACTGAAAAAAAAAAACGATAAAAAAAAAGATAAAGTAATCTCATATTAAGAAACTCACATTTTTTTCTTTCTCTTTCTCTTTTTCTTTTTCTCTTTATTTTTTTTTTTTTTTTTTTTTTTTTTTGTTTGGCAATCTATCAACTTTCAATAATATAGAATCTGATATTTGTATGCAATAGTAAAAACGTCTTGTCAATAAACTATCAATAGGAATGTCAACTTTGAATGAAAGGAAGCACAGTACTAACAGCAATATTACTGCAAAACTTCAATCTTTTTTATGGAAGGACATTCAGAATTATATCAAAACGAATAATATACAAGCGCTTTCAACACTCTATTCCCGCTATCCCAAAGATACTACTTATGTCCTTCTGAACTGTTTGGCTACCTATTGCTGTTATAACAATGACGAAAGTAACAATAAAGAAGGACGAGAAGATCATGTCGTTGTTGATGCAACCATCGACCCTCGTCTTACAAACATTTTCTTCGGTCTTGAAAAGTTGAACGCGCTCGAATTGGCTTTTTTGTATAATCGAGAACAAATTGCCTGCCGACTCATCGATTGGACGGCAACACCAACAACAACGATGGCGATAACAAAACCACAACAACAAAAACAACTCTATCACAATAACAGTTGTACGGATAACATTTGTAGTAATAACAATACTTTTATTACACCCTTATGTTACAGAGCCATTACTATTTTAAAATGGAAAAGCGTCATGCTACCCTCGATCGCTACATCCCCTACTATTTCTACTGATAATCTTAATATTGTCACCGCTCATCAACAAGAGCCACAAAAAGCAACAGTTAGTATGCACACCTCTATTTTCATGAAAAAAGCAACAGAAAAAGTAGCAAGACTTTACTATGGAAAAACTTCCCCTAATGGTTCTAGTGGTAGTGATCGTAGTGAGATGGCTGTTCTTCAAAACGATAGCGGAATCTCACCCTCACCCTCACCTGTCTCTTTAACATATTCCTCCTCGTCGTCGTCCTCTACCTCCTCACTATCCTCTTTAACATGCGATTCTCGTTGGACAATTTCGCCCTCCCCAGCTACAAGAGTGTTGATGTCGACAAAGCCATGTAGGATCAAGGACAATAACAGCAACAGCAATAGCAACAGCAACAATAATAACAACAAGAACACCAGCAATGAATTTTTTGTCAACAGAAATGAGGCAACATATCAAAATTGTCATCTTATTGAAAATGAAGACAATGAGACGGATCACAAAGCATTACAACCGATCAGCGGGGTCTTATCAAATCTTCCATATCAACTACTTGATAATCAGCATGTTGTTTCAGCAGCTGCAACTATGGCGAGAAAAACAAAGAAAACAGTGCAATTCAGTCTGAAAGTCATTTTATTGGATGCTTGTGCTCGTGGTGATTTGGAAGAATTGAAATACTATACTTCATCTGCTAAGGCGAATGAATTGAATACTGTACGCGACTTGCAAAAACGCTCCTTGTTACATATCGCTATCATGCATAGACACGAACATCTTATTCAATTCCTAATTGAAAAACAACGCGTTGATATACGACTTGTAGATGCTGACGGTAAGATAAAAGAATCTCCCTTTCTTGACAGGATATGTAGTGATGGATCCAAAATATATTGTCTTAGGTTGGACATGTGCTCATTATGCTGCTGCTTTGAGTTTATGGAAGTCATTATCTCTGATATTGTCATTTCCTGAATCTTATGACGTATTGAAATTGAACAATGCAGCAACGACAACTATACCATCTCTACCTCAACAGCTATTGAAAATTGAGGAATGCCCACAAACTATGCTAGGTAGAAGAAAATGCAAGACGCTTATTCAAAATGCCTTTATAAAACTTCAACAGCAACGGCAGCAGGCAAAACCAGTAGACAATCATAATTTCGAGACACCCACAACAGTGATTAAACTCAAGCACAAGAACTGAGTATATATCCTCTCCCCCTTTCCTTTCCTCCCTCAACTGTATCTATTGTATAAAACATCTATTCTAACTTTATTTTTGTATATTTCTACTACCTTACATATGTAAACCCCACTACACACTTTTTTTTGTCTTTTTTTTTTTTCCGCCATTTATGCTTTGTATTATGGAAGAGAAAAGTTATGTAAATTCCCATTTAATTATATAATTTAACTACCTTTATATGTCTCTATACATTCTTTCAATAGAGAACAACTACACACGGACATACGCATACACACACACAGACACATGCGGGCCTAACCATCTTTTGCGTTCGTTATTCATTCTTTTCTTTTTATAAATACTTTGATAGACTTCATATGTGGAACAATAAAAAAGTTTTTCTTCGAGCGTTATCATATTAAAGTGGCTTAAAAAGCGCTGACATGTATAAAACTAATGAAACCCGTTGTGAAACTCTAGGTCAAGCTTAAAATTCCATTTGTCTGTGTGCACACATGCGCACACATTTCGGAAAAGTCTGTGCATTTGATTTTTCTATAATTAAAGTTGCCTACTTAGCGACTTGACGGGGCCAACAATTTATAAATCTGCAAAAACTTGCACGTTTGAAATACATCAGAAGTTAAGCAATAGTGTTGATAAATTAGAAATATTAACAAAATTCAACAAATATCCCAAAAATAATAATAAAAAAAAAAAAGAAGTACAAATTTGATAGAATGGCCAGTTATACACATACTAAAAACTCTGAACGGTGGCATAATGAATTCTATCGTACATCTTTTTCATTTGCTCAAATGCCTTCAATCTAACCTTTGATATAACGAATTTATTATCGCTTGTTACCACTTTAAGTTTATATTGTTATTGGAGGCTTTAAACAACAACATATAAGAATATATACCTCAACATCAAAGTCTAAACCCTTTCCTTAGCCCAGGAGCATTTATTGCGAAAAAATCTTTTCCAAAACCCCACATTTTGTCTTAAGGGGCTTGATCAAATTCTATCAATTGTTAACTTAGCTCTCAAAGGAAAACCCCCTTCTCATAACCTTTAAGTCTTTTCTAAGAGATCATGGGGATAGCAGGAAGCTCTTCAATTCATGTAACATATTTCCGTTAGGATTTTTCTTCTTCTTCTCATTGATGGTTAAAGTAAGAGATCATCGTTCAAAATTTTAATATCTCACTCAGAGTTCAGATTCATTGGAGTGATTTTTTACAAGTAATTGAAAAATGGTAAATGAGGTTCCTTATGCGTATAGTTTTATTCCTTTTTCGTTGTTTGACATAATAGAATTTAATAAAATGAGGTGTGTTCTAATAAGCCCAATTTAGGCGGGAAAAGTAAAAAATAAATTATGAATTTAAGGCTGACCCCTTAAAGAAAACAGTGAAAAAGTTACATTAGTAAATGGGTATGCTTGACACTGTCTCTATGTACTTCCATTTCATTCATTTTATAATGATTTAGTTCTTGTTTAATCCGTTCTACTGAAATGGAATTCATTTGAAATTGATCCATATTTACGCTGGCACTACGATCATACTCTTGTCGTGCATAGGTATTGTAAACACTAACTAGTATATCGAAGGTCACTTTTTTCAGCTGTTTGTTTGAACCATTCTTCTTTTGCTTTATACTTGATTTCTTCAAAATAGTTACTCTTGCTGTTGTTGTAGGGGAAGACTCAACATCTCTCTCATGTATAGTAGTCGCGGGTGTAGTTGTAGTATTCATAGAAGAAGTTGGATACATGAACTGAATTTGCTGTAGTGGTTGGTTTTGGAATGAAAGTACTGTTGTCTTTCTACTTTTTCTCTTTTTCTTTTTGTCATGATCTGTATTGTACGATTGTCTTCGTTCAACGGTGAATGCATCTTCACATTTCTGCTGCTGCTGCTGCTGTCGTTCTTGTAGTTCCTGTTGTTGTTGTTGCTGTCCAAGCGGTAAGGATGATGTTCGATGAGGACGTAGCATGGAACCCCTTGACATATCTGTTTTCAATTGGATCGCTTCTGTTTGGTACTGGTGAGAATTAAGTTCGACATCATTACCTCTATGCATACTTCTGATATCTTCCATTATGAAGTCATGCTCACCAATATTGGCTGTTTTGCTTTGCGAGTGTCTCAATGTTGCTGCTGTATCAAATAAGGTTAACATTTTATGGTTTTCTTTTGTTGTTGATTCTGATAATGTTGAAGCTGCAATAGGAATAGCTGGTGGAAAACACTGATTATTGTAAGCATTAGTTTGACGTTGTAGATGCCATTGCTGCTGAAGTTGTTGTTGTTGTTGTTGTTGTTGCTGCTGCGGCTGCTGCTTTGACGGTGAAAAGGCCTTCTTGAAACGAGATTTGATGGATGACAGACGTGAAGATGTCCTTAGGGATGCTGTGGAAGAACAGGAAGGTGTGATTACAAAATTGGGTATGTTTTGTTGATAGTGATAACTATTACTGAATAATTCATGTGACAGAGTCAACAGAGTTGAGTACTTTATTGCTTCCTCAGTCTCCTCTGTGTTGTGAGCAAGAGTGGCAATAGACGATGAGCTACTACTAGTGTCGTCCAAAAGTGAATCAGCTGAATGGAAATTATTCAATACTGGGTAATGATAGTGCTGTTCCATATTACCGAAAGACTGCCGCTGCTGATGGTTAGGAAGATCAAAAGGGCTAACAGCAGGTTTCGGAGGTGGTATAGGGGATGCCAAGATTAATTCGTCGGGATGAGAGTAAGCATGGGGTACTTGTACTGCTGAAGGTGTACTAGGTGATGAAGGGCTATGGAAATGAGTACCTTTATCATGAACAGGAAGAAAGTAGGGTTTTTGCTGGCGGCATTGTTCTTGTTGTTGAGGAATATTTATGGAATAAGGTGGCTCTTGGTAGTCATGGTAAACTACGGTCTTCTCCTGCACGAATTCATTATAACTGTTTGCAGCGGCTGTAAAGCTTGAATCCGTGGATCCATTGGTATTGAAAACATGAGGTACCTCATAAATCAACGTGGAATCACTAGCAGCATCATCGTCTGCCATTTTTCGTTGATGCTGCTGCTTTCTCTGTAAGTAAAGGATGTGTGTCAGTATGATTACAAAACAAGGATCAAAATGCGGCACTTCCCTCCCTCACCTTTACCAATGGTAATGCAGGCATATCTTCAATCGTCATGTTTTCAAAAGGAGATATCACTGTTGCTGACATTATTTAGTGATAAAAGATAGTACACGTATAAATAGCAGTTAAGGAACGGACTGAGTAATAATATAATTGTTATGCTTATTAAAGGTGAAAAGATCAACAGACAAAGAGAAAAGGAAAGCGCTTTCATAAAAAACGTGTCTTTATTGATCCCCTTTAATTCTTTTCTCTTTCAGTAATTCATAATATATCGGCTTTTATTGATAAAGAATGAAACCATATGATGAAGGGGGAGGATCAAATTGCAATTTTTCCCTACTTTTTTTTTTTTTTCTTTTATTTGATTCGACTTTGATGTTAGGCGTTAAGGTTTTTGATCGCCACTGATTACATAATCTCTCAGAGTTTTAAATATAGCTGTATCTTGTTCAGCTTTTCTTCGCGGTCCTTCTACAACAGTTTCCCTGCGCAGATAGATATTTATCACATCAACCATTTTGATATACAGTATACACATATAGATCTCAAAAAAATGTCCTCAAAACCAGTATCAAAAAGTAAAAGATGAATTATGTATATGATTCTTCTCTTCTTAAAGAGCTGTTATCGACGTTTAACAATTATGTATAAAGCTTCAAAAAAACGTAAAGTAGGACCTGTTGGAGAAGATCTTTCCCAACGTAGATTAGATCGATTCTTCTCTCCGTCATCAACACCTGCTAACAGTTCTAATCAGGCTGCTAATGTTGGCACTGCTACTTTGACAAACTCTTCTTCGTCATCACCACCAGCATCAATTGTTAAAAATGAGGATGATCCGATGGATCTTGATTCACATCGCTCACCATCAACAACAACAACAATAACAAAAGCACCCTTTTTGGGCACTCTGAAAGACCATCAGCAAACACTATTACCAACCATTAGTATAGTTAACTGTAGTCGTAAGTTTCCTCAATCCTTATTTTTGTTTGATTTTCGTCTTTGCAAGTTTCCATTCATTCATGCAGATATCAACTCCAACTAAAAAATGTCTTTAGCTGCCAGAAGAACAGAACTGTCAACAAAAGATGTTGATGACAATTGGAACATATTGAAAATATTAGTAGTCAATGTCTTCACTAGTGACCCACAAATCAGCAATTCCAGATTTGATTTTTGCACAGCTTCTAGGGTAAAAGCTAGCTTTTAATATGATAGCTTTGAGGGCCGAGATGATATGCATTAAAATAAAAGGTTAAACAGATCATCCTCCCTTTCATTTTTAAAAAAAAATAGTTGGCGGAAGGCTTGTGTAGATATGGCAAAGCAGAACAGTTGTTTCAAAATTTGAGGAAAGAGACCGAACTGCACGTTAAACGACTAAAAGAAATGCTTACAAAGACACTTCAAGAACGCGAGCAGCAAGCACAATCTCAACATAAAGATACCACTCTCTTACAAAACTTATATTCAAGTTGGACAACTTATTGTCAGCATTTATCTATGCTACGAAATGTATTTATGGAATTGGATCGAACTTATATTTTGTCCAGTACGAAATATACTTCTATCATTCAATTGGGCAAACAAATTTATAGCGAAATTATTCTGAATATGACAGAGCTCCGTGCCGCCATTATTACTGATATTATACAGCTTATTACATGGGAAAGGAACAGAACTTCTTTTGAGCAACAACAGGAGCAATCGCCGAATGAGGAACAGAAGGCAGAATTACGAAAGCTGATTCGAGCCATCATTCTCATGTTTATTGAATTGGATTACTATTCGTCTGATTTCGAACCATGCTTCATCAAGAGTACTGTTTCTTATTATCGAGGAGAAGCCAATCGATTGATACATCAGCAGGGCGTAAACATATCTGATTATCTTCAGCACTGTCAGCGACGATATGAAGAAGAAACGAAAGACCGTCTCACGTCGTATTTAGATTCGCATACAAAACAAGCCCTTCAGAATGCCGTCAAGGACGAGCTAGTCTGCAGCAACATACACTTCATTCTCGATAATGGGTTCGAAGCTATGATGAAAGAAACTCAGTTATCACCTTTGAAGACACTGTATGATTTGGTAGCTGAACAAAGCACAAAGTTACAACTTCTTCGACAAGCCTTTGGATCCTATATTAAAAAACATGGTTCAATGATACTGTCCAATGTAGCCACTCCCGATGGTGGTAATATGATTGTATCACTTATCAAATTTTTGAAAAGGGTCAACAGAGTTTTGCACAAGAGTTTTATGAATGACGCGACATTCTTGAACGTAACCAAGGAAAGTTTTGAAGCATTTATTAATCAAAGAGGCAGTAAACCAGCTGAATTATTAGCAAGATTTGTAGATAGCAGGCTTAAAATGTCTGCAAGCAAGGTAAATATATCCTTTATATTGTTATAGATTCAATTTACACTTACCTTGTAAACACTAACAACTTTGTAACAGAAAATGAAAGAATCAGAGACCAATCAAACCAACGTTTTGGACTTGTCATTATCCTTATTTCGTTACATTCAAGCCAAAGATATGTTTGAACAATTCTATAAACGAGCATTATCAAAACGATTACTGTTGGATCGTTCTACTTCACATGAAATGGAAAAGTACGTCGTGGAAAAATTGAAATTGGAATGCGGTTATGAATTCACAAAGGACATGGAAAAAATGTTTCAAGATATCCAAGTATCTGTTGATTTACAACGTGAATTCAATGAACAGGAGAAAGCAAAAGTAGCGAAAAAGCAGCAGCAGCAGCAGCGTTTGAATATGATTGTTAAGGTAGTCAATACTTCTGTTTGGCCAACGTATCCAAACTCCCCTATCACTTTGCCCATTCATGTAAGCCTTACTAACGAGAAAGAGAAGGAACAAAAGAGTTGTGGTGACTAGATTCTTACCATATCATCATTTTCAGATGGCCGAAATGCAAAGATCGTATGAAAAGTTCTATAACAAAAAGTTCAAAGAAAGGAAACTGACTTGGCAGAATTCGTTATCGTCCTGTTCACTGTATGCTAATTTTCCTAAAGGAACAAAAGAAATACTTTGCAATTTGTCGCAAGCTGTTATTCTTATGATATTCAACGATACCAAAAAACAGTCGTTTACATTTTCAGAAATACAAGCCATTTGCGGTCTCGGTATGGTGGTGAACAAAAAAGAAAAGGGTGCTTATGCTGCTTTGGAGAAGCACGCTTCTTTTTACTAATGCTATATTTTGACTTTTACGTAAAATAGAGAAAAAGGAGTTATTAAGCTTATTGAAATCCATATCGTCTAATGATTACGAATTTATCAAGTTTGAACCTTTGCGACCGCAGGGCGGCAAATCAAACACCATTACTTCCAATGACAAATTCAAATTTAATGTAAACTTTGAGTCCACCTCGGTGAGAATGAGGTTACCAGCACCTACTATTGACCCTACAGCAGACAAGGCAAAGGATGTTGAGCAAAAGGTGCATGTAAATCGTCAGCATCAGGTGGAAGCTGCCATTGTACGTCTAATGAAGAAAAATAAGCAGATGACGCATAACCAACTGATGGATCAGTTATTAGAAGAACAAATTTTCCGATCCATTGAGGTAAATATTCAGTACAATGTTGCTTGGTTTGATCCATTTGTAATGTACAGTTGAAACTGATATCAATATACAACAATATCAAACGTTTAGGCAAGTGATATTAAGAAGAGAATTGAATCCTTGATCGACAGGGACTATATGATTCGTGATGTTAACGACAGCTCATTGTATATATATCAAAGTTAGAACAAGAAAAAAAAATATCTCTTCACTTGCTTTCATCATTTCACTATAAAAACAAACTATCTTCTAGGATGTAGCATGACTATGTAAATGCAATAAACACTACTAGCAGCGATTTACCGTCCTTATTTGCTATTGTTATATTGCATCGTTTAGCAAGCTCGGTTTTAAAATTGCCACTAGGTCTTTGGGATTTTCAAGTTTTTTGTACTCTAATCTATTCATGCAAGATGCGAGGTACCGAAGGTGAATCAATATGATGTTAGCTTGGCAATCGTTCTAGCATTCGTAGTCGCTCAAAGCTCAAAATTGCTGAAAGAATTTTGCACTACTGTCGTTTGTACATCAGCCCACTTAATAAACAAAGATAATGCCATTCATCGGTTAAAATGGGTCTTCAATAACTTTGATTAACGACATCATTCATCAATGTTTAACTTATTAGTACTCATCATTTGTTGAGCCGAGCATTAATTGACAACAGCTTGTTTGGTTTTGTTTACAATAACAGTTATTCTCTGGCATAAAAACTTCAACATATAAATCATATCCTACACTATATGTTTTACATAATGTGAAATAACGCCTAAGTTCGACGACAAGATAATTTTTTATCAGGTTAATATGAATTGTACGGTATATTAAGCCCACAATAAGGTGGTTAATTCTTAGAATGAGGCTCTGTCATCGTATCTAACATTCAGAAAAGACGAAAAAAATACAAAGGGGAAAAAATTAGGTTTTTTATCTGGGGATAATTGAACAATTGATAAATGAGTCTTCTTTATTTAATTTGCTTCAACTATATACAAATATGAGTGGACAAAAGCTAATTGTTACTTGTAACGAAAAGCTCTAAAAAACCAAAAATGAATGGACCACAGACGAATATTAAAAGAAATACCTTCCTTGCTTTTTTGTAGACTGGGATGAATTTGAAGTCTGGCCATTCATCGCGACAGATCTATCAGCTTGTCTACCTCTTCGCAATTTAAAATGGCAGCCGTCCAGTCAACGATCAGACTGTATCATCCCTTTACTGGAAGTAGATTTGAAACGTTTTACCTTTGACCCTGTACCGCCTTTACTTTCTTCAACTCAAACAACATACTTGAATCTTTATTTTGTATCTTGCGAGGTAACTATACTTTTCATCGGTTCTTTCCATCAGGGTTTGTTGTGAGCTCTAGAGCAAGCGAGACCAACCAAACGCGTTGATTGTTTATATTTAGGATAACGAAGTATATAAAACCCGTGTGAGAAAAAGTATACGGCAGTGGCTCGACCTGATTCAGACAAAAAAGAAAAACCAAGAATGGTTGATTGTCTACGTGGCAGATACAGACAAAGGCAAAAGATCCAATAATTATTATTCGTTAGGTCTAAAGTCGTCTGTTTACGATAAGATCAGAACAGACTTTAACCCTTCAAAGCAGGATCGGTAAGAAAAAAGAGGAAATTAACAACAACAAAATTCAGCAATAATAATAAGTGAGCAATAACTGCAGTAGTAGGTAGTACTCACCCAATTTGCACAAACTTATGTAGATGTGCCTATATACGTAAAAACGATCCTGAGGGCCCACAATCAGATTTATGGATGTCCTTTATTGAGAAAATGAAAGAATGTATTTTGTCCAGTTTTGATATGCAAGTATTACAACTTCAAGAAGATACGCGACGACTAGACATGCAAAGACATATGCCAGGATGGAATTATTGCACTTTTTTTATTCTAAAAGAAGGATTGGCACAGGCATATGAAATAATGACATTATATGAGGATGCATTGATACAATATGACGAGTTGGAGGCCTCCTTTTTCCAAGTTTTAAGAGATAAAGCTCTGGCTTGGTTTGGTCATTTTGGGGGTACTGATCCTGGAGATGACAGTGGCAATATTTTGGATTTTAGACGGAAAGATTATCGAAGTCTGATCAACAAAAACAGTATCTCCGTATTTGATTTTCGAAGCTATTTATTCGCGCGACAATGCCGTATGTTATTAAAATTGCAGAGAGTTGTGGAAGTGACAGCAAGGGCACAACTCTTTATTACCAGTTTTATACCATCAATTCGAGAAAATGAGGATCAGTTACCAGCCAATTTTGTGGAATCATGGGTTTTTTCAGCATGTATGAATGTGGTAAACGAATGCGAGCCTTTGTCAACTCAGTTAATTATGCATAATACTGAATTAGCAGTCCCCTATAACGCTGTGAAAGCAGATTTACTCTTGACAGCGAGGAGGCAGTTGGACAAGATCGGTATACGGTGTGGACATTTACCGATGACTGAGCCCTTTTCAGTATATATGAACTTTAGCAATACTGATGCAAAAAACACTGCTGCTGCTGCTGCCCAAAGAAATGCGGAAATAAAGGAGACAATTACAAATGCTAAACTCTTGGAAGCAATCAATTCAATTGAGGCATTCGATAAAACTTACATGGGATTGAGTACGAGAGCTATCAAAAGTTATGATGCTAGTTTCAGGTCGAAAGCCGCCTTAAATGTTCATGGCGATATCGCTGCATTAAAATAGTAAGGAGAAGATAAAAGAAACCACCTCAGCAAACATGTAGTTTGCCAACTTGATATAGGACGCTAATACCCTCTTTAAAAACAGTACTAGAGGAAAGTATGAAGAAGCAGTGAGAATTTATGAATCTATGATATGGAGATATGGTGAACAAGATTGGTGTTCCATCGAAAATAGTCTACTTACCAAATGCGCGGATTCTCAGAAAAAACTAGGGAGAATAGATCAATACGTAGAGTCCCTGTTAGCATTACTGAAGAACGCAAGGTTTCTAAAAGAAGAGGATGCCGCTCACTACACTGATGAGATGATTAACAATATTGTAAAGCTGGATAAAGAAATCAAAAGACCATTTGAGCCTGTCTTTTCCGTATCAGTTGTTACTGTAATTGATGATACTACTACTGTTGATAGCGCAAGTGTAGAATTATGCATTAACAACCATCTACCAAAGGTATGAAAACAGAAGCATTTAGTATATCAATTGAGATGAAGCTGTTAAATTAGTAAACTCCGTTGAAATAGAAAATACACTTTGACACCATTAATTTGAAGCTGGTTGGTAGTGATCCTGAGCAAATATGGTTCACTGTTAGCGATCAGGACCTTTCACCGGGCAAAAATATCTTTTTATTTACAAGCGAAACTTCTACTGCAGGCAACTATGTGGCAGAAACGTGCCAATTGAGGTTTAATAAGCTAGTGTTCAGTCATAACTTTTTACGCCCTGGTGAAAAAAAAAGTGTACTCCGACTAAATCATGATGCAAAACAGCTTTATGCTAGCATCTCACAGCCTGATGAAAGTAAGTTCAAACGAACAACGTCGTTTAAAGAAATACCAACTGGAAGCTAACCCTATATGTAAGTTTTCGTGGGTGAAACACAAAGATTTTCTGTTAAAGTCGAAAGTCGCGAGAATGCCATGAAATCAGGCATTTTAATTTTAGAGTCTCAAACAGAGAGTATGAATATATACCCAACATCAACTATACCAGCTATAATATCTCGTCAGGACAAAAGAGAGCCTGAGTCAATAGAATTGAATATGCTGGCAACAGGCGAGATATCACTTCCGGATATGGAGCCGAACGAGCATTTAGAACTGTTTGTTTTGTACAATGGAGCTTTTGCAGAATTTGATTATCGAGTAAGCAAAGACATATTGGTAAAAAGTACTTAGAATGATTGTCAAATTGGAGCTGAAATTATCCTCGTAGATCAAAATCACCATAAACTATCGTACAACAAATAATACAAGCCGAAGATTCATATCTTCGAATGAAGTTAAGGTTACTGTCCCATTATTGGTGACAGAGTCGACAATATTTAGAGAAAGTTGGTAAGCACTTAAAGTAACGTGCTATGGAGAAGATTATGCGCGATTGATATCCCTTGTTTATGTTTAGTGTCTTCTTAAAGGTAGAATTGTCGTGTAACGGTGAACTACCTGTTCGTATTCTCGGATCAAATGCTAGCCCTTCAACACATTATATCATTGAAGATCAGTCAGGAATGAAGGATTGCGATTTGGTGAGTTATTTATAACCTTCATACAAAATATGCATCTGTTATTAATATGCTATCCTGCCGCAAGACACTTTTCCCCAAGCAAACCATCTCTTTCGTTTACAAATTAAACAAGAGAGAATTGAAAGACAGGAGCGACGATGATGAAGCAAATTCAAAAGTACACTTTAATGTCAAATACTGCTCCTTGAAAGATGGTACGATATAGAGTTTTGGCTTAGTATTTCTACAATGACTTACCATCGATTACTTACGCGGACGTCTTTGAACTGTTTTTTAGAGGTTGAAAGTAGTTTACGGTTAATGCTATATGATAAATTGAAAGAATATAAACTGGAGCAGCATCTTCCATTCGTCTTCCACAAAATAAGAGATGCTTTCTTAAGCTCTGTTGATTACATTAGTTATGGTTTAACAGATGTAGTTCACTTAGACGATTTTGACGCTGAACTATGCGAGACATTCTTACTACATAGAGATCTGAAAACAAAAGTACAGTTGCTAGATTTGATAGAAGAATTTTTCGAGGTAATATAAGAGAAGCAAATTTTGTCAGTCAGATTGGTCATAAAATTGATAAACCTCTTACGTTGACAGATGAACGAAGCAATTACTATGCGGCAAGTCAAAAGTAAATGCCAGAAACCTGTAGTACATTCAATATCATTCCCACTTGAAGTGCCAACGTCAAAGGTAAACTTATACTTGCTATCCCTTCAAGTGTAGAGCACAACGTATAGTCATGACCTAAACCAATGAATTTTTTATCTTTTATACAGATAACGCATACCGCTGAACTTATACTTTCTGTTGAAAAAGATCTCGTAGTCTCTGAAGCTTGCCCTTGCATATTACGTATCAAGCAATTGACTTATTGGAATCCGGATATAATCAAAGCCGAGGGTGAATTCTACTACGAGGTAGATGTAGACTACGACAATTGGTTATTATTTGGTAAACGTCGCCTTCGCTTCCTCTCTAAACCAGATCAAGAAGTTGAGTTCTCATTCAGTCTTGTGCCATTGAAGACTGGCAATTTATTGTTACCCCCTGTACGTGTCTCTGCTGTTTTACCGGATGTTTTCGCTTCTACTGTTTATGTAAACAGTGCACAACAAATTCTGGTTAAACCAAAATCAAGGACAGCAACATTCTTTGTTGAGCAACAGCAAAGATTTATACAACAGCAGGTGGCGGCTCCCGTGATAACAACAGCAGGTGGCAGGGTACTTCCTCTATAATAAGCGAAAGCCATGGCATACGAAGTGGTGCCGGCTCACCTTACTAGCTATGTCAAAGATACCGGTTTGTTTAATTGTCTGCAAGGTGTCAAAGTAGCCAGTATGTATTAATTATTGATTACAAATAAAGCAAAAGGTCTCTGACTGTTTTATCTTAAATTGCTAAAAAATGATGAGCAGTGCCATCTGCCACATTTTCGGGATCTCAAAAAAGAGGGTGGTCGTTGTCTGTGACATTTTGGCAGACAACTGTTTTGAATCAGAAAATCATAATCAAGGCAAAAGCTTTCTTTTCCTTTTTCTCCCTTTCGCTCATCGCAAGATCTCAGTAGTAAAAAATGTGTGGTATTTGCGCCATCATACTAGCCGACCCCAATGCAGCTGCTTGCCCCGATTTGTTCGAAAGTTTAGGTTTGCTGCAACACCGTGGACAGGTCAGATATCAATTTTAAATTTAGAACAATTTTGACAACTAACTATAGAGAAAATAACAGTAATATATTGAGGCTCATGAATTTATTTATTTTTTTTGTAATTGAATTGTTATAGGATGCAGCTGGTATCGTTACTTGCGCAGCTAAAGGTCGATTATACCAATGCAAAGGCAATGGCATGGTTAGGGACGTATTCAATGAACAGCAATTATCCAATTTAATTGGTAGCCTTGGTATTGGACATGGTAAATGATTTATAAGTTTTTTGATGTAGTGATATTTCAATTCATCTGGTAGCAGGAAGATAGTCCAGTATGATATGTACTGAAACCATCTGTCATCTATTGCTTTTATTTAGTTCGTTACCCCACAGCAGGCTCGTCTTCAATGTCCGAAGCTCAGCCTTTCTATGTCAATTCACCTTATGGCATTACTTTTGCACATGTAAAGGACAGAACCAAACACAGATAACATGATTGGTGAAACTCGTTACTAATCCAACCATAATAATTTTTATAAATATAGAATGGCAATTTAACAAATGCGAGAGAACTAAGGGATTTCCTTGATAAGGTTGCTCACAGACATATAAACACCGATTCTGATTCCGAATTGCTGCTTAACATTTTAGCTGACAATTTACAAAAAACAGGCAAATTCAGGTAAAAAAAAAAGGAGATTAAACTGAGTCACATCAAAGGATGAAGAGAAGGAAATGTCTGTGTGAGAGAGCCATGTGGGTTGTCTGTCCTGGGTGTGCGCCTATTGTGTCATAATCTCATCTAATCTGACTTTATTTTCCAATTTTCTATTTGCTCACTATACACTTCACCCTCCCTGTAATCAGAGTCAATGAAGAGGATATCTTCACTGCAATCAAAGATCTCTATGGGCAATGCAAGGGTGGCTATGCTTGTGTAGCCATGATTGCAGGTTTTGGTATCATTGGCTTCAGAGATCCACACGGGATCAGGCCTTTGATTTTAGGTCGTCGTTTAGCCAATACTGGTGGTTACGATTATATGTTTGCCTCCGAGAGTGTCGTTTTAGAAGCTCTTGGTTTTAGTAAATTCGAAGACGTTAAGCCTGGAGAGGCCATCATAATCACTCGAGATAATGTGTCTCGCCGGCGCTTGGTTGTGGAGCAATACACTGCACCTTGCATCTTTGAATATGTTTACTTTGCTCGTCAAGATAGTATCATTGACGGTATCTCTGTTTATAAAGCTCGTCTTGCCATGGGTGAGGCTTTAGCAGATAAAGTACATCGAGTTTTGGGAGATAATTTAGATATTGATGTGGTGATACCTGTAAGTTCTTTAAATTTGCAGCTAATCAATGAAAAGTTTCAAATAGCTAACAATTAAGCAATTTTCTTAAACTAATTATGACTTTAGGTTCCAGATACAAGTCGTGCAGCTGCTCTTCAGTGTTCTCGTAAACTAAACATAGTTTATCGGGAAGGTTTCAATAAAAACAGATACGTTGGTAGAACCTTTATTATGCCAGGTCAGCAACTCAGACGGAAAAATGTTCGTCGTAAACTGAATGCTATGGCTTTAGAATTCCATGGAAAGAATGTTTTATTGGTGGATGGTAAATTATTCAATTTTAAAAGATTAAAAAATAATCAATCAGGAACTGTCTAACAATAAAGCTGTCAATCTTAGATTCTATTGTTAGAGGTACCACTTCGAAAGAAATTGTCGCTATGGCACGCGAAGCAGGAGCAAAGAAAGTGTATTTCGCATCTTGCGCTCCGCCTATTCGATATCCTAATGTTTATGGTATTGACATGCCAACACGCCAAGAACTCGTAGCGTACGATCGAAATGAAGATCAAATTGCCGAAGAAATAGGTGCAGATAAGGTTATTTACGAGGATTTGGATGATCTTGTGGAATCAGTGAGGAAATTCAATCCCTCTATTGAGGCTTTTGATACCTCTGTGTTCGACGGCAAATATATCACCGGTGACGTTGATGAGAATTACTTCAATTACATTGAAACGGAACGTGCTGGTGTTCATGATCCTTGTACAGATAATGAAAGCATTGGCTTACATAACAGCTTTAGAAAGTAATTAATTTTATACATACGTTAACAATACCTGTCCACATTAAAACTTCCACGACTCCTTTATATAATCAAAACTTTATCGTTAAAAAGGTTCCATAGCAAAAGTATACTGATTTAGATTAAAAGAATTAAATGAATGTAACATAGTTCTAATATATTGCAGTAAAAACCAAAGCAACTTGTTTGCTTTGCTAAAATCACTAATAAGGAATACCATTTGTTAGTTTTTGAAAATAATCATATAATACTGTTCTCTGATTTGCGAAAGACTCTTTGATTCTCATCGTCATAAATTCTGCTGCTGCCCGTTCGGATTTATCTAACTGAAATCTGTAGCGCATTCGTTTGATTGTTTCTCCTCTGAAGCACGGCAAGCCTGATCGAAGCATCAAAGTTACCAATTGCATAATCTGCTCTGCATATGGACGTGTCGCCAAATATGCCTTAATAACCAATTCGGAGAACTGACGGAAAGCTTGCTCTTGAGAGCCGCCACCCATCACTTGTATCATTTCGTTCGTCAGCTTGAATGGCGAATTCTCAAACGTAATACCTCCAGGAGCAATATCAAAAATAAAACCGAAATCAATATGAATCATATGGCCTTCATCATCCACCATTATATTCCCGTTATGTCTATCTTTGATCTGTAGTAAGTAGGAAATGATAGAATAGGCAGCAACACTTTTTACAAAATTTGTACGGGCACGTTGGAAGGCAATAGACATTTCACTTCCACCGTATTTGGCAATAAAATAGTCGTATAAACTATTGACTTTCTCTCGTCCCATTTGATCACGCGAAATAGAGTTAGGTATCACATCGATAACGCCACGACCAGGAGCGGTGGCTACTACACGGTAGGGGTAAAGGTAAAGGTCAAGACCAACGCTCATGAATATGTTTTTAAAAACAGCTATGAGCTGTAAGGCTAACACATCCTGTCGACAATCGTCACCCACTTTGAAGATGGCACTTTGCCATATTTGAGCCTTTGTAAACCTTCTTTGGCGATGCAGTGATTTATTCTTGTTGTTGTCTTCCTCGGTAAAATTTGACATATTGGTTTCTTGCAGCTCTCTTTCAGTCAAGAAAGTAGCCATGAAAGGTGCTTTTGCATGGCTCTGAAGAGGGCGGCCTGAATTACGATCAATATCAATGACACGGCCGTCAGGATTGCTTGGTAAATACACACCCACATCTACCTTGATCTTCTGTAACTCTTCATCCAGACGTTTCTATTAACTCATCAAGCATAATTACCAACTGTATAAGGCAATAATTTTGCATAATAGCTATAAATTCATTACCTTTTGAAGTGGTTTTTTCTCTGTCTGTCCATGCTTGATATATTCTTTCAAATAGCCAGAAATAGCTGTCACCTCCCCAAAAAACTTAAACTCACGCTCATAAAACTCCCGATCTTCACCTGCAAAATAGGAAAGCATTGTTTCAATAATTCTTTCTAAAGTAGGCTTCAATGCATCAGGTTGCTGACACTCCTTATCCGCATCCACAAAGAAATTAGCCTTCATATTCCAGATTATCTGATGGGCAAACAATTGTGATGTTTTAGCCGTCTCCAAAATGTAATTCTCAACGTATTTCAAGGTAGGATCATCAAATCGTAAAGCTTGAACAATTTGTGGAATGTAGAAGAATACAGTCTCTACTGGATAGTAGTTAAGGCTCCGAATGGCGTACTGTAAAAGAATAGGATGTTGGCCGTAAGCTGAAGAAAAGTAGTTGGCGGCCGTAATAGGTGGCACTGGAGCCCAATATTGCAAATACTTCAAATCAAAATTCTTCAAGTTGTGCTGTGCCAATGATCCATCTCCCAAAATAATCATTAATGCTTCAGGTATGTCAACTACCTCAAGAGGGCTATTGACAATGTGTTGTATTAGTTCTTTCCGCACGACAGGTTTCGGAAGCGCAAATCGTGAGTCCATATGAACCGCTAGTTTTGGAGAGATAGACCATGCAAACTGGATTATTTCTTTCCAGCTTACCTATAACGAATTTGATATTTGTTGGTGCTTACAAGCAGCTAAATTAAATTAGGATATGCTTACATTGCTCGTCATGGACATCTCAGTACTGGTTTTGACGCTACTCAAAACGTCTGAGTTGTACGCGTTTAAGGGGTTACACCAAACAGAGAGCTTTGAAATTTCATTTTCGATCAAAAGTAGTAATAGCTTTTGTGCCAATTTGTGCTGTTTCAAAACATCTTCCTTTGTCTTGTCTACGATAGAATCAAGACGTATTAATATATGTCATCCAAAGATAACTTCTTTTAAACGATTGATATGAAATATGCCTCACCTTTGATAAATATATAATGTCCAGCAGTAATATTTGAGGTTGATACCGGAACAACTGTGCAAGTAACTGAATAAGCCATGTTTGGAGCATCGTTCAGTAAAGTATGGTATACATCCGTTAATATTCTTATCTCTGCTAAAGCTAAACTACGATGGCCTCCAAAATTCCACTGATGAGGTTGAGAGAACCAATCAAAAGCGGCATCATAAAGCGAAATACGTAAACTGTATTCTGTAAGTGCTTCTAGTCGTGTAGATTGTAGGACTTTAAAGCCTAACTGAAGTAAGGAAAAACGGCCATAGCGCGCTAAAGAATGTGTGCTCATTGAGGCAGCAGTTTGGAATGTTTCAAGCAGTAAACGAATCAGCATATGCACCAAATTTTTGTGCTTATGACGAATAGCATAGAAACGACTACTGAGAAATTTGATCCACTGACTATGAGGGGTGAACAGCTGTGTGGCGATTTTGTAGGTTGAATCAAGCATGGGCTTATGGGATGGCCCATAATTGATTTTTTGTGCAAATGGATCTCCAAAACTATAATTATACATTCATAATAACAAAATAACATTCAATCTAATTGTAATCCAGAAGATAGGACGCACAAAACTTACTTTAGAAGAGGAGAAAATAGACCCTTTTCGTGTCGTTGAGCCCAGGTCCACATATTGCACGTTTCGGCCATCAACTTGCTTTCTGTCTCTGGCCGTTCTACTAGCATCCAATTCCAAATATTTATGCCCACATTCATGGATTCAGCTGTAAAAATTTGGACCGGGATGTAAACCACGTATCGTATTAAATCAGCATTAATTTTTGGTAGAGCGATAACAAGAGCGGCAGAACGATGCAATACGCGATGCAATCGTTCTGTTGTCACTATTTGATCATTTTCTATATCTGATTTGATCTCCTTTAAAGTATCAAAAGCAAATGAGAGCTGATCATGTAGAGTAATATTTTTTTCCTCGCTTTCGCAAAGATGCAGCAGGTTGTTCATACCGCTCAATTCACCTGAGTAAAATTGTCTCAATCTGAAAGTATCCAGAAAGTTTGATGTTCGATTAGGTATAACAGAGGGTATCTTCGGTATGAAATCTGTTGAATATAAACCAATTGAAAATTCAATGAATTTTGAACAGCTATTGGGAATTATGGTAATTGAGTTTATACCTATCGAGAACTCATTCTTGAGTGATGCTTTGGCGAATTCGATCGCTAGGTTTCGTCCCATATGAACAACATCAATGAAATCATTGCTGGAAAAATGAACACTGTCTTTCAAATAATCTTGAAGTAAACCTGATACTTCAATTGACGCTCTGGAAAGTGCGATTTGCAGCCAGTGACGAGCGCTTTCAAAAAGTTTTGCGCAAACTTCTTTTCTGTAAGTATAAGAATCACCTAACTCAATGGTAACATTTACACGAGCTGAAGTAAATTGATAAACTGGATTGTACTGGATAGTTTGAATTAGCCAAGGATTAAGCATGTTCTAGTCCTTCTGTACAACCCTTTCCTCAGCATGTACTTACTTCATCGCGGTATTGCGTTTCACAGGCAACCCAAGTAAGTTGGACGAGTTCGAGTAAAAGTGTTAGTAATTGGCTATCAGTAAAGATTTGAGGGCAACAGGATATTAAGCGGTCCAATGTCTTTATAGCCATTTGATGCACTTTCTTCCGCTTATGACAGCATAATCTCAATAATTCTGCAACTTGTGTTCGCAATGCCTGTTGCTTTACGATGGAGTTGAGAGCTTTTACTGACAAATCTCTCAAAAAGTTACTAACTACTTGATCAGCAATTGTTTCCAAGCAGTGAGTTATTATGCTATTACTGCTGCTGCTGTTGATAGTTGCAACTGTAGTAGAATCATCATAATGATCAATTCGATCGCTACTATTACTGCTGCCACTCATACTGTAACCATTTTCTATTGTAAAGTAGCTTAGTATAGAAGAGCAGTTACCCGAGCGACTACGAAGCATTTCCAAATGATAAACACTTGTACAGAATAAAACCTGAGGAAAAGAAAAGTTTTTCGTATTCAATTTGAGTGAAGGGAGATACTGTTCTAGTTTTTGACGGAGTACTTGAGCTTTCTGTTCAGCTACAGTTGAGAGGCCCCGGATAACAGTGCTATGCTCAAGCTCTATTTCGATATAGTGACTCGTGCTTTCAATGATTAGAATAGGTGTCTTCTCGGCAATATGGAGGAGATGTTTATGCCATTCTCGAATCCATATAGGTTCTGTTAATAATCCAAGCAATACACTATGAAACCACATGTTTCTAAAAAGCGGCACGACTTCATTGCTTGTTGTTGACTGTTCTACCAGATGAGGGTTGAAGTCATCATGGCTCAATAAGGCATCCATCACAGGGAATAGCTGTCCTAACCTTCGAATGAGAGTGCTACCGTTTTTCTTTTTGTTTTTCAAGATGATACGCTGAATTGCATTGGCAGTATCATTGAACAATGTTAGAAGATTGCTGAGATAAAAAGAGCATTCTTCAGGACGTTTGCAAAGTTGCTTGGCAAGACTTCTTTGAGCTTCCAGTATCTATTAAATAGATAACTGACTTCAGTATACTTGGAAAACTTCTTTGATTTCGAGATAAATAGCATTCTTACAGCAGTGGTAAATGCATTATTTTCATTAAAGATCGTTTCTTTACTCATAGTTGCCATCAAATGAATAATTTCAAGGAATGTATCAATGTTACTCACGAGAGCGAGATTAACCATTGGTTTCAATAAATGGCCAACAACTGTCCATGATAATGATTTGCGTCGAACAGTAAACATGGAAAATGTTTGCGAGATAACCTAATATTAAACGTTCTTCAGCGAAACGATCAAAGAAATAATTCAATATTAACCTTTTAACTAGCACAGAAAACACATACATGTTCATCCCTCAAGCATACAGCCAAACCAAAAATCGAAGAAAAAACATTTTCAGCAATTTGATCTGAATGTTGTTTTCCCTCTAGCGCCATCTTCATTTTGCTAAACTTCCCTTGTGTACTTTGATGAGTAATTTGATTCATCAAAGTATGGACCACTGATAACGCGGTTTGTGATAAATGATTAAACGACGTAACCTAAGTTGCATTTGCGTGTTCAATAAGTAGGTCATTTCCTTGTTCACAACTCAAAGTACTAAAAGTTTAGGTTAGTTACCTTCACAATGCGCGCTAATCTGACAATGGCATGTTGTTGTACCTCAGCAGATTCTTCTGCAAAGGCTGCATTAGCTAGAAATTGGCACATCATATTTGTCATTGTGTGGACCAAATGAGGAAAACTATTTGTACAAAAGTGAATTATTCAACATAATGCAAATTCTTCCATTCTAAGAAGGTAACTTTTTTTTTCACTTCTTGAGTTACTTTAAAGCAAGTAGTACAGCAGAATCCAATGCAGCAACCTGAACCCACGGACTAATGACACGTTGTGTACCCACAAGACACTCACTCATGTGATCTACTAGCCAATTGTCGACCTCTTCTAGAGCAATGGAAGCTAAAGTTGCAACATGCTGTAGTTTAAACAAAGAATAGTCAGACAAGTTATGAACAAGACTCGAGTAAATTTTTGAAAAGTTGGATATATAAGTACCATGCTCGTGCCAATGATCTCCTCGATGTAAGTATCTGAACCGGTCCCTTTCTTTTGTTGCTGCTCTTCATTTATGGTGAATTTGCGAATGTTTTCAAAATATCCCAAGCTCAGATGTTGTATATATGTTAGAGTATCCTTGAATTCTTGTTGCATTAGCGACCTCTCTGTTACTTCTGTTTTGCAACTATTTTGTACAGTCCTCTTTTGCATGAGTACTTCCCAGGAAGACTTAATCTCGCCAGCTGTGTCATGCGCCTTATTAAGGTTTCTAGACATACTATCAAATAGTGTTACTTTATAGTCACTTATCGATGGGCTATCATCTATTAAAATCCGATTTAGAGTGTTTCTGAAAATAATTAATAGGTCAAGAATAATACGATTGCTGCTTAATGGAATGTTTTGTTTCGTATAAAAGGCTATGATACATCGACTGTAAGCTGTTCCTTTGGCATTGTTTATACAGCTTTGTAATGAGACACGAATTAAATCGAGTGTATCATTGTGCAAAAGCGATTGTGTGTTTTGGCGAAGGATTGATAACTGATTTAAACGATAGAGAAAAGGAGACAATTGTAATGCTCTCGATAGACCAGCTAACGAAGGTAAGATAAATGTAACTGTAAATTCAACTATAAGAAACTATCATATTAATCTGACGACCTCAATGAAAAGTTTTCGAAAGGAAAAAATAGCTACCATTATCGGACATAAGCTTGATAATAAATTCTGCGTACTGCCATAAAACCTGAATTATTTCTTCATATATCTCTCGCGGTTGATGATGGCCAATGTATAGGAGCCCTGAAACAAGCATATATGTGATCGTATCTGAAGGTGGCGGCGAATTGTCTAGATTTCCAACTTCCCATTTAAAAGCAGGCAAATGCTTAATATATGCTAGCAAGCGAGGTAAGAGCTTTAGCTGGTCTTCTTCTCCAACTTTGATCGCGTATTGGACAAGAGCCTTAATAGTCTGCTCACTGACTCGATTCTATGAATAGAATTAAGAGTGAACTCCTCTTTCAATGCAGCCAATTAAATTGAGAATTTTTACCATAGTACCCAATTCAGGAACATCATAATTTGAAAGTATGTTTTTGGGACTTTGATCAATGGGAACAGAAGGACAACGTTTTATCAGTTGAGCAATTTCCTCGGTTGTAGCTTTTGCCTGAGACTCAGACAGGACATCTGCTAGGCCTGACAAAATCCTCGAATGCAAATCGTCGTTCAGTCTAAAGGTGAAAATTTATTTTGGATGTAGGTATAAATTGAAATCGGAAAAGCTCCAGCCGCACTGTTTCAAAAGGGGTAAGGTCTACTTACCCAAGCATTGTTCAGTTTTTTTTTTAAAAGAAAACGAAGAAAAGACCAGTCTGGTTAAAGAATGAAGTGAGCACTAAGAACCGAATATCTAATAGATGTCTTTTAACTGTAACAATGGTAATACAAAATTAAGCATCTTTATCCATTGTCTCTTTAGGATAAGCTTAACGTGAATTTATTTCGCATAAGAAATTTCACATGAAAAACTGTGTAAAGCGACTTTTATTTCTGCAAAAAGAGACAACACAAGCTTTCTTTGGTATGTAAAATCGATGGAAAGGGGAAATGGGGGCTTAATAATACAAACTGCATCTATTACATCTAAGTCAATCATGTAAGTATCATCTTCATATTCTCATAATACATTAACATTGGATTTTCACCGCTTTTTGTCGTAGTTTTTTTAACATTGCCATATCGCTCACAGAATTGTCGATGCGTTAGAACGCGAATATCGTCACTATCCGTGCGAGAACCTCTACACACTGATGCGTACATTTTACGCAGTAGTTCAAAATTTGTTGGGAAGAAGATATCAAACCAGCCTGGCTGAACCATATACGTAGAGCAGGGAACCATAGTACCACGATAACGTGTCTGCACTACGGGTGCATCGATGCCATCTACTGAATCAGGCAATGATGAAAAGTCTGATAAAAGCAATCTGTGCCTGGGAAAATAGGTGCGCAAAACATGCAAGAGCTGGAATAATTTTGTGGGTATAAATTCAGCAGTTGTCATGTTCGGTCCTAAAGGTAAAGATCTGAGACATTTCAGCCAAGTGCTATTTGAGAGCACTGGCGACCTGTAGCCTGTATTGTGACGAGCGGTAAGATAGTCATTGATGAGGGTATCAGTCCCTACTGGCTCGTAAATTTCTGTATAATCTCCTTTCGCATCAATGCTAACCAATGCCTGGTGTGGTTGTAGATTTTCCAAATCATAACGTATAAGATCATGCGCAAAATTATCCTGAATATAACAACCAGCCATATTAGTAAACCGACTTTTCTTAGAGAAAGGATTATTTATAACTTACAATGACTTCCATGCCTATAAAGAAACAGTCGTCTGTAACTGGCGTATTCCAATCAAAAATACTTTTGTTGATGATTTTAACGCATTTATGTTGGTCTTTGGCATCTCGTACATCTTGTCTTTCTGACTGTCTTTCTGCAAGTTTGCCTGATATTTCAATAATATTATACCGTGTTCTTTTATAGATATCGGGCTCTTTTTGCTGAATATAATCTAATATATTCATCATTAGAGTACCATTACCAGCGCCCATTTCGTATATTATCAAATCTTTATGTGGAAATGCATTCATCTTATATTCCGATATCAAATATTGAGCAACAGCATATCCATACCAAGGCTGGCATTTGGAATAGTACATAGGAAAAGAGGGAAGTTGAGAATTTTAAAAGTGCATTACTGTTCAAAATTTTCCTGTACCTTGAAGAGTTCAGTAGGTGTATGCCAAACTTGTCTTGCGATCTCGTCTACTTCATCTACTTCACCCTCTATATCCTTATATAGTTTTCCCAATATATTCATAAACTCAAGGTGATCACGCATGCCGTTAAAGTCAAAGTCGGTTTCCGGAGAAAAGATAACAGCTTGCTTGGAAAAGTAACCATAATTTGGATTGTAGAGTGAGTCATCGATGAAATCACGAACCAGCATTTTGGTTCGGGTTGGCGGTTTCTTCATTTTGGCTGTATCATACGCTGTCTTGCGAGGATAATATTGTCTGGCTTCTTTTTCCCTTTGCTCTTCGTCAGTAGGTTGAAAAAATGGGAATAATGAAGTTGTCGTTGTTGAAGACTTCCGTCTTTGAGAATGTTGTAGCCGACAGAGGACAGGTATAGTATACTGTTTTTTTGCGTATCTCATGCATTGTTGGCTAGAGGTTATTACCAGCTTCCAATTATTCTTCGCAAGAAACATGTACGTTCGTTTAACAACTTAAGAAGTGTGGGGAAGACACGCCGTCGCTAACTGGCTGCCCTGAAATTGGCGAAGACAACCATGTCTTTTTTCTTTCGTAGGAATAAACTGAGTTTTTAATTTGGCTAAACTTTCAGACTTGACCTTTCCTGTCGGAGCTTGAATAGGTCCTACTGTTTTCTGTTTGGATTCAGTGACTAATTTATTTGTAATAATCATTTGGGATACATTGCTTCGAAGATTTGGAATCAGGCCAAAGAGGCGAAGATGCCATTTCATGGTCTTTTGTCTTTCTTTTTTGGCTTTTGTCCTTCTTTCTAATCTTTGCTTTTTTTTACGTTGGCTTAAAACTGAAATCATTTTTTATGGATTGCTGCTTTTCCTTTCCAGCTTGTAATGTAGAATGTATTTACATACGGTCTTTATCAGTCAATGAAACAGAACTTACTGCTATCATGGAAAAAACACTTGTCCAACCCCTTTTTTGTAGGTGATCCAACTGCCCACAGCGGATGTATGTAGCTATATGAAATGACTTCAAAAAAACTCAATGTACTTGACGCAGTTTGATTTGAAGCATTTCTTTCAATAAATTTGTGGCTTCTTTGGACGATATTGGATTATAACTATGTAGAAACAAAAACATAATATGGTGAAAAGTTCATTGCAACACCAAAAAAATGTTTGATAAACAGGGACATAAAAGCTTCGATGGCAAGTCAAGATTCAATAACGTTATGGTTATCTAGACATATCTCTTGAAGAAAATCTACGCGACAATGTTATTGCCAGATATTTTCAAAGACATGTAGTAGACACGACGCCCCAAACAAATCTTTTAAATCATACAAATGCGTAAATCCAAGCAAATAAAGAATTAGAAACTATCCAAATTTTATATTTTGATTGATCCAGAAAAGAGCGCTGAAGTGTCTAGAAAGGTAGATGACCCAGCTGCACGTCTTCCAAAGCGATCAAAAAACTCAGCAGTCGTTATGTTTTCTCCGTTAGATCAATGATGCTCCAATCAACAAATATGGTTCTTGGCAAGACATGTTTTTTCCTGTGTAAATCAGTGGAAATCAGGCTTCTAAATGTATTTACATTAAGTAGAGCTATATTTCTGAGTGTCTCAAATTCATTCCGCTTCTCCGAGGAACTAAAGCGAGTAATTGATAGCTGAACTACTAAATCATGCGGATCGGTATTCGTACATGGGCAGTCCTATGTTGCTCAATTGAGTCGTGAACTTTGTATAGGATCATGTTTTAGTAACTTAACGGAACTATACATTAAATAAATTAGTGGAAATCATCGTTTGCGTGTATTGGTGAAATCCTACTCATTTTCGTGCAGTTCTTCTTTTTGTGTTATCATCCTCTAAATACGTATTGGAATAGATAAATAACACCAAATTAAATCTAAACTTTAAGGGGAACGTCTCAAAGCTGAAGTCGGAGCGTTAGTTGTATATAGATTGCATACTGCCATTGATTGCATAACCCTGCGATAGGATATTCACATTTGTGCCTTGTTCCTTCATTATAGTCATGAAAGTCAAGTGAGATGATCTTGATTGAATGGTTTAGTTACACTTGTGAGGTATATCACTGCTGATTAAAGCGTGGATTTTTATTTTGTCCTACTTTGAAGGTTGGAATGGGAGGCCAAGAATAAATAAAGAGATATAATATAACAAATAAGAATTAACGTACTTTGAGAAAGAAGGGGATATATATTTAAGCGTTCAAGTTTATACACAAAATTGATTAAGAACTATTTAATGATTCATTGTGATAGTTGAATTATTCACTGTATTCGGAGGAGCAGGCGTTCCTTCTTCGGAATCGATAGCACTATTTATATAGGCTGGTGGAGGCTGTGTGGGTGGTGCTAGCTGTAATTCAATTGATTCCGCTTCTTCTTCATTATGGCTTCTCCTACTCCTGCTACTGCGACTGTTTCGTGATCTCCGTTCATCATTATTAATTTCACTGTAAGCTGGTGGTAGACAAAATGTCAATTGCAGGCCATCATTAGTGATATATTCTGATCGATTTCCGGGAAGCTGCTGTACTTCGGGCCCTACATCGAGTACAACATCCATCATAGCTGTCTCATAAGCTGGAAGCATTTCTCCCTCTTCTGCTAATTCATTCTCTGTATCTATTTGTATTACTTCAATAACCAAATTGATATGGTATTTGTTGAGAGGCTGTTTTAAATGCATATCTGCTGGTGTATCTGTATCTCGAACTCTCCGAAAGCCCCATTTTATCTGTCTGGTAACGTCCAATGAATTGAATTCTTTAAGGCTACTATGAAGTGATTCGTAATACTAAAATTGAAGAGAAGCGTTAGTTATCAACGCTTGTTCTTTCTTTGTATACTTTTTCACTTTTTTTTTTCTTTCTTTTTCGTTTTTTCTTTTTTTTTCTTTCTTTTTTTTTTAAGCAACAATATATATTTTACACTGTACTTGACTGAGTTTAGCATAATATCCGTTCCTTCTTCTAGTTGTGATGAACGCAATAATAGCAGGCGCAAGCAGGATGATGAGGGGATACCACATAGACAAGTTGACTGCACGAGCAACGACAGAAAACACAGCCGCTACAATCACTAATAAAATAGCAACAATAAATAGGATGCTGTCGATCCAGACATGAGGAAATTCTCTGTAAACATGATTGTTGATGGCATTCAATCGAGTTGTGAATAATTCTTCTGATAGCTTTTATAAGGCAGTCAAAAAAAGAATAGAAATAGTCAATATTTTATAGCTTGCTTTCCTTTTCTAAAGAAAGTGTTGGAAAAGAACACCCATTACAATGCAATATTTACATAATCTGCCAGTTGCATATAGTCAGCATAATTCGCATGATGTATTCTTGACCTTTTCCAACGTTTAATTAACAGTGGAAACGTAGCCAAAGCCATAGCTATTATTGTCAATCTTATCTTGTTCTCTCTTTCTTCTCGACTTCTCTTCTTTTTACAGTTACAAAAGTTGTAGAATAGTATAGTAAAAAGATGTGCTTGTATGCGTGTGAGACAATGTTTTAAAGGGAAAAAAAATGGATGGAAGAAAGAGCTGACATGTAATCTTTTTGCAAGAAAAAATATAAAAAAGGGATTACTTAAAAAAATAAAAAATAAAAAAGATTTGTGTGTGTTGTGCAACTATTCTGACTCTTTGTTATTGTTGATTGTTTGTGTGCAGCAGTCTTTTTAGAACGATTTTAATAGGCAAATGAACTTTTTCTGATCACAATTGAGACGAAACAGGTTATTCTGATTTGGTAACTACATTAGCAGCTGCATCCATGAGAGTTGCCTTTGTCCAAAAACTCTTTAATCCTTTTTTATCTTTCTTTTATCGCGTTATGCCGAATTTCCCGACCCCTGAAGTCGAGCTGACATCTGCTATTGAGGAAAGTTCAACAAACGGGGTAAGGGACCGTTTACTACCCCGCTGATTAAACCGTGAGGCAATACAAACAACAAAATCAATTTCTGGTACGAATGTATGCAATCGTGGCTACACTAAGTTTTCTCAATGAAAGTGTGATGATTTGGCAGCTTCACTAGGAAAAATGAGCCAATGATGCCCTTCTCACCCTGAAAGATATCGGGGAAGGCAAACTTCTTCATTGGATAAAGAAGTGGACAAAAACAAGGATCGAGAATAGTTTTCATTGGAAAGCAATTAGATCATTCTTTCGCGTCAATGCTGGTATTATGGAGATGGCAAGACACTAACACCAAATAGCTTAAGTCTACTGTTACTATTTCTTGATTTGTACAAATCTCTTCTATAGCTTGATACGAGAAATAGCAACCAAGCCATGACAATGACACTTATGATTAACGATCAATAAATGAGGAACATTACTTTGAGTGCTCAACAAAAAAAAAAAGGTAGAAAGAGCACTGATGATATGGGGACCTTACTACTTTCAACTTGAATACAAGAAGTACCTATACATTTTGCCAATTTATTCCCTTTCCCTTAAGCTGGATGTCTGCTCGGCGAAAGATGATAATCTTTTCAAAGGCTACTGAAGTTTGCAGTTCTTATATCTTTTTAATTCTGGAGAAGCCGACGAGTGGTGCTTAAATGCCAATCAAATGACTTGTCAATCTTGATCTTTTATTCAAGAATAACTTTTCTTTGCAGCAAATTCAAAATTTTTTGCCATGACCCTGATGTAATGATTGACTGGTTTGTGTATTATCACAGCTATTAAGGATTGACTGAAGAGAATTTACAGACTTACTTCGGCCTTAAAACGTTGTATATTGAAGCTAATTGATCAGGGGAAGTTAACTATAGATTTAAATAAAACAGAGACCAACGATATGATATTCAAGTAGCAAGCTAAGATAAAGTAGTTTGTAAAGAATGATTACTCGAAGAAAACTAGAAAATAGCCTTATTCTCTCGTTTAATATAGTAGAACTGTAAGACAATTAATAATGAAATTGCTTGTGAGGCTTCTTTGAAATAGGGCCTCATGAAAGACTGTACGTGTATGGGTACAAGCCTCTTTTTGTAAACACATGTGTTGTGTTTAAATGCACTTGAAAGAGTTTCATCAAACTGAAGGTGTCGCACGTCAACAAGAACAATATGCTGCAATGTAGAAAGCTCAGCAAGTCAAGTTGATGAAGATATAAGAAACGCTAACAGATCGTTGCTGAGCAAACCTGCAAAAGCTGTAGGCTATTGAATTTGTTTATATGACAGTTGAACTGTTGCTGCCGATAACGAGAATAAAGAAAAATCAATTCATAAGTTTCAAGTTTTTCGACATATGTTAGTTCGCTTGACGGTAGAAAAAGTACACAGGTTAAAACAAATTTGGTCAAAGAGCATATGCTGTGAATATACAAAATGCCTCTTCGAGAACATGAACTTTGAATTGACGATGCTATTCGAAAGTCTTTCAATTTGTATAGTTTCAGAAGTAAATTGTCTTAATCGTCAAATCTGTGACCGTCGAAAATGATTTCATATACTCAAGGATCTTTTCATGCTAAAAAAAAGGTTTCATACTTATCAAAGAATTCTTTTCCGTCAAAGAATATGCAAAAAACAACGGCAAGAAGCCCACTTCTTTCACAAAAACACGACAGTTATTCAAGTATGGAAAATACAGACATACCAAATCTGCGGCATCGTACTTCCTCTAATACTCAAGGAGCTGAACAGGCTGATCATGATGATATTTCCTTTCAAAGCGATGATACAGTCTATTCTGGATCTGCGTCTATATCTTCACATCACACCTTCGTTGTAAAAGACATTGTACATAGATTAAGAGAGACTGTACGTCATTATTCAACTTCCTTATATTTAGAAAATAAAGTAGGAGTGGCTCGTGACCATCTAGGTATTTTTCATTGACACGTTATAACATTATTCCCAACTACTAGTCGCGGCATTAACAAATTTGTGTTATTCGGTATAAATATCGTAGCCAACGAGCGTACATACTTGGCTTGGGTTCGTACAAGTTTATCCAACATGACAGTTGGTATAGGTAACACGAAACAATGCTTTATTTTTGTGGTTATGATAAAAATCTTAAGTTGGGCATACATTAAATTTTTTTTTTTGTGGAAATTAAAAGGCATGGCCCAATTGTTTCGACTGAACAAACAGCATGAAGATGATACAAATAGTTTCATTGGAAAATGCATTGGTACTGTCTTTATCTCTATGGGGATGGTCTATTTAGTATTTGCTTGCATGCGCTATTTTCATTCTCAAGAATCCATGACAAAAGGCAAATTTCCATCCAGTCGTTCAATTATTCTTTTTAGTTCTATCATGACTTTATGCGCGCTTATTGCGATATTCGTCATTATTGCAAAAAAGTACTACACTTAAAAGATGTGAATACTGCACTAATACACCTCCTACAACAATATACATATCAAAACTATACCATAATAAAGAACTTCATGTATTAATTGGTTGGACAGCTACAGTTTTGTAGCTTCGGGTTTAGACAAGGCTGCGATAGAACTGGGCAGAATGAACCAGATTTTGGAGACGTGCTATACGGGACCCATAATCACCTATAATACTGATTCTTTCAATGACTGAGCTTTCAAAAGCTATGTTAGTCTCTTTACAAGTGATACTGGCGCTCAATTCCTTAGCGAGAAAAAAGTTCGATTTAATATTATATCTATATTTTTATGGGACTAATACATAATGGGGAACTATTTCAAAGGATAGTAGCAGAATTATTTAGAAATAGGCTTATTAACGTTACTACTATTATATCCGCGAAGAGAGTCATAAATACTTGGGCGGGTTTGGCACACCCTACCAAAGACGTTGGAGTTGGAGTTGAACTAAAATGGAGACATTCTTATAAAAAGCGAGCCAGTTTCGTTTTGGCGATAAATGGAAGAAGATGTTGTTTTTCAGCTTAACTCGACCGAACGTTCCTTGTCTTTCCAAATAGAAATGCTGATAGTCATCATGTTTTTTACTGCATCGACATCGCGGTTCCATGATATCTTACATGTTTTGTAAACAGAGATACTACCCATGTACGGTGTCTAATGCTTTTAATGTGTCTGAGCGACGGCAATTGCAAATACGTGATGTTCGATATTCATCTACTGTTACAGCGAGGAGATCACCGGTTGCTTCTCTTCTTTTCAAGGCACGCCACAAAATGCCTATTACACCAGTCGTAAGGAATTTTAGATGAACGGCAAATTTGAGTTATGCTTTATTCAACTTTCTTCATGAATCAATGATCAGCTTCCAGCAGACATCACGTATCATTTTTGGTACTTTGATATACCTTCGTACAATTACATCCATTACCAGCAAAGGCTGTGATACCTGTGGTTTGTTATGTTCTTGATTTAGTGAACGCGACTTATTAATTGATATAAAGTGAAAGGTGGAATGAGTCTTCTTACTCCTTTCATTATACACTGTAAAGCAGAAAGGAGAGCGTTCATGGCAAACTGAATGTTTGTTTTTTAAAAAGAAAATGATATAAGGAAAAGAAGAGAAATAAACAAAAAAAAAAAAAAAAAAAAAAAAAAATTCAGGAAATACTCCTTTCCAAAACCCTCAAACGGTAAGAATACAGTATTATATACACGCATGTCTTTGGAGTACAAGAGGACGTGTACAGCGCTTTTATGATTCATAATAATAAAAAGCGCCTAGTATTTAGAGCTGTGTCTAATTCATTGTTTTATACATTAAGGAGGATTATAAATACCAGAAAGGTCAATCTCAACGCATCCACTTTCATTGTTCGATTATATAAATGAAAAATCAGGGATATCCCCAATAGCTTGACGATCACTTTTAGAGATAGAATTATACTTCTTGACTTGTTTTACCTTCACTTCAAGCATTGGTCCGTACGGTACTACGTCAAAAAGCTTAGTGAATAGGACTAGATGATGCCATCAAAAGATAATACTTACAATTTCTGTGAATTATCATATAATTAACAAAATTTAAGAGTGATTTAGGTAGCATGGAAACTCTGACTGTCAAGTAGTTTTCACTGAATCAACCAATGACAAGAAGTCTCGAAAGTTGGACACAGGTGCCCTTTCAGTCTTATGTAGTAGGTAGGAATGAGGATATTCATGTTTACCTCTTTGAAATATTTGTATCACTTAAATAACAAAAGATTTTGAGGTTACAATGGATGTAGAAAGGTAATTCTAGCCCACCTTCACATCTTTTTATCCGTCACAAACATTATGTTAATATATCTCATAAAACTAAAGTAGTTTAAGTATTATACTTGGTCGAAATACTCGTGTTATAATAAACACACATGCAAACTTTAGAGAGGTAAAGGAAAAAATGGTAATTATACGTGCACCATTTCTTTTCAACCAAAATAATTCTTAGAGACACTTTTACTTTTCTTTCTTTCATTGTAGTTTCGTAAATATTAGGATGTACTTGAACTTGCTTGTAGGAAATCCCTCTCTTTGGGAATGGAAAATGTATTTAGCTCAGTAGTGGACACACCTGGCTGTGAGGATGTACCGTTTACCTTTACTGGGTCTTCGCTATCCTTGCCCTATGGCGAGTCTGGGGGCTACTTTCTGGGGTTGATTCGCTCTCACCTTCACGCTGGTTAACCCTGTGAGGATCAAACTTTCTGTTTGAGATATCAAGAAGAGCTCATTAGATAATTATTATTTTCAAATTTCAAGATCATTAAATTGAATAAACTTAACGTCGTTTTTAATAGGTCTACCTTTCTCATTATGAAGTTGGGCTCATGTGGTAGCATACGGTTTAATTCTTCTTGGTAAAGCGCAAATCAATATTAGTATTATGAGTTACCTCTTACAATACACGACTTTAGTGAGAAGTGTTGGTATATGTTGACTGTTCTTGAGGACAAGTGGGTAATAAGCAAATGTTCAGTTATTGTGGGTTGAGAAGCAATATTAATAGAAAATAAATTCTCAAAGTATTGTAATAAAGGCAAGGCCATGTCTTAATCGTTTCTCTTTTAAAAAATCTGCCAGCGTTTAGTTCCGCCTTTGACTCAAAAGAAAAAAAGAAAAGAAAAACGTCTCCAGTGATGTGGTTGGCCTTTGTATTAATAAGAGGAGCAACTGGGAAGGGACAACTACAGGAATACCTGCTTTTGTAGAAATTGATAGGGCTCGTGCTCCATCTCACGCCATTATCGATGCTATCCACTCCTTCAGTGTTATTTATATGGTAATGAAACTTCCCTCCACCTCCTTCACCAAGGAAGGTGAAGGCTCTAAAACCTGCGGAAATCAAAAAAGAGAAAACTTGCAAAGAGCAAATAAAGAGAAGGTGAATTATCAGAAGATTATGTCTATGTTGAAGGTCTTGATGATAAAGAAGCTAATAAAAAACCCTCCAAAGGCACCACTGCGGCTCATTTCATAAAGTTTGTGAACGAACTACTTGACATTATGGATATAGATAAACGCCTAAAGGGCTGTTATATTTTGATGGACAATCGTACCAGTTACAAATCACATCTCATGATGAGAAAAATTGGGAGTTGAGAATACAGGGTCATGTATTTGCCTCCGTATCCATCAGAGGTGAACGCAATTCAAAACTTGGGGCTATTGTAATGTTTTTATAACACTATTAAAAATTCTGAATCAGCCCTTTATTGTAATTGTCTACTTCAATCGCCATTGTCGTGGCTTAGGCTATTTCAACCAATTAGAACTCCTCACTGCAAAATTTTCTTCGTTTTAAATTGATTTTCGGCTAGAGCGGTATGGTTGACTCCTCCTCTTTTACGTGTTGTACGTTTTTTGTAAGTGTTCAGTTTGCAGCATCAGCAACGGGAACAGTAATATAGTTACGAAACATTCAGGATTTACCAACACATAATATTGTTCTTGCAGAATAAAGACCAAAAAATTAAAGATGGCTCCCGTCAAGTCCAAGAAGAATGCTGAATCTATCAACTCTCGTATCCAGCTCGTTATGAAGTCTGGTAAATACACCCTTGGTTACAAGTCCACATTGAAATCCATTCGTCAAGGAAAGGGTAATGTATCATTTATATAAGTTCTAAAGACTACTTTTTTATCTCATCATCGGGGGGCAGGAGCCCACAAAAAATCATAGTAGTCGTTCTTGTCCCTTGGGCAGAGAATGTACCCCCGAACCGTGATCTAATCAACCATAATTTATGTTCTTTCTACAGCCAAGTTGATTATTATTGCTGGTAACTGTCCTCCTCTTCGTAAGTCCGAGATTGAATATTATGCTATGTTGTCCAAGACTGGTGTCCACCACTACAACGGTAACAACATCGATCTCGGTACTGCTTGTGGTAAGCTTTTCCGTTGCAGCGTTCTCTCTATTACTGATGCCGGTGACTCCGACATCTTGACTGCCCAATAAGTGTAGCTAGTCTTTTTTTTTGTCAACTTGTAATGCATTTAGCATGGACAATAAACAACAATCTTTAAGAATAGAAAGCTTTGATGTGGTTTATTTGATTTGTAATTGCTGTAATCGTTGGGATACAGTTTCTCTTCCCAAAGTTTCCATTGTCTCCGCTATGCCGGCCCCTACTTGTGTACCTGTGATACAGTAACGGATGGCCATCATAATATGATTAACGTTGAGATTATGGTTCTCTGCCAATGAAATTAGCCATGGTTTTATAATCTTTGCTTCAAATGCGTCAAGGGTTTTTAACTTGTCTGAGAATTCATTTGACAAAACTAGATCTACATTCAGATGTAACAGCATTTAATAACTGCAAGAAAGCCATTAATAGGGGATGTCAAAATACATTCTTACCTAGAGCGGGTTGCTTCACTTTCTTCCTAAGAGCAATAGCATCTTTTGTTTCATAATCAGGCTCCTTGAAAAAGTAATAGCATAATCGAGGTATATCTGAAATATTACGGATACGCTCCTTTTATGAAAAGAGGAATTGAAATTTCAGTTCTTCCCTTTACGTTGTTGTGCTTGTTTTAATATTGCTTCCATCGTTTTGCGATCCTTACCTTTACAGTATTGATCACTTTCTTCAAATAGCTTCTATTCAATCTATACTCGTCGTTCGTTCCTTTTAAAAGGCCTTGGTATTGTTCATGAACTGGAGTTTTTAGAATATCAACCAAACTATCCATTCCTTCAGGTGTTTCCGCTCTTTTCAACAAATGATGCTTATTGACCCAATCTAGCTTTTGTTGATCGACAATAGCTCCTGAATGATTGATATCCTTAATGTCAAACTAGAAGGCACGTTTAGTCCTTCCTTTCCATTTAATTCAACCACACTGATTCGATCGTTACCTTTTCAATCATTTCATCCATAGTAAATAAGCCCTCATCATCTGTGTTGGGATTCCAGCCTAGCAATGCCACAAAGTTATTGACCGCTTCCGGTAGGTAACCTTTCTCTATATAATCCTCCACGTGAGCATCACCTGTTCTTTTTGACAATTTCGTTCCTTGTGCCTTAAACAACAACGGTAAGTGAGCAAATTGCGGCGGTTGCCAACCAAATGCTTTGTATAACAAAAGATGCTTCGATGTTGAAGAAAGCCATTCTTCGCCTCTCAAGACGTGTGTGATCTTCATCAGGTGATCATCAACTACATTGGCCAAATGGTACGTAGGGTATCCATCGCTTTTCAAAAGAATGGTGTCATCTATGGTTTTGTTGCTAAACTTGATTTTGCCATAAACCAAATCTTGATGTTCTGTCACTCCTTCGTAGGGTATCTAATAAATTATCCCATTAATTTTTTCTTACTATTCAAGGAACAAATTCATTACTGTCTCTATGTCTTACCCTTAGTCGAACAGTGTAGGGCAGATTCCTCTCCAGATTCTGTCGGATTTCTTCTTCACTCAAAAAAGAACAATGCTTGTCATATGATATAAAATTGCCATTCTTTTGCCTCATTTCTTTTACTTGAGCTAATCTTTCGGGTGTGCAAAAGCAACGATATGCATGTCCTGAACTCAATAGTTGATGAGCATATTGTACGTAAATATCTGTTCGTTTGGACTATTGCGACAGAGGAGTATAGAAGAGAAAAAGTTAATTTCAATAGAAGGGCCATTACTGCTTCTATTTAATTTTTTTTCTTTTACTTGATAATATGGTGTATACGGTCCTTCTTTGTTTGGACCTTGATTATAGAAAAATACACATCATTTTCATCAGTCATCCTAATCCCTAGTATCAGAAATGAAGTACAACCAAAATAAAAAACTTCTATTGCCGTAGCTAACCTTCATCATAAGAAATACCCGCCCAATCCAATACTTTTAACAAATTCTCGACAGCTCCTTCCACAAACCGATTCTAAGAATTTTTACTCTGTGTGAATATAACAAGGCTCTATGCCCTTCCCTCACATTAAATAGATGCGACAATATATTGAACTAAAGTAATTTACTTGATCAGTATCTTCAATACGAAGAATAAATTGTCCACCAGTTTTCCTTGCTAAGAAATAATTGAATAAAGCTGTTCTTAAACCACCTAAATGTAGGTATCCAGTAGGGCTTGGTGCAAATCGAACTCGTGCAGCAGTAGCAGCATTAGAGGCGCTACATGTAAAATGCGTCCTCGTAGTGGCTGCTGTAGCCAATCTAATGGAGTTACTACAGCGAAATCTGGTCACTGATCGTACAAGGAACAACATTGAAATGGAGAGAGAATTTGCTTTGGCCCGTCAAAAGCAGGAACTCCAGGGTCGAACAACGAGATGCAAAGGCAGGAAAAAAAAAACTGTAAATGCAGACAAAGAGCTCTGGGTTTTAAAAAAAAAGCAACACCATATGCTAGGAATCACTCAAAGGATGTACCTTTCGTTTAAGCCTTTACGTTTGTCATGCAGGAAGATCCTTCAATTTCAAACAATTTCGACAACAAATCAAACGCAAAAAGCAGCTCTAACAGCATGAGTCGTGAATTTAAATTGGGTCCTGATCATGAATACCGATTTGAAGTTGACTTTCAGAACAAAGTTCAAATCAAACTTGTTGAAGGTACAGCTGAGATCTTCGGTACCGAATTAGCAGTAGGCAACACATACACTTTTTCAGGAAGAAAAGCAGCTGTTTACACCTGGCACGGTTGTACGTTGGAAGTAAACGGCTCTTGCCTTGTAGAATATACCGCTAGCGAGACGCCTATGACCAGCTATTTAAATACTCATCTTGCGTTAGAACAATTGAGAGAGAGAGCAAAAAGTGAAAGAGAGTTAGGTCCACGCGTGTTGGTGGTGGGGCCACATGACGTAGGCAAAACGTCCCTATGTAAAGTACTGGTGAGCTACTCGCTTAAACAAGGAGGAAGTCCTATTTATGTGTCTTTGGATACGACTGAAGTAAGTCTTAACATTTTTTGATTGTCTGCATGTCCATCTGTTAGAACTGCACATTTATTAACCATCTACTCTGTCATGTTCGATAAAATATACTGAAAAACAAAGGGGTCTATTACAATGCCAGGCACACTAACAGCGACTTCTATCAGTAATATCATTGATGTAGAGGAAGGATTTGGATCATCCGCTACGACAGCTGCATCGATGGGCTCTTCTACCATGCCTCTAGCTTATTATTACGGTTTTGAAAGCCCTGACGAAAATGTCAAGCTGTATAAATTAGTTACAACGAAGCTAGCAGAAGCAGTAAAAAGAAGAATGGCCATGGATGACGAATGTCGCAACTCCGGCATTATTATCGATACAGCAGGATTAATAGATCAAGTCGGATACGACATAATACAACATATAGTAGAACAATTTGAAGGTAAAGGAAAGATGAGTAATAGTAGACCTGAGAAAGAAGACACGGTTTCCGCTATTTTTCTAGACCTCTGACATATTTCTTCCGATTATAGTGAATGCATTAATTGTTCTAGGACATGAAAGACTTTATAGCGACATGTCTAGAATATATAAAAATCAAAATGTATCTGTAGTGAAACTGGCGAAATCGGGCGGTGTGGTTGAAAGAGACAAACAATTTAAAACTCTTCTACAAAGAGCAAAAATCCGCGAGTATTTCTATGGCACGCCCAAATGTGAATTATCACCCTATAGCATGCTGGTCAATAACGCTGATGTTAAGATATGGAGAGTTGGAGATGTGATAGCTCCAACCAGTGCTTTACCGCTGGGAATGGAGGGATCTTCAAACGAAACACAAGTGGTCAGAGTAGACAATTATGACATGTGCTTTAACTCAATCTTGGCTATTTTAAATGCTGATGATGATGAACCGGAGAATGGATTATTGGAGTGTAGCGTGACAGGTTTTATATATGTGTATGTATAATAAGACGAATTTATGAGCTAGTTTTACGTTGGGAAAAGCAGAGCTTAAGACCTTATGGATTTTATTTTTTGTAGATCGGATGTCAATGAAGAAAGATGTAAGTTGACTATTTTATCACCATCGCCTGGCAGACTACCAAGAAAACATTTGTTGATGGGTTCCTTCAAGTGGATGGAGTCGTAAAATATTGCTAAATTTAGCTACTTCGCTATACAATGGATACCTGGCTTATAAAAAGCCATTTCTAATTACTGCAACTGCATAGATAAATGAAAAATAAAATAAATAGAACGGAGGTGGTGTTAACTCTTAAAAACTTTTGATACTTCTTTGCATTTTAAAGGACTTTCCGTACTTGTCGAAACTTGCACGGGAACATTCAAAGTCCTGTTTACCTGAAGTGCATTCTGTAATAGGGTACATACAGTTGACCGAGACTAGTTTGCTTTCCTTAACAAAAAAAAAAGATACATTGTATTGCATTTTCACCTTGAAGGTTGACTGGTAGGATTATCGTAAGTTCGTTCCTGCTCCTGAGTGGCAAAGAGGTACCGAGAGATCGCTGCCAATGCAGGCGACGGTCAGTTTCATCGTGTTTCCATTCACTTTCACCTTCCAAAAGTAGCCCACAGAGTATTCAAATGTCACAATTAAGGATTCTGTGGTGCAAGTGATAGCGATGACTTTACCTTAAAACATTACTAAGGATGACTTGGACAAAGACAAGTACTAAGCCAATGTAAAGTCCCTAAGATCGAACGATTGTTCTTGAAATGATTTATGTAATGTTTCTTCCGTATACGTTTATTTGGAATCGAAAAGGAGTTTTGAAAATCAACCATTTACAGCCGAGATAAGGTTGCTAATAACCTGTTTTGCTTTTATCTCGTAAAGCTTAATAAACTAAACTCAAAGTCAAAGTATATAAGAAGTACATGTCTTTGTTTAGTTATTACCCACCATTCAATCTCAAAAGCAAAGAGGGAGTGCATTGCCTGTATTCTGTTTCCCCCTGGTCTTTTCGCTGGCGGTCTCTGGAGACTTGTACTCATGTAATCGTTTACATAAGCAACCTTTGTAGCAGCATGTCTTAATTGTGTCTCAGTATTCTGCCGCTCCTTTCTCACCAAGTCGTTCTAGGTTAATGGCCGATGGTCGTAATACACGGTTGAAAGGCTATGATATTGTAATTTACTAGCACAGAACTATTGAAATCAGTCCTTTTACTGCATCCTTTCCTTTTATTTCATAAAATATTTCCTATGGAACTTTTTGCTCGATTGTATTTATCTGCACTAGTTCCATAAGTTTTTCAAAAATATCAAATGCTATATCAAATATATATTGGGAATCGTAACATCATTAATGGTTAATCTATAGATTTTCGATACAGTGTTATGGTATAGTTGTAACTTAGCCTCTTATATAAAACTACTACCATCCTTGCCATCCTTCTAAACTAGATTCAAATAAGTCATCTTCTCCACCTTCAACCACCTGACAAATGGGTGTAAAAGCAGATCTTCCTTCACGACTCTTAATATAGTTCTGTGCATATTCCAAGCCATGTTTCTTCTCTTTACGACTGGCATTGCGTCCAATCCATGTATAGACTTGATGTCCAACGTCAAATACGAAAACATCATTGGTATCAAACATATCTTTTGTAATTTTGCCTTCTGCAACCATTTCAAATTTCAAATGTCCCAAACCTACAGGTCCGGAACTACTGAGACGTAACAATTTCCTGTTACTTAGAATATCCTCTGCTTGCTCATTATCCTGGGAGTCTTGATCTTCTTCATCCGAAATGGGGCCATTAGAGCCTAACGCCTCAAAAAATTCACGTTCACCGCTACCTCTGCCTTGCTCAACAACTACCATTTCTCCTTTTCCATGGCGATCAGAAATCAATTGGGAAATATATTCAGCTGCTTTAGCTCTTTCAATTCCGTTAGCTTTGGATCCTTGCCATTGATAAATCTTATCTCCTGTGTCCAATACAAAGACTTCAGTTGAAGAAAGACTTTCGTAACTGAGGGTGACTTCGGAAATTACAACAGCGCCTCTGGTACGTGAGCCTGCCAATTGTCTGGGCCGATGGACTTTCAAAAGACGTGTAGGAATGCTTTCTTCTTCTTCAACATGATTAAAACCACTGGCAAATCCGCCCTTCAAATAAGTTAATGTGTGAAAATAACTTTTAAATAAAGAAGATTCTTGAAATTGAACTTCACGATGTTGAGTAGCATACGTATCAAGAACTTGAATGGTCAAACGTTAGACAAGTTTTGTCGTGCCATATATTATACTTTCTTTCAATTTTCTTCTAAAGGAATGCTTACTCACAATCATCAAGTTCTACGGTTTTATAAGCGGCTGCACCGGCTTCATCTTGGCTTGTTTCCATTCCGAGCCAAAAGTGAATATTATGCATGAAACCATCTGTATTTTCCTTCTTGGTTGTCTACATGTTTTGCTGTAAGTCATTGTTTCTCTAATTGAGTTAGAAAGCTACTCTGCCTTTACCTTAAGAATAACATAACTGTCACCATCGTAGAAGTAGCCCATTTGCTTTTCAGGCACCTTTATAAGATTGAAATTTTGAACTCTCCAAATCCACATACCACTGTTTGTTTTCGTTGGGGCATTTATTACTCACTTGTAATTTGGATTTAAACTTAATTACAGAACTTACATTTGATGACCTATGGGCGAACTTTCATAATTCCATGCTGTCTCTAAGGCTCCTTCAGCTTTACGATGTTCTCGTTCCAGTTCAGAGCCGAAGTTAGCTAGATTTGTTTCATCAAGGCCTAAAATTATTCCCAACAAATAAAATTCATTCAGTTAACGGGAATTCAGCTCGTTTAAAGATTCTCATGTGCGCGTAATAGCTTACACCAAGTTGAGTTTTTAAGCATATTTTATGGATGTCCGTTATGAAATAGTAGATTATAAGAGGAAAGAAGAGGAAATTAGGGTTTCAGTAAAATGATTCAAATCAATTCAGCGGGCTGGTTTCTATTTTTAGCAAAAGAACGCTTATCACAAAAACCGAGCATTTAGCGATGAGAATACATCAATAAGTTATAAACGGTATGTGAATTTTATATTTATTTTATCATTTACGGTAGAAAATCACTCTTGGCGAAAATAATAATAGTCTTAATGTAAGGATCGTTGACATTTTTTGCAGCAATAGTCAGGGCACCATTACCTCGATCGTTTTCGTTATGAAATTGCTCCCCAACATGATATTAATACTTATATCAGTCATCGTATTATGCTGATATTCTGAATGAAGTTTATCTCAAAGTTTTGCTCAGCATGGCTCTTAATCGTCTTTCTCTAATAGATAGGAAAATGTCATCGCACAGCATCCATCGTTGTCGGTTAGTTAAAGTTAATTTGACACAGTAAAGTATCAAATCTTAAAATGTGCTATTGATGCTCCTACCATTCGTTTATTTCCTTATTACTACTTTTTAGACAGAGAAAATGGTGCACAACAGTTCTTCTTCCGCTAGTATTCTCTTAGAGGATTGGCTCGTCAAATTGTGGGGTTGAAATAAAGAAGCAACATTTTCAACGCTCCAAATCATTTCGTAAAGGTATAAAACCTAATTCAAACACGGTATATTCTTCGTACACTGACGTGAACATAGCAAAACTTTTTGCGAGCTGAAAGCTTTTCTTTTATTCCTATTATACAATATATCATTGCCATTGGAGGCATTACCAATGCCAGTCTCGTTTCAGAGTTTTAATCAAATTCAAACAGAAAGAATAATGCTTGTTATAAAATCATTTGTACATAAAAACGATATTCGTTTGTAAGATAGATGGTCTTCTCCCATCCTTAGTATTACGATAGTGTAAGTAGGCTATATTAAGCAGAATAATTAAAATTATTAAGCATGTAGACCTGTAAAAAAATTTCTTTGTTATCTGCTTTGCGAGCTCGAATTATGGAAACAATAAGCATAGGTATATACTTATCTATAGTTATACTTCGTAGTTCAACACTTATTACAATTTGAATACAATGTAAATTTGTTCTATGTTTATTACAGTTTATTAAAGAATTTACAGTAAATCAAAAAAGCTTCTATAACGAGTTTGCCGTATTATTATCATATTCCTTTTGCAGCTTTTCTATCGCGTCATATACCCTTTGAGTCAATTCGATCCTTGCTTCCTCTCTTGTCAATTTTCCCAACTTCCAAGAATCTAATATATCACCATACGAAACAGGATCACCATACACGATCGTAATAGGCTTGCCTACATGTGCCAACTTTGTCCCGTATAACGGTTTAACCAAATGCATTCCTTTATGCCAAATCGGTATAACAATCACTGGTTCTCGATTGTCGCCATCAATCTCCTTAGAATTTGACATTGTGTCTGCAGAAACAGCATTGCTGCTATCCATCAAAATTCGTCCGATTCCCCACTTAAATCGAATCATTTTTCCATTGTTATCTTGAGATACCTTCGCTTCCGGATATATATGAACCCAGCCTTTTTTTTGTAAGTGATGGATGCTAAAATCTAGTGCAGGTTGATAGATGCCCGCGCCGCGAATGGTAGGGATAGTTTGACCAAATACGAAAAAGTAAGATCGAAAGCTATATATTGTTCTGGAAATTCAGTATGCTTTCAATTCTTCATTTATGTTGCATAACTTGGATGAATGAACGTACACAGAAGTATAACATATGTCAGCAGCACCAAGTACCCAACGCATTCTTTCGGGTGAGAAAAGAACACTTAAAGGTAATACTCCCCATAATACTGGATCATCTAATACTGATTCATGATTAGACACTAATGTAAAAGTGTTCGTATCATTATTGACCATTCATTTCTATCCCTTTTGCTCGGTTGAAGTATATAATCGTTGACATACCAGTAAGAATACCTTTCTTACGTTGTGGGTCCTGCAAAATCCGCAAAAATTGTTCGAGCCCGTGTACTTTCGTGTCATTGAAATAGCCCAAAAATAATTTTGACAAAGTACCAATTGATCCAATAACGGTTGCTGTCATGAATCTCCACATAATACCATCTTTCTCTTCTTGTATTGTAAAAAAAGCTTTTTCTTCCTTATCCAGTATGGTCGGTTTCAATTCTGAAGATGTTGACGAAGGTTGATTTTGAGCTGCTGCTGCTGAATTAACGGTAATCGTATTTGTGGCGAATCGCTTCCGTATTGGTTTCGGTATACTCTCCCAAACAAAAAGTGGAGGTATGTAAGGTACTGGAGGCACTGGGTTATTTCGAGCCGGCTTATAATACCAATATGTTACGCCCATGGTTGCCATTGTGGCTAAACCAAGGCGTTTGGCTCGTGACATGTTTTTAAACAGACGATGACATGTTGAAGTCATGACATATCCTTTCCACGAGAACGAGTTGTTATTCTCTTTTCTTTACTTTCTTTTATTTTCCCTTTGATCGTTATACTTCCAACTGGAAGAACGAGTGGAAATGAATAGATTAGGGGTGTGCACAGCGAAAATCTCTTGCAAGCGTCATACCACTTTTTGAAAGTGTGACGCCAACCTTTTGCTTAGAGGAAAAATCTGCAGCAGGTAATGAACCCCTTAATAAAAGTGTTATGTAGCCTGGGCTTTCTCACTCTGGGATAGACATTGTTTACAAACATTATCAAATTCTGAAAGTGTAGTCTACATAAATTTTGACTTTCGGGCTAATTTTGCCCAAAATTTTACTTGCGCAAGTGCTTGACTGAGCCACAGGAAGTCTCTTAGGGTATGATAAGGAATATATCATGTTTAAGAGCCATTCAATAACGGTTCTGATATGTAACACGGTTGTTACAGATTAACAAACAATAATCCGTACGACCAGCTTTTATTCTGTAATTTTTGAAGTACGCTGTTTGGCATTCATACTATATAAATAGAAGTGTGATATGGCTAGTCAGTGATATAATCAAACACTAAGCAAGGTTATAAATTGCATACACTACATACATTTATATACTAGGAGACATCTAAAAAGAGAAAGAATATTTATTAAAGCAAAACAAATGAAAACGCTCCAGAAGATTACGATACATGAAAAAAAAAACTGATTGTTTTCTTGACGTAAGGTCATTTACCAAAGGAAAGAACTATGGGAAAGTTAACGGCTGAATCGATTTTTTCATATTTTTCAATTGTTTGTAAGCTGAGAAATCGGGCAATTTTTAAAGACATATTGCAAATACTACATGTACCCTACAAGCATGCTGCTATGGATATGTTATGCCAGCCATGTATACAAACAGTCAACTTCGGGCAAAAAATTATGGTCGGTAGGAAACCGATGATTTATTTATTATATGACCGTAAGAATTGTGAAAAAAATAAATAAGTGACTAAAACTAAAGAAAAAAAGAAAAAAAAAAACAACCTTGGAATAAAATCAACGACATAAAGAATGGTATCTAATAATCGTTACTGCGTGTACATGTACGGATAACGATATAACAGAAGAAATCTATACATTATTATTGTTCGTTAGACAATAACAATGGTCTTCTCTCACCCTCGTTTTCTGCTTCTTCATTGGTGATGAAAGGCCATTTGAGAACACCATTGAAGTAGAATGTACCTATCACTAACACAATAAAACCAACCACTTGAATCCAAGAGAAATGTTCCCAGCCCAAATACAAGGACACCATCCAAATAAATAAAGTTCGACAAGCATCAATAGTGCTTCTAGCAGTAGCTGATACTGCAGAAGTTATGGACAGCCCAAACCAGTTGAAGAAAGCAATAGAAATGCTAATAGCCAAACCAGTTTGCCAAACAAGAGCATGATCAAAGAAATCATGGAAGCCTTGCACCATATCAAAAGATGGATGTGTTTTACTCAAAGTAATGTGAAGGATGGGCATGGCGGCTAATACTGATATAAGACCAAAGGAGCCTTCAAAACCTACTGCTTTTAAGGGCGTAATACGATAACGGCTCAGGATCTTCTCTTCAATTACAAATTGAGATGCGGTAAAAAGTTGGGCTCCAAGGACCAAACACACACCCAAAAGAGAAGCAAAGTCGAGTGAGGATGATGTATCAGTATTTTCACCATCAAAGACGACATCTTTGGGCTTCTTTTGAGGCACTAACACAGAAGAAAGACCAACAATACCGACACCAACAACGACCATTGTTAATGAAAACCATTCGTATAAGCGTAGACGGCGCTTCAAGAACATATAACTGAATACACCGGTGAATATCACTACAGCACCCCTTAACATCTGATATACACTAGCTGATGTAAGAATTAAACCCACATTCATTACCTATGGCATTGTAAATTTGTCGTTCACTGATTAAATACACATTCATGCCAAGCTTCTCATCATATTGCTCTATGTAAATCAGCTGCTTCCTAAACTTACGGTTGTCGCCGTTAAATCACATAAAGTAGGAATCCAAAATAGAAGAGCTTTCCACCCTTTCAATTCTGGAAGATCCTCATCAACAATTTTTACGTGCTCTTGGTTTACTTCATCGACTACGCTCGCAGCATCCAATTGGTTCAGGGCTGAGGGTGGAGGTACCGCCGCTGGTACCTTTTGATATTTACTTACCCGTTGTTGTTGCTTTTCCTGATATAGTTGATATAGATAGACGATCCATACAGCGAACTCACCTACAAACATATTTAAACTTTAAGTAATTATATGCATATTAGTTATCATTGACATGCAATCACAAGTATTACAAACAAACAAAAGCTTATTTCTTATGCCATGCGTTACGTTTGCCAGATAGGTTGTTCAAAATAGTGCCGATTTTTTGGGTTCGGATCATCGCAATTGCCAACACATTGCATGTCTTGGAATTTGTTCAGTATAGTATTACAGACACCTTGAAGAAAAAGCAAGAATAATGGATAAATGAGCATCCAATTGTTATTAATGTCAATGTATGTATATTACCTGATACGAGCATGCCCGTCACCAGAATAAGTGTAGTGGTAGCGTTTTTAGGCATTGTTAACGTTATTGGATTTATACTCGTTCTTCTGTGTGCGAAATCAATATTTTAATGAATAAAAAAAAGAAAAAAAAAGGTAAAAGCCGTAATATGAATAAACGACAGAAAAGAGAATATTATATACGCAATAGGCGTCCAAAAAGGAGAAAAGCATTCTGCGGAGAAATATCAAGCAAAGGATTAGTGGTTATCTGATGAGGTCTTTTTAAGCAATTTTATTATAAGTTTTTCTCAGGCGACCGAAAAGTGCGACTTTACACTGTAGCTGACTTATTTTTATTAAAGATGATGTGGTCATAAGATATCTATATCTTTGAAGAGGAACACAGACAAAAAAAAAACAAGAAAATGACTACCAGTTACTGTCTGCCATCCCAATGTATGCTATTTACATGTATCTTAAGCATTCAGAAGTCTTCAATGGGACAGGCGCTGTAATGCCAAGATGAAATGTTGGTTTGTATGATTTGCACAACTCTGGTATTGATTCTCAAAAATAGAAATGCAACTTTGCTTGACCAATCAAAAGCTCAACTAACTCTTCAATTATAAAAGTTTTGCAAAGCCTTAAAATTTATCTCAAATTCTCTTGCAGAATTCCGTATAAAAGAGGAGCATATTTCCTTTTTCATTATGAGAGTCTTTGGTTCTGCACCGTTAGCTGCTTCTCCCTATAGTGAGCAAACTTATCTGCGAGTGTTATCAATCTATTGTATTCCATGATTTGAAAGTTCATGAATGACAATGGTTATATTCTTCAACAGTGTCGATTTGATGCTAGTGTAATACTAGACATACAAATACTGATTTGTTGCATTATCGTTGAAAGATTATCGGTAATGATAAACTACGGTCTGTGAAAATAGTTCAAGTGCGGGCAATGAATAGGTTTAGAGGAGTTATGATATTCTCTTGGGTGCTTTCTTTGGAAATAGCATAGCAATGTTAAGCTCATGATTGGGAAAAGTATGAGAAAACCCCTGAGAGCGTACATGTTTTCACATGGTGTTATTTATATGTTGGTGTAGCTTTTCACCGCGAATAGTCAAGGCTATAGCTGATAACCGCCTGCAAACCGTAATTAACAGCCCATAGCTACGTTAATTGTATGTTGAATTTCGAAAATTAAGGAAGGGAGATATGAACGAGCACGTTTTGCCTAAAGAACCTGCGTTCACCATCATTCTTTAAGGAATTGCCGCTAGCACTTTTGTATTTGTAAGGAATTCGATAGCAATCTTTATAATTTTGGGATCTTGCAATATTCTTTTCGCCCAAAGATTTTTGCCTGGTTGTAAATTGTCGATAGACATAATAAATTGAAGAATGGTGAGAAAAAAAGTTGAACATCACTGATTTGACTATAACATAATATGATATTTCACGTATCTTACTGCAACATTTTTTGCGCTTCTTATAGAGAAATCATAGATAACACGTTATTATTTGTTAGTCAGAGAGCCATTAAGCTTAGATATATATGAAACCATATAGTCTTTCCTTATTAAATGTCAAATGCTTTGTATCCTTCACAATGCGATGTCTATAACATTAAAGGATCAATCCATTTACTACGAGACTGGTAATAGTTAATAACAGTCTTTCAAAAGCTAGTTGGTTCAGCCCAAAGTCGTTATCGTTTCGCAGATTTGAAACTCCTGTCGCATTTGACTTCTGAAATAGATGTAGGCATGCAATAATACAAGAATTTAGCTTATCTGGTACCATTGACATAATTCCTAGCTTTTCATTATATTGAGTAAGGAAATTTTTTAAAGTCTTAGAATAATCTCATTGGAGTAAATAAAAAAAGAAAAAAAAAAGGCAGCCATGATATCAGAAAGGTGCAGTGGTTGCGCACTTTGGACGATTTATGAATTGTTGCGATATCTATTACTCTTTTCCTAAAAGTAGCTCTATTTCCTTTTTTTGCGGCTTGTTTTCCAATTTAAATTACCTTCTCTTTTGCACAACCTGATCCGACAAATCAAATTAAGGGCAGAATTTTTTCTGATTTACGAATCTCACTAAGACAGGAGAAGGCACATGTTCCTCTGTACCCCGCAAAATGATGCTACTGGTCATTCTTTTACAACGCAAACCACTATGAGTGCATTCTTCGTCTTTTTTCTGAACTCATTTTCGCAACTTTTCTTTCTTTTGCCATTCCAAATATCATGCAGCCTTATTCTAATAATCAGCCACACTCTGGCTATACTCAGGCACCTTATGGTCACCCTCAGCCTCAACCTCAGCAATCTCAACAACAGGATCAGCATTTCTTTGGTAACCTGAATGAAAGTTTTGGTCAGCTCAATGTTGGCCATCAGTGGAATCGGCTGCAATCACATCTTCATCGCTCTACCCAGTCCAGCCAAGTCATATGCGGACCTTTATTACGATACATCAATATCAATTATACCACCCGTATCTGGCTAGGTTCCATCCTACTCGTTTCCACCGACCATTCTCCCCCACCCATACAAGTGCAGTTAGATAACCAGAAACCTTATCAGCTTGAAGAAATTGAACGTCTCGATGATTATCGCCATACTTACTATTTCTGGCGGTACGAATTGAAAATTCAACTCACTAATAAACCTCAAATTCTTACGTATTCGACTCCTCACAACAATTGGGCTCAATCTTCCTTCCAGTTTCATTTGCCTGCCTATCATCAGTCAATGAGGTTCATGTTTTATTCATGCAACGGCTTTTCTGATGTACCTCAAGAAATTAAAGATAAATTTGGAGAGAAAGAAGCACCGCTTTGGCAAGATGTATTGGATCGTCACGAAGTGATGCCGTTCCATGTGTTGTTAGGAGGAGGAGATCAATTGTATCAAGATAGGTTAATCAAGGAGGACTTTATGAAGCCTTGGAATGATGAGAAAGATCCTAAGAAGCGTATTGCGATGAGTATGACACGAGAAATGAAGGAGGGGTTTGAAGAGTTCTATTTCAATAATTATTGTATAAACTTTGGGTAAGTTTCTTTGTCAATGCATTTTGGCTTCACTAAATTTCAGTACGAACAAGTTGAATGGAGCATGTGAGCTGCGAGTTAGATTCAAGTTTAGTATAATCAAGAGTCTTCTTGGGCTTACTTTTTTTTATATTATTTCGCCAATCTTTGCACATGTTGATTTGATGTAGGTTCAAAGATAACCCGGTTGTTGCAAAAGCATTTGCTTCCATTCCTTCCATCAACATGTGGGATGATCATGTATGTTTTCTCTTTGGCAAAGAAGGAATCATAAGGAGAAAGTACTAATTTTTTTCTTTTTTTCTGTCTAATTTTTCGTTTTATAGGATATCATTGATGGTTATGGCTCTTATCCTGCTGATATGCAACGTGCAGAATGCTTTCAAGTACTTTTCGCCAATGCTTGCCGATTCTACTATCTATTCCAGCACCACACAACAATGGAATTAGCCGAGCGACACGGTATGATCCGCGGTACCTTAGAGACTTGCAACCATATGATCACCACTTTAGGCCCTGATATTGGTTTCGTGGCTCTCGATTGCCGCGGCGAGCGTACAAAGCATGAAGTCTGTAAAGCCAAGTCTTATGATACTGTTTTTGAAGCCATACATACTCTGCTGCCCCCGACCATCAAGCACTTGTTTATATTGACTGGTGTTCCTCTTATTTATCCTCGTCTCACTCTGTTTGAAAATTTGATGGATGGAGCAGCTGGTTTGAGTTTAGCCACACTCGCTGGTAAAACGGGCGCGTTAGGTGACGTGATCAGCGGACAGCTCAATAAATGGAATGGCGACCCTGAATTACTGGATGACATGAACGACCATTGGACAGCAGGCAATCATGAAGTCGAAAGGAAGATGTTTATTGAACGGTTACAAGCGTATGCGCGCGAAAGATCTGTTAGAGTTTCATTTTTGGGCGGTGATGTTCATTGTTGTGGTGCAGGCAAACTTTATTCAAAAGATATGAAGGAGAAAGAAGAAGGAGATCCTTACTTTATGGTACAGATTATTTCCAGTGCCATTGTAAATGTCCCACCGCCCCAGGCATTATTGACTGTTTTGAACCAAAACTCAACTTTTGTCACCTTTAATGGAAATACAGAAGAAAGGATGTATAATTTGTTCAAAAAATCGCCCAATGGTAATACTGTAAGTATAGCAATACGTGCGTGCCTGACGATAATAGTGCTGTAAACGGACTCCTTCTGACATCTATTGCTCTATAGCGACAAAATAAAAAGTTGATGGGTATGCGAAACTATTGTGCAGGTTACTTTGATGAAGAAACTGGTAAAATCAATTTTTGGATTCAAGCAGAGAAAGAAGTAGGCGTCAAGGGAACCATGGGCTACCTTATAGATGTTCCCAAATTGGTGTTTGGACAAGGAGGATATCACTTATATCATCAGAATAAAATGCAGGTTTTGGAAGATCTGTACCAAACACCACAACCGCCTTCACGTTTCTTTCCACCTTTCCGCAGTGACAGTCAACAACAACTGTTTGGTGCACCACCTGAATCTCAACACTATGGAAGAGATCCCAATGAGACGACGTCATCATCATCCTTTTTTAATAACGTGGAACAACGATTTCACCAAACAGCAGGAAAATTACAGAATAAAATTGGTGGTTTTGTAATGCCTGGTAGTAATAATCATGGGTATCAAGGGTAAAGTAATCGACATGTAGCAATTCACCTCCAATTAAAAGAAATGCTTAACAATTATCACACAAATTTAAAGCGAAAAAGCGAACACTATGAAGTGATGAGGGGAACACTTTTGCGTTTCTAGCAATGTCAAGTGAATATCTCGATTTATATCGTGCAAAATCGTTTAAGTATCCATTTGAAACAGACAACGTATGTTTTCTTCTGAGTCTTTTAAACCTTTCATTTTTACTTTTACATACAATTTTGCTATTTCACAAAGAAAGAAAAGAAACATGCACTAAATAATCGTTTCACTTCTATTACAATACATTCAATTTGTTTCACTAAACTGCTTTTATTAAACGAATGCATCATTTTGCAATCCAATATTTTGTCCCATCAATATGAATGAAAGGAATATGTTGAGCTACGGTGAATATGGCTTTGGAATGTATATTACAGCACGCTATAGACCGCGAAGTGGCTGTTAAATTGGTCAACACACACAATTTATCAAGACAGTAATTGATATCCATTCCAGCAAAAACAAAAACGACGACTGCTGCTGCTACTATCGCAACATATAGAACAAGTCTTATACTCAAAGAGATGACTATTTTATTGCGTATCAAGCATCACCCTACTGTTAGTGATTAGGCTGATTATTTAAGAGATCAGCGCTTTTATTACTTCTGTGATGAAATTGTTTGGACGGAAATGGAAACCATTGAGATATCAAAGGTGGTAAATATAGTCAATGACTCTAACTTTAAGATAAAATGACAGATTGAAGTACAGTGAAATGTAAAGAATAACCAAAATGTGTCTCGTTTATTTTATGTCAAATGAATCTATTTTAGCGTGGCCATTAAAATACCAATCGTACAAACATCCCACAGAAATGCAACTTCCAACCGCCATCATCAGCGTAACATACAACTTGACCAAATTCTTAGGCACTATTACTTTTTTGCATTACAGCAAATTTTGCTTGGTCCTGATTACAAAGCAGAATATTTGGTCCTTATGTGCCTTTATATACTCTCTTCTTCGGCCAGCCACCATTTGATCAAGTAATGGAGGGCCAGTGTTTATCCGTGGGACGAGGTTAAACCAATCGACGTTAAGGAATTGTAGTGCTGCTACCACTATCATTCTAAATTCGAAAAAAAAATCTACATTTACTCAAAGATTTGCTTAGGTATCATTTCCAACAGAGACTTAGCCTTGAAAAAACAGTGAATCATCTTTAGTTAGCAAAGGTCAAAGCATAGTAAATAGATCCTTATCTTTCGTTGATTTATCAACAAAACAATTGTAATATTCCTCACATATAAGCCAGCAATCCAATTTGGACATTTGTTTGAAGTGATGATAACCATCAATACAAGCAAAAGATTGAGTTTAAGAATACCTTTTCATACATACAACGCTATTTTGAAACCATAGATTTGCAATTGACTATTATAATAGCCTTCATAACATGTCTATATATTGCTACGGAAATAGGCCCTTCGAGAGTCAGCGTTCAAGAAAAGATGGCTTATTCTGATTCGACGAATTCTTGGTGCTCATGCATACATTTGCAGTAAATTGTTGTCAGTGTCCTTAAATTGAGCATCGGATAACGTTACACACCTATAGTTCGGCATGACATGGCGGTCCTCTAAAATTACAACTATCAGATAGAAATACACAGAATATTATAAGGAGAGATTCAAACTGTTACGTTAAGAATGCATCCATGTCTTTGCTGGTTGATTGAACTATTAAGTAATAAAGTGTAGACATGAGTTTCTGTCTGTTGAGGTTAAAAAGTTTTCCGCTGACCTTTGAAAAAATTGGCGACAAGACAAAGGCCAATTCGTCCTGAGATTAGAAGTCTAATTCATTTTACTTATTGTCAGATATCAACAAATATGCGAAACTTTGAGAAATGATATGAGTATTTCATCTAATTCGTACATAAAAGTGGATGAAAATGAATAAGTTCAAATGGATTCTCGGTTTGGTATTTGAGTAAAGAATGGATAAAGAAAAATTAAGCAACTTGGCAATTCATTATATTGTGCGCATCAATTTTTCGGATGTTTGATACATCAGAAGAAATCAAAAGTTGATCAAATGTATACATCTTTTGCAGAGCCAAAGCCACTCCTGTAACCAAAATTCACAGTTCTTACAGACTGATACGGTAAATTAACTATGAGACTTTAAGGTCAATTATTACTGCTTGAGATGAGTCTGCTTAAGGTTAAATGATCTATTCATATGCTGTCAAAAAATACTCAGCAACACGAATATATTTTGTTCATCCTATGCAAGAGCGCTCAAGATATGCTGGTCTAAGCTCTCATGGATAGCTACGGGAAAGCTTGCGTAGTTGCAAGGTCTGGTAGCTTTTGCACTTGATCGACAATGTATCGTACCCCTTAAGTCATTTTAATTTGAAGATGCTTTCTGACTCTTACTAGCAGCGTCAGCGTTTAATCAGCCCTTTCCTTCAGCGTCACTGTTCACGTCGTGAAATATCAGCAACTGAGTATCTACTGTAGCTGCAATTCTTGAAGAAAATTCTTGCTTGCGTAGTGTTCGTGATTATTATAAATTAACTCTGATTCGATTTCCTTTCTCGGTTCATCTCTAGTGTGGTTATTTTGAACCCGTACAAACTATACGGTCGATGGTTCTCAGGTCAGTTCAGCAAGTGTTTTTGATTATTTAGATTCTCGAAACTATTTGCTGACATTGAAGAAGTTGAGTATTGGAAGAAATGTTACCGTGCATATGGAAAGCTTAGCCTAAAAAAAAAAAAAAAAAAAAGTCAATCAAAAAGTGTATCCTGTAATTGTCAGAACTATTTGGCTAAGGACGCAAGCAGCAGATACGACAATCATTTGCGGGAGGATGAACATATAAGATTATAGAGCATTTTTTAGGAGCGTAGCTGACCTACGTGAGCGGTGTGTTTTTGGAGAAGGTTTCTTTAAGAACCATTAAAAAAAAAAAAAAAAAAACAGGGCTTGTCAGCAGACTACATCGCCTAAAATATATATCGACATTGTTCTTCTCAGCAAAAAGGATGATAGACCTTGGAACAAGCTTTATTCCTGTCTTTCCTTTTCCTTTTCCTTTTTTTTTTCCCTAACTTCTTCTGCAAACCGTTAACTGGCAATTCTCCTCTCTCAGTGCTATATTGTCATTTTCTCTCTCTTTTATTTTTCAGGGTTATAAAATCAAATGAATCGATCAACATCGTTCTTGAGAGACGAGAACCGTATAAATGGTAACAAAGTATATGCAGCTTCTTCTTCCTTTACAATTCATGATATAACAACAACAACGGCTGCTACTGGTAGTATGACTGATATGAATAAGGATGATGCTGACGATGTAAATGACCTTTTTGATTATAATAAAAAAATTGATTTGGCAACCATGTGGACAGGTATAAATTTATCCCTTTTTCCTTCTTTATAAATACATGTGGGTGTCCACTTACATGTCCCCCATTTTTTTGCATAGCATTTAATAAATGTAAATCGTTCATTAAACATGGCCAACGCTTGGAGAATATGTCCTGGAGACTATGGAGATACAATCACCAACAATCATGTGCAGAAAAGGAAGAAGAAGAACAAGCAGTACAGGATGGAAACAAGTTTCAGACAACCGTCACTGCCACCAATTTCAACACTACTTTGAATACTCCCGATAACCATCATGCCACAACGACTTATACTCTACTCAGTGGATCACCTGTCAAAGTTAATTCTTTACACGAGGTTCCACAACAACCACAACAACAAAATCACCAGAATATGAAAATCATTGAAAGCAGCCATGATAACATTGAACGAGCGAATACTACAAATAATAATAGAACCCCTAACATATTAACTCCTATAACTCCACAACATCAGCAGCAGCAGCAGCAGCAGCAGCATCTATCATCTTCTCCGCAATTAGATACTTTTCAAGCGGATCCAGTACTTAGAAATGCAACATTAGTTAAGTATGGAAAAAAATATATTTATATTGTTGATGATGATGATGATGACTTCTATGAAGATGATGATGACTGTTATCTCAGTGGCGAAGATGCATATTACGATTTTGAAAGTGATGATGATAACAATAACAATCAAGATTATTTCATTGATTTCAAAAAAACAATACCTAAAAGACCCACTGCTGCTAAATGTAGATCCCTGTTATCAGATTTGTTAAACAAACCACCTTCGTTACTGCTGTCAAATTCGACTTCATCATTTGGAACGACAAATACAATTACTTCTACCGATAGCAATACAGCAAACAATTCTCTTTATGATGGCACGATGGTGGCCGACCAGCAAGCGCAGCATCAGCATCAGCAAAACACAGGCGTCACTACGACAACCTCCACAACCGCTGCCAATGCATTGGCGTCACTATATCTTGATGGAAAAGCACGAACATCGCCTTCTTCATATGCAGAACTGCTCGATAAAATCAACAACAAGAACATCAGTACTAGCTATCTTTTTAATTGGAAAGAATCATTTCGCGGTTGGTAATATGGTTTCTTTTCATAGCTGTTGAGTATGATTTATAAGTAAACGCTTCATTGTTCAAACTACATTAAAAACCGAAGCATACAAAAAATAAACAATAGAATATCAAAGTCATATCACGCATACAAGGTGTTCACACATAGAAACAGAATTATTAACCTATTTATCGTCTGAGGTTACACTACAATTTGCATCATTCTTTTATGTATGGAGCGTTTGAGGGGCTACACAAACCACACACATCAAATAAACTTGAAGGCCGGAATAAACTTTTCAAGTAGTACTACACACTGACACATAAGAAAGGTTATTTGAATTAGAAAAGGAGAAAAGCGTGATATTTCGATGATTTGAGACCATATCTCACAAAGAACGAGAATCTTTGATGAATTGTCTTTTGTCGTTACTTAGTCAGTCCCATCAAATGTGAAAGATGCTTTTTGAACTATACTTTAGAAAATTTAATCGTCCTCTTCTTGTCCATATTTTCAAGTACTGTACCTTCATAGAGTAACTATGAAGTATACCAACAATGACCAACTCTAGCAATTTATTCGACCTCTTTGTCGAAAAAAATAGTCGCGTCATGAAATGAAATAGAGAGATTCAAGGTGAAGAAAAATGTCAACAAAACACAGAAGATATCAGAACCTGAGTAAGAGCAAATACAGTGATTCTGAACTACTCGTATACCTTTCAAAGGACACATAATAAAAGAAAGCTACCGCAATGTCATTGAGAAACTGGCAGCATTTGGATGTGGAACAGTAAATTACGAGATAATGAAGCCAAAGACATGGGTTCGTAAAGCATATAGATTCACTACCAGCATCGAAGCATATGAATGACATTGGAACTATAGATAGGCCCATTTAAAACGATTCATCTGGCATCACTGTCGATCAATAAATTTATAGAACTTGCTTTGACTAAAGTCTCTTACAAAACAATGCTAAATAACACAAAATAATCAAACTATTAAAATAAAAAACTTTACCAGAATAACTCCCGTAGCAAATGACTGCAAGGACTAGCGAGGAAATTTTAGGTAAACAGAACTGTTCCGACAGCGTAAGAGGACGAGATACCCCCACGTTCTGATACTCGGAAACGTTTGTCTCAACCAACTCTACAATGACATTAGGAAGCCATGCATTAATAAGCTTTCTAACGCACATACCCAAAGAAAGTGGACATCCATCAATAGCAGTATAACTGCTGTACAGCAGCAGTCAACATCATTCTTCTATTCAAACAAAGAGAGGAAGGCTACAAGACAATGGGGACCAAAACTATCATCCTGTGATACTGATTGTTTGGAATGCTTACAAGATTTATTTTTCAGGTTATCATGTATCGTAGAAATTACGAAGCGAGCAATACAACCCAACAGATCAAATAGTCATCGACAAAGCTGGCCAGAAATCCTGACCGTGAAGGTCAGAGATCATCTTCTAAGGAGTCAATAAAGAGGCGCCCCATTCTTTGACTACAAAATATTGAAACAGGACCTTCCGTGCAAATTATTAAAGTAGAACGCGTCTTGGTTGCAAAAGAACTATTGGAAAAGAGGCATTGCATGCAAAAGCTGATCTAGCAGACAATGACAGCGGCTGATCATTTCACTTTAATCACAAAATTTCCTCATGTTTCAACATAGTAACAAATCAAGCCTAGCATTCGACTTACACGTAGTCCAAGAATATTCTCAAAGCTTTCAAAAAACTCTATAAAGCATCTTACAAAAGTAAATCACCCCAACAGCGTATTTTCTCAATAAGGCAGATATCACTCAGAGATTAAAGTTTCCGATAGACCACCTTCACGCTCTGGGGTTTAACAACATAGCAAACAGACTTTGGCATTGATAGCTAAACAGTCGTTCTACCAACATAGGTGAAGTAAGTATTTTTATTGAAGCTAAAAAATTGCATAGAGCGCATTATGTAAAGACGAGTGTTGTGCATGAAAGGCTGTACACAAACTCGAAGCCAAGTGTGTGTATTATGAGGCAGGATATATTTTTAGTCAATCATGGCAAAAATTAACAAAACAGACGATAGTCTGCCCAGTATGGGGATTGACTATCACAAGTACAGTAGTAATTTGCGTTTTGAAATTTTCAAAGATTCAAAAAATAGAATTCAAACTTTTTTCTGTCCAATCAACATTCTCATCTTCATTTGTCTACCCTATCGAAATTTCCAATTTTTTGTAAGTGGGAGATATCGAAATTTTTTATTTTGTTAATGTTCATCTAAACTTTCTTTTTTTTACTAGCTAATCTTTTCAATACAAACTCTTCTCAATCTTTGATGGTTATAACATCATCGTCGTGTTTTATATCTTCAAGAACCATCTGTTATGTCCTCCTCCTAGTCAAAGTCAATTATTTGCTCGTCATTACTGCTGTAGTACCCAGCCGTGCTGTCAGAGTCTGAGCGGAAGGACGCTAAGTTATTAGCAATCTTCGGTACAACAGAAACTCCCTTGTTATAGCTCTACTTGGTACCGATGAGTTGCAGCTTAACACCTTGCCACTGGCAAGTAATTGCCTCCAAACTTGAAATTCTGTTGTTATCAACATATTGGATCACTTTCGTAGCATCGCCATTTGGAGAGTCTTTCCTTTATCCAGGTATTTTTTAACACCTTTGAGACCCGGTTTCTCTTCTGCCGAAAGATAATCAATAACATCATTTAGGTTGCGTAACACATTCCGTCGTAATATTTGATATACAGCCAACTCGTGGTTGTATACGAGCTGGCATACTTTCAATATACCTTCTCCACTCCTTCTCTGTAATCTTGTCCCACTCAGTGCGCATTATCAAAGACTGGTATTTATTATAGACCTCTTAGCTATAGGAGGGTCTTTCTAAAACTACAGTACCAGAACAATTAACGGGCACTGATCAATTGGAAGAGAGGGAACGTTTATGTCCCCTCAGCTCATCCAAAAGTTCGTGCGTGAACAATGAACAATGAAAAAAGGGGAAAGGAAATTTTCAAAATCGAGCGAGTTTGTGGAGTATTTATGATTTTTCGGGTTCTCCCTCTCTCTTAATTGATCAGTGTCCGTTATATGTTCTGGTACTGTGTTTTTAGAACGACCTCCATTGTAGATGAGAAACACACAAAAAAAATAAAATAAGTAATGTTCCTTTAACTTTTAATGTTAGCGTCAAGTCGTGACGCTACATTATAAGGAAGGGTTTCCCAATCAAAAAGGAAATATCAAGCTATGAATCGACTCTCGTAATGATGAAAAACTATGTAGTCTTATTACAGCTCCATTAAAATGTACTGTATTTTCACATGCTTTTTCCTTTTGGCAAACGAGTATGTTGGATTGTCTTCAAAAATTACTTCTCGCTAACTTTATGTTTTCAACTAACTTTGATGTGTTGAGTCAGCTCAAGGATGCTGATCATCAAAAGGAGAGCAGCTACTTTGTACCCAAATATCGTCAGCTAGTAGTCTATTAGAATAATTTTTGTGTTTGTTTACTTTAAGCTTGACTCTTTATTTATAAAGTTAAGCGAAAACATGGATGCTATTGTTGCTTAGTCGATGATTCCAAACATCAAGTGGGTGGCTATGGACTCTTTAGGTGGAAACTATAGTCATAATTAAAACGTACCCAGTTTGCCATGTGGAGGCACTGGTTTCTTGAGCCGTAATATAACTACAATATAAAGTAACTTTTCTGCATCGAATGATTTACTGAAACGAGAGATGTTTTGAAAACACTTTACGCATGAATAACTATCAAGAATGACTGTAAATCAAGAACCTAAAGGCATATATTTGCGAATGGATAAAGATTTCTATTTTTGAAAATCATAAATTTCAAATGCGAATCACTGTACTCTCTCTTCTTCTTTTTATTTTCTTTGTTCCCGCTTCTGACAATTGCTGCTGCTACTATTACTACTGCTACTACTGCTACTACTACTATTTCGACAAATGAGCCCTATAAGATTCAGCCGCTGTTAATGGATCCTCAGGTACAGGCCCATTATACATCCTACTACCACGATGATCGTTGTTATTACTGTTACTATTATTATTCATATTATTCGTACTATTATGAGTAGGTGTCCCGATGAAAGAATGATTTGGTGTATAATACATTGAAGAAGTTGCTGACATTTGATGGTTTGGACTAGTGGTCATTTGTGGATGGTGTTGATGATGTGGCTGTGGCTGTGGCTGTGATTGTGGCTGTTGTTGTTGTTGTTGTTGTTGTTGTGTTGTTAAATAAGGTCTACTATTATTATAGTTTAAAGAAGTCGAAGTCTGCGGGTGATGCTGTTGTTGTTGTTGTTGTTGTTGATATGGATGATGGCGGTGATGTAACTGTTGATCATATAAATTATTGTGCGATAATTGTGAATAGATCGACTCAGTTCCCATGGAAGGGTTCATGATATTAGTAGTAGTAGGAGCAGCAGCAGCGGAAGTAGTGGTGGTAGTCATAGGAGGATGAGAAAGGGGAGGCGCCGGCGCTGTTGGTGTCATGGAAATACTATGGGTCATCGTTGATAGATCGTATGGCACAGCAGTCCTAGCAAGATGATTGTTGTAATTGGTGGCGGTAGATATAGATGGGTGATGGTGTTGATGAAGATCATTATTATAATACATTTGATTATTACTCGCGTTGTTGTTGTTATTGTTGTTATCGAAAGGATCGACTATCAGATGATTGATAGGTGTCGTGGCAGCAGTGCTTGTAGTGGAAGGATGATTGTAATAATTTGTGACAGTGCTAGAAACGGCATTCGTCGTTGGAGGAGGTGGAGTATACATGGGTGTCGTCGTTGTCGTAGGATTGTATCCTTGTGTTTGCGGCGTTAAACTCATATTCAACCTTGACTTTTGCGGTTGCTGTAAATAAGCTTGATGATGATGATGTTGATGTTGATGTTGTTGATGTTGTTGTTGTTGTTGTTGTTGCTGTAACCGAGTGTTATGACTATTATTGTTACCACTTGAGCTATTTATAGATGGAACATAAATAGAAGTATTATTATTCTGAGGGTGGTAATAGTCAGTTGCTACAGTGGATGTTGCTATTGCTGAGGTCGGTACTGTTGTAGAAGACATGATATTGCCCGCACCATTACCAGCATTCGCATTCCCACTCGCAGCAACAGCAGCTGCAGTGGTATTATAATAAGATGGCTGCGGTTGATTTCTCCAAACAGGTTGCACAGGTATACGTAATGGAACACGAGTCAAAGGTCTATTCAGCGGTTGAGTAGGAAAATGAGGTAATTGTGCTTTCGATAACATTAACAAATAATGTTGTTGAAGTTGTTCCTGTTGTGTTTGTTGATGATGATGATGTTGTTGTTGTTGCGGCTGATTTGGTGGTAGAACCACTTTAAAGGTTTCTTCCAATAGTTGCTCCTGTTTCGCTAGTTGATCTGCATTCTGTATTTGACTTCTAAATAAGAACAAAGCTTGCTTCCATCTATCGTATTCGTCATGTTTGATAGTCAACCTGAATCGTAACACATCCAAAAATTCTAGTTCCATGATGTTTAAATCCACCACCTTCATGCCGGTGACTTCTGACCACGTTTTGTTTGTGAAAGTGTTATCGTCAAGGAATTTGTTAGCAAGCATGAGAGCTACAGTGAACAATCGGTATTCTGAGCCTTCGGCACCTTGGATGGTTGGGTTATTCTGCAACAGCATGGCAATATACTTTAAAGACAGTAATATGACAGATTCAGAGAGCTGAGTAGCGGTCAGTACTTGTTTACAAAATTTCTTAAAGGCATTGCTTGTGCGGTTTGCAATATTGGCTGTTTCTCGGGAATGATGGAGGTCACTGTCTTCTGTTGTATTGTATTGTTGTTGAATGATGAGCTTTGAGAGTTCGTGGAGTTTCATGACGGAAGGTCTACGAGCATGCCACATTAAATAGACCATGGTAGAGGCAAAATCGGCTAGTTGGGCAATCGTGAGAGGTGGAGTAGGTGGGGCATCGGTGGCGTTAGGAGCAGGTTCAGGTGGTACAATATATTGTTGTTGTTGTTGTTGTTGCTGAGGGTATGGGTGGTATAACGCTTGCTGCTGTTGCGGTGGTGGTAAATATGCTGTATTTGAATTAGTATTCGTGGTTGTAGTTGTAGTTATGGGTAAATGCTGGTTATAAGATCGAGGGTGGAAGACAGACGTGGCTGCTGCTGCTGCTGTTGTTGTTGTTGTTGTTGTTGTTGTTGGAGCATAGTTATTGGTATCAATGATGGGATAGTATTGACCCTGCTGGTGCTGTTGCTGGTGCTGTTGTTGCTGTTGGTTGTTAAAATGATGATACATTTCTTACTAGTATTTTTTGACTTTCTTAATATTGATATGTGTCTAAAACATAGACATTGCAAAAGCAGATGAGGACGATGGGACGGGGGTATTGCTCAGCTTTTCGAGAAGGGAAAAAAAGACTAGTTTTTTTATAGAGAAAAGGTAAAGAAAAGGTTACGATATGTACACAAAAAAATTACTGTTAAATAGGCTTGGCTGTGTAATACCTAATATCGTAATATGTACACTGAATGAAAAAAAAAAAAGAAAAGAAAGAAGAAAAGATATAAAAGAAGGAGTGCCCTTTATTACCAGTCTCTTTTTCCAAGGAAAATAAAATTCTATTGTTGGTTTTCTTTGATGGGATTTTTTTTGATTTTTTTTTTTTTTTTTTTTTTTTTTTTACGATTATGCTTATTCAAAAAAAGGGCAGCTATGACAAGTTCATCTTGTTTTCAAGATCCGACCATAAAAAAAAGAACAGCATATGAAAAAAAAAAGGCTTTTTTTCCTATCCATCTGGTCATGGCTCTCAGTGTACTCTCAGCTCCCTTTGCCTCTCGTTCAAATGACGAACTGATAGCGTAGAATTTCCGTTAGTTTTTTTTTTTTTCTTTTTATTTCACTATTACTTTGAAACCCCCATCTGAAATATCTTTTTCTATAGCATTTTTGGTCCGCCGGTAATACTTTTATAGTGTGTTTTGGGTTTATGAACAGACGCGTTTTTTCTCGTTTATTAATACACTTCAGAAAATACTGAACTTAATCCAAGTACCCAATGAAAACGAATGAAAAGGTAATGTGACTCCTTATACTATATAACCTTTCCTTTCCATTATCTTTGAGCTATCTTTATCGGATAGTTCAGAATTATCGGGGAATTGCATAGTCTTGCATATTTTATTTTTTATTTTTTGGTTGTTCAGTGATTCGATAAGTGTCTTTGAAATTATTCGATTTTATCAGCGAAAAAAAAAAAGCAAAAAGAACGAATTGGAAATAGAGAAGGCGTTATAATGCCTTCAAAATTTGAAACACCAATGAAGCTTTGCTGATTAACCCGTGAAGAAGGAAAAAAAAAAGAAAAGGGAGGAAAGACAAAGTAGACACCGTTTAAACGAGATATCGTTATAACTGGGAGGAGGGGAGCAATGAGCTTTGGTATATGTTGGTATAAGAGAAGATAGGCACGTTCACGGTTAGTTAGCGAACAAGTTTACCAAAAGACAGAGAGAGAGGATGAGCCAAAAAAAAACAAAAAAAAAAAAAAAAAACGGTTTTATTGGGAATAATGGAAAGCGCGGAGGAGAGGGTCTCCGAAGCTATCTATGGTTCGTCTGCGCTTATCGTAAAATTATAGCATTCTATCTTGAGGACTAAGCGTAGTGGACTATAAAGAGTCTTAGTGTGAAAACCTAATCTCTTTCATCTTTTTTTCTGTTGTCGGACACACAAGATTTTTTTTTTTTACTTTCATTTACTGATTGGGTTCTATGATGAAAATGATACGGTTGGTTCTATGTTTGTTGCCCGTTGAGTGCATGCATTCTATCTTTTTGCTTTGTCGATTCAGATGATGTACGATGACAAGCTCCTTCTAAACCCTTTTCGTGCAAAAGAAAAATCCAACCATCGTCCAGTTGACTGCTCTTCCGCGTGCCTCCTCCTCCTCCTTCACTCACTTCACGCTCCCCCATTTCGGGTTGCTCCTCTTTCTTTTCTTTTCCATTAAAGAAAACTCCTTGAAAAAAAGCAGTTAAAAGCCATTTGATCCTGGAGGTTGTACCTTGAGGTCTTCATACTCTAATTCTCTATTGAGAACGAGAAAAGATAGACGACAGTAGGACAGTTACCTTGAATAGACTAGCTCACTCTCGTACCTCATGTGAATGACATGCTATGATAAACAGGAACAACCGAATGCACCTTTATGTTTTGGTTGCACACAAATACCTACATGTATAAGCGCTTGATCATATGAAAAAGGTTATCGGTGGGGGACCGTTGGGGTTAGGTGTAACCTTTTTTTTTACGTAGTCTTCTATTATAGGATGAGGATGATGGAAAAATAGCATGCACATCAACATTTTACTATGTCTGACATAGTGGAAGCAGATCTATTTTTTTTTTATTTTATTTTTTTTTTTTGTCCCCTTAGTTCCCTGAATTATCCAAATGCAAGACTATATATTCCTTTCCCTTTCCTAAATTTTCATATTTGCTTCTTCAACACATCGATCCTCTTTGTTCATGTTGGATTCATTTTTCAAACGCGACTTTTTGACTCATAAGCAACTCAATGCACTACGACTCTACAAATACAAGGCGATGGATCGCTCTTTCATATCCAATTATATACTGAAGCATTATTGGAATTGGTGTGTCCAATTCTTTCCAATGTCCATGGCGTAAGTTTGAAAACCTTGGATACCACTGTTTTCAGCACAAACTGAAAAGCTTTGTTTCTTTTCTACGCAAACCATACAAAAAGCCCCAACCTGATCACACTGACAGGATTGTTCTTTATGGTCTTCAATGTCCTTGTCACCATTCTTTTCGTTCCTGATCTGAATGATACAACGACAGACAATCATAGATGGGTTTATTTCAGTTATGCCGCGGGCTTATGGCTCTATTCTACCTTTGACAACGTGGATGGAAAGCAAGCACGACGAACCGGCACATCCAGTCCCCTGGGTGAATTGTTCGATCATGGCTGTGATGCTATCAACTGTTCTTTTGCTGCCATATTGGAGGCGTCGGCTTTGGGTTTAGGACATTCGAAAGCCAGCGTGATCCTTTATGGTATGGCCATGCTAGGCTTCTACCTGTCAACGGCTGAAGAGTACCATACAGGCATTTTATATTTGGGGTATGTGAATGCACCTACTGAAGGTGTTCTCTTGTCTTGCGTTGTTTTTGTCATTTCAGGAATGTATGGTAAGTGTTTGTTTGTCGGCAAAAACTGTTCAGCATGGTCATTGTCATAGGATGCATCTGTTCACCCCCGCTTCTCAATGGAGTGAATGTTTTGAGATAGGAGATTGTCTCATCTTTTCTTTATGTGTATCTACATTAGGTCCTAGTGTATGGAAATTACCACTAAAGGAGTGGGTTAAAAGAAGGATGGCTTCTGCTCTTCCCCAGATAGTGGCAGAGATGCCATTATCACATGTCATGCTCAGCATAGTAGGCTTCTTGTTTCTCTTTACACATGCTCCTGCTTGGTAAGGTGCCATCGTTGCTTTCAAAGTGAAGCACTGTTGTACCGATAGATAGATGTTCATTTTTTTTTTGTTTTTCAATGTTTAGCCTTTATGCAATGTATAAAGTATGCAAGAAGAAAGGGGAGCCCTTTTTGAGAACCATGTTGGTTCAAAATTTACCCATTGCCACCTACATCACGGCTTTCTACTTTTGGATCATGTCACCCTACTCTATCCTATTATCCCACCATCACTATATATTATTCGCTATCACAACAGGTATTGTGTTTGGCAGAATGGCGACAAAGATTATTTTGGCTCATTTGACCCAATCAGACTTTCCCAAGTTCACCGTCTTGCTGATTCCTTTGATCATCGGTGCTTTGTTGACAAATATACCACTCTTCATTCCTTCCTTGTAAGTAACATTCACTGTGTATACACTGGACTCGCATTCTAACTCGAGCGTTTTGTTTATTAAACATGGATATAATGTCTCTCTCTCTCTCTCTCTCCCTCCCTCTCTCTATGTATATAGGAGCAATAGACCCTTAATAACGCCAAAGTTTGAATATCTATTTTTGTGCGGTTACTTTCTATTTGCTGTAGTAGCCTATGTGCAATGGGCCGTTGTCGTCATTCATAGCTTTTGTAAATTCTTGGGTATACGATGCTTGACGATTCCTTCATTGAAAAAAGTGGATTGAAAAACACCTTTTTTTCTTTTCTTTTCTTTTTTTTTTTTGTGGAGAGGCAGATTGTACATAGGTAACCTCGTCATATCATCATTATGTAGCATGAAATAAAAAAAACCAACAACAGCGTCAAAACACGCGACTCTATTGTACTGAGGAGGACTGTATAACATGGGGATCTATTCCACAACTTTTGCTATTGAGATGCTAGTTCATTACTGTGCCACTGTGGTTTTTCTTTTATTGATAATGGGTAGTCGTCGTCATATGCTGCGGACGCGGGAGAGTGATTCATGCTATAGAATGGTTTCCAAAAGACTTTTAAAGACCGCTGATGTTCATTCAGTACCCCGCTCGGACCTCATTTTGACATTTTATCCCATCCAACTGCTTGAAAAGTCCTACAAGAACCCACCCACCTACCCTCTACTTACAAACACGGGCGCGGTAATGACGAGTAGTGTCACCAAGTTCGATACAGGCCATGAAGATCTCATTCACGACATTTCTTATGATTTTTATGGAAAACGACTAGTGACATGCTCCACTGATCAGCGATTGAAAGTGTGGGATTTTGTTGAACGACCTAATGCGTCAGTGTGGGAGCTCAATGACGTCTGGAAAGCGCATGATGCTTCTATTTTGAAAGCCACATGGGCACGACCTGAATACGGACAAGTCATTGCGAGTTGTTCTTTTGATAGACAAGTCAAAATTTGGGAAGAGCAAACGACAGGTAAACGAGAGGGTTTTTCTTTGGAGCAGCAGGATGGAGGTTTTGCTCTGCCTATATACTAAAAGCCAACGCTCGCCCTGCCGCCCTTCCTTTTTTTTTTTTTTTTTTTTATCCTACATTTCGAAAGTTTAGAACCTAGAAATAGTCAGAAAAGATGGGCCGAAAGATTTCGTCTCGTAGAATCCAGAGGAGCTGTTCTAGATATTGCATTTGCACCCACGCCGAGTTTGCTACGGTTAGCCACTTGTTCTTCAGATGGTATTATACGTATTTATGAAGCGCTTGAGCCGACGAATTTAGCTCAATGGTCACAGATGGAAGAATTCGAGATATCGAGTAGCTCTTATACCCATTACGACCCCAAAAAGGCCCATCTTACGTCTCCGCCACAGCCACAGCAGCAGCAGCAGCAACAGCAACAACGACCGTTATTCACTTCGCAGCAATTGCAAAATCAACAATCCATGCTACAACAGCAATTACAGCAACAGCAATTACAGCATTATCAACAGCAGTATCCATCTCTCCCCTATGGTTATCCTTCACAGGCTGGAGCTACGCAAAGTAGTTTACAGCATGGAGTACCTCCTCATCAACAACAGCCACCACCATGGCAGCAGCAGCAGCAGCAGCAGCAGCAACAACACGCTTTTCATCCAACGACACCACCACCTCCTCCACCTCCTCCACCACCACCACCCTCACAGCAACAACAACAAGCATCCTTCGATCCAAAGCCAGGCTATGCAACAATGCAGCCACACGCTTTCCATCAGCAACAACAGCAACAATTACAGCAACCCGCCAATACAACCAGCACGAGCTCGAGTAATAGCTCGGTAGCAAGTTATGGTTTGTCCACACCCGGTATGTCCGACATCCCGACCATGACCACGACGGCCACGACAGCGATGGCGGTGGCAACGACCGCAGCGACAGCGGCTGCCACAGCGGCGGCGGTGGGAACAGCAGGAGGGATCTCACCCGCTTCTTCCACAGGCGGCCTACAAACGGCTACGACGACCCACAATATCCATCGTCCGGTGGATGCCGATAGCGGCTATTGTATCGATTGGTGTCCCAACCGCACACCGACAGCGATGATGGTGGTTGGTTTGGGAAAAGAAATAGGAGCCAGGATCTTCAAGCACGATGGGAATAATCGTTGGTTGCCTGGTGAATTTCTGCCGGGACATACACAAGAGGTGCATGATGTGAGTTGGGCACCGAGTATGGCACGATCCTATCAATGGATAGCCACGGCAAGTAAAGATCATTGTGTCCGCATTTATAAACTCACGGAACAAACGTATCAACAACAACAACAACAACAACAACAACAGGAGCTACAGCAGCAGCAGCAACAGCAACAGCAACAGCTACAGTTACAACAGCAACAACAAAAAGGTCGAGCAGCAGCAGCAGTAGCTCCCTTTCTCTCTTCTACTTCTGGCGATATGACCACCATGCACCCTAGTTTGAAACACTATCATGTTGAATTAGTTGCTTGTTTTCAAGACCATCAGGCAGAAGTGTGGAGAGTGGAATGGAATGTCACTGGCACTATTCTGTCCAGTTCGGGCGATGACGGTAAATTACGGTTATGGAAAGTTGGTTATGATGGCCAATGGAGACAAATGGCATGTATCACAGCCAATTCGACCCACGTACGTTAATCCATTGTTCTTCCCTGAGGATGCCTTATCTGTTCCTCTTTTTCCCCTCCCCTTTCTCATCCATAGGCATTTAATAAAGCTTCAAATCGTCGTGATGATGATTATTTATTTGTACTGTATTTGTGTTGTTGAAGATGGTTCGAAAAAAGTTATATATAAAACCCCAATGAAAGAAAAAAGTTATATTGTATGTGAGCCAATAAGAAAATGTGTATTGATCATTAGAAGAAAAATAAAAAAAAATAAAATAAAAATAAAATAAAAAAAGGGAAAACAATAGATAGAAAAGGGATGTAATTTTATCATTGTAAAATACACATGTTTTCCTCTTTCTTTCTTTCTTTTTAAGCAGTCGTCGTCGTGGAGGAGGTGGTGGAGGAGGAGGTGTTGGTGGTGGTGGAGGCGTTCTTTCTTGGTCTGCCTCTTCCGCGTTTGAGACCAGAAACGTCATCCTTCTTCTTTTCGCTGTCTTCCTTCTTTTTCATACTGGTGACCTTGGCGGGTCTTCCACGCTTTCTCTTCACTGGAGTCTGTGAATGAATCAAAAAGGGCACGTAATGTTTGTTAAAATGAAATCCGCGTGAATGAAAACTTTCTTTGTTACCTCGACAGCTCCATTCTTTTCCGAGACATCTAAATCCTTGACCGTGTTTTCCGTTTCATTTTGCTCCTCCTTATTTTTCTGGGTTGTTTTGGCTTTCTTCTTTCCAGTAGTAGCGCTAGAAGCGGGAGCGGCGGCGGATTTATCAGATGATTTGGCAGGTCTACCTCTTTTTGTTCCCTTTGCAGTGGAAGACGTAGTAGCCGCAGTGGTACTAGTGGCGGATGCCTTGTTTTCTGTCGTTTTATTCACAATTCTGGATTGTCTGGTTTGAGCCATTTCTAAGAAAAAAAGCTGAACAGTTTTTAAAAAAAGGGTATAAAGAAAAAGAAAAATAAAAATAAAATAAAATAAAAAAGGGCAGAGAAAGAAGAAAAAAAAAAAAAAAAAAAAAGGTTATTTTTTTTCCTTTTTTTTTTTTTTTTTTTTTTTTTTTTTTTTTTTTCTCTTTTTTTCTCAAAAGCTTTGTTATCATTGGCCCCCGCCCCTTTTTTCTTTATAAACATTTCTTTTTTTTTTCAATTCTCTTTTCTTTATTCAGTTTTGACCAAAAAAACGTGTCATGACACTCAAATAATGTGAATGTATTGTATCTTTATCGTTTTGATATAACGTCATTAGAGTACCCATGGACAGCATGAACAAAAAGATGTCTCCGTTTGGTATCCTTTTGACTTTTCCGTTCTTCAAAAGCGTCTTCCATAGTGTTTCCAAAGCTCTTGGAAGGCAATACAATCCCAATTCTATGGTTATACAAAACAAGAAAAATAACTGAGTTTTTTTATTCACGAGAAAAAAAAAAAAAGCAAGCCCCGTTCTCTCTCTTTACCTAACTGACGACCTGCTGCTTCAATAAAAACCATACTGCCAGCCACTGTACCTGTAGCCGCATACATCCAAGGTCGTTCTGTTCCTGTCAGTCGACGAAGAACGCATGGTGTTGACATAGCACTGACAACATACATGGTGAGAAAGAGCGCTGATCTGAAACAAGAAATGGTGAATTTTTGCAGTGTCAATCCAGGGCTGTTTTATTTTTGATTACCCCACATTACAGGAACATGGAACAAGAAAAGGAAGAGTGTTAAACGATTATCCGTCAGCGGTATCAAAAAAAAAACGCTTGATTTAAAACAGCACTTACTCTGCAAATAATTGTTTTTGTCTAAATACTGCCAGCATAATCTATACATGACAACAAGCCTTACTTGAGTTCCATGCTCACGTTACATCATTCAACGATAAAAAAAAAAGCTGACTTACCACGTTGAGAGGAACATATAATTTCAATGCTCGAAACATTTCATCTTTAAAAAGCAGCGTTTTATGTATCCAACAGTTGTCTTGATGCGGATGCTGGACACCGCACAATATAAGCGGATGCCTTGATTTAGGATGTATAAAACTGCCGATATTTGGGCTTACATAGTTGGAGACGCAGTCGCGACTTGACACTCCTTTGGGGACAAAAATGGATGCATCCTCTTCCACGAGCTGATGTACCGTTGTACCAACAGCATCAGCAACGCGACCCGCCATGCCGTGATAATCCTTCTTTAAGCCGCTATGGGTGAGCAAGAAATCAAGATAGGATTTGGGCAACGTGTCTTGGTTGAACAAGAACGCATAAATAATCTGTGTATTGGCAAGCATCATGACAATCACACCTGCGTATTTTTCGAGCCCATAGGCCAGCTTATCGTCCCATCTTGTCTCGTGTGGGTGATCCTCTTTTCGTTTCTTACTCCATTGTATCATCAACCAAGCACCGCTGAACTGTAAGGCTCGTGTAAGAAGATACAGCATGATTGTTTGCCGTCTACGATGATCACGATCCATGCCTATCGCTAGTCCTGCTATACTACCTGCTATAAATGCATTCAACCGATCGGATGCTCGATCGTTGGTCTTTCGGTAATAGCGTAATAAACATAAAATGCCTTTGTAACTGCTGATAAAAGTGCTCAAAAACAAGGCGAAAGAAGCTGTATCTCTGGTTTACCAGTGGGAGAAAGAAATGGTTTAGTTTTCATCATCATCATCATGCCTTTCTTTTGAACTCTCTTCACTCACCTTCCCGCCATTTGCCTTAAAATACTGGGCCTGAAAATCAATTAAAAAATAAAATAAAAGAAACGCTTTCGTGAATGCCTCCCTTTTTATCTTGTTTCTTTGTTTACCTCTCATTTGTCTATACCTCTTTAATAGTTTACCAGAGAGAAGGGCTGGTAAAATACCGATTAAATACTTGACTGCAAAAGCAACGGTGAACGTTTTCAAAAAGGCTCGTGTACAATTCTGTGTACAGGTTTTCCCCTGATGTTGACATAGATTAGGTTTTGATTCTGCTGATGCCGTAATGTCGAGATGAAGTCGTCTCAAGTTTTGACTATGTTGTTGGGGAAGGTTTAGTAAGACAAACGACAAGGAAAAGAAAGACGGAAAAAAGAGACACTACGAAATAAAAACAGTTTTGTTGTCTCACACCTGCTTAATCGATTGAGTTTTTCTTGAAATGACCGAATGGATGAGAGCACTGCTTCCGTTTCTCGATCTGTCAACAGTTTAGAAACGATTTGTGCTAGACTTTCGATGAAATTTTCATAATAAGAAGCCGGAATGGGCGGCACACTGTTTCCGTTGGTGGCTGCTCCTAGAATATCTTCCATGATGATGCTTCTTCTCGTTGACAAACTACAGTGATTGTTGCTATTACTGCTGAGCGCTTCTTTAGTGTTTTGATAAGGGAAAGAAGAGAAGAGGGGAAGGGAAACAAGTTTTCTGTCACTGCAGGGAAAAAAATGATATGCAAACCCCCATCCATTTACACCCAAACTTTATTGCAGGCCAATGACCTCAACAGAACGGTCGATTCTTTGTAATCACATGATCCACTTTTATGCGACGGACCCAGCTTTATTTGGAAATAAAATGTTAGTAATGAGTCTTTGATCCAGGCACAGCTGAAATGATCGGCTTTTGTATTCAGGACATGCTGTATAAAATAATGGTATTCACATGTGCTCATTTTAGATCATCACAGCATCGTTACAGCGTAGGTTGATTATATATATATATTTTTTATTTTTTGCAGTTTGCAGTTTGCAGTTTGCATAGTTCCCCAACTCTTTTGGTAGCTCCAAACGCTGCTACAGCAGTAAAAATGAAATGGTTGGACTGAGACTGAAAGTCGATTTGATCTCTTTGAGATTAGCTCAGAAAAGTGCAAGTGGGAAAATACACGCATCGATTCAAAGTACTTTTCTATGTTTCTATACGTATGAACGCCATGACGCTAGGCCTTCCTACTGTATCTGTAAATGCTTGTCTATTGGGTCTACAGCCATTTTTCAGAAACGAAGAGAGTGGCCTATGACGTTCATGAGCTAAGGTATCCTTCATGCTTTCTTTTTTGCAGGTGAGGCTTCAATAGAGGCATGGTATTTGCTCTCATAGTATGCCTCTTGCTAAAATAGCAAAAGTATCTTTTGAGGACAACGCTTTTTAATCACATCCAAAACAGATGCCATGGAGAAACACGCCACTTTTCAAGAAGTGCATGTCAGTATTCATTCATTTCTACGGAACTTGGTCCATCTTTACTGGGTTATTTCTTTCAAAAGATAGGAAAACCTGTTTTCTTTCTAAACGATGCAACAAGAATATTTAAAGTTTATTAAAGTTGTTTCCAAAAGACATAGCAACATGGTTTCTCATTTTATTCTGATTGGCTGCTACATTGCTTTGTTGGTATGCATGTTTATTGTGTAGAAATAAACTAACACTTTTTAGGCTACTGTTGCATGAGCAAAGCCTCACCTCCTTACATAAAAGCAATGAGCAGCTAATGATCGACAACAGCGGAAAGTGGAAAAGTGGACCACATTCAAATTTGACGCCATGTCATTGGTGCCCGTCCACATCGATGGTTGTTTGTTTTTATTTTTCAGGAACGCGTACTTTTTTTTTTTTTTTTTTTTTTTTTTTTTTTTTTTTGTTATAAAAAGAAAAAAAACAAAAAAGTATTTTGTCTCTTCTTTATCTTTTCTTTACTAAAATGTTCGCACTAATAGTATTGTTTCTCTGTCTTTTTGCGGCATTTCCTGGTAAAGTAGTCTTTGCTCTTTTTTTTGCGCCCTGGGTTTTATGAACTGGTTTTTTTTTTTTAAACTCATATACCATCTACCACTGGCATCATAGAAATGTTTTTTTGCCTTTGTGCTTTGTTCTTGTCCGTCTGCTTTTCTGTCTTTGTTCGCTTCTCGCTTGGTGTCTTGTATGCCACACTTTACACCTTGTCGTTCTTTTTTGCTTGTCGCCCTTTGGGGTCTATTCACTGGCTCGCCACTGACCTGGTCCTTGATTTTTGTTGGAATGTTGGGTTACGCCCCCACGGTCTTTTGGTTGAATGCTTTCTCCTCTCTTTCTATGGGGTTATGATTCTGCTTGCCTACGGGTTCCTCTTTTGGAAGAAAGGGCCTCCACTGCCTCCTTCAACACGGCCGCAGCATTGTCATAGAGAATATCTTCATGGCCTGGATTTTTTAAGGCGATGCGAAGAAGAAGAAGAGCGTTTGCGTCGTGCCCGTGCTGATGCTTTTTTTGCTCGCCGTGCCTTCGCTGCCTCATCGGATTCTGGACAGTCTGCTATGCCTGCTGCTTCTTCTACGCCTGCTTCTGCTTCTGCTGCTGCTGCTGCTGCTTCCTCCACAACATGTGTTGCCGCTTCCTTTGTTCGACCTAAAAATCGTTCACCGGTTGTTGGCCGTGTTCTCGGTCGTAGTAGTATCGGTAGTTGTGGTCGTAGTGCTGTTCTCGTAGCTGAAAAGCCTACCTTTGCTCCCTCTGTTTCCCGACATTATTGTTGGCCGTCTCATGCTGCATTGCGTAGTGCTGCTAGTAGTGCTGTTACCGCCCCGGCCATCATCGTAGCTGCTGTCAACGAAACACCTGTTATGGTTCAACCTGAGGTCTACCCATCATTGCCTTCTTTTCCCGCTGTTGCTATGGATGTGCATGAAAGTAGTCCGCAAACTCTTGTTTCGAGCTACAGGTATTCTGGCTCTATCGCTCAAGGCTTTCGACGTAGTGGTCTTCCGCTCATGTTATGTTTGTGGCTCCATCGCAATCGACTTTCTTCGGATCGTTGTGCGCGTGTGCTTCTTGCTCGTAAGGGTAAGTTGCTCGCCCGACGTAACCGTAGTCATCAACGTTCGATTAATAAGGACGAAGCTATGGATTGGGAATTTTCTGGTCCTTGTACTGAAGTTCACTTTCCCTCTGGCGCTACTCCCATGATGATCGATGAAGATGTCACCTCTTCGGATTACTTGTTCTCTTCTGGTTCTGTTGGTGACAGTAGTAATTCTCACTCTGTTTCTTCTTGTGATGAAATGGATGTTGACATTATGTATGAGGAGGATATCATAATGGAAGAGGCTTCACATTCACTTGCTGCTGGTCGTCATCTACCACCATCGATGATGCTTTCAGTGAGGAACCCTGATGCCACTGTTGTTGCTGCTGTTGATGCCCCCCTATCGGCAGTAGTACCATCAAGTATCAATTCCCTTTCTGTGAATGACGTTTATCCTGCTGGCGTATGGGCTTCTTCTTGTTCTGCTGAGGTTCATGCAACGGATATGGATATTGATGCTAGCGTGGATTGTTCGGAAAGCGATGTTGCTCCTCATCGCCCTGGTGTCCAAGGTGCCTCTGCCACGGTTGCCTCTCCTTCTCTTGCACCGGTTCTTCGCGAACGTCTGGTACGTAGCCTTGGCCCAGTGGCTTCTTCAAATTCCGTTTCTTCAACAGAAACGATGACAACAACGTTCGAAGCAACAGCAACGACCACCACCACCACCACCACCACCACCTCCGCCGCCTTCTTCACTTCCCTTTCCTCCGCCGCCTCTTCGACAGCAACGACTGTCAAAGCTGAGTCCGACTCTGAGGACAATGATGTTAATGACGTTGAAGCTGAAGATTGGCTGTTCTAAAGGAGTTCGAAAACAAAAGTAAATATGCAGTAATGGTCGAAAGGCCGTTACGGGTTTTGGGAGGGTTTGGGCATATTTATCTCTTCAACCCGCAGATTTCTTTTTGTTTTTCGGTAAGTTTTTCTCTTTTTTTTTTTTTTAAAAAAAAAAAAAAAAAAAAAAACCAACCGTTCAAGAAAGAAAATAATGACTCAATTTGTTGTTCCTATTCAATTTTTTTTAGAACTCTTTGTCATAAAGAAAAAAAAAGCAAAAATTGCTTGTTATAATGAAATCATTGGGGTCTGGAGAATTGCAAAAGCTGCTCTTGGCTCGTTGTCTGCCGAATTCTTTACCGGGCGTCTGAAATGGCGGCGATTCAAGTCTTTGTTATGTCGCGCTCAGGGGGTAATGTATCTCTAACTGTTCTCTGGATGACTGTTACTGCCGAAAGCAGCAAAGTGAATCTGTCGGTTATCTCTTGCCTACTCTTCCCTGGCGATTTTCAAAGGCTTCTTTGTTTGATTCCTACAGAACCGTACATAATCATCCTTTCCATCCGGTTCCCTTCTGGTTGTCTCCGTTGTTCTATCTCTTCAACGACTCAAAAATGCTGGAAAAAACCAACAGAAACACCTCATTCAAAAGCATGTTTCTTACAAAGAACTGATTTTGTTCGTCAGAAACAAGACATCTCGACTGGTTTCTTTTCCAGCAAACATAAAAAACCGATGGGACAACTAGAAAATAGCAGAGCTGCTGCACATCAACACTATCTTAAAAAGTCATTTGTATCACTATCCTTGTGTGTAGTCTTTTTGCTATTGGGAATCAAAATCTTGCACTGATCATACTCTTGAGCATGAATGGTGGCATGCTTGTTTATGTGTTCTATTCTTTTGGCCATGTTCCTCTTCAGCTTGAGATCTAGGGTGATTCCGTCTCTTTATCTCTTCTGTCACTCTATTTCCGCTACCTCAATAACTCATTCAAGACTTATTTGCTGTCTGGATGAACATGGCTAATTACTCTCCGCACACTACAGTTATCGTGGCATTTCTCTTTATCAATGGAGTCAACTCATCTGCATTGTGCACACTCTTTCGTAGCATGATTGGTGGCGTGCTTGTGATGTCCTAAACTCCCTTGGCCGTGTTCTTCTTCTGGCTTGTTGGATTTAGAGTGATTCTGTCTGTCTCTCTATTTCCGCTACCTCAAAAACTCGTTCAAGACTTGATTGCTGTCTGGATGAACATGGCTAATTACTCTCCGCACAATACAGTCATTGTGGCATTTCTCTTTCTCAGTGGAGTCAACTCATCTGCATTGTGCATACTCTTTAGCATGATTGGTGGCATGCTTTGTCAACTATTCTTTTCTAGCTTGGGTGCCTCTCTTTTCACTCTGTTTATTCTGGTTTCACCTACTTCAAGTAATGTCTTTTGCGTTACCTGAATAAATAGGGGGTGTCAATACAGTCATTGTAGTGTTTCTGAAATAGCAAGAAAACAATGAATCCTTATCTTTGGCTAACGGATCAAAAACCTTTATACTATCTGATAAAACGACATTAAGGCGAACTGAATCTCACCCAACACTGCAATATACTCCTTGGCTACAGTCTGAACAAAGTATATCTATCTGAATGTTACCAAAGGTTTTTAATCACGCTTATTGAACACCCTACGGCCGCAAGCTAGAAACACTTTTTAACTCTAAAAACCTTTTGAAATCATCTCAATCTCTGGCATCCTTTGAAATGGCTGTTTCTCAACTCTACGCTGTTATAAAACTGTATAATCTATCTTATCGCACTGAATTATCCTTTTGCGTGTCATTTAGTTGCCGTTCATGGCCATGGCCTCTTTCTGTAAACCCTTGTCCTTTTCGGACAGTAAGTAAGTATATCACTTCATATTATAATGCCAAGAATAACGCAAGATATTTATCTGTTGTACAGCATACTTACGCTACACATGTTTCATTGCTTTATCTCAAGAATTGCAAGTTCAACCTCAACGCTTCCGATTTTACTGTCTGGTCAATGCATTGCGCACTTTAACAGAGGACCCTTCTCTTCTTTTGTTAAGGTGACATTCATCCTATGGCAGAAGGTGAGAAAGACAAATGTGTACTTTTGTCGACACTTGATACTATGGTGAGTGAAAATAGTCCATGTTCCTTTCTTTTTTTTGTCGTCTGAGAATGCAACTAACTAACACTGCTCCTTTCTATTGCTAGAAATGTATTCATTGATTTTTACTTTTACGCCTTTGCTTGCTTGGCCAGGCAATTGAAAGTTCACAGTATTATTATCCTGCCTTCATTTCCAATATTTTACCTTCCAACGGTCAAGATGTTCTCAAAGGCTATGTCATGTGAGGTAAGCTATTTCCAGCTTTGTTTTGATTCCAAAGCAATCTTAAAAACGCATACTGATACTTTCGTTTTAGCAATAGTGATCATCCTTTCAAATGGTGATGTCACTAGAGCAGCGACAGCTGTGAAATTTTGGCTTGCATGGCTGCCTCTACTTATAGCCTATTTGGCCCAGAAGACTGCCCCTTTGGAATAGCACATTGGCTGTCTGTCAAGATATCCGTTCTTCCTACATACTTCAAAAAATGATTGCTATCACAACTCAGGCTTTAGAATGATTGTATACTTTGAAGCTTGCTGTAAAATTGTCTTCCTTAGTATACCATTTTTGTGCCTTCTATACTGTTCATAGAATTGTATTAGATCACTTATAGCAAAAGTGATTCAAAATGATAGGTAAGTCTGGTCTGATAGATGGGTTACATTCTGTAGAGCATTTTTACACTCTTTATGTTTCGTTGGGTTTTCTTTAGGTCGTTTTTTTTTTACGTTCCATTTGGGGGTCTCCTGGTCAACGTAACTAATAGCCTTTCTTCTTATTGCTCGCTAGCGTACCTCAGTCTTCCACTACTTCCCTTGCTAGCAAAAAAAACAAGAAGTATGATTTGTATACTACACCATTTGTTTATGGAAAGCCCAATGGCTAGATATTCGATCAAAATCTGCTGCTGGTTAGCCCGAATACTTGCTTTACACAGCAGGATCCATAGTAGATAAAAGATAGCAATCATTTTTCAACTCTTTAAAATTCGCACATCTTTATTCTTTGTGTTATACATCTATAATATAAGTCTATACAATAAAGCTTCATCATGATAAGATCAGTCAATCTAGAAGTTCTAATCGTTTCAAGACCAAGAAAGAAACAGTGAAAGATTGAATTAAGTAACTATTGCTGTTGATCGCTTTTTTTGCAGCGAAGAAAAAAAAAAAAAAAAAAAAAAAAAAAAAAAAAATAGAAAAAAAAAAAACGGCGTTTACATGAGCAAGTAATTTATTACCCACAAAATCATCTCATGTCGAACAATTCTTTAATGGCGTTTGTTAATTTTGAATTTTTCTTGCGCAAAATGAAATACGCAAAGTTTGAGGGAATCATTTATTAAGTTATTAACTGTAACAATAATATAGTGGTATGATTATTTTTTTCCAATTTTCATGCTCAATAAGCCGGCAACGCCAGCCATAAGAGCACCAAATCGTAGTATCACTCCAATAGCATCGGTGGAGGCTGCTTCATCTCTACTTTCTAACAGTCGAAAAACGATACTACTGAAAAATGTGACCAAAAACTGTGGTAAAACGATGTACATATTGTGGATACCCAATAACACACCAGCAGCAGCCGGCTCGGTGTTTGCATTCTGTGATCTGCGTTCTCGCTGAACTTCTTCGTCATCCAGTCCTCCACCCTGACTGCTGCTTTCTCCGTTGTCTGTACTATCTCCTATTTCTTTCATAGGATTGCTTTCAGACTTTTTGACACCTAATAATTCAATATTTTCTTCCTCTCTTGAGGCTACGGGATGGTATAAGGTGGGCTCAGCTCCTATCATCCCCAAGCCCGCTAAACTGACCCTTGAACCCATCATTTCTGGTCGGTAGTATAAGCCGTTCGCTGGTACGTTGGTATTCTTGCTGCTTTTCGCTTCCTGTTCTGATATAAACTCTCCAAGCAGAGAGAAGGGTGCCCACATGGATATGGCCCAACTAATCCCGCATATACCTATCACAGCGGCTGCTGCTGTCACATCGGCTACAAAGACAGTTGAAAGCATACAAATACAAAATACAAAGTGACTGATGGTCCATGCGCGTGGTAGAGTCAAGAAGGACACTCTTATATACTTCAAGATTGATAATTGATACTCTCGGCCTCCAGGTAAATGTAAAGTAAATCCTTCATGGTTGGTCTCGGTGTTATTGTCCCTTTTGTTGGTAAGTGTTGACGAGGGTGAAACGAGTAAAGGGACAATGAATGAAGACGATAGAGATACAAGTGAATATACAAGGAATGCGAAAGAGCCAGCTCTTGTTGCTTGACCCACTTTGTCTGTTAATGTATCGTTGTCGTCAACGAGTAATGTTCTCGTGTATATTTCGGCTACCCATGTTGTTGAATAGAATAAGAATGGAAACCAACCTATCCAAGCAAAAAACTGTACATTGCAAATTTGTTGAATGGGTTGAGGTAAATGCCAAATGTTTCGGAATATGTCTGAAAAGAGAGCAAACGGCGATTTTTTCTTTCTGTGAAAAAGGTGGTGAGCTACATGCTTCTTTTCTCCAATCAAAGCGTTCTTATAGTACACCCACCTGGAAGTGTATTCTGGCTCGAAAACCTTTTCCTTTACTGTATAGCACGTAATAAAATCGCAAGCTAATAGTACAATTGTAGCAAAGACACATAGTACTTTCAATTGAGTATCCCCAAAGAAGGGAAAGACACGCACAAGATCTGCATATCCCATAAAGTATCCCGCTACATTGCCTAAACCAACCATTCTGCCAGCCCATGCTGTTCCATCCTCTTGCTGTGAAGGCGGTAATGAGTCCACAAGCAATGCTCTACAAGAAGCTTGTACTACAGAAGGAAAATCACAATAAACAAATTATACAATGTAGTTTCCATCCCTCGATCCATGGCTGTACTTTACCACAATTCACACTGAAATCTAGGGTATAGATCGAAGCAATAGCTATTATAATGGAAACTGTTGTGAATGTGTTTCCTCCTTCTGAATCATTCGTTAATAAGCCAGTAATTTCTCTTGTCCAGCCAATCGCTAGTAAACTGAGAACCACTACAATGCTGCCTCCCACTAGAAATGGTCTGCGTCTGCCCCATTTTGATCTGCAACTGTCTGAAATAACCCCGACTAACGGCTGCATCACAAGGCCTGAAGATGGATGAAAAACAATGGCGCATGTCAATCCAATGGTTGAAATAATGGAACATGATGTATGCAAGTTTAAATCCTCCTTCATCCTTTTTTACCTGATAGCGGTCCTGCAATCCATACCAGTGACATATAAGATTTCGATAATCCCAATGATAATAAATAGGGTGTGCCTAGTCGTATAGAGAGATAGTCAGCCTCTCCAAATGTTGCATAGGTGATAACCTTTCATGTTACTACTTCCAATGATCATCAAACTTTGACTTTACCGTAAGCCATTTCTACAGTCCCTATGAACATACCCAGTTAATACAAGATAGTTGATTGTTTATGTTTGATCGTGTTATGCTTTCAGTATGATCGTTACTTACATGTAAACTGCAGTCTGCCAATAAATAGCATAGTTAAAATTGATTTGACACAGCAAGACAGTCAATGTTAGTTTGTGTTACGGATAGAGGCATCGAACAATTTCCCTAGACAAAGGGGGCTACTGCTCCTTACCCTGCTAAGCATAATGTAAGGAATATAATTTTAAATGTCTTGTTGGGCCCAAGTATATATCCACTGTTATGTGGATTCAAGTTGGCCGGCGCGTTCATGGAGTTGGGTAACATGGGCGCATCGTCTTCCTCGTTGTCATCGTAGAAATCACTTGGCCGATCATACAAATGAGGCTCATTGTATATATTCGGCAAGCTGCTTTCTATCCGTGCCATTTATTTTATAATTGTAAAATTAGAAAGAAATAGGAAAGAATAGAAAAAGAGAAACAATTGAAACTTTTGTTTATGATGAGATAGTCACTAAGATAAAGAGAGAAAAGAGTATGATCAGAAACTGCCCTTTGACACTTTAATTATTGCGTTGTCTTCGGGTTTCTGCTGTTTTCAAGACAAAATGACGTAAAAAAAGGGAAAAAGAATAAAAACGTGTGTTTTTAAGTCTTATGCCTTTTGCCTACATTTGTTAAAAGGTAAAATGCCTGGATATCACAAAAACTATGCCCCAACTTCCTTCCATTTTTATGCAGCAGCAATGTTTTAAAAGTACGATTCAGTACCTTTTTCTTCGAAAGTCAATTCACAGACAAACTATCTTTGACATTTCAGTAAGGCGTCTAAATTTCTTAAACCGTTCAATGTTTGTCTATATCAATGAAGCCAAACGCATTAGTCAACATCAGGAAAGGAGCTATTTTAGGGAAAGCTATCCAGGTTTTGTTTGACATTTATGTTTTCCACACGTAACACTGATGTTGACAATGAAAAGGTATGTCTCGCAAATTTGGATTGCAAATTATTTTATTGATATTTTCCGTTGTCTTGATGATGGACATATTTGACAGATCTGTCAACGGAAAAACAGAGGTTGCCACTTTTCTGTTTCTCTTATTACGCTTTCCAAAATGGCAGATAACTAAACATGATTAAAAGAAAAGCATATTATAGTATTACATATTGGCTATTTTTGTATGTATACATATATAATTTTTTCCAATTTGTAGAATACTTGCAAATGCATTTATCTTGAAATGAAAGATTATTAGTAAGGAAGAAGTGTCATTCTATCCTTTGTTCACATAAATCTTCAAACTCATTTTTTGACTTTGTCAGCAAAATTAAGTCGAAGCACCAATTATGATTTGTCGAAAGGCAATTTGACTTAGTCACTGCAATTCTTGTTTTGTTATTTAAATTTCGAAATTTAACCCCACGTTTGTCATTGACACAATCATCTTTCTTCTTTCCATTGCAAATACATCATATCTATCATATCATATGACTTTCAACAATAATGTACCTACAAAATTCCCGAAGCTTCAGCCTCGAGGACCCCCTGGTGAACTCTTTCTGGCCAACGAAAGAGCAAAGGGCACGTTTGATGTGAACGGTTTGTCGAGGTTTATCTATGGAGAAAAATGGTTGCAAAAGATGGGTAGAGTTCTCGAAATTATGGAGACTGAACCTGCTTTCGATAAAACAAATCGTTACTACCAGAGCCGCAAAGATAAAATTGCCAGCTCATTAAGGAAGGATAAGCGTATCATTGAGGTTGCTCAGTAAGTTTCTTCATGCTATTATCAAAACAAGAGCAGATCAGATAAGACTAAAACAAAACTATGGACCATTATCGCTGCAGGGAGCAAAATTGGGATGAAACGGATGTTCAGATTGCCAACTTTTTATACGACCAATCTACTCCTGTAAAGATTTAGTATATAATAGAAGCAGAGTCTGGCTTTGGTCTTTACTGACAATGATCAATATCTTCCTGCAATAGTTCACTCTGCACTACAATATGTTTATTCCAACATTGAAAAATCAAACTACAGATGAACAAAAGAAACTGTTCCTTGAACGTGCCTTAAAGCACGAGATCATTGGCTGTTATGCACAAACTGAGGTAAAGCATACAATAAATCTTTGATAAAGCAGAGTTCAGTGGATATATTGCAATGGTTACTAACATTTAATCCGCAACTTGACTTTTTCATTTAGCTCGGCCACGGGTCCAATGTTCAGGGACTTGAGACCACTGCTACCTATATTCCCGAAACCAATGAATTTGAACTTCATTCCCCTACTTTAACATCCGCCAAATGGTGGATTGGTGGTCTTGGAAAAGCTGCTAATCATGCTATTGTTATGGCTCGTTTAATCACTAATGGCAAGGATTATGGACCACATCCATTCTGTGTTCAAATTCGTAGTCTCAAAGACCATCATCCTCTACCTGGGATTACGGTAGGAGATGTAGGGCCCAAGTTCGGTTTCAATTCCGTCGATAATGGTTTCATTATGTTTGACCATTACCGTATTCCTCACATTGCTTTCTTGGCCAAGTACTCTAAAGTCAAAGCTGGTACCGGCGAATACATTAAGCCTCCAAATGCAAAACTATCTTATGGAACTATGGTTTATGTACGTGCAAATATTGTCTTGGGCTCCCAATATGCTCTCGCCAAGGCCACCACAATCGCTATTCGTTACTCTGCCATTCGTCAGCAATTCGTTGATACCGCTAACCCAAGAAAGTGGAATAATAAGGTTATTGAAACACCTGTACTCGACTATACTATGCAACAATACCGTTTATTGCCTGCTGTTGCTGCTGCATATGCTTGCTTCTTCACTGGTCGTGAAATGATGCGCTTGTATAACTTGAATCAGGAAGCTATGCAAAAGGGCAACTTTTCTCTTTTGGCTGATCTTCATGCTAGTTCATCCGGTCTCAAGAGTTTAACAACAACCATGGCTATTGATGCAATAGAAGACTGCAGACGTGCTTGTGGTGGTCATGGTTATAGTATGTTCTCAGGTTTAGGTCAATTCTATCAAGATTATCTTCCCAATGTTACTGTAAGTTACCCTTTTTTATAACGAAAAAGTTTGGCAGATTTATTTACGGATAAAAGATACTTACACTTTCTTCTTTCATTTTTTTGTATAGTGGGAAGGTGACAACTACATTCTTACGCAACAGACAGCTCGCTACCTACTAAAGACATTCCGAAACGTCGTCGCTGGTAAAGCTGAGCAATCTGAATATAATCATACTGTTCGCTATTTGACGCAATTCATGGAAAATCCCAAGTCCAAGTGCCCTGCTACTACATCTACTGATTTTCTGAATCCTGAATTAATTCTTTCCGCCTTCGGCTTCCGTGCTGCCTTCAGTATTGCTAAAGTAGCTGAGCAAATCGATCGTGATGGTCGTTCTTGGAACTCCATGCTGGTTGAGATTAGCCGTATCTCCAAAGCTCACTGTCAATTCATCATCGTTCGCAACTTTATTGTCACCCTTCAGAATGATGAGCAATTGTCCAAACCTGAAAACCGTTCTATGCTCCGTGTGTTGCGTTTGCTGGCTTCTCTATTTGCCCTTCATATAATGGAAAAAGAACTTTCTGAATTCCTTGTCTCTGGCTATTTGACGCCAGAACAATGTGCTTTGTTGAAGCAACAAGTCATCGAGCTTTTAGAAGAAGTACGCCCTGAAGTCGTCTCTTTGGTAGACGCTTTTGCTTTGCCTGATTACTACCTACATTCTGCTTTGGGTCGCTATGATGGTAAAGTATATGAAGCCATGACTGAAATGGCCGAACGAGAACCACTTAATCATACTTTGGTAGTTGATGGATACGAAGAATGCATCAAACCTTTTGTTGTTAAGAGACAGCGATCAATTGAAGAGAATCAACAACAGCAGCTGCAGCATGCCAAGTTTTAACAATATAGGACTCTGATGTTCTTCGTTTATACATATCTCGATATCTGTAGACAATACTTCTTAAATAGACATTTCACACATTCTTTACTAAACCCTTGTACATTAGCCATAGATTATTTTTTAACAGTAACTCAATTTGTAGATCAAATCAAAATAAAATTTTGTTTGTAATCACTCGATTTCTATCTAGCAACTTGTCTGAATCTTTCAATTTTGGGCAAATTCTTCAGGACGGCCTTTTCGACGAGACAAAGAAAATGCATGATTTTTGTACTTTGGAATTCCGTCGAATTCTATATTGAGACATTGAAAAAGCCTTGACCTCTTTTACATTTCAACCGCCTATTTGAACCAACACATAACGCACGATTGCAAATGGGCATCACCATCAACTCCCCACTCCCTGCGAGCTTAGCCTGTAAGTTGGCTAGTTATACAATTACTGTATTATTGAAGCACCGTTAAGCGGTATAACGATATCAAATATGTTGACAGACCCCTTTTGATGCATTTTTCCATAACAGCTGAGTGCCGTAAAGCTGCTCGAATTTTAAATAGCTTTACTGGTAATATTCACACTATGTAACGACAACGGATGATTTGAAAAGGGTTACAGCATCTGACCATATTCGTTATTTTTTAGATGATGGCAGAGGCGTTGATTTCATTATTCCCCCGCATATCTTGAAAGATGCAAAAGGCTTGGCCATTTTTACAGTTTTGAAAGCAGGTTTTTTATTCTCGGGCCGCGCTGGCTCTGGTGTAGTGGTTGCAAAGTAAGGAATTTAGAACCTTTTTTCGTGGAAAATCACAAGTATTAAGAGCAATCTTTACCTATTGCTTTGCGAATCTAGATTACCCAACGGAAGTAAATAAGAACATCTTAGTGATATCATGGATGGAGTTGATATTCACAAAATTTTTCTATTTTAGGTTGGTCTGCTCCGGCTGCAATTATGACTGGTGGTATGGGCTTTGGAGGTCAAGTGGGCGCTGAGTTGACAGACTTCATTATGGTGTTAAATACAACAGCTGCTGTTAAGACTTTCATGCATCATGGCTCTATCACTTTGGGAGGCAACATCTCAGGTATGTATGATAGTGACAAAAATTGAATGGTTACTTTCTTACTTAAAATTTATTATCTTTGGTTTTTTCTCTGCCTCATTTATTGATATAGTCGCTGCTGGACCTGTGGGTAGAAATGCTGAAGCTTCAGCTGCAGCCTCAATTAAAGCAGTGTCAGCTGTTTATTCTTACAGTAAAACCAGAGGTGTATTTGCTGGTGTTTCATTAGAAGGATCGGTTATATTCGAACGGTTTGACGCTAACAAAAAGTTATATGGAACAAAAGTTTCAGTACGTGAATTATTAAATGGTACGATACCACCGCCTGCGTCAGCCGATCCATTGTACAGAGCTTTGGAACTGAAGTCAGCCCCACCTAATGGAGGAGGACGGTTTGGATACATGGATGGGTTCGGCAACAATTCTTATAGATCAGATTACAACAATTACAACAGTAGCAGTTTCGCTAGGAACGAGGACCCGTATAGTCGACGTGATGTTAGTGATAGCAATTATCAAGGCTCTAATTTCAGCAACAGCAACGATAGTGCACCAAATCGTACAATGTCATTTAGCAGAGGTGCAGTGCACACTTTGGCAAAGTCAAGAGGAGGCGCAGGAGGATATAGCTCGAGTTTGGGAAATAGTCATAGACCAAGGGGAAGTAGTACGTCATCTTGGAGAAGTGATGATTATTATGAGTATGATTTACCAAGGCAGCAGCAACAACAACAACGGATCACGTCGCCACCTTCTCCCAATTTGACTACGTACGGCAATAACAGTAATAGTAATCAAGCCTTGGTTACTACAACGACAGCAGTAAAAACGAATAACAACAGTGAGCATGATCTTCGTGCTCGAGCATTGTTCAATTTTTCAGGCCAGCAAGATGGAGATTTACCGTTTAAGAAAGGAGATATCATTACCATTGTCCATAAATCAAACACTCAGAATGATTGGTGGACAGGCAGAATAGGATATCGAGAAGGCATAGTAAGTTGCTCGATTTCAATGATTATATAATGAAGGTGGCACTGATTATTTTTCTTTTCCTTCTTTCATACAGTTCCCTGCAAATTTTGTGGAGATATTGTAAATAAGCAGGTTGCCATGGTTTTTCTTTAATTTTTTTGGCTCCTTTTTGATAACGGTTAAAGTAGTTTGTATATGATTTTATATTTATTTTGTCAAATACATATCCTGACTGCAACGTTGCGCGGGTTTGGACGAGTTAGCAAATCATTAATAGACATCAGAGACGTATTATCCTCATTTTTTTATTTTTTTATTTTTTTTTGAAAAAATTATAGTACATTGTGTTACTCAAATTAGAAGTAAACGAACATTTCTTTTCAAGCATTATAGTAATTGTAAATAAATGCTACTTTGGCAGAGAATAGTAACAGAATGTGTAAAAGGAAATACAAATGGTCTCTAGCAATATATAAGAATTGATACATTATCATGGAAATGGTAAAATAAATAGGAAAAAGTAGTTGAGCCATGGTTCTCCGCTTCAACAAAGCTCGTATATTTGTAAATATAAGAAAACTATGCTGCTTTGAGTGGTTTTCAGAATTGTAAATCGTCATATATACTCTCAAATGGCGTCTTTCTCAATCCAAATGCGCTATTGAACATCCAAATGGGGATGTCACAACCCCAGGAAGACGAAGCGCGAAAAAAAAAAAAAGCTGCAGAAAGCTCTACACTTTTTTATAGTATCAAACACCCTGATGAAAAACTAAACCAAAGGGCGAGTATGTTTTCGTCAGGTTGTATACTTGGTTTGCTATTTTGGTTGAACACAACACCAGCGTTACCAGATAAATAGTCATCAGCCCGTTAGCAGCACAAAGTGAACAATAGATAACTACTTTTCCTTTTTTCGCAATTGCTTGAAGGTATACTTCTTATAACTTTTGTCAATGCATATGCACTGGAATCCATTTTAATACAGGTTTACCCGATAGGAAGGCACATGTGGACGTACTTGCTACTTGATGCTATATCTGTTTTACCAAAAATTGCTTCTCCTGTTTATTGTTGGTATCCAATAAATTGAGATTTGTTCGTGCTCGATGGAAACCACGATCTTTCTACAACGAAAGATGGCCTTGCAGTTGCGATTCTGGAAATGCAAGGTACGAAGATTATTTCTGAAATTTTATGCACGAGAATAAATCCTAAATAACTGATATTATCCTATCGTGGAAGACACATACTTTGCTTTTAGCATAATGAAGATAAAAGAAAGAAATGAAAACTTATGGGTCCTGACTGACCATATATTTATTATAATTACATTTAGACAACACCTGAATATAATTAATAAAATAGATTGTTCAATGCTTAATAACCAATACGTATCTCAATCATCAAAGCCCCTCTATGCTAAATTTCGGAGCGGGTCATGATGATTAAAACTACTAATGTTCGAAAGTAAAATTAACCTACAACTGATATTATTTGTGTAGGCGTGATGATGAGTACAGTAGTACTCGTTTGCACCTTACCAAGAAGCAATCAACTGATATCTTTACGTTTAAAAGGATCAATTATTTCATTCCATCAACTGTGGTTAAAAAGTTGGAGCATCAACTATTTAAGTAATCAGCCTTCAATTCCGATATGTATACGTTTAAAGAGATATTTTATTACAATTAGATTTTACCCAATGAGCACACAGATAAATACTTACCAAAATTGCCCGGGGAGGTTCAAGGAAAGTGTGAGGGAATTAAAAAACCTTTAACGGGACAAAGGAAAAAGGGAAGATGATCAGAGGCAAACTAGGGAATAACGGAACGATCAAGGTGTAATTATCGCGGGCGCATACATCCAATCCAAGAGTAGCTGTCCTAGGTTTTCTGGCGGTGTTGGAGGCTCTTTATTATGCTGGAGGTAGTCAACTTCAGATAGTATTAGCTGTAGAGTGGGCCATCGAAGTGTCCAAGCGTGGCACCGTATTTTGTGCTGCCTTGAAGGACTGGTGGGTAACAAATTCAGCAAAAAAAAAAAAAAAAAAAGATGAGGTCAGATATGGTGTGGGGAAGCTGTAAGCGGTTGTGTATCTTAAGCCAGTCAATGACGTGGGCTTTTGTAAGTGTACGCGTTGGATGGTAGAGGCAACTGGTTGAATAGTTATTGGGTAGACAGCCAAGGCTCCGATATGTATACTGTTTTTCCGCTTGACTTGGCACAGTATATTTACCTTGTTTGATTAAGAATAGTTCGCACATTTGGCATTGATTTTTTTTTTTTTTTTTTTTTTTTTTTTGTAGATTATTTTATTTTAAAATAATAAATTATTCATTTGGCATTGAGCATTTGGACAGAAAAGGTATGATCCCAAAAGCTATACTTTTCATCCAAAATAAATTTTAAATTAGTCTGAATTTAATTGTAAGATAGTCTCAATTCAATAGCCATTTCGTGCGAAAGTCAAGCGAAAAAAACAGTATAGTAAAATTTAGAACTCTAGAATTTATTCATCATATAAATCAAGAGCAGCAGTTTTCAACTGGATTACAGTTCATACAGCTTTTTGACGTCTAAATACATTAATTTGGTAGAAGTTATACACGTAATTGAGATTCTTAAGAGAAACTAATCATTGCATTGCAATGCTATTTAAAAATAATTTATAATTGGTAAATCAAACATCAATCTAACATTGTCCTGAGGTAGACTTAATGGTACCATGAATTATAAATCAGAGTGGCGATACACCGAACGGAAACGTTTTAGTAGCTTCTTTCAGTGGAGTAACGTTGTTCGTGAGAGTTCCAAAAAGCGCAAATTGATCCAATCAGTTATTGTGAGTTTGGATTCTCAAAAAAAAAAAAAAAAAAAAAAAAAAAAAAGTGACATATGGCTATTTGAGAGCGCAAGCGGCCTAAGTGCCCCTAAATAGGAGGCACTGCTTGTTTACTATTGAAACCCATGCATGTTTTATTAAAAGTACGCCTTACTTGTCTTCAAACCAATGTATTAGTGCCTCAACCTATAATGAGAAGGGACTGTGGAGACGCGGTCGACTTTCTACTCGTATGATCATCAAATATAACCTGCTGTTATGAACGTTGTAAAATAAGGAAAATGATTTGTATGCTATTCATTATTTAAATCCGTTTTAATAGTTGATTGTGCAAACTTTTCCCTGGTACAGAAGATAAACGTTAGGTTACAACATTAAGGAAAAATCAAATGACCAAAACAATAGGCAACTGCGCTTGTGGAGGCGACATTTGATGTATAGGTTGTTGCTCAGATCTTTACCATCCTTTACATAATGAAGGTTATTTATTCGTAAATTTACATCTGAAGCTGAGTATTTCGAAGCTAACAAATGTTACTGCAAATGTGAATCTCTGCGTTACTTGAGACGAGGTAGTGTACATAGTACATACATCAGATGAGGGAAGGAAAAGTTGATTTGTGTAATTTACGTGTATATAGAAAGTTGACGATACATTTACGCGCACATATACATATGAGATTGCTATATATATCATCTTTAAATACTGAAGCACTGCTGATGATATTCAAGAGTATTCAAAACGTTGCGTAAGCTGAAGCTGAAAACTCCTCATGTTGCTTTGTTGATTGAGCTATCAGACACATTTGATTTAGATCTCGTACTAGACTTGTCTCATTTTATTGGAAGCAGTTAGCGTGTATTCTGAACAATGGATTTGATAGTGCCATGGATTGCTCAGCTTTCCAAAACAGCATAAATTGTAACACTAGCCATTATTCATCTGATAAAAACCCCGTACAATCGAATCACTAAATTGATGAGACATGAAAAGGAGCAGTAATGGATTCCCAAATCCGGAATTGTACGATGCGCTTGTGGCTCTTGAGCACCTCAGAACGAACATTCGTCTTTTTTCTCATACATTATGCAAAAATCATCAAATTGACAGCTAGCTTACACATTGATTGCAGTATATGGTATTCTCAAAGATGAACCCTTTTACGTGTTCCTACAAAAGTGTGAAAAAATGATTACAAACTCTAAAATTTTCGTGCGAATCAGAATTACCCTTAAACAATGATATAAAGCACTGTGAAGACATGTATTTCCTAATTTTTTCATACTCTTTGCAACTTTACTCTTGTATCTATACGATTGATGATTGAAGATAAGAAAAACGCAAATCCATCAACAGTCTCCTCCTACGAAGAGAAAGGACAACACGATCATATTGAAGTTTTAGATGTACCCTTCATCAAATCGCCTGAAGAGAAACGCTACATTCGAAAGCTGAATATAAGGCTTTTACCTCTTGCAGGGATATTAATTTTTCTTCAGGTACATTGATAAAGTATACACAGTCATACCACCATGTATCTTTTGAAGATACAAACTTTGATAAAATGATATCAACATGATGTTATAGTTTGTGGACAAATCTGCGTTATCCGTTGCAGCAGTGCTTGGTCTTCTTCATGATGCTCAGTTAACACTTAACCAATACAGCTGGCTTAGTGCTATGTTCTACCTTGGATATTTTGTTTTTCAGCTACCAAACAACTATTTAATGCAGCATTTGCCGATAGGCAAGTATTTAGGTAGTCTTCTCGTTTGCTGGGGAGCTGTCACTATTGGTACCGCATTTTGTAAAAATTTTGCACAGCTGGCTGTTTTGCGTGTTTTCCTCGGTGTATTTGAGGCTGGCACGTATCCTTGCTTAATCATGATTTTCAGCAGAATGTACCGTCGAAGCGAGCAATCAGCATGTTTCGGTTTCCTTTACTTATGTAATGGTTTGGCCAGTATTGTTGGTTCTGCATCCGCAGTGGGCATCGTCAAAATAGGAGTCAAAAATGGAATTAAACCATGGCAATGGTATGTAAAACGGTATTTTCGAAAAAAGCAAATCAAAGCGAACTTAAAGACTATGCACTGTAAATTAGGGGTTATATCATTTGGGGTTCCATCACTGTCTTTATCGGTATAGTGTCATTATTTCTTCTGATCGATGGTCCAAATGCATGGTTTTTGCAACTGACAGAGGACGAGAAACCTATTGTTGAAGATCGTATTCGTGATAATGCTGTTGTCCGTAAACACAAAGTCAAAATTAGTCAATATTGGGAAGCGTTGAAAGAGCCTCGTCTCTGGTTGATGTTCTTCACGTCATGCACACACAATCTTCAAAATGGTGGTTTGGTCAGCTACAGTACCGTCTTAGTGAAAGGCCTGGGCTTCAATGCTATACAGTCAATTCTATTGCAGATTCCAAGTGGCGCTTTTACTGTTATTTTCATTTCTATCGCTGTCGTAATTCACCGTAAAACAAAGCAAATGATTTATACAGCTGTTATATGCTATACTATCTCAGCTATCGGTTGTTTGCTGCTTTCCGTCTTTCCAAACTCTGGTATAAAACTTCTGGGCTACTATTTGACATGGGCACAAACGGGGAGTAAGTTTTCTAGATAAGTGCATAAATACAACATTGGTAACATAATCCAGTGTTAATATTTCTTAGGCTATGTCATGCTCGTTGCTATCGTCGGCTCTACAGTTTCTGGATATTCTAAAAAGATATTTTACAACGGCGTTTTGATGTTAGCTTTCACAATCGGTAATTTTGCTGGCCCTCTCATGCTTGTCGAACATACAGGTCCAGCGTATAAGCCTGCTATGTGGGGATATTTTGCGGCTAACCTGCTCAATAGTGTCTTGCTTATGATGATACGTATCATTTTGGACAGAACCAATAAAAAGCGGTTGAAGCATGGCGTAGGTGAACGTACCGATGTTTACCTTAATTTGACAGACAAGGAAGACAAGAATTACATATATAGTTTGTAAATAGCTTTCATTTTTTCGTTTTAACATTCTATACTTAGTTTCAGTAGTTATATATATATATATATTACCATACGTAAGTTTATTTGGTTATTTATTTCTTCATCAAATAACCTACTCGTCGTTTTCTCTTTTACTGCAATCTTATAGGTGTGGTCAAATACCTTATTATTCATATCTCTAAATCCTGCTTCATGTCAGTTAGTGTGAAAATTAAAACTATAACTCACAGCCAAAGATAACTAACAACTAACTATATTAATGGAGTCAGAAATGGTTTTTCTCAGAAGTACAACAGAATTGTCATGATACACTGAGATTAAGAGTTACGGCGTTGCGATTTTGTTACGCTTTGTTATACTTTTGTTATGGTTATGTTGTAATTGTTTTTTTTTTCCTCAAAAATGGTTGGGAGGGAATTTCCCCCTATTCTTTCTGTATACCAGATGTAGAGACTGTAATGAATTGGGTCACTATAATAAAAACTATCCGAAATGCCAATGCCAAAAAACTGTATCCGCTCATGACGCTAAGTTGAGCATCGACCTGTCTTTAGTCACACAAGTCAAGTAACAGACTGTCCTATACACATATAGTTGGGAGTCGCAATAAGAAAGAGAAAATGGAGTACCACTGTTAACGTAGAGGACGAAACAGAGAAAGAGGAAAGCGACATCACAAGCTGTGGAGTGTCCAAGCTATGGGAATGAATACCATACTTCCCCTCATTTGCCTCTTTATCCTAATCACATACAATCATGGGAGGTGGCCATTTCATCTGTCTTTGACCATAATTTCACTATTTTTGTGAGGAAGCTTCCTGTCAATTGCGCCGTTTTACTACAGCTTTGTGAAAAGGCAAGAAAAGGACATTTCACGCTGCAAACATTTCAAAGCTATAGTGTTTAACTGCCAACTGTTTGTCAAGGCCTATCTCGTGCATAATAACGACAACATTCCTTTAGAACACATTGATATTCCATTGGCCAACTCGTTAAGAGTTAAAAAAGTTACTCACAAGAAGGCGTTGAGCTACAGCATCAAGATTTATTTTGATGATTTTAAGCGCAACCGACAATAGTAATCAGTCATGGTTTCGTCAAAGGTTATAGCCATCGTCTTATAGAAGCTGCCAAAAAGATAAGTATCTCATATACTGACCCCATTATTGAGCTTTTTGAAGAGGCAGTGTTTATACCTAACTTATGAGCTTCAAGTCATATTTGTTGTGCATCTCGTTTCCACTCCTCTAATTTCGATTTCTTGCTTTTTATTATGTGTGCTTGTGTTATTATACATAGAACATGAAGAAGTTCGACGCAACGAAATTACAAGCATACTGCTACTAAGTAATTCGCAAAGGCGAACCCTAAAGTGGCCCCATAAATCCAAGTTTAGTAAGAAAGACAAAAAAATAACTTGTAACGGAGAAGGTTAAGCTGTTTTCCTTGACATCCAATCCCACCAAGTTACCAAAGCCTTGTAGTACATCCAATCCTCGGATGAGAAGGAGCATAACGAACATGCAGCTTATGATGTCTGTAGATCACCGTTGTCTAAGCGCTTCTTGCTTTCTTTCTACTTTCGCTACATTAGCGTTTCATCACAATAAGCATCAACCCGCTCCTGATTCTCGACACATCTCCGCAAAGCTAAAAAACCAATTTGAGGAGTTTCATCCAGTGTTAAAGTTTTATGAAAATGGGGATTTGGAAGGTAAACGGAAACAGTTTTGGCAGAAATGCTGTTGCTGAGATTTATACTGGGTAATGTTCTTATAAACAATAGTTTGAATGACCTCAAATCAAGCCAGACAACGCTCTTCCAAAATACCGTTCATTCCTATGGCTTTACTGTCGATTTGGTTTATATATGCCTTTCATCGTAGTGAAAACTGGCAAGACTTATCATTTATAACCAAGGGAATAATAGTAGATATTTGAAAAAATAGAAACGGAAAAGATATACTAATCTATGGCTAACTGTAACAATATGTTGAAAATCATCGAAATCAATGCGTGTAACTGCTTTATATTGCCTTACACTTTCTTTCAGAACATTTTTGTTTTGAATGAACATCCAAAATAAACGAGACAACTTAAATAAGCAAGAATAATAAGGTTCTTCCTCGCTTGCACTCGTTCACGGACTTGCAGAACGTCGAAGGACGTGTATACTAGAATGGAGAATAGCTCAGGGTAGATTTCTTAAAAGAATTGACTTCACGCAAGTTTAAAAGGGTTTCATTTCGTCTCTGGAACCTTCAACGAACCCCTCATTATCTATGAACCATGGAGTCGAGCGCAGTAAATTTTCTAATTTTTTTTTTTTTTTTTAAAAAAAAAGAGCAATCTAGGCTCGAAATGATATAAGTGAAAAATGCATCTTTTGCAATCTTTGCTCCTTTTAATATCATTTGTAGAAGTGCTCAAATGGCATTTTTTTTTGATAATTGATTCCCTTATCAGTCGATAGTGTTTCAATTTCAGTTGGCCACAAGTCCTTGGGGAAGATTATTAAGGAAGCACTAGCAAACGTCATCTCTAGAAACACCGTAAATAAGAACCATCAAACCTACTCATTAATAGGCATAAATCTCCATATGATTTGCTACGAAAGCTTTGAGCTCCGAACACGAAAAGCAATTATTTCTCAAAGGTTGCCTGTTACGGTCTGATATCCATCTGCAGTATATTGAAAATCAATATCACCATCAAAAATAGCGTCTGAACTTCAAATCTAGACAAAAACCAAGAAAAAAGAGATGATTTTCTTGTTGAGCGCTCTGTGTTGGGCCAGTGAAAATCATGTACGGTTCTAAACATGTTCTGGAAGGCGAGCTGCGTGAGAAGTGAAACACATCCTCCATTTTCTTTTTTTTTTGGGTACTAATGCCTTGGAATCGGAAACATATAAAAGGACTGTGCGTAGCAATGGGTTATTTGTCTTTCTCTTGGTCTATAACGTTCTATTACTAAATTCGACATGGTCAAGTACACTTCCACTCTTTTATTGGGTTTAGCCGCCACTATCTGTACCACTTCAGCTTTACCCGTTCCAGCTGAAGATGCTTCCAACGCCACTTTCGCTATTACTGACAATGTCGATGATAGCAATAACACAACTGAAGTCCTAGCTGATGTTACTGCTAGTACTACAACCACGCCACTTGACGAGGTTGCTACCTCTACTGAAACAGTGGATATTATTCCTACTGACGCTATTGATTCCGACGAGAATGGTGACGAAGAGGAAAGTACCATTGTTGACGAGGTTGGTGATAGTGACGATGAAGAAGAGGACATAGAAGACGAACAAGAAATTGACGATAGCAATAATGTCAAAATTACAGATGAAGATGCGTCTGTTGAGCCCACTGTTGATATTGAAAACAACGTTGATGTTCCTGAAGAAACACTTGCTGTTCAAGAGGATAACAATGATGAAGCTGTAACTGCTGAGGATTTGGAAGAAGCCACTGCCGCTGACGAAGATTCTACTGATGCTCCTGTTGAAGACTCCACGACTGATGCTCCTGTCGAAGAAAATGTGGAGGAAAATACAGATAACGCTGATCCTTCTTCTGAGACCGCCGGTGACTTTGGCGAAACCGACAATGCCGATGAAACCGCTGTTGATCAACCTGCCGATATTGAAGAGCATACTGACAACATTGAATCACCCGAAGAAACAGATGACAGCGAAGACATTAAGAACACTGACAATGTCGATACGAATGAAGAGGACAATACTGAAGAAACTGACAATGCTGATAACGGTGTAAATGGAGAAGTAGATATTGAAATTGCTGCTGAGGAAGTCAATAACAACGATACATCTGAAGCTCCTGTTGAAGAGGGTTCTAGCAATGAAGAAGCTCCCGCCGAAGAAGCCTCAATCGAGAAGTCTTCCGCTGAAGAAAATCCCATTGAAGAAACAACTGTCGAAGAACCTCCTATTGAAGATACCAATGAAGATGATGTCAACGAAGATTATGACGAAGAAAAAGTTGCTGATGATAGCACCGATGAGACCACTGTAGTGGAAGATATTTAATCTTAGAGTTGATTTAACTCACATTTCCTCATTAACCCTCCTATCATTGTATATATGTTCGTAATCCCTTATATGTTTTCAGTCCTTAATTTTCAGTATTTATGTTCAAAATAAAAAGAAATGTGTTTATTTTTCTGTTATTATCTTTGTGATAAAAAAAAGTAAGTCTACATAAAACAATCAGTATCTGCAGTTGCTTTTCTCGCGATCTTGATTGAATTATCATTTTACAGTCATTTCAGAAAAAAAAAATTGTGTTCAAAAATGATGTCGATTGATCAAACAATAAAGTCTTAGCTTCATTAAAATTGTTTTAAAGAAGGGGTTACGATTTTCTGCATCCATTTTATTCTCTTCTTTCTATTTACAGATAATGAAGTAGCAATTTTTCTTCAAGAAGGACAAGGGAATGTGTTGATGAACATGGCGTCGAGCCGGTGGATCTTGTTGTGATGAGGAGTTGTATGCTATTGAAACAATAAGTTCCTGTGCTCAATTCTGAATAAACCTCCTGAAAGACCATCTAATCCCATTATACTTCCAATTGCGAATAAAAGAAACTATGATGATGATATGGTGTTATGCAATAAGCGACGCTATATGGTTTACTCTGAAGAAGGCAAGACTAGACTTTTTTCATTTGTCTTCTCAGCAAATGCTCGAATCCTTCTGCTGCTGCGAGACAACTGGGTATTCATATCCGGACAGCGCAGAGTTGGGTAAAACGGTATTACGAAAACCGTGGAAGCATTTTCGATAAAAAGAAAGAACTAGGGCGACGTATTTTTGGGAATGAGCATGAGCAATTTCTTTTAGGCTACATTGATGAGAATCCTTCTACCGTTGTCAATGAAGTGGTGGAAAGTTTTCAACAACATTATGAGGGCCTCAATGTTTCTCGTAGTACTGTTTATAACTTGATGAATCAGCCTTTCACATTAATTTGAAACGTGGTATAGCTTGGCCAAAGAAAGGCACTCCCGCAGTAGCTGCAGTGCCACTGACTAAAGCAAAAGCAGCTTCTATTTTAGTTGCCATTTCTGCCACAGGTTTAATTAATGTTAGTTTGCGACTTCCAAAGCGTATCAAGAAGAGAAAGCTCGGGTGTGAGATTGATGGTTATGTATAAGAACAGTGAGAGGTCAATACTTGAGCTTTTTAAAAGCTACTCTTGATGAAATGGACAAGTATCCAGAAATGAAGGGACATTACCTAGACATGGAACATGCTCCTCTCCATAGCTCAACTGACATAAGAAAGTATACTCACTCTCGAAATTATCGATATGCATATCTTCCTCCATATCCTCCTGAACTGAATCCAATTGATCAGTTTTTGTCAGTTATCAAAAGTAACGCTCATGACGAGGATCAGTGAGGCATGTGATAGCTTACATTTTCGTGATTTCGAAGGCTTCCCTTTCTCATTCTGCAGAATGCTTTGATAAGTGCCTTACCAGAGAAAAAATCCTTTACGCCTACCTCCTCGTTATTGCTTTGCTTTTACAATAACAGGGAAGTATGGGTAACACGCTTAAGCGCCATCAATTTAAACAGGCACAGATGGGTAAGCTGATGGGTAAGCTGATGGGTAAGCTGATGGGTAAGCTAATGGGCTAATGGGTAAGCTGATGGGTAAGCTGATGGGTAGGCTGATGGGTAAGCTGATGGGTAAGCTAATGGGCTAATGGGTAGGCTGATGACGGACAGGATAAACTATCCTTGATTCTGCCGACATCTACGTTTCAATCTTATTAAATTCTGTCAGAATGTAAAGAGTTAAAGTAAGGGATCAACAATTTTGATAATAGCTTAAGTAGATTAGATTTATGGATTTGATTAAATCAGATAACTTTATTTAGAACATCAAACCACAATACAAATACTATAATAACTATTTCTAAATGAAGTCAATTACTCATCCAATATTGTCTCGGATACACAGATGAAATATTTCTTCCGTAAAAGAAAAGAAATTGTTCTAACAAGTTTATCACTCACGGTTATTCTAATATTCATAAGGATCCGTAATCTCTTATTTCAGTATTATGTTAATCCAAGAGTAATATGCTGTTGGATACAACAAGCTCACTCCTTTGTTCTAAGTCTTTTTTAATTAGGGCGCGAGACAACGCTTCACCAAAAGGTCCACTACTTTTCGAGCCGTTGCCGGTCTAATCTGTAGCAAACACCCCACATCAGTCTACCCATCAGTCTACCCCATCAGCTTACCCATCAGCTTTTCAAAGTTGCTTGATCACTAGGAAGGATTAGGATACATTCCAATAGAAAAAAATAAAAAAGAATAGATAAAAAAAGTATCAATTCTTTCCCACAATTGGTTGTTTTTTATTTGCTTCTATTGACTAATTATGATGCTGTTTCAGAATGCAAGGTCGATTACGATTTTGGGATGTGGAAAATAATCGGTCGAAGATGGAGCTGCTTATTGTTGGGCGATTTCGCTGGAACTGTGGGCAATCAACGGATGGAATGCAAATTCGATCAAAAACGTCAAGTACAAGCAAAACGTCTGAAATATCTGACACCAGCTTTGGTAAATCATTCAGGCAATCTGGAATCTTGATTTTGGCAAGTTCATGCATAACATATAGACCACTGGAAGGTAATACCAAGATATAAAAGGTAATAGTTCTATCAATGATCTGTAAACCCATCACTCCCACCATTTTCTGCGTGTCCAGGGTGCCTTTACAAAAAACTGAGATGCGTAAAAGATCTCGACAGACCGAGTAATGGTTAGAGCCCTGTTGTGCTGGTTTTGCCTCCCCAAAACCAATGTTTGCTTTCCATTTGATGCCTTGTAACCTGGTGATGCAAATGTCGGGTCGCCAACTCAGCAAGTGTTGTATTTGCTTTAATTAGAATTGGTAACGGTTGTAAGTCGATGACTATGAACTTAAAGTGTCTTTATTGTTCTTTAGATGAAATAAAAGGATTATTTACTCTGTAAAGTTTGATATGAATTTATATTATTGTGGGGAAATGTTGCTAGTCACTAATTTCAGGTTCAGATGCTTCTTGTGTTACACTTCAATCCTCTATCTTGTTATATTCTTGTACATAACCTATATTAGATGCAATATAGATAGACCATGGTAGAATGTATTCTCTACCTGGTTGTACGTACTCGAGTATTGTAGTTATTATCTCACCAAACACGTCACTAATATTTCACGTCAGACATCATTCTCGTACCTAGGTATCCCCATCGGCCCAGGTGGACACTTACTCACCAACGATCTAATTCAGAACAATACCAACAAAGCCTTACACACTACGAACACCATGTCAGCTATTGGCGTCAATCATAAAGGTTTCAATCAGCTCCTATCAACACGCTTCTACACCCAAATTGTGCGCACCCAGCTGGAATACGGTCTTGCCATCAGCTCATTTTCATCACCCCAAATTAAGTAGATCGAGGAATGCCAAACAAAATGTATAAGACGAATTTTTGGAGGAAACTCCTGTTCATTAACCAAGGTCATGTTACATCTGACCGACCTTCCATCCATGAAAGAGCGTGTTCACCGCCTACAAGGAAAGTTCTTATTAAGGTCCATCAATGGTTCCAGGGATACCCTGTTATCGCGGTTTTTACCATACTTACGTGCTTCAGCTAGTCTGTCTCATTGGTACAAGCTCTCCAAAACTCCCCTCTGGCAACGCTGCTGCAACTTTAATAACCCTGACCGCATCGATACTCGTGTGTTCAATACTACCTATCATGAACTTCGTGTCGAAAACCTTCAAACACAACGCCAAGCTAACAATTCGGTTCTCCTCTCCTGTCGCCCTTTTCATGGTGTTGATCCATTTCTTTGGCTACCTATGACTCCCGTGGAACGCAGTCGAGTTATACGTTGGCGTCTCAGTTTGTTACCTGGTGGGGTCCCAAAATCGGGCATATATCACCCTAATGTCATGTTTACCCGCAAACACTCAATAATATGCCTTCACATGCACCGTCGATTACAAATGCCCTTCACAGTAAATGATCCAATATCATTTCTTCTCAAAATGCTTCCAACCAGAAAAACACGTAACAAACAAAACCTTCAACGCTTCTCCAGCTGGAAAATTCGATGGCCCGCACTATGTCAAATCCTATTCGAACTAGATTATCTACATCATGATAAGATCCCCCCCAGAAACTCCCTCTCTTGGTAACAAGTTAGTCCAGTGGCTCACTCAGGACTAATCTAGCCCTTTAATTCACCCTCTTTTCCTCTTCCCTTCTCTACTGCCTTTTTCCGTTATTGACTATCAAAAGGTTATAGCACCCTTCTCCCCTTATATTTGATCTGACCCGGGCAATTCAATCTCATAATGATTATGTGCTCATGTGGGTTTAAAATTATTTGCCAATAAAAATCTTGTTTAATCGTATACGCAGTACTTTCATCTGAGATCAAAAAGTTTTATTTTTACATGACGTTAGACGTTTTGACAATCAGTTGATTAATCATCATCTATACATGGCATAGAAAAGAGCGGCCTTTCTTTCGTCTATTCAGTACATTTATTGAACTGACCAATCAGATTGCAGCATTTACAACCAACAACTACATTTCTACATCCAAGATCTCTAGTCATCGATCAACCCATGACGATCGAATCACAAACCAAGCATGGGACTAACTGGTCAACCATCGTGGCCAAAGGTTTAAAACCAAAGTACACCTTCCTCGAAGTCAGTTTGATATTTCAGGAAAAAAAGAGTTGTACACTGTCGAAACTATCTTCGAAGAACCTGAGGTCGCTGAATACCTCCGTTCTCAGCGTATACAATCCATTGTACAGACCGCTCTCATGCCCGGAGCTGTTATATTTAGCTTACCTAGCAGATTGTTTGAACATCAATCTGAAGCTTTTAAATTAGTAATCGATCAGATTGGACCGGTCGTGGGCAATTACTTTAACCCGGTATCGCTCCGTGGCAACCGTACACGAGGGGATTTGGTTTTCTATACTCGTTTTAGAGACGCTCAATGTACTCGTGTCGCCATAGAGGAGGGTATAACGCACAACGGTGTGCAGTATAAGGCTTATCCTTACAAGGACAGGACTGAAGCCAATGATCATTGCCGTGTAACCATGACATTGCCCTACGGAGCAGAGTCTGATGAGCTGATTGACAAGCTCAAGGAGTCAATGTCCAATTATAGCCGGGTGCTTCAAATCAAGCAACGGTTGAATCATGGTTTCTTCGAAGGAGATATTTCTGTTTTGCTCGACTGTCAAGTAGCTGACGGGTCGCCGTCATATCAAGCCCTGCAGCGTATGCTGTATTTAGAAGCCTGGGACGTCACGGTCCCAGTTAGTTACAAAGGTGCAAAGCCCATCTGTTACTACTGCCGTAAAGAAGGGCATGTTAAAAAAGACTGCCCAACTTTACAAAAACTAGTCTGCTTCCGTTGTGGTGGTCATGGACACACTCAGCGTCGTTGCCGTGTCCCCGACGTAGAGCCCCTTTTAGCAGAACCTGCACAAAAAGAAACCTCGTTTACTGAGGATTTAGATGTCTATGAAACTATTACATCACAACAGACATCTAAAGATGAGAACAACTCGCAGTCAACCATGGCATCGGATATTGCTGAGATAAGGGATATCAATAATAGTGCTACTCAGCCAGTACATTTATCCGAGGATCAGGACGCACACATGCTTGAATACGGGGTAGAATCCCACTTGAGGTCAACCCCAGATATAGGAACAATTGCTCTTGATGCAGAGCAATCAAATAACACTGATATCCCGTGTTTAGGAACCCTGCACTCTAAATACGCTCCGATGCACGAACGCCTTACCATGGATGTCGACACTCCGCTTGTTCTTCCCAAGAAGATTTTGAAGCGTCCAACTGTGTCTACCGCTATCAAAGATAAGTCTTCCGATATAAATAGTGAGAAAGCTCAGTCGAGATCCTCTGATACGATCGCCCGTAAGGGCCATGAGTAAAAACCATGTGCGTATTGCATCCTTAAATGCCCGTAGCATTTTCAAGGATGCAGATAAGAACAATCAAGGAGTGTTCTTATCTTACCTCAAATCATCTCTTTCTTTGGATGTTTTATGTTTACAGGAAGTTTCCGCCTTCCACCTACAAGATCATCTCACGCAACAACAAAATAGCTACTTTCAATCTTATCTTTTTCCCAACTGCTCCGTATTATTCACTAAATATTCTGCCATTATCTGCTTGAACAAAAACCTCACACTGCAGGATGCTACCGTTTCACTTGATGAGCGGTGCATACGTGCATCAGTATATAATCAAACTCTACAACAAGTAGAATGCTCTATTACCAACATCTACGGCCCTGCACAATCCACCAACAGACTACCTTTTCTAGAACAATTTATGTCCTCACCATTCGCGTCTACGGGTCATGCAGAGTCACCTTCCATAATACTGGGAGATCTTAATTTAAGTCTGTTGAAGCTCGATGAGACCTGTGACGACCCTCGTTTTGTCTCCTGGCATCAATGGCTTTTAGAACATTTTGACAATTGCTTTTCAGCCGGTCAACCTACGTTTCACCGAGGCTCTCAAACCTCCACCATCGACTATATTTTTTGTAGCAAAAACCATCAGCCTCGAATATCCAACTGCCAACAGACATATTTACCCGCTTCATGGACAGACCACCAATTGCTACAAATTGATCTACTTCCGGAAAGGCATGATATTGGCCCCGGATTTTGGCGCTTTAACACTTCTCTACTGCAGAATGATACTTTCGTAGCTTTGTTAACCGATGTCATTAACTCCTTTTTCGCCTCTGTTGAGTCGCTTGGTGATCAAACTGCTCAACAAACGTGGGAAAGTCTGAAACGTGCCTTGAAAGATACCAGTGAAAGTTTCACTCGTGGCTTTCAAAAGCATAGACGCAACCGCCTCCAAAAGCTACAGCAGGAGCTTCAGCAATTGCTGTCTGCCGGATCCATCTCCAGTAATTTCCAAAATGACACACGCCAACAGGCGGTGATAAAACAACTGAACGATGCCTTAGATAAGGAGGCCAAGGACGAAATGAACAAAGTTTTACTTCGTTCCGCTACCAGATGGCATGAGCAAGGAGAACGAAATACCAAGTATTTCTATAGGGTTATCAAATCACGTCAAATGCGGCAGACTATTCATCACCTAAGATGTAGCGTCAGTGGTAAACTTTTGGGAACCACGCCCGAGATTTTACAAGAGGCCCACCGGTTCTATAGTCATTTATATGCCCCAGAGGACATTGATTTAGCAGCAGTGGACACTCTTTTAGCCCATATACCAGAAGATGTCATCCTAGAAGAACAGGCATCACATATTGTGGGCGCTGATTTCACTACCGGAGAATTGCTAGACGTAGTGAATCATACTCCCAACCAAAAGAGTCCTGGCTTGGACGGTTTGCCTTTCGAACTTTACAAGTTTCTGATCAACAAATTCCCCAAGGCTAAACTTCTATTTTTGACCGTTTTGAATGAGGCCTTACGTGGTAATATTCCTTTGTCTTGGAAACAAACTAGGATGGTGTTGCTGTTTAAGAAGGGTGACCCTTCCTCCTTGAGTAATTGGCGACCATTGTCACTTATCAATTCCGATGCTAAGCTCTTTACCAAACTTCTCGCGAATCGTTTTAATATGGTTCTTCCTCAGTTAATCAACCCATATCAGACAGGCTTTATGCCACATCGCTTGATTTCAGATAATGGATGGGTGAATATTACATTGATGGATAGTTTCCGCCGTAGTTCCGATCCCCATGCTTCCGAAGCTGTAGCCGTCCTGCTCGACCAGGAAAAGGCCTACGATCGGGTGCATCCTCAATATTTCAGACTGGTTTTGTCACGGTTCAACTTTCCTCCTCATCTTATCTCAGCTCTAATGTCCTTATTTTTCTCAACGGCCATCTCTGTTTCAATTAATGGTTTTCTGGGAAAGCCTTTATTACAAGAACGTGGACTGCGCCAAGGAGACCCCTTGTCGCCTCTGCTCTTCAATCTGATGTTCGAGCCATTTCTACGCACTATTTTGGCTTCTTCTCTTCAGGGAGTGTCATTGTCACCTTTCTCAACACAAATATCTTTAATGGCCAATCCACCAATCATTCGGCATCCGGATACTGGAGCAGACGACAGCCCTATCCAATGGTACCATCCACCAGTCTTCAAATTACTGAGCTACGCTGATGATTTGGAAGTTTTTCTGGCCTCAGCTGATGAATGGCCCATACTGGAACAACTGTTGACTATGTATGGAGACGCTAGTAATGCCAAAGTTAACATCAAAAAGACCGTCATTGTTTCTCTATCTGGGGATTGCTGTCCATCCTGGGCAGCTATAGCCCAATCTAAGGGGATTGAATACCATACGAAGCAAAGTACATCGACCGTTAGTTATTTAGGATATCCCCTCTACTCATCACCGAGGCAGTTGAAATCTTACCTTGCGCGTATTACTAACATCATTAAAATGCATTGCAGTAAGTTGAAAGATCGAGGCCTTTCCGTTCGCGGTTTGTCCTTGGTAGTAAATTCTCAAGTTCTCAGTAAAATTTGGCATTTGTTACGAGTAGTGCCAGTACCAAAGACATGGTTAAACAACATTCGAACTGTCGTGCGCAAATTTGTTCTCCCCTTCCGTCCAGCTCCTTCCTGGCGATCTATCTGTCTCCGCAAGTGTTTTGGCGGCTTGGGCATCATTGATATACATCAGCAACATCTAGCATTACAGCTTATCTTTGTTCACCGTATTCTTCGGCCTAAATGCAACAGTGATTTCGTTACTCCCTTGATCGGCCATTGCATATACATATGTACTGGTCACCATTCCTTTCTACCATGGCTGCAGCATCCTCGGGCCTTCTTACCACTCTTTAAAGGGCTCCCTACGTTATCTATTTTAACACGGCTTCTAATGGACCTACCCGCATTAATGGGACATACTAGCTGGCCTGGACGCTGGTACGCAGATACACCACTCCGTTTTGCTTTGGTACCAGTCAATCATACGAACAATGAGGACGCTTATGACCTGTCTCAAATACCTTTGCGCTATACTGTAGCAAATGCAATTTCTTGGTCCTATTCATATAACATGTTCACTAACTACCTTCGGTTAGATCTCCCTAACCTTAATAAGATAGGTAAATTACTCCAGCTGCTTAGAAAAGACACTCCTCCCCTTTCCTGGCGTCCTAGGCTCAAAAAGTTCATGCCGCGTGATTTCCGCTTCGATGTACTTTCGCCGACTTGGCCATGTCAGAGGGCCGATCAGCGAGCAACATCAATTGTCGCCCTTGACGCGTCTTCATGGGTTCCTCGGTGCGATCACTGGGGAATTCAAGTTGGCAACCAGACCATTCTAATTACTAAGTTGACTCCGGGACTATTACGACAATATTGGTCTCAGCGATATCTTCAAGAGAAACTACCGGGTCCATTCTCTATGCTGGGCATACCACAAGTACCTTATATCTGCCCACCCGGTTTTTGCCATCCTCGTATTTGGAAAGTCTTTTGGTCCTTACGATTGTCACACAAGGTCTTTACCTGCTGGTGGCGGTTGCTGCGCGCATCATTAAGTTCAAGGTTATCTTTGCATAGTCAACGCCCTCAGCGCTGGCCATCACCCGAATGTCCACTATGTCTAGCACCCATTGAAGATGACTTTCACTTTGTCGTTGGCTGCCATATCAAATGGTCCTTTTGGTCCGCAGCTTTAGTCTATCTATCTCTCTCTGATGTTCTACGATCTCCAGATGATGTCTGGCATGTTCTCCTCCAGTTGAAGCTTCCAACAGATACATACACTGAGAATTACACCTTAGAATTAGTTGGTAATATTTTGGAAACCCTTTTGGCAATACCATTGGTATGTAACCATCTACAATGAAGCCTGGTCTACAGCGAATGCATTACAGAGACTCCAATCCTCTGTAACTTTAAGTATCACGTTACAGAATGTTGAAAACGTGTCCCCACCAGACATTACTTAAACACTGTGATGAGTACTATTCATAATGTGCCGCCCACGTGCCTCTTTTAGCCCCCCTTCTTCTCCTCTTATACCATTTGTCTTCAACTTTACTTTCATTTTCTGTCTTTCTATTCCAATAAATCGCACATGAATTTAAACAAAAAAAAAAAAAAAGAGCAACATCAAAAAAGTAGGTGATATTTTAGGTATATTCTTACAAAGAGGATTACAAATTCATAGCATTATGGGCTAAGTAATAAACGACCTTTATCGTATAGTTTTCTAGTAATTATAGAGCTGCCGAAGGAAAAATCCTTTTGTTATTCTCATTCGTTATCGCAGGTGTATCTTTTGCATCCAAAGCTTTTTTTGCGAGCTCCACGGGGGGCCATATCAAATCCACATCCATGACGTCCAACTCCAATAAATCTGCTGAATGAGTATGGGCAATGGAGGCTAGATTTGGCAGTGTTCTACCCAAATCGCCATGAACGTATTCTTTAATATAAGTACCTGCTTGTGTATGCAATTTGACGACACCGAAGTGTGCCTCGGGGCTTTTTAAATCCACATCGTCGCGCAAACGTTTTATTGTTGAAGTATGGATTACTTTTGGTCGCACAGCAGCTGAGCGTCTTTGAAATACTCTAACAGGTGTTTTTTGCTGGATAGTAAATGGCGTTGACCCGTAATTATTGACGCGCTCTATCAATTCATCGGTGATAGGATCAGAAAGCCAAACAAGCGCCCTGTATTGCTTTGTCTTTGTTTCTTCACCTTCTTTGATAATACTAGTATATTTTGCTGGTATGTAACAAATTTGACGAACTTGTACATTCTTCATGTGAAGTGGTTGGCTATTGATTTCATTTTCAATTTTTTTATATTCATCCTCTGTCAGTTGAGGCGTTCGCGGGTTGATCAATTCTACATAGAAGGGTCTACCAGTACCCAACATACGAACATTTGCATCTTCACGGCCAGCACTAACAAACTTGGTGTCATCGGCACGATGATATTTCTTCAGAATATCCACTATACATCCTGAAACAGAATGTTCTGCTAATTTCTGGCCTTTGATGGCCCAAGGTGTCTGGCTGTAGTCCCTAGAAAACTTGAGGTAACGGCCACCAACATAAGTAGAAACGTGTACTAAACTGACAGAGTCAAATTTAGCCTTTTCCGTTGGTGGAATAGGAGGAATTCTAGTGAACCTTTGCGTTTAATGATGGAGATTTTAGTTAGCTCATCTACTATTTGAAAAAAAAGGTGGAGGATTATAAGGTACTCACTGCTTTGCTTCTTCGATATCCAATTTTTTTAACGCTTCTGTAACATTTGATCTCGACTCCCCAGCAGTAACTCGTGCTCTCTAAATGTATACCCTATGAATAAGCATCTCAAAATACTATCAAAGAAGTTTAATCCATACCTTCTGACGAATAGTACGTATCTTCAACAATGGCTCTTTTAATTTCGTCATAAACAGGTGATCCTTAGATGTAGGTTTATGGTCAATCACTACGGTCATTCTTAATGGCCCATCCGTATCCAGTTCAAGTCCTGTTCGTTCTTTCAATTTTAAGCCAAATAGATATTTGAAAAAGTCCTTGGGATCTCTCACATTTGTATCCTCCAAAGCACGAAGTACATCAGCTGTAAAAGGCTGATCCTTATGCTGTTCTTGAAGTGTATTCACAATATGTGCTTTTAGTAAATGGTCCCGTGTCAAGATACTGATCGGAAGGGTGCAATTCAAGCTGCAGCTATCCACTTTATAATTCTGCTCTTTTAATTTTTCATAGACTTCGTCCACGTATGTTTCGGCTAGTTGTATGGAGCCCAAGCAAGCTGTACAAATAAGATCTGTCGAAATATCATAACGTTTCTGAACGCTGTTTTTCAGGGAGATGTCATTCAGAGCACTCTGCAAAACCTGCGAAAATTAGGAAAAATATCTTTAACAAACGTATGGCTCAGATAGCGAAGATTTTTCTCAGTTTTTTATTGACATTTACATTATGATCAAATGTGTATAATTGAAAAGTAGTACAGCCAAGAAATCTTAGACAGCAGCGGAAACAGCACTTTGCAGAAACTAATATATCGACAATCGCTAAAGAAGCTTGAATATTTTGGTCTTGACTTTGACTTAAGAAGTTGTTCTGAAGAAAGTGCAACAGTTGCTCGGAAGCCGTGCCGATGGTATTTGACATGATCAGATCAAAAATGAGAGAGAACACTTTTTCGCTATTCACATCAGGTCATTTTTGCTGATTACAGTCACAGCCAGAAGACACACAACTGTCAAACCTTTCTTGAAAACTCTATAATTTTTTTATTTTTTTTTTGTATTTTTTGTATTTTTTGATTTCAAAATAGAATCTCAACGAGTACTATATTTGAAGAGCACACTTCTTTCAAGTTCTGCTAATTGTGAAAGAGCTCGTTTTATCCTTTTACCTTCATCTATAAAAAGAAGTACATATTCTAATGATGCTTTTATTCACAAGATTAAATGAGGTTCTAGATACAGGCGTAGTAAATGATAAGGTTATAAGGGAATTGTTATGAAATTATATATGGGGTAAATTATTCGAGTAATGGGCGACCAAGGGGTTCTTGAGCGAAGAGGCCCTTGGTTTGTTGATTATAAACAGTAGAACCACGAACAATGGTACGATCAACGACACCATAGAGGTTCTCACCGACATATGGAGAAAGCTTGTTCTTAAAGTGGATGTCAGAAACTCTGATTTCAAACTTGGCTTCAGGGCGCCAAATGACCAAGTCACCGTCATTTCCCACCTTGATCTCACCCTTCTTGTGGTCTAACTTTGTTCGTTGAGAAGGAACTGTACTGAGCCAGTGAACTAATTGTTGAAGAGTAATACCACGCTTACGACCTTCTGTCCAGAGGACTGGTAGACCAAATTGAACACTAGCAATACCGCCCCAAGCTTGACCAAAATCACCAGTTTCTTGCTTCTTGAGCTGTGCAGTGCAAGGAGAATGATCACTAACAACGTAGTCGATAGTACCATCTAACAAAGCTTCCCAGAGCTTTTCTCGGTTAGAGGCTTCACGAATAGGAGGACAACATTTATAATGAGTAGCACCATCTTCAATGGCTTCTGCTGTAAAGTTGAGATAGTGGAAACATGTCTCGACAGTAAGGGGAACACCAACTGCTTTGGCTTCGCGAATAGCAGGAATGGCATTGGCTGCTGAAAGGTGGACAATATGTGTTTTGACAGGTTTGCCTTGGTCGAAATATTCCTTTGTCAAGCGAATAATCATCTCAATGGCGTTAGTTTCAAGTTGTTGAGGACGAGAGTTTAAGAAGCTGGCATAAGTCCTTTCGTTGAGGTGATCTTTGTGTTCAACATTCTTTCCTTCCCCATGATCATTACAACCTTCCATTTCGGCATGGAATAATAAGACACGGTCTGAGTTGATCATTTGATCCATTGCCAAACGAACTTCGGCCTCATTAACACAAGGGAATTCATCAACACCACTTTCAATCAAAAAACATTTGAAGCCACGCACACCCTTCTTCATAAGGGCAGGTAATTCTTGAGCATTATCAGGCACGACGCCTCCCCAGAATCCAACATCAACATGGCATTGGCCCTTGGCTGCATTTAATTTGATATCAAAGTTTTCAACAGTAGTTGTAGGAGGAATGGCGTTGAGTGGCATATCGATGACAGTTGTAATACCACCTGCTGCTGCTGCTTTTGTACCGGTTTCAAATCCTTCCCATTCTGTACGTCCAGGTTCGTTTAAATGAACTATAAGAAAGTGATGAACAATGAAAAGTTTTCAGTTAATTTATCATTCTGTCGGAAAGGAGTTTATATCTACACTACTATGTGTTTGCCGATCGATTACCATGAGCGTCAACTAAACCAGGCATCAAAACTTGGTCTTCTTCAAGTGTGATCACTTCGAGATCTTCTTCGTTAACTTTGGTAGCACATTGTTGGCCGTTAACAGCAATTTCAACAATTTTTCCAGAACTTTTGTCGACAAGAACCTCTGCAGGAATTTGTTCATGCTTGTCTGATAAGATGGCATTTCCTGCTCTGATAAGGAGATAACGTTGCTGTTCTGTAACGGTCATTCTTATGTGCTGTGTGAAACTGGGGAGCAGAGAAAAAACAAGAGAAAGGGAGAGATGAGAGGAACAAGAACCGGTAAATATATAGGTTGTAAAAATATTAAAAGATACCTGAGCCAGGTACAAGAGCTATATTTGAGAATGATCGCCATGTCTCATTGGTGAGCTATTTAAAAGCAGTTCATAAAATATACCCGTTTTGTTAGCATAGGATACGAATGGTTACACGCGCAACTGAATTACCGAATCCCCATTAGTTTATACCTTTTGTGCTAAAAAGGTCTGAGATTTCATTAATGTCTACAATTTATGTTTTGCCAAAAAGAAATAGAGTTAAAGTGTGGAGTAAAGCAGTAATGGTCTTAAAGAAAAAAATCAAACAAGGTAGATGGAACATACGAGAATCATTAAAGCTAACAAGCCTAACACTATCATATCAGACTCTTTTTTCTTTGTAATTTAGCTCAAAGAATATCAAGAAAAATCATAGTTTTCCAAGGAAAACATTACTTGACAGCAACTGCAATTTTAATTCATTACGCTAAAGATTGTAACGGTAACGAAGCATTCTCAGTGGTTTCCTTAACAAATTAGAGGCCAGCATACTCTGGATGCCAGGAATAGAATCATGCATTTTCGTAGGTCAACCGAGATTTAACTTTTTTTTTTAATTTTTTTTTTTTTTTAATAATCAAAGAAAGAGCAATGAGTTTATATTCAAGTTATTGATATTCAAAGTTGAACTGTCCTTGTAGGTGCAGTTTGGGGTATCTGTATTGGTTGATAATCGATATCAATTCGGGATGTTCAATAGGGTCAGGAACAATATGATCGCTGTATTTAAACAGTGAGTTAAATACAGCCGTCCCTCGTCTGTGTTTAATCTCGGCAGTGGCCTGCTCATCTTTGTCAGGGTGAGTAGCAAGTTTTCTTACATTTTTACATGGATCAATATCGACTTGCGTTTTTGGTTCATCATCAAACCAAGCATATCGTTCATACTGAAAATCATGCGACATTTCTTCAACTGCTTTTGCATTTTCGGGGAATCTTTTCCATAGCTCCGTATAATTCAAGCAGTCTTGAGCTGACCACCTCGCATCCCTATTCTTCTCTAATAACTTCGTAATCATACATTTCACTATTAAATTATCAATCTATGTTGCTTAATAATTCTGTAGCAAGCAACTTTTTGGTTTTTCAATAAACATGACTGACTGTTATTACTGACCTTCATCAGACGTATTTATTATACCTCCTTTGCTTAAATCGACTGTTGCATTTTGTACAATAGACACATACTTTTCAGAGTTAAGACGACCACCAGCATAAAAGGGATGGCATTCAGACAACATCCAATAGAGAAGAATACCTGCGGACCAGCAATCTACCTTTTCATCAAATGGTTCCAATCTAAGACTTTCAGGCGCGTGATCCCTATGAAACAAGCATAAGACGTTAAATTCTAGCAATCCAATGCAAACGTTTAATTGTATGCTGGAGTACCGTAACGTGCCATAGTTTGCTGGCCAGCCTTTCGTGGCTTCCGTGCGAAACATGGAAAGACCAAAATCACTAATAACAAGTCTGGGGTACCTCGATGGATATGCAAGCAGAATGTTTTCAGGCTAAATATTGAGACTTTTATAAGTATTGTAAAACTACATTTCTATAGTGAAACAGCATTTACCTTGACATCTAAATAAAACCCAAAACAGATAAATAATTGCATAAAAAGACAGGTACAATCGATAGACTGTATCAATTGTATGCTTATTAACTTACCGCAATGTATAATTTCCTTGTTATGTATGTACTAGAAAGTCGATTTGGAAGAGTCAATAAGTATAAAATAGTGTAAGTTAAGCGATCTATGTCGCACGTTTAATACCCACAGCAAGGCCAGATAGTAACTGTTTAAACATGAAGAGACCATCTCCCTCATAGATATCCTTTTCATTTATCAGATCTCGTAAAGTACCTCCAGTATAACTAAACCGTATTGGCATTTTAAAAATCTGCATAAAATGACAACGACAAACAATTTAAAGCTTACAGAGGTAAGATCGAATATAAGCTTCTATAATCGGTAGAATCTTCATATTGTGCAATCATACATAGAACATTCATCTATACGAGAATAAGCCAAAATAAACGTGTTAGTGGAGCTTTTTCTAAGCTTCTCAAATAAACAGGCCCTTTCAATTTTACATGTCTGTTATTTTTCAAGATTTCAGTTTCTCTGTTGACAGTTGAAAAATAGTCTCTCTTTGTAACTCTACATGCTACTTGCTTACGAGGTGATGATGCGTCGTAAGCCAGATAAACACTTGCCTGTTTACCACAGCCAATCATTTGATGCGTAACTTTTAGTGTAATTTTCCTATCAGAGAGGTTTTTATCACCATAATACAAACTTCCAGGTCGAAACGTCTATGTACAAACAATTCAGATTTAGTAAGTTAAAAAAAATAAAGAAAAGAAAATAAAAAATTGATAAGTTTGAAGGTAGTTTTGTGATTACCATATGGAACGATTGATCAATGATCTCTCTGTTTCCAGCTTGGATATACAATAAGTCTAGTTTAAAAGTTTGATGTAAGGAACTCGAGTGAAAGAATGCTTAATCTTTTGACTTTACTTAAATGCTGTGATCCAAAGGATAAGATGCATCCTGAGAACAATATTACCGTTTTGTTATACCCAACTAATTTGCCATTTACTAATCGTTTAGAAAAGACCAAAGGGATTGTCAGCATAAAGTACTTATCGTCTATTTATTATCATTTTTGCTTTACTATAAGTCCCATTAACGCTTTTATCCTGCATAAAATGAATCAAGAAATATGAGTTTCAAAAACGGTTTTTTAGAACGGCTCGTTTTAAAGGTACTAAGTCTTTACCGTCAAATAGACAATAATGGCGTCCTCTCCTTCCACATGCACTCTCTATAGGAGTAACGTTATAAAGATTGAATAAAGCATTAGCATTAAGGACAATATGCTTTGAGATACAGAGTGATTTTACTGAAGTTATATAACAATGTTGCATAGACACGACTCTGTGATCTATGAAGATGTCACTTAATTTTGAACATTGTTAAGCAAGGTTTTTTCAGCTCCAGAAGCTATCAATCAATCAGACTATTTCAGCAGCTCGCTTTACCTAGCTGGATCTCGTCCGATCTTAATCTTCTCAAAGGCTCTAATCGCCTTCACTATTAAGTAGAACACAGAAAAGTTTGCATCAGTCGATCTGCTCCTTACGATGATTAATGCAAACAATCTCAGTAGATCTTTACATATGTTCGAATTGTTACTATTGGCACCCCTTAATACCCCAACCAGGTCGCCATACATGGTAGAAGGATTGCAAGTGAAAGTTATTGTGGCCCTTTGTTGGAAGACTTCTTCCGACTATTTGATACAAAATAGGGATTCAAGTAACAATTGGAGCAAATCTTAAGTCACAATGACAAGCTTTTACTTTCTAGACCATAAGGAAATTTAATAGTAAAGTCGCGTCCGTGCCTTCTTAATATTTGTAAATACGGATGCAAAAAGTCACTGGAGATGCTTCAAACCATAGACCTCAATATGGAAGAAGGTTTTTTAGTTAATCGAAGAATATGCACGCCTGTGGCAAGCCAGAAACTATATGTTAGTTGTCTTATTAATGTCGGCTATGCATTTACGTCAAAAAATGAAAATAAAATAGGTATATCTAATGCGATGAGCATATTATTGTTTTCCAGCATTTTCTCTATATATCGACCATTTTTGAGGATATTTTTCGACAATGATCAAATTAATAGCGGTAAGAAACAATGCAGCACCGCAAACAGTGAACAGAATGCCACTACCAAGGGCTTTTAAAATATCGGATGCTATAAGTGATCCGATACCAGCCATGATATATCTTGCAAAGTTGTTACAAGCAGTAACAGATGCTCCTCTTTTTCGGAAGCAGTCTACCATATATGCATTTATTGCTACGTTCGGAAACATCAAAGCCAATCCGACTATATTTAGCAACACCTTTTTAGCGTATATTTTTGTGTATATCACGTTAGAAGATAAGAGAATAAAATACTTACGGAATGCCTGGCAAACCAGTCCGTATGCGAAATGGACATTCTTTTCAATGCACCAACCATAAGCAATAAAAGCAAATAGTTGCAAAACAATAGCAGCATAGTAGTACGGTCCTCCTAACCTCATTTCGGGATAAACTTCTTCATTTTTGGCCATTACCTTTTCCCTGTTACGATTAAAGATCTTGTCCGAAGTTCTACCTCCAATAATACCACCTGCCATCAAGCCGGCTGCGGCAGGAAGATAACAAACACCTACAAGGCCAGAGTCGAAACCGTACTGTACGGTGTATATTCTGGTAAAATTTGTACTATTTAAATATAATACAAAAAATCTGTGGAATGACATGGAAAAAAAGTTACTAGATGCATATACACACATTTGGTTCAGTTTCAAAACGAAAAAGGTAAAACATTTACAGTACACTGATAAACCCAATGCATAGAGCAATATTAGGGTAGCGTAATAAATTAAGAGCCTCGATTGGGTTTACAAAATTCGTCTTGTTTCTCGTTTTTGCCTGTTGTGACTCAATATCACTCTTAGTCTGTTGTGGTGATTCGACATTCTGATCACCCTTAATTCGTGCGTCTTTAAACGTTTCCATGGTTACTACTTTTTCTATAGGTAAAGCAGCAGTATCAGAAGGGGTTGCTCGCCAAGTTTCAGGCAAGGCAAATACAATGCCTAACCAATTCAAAAACACAAAAATTGTCAGGAAGTAGAAATTGCTTCTCCAGCCTAACCCTTCATTCAGATAACCGCCTATAATGGGTCTACAATGTGGTAAATAAGTTAGTATGGGAAGATATCCACGAGAAAATTTGTTGCACATGGTTTTAGTGTTTAAGTACCCAACTGCTGGGCCAAGAAGTGGGCCGCAAGTATAATAAGAGAAAGCGCGTCCTCGTTCACTCGGTTCAAATATGTCGGCTATCGTGCCTGCACCCATTGACATAGCCTACAGTAAAAATTAAAACAGTGATATGAACGTTTAGAAAAACCAGCTTACTTAATTGAAATCAAACATGTCAACACATTACAGAAGATGAGCCAACAGCACTAATGGCACGAAACACGATGAACATTTGAGCATTCACAGATAGTGCGCAGCACAAACTACCTATGCATGCAATAAAGAATGATATAATGTAAATTCTTCTCCTGCCTATATTCGAAATAAACAATGTTAGTCAATTCAAAGGCAACAAAAGCAATGTCAGAAAGCGGGCTCTTACCAATTCTATCGCCAAACGTAGCCCAAATGAGTGGCTGGAAGTTTCAAAAAAGAGTTATAAGTGTAAAAAATCACAAGTAGCAAGACATCGATTATCAAGTTCGGTAGTAGCTTACAAAAAATGCAGTAAAAAATGTGAAGATGGATACTATTTGAAAAGTATTTGTCATTACTTGAACTTGTCATTTCTTTGTTTTTTGTTATATGCAAATAGCTTGACTTACTTGATGCATTCATAGTAGTATCGTTGGTCTGAAAATAATCTTGCATGGTTAGTAATGCTGGATACTATGTGATCAATGGAGATGTTAATGCACACTGTTAATGATCAAAAAGAAGGAATATATATAAAGATTCAAAAATCAGACATACATATATTGTTGAAGACACAGGTGATCTGTATATGGAGCATAAAGTGTTATTAGCCAGATGTTTCGAAATTATTTTCATTTGATGGCTCAAGCTACATACACTGATCCTGCTAAGGCTACCACCAACAAAATCATATTTTTCTTGTAGCGGGGAAATTGTTTCGGATCAGAAAAGTCTTCCTTTTTTTGTTGTTCCTCTTTATGACTCCAAAATCGCCACCGCTTTCTATTTTGATGTGCCTGGTTTGTTTGTTTCGTCGGAGATGACTGAAACTTTGAAAATAGGTCTATATTTCCAGGCTCTTTTTCTATAATGGTATGTGATAATGCAGAAGACGAATCATGGTGACGGGAAAGGTGATGTTGGTTGTCGCTTGGTTCGGTTTGCGAATCCATGACTTCTAAGGACGGGCCAACCAACGGCCCATTATCGTTCAAAGATACAATGACGTTCTCGAGGTAACTTTTCGTTGATCGTTGGGATAAAATTCGTTTGACAGGTTCCATGGTCATATAAAGCTGCTCGTGTAGAAATTTTGCAATACTCTACTACTTGGTAGCAGTAATCTTTGACGCAACGGACGGAAGCTGGCTTTTAAAAACAAAGGTTAAAAGTAAAAAGCAAGAGAAAGAGAATGGAAATCGAAGCGGACAGCTACACATTTAAAAAGTAGAGTTCTGTCTTGCTTGTTTTGATCTGATTCGAAATATGTTGGTTTATTTTTTAAGAAAAAAAAAAACAGTAATAGAGATTGAGGTTAGATCAAGGTAGAGGGGAAAAGATTTCCCAGAGCAACAGGTATGATTTTACTGATCTTCTTGGAATGAATAAGCGACACTCACACACAGCGCTTCATTAGACCTACTAGTAAACAAATCAGAGAGGTGAGAAATCAAACGGCGAAATGATATTCCATCATCTTCCTCTGAGCCTGTCCTGACAATTTTATGTGCTCAAAGGGCACCCTTGTACTACTTTAAGTTGATGATACAAAAGTTTTCCCGGTAGTACCTTGGTTATTATTTGTTCGTCTTTAAATCACAATTTTATTGTTCATGAGCTTTAGGATGGAACTTTTGTAGACTGTATGTGAATGTGATGAACATAACACACATATAGATTGCATGTGTATGTTGCAAATGAATGAAAAGAGAGGGGAAAGGGGAATGTCAGGTAAAGAGAAAATGGTATAAAAGGAATGTGTTGTGGTTTTTACATAGTAATGGTGAAGAGATGAAAATGCATACAAATTAAACGATGAAAATTACAGATTATGCTGAATACTGGAAATGGAGTAAGAAGATCGAACTACAATCGATAGATGGTAGCTAGTATATAGTATATAGTAATAATGAAACTAAATAGTAAACTGAGAATGAATGAGTAACGAACGGTGGAAATTTACATCAATTGCGAAACGAGAGGAAGTCAAATAGTATATTCTGATAAATGCGGGTTGATTCTAAGTACTGACAAACAAGTTGACAGAACTTTGTATACTTCGGCTTTCGAAAGCCATCTGAATGTCTTCGTCCGAACTGAGTGTAATGTAATCACCATCTTCATCCTGATATCTCATCTTGATCTCAGTATCGGGCGTTATGGTAATTTTACTATCCTTCTGGTCAGTTGTATTCAACAGAATAAGGCGGATCTTCTTGTTGACCCTTTCTACCAATTCGGAAAATGTAATGTCTATTTGTGTGACAATTACGTAAATACCGCCATTGAAATTGAGCTTGATTTTAATTGTTCCTGGTGAAGGGGGCAAAGATGAGCTGTTGTAGCGGCTCCACTTAGAACGTATCATTGAACTGTTGGTTGCACCATCTTCAAAAGCATGCAAATCAAGAGGTGGCACCGGAGGCTTTGGCTCGTTAGTGTCCAAGTTATGGTAACGCATATTGACCAGGGTTTCATTAGTAGATGCTGTTGCAATAGACGAAGAAGTTACAGTAGATGAAGAGGGCGTCATTGGAGGTGGAACATTTGAATAATGATTCGAATTTCCACTGTGATAGTGATGATTGCTGCCGCTACCATTGTTCTTCATTATATTTGGACTACTTTGCGATCGAAGGCGATTTTGGCTTACAGGTAGTGATGGTTTAACTGCTGAGTGAGACTGTGAGCGACCTGTATTCGTCATGGAGTGCTTATTATAATGATGATCACTTGTAGCGTAATCATTATCATAGGGTTGCTGTCTGTAAATAGAAGAGAGTGTAGATGTATTGGCACTAGTAACGCGAGCTGCATGAATAGGCGATGAAGGGTTTGATGGTGGAGGTGAGACGGGGTAATGGCCTGGATAGTTAAAGTGAGGAGCACTGCCATTGATCGTAGTAGTAGGTGGCAAGGATAAGGTGTTGCTTGCGATATGAGACGGAGAGCGAGGTAAAGGTGACAAGTTCATGCCTGGCACGTTTTGATAAGGACGGCCAATGGTTGGATCGTTGCTTTGACTGAGCTTTCTGTAGAGAGGCCGAGAAGATGCTGTAAGCTTTTGTTGCTGTCGTAAGTAGTCATCTTCTTCGTCATCAAAGAATAATTGAGCTTCCTCGCTATCTTCTTCTTCTTCATCTTCACCATCAGTGTAAGCAGACAAGTCGTTAGTGACCGACGCGAACTGTTCGACTGTTGCTGCTTCGGCCTTCTTGATCGCTCTTTGTAAACCAGATTCCCATAATTTGAGTTGTTCCTCATTTCGATATTTGATGGATAAATGGGTAAATTCACAGCTTTGTAGGTCAATGTTTAAGTACCATACATTATTCTTGAATTCGCTAGACATGTTAGAGCTCAAAGAAGAGGCTTGAATAATGATTTTAGGGACCAAGCTACCGCGGCGTTTTTTCTTGGTGATAGACAAAGTGTTTGATTTGGGCAACAGGTTACTTCCTTTGGATTCCTTGCAGAACAAAAGTGCCTTTTCAAAGAGAAAAACGTGTAATTCACGCTCGCTTGACTCGTTTGCATTACTGATAACCGAAAGTTTGTCTTGAAGCATAAGGCTGCCATAACCATCGATGAGTTCTTCTTTGGTATCATCTAATAGCCGCTTTTTCAGATCTTGCACAGCTTGCACATTTTCGTGTTGACGTTGAGTCTCATTCACCTTCTCAGTAACTCGTTTGATGGCATCGACACTTTGTTCGGTTTCATAAAAGTAGGACCAGTTTTTGTCTGTACTTTTCATCAGCTCTTGTAATAGAAGGGGATATTTACATATACGTTGAACGGGTTTGATAAGTAAAGAGGGAAGTTCATAGGTGGGATTCAAGATGTCTGCCAACTTTTGCAATCGTGGCGTCTCTTGGACAACAAGATCTTGAGCAGAATAATAATTAGCGCAATAAGGCTCATAAACAGAGAAGGCGTCTTCAAGTTGAATAAAAAGATGCCCGATACGTTGCTCTTCTGGTGCTTTTTCGGCTATTTCTTCAAGTTGAATCAAGAATCGGCGTTGGAAATCGACCAAAGCATTCAAATTACCGAATAAGTAATGTATTGTATCAGGAGAGACGACCTTTTGGAGCTGTAGTTCGCGCATATAATTCTACAGAAGACATAAATTGGGGTCAGAATTTTAATAGAAGAATAAACAAAATGCGGTAAATATTTAGAGGCAGAACTGTACCTGGAGAATTTCCATGTCCTGTACATATTTTCGTTCTGTTTCTAACAATTCCAAGACAACTTTGTCGCGTGTATTCTTAGGTGATGCTGTATTGCTTAGGTCAGGATTGTCAGAGTATCTGTTCAATGGTCGAACAGTGATAATGCCGCGATATTCCAAAATTTGTAATAGCTTGTTGATTGTATTTACAACCTGACAATAAAATATTTATATCAATAAAAACGTATAAATTATCAAACAAAAAGGAGTCTAGATTTACTTTGACAAATCCATTTGTATCATCTTGGTAAAGATCGGAAATAGTAAACATATCCTCTTCAGCGAATAACAAGTTCTTTCTGCAAGCAACAATAAAATGATATACACTGGCTTTGCAAGAATTGCGCGCATTCAAATTAGGATCCGCGTTAATACTGAGCAATTGGGCAGGCTTTAGGGCATTATACAAAGTGCACAAAGGAAAGCCTTGTTGACAAATGGATGTTAATTTGGTAAGCGGATCTGATGAGGTGCTGCTGGTTTTATCGTAGGCTTCGAGATGTTCAGTCATGCCTTCTACGCAGGCCAATCTGTCTAAAACTGAACGGCATAGATGATATAAGGAACCTGTGCCTGAAGCTGTTAGAGGCGAGGTGGATGATTGGGGAGCTGCAGCGTTTGTAGCCGCAGAGTTATTCGTACTGACTGGCTTCAAAGGTGCAGGGGAAGGTGGAAGTACAGGTGTATCAAGGTTACTGAGCATAGCCATCGAAGGGGTTCTTCGATTGATTGCTAAGGTAGTCATAGTTTTACCGAATTAAGGTAATGTACTTTAGAGAAATATACGGGGTTATAAAAATGAAAAAGAGGTTAGGATGAGCGATATAAAATAGTTTTTTTTTTACGATTTAGAAATAGTAGTTATAAAAAGAATATAAGAATAAACAGTATAAAAAGTATAGAAAGAAAAAAAAAAAAAAAGAAAGAGAATAACAATGAAGGAACTCTGTGTCTTTCTTTTTATGTAAAAACAGGGGAACAGGAATAAAAAACGATAAAACGTTTATGGTCTGTGAAACATATCACATTTTTGTCACCAACCCGTCTTTCATCCGGTATTGATACAGCCCCTTAATTCTTTTTTTCTTTTTTTTTTTTTTTTTTTTTTTTTTTTTGTGTTCTGTGATTTGCGTTTTCAGATGCATCGCTGCTGGTGCAATAACACATATAAGAAAATTTTCTGTTTGTTTATTTCTATTGTTCCAGCGATTTTACGTACTTTTTTTTTTTTTATCGAATAAGTGATTTGAGTATACAATTACAATAACAAATACAAAAGTGTTTACAGCTATTTCTGACATTTATGGCTTTTGCCAGTCTCTGATTGCGTTTTGATTGCGGGTTAAATACTGCAATTGAATAGTCAATGTCTTTGCTGTATCATAATCTTCTCCAGCAAAGGCAGACGCTAATTTATCTACTGTCTCATTGTATTTCTCTACATGCATTTAAGAAAGATAACAATAAAGAACTATTAGAGTTGTTCGATCTTTACATAAGGTTATACATGTGTATTTGGGCTCAGTTTCTAAGCTTTACCTTCGTTTCTTTCTTTTAATGGTAACAGCTCTTCCTCTGATTGAACTTCTTCCATTTCCTCTCTAAATTCCATTACGTCCATGAGCAGCTCAGGATCAACCAATGAATCCGACTCACTAACTGGTAACCCTAAGTTTTCCAGCATGTACTTCGCCCTGCTCAATGGGTTCTTTAATGTATGATATGCTTTATTGATAACACCTGACTGCAACTGAGCATAGTCCATTTCTCGCTGTAATAAAGGACCATTCTTTTGCGTTAGATCACAGTTTGATATCGTTTGATAATCTTTATTACCTTACCTTATCTTTTTGCGAATAACTATCGGGATGCGCTTGTTGCTGCAACAATAGAAATCGTTTTCTCATTGCTTTCAAATCTATATCAAATTTAGCTTTATCCCTGAATGAATAACATAACAAATGTACAAAATAAGATACTGTGTTAATGACCTTTCCCTCCGTCTTCAGAAATTTTCAAACCAAAATGCTTGATTATTAATATTGCTTACTTCTCTTCTCCTTCACCTACTTGCATCAAGTGGAAAAAGTTTAAATCGCTTGGAATAGGCTGAATCACTCCACAGGATTTGTTCTCGCAAAACAAGGCTGAAAGCTTGTTTGTTCCTTGACATTGCCAACAGATCTTCTCATGTTCCATTCGATTTTTAAAGCAAGGAGTGCTGCCAAAACGGCGTTTATTGTCCAAAGGGTAACGAGACAGAATTGCTGGAACAGTAGACCTAATAAATTCTGTTCTATTTGTTCTTTTGAGCGCTACTCTAATGCTGTGCGCAGCTGGTCTAACTAATAATTGAGATAGTCTCAACATATTTATTGTTACAGTTCTTTGATTAATAATTATGAAAAAAATGGATTGTTCAAACAGAAAAGGTTTAAACGCATTTTTTCAACTCTCCTGAATCGGACCAAAACCTAGAAATTGTGTTTAACACTCCGCTCAAACATCAATTACAACACCACTCTTATTGAAAAGTATGTAAAGAGAAGTTTTATTTTATAAAAGAATCGTAAGAGAAAGTGTGTGTTTTTAGTTGTTTGTGAAGCGGTTAATCATGTCTGAAATACGGTTAGAAGATCGAGATAAGTGCTGTTGTTGATGCTGCTGTTGTCCGTTAGCTGCCCCTCCATAGCTGAGATTCTCAAACTTATCTCGAAGAGAAGCCATCTGTGGTTTCTTATTCAAAGTCTGTGTAGTTGCAGAAGTTTCATGCTTGTTTTCAATGATTGGAATATCTTGTTGCGAAGGCACTGCATTAGCAATTGTGTCTTTCTTACAAGATACTGCAACTGCAGCATGCTCATCCTTAGGCGTACAAGAACCACTATCATGATTGTTATATTGCTTACCGTCTTCTATATTTGTATTACCAGTAGATGTTATGTCAGCATCACTCTTTATCACTATAAGCACTTCCTTATTGTTTGTGGAATCGCTGACTTCATTGTCATCATCATTGATGTCAATAGGCATGCCTGTGTCATTTTCGTCATTCATGTTCTGTGCTGTTTGCTTCACATCTGTACCAGAAGATGGAGAGTCTGTTGAGGAAGAACTAGCAGCAGGAGAAGAAGAGGTGTTATCAACAGACGGCTTTTGTGCTTGCTCGGTAGTATTAGTAGTGGAGGCTTCATTTCCCTTATCAATCTTCTTAATGTTATTCAAGTTGTGTTTTGACTGTCCTGAATCAGAGATCGTGGTGGAAGTTTTGCTTTTGCTATTTCCTTTTGACAAAATTGCCTTTCTTGTGTTGGACGTACTAGCTGTTTTACCAGTTCGACTCCCTCCACTTGATGTCGTATTCAACCGTCTGGTTGGGATTGATGAACCAGCCTAACATTGTACTAGAGTATAAATACGGAAAAAGCATGGCTCAGAATATTTATATTTCGGAATACTTTTACCTTTTTGGAAGTTGCATGAATACTGGAAGTAGGGCGCACGCTTTTCTCACTTTTGATTTCATTGTTCTTTTCAGTTTCTGCATTATCCTGACCTTGATGAGCTGATTTTGTCGAAACCGTAGCACGAGATGTACCGGTAACTCGAGCTTTGTTTGTAGTAGTTTCTTTTAAAGTAGAGGTGGACGTAGGGCTCAACTTTTTCAAGTGTCCGCCAATTCTACTACCTGAGCTAATGTTGTTGACATTAGCAGCAGCATTAGGTTTTCTTAAACGTTGTTCTTCACGATTGCTCTCTTTTACATCTGCAGTTGATGCAGATGCATGCGTGGACTTTTTAAGTGCACTAGCCGCAGTTGGAGCTGTTAATCGCGACACTAACGATGCTCTTTTTGTAGTAGCAGTAGTTGTTGTTGCCTTCTTTGGAGACAGCTCCTTGCCTGCAGTATCAGTTGCTGTCACAGCTGTCGTTGTTTTCTTAGAAGGAGAAATGAGTCGACTTGGTATTGTTTGTTTCTTTGTCGTCATAGCTGCTGCCTTTTCTTTATCTTCTACCGATTTTCTTGTCTTACTAGGAGTTGCGATCTTGCTGTTGGCTCTTGCACTATTCACAGTCTTGATTCTCGATGTTGCTGTCTTCTTTACCTTATCTTCATTAGCATCCACGGCAGTTGATTTGTGTTTGCTAGTTGTGCTTGCTCCGCTAGGGGGTTTAGGTTTAAGTTGAAGTCTCTTGTCATTAACGACAGACGTCGATGAAACCTTGTTTAACCTTGGCTTGGACTCCTGATCTGTAGGAGACGGGTTCTCCTGACCGGAAATGACAATTTTAATTCCAGCATCTTCTTTATCCCCACTGCTAAGGTCTGTACTCTTCTCAATGGTTACACCAGCTGTCTCGGGTTTGGTCGAAGGGGAAATCGTATCATTTTTCTGTTCGCTTAAATTGGTATTGTCCTATGATACATGAAGAAAAGTACAGGTTAGCTGTTGGTGTTAAAAAGAAGGTTCATCAAATGGTTATCACGTGTGCTGGAAGGAGGAAAAACACAACGCAATACCAGTGATCATTTTGTGTTGCCCTCACCAATTTGTTGCTGCTACTATCCTCACTTTGAATGGATCGCTCTTTCGCTTCAGGCTCTGATACCTTTTCATCATTGTTGATTACCAAAATTGACTGACTTTCACTTAAAGTTCCTTTTGGCTCGTCAGATATAGAAGCTAAAACGATATTAGGTTCCTTAGCTTCAACAGTTTCTAGAACATTGATATTTTTCAGACTTTAATTTTGCTTTCAAGCGTCCTTTATGTTAAAGTTGCAATGTTTGCTTACCATCATCATCTTCCAATGGCTCATCTTTCGGTTTTACGTTTGTTTCATCCTTTTGTAAAGGGCTAATAGTATTGGCAACGTCAGCAGGATCTCTTTCAATCTCTTTAGGATTTTCTCCCTCCATCTTCTTTGAAATATCCTCTTCGACTGTAAGGCCATTACTCGCCTTCGCCGGCAATGCATTCTCAGACAATTCATGTTTCTGTTGTATAGAAGGTTCGTTTTGTAAGAATTCAACGTTGTCAGCAGTTTTATTAACAATTTCAGCATTGTTAGTCACGGCAACAGTAGATGGCTCTTCGACTGTATTTGATTCGACAGTAATAGCATTTTCCGATGCTGTTATTGCTGAGTGCCCAATATTATCAGTCTTAACTGTATTTTGCTCAGAGTTCAAATCTGATAAGGTCTCCGGTTGCTTCTCTGAGGGGGTCTCATTAACCATCGGCGAATTGTTATCTATAGAACGAAGCTTGTTTTCCGCTGAAATAGACGTGGTAGGCTGATTTCTTTCACGACTATGTTCTTCGTCATTCTTAGTATATTCATCAACAATAGTATCAATAATAGCTGCAGACGCATTATCATCTGTAACATCTATACCATTATTGTCAGCGGCTTGAGTTTGAACAGCAGGTTGTTTATTGCCCAATTCTTTTACTGGTGAATTTAGTGCTGCATGTAAATCTTTGTCTTCTGCATTTTGTTCCACGTCATTAGTCTTAGTTACATTTTCTCCCGAAGTTGTGCTATTTTTGTTCAATTCGTCAATCTGTTTCGATTCAGCGCTCAGCTTCTCAAAAGAATTGGTGGCATCCGGTTTTTGCCCGACATCAGTACCGTTTGCTTCTTCAACAACTTCTTTTTTTGGATCCTCGCTCAAAGCGACGGGTTGCTCGGGAACAACTTCTTCTGCAAGTGTATCATCTTTAGGCTCACTTGCTTTAATTGTTCCAACAGTTTCAACCTTTTCAGGAACAGACTGAGCTTCTTCATCTGATGTCTTGACAGACACGTCCAGATTTTGTTGTTGTAAAGCGTTTTTGTCTTGTCTGGGGCTAACTTCCACATCACAATTGCTGTTTTTTTCAATTGTTGCTGTTCCGTTGTTGAATTCTAAGGTATTCTTTTTGCTAATAGGAGCTTCTTTCTCTTGCTCATTTATTGTGTCAGCATTCGCATGTGTATTATCTGCAGTTTCACGTACAGTGTCAATCACAGCACTTTCATTGCATTTTCCGTTCTGAAAATCAGCTTTGCATTCACCATTAACCTGCATGTCAGAACTAAGCTTCTCTTTGTCTGTTGGTTCTATGCTGTGCACTTCGGTTGCTTGTACTTGTTGCTCTAAATTGATGTTTGAATTGTCTGGTGCTTCGATACTACCGAATAGTATTTCGATCTCCCGTTTAACACTTTCTTCACTATCACTCCCATGTACAGCATTTTGCAATCCATCTGTGCCAAACAAAGCACGGATACTGAAGTGTGTCAAAATATAGATGTGGGTCAGTATAGCGAACGTTAAGAAATTTATCAAAAAAAGGAAGTTCTCTTCCTCTAACTTTACCTATGAGGCTTGGTCTCTCGTGCTTTCTTAGCGTCGGTTGGGCCAATAAGCTCTTTCCAATCCTGAATAGCATTATCTTTCTCTAAAACCATAGCGTATATGGGTACACTATAAGAAATGCAAACGTGTAAGGGGTTTTTCAACAAGAAGAAGAGACACAAATAATGCAATTAATGAGAATAAAGGAGGGGAGGGGTCGTCATAACATTATTGTATGGAATATAGGCATTGACTTTGGACAAATATATATACCTGTTCATCCAATCTATTAACTTTTTGTAAAAGTTTTTTCCAGCATGCTCTTTGTAAAATGATCGGGCTTTCTTTTTTGAAAGATGTATTTCACGTTCCTGAATGATTTTGAATCCATTTTCTTCAATAATTTTGATGATTTCATCTTTATGGCCGTTTTGAATAGCATCTGGTTTGATTAAAACTAGCGTTCGCGAAATATACTACGAAGATTATAAAATTGCATAGTTCAAAATGGAAACATAATGAGTTGATTAAGATTGAATTTTCTTCTTGATACATGTAAGGGGGAAATTTTACTACCTTCTCTACTTTTGCGGTAGTAGTGTCTGTTGTTTGACCATTTGATTATCATATTGGTAAGATCACCTATCCTGTCTTTATATATTGCAAATTGTATTTCCTCTATTTATATTACCTCGTATATCTGTTGATGGACAGGCTTCGACAAGCTTCATAATTTGAGTTTAGAAGAATTAAAATTATTGGGTCTAGCATCCCTTCTGTTGAATTTATTTTGGCTACTTACCGAATCGGTCGTCATGACAATTGCTGGAACCAGTTATGAATGTTTAGTAGAAAGTAGTGACTATTTGAAAGAAGAAGTGTATCAAACAAATCAAGAGCAAAAGAGAAAAGATATGTTATTGTGCTTCCACACTTTAATTTAGTAGATGTTTGAAAACGCCGCCCACGTTTGTGTGAGGTCAAATTTTTCAAAATAATGGAACTAGTTTGGACGAAAATTTAAGAATAAATTGCCTACTTCAAGAGAATAATGTGATTAAATATTGAAACGAGTCCAAAGGTTCTTTATTCAAACATTCAGGGAGTATATCCATAGAAAGTGTTTCTGCATCTGACGATTCACCGCTTCTGACTTTGTTTTTGAAAACTTTCCAAAACGTTTCGAAAAGATTGGGTTTGTGTGAATAAGGAGGATGTATAATAGTATATAAATCTTTAAAGATAGTGAAGGTCGACAGTATTGGAGGAATGGAACGGGTATTGATCATTTAATATGAAATACTTTGGGAAATTGATCCATAGTTTCCGGTGTTCTCACTAATGGATTGCATTTAATATCCAGCTGTAGTCCTTTTGATTATAGTAACGGCAGCATTTCCAAGCAACATTTCTTTTTTGAATACCAACAGCCTTTCCATTATTGACATTACTTAGCTCTGTTATACTTGAATCCATGGTAGGAAATGTTGAGATGGTATCAGTAATCATACGAGATATGATGTTGTAATCGCTGAATTACCACGCTGTTCCAAACTTCCCGAGCAACGTATGTTCTATAATGAGTCCTACCTCATTAAGAAAAGACACAATTTCACACGAAAGGCATAGTGTATTCCAAATGATTTAATTGAGGATAGCATATTGAGTTTATTAGAAGGAAAGCATAAAACAGGTCATATTCAAAATAAATAAAGTAAAGAAAATAACAATTTTTTATCATTACAGTGATATTGGCAGAATACAGTCGTTCAATTATAAGTTTGTAGTGAGCGGCATCAAGAATTATTACAGCTGCTTGAATGTTTGGAAACTTGCCTTTTAGACTCTCTTAACCGATATTATAATGACTACTCAACAATTTATCTTGTCCAAGACTCCTTTCAAATCGACCTACTCAATGTTAGGCTTATTTTGCAAACGTGTAAACACATATTTGTTACCATTTATATTTTGAATAACTGGATAGATCTTTTAACCATATAATGAGCTGTGTGGGTAATATTTGGAGAATATTGATGTTGTTTAGCACTTGGTTGCCAAAGTAGAGCATATCTCCAGCACTTCACGAACATCCGCTGATTGATGTAAGCTTTGATGGCTTAAAGTGACTTTTCGGTATCATTGTAGAGGAGGTTCCAATGCAATCGGAGTACTGTGCGACAGATCACACCCAGTTCGATGATAATTTTACTTGACTTGTAGAAGAAAACTCCATATTCAAACAGAAAAAATGGAAGTCAAATGGATATTATTCCCAAGATATACAAAGATCTTTGGGAATTGCAATATGTTTTCCACGGTAATAGCCCAAAGGATTTATGAATAAGTGGTAGGTATTCAAACGGAAGAGGACATGATATGAACAATTATCGCACGTTCGATTATAAGAAGCATACAATGCACTCATGTCTAAACTTCACGAACTGGATGGAACATGTCATATTACAGAACAACAATACAACAAGACGTCCTTGTACTCATTAATTAATAGTTGCACTAAAAAAATCATATCGTGTAAGCTCACAAGATAAGTAGTTGGGTGGTTTCCATTTCACGATTGATGATTCTAGCAAATGCTTAATCCTTTAATTTCACTATCTTTTGTAGCCTAGAATTTTTGATGAAACCCCATAGCGTTTTTTATCCGAACAACTTCCTTACTTCAATTAGCCCTTCTTTAAAACATTTTAATCCACAACAAAAAATCGGATATCACGATTTATTAATTAAACATAACGATACAAACGTTGTTTGTTTTCCTTTTACTAAAAACAGCAAATTATTGAGCAGCTTCGAACTTAGCCTTGGATTCCTTAATTCTGTTAAGACGTTGCTTCTTGTTAAGACGGAGACCCTTCTTGTTGGGCTTGGCAGGCTTACCCTTCTTTTCAGTGAGTTGAGGAGCAGGGTTTTCACGGATAGCAGCATGAGCTTCAGCATACATATCTTCGATCATGTCAGAAGTGATACCTTCCTTGATGAAGGTAGCGAATTGCTTCTTGTAACGTTCTTCATCTTCTTCTTCGAGGTATTCCATGTATTCAGCAACGTGAATACCGTAGATGTAGTTACGGAGGAGTTCATCGTCGTTTGTCTTGGTTTCGATATCGAAACCAGGGAAACGGTTGCCGCTGTGGGGAATGTAGATACCACCATCGGAAGCACCCTTCATGGCACCGAAGACACGAGCACCAGTGGAGGTACGAGCAAGACCGACATCGAGGAAAGCCTTGAAGGGACGGGGAGCACCTTCAGCGGCTTCGATCATTTGAACGGTACCATCAGGTTCAGCGAAACCTTCGTACTTGTCAGCAAGACCGAGCTTGGCCAAGGTACGACGAGCAAGAAGGAGACCAGTAGCATAAGCGGCAGCCCAATTGGTCAAACCACCCTTGATACCGTAACGGGGAAGTTCGTGAGCATAAGCAGCGGCAAGGACGAAATCACCTTGGAGCTTAGCATAAACGATTTGACAAATGATGTCCTTGTTGGTGAAACGAACGACCATTCTGTACTTGGGAGAGTTGTACTTGTTCTTGGCTTGAACGACAAGTCTCTTACGAGCATAGTAGTCGGTCTTACCCTCTAATTAAAATGCATAAAAACAATGCGGTTCAAAAATTGTTAAATCGACAAGCAATGGTAGCAAATTTATGACAGTCTGACACAATACCTCTTCTTCTGCGGTACTTGACTTGGTAACGCTTGAAGTAAGCCTTGTTCTTTTGCTGCTTGACGAAAGGCTACAATTTACATTTTAATGGAATGGTTAATTAGTGACCACTACAAATTTGAGCTTAATATATCCATCCATCCATTCAATGCATCAACAAATCATCTATTTCACAATACTGAAGTGTTGATTGTCATATGAATGTAGATGGATAGCTTGAAGTATGTTGGTTGTGGCTATCCTTACCATTGCTACTGGCTGTTGTGGTTAAAGGAACGATCGTATCTGCTGCTCATCTGCAATTCTCTTTTGCTTCAGTTGCCCTCCACTGTCATTCTTCCCCGCGCCAGGAAAATTATCCTTTATTGGGTTTTATTTTCTGATCGGCCCGAGAGCTCTTGAAACTCTAAATTTGGAGCGTAGTTTCAAATTGTGAAATTGAAGCAGCAGTTAAGCAGCATGAACGTGTGTGTGTACCTCGTCCCTTAAACCTTTCTCTTTTCAGTGACAAAAGAAAAAAAAAAAAGGACCACCCATTTACTACTGACAAGTGTCTTACACTAAGAACAGAAATAGAACTATGCCGAAAGACCATACACCGTCTTTGTTCATTCATAGTCCAGTTTTGAAATCTCTTCAACGACTTGTTCAAAATCAAACGCTTTGGACGGCACCCGTCATCGCTATATTGTTCGCATCTCTTGTTCGTTGGTTGGTAGCGTTGAACCCATATTCTGGTAAACTAAGATGACAAGGATAACATCAAAGACGAAACGGGTTTGAAGTCTTGTCAATTAAAGCAACATAAATTTTTTCGTCATTATTGAAAGGATATAATACGCCACCTATATTTGGCGATTATGAGGCACAGCGTCATTGGATGGAGATTACAATACACTTACCGTTCTCAAAATGGTATAAATATGACCTGCAGTGGTGGGGTTTGGATTACCCTCCTTTAACGGCCTATCACAGCTGGATATGTGGTTTAATGTAAGCTTTGACGCTATTATATATCGTAGTGAAACATACCGTCCTAATTATCAATCAAATTTTACATGTAGAGGATCGAAAATCAATGCTAATTGGTTTGCTTTGGATACATCGCGGGGAATTGAGACGGAGGAGAGTAAACTGTTCATGAGATCTACTGTGTTTGTATCCGAAGCTTTGATTTATATACCTGCTGTACTGGTGTTTTGTCAAATTGTATATGGATCTGATAGCTATCTGAAGAAGCACATGGCAGCTGTTTTAATATTATTGCAACCAGCTTTGATGATGATTGACCATGCGCACTTCCAGTAAGCCTATTTTTCTTTTTGAGACCGAAAATGAATGTACGGAATCTCGATAAGTTGACATACCAACCAACCCCCCCCCGCCCACTTGGCATTTATGAATCACAATAGATATAATAGTGTAATGTTGGGCCTTACACTATGGGCTATCAATTGCTTTCTGACACACCATTTTATTTTGGGATCTGTTTGCTTTTGCCTATCACTGGGGTTCAAGCAAATGGCACTATATTACGCGCCAGCAGTATTCGCATTTTTGTTAGGCAGGTGCTTTACTGAGAAAAGAGGACTTTTATTGTTTATCAAACTGGGCATCACAGTCGTCATTACATTTGGTCTCCTATTTGCGCCTTGGTTGACATCATTGGAAGAGATCAAGCAGGTCATTGCTCGTATTTTTCCTGTGGCCCGAGGACTTTATGAGGATAAAGTGGCAAACTTTTGGTGTTCAATAAATGTTATCATCAAATTACGACGTATATTAACACTAGATGCCACTGTCAAAATAAGGTAGGTATACAAGTGGGTTTTTCTTTGATTAAAAATTAGAATTGACGTGATATCTCTACCTCTTCGCAACATTAGTCTTCTAACTACACTCGCATTTGTTATACCCATTGGTGTCCATCTCGGACGAGCACCTTCCAAAAGAAGATTTTTATACGCCATGGTGAACTCTTCCTTAGCTTTCTTTTTGTTCTCTTTCCAAGTACATGAAAAATCCATCCTTCTACCTTTGTTACCAGTGACTTTACTCATTTTAGAAGAGCCAGTTGCCTCAACCATGTTCCTTAACGTTGCTATGTTTAGTATGTTTCCTTTATTGAAACGTGAAAATTTGGTCATCCCATACTTTGTTACAACCATCATGTGGAATTGGCTAGTAGGTGAATATGGACCCAATGTAACATTCACATCTAGGATTGGCACGGTGGTGAGTTATGATAGAGATGTGTAGGCTTTATACAATTGTTTAACTCTTCAATTTTTTCATAGGGTGTCCACATTGTATTCATTCTATGGCATATTGCAGAATTCTGTATTGAACCGCCAGCCCATTTACCTGATCTTTTTACTGTACTCAATGTATTGATAAGCTGCGGTTTATTTACGTTATTATTCGCCTATTACCTATATCGTCAATTCACTGTAACGTCTTTTTTTTCATCCTCATTTGCTGCAACAAGGTCTAAAAGCAACAAAAATCATCAGATATCGAAATCATTATGAGCATTTAGTAAATAAAGAGCAAACAGCTTAAAAACTCTTTCGGGGTGCCATCCTGGGCCCATGGTACATAACGTACAATTATCGAAATCACTTTTCCATGGCTACCTAGGGCGCTTATTGAAAAAAAAAAAAGGTAAAAAAGGAACCCTAGAGAAGCGGCATAAAATTTGTGGGCCCCCTCTTTTTTCCTTTCCAGCAAATTGAATTTTAAACTCTTTTCCTTTTCAACCATCCATATTAGCATAATATACAGATACCCTTATGGCTCAAAGAAGAGTAGTTGTTACAGGTCTGGGTCTCGTTACACCTCTTGGTGTCGGTGTAAAGACAGTTTGGAACAATTTAATAAAAAGTCACTGTGGCATTGTTTCCCTTGCCGATCGAGAAGGGTTCAAAAACTTACCTGTCACGATCGCAGCTGAGGTGCCGAAAGGCGTCTTTGAAGAAGGAAAGTTTACAGCAAGTGAATGGTTAGACAGAGGGGTAAATGCTCATTGTGATATAATTTGAAAGAACGGTTCGCTTATTGAATGTGTGATGAATGATTCTTTCTCTTTACAAGGATGACAGGATCATGGCTAAATTTACTCAATATGCTATAGCAGCGGCAAAACAGGCAATAGATGATGCTGAATGGACACCAAAGACACTTGAGGAAAAAGAAAGAACTGCAAGTATTCGGCAAGAAAAGAATAACGTAGAGGAAAAATACAAGTGAAAAAGAGAGTTAACTTTTTTCTTCCTACCCACTTGTAGGGTGTTTGCGTAGGATCAGGCATGGGTAGTTTGGAAGACATAGTTGACACATCGACCGTGTTTTCAAAAGGAGTATGTGGGTTGAGATAAAAAAGATGAGAAAACAGAATTGGAATAGGCAGAGCGTGATTTAACGAGGCAGAAACTTTTGATGACTGTAGGGTTATAGAAAAGTATCGCCCATGTTTGTGCCGAGAATACTCAGTAATATGGCTGCTGGACATATCACGATGAAATATGGATATCAGGTTGGGCTCGTTGGCAAGGCTATTACATTAATTTGTTCTTATGAAGGGGGCAACAACTGATGAGTAGATAAAAATGGGTTTTCAAATGTCAATAGGGTCCAAACCATGCGGTTTCCACTGCTTGCACGACAGGCGCGCATGCTATTGGTGATGCTGCGCGTTTTATTCAGTTTGGTGATGCGGATGTAATGATCGCTGGCGGCACTGAAGCTTCTATCCATCCTCTCTCCATCGCTGGCTTTGCCAGAGCCAAGTCCCTTTCTGACCGTAATGAAGATCCTTCCCAAGCGTCACGACCGTTCGACAGACACCGTAATGGATTCGTTATGGGAGAGGGAGCTGGTATTGTAGTGTTGGAAGAGTATGAGCATGCAAAAAAAAGAGGAGCTACCATTTATGCCGAGGTGAAGGGTTATGGAGTCTCAGGAGATGCTCATCACATGACCTCACCACCAGAGAATGGAGCTGGCGCCGTGTTATCTATGCAGCGGGCGTTGAGGAAGGCAGGCTTAACCCCAGGCGATATTGATTATGTCAATGCGCACGCTACAAGTACACCGGCTGGCGACCGAGCAGAGAACAGGGCCATCAAAACTGTATTTGACGGATATTGGGATAAGATTTGTGTTTCGTCAACAAAGGGGGCAACAGGTCATTTGTTGGGTGCGGCAGGAGCTGTGGAGGCCATCTTTACCATTCTTGCTGTTAACAAGGTAAGTTTTTACTTTTAAAATCCTTCCATTGAGTACAAATTGCAAAGTAGTTTAATAACAAAACTTTCACTGTCAAATGCAGAATATCATTCCTCCAACGATCAATTTGGAAAACCCAGGATTTAATGAAGCAGGATCAGAAGAATTTAATTTAAATTATGTCCCTCTCGTAGCTCAAGAGCGAAAAGTCAAAGCGGCAATTACCAATAGCTTTGGATTTGGCGGCACCAATGCCACTTTATGTTTTGCTAAGGTTTAGCGAGGTCAAGAGAAAACGATACACCGACTATTTATTTATATTCGATATATGCATATTCATCAGCTTTCATCATACCGTGTATATTTTCGGTGTAGGAAATAAAAGGACCAAAAGTTGGCATACCTTCTTTTTGTCGGCTTTATCAATCCATATATGTGCTGTACATAAATTTGATACATTAAGCACCTATTACAAATAGAGAAGTAGGAGAGACAATATTGGAGCTGTTTGCATTAGAAGAATTCCAAAGTGATTGTTAAATATTCAAGATCATTTATTGAGATACATGAAAAGAACTGATTGCTTTTTGACGATATGTGTGTAAAGAGGCAGGAGGCGATGATCCGACTGGAGGTTGGTGTTACTTACAACTCTGAACGGAAATTACAACAAGATAATCTAGACTACTTTTATTAAAACAAGAGAAAAGTATAATATGCAGGAAAAACAGATAAAAATCACTAAAGATATTAGGAATTGAGAAGCAGGCCATATTTATATGTTTATCGAATGAAACCTCTCTAATGAAAAGTAATTCACTCATTACAGTAGTGATGGATTTCACAACACCCTCTAACAGTAGAGAATAAATAATGGTATTTCTAAGAAACTCAAATAGTATATTACCTCTAAATTCATTCTTCATCACATAAAGTCTCCTATAGCGCTTATTCGATCCTGTACTCCTCTTCCTAGTAAATGGCTCACCCATAAAGCTAACTTTTCTTTTCGAACACCAAGTTGCAAACGCTACTTCTGACTTCTTGTTCATGCATTCAGTTTTCGAAATAACTGACTCATATATTTCTTTGGTGTCAACTTCTTGAAGGCAATAGACAGCTTCATTTCGAGGATCGGTAGGTTTATAAACTTCATTCAGAAATGTGATTACTTGTCGTTCCGATACTAATTTAAAATTTTAGTGTCAAAATACGAGGAATAACATATAATCTTTCAGTGCTTACCAAGTTCAGATTTTGCTTCTACTGCTTCCTCAAGGTCCACAGCTGATTCTTCAGTTAAATAACGTTTAAAGGTAGTGGGATCGTTCCTAATCACACTCAAATGCACCATAACAGGTCGCTTAGGATCGTTTTCATAACACACATCAAAAGAGCCAAACTCTTCGATCTTTTTCGACAATCTTGCTGCATTTTCTTTGCTGTAATCTTCACAAAAAAACCTACAGATGGCTTGATCACGAGTTATGTTCATCTGGTGTTGGAGTAAAGAGCAGATCAATTTGTGGTATTTGACGACTTGTAGAGTTGAATATCACTTAAGTAAAACAGTAAAAAGTTAACGAGATCAAACTAGTAGGTCTTTATTTTGAATCAAGTTAAGTTCAAAGAGAAGAAAAATATCTACTGCAAAAATTTAAATATCTTCTTCATATTGCGGAACCTAGAAACTGACAGCTGAGTTATTCTACTCAAAGAAGACGTACGTCTTCTGAACCGTAAAATAATAGAATTCTCCCTTGAGGAGCCTACGCATCTACTCGGAGCGGGTGGACTTGTAAACATATCCTGACTTGATCTAGTGATCATGCAACTAACCTATTTTTTGTGCTAACCATTATGTAGCACTGCTTGCAGGAGAATAGTATTAATCAGGAAAATGGTATTCGGGCGTGGTGTTTGAGTTGAGTGAACAGTCGCTGTAAAGGATGATCACAGCCTATTATCGTGTAATCATTCTTAATGCCAAAGGCAGAGAATAGTACTTATAACCTATTATACGTTGGCGTTGAATCAATATATCCTGCATGTCCATATGCTAATTCTACTATATATCCTAAATGATAACCTGTTCAGTCTTATACGAGGTAGCTAAACTCGTGTAAGAATCATCACTTATTCTATCTTCGTTTCCTACTCTACTTTATATTATTTCAGCAGTAATGAGGTGTGAGGATCTTGTATAATTTGTATACGAGGTCTCCACATCTCATATGATGCTGTCAACTAAACACAACACTTAATTCACGGTACTCATATATTAGAGTTTATGTAGTTTCTAATCATTTCTGGTTTGCAATATTATATAATTCATCTTTATCCTTCATAAAGTGAATTATGTCTTTAATATTTGTATATCATCTACCCTCAAATACGACACAATTGTTTAGTTCTGAAGCTAGTTGAAGCAGGTTCTTTACTGAACGCGGTTCATTTTTACTGAACACGCATTTTACCCAGTTCATTTTTTTACTGAACACGGTTCATTTTTTTACTGAACACGGTTCATTTTTTTACTGAACACGGTTCACAACCTTTCCCAAATATCAAAAAAAAAAAACCTGCCCTTTGACGTTGGAACGACTGTATATTAGACAGGTGTCTTATTATAACAATTAACAATTTGACGCTTAGAATGATTACAGAAACCATTAAGGTCACTGATGAGTATATCATTACAAGCATCAGTAATTTTACTGGACAGATTTTCTTCATTCATTAGTCTGTCACGCTTCATCTTCCCTTTAACTATTGCCCAAAACTGTTCAATAGGGTTCAATTCAGGCGAGTAGGAAGGCAGATACATTACTCTGTAACCCTTACTTCTTATCATCGGCTTAGACTTATGAATAGAAGCATTATCTAGAACTATATAACTTCCTTTGAAAGCTTCTTCGGCATCCAGTACAGCAAGAACTTCGTTCATGAACTTAACGAAGTGAGCAGTTGTTGTACCTTTTTTTACTGAATTATTATCAGCAGAATCGTCGTTAACCTCTGTATTCTCCCCACTAATTTCAGTTTGTGCTCTTTTTTTCCCTTTCTTTTTTTTTAGCAGCCTCAATTTCTTTTTTTGGTGGTGGTTTTCTGATAGCAACGTGAATAATGCTAGAGGAGTGAATGGCACCAATGATTGTATGTGTTAGTGTTCTGGTTTGTGGTTGCTTTACGATGGCCTTTTTTCCACTTTTCGATCTGGCCCAATTAAGTCTCATGTTAATATGGAAACCGGCTTCATCTATAAAAATACAATTTTTTGTAAAATCCAGATCAGAATCTTTCCATTTCATAAACCATTCGAATCGTGTTTGGAGATTCTCTACTGAGTTTCTAACTTCAGGTTCAAAATATGGCTTTTTTACAGTGATAAGCATAGTATTACGTAAATGGTTGTTCATTTGCGATTTTGAAATGGTGAAGCCTTCGAATTGTTCAGTTAAGCTATTTATTATATCGTCCGCAAATATCTGAGGGTCGTTGTCAAGTAGCTTGGTTAATGTACTCGTTATCATGCAGTTGTAAATGAGCTTTTTGGAACACTGTTTTTTCACTATTTTTATACGGCACCCCTTCCATTTCTTCATAAATGTGCCACCAATTCAGTGCAGTACGGTATTTCACGTTGAGTTCTCTTGCAACTTTAGCCACTAAGCCACGCTCTTGCGGTTGCTCAAGCATACGGTCGATAAACGATTCTCTGGTCGTATCACTATAGATACTGTATGACTTGGTTGATTTAATCAAATTACTAGATTTCAACGGCTTCGTAACTGATGGTTCTGTGCTGAAATCAACATATAAGAAGGTAGACAGTTTAGTCATACATTGTGACCGACCAATAAACATTAGGCACGGCAACATAAATTCATTATATGAGCGAGCAAGCCAATACGAAGACAATAAGATCTTGTGTATAAACGGGACATATAAAACAGTAGTATGATGAGTAATGATTAGCTACTAAAGCGACTCCGCTGTCACATGTGAATATAATAATTAGAATAGCGAATATTCATTATATTAGAGGTGCCGCCTGTTAAGTTTCTATACTTATGGTATAGGAATGAGCCAATATGTCATACCCATTTTTATAATTTTTTTTTTATTTTGAAAGATAATAAAAACCTATTTTTTACTACCCTTCATTTGTCTTTTCATGCTTTGACTAAATAACAAACTGTCTTTATCTGAATTTTGTTCTCTTTTGTTTAAAGTGTTTGAAATGGGAATGTTTTTCTTTCATTCAGTTGAGCGGCCAAAAATAACTAAATATAGCGTTTGCAAAAAGTCGACTTACGGATAGAAAGTGTTGCTTATAGTGGACAATTTTAGAATTGTGATTCTATGTATCATGAAATGTGGTGTTGAGTAAAAGTGTGCTTTAGTCAAACGGAGCGAATAACTCTTTATGTGAGAATAGATGAAGAGTTCATCCAGTACCTGAGAAGAGAAAACTTGACATGAGAGTGTAATAAAATTGTTTGTAGTCACTGTGCACTTGACAGGATGGATCCTGTTTACTTTTATTTGTAAGTAAGGAGAACGATCATGGAAGCTATCTGCTTGCAGTTTGTGATGGGACATGGTAGCAGCAGAAGATGTAGATGACACCGATGAGGCGGCATTAGCTAAAACACTGAGGATGGTGTTCATCGAATGGCAAAGTTAAATTACGTCTCACAGTAATTGACAGTAGTATTGCAAAGACAGGGCAACAAGTATTATTCTATCTGCATGCAAGACTCACATGTGCGCTTTTACAATGCCGTTGAGAATGACTATAAGCAACTCTTTCGCATACTACTTTTTTATTGCTTAAAAGATGGATTCCCTCTTTCATAAGGATGGGATAGGTAAACTATATTGATTTTCCATATTCTTATCGCAGGGGACTATATTTTAAAGGTTTCAATATCAGTGCCTCCATATGATCTACTAATCGAACTGTTCAATTGGGATTTAAAATAGATTAGCATGCAGTGGATGCCTATGGTTTGCGAGCCAACTCATTGTTTCTCTCCCTTTACCTGTCCTGTAAACAGTATCTGCCCATCCTGGCGTTTCCCAAGCTTGCTCTCGCGTTATTTTACGCTTTTGCAAATCACTGAATCCCCACGACAAATCGTCATAGGAAGTGTTGTGAGAAAGAGAATATAAGATGAAAAAGTTCTGATAGGGGAAAAGAATATATAAGTTGAAACTCACGGATAAGTCCACATATGATACACTGTATTCAGTTCGCCCAATTGAGTGAACCATGCACCCACAGGCTCGCAAAACTTGCTTCTACATTTGAGCCCCTTTCGCCTAAAGGATATACATCATATAGATGCATCATGGTTACGGAATACTATTACTCTTTTCGTTTTCGCATCAATGCTAGTACTGCATGATTCTTACCAATTCATTTCCCATTCCAGCAGTCTCCCTGGCTGCATCATGATTTAAACCAAAGCAAAAGAACGAATCAGCGGGGATTGTTCTTCATTTGAGATCCGTTTCATTGTCTCTTTGTCATTTTACCTTTAAATTGTATTTACGTAGCTCAAAAATACCATTGGTCACTTTGGGTGGTGAAGTTTGCCAGAAACTGAATTCGAGCATAATGTGATTTTCTCTTGATCTTACGAGGTCTTTGAGCTTTTTTGAATAGTGTCGATGATCTTTTTGTGTCTGCAGGTTTTCATGCGTTCTTCTACGGCCAGGATAACCTTTGTATTCCCAAATATGAATAAAAGTGTCTTGTTCGCCGATATCGACAGACCAACTGCCACATAAATTGACCTCATTCAGAGGATCATTGGCTATTTTCGGGAGATGTTTGGATCTACAGAGAGAGAGAGAGAGAGAGAGAAGTGAGTATACAGTATTTCTGTTCCTGTTATCTTTTACGTTCATCTATAGGGGGTGGGGTGGGGTGCGGATAGATAGTCTGATCTTTTCTTACACTAATTCAATGTACTCATCCACTTTATCAGGCTTTACACGATGGACTAGTAGAAAGAAAAAAGATAGTGAGTCTTCTGTTTTGTAAAGTATTTGTTCTCAGTTATTTTACTTTGTAACTCATGAACATATTTTCCTCTCGCAAGCATCTTTGAATGTGTTTGCTGTTCGATTTCTTTGACCTTTTTCGATCCGTAAAGAACGGCTTCCAATATTTCATTCGCACGACTGGGCTTGATGTTTGTATCTTGCGTACTGTCCTTTTGCTTTTGTTCATTGAATAAAGGGTTGAGTCGATGATGCGTTTGGAACGATCGTACGGATACTTTACGTATCAGTGAGACGGGCCGTGTCGTAGGGTAAAGCCATACGACTGTCGGAGCTGCTGATGTTGGGCATTGGATCAAGAACTTTGGAAAGTGCATTTTTTTAAAAAATTAAAAAAAAAAGGGAAAAAAGGATAGTGAAACAGGATCAAACAACGACCCACATGCCTTTGATATAAGCAATGTTAGAAATGTAAAAAGATAAAGCGTGAATGCACCCAATCTTTTCCCTGTTTGTAAACGTCACAAAAAAAAAAAGAGCAACTTTATTTCTTTTTTTCACACAGATTCACTTTCTATTTTATATACATGTGCATTGTTCATCCGTGAGAGGCATAAATTTATGCATCGTATGGTTTCCATTTCAGTTTTAGTCCGCCTCTAATTTCCACTGGTTTTCCATCATACATAGTATGGCCTACAATGAATGGGGGACATTTTAGCCGTCAGACGTCATAGCAGACAATCCCTCTTTTTTTTTTTTCGTCTTTTACCTTTCATCACTTGAACTCCCCATGCACGTCCATGGTTGCCTTCCTGCTCATGAGAGATGCCATGTGTCAGCGCTGTTTTGTTCTTTTCTCACGTGCACAACAGAGAATGAGAATTGGTACCTGCTTTAAATTCACTTTAGTCACTTCGTAATAACTGTTTTTAAGAGAATGGTTGTTGAAAAACTTGTTGGGTGCCTACATGTGTATAAAATCAAGTCATTGGCGTCCATGAGTAGGTGTGCGCCCGCACAGGAAAACTTTTTTTTTGAATTGATTTCTTTACAACGCGTGCGCCAACACCTGCGTTGGGCAAAGAAGACAGGAGCTGGTATAGGTTTTTTCCACTTTTTGCTGCTGCTGCTGCTGTACTCATTATAACAAATAAATAGTTTTTTTATGCTGTCAAAAAAGAAATCAAATCGGCCCTGGTTTTGTGAAATGGGGGGGAAAAAAAAAGGGCAAACCAGCAGCCGGTTTTTTCAAATCCAGGTTGTGTGTTACATAAAACAATATTTATTGATCCTTTTTCTGTGGTTCATCATGATTCGGTCGAGAAGAAAATACTCTACCAAAATTCAATAAATAGCCACCCCATCCAGAGGCGGTTGGTAAGGCTTTGGAGGCATTTTCAGAGGGTTCCTGTGGTGGAGAAGGATGTTGCTGTGGAGGGGATTCAGGCGATGGAGTCGTGGTCAAGCCTGTGGGAGAGGCTGATCCTTTGACGTTGACATAAGAGTTCAAAGATTCCTGACTTTCTGTACGATCCAATGCTGCCACAGTTTCATGTTGGCTTCTACGTCGTTTCACGTCATTCTCTTCTCTCACATTCACGTCTGCAGGAGAAGCGGCATCGCCTGCCTTATTTTCGTTGGAAGAAGATGGCTGCTGCTGCTGCTGGAATCGACTCGCAGTCGTTGAAATGAACGTTGAAAATAGGTTGTACGGATGAATGATATAGTTTCCAGTTTCCTTGATCACGGGGAGATCATCTTTCTTGTCATCTACTGATGCACCCGTCGTCTCCACAGCAGCAGCAGCAGCAGTAATAGCAGTCGTTGTCGTTTCTTCCTCCTCTTCTGCTTCTTGCTGACCCTACAGGAGAATGAATCATGTTGAATACAACGAGGTCTCTCTCTCGATCTCTTTTTTTTTGTTCTGTGCATTTAAAAATAGAAACCTTGCTGCGGAAAATAGTCTGTAATAGTGTCTTTCTTAATGTCTTTAAGCATTGCTTTCCGTACGAGACGATGGTTTTCTTTACTCTGAATTGAATTTCCACCAAGACATGATCAATCTCGGTCTCGTGCTGGTTTAAGAAGGGATCAAGATATCTTGTATAAACTAATGCAGCTCCCTATTTTTTAACACTTGTGTTCGTCATTGTCTCTTTATTACATGGTCTTGTCTATTTTTCATTACCTGTGTTTGCGGTAATATGAGCCATAAAACAATCACTAATTTAATCTCCGTGTAAAAGGGCATCCTATCATTCATGCAAACATCAGTGACGACGCCTTTCTCATCTCTATATATCTATATATATATATATATATCTATCTCTCTCTCTCTCTCTCTTTATCAGTCAAAAAGCAAAAACAGCTCTTTACCAGAATAAAAACATATCTGAAAAGTATTCAATGGCAAGATAAACGATGGAAACAATCCAGAATGTCAAGAGTGAACCGAATTGCTGTTGGTCATTGGCTTTAATCGCTTTATAACCAATATAGGCTGGGTAGAGTTGTAAAAGTCCCAATTTCACGGGAAAATAAATAAATGTCGTCAACATTAAAAAACTAGGCAGTTAAAAGAGAGAGAGAGAGAGAGAGAGAGAGAGGGATTGAAGAAACGAAAAAAAAGGGGGGAAATCATTCACCTATTTGGTTTAGAAAACAAAAAAAAAAAAAAAAAAAAAAAAAAAGAGAGCCAAAAACTATAAATCACACTTTTCATTTCTCTTCTTGTCAGTTGATTTAAATCTGCAATAAATGTCAAAGGACCACTTGTAGCTTTCACATCCAAAAGCCCGACTTTTTGCATAATACTCTTTTATCAATGGCTTCAACACCAGCCAATCACCATGACTTGATTTAGCCACACACCCAATGCTTTCAATCACAGCCAATCCATGGCAACATTCTGCAGATAATTTCACCGCACCCTCTTTCGCTCACCTCCTTCAGCCGCTACACACCCACACATTCCTTACGATTGAAAAAAAAAAGTGTATATTTTATTTTGTGTGATATGATTACGACAAAAAGAAAGAATCGAATGTATGGTATAGATAGATGAAACGAAAAAAATCAGAGGATTTAAAAAAGGTGATCTTCAAAACGAACACGGGTAGGCGTCTTTTCTGTTGCTGTCTTGGTTAATAAGGAATCGAGGACCATGGCAGGATCTCTGTCTACCAAGATCTTTTTGCGATCGATATTTTTTGTCAGGAATCTGGAAGGTATAGGATGAGAAGCTGTTGCTTCCTTCTTCAATACTGAAGATGCTTTGCACCTTTGTAAAAGGAACAGCATCTCTTCACCAACAGGAAAAGGTTGTCTCATAGGAGCAGCGAACATGGGTAGTAAAAAGTGAGAATGTTGTCAAGTGCTGATAGTGATAATGTGTGTCGAGTGAGAATTGGATATGGCGTGTAAAGGTAGAGGAAAAAGAGGGAAAACAAAACCAAAGAACCCCCTCTTTTATTTATACCTTTCCAATAAGATTCGAAAAAACGCGCAATATGCTTTCATCATTGATTTTCTGCCTAAAATGCATAGGAAATGAGAATAATGATAAGGTCAGGTTCCCATCACATATATCATTAGTCTTACACAATGCAAATCAACTCTCCTTAATATTTTCATTGGTTCACCGTACCTTTCCGATCCATGATTGAACATAGTGAGTGGCTGTTATGCTGCTGTCGATCAAAATTTTCCCAGTGGTATTTCCACTTTTTAATCCATTATCGGATTACACTGAACAAAATAGAAATTGGCTTAAGTGAAAGAATGGCATCCTCTTGAAGGATCACGGTAGATTGTCTTTTGCTATTTTATAAACTGTCTTTATAAAAAAAAAAAAAAAAAAAGGAGAAACACACTACGGCTATCTCTATGGAAGGTATTTATGCGGTCATGATATGCATCATAGATTATATATAAAAAAAAAAGTGAGTCCAAAACAAATGCATCCACATTTGTTCGCCAAAGATAAGATAAGATAAAAGTAGCCTTTTATGGAAATAGTGTAACCTATTTTACCCTTTGTTTTGAAGCACAATAAAGAAAAAAAAAAAAAAAAAAGAAAAGTCTAAATTTGACACCAGCACCACTTGCCCGATGCATTTGTTTCATGCATGGTAGTCTTTCATAAACGAGTCAACGGCATCGATGGAACCAATCACTGCACATACAATACCGATGAAGCCTAAGATGATGCAAAGTCCCATGGTTGAATAGGATGGCTGAAGATGCCAATTCAGTTTGATCCAAAAAACAGTAGGCAAAACAAAGGACAGTGTATCCGCCAAGACGGTTCCCACCACAGCCATCAAAGTCGAGAATTGTGGGATCAACATGGAGACAGCGCCGCAAAAGACGAGTTCTACCACACGCACCATGTATCGAGTATATTGCTTTAATTTCAATTGGGCAAATTGTATCTCCTCCACCCTTCTTCCAACGGTAGCCAACAGACCATTCTCTTGTGGTTGCTCTTGCTGCTGCTGGTGGTGCTGCTCTTGATGGTGTAGCACACCTAACCATGATTCAATTTTGATGGTAAACACGTACAGATAGAAAGGAATGGCAAAGATCACATGAAGGGTGATCACCATCATGGCCAAGTAACGTAGGTGTCCTATCGTTCACATTCGCGTTGAACGGGAAAGGAACAAGATGAATCACCCTATGTCATGGCATGCTGCTCCCTCACCTTTTCGCCCCCCCCCGCTGCTTTTTTAATTTTTATCTTACCATTCGTCAAACTTTTGTAGATGGGCGTCTGAACATAGGGACCAAATATAAAATAGCCTACAGTACCTATCAGTAGGTACATGATACCTACCACGAGGGTGGCTATCAAGAGTACTTTGGGCCAACGTTCGGGTGTCTCCATAGACTCTTCCAGATGAGGATAAATGACATGTCCACAGAAAGAAAAAGTAAAGGTGCTAAAAGCGATGGGGATCTTTCGAGGAATGGCCACGACATGAGGCATTTCCGCATAGGCGACTTGTACATTGCTGGTGGATAACGAGGCAGCTATCACGACGAGTAATAAGCAAACAGTGCAAATCGACGCAAACGTACTACATTGGCCCACACGTTCGTTTGATCAGTAAGTAGCTCGACCCTAAAAAAAGATTTTTAATTTTATCTTTTTACCTAAACAAAGAAACATCTTTCATATTTCGAACCAACACAAAGGGTGGACCAATGACGAGAAGGAGTAGCCAAACAATCATGTTTTTATCGAGATAGACGAGCCCATGTTCAAAGAGTACTTCAGCTATATTTTCACTGGCCATCGTGATGTAAATCGTGGGTGTCAAGATCAGAAAGAGTTGAGAGATGAGCCAGCCTATGATCTGGCCTGTTCTACCAAAGGCTACGTGCCCGATATCACTGTAATCTTTTAATCGACGGCTGTTGTGGCCGTTGTAGTAGAGACATTGAATCAAGACGATACCTGTAAAGTGTGACATACAGGCACTCAGACACAGAAAAAACAGTCCAATCCAACCTGCCTCGCTGACAGCCTGAGCGATGGCCAAAATGCCTGTGCCTCCCACCACACAACTGTAGATCATATTTTCAAAATGAAGCATCAATAGACTGAACGGCTTTTCTTTTTTTTTCGTTTTATTTACATTATACTTGATAAAGTAGAGGTATTGGAAACATTTCTTTTCTCGTCTTCATGCATCATTTCATTGAGTCGAGGGTGTTGCGTGATGGTGCGTTGATCCTTTGACAGTAGCATGTCTGTACCAGCAACTCGTGGGGTGGGGGGGGGGAAGCACTCGCACCCTAAATCGGGATGCTAACTTGAATATCAGCAAAAGAAAACAAGGAAAATCCAACCCTATGAAAGAAAGATAAGAAATAGAAATCATAGCTTAAAAAAAAAGTTTTGTAATGAACGGACAACATGCAAAAAAGGGCCAAGGAGACTCTCAAGGCTTCATGTTCGGCTTTCAAACCGAACCTACTGTTCTCATCTCCCTTCCCAATACATACGTAACTATAGAGTAAAAAGGACCAAGCATCCACTACATACAAAAAAAAACGTGCCTAGAAAAACAAAAAAATGTAGGATGGATAACGCTGTTTTCTATTTCATTTGAGTGTATGCGGGATCCATTCTAGTATGGATCATTCTGTAGGCTATGTTCAAGAGCGGTTGTTGAAAAGAAAGTCACTTTATTGTCTCGATAATCCATTGTTCTGATGAAAAAAAGTTTTAGGAAACACAAGTTCTTTTGGTTGTTTTCTGAGGTTTAAAGATAAGCCGACGGGGAATGATTGGTTCCCTGGCTACCATAGGTTTTTTTTTTCTTGCCGTATTTGAAGCCCACGGCCCAACCAGCTCAATCTCCCACCACCCACAGACCTACACACCACACACACACCCGCACAAAAAGCACACACACACACAAATTTTTTGATCCAAACCACAAAAAAAAAAAATTTTTTTAATATCAGATGGCAAAGCTCATTTTTGCCAGGCTACAGAAATAAAGGATACATAGTTATTACTGTCATAGATATGGAACAGTTGGACACCCATCCATGTACAAAACCTGAAGCACTTGTGAATAGAGAAAAAGTACATTGGCGCTAGAGGGGCCTACCACGGCAGCAGCAGATCTCATTTATAATAAGCTTTTTTTGGAGGAAGAGAGAAAAAGTAATTCAGGCCCCCGAATGACCTGAAGTTTAAAAATTTCCATGTAAAAAAGATAGGCGAGTTTCCCTTTGATCCTTTTCATTTAAAGGGAAAAAGACTGAAAGTTTTTTCCCTTTTTTTTTTTACCCTTTTTCCCAAAAACTAATTGAAAAAGAAAAAAAAAAAAAAACCAAAAAAACCGAGAGATTCCCCCATTCCATCTATTGATAGCATTCCGTCTGTTGTTGCCTGGTGAAAAAAGCATATTCCTTCCATTTTTACTGTAGATGAATTCAACTGAAATTACGTCCAATGATCCAGAGGCGTTGTTAGGTAGAGAGACACAGCTTTATTGTTGGCATTTTGTTTGTTTCCAACTGCTTTTCTGACCCTCCCGCACCCCCTCTGTTAGCATTCACGATCTATACTGTTGAGCACCTATTAAAAAGTAGTCATCCAATGCCGACGACCTGCTCAAGACATCCACGACGGCTACCACCGATTGGCCAGTTTATTCGCGAACTCTATAGCGATCCAAACGTCGGCATGACAAAGAAAAAGACCCATTCTCTCACCTGTGCGGTCAAGTTATTTGCTCTCATCTACTTGTATCGGTTAAAGTCGAAATTACCCAAGCACGCGAGAGGAGGTGCTGATACGCCTTATCGTTTGATCTTGGCTGCTCTCTTGACCAGCTCTAAATATCTATCCGAGACAGGTACGGGGTTAACCAGCTTGCAATTATCTCAGTTAAGCCAGAGCGTCTTCACAGCCAACGAGATCAATCAAATGGAAAGGAGTTTTCTGGGCTTGTTAAAATACGATTTGTGGGTGTCTGCTGGAGATATTCAGTCTTTTATGCGTCTCTACGGATATACGCTACACATGGATGTCTACCATGTGAATCTATTACGTTTGCCTACTTTTCATAAGGAACAGCAGCAAGAGCAGCAGCAGCGACAGCCTCCATGGATCCGTCATGAAAAGAAGAGCAGCACTCGTCTTCCTTCTTTGGTTGTCAAGACAGGACCCGCAGAACAGAGAATGGCGTCTACTTCAAGTAGTACGTTAGCCCATGCCATTGTGAGTAGTACGACAAAGCAAGCTTCACCACCTCCTGTCATGGGTGTGGACACCCGTGCCACCCACACCACGACCACCCCTATTTCACCTCATCCCGCTTGAGAAACAACCCGCCCCGCCCCGCCCCGCCCCGCCCCCATTTTCTATCCATTCCCCCTCTCTCATTTTTGTACATACCCTCTGTTTTATGCTTTACATTTTTACCCGTTTTTCATCGTAGGGGCGATGACTTTTTTCATTTATTTATTTATTTCACTGTACATAATGTATTTTAGTTTTCTTAAAGGACGCTATGAATGATAGACACAAGTTGAATAATAAACAACTCTTTACTGCTGCAAGTCATGTATATAAATATAGATAGATAGGGCCGAGTTTTCCCTCTCTCTCTCTCCTAATGTACCTGCTTACGAAGAGAGAAATAGAGAGTTATGATGGACAAGGAAGGATCATACATAGGACCATTCAATAGGAATACGACCTAGTGACAAATCAGCAATCTCATCAAAGGCGGAAGGACTCAAATCCACACTTCCAAAAGCACAAGGAGGGCAAGTATCCACCTAATGGAATGAAGAAAGAAAGAAAAATAACAACAAAGATTCAGCCATCCGCTTTCTCTTTAGGCTTTTTTCTTTTTCAATAATACTTTACAATGGTCACCGTAACAGATTTCTGGTTGGCAGGATTGACTACTTTGATTCGCTTACCGCACTGAGGATTTTTATTTGGATTCGCACCGTTGGCCATTTGAGGAGCATTTAATGCGGCGACATAGTCACTATTGCTATCGGTCGATCCACACGAACCAAGTCCAACATCTAAAATAGATACCCATAGAAAATCGCGTTATCAAAGTGAGGTTCTGGGGTCTTTTTTTTTTTTTCTTTTGAATAAGATCAACTTACCGTAATAGGTACCGTCACCTGAATAAGTTCCGCCGCCGCCGCCGCCGCCGCCGCCACCACTAGTAGGAGTAGCATGGGGAACAGGAACGGCTGCTGCTGTTGTTGTTGTTGTAGGTACTGCTGTCTTTTTGCGGCTTGTCGTTTTGGTGGAGGGGGTTGGTTTAGCCAAAGTAATCGTAGTACGTGAAGAGCGACGACGTCCATAGGAATAAGCAGGAGCAGCCGAGATCATCGTAGCGTAAGAAAAAAGACAAAGGAGGGCAAGGAACGTGAATCTCATCATGAACAAGGCTTAAAAGATAAAGGAGACGTGGCTTGAATAGTAGGGGATGGGATAAAATACAGAGTAGAAAGGAAGGTCAAGGGGTAGGATAAGTGACAACCGGTTTGAAAGAAAGGACTGTGGTTAGAAAAAGCTCTTGTTTGTCTTTCGAGTGTGTTCCCCTTGCCCTTTTATACCCTCACAGCTTCTTCACATGTCGATGTCAAACAAGTAACCATTAAAATGTGGATAGCTTGTCCTTGTGTTCCCCTCTCAGTTGCTTAATGAACAGTTTTTTTTTTCGTAATGAATGTCATCCACACGGGTATGATACGGATGTACATTTCATTAAGAGTTGTGGAGAAGTGGTGTGTGACAGGTACCAAACGACTCGCACACTACTCTACCTACGGAGACGCGAAAAAAGAAAAACTCCATTTCCAGATCGGGCAAGTTGAACAATTATGTTGTCAATGAGGCAAATGTAATATATAAATTATATTGTATAAATAAAATGTAACGACGATGAAACAGAGAGTTTTTTTTTTTTCAAAAAAGGACAAAGCAACGTCATCTTTTTTCTGTCTTTTCCTTGTAGGGTTTTTGTACTTGGCCGTTTTTAAGGAAAAAAAAAAAAAAAAAAGAGCGATAGATTCTAGGCACTTCTAAAGAGGCAGGTTATTTAAAGTTTTTCATCCATATCAATTAAATCAACATCTTGTGAACAGGAAAGAAAAACTTGTTGACTCCCTTTGCTTGTACCACTGCAATGTAGATTGAGGCTGTAAAAAGGAATGTGAGCCTGCAGCCAATGACAGGTTCGGTGCGTCTCCTACATCAAACTAAAACCAAAAAAACCAAAAAAAAACGCGTTTATAAAACTGTGAATCGAACTTCAGGAACCAGGAAGGATAGAAATGAAAAAAAAAAAAAAAAGAAAAAGCCCCCATCTTGTTTTATTACTTGTGAATAGAGAATATAAAAAAAAAATGTTATGTATATTGAAGAATGAGGGACGAGCCCATCATTCGTTTGAATGAGACTGTCTATCCATACAATGTTGAGGAAAGACGCCTCTTTCTCCTCCACGTGACAGATTAATACCTAGACACCATCCATCGTCATATTCGGTGTATACCTGCACTTTATCTCCTGGTTGAATGTAGAGTTCGTCATCTAACGTCTGTGTGTAGGAGGCAATAATGGTATAGGTGCCTAAAGGCTTTTGATTTTGCCAGAAATCTTCGTCGATCACTGGTGTCGTATTACCACCATTGGCTGACGAAAGTACTGAGTTGGAATAGTTATGGGCGAGTTCAAGTGTTTCTTTCGTACTATTCTTGTGCGAGAGGGTGGTAGCAGCGGAGGCGGAGGCGGCGGCGGCGGCGGCAGCTGAAAAAGGGGTGATACTATTGTAGAGTGAAGTCGTCGACTCTTCCGGCAGTGGGGTTGTATTCGCAGTGTACGGATGATAGGAAGGTTGTTGGTTTGGGTGATCTCGCCGCTGAGGATCGTGCAGGTTCTTTTCTGAAGTGTGGTAATCATGGTACGAAATACGCTGTCTTTGCGCTTTTCTTTTTCTATACCATAAACAGAAGCCTAAACCCGTGAGGAGAAGAGCGGCTATCACACATGCTACAATAATACCAACGAGTGCGCCACGTGATAACCCTGAATGATGGGCTAGGGGGGAAGATGGCGTTTTGGGCAGCAATGTTGCTGTAGGCGTCGGGGTAGAGGCAAAAGAAGGTGCTATCGTTGGCTTGCTGTTGGAAGCACTGGCTAGACGAGTCGACGGCGACGTTTGTGCTGGTGTGGAAGAGGGGGAGATTTTCAAAGAAGGGCTCGGGGAAGAAGAGGAGGGCTGCATCGTACTTTCTGACAATGAGGATGTCGTGGTGGCGCTTTGGCTCGTATTCATCGTTGTACTGCTGCTGCTGCTGCTGCTGCTGCTGGAGGAGATAGATGGCCTTGTCGGCGATTTCACCGAAAAGGCAATGATGCTCTGATTAGGACTATTCTTAAAGCTATTACTATTCATGATGTCGCCTTTAAAAAAAAGATGAAATAAGGTATGCTGTGTGTTTCGTCAAGGTCAATTCGTTTTTATGTAGGATGTAGCGTATATGTGTTGTATGGATGTGTCTATTCGAAAGCAAATGGTTGATCAGTCATTCTATGTCAATTGAAAAAAGAAACCCTTTTGTTTTTTCGCTCTTTACAATAAGTTAAAGGTGCCTGAAATGCTCGCTTTCTTTTTTGTTTTTAAATAGAAACGCATCAATCAAGAAAACGTTCACCGAAAAAGAGAGGAAAAAAAAAAAAAAAAAAAAAAAAAAAAAAAAAAAAAAGGAGAGAAAAGCCCACCATAGATTGGTGTTGGATAAAAAAGATTTTATTATCCTCTTTATTAAGAGGCTTTTTGGTGGCCTTTTTGCTAATAAAGATGACTTATTTTCTATTAGATATTATACACAATCAATTTATTAAAAAGTTTCAAAAGGTCGTGATTTGTATGCGAGGCTAAATGGTCGGAGGTCCTTTTTACAGTACTTTTAACTCGTCATTTTTATTGGACAGTCAACAATTTTTATTTTAGACCAATTTCATTTATTTTTTTAGATGAAAATGTAAACCAAACTACTTGAGATAAGGGCCGCCCTATTCATGTCTCTCTCTACCCTACCTTAAAACATGGCTTGCACCCAACACCTTTCTGGAGGGGGGCGGGAAGATGAGGATTCCGAGTACTTGTCAGTCAGCCCTTCCACTTTCTGACGCTTTTAACAATTATCAATGAATGGATGAGGTTGAATATCAAAACCTTTGTTGGAGCACATCGTCATCTAAATAAAGAAAAAAAAAAAAAAAAAGAAAGTTGTTCAGCATTTTGAATGACAAAGTAAAGTGTGCGACTGTTCGACTAGTAAAGATGATGTTTAGGGTTCAGTTGTACGTCCTTGGATATTTACTAAACAACTCATGAACTCATTGAAACTCCAAAAATACTTTACCACTTCATCCTAAAAATAATTGCCAAGTGAATTAAAAATACATATCGTTGTAAACGTCAAAAATGGAAGCTAAAATGACTTGTATTATTTTTTCCTTTTGGAAAAAAATGGGATTTTTTATAAACCAGAAATAGAAAATAGAACGCGCTTTCAGCCGTTGTCTTTTTTCCGTTTAAATTTTTCTCTACCAACACGAACGCACGGGTAACAATGGATTAGTTTCAAACATCAAGTCAGTCGAACGGTGGAGGTGATGCCAAGAGGGTAGAGGGAGGAGTGGGAGGAGGGGAGGTGGGGGGACAGTTTCTGCAGTCTGCCCTATCTTTTTATTTTTTATTTTTATTTTTTGTTTTGGCTGTCATACGCTGTAATACATGGAACAGCAGCGGCAGCAAGTATAAAAAGTAGACTCTCCTCAGTAAGAGGGCGAGGAGAGCCCAAGCCAAGCCAAGCCAGCCGAAAGAGAGAGAGAAAAAAAAAAAAAAAAAAAAAAAAAAAAAAAGGAATGTCCCCCTTCTCTCAGCTGGCCCCCTAGAAACTGAAATCGGCCGTTTCTTTTGCATCTCGTGGTTTGTTTTAGTATTTTTCTTCTGACCCACCCCTCACACAACCACCACGGCGGGCGGCCGGCCAAAATAAAAAATTCTCTTGGTTTTCGACGTGGGATTTTATTTTTTGGGAAGCGAAATTTTTTCCTTTCGCCCTCCCCTTTTCTTTCTCTCTTCTTTTTTTTCTTTTGTCTTTTCATATCAAATCAATATGGGTTTAAGTACTGAAAATAGACAACGCGTAAGTATCGCTTTTATCTGGGAATTTGGAGGGGAAAAATGGGCTTGAAAAGATTTATTTTTTTTGTCGCAAGAAAAGATGGAAAAGAGGAGTTTGGAAAAAAAAAAAATAGAAGAAAAGAGGACAATAGCCCTTTGAGAGAAAAAAAAAAAAGAAAAAAGAAAGAGAAACACTATCTAACGAAAAACCGTATCATGTAGGCCGCTGTTATCATTAAAGAGCTTGGTAGAAACTTTAGCGAACTCCTTGAACTTGTCATACTGGGTAATCAACCGAATGATCTTTCAGGTGATAAAAAGTCAGCTGCCTCCCACGGCAAGACCGCCGCTGCAGCATCAGCCGCCAACCCCACCAGCCCCAGCAGCCATTCTATGAAACAAAGCGCTCAACGTAACCAGCCTGCAAAGAAGAAGGATCCTAATGCTCCTAAACGTAATCTTAGCAGCTACATGCTATTCTCACAATCGATTCGTCCTCAAATTGTACGAGAAAATCCTGAATTGTCGGCAATTGACACGGCTAGATTGATTGGTGAAAAGTGGAACGCATTGAGCGATAAGGAAAAGAAACCTTTTGTTGAAAAAGCTGCACAAGAAAAGGCTCGATTCGATAATGAGATGAAATTGTACAATGACGGTTTGTCTTCCCCTACCACCACCGCCGCCGCTGGAGAGAGCCCAAGCCCCAAGACCACCACTGCCCCTTCTGCTGCTGCTCCTGCTGCTCCTGCCAAAAATATGACTGCTTCTAAGCCCGTAAAAGGAGAAGAGAGCAATAAAGAAAACAAGACCTCCTCCAAATCATCAAGCTCGTCTGATGTGCCCAAGCGTAAGCATACCTCGGCCGACAGTGGTAGCAGTAAGAAAAAGTCAAAGAAACATAGCTCCAGTAAACATTAAAGGTGACATCTTTTGTCTGTACAAATCAACCATGATGTATGCGATGATAGATTTCTTTTTACTTTATAATAATTGAGTCTATTCTTTATATCTTTAATGCAACAACATTCCATTGTTTCAATCCACTTCTTTTTGTATAGTCTCTTTGTTCCCTTTTTTTTCATTTTTTTCCTTCTTTCCCTGCATAATAAATTTATTTCCATACCTGCGTTTATTTGTTGTGTTCCTGTGCATTGTGTTATCCCTCCCTCACGCCCCTCCCCCTTGGTCAAGCATGTTGGCTCATTCTAAACGATTTGGACTTTTTTTTTCATATCACCTGTGATATATATCAAGCCATCTTTTGTATAAACGGTCAAAAAATGTACAACGAATGGAACGACTACAAGTTTTTTTTTTATTTCAGATAGTTGGCAAAGGCTTTTGTAACATTGTAAAGCAACTCCCTTCAGTCGAGCAGTGATTATCATGGGTAGTCTGTCCATAGCTTGTCGGCAGACTTTTCAACATTGACTGCAGCAAGCTCTGTGTCACCCGTGAGATATGTATTCGTCGATAGGAGCGTTTTCATCTGCAGAATGATCTGTATTGGATGCATCTTTTGCAGAAGCGACTGCAGCATCGTCCATCCTGTCTTTTTTGCCGTCCAATGCTTCCTCTTTCTTAGCATCAGGTCCTTTCCTATCACTGTTCTTGTTTCCCATCATCCTTCATTTTATCCTTATCCGCCTCATCATCGCTATTTATACCCGTTGCTGTTCTAACTGCTGCAGCAGATTCTTGTTGTTGTTGTTGTTGTTGTTGTTGCTGCTGCTGCTCCTTGCTTTTTTCTTCCGTGTCCTTCTCCTTTTGGAGCTTTTGGTACACCGATGGTAAATTTTCTACTGCAATTGTATCAGTGAGTGTTGGATACAGTTCATTACTACAAACAAACAAACAAAAAAATAAAATAAAATATTTATGAATATCTTCCGCATGCTTGTCGAGGGAGAATGGATGACCTTACGTTGAGCATACAACAAATTTCTTGGTCGTGGCTTCGGATAGTAATGGACGGAGCAGCTTGAAAATCATACTAACAGCATCATAAAGTATGCTCATAGAGCGCGTTATCCATCAATAAGAATCGCCTGTCGTTCACCATAGATTATTTCCTCTTACCTTCCCCAAGAAGGAACATTAACAAAAAATTTGATGGCCTGTATGTCAACCCCCACCCCCCCCCCCAATTGATTTAGTACAATTGACTAGAGACGAATAGACAGCTGTTTCTTACCAAAAATTCTGGGTAGTCATCTTGCATGATTTTTATGATTTCTTTCGTGGCTGCTGTATTCTCCTGAGCACCTCACTTGGCGACAATGGCAAACGTACGGCGGCGCCATTTGTAGCGGCACTCTGCTGGGTTGTTTATCTCGGTCCATCTTGGGGTTGATGAAGTAGAGGAGGCATCCCGCTTTTTTCCCAATGAAATGTAAGTTACTATCTCTATCTAGGCTAAATGACAACTGCTATTTTCTTTCTTTTTTTCTTTTTTTTTACTTCAATTGTAGAGATAGATTAATCGTCTTCCTGAGGAATGCTTTCTCCTCTTAGACACTTTCTCTGCTTTCTGTGTTACTTCCTTCAGTATTTCTCCTCACTATCCATATCAAAGGATAGTTGTGCGCGTTGTTTAGATACTGAGATGCATCCAATGTCATATAGCTCTCTTGGAACGGGCAGAATCTCATCAAAATAATCTACGAGGGTAGAATGGCTCGTCATCCTTTGTCTGATCCAATAAGGATAGCACGATTGTTCATCCATGACTTGATGTAAAAAAGAGAAAGCTTCGTTAGCTTCAAATAGATCTCTTGTCGTTATATGAAATATTCAGGCTCTGTTCTGGATATTGCTCTCTATCACGATCAAGGTTGTACGTGTTTTGTTGCTGTTCCATCATTTGTCTAAAAGTGGAATTGCTGATTCAGAAAAAAAAAAAAAAAAAAAGAAGTAAAGATAGCGTCTTTCACTCTATAATGCAGCTGACTATCCCATAAAGATATGACGTGGGCTTTCCTTTTTGATTCTGAACAAGTCCATCCAGAGGGCGGGTGCTCAACCTGCTCTATTGATGCTTTCAGGCAGTCTCATTGAGTTGTACTCCTCCACGTTCATCATAACGGCAACTTCATGTGTCATTTTTCTACATCTATTGTTATCCATTTCAACAAGTCTTTGTCTTTTCGATGTTTGTTTCTGATTGGACAAATTTCCCTGGAATGATTTGAATAACAACCTTTGATTGTTTTAAAATATTGCTTTACTAAATCACTTTTTTTTGTTTCGTTATCTCTCTACTCAACAAAAAAGTCCCTTCTTTTCTCCAAAAAGATAACTTTCTAAATCAAATAGACATTATTATGCCGGCAAAAAAGAGCCAAAAACAAGGAACCATTGATCTGTCACGAACGCGTCGTAGTGCGACCAAGGAGGGAACAAAGAATAAAAAGCCCTTACTCGATGACAATGTCATACAAATAGGTGAAAAGGATAGAGAAACCTTGCTACCGAAGAATAACGGCACGCCAAGTAAGAAAAAGAACCGCATCCAAAGGCGATTCGACAAAAAAAAAGAAAGACAGTAATGTCACTCATTGTGCTTTTCTTTTTCTTTTGGAACAAAAAAGTACATCAAGAGCATCTTACAGAAACCAACAAGTTACTACGAGCCTTTGATTTAGATTATACATATGGACCTTGTATCGGCATCAGCAGACTCGAAAGATGGGGTACTTTGTAACGGAGACGATACGTGCACAAAGAGATGGATAGATATACATAGACAATGACACTCATCCATGTTTTCTGTATAGAACGAGCTGAGAAACTAAACCTGAACCCGCCTCCAATCATCAAGGACATCTTGACAAACGATACGTCTGGAAAATATAAGCACTCTTTATTTCATGAATACAGGGATATGATGTAACCCCACTACTATAGCGCAAATCGTTTATAAAGAGGGAAAAATATACTTTTATTACTTTCCTTTGAACATGACATCAACATTGTGTCAAACCATCAATGAAAAAGCTTTTTGAATCTCACTTTTCTAGACACTTTTTTTTGCTGCATTAAAAAAAGGTCGCGAATAAAAAGCAGAAAAGAATATAAATACCCTTACGCTAAGTCGAAAGCAAACGATATTATTTTTTTCATTTTTTTTTGCTAACGAAGATCTCTATAAAATACAATAAAAAATGAGTCACCCTGAAAACCGCAAGATCGCGCATGCTGAAGCTGCTTTGATGGCCGGCAAGCCCTACGAAAGATCTAATGAAGGACACAATCAAATGTATGATAACTTCTCCGACTTGAGAGCAGAACACGAACGTACAAAAAATCATCATAGTGAAAGCAAGCAATCCCGTGGTCAACGCATTGATCAAGAATTAGAACAAGAAGACAAGCAAATTATCCAAGAAATGGATGAACGCAAGAGACAAAGTCAAGAAGATTCGCAATAGACATGCACTCTCTTTTTAATGGAGCACGGGGAAACACCCATGTGATTCAAACTTTTTGTATCATAATTTAACAAAGTCAAATCTCACATTGTAAATAGTATACATGTATCTATCCATATGTACTTGTAAATGGTAAATAAAAATATCAAAAAGAAGAAAAGCTGCTGCTTCGGTCTTTTTTTTTTTTAAAACTATACAGGGTAGGGTGAAGGATGCTAACATAGGAAAAATGACGGGTATTGATAAGTAAAGGAGGTGGTGACGGGGAGGAAGTGTAAAGGAAGAGTTTACAGCTCATGGTAGCCTTATTCGAGCTTCTTCAATCATCACAGCAGCTCTGAAGAAGAGGGCTCCTTTTTGATGGGTTGTTTCAATCTGAGAAACGGAATAATTAAAAACTTAATCTGTTGTTTTTTGTTGTTGTTTTACAGAAGCTTTTTAAATCGGTTTCCCTTTTTACGCTTATATTCATCTACTGCAAACATGATCCGAGATTTGCACCGTTTTCCTCGGGTGCATTTTCATAGGGAAGCTGTCTGTGCCTCACCCTGGTATGACATTCCGAGCCAGATGTACATGCCCCTCTATGTACTTTTTAAATGAAGCAAAAGAGCCTTTGTCTACGTAATTGACAACCTGATAATTGCCTTGGTAATGAAAGTTAGAGCATAACCATATGACCCTGCCCCCCCCCTCCCCCGCACTTTCGCTTCTACGTCGTTCGTTAGGTCATGGGCTTTAGACTTCTATTTTTACAATTCAAGAAAAAGGGACAATAGGTCACATTGCTCACCCTACGAGTATGGAAAAAGAAACTTGCTGGGAAGAAACCTGAAAAGAATCAGAAGAGAGATATTTTCTTTTCGAGTGCCACCTTGAACGCTGTAACAGACAAAGCAACAAGCAATGTCGTGTGGCCAATAAAATACTAAAATAGGTGAGCCAACGGCAACTAGGCTTATTGGACGCTCCCCAAAATGACACATAACTCAATAGCTAAACTCTAAGTAGAACAGAGCCCGGGAGCTACTGTGACATCACTGGCATAGAACCAAACCTTGCCTTTGCTTGAAATCTCTACAATTTATATCGCGTATTGCTTGGGTTCTTATCAGATTACTAGCAAAGTGTGTACCACTTTTCCCTTCTATACTCATTCATTACCAGTGGGGGAAAAAGGAGAACCGTGGCTGTCCACTGCGATTCATTGAACGAGAATTCGTCACTCAAGGTTTATTCTCCCCAATAAAAGACTGTCTTTGCCATCACTTTTCGAAAGAATGGTCCGTTACTCGTTCCTCATTTGAAAATGTATGGGATTTCCCTCAAACAAAATACATTGGGAGGATATAGCAGCACACAGTCCAAATATGCTGTTCGAAACAGCTTTGGATAACTTGAGCGCGTTCAAATGGCTATGAATGTGTTTAACATCTATGTGTATTTTTCAACTGCTGCCAAGAGAAACAATGATGTCCCAAGCTGAAATGTAACTTTCATTTCATTGGCTGCAACAAGGAATAATTACAGAAGGTCAGTGCTCCAACCCGTGCCCAAAAGCAACCATCGTGATTGTTACACTCATGCTTACACACAGCCCAAGGTAAGAAACATTCGTTCTGATAATGTTGAGATGTAATTTTCCCGAGGGAATCTAAACCAAATAAAGAGGCTAAATTTAAAGGCAATATGGGATCATTACCATCATGGGGTCACTCTATATAAAATTTCGTCTTTTTTAGTTTAGGTGGTGCGTTATTAATGATTGCAAGGGATAACTTTCAATCTTCTAACCGATAACAGTCCAAAGTCTTGCCAACGAGGAGATGGGCGTTTGTGCAATATTTGTGCCATTTTTAAATAGGAAAAACGCCCATTTTTTAAAAGTAATGGGTCCCTCTCCTAACAGTTTTAAGTGAAATAACAATAATTAAGAAAAGAATTAGGGCGTTTTTTCTTTGACTGCCATGTAAATAGTAGAAAAAACTAAACTTGGATAACCACCAACCATCAGATGATATGCAGATTTGGCTTTTTTGTTACACTTTCTTGCCTTTTTTTTTTTTTTTTTTTTAAATATATCTGTAACTTTCTTACAAGGGCATATAGAGTCGTTTTCCCGCCTTTTAAAAAACATGTACATGTTTTAGTAAAACATAAACAATAGGTCTTGGGTCCTTCCTAAAGTCAAAATATTTACATGTTTGGACAATCGATCAAAAGGAAGGGCTCCCCTTTCGGCCCCTGTCCATTTAAACAATCTCAAAAAATACTGTCTGTCCTGATAAGGGGGAGATCCTAACCTAATATAAGAACCTAAAAAAAAAAAAAAAAAAAAAAAAGTTCTGCATTAAAAGAATGAAGCTTGTTAGCCTTCTTCTTGTTTTGGGTACACAACAACGATGAGCAAAGATTTTCTTGCAAAAAAAAAAAAGAAAAGAAAAGAGGTAGGCACACCAAACACAGACACAAGACAAAAGAGGACGTGTAACCTACTACGTATATTATTTTTGTGTCTCTTCGTATTTAGTATACATGATATGATAACAAAGAATGCGCTCAAATTGAATTTTTCTTTTTAAAAAACAGATAGAACTAAACTGCAAACTATTGTAAATAAGTTGGTTCAATTTAGAATTTTGGCGCCAAACTCAAATGCAAAGGAGTTCAGTGCTTATGCTGCAAAGAAAGGGAGGGAAAAACGTATGGGTGCTATTTAAACAAATAGCACTAATTTCTGTAGTAAAATTGCCCTTCCAAGAGACTAAAGAGAAAGGGTGTGTGTGTGTGTGTGTGTGTGTGTGTGTGCGTGCGTGTGCATAAAATAAATTGTGTTGTATTTCTTCATAAAGTAAGCCTCCCATGATAAATGCTTTTTTGTGCTTCCTTGTGCCTACTTGCCCGATAATAAATAATAATCTGATCAAACTATTCCCAATATAAATAAGATGCCAATTTTTCGGTAATTTTGTAGTTCCCTTTCTTTCCTCACTCCTTTCACTTTGAATTGATTTCCTCTAACTGACACTCATACTCCCTTCCTCTTTCCCTGTTCAATTGAAACAAAAAAAAAAAAGAAAAAAAAAAAGATAAAACGAACATACGTCTTTATCACAAAGGAATACCAGCCAACAGCTAAACAAACAGTATTCAGACACACATATATACCCCCCTCGCCGCTCAGTCGTCAAAAAAAACCATAAAGCATGTCCGTCATTAAGCCAACAACATCTTCCTCTCCTTCTATTTTATTGTCAAAATCAAACACAGTAGACACCTTGGCCAAGAAAAAGCTGGCCACCCACCCTCACCATACTATGAACAGCAGTTATAGTCAATCCATCATGACAGCAGCACTTCCAGCTACTAGTAGCCGTCAGAAGAAGAGCAGCAGTACTTCTTTGAGAAGGTCTTCTTCCTCTTCTTCCGCCTCTTCCTCGGCTTCTCTGTCGACTTGCTCTACTTCTTCATCTCTCTTAAATGCCTCATCTACGACTGTTTCAACCTCTTTATCTTCCTCTGTAATGGATAACAAAAAGTATTCTTATAAAACGTGTCCAATGTGCTCTGAGCGTTTACTTGTAAGAATACATGGTGCCTTTGTACATAAATGGATTAATCTTCACTTTGCCAACAGGCATCATGAATGGATGCATGTCGTAGTCAATCTTCATTAAGAAAAAAAAAAGCCAACAAAAACCTTTTCCCCCATCACCCTTACCCCATTTGTAATATTGCATTCAAAAACAAAAAATAACTTTTGTAAATAATTAATACCCCTCTCCCATTGATTCCTTTTCCATTTGAAACAAACAAACAAACAAAAAAAAAAAAAAAAAAAAAAAAAGAAATGGACATCTTTTATCACACTTCACTTATCATTGCGCATTTCTCTGTCTTCTCCAACATATCATCGTATTCAAATGATGATGACACTAAAAAATCAATAAAGACACAATCCCCCAGTTATTTCTTTTTATCAGCTTTATTTTACTTAGTCGTTTTTAAATACCCAACAGTCAGCCTACTACTACTATAACTTTGAGTGCAATATATCATGCATTATGAACTCTAATACATCTCTATCTGAACTATGTACAAATTGAATGATGCATATCGTTGTTGTGCCGTTACATTGTACATTTGCATACTTTACTTATTCTTGCGTCTTTTGTTCATAATGAGAACTCTTGGATGATGACTGATTATTATTCAAAGTATGAGATGCAAAAGAAGAGGGTTGCTGTTGCTGTTGTCTATAATAATGGGCCAGCCTTTCTTTCTCTTCTTCAGCTGACATAAAAGTAGAAGATGACGTAGGCGGGATACGGAAACCACCGGCATCTATTCTAGGTCGCTGTTGTTGTTGTTGTTGTTGTTGTTGATGATGGTGCACTTGTTGTTGGAATTCTGAATAAGGTCGATAGTACGGATATTGTTGTTGTTGCTGCTGCTGCTGCTGCTGCTGATATTGACGATGATACAGATGGTGGTAATCTATTTGAAACTGCTGTTGAGAATTCACAGAAGTTGATGCTTTAGTAGGATCATGAAAGCTAGTACTGCTGGATTGCTGCTGATGGAGCAACGGCGATTCAAAAACAGTTTGGGAATGTGTCGATAGAGGCGAACTAGTAGTGACAGCTGCAGCAGCAGATGACGGTTCCGGTGAATGAGGCGGGTCGTAACTCATGCTAAGATGGGCAGTGTGGTGTTGTCCTTGATGGGCGGGTATATGTGGAGGAGGAACTGGCAAATTTTTATGATCGCTAATACTACTATGGATTGTGCCTCTTTGTGCTGCTGCTGCTGTTGACGCTTTTCCTGCTTTTTCTTCATAAGCAGGTGGAGGTGCCTCGTATGCCGCCGAATCGATGCCCACTTCATTCTTCGTCTTCAAATCTCCTGTACTGTTGACCAAAGAGGGCGAGACGTGGGATGTTTTCGGAGGTAAAGGCGGGGGTATCTCATCATGAGCTGTTGTAGGCGTAGTAGGTGTGTTAGCTGTACCCTCTTCTGTTAGACGTCGAGGTGGAAGAGCAGGCGGTACCCTCTGCTGTATCGGTTGCTCTGAAGCAGCAGGAAAGTCGCCTGTTGAATCATCACTTTTTGCATGGCTATGACTAATGCTACTGTCATTGGAGACAACGGATAAAGCGGTGACGCTGCCGTTGCTATTGGCCAAAGTAGGTCGTTCATCTTCAGCCAAGGGTTTCCATTGTTGAATAGCATTCATAGCATCCGCTACAATCATTGCTGCCTCAGCTCCTTTAACGTAAGGCTTACGCTGAATAGGTGATAGACGTGGCTGCCCTGCTTTGATCGTAGGCTCTGTATCAATCAGATCCGTCAAATATTTGCCAAAGCCAGCAATTAAAGCGGTCTTTTCAGCAAATTCGTGCATGGCATTGAAACGAAGATAAAATGCTTCTTTCAACGCAAATCGCTTAAAGTCAGCCAGATCAAACTCACTTTCAACAGTATCTTGTGTCAGTGAACGTAATTCTTTCTGAAATTCAGTAAGCTTGGGTGATTTAGGACTCGATTTCTGTAAATTGGCAATACGAGCTTGAAGAGTGCGTTTCTTTTCTCTTTCATCCGCTAGCTTCTCTTCTCGTTCTCGGATAGACTTGATAGCATGACGGTATTGCTGGTATTTGGCTGCTCCACCAAGTATAAAAAAAGTCGTTATGAACTATCCTTGAGTTTACTGATACACATACACACACTTGATTAGGGTTTTTTTTTGTTTTTTTTTTTTTTTTTTTACCTGCAAACTCTTGTTCAATTTCAATCTGTTTATCTAATAAACGACACAACTTATCGCCCACTAGATCCTGTATATAGAATATGCAGGATGGGGATGACGGGTTTAATATAAATAATATGCAAAACATAACATTGTCTTTCGTTTCCACCCTATTACCTCTAAATCTCTGCTATTATCAATCGTTTCCTCTGCCACTTCTTCTTTAACCCACTCTTTCAAGGCTTTGATTGTTTCAGACTGTTTATAAGCCTTTGTCCGCATTGTTGCCAAATCATTCCGTTCTTGGAAAATCCACATTGATAATGCCTTCGTATCTTGCTTTTGCAACGGGTTATTTTTAGCAATTTGGGAATGGACATCTGCTTTGAGTTTGCCAATGGAGAATTGCAAATCTTTAAAGTTCATATTTCTAAAAGACGCTTGGAGGAAGACTGTGGGATAAAGAGTAGAAAGAAAAAAAAAAAAAAGATGATTTCTTTACTTTACAAATGAGGAACTGTTAAGTGCTACGAAAAGCTTGTTACTTTTTCTTTTGGGGCTTTTTATTTCATGGTTCATGTGACAAAGTAGAAGGATGATGTGTTACACATCACGGAGATCACAATTTATTTAAAACTTTAGCTCATCAAGGAATGAAAGACGCTCTTGAGTGTAACGATAACCTGTAGGTACATCAGGCGTAGGAGGACCGGCTGTGACATATTTCTTGTAAGGGTCCTGAAGAACATAGAAGGGTACAGATTCATATACACAATGAACAGCTGTTCCGACATAGTTCACCATAATTCGATAGTGGTAAAGACCCGTGATATCGTCTACTTGCAGAGGGAAAAGAATAGAGCCTCTATTTTCATCCGTATAGAGAGCTAAACAAAATTTTCCAAAACAATGCTGTTAGTTTAGCCCATTCTTATAAAAATAGCTATTAGTTCCTTCAGGGGGGGAGGGAGGGGGGAATCTGCTTACTGATATTTTCACCGATGATATGTTGATTGTGTTGAGTAGCGTTCAAAATACGAATACGGGTAATGATGTCAGGCGGATTGGAGATACCTTGGTCCACTTCCCATTTCACTTCTTGAAGAGAGCCGACAGGAATTGCCATACCGGGAGTTGTGGGGTAAGTGATGCGGAAACCTACGCAGTAGTCAGGGTTGACACGAGGAGGATTGTAACCGTACTTCATGAGAGCTTCACCCAACTCAGCTCTACGCTCAAGATGGGTTGCAGCTGCCGAGACGACACTGAGACCGGCAATAAAGTACAATAACCAATGTAGCTTCATATTAAGAAGGAGTATAGTTAATATAGAAAGGAAAAAAAAAAAAAAACCAAGTTAAAATGATTGAATTACTCTTCATTTTATAGGATGGACGCGCTAGAAATAATATTTGGAAAATGACTAGCATTCTTTAAAGCCAAGTGAAGAACAACTTCTTCTCCAGTAGATAAAATGTAAAAATAGAAGAGTCCTTGTTTCTCTTCGCCAAAAGGTTGTCATTAGCGTATACATTGTTTTTTTCTTTCTTGGCTGTATTTGGCTCGCTAAAGACAGATAAGCCGCCTAAAAACGTGAATTTGTGCAGCGAAATGTTGGCATTGCATATTTTAACGTTACATTACTTTTCAAACAGTCGCTTTAACAATCAAAAAAATACTCCAGACCGATTACTTAGATTGTCTTTTTATTTTGCTTCTGCAAAGGAAGCTCTACTAAGCGGACAGCAATGGAGCCTAATTGCTTGTAAAAGCTTGGAAGGTTACCTGCTCGTTCTAGCTCAATACAAGGTCTTTTTTTTTTATAAAAAAAAAAAAATTGAGAAAAAGGCTTAAGCATCTGCAGATCCCAGGTGATAAGTGAGATCATAAAAAAGATGATAAACACAAAAAATAGTTTATAAATAGCAACTTACAAAAAGGCAAAATGAAAAGAGATAGACCTTTTATTAATGGCTGATCATGATGCAGATGAGGTAAAGGAATGATAACTGTACAAAAAATTATTGTTGCCGAGTACTGCAATTAGCTTCTATGTTTTCTTTTGCGATCTTTTACTACTTCCATTGACTCCCACATAGCCTCTTCTTCTTCCAATTCCTCTTCTTCTGCTGTTTTCACTTTAGGCACAGGGTATTCATACTCTTCATCTACTAGTACACAGGTTAAGCGTTGTTTTAAGTAAGCCTTGTTTAACATTCGACGATAAACAGTGGTAGTTTCGTGTTCTCTTAAAAATCGATCCAAAGATACACTGACCATGACAGGTTCGCTGGAATGTCCCTTTTTATCATCATTGTCCAATGTTGGCTGTGGTACTGTGATGACATCTGTAACAGAGCCAGTAAATCCTTTGAATAATGCAGCTTTTTTGCCAGTACGAATATCGATCATGCCCACTGTACTAGCGGTATCCGAATAAACTACATGGTTGAGATCTGTTCCGAGACAAAGAGCTCTTAATGGGTTCTTTCCAATTTCTGCATTGATACATGGTCGACGTCCTTTTTTCGTGTCATATAAACGAAACTAAATAACAAAAGGTCAATCCATCTGTATAAGTATTTTTGTTCCTGAGTTCCCGCTCCGTCCCTCCCAAAAAAAAAAGTCTTACTTGGTGATAATGGGTGACAACCGCAATTTTCGTGGCGTCTTTATCCACAAATTGAAAATCATGGATCCAGACCGGTTGTCTCAAGTCCAAGAAATCATTTTGAATATTTTTAGCTTGGAAGATCATGCCTTTTGCTTTTGTGTTCTTCTTTTTATGAGCTGAAGTATTTTGATGAGGTCCTGCTGGGTTCATATCAGTTTCCGCTGCTGTTGTTGTTTCTTCTTCTTTTTGTTTCATGAGAACATCCAAATCAAACAGAGTCAAATCTCTCTCTTTGCCACCTATGCCAAAAATATTAGTTTTGACAGGATGTGCACGCATTATTTCCAGGTCAGGTCCTAGTTCAGCAATCGATTGTGTCTCATTTACATCATCTACATCAAGTGGTGTATAAGATAAATCTCCCGTTGAGGTGCATACACAAAGATGGCTATCCCATCAGCTAGTTAGCATTTTTTAACCTTCCTTTGATGAATGTAAAATTCTGAAATACTGTACTTGTTATGAATGGAAACACCAACAAAACGTCCTTGTTCTTTTTCTAAACCAACATGTTTATTCTTAAATTCTTTCAAAACTGTTCCATTTTCGGGTGATAAAAATTGTATCGAGCCATTTTGTCGAGCCACTATCAACTATAGCAACAAAAAGTAACAGTGACATTAGTCAAACGAAAAAAATCCATGAAATATGTTATTAACTATACCACTTTGGTGTCGTTCAAGGTGGCCCACATCATCTTTTGAACTGCCAACTCTTTACTGACTCGACCAAAAACGCCTATCAATGGTTGAAGTGTGTCTTCTTTCTTTTCTTCTTCACCGTCTTCACTTTCTGCTTTTTTGGCACGTTTTGTACGTTTTTCTTCAATTTTTGGTGGAAAAGCGATCCCTAACCAAAAAGAAGAGGGGTTTGCATGTCGGTTTTTTGTTAACAATCATTCAAATTAAAAAGACGAAACCAAAGAGTTTACATTTCACTAAACCACTCTCATCCCCTGTAAAATATCTCATTTTGTTACAAGCTGTCAAATAAATAAGTTAATGGAAGGAAGGAATCGATGAGTGATGCTTTGTATAATTTATGATGTTGAAATCAAAGTCAGTCACAATAAAGCTTCTTCAAGCCACTTGCATTTTGTCTCGTACCTCAAATTGGGTAATGCAAATGTACAATTCAATTTCAGTTTATGACCCACTGACCATTTGATTTTTAGTTTTTTTTTTCCGCTCTTTGACATCTCAAAGTAAAACAAAATGGCGAAAGGAAAGCAATCTGGTGGTAGTAAAGGAAAAGGCTCCGGAGGTGATGTCATTATAATTGCTTAAAAAGAAATTCACGCGACTTTTCAAGTCTTATATCAAAAAACTAACAACGACAATATAGATAGCAAGAATGATGGCAAGTTGAAACCAGCCAACAGTATTAAAGTATGCGTTACAAAACATACACATAACAATGATATAAAGGAACGATTACGTTGCCAAATTGTTCAGTAGGGTTAAAGCTGTTTAAAATATCATGATAGGTTCGACATATCCTGTGTGAGAAGCACAGTAAGGTACATCAAAAACGCCAGTTAACCTCAGATTCAGCATGGATTTCTTATTTTTTCTGTATTATTCTTAGGCTATGGAGGCCTTGGCTAAGATTAAGGAAGAGAATATGAGATTTGACAAGGCAAGTATATAGATGATGTGCGCATCACACATTAGGGTAGAGTCGTCTTAAAATATTGCAAGCATTTACCAACGAGGCAAAATGAATACAGGTCGCTGAAATGTACAGTGAAGATAAAGCCAAGGCTGGAGGTAAACAGATAAAGCTAAACAAACATTACACTCGTATAAACGGACGGTATGCAATTGGTATTGACATTTTTTTCTTTTGGTTCTTGGGAAATGAAAGGCTCTCTTGGTTGGATGAATCGTGGTAGTATGGTAGGTGCTTTCCAAGATGCAGCTTTCGCTTTACAACCCAGCACCTGTGACAAGCCTATCTTAACTGATCCACCTGTTAAAACTCAATTCGGTTATCATATCATCATGGTGGTGAGTATTTTTTTAAAGCGCCTTTAGTATTTCTTGCTCTCAAGTTCGACGCTGAACAATTTATTTCCTTCATATACTAGGAGGATCGTAAATAAAAAGACTATTAATGCAAGTTTGAAAGTAGATAAAAATACTAGCTTTTCAAAAAGCCCCCATAGAAACGCGTCTATTTTCTGCGCTGTATATCTTCCAAGTTGGTTTTCTTTTGTTAGAAAAAGATTTTATTGATAATGATGTATAGGTTCTCCTGTTCTGATGTACAAATTAACTGATCTGTCTATAAGTGTAGTATATAAGTTCATCATGGGTTTTTTTAATCGGTCAGAACGGTTAGGAGCTGTATTCACAAAAGTGGGCTTATTTTGACTCCTAAACGATACAAATTAATGTCATCCAGCGTACATTAATCTAAGAGTAAAACGCCTTCGTTTTGCAGTTGTTGTTGTTCTCTCTTAACTTCTGTTTGAATTGTGGTTTTATATTCTCTTGTAGCATTGGGATGAACACCATTGATGCCTAGCGCAGGTCGAGAGAAGCCGAACCAACCGTACTTGTACATGAATTCATTTGCAAAGATTTCACCGAAACCCAACATAACGCCATTGAAGAACGGCAGAATGAAATTGATGGCGGTAGCTTTTAAAACCCATACAAACATGGGATGACGATACCAAGGGTCTCTTCTTACCAAGATACCGTGTGTCTCTGTTGTTGCTGGTGAGGCGGACATGTGTTTTGAAATGACAAAGAAAGGTCGAGTTTAGCAACAATTCGGTGCAATGCAAAAACTCGCCTCAGCTTCTTATGCGGCTAACGAATTGATGAGTTGAAAAAGAAATTATAGCCAATCAAAGGGCTCCAGTTGAATCTATTGAAGCGTGTCCTTCATTCAGTTCCTCTTATTTTGAACTTGTTAAACACTTCTCATCCATCATTTCCCATTTCCACATAACCATTAGAGATGACCGCCTATGTAAGTTTACCGACTTCGCTATTAAATTGAAAAAAAAACAATTATGTATACTGAAAGCTGAGCTTCTTAATAAATTGAAAATTTCTAGAATGAGTGGTTGTCAGGTACGCCCGTGAGCGCTCCTATTCCCACATCGTTATATCCCATTGCAACCCTCGTTACAGTTGCAGCTGGACTTGTAACTGCTGGTACCTTTATCATGTAACTACACAGAAATTCTATACATAATACGAAGGCTATATGGGAGGTTTAACGGAACTTATGCTTTAAAATATAGTCAAGGTCATAAAACGCCACTTTTAAAACAACTTCAGACAGCCATCATCTCATCCATATTATTAGGTTTTGGAGCTATTTTTGCTTCCAACGCTGCCGGTGTCTACCTTTAAACAGATCTATATATATGTATACCGCTTTATCAGCCTTAAACCAACAAAGTCTACAGATGAACATTCGGTCGATAAAGTTTAAATGAAATAAAAGCAACTGTAAAAAAAGAAGGGATATATTGTTACATTGTAAGTTAGGAGAGCAAAGTCAGTGTGTCTGTATTTTATAGATACACATATCGTTGTATTTTAAAAATAAGGGGAGCTCAGTTGAATGTATTGTCTATTTGCCTTCTTTTTTGCACTTATTATGTCTGTCTAATTTTGAATATAAGGAGGGATACGGTTTTTTTTGTGCCTTATAGTACGTTAACCTACGCTGGTTTGTTTTGTTTCTGGTTTTTTTCTGCGGTTTAACGTTATTGTCGTCTTATATATCTTTCTTTTTCTTTGAATTTATCTCGATACTTACTTGTAAGATCACTTTTATGGCGTCTACAGATACGACGAGCGCAACAGCTGCTACAATTCAACTGAACTCAATAGAAGAATGCCTAGTGATTATTCTAATAGCATTGCTATCAATGATTTTGGTCACTTTATTCATCATACTGTACAAAAAGAGGAGATATTTCTTGAAAGAAAAAGACACACATGTATGGCATGATTTTGTAATGCTCGACAGTCCGGAACACATGTTTGCATTGAAGAATAGTGAAAGTTTGTCGTTCGATCAATCAAGAAATCAACAGCAGCAACAGACATTGTTACATAAGCAACGCATCATATCAAACACAAGCTCTAATGTCACAAGAGTTGATCAAGAAATGATAGAGAAGGACAGCTTGGATTATGAGAAAACGCACCCAAAATCGCCTCCACCTGTTTACCACGTCTAAGGGTCTAAAAAGCGAGCAGTAACAATCGGTTGCATTTCGGCTTTTTTATTTCCCTTCCATTACTTTTTTTTTTTTACGTTTCCTTTTTCTTTACATATCTACCATATATACTATTACGCCTCATATTTTCAATTCATATATACCTTCACTTCCCTATGCATAATTGCTACTATGGATCCAACCCAAATACCGACTCTAATAAAAATACAGCAGAAGTAGATCTTATAGATCTAGCTGACTCTGCCACCAATGTTGTCAATTCTGCTGCCACGTCTAACATTGCAATCACTCCTGCTGTTTTTGACACGAACAGCAACAATATTAGTTTAACTAGTGCTTCATTCGCATCCGACTACATTTCTTCTTCATCCAATGACGTAACAGCCATAGCAAACCCATCTGACAGTTCAAAATCTCAACCTTTGCAAATCAACATTTCGTTGGCTGAACTAATTTCTGATCAAGAAGATCAAACAGATTTATTCCATCTTCAAGAATATTTACATCGTTCTAACGAAAGATTCAACCAACTCCTGAACCAGGTCACTGCCGCGAGAATGTATTACCAATGTGTAATGAACGCCTATCGATAAGATTTATTATATCTATTTTTCACATTTGAGCATCACAGAAAATGTGTATATCCTCGTACTCCCACATGTTTATAACAGCTCTTTCAAATTATACCATTTACAAATATCGTTAGGAAACACTTTGTTAAGGTTGAAAGAATAAAATATCTTTCTTCTTTTACAATCAATCGCTTTATTATAGCTCATTACCAATGGTAACCCAGTAATCACGCAGATTGTTTTTTCGACCAAAAATTTCCAAATACTTTCCATTAGGTACTAGTTCTTCAATCAGCTCATATAATTCTTCTGGCTTTTGACTTTGTCCTCTTCTTTCTGAGAATATGACATCAGATCCAACTGAATGTCGACAGTTAGGGGGATCATCGCCTTTTTTACCCACTAGGCATGTTTCTTTTGCATGCTGTAAGTAATAACCATGGCCTTTCGCCATACGTCGATTGACTGTCTGTTTCACCCAAGTGATATCATCCACATATGTGTATCCCCATCTCTCCATAAGCTCAAATGCTTTGGCGTACTTATTGTTGATCACCCAAATGAATAAGAAGCCATTTTTTTGTAATTTGGGTATAGGAATGGATTCAATACAAACATCAGGCAGTTGTTGATAAGCGATTGCAACACCTCGAGTTGGCGCATGAGTGGCTAATTGCCATGGTGGATCGGTGACAATAACATCAAACTGAACTTCTTTCGCTAGCGACTGTTGAGAAGGTTTTTTTTTTTCAATAAACATACAAATGTAACAAAATAGAAACAAGAACTTCTCTTCTCTTTAAACTCACATCCCAATCAAATGTCATAACGTTGGCCTTGATGGGTACACACCACTCAGGCGCTTCAAACTCTTCAAGATCTAGATTGAGGTAGAGCAAAATCAGTTACAAAAACACCAAAAGTAAGTAAGTTCGCTGCAAGTTTAGCTGCTAACCTTGCTCCTCGACATCGTCAAGCGTTGTTTTTGTGCCTAGTCGTTCCTCTAATTGTTCGATTTCAGTCTGTATCGCATCTATCTGTAGTTGTAATTCAATTTCTCTTTTCAGTAAGCCTTTTAAGGTCTTGTCAGTAACTGTATCTTCATGTAGATCGTCAACACCATTACATGAGAGAGGCGTTGACTCCCTCGAAGACATAACGTACAGTTCTTGTTGAGGAGTGAGTTATTTCGGTTTTGTGAAATGCACGAAAAAAAGGAAGTGCCTGGTGTTGAAAAAAGCGCGTATGGCGTGACTTGACCAAAAGCGCGAACAGAAAGCAAACTCCACTTTTCCCTGTGATCAATTTACTTTCTTTTGGATAAAAGGAAATGACTGTATCTTGGTAGTGAGTATGTTACGTTACTTTATATAATCCGCCTAAAGAAGTAGTTGATCGAATTCGGTCTTTTTATAGAGTATAGCAAACACCTTTGAATCCACAAAAAAAAAAAAAAAAAAAAAGTGAGAGAATAAAATAAAAACGTAGACACGGCCAGAAATTTGTATTTCCAAGATGATTTATTTGCCATTATACTTCGTGATATGATATTTTCTTGATCATATGTATAGTAACTTTGAGCCATGCTTAATTTTCTATACATTATCTTAAGAAGAGTAACCTTAAGTCGCATGAACCATCACATATAGATAAATTAAAGTGAATTAATAGATACTTAGCTACAAAATACACTTGATTTCATTCATGCATCATTACTCTACCTAAAACTGGGCAAATTAACCTTGATTATCAAATACACAGATTCAATGTTTGATATACAAGTATAATATTATATTCTACTTGTATGATGTTAATACTTGTGATTGAAGACAAAAAAGCATATTCGCTCTGACAGTAGCGTTCGAGGATATGTATTGCGGTACAATCAACTTCTTACATCATGTTTCCTTTACCTACATGATATTTTCCTGAAACAAATTTCTGTTGGATTTTATGAATTCATCAGATTTCTACGTTCGAAAATCCTTGTGGTGGTTTTGTGGATACATAATAGATCTAATCAGCCATGAGATACATTTTACCATCAGCTTCAAAAAGAAGCATTATTGTAGGTTAATTAGTGACAAACAAGGCTGAAATTAGAAGTGCCCAGCAATTTTGTTTGCAACTAGCAATTGTTAAGCAAGTCAGACATTGCACATCTATAGATGACAAGAGTAGCTTTGGACTGTGCTTTTTGTACTTTAAGAAGATTATAGTATCATACTCGATTATGACCAGCATAGATTCATCTATTTATACCGCTGGACTTCTCTTACAATAGGTGGAAGAGTGCTTACAGTAGCACGAGACATGCAATGAACACCATTCAATCTTCTATTATAAACTGCGATGGCGCAGTAGCAATATGTCCTTTAGCTCTTTCATTTAGGGTTTTTGCAACTTGATAAGTATTGTTCGGTTTATTAGTTCGCTTCTAATTCATTCAAAAGAGTGAGGCTAATCATATTTCGGCAGTTATTGTCTATGCTTTTAATCCAGTAGATTACTTCAAATGGATAGATGGTTGTACTATGTTGTAATTTTAATGCTAATGTCTCAACTTCACATTTATATTATACGTTGTAACCCGGTAGGCTATCTGCACCATCATAATCAATTACTGTGATAATTCTTTTATAGTAAACTTGATCATGTGAGGAGATACGCCTTAGTATTGCTACTTATACGAAGAACACGTCGTCGTCTTAGTCGAACCTGACAATCTAAACCCTTAGTTAAAATTGCGATCCCATACAAACGCTGCCGCTCGATAAATTTATGCTCAAAACAATGAAATATCTCGGTCAGTATTAGAGAGGTTGTTAGGCGTAGCCAACACAGTTAGAATTACAGTCTCTATTTTATAGTACTGCCTCAGTTACAGTTGACAGCTCTTATGAATGAAAGTAAAAAAGCCTCACATTAAGGCTCGCTTGTCCTGCGACAACTCGGTTGTGATCTTCAATTTCAAAAATTTGATTGGACGTTTATTTTTCTGTACCTCCAGCTTCTTACTTTAGCGTAATGCAGACACAGTTTTTAGCTTTCTGGCTGGTACCTTATTTTTTGATAAATGGTCGATTCTATTACCTTTGATCCATATCAACACTTCTTTCTTTGCTCTTCTTTACACTTTTTGCAAATTACACTTTTATAACTGCAAAATATGCTGACACTCAAGCCTATCTTTGCTTTTTTCAGTTCCTCCAGCAGTAAAAATGCTAAACATGGTAAAAAGCAGCAGCATATCCGTAGGGAACAACTGCAAAAAGAAGTAAAACCAGCTATTGCTGATAAATCGTCTGGCAAGGATATAACAATAGAAGAGAGAGGAGAGAAAATCGGAGTAACCCATCTCAAAGTTGACAGTGAAACTGCAAGCCCAATCACCGAAAGATCTTCGGTATCTATTAATGAAGCGCTGTCGGTTGTATCAGCAACTGCTACAGCTACTGGATCAGCAAAAGACAGTAATGTCTATAAAAACTATTCATCTGAACATGTTAAAGTCGAATTCGATCAGTCGCGTCACTTACTGGAGCTGGATTTCTTTCAACAACAAGATTTGGTAATGTCTTTCCCTCAATTTGATTACCTTCTAAGAAAATCAACAATAGTTGGTTTCGAGCCAGAGCCAACCGATGCTGTAAGCCGTGATAAGCCCGCTGCTCGTAGATTTTCGAATATCAGCGATAAACTTACAATGAAAGCCATTCGTAGAAAGATATCAGTTTATAATAAATGGCAAAGTAATTCTAGCAGTAGCAATAACGAACAACAGCCACTTCATAGATCAAAATCAGCACCCAATCTAGCATAAAAGAATGCTCTTACAGTTTTATATGTATGCATGCATGTATTGCCCATAAATCCCGTTGATTCCATAACGAAAAACATATTTATTACTTTTCATCATTTTGATAATAAATAATTTAGATACAGGCTTAAGCGTTCTATTATATGACAGAGAAAACCTGATATTTTATCAGAAAGTGTTACATTCTTTTTGAGCATGTATTACTAACAAAAAAATCAATCTACAAAAAAAAAAAAAAAACGGCAATGGTGATGAGAATCTTTATACTGACATGAATTGTTATAACGAGCTTTGAAATTTTACGTTAAAGCAACATATGGAATTACATACAAGGACTCTTTCTAGATAGTGATCCGATATGCGTAGGTATCTGATGTGTCGCTTTTTCACACCATGCGCATTACAGCTGGTAACTCATGTCAGTTGGATATAAAACTTAATAGACTTTTTAACAAAAAAAAAAAAAAAAAGCGTAAGGCGTAAGCAATTGCTATGTACCCAACGTTATTAAGTCTAGGTACAACTATGATGTTTTAACAGATAGCATCTTTGGCTACTTTTTTCATCTTGATAGACCCCTATTACTGTAGTTCTCTGCATAAGTTTATGTCATATGTCAAAGCGGTGCTGGCAGCTAGTATTACGTTGTATCGAAGAATAAATGACAAGAGAACTCATCAACCTTTATTGACTCTCTCCAAAACAATAATCTAATGCGGCTCTGGCGGACATTATAACGATTAAGTAATCCTTCAACTACATCGGAGGGATGACAAAAAGAACACAATCGTCATAATTCTACTATATACATCATGAGCAAAGAACAGTTAAGCTTGACGAGTAAATAGCCACGATTTAAGAATAATACTAAAAAAAAAAGACGAAAGAAGCTATCTCCAGTAATATTCAAAATTTTGACTGTATTAGAACAGCTTGAAAGGTGCATTAAAGTAAGGTAATAATAAGATATCGCTTCGTTAACGAACTACTAACGTAGCAAATGATACCAATGTTCACTCTGTCAAATTTGTCACATTATGTTTGTTGCTAGGCTGTGTAACTTTTTATATTATTGACGTGCTGTAATAAATTGTAAAGCATACTACTAGAGTCCTCTAAAGCTGTCATATCATAAAGACTGGCAAATCGGATGCTGTGCTTGTACTTTGAATGAGCACATATGTCACAGCCTCTTCATGCAAAGTAATGAGGAAGCATCAGTTAAACGTTTGCTTTTGCTAATCATATTGTATTCATATCATGACCTCCTGAGCAATTCTCTTCAAGATTACTATCAACATTTCGTGTTTGAGCAACGTTTTTTTAAATTAAATTGACTACCGTAATTGTGTTACCTCACTTGCAATAAAGATGCAAGTATTTCTGAAGATGCGCATATAAAATGCTGCATTATTACTGGCTGAGAAATTAAGGAACGAGGACTTTTTTTATTTTTTCTTTTTTGAATACAAACATTCAGTTTGCTGTGAACGCTCCCCTCTCTGATTTTCAGTGTATAATAAAAGGACTAAAGGAGACTCATTTCACCTTACAGTTTATATCAATTATCCGTCAACGCTATGTAAACGTCGCATTTTGTTCGAGAAACACACACCGGCCTCAGCGTATTTAATGGTTCGTTTGATTGAAGATCCCGTGTTTTCTTTGGCTTATGTAATGATTTTTCCAAATTGAAGGCTAATGGCGTCACAAAACTCTTGCATTGTCTTGAGTTGATCAGATTGTTGTGCACAATGCTTTGAAAATGATGTGTATGCTGCGCGGTATATCGTGTGCAAGGTAGGGTCGTTAAATTCATCCAATGTCATAAGGTGCCGTTGTTGCTGAGTGAAAAAATTGGCCAACGCAATAATAGGTTGTAATGGTGTTGACATATGCTTTGCAATTGAATCAGCGTTGTATATGTAGACGGACTTTGCCCAAGGATGACAGTACAGAGTGTAAAAACATTGATCGTCTGCTTTCGTGAACGTTTCTTTAAGAAACTGCGTCCCTGAGAAGCCTTTTACGTTGAATACGACCAATATTGGTACAATGGTTGTTTCTTCGAAAATGTCGAGACAATAGCGAATGGCACGGGCCATAAATGGTTGGTTCACTTTTTGCTGGATTTCGACAATCACTGGTGGAAGTTCTTTTGTCGGTGTGCTGCGGGGAAGTAAACGACATCTGTTTTTCGTCCATCATGTCTGTCACATGGGCCAACGTAATATGCTTCACCGCCTATTCCCTTGCCAACCACTTCTGCAATGATCATGTTCTTCAATTGTGAATCTTGCAATAACAATTTGCTCGCCAAATCTGTACCAGGTTTAGCAGGCAAAGCAGTCATTAACATGTCGGTTATTTCATCACAATTCTCTTTGGTTGTATTTGATTCGCCTTTCTATTCCTTCTCCTTTGTGATTGTTATCATGGAGAAATAGGAATATAAAAAAGGGGGAAAGAGAATGCGTGTTTCTGTGTAACCTAGTTCCCGACCATCGTCAGTTTTGCGATAGTTGGGATAGTTGCGATAGTTTTTTTTTTGACTCATCGACCATTACATGGGCATATTGTTTCGACATTTATCCCAGCTGTGATATTTGTGGTTATTTGTAGTTGTGAACGCGACTTATAATTGATATAAACTGTAAGGTGAAGTGAGTCTCCTTTAGTCCTTTTATTAAACACTGAAAATCAGAGAGGGAAGCGTTCATAGCGAACTGAATGTTTGTATTGACAACAAAAGAAAGAAGGAAAGGAAAGAGATACAAAAAAAAGGAGCTAAATACTCGTTCTCAACCCGTACTAATGCAGCATTATATATGCGAATCTTCAGAAATACAAGATGACGTGTACAACTGTTATTATGATTCTATGATCATAATAACGAGTCAAATGCTTGAAAGTGTGTCTAATTCGTCTTTATTTATTATAGGAGGTATGGAAATACCACACCAGCATTTGTAAGAATGCGAAACAAAGCCTTTAAAATGACTTTTTTCTACACTGTTGCAGGCTTCCGTAATTCTTTTTGATAAATTGCCTTCTTGCAAAAACCTATGGCGCTTAACCTTGCTCTTTGCCACTGCCCAGAATTGTTCTATGGGGTTAAGCTCAGGAGAGTACGTAGGAAGATACACACATTTATACCCTCGATACTCAATATATTTCTTGATGTTTTCATGTGTATGAATAGGAACATTGTCCATAACTATGTAGTGTTCTTTCATATGAGGATACTTGTCCATTTCGTCCAGAGTTATTTTTAAGAAACTGATGTAATGGCCTGTTACAGCTCCTGAGCTTATGTATCCATCGGCCTTTCTCTTCTTGACAGGCCTTGGTTTTTTCACAGCGACTGTAATCAAGCCTGCAGCAGAAATAGCGCCCAATATAGACGCTGTGTTTGCTCTCGTAGTAGGTCTAGTAACAATGGCACGAGTACCTGTTTTCGACCATGCTCTTGATCGTTTCATATTTATATCAAAAGCAGACCCATCGAGAAAAACGCAATTCGTCAGGAAGTTCATGCCTGTATTTTCCCATTTACGAACCCATTCGCACCGTTCCTCAATCTTTTTCGGGCTGTTTCTTTCGATAGAATGAAAATCTGCTTTTTTCAACGAAAGGTTACATTCACTTCTCATAAAGTTATAAACAGTGCTACGCGAAACTTTATGATCGTTGAACCGTTTCAATAAATGCTCGGTAACTTCAACAACAGAAGCAGAGGGATTAGCATCAATGAAGTTAGTAACAGTCTTTTTATGTTCTTCGGTAAGAATACCCTTGCGACCTACTCTGTTACAGCAGTCAAAAATACTATCAGGGCACACGCTGTATTGCTTAACCCATCTCTGTGCTGTTCGAATGTGAATGCCCAACTGCTTCGCTGCAGCTGATGCACTCATACACTTTTCAATCTTCAGGTCGAAAAATCTGACCTTATCCTGCACAGTATAGCGCACATAATTACGTTTCACTCTGGTCCCCTTCATATGAATGATTTCATCTTTTGGCTTGTCTATTCGCATTGGACAAGCCAAAGAAGATTTGCTGGAAGCTGCACTTTTCAAGTAATCAGCGTGAGTGGCAATTGTCTCAACAACAAACTCATTCTGATCGACAATGTAGTCCATGGGCTCAGGGCCACCATTCTCATCAACGACATTTCCATGTCCATCTTCAAATAAAAATATGGCACTCATCTTACAATGTGAAGTCTTGAAAAAAAAATCAAACAGATGACGATAGCCCTGCTTTTATATATGTATATTTTTTTTTTCAAAGAGCAAAGCGACATCGCTTCCGAAAATAAAGACTTCCATTTCTGAATATGCGAAATTGATTTCGATTGGCTGCGACATTGCCTGTTGCAATCACTGTAAATGATTCCTACATACACAAAACCTTTAGTTCATGATACACAAATAATAAGTTACGCTGCTGCTACAGTTTATTGAAGTGCTTTTCTCCTCAAAAGCACGTGGAAAAAATTTCTTATTCTGAGTACGAATGGTTCAACAAAGCAGAAACTGTCCTTTGAGGCAGGTGGTGGCAGCAGCTGTAGCAGATACCAAATGCACGTACGACACTATAAAAACTGATTTCATTATGCGCACTTTTTCTCTCCTTTAACTTTCTTCCTTCTCATTCAAATAATTTTCGTTCACTCACTATTTATCCATATCAATTATTACGTACCTTGTCACAGTAATACCAACAATGAACCACCGCTCAGCTCCATCACTATCTTCTTCAATTTCCAGTAACGAAACTTCTTGTACAGATAGCCCATCAAGGACAACTTCAATTTGTTCATCATTGCACAACAATAAAAGTAACAACCATTATCTAACAGCGACTCCATATCAAAGCATCCTGGATGACAGTTATCCATACACTGTAATTCCCATAGCTAAAACTACCATTGGTATTACTATGAATGCTCATCAGAATTATCCGAACAGTGGAGACGAAAATGACAGTGTCATCAAAAGTTACTCTGATTTGCCGCGAAAGAAACGATGGGATGACTCTCAATTAGAAATGGAACTGGCCGAAGATGACCTTATTGACCAACACCAAAAGCGACAAAAAATGGTACGACGTAATCCATCCTCCTCGTCTTACTCTTCCTCATACTCTGCTTCCTCGTTATCGTCGTCTCTCCGCTTTACACATAAACTTCGGTTTCCCCAAGCTTTATCAATTAAGCAAAAGTTTCGTCATCATTATCGATCTGGTCATCAGCATAGTACTACCACAGCAGTAACAAGCAATGTTGATACCCGCATAGTTTCTACTGCTACCGCGCTCATTTCGGAACCTTTTAGAAAGATTCGCCAATGGCTTGCTTGAAATTCATTATTGCATTATTACCTCCTCCAAAACATCATTTGCTCCTCAACATACTAGATTCTCCCCGACCCCCTTCTCAATTGTGTACAACTTGAACTATAATCATCCCAAATCTGTAAATACGATCATTTGATACCTCTTATAAATAATACACTAGCGGCATATCCCAAGAAAAATATATATGTTATATTCTTTTGCTAATATGTGCGTTTGTATATGTATATACTTGTTCACGCATCAAATAAATAAACATTTGCTTATATTTAATCCAAAATATCATACGATTTGTCTTCATTTTCTGCATAGCTATTATGCATTGATGTATACCATGTACCTACTTCTTGCTTTATTCAAAGTACAAGATGTGGTTCAAATAAATAAGCATTGGTTTCACAATTCTATTTTTTTTTTAAAATGAGACATTGCTCAATCCTTTCCGTCAACGTAGGCGATTTTATATCGCTTTAACCCAGCGATAAGGCTACAATGTATTCATTAAAATTAAAATGGAAACTCTCTGTTTTTATCCATGTTAAGATATAGTCATTTACCATTAGACATTACTTGGTGTATGGACATGTGACCAATGGCAAGATTTAGGAGCTTGAAGCATGCTTCGAACAATATGTATTGTATCTGTCTGTGTTACAGATACAATATGTATTTTATTATTGACACTTTTGCTTTAAATGTTGTACAACAAGTCATTTCTTGACTGTTGACTACCGCATATCAGCCTTTCTTTTCTAACTATTCACTTTTATGCACGTAAGAGCATTAGCTTGCTGACTTACACACGTTTCAATAACTAAGACTACTCATGTTCCGTACATTCTAATTGTGTTCTTAACATTTAGCTTCTAGTTCATAAGCATAGATGTTATGTTTATTTGAGAGGTAACTTTGATCTTATGCTGATGACAAGGTTGATTAACATAACTACCAGAATTAAATGTTAGAAGTTTTGGCAGGTCCCATAGTGTGCTAACAACCCATTAAAAAGTTCGAGACAAATGATCAGCATTTCAAAGAGCATCACTTCCGGAACTTCATACATACACTTCCCTTATCATAACTACTAAGTTGTAATCAACATCCGGGTTAATTTCTTGCTTTTTTTAAGTAGAACACATATTTGCTCGTAGATTAAACCTTTTGGTTACGTATAGAGGATTCAGCAACTTATATACTGATGTAATGGTGTAAGCCTCATTATTAAAATGATTATTCAAAGTAATTCTGCGCGATGATATTGCTGTTATTTTCAAAGACTTTTGGTAAAACTTATTAAAGGCTATGAAAGATATTGTAAATAGATTTAGAGATATAGTAGTATAACATAAAGGTATATGATTAATTGTATTATGTTTCAATTAGTTAGATGTAAGGTTAATATACTTATGTATATGCGTATATATAATTATTAGTAGTCACTAGGCGTATATGTATCGCTTGCTCTTAATGAAGTGCATGAGTCTTTTGGTTTTCTTGGTGACTGAACAAAATGTTAGTATAAAAGTGCCTTTGGTGTTAGTGAAAGCTTGACTGTACTCCCTCGGCGACCACTAATCAAGTCTTCCAGTTCTTGCATTTTACGCTGTTTCTCTTTCTCCGCAGGTGTCAGCTTTTTGGGAATGTTATAAGTCTTCACTTTACGTAAAGGTGTTGATCTGCTCGGTTTTAACTCTATAGAAACAGCGGCCGTAGATGATACTGTCCCAACTTTATTATTCCATTGCTTTAGTTTACTGAAGGATTTACTGCTTTGTATATGCTTTCCATTACTTTTTGATATTGACTTCGATTCAAGAGTTCTTGATTCTAATGTTGACGCCTGTTGATGATGAGAGTAACATTTCTGCGGTTGAAGCTGCTGCTGCTGTTGTCTCACATTAACAGTAGACATAACTACAGAAGAACATGAATGCCTTCTACTTGCTTCTGTTGAGATACTTTCCTGAAACGTAGAGTCAGAATAGTTGTAATAATTGTGATCTCTAAGAAGGTTACAGTGACCACGAAGGTCTGTAGCAACTGTCCGTCGTACATCTAATGGATTGTTTCGACCTCTTGAGGCTTTCTGTACAAGGAAAGTGTTTTTATCAGTTATAATCCCATTTTTTGATTGTGCTGAGCAGCCATTTCCATAAGGCGAGGGAGATACAGAATTATTACTTTTGTTTCGTTGTGAATCGATTGACTGTAAATACGCAAGTTGATGGCTATCTTCTGGTGGTCGTCGTTTATTGGCTGAGCCAAATGCTGTTTCATTAGAAGAGGTCGAAATAGCCAGGCCGATGGTTGACATTGGACTCTGTAAGATGGGTGCAGATATATCAAGTGCCACACGACCTTTTTTCTTTTTTGAAAATGTTAAATTATCTGTTTGAGAACAGAAGAGCTTTTTTAATTTGAGAGATTTTCGTTGCTCTGAATATTCAAGCATTTCATGTATATTTTGAATACTGGAGAAGAAAAAGATAGAGGTACAAGTATTATATTGAAATAGGAAAAGCTAACTGATTAAAAGAACGGACAATAATGAAATCCAAATTCAAGTTATTCAGTCCGAAGAAGAGGAAGAGATGTGCTCCTTTTTATATACAATGAAATTGCCAGGGCTGAACCGCTTCTTTTTTTTTTTTTCTTTTTCTTTTTCTTTTTCGTTCTCCTCTGTTTGAAGACCTTTCAAATGACGAGCGGTTTTCGTCAATGTTCATCAATTTGAAGGCTTGTGTAATATATTTATGTTACACCCATCAATTACATTTGTACAGAATGTACAAGGTCTTTAAGAAATTTAATTTTTTGTATCAAATAATAGTCAGCAGCAGTTTATAGAGAAACATAAGTGATTCAGGCCGTTATGAACTACTTAAAATTGTACTCGTCTAATAATAAATCATTAGGAGTACTTATTTTTCAGATGTTAAAGTCAAAATAACAAGCATTTATACCGATACACAGGGCTGTGACGGTAACAATGTGTGACAGAAGGTAGTAATCGCATTGTACCTTTGAAAGGAAAGCGCAGAACTATATGGAAACAAAAAGAGTCGCACTGCTTTTATCACGAAGACGTAGGTAGTGCCCATTCCAGTCTACTGTAAGGATATGGATTCTCTTTAGTTGGAACATAAAGCAGTTGGCTTCATATGTTAAACGGAGATGAAGAGATAATGTATTTAGCACTGCATATTGCTTGAAAGTTGGTGCTGTATGTAAAATAAAACATTCCTGAAATTTCAACAGTATAGCCGCTTATTCATTTTCGAACAAGATAGTACAATAAAGTAATAATGCTTTATATCCACTTTGTTAGGGGCTAAAATCTTCTATTTTCAGATGTCTGCACTTATCGTATACGTTAACATTGGTAATCCTAGGTTTTTTGATTGCTTTGACTTTCCAAATAGCAATTGTTAAAACTTGTGTATACCATTGGAACAAATAACCGAGCCTATGCTTATAATCTGAATCTGAATCGAATGGCATATCCCGGCTTGATGTCCATAGTGCTGATTATCAATTCTTTCTTTGTTATTATGGCTGAAGCCAAGATTCATGTCGTCAGGAATAACTTGAGTGTACTGCTACCTTGTTGCTGTGCTGCAAGGAACACTTCTTTCTCCAGTTTCATGTTAGTACTGTTCTCTTAAAGTAGTCAATGTATTTGTTTCGTCTTTTCCTTGCGTTTCTTTAATTACCACCATATATGTTGTTTTAGGTCGTTGACATTTTTATAGATAATTTTAAGGATCATCATACAAATAATTGCGTTCCGAAGATGCGGTTAACGTGCACTTGAGTACTTTTCTATAGTTAATGTCAATGCTCTGTCTTTGTTTTCAGTCTTACTTAGCATGCACTTGTAAGTTATGGATTATGCATTTTTTATCGAGCCGTCTTTTCTTGATGCCATTCGGTTTGAAAAGGTATGCTGATATTCGACACCATTCAATTCCAGCTTTTTCTTTTTCTTTTCTTTTTTGCATACAGCTGCATATTCTGTGGTCCGTTTTAACGAGCTGAGAGAACGCTTAATGTCGAACTCTAGGAAAGGCTATTAGTAAGAGCAATAAACAGGTGTACGTGGCTGAGCATTTACTTGATTTAGGAAATTGTATCATTCCATTCAACTTTTTATTATGTTGTATGATTATATCGTTGTATAGAGCTCTGTAAAACATCTAGCTTACTAGTAATTACGTACATGCTACATCTGTGGTTTTCTCGCATTCATTCACTTTTATTCGCTACAATCTGGTTTTAGAGGCAAGGGGATGAATTAAAATGGATAAAAGAAAAAAGAAGTGTTTTATGGTGACTGAAAAGTACGTTAGCTTCCTGATACACGTAGCATAATAGGTATTGCTAATACAGTAGTAGCTTCTGGAAGGTTGGTATGCGAACAATAAGGGTAATTTCATAGCCTTCCATTTGTAATTTGCAGCTGCAAAGCTCGAATGTTAAGGCCGTGTAATTTTACATTAAAGAACTGCTTAATGTATGCTATCCGTTGCATGGATTATTGTATGTAAAGCAAAGCAGCTAGTAATAATGCAATGAAAGCATATAAATAGAGATATATTGTTTCTAAGACTAGAAGAAATCATTTAACTAAAACCCAAAATCCTGCAGAATCATGAGCATTTCATCTAATCTACGCTTCGATACTTCTATTTTCTCCAGTACCGCTTCCATTCTGACAATTTCATTGTTTTGGATCCCGCTGGGTATATCTATATTCCAGAGAAGGTCATTCTTGATTGTAAGTTCCTCAGTTACTTGCTTTCTCATGGTTATTTCTATTTCTTTACATTGCTGCAAATTAACAATTGCCCGATGAATGGAAGCTATTAATACTTGACAGCACCTCTCAAAAGAAATAGAATATAAAAACGTTGTTCGAGCTGGTGATGACTCTGTGTTGCTTGTACGAATTTCCTACCAAATACACATAAAATATGTTACTACCTGTATTCCAAGTTAGAAAATGGATTACTGGGTATTTTGGTTGTGCAATATTTGTAGGCTTTTGTAGGGCTTTTTGCTTTTCAAAGTGGGATAGCTAGAGGCTGATTTTTTTTGTTCATTTCTAACTATAATAGTGTAAATGATTTGAAAATACCTGTATTTCAATGAGACCATGAGATAACAAAATTCCCAACTCTCTACGAACATCATGGATTGATAATATGGCCAATTTTTGCAATTGCTGGTCGGTCAATTTCAATTTTTCAAACAATATACGCGCAAGACGACACGGTACAGCACCAAATTTGACAGTAATGAACGTTTCTACAAGATAACGTTTTATAAAGTATACAGCCCCTTTAAGGTTGACGGAATAATGCTTATGACCAAGCTCTTCTCTTGCCTTGAGAAAAGTCACATTATCTGTTAGCAACAACTTGATGTATTCTTTCACAACCTCAAGGTCCGACTTCTTCGTTTCAAGGGGTTGTGACCATAATACAATATCACCTCGTTGAAACACCTCAGGCTCCAAAATATCGATAATATGTGCTGGTGAAGCCGCCGCTGTTGCGAATAAATAAAAATTATTAACTTCAAGCGACACAGCGCGATAAAAACCCTTCTTACGTGACAGTTCTTCTTGTAAAGAGGTCATTTCCTCTCTTCCATATCTAAAAATAGCCTTGAGAACAAGACCGGCTGTTCGGTTGATACGACTGACAGCCAAATCCGCGACTATCTTGAGAGAGCTGCTTATAAGGACGCGTATATACCATACTATTAATGCTTTATTGAGCTTACTTGATTGCGAAAAAGTATATTGTATTTCTCGTAATTGATTGCAAAAAATACTTTCGGATCAGGTTCATACTCTACATTTTCAATTCTGTTATACTGGAAGAATTGTGGATATCAGCTTTAAGAAATTAGCAATCTTGGTCTGCAATGAATATATGCTTAACGGTCAAGAACGCATTGTTACTTTTCCCTTCCCTTTCACATTGTGAAAAACTGACTGGAAGACACCTTTATCTTTTGAGATTTTCTAATAAGAAAAACAATTGTTCTGTACTCTCATTTAAAACTTTCGACATCATGGAATAGCTATCTTACTCTCCGTCCCGAAATTAAGATATCTACCGCTTTTCGCTTCTAAAATACAAAGAAGAGCTACAGTCAAAACTCAACCTGATATACAATGCTGAACACACGTACTATGCCTAAGGATGCTACGATGCTGCTAGCGTTTTCTTCACTTGATGACTTTCTTTTGATTTCCAAAAATGTTGACTCTTTTGCTTCCATATTTTTTCCTTCCAGTATTTTAGGCACATTGCGACCGTAACGGGTTCGCTCTGAATTACTGTTGACATCTGCAATTCGACTGTGAGCTGGTGATATTGGAATGATAAACTGGTCCAAAGCCATTTGTGTCATTATGCTCATATATTCAGTTCCTATAAGGTAAATGTATCCGGAAGTTCACACCAAAGCCATCATTATTATCAAGTTACAATTAACTTAGCAATTCATTTACCATCTTTGCGCTGCTTGCTTGACAATTCTTGTACCTGAGATGATCTGAGTTTGCCGTACGAAATTAGTAATTGACAAATAGCGGAACCCTAAATGTCAAACGACGATGAGATCAAGGTACAAACGCACGAAACGAATGAATTATGCGTTCATTTAGAACTGCATCTTCAGCATTTCCAAGCAATGATATATTACCATTTTTCCATACTTCTCTTCAGTAACACGAAGTATACGTCCAATCCGCAGTCGCATGAGGATTTTATGTTTATCAATTTCATAGTAAGTGCTGGTATTATCGTTGCCACCAAGATGGCTTCTGTTGAAGTTTATCGGTTCTTCGAAAAGAACAATTCCATGTTGAATTAAACTGATTAAACACTCTTTGACGGTGTTTCTGGATAGTTTAGTGTGCAAAACAAGATCATTAAGAGTTAATCGACCTTTCAACAAAAGCTGATGAGCTGTTTCCTAAATTGATTAATTTTAGTTTGCGAAAATGAAAATCGAAAAAGGTGTTTCAATAATTGTCAGGCACATGCTTTATAAAGGATCTTTTACAATACGTGCTAGTAATCCTTACGGCTGTTATTGAGCCAAAGTCTTCCTTCAAAATTTCTCTACAAAGGCGTATTTCTGTGGACATGTCTATTTTAGAGGATGTATAAATAAAAGTGGAAGAGAGATGAAACTCACAAATAACAGTAAAAAGGGGCGGATACTAGCGGAGGATGAATGGAAGGCACTGATTAAAGCAGCAATAAATCTGTGCGACAATGTAGAGGGGACAATAAGTTTTTTTTTTTGTTTATTTCGATTTATCAAGCGAAAAAAAGAATTCCAATGGTTTATTCTTGCTTCCAAATATGAAATGAAGTGCTTTCTCTCTTATCTATTTAAAGGTATAAGCATATAGAACGAAGATAAAATACAGCTGATGATGAAAATATTTACAAATAAAGTGAAGCAGCAAAAATAATATCTCTGTGAATACGATTGATACCCTCAGAGAACTTATTTTCCAATTCTACGTTGCCGATACTTTTAGCAGCAGCACACATTTGCCTTAGGAGTTCTTCCAAACGTCTGAAGATACGGATGAGCGAACCTTCATATACTTCAGTCATTTTACAGATCTGAGAAAATTTAGCGCCTTGACACCAAGCATAGACGACATCCATCAATTCTGGCTTGAATCGTAGTAAATATTCTTCTTCGGATAAGTTCATCTTACAGTCATTGGATACCTTTACGATACGTTTGGCCATTTCTCGCATCTGGTTAAGAGGCTTTTGGAGTTGCTCACCCAGTTTTGTCTTTGCTTCAACTCTTTCGTCGAAAACGAAGCAACTGAGAAGGGCTACTGCTTGGTCTACCGTTAAGTCGTTAAATACACCCTGAAATATCATTTCTGTTAACAGTAATTCATCACCGGTACTGATCTCACAAGCAACACGACCCTTCATTTCAACAACATCTGATGGTGTAGTAAAACCAAGTCTATACAAGAAAAAAAACCTCAAAGTTAAAACTTTTCGCTCTTCAACAAAACTCTGGACCATGAACTCACCTTCTCATCACACGCTTTCTGTTCTTCAGTTCATCTAACTGGACAATCGATTGAGCTTCGGACATTCTCTTCTTCAAATCCTTGATCTTTTCCGCGATCTGCACCTTTTCGTAATATTTATCGTATAAAGCTGGAAGTTCTGGGGATGAACTTAGAGCATGATCAAATAAGGTCTTCTCTAAAACTTGAATTTTGGATATTAATGACTTAAATCCAGGATCCTTAATACCCATATTCTTTACGGGATCCAACAAGGGAAGATTATCAGGGAATCTTTTCTTGACTTCCAATATAGATTTGTAAACAGCTTTCAGAGAGTCTTGCTTCTTCAGATTTTTGGGAAGATTGAGGCGAACATGACTCATACTGTAAATTGCTTTCAGTGAAACAGGGACACTCATTAAGGATCCCTCACCAGCGGCCGGAGCCGGTTTAACACCAACGGTGTGTCCAGTTGCATCTTTCGCCAGCGTGCTGTCATTAGAGCAGTATAATAATGCATTTATAATATAGTCTTCTGCTGTAAGTATATCATTGCCATCCTTGTTTTTATCCTTTTTGAATTTCTTTACTTGCTGAAAGTCCAGGACGACACCCCAATCAAAATCCATGTCATCATATTTAATTCGAACCAATCGTCCCGGTTGTAAGAATGGCAAAGCATAAGTAGGATGTGTAATCACATCACGAATATCCTGAGTATATTGGTCTAGTTGTTTACGAATTTGATAGTAGTTGGCAATTTCATCCTCATTTTCTACTACAATTTCGTTTTTCTGGTTTTCCAATTCAGTAATCTGCTTTTCAAATTGTGGAATATTGGCATTGTTTTGGAAGGTGAAGAAACATTTCTCCAGCATAAACTCAGGACTGATACCTTCTACACGTAACAGATTAAGAATCATGTTGTATTTCAAATGGAACGCTGAATTCATACGATCCGATTCACCTTTCACCATGCCCTTAGCAACAGTTGGCTCAATCTGCTCGTCAATCATCATGATAACAACACCACGTTCATCGAGACCACGACGACCAGCACGACCAGACATTTGAATGTATTCACCTGAAGATACCCAACGCATGCTCTTACCGTCAAACTTACGAACACTTGTGAAAACAACAGTTTTTGCAGGCATGTTAAGACCAATGGAAAAGGTTTCAGTTGCAAACAGAACCTTCAGTAAGCCTTCTTGGAAAAGAACTTCAATTGTTTCCTTCATGATGGGCAACAGGCCACCATGATGAACACCAATACCACGTTTAAGTAAAGGCAGAAGTTGTTGAATCTGACTAAGTTGACGGTCATCCTCATTTAAAGATGAGATAGCATTATTAAATACTTGAGTAACCATAGCGTGTTCATCCTCTGAAAAGGTCATGAAATAGAGCAGTCAGTTACATTTCTTTCGTAGCTCGTTTAAAGGCAAAATTGAAATTTTGACATACCATCGTTAAAGTCGAGTTTAGACATTTGCTGAGCGTTGTACTCACATTCCTTCTTGGAAAAACTGAAGACAATAACAGGGTGGTAATTCTTCATCATAATCATCTTGATGATTCTGTAGATATCGGAAGGGCCATCATTAGCACCGCCTTTATAAGTTTGTCCTTTCTTTTTTCCACGAGTATTGGTACTGCTGGGATCATCGCCTTTATGTTCCTTCAATGCACCGATGGCTTTTTGAAAGTTGTCTTCTCTAAATCGACTCTTTTCATCCACAACCAAATGGATACCATTTCCTCCTGCAGGGAACAGATAATGTTGAAGCGGTGTTGGACGGAAATCTGTATATACGATATGACAAGGCTGTTCGTGAATCTTGCAAATCCACTCAGCAAATTCCATAGCATTGGGAATAGTAGCGGATAAGAATACGAAACGAACGGCGTGAGGTAATAAAATAATAGACTCCTCCCAAACAACACCACGTTCAGCATCTCTCATATAATGAATTTCATCAAATACAACCCAAGCAACTTCACGCATGATTTCTGAACCACGATACAACATAGATCTCAAAATTTCTGTTGTCATGACAAGACAAGAGGCTTGCGGATTGATAGTAACATCACCTGTCATTAAACCAACATCTCCAAATTCTTCTGTGAATTCTCTGAATTTTTGATTTGATAGAGCCTAATTATACATAAACATAGAGTGAATAGAGAATTGATTCGTTAATTTAGCTATATCATCTGCTTTACCCGCTTGTTGATATGGGTTTTCCGAAGTTTACCTTGATAGGTGAAGTATAAATAACACGTTGTTTATTTTTCAAACACTGCGCAATAGCATACTCAGCAACAACTGTTTTACCAGCTGAAGTGTGAGCAGCAACCAATACTGACTCATTACGTTCGATCGAAGAAACTGCGACACGTTGAAAAGGATCCAGAGTGAATGGATAGACTCTAGCAGGATCAGCAGGTGGCTTATGCTGAGAGATCGGTACATAAGGATAATTAGGTGGCACAGCAACTTGATGACGAATAGCATGACTAAGAACAATCTTTTCTCCTTCTTCCTTTGATGGCTGTGCTTGCAAACCAGCAATGTTTGTAACAGCTCTAGAAGCTTCTTCTTCGAAACTGTCAGCCACTACTGGTGTTACTTGTTTATTTATGTCTTCTTTGAATATTCTTAGGTCTTCTCCAGCAGCAGTCAATTTTTGCTTTTTGTTGCCTGCCTCCAATTCATCGTTGTCTGATTGAGGGCGTTTTGCCGTCGCAAGCGAAGTTTCAGAAGCAGAAGCATTTTTTGATTGTTGTTCACTACTTTGATCCTCTAATGCTTCTTCCTCCATAGCATCATCGAAATTGTCTTCTACGGCGGCTCCGCCAAAAACGTTGAATATATCTTGTGCGTCGCTACTCATCCAGTTTTGTTTATAACAAAGAAAGAATCAGACCGATTGATGTCGCTGCATCTATGGATTTTTTTTTTTCTTTTAGTTGCCTGAAATTGTTAAGGCCAAGTCACGAATCAGCTCCTGCTCGTCAATCAAAATTTGCAGCTGGTTGTCATTGGATTTTGTGCGGACAATAAAATTCTACGATCAATTTGCTTTGTCCTGCTTGAAGAATTTCAGGCCAATATTTTTGATCCATCCTACGGTGAGCAGATAAGTAGCAAAAAATGTACAAGCTTGTTGAAAAGGGCTGCCCTAAGAGCATGTTTGCACTGCTTTATCAGTTGATTTGGATTTAGTCTTTCTTGCCTTTAACAACCGTCATGAATATATCAGAGTTGCTCTTACCTTTTCAAATATTGCCATCCCCTTTCTCCTAAGGTTACCATACCAAAAGTTTTTAAAGTGTTGCATATATGAAAAGGATATTATGTTGCGTATGTACATTGCATGACGGCATACAATGTGTAAAGCCAAAAAAGAAAAACGAGTGGAATATTAACTTTTTAGATAAGAGCTTGCAGATGATTAACAGATATAATACTCAATTGACAACTCATTACTCAACTAATAGTGGAAGAGAGTCATTAGTTAATAGTTTATTTGTCATTCTACAATCTAAAGTAGTTATGATAATCCAAATTAATACCAGTGGAGAATTCCTTTTTATAGATCTGTAGGGCGTATCACCATGTTCGTTGGGAAAACTTTTAAATGTCTATTGAATATTATAGTGTTTATTCTTCCTTTCTGATAGCCTTTGTCGTTGTTATCCTTGTTTACATTATATACTTCGTCCGTATCAAGATTGGAAGAGGATGGTTCCAATTTTTCAGTCACAGTATGTATATTCGAATTATCCAAGGAGTATGTACTCAAACCATCAAGAGTGTCATATTTACCTCGTGTGCCTATTTTCGGTACTGCTGGCATTTGTGCTTGCATATTCGGCGGAGAAAAGGGAGCATGCCTTTTAAACAAGCATAATGAACGAGAAGCACAAGCTCCAGTGGAAGCTGAGTGGAAATTCAAAATATTGGCACCTTGACCTTCATACCTTTGCAATGTGAGCAATTGGCCGCCAAAATATCCTTTGTGTGAGTCAACAATGTTGGCTTATACAGTATAGATTGAAGAGAGAAGAAAACGTAAGTTACAATTCGCGAGAAAGAGAGAAATCAATTACTCAGTCCTAAATACCTTGAGGTGCAAGAATAGTACCAGCAATAGTAACATCAGGTGATCGAATCAAAGTGAAAGTAGCATTTGGACTGTTTACGAACTCTCCTATCTGGTTGACAGGATAGAAATTGAAAATAGCTTGGCAAGGTGATATGTCTTTATTCACATCCAATGTGGAAATTGTGTATTTCCCGCCTACATAGACTGGTATCTTTTATCGAATCTTTCAGGATCAGTCTGGATTTTTTCAAAGAAACATAGTATAGAAGAGTTTTTGAATGAATTGACTTACGTTGAAGACGACAGTGTCCTTCCCTTGAGTGTCTGCTGCTGTAAAGTATTTGGTAGCCAAACTTTCATCGCCTTTCAGAATGCCTACAGTTGATTCTTGTTTGCTAACTATTTCGCATTTTCGATCTGAACAAGCTGGAAATTTCAAGACACGAACACCTTCAAGAGTGCTTTTCTTTTTCATTGGCGTATAACCTTTGTCGAACGCTCTTATGACAGTATCTGGCTCCAAAGCAGCCAAAGTACGAGAGATGTTTCTTAGTGCATCTGGCGCAAATGACCACAGCTCCTCCCAAGTTTCTCCATTCATCGGAATTGGATGCGCACATTCAGGACATTCAGTCCTAACCCTATCTCTTGCGTTATCGAGCGTACGATGCACGGCACCATATTTTGTCCAAACAGCACCTGCGATATTCGCCTCTCTCACATTGGCACTATATGATAGTAAGCCCAAATGAGGGACGGAAGGATGGTTATAATCTGGGCATTCTGCCGTATTGCTGCTCTTGTATCCATTGGTGTTATAGCTGTAGCCGTTGGACTGTATATAACTTGCAGCAATAGGACCGAAAATGGATGCGTTTTGAACCTTTTCTTCGTTGTCGACCATGATAAACTCTCCAAAAATACCATTAAAATGTTCTAGCTACATCAGTAATTTTGTATAGGTTTGTAAGACACATACAGCACGGTGAATAGTTGTCTCACACAACTTACGGCAGTTGCTTCAGGCATACTAAGACCAGCAATACATTCAGAGTCTTGATATTCTTCGCCTATGGCATTGTTGATTAGTGCAAGTGCCTGATATTGAGTATACACGGAATAAATTGACAAATACAAGCTCCAGAGTTTCATTCTTAACTAATTCGATCTTCAGCAAGAGAAAGCAACAAACGATTAAATTTATTGCTCCTGAGATACGATTTACAATTAGTAAATGGACTGACATGGATATATTTTGCAAAAAATGACCAAATTGGTTCTCTTAGGCATTACTACTACGTAGACCACAAACAATCTATCATTTATGTAAGTCCTAGTATTATCTGTCTTCAGGAAGGCTAATTAATATAAAGAAGTTCGTCTTTTTTTCATAGCATGACCTTGCTCACTATTTGGCTAGATGTTGGTATAAAAACATTTATTGAAATCGCTCTACTCAAAGAGTTCGGCTTTGAAAATACATCGTCAGCACTTATATGTACTTATTTCTTTAAAAAAAAAAATACATGCTCAAAGTCTATATACAAAATCCACGGATTCATCACCAGTCTTTGTATCGTTTCCAGAAGCTTCATTGAATTCATTATTCAATACTTTTTGTTTCTCCACTTCTTTACGCTTGTTGGCTCGTTGAAGGAGAAACCTCTGAACAAGAGTCAAAATGATAAAAAGCAGGATAAATACCAAGTTAATCATATGACCGCGTACTATATCAGAAAAGAACAGGAACCATTAGCGTACAATATATTTTTCTTAGTATCATGTGGATGGGATGCATCAGGTGTCCTTACAGTATCTGGGCGCATCAGAGTGTCGATAAATATTTGAGCCTACTAAACCGGCTGAATTATTGGCAGAGACAGCCATTGCAGTAGCTACACCTTTTTTCATGTCAGGAGCGATATTGCCTGTTAGCCATGCATTGACAATAGGGTTGATAACGAAAATCCCAGCAACTGCGATGCAAACACCAGCATAAAGTACGGGTCTCTCTGTAGAAGCAGATAAAATGATATAGCCGATCAGACATATGGACGCGCCAGCAATGGCATGAAAAGCACGCTCTTTTCTGCGGTCGGATGAGTAAGCTCCAAAAATCATCTATTAAGAGCAGTGAGCGAATTTAGTTGACGTCCATGTAGAAAGCATTTTCAAATAGTGTGGTATTGATTCAATCATTTAATCTGTGTTTACGTTACCACGAATACAGCTGCTACGTAAGGAGGAGCTATACACAAAAGACATGTATGAATGATAAATAGTTGTAGCCATCTAAAATGTAAAACACTTTATCATTTACCTGACATGAGATTGGCAGATAGCTTATCATCATAACCCATGCCTTTTACGATGGAAGGCAGGAAGCTATTACAGAAACGTAAATTTTTTTCTCTGTTTATCCCTGATTTCCCTCTTCATGGAATCTGTTCTGATATACATAGTACATACTTGGACACACTTGTATTCGGCACAGATCCACAAAAGAACATGATCATATACATCCATACTTTCCAATCCGTCAGGGCTTTCAATGCTTGCTTCTTGTTGGATGTGTCCAAATCGCCCAATGTAATATGTTCATGGACTCCATCTTCATCCAAACGTGACAAAGCTACATATTTTTCTTCTTCCGTCAAGGCGGACCAGGTAGAGGGAGAAGCTGGTAGATAGAAGCTAAGATAGACATGTACAAGGTAATTTAATAACGAGCTGAAAAATGATATCTTCTTTTCTATTTACAATGCAATCACTGCAACAACGACGGTTGGAATGCCTTCAATCAAGAAGAGCCATTGCCAACCTGTGAGGCCTCTAGAACCTCTCATCTGTAGAATACCATAGGCTAAAACGCCCGCTGTGTGATAGAGTTATAAGATAAGAGTAAGGGTTAGCATGTTTGTGCATTACCTTCTGACGAGCATCGTACAAAAATGCTCCTTCCAGAAACAATTGGCTTCTTTTTTTTTTTTTACCATAAGCATGTGCAGCAACAGTTGATCCCCAAAATAACGCAATACGGGTGGCCATTTCATTCCTTTTGTAGAATAATGTTAAAAAGTAGACAACGCCTGGAAAAAAACCAGCTTCAAAAAAACCCAAGAAGAACCGTAAGGTCATAAGCTGATGAAAGTTTTTGACAGCAGCATGTAAGCATGCCATGCTACCCCAGCAAACCATTAATAAAGGTAGCCTTATGGAAAAGTGAGAATGATTCATGTTAATCATAGTCATGGTCTCTACTTGTTTGTCGCTCTCCATTTTCCTAAACATGATTATCTTGAGTTTGTACCATTTTTTCGCCGTGAATCGTTTCAATAGAATATTACTTGGTATTTGAAAAATCAAGAATCCCGCCTGATAGGTGAAAGCAATGACGGTAAGGATGATTGATTGTTTGAAGGTATTATTTTGGAGAGTCCTTACATAGAAGATAGTAACACAAGTGTTGAACTGATCAGGTGTGATGCCCACATCCTGCTCGAAATTGTCCAATACAGCATTGCCTTAGTATTCATCACCAGAGTAAAAGGTTAGATAATCGTCTTTTAAGCCCTTCTTTCAGGTATCATTTACCTAAGCTTGATCTATCCAACGAAGAAAATAGATACATAAAGCTTAAAAAAGGCAGGAGCCGTGTATCTATCTTGCGCACAAGTCGTTTCTCCACCAGCACTCTATTTTGGCTGTCCACGAGTTCTATTGTAGAAGATGACATGAAAAATACGTAGAGAGGAATCAATGATGGAAACCGAAAACAAAATAAAGAGAAAGCAGGCGCCCATTGATTGCATTCTATCTCTTAAATTACCTGCAGAAAACAGAGGCTCGTATGAAGTATCATCTGCCATGTTTAAAATTAGCGGTAAGGAGATAATATAAGTTTTTACAATAAGAAAGTAGGAGAGAAGGGAAGGGAAAGAAAATTGAAACTTATTGCATTCATACCTGTACTTTTTTGTTCCCCACATGTTTGCATAATTTGGAGGCGGGCCAAATCCAAAAATGGGTAAAATAGAGTTTAAACTTGACCTTTTTTTTTTTTTTTTTTTTTTTTTTTTTTTTTTTGGTTGCTCCTTTCGTTTCGGCATTGAAAACAAGAAGCGTTTTGCTTCCATCCATCCGATCGATCACATGAAGAAGAATGATTTAAGAAAGACGTTGGAAGAGCTTGGTGTTTTAGAAAAAGTAGAGAATTGTAATTAGCTGATCTAACTTTTAAAGCGACAACAGCAAAGAACCAGTCGGATTAACTAGCTTTTTCCCTCACAGTGGGCATAGATGCGCCTCGAGACATGCTGATGAAATCAGTAGCTGATCTGACAAGACTATTGAATATTCCAGCTGACGCTGCCAATGATATTTTAATGGCGGCTTCATTAGAAGCCTTTGATTGGCGTTTACGCGAAAGAACAGGAAATGAACTTATCCAACAACAGCATACACGTGTATTAACAACAGGCGATGCAACGATGGATAAAGTGTTCAACGGCGGTATTTCGCTTGGAGCGATTACAGAAGTGGTAGGCGAAAGGTACAAAGGAAGAAAAAAGATGTTTGATGTAAAGCTTCATCGTTTTCCCCTCCCTGACGTTTTGTTCTTGATGTTAGCTCCTCTGGAAAGACACAGCTTGCTTTACAACTTTGCGTAGCAGCTCAAAAGCCTGAGCAGGAAGGCGGTTTAGGTGGTTCTGCGGTTTACATCTGCACCGAAGGTCCGTTTCCTTCCAAACGGCTTGACCAACTACTCCACCAATACCCTGAGCCTCAGCAGGAGGAATTGAGAAATAACTTGTTTACTATACGTGTTAAAAACTGTGATGAACAATACAGGACGATCTTTTACCGATTACCGGCATTTGTCGAATCGCAAATAAAAAAGAAACGAGTACGCGTTATTGTCATTGACTCTATTGGTGCACTTTATCGTAGTGAGGCGCACGGCATAGGCAAGAAACGGTTCGAGAGAATGAGTGAGATATGTGATTTAGGCACACAATTGAAAAAGATTGCCGATCAGTATGAACTCGCTATTATCGCTGTGAATCAAGTAGCAGACGTTCCTACTACAAGAAACCAACCCGACATTGAGCAACTGCAACAATGGGCAGACTTTCAGTTGCTGAATGCTGAAAAGAGTAATTCTATGGCTGGTTTGTATATTGATTCATTGTTGAAGAAGCCTATTTTGGGTGTCTCCTGGGCTAATTCTGTCAATGCGCGTATTCGCATGGCAAGGTCTCCTATATTGGAACACATGAAAACAAGACGTATACTATTTCTCGAATTCTCACCAACGGCCCCTCGATATGGCTGTGAGCTCAAGATTGACAATAACGGCATCCATGCTATTTAAAACTGTAACAAACTATCTAATTGAAACCAAGCTATTCCCACCCCCCACCCCCTGTTGACACAAACAAATAGTAGCAACTGCATACCTACTTTAATCATACACATATACCTTTTAGCAAACAATAAGTAAAGTTTAATGAGTTTTTTTCAAAATTTCATAGCTAGCAGTGTTTCTCTTTGAGTGATCCTATTTACAAAATCAATGCTTATGGAACGAACAATGATTTACAACACTCTAGATTATATCACTTTCGAGAGATTTTACATAAAGTAATCTTTAATAAGAGGAGGGTGGTATATGAAAAAATGGGAAAATACAACTATATTATATACAAAAAAAAAAGGGGAAGGGGGAATCGATCTGTCTAACAAGGGCAGAATTCGGTAGAGTGAGGTCCACTACAATTGAAGCAAGTTTGAAGAGGGGCCAGCGCTTTCATAGCTTGCAAAGTAAAACATTGTGAATTAAGCAGTGTAGGTTGAAGATTAGGCCTCGGAAAAGTGTTCAAGACTGACGTTTCTGTGATAATAGGTTTTTTAGTAACGCTACTATTGTTAAGAGCGGGCGCGACGTAAGGTGCCTGCTGCTGCTGCTGCTGCTGCTGCTGCTGCTGACGAAGTACGTTGGTTGAAATGGGACGGCCAATGGCTTTACTTGCAAAAGGCTTTGCTTTCGTGCTTAACAATGTCGAGAATGAATTCAATGGCGGTGGCATTGCTATTCGAATATTTAGGAAGGAGCGAAAAAAAGTAATGAAATGAACAGCACGACCCAAGAAGGAAAAGGGAGGTTTGTCCCAATCAAAATCGATAAACCACGATTTTTCATTTATCAGATCGTTTCCTTTTTTCAATCAGCCACACAGTGTTTCTACATTTCTACAAATGGATCATAGGTAGCTCAAAGAGTCATTTTATATTTTCTAATTGAACAATTAAAAAGTACTTGTAAAGAATGAGTAGTATAATAGTAAAATAGATGAGAAGAAACTATTTAATATGTAATTATGATGAGAGATGAATGCGTAAAATAGTGTAAAGTGTATGTTATACAGAAAGAGAGATGTGAATGTTTCCAAAGGAAACGGTAAGCTGTGTGCCTTCTTATACTTAAGTGTAAAGTTCTTGCACAGAAGCACCGACAATGGGAATAGATTCACCTTGAAGATCTTCACAAGACAAGAACTTTGTAGGGAACTCAACCAAATGACCATGAACGACACTCAGTTTTTGACGCACTTCTTGAAGGGACATGTTAGGATCGAAAACGTGGCCCAATTCAATCTTTTCAGTAGGAGGATAGAACTTGTGATATTCATCCCAAGTGGTAATAGTATCATCAGGAACACAATGGAAAACTTCACGGAAGGCCTTTGTGTTGGTAGCAGCAGTGTTATTCCATCTGTTGAGCGTTTCATCGTCCAAAGGATCCATGACCCAGAAATCCTCCTTTGTTTGAGTATAGTCAGGAGAAGGAACGGGCAAAGGCAACATAGCAGGAGTGACCGTATCCAACTCTTCCTCATCAAGTAAGCCCAAATGCTCCTTCCATAACTGACGACGCAAAGTAGCTGCGAAACGAGAAGCTTGATAGGGCTCACCGTTCATACGAGAAGAGATCCTATCCTGATCTTCAACATACAAAGCGATTTCAGAGTCACGGTCACCGCATTGAGATCGGTCGTTCAAGTTGGCAGAGCCCATGATGACGACTCTGTCATCAGCAATAAGCAGCTTGGCGTGAATGTACAATTCTTCGGTCACATAGTCAGCGACGGTTTCAGTGATAGCCGTGCGGCAGACTTGAACTTCTTGGCCGGGGATGGTGAGGCCGTTGGGTTGCTGGACATCGTCCGTAGGCGCTTGGTTGGTAATTTCGTTGGGAGTATAGCCAGCATTACGTGCGAGAATTTCTTCGGCTCTAGCACGGTTGATACGATCAAAGCTTCTCAAACTGTAGAAACGAATGTAGTCATCGGCATTGATATTCTTCTTTTTCAATTGTTGGAGGATACTGTTATCACCACTACAGATGGAAATATATTGATAATACATGACAAGTCTAACATTGTTTAAGAAATAGAAACCATGATGAATAAACCTGACTGGCGAAAGTTTTTCTTTTTACCTACTGGCAAATCATATTTACCTAGCAGTAGCAGCATCCTTTGTACTTAATTCAGCAGGGAAAGCAGGCATCAAAGGCATCAAGACAAACACCTTGAATTTTTCACCATTTTCATAAGCCTGGACGATACGACTGACGATAGCAGTACCGATTTGATTTTTGAGAATATACTTGTCATCTTTCTCGGTTGATGTAACTGAAAGAAATGCCCGGAAAAAAAGAGAAAAAAAAAAATACGATGAGTAAACTACATTTCACTGCGCCATAGCTCATTTATAGCTTCTACTTTACTGAAGAATTGATTTTCAATGTAAATATAATGCTTAGCATTGGTGATAGTCTCAATATATGCATTTTGGATGGAGTGCTAATGGAAGGTTTGATTGATAAAGAATGGTTAGCCACATTACATAAAAGTTAAAACGGGATTCCCGATTGTTTTCGTCCTTTGAGCTGTTATGATTTTGACACAGGCTTTTTTTTTTTTTCCTATATGTATTTTGACTCTCTTTGCTTACCTCTAATTTAATACCAGAACTCCATTCGGCACTACTACGGAGAACCTGAGCTCTGACAGAGCCATTGACACCGGCGGTTTGATGACCGAAATGATAAGAGTGAAGCAATTTGTCATCAAGGTTGATCTTGAAATTTTGATAATGACTGTAGCCACCAAGTGGAGGCTTCAAGAAGGGAGCCTTGGACTTATCTAAAGACTTTGAGTTCTTGATGAAATTCCATCTGTCACAGAAATGACGTGAAACATCCAACACTGGAGTACCAAGCTAAAATGATCATAGAGAAATAAGAATAAAAGTCAGCCAATATGCACGATTTGTTGGGTTAAAGGATATTGTACCATGCAAAGAGAAATATCATGCCAAGGCATACGAGGAACAGTCGTCTTATCGATCAATTTCATGTCCCATAATTTAACTAGATCAAAAAAGCAGATCAGTAACAGTATTTCTGCAACGCATCATGATCTCTGAAACTTACCTTTTTCAAAATCTCTGACACGAGCATCACTATAATCTTGGCCTGTGTTCCAGAATAAAAAGAAAAATTGTGTAATTTTTTTATTTTTTTTTTGTTTGTTAGCTTTTTGCATTAAAAACACGGTATTACAGAGAGAAACAAAAGGGACGTACCTGGGTAGATTTCCATATGAGGGTCAGGGCCATAGGTGAAATCCGCTAATCTGTGGCTGTGAGTATCCCAACGACTAACGGTACGGAATAACATTCTGGTTGAGTTACACCATTCACTTTTCTTTTTTTTTTTTTTTTTTTTTTTCTCTCTGCATAAATCATGAATGTTTCGTTATTTTTACCCGTAACAAAGATCAATACCACCCAAGAAGGCAATACGATTATCAACCACAACAAACTTTTCGTGATGAGACCAAAAGTAAGTACCGCCAATAGCGTGATCAGGATGTCTTTGAACAACAATGTTCTCATGCAAGTCCTGCAGAGCTTTCTTGGTGTGAGCGCTGTCAAGTGTCAAAGCTAATTCGATTTCCTATAAATAGATAATAGAGAACCAGCAACATCGTTATACGTCATTTAATACTGATTCGTCATCATTTCCAAACTTTATACATGTATGTGTATGTGATATACCTTGTAGACAACGACATAAATCATGACGCCTTCTTCGGCTTTACGTTTCAACAAGGCATCAATACGGTATTCGGGATACTTGGCGGGAGGTCTTTTCAAATACTATTATCGAAAGTTCGCACGGGTCAGTGAATTCACTGTTACATCTTGATATGTGTTATCTGATCCACGATAAAAGAATGATATTTACGAGTTCAGGAGACTATATATAAAGAGAGATACCAAAAGGATCAAATGCAATGAATTAGTATTCTTTTCTTTACGTTCAGTCACGAAAACCCCAACTTACCAACCACCAATCTTCGATAAAGACAACTTCCTTTGCACTTTCAATGGCCTCAGCAACAGCCCTATGAAAATAGAACATTTAGTCAAAATGATCTTGCCCTGAACGCTTTCAATTATCAACAGGGAAAAACAGATAATTACCAGCAGTAATCATGACCGTCGATGAAATACTTGACCATGGCATTTTCTCTGATGGGCGCAAAGGATTCAAAACGATGTCCTTCAGCTAAATACTGTTCTTCACGTTCATCATCTTCGTTGCCTCTCACAACGTTATTGACGCCGCTACGAAACTTTTGCTTTACTTTGGTGGCTAAATGATTCAAAATAGGCATGATGGAAGAAAGAGTTTAAAAATGTGAAAAAGTAAACAGAAGAAGAAAAAAAAAAAGAAAAACAGGGGACAGTAAGGGGAAAGGGCTTTTGAAAGGATTTTTATCTGTTTTAGAAGAACTAAAGGGAAATAATCTTTATTTGAATTAAACTTTTTTAAAATGTTTGTCTGTGTTTTTAAATAGTGTTTCTTTTTAACCCACCAAATTAAAAAAAAAAAAAAATCTGTTGTGTGGGTGAGGTGCGGTGTATGTGCATTCAGACACACTTTTCTTTTGCTTTAGAAAATTTGGACAATGTTGGTTTTTATTTCTACATAAACTTAAATTTTGGATTAGAAACTTTTTTGGGAAAAAAAAGACATCAATTCATCTGCTTTATAACTGAACGCGCAAAATCCAGAATTACAAAGTTTCCAACGAAAATTCAAGTCTTAACAGGAGGCATTCTAGGGTATTAGTAGTAACCTTTATCTTTGAACAGGCAAGCAATCATAGAGAAAACCTTCCTCAGGTCAATTCTTAGCTTTAGCATATGTTTAAACCTGTCTACTCTCTTGTTAGTTTTGTCAATTCTGAATTCATAAGAGCTTTACAATCACTTTTCTCTCTGTTATCTTGACTGTTTTGCCTAAATTAAATTTTTTTTTCGAAGTTGTTGTCTTCTAAAAGATGTTTATCAAAATTTATCTCAAAAATACTTTGTAGTTTATTCTATAAAAGCAAAAAAGTCGAGAGAAGGAGTAGAAAAGTCCGGATTCTAATTGAAAACACTGGAGCATACTGTTTCTTCTCCGACAAGCAAAACCACCAAGGATGTAATAATGTATTTTACCTTATATTTTAGACGATTTACAATTTTTAATGGACAATATACATTTTAATTTTAGATTTATTAAAAAATATTTTTAGAAAAGTCCATAGTATTTGGATATTTGGATACTCAATTATTCAGTGATATTCAAGCAGCATTAAGGATGACATACAATCGAACCCTAGAAATTAGTCTCTATCAGTAAGAAAGTCGCCAATAATGGTTTTATTGATGTTATCTTGCAATAGGACAAACTACAAAAAGCTTGACAACTTTTTTACTAAATGACGATGTGTTCCGAGACCAACAAGATATTCGTTGGTGCCTTTTTTGGACAAGAATTCCAAAAAAAGTTAACTTTGAATTGATTGACATCAAACCATTGATAGAGGGCTGATGGTCATAGTATAACAGATACCATAGCGGAATGGGATGGTTATATTAACTGTTGTCAATGTTTTTGTATGCGTTCATGGGTGACTTTCAAAGATAAGCACTATAAAATATATTGCTTTCTTAGAGTCAAATGTTGTCTCTTTCACTTTTATTTCACGTTTTTAAGATACATACTATGACCCATGTTCAAAACAATAATTTATGAAAAGAAAAAGCAAATTTTTGAAAAGAAAAAATCAAGTGCTGTTAATGGTAACTTGCCTTTTGAAAGCCTATCTACCTAATCATATATATATGTATAGATTAATCATCGTGTACTGTTAGATGTAACGTGTATTGATTGCGGTAAAGGGGGTCACTACACCAAACAATACTTTAAATGTGAATTATATGAGCCGGAAACTGCAGATCAAGGTAAGCACCTCATGTGGCTTTAAAAGTTGGTAAATACATCATTAGTAAGCGACTTCATTGTACCTATAGTTGGTTCGATAGGCAGAAAACGCAAACAGAACTTTGAAATCAAGAAGGAAAAGAAGAAAGCAAGGAAAGAGAATAATGAAGAACCGGATAAAGACAATACCTGTTGTACCAAATGCAAGCAACCAGGACATAAATCGGTGCGTTCTCCTCTGTGTCCTCAACATGTATTATCAAAGGCAGAGGTCTTTCAACATCATTTGGGAAGTAATTACAAGGCGTTTACAAGAAGGTTGCCTCTTGATAACTGCGTTTTTGGTGACTATCGCAACACATTCAAGTCAAAAGTTGTTGAAGCTTGTTCTGTTATCCGAAACTTGGTTCTTAGAGCCAAGCTCTTTGTGAATTATTACGTCTTGGAAAATGCCACTCTTGCTGAGCCAAAGTGTATTAAATATATCTTTACACAAAATTTCTGGTACTCTATGATACAGCTAGTGAATGGACAAAGACCAACAAATAGTAGGCTGATATCACAACAATTACTGAGCTCGTTTGATTCTTTTAAAACGACTTACCCTAAGATTGTCTTCCCTGTCAAGCTCTTTCCTGGACTTTGTCAAGCCATTACAGAAGCATGCACCGAAATTGCTACTTCCTATACAAACAGTATAGTGGAAAATTTTGAGGAGAAACTTCTCTATTTTTTGATATATAAAATACAAACGGCATTTGTGGTAAGTTGCAACTCAATATTACTTGGGGTCTTACATGAATTTTAAAAAAAGCTCTCATCTTGCGTAGTGTATGCCTTGGAAGCTTGTCAAAAAGGTCACAAGTGATTTCTGCTATCAAGAGATATGCCAAGGAAAACCTAAATGGCCAACTGATGACTACCTTACCAAAGATATAAAAGCAAAGATCCAAACCTTTTGTGAACCTTGGAAGAAGAAGCTGGGGAAGAAAGTGAACATGAAGACATTATCTGCTGATCCTGGGTCTTTCGTACCCTTTTTGTTATCTTTGAACGCAGAATTTGAGAGGGAACACGATGATCATAAGCCATTTGACGTACGACGACGTCCTCTTCCAAAATTGTTATCCTTACTGCCAAAGGTTTCCGTTCAATGGAGGTTCATTACCTTGAGCGTGAACGCTCTGTCTTCTTTTGTGAAACGTTCTTTACCCCGCAATTACCAAAGCCAATTAGAGCTGTTTTTCCATGTCTTTGATTTCAAGAAACTCAGGTACAAAAGGTAAGCATACAGTTAATACGGTATGCAGTCGAGTATAATGTATGAGGTTTAACTTCTTGGGCACATGTAGTATCTCTGAACTTACACCGAATGGTGATAACAAAGAGCTCTTTGGTAATATTGTCAGAACGGATGGGTTTTCAGTTGACTTTCTTTTTTACAAAAGACAACAATCTGGCCATGGTGCCTCGTTCCAAAAATTTGACCTCACTCTTGATGATTTCTCTCTGGATGAAGTTGACAATACTTATTTACCTATTACCCTGGATCCCGGAAGAAAGTCTGTTTTTACTGCTGCTATTGGCCTTGAATATAACAGACAAGTGCGAAGATGCACTACATCCGAATACTATCATATGGCAGGGTCAACGAAATATTGTAAGAAATTGAACAGTATAAAAGCTGTTACAGGAATAGATCTAGTAGAAAGTCAAATCCCCTCGTCAAAGACCTCTCGTCTAGGAGTATATGAGGCGTTCACCAGTTATATGCTCAATAACTTAGACGCTCTCTTTAGTTTTTATGGACATGAAACAGCAAAGGACCGGTTTACGTTGTACCAAGGAAGGCAAAGAGCACCCGAAACTATGGCCAACATGTTGACTCATGGAACGGCCAAGTACAATCGCAAAAAGAGAAGCAAGGCAAGGAAGAGGAAAAAACAGCAGAAGAAGAAGAAGAAAGGAAAGAATGTTGACAAACAGCCGCCAATCAAGTGAGTATCAATGAATTACATGTTCATCGTTTAGCTTACGCGCTGATTGATGATTTTTAGAAGTGACAAGAAGTGGAAGGCTGATAAGTACTCAGGATTCCCTAGAAGGGTACCATTGATTGTCTTTGGTGCTGGAATGTTTGGAAAAGATGTAGTAAAATTGAAAGGGCAAAGATGTGGTGTTGTCGGTAAACTTTTTGCAACTCTGAAGAAACGTGAAGCTGAAGGTCAATTGATTGTTGTCACAATCGATGAATTTAAAACCTCTAAAACATGCAGCCTCTGTTTCTATGATGATATGCAAATTGTTGATACTCCTGGATTCAAGGGTACCGGCGTTCTTCACTGCAAGCAATGTCTAAAGCTATGGCAGAGAGACATTAACGCTGCTATTAACATGATGACAATATCTCAAGCAGTTTGGTCCGGAGCTGGAAGACCCGATGTTTTTAAGCCAGCGAAGAAGAAAAATGTATCGCCGTAATAAACACGGTTTTCCTTCATTTTGAGGATTTAGATCATTACAGGTAAGGAATAGTACGGTATTTTTTTCTTGTTTTTTTTTTTGTTTCGCAATACTGACAAGTTTTTGGGATTTGAATTATTGTTTAAACGGTTTATATTTTGGTCTACAACACAATTGCAACTCATCTAAAATGAAAATATTAATCGTCCAAAAAAAAATGTATTTCATCTAAAATATTAGTTAAAATACTGTAATGTAAAAAGCTTGATAAAAAGGCTGGTCTTTTTCTTCCTTCATACAAAATTAAAATGTCGCGCGGAAAAGAAGTTAATTTTACCCAAAAATAAAAAAAAAGAGACTACTTAGTAAGGTCTAAACCGCGACTTCTCTTGATGCAAAAATAGCAAGCACTGCTCAAACACGTCTTTCCCTTTTGACTATAGAAACAATGGCCATACTTACAAGATTACATTGTTGTCTCCTGAGAGGTACTGTCTGATATCATACAACGAGGTAGAGAAAGAAGAACATGTTTCTGTTTTTTAAGGTGCGTTGTCAGCTATGTGAATGCATGATCTTACGATATCAAAAATAAAATAAAATAAAAAAAAAGCTCAGCATACACAAGATTTTTACTTTACTTTTTATTTTAGAAGTATGGAGTCGGTTTCATTTTCAAGCTTCATATGTTTCTATTTTCTTTTTTGCTAAACCAAAAAAAGAATGACAAATTGAGAAGTTTCAACTCGTCATTTTAGAAAACTATAAACAATGTCACTCCTCAAACGTTGATGACAAAATGGAACTCTTTTGTTTTGGTCTTTGCAAAAGATGTCAAATCAATATCTGTAATCTGTCGTACGGTGGTTGAATTTATCCGATCGGAAAATTAAAAAAGCGTGGCGCGTGCTTGAATAATGTATCTACAACTTCCTGTCATTTTTTGTTTATTAGCTTTTATAGAATACGCATACTATTGGCAATTACTAATGGTATACTACAAGTTCTCTAAACATAGTCCTTATGAAAGCGATCCGAATATAGTTGCATTTAGAGAAAATGCCGATAGCCTATGTATCTCAAATGCAAATGAATGACTATCATGGTCAAAAGAATTATACCAGTAATAAGAACAATAGTTTGGGCGGATCATTATGTTGAAACAATCGTTCAATCTTACGATCCTTATCATAACCGTATTTATACGCCTCAGGAATTAAAAATGGATATGAGAACACAAAGCACCCAAAGGGAGGTGTCAGTGAAATGTGATATTCATTTCCATATTGAAAAAGTAGTAATAAATCACTTTTTAAAAAAAAAAAAAAAAAAAAAAGCTTTGTAAAAAGCTAGGAACAAACAAGGAAAGACTGCCCTTTCCTGTTTAGCTGTCCTCCTTGGTTTGAATTTCGCACGATATCTATTTAACCCATGTTTTTCACTTTCAAAGCAAGCCCTACATTCTTTTTTGTTGGCAGTAAACGCCCTCGTAAGTGCTCGAGTTCTACTGTTGGAGCAGTTGCAAATTTTTCAAAACTTGTAAAGACCATAGTCGTTCATACGAATGATAACGGTTATAATAGTGCCTTCAGAGCCTTTCGTTTTTATTTACATCTAATATGTTCAACTGTACAGATTCAATTTAATTTACGCCTCCAAATCACTTGTATCACTGACAACTTCATCATCATCGTCCGATGCAAGACCTTCTTCTTCTTTAAACATATTATTCTAAGATAGACAAAAGTTGATTAAGTTTCCTGTCTGTCTAATACAAAAGCTACTACAAAGGCATCGCCCGTCAAAGAGTTTACCTCATCATCCATTTCCATCAAATCGTCATCGTCATCCTGGACAGCTTCTTCTTCAACATCATCGTCTTCTTCTTCGTCATCGTCATCCTCTTCATCATCAAAATCATTTTCGCTATCAGTATATGCTTGTACGCCAGCATCTGACTCATCTCTTTCTTCTTCTGACTCCACTTTATCTTTTGTATTATGTGCGTCTATTTGTCTCTGAATTAAATCTAATCGTCCATGCATAGCTAATAGCTTAGGATATACCGTTAAACGATCGTCCAACTCTTTATAAAGTGTCGATAATCGCTGCACGACATCCGGTAAGCTCATGAAATAGGCTGTATGTGTTAAAAGAACTGCTTTGATCCATTCCGTCAACTCTGTATTGCGTGCTTGCTGTACATCAAATTGTGCTAACAGTTCCTGAAGTAGTGGGCGTACATTGTCCAACGGTAATCGTCTCACTGTTGTAAGAATATCCTCCAGACTTGAACAACCTTTCTTTAGTTCCTGCCACGATTGAATAGACGCTTTATTCAAATCGGCATGCTGTTTTCGAATCACGCTGAATTTACTATGATCGTCATTAGGATTCACAATGTCTATATCTATGTTGGGTGTAACAAGTGAGCCTCTTCTTTCTTTTCTAACTGATCTTGTGTTTGTCTTGGCCATTGTGGTTGGTTGCTTCCTGGGAGATATGGTATATATGAGGGCACGATGTAATGGCTATTTTGATTTTTTTTTCGTTTTTTTTTTTTTGTGTAAAATCGCTAGAAACCAAATACAGTCACAGTGTGACTTGAAAGTACATGAACTGTATTTTAGGTTTGACCGAGGGTCGTATTGAAAAGCATTGGTCTATTGCTCTTTACACACTATGTAGGTCTAGCCCACACCTTGAAGAGATACTACCATCTTTATGGTTCTACTTGCATAATAGACACACATAAGGCTGCTCATAGAGGTTTTATATGGCATGGAATAGTAATTCAATTGCCGATAATGTGGACTAAACCAACTATCGCTTGCCCAATAAACATTAAAGACAATTGTTTAAAGAGTTAACAAATTTTTATTTCGAAAGTTGCATCCATCAACAACTACCACGTTTGCAATATGGTAGCAATGTTATGTCTAAAGAGTATTGCAAGTTAAAGAATTACTTTTTTTGGCTGCAAATTTGTCATTGTAAAATGAATTCTCCGCCAAATTTTGCTGCAAAATCCAGTATCTAAACAACGAGTTTTGTTCCTGAAAATGCCTCTGATGAACTACACATATTAGAGGTTCAGTAGCACAAAATTACAAATGATAATAACGTTTAGAGCCATTAAAATTCATTTATTGTCTCGCACGGAAACAGCACAACAGTGATAAAATGATAGTCAGTGATCAGCAATTCTTTTTATTGAACAAGTTATCTTTTAATACATGTACAAATAGAAGGCAGACACTTTACTATATCATCACTGTGAACGGCTGTTTTGAAGGGGACAGAAAATGGTGATATAAAGTTGGTTCTTTTTTTCGGAATAACTAGCATCCACTTTTTTTTTTTTTTTCACGAAAGCAAGAAAGAAGGCATTTTTTATGATAGATAGTCATATATGTATAAATATAGGAATTAAACAATTGATGTGTCTATAATTTTACAAACAGCGAATAGATAAAAGGTTTAATTTGTACCAAAGAAAGCACGGAAGTAATCACCCAGTGCAACCATACAAAGTGTTTGCCACATTCCCAAACCGATACGGGGTAAAGCACCACGGTAGAAGCCCTTCATACCGTTGTTCTCATAGATGTATTTTGTTGCTGTAGCAATTGTCATATTCTCTGGTCGACCTACTGCCTTCACTTGACTTTGCATTTCAACACGAATCACTTCAATGGGTTGATTCCAGCAAGACAAAGCACCACCGATGGCAGAAGCAAGTGCCTTATCAATAGCAGTAGCCCGGTGTTCGTTGCCCTTTCCGTAACGTGCATTGATAATAGATTCTTGGGCAAAACGTGTAATACCGAAACGTGAAGCCCAGTTTGTACATTGACGGAGGGCAACAGCATTGACACCCTTATTGATACCAGCGATACCTTCCTTCTTTAAAATTTCTCCAGCAATCTTTAGTGTTGATTCCTTGGCACCTATTACCGATAAGATGGATGAGAATCTGTCTCTTTTTTCGTTTTCAATTCGTTAGACTGTATCGTTACCTGATTTATGACGTGTTACTTCTACAGTCTTCATAAAAGTACAGAAACCCATTGTTGTGTATGCTTGAGCGATACCACCACCCATACCACCAGCAATACCACCCTATTGACATTGTGTATAATGTGTATAAAGTTTAGTACGCGTGTTACAATTTAAGAATTTGGGCGGGGATAGTCCAAAACCCTTCCTCTTTCCCAACCACACACTCTTTTTCGCTCAATAGAAACCAAAACTTACAAGGAAAGGTGAAGCACCTGCCACTCTTGCGCGATATTCAAATTCGGAGGCAGTGAAGAGCAATACAGCACCCTTTGTAGAAGCTTCGATCCAAGCCCAAGGGATCAAACCTTGGTAGAAGCCTAAAAGACCACCACGAGCATAGATATTTTTCAAGGCAGTGACCAAGGATTGACCACGATTGGCGGCTAATTGTGTTTTGATGACTTCGAAAGGTTGACCCAAGGTGGAGACTTCAAACATATTGAGAGCTTTTCAGAAGAATCTGGTTTATTAGCTATACCGGCCTCGGGTGTTTTGTTTCATGTACCTGTCTCTACTATCCCCCCTCCCCCCTTACTCTTTCTTTCTCTCTCTTTCTGTCTCGTACTCGTGGTAATTACTTACAGGCACCTAATAACAAATTCTTATACGAGATGGGCTTCTTCTGTAAAGGAGCATTGGGATCAACTGGAGTACTATCGATGGGAGCCATAGTGTCTATCTGTCTTTAGATAAGTCTGTGTGTAGAGTGGTAATGATCAGTAGATGGTATATCTCAGAAAATGTTGTCAACTGTTTTTAAGTTGAAAAAATACAATAAAAACAGAAAAAAAAGAGAAGAAAGGGGATGTATATTGTGTGTGTGTGTGTGTGTGTCGTTTTTAAGGGTTCCCGTTGATTCTTTTTCGTTTTTGAAGGAAAAAGAAAAAAGAAAAATAAACTTTAGCATAACGTTTTTTCGGGCAAGCGCACACCACAAATACACCCCATATTCACATATACACCACCAACTCCACATAATGATACACACTCCACACATGGAAAAGAACACACTTGTTTAGTTGTGACCGTTGTTAATCTCGGGTCTTTTTCCCAGTTTGGACAACTGACCCGCCCATGAACACTTAACTTTTGTCTTTTTTGTATGAAAAAAGCCTAAATTTGTAATTTGAACCCACCATGAGTTTCCCAGTCCGCCGCTCTACATGGAGATGTGCTTCTATAGCCTTGGGTGTAGTGTATAAAAGACTACACTCAGCATACACTGAAGACTTTAACAATACATCAACCAACTAAATTCTAAATGACAAATCATACAACGTACACAATTATTTATTAGAGTTTTCTGGAAATGTAAAAAAGGTCAATGGTATTTGTGTATAAAGGATGAGCAGTTGCGAACTTTAAGAAATCGCCATCTATTTTTGGTCGGTGAAGTCGTCGTCGTCGTAGTTAACTGGTGATGGTGGTGGTTGATGTTATTGCTGTTGATGACGTCATCCACCAATAAGGATGAAGCAAGCATCAATTCAGGAGAAGTAGTTGTCGTCATACGGGCCGTCCTTGTATTGCTGTTACTACTGCTGTCATAATGTACTCTTAAGGTTCCATTTTGTTGCTGTGGCTCTAAAAGCTGTGCATTTTCGACAGCCTGGTTACTATTATTAGACCGCGATCGACGCGTCTTTTTGTTGATTTTACATTTTTGTTTATTACATGTTGCAGCAGCAGCAGCAGCAGCAGCAGCAGCAGCAGCAGTCGTCTGCAATGGATCTACTACATCTGTTGTTGACAAAGGTGACAAATTAGGTAATTCTGGTATGTTCCCCATGACGGAGAAGAGACTGTCCATGCCAATGCTGGGTAGTTGTTTTCCCTTGGACGACGAGTGGAGGATAGGTGAGGGTGAGGGTGATGAAAACATGGCGCAGAGTCTATCTGCTTCCTCATCTGACCAATGAGCGGAGCACAATCGATATTCTAAGGGTATCCACATCTCATTTCGTTCAACCCATCTATACCGTGCAATATAGGTACCAAAGTAAGGCTGCCCACAGTGACTACAAAGTTGCGCGGTAGATAGGTAATCTGCCATAGCTGGGTTGCACTGTCGTAAGAGGTGCAGTGATCGTTGTACAGAGCTGGTGGATTGTGTGAGTAGTGATAACAGTAAATCTCTTGCACAGGAATCAAAGAGAGAGGGAGGCGAGTGCACAATCGTATTCACAAGTTCTTTTCCTTCGTCAAACGAGCAACCGTCCAAACGCAACCGTCGTAGATACGGTAATTGAGTGATTTCAGCGGGTAAGATGTGGATGGCTGTGTTGTAAGAGACATCCAATAAGGTTAAATTGGAAAGGCTCTTTATGATACAAGCAGGCAGTTCTTCCAGTTGATTATGGCCCAAATACAGTGATTTTAGTTGCTTCAATTGACTGATGTAAGGTGTAAGCTGGCTCAATTGATTCCAAGTCAAGTTGAGCTCGTCTAATCGAGACAAATAACATATGGTCGGTGGGATCGATTGCAGTTGATTGTGCGCTAAGCATAACACTTCTAACTGATATAGATAGCCTATTTCTGATGGTATGTCTTTCAACTGATTGTGCGATCTATGTAAAATACACAGTCATGAGTTGGTGCAAACATAAGGCTTCTATGTGTGTGCACACCTTCTCCTCTCTCCCTCCCTCCCCCGCCCCTTGATTTACAATACATTTGCCACACAACTCAAGCAAATAAAAACTTACAGATCCAATTTTCGTATCATTGTCAAATATCCAATTTGTGGTGATAGTGAAAAAAGATTTCTTCTTGTAAAGATAATTTGTTCTTGTTCCCAACAAGTCTTTGGAATGTCTTGAAAGCAAAGTGGTTTTTCAGTTCGTTTAGTATCTTTCTTGATGAATAAATGACGTTTCTTCTTTTTGACTTTATCTCCGGTTGCTGCTGCTGCTGCTGTTGTTGTTGTTGTTGATAATGATGTTGTATAATATGTTTGGTCAATATATTTGATGTCCTTTTGTAGCTGACCGAAACTACTATTATCAAGCCCGTAGAGCTGAGGTTGCAACGTCAAACGATCTTCATGATGCCTGTGAATAGCACTGTCTTTGTCTTCTTGCTTGATATAGATAGATGTTGTTGAGGACTTTGAATAGCCAAATACTGTAGAACTGCTCTCATATCTTCTGTAGCTGTTCCTATTTCTATTGCTGCTATAACTTTGGCCCATAATCCATGTAGGTGAGTATGTACAAATGTGTGTATATGTGTGTATGTAGGTATGTAGGTAAGTGAGTAAGTAAGTAAACTACGTACAAAAAAGAAGTTGTTGAATCAAGAAAAAGATAGACTATTACTATAGTCACCTAAAAGAAGGAAAAAAAAAAAAAAAATATTGAGAAAAAATGAAAGAAGGCTGAACAAAAAAGATTTTCTTTTACAGTGTAAAAAAAGGAGACAACATCACAAAAGCAAAAAATAAGATTTATTCTGTTTACAATGCACTTTGCGTGTAATAAATATGTATGTATGTGATGTATGTGTGTATGTATGTATGTTAAGGTATTCATATTATACGCGCACATATATTACAGACAATTTTCTGCATATTCTAAAAACTTCTCTTTTGTTCTTAAGCAGCAGCAGCAGCAGCATTGACTATGACACTGATATCAATCATCTGTCCGCCCGTGACCTGAACACTGACTTTATGCTTGCCCAAAGACTTTATACGTCCACCTTCTGATTTGAAATCAATGCTTGACCTATCAATCGTCAATCCAAACTGTTCCTTCAACTTGCTCACTAGATCTTCTGCCGTAACTGATCCGAACGTATGAACACTGTTAGGTACAACGGCTCGGGTGAAAACCACCTCTTGAATTGTATTCAGCTTATTTGTTATTTCTTCTACTTCAGCAGAAGCCTGTGCAAAATAATCATACTTAGTGCTTGGGTGAATGATGGGGATGATCCCAGATCAACTATCTCTTTTACCTTCATCATCCTCCTTAATTTGGCATTCATATCTTCTTCCGCTTCTGCCTTTGTAACTGATTCATTTTCTAAACTGACATTGGATGATGTATCACCTTTCACAATATAAGATGCTTTACCGTTGGGGTATAACAGATTGCGCATCATTCCCGCTAATAGTTGAAGGAAAATTAAACATCTTGCGTGCATTATCAAGCAAACAATGCAAAAAAAAAAAAAAAAAAAAAAAAAAAAAAAACAATTTTGTTAATATGCTTACGTCTTATCGTAACAATTTCACCTATTATTTTCATAGTCATGATGAATCGTTAATGAGTCTTTCTTTTTTTCTCCCTTCTTCCCTATAGTAATTGAACCCTTTTTTCTAAGATTACCTTTAATGCCGATGCCTTCAACATAGTCATTTAACCTCACTTGAATGCTTGCCTTCTTATGCGCTTGTCTCTAGATAGAAAATTTTTATTATTATTTTTTAAAAAAAAAGCCTTCATCTTTTACAATGAGCGAGAGTTAAACTATACCTTAGCAATGTGTAGGGAAGGGTTGGAAAGTATTTTTCTGAAATTGGTGCGAATCAAGGTTGACATTATATATAATATGGAATTCTCCAAGGGGTAAGAGAGATGGATTTAAACTGTCAAAATCAACTATCCGCGGAGTTATTTTATTTCAGGTAAAAAATCCTGGGGGGTCGTAAAACAACTGTTTTTGGCAAATGGAAAGACTCGATGGATATTCATGTAAATCGCTGGTCTTTTTTTTTTTTTTTTTCTGACTACGCTATCCGCATAATATTACTCCCCTTCTGCTGTTGACAATGTTATTTGCTAAGATCAGAAATAATCCTTATACCCCTTATGTTATCAACGCTCTGACATGGATACCAGTAGCTATTTTTTTTGTGGATCATGGGTATAGTTATGCCGCCATCGATGGACGATCGATGCAAGTGAGTTTTTTTTTTCTTTCACGCGATGATCTGCAATAAAAGTAGAAATCGCACATACTAAGCATTGAAAAGCCTACTTTTAATCCAGATTCAAACAAGTTGAGTAGAGATATTGTTTTATTGGAAAAATGGTCTTTGCGGAAAGATGGTTTCGAAAGAGGGCAAGTTGTTACACTGAGGTACTATTTGAAAGAAAAAATAGAAAAGGCAACTCCATTTATGGTGATTAAAAGGGCAAAACTAGGCTGGAAGCTAAGCTAGACTTCATACATTGAATAAGGTCTCCTATAGAGCCGAACAAGATATTGACAAAAAGAATTATAGCTTTACCAGGCGATACGGTAAAGCCTTTACGTAGAAATGAAGAAATTGCTGTACCTGCAGGACATGTATGGGTGGAAGGAGACGAAGCTTTCCATTCAAAAGACAGTAATTCATTTGGCACTGTGAGTCATCCTTTATCTACACTTCATCCTATCCAGGAAACAAGAAGGAGCACACGATAAACTTATATTATTATGTTAGGTACCCATTGGTTTGATTACTGCCAAAGTGACCCGTATTATCTATCCTTTCAATAGATTTGGTATAGTAGAGAAAAAGACAGTTGGTAAAGAGAGAGTGAAAATCCACGTATTCAATCCTAGAGTCATGGATCCTTGAATCCTTATTGAAACGCCACGAAAGCCTTATTAATTTATTCTACTTACACACATACACGCATTTGTAAAGAGTATTGCGTCAAACATGAGGCAAACGCAACGGAATTGTGACAATAAAAATAAATACTTTTCAAAGTGAACGAAAAATGGTATACAACGTAAGGATTCGTGTATATAAACATGAATTGCTTGACTTAATACCGCAATGCCGTGATAAGTTTTTCTGAACCAACGAGGGTGTCTGTGAACTATATTCATTTGCCGTATTGTCAATTCTACTTTATTTATTAAGCCTTCTTGTTCATCCATCAAGCGAATCACTGCAGCCTGTTACAATAAGTGCCAGAGACTATTACACATTGTTTACTTATAATCATACGTCCATTAAGCTACATTTTCCGCAATACTTTGTAATGATGAGGACAACAGTCTGGAACTGTTTTTAAGCTTAGTAGAAGGAAAAAAAAAAAGAATTCTTTCCCGGGCTCCTAATCAATTTTGCTGAATAAAGTTCTTCCTAAAGCGCTGTCAAAGAAAGGGACGTGTCTGCATAAATATCATTTTCCATTGGTTCCACCCAACCTGATCGCAAAAAGGTTTAGAAAATAGAAAATAAACCCAGGGCAAACAAAAGCGTAATATTCTAGTAACCTGTTACCGCCTGCTGATAAACCCTTTCTTCTTCAATTTTTCTTTACTTTTACGTTTCATTTTTCTTTTCTTTCTTTTTTGTACGTGAATACTTCAATGCCATTTTTACCTGGAGAAATACTGTGCAATATTGCCCAATCACTTTCAACGCAGGACCTGTTTCAATGTTTGACAGTGTGCCAGAATTGGTACCTTCCTTTACTATGTCAGATGTATCAGCATATTATTATAACAAATAACAGACAGGCACAGCTTTTGTTTGAGGCATTGCAACAGCATCAACAGCAGCAACACATCGATGAGGGTGGCAGGATCAGGGTGGGGTATTATGTTAAAAGTATATCCTTTTCCGCACGACAAAGGGTCCACTTGGGATTGGGAATCCAACTATTCACAAAAGACGCTGTCAATATAACTCAAGAAATGCTCGATATCATTGAGCAGTACTGTCCTTACATCCGCCAACTAGACTTTGATCACACACAATGGAAAGAAGACAGTAAAAAGTCTCTCAGTCTTCCTTCCAAACTATTACATTCGTTAAGAAAACTACCTGTCGTAGATTTCTCAATTTATCAAACCTACAATACTACAGTCAATGTACCTTACCATGACATAGCACTCTCTCCCACTACTGATTTTCAGTTGACCTATTTGACGACCATGCACATCCGTAACAATACAGACTTGTTTGAACCAATGACATTCAAAGCTTTCCTCATGCAAATACCCCGAGTACGGCATCTTACTTTTGAACGAGATAGCATATATAACAAATACAGAACACCCATCCTATCCCTAGGGCTTTTGAGAACCATATTAACTGCCTTACCTCAACTTGAAACTTTACAATTTACCAAGCATTTTAATTTTGGCATAGATTTGCTGTCTTCAGCACAATTATACTATAATCCGGATGATACTTTTTTTACTAATCACCACCAACAACAGAACCATTTATTTGATGATATCAACAGCAAATGCTCTCACTCTCTGCAACATTTGAAGCTGGAAGGCACGCTACGTTCTCATCACTGGTTGATCTACATAGCACAATCCTTGCGGCAATTACGTTCTATTGATTTCGATCTAGTGCTCAGCCCTTACTCCTCTAGCCCATCTTTATCTTACAATAGTCCCATGATGCCATCCACCCACTTTCTCAACGCTGTGATTAAAGAGTCCTTCATAAAAATAGCGGCGGAATGTCGACATCTATCTCAGATCCGTATTCGGAGCATCAGCACGCCGCTATGGCTCTCGCCCATCTTTCTAAACACATTATGTCAACGGTCGACAGATAATACATTGCCGATCACATTGGACGCGCAATTGTATGGATTGGATAGTTTAGGAGTTCAAAATGCCATTACAACGCTCACACATGGCAACGACCCTCCTTTCCGGAGTATCCATTTGGCATCGTTAAGACTGCCCATCTGGAAAACAAATTATCCACACTCACCTATCAAAAGCTGGACCATCACGTTAGCGCCTCTTATGACAAAGTTTCATCAAACACTCACTCATCTCGAATTGGATGCTGTTAGTTTATCCTTCAACACTATGCAACCGTCTTATAGTAACCACAATGACAATCACCATCAAACTCAACCTTTTGAACTGGATATTGTATTAGACATGTTTACCAACCTTGTTACAATGAAATTGAGCGGCTCAGCTGTAGAGCTTTCAAAGACGAATAAAAGTAGTTGTAGCATGACCACCAAGATGCATCTTAAATTCAAAGAATTACAACTCTTCAAAATGCTTTTTACAACGGATGTCATGGAATATCTGTCAGCTTACTGCCCTCAAGCAACAAGATTGGTGATGTATGAGTGTAGACATTGGTATCCGCGTAAAGAAGGTTATGATGTAACCAGTAACAGCAGCAACTTTCAAGCGAGTAATATAGGAAAAGTACCCTTGTACTTGAAGAATTTGAATCTGGAATTCTTGGTTTTGTATCGTTTACAGCATGCTTATCAAACAACTGTCGAAAGCCGTGCTCCAGGTGCTCGCTTTTTGCGCTATACGAATACGACAAAAGGAGGAGAACATTGGTTCCATCTGGCCAAATGGACGGAAGATCAAAGTGAAGCATCAGCAGCAACTACAGCAACACAAGCAGCTGCTGTCAAACGGCTTACATCCACTCACACGATCCAGAAGATCGTTGAACGTTCCTATCAATACGTTCTGGGTTTATGTAACTTTGACTCCAACATGTCATCAACACCTAGTTATCAAAGAAGAATCGAGTATCATACTGAAGAGGAATGGGAGAAAGATCTTGCTTTAGGTTACATTGACCTTCAATGTAAAGGTGTCGGAAGACTCTTCATGGATGAATATAGCTTAGATATTTAAATCGTCAAGCTTCCCTTACTTATAAATTTACGCCCTCGGTTTATCTATTTTGGGCGTATTATATCCACTGACCTTTTCATACCAAGTATAATGTATGTACTACTGACCTATAAATAGTAACCCTTTCTTTATGTAATTGCTGTGTTACAGGTATTTTACTTTCGCTTTTGCCCGCAATCTTGAATTATTTTTGCGCACTTTGAAATTTATTTTGCGTATAATGAATAGCTCACTTTACGCATCGTCCAATAGAATTTGCGCATTGCTTTCTTTTTTTTTTGGTGCATCCGTAATTTTGCTTTGCGTACATTTCTTCATTAAACTTTTACCATGACAGACGTACCTGAAGAGTATTTGAACTGCTTAAACGTTATTGACAACGTTTTGGAGCGAGGCTAATAATGAGCCAGCATTGGGTTTATATGATTTAGGGACCATGGAATGGGTTCCATGCATAACCAATGTAGAACAAGGTACTATCCAACAGGCACCTGCAGAAGAGCCTCCTATTAAGCGTCTGATGGACTTACAGCACCTGGAATATAGCAAAGAAGCACTCTATTTGGAAAAAAACCAATAGTATAGCCCTTGAGGAGCCGCAACCAATGACTGAAAAACAGTCTAAAAAATCAAACTACGGCGAAGATACGAGGTGGTTACAAACAATACAGCCCATAGCAGATTCAAGTACTCTTAGACCTCGATATGAAGCCGGAATGTCAGCAAGAGCGGCTATTCTTTGTCTGGGAATTGCTGTGCGCATAGGACAGAAGTATGTCAAGGATTACAAGGATCAGAATGACTCTGAGTTCTTACCTGGCCGTACGAAGAAGCATGGAGGAGGTAGCCGTCAATTTGAACCTGATCATACTGCCTTCTTAATTGACTATTACAAGAAGCATTCTAACGCGGGTTTTATGGCAGGCAAGGAATGCACTTGCGGCGCAGTTTCCAGGCTTTCAGGTTTCCTTGGTATCCGTACATCGACACTTAGTCGGAAAATGCAGCTTACCCTTAAAAGATTGTATAAAATGGTTGGATCCAGGACTTCTGATAGAACAATCCATTTAAGACAAAGCATCCTTTCTGAATGGATAACAGACCCTAAGATGGATTTTATGAGTAATTGTGTGTTTGTGGATGAAGCCGGCTTTAATATGCATTTGTGTAGGAATTTTGGCAGATATCAAAAAAAGGCACTCGAGCTCGGATTGTCGTCCCTAATAATGGCGGTGTGAATATCTCGATTTTGGGTGCTGTATGCACGGAAGGGGTGATTGATTTAACTCTTAGAAAGCCAAAGGCAGTAACGAAATCCAAGGATCAAAAAGGAAAGAAAAGGAAGCGAAATGATGGTACCACTGCAAAAACTCAAGTACCTAACGCTAGAACTGGAACACTTATTGAGCATTTCGGAGGATGTCTTGAGTATCTTAGATGAAGGAAATATGAAAGGTAAGGTTGTACCAAGAGTCACTGTGTCGTTGCTATCTCCATTCGCCTTTTCACCGACATATTTTACTGTCATAGGCAGATATATAATTATGGATAATGCATCCATACATACAGGTACTGAGGTAAAAGAGCTCATTGAGTCGCGCAGTTACAAGCCTGCTTATCTCCCGCCTTATTCTCCCTTTCTAAATCCAATCGAGGAATTTTGGACGAAACTGAAAAACGGCGTCAGAAGAGATCGTCTTTTCATTGACGATAAGCTATCCCAAAGAATATTGAAGCTGCTTTAACAGTTACAAAATCTGACGTGGAAGGCTGGACTAAGCATTCAATGTCCTTCTTTGAAAAGTGCAGAACTTTGAGTTGTAGAATAAGTACACTGTTAATGATTGGGGTGCAAAAATAAAGATTATAATACGCAAAAAAGAAACATTACGGGTGCGCAAATTTTATTGGACAATACTACTACCTTTTGTGCCAGTTGCGGTCAACAGGGACATTCATGTTGAAGCCATTGAAGTTGCCCTTTTAATCCATCAAACACAGACAATTGTTGTTCCTAAAAGTTATAAAAGCAAAGTTGAGCATTCGCAGATACACTTATCATTTATATTGCCTCAATATATTCCTTTCTAAAATACTGTCGAGATACCTACAGTAGGAAACTTTGATGCCACACGAATATCTGATGAATTATTGATTGAAGATCGAAATACAAACTTCTTACCCTTAGTTAACGCTGTTTCCTCTGATTTCCAAAATTTACAAGCCGACAACATATTGTCTGATGCTGCAAAAACCTTTCTTACGTCTCAGGCATTCTTGGCCCCTAAAAATAGTGATGCTGAACAGCTCAACAACTACATATTGGATAGGATTCTTACCAATAACGACGATGAAGTTTATCAATATTACAGCACAGATACAATCGTAGCTGAAGGATCAGATGTCTTAATTTATCCTGTTAGATATCTAAACTGAATGTCGTTCGGCAGTTTACCTTCTCATCACTTGCAACTGAAAAAGGTGCACCCATCATGCTATTACGCAACATTTCTCCAGAAAGAGGCCAGTACAATGAAACTCGGATGTTCTGCAGATCCTTTCGTCGTAATTTGATAATTGCAAAAATTGCCACTGGAGAAACTGCTATGATTTCTAGAATAAGTCTTTTGTTTTCTACAGACGCAGGTACTGTTGGGTTCAAGTGCCGGCAGTTCCCTGTTAAGTTAACGTTCGGTATGACTATCAATAAGGCTAAAGGCCAAACACTTGAAAAGGTTGGCATATACCTACCCTCACCAGTCCTTTCGCATGATCAGTTGTATGTTGCCCTTTTAAGAGTAAAGTGTAATGACCGTTTGTCTTGTTGGCTACGTTTCGGACGTAGGATATAAATATCAAGTACAAATCCATTTATCTGTTCAGCAGTGTTTTGATCTGCTTTATCTACCTTATCTGTTATATCTGTTCTATCTGTTCTCTGTTTTAAGGAACACTATCTGCGCTCTATCTTTGATAAATCTTATTATAAGTGTTAATTCTGTTGTAACTTATTTGTTCAGAGCATTTTTAACACCACATCTAGTCGCGTTCTGGGCAAGGATCTTTCAACTGAATTACTAGATCACTGCCATTACACAAAAACACCTCCAAGTTGTCGTATTTGAGGGTAGGTATGTACAAATATTAAAGATTATAATTCGCTTTATGAAGGATAAAGATGGATTATATACTATTGCAAACCAGAAATAATTAGAGACTACATAAACTCTAATATATGAGTACTGTGGATTAAAGTGTTGTGTTTAGTTGACAGCATCACATGAGATGTGGAGAACTCGTATATAAATTATACAAGATCCTCACACCTCATTACTGCTAAGATAGTATAAAGTAGAGTAGGAAACGAAGATAGAATAAGTGATGATTCTTACACGAGTTTAGCTACCTCGTATAAGACTGAACAGGTTATCATTTAGGATATATAGTAGAATTAGCATATGGACATGCAGGATATATTGATTCAACGCCAACGTATAATAGGTTATAAGTACTATTCTCTGCCTTTGGCATTAAGAATGATTACACGATAATAGGCTGTGATCATCCTTTACAGCGACTGTTCACTCAACTCAAACACCACGCCCGAATACCATTTTCCTGATTAATACTATTCTCCTGCAAGCAGTGCTACATAATGGTTAGCACAAAAAATAGGTTAGTTGCATGATCACTAGATCAAGTCAGGATATGTTTACAAGTCCACCCGCTCCGAGTAGATGCGTAGGCTCCTCAAGGGAGAATTCTATTATTTTACGGTTCAGAAGACGTACGTCTTCTTTGAGTAGAATAACTTAGCTGTCAGTTTCTAGGTTCCGCAATATGAAGAAGGTATTTAAAGTTTTGCAGTAGATATTTTTCTTCTCTTTGAACTTAGCTTGATTCAAAATAAAGACGTACTAGTTTGATCTCGTTAAGCTTTTTACTGTTTTTCAACTAAGTGATATGTAACTCTACAAGTCGTCAAATACCACATTCTGATTTCCTAGAAATTCCGCAAGGCATGTCTCATTCTCAGATCGAGTTCCTGAAAAAGATAAATATGATCCCAAGTTGGAGTATAGAAAGTTGTCCTTATCTAATTTTAACTTTATCTTTGTCTTGATTGACTCTTAATAAACCTACCACAAGTTTTCACAGACTTTCTCTTGTCTTTGCATTCTTTTCTATTCTTTTCTACTTTACCCATATTCAACAAAGGGTGTATAAACAGAGGTTTGTAGCCTCGCTTGTTTATTGCATCGACAACAAACGCTGTATGATGCACTCTACAGTTGTCCATTACGATAAAATGGCCTTGCATACCAAGCTTGTCTAAACATCCATCGTAGATTCCATGAACTAAACAATATGGTAGGCAGTTGTTTCTTTTACGGGCTTCTTGGGAAGAGCTTGTGTGACTTGTTTGGTGAGATAACAACTACAATACTCGAGTACGTACAACCAGGTAGAGAATACATTCTACTACGGTCTATCAATATTGCATCTAATATAGGTTATGTACAAGAATATAACAAGATAGAGGATTGAAGTGTAACACAAGAAGCATCTGAACCTGAAATTAGTGACTAGCAACATTTCCCCACAATAATATAAATTCCCATTAAACTTTACAGAGTAAATAATCCTTTTATTTCATCTAAAGAACAATAAAGACACTTTAAGTTCATAGTCATCGACTTACAACCTTTACCAATTCTAATTAAAGCAAATACAACAGTCGCAAAAATAATTTTTTGGAGAAGTGGAGCAGCTCTACAGAGTGGACTGTTATCATAAAACTTTGGTCACGTATCTTTGAAACTCTTTTTGAAGATACAATCATTGACCTGGTCTGGTAAGTCATTTGTATGAACCTACTAGTTAACATCTTCCTCGACTGATTCACTTTTATTAAACTGCTATTGAAACAGGGGAGATGCGAAAAATGGCATTTTGAAAGTAGATCTCCGCCTGTGCCTTGAATTCAACAAGAAAATGTACGATATTTCGAACATCGAATTCAAGAAGAATGGCAAAGAGCAAGGCTTGATAAGAAAAGATATTGCCAAGTCTTGATTAAAGGAAAGGCAATTCTCAACAAATTTGTTGAAGAATACAATCTCGACTTTGAAGAGGCCAAAAAAAAGAGGGTCATTGTTGCCCAAATCTGTGGTAATGTATTTAATTCTGAGCGATCAGGAAGTATATACTCAAAATGAAACTCTTTAGGTTAAAAGCGGTCTTCTCGATAATAAGGCTCGCAGCACCAGGTTGTTACATGCCCTCCCAATTTGGGCGAACAGTAAAATACCCTCACAATGGCCAGAAAGCCAAAGGGTTCTGTGACCACAATTTGGAGCAACTGTTCTGCTTCAAGGTATGTTTGACTTCATTCAATTATCAATTCATTCACTAATCATACTTTTTATAGAATGCAATCGTAAAGGAAGCAGACATGCTGAAGAGTGTATTGGTGGGAGATTCTTCCAACTTTGGTTCTCAATCTACGATTGAGGACAAATATTTTCTGAAGCAATGCTATACCATTACAGATAAGGCAGCAAAATGGCCTAAACTTAATGACGATTTTAATAAAGCATAATGGTTCGGCCATGTAGTCTTTGTAGTTTCAAGAATTGTAAACGCCTAAAAACGCGTCCATATGCTCTAACATATAAGTGATGTATGACGCGTATTGTTCAATGGATGTTATTTTTGGCGAAGGTATATTTGTCTCTTTTGTTTCAATGCCGGACTGTTTTTTGAGGCCTTGTTCTGATTTTTGCCGACTTACGGTTCCGGTGTATGAAATAATATCAGAAGAAGACAGGCGGCGTATATCATTGCCTTCATGGTACGAGACAAAGGCATCAATTCTTCCAGGAACATTGGACAAGGCCGAAAGTATTGCTTTACTTTTCCGGCAGTAAAATTAATAAGCTCTAGAGAGGCGTTATGCTCTGCTAGTGACGGAAGCACCTATCTACAGAATATTAACCTACACGTATAGCCATCAGTATAGAGACCATTTACGAACATTTTTCTGTTATAAATTCTGTAGCATTCGAAGACTGTGCGAAAGGGAGTTTATGTTCTAAGTCCAGTCCTCAAATGTTGTATGCTTTGTGGTATTTGATTATCTTAAAATGACTTGTACCAACCTTCTGCTGTTGATCAGTCGGTCACTAACACTCTTTTAGGCGCCCTAACAACCGACGTGATGCTCAATAATGATGAGCAATGCAATTTAATACAGCCGATAACGTTAGCCGAAATACAGGATGAGGTGGCTTGATGTCATAGCAAAATAGTCCAGGGTTAGATGGTAATCCGTATCCCATTTCACAATTATCCTTAAACATCCTCCCACTGCACAGATTACTGTCCAAATATATAATGCTAATCTCAATGGGTTCCCTATCCGTTTAGCTGGAAAGAAGCATGTATATTCCCTGCTAAAGTGCCTACTTCCTTATGTCACTCAAACCACTAGCAAATCTCTTTGGTCCCAACTGTCACACTCCAATCCAATTTGGGCATTCCCCGTTATAGATAGAAAGGCTTTACACCAGGCCATCAAGGCATATCGTCAAGAGAACTTCGACGCCATCCGTTCAGCGCCCAACTCAAAGTTAATGAACCAATGCAAGCCCTAACATTTCTCTTGATCCCATTCTTTGGCTCCCAATAAGCTTCATTAAGCGTAGTCGCTGTCTTCGGTGAAGACTGGGCTGGCTCCCCAAAAACTACTTAGCCCATTGCCTATTCCACCCCCTATGCACTCTCACTAAAGCCCTCACCATTGAATGCCTACAAATGCAACTTCCGACAACAGTCGTTGACCCCATTTCTCATTTGTTAAAGCGACTCCCCACTCGACCCATAAAACAGCATGCCATTGCCCCAGTTAACTGGAGTATATCTTGGCCAATTGTCTAAATGCTTCTTTATGAAATCGATTATCTTCAGCACCAGAAAATGCTCCCTACCCTGTCAGAAACATTAGGACAGCCCTTGCTAGACTGGCTTTATGCGTCCACTACGATTATTACTTGATTGTCCCGTTTTTTTTACCTAGTTTGCATTGTGATCCCTTATCTTTTTTTTTCCTAGTACCTTTTAGGTTTTTTTTTTTTTTTTTTTACTTCCTGCACGTAATTTGACCTGCCCAGGGCAATTTTCTGATATGTACTTTATCTGTGTGCCTATTGGGTGTAAAATTATAAATAAAAATCATGTTTAATCGTACACGCAAAATAAATTTCAAAACACACAAAAATAATACAAGAGCGCGCAAAAAGCGAAAGCAAAATACTGTATCAATAAAAGAAACTAATTGATTCTTATAGGGCTCGAATTCGCATCATTGCATACCGCCTTGCTTAGGTAAGCTAAGGCTTTGGTGACAGTTGACTCGAGGATCGACGCGTTTTCCCGCTCATCTTGACGTTGAAGCCCCAAAGATATAGATATCACATTCTATTATTGCCCGCCCTCATAAGCACCAAAGAAAATTTTTTTCCTGTTTCAAATCGCCTTTTGCACGCTGTCGATGTTCCCCTTTTGATGATCAGCGTTTTGTACCAAAAAATTTGTTGGGAAACTCAGCTACCATCGAGCCAAGAAAATGGAAGGAGTTCTAAAAAAAGGCAATTTAGCGTGTGTGTGATGTATGTATGTTTGTACGTGCGTGTTGGTTTTTCATTTTCTTGAATTTTCATTTCCCCTTTCTTTTTCACCAACCTTTCTGCTTTCTCATCACTTCTCATCAACAATGTCTTCTGCCGATTTCTCTGACCGCGAGCACCCTGATACTGTCGTCCTCTTTGATGTAGACGGAACATTGACTCCTGCTCGTGCTTTTGTTTCTGATGAAATGTTGCGAACTTTGAGGAACCTCCGCAAGAAGGCCGCTATCGGTTTTGTTGGCGGTTCTGATATCAGCAAACAATATGAACAACTCGGTGAAACAAGTAAAGTATTTTCCTCTCGTTCAGGAATAAATAAAGGGATTTAGTGATTTGATTTGCGAACGACTATTCTGACATGCTTCTTTCGTTTTATCAGTTCTTGAAGATTTCGATTACTGTTTTGCTGAAAACGGTCTTACTGCTTATCGTAAGGGCAAGGAATTAGCTTCTCAGGTAAAAAAAGGGATATTTTGTGAGTAATACGCGATGTTACAAGTCGCTGTATATGAGAATGACGCGGTTACCAACTCAATGGGCGTTTGAATATATTTAGAGCTTCATTCAATGGATCGGCGAAGAAGAATATACCAAGTTGGTTAACTTTTGTCTGCGCTATATTGCTGATATGGAAATTCCTCAAAAGCGGTAAGCCCCACTATGACAAAGATGAGAAGAAAATATCATAGAATGTGCTTGCTGAGACGACCGTTTTTGTTGTGTGTTAGTGGTACTTTCATTGAATTCCGTAGAGGTATGATTAACGTCTCTCCTATCGGCCGTAACTGTACTCGTGAGGAACGTAACAATTTTGAAAAGTTTGATCTTGAGCATAAGCTTCGTGAAAAGTTCGTCGAAGCTCTCAAAAAGGAATTCTCTCACTTAGCTTTGACTTTCTCTATCGGCGGTCAAATTTCATTTGATGTCTTCCCTACCGGTTGGGATAAGACTTATTGTTTACAGCATGTAAAGAAGGATGGATTCACAAAGATTCACTTCTTCGGTGATAAGACCTTCAAGGGCGGCAACGATTACGAGATCTACGAACACCCTGAGGTTACCGGTCATAGTGTCAAATCTCCTGAAGACACCATCCGTATTCTCAAAGAACTTTTCCCTGGTATTTAAATGATTGCCGCTTGTTCTATTTTGGAAGATAACTTATATATACATACTTATATCAACCTTGCTAATTCGTTTTTATTTTATTTTATTTTTTCTCTTTTGCATTTTTCTTTTATAATCATTTTTCACATTTGTATACTCATATAATCACGATATTAAAATCCTTTGATTAAACTTCATTCTTGCTGTGAGTAGAGAAGCCAGGTTTTTTATTGCATGAGTGATGATAATGTGCTCACATCGTCGGAATGGTCTGTTCCGGTTTCAAGCTTGCAACGGATTACACAAAATCAGCTCTAAGCTTGGACAATAAAATAGGGTCATTGTCGCATCACTATAAAATCAAAACATCATCTCTGTCGTCCTCGTCAGTCGTTCTTCTATATAAATTTTAGGCTTTTTTCTTTTCCCTTTAGCTTTCTCCCCACATTTTTATTTCTTTATTGTTTATCTCTATATAATTAAATTTTCTTTAACCTTTCTTTTTCTTTTCTTTTTTAAGACACAAAAACATGGGAAGACGATATGCTTCTTCAGTTCACAGCCAAAAGAGCACTACCAGCGCAAAGAGCGGAAGATCCTTCCTATCACTAACATGGCCGTCCATCTCTACAAACAAGACTAATCCAGAACTGCCCAACAAGAATGGTTTCATGACTTTTGACAAATCCAGATCAAAACATAGTATTTGGCAGAACATAAAAAGCTGGTTACCAGCAAGTAACGACGCTGGCAAGAATAGCTCAACTTCATCTTTGAAAAAGTTTATTGCGAAAAGTGACTCTGATTCAATAGTTACCAAGTCATCTGCGGCTAGCTCTTCAATGACATCCAAAAGCCGCTTAAAGCAGCTATTTACATTTACAACAGATAGAAAGACAGTGTCACCAAGCAGCAGTATGCATTCAGCCGCGAACAGTCCTGAAAGCAATAATAAGAAGATGGACGATAATAAACTCGTCGATTCACCGTCATATTCAACTTCCTCCCTATCAACAATAGCAACAACAACAACAACAACAAGAATAGTACAGCAAAGGCGAACAGGCATTCTCATCAACAATGGTGAAGACACAGACGAAGCCATTGCAGAGCGTTTGAAACGAAAGCATAAACGCAGAGAATACATTCTTAAACTACAACATCAACGTCGGTCAATTCAGTATGACCCTCCTCCTTTCCCGTCATCTCTATCCATACCATCCACATTTAGACACAACCATGATCATTTGACAAGGCTAAACTCTTTTTCTTCTTCTTCTTCCGCTACAGAGGAACCTATCATGGAATCCTCCTCATCAGATACATTGCTGACCGATGATTATGATAACCATTGGAGTAATCAACGCCCAAAACCGTATGCAGCAACGAAAAAGGCAACAGTAATGTTTCAACAGAAAGATGAAGAGGCACTGGAATCGGAAGAGGATGGAAGCAATGGTTGGGGTTTTTATCAACCAAGAATTATGTTTGTGGAACCAAGTCCAGTACCACGGTTCCGTAACGTGGCTCCTCCGCCTCCGGCCTCCCCTCCTTACTTAAGCATCACCGTACCTCCTGCTATGGATGCCACTGCAGCCCCTGCAGCCGGTAATAATAGCATAGCTGAAAACAAAAAGAATGCGGAAGACAGCAGCATCAATACCCTACACCCTATCATTAGCATCATCAAAAGTCCTTCAACAACGGATGACGGGCCGATTATTTTTACGACAATGAAAATGAATGACACTAACTCTATCAATACTATGACGACAACGACGACAACGACGACGATGACTGCAGCGTCTACAAGAAAAGAATCCAGAAAAGAACAATGTGCGGATGAAGAGGAGGACGATTTCATGGATGAACATGATAGAAACATTTCAATGCTCATTCAATCTCTTCAGCCAACGCCAATAGAGAAGCCTGTACTGTATTTTAGCGCACCGTGGCATCGCGGTCAAAGAATCACCTTTTCGCTGAAAAACACTTTCCCCGAAGACCATATTATACTGTTCAAATTCATGACCAGCACTGCTGCAGCAAACAACACAATCATGAACAAGTCTAATGTGGATGGCACCAACAGCAGTCGTAGGAACAGAAGACAACAGCCATCCATAGAGCGCTATTTCGTTAGGCCAAGCGCTGGTAAAATGGTCTCATCTTCAGCTACAGATCAAATGAACATTATGCTTTTCTTGAATCAAGTGCCAGAAGGCTTTACCGATAGTGGACGTGGTGTTGAAGGGCTAAAGACAGTGACAAAATTAAAGGATAAAATTATCATAAGGTGGGCCGCTATACAGCGAAATACCCGGATTGAAGCTTGGGTGAACTCGTTACAAGAATCAACGAGACGAAAATGGATTGATATGCTTGATGAAGAATGGCCCGATCAAGTGACAATACATATGACCCGAATAAAAGTTCGCTTCAATACTTAGAGCTATAGTATTATAGTGTACGTATAACATTGTTAAGGATTGATCCTGTTGATCTCAATTATTGTTGACACATCCATATTTAACACATAGATTAATCCTCGTAAACATAAATATTTCATCATTCAATCAATATCGAAGCTACTCATTATCTTGAGCATATCTAAAATATCCCTTCCCAACATCTACACGAACAAGGAAAAATTAAACATTCTCAACGAGTACGCACATAAGTTTATCACAATATGTAAATTTATCCCTATCCATTCGTCTTTGATCTCCCAGCAAAAATCAAGTTGTGCCAGAGCAAATACACTACTACGTAGCACATTTTCAAGTTGATTTTTCAGCGTTTATTGACCTATTTGAGAATTTTCTGCACATCCCAAACGAGTATTACACAATTATTCAAAAAAGCGTATCGTATACTGCCCCATGAATAAAGTAATTTATTTCAGATAGTCCTAGGATGAGTGCTTATGGCCCAATATCCCACCAAAGCTCTTTTCCTGAGTATAATAGAGTAGAGTGTTGGCCGGAACTTTTAAACCAAAATCATTCATCGTGATGCGTTCAATACAATGCTTTGTCCACGCTGCTATTCTACTTCCCTCCTTCTCACAAATAGGCCAACCCGTCAAATTCAGGCCGTTCACATGAGCGACAGCATGCGTAGGACCCATTGAGACAACCATATTAGGGCGAACACCATGATAAGGCAGCAGTGTCTTGTGCCGTTGCCGTCCCTCACCTTCACTTTTCAAAATACGCTGCATATTGTTGGCAAAGTGAACAGCTTGTATGTGAGCTGTATAAAACATTTTAGGGTCCTCAATAGAACTGACATCACCCAATGCATACACATTACCGTCTGCTACTGATGTTACTTGAAAGAACTCATTGACACGCACTTGCTTTTTATCATCCAGCCAAGATGGATCTATGAAATTTGAGTTGGGGGTGACGCCAATGCAATTATAAACTAAATCTGCTTCCAACCTTGTCCTGGTTTTATCTGTTACATATATTGATTTGTTGTTGTTGTTGTTGTTGTTGTTACTGCTGTTGCTATTATCAACCTTTTCACTTTTCTCTTCATTGATCAAACGAATGGAAGGCTTGGACTGTAGGATCTTTTGAGCATAACTACCTAAATGACCTGGAGCACTCGATAATACAATAGGTTTAGTATCGATCAGAGTGAGACTTTTCGTAGGCGATCTATAAGCTATTTCCATGACCGTCTCAACGCCCACAGGTCCTCCTCCAATGCATAAAATATCCTGCGCTTGCTTATATCGTTGTCGTTGCTGGCTCAAGTATTCAAACCGCTCGTTGACTGATAAAGAAGGTTTTGTTTCTTCAGGCGTCATTGTTTTCCAAGGCTCTGCATAACTGGAACCCGTACATATGACAGCGTAGTCAAATTGAATAGGTTCCGCTTTATCCATTAAAGAAACTAAAAAAGAGTTGTGGAGCAGTTCAATAAAAGAATTCACTACACCCTCTGTCTCTCTATGAAACTATTGTTCCACATTTACAACTCTTTTCTTACTTTCATCTGACTGAATAGACTTCACCTTTCCCAATACAAATTTGACGCCCAACTTGGTCAGATAAGGCTCATAATCAAATGTGATACTTTTAAAATGCTGTACAAAACTTTCATCTGTCTTTTCAAACAATACAGAGCAGAGTGCGGGTGTATACTCATAAAACGTCTATTTGAAAAGAAAGTAATTAAGCACTTTTAAGCGACCAAGTATAGCTGTACTCTATGTTAAATGGCCGTTGTATTTCATGGATTGAAGGCGGTGCAAGTATTCTCTCAGATAAAAAAGAAAGAAGCAAAGTGAAGTTTATTTACTTTGTAGTCAATGAGTGTCATTTCAATGCCTCTTGTTTTGGCCAACTTCATTGCGATGAGTAAACCTGCTGCACCTCCACCTACGATAACTAGCTTCACTCTATCTGACATTTCTGCTATGTAATCGTTGCAAAAAAGTTATAAAATGGATAGTTTAAAAATATGTCTGCGCGAAAGAAAAAAGAATAGACAGATAGGGAGAAGCCAAACCTTTTTTTTTTCATGCAGACAAACGCTATCATCATCATTTTTGTTTTACCAGATTTGAATTTTTTCGTCTGACACATACATTCGGGCTAGTAATAATGATTACTCAACTATTTGCTGTAATATATCGCATCGCTGGGTCTTTAACGTATACATCATTTAAAGACATTATTGTCAGCATGATGTGAGTCTATTTTCTTTATTTTCTCTTTTCCTTGTCCGCTTCTGGTCGTCACCGAGATTATAAACATAGTTCCTTATACTGCTACTGGGGATACTGATAATGATTCTCTTCAACATGAGACATCTTAACACCAGGACAGTTAAGAAACAAAATTTGTCCTTAAGGACTTGGCAAAAAAGTTACACCTATTGACTAACACGCCAGTATCCTGGTGAATCAGTTCAGGATGATTTTGATACTATTGAAAGGCTATTATTTTAAAGTGATGTGATTCATTTGGTAGGATTCCCCAGCCCTATTTCACGGATAAAGTTGTTTTTTCTTTGCAAAGATCTTCTGCTTCATGGTTAATAAATTTAGTGAAGTCCGTGTAACTTAATTCTTGCTACAAATCAGTCACTGTTCTTCATCCCGCTTTTGCCACAAACAGCTGCTTGAGATGAAGCAAAAGAGCAGTGTGAGAGGCTGCAAGGAAACCTTCTTTCTTTGTGAACCGTGCAATTAATTTCCCTTTTTCTTTTTTTTTTTTTTTTTTTTTTTTTTTTGTTCCATCAACAGCATAAATCCTTACAATGGTTAAAAAGAGTAATAATGCTAGAAAATCAACGTGGAAACTGATACAGAAAAAAACAAAGTATGATACAAAGGCTGCTTCCGTTAAATCTCAAAAAACGCAAGCATCAGATACAAAGTCTGAGGTAATATCAGAGAAAGAATCGGTTGTGGATGCAAATTTCGTTCTCTTTTTGTTGATATCATTGCGTCCATTATCCATTTTACCTAACAGATGCTAGAAACAAATTCAAAAGCATCTTCCATAACAAGCAACGAAGAATTCAAGGATGCCTTGGAGGATGGAAGTGACAAAATAGAAAGTGATGAAGATGACCATTGGTCTCAGGACCAAGTTGTGGCAAAAGACAGCAAAGATAATGATAACACCACTGTAGATAAACGGAAAGAATCTTTCAGTGAGAAGAGGACGTCGTCGCCGCCCATAACAACAATGTCGGTTGTTTTACCTGCTCTACAAAGCTATGAAGATTCTGATACGGATAATGAGCAAGATAAAGCAACTTACGAGAAAGAAGAGCAGCAGTCTGATTACAGTGAAATCAAGGAACAGGCCAGAAGATCATCCAATGAATTGGAAGCTGAGATTGAAGCTTTGGAAGTCGCCTCAACACCAACACCAAAACCTGAATCCTCTACCACTGTTGCTGCAGTTGCAACTACAACCATCGATGATAACAATAAGACGAATAATGCAACTCAATCAACAACAATAGTAGGGACAGCCATAACTGCTGCTGCTGCTGCAGTAAAAAAGCCAGCAACCTACGAGCCAATCCCTTCTGAAAATAAACAATCAAAACAAGAAGGAGCAAAAATAGATAAGCAACTTACGGAGAATGATATAATCCAGGGTCCCAAGGATATAGTTACCCCAACAGTAGATGCTACAAGTGAACAAAGTCAAAAAGGGCAAGAAGGACAACACACTGAGATTCAAACAGAAAAAGATGTAGCAGTCATTCAAAACGAGCACGAAATGCAAGGTATTTTACCATTTCCAGATCAAACTGAAACATCCAAGCGAAAGGAACAGAGAGTAGACGTGAACGACGACAGTAGCAACAGTAGTATTAACAATATCAGCGATCGCACAGATGGTACGGGTTTAGATAGATTGGAAAGGGAAGTAGTCGTCGATGAAGAGCATGAAAACGAAACCATGGCTGCGATAAAAGACAACGCTGATGTAATAGCCGTATCAAAAGAAGAAGTAGGAGGAAGCTTAAAACCAGGTACTGATACTGATACCAAATTTGCTTCCACAACATTTGCACCGGTTGGATCAACGTCAAGTGGATCGACAACAACTGAGACCATGACGCCGCCCAACTCCTCAAAATATGAGGTACAAAAAAAGAAAGACAAATCTGATAATACAAGTCATTTATTAGCTGCCATTTTACCTGCAGTGGAAGAATCTGTGAGATCAATTCAAGAGGAGATGAAGGCAGAATTGTCCAATCAACACATACTCACACCTGAGGATGAAGAGCGTGAGAGGAGAAGCCGAGAGTTTGAATTTCCCGTTGAGGATCCAATTGATCTCGATATGTTTAAAGATAATGTCATTGCTATTAAAGCGATTAACCCTGAGGTTATACCGGTTAATATTTTAAAGCCATACGAACAAGAGAAAGTCGGTAAGTTAAACACTTGGGCTTATGAATATCAATATATTAAGCTTTTACTAACGTTAAGATGTTGGGACCACTGCTTCTCCAGATGAGCGTTTGAGTGAAGGAATGACCTACCTATTTGATAATCAATTTATGAAGGCCAAAACTGTATTTGAGACGAAGGCCAGCGTGTAAAGGCAACTTGTGTATAAAACGAATAATGAAAAAAGATGTCAAAACTCATACTATATACTTTGGATTTAGTGATCCACTGTATGCTTTAGGCCTGGGGGCAATGGCAACTATTAAAGGTACAAAAAGAAGAAACAAATTTATACTAGGAATGACAAAGCGACAATATTGTTTTTTAGACTGAACGAAATCATTCCTGTTTCTTTTTTGAAATTGACATTTGAATATTAGCTTTAATGGTAACTATTTTATAACAGAATATGTAATTCAACGCTAATGCTACTTCTAACAGTCTTTGCTTGGTTCTAAATGACAGACATATCATGAGACGGATGTGAATATGGCCATGGATGCTCTTGCTTCCGCGTTCACAATTGCAAAGACGCAAATCAGTAAAACAGAATCAAAAAAGCCATTTAAAGATACTGTCAGTCAATACTTTACCAGCTTGCTCTCAAACACATCAACAGGGCTTCCAAATGATCCACCCAGCATGTCCATGCCACAAAGTAGTGGAGGGGTAGCATCTCCAACGTCGTTTTTACCAAATGCTGTGCTTAGAGCACACGTTGTGAAAGCTGAATGTTGTTTATTGATGGGCATCTTGCAAATGACACAGGAAAGCGTCGTGGCCTATCTTAAATGTGGACTCAACATAAGAAAAGGTAACAAAGCCTTTTTTTTAAGGATGACATGTACTCTGCTTTTATCTCAGCTCCTCGCTTTTTTGTTTTAAAAAAAAAAGCTTACAATAGCTATAGTATTGTTTGGCAAGAATATAAGAGAATGGGCCAGGAATATGTAAAATATATGGATAAAAATACTGTCTCTGGGGTACAGTTTGGTATTGGTGCGGTTCATCTCATGCTATCATCTATGCCACCAAAAATTTTGAAAATCTTTTCGGTTTTCGGATGGAAGAGTGATAAGCAGTTAGGCTTTGCTTTGCTCAAATTATGCTTAGAAGGTCGTGGTGTCCGGGCTCCTTTAGCATCTTTAACGTGAGTTTTTTTACTTAGCTGTGTGTGTGTGTGTAAAACGTCTTTAGCAGCAGCAGCAGCAACAACAACAACAACAACTGATTTAATTGTTTACTTTTCCTCCACCTTTTTTTTTTTTTTCCCCTCGTTTAGTCTATTAGCTTACTATTCAGTTCTCACATCGTTTGCACCACAAGTGTATTCAAAGGATATGTTAAACCCAGCGATTGAATGCCTCCTTGATGCGCAAAATAACCATCCCAATTCTTGTTTCTTCCTCTTCTTTGCAGCCCGTATGGCTCGAGTAGCCCGCAATATACCGCTCTCAAATCAGTCCTTTATGTTTGCAGCAGAATCAAGTCGGGGTGAATGGGCAGAAGTCGCTATGAAACAGATGGCCGACTACGAAGTCGGGTTCAACCTGGCTCTGCAGCTAGACTGGGAGAATGCGTTGAAATACTTTCAGCAGTTGGTAATTGAAAAGTACTGGTCTCCTGCATTTTCTAAATACTTTCTCGGCGCATGTCATGAAATGCTTGGTCAGCGAACAGAAGCCATTCTCGCTTTTGCCGAAGTGGTATCGCTCGTGAAAGGAGGAGAAGAGAAAGCAAAAGGAACGTATATTGATTCATATGTCTTGAAGAAAGTTGAGTACTTTCAAAAGAGTGGTTATCAAGATATAGACTTTAGCCTGCCAGCGTTAGAAGTGCTGTTGGTCATGAATATGTTGAGTCATATGGAAAAGGAAAAGCTTGAAAAATGCCTGAAATTAGTACAAGATACATTGACGGTTATTTATGAACGCGAAAAAATGGAATATACCATACGACTGAGGGAGCTTGTGCCTACAGTAGCTCCACCGGATTATTGTGAACAACGTGCTGTGCTGCTATTGATGAAGGCTTCTATACTTAATTCATTGGAGCGTTTTGATGAAACTATTGCGCATTTGAATTGGATTTTGGATCACAAAGATAGTATTAAAGAAGAAAATTGGGTCGTTCCATTTGCTTATTGGGGTAAGTCGATGATATACGCATCTATTTCAATAGTTGAAACTGGAAACTAATGGATCTTACTTTTGGTAGAATGTGGCGTCACTAGTTGGGGTTTAGGCAATTACAGAAAGAGCCGCAAACTATGGCAAATGGCAATGTCATATACGAAATATGAATTTGAGTATCGTCTGGCAGTCAGATTAAGCCTCGCTCTAAGCAAATGCGATGAAGTTGGTATTACTCAGGCTAAAATGCATGAAACAGAGGGGTCAACAACAAATGGACGTAAACGAATGCCATTGTTACATGCTATACCTTGAGGGAGAGGGCCCAAATAAGAAAAAGACCGTTCCGATCTATATACCTCGTCATACTTTACCATATTGGTTTCAGGTTTTGAACAATTATAGAAAAATTATACCTATTATATCATTTTATTCTTCACAGCGCTCAGACATGAAAAAAAAAAGAAAGTTCTACGGAAGATAAAGTGTTGTAAATAGTAATGTACTCACCGTTATCAGTCGTTCCTGTTGCGATACCTTAAAAAGAAGGATATTTATCCTGATGAACGTTTGAGGACAGTGAGTCTCAGAGTAGCACTTTAAGCAGTCTGTTTTTCTTGGCTTCCGATATGGGTGCGCTTTTGATTGCTGTAAATGTCAAATGTCACTGTTTCTTTAAGAACTACCAGAAAAATCTCGAATAGGCGTGTTTGCTTCGCTGTGGAACTAACCTTAGAACGGTTATCTCGCTTTGACCAAAATGGCCTGTACGATAATGAAGGAGGGTCTTTTTTACATTGTAGTATCCACCGGATTTTGGTTTATGAGCCGACATTCGTTATACCGACAGTACGTCGTGGGTCCAGTAATGCGTCCTTTTTCTTCCAGGAATACGGTACCAGAAACAATGCTTGAAACAGTTATCTTGCGCAAAGAGCCAATTAGGTTGACGTTCAGTAATTTGTAAACATAGTGCTCCTTTTATCACCTCGCTTCGAAAACGTTTTACAATGATTGGTTTACCGGTTGTTGGAATGATCTATCTCTTTTTGTTTTATTATTATTTTATGAATAATATGGACGTTTCGCTTTTGGCCTGGCGTTATATCAAAAGAAATCGGAACTAATTTATCATTCTTATATGAAATAGTGTCATACCGAGTATAGAAAGTGAGGACAAGCCCTGGCTGTGTATGGCTCGTTGTTTGGTGGACAGCAAAGGAAAGGCAGATGACGGGATGAGTGAGTGTAAAGAAAACCGTCGCCAGTCTTTCCATTCCAAAAAGAAGTTCCCCAAGGGTTTAAACGATCTTTTACAGAAAATAATGATGGCTGAACTCAAAGAATTGTCAGTGCACTTTTTTTTTTTTTTTTTTTTTTTGGTTCTTTTGTCTTTGTTTCTGGAAGTGGATTGTTGTCTCTTGGAATAGGTGGTGGGTGCGCGGGATGTAACTCATAGAATGAAACTCCTCAACAAAGCTTGACTCTATTTTCTAGGGAAACCCAAGGCATTTTACAGGCTCCAATATGCCAAATTGCGTATTTATACAACGGAGATGTGGCAATGACAACGCTGCTTTGGAAACTGTTACTCGTCGTCTATTTTCCAAACAGATGTCTATAGAACACGGACATAATAAATAATGAAAAATTACAGTAATTTATTGCGCGGGGCATTAAATCCAGCTTGAACAGTTTTATAATCTCAATGTTCCTGTGCCCTGATCAACGGATTTTTTTGGTCGCTGATCAAGGCTGGGCTTCGTGTTTCTTAGCTGAGAATAGGCACATGTTGAGTAAAATTCTCTAAACAAAGGACGCCACTACCTGCCTATTATGTTTCCTTGCATTAAATTCGGTATTTGAAGTTTTATGTGGTTTTGTTTTGTTTTTTTGTGAAAAAGATAAATTTATGCCTGTCAAAACAAAGCTGATGTGGGATGGGACAGCAGACATGGCATTGTTGTACGATGCTATGGTATCTGTGTTTTGCACAAGCTGCAAAACTCATGGCTTTCTCAACAAGAAATAAGATCTATTAGAGGTGTGCGTCTATGAAATTGCTTTCAATGCCTGCTGTTTAGTAGATGTTATTTAAGAATGCACATTTTACACGAGTTGCTAAAATTGACAAAATACAAGCGCCGTCTTAAATTATCTTTTATAATTTAATTTGGTTAGAGCGTGAACATTTAGCAAAAAGAACAAGTTTTAAACGTCAACTATAAGCACCTGAAAAAGGTATATATATAAGACAATTGAAAACTTTTTCGTTTTCATATCTCTACTTGCTGTTCTTGCACTTTTACATTTCTAACTAAATAAAATGAAGTTCCTTACTTTCTCTGCTATTGGCGCTCTTGCTGTTGCTTCTGCTCAAGCTTCTACTGCGACTCCCAAGCGTGGTTTTGCCACAGCTATGGATTTCAGTAACTCCACTTTTTCTAGCTTGGAAAGACGTGATCGTGCTACCTGGTATGTATATCAAATGAATGTCGTCTTCTTCAGAGGCTTTTGCTAAGGTCAATATTTGATCTAACCTTCGCCTCTGCAACGGCTATCACATAGGTACAATGGTGCTGATTTGAAGCACGCTGCCTGCTATGGTCGTAAGGGTCTTCCCAAGTACTCTGCTCACGAAGACGATATGGTCGGTGCTATGGTAAGTTCTTTCATCCGACTTTTGTATACTGAACACGTTGAGATCACTTTATTCATTTCATTGCTTTTCTTCTTCCGTCTGCCCACACTCACTTCACTCCATTCAATGACAAATAGGCCATGAAAGGTTATGAACAATGCTACAAGTGTATGAAGATTACCAATGAAAAGCACAAGAACAGACATATTGTTGTAAAGATTGTCGACCAGTGTGCTGGCTGTAAGCGTAACAAGCATATCGATTTGACACCTCGTGCCTTCAAAAAGCTTGCTGATTTGAATGATGGTATTGTCGAGATCTCCTGGAAGGAAGTTGATTGTCCTCATGGCGTTGGACCCAAGGCGGGTAAAGCCTAATCGTGTCTCTTTCGTCTATCTGTCTCTTGAGTGAAAATGCTGTGCATTTCTGCTCCCTTCTCCCCCCCCCCTATTACGCCATTATAACATTATTCAGCAAAACCTACTTTTGAAACATCATCTGCCGTCTCCAAGATCATCTTTATCCACTACGACCGTTCCGCTGTCACCAAAAACTATCCCATCCCCTTTTGTTGTAATTTAGCTTTATTCATCACTTCTTCGCACATTTACGCGCCTGTTTCAAATAACGCAGCATTTATATGTAAATATAACATTAACAAGTATAGCCTTCATCTTATATTCATCTCATAATAATAAATCATACTATTGCCATTTTCTTTAAACAATGGAGAAATGTTGTCAATCAAAATGTAAAGAAAGGTCTTACAAGTAAGCTGGTCAACGTGTTTTTGATACTGCTCAAAAAAATAATGTTGAACAAGTTACTACTATTGCTGCTGCTATCTTTGTTCTTTTTACCAATGTTCAATCACGATTTCGGATTTTATGCATCATTCGAACAAAGCATTCTTACTGGATCAGAGTTCAAGGAACAAGTACTTCTCTTATTTTAGATACAAACATCCCTGTCTGCACAGACAGAAGCAGGCGTGGGCTCTGGGTCAACTCAGGATGGATGATAGGCGCCAAAGTGCGGTTTGCTCAAAAGAACACGCTAATGTCAATGTTATTTCAGACATTTGACATCCTATTCATTTATCCATACTTTCCGTTGCTGATAACTTGCTTCCTTTTTCATCCCACACAAACCATAGCTGCTAAATATCATCCTATGATGTAGATAAGCAACATCCGATACTAATATTTAAAATTATACATGGCATACTATTACATACAAAAGCCGATTCAGACGAGTGTATGAAAAGTAATTTGGTCGAGATCAACCCATGACCTAACAGCGCGTAGAGATTACAATTCTACGAAGAGGAATAGTTTTGGTGGCTGCTGTTTCTTTGCTTTTTCATTAAAGCAGTAGTTGAAACATGTTTATCTCGTCTTAGCAAACCAAAAAAACCCCACTCTTTCAAAATGTCTAACCGTCAGTTTCCATGGGATGCGCTCTTTGAAGAGACTGCATTCATCATCAGCGTTCCCATAATAAGGTGGTTGATGGTTTCCAATTGTGTTTATTTCAGAGTGCATTGCTAATCACTGTGATAAGGTACACATTTGCCTCAAGCTATAAAATAGATTAGATACGGGTGCGGGATATTATCTTTTTTTTCTTTTTTTTCTTCTTTTGTTTCTGTGTGTGTTATTGGAAATAATTGATATTTGTGTTGAAAAGAATGGTCGCTCTTCCCTTGGAATCCTTCATGGTTTTTTTGTTTTTTTTTTTCCAAGTCCATGTAAACTACTGGTGGAAGGCTTTAGTTCTTCTTTTCTTCGACTTCGGCTTGTTGAAGGAATTCACGAATGAAGGCTTCTTCGTCAGCAGAAGAAGCTTGAATTGGTGGTGTAGCTGGTTGGGGGGCCTTAGGCTTCATCACGGAGTACGCACCGGCAGCAGCATAAGCGCCGATGAAAAACATGGAGAGCTAAGATGCAAAGAAAAAAAAAAAAAATCATGTCTAATGGGTCCATCGCTTTGGGTTGCTACTCAATTCTCTTGCTTTGTCCACTATTGTTGTAGTTTGTAGGTTGGTTTTGCTCAATTACCTTGTAGGTAGGAATCTTTTTTCCTGCAATAGTGTAATGACCAGCCATATTGTCTTTGTCTAGTTATATATATGTCTATACGTGATCAAAAACAAAAATATAAAAAGTGGGGAAAGCTAATTTCTTTTTGGGAACAAAAATATCCCAATGTCCAGGGGAACACCAAAAATGAAAATTTAGGCTTCAGCTACAAGCTGTTGGCCTGGATTTTACGTCATCATAAGGGCAAATCAACACGAAAGAAAACAGATTTGCGTGCCAAACAAAAGCTGTCAAAAACAACCGCACAATAAAAAAAAAATGGAAAAAAGCGATATCAATGGAGTCGTCTTGGGTTAAAACAAGAGAGCCCCTTTTCATGATCTTTCATGTTTAGAAAGTGGCAGTTTACTAGGACACGTCTGTCTTTCCTGTCAAATCATTGCGCATTTTTACAAATAAAAGAATATAGTCTTTTATAAAGCAAAGGAGAAAGATGGATCATGAATGAAGAGATACGGATACTATGAGATATTCGGGACTCAATGGGTCTTCTTAAGGAAAATTATAAGATTTCATTTTATGGCTGCAGAGATTGAACTTATTGGCACCAGGCCTTGCAAAGCGTTATTATACGTAAAGACCCGCAATACAAAGTCACACCCTTCATTGTTTTTAACCAATTTCTCCTGGGTTTTCCCAGCTAAAGCCTTAACAGCCGGATTATCTCTTTTCTCTGCCTTGTTTTTTCTTTTTTTTTTTGTTTTATTTTATATACTCTAAACCACCTCGCTCTCTCTCTTTCTTTTTGTTCTTTCTCTTTTCTTTATTTATTTAAAATCCCCAGCAGACATGTCCGCAGCTATCAGACGTCAAGTTATGAGAGGAATTGCCTCTACTGCTCGCCTCACAGCTACCAGAGCAACCCCTGTTCTTGTGAAGCATGTTACTGCACGCGCTTTCACTTCAGCAAGGTAAAAAAAAAGATTTTCAGCATCAAAAAAAAATGTGGGGATCTCGAAAAAAAAAAGAACAAGTTTGACTTCATTACCCCAGATTCCTAGCAATGAAGTGTTCACTTGTGTGTCTGCAAATGAATGAAATAAATAAAGAAAAGGCTAACGATACATTATGCTTAGCGCTCCCAAGTTCATTGCCCTTCGTGCTATCGGTAATCAATTTTCTGTCAAGGAAGCCAGATTCTATAGCTCTTCCTGTAAGTTTTTGGAAATTTTTGGATTTTCTACGATAATAAACTCCGACACGAAACAATAACGTCTTTTTTTTTTTTTTATAATCATGTTTGATAGCTTTCCCTACACATAATGTAATTGCTATGCCTGCTTTATCACCAACGTAAATGACACACATCAAACAAAAAAAAACCTATTGGAAAGAGATCTAAAGATCAATGAACTAACCTTCTCTTGTTAGCATGACTGCTGGTGGCATTGGTACCTGGCAAAAGAAAGTCGGTGATGAAGTGGTGCCTGGTGATGTCTTGGTAGAAATTGAAACAGATAAGGCACAAATGGATTTTGAATGTCAAGAAGAAGGTTATCTTGCAAAAATCTTGGTCGACACTGGAGCCAAGGACGTCAATGTTGGCCAGGTAAAAAAACAATTAAACCCAACTCATTTTGTCGGGAAATGCTGGGAAAAAATTTTTTGTGTGTGGAGAAGGTGGGCGGGGGTGGGGTGTGCGGACGAAATGAGGGGTTAACAAACACAAAAGGGTCCTGATCTAAAACATAAATGCCATTTTTTTTTTTTTTTTTTTTTGTCAAGCCCATTGCCATCTTTGTTGAAGATGAAGCTGATATTGCTGCTTTCGAAAACTTTACTGTGAATGATATTGAAGGTGGTGCCCCTGCTCCTGCCGCTTCTGCCGATGAAACTCCCGCTCAAGACGAGCACAAGAGTGAATCTCAATCACCTGCTTCTACCGAAACTTCTTCTGCTCTTTCTTCCGGTAAGGACGAAGTCGTCTCTTCTCATGGTGGTAAGTGATATTTTAATTCATGTTTGAGTAATCAAATAACGATCTAAGTATTCCCTGTCATGTTGAATAGGTCGTGTTTTAGCCAGCCCTCTTGCCAGAGTAAGTTCATTGACAAAAGGAAGCATGTATCATACAATGACTGACGATTCTTCTTTAACATGTTTAGAAACTTGCTGACGAACGCGGTATTGATATTGCCCAAGTGAAGGGTTCCGGACCCAATGGTATCATTTCTAAAGATGACGTTGAAGGTTATAAGGGTAAGTTATTCAATAGTATCGAAGAGTTGAGGGCCTAATGACTCATCGTCTTTCTCAATTGTAGCTCCTGCTGCTGCTGCTGCTGCCGCTCCCGCTGCCGCTGCTGCTCAAATTCCTGCTGCTTATGCTCCTCAAGGTGCTGCCGGTGAAGCCTACAAGGATATTCCTACTACCAGCATGAGAAAGATCATCGCTACTCGTCTTAGCGAATCTAAGCAACAAGTTCCTCATTACTACTTGACTGTTGAAATCAACATGAACAAGATCAACAAATTACGTGAAGTTCTCAACAAGTCTTCTGAAGGAAAGTACAAGCTTTCTGTCAACGATTTCATTATCAAGGCATCTGCTTTGGCTCTTAAGAGTGTACCTGAAGTCAACTCTGCATGGCAAGGTGACTTTATCAGACAGTAAGTTTTTTTTTTTTTTTCCATCTTTAAGAACCATGTCCCGAGGAAGTGGGTTGGCAGTCATCACAAAGGAAAAGGGAGAAAGAAACAAACTAATCTGTTCTCTACTATATGTATTCATATTTTTCTAGATACAACACAGCTGACATCTGTGTTGCTGTCGCCACACCATCTGGCTTGATCACTCCTATTGTCACTGCCGCTGAAACCAAGGGATTATCCACCATTTCCTCACAAGTCAAGGATATGGCCTCTCGTGCTCGTGAAGGCAAATTGGCTCCTCAAGAATACCAAGGCGGTTCTTTCACTATCAGCAACTTGGGTATGTTCGGTATCAACAACTTCACAGCTATCATCAACCCTCCACAATCATGCATTTTAGCTGTTGGTGGTGCTCAACAAAAGGTTGTCCCTGATGAAACAACCGAAAGCGGCTTCGCTGTTAGAGATGTTATGGAAGTTACTTTAAGTGCTGACCACCGTGTTGTCGATGGCGCTGTGGGTGCCACTTGGTTACAATCTTTCAAGGGCTTCATGGAAAACCCTCTCAAGATGTTGTTGTAAATATATATATCTCGTTAAATATAATCCCTCTCTTTTTCTCTCTCTCTCCCTCTCTTTCTCCCTTTCTCCTCTCTCTCTTTCATACATACACACACCTTCTTCTTTAGTGTTTTTTCTTTTATTGAATAAACTTACACAGAATAATATGAACTAGATCTCCTATACATCAACCCAAACCTATAGCCATGTTGACTACTTCTCATGACTACTTTTCCATTCAGTCATTGTTGAGTCAAGACATAGGTGAATAGTCAGTACTGCTCAGAGAGTAAATGGTAGCCCTGTCAGCAGCATTTCATTCTGTAAAGTTCAGCTACATGCCTGCGAACTAATGTAATAGAATGATTCATGAGGATTAGCACGAACCTTTATGCCCACAAAGGAACTTGAAAAACGTGAGCGTTTTCCTCAAACGAAGCGGCGAAACTGAGAGGATGGAGTTTGACCCAATATAAATTCAGAAATTCTCCTCTCTTCTCTTATTTTGTCTTTCTATCATAAGCCAGACAAGGATGGTCTTCCGGAGCTATGTTTAGCATTATAGTGATTTCATATCCATGTGTATTTTGAATGTCGTTATTTACTAACATCGAGTTAACCAATTGGAAGAAGACGAACACGTAAATCTTTGTTGTTCGGCATTAATTCTACTATTCGAATAGACGGTGTTTGGATATCTTTTAGTAACCTATCATTTTCTTTAGAAATGATTACTTGATCGTTTGTTTGCAAAATGCTTGGCACTTTCTTACACTATCATTCTATCCAAAACTAGTGTTTTAAGTGAAAAGCGTAACTGACTTAAAGGTCGTGTTAGGGTTGGAGATTGGTAATCCATATCAGTATCAAGCCATGCATAGAGTGGACATTCGGTAGATACAAATGTTCGAAAGACGTGATGAAGAGAGGAAGAGAGTAAGAAGAGGTTATGAAGCCATTGCAAATGCTATCTAATGCCAAGTGTCTCCAACTTTCGCGTCCAACAAACCGTAAGTTTAGCAACGGGCATGTCATATTTCCATTTAAGGACGTACAGCTTTTTTTTTTTTGCTAGGACGTTACGAAAAAGTTTGAGAACTTGGAAAGCAATTGATATTTTACCCTAAGCGAGAACTGATATAGACGCTAACGTTCAAGCGAATGAAATTGCCCGCCCGTATTGGAAGGGATACTTGATAACAAGAACGTTTCCATTATTCGATTTTCTGGAGTAAGCCAACTGAGTACAGAAACTATTTGATAATAGGATTCTTTGGGTAAATTCTACGAGATATTGCTGGCTTTATCACCTTGTTCTTTTAAACTGTGAACGTGATATGTTATTAAAGTATTTGCAAATTGAAAAAAAAAAGCTTGTTCCTGAAATTCTGAAACATTAAAGAATGCGCTATCCATATGAGGCTGTATAGACCAGTACAAAGTGAAATGTATGTTTTATATTGAGGTTAGGGCTTAATTCATATTATATCGGAGAGAGGTTTAAAAAATATCATAGCCTCTCATCGACTAAACTTTGGTCTTTTGTCGAAGTGTTATGCAAACCTCTTCACCCGACCACCATATCACTTGAGAAAAATGATAGCGAGATTATAAATGATCTCAAGTAATCATGAAAAGTAACATCCCACCTTTACAACTACCGTGCCTCCTCCAGAAAAGCACAAGTGAATATATTTAGCATCAATACAACGAACCTCATCATTGAGATTCAAATAAAATCGAAGGGCAAGCAGCTTTGTCGGCATAAAAGTCTTCCGTACCAGATTATACAATACTTTTTCAGGACTGCACAAAAATGTTCAATTGAAACATGGCAGTATTTATCAGAAACTTTTTAGCCATTACTGTTATATGAGATGTCGTGTTATTAATTTATTGAGAAACCGTTTCTATTTCACCCAAATACTGTTCTCTGCTTCATTCACGTTTCCTCATCATTGTTCATGGTAGTCTTGACTTTTTTTTTTTTTTTTTTTCTCGAGACTGAATTCCTTCCCACATCCACTACCATTGAATACCGCTTTCGAAATGGAAAGAAGAAACAGAAAGTTCATAGCCAAATATATGCCCACATCCTTTCATTTAATAAGCGGTACTTAGACAGAATTCGTTCAAGTCGCGTTACGTCAATATTCTCGATACCGCAAGCCTGGCGATTCATATTTCAATCTTTCTTTTATTCAGAAAAAGAACTTTTAGATCATTGATACGCTTTTTTTTTTCTTGGGCTCAGGCTTATGACTTTTTAAGCAGATACCCCTCAGCATATTATTCTTTATTAAAGTGTGATTTTGTCAAGAACTTTTTCAGGCAACCCACTATTTGAGATAATATTTTTGAGAGCTTTACACCGATAGCTACTCATAAAAGTGGAAAGGCCACTTCTTCTCCTAGCTGATACAACAAAAGTACTCTCGTCAGCCAAGATTTTTCTCTGGTGGAAGACAGGATTCGTTTGTGATTACCATTATAGTTTTCCTGCAGGAAATAAGATGCTTAACTTAGCCGACATTTGCAGTGCTTCAAAATATTCATCCGCTAGCTTAACAAGCATGTTTTTATCTTTTTAAGTTTCGTCCAACTTTTGTCTTACCATTCTCCTAACCTATTCTCAATGAGATTACCACATACTCCGGCAATCGGTTGAGGAGATTGACTGGTTGGTGAAGAAAAGGAAAAGGCTCAATATAAAAGGTTGAGTTGACGTAAAATATCATGTGCCTATATAATTGCAAAATTCTGTCAAACAGAAAGTTGAAAGTGTTCTCTTTTTGATTGGGTGCCACTACAAAATCAGATTTTCAAAACGCTAAAGAGAGCTTGCATTTGGCAGCAAGATCATATTCTTTTTTTGAATGTGTGTGCACGCACGCACTCAACTCCACCAGACTTTTTTCTCTTTTTTTTTTTTTTTTTTTTTTTTTTTTTTTTTTTTTTTTTCCTTCCTGGAAAGAAGACATCTTTATTATTTGCATTAAGTTTCTGCTCTCTTTTCTTTTCCTTTTTTTTTTCTTTTGTTTTTTTTTTTCTAGTTCCTGAACGCTTGTCAACAACTCAAGCCAAAAAAAAATAAAAGAAAGAAATTAAGGCTATTACTTGTTTTCGTGCTCTTTGAGACTATTTACAATGTTGGACATAAATTTCGAGTCTTCTACAGCAAGCAGAGTTAACCCAGAAAAGTTGGTCTCTGACAATATATCGAATGCATCGACAGCGATGAATGCTGCCAGTAATAATGATGCTGTGAACATGCTACTTGCCAAGCTCGATGAGGGAACTCAAACAGTTGTTAACCTCCGATCCATTCTCACGATGAAGACAGCTGAACTCAATGAGCTTTTGGCTCAGCTTGAGTTGACGAATCAAGCCATTACGACAGTTGAAGCTACGACAACACAGATTGAAAACATGTTGAAAGATTTTGGGTTTGACCAGTCGAAAGAAAACCTACTACTAAGTGCGGAAGCGACATTAGATTCGGCTATCAAATCGGCAGCGAGTATTTATCCACAAAATTTAATGAGGCCGTCCACCAACAACTTCCGACGTGCCTCTTCCATAAGTACTCATAGCGGAAGCGCTGGTATTCAAGACGGGGGCGAAGGCGAATTAAAACGCATCGTATGTATATAAAAAAGTCCAGCTTCTTGGAACAGACCATAGTGTCAAAATGCCGATAGCAGTTTTAGGTCGTCATATATTGATGTTCTTTTATCCAAAATAGAGTAGCGCGAGATTTTCCACCACAAGAATACGATATAAGCCTGATACGAAACACATTTTAAGAAAACTAAATGATCTATTACGAGATTTGCACATGGATTCTGGCAAGTTTTTTGCAAGTATCGGCACTACAGGTCAGTCAGCATCTTCTAATTGATGGGCTTTTGTGTTGAACACAACTCTCAACTTATGTGTTTTCACATCAATCAATAGATGATTACGAACAACTGCAGAAGGCTTATGTAGATTTGGATATTGCAAAAACCATATCATTATCAGCAAAAAGTAACTTGAGAAGGAGGAACATCCTTTTGCGTAGTGCTAGAAGAAGGAATAACAAGGAAGAAATCGAAGCAGTAAGTACAGCGATTATGTATTCCATTGATCACATAAACTGATGGATGCCAACTTGATGATCTGTAGCTTGATGAAAGAATTCGAGAAGGTGTTTCACTCTGGAGAATATACACCAGAAACTCTCCTTTGATGATCAACGGGGAAGAGATCATCACCATATTAGACCGCGAAGACGATCTACTAGAGAGGAATGTAAGTAATACATTTCACATTCTTGATCTTATCTTGAAAACAAAACTAAAAACGATATTGGATACCAGCTTCCTATACCTTCTTCCCGATACACTCATACACCATTGGCTTTGACACCATCTACATCATCGAATACACGAAGAGCATCCATCAGAAGTAGTATAACACCCGATAATTTTGAAACATCGTCACATAGTAGAACTTCTTCGACTGTTTCGAACAGGGACTTCAACCATGTTCAAGCTGGCCAAAAGGCGATTCATTCACCCACAGTAGTCTCCTTCAATTTGCCAACTGTAACATCATCCATGGGTACAAAGGGTCCAGCGACAGCTACAATAAACAGTGCTAAGAAAACAATATATCGTCAATCAGCAGGCCCTCGTTTGACACAAGTCAAAGCTAATGTTGGACTTCCACGTGTTCGCACAACATCATTCACTCAACAGCAGAAAGATCATCACCAGCATCAAAAGTCTTCTAGCCCTGTTTCCGTTACCACAACTACTACTAATACAGCTAATTCTGTTAATAAGGATATACCAACCTCTTCTACTTTCGTAAAAACTCCTACATCAAGCAATATGAGTAGAAGACAATCACACATTCCATTACCCTCCCATGCCTCAAATACTGCAGATAAACTCCCCCCTCCTACAGTTAACAATGATGCCAAGAGAAACACTCTTAAGGCACCATCGCAGCGCGGTCCCGGCTCTACTTTGAGATTAAGGTCTATGCTTGCAAAACGTGGCCAGTTACCCCCGACAGCAGCGAAACCATCTGTTAATTTTGCTACCTCCACTTGAACACCTGAAAAAAACAAAAAACAAAATAAACATTTTGTAATGATAATATTTGAAAACATTTTCTCTCCTGTATGAGTAGTTATTACAAGTAACAAATGACACTCTGCTTTATTGATGATTTGTGTTGAAGAAAAGCTTAAACCATCGTGTTTAAGCGTAAGACAAAAGTTAGTTTATTACGTAGCTTGTCAAATTGCGTGTTCAGAAGCTTTTCTCAATAAACTTATTGTTATATGCGCATCGCATGAAATGGAGGCAGTAGCTCACATCAGTATGTTAGGTTAACAGAATACGATAGCTATGTTGGTAATCAAGCATAGTAAAGCTCAATAATCTCATACATTATTTTTTCTCCATCTTGGATAGAATTTGCAGCTGTTGCCAAAGATAATAATTCATCACTGCTGCTTTCACTGCATGTTCCGTTAGAGGAGCTACAGAAGTTGTTACTGCTTGTTGAACTGGTGTCCATTGATATTTGTTGATTGTTTCTTTTGAGTTTCAATCTCTCCTTACGTCCATTACAATAGGAACAAGCTTTGACAACCATGTCACAAAGCTGCTTTGGAACAAGTGAGTGACGTTTTTTGACCTGGAATTGATCGTCTTTATCAATATCTGCCAAAGGAGCTCCAAGGTAAAAGCGATAAAAATTGATAATATTACCTGCTCATAGGTGACATCTCTGCCTCTATGATGACAATTTTGATGGGCTGTTGTTAATATCTCGTACAGATCTTCTTTTAATCCAACGGGCTTGCCTATCAAGGATATACTATTATCGTTGCTCGTAGATTTGACATTCTTGAAGCACAATTCATATTGTTCGTTAAATAGAAATCTAGTTCTAGCCCAGTGACGGAAACTGGCAGTACCGATCTCACAATAAGGAGAAGTCTAAGGGAACCAACGGCCGTAAATGTCAACGAAGCAGAATCTAAGAGGTGCATATCGCACTTACACTTGATAATACTTGCTTTATTTCCTCAGCTAACCGATACGTAATTAAGGCCTTCGTTCTAAACTTGGGTGCTTTGCTATTCAAATATTGGTCAACAATTCGTTCTACTTGATCTCTAGTTATCCAATCAGTCATGCTTTTCACAATAACTAGATAACGTCAAGGCGAAAGAAGTAGAAACGATGAAAAGACTTTGAAACAAAAAGAAATAGAAGATCAAATATGGATTCTTTCATGCTGCAGCGCTCATTATCGTATGGATGCTGTATTGACAACAAAGAGAAAAGAAAAGCGTCCTTAAACGAACAAACTCATTCCCGACAACTTTCAATGCTGACTCATTTTACAGCTAATTTGTTCTTTTTGTGATTTTGGCTCAAGGACGCCATAACACAAAATTTACAGGATTAGATATAGTTTCCGGTTTATTCATCCTTCTTGAACTTTTCATTCAATATTTCTCTAAAGCCGGAAATAATTTCATTTTCACGTTTTATCTTCTGCTCTTGTGCATGCTGTAAAACCATACGCTTCTCTTCCGCTGAAATGACTTGATTTTCTTTACGAAGACGAACTGCATTCATACGTTGATGTCTACGCAATTCAGATAATATCGTTAAATGATAGGCTAACTATAGCTTCATAAGATCTCTTATATTACCTGCTACCACTCATTACGTAACCAGCTCTTTCAAAGTCTGCAATCTGATCACCTGATAGACCAATTTCACCACGACGAGGAATACGTTTACCTTGTTGAACGTAAGCTGCCATAGCTGAGCCTTCACCTGGAAGCAAAGCACCACCGTAAGATCTTTCATTAGGGTTATCGTTTTCTGCCATCGGTACTGGGCCAACTGGCGCTAAATCATCGGGCAAATCAACTATTTATACACATACAAGTGATTTAGCAAGATTATCGAAACAAATAAACGGTCTACAATAATAATACCTTCTTTCTCAACCCACAAATCTTGTACTTGATCAAGGTGCGATTTATCGACCTCCAATACAGGTTTTTCTTCCTTTTCTGTCTTCCCCACAGATTCTATTGAAGAAACACTATCTGTGTCACTTTCAGACGATGAGTGTCTTCTTCTTTTCTTTTCACGACTGCTATGATGTCGATGTTTCTTATGTCGACTATCGCTTCTATGTCTGCTTGATTTATGACGGCGTCTGCTACTTCTATGTTTACTTCTACTCTTATGTCTAGATGATCTATGTTTGCTGTTGCGGTGACGTCGCTTACGACGTTCATCTTCATCTGAGGAACTTATAATGCCTTCGTCACTGCTACTGCTGTCACTATCATCACTATCATGTCGTCTTTTTTGCTTCTTTGATTTACTACTGCGTTTACTACCGTCTGGTGAAAGCGATCTAGGACGTTGAGGAGAAGGTGCCCAAATGGTTGTTTTTAGTTCGTTTCTGACTCGTGTACGACTATTAGTAATTAGTAAGATAAAATGAGATAGTTAGCCAACCAAATTAGTTTATGTGAAAGCAACAATCTTACAATTCTGAAAAGCTTTCTTCAGGACGTATCCGAATTCCTTGAATCTCTGTCATTCGCTGTTGTAAGGGATCATTATCACGGTAATGTCGTCCATTCCTTCTGGGTGGAGACTGACGTCTATCTCTCTTTCTGTCAATAGATCGCGAACGATTCCTTCTGTAACTGCTGTAATCTGGGGAATCGCGGCGTCTGTAAGACCTACCACGATCGCGGGAATCATAACGGTCTCGCCTACTATTTGATAATGATCTGCTTCTTGAACGGGAATATTGCCGTCCTCTGGAAACAGGTGAGCGTCCTCTTCTCGACGTCGGAGAGACTGATCTTGAACGAGATCTTGAAACGGACGGCATTATGAAAATGTATTTGAACAAAAAAGCTATAAACAGGTTTAGTTTTCCCAAAATGAGCAATAGAAGATGACATTATTTGAAACTGCGTCACGGAACTTGCGTGAAAGTTGTTTCCCAAAGATATTAAACAAAACATGATTTTATTGAATAATTTTTAACCCAATGGGCACACAGATAAACTACATATCAGAAAATTGCCCTTGGCAGTTCAAAATACGTGCAAGAATTAAAAAACCGTAAAAGGTACTAGGAAAAAAAAAGATAAGGGATCACAATGCAAACTAGGTAAAAAAAACGGGACAATCAAGTAATAATCGTAGTGGACGCATAAAGCCAGTCTAGCAAGGGCTGTCCTAATGTTTCTGACAGGGTAGGGGGCATTTTCTCGTGCTGAAGATAATCGATTTCATAAAGAAGCATTTGGACAATTGGCCAAGATATACTCCAGTTGACTGGGATATTGGCACGCTGTTTTATGGGTCGAGTGGAGAGTTGGTTCAACAAATGAGAAATGGGGTCAACGACTGTTGTCAGAAGTTGCAGGCGGTTATGCATTTGTAGGCATTCAATGGTGTGGGCTTTAGTGAGAGTGCATAGGGGGTGGAATAGGCAATGGGCTGAGTAGTTGTTGGGGAGCCAGCCAAGTGTCCAACGAAGACAGCGACTACGCTCAATAAAGCTCATTGGGAGCCAAAGAATGGGATCAAGAGAAATGTTAGGGCGGCATTGGTTCATCAACTTTGAGTTGGGCGCTGAGTGTATGGCATCTAGATTCTCTTGACGATATGCTTTGATGGCCTGGTGTAAAGCCTTCCTATCTTGAAACGGGGAATGCCTTCTCCAAATTGGATTGGAGTGTGACAGTTGAGACCAAAGAGATTTGCTAGTGGCTTGAGTGACATAAGGAAGTAGGCGCTTTAGCAGGGCGTTAGCAGGTAGGCTTTGGGACCGCAGTAGAAATTTCGTTTGGAGAATGTGAAGTCTTTCACGCATCGTTGGAAGCTTTAACAGATGTAGCATCATATGCACTGATGAACAGGAACGACCACCAAAGATACGGCGAAGGCATTGCATTTGCGCCTTTTCCAAGGGGTCGACGATGTACTTTTTAAATTTGATAATAGCCAATCCGTATTCCAATTGAGGACGAATGATATTGGCATAGAAGCGAGCTGCTAGTAGTCGGCTGAAGCCTGTAGGGCTCAAACGAACTATAAAGAATCTTCTGATACATTTAATCCAGTGTGTACTGTATCAATAGCTTCATGAAAAGCTCCAAGCTTGTAAGAGCTTGTAAGAGCATCACGCACGGATATATAAAACATTCGCCGTTTATTTAGATCACGAAGATTGCATAAAACTATTTTGCAGCATGATTTTATTTCAAGGAATACATACAATATAGCTGCTTGAATCATCGTACTCAACTCGCTCTTTAAAAGTATGTTCAATCCAAATCCATATCGTCTAAAGATATGGAGTATGTGTTGCCTAAAGCACGATAGGCAACAGGTGGATTTTGCTGGCATCGTGCATTTGATCAATCTTGTAACAAACTTTTTTTTGATATTGCGCTTGAGACTCCGGATGCTCGCGTTTCCCAATTCTGCATTTCTCCAGATGAAATAACCTTGATGCTTTTTTATTGCTCTTTATCACTATTTAACTTTTCCCTCTCCATGCATTTTACCCCATAAAAACAATATGGAGTCAATACGAACTGTCACCTATAAGCTTTTTGCTGATATTTCTGATTCAAATGTAGCAACTCCAGTAAGTAGTAAGAAAAAGCATAAAAAAAAATGGCTCACAAAAGTATAAAATTCTATCTCTGGGTTTTAGGAATGGGCAAGTTTAGACGATCAACATTTACAAACTTTCAATGGGTAAATAAGCCTTTTTTTCAGGGTTACAAATGCTAGGCTAGAGCTAGGTGTGCGGCGTGGCTAAATACATGGGAATATAGGTTGTTCAACAGAAATCCTTCAAAAAGGCGTAGACTGCGACTGTTACATCCCAACACCTCCTTCGAAGCCAACACCTACGGCAATATTAATATTAATCATACGCACACATCTGCTCGTATAGACTACGATAGTTTGGCGAATGACTTCCTAAAAGGCTGCCATATGGCAGGCGGCAATGTCGTAGGTTCTCAAAGAGGTACAATCACACTCGAACCAATGTTAAATAAGCACCTCGCAATTTATTTTAGACAGAACAGCTCAAGAAAGTCATATTGAAATACCGAGAAGGACCTATTACGTTAATAAAGGCCTCACGCTTGATTACGTTTCTACATCATGTATTGAAAGTTATACCGATTACAAATACAGCATCATCATCGACACCAATATCAGGAAAACTTAGCTTTCCCCTCGGCTCAATGGTAGAAGATTTAACTCTAACTCTCACAACACAACAGCCCTCAATCTGGATCCTGACTATTCAATTCATATTATCATGTTTGAGAAATACACCACAGCAGCATATTCACGCAGCAGGCATTACAACACCTGTCATTCTGAGTGTTATCAAGCATATTCTAGTGGAGCTGACTCGATTACCTTATACACATATGACAGCCGCGCAAGAAAGTTGTTTTTCAGTTGGCAGAGAACTGTTAGATCTATTGTTGATCAAAGGAAATGACACAATAAAGGACAATGGATCCAAACTCGCCAGCATGAGCAATTCAAAAAAATTTGTTGGCATTGGAACGATTACTTTTTACGATGTGATTTATTCTGTAAGTCTTAATATCAAGTGTGGAAGTATTCTATAGTATAGCATGTACCAGACGATTTTTAGACTTATACAAATTTTATTGCCTTAAAAGTTCCCAGAGTTATATGGCCACTTCGTTATTACAGCACCAAACATGAATACGAACACTGGAACACATTTTCAGCCTTCCATTGCCAATCACAATGTATGGCTGATGACATTGAATCATTTAACCGTCTCAATAATGCAAGACCATCGCTTATTAGACCGCATACCAACGTTAATGGCGATCAATATAATTAAACACATACTCAGAGAAATCAATACATTACCTGCCGATTTGACAACGACACAAGTCAATTGTATCAATAAAGGAAAAGAACTAATCAATTTACTACTATTGGGAGTTAATGGCGACGGTGCTGGTGCTGTTTCTCACTACGATATTATTGTCTCAGTAACTATCTCCTATTATAGAAAAAAAAAAGAGCTATTTCAGTGTATACGCGGTCTAGCAAATTCATATTTAACAAATTCTTTCATTTCTTCACAAAAGTTACCTGACGTCTATGGCATTTTCCAACATGGTACTTTTGCTCAAAGTGTACACTGGGCTATGGAAAAATTCATCAACGAGTTAGGTAAAAGACGTCGCCATTTAGCCTTTTTAATGATGCCGCCCGATGCGTCTTGGCCTCTCATTTCCCTTTTGAGTAGAAGGCATGAATATAATGACCTCACCACACGAACAAGTTATCATATGTTTGAAGGCGATTTAGTAAGTCTGACAAATTAAGTTGCAATTCTGATAAGCTAATACGTTTCTTACCGGATATCATATGTTAGATCGAATTTGTAAAAGAGGGCAGTTCAACCAATATAGAAACGCATTTTCGTGATATGTTATACCAGCGTGCTTCAATGAACGAGTTCCGACAATTGGCAATGTCGCTGACGCAAACAGGCTTGGATACAACATTAATAAGGAAAGCCATGGTTGCTAAAATTCGTGATGTAATTCGATGCATTCAACATTTCAGTCAAACTGGCGAATACGAAGATACTGATGTGAAAAGTAAGCTTGCTTTATTATGTTAATGAAGAGCAAGACATTGCTTACAAATTGCCCTTACTAACCTATTACTATAGTGAGCGAAGATCAACGTACTACAGCGGTATCCGAAGATGATTTGACTATGAAGATACCGAGCAACTTTCATTTATGGGAGCTTATGATAGAAACTGCAGATCAACTTTACAGCTTTGTTTCAGCAGAGTATGGTTGTCCTTTTTTCATGAAGACAGTATATATAGTTGCTGATTAATTTTTCCCACTGATTTTTTGTAGCTTCTTTACCTACGACGAGATATTAAATGATATCTATGAATTGATATACCGACCTGATGGTGAGCCACATCTGCCAGGTGTACAAAACTATATAGCGAAGGATAACGGGCTTGTGTGGTTACTGCTTCAACTCTTCTGTAAGGTTTAAATTTTTTTTTATATTTATATCATTGCTGATTACTATTCTACTGTCATTTAGACATTGAAAAAGTATCAAAAGAGGTGATTCAAAAGGACTTCGAACAAGATGAGAAGCTTTTTGACAAACTTGTTAGGCTTTATACAGACGAGCAAACAGAATCAAAAGACGCCTTTACTCTTCGCGATTTAGCATTGCAATGCGCTATAAACCATCAAAAGGCTAACATACGGGATGTCAGTAACATAAAGCAGAGACATCCATTAGTTGCCGCCTCTTTACAACATGCCGGGCTCTGCTACCAGATACAAGCCTACTTTGGCAACCATTATCACAGCAATGTGCAAAATAATTTCAATATCTTCAACAACCTTGATTTACAAGAAAAGATTAAAATTGCCATGGAAAGCCAACTGAGACAGGATGTCGTTCCTTATTCGCTATACGTGTGCCTTGTGCCACCCCAAGCAGAAATAGGGACTCTAGGTCATCCTTCAACAACCTATACAAAGGGTTGTTCTCTAGATTACGAGCTGCTTGATCTTCTTAGCGTTAACGCCAAACACAGGTTATTACAGGTCATATACAAGATGATGCTTGATAGTGAAACCGGACCACGCTATCAATCAAATACAGGGAAAACGTTGACCTGCGTGCCTCCTTATGTTTTGGATATCGTGTATAAACTATTACACAGCTCACCTTGCTCGTAAGTTAGTGAACATGGTATTGTTATTCGAGAATTAGCTTTTTGTTCTTACAATTTTTGGTCGTCTTTTTCTAGAGCTGAACTGATGATAAAGGAGATCTTCGACAAACTACGGCGTTGTGATAAAATGATAAAGATGAGGCACACAGGTGAATCTCATAATGGTGTGGTCATTCAACAATTACCAGAACAGACAATGCGATGGTTACAAACTATTTTGCAATTGATGAATTATCGGTTGATCGGATTCTTGAAGTATTCATCCTTTGCTTCCGGCTTGTTACATTATATTCGCTTTTTCATATCTTACCTGGACAACCGTCAGTGTTATCAAGCTCTTGAGTCATTCACCGCAAACGTTATTGTGAGTAAATCATTCTACTATTGTACATAGAAGAATACTAATTTGTTGTTTTAAACCACCTATCCAGAAAATGCAAATCGACGTGAAGCTGTTGCGTTCTCTTGATGATCCTCATAGAGAAAAGCCTATCTGGTTCTCCGAATCAGAAATGTTAGCGCGTCTCACTGTTTATAGCATCAGTCGTCTGATCAAAATACGAGGTCAAGCCGACATCAAAACAGAACTAATTTACCGTGTCTTATCAAACTTGTATGAGCATCGTATTGAATGGTCCCCTGAAGCCTTACGCTTTTTCCCAGCTGCTGTAAGATCGTTTTATGAATCAGATAACAAAGCGGCAGAAGTTCGTCCAATAGTTTCAACACAGAAAATACAGCAACTGACAGTGAATAACAAAGCCTTCTTGGGCTATATTTTGCAAGGCAGGTCTGAAGCCGAAACAATCATATTACAACATTTTTCATTGCTAGAGAATCAGCCGGATATTCTGTGCGCTTTATGGGCTATCGCACTGTCGAGAAGCTCGGCTGATTGCTTTCATATGGTATCTGTTCGCAACTTATTGTTACTCATTCCACCTGCACGCATGTCGACAAGAACAATCGACCTAATAGATTTTATATTAAGCGTTGATTTCCCCGCAAAGGATACTTCCTTTGTAAAGTAATTCCCACTTTTTTTTTTGAAAAACAAAAGCGAAAAAAAGAAGAGCTCAGCATAGTCAATCAAAGCTAACACTTACTTTCTTACACAATAGCTGTATTCTCTTCTGGATTCGTTCATATGGAAACATCAATGGATAAACTTTAATCATGTCATATTTGCGTTAACAAAAGGAAGTGGTTCACCAGAGCGTCATACGAAAGCGATGGCGTATTTACGCTATCTGTTGTTAGAATCTCCCGAATTCCAAAAACGTGCTGACAAATGGGCATCCCTCAACATATCTCATCGGCCGTGGAAAGAAATTGATTTTCATGATAAACTAATGCAGTACTTGCAAGAGTTTCCCGAATACCATGAATTCGAAGCATTTGCTATGAGACAATTTGAGCCTACGATGGATTTACCTAACCAACAACTCAAACTTCCTATTTATTATACCAACGTTATCAGTAACTTCATATCGATTATGGAGAACTTGATTATGTATCTGATAGAATATTCTCAAGTGGACTTGCTGATCAATATCTTGGATACATATGGGCATTTGTTTTACCAGCACCAATGTCCGTTATCATTTGTCACCAATCTCTTATTATACTATTATCCTTCCGAGACTTTGCGTAGTCCACCTGTTTTAAAAAGAATTTTGAGGCTATTAGGTATGAGTTTTACTTTTATAGCTGAGCTATGCATCAAACTAATGTGTTTTCTTTGTCTGATTCAAAGATTTTGAGCAGTATCCTATTCTTAAAGAGGCTCGTGCATATGCGGAAAATGAAGAAGATGATGGCAAAATGTTCCAAGCCGAATATTTTGAAAAGATAATCCATAAATTAGCTGGAAGTAAGTGTCTTTTAATGCTCCCCATTTAATCTATTGTAGGAAGTCTCATTTTATTCTTACTGCAAAATTACAGGCTTAAACCCGAAGCGATGTGCCCCCAGATTAAATCCAGAATTACCAGAAAGGCACTTTCGAGAAATTGGCAGCCCAGCAATAGAAGGGATATCTATAGCAACATTAGAAATCATGATTACACCTATACCTCCCAGTGCTATTGTTCGCCATTTATTGAATCTCGCCTTACTGAGAGAGTCACATCATGTGGGCTGCTCAGCACTAAGCCTGCATGCAATTGGGGTACTCTTACCAATGCTCCCTCAGCAAGACTTCATACATCCAATATTTAAAGAACTGAATGAACTGATCGAAACAGACCCTTATTTATTAGAAATATCAGAACCATGTCGACTCGTAAGTTACTCAATCAAGGGAACATCAAAACATGCGCAACATGTAACTAAGTTAAGAATTTTCCTAGATTCGTTGTGGAATACCCAAAAGCATTAATGGCCAATATGCAATGCAACAGACTCTTCCTGATCTTACAACCGCCTCTGTCCTTCGCGAAGATATGAGCACTCGATTATCTAAAGCAATGATACATCCGTACATTTTTAACGACTACACATTCAATCTCCATAACTATACAACAAACGCACCGAACAGTTTCTTATGCTTATTCCACAGTATTATTCATTATTCAAGCCTTGATATTTTTTCAATATTTTTAGAGTATATTCAACAACTACGACTTTCTGGTAAATCAAAAACAGATGTACAGTTGCTATACATCTGTTTTTTGATTGGTCCCGCTCTACATCGTATAGAGAAGCTAGATACGAGCGATGCGGGTGTAAGTGAAATTGGCTTAGGCCTGTTTTAAAAATGTTTACAGTTTGTAATAAGCTGATCATGAATTTTCTTGTTATCTCATTATTAGTTTCTAATTGAATTGATGCATTTGGTTAAGCAAGTAACAGAAACCTTGGATATGAAAGATGGCTGGACAACGCAAGCTTTAGAGCGAGTGTATGACTTTTTACACCATATCCGTACACGGTTTGTCAAATCGAATGAATTGGCAACTCAGATAAGGGATATTATTCGCTCCATGAGCTCCCCTATTGCACAAAGATTGTTAAGACTGATCTATGATAAAAAAGTTGAAAGCTAAAAAGAAAACACTCTTTCATTGAACAGTAATGATTACCACTAAATTGCGGTGTATAACCATCTACTACAAATAAAACTACATGAGTTAACCTGTTAGAAAGTATTAGCGTTTTTAATGTTGATGATTGTTATTGCGCAGCTCCTGAGTTCAAATGAACGCGAAAAAAAGTCTAACACGACAACATCAGTCACAGTGTAAAGCATTGCTTAAGACCTCTCGCTTGTCATTCTCGATGTCGTTTATTGCATAATTTCATTGTTGAGTCTCACAAAATGAACGGAAAACGTGCACGCAAAGACGACGATGACGAATTTATCGCACCTGAAAGCTCACAAATGGCAACTCAAAGAGCCAGGATCAACAATAATACTGTCATTCAGGAACTTGATAGAGAAGTACGTGCTTGATCCATATATTCGAATGATCTTCCCTTTAATCGCTTTCTTCTTTTCAAACGAATTAATTTTGATAGGAAGTACAGCGTAAAATAAAAGATATTGTACGTTATGCACTATCTTGCGAACATAAACAAAAAGTTATTCGACGTGATGATCTCTCTAAAAGTAGGTAAGCGATCGATCGACAGCAGGCAGCAACTTTTCAAACAAAAATTCATGCCTGACTCGGTTAATACTACGACGTTGCTAACTAATTTGACCATGTAAAAACGTGTTTGCACAGTGTTTCAATTGACAAGATATAATTTAAATGCGGTTATAGCTGAAGTTAGGAAAAAGTTAAGGGAGGTTTTCGGCTTTGATCTTATTGAACTACCCCACTCTAGAAACAATGTTGACGTACACCAGACGCATTTTACAAGCAGTCAACAAACGCAACAGATGCAGACACAAAACGAGCAAACACAGGAACGCCAGCCCCAAATGACACAATCTCAAAGACGTAGTCCTGCTACAGGCAACTATGTGGTTATATCCATTTTGAAAGAATTTTACAGAAAACCCGATATAATTGAAAGAAGTGCTGATGAATATAAGACGACCGGCATCCTATACATCATTCTCGGTATCATCTTTTTGAGTGGCCAACAGATGAATAGTTGTAAGTGAGAAAATTCTGCAACCCTTTTTTTTTTTTTTTTGTATTTATCTCATACGATGTTCAAATGGTTTCTCGTATATAGCTGAATTGTATAATCACCTGGATTCTCTTAAGCTCACCAAAAATAACACAGAATTTGGAAGTCGTGACGAACTTCTCTCCAGTTTTATTAAGGGTGGCTACTTGAGAAGGACGCAAATTCCAGATGCAGACAATGAGGAGCCAGAGTATAATTATACTTGGGGCCCACGAGCGAATGTTGAACTAGGGCACACAGGCGTTGTAAGCTTTCTATCCAGTGTAAGTAATACAGTACTTTTGAAGAATCCCAGAGCGATTGCTGATTGTTATAAAACAAAATTTGTAGTTGTATGGAGAAAACCATAATGAAGATGAAGGAGAATTGAATATTGGGGACCTTCAGCGCAAGATGTATATGCAAGCAGGTTATGAGCTTAAGGATGCTTAAAGGAAAATACACGAGGAAAGAGGGGCAAATAACATTCTTTATTCATATTGAAAGTATGCTCTAAGCTCTTTTGCTTCTTGACTCATTTCTTCTAATGAACGGGGCTCTCTTTCCTCATTATCTACACCTTTACTCTTTTTGCTATCCTCAAGTTCCTGGTAAATGTCATCATTATTCTCCCAATCGCCTTTTTTACGAGGAATAATATGCATATGAACATGTGGGACCTGAAGATATAATTTCTTTGTTAGATAAGGATACCCTAGTATAATTAAACAGTTTATCTAATAAAAGGCCTTACCGTTTGCCCTGCTTGTGGTCCGTCCTGTATTGTCATAGTAAGAGAGGTACAGTTGTAGTGGTTTTCAACGACGTTGCCTATTTTTCGAGCTGATAGCATTAAATCCACTGTTTCTTCTGTACTCAAATCACCTAAACGCGGTGTATTTCTTTTAGGCACAACGAGCACATCTATAGACAAAAAAGTATAGAAATAAACTGTCAGGCAGGGTTTTTCTTTTTAAGTTCTGTTTGACATTCTTATAGTTTGTGATCGTTTGTCTTTACGTCCCCTACGCGATTCAAAGCGAAGACACAGTGTTTAAGTATTAGCCTTCGAATAACGCCAAAATTCTTAGCAGTTACTTATACTCAAGAAAACTTACGCTGCTATTGGTTTCAAATTAACAATGCCCACGGTCAACTTAGATTTGAAGAAAATTTGCGACTCGTGTATTAAATGAGGGCCGAACTTGAAAGTTGTCATGTCAATTGTAGGTAGTCTTTTCGTCAAAAAAGGAACACACATGAATCCTAGTGTACACAGACTTTAAAAAAATATGGATTCCGCTTGATATTCACGTACAGCCATGGTCTGTTCAAACCTCAGCATTTTTACAGGAACAATTTATTCCCATTGTAAAACTGCTCTGTAGAAGTATAATGACCCGGTTTAACGGCTGCATAGATTTGCATCACGGCAAAGTGAAGCAGATTGTAGGTGGGTCTCTGTCCGATAAGTCGCCAGAGCAACTTACCACCAACTTCGTTTCTGAGTAAGAAAAACAAGCATCAACTGTTGTTTTTTTTTGTTGATTGTACTGATCAATCATTTTCAACACGACACGGTTAGAGAATCACCTAGCTATTATGCTAATCTGTATCAAAATCAAGGAGTTACTCGCTGTCATGTCATAAAACTGGGACCAAATAATGATGAAGCTGCTAAAGAAGCTCTTCAAACATGGCCTGGCGGACTTCAAGTTGGGGGAGGCATTACACTTGAAAATGCAAAAGAGTGGCTGTCTTTAGGCGCATCGAAGGCATGTATAACATAGGAAATCATCGTTTAACGAAAGTTTCGAAAAGTCATGGAAGAATTAACGACAAAATTATACTAGGTTATTGTGACCAGTTATCTGTTTCCTGATGCACAATTTTCGAAAGAAAGATTGATTGAACTATCTGAACGTGTCGGCAAAGAGAATTTGGTTGTGGATGTCAGGTAAATTTACAAGAACAATGTCAGCACAAGACTGGATGATATATTTGGCGGTAAATCAGATGTCTGATATAAATCTGTAGTTGCCGTAGAAAAGGAGATAAATGGGTTGTAGCAATGAATAAATGGCAAACCATGACGGACATGGAAGTAAATAAAGGTCAGTGTACTATATTAAACGAAGGGCCAAATTGCAGGGCAATAACGAATATCTACACTTTTTATAGATACATTGGATATGCTTAGTCAATACTGCAGGTAAATAATTCTTAACATGCAATTTTATATGAATAATAATATCTTATGTTAAAGGAACCGCTTAATAGTGAATTCTTGATTCATGCTGCTGATGTTGAAGGTCTTTGCAATGGAATTGATGAAGAACTTGTTGAATGTAAAGTGTATTTTTTATTTATCAAGATCTTCAATTTTACTGTCATTACTGAAATACATCAATTCATTCAGGCCTTGGAAAATGGGTCAATATTCCAACTACTTACGCAGGTGGCGGAAGATGTAAGTCTGACAGGAACCCTTATCTTCTATTACTATATTTACTGAAGATTATGTAAACAGCCTTAGAAGATTTAAAGCTTGTTGACAAGCTATCTAATGGTAAGGTTGATTTAACATTTGGAAGGTAAGACCTATGCTGCATCGTTTCAAAATACTTTTGGTATTCATAGAATTAACACTCATTGGTTTGACCCTCAAGTGCTCTGGATATTTTTGGTGGAACTGGAGTTACTTTCAAAGAATGTGTTGAGTGGAATAGCAAACACCCCGCATAAACTTCTGTTGGCAGTGTTTGATCTTCCGAATACTTCTGCATTTTTTCCCATTTTCCATTTCTCTTTCCCGTTTCCCTACTACCTCTATTCAGTCAACTAAAACCCAATATTTATATTAAATGAGTTCCAATCTCACGAGTCCTCCCAAGAAAACCATATCTAGAGATGAATGGGAGCAACGTTTAGCAAAAGTAAAAGTCAATAAACAGTAAGTTCTTGGTTTGGTTCCTGTAATCGTTTTATGCAATTCAAAAAATGTTAAAGAAAGGTATTGGACGTTTTCTAAAACGTCGATAGAGATTTAAATCAGCTTGTAATGAATTACCTTGTAGTAGAGGGTTATAAAGATGCAGCAGAGCAATTTAGTTTGGAAAGTGGGTTAGCACCTTCTGTAGATTTGCAGTCAATTCAAGATAGATTGGATATTCGTCATGCCATTCAGTCAGGCGATGTTGACACCGCGATCGACTTGGTTAACGATCTAAATCCTGAGGTATTATACATAAATTTTAGTGGCAGGGCTTTGCATTTTGTTTCTCTAATCCATAAAGTATATGTCATGCTTCATTTTTTTAAATAGATATTAGACACCAATCCTCATTTATTCTTTCACCTACAACAACAACGCCTTATTGAATTAATACGTAAAGGCGAATATCGAGAAGCATTAGAATTTGCGTCAGAGGAAATGGCACCGCGAGGCGAAGAACATCCTGAATTTTTAGAAGAGTTAGAGAAAACTATGACTCTGCTTGCTTTTAAAGACTGTGAAGAGTCTCCAGTACAGGATTTGCTTCATCCAGGTCAACGGCAGAAGACAGCCAGTGAGCTTAACGCAGCTATTTTAATGAGTCAATCACAGGAAAAGGATCCAAAGTTACCCAATCTATTAAAGATGTTAGCGTGGAGTCAAGAACAATTGGACGAAAGGTTGGTTTATCCTCGTATTGATAATTGGGTAAAAGCAGATTTAGTGATGAAAGGAGAAAAGGCCAATGACATGGATGAAGATGTGAATATGTCTTCGTAATAAACACATATATACCTTTTATAAAATGCGTGTTTTATTGAGAGTATATTACCCAATAATGACAACACTGAATAAAATTTGTTTAGTTCTACTTTTTTTATCGAGAATACGATATTCATGGCAGGCATGCTAAATATAGGTTCCATTCAAAGCTGCTGATGGATATATACTGTAGAGTTATTGTCAAATTTTGTCAGCAACAGAAAGTAAATCCGGCTACTATTTAAAGAATGTAGTCGTCACTTAAACTGCTTTCAATATTTGATATGCATGCTTGTTTGGTGCTTCCGCCCTGATCAATGTGTTTAAATGGGATATGGAAATCGGTGCTAAAGCTACTAAAGGGTCTAAGACTACAATGAAATAGAAATCGGTTTTAAACCAGCAGTATGAAATCAAAAAAATAATAAATCTTCCACTGCCACATAAAATTACATCTTCCTAGGGGTATATTCACTGCTGGTGATCTCGTAATCGTAGCAATAGCAATAGCAATAACAATTTCACTCCTTGGCATGCACTAAAAAAATCTAATCCTTATTGTAGTTCCTTCACATTCTTATTTGTACACAAAAAAAAAATAAAAATAAAAAAAAAAAGTTTGAAAGCAAGGTTTGGGGGCATAGTGTGAAGCTCAAATTGACCGTAATGCGATTTGTTATATTGACGCTTTCTTCATTTATGCGCTCTAATTTACGTACTACAATGAAAACAATATGAACGAATTCGATCAATTGTTTTGCTTTTTTACAAGATCTTCAGATTAGATTTTGTTATGCTATAAAGGTAGATCCCAAATAAGGATAAAGTAATAAGCCAATCCAAGTGAATACAGTTTGGGCTATAAAATACATAGAAGCATAAGCAGTTAGATATAGCTATCTCTTCTGATCTAAAAGTCCCGAAACTCGTACGTTTCAATGTTATAACACAAATCGATGGTAAATAAGAAGTAAAAAATAAAAGAATAAAAAAAAACTTCTCAAAAAGAGTTTCGTTCTTAGGGATCAGCCCTGCTACAAAAGTTTTTGTTAAAAGAACAAAACGTCCACAAAGACGGATTTTATACCTTTTTTATACATAATACGAATGTAGCTGACATTGCACGTGAAGGGTAGGCGAAGGGCACTGACCAAGATTTGATTACAATTAAAAGTTCGATGTAACACGTCTTTCTAACTTTCCCCTTTTTGGAACCATTACGGTTTCTCGATCAGTTTTGCTTTTTGTTATAAGAAAAGGACATATTCCAGTCTGTTACACGGGTAACAGAAAGTGATTTATCCCGAGATTCTTAACCGATCATTTTTGTTAATACACAAGGAAAAAAAGGGGTGTGTATCATGAAAATAACCTAATGAGGGGACATTGCCATACCTTTTTTCATTTTTCTTTTTTTTTATTTTGCGCCTGGCATTTGGATAAGTAGTGACATGTATAAAATATCTGAAAGCATCACAGATCTATCATCCCGCCTTTCTTTCTCCTTTTTTTTCTCGTTAGATTTGTTTTCTGTTTCTTTTCAAAAAGTATTACTCTCATTAATCATATCATTAGAGGATTTTCAGTAAATATGTCTCGTTGTATTTGGGCTCTTCTATCTTCCAACAACTTTGAGTTTATGACCACTTCACATTATAACAAATTACAAAGAATATCATTGTTTCAACTAATACATCCCGACGAAACAGCACTAGCCAAACAAGACTTTACAAGGTTCCTAGAATTTAACGCTCTTGGTGGCTCTGTTACAAGGTATGAAGCGAAAAAATAATAATAGTATATCCTAGTATTTACTGCTCTTCTCTGCTGACAGCAATAATATCTTTGTGATGTGATTAGATGTCGTTTAAGGGATTATTCCAGAGTAAGAATACAAGAAGAATCAATGCATAGCGCGTTGATGCATATTATTGTTAACATTAGATCTAAACTATAACTCAATTGCAGCCGAATTTCATGCTTTCATCAATGACCGATGCTGAAGAATGGATCGTAGTTGATCTTGTCATGTATATAGCTACGAGCGACCTTGTCTTAGCTTTTTTCCATCCAGTTCATAGGAACAATGTACAAGGTAATATAGGAAAAAGCTTGATTAAGTTGGCTTTTATCGTATTATTAAACTTCGATTTGCATAGATCATTCTGCAGTGTCTATATGTGGGGACCATACTGATTTTCATGTAGAAACATGTTTATCAACCTTGAAAGAAGCGCTTTTTGAACAGCAACAAAACCAGCAAAACCTCCACCGAATACGTTCACCCTCATTATCGTCCTCGTCCTCACTATCTTCTAATAATTCTGAATCACAGCAGCAGCAGCAGCTTGATATGAATAACAGTCCTTTGCCAGCTCAACAATTATACCTTATCAATAGCAGAACAAGCTCTTTGCTAATGTCGCTACCTGAACATTTACGACAAAATACTCACCAACCGTACAATCACAGTAATAATATGAAATTGAATGATTTAATAATCGACCGCCCATCCCTATCGCCAGGATATTCTTGTTTTCGCTTCATACAATTACCTTATCGCTCCAATGCCGTGGGACAACAAGTAAATAGATTATTGATCGATTATGGACCTATTTCATTTTTACTCGTTCGTACAGAAAAGAAGTAAGTATATCATAAGGACTTGCCATCGTATTTAGGTGTTGACCCTCTTCTTCTTTTCTTTTAAAAATATATAGTTCTCGATCACTCGCAATACAGACCTCGTTCTCAGAGACATTATCTTCAAGAAGGGTGAATAATAAGAGACATTTAAATGCGCCATCGAATAGATCACTGCCCTCCAAATATAGGAGACGTTCTTTAACACCACCTTTTGCGATTCCTCAGCAAAAATACTCGCCTCCACCGCAACAAACTAATTCGTATTCTTACACGTCTCCGCCTCCTACAAATACCGTTGTAGCATCATCTTCATCTAAGGACAACCTTCAACAGCATTCCTTATTCCCCACCATACCAAACAGAAATAAGCTGTATATACCCTCAAGAAATTATTGCCAAAATTGCGGCACAAGCTCCAGTCCAGAATGGAGAAAGGGTCCAAGTGGTCATAAAACGTAATTATGCATAATCTTCTCATAACTTACTTCTCAGAAGACTGACTTTCTTTATTTGTTGTGTTGTTGTTGCTGTTGTTGTTGTTGTTGATATTGATATTAGGCTTTGTAATGCATGCGGGCTAAGATATTCTCGATCGCTTGCACGACAAGCAAGGATAATCACCAATAACAATAACGATAAACCGACCAAAAGACATCTTTCTCAATCTGCATCGTGCACCTGTTGTCGTCCTGAGGAGCAACAGCATCACTATCCATCTAACTCATTTCAAGCACCAGCACCAGCACCAGCACCAGCACCAGTATTTCAAAGCCAGTTTACGCCACATCATGGAGAGCAAGCAGCAGTAGTCGAGCCATTACAAAAACTAGATGTCATCAACAATAAGAATAGTACAACAATGATATCTTCACATTACAATACTCCGTTCGACTACTCCTCATCGGGATCTCCTTTTTCAAAGCACCCCTCATTTAATAATAACGCACATCTTTTACCAACGTCAACGGAAGTTCCGCAACATCGACAAGAACAACGTTTATTACCATCGATCATCAATAGCCAAAGGCGGCATGAACAGCATCCTAAGCATAGTATCCAATTTGCTATCATTTAAAGTTTTTTTTTTCCTTTTTTTTTTTTTTTTTTTTTTTTTTTTTTTTGTGTGTTAAATTCATGTGTACATATTTGCTAGAAATTCTGTAGTACGCCAGGTTGCTATATATTTCTTCTTCTTCTTCTTCTATATACGTTTATAGACTTGTTCCTTTCTTGTTAAGTATATATGTAATAAGTCTATTGATAGCCTATACTCCTTCTTTATCTGATCCGTACTATTATGACATTATTAATCCTTGAATACACGAAAATATACCGATCTGTCGATATTGTAATTATTGTTTAGTAATGCTTTTTTTTTAAGAAAAAGCTACACTTTCATCCTCTCCGTTTGACTATTTCTAGCAGTATCCATGTTTAACGCAACCTGCATGTGGTACAGATGAAGTTTATTCGGATGTGTCGGCCTTTCCGTATACTTTCTTTTTTTCTTTGGCGTAATATGGTTACAAAAAGAAAAAAAAGTTCCTTGACACGATCCATTGTTAAACTAACTTTTCTACTTTGATCAATGGTAACACACACTCTCAATATGAAGCAAAGTTACACCAAATGGGTTTATAAAATGCCCAAAAATTTGAGCTGGGTATGGCATGATTTGGGTAGGCTATTTACTTATTTTACATAATGCGTATTCATCTTAACTGCTTCTCCCTTTGATTTTTTGTTTCTTCTTTTCTAATGAGTTCCCATAGTTCGTATAACGCTTCTCGTTATGGATGGGAGCATGGCTTTTTTTTTTTGCTTTTTTTTTTTTTTACGATCTCCAAGGAAGTAATACCTCCTATTTTATGAAATTGCCGTCATATTTGATTAATGAATACCTACTACATAGCTCTAATACCTATATTTCTCCCATCGTCCTACAATTTCCCGTCTTGATTGTTAGCTACTTGTACTGGCAAGTTTGCACATGGAGCCTTTAAAAAAATAGATAAAGTATGCTATAGACTCGTTGTTACACTTACTCTGGAAGAAACGTTCAATCACAGCTTTTAAGACAGTGTCTAATTTGATTTGAATGCTAGATTACCTTCGTGTGGAAGGCACAGTCGCATTCTTAAAAGTAACCTCACGTACACATACACACACACACACACACACACACACACACACACACACACACACACACACACACACACACACACACACACACACCCACCCACCCAACACACCTGCCTACATTTGCATCCAAACGGAAACCTTATTCGTTTGTTCTTTTACGTCTTTTCAATTAGTAGTCTCACGCGCATCCGCTAGGAGAACAAAAGGACTGTAACTAACGTTTGTTATTCATGAATAATTTACAGAACATAGTTTGAGAACGAAGACTGACAATCTCAACTAGTCTTGAACTTTTGGTAAGAAAACAAACACGGATAAACGTACTGCAATGCCGAAACGTTACATAGCGCCTTCTTTTCTCTTCTGTTTAGTAAATACCAAGACGATCGATATACGCAATTTTTTTTTCTATTTGAAATTCAAGTACTACCATCTCTTTTTTTGAAAGGAAAGGAAATAAATGAATGGGGAAAAAAAATAATGTTTTGTATGCAAGTTCGTTCATCAGAACTTTCTAACTTTTGTAATATATAGATCTCTTCTCACTAAAGTTATCTAGATGATGATAAAGGCATTGTTGGTAGCACAGTTTGAATAGTTTTTTTTACGTATAATTCGCTTGAAGCAGCGGCTAAAAAGACACGTCTACGGTTGCTTACATTCTGTCGCAAGATATACAAGCTATGAGCTAATGTAGAGTGTATAGTTCTTTATTTGTTATGTAGAGTACCACAGATATTCTTCTACATATTTGAATACAATGGATTCTAGACTAATTAAATTAACGGAGGCTACACCATCATATAACCAACCATACGTTTGGCGAATGTGCTCGTTTTGAGTGCCTTTTTAAAACTCCACGCAGACATAAGAAATAGAGGGGGTAGTCTAGACAAAATAGAAAATCACACGTTTTAACGAGTTGAAAATTCGGTGCCTGTTCATTGGAGAGCCTCGTGGAATCGAATCGTAATGGAAGATGAGATAGGTAAAGCAAAGAAAGGGATCATTCAAACTCTTGTTTTCTGTTCCTTTTATTGATCATGAACTTTTTTTCTTGTTTTTTAGCTGAAGTTGCCAATAAATCTTTATGGTTATACAAGTTAGGACCACTCTATCAATTTCATGAAGAACCATTAGCACAAAAGATTGCAACGTTAAAATCACAACTATGCAGCAAGTTAGAGCTTAAAGATGTGAGTGCAGGAAGCCGATCACAAAACAGAAAAGGCAAAACGTTCAAAGGGGAGCTTCTTGATGTGCGAATCGATCCCCTCTATTTCAAAGATGTCACAAGCTACGATCGCGACGTCCGACCTCTCAAATTTACCATAGAGATTGTAAAATACAGAGATAATCGGCAAGCGAAGCATTTTATGTTCATGATACCTGCACCTCGTGTCCCAGAAAACGGTCAGGCTGAACGTGGCGATGTATTGCCCAACAATGGCAATGAGCATATGGCTTACTACCCTCTTGTCTTCATCAAAGGAAGTCTTACCATCCGCTTAGAAATTGAACAGTGGTTTGAGAAAAAATACTTTACTTATTGCAGACGGATGCTCATACCACCCAACACAATGATTGAAATGGTTGATATTTGGATTGACTCTCTACTTGATTTGCCTTCAGAAGAGGACGAAAGTTACCATGAACTGCCAAAGGAAATAACTGCTGTGCCTTTGAGGTTAGAATATAAGACGGGGGACAAGAGCGTCTCCGACATTGATATTACAGTATCTCAGAGGGATGCATTGGCTGTGTGTAAGGCAATCAATAAGAAATACTTTTGGGATGCTTTTGAGAAACATGTTTATACGACGACAGGTATTCGAACATCGAGTTTGATCTTTGAACGCATCACCAACTCTTTAGCCACGATTCGAAGGGATGGTACGATCAAGGTGAGTAGAGAGCATAGGTTGGAAGCAGTTCACCACCACGAGACCTACTCATCAGACACAATCTTTAACAGATAAGTGGCTATGCTTACAAAAAGTACGCAGTGAAAACCGTACAGCATTTGCTAGAACTAGCTACCTTCTCTGTTTTCCAAGATCAATGATACCCTGATGCTTCATGATACGAATGCCATTTCGACATTCTGCAAATGCGGCTTTATTCTCATGAAATAAAAACAAAAAATATGTTTCCATGGAAAAAAAAGGAGGCGGGTGGGGGGGGGGGAGAAAGGATTGAAATAAGATATATCATCTCAATGTGAGATGCACAATATAAACGTAGAGTCGCGGCTGCTAGCAATAGTCTTTTTTCTTCCAGCAGGGCTTATAGCTTGAAATTTGGAGGATTCAAAGCTATTTCTGGATAAGCAGGATAAGAAGGGTTCAACCAAGCTCCACCTAAAAAACCAATGGAAAACAGTCGGTCATTTTAGTGATCACCACTACAAAACATAATAAAGATAGACATACCGTCAACAACGAGGACAATGCCAGTGATATAGCTAGCACCTTCTGAGAAGAGAAATACAGTTGATTGGGCAACATCCTGTACGTCCCCCATTCGCTATGACAATAATAGACAAGATACGCATCAGATTTCCCTGTTCTGTTGATATTTTGCTTTTTAGTGTTTTCTTTTTCTTTTTTACTTGTAATGGAACCACACTATGTTCAAAAGCAGGCCCGAGTTTTTCCATGCCTACAGTATCTTTCTGCGGAAAAGGAAAAAAGGAGAGTAGGGGAAAAGTTCAGTTGATCTCAACCTTTAGCATTTTGAGTGATGTTTCTGCTACTTACAATCGGACCGGGAGCTATACCATTCACACCTAAGGACACAAATGAAAAAGCAATTAAATCAGTCAAATGATATAGCCATTGTTACGAATCGACTGTCAGATACGTACGGACTCCGTGAGGACCGAGTTCAACAGCCCAATGCTTCGTTAATGCCTAAAGAGAGTGAAAAGTAAGAAAGAGATACTTCGACAGCCCACTTTCCCGTTAAACGAGTGCTTACATCAATAGCAGCTTTAGCAGCACCAGCGTGTTGTTGGAAGGGTGTACCTGTATAGTGCAATGTAGCCGACACATTGATAATAGCGCCCTTTGATTTTTTAAGATGTGGAGCGGCGGCCTTTGTCAAATTAAAGGTACCAAGCAAGTCAATTTCAATGACAGTTTTGAATGCATTATAAGAGAGGTGATCGAAAGCAGCTAAAAAGTTTCCCGCTGCGCCATTGATCAAATAATCCAATCTGCCATATTTTTCAACGGCTATCTCTACAACTCTCTCTACGTCCTTTGGATTACGAACATCTCCAGCAACTGGACTGGCAGAGAAAAGGTGGCAATGAATGATAGTGAAAACTGACCAAAAAAGGGCCATCATGGACTTACAAGACTTCACCGCCAGTTTTGAGAGCCATCTCTTTTGCAGCTTTTTCTAACTTGTCTTTACTATTGGCTCCAAAGGTTTAGGAAGATCATGGACGATTCAATCTCTCTGTTTTTTTTTTTCCAATTACCTTCTGGAGAAAATGACAGCTGTAGCTCCATGTTGAACCATGGCTTCTGTCATTGCACGACAGATGCCGCTACCTCCACCCGAGCACAAAAGTACTTTTCCTGTAAAGAGGTTCTCCTTGAATATTTTGGTTGTAGGCACTGTCGTCATTCGAAAAGTTGGTTATTTTGCGTTTGAAAACAAAAGGATGTTTGCGAGAAGAAGAATTTAGAATGTGGGGTACATGTATTGTTCCCCGAATGGCTTTAATATAAGGGTTTTCTAAAAAAAAAAAAAAAAAAAAAAAAAAAACCACATGAAAAAAAAGTAAATTAGTCATCCATTTCATCCTTCAAGGCGTTGCTCAAAGGGATAAAATTCTCTTATGTAAGGCTTTATTAGCCTTTCCTTTGATAAGTTTAGCATCTTTCTCATAGCAATCAACCATCCTTTCTTTTTGCCTGACATTACGTAATAAACTAAAAAATGTAGGGTGTTATTTATCTCGAGATAAAACATAAAGTTGTTTTATTTTTATTTAAATGCACAAGGTGGAAAGATGGAAAGTAGAACCCTAATAAGTTACTATAGTACAGATAGAGTAGAGCAGGAGGTATCATTGAAGTGGGTTATCGGTTGGATGTGTAAAAATACAAGTTATGGTCTAGTGTTTGCTAGATTTTCTCATTGGTTCATCCTTGGAGGCTGTTGTCAAGTTCGATGGGAAAGCTCGTTTGGTTCCTAACTTGACGTTTTCTTCAGAGCCAACGGAAGGATGAATGCCATAAAATAAGCATGCGTAATAAGAAGGGAAAAGTGCCGTTCGACTTTTTGGGTGCTGTTCAAGAGTGGCGTAATACCACGATTCCATATCCTTCTCTATGTGAAGACGCCGTAGATAATGACTCATGGTATTGTCCAAGGCGTCCAACTTGTTAGAGGTGGCTCCTGAGAGAAGGGTCACTGGTTTGGCTGCTGTTACTGCCGAAGGGCGTTGCTGCAGCGGTGGTTGTAGATGCCTTCCTCTTCCGTCCAAATAATCATACAACAAGCGTACCCAGGTATCATACATGTGTTGACTAACATACAATTGATAATCCATCAATTTTAGGAAAATAATCTCTGCTCTGTTTATTTCTTTGACGTCCAAATTGGCTAACGTTGCCCAGGTTTTGTTTTTGAAATTTTTGTCGTTCAAGAATTTAGCAGCGGCCATAAGTGCAGCTATAAACATTCGTTTTCTACAGTAGACCACATTATTGATGTTTGACTGTTGATTTGCAGGCGGTTGTTGTTGCTGATGCTTTATATACATAGTAATGGGTCCTTTGATGCGTAGAATATAGAATAATGCCAACTGTAACATTGAATAGGAGGCTTTTGACCGTGATAGAATTTCACGTATAAAAAGCGCGGTGGAAGCGGTAGTAGCTGCTCCTGTCTCCGAAACAGAGGGCGATTTTCTGAGTATGTGACCGAACCACATACTGTCAATGATAGTAGCTGAAGCATAGATTAAATTGTCCACCAGTAGCGGTTCTAGCGGACGTTTCATGCCTGAATTCGACAATGGACAAAGACGGGGTAAAGAAACATGGTAATGTTGCTGTTGTTGTTGTTGTTGGTGTGGTTGTAGGAGTACTGAATTATGGGTATGGATCGTAGAGACAAAGGTGAGGAAATGATGCTTTGCTTGTAATAGAGTATCATTATTCGGATCGGAGCATGTTTCTTTGGAAATAGTGATCGACATTGAAGGACAACTGACAGATATGAAATCAAACCGTTTAAAAAAAAAAAGGAAAGTATATGTCGTATTTATACGTTTTGTAAAAGTAAGAAAATAACACAAAGACATAGGACATAAAAAAAAAAAAAAGAAAAGAAAAAAAAAAACCCAACTTCCCCTTAGTAAAACAATATGATGGCCAATTTTTCCCATTCATTCATTATTCATTGAAACTTTTCAATATACCCCAAAAAGAAAAGTCTTGAAAGAAATCAACCAAAATTTACCCTTTTTTTTTTTTTTCTTTCCCTTTTTCCATTGTATGGCTTTTTTGTTCATCATTATCCTTTTCCAACAAAAAAACGCGTCTCTCTACAGACTCCTTAACACCCCTTCTTTATCCAATTGAAACGCTACCCATTTCCCCCTCCCCCTCCCCCCAAATTGACCACATTTGAATAAGTCTATCATCAGTAAAATTGACAACTTTTTTATTTCTTTTTTTTTTTTTTCTTTTTTTCCCCTCTTTTCATGCAACAAAGATACCCATTTTCCTCTCTTCTCGTTTATTACTGATATAAATGGACGAGACCATAGACTAAAGTGTGAAATAAAATGTACGACAATAAACTACCGAATAATCCGTCCAATAAGAATGCTTTGTATCCTCGAGCAAAAAACCTTGACCCTCCTGATGTTCTTACGATGAGTAACAAGGACAGCACGATCCAACTTAGTGCATAAAAAAGAAAGCCCGAAAGGTTGGTCAAGCCTAGTATACCAGCTGCTGATCCTGCAATTGCCGCGAAACATGAACGGATATATTGTAATTGTCTTCCATTATGCATTATATAAGATGGGACATATTTATGAGCATTTTGTTGTTCATCTGAAGATCCTGATGTTGGTGCTGCTCCGTTCATTGAAGGGTGAAGTTCCAGAACGAAAGAAAAGGAGGTTTAGAGAAGGACGGGTAACTGTAAATTATGTGCTAATCCGTCCAAGCTTTTTCTGATAGGGAAGGAAAGGGCGGTAAAGGAAAAAAATAAAAATAAAAAAATGCAGCAGCAATAACAATCAGCAGTGGCAATAATGGCAGCAACAGTTAAAGACAGTGACAGTGGCCTGATTTTTTTTTTTTGGTTTTTTTTTTCGTCACTGTGGAGGAGTTTTTTGGCTTTTCCCCGTAGCATTTCCCGCCAACGAAGAGAATTTAGCCTGCTGCTGCTGCTGCATTCGTGGATTCTTAAATCAAGTCTTTTATGAGTTCCTTTGCTCTTTTATTAACTTTTCTTTTCTAACCAATGTACATAATGAATCATCTTTGTTTGAATTCAGGGTACTGATACTGGCAATAGTATGCACAGATGCTTCTTTGGTATTTGCTTTGTGATGGTCGTACTCATTCGGCTTCATATGGCCGTTGTCTTTATCCTCTGCTGGCTGCATCAGCCTTAAATCCCTCAGTTTTTCAAATAAAGACATATTCAAGCTATCGTTGTCTTTATGATTGTTCCGCTCTGTAGGATGCTTATCTTCTCCTTCTAGATCTGTATCCGAATCAACGAAAGGATAGAATACAATGGCTGACATGTTCTCGGCTTCATTGTCCTGTACTTGGCCTTCTTTTGCTTCAATGTCAGTAACAAGAGTAGTAGCAGTAGTGGCAGAATTGTCTTCACCTTCTGAATAGGCTTCCTCCTCCTCTGTATCAGTAAAATCATCGTCAGGGAATAGATTAAATACACCGCCCTGAAAACCGCCGCTTCCATTCTTATGCTTGTCATTCTTCACATGGCTACAATGGACGCTTTTTTGTTCTACCCTCCTCTCCTCTTCTTTCCTTAGTGTTTCTCGTGTCAATGGATCGTTAGGAAGAGTCATTGTGTGGGAGTAGGTTGCGTTCGATGCTGGCTCTTTCTGTTGGATCGTTTCCTCAGTACTGCTGCTATGGCTACTACCCGTATATAATCGTAGTTTGGAAAACACATTTTTGCTCTTGCTCTTCTTTTTCTGTTTCTGCTCCGGCTTCTGCTCCAGCCCTTGCATGCTGTCACTTGTGTTGAATAGAGCAGAAGCGTTGGCTGCTATAGACGACGCAGAGGAGGATGTAAAAGAGCTGTTTGAGCCTGTAGTTGCAGTATTCTCATGGGAAGGAGCACTGGAGACGCTGGTAGTGGTGCTTCCCGAAGATATTTTTCTGAAAATACGGTTGTTACTTGCCATCGGGTAGTGATTACTATGACTGCTGTTGAAAGACGGTAAATAATGCTGCTGTTGTTGTGATGGTTGTAATATCGTGGGTGACGATGTCATTGAAGTAAAGCTACTACAGGTTGGTGATGTGGGTGTGGGAATAGAATACTGAGAAGAGGATGAAATGCTGGTAGGACTGGTACATTGGCTCATTCCAGAGGGACTACCAGAAACTGTACAAGTAGCCGGCGATGGTAATGTGCCAATAATAAATGGCAAGTCAATAGACATAAATTGTGATTTTTTACCGTTGGGCGTAGTATAGGTTCCTTCCTGAGCAAAGACTTGGATCCGAATGAAATAACTCACAGACATCAGCTGGCTTTTCTCAAAGGTGATGGTGGGCGTGGTACCTTTTGGTATGGGTAAATAAGCGTGCACTGTTTGGGCAAACTCTTTGGTATGGGTTTCCGAAGCTGTCATGTTGAGATCTGTCACTACTCTTTGAATAGTTTCACTTTCAGAAGCGTACGCCCTTCATATATATATAGTATGTATATACACGAAAATGAGTGCGTTTAGAATGAAATACAATGACATAGAAAAGGTGCGTGCGCGTATAATATTACCTTCCATTAGCAAGGGCCATATGCACTCTACATAACGCTATAGAAATACCTTGTCTTCTACAGACCTCCATAGTGTTCCATAGGGTAATCGAAACAGGAATGGAAAGACCTGGCTCTGATCCTCTGCAAGGTACCGTCACTCTCAAAGCCGCTGTGAAGTCTTTTCGAAGATCAGCCATGAGAGACACAACATAAGTCTGTTCGGCTCTCAGCGGTACGGTCATTTCTGCCGTATGAGTATAGATCGGTTCAAATACAGGTACCACTTGCTGCGTAAAGAAGACAGGTCCCTTCTTTTTTTTCTTTGAATTTGCTTTTTTCAAAAAAGTGGCTTCTGTTCTATTCATCTCAGTCTCCTCATCCTCACTCGCTTCCGTCAAACCAGCAGCGACTCCTTCTTCATTGTTACTATAGCTGCTGTCAATGAAGGCTTCCAATAAGTAAAGGATTCGGTTCGGCAAGTAAGTTGTTTGCGTACTGCTCGGTAAGGGTCTATCGTTAGGCACTCGAACCTTGAATGTAAGGCCTAGCGTTTTGTTTTTTTGCAATTCTATTTTTGGTTCTGGTACTGTCACTTCAGATAAAGGTATGAGTTGAGTGTAATAATAAGGTATATGATGCCGACGAGGTTCCTTATGGCTGCTGCTCATCCATCCAGATGTCTTTTTTGCTTTGCTGATAGTTGCTTTCCTACGTGACTTTATCAAATGTGGACTTAATTTCCAGCATTCGTCAAAGTAGATACGGGATTCCTTGTTGGACGGAATGGGTTGCACTTGAATGCGCCCCGTCCAAGCCAACCGAAAATTTCTTAAAGTGAATGCTTGGTTAGCCGTGAGGAGTATTTTGCCTTCCACAGTGTCTCCTGGGAAATATCTGATGTGTCGACTATCATTGTTGCTGTTATCGAATGTTATTTTTAACTTTATATCAAGTGCTGGTGACATCTCTTATCGCTGCTTTCTCCTCTTTTTAAATTCTTGTTTTTTTTTGTTTGAATAGCCTTGTTTCTTTTGGAAATATTTATTTAAAAAGAGAAACCAAAAGAACAAAATGAAAAAAGGTACATTAATATCAGAAAGCGCCTTTTTGCCAATATAAATCCTTCACTGCAGTTTACTTTTTGATGGATTACGCCTATCAATTTTCTTGGTGCTCATCTTTACCGTATTTGTTCAAAGAATGCGACCGATCATATTACAAAAGAAAATTAAAGAAAGAGTCCTGATCTGCAGCAGTCTATTTTACAACTTGTGCATATGAACGTACCTGCTGTAATACCCAATCATTGATATGCAGCGATTCTGCAGGGTATTTTCATTATTGTATTCGAGAGTTCTGAGGTTGGAAACAAATAGGCAATGCCACTGCTTTCTGTGAATCAGCACGCGCAGAACACTACATGTTGAACTGAGTTGCTATTTTGTCACAATGGTATAGAATTCATACATTGCTAATAGAAACAAACGGTTCTCTCATATAACCTTCAATTTTAAATTAGGCTACTGGATAGCTGCTTAAAGAACGTACTGATTAGAACCTATGCTTGTCTTAGCTCATCGTTTATCATGCATCTGTATTGAGATTCGAAAATTGAACGTCATGAAAGCATCATTCTCCATAAACCACTAACTAGTATTTACTGGTTCATGAAGGCTCAAAAGAAGATTGTTTTGAAAATGGACGAATATCGTGTGCATCGATAGAAGAAGCCCCTACAATACGATCGGGTCGTATAGCAATAGGGAAATGATATTCCTTTGGAAGAGAGAAGGCTTTTCTTTTAGCTGAATTCATCCAATAGCATGTTGGTAGATCCAATGCAACGTATATCCTATCTACGGGCTATTTTTATTTCTCTAATTCTCGATGGATAATATTACTTTTCAACGTAGAACGCGTTGAATATATTTTGTAAAGATACAACAGACATCGCTGTTGACAATTAAAACACAATAATTTTGAGAAGCTGAGCAAGTACTCTGAAAGAGTAGAGACGGGTAAGGACAGACGTTCATTGTCCACAGTTGGGGGGGGGGCAATAACACAGTTATTCAATTTTTTGCCTTTATTAGAGTTAGAAAAGTTGGAGCCTCACCACTAAACTATGCATACAGCAACAGAACTAAAGGGAAACATCCGTGTATAGCTATGATCGCACAGCAAACCCATCCACGGATGTATCGCATACGGGAATGGAGGGCGGTGCGACCAAGTCTTGGCGCATGAGTTCTTGATGTCCATCTATGAAATATTCTACCACGTTTACAGTCCTCAAGCTGCTAGTAGAACACATCAATACATATAAACGATGATTTGATATGAGCGGCCCTTCAAGAGGATAGACAACGATACATATTGAATCTTTTTAATGTTCTTGTTTTACATTTCTGACTCCTCGAGAAAAGCCCGTTGTTTGATAACTAATGGATATATGTTTGAGCGTTCAACCTCGTCATCTGCCATTGTTAAGCCTGAAAAGAACAAGCAAAAGAACGTCAACGGGAGTGCCCAGACTAATGCTAAAAAGGATAAAGCAGGATGTAAAGTTTCGATGCAAACAAAATTTTACTTTTGACGATAGGAGAGAGTTGGGCTTTTTTCAATCCACTCATCTATTGCTTTTAACTTTATCTATAATTTCTGGGCATTTATGTTTTGTTTTTTTTGTCAATCATACATTTTCCCTTGACGAAATGGCACCAAATGTTTTTCAAAGTGTACAGAAAGGTAAAAAAAATATATATATATATAAAGTGATATGGAATTTGCCAACATTGAAAGAGTTGAACACTGTCATCTTGTTGCAGACTGCTCATGGAGGCCGTTCCTTTTTTATGTGTTCTATCTATATGTACACATTATGTAAATGCATTCTATGCTGTATTACAAATACATCGGTAGGGGCTTCAAGTCAGGCTTTATAAAATTGTGTCTAGCCTCTTCCGAATACAGTTTTTCCGATGAATAATAACTCTCTATCAATTGGGTATCTAGCAATTCAGGGAATCTTTCCACCAATGCAAAAAAATCATCTGTATCATAATGATGGTCGAGTGAATGTTTTTGATGTTCTCTCTGATGAGATCGAATGGCGGCTGACATGAGTGCAATATAGAAGGACGTGATAGTCTCATGATACACTTGTCCTTTTTTAGCCGCCATCATGCTACCGTTTTGCTGCTGTGAGAAACGTTTTTGAAGCGTCTCTTTGATGACAGGCGCGGCGGCTACAGGCCCCAGCTCGCGAATATAATTCCAAGCCATACGTAAATGGGCTCGATGCATCCATTTATGCTCCTTCTGATGATGACTACTCATACCAGTACCGATGCTTGATGATGTCGTTAATGTTTGTTCATCACCTTCTGCAAACGCGTTCATAAAGACTTGGTCTCCCACACTTCGATACCCTCGATCATAATATAAAAGCGGCTGGGCTTCTTCTCTTCGCCCATGCTCTCCCCCTATTCCTTCTTCCACGCGGGTGACTCTGGTAATCCATAATTCGTGATCACCCAAAGGCACCACTTTGTAAAGGTCACAATGCATTGCCCCTAACGTACCAACAAGAACTGGCAGACCCGTAATAGGGTCATCGTAAAATGGTATGTCAATGAATTGATCGACGGCGGTCGGTGAAGAAAACGCAATCGATTGTTGTACTTGTTCGCGTGCTAATAAGTTTACTACCATGGAGCCCGATGAATGAAGCAAATCAGAAGCACGTGAGGGTATTCGGACGCAGAATGACACAAGTGGTTCTGGTTGAAGACATACAGAGGTAAACGATCCTACCGTCACTCCTCGTCGAAGAAGTGTTGGCGCTACAGTAGAATGGCTGCCCTTGCTATTGCTTTCGCAACTACTATTCGTACTGTTATTGCTGCTGCCGCTACTACTATTACTACTGCTCTTTATATCAACTGGTCTAGACGTTGTTACTACTGCTACAGGTTGCGGTACTCTCCGCATGATACCCCGGACATCTTCAGTGACATTCCTCCTCTTATTTGCGGAAACGGAATAAAACTGCTTTGAAAAAAGACATGCATTATAGTTCGCCATCGTGAACGTTTTACTTTTATGCCATCGCGAACATCGAGTAAATAGTATTGCTAAATTTTCAGAAACCATCTTTTTCTATCGCTCCTCTTTCAATGATACCATTCAAAATCGTAAAACCGATGGTAAAAGAGGGAAGATGGCATGATGATTTTTGGTTCTTCGTTGTTTTATTACGTAATACTTGCGGAGCTTGCTTGCTATATTGTTTTATTTGGTTCACGCGCAGACATTTAGGGATAGGCAGGGTCTGTTGGCCTATTTATCTCTTTGACTAGGTATTCGTCCTAATGATCGTTGTCTCCAACTGTCCAATTTTGTAAGAGAAAAAAAAAGTAGTTCTTTGAACTTAAAGAGGCAAACAAAAACTCGAGGGTCATTCGAACCTTAATAATAACCATCAAATAGAAATGGTAATAAAAGCAGTAGTACTATCAGCTTGATCCCAAGCCTCATAATGCCGAAGATGTAGTTGTGCAACGGTATAGAACGAGCACGCGTGAGGTTCTGTACCATTTTTGAGTGAGAACGAATCTCCTTTTCAAAAATGAAAATTAATAAAATTGATCGATTTCTATTTAATTTAGACCTTCTTTTCTTCTTTTCTGATTCTTATCCAGTCCTAATAGATTCCGTCTAAACTAACACAATCGTTCTATCAGCAAATGACAATAGCAGATATAGATGATATGCTTCGAGACTTGGAAAAAGATGTACAGGATTTTACCTTGGTAATGATCAGCAGCCAAACAACCAATTTGAAAATGCTCAGAAAACTTTAAAAATTAAAGTTGTTGTGTATTCTTGTAGTCTGTTGCGATTCATTTCAATTGAATAGTTTCTCTAACTTTCATTATTTCTTTTTTTTTTTTTTCAACTATTTTTACTGCCTACTTTTCTTTTCTTGTTTTTTTTTTTTTTCCTTTCGTTTCAACAAAAGTCTATGACTGATCAGCAAGTTATAAGCGGCGTACCTGCTATTACTGCTCTAGGTACCCTTTCAATTCAATTCTGACTTATTTCTTGTTAATTAAATCAATTCAATTTTTGCATTATAGAACAGCATCATCCTCATTATAGACAACAACCAGTGTCGCCTGACAACGTTCCACTACGTCTGTATGCAACGTCAAATTCTACTACACAACAGTCTTCTCCACCTGCTCCTCATCCGCATGCCGTTACTCTCGATTATATGACCAAACATAAAAAAGAAGGAGAAGAGGAGGAAGAAGAAGAGATCAGTTTGGGACGCTTATTACAACGTTCTGCAACTACCCGTCCAACAGCTTCTAATACAAATAGTACAGCACCAACAAAACTACTTCAGACTTCAAAGTCATTGAAAAGTGCAACCGGACGTGATCAGTTTCGAATGAAAAAATCGCTGGGAACAGAAGCAGATAATAGTGCTGTACAACAGTCCTCATTACAACCTTCTATATCTTCTTCGTCAACAGCAACAACAGCTTCATCTCTCTCATCATCAGCTCATTCCATACCTCCAGTACCCTCTATACCTGCCATGTTATCGAATACCTCAACCAATGCATCAGCTGAGTTAGCAGGCGAGGACGATTTACGTTTTGCTATGCATAGAGCTTGGGCTGTATTGGACGGTCAACCTTCAACAAACAAGTCAGAGGTAAATCATACTGTTTGCTTCTCTTTGCGTCATGTGTTATCTACTTGACAGTTATTTTTACGTTTTTCTCTCCTCTCTCTCTCTTTTTTTTTTTTTTACTTTCTTTCTCACAATTTCTCATTCTTCCCTTCCCCTTAAACAATATAAAATATATATATTTATATATATAGAGTGCTGCTTCAGCAACTGCTGCAATGTTAGAAGAAACTATCAAATCACCCACGCAATCTAGTTTTCAACAACAACAACATCATCATCATCCTTCCTCTGGTTTACATCATAGTACTTCAGTAAAACGAAGCAACCACCCAGCAACAGGAGCAACATCAAATTTAAAAGCTGTGAATACTCGGATTTTTATTAATGATGCCAAGACATATAAAGCAGTGCAATTAACCAACATTTTGACAACTGCAATGGTAGTACAATATCTAAAAAGAAAGGGGCTAATTGATCCAGACTCGGATGATTGGACACTATTTGAAATCGATAATCAACATGGTGTTGGTAAGTACCCATCTTATAGTTAAACCATTTACAGAAAATAGCACTTTCTGACATATATATTACATTCACGTTCATAAAGAGAGGCCTCTACGAGAATGGGAAATTCCTTATGAGATTGTAAACAACTGGGATCTCAACACTAACAATGCATTACTAGTTAAGAAGTACAATTACCATTATACATTGACTCCAGAAAGTCTGTTTGAAAGGAAAGTGCCACCTATGCAAGGCTTTGTATGCATCGAATATAAGAAAGGAAAATGGCAGAAGAAATATTGTTTTATTAAAGATAATGCAATTCAATATGCCAAAGATAGTAAGGTAAGATGGTTCACCCCACTCTATCATTTAAATGGCTGTGAATTATCATTAAACCTGCAGGTATATTAGACATTGGCAAACGCTTCCATCTTGTGTCATCTAGCATCCTATGATGTCTATACATTGCTCCAACCTTTGACATCAACAACACCTTCGCCTTTTGTTATTGCCATCAGAGCGCAAGACAAATCGACTATCTTTGAGCGTGAGGGAGACTACATGCGCTTTTTGGCTATCGACGACCCAGAAAAGATGAAGAACTGGGTACTCAGTTTGAGATGTGCAAGGGTAAATTGTTATGTTTATACTGCTTTCAATAGTTAACTCTTAACAAGGAACGTACAGACGATAAACTAACAGTTATGACATGATCAATAGAGTCAGATACAATATCAATATTCTCCACAAAGAATAACCAACCCATTAGCCCATATGGCGACCCATAATAACGGAGATGGTCTGCGCAGAAACAAATCCACAAAAGACTTGCATACAACAGCAGGCTTTTCAAGAAGTGAATCTACGCGCAGACCGGATAACGAGCAACGGCATTTAACGAGAAGCAACACCACGTCAAAAGGAACAAGTCTAAGCCGTTCAGCTACAACACAGGCGAAAATGACCGATACTGCCAATAGCAGTAGTGGTTCTGAGGGAGGAACATTGATTGATTGCACCGAACATTCTACTTTCAGTAAAGGATCTTTATTGGCGAAAGAAGAAACACACGAACAAATTCTTTATAGACAGCAGCAGCAACAGCAACAACAACAAGAGTTACATGAGGAAGCCTCCAGTCCTTCGAATACTTTAATTCAAATTGATGATCGTGTCAAATTCGCCAAAGGTTCGCTTTTGGACAAAAAAATGTCGAGATCAAAAAGTGTACGCGATGTAGCTAATACATCGACCACTACACATGCTGCTGAGGAAGGTGGGCAGCTTAGAAGTCATGCATCTATTCGTAGAAGACCCACAGCAGCAAGTAAACGTCCTCAACAGCATCATCATGATGTCCCTTTACCCAATAATGCAGCTATCGCGTCTTTGCCTTCTTCGAATGCTGCTCATCATCACCATTATAATGGTAATACTAATGGCAGCAATGGTACACTTCTAAAACTGGATGATACTCCAGAGAAAAATCATTCCAGACAATTACATAATAGACATGTGAAACCGTTGCTTGAATTTTAAATGTTTTTTCTTTTTATTGAAGAAATAAACGCGTCCAATAGTCCATATAGCTAGTAAAATATGATAAAAAGCAAAAAAATAAAAAAAAAAATTGAAATCAGAAAGGACCCCCATGGCCTGATAATTTACTTTATGATTGAAGGTCAAGATAATCAGGTTGATGAGATGCCTGTTGGTATTGAGGTGATGACTGCTGTTGTTGAGGTGTTAAGTTACTATTTGTGCTCACAGTAGCATTGTCAGTTCCAACATTATAATTGGTACTCATATTATCACTGTTAATACTGCTATTACTGCTATTCACGACGTTATTATTCTGGTTAGCATTGCCGTTATTGTTATTGCTGTTATTATTCGTAGGTAGTTTGCCCTGCTTTTGTAGTTCAGCAATTTCAGCAGCAGCTATGTTTTTGTTTCATTGCGAAAAGGAAGTGGGTATAAGCAAATGGAGATCAACACGGCCACTACCGCATGATATTTAACTTACTCAAGAATCGTCCTCCAGGTCCTCTTGGTCTACGCATAGCATGTTTATGTCTACTTTCATGGAGATAAGGTTTTCGTGTTCTCTCTAATTTATGCATTTCTTCAAGTTTTAAACGAGCAGCACGTCTTTTTAGGATACGATGGTATTGTTTGGCATTGACATATAACGGTTCTTCTTCCATAACTACAGGAGGAGGAGGAGGATTGGCTGTGATAACTATACCGTCAACTAAAATGAGTATTTAAATACTGAACCAATCGATCTTGATTTGCCTATTTTTATGCTTTGTGTTTACCTTGTCCTGGTTGTGCAGTCATGATTCCAGCAGGCTTAATAAAAAACAAAAGATATGGGAGGTTTAAAGACAAAATAACCTTAGTACCAACATCATCGGCTTTGTTTATTATTATTTTTTTTATATATACCAGAGTCATGTGTTGTTGAGAATAGTTCAAAGGTGGTTGTTGTTGTACCGTTCGTTGGAAAGCTAAAGGTGAAGTCTGTTGTTGTTGTTGTTGTTGTACTGCAGCAGCCTATGAGAAGGAGATAGACAAAGTATTATTCTTAGATTGAGTTACCTAAGCAAATTTATGTGCTCTTTCATATTTCCTCTCTTTTTCATATTTCTTTCTCCTTTTCTCTTTTCATAGCTTACAATTGGATCTTGTGTGTTGGCATTAGTCACTGCTACAGCAGGAGCATTGTTTACCGAAACTGTGGTGGACACAGGTGGTGCAGCACCAGTATCCGTAGCTACAGTACGTGGACTAGCATTGGCCGTTGTGGGCATTGGTGGTTGGGAAGTGCTCGTGGCTTGCAATGGCTGGCTTTGTTGACCAGAACTGGCAGCGTTAGGATCGTTGTAACTATTCATCTTGCTTCGTGTTTTATTGTTGTCAATCCTGATATGTGGGGTGCCTTAAAATCAAGTGCGGAGAGTTTTTCAAGCTTGGTATAGTTTGTAGTATAATGTATTGGATAGGATTGAGACCTGACAATTTTTTTAGTTGCCAAAAAGAAAGAAATATGATAGGACAATAGTATCTTCCAATCAAAAGAAAAACAATGTATGAAAAAGAAATATGAAATTACAGAAGAGGGAGGGGTTGATTTTTATCAGCGGCCAAACAGGTGCAGGCAAAAAGAAAAATTTTTTCTGTTCTGGAACGATTTTTGATTCGCCGATACGAACGTCATCAAATAAAAACGGGCCAACTGTTCCATATTTCGCGCACATTTTTTTGATGAACGTTTACACTAACCATCAAAAGCATAATACTATTTATAATGAAGTAGTCAGTCACTCGCACATCAGCTTCATTCTTCTGGAGCTTATAATCAGTAATATACGCTTAAAACATGTTGACAACGGCTTGGCCGAAGATTTGAATCTGCTTCACCGCCTATTGAAGCATTACAGACACTGCGAGGATATCGCGATCTGTGCAGTGCATAAGCTTTACACAGAGCTATACGTTCTTGTTCTTCAAAAAATACCTACTGATGAAGGTTCGAAAGCAGACTCTCTTATCTATCCAATACTTACATGTATAAATGACCTTATAAAAAACCTTGATACTGGCCAACCAATTTCTGCACCTCCGCCGCCGTATCTGCAATTGATTAAGTTCAGCGTACCTTTATGGACTCACAAAAAAATATATATATGTAGACGTTCGATAGAAATTTGCTATCGTATTATGGCCTTGAACAAAGGAATCAATGAAAGGGACGTTTCTGTAGTTCTGGACGCGATATTAGACTACATTGAAGACTGTAAAAAAAAGATGACAAAGGATGGTTTCTTATCAGCTATAAAATTCGATATTGAGGAAGAATATACAGATTTCTACCAATTTCCAGCAGAAATAACAACGGATGCAGTCGTAATGGATAGAGTAACAGTAAAATTAATGGCACAAACGTTGTTTGCCCTTATGCGTCCTGACGATAGCTATGAGTTTTTGGGTACGGAAAACGATGAATCCTTGCTCTTAGTCAAAATACTTGACGTTGTAGAAGGTATTGTCAATATTCTCCAACTATTGAAATGTTGAGCGGTTAACAGATAGATTGTTCAACAACCATTAGACTTTCAAAAGAAATGTACAGCCTTGGAATTCATTGATATAGTTTACAACATTTACTGTATCAATGATGATGGTATTGTAGAGCTGCTCAGTAACCTGCTATTCTTTCAATACAGTGACCACAGAGATTTTTTCAAAAGACTCCGTTTAACGTCCGATGTCGTCTTCTTACGATTTCTACAAATTTGCGGAAGCACCCATGATATCATCATTGACCTGCTACTTGATAGTGGGTCCGATCAGTTTCTACAATTCTTCCATCGATACCTCATACTCACCACGAAACATTTTGAAGCATTTGAATCAGCTGTCAAATTTCTTGATTTCGATCTGGATATTATAGCAAGAATATTTGAAGATACAGTGCATGTTTTAGAAGGGGGAGGATTCCCATATAATACACGGCCATTGTTAAAGAGGTTGAGACCATTTTATGAGAAAATATGTATGAGAAAGAAACAAGTATATTGAAAAAATACTGAGGATACCTTTAAACTGGTTAAGCTGTGCCTTGGATGGTTGACCGGATAAGGTTAGAGATCTGGTTTCCATCGTGCCGTATGCACTTATCAAAATCACTGCATGCTGGATCAAATTCACAACTCTTGAACTGTTTGTGTTTAGATCTACTACCCGATTAGTGGTAGAACTATTCACTCCTTATTTATACGAGACGATCATTTCACTTAATCTTAATGCTTTGCAATAAACTTTTAATCATGTACCACAACGATAGTAGTAGCTGGATGATCGGTCTTTTCTTTTCTAGAAACGAATTGGTTCTCATCCAAAAGCACGCCTACCGTGCACTTTTCCCCGCTTCTTGCAGGCTGGCATATATTTACCATTTACATTACCACAAACATGATAGAGGTCGAATATCCTGTGGCTGTTTCTATACTTGTTTCTTATTTTGTGTTCATTTTTGTTCTGCTTCATAGAATTAAAGGACAAGTACTTTCTAAAGCGCGATCAGTTTCCCTTAGTCATGTCGTGTTCATTCTGCTTATGTTATTGTCCTTCATTACAACTTGGACCTACATGTTCAAATTCTTCCAACATAGCTACCAACAATGGCATAAAGCATATACAGCAGAGCATGGGCACAGTATGGAACTATCTGTTAATTCTATCTCTCACTGGTTGCATGAGGTATCCTTGTTTGATAGTGCTTGGAGACAGGTATCGGTAGGACATTGGCAGTGGTTGTGGAGTCACCAATTGTGTAGCTTGACCGTATCGGTTTGGACACCTCTTTTAGCCATTGAAGGTATAGGATAATTTAAAAGAGGGAAAAATCGATAGTTTACGTGACAAACATTCTATGCACAAACTAGGTACTCGGCGTAATATTCCTTTTGTTTGGGCTTATATGCTACTAGGCCAAGTCGTTGCCATCTCGGTTGCTTCTTCATTATTTTTTTATGTTATGCTTTTTTATCCTATCGTAGCTCATCGACAACCTTCTGTCACATTACTGAAAATCCTGCAATTAACAACTTTGGGCGGCATAATAACAGTCATCATCTCACCTTTTGTTGCAAGCACCGATGGATTTTTGCCAAATTTACTAGTGATGCATGCTTTGCTTGTCATACCTTTGATTTATACCTCAACGTCCAAATCATGGACAATATCAAATGACCCTGTCGATAGAGAAAATTCTATCATTACCAAAGTTTCTGTCATGATCACAAGCCTATATGTTATGGCTGCGGCAGCCAATATTTCAATCTATATCAATCAATGGATGGAGTGTTTATCAACAGTTGACTTAGGCGGACAATCTTTAACGTCAATAGCATTAATTATTGTCAATACATTGATATCCACTTTTTTTGGACATCCAGCGCAATCTAGTATTAGTTACGATATTGTATGTATGCAACTCATTTCCATCGCTTGGATGATTGTGTATAATATCGATAGTGTCGGTAAAATGTTTACCATTCCCACAATGGCGCTAATAATCTTGACGCCTCTATTTTCTGCCTCTGTAACGCTTCCTTTATTCATGGCCTACATCGAAGCCCAAAAGCTTATAGGTAGTCGTGACAAAACTGTTATAGATAGCGTTAAAAAAGAACTGTAGATCAAATCTATATCATTATAATGCAAATCAATGATAATAAAATGCCCTTAGATAGTTGTGAATAACCTCCAGACACCCTGAGCATACTGCACAATTTCGGACATGCCCATCTTACTTTCGCCATAAACACGATCGACGAAAGTAATAGGCACTTCACCTACAGAAAAATTGAATTGTCTTGCTCTAACGATCATTTCCATCTGGAATACATAACCCTTTGCAATAGTAGCGTTAATCAATTGAGAGAGAACATCTTTCTTGTATAAACGGAAACTGCCAGTGAGATCAGAAGCATTTGGACGAAGCATGATTGTGGCTAAAAAGTTGGCACCACGACTATAAGTATTTAGTTTTTCATTAGTTTGTAAACGATGGCATAATAGCTCTCTTACGATACATTGCTCGTTGTCACAGTACCTGACAAGTTTACGCTTCAAATCCCAACCATATACACCGCCTCCATTTTTGTATCTTGTACCACTAACAATATCATAATCCTTTTCTTGCTGCAATCTAGTTGTTTATATTCGTTCACATGTTGTCAATTGACCGGCCTTGTGTTCTCGTAGATGCTTCTAGTTATTTTTTCCTTTTTTTTTTTTACCTGATCATTTGGGGAATAAACTTGGGCTATTTAAAACGGAAATAAATGAATCATTTTCAGTTTTAGTGAAGAGATGATGTCGTGTAAGAAAAGAAAGAGAGTATATTTTATATTTACATGATGTGAAAAGTCGGCATCCATGATAATAATATGTGTGCCTGAGGCAAACTGAAGACCGTGCACATAAGCTGTACCTAAACCAAGCTTACCAGCTCGAGGTCTCAGTTGCTTTTAGAGAAATAAAATCAACATTGATATCAACACTTGCTCATTGAACAATAATTCAAGGTGGAAAGAAATACTGATGTTCATCTTACAATACGATCGTCGCCATAAATGGATTGAAGTTCTTTGGCTACTTCTTGTGTACCATCTGGACTATTATCATCTACAATTACAATCTCCCAATCGATGTTGTTCTCTTTGAATGTCTTGGCTAATAACCAAGTAATAATGGGCAGGTTTTCGCGCTCGTTATAGGTAGGAAGAATAACAGTATATTTGTTCTGTGTCATGGTAGAATGTGTTCTGTAAATGTCCACTATGGCGTGTTTATCAATTGACATTCACAAAAAAAGGGAGCGAATAAGGATGCACAATAGTTGGGTTGCAATTAAATTCCTCGAGTTTCCCCGTTTCTATCTTCTGACAAGCAAAGTTGACGAGAACAGAGTCAATCAAACAATATGCCTGTCAACGAGAAGCAGAAGTCCGCGTCAAGCAACTGTAAGAATGCAAAAGCGACCAATCGATAATGATATCAAAGTATAAAAAAAGAAGTTGTGGAGTAAGGAACTAAAAAACGAAAATGATAGATCAAGCTTCATGATCGAAGCGGTCTGCAATATAGCATCCCTTCTTTTATTATACATTGAGCATTTTAAGATGAAGTTATTTGCTTTATCTCTTTTTTTTTTCCAATTCAAACACGAAGCTCCATGTGGAAATGTATTATATAAATGAAGTTTTAACGCTTATGTGTAACTGGCACAATATTAACAGTAATATAACGCATCAATGAAAAAATTGACCTGGCATTAGCGGGTAGGCCTAAATTGATACCCATGCGGTTTATAGTCAAAGAAATTTGTGAACATATCGTTAAAAAGTGGTGTAATCGCAACATAATGTTAAAGGCCTATAGTAGCCGATTATTGCTGCTCCTCCTGTAATCTGTAGAGTCGAAAAGGCCTCATTGGCAAAAATATTAGATAAAAGTGTAGAGTATTTAAAACTCTTAAAGAGCGTATGACCAAATTGTTTTTACATCAGTGCTAGTCGCAACTTTTAATACCGTATCCCTAAACTTTATCTTTCTACGGCAAAAAGAATCTGCAGGCGATGTTTTCGGTTTCCACAGGCTGATGAAGGTGTCATTTTGTTCGAAATTCATGTGTTATTGTTGTTAAATAACAAGAGTGCAGCTTGTAAATGGAGTTATTTTTGATGTGCTGGTAACAATTTTAAACATGCATCTTCTCATGGCAGTACTTGAAAAGCAGCCAATGAAATATTCAAAAACTATCAAGATCCGGTTTAATATTCGCAAAAGTATCGCTGTAGTAACATTAATATATAAGCATCAACCAAGATACATAAACACGGTATGACTATAAAGCATCTTTCACTGCTTTGCTTGAAGTCTGAGTTCTTTGTATTTTAAAACGCAAGACCTTGTATATTTGCATAAATCATACGAAATATGCAAGCTTTTGCAGTCACAGCAACACAGGTACAAAAAGTGCCATTATTTGCGACAAGGAGCAGCATGCCTTTTGCTCTTATTGTAGGCGTGCTGACATGGGAATAGTCAAAAGACTCTGGCCATTGACAGTTCGCTTTGTAAGTTTAACTGTAAGAGTAGGCTGTTTCTATCATTGTTTCAACTCATATGTCTTGGAGCTACACAAAGTAAACTTGACTTTTTCTTTCAATTTTTTATACCATAATCATTTATTCATTTTATTTTTAAGAGCCAAGGCCCGTCTATGCTACCTTACTTTGGAACATATGGCATCATTTTGTCAGACAATCTTTCTAAGCGATTTAGAGAATTCAAACCTGGAGATGTGGTGATATGTAAATCACCTGAAGTTCCGAATAGACAAGTTATGAAGAGAATTATTGGAATGGTAATAGTTTTAACAGCAGCAGACGAGGAACCAAAGGATTTAACTGAATAACCTATTGTACAAATTCGCATGCATATGAAGCCAGGAGATAGCATATGTAAAGATCCGACGGCAGAAGAAAGGGAATATTTAACGGTACCTCGAGGACATATTTGGGTTGGCGGTGATAATTTGAGTATGTCAAAAGACTCTAGAACATATGGACCAGTTCCTTTGGCAATGGTAAAAGGAAGAGTGCTTGCAAAGGTATTATTATTGCATCTGGAATAAGGCAAACAGATCAAGATACATTTAACATGAACATAAATATAGGTATGGCCAGAATTTGAAGTCGTAAAGAATAACTTTATGCCAGTAGACAGCTGAGATGGATTAAGGTATAGAACAAGATTGGCAAAGGTTAAAATTGATGACGAATTCAACTCTCCGGATCCTTTCCATATAGTTTGCGATCTTTAATTGTTCCTGTGATCCATAATCTCACTCTTTTCATACTGTCAATCGTGGCCTAGGTCATAAGGAAGAGTTGTTAATTTTTAACACAAATTGCCAATCTATTGTAACACTTACTTCTTTGTAATCAATCCCTTCTTTTGCACTCATTTTTCTTAATAAATCAATCTGATGCAGCTCGATGTGGTTTTTTATCAATCCTTTTACTTCATTCAATTTCTCAGAATCGTCAATCGGCGGTATGTATAGCTTATATACAGGTCTTGCAGCTGGTTTGCAAAATGGACATTGCCAGATCCCTCCTGATTCCGAAGGTTGAAAGACATTTACCTGTTTTCACCTAATATTATGAGTCAAAGTCTTCTTTAAGATGCAAGTAATATTCCTTGTTACCTTTTCAATATATGTTCCTTTGAGTGTATCTCCTACAAGTTTTGAGGCCATCGTCGAATTTTATAACAGTGAAGTGGGATAGAAGAAGTAGTTTATAGTTTAGTTTCTTCCATTGCGGAGAATATTCGCCTGTCAAATCGGCTGGTTACAATTACAATATGCCAGTATCTTCAATTTTTTTTTGGAAAAGGACAATTGAAATCGTCCCCCATTTTTGTCTTTCCAATAGGATAGGTACGAGTTAATAATACTGAGAGATGAGTTAATCAAACTGGGAAAAAAGAGTACTCCCAAGATTATGTATAAAGCTGATCAATCCGTCTCTCTGTACCTTTCTTAGCCAGAAATGGTACATGCGCTCACAGCCGATGGCTGTAGTACCTTATGGGTAAGAGATATAAAGAAATGAACAAGACTGCCAAAAGCCCTCAGTAACACTTTTTTTTTTTTTGTCCAATGTGTCATTCTGCTCAACTCTAACTTTTGGCACTACACTTCATATGTAAGTATTACAGCATTTCTTATTTTATTTTTACACCTTTTCACGTACTAATAGCATATGCATTAATCATATTTCAGTGATCTGTCTCGAAATTGGGTGTCATAATTCATATACTCTATCAGTACAGAAGAATGGCACTTAATAATTTTTGCTCTGGTGACTTACTACGTTAAAGAAGACAAACATTTTCTGATTTGATTTAAATAAATTTTTAGAGATCATTACTGAATACACTAGACCTCAGTGCCAATACTGTGAGCAAACATTCATGGCAAGGATATCAGCATTAGATCAGCTTTCTATGTCCTATTCCTGTAGCAGTTGGGAGGTTTGATGAGGGCAGGTTTAAAGTCAGCTTTTTTATTTTTTTATTTATTTTTTTTTTCTTCTCAAAAACTTTTGACACTTGATTCTTTTCTTCTACAATAAAGGGAAACGATACAGACCAACACTGGTCAGAGTCAGATTTCGTATTCTTTGCTTTTTTAAATTGAGCATAAAAATAACCTGTCTGTTTCGGCCTCCCTTTGACTAATTTAGACTTGTTAATCAATCAGCAAGTTTTTGGAATGGCTCAACAGCAACAAATCTCAGAAGAACCACATAAAGCCGCAAATAGTTTAAAACGAGATGCCTCAGATGTCTTTGAGTCTGTTACTAAAAAATTAAAGGTATCTTACTCGTCCAACAACGTTGACGTTGAAATAGAGAAGCTAGATATCATCACCAATAAAAATGATTCCTTGAGCCCAACATCTTTGCACAAAGACGCTTCTGAAAACAACAATGCTGAGCATGAGCTCGCTGATGATGCACAATCGTTAACAGTAATTGCTGATGGTTCTTCTAATGATCTTGCTATTTCAGATTTTGAACATACTGCTGGTCAATCAAGGTTACAAACTGAAGATCACTCTATAGCAGAAATTGTGGAGCCTCAAGAGCAACAGCCTACCATAGAGGATATCTTGGAAACGCCAATAAAAATTGAAGACTTCAACTTATCATCCTCAGATAAACCGACTTTATTTGAACAACCTGGCACTCAAAATGGAGTTCAACAACTTAACATATCATCATTATCTGAACAAACCACTTTAGACACCTTGAAGCAACTACAACAATTAAATACCCAAACAGTTAATGCTTCTGATGTATTAAATGGAGAGAATGGATTTCAATTCTTAAATAATCTCGATGAAGCTCTAGCAGCCAGTGGTTTAGTTAACAGCACTGCATCCGCTAGCAATACTGATACCATACCTTCGACACCTTCTACGCCAATGATGACCACGTCCCCTTCTACGGTCTTGACATCTACACCTCTATTACCAACAACGTCCTTACTTCCACACATACAGTCAAAACCATCTCAACAGCCATCATTACAGCCTCACCTTTCTTCGGAACAACAAAAAAAAGATCAGAAGCCAATTTCTGGTAACAACGATGTAACCGCGACAGCCGAAGAGATATTAAAGAGAGAATTAATGAATCAGAAGGTAATAATTATTCCTCATGACATAAATCAAATTTGCTAATGATGTTATTACTGATTCTAGGTGAGGGCTGATAACAGAGAGCGCAAAAAACGTTGGAGACAGCAAAACGAAGAAAGAAGTAAATTTATTACAGTAAACGTCCAACAAATAGGTTAGTTTTCTCATCAATTTTTGGTGTACATTTATAGATAAAGATAATGATCTGCGATGCCGCGTCAATAAAAGAGCGCACAAATTGTTTGGTAAAGAGGATAGCGAGCAAAAACGGAAATGGATTGAAGAAGAATTTTTCAAACGTCAACAAAAACGAAAAGAAAAGGAACGCCGAAAAGACGTAGTGGATGATTCATTAGGCGTACATCATCAATTACACAACAGCTTAGCGGCTACAGTAGCCGTTAACGGAGCAGCAGCAGGATTGGATTTTAATGCACTCTTACATTGGTTACACCCACCACAGAATGTACAATCTGTTCCTGATGTAAATTTCTTAGCATTATTATTGAGTAGCTTTGGAAATCCTGCTGCAACTGCTATTCGTGCATTAATGGACGCTGCCTCAAACAGTAATACCAGTACAAGTACAGAGGCGGAAACAACGCCACCAGCAGCTTCAACATCGTCTAAGGAAAGCTTGCAACAGCAGCAGCAGCAGCAGCAACAACAACAACAACAACAACAGGCAACCGATCCGCCAGCCTTAGAAGAAGCCAAAGACGGTCAATTGACCAATACCAATGCTTCAACTACGCCTGCAACGTCAATTACTACTGCAAATGAAGGGGATCTCAGCATGGCTAGTACAGTTACTTCTGCTGCGGATGCTGCTACTGTATTATCGCAATTATTCCCCTTACAATTATTAGAACTACTACATCATTTACAACAACTCCAACAGACGCCTGGCGCTCCTATATCTCCACACACACAACAGAACACTACAACAGTCCCTTTGTCGGCAACAACTAGTGGTTCTGCTGCCGTCAATGACAACTCTTCTACAGTAGAAAATATTGTTTCGTTGACACAGCAACAAAATCAGCAGCAAAAACAACAAACTGATTTACTCATTGGTAGTTCTGAAGACAAATTAGCTGTTCTGTTAGCATCTACTTTACAAGCTACTGCTGCCGCCGCCGCTGCTACTGCTATATCGCAGCAGCAACAACAGCAAACGTCTTCCGTAGTGAAGACGGAAGAAATCGAGATAGCCACATCTCAAATTAGCAACATGATAGATGGCCATGATATTAGTCAATCGAATAACCAATGTAGCAATAATAATAATACCTCAAATATACAACAAGAGCAACAGCAACAGCAAACACCTATCATTAGTGGTGAGTTTCCTTTGGATGCTGTGTTAACATTAATGCAATTGAATGCAGGCTGGCGACAATAATATTTTGCATATTTGCTCTAATTTATCTATCACCTACATATTTATAACTGATTATAAGCGTATCACTCTTTTCTCCTATCAATAACGTGCTATGTCACAATGAACCTGTATTTATAATTAAGCTGCTATTGACTAAATTGTCCGACGAGAAAATCTGTAGCTTCTTCAAACAAGCAAATAAATGATCAGCTACCCATCCGTATGGGGTACTCTTTCAATTGTGAGCATACAACTACAAACAATCAGGAAATATAGAATGACTCGATATTATATTCAAATAATTTCAATTGTCTTCTTCTATTTTTATCAATGTCAACAATACATTCCTTAAATTATCATATTCTTCTTGATATCTGTACTTATTTAAACCTTGAAGAATTTATAAATCTCACCAGCACTTCTAAATATCTTCATGGATTACATTTTCATGAAACTCAATGGAGGAAACTGTGCTGGCAAGATTTTAATCTTAGCTACAACCATCCGAAACAGAGTTATCTAGAATTGTATAGAAATTGTAAAGAGATAATAAGCAGTGCCATAGGTAATAGGTTACCATGCGAGCATATATGTTCAATCAGTCAGCTTTTACTATTCAAAGAAAACAATCCTCCTACAGACAGCGAACATGACCACGATAATCACAAAAAGGATTTTGTATATCGGAAGTGCGAAAAATGTCAAGCAATGGGCATTAGCAAACTCTCCATGTGTTTATTCGAGAACTGTCATAAAACCTGTACGTACGTATATTTTTGCTGTTTTGTTGTTAATCGATGCATGATCATCTTTCTACCGATGCCTCTTCTTCATTATCTTAATAACATGATTTCTTAATTTCGAAACATGCTTTTTAGTTTGTGAAAGACATGCTCGTGAGCATCACCTACTAGCTGACAAAGCCAAAAATCACGTTATATTTTACAAGCTGAATATGTCTGAGTTGTTCTGTCAATTGTGTATGGATTGGGTAAGAGAACAAATGCTAAAAGTATCATACAGCATGTATATGTTTTATTTGGAATATCTATTTATTTCTCTCATACTTACATCCTTACAGCTCGGTGGAAATGATGTAGACTTGGCAGAGCAATATCAGGCTTCATTAATATCTAATCATTGGTTTGAGATTCTCGCACAGGCTTACAAACAATCATGTAAGAGAGGTCGAATTGAACAGCTGCCAGAATTAATGACAATGGAAAACGACAACCGCTGCACTTTTAGCAACAACAATTGGGATAGAGAAAATGATATATACTCGGATGACCTTGCTCTTTTGAAAAGTACTGAGCTATTGAAGCTGAAGCAAATTCGGCAAAGGGAAAGGTCTCTCTTAACAAACGGGACATTCCCTTACCCAACATTGAGTAGTCAAGATTACTGTTTTATCTCTGCTGAGTGGATTCAAAGATGGGAACTATTCGTAGAAGGGAAGCTCACCAAAGCTCTTACAGATGAACCCATAGATCAAGAAGCAGCGATGGCTGGGATTTTGGAGTTGGAAAGCCAACGGTCTGTGTATGTGTTGCCAGGTGTTGTGCTTGTTTCTAATAAACTGTGGGATTACGTTTCCAATACATATGCTGTTAAAGGTCAAAAAATTACAGAAGGTAAGGAATAAGCAAAAGGAGCATATAACGCTAATGCTTCATAAATGTATAATTATGTTGGAAAATCTTTATAACGCTCTGCAATTTTAATACGATACAAACATAGACGATTTAAAGAGTCGAGCAACATGCAGACTATTCCTGAATAGACTTAGGATTTGGGGAGAAAGATTTGAAGCATACCGTTTGAAGTCAATGCATTGACTTGGCTCTCTTCTTGCCTTCTGCAACCCGTTCGTCTACTATGACAGGTTCTTTTACAATATTCTTTGACTGCAGATCAAGCACGGCTATATTTAAACAGGTATCAGTTTCCTTCTGTTGCGTATACAACCTATCTCTATAACTCACCCTTATCCAATGCCAATTCTATCATACATCTTGCTTTAATAAAAGCCACTAATGGCCATACTGATCTTTCACCATGAAAAATCCTGTTCATTTGGGTAAAGTTTGTCGACTGAGATTAGTATGTCCCTCATCAACTTATTTTTATTCTATATCTTTCTACCTACCAATAAGCCAGTGATTTATAGGAAGGGTTAGAGAACAATATATTGAAATCCTGTATGTATAAGCAAAGGCAGCTGATGAGTTTTCAATTGTGTTACTTTCGCTAGAGTTAAAGAAGAGTTTTACGGATAAAGCTAGTTCTGGTACTATGTTCACATTGCCAGACATTTTCTGTTCAATTAAGCCTCCAAAAATACGAGGCAGAATATGAAATTGATGTAGCTGATTTAAAATTAGCTTTACTGATTTTTCACAATCCATGTGTCTGTACAGAAATGTTTCTACCTGGTAAAGACGATGTTTCAATTCAGAAGCAAGGATATAGACAACCCTGTTCAGCAATGTTTCATGTTGTAAGCTATGTGTCTTCATAATGAATGGTATTGCATATATGCTAGCCTGGGATACAATGAAATGGTTTACATTGAAAAGCTCTGAAAGTCTGTATAAAGGTGCTTCACTTTCAGAAAGAGATGTTTCTGACCAATGTGTCCATCGAACGCCTGAACATCGAAGATATCGGTAAATATTAATAAGCATAGAAAAAATATAAATTATAATCACTATTCTCATTAGTTTACCTGTTGAGATCCATTTTACTATATTTCCGTCTTTATCTTTAGCCATTAAGTGGTAGCTTCCGTATAAACCTACTGAAGCAGTTGAACAGCAAGCAGCACTCCATATCAATACGCTTGGTGCGGTCAAATAATTCAAATTTTGCGGAACTTCTTGTGTTCTGCTCGAGTGGACGCTAATGTTTAACACCCGTTTCGTCCTCTGGTAGGCTTCCTTTATTAAAATTAAATACAATTCGCTTAGAGTGTTGGTTAATTAATTTTATTCTATCTAACAGCGGCTGTTGTACCTCAAATGTCAAATCACCCACATTTGCTCTAACACAGTCTTGTAATACTTTCATATCCATCAAGTATCCTTCGAGTATTGTAACGATGTTAAAAACATATTATCATGATAAGCTTTCTAAGTATAAGTCTATGCTTACCATATTTCAAGAAACGTGTAATGCGTCTCTTGAAGTGGCTACCGTAACATAATCATTTGTTGTTGAGTTGATATAACAGAAGCAATTTTTTAGTAAGCATAAATACTCTTACCCAGTTTTGCTCTTGTTTGAGAAGGCGCTTAAGTTAATACCGTCTGGTTTTAGGATATTCTATATTAGAGAAAATAGATAAATTGCATTAATGATGCTGCTGTACTTTTGGAAGATTGATGGTCATATTACTGGTAATTCCTCATCTGTATGAATGCAAATCAAAGCAGCAATCATTGCTCCGATGGCAGTGCCACTGATAATACGGGGCAGTAGTCCTTGCTCATTTAATGCTTTGACTACACCAATATGGTATAAAGCCAACGCTGTCCCGCCTTGTAACACTAGAGCTGAACATCCAAAACTTTGACGAGCATCACTAAAAAACTTAGCCTTGGCTTGGGCGCTATAGTCCCGTGTTGAATGGATATATTCTAATTGATTAATCACTTCATCCATATAGTTTCCAATCAATTTCTTTGTGCTAAAAGTGTGATTAGTACGTATTACTACTCCTTGCTATTGGTCGACTTCTACTTTTTAACTATTTTACCCAAGATATGAATGTGCAAACAATCGTCTGTCGCAAATGCCACCGAAATTTCGAACCAAGCCGCTTCTCAACAGATAGGTCATGTTATCAACATCCTTTGCTTCGCGGGCGCTCTTCAAAACCTTCAACCTTGATGAAATCAATTTGTAATCATATAATTTGGATATAGGTTGCTCAATCCATCTATCGTTATCTTTACAAATCATAGACAGAATTATGAGAACCTGTAATGCGTGATCTTTCCAATGAGCGCTCACATACTCAAGTATTTATCCAACTTTTTCGCCTTTATTCGCCATTCTTCAAATGTTTTAGCATTTTGCAGTTCGAAGAGCAATTTTTGTGCAGGTTGAGATGCTCTAACTTTTCGAAGCCATCTTTTCTACAAAAAATGAAAAGTAACTCAGTCAAAACTTATATATCAATTGTAAATCTCCCAGTATCTCTTCCAAAGTCAAGATGTAATGCCTACCCTCCAAGGATGAATAAGATATTTATAAGATAGAAGCGTCGAGTTGTAAAGGAAGTAAAGTAGAGGAACAATAATATACTTTAATGGATCTTGCACAATTTTCCAAATTGTATCTGAAATAGTTTTCATATTAATGGTTGGATAGAATTGGCAAAGTGATAAGTGATGAAGAAGAATGAAGAAAAAATGGATCGCTTTTTATGATTATTGGGCCTTTTCCCTTTTTTTTTGTTTTATCTCGCCTTGTTCCTGAATTGTCTTGAAACAAGTGCAAACAGTTTTATATCCCCGCACAAGACTTGTAGTAATTCATTTTGAAGTTTGTAAAAGGAATGTTAACGGACATAAATTATTGCATAGCTTCTACAATACAACTTACATATTATTTTTTTTTTTTCGTCACTTCACAAATCTTCATCGTTTTCATAATCAACTGACAGTAAAATGTACCGAAACTGTTTGTATATTATTCACATGTTGGGACTTGGTAATGTGTGCAACAGAGAAAATTTTGGAAAGGGCACAGACTTTCTTTCTTTCGGTGTCTGAACTTTTTGTAATACTTTACAATTGCTCACCTCTATGAGTTGCAGAGCAAAGGTGGGGATGAATTAAAAAAAGTGAAACACATTTTGTTCACTGAGCGTCTGCTCTCAAGAGTCTAGTTTTTTGCAATTTCCTCTTCATTCTGGCTTTGCCAATCGAACTGTATCAAATCAACATGGCTGATAGACTTCCACCTGAATTTCCAACAGGCTAGCTTCTTTCATATCCATAAAAAGGCATGAGCGTCAGATTCATTGTGGCAGCATTGGTATGTTAAACGCGGATATATGGTTACATGCTTTATTATAGAGATCACTAATATTTCTATTGCTTTGTATACGCATCACGGCAACGGTCAATAACGATTACATACTCAAATAGTGTACAGGTTATTACGTAACATTTTGTCCGTCGCTTTTATTCCCAGTAATCGTGCCATCACTATATCATTTGTTTGAGAACCCTGAAATATAAAAGGGGAGAGCGTTACACAGCTATAGCGATAATAAACAAATTCTAATTTGTTTGCGTGCTTTTAGATAAGCAAAACAGCTTTTTTTAAGGAACTCCGTTCGGGCTATAATGTCTCAAATTGAAACATTTTCTAAACCTTACATTCAAAGGCTAAGACTTCACGAAAAGTATATAAATTTTAGCATTTCAAAAAGTACGCTGATTGATCTATCGTACACCTAATTCATCAGATCTTACACTGTTTCCAGGAGGACATATATAAATCACTATGGCTAAATATCTTGACATTCGTAAGTTACCATCGTATCGAAGCGTGTGCTACTAGTAATTGACTTTAATATTAAATATACAGATAACAACAAATCAAAAATACAACTCGAGACCGCTACCCATCCTTGTCCAAAATGCAAACGTCCTGATGGTGTTCAGTTGACTCGCTTTAAACATGAAATAACCGTTCTGAAACGTACAATTAGTTTGCCTAACAATATGTCTGTCAAATATGCCTGTAAATATTGTAGCTGGAGAAAAAAAGCATTGCCTGATGACGACCCCTTTTTTCATATCTTTAACGATGTGTCTTCTATCGGAAACTACTTCAATGATGCCAACCATAAATACTACAATACAGATAACGATTATTCGATAATGATCACATCTTCTATAGATAGACCGGCTATATTATCATTATTATCCCGATCCTCAGTGTCTCATCAACAACGGTAACTCGTATAGTCAACATCACCAACTGAGCAGCATAGCGAAATTCACCAACTTAGCCTTACCTACTCTTGCAGTAGCAAAGAAACATGACGAAGAATCCAACTGTAGTATTGAACCAATAACAATCAATCTGAGGGAAAGAAAACTCATGTTTCAAAAAACGTCATTAAGCTACATACACAATTAGGTGCCATGTACCTTAAACAATATACCCTTTTTATCCTAGAATACCCAAACTACGCTAACTTTAAAATACGTACTAATTTTAGTTAATAGCCAATACTTCTTCATTGACTTTATATAGTCATTATAATATTATAAGAGAAATCGAATTTTCGATTGTTCTTCAATTCAGATATAAACAATAAATTCACCGTTGAAAACAAATATCGCGAATTTGTATTCTAAAAGCTAGTCTATCACTCAGTTTTCAGTTTTAATAAAGTAAAATTAAGATAGAAACACAGTTAATCTTGGCAAAGTTGACAAGGATTCGGTATTTTTAAAGGATTGTTTTATCAAGCTTTTCAACATCTAAAAAGATGACCTGGCGGTCACTTCATCTCCACGCAGTGTACGTTGTATATCCCTTGAATTTGAGAGAATCCGTCTGGTTCAGACAATCTTCCTTAGATAATGCTATCTCTCGTCCTTGATAATTCTAGCAAGCAGAAATGTCAATATTTTCTACCTTAGTAAGCCACTTCAATTCTCTCATGTGAATGATTACCTGCGATTTTTATGGTTCTCTGCTTCACACTTTAATATATTTGTATGTCTTTCCCGGCCTTACAATTCCGTTGCTTTCTTTCTGTGTACTTTCCCATGAGCAACTTCTTTTCACTCCATTTGATTTTCTTGGGATTTTTGGCACGTTTTCTTTTATTATAGTTCCTGCCTTCATCAATTAACCATTGTTTCATACCATCATCATTTCTTTGCCATCCTTCGTACTTGTAAAATAGGAACGTATCCGAGTATTGTGATAAATGCACCGAAAAATTCTTTGGCATAAAGGTATGAAGAATTGTTATTCAGTTTTACCCCCCTACTTTTTTCTGTTCATTCTCAGCAACACTTGTTGTCTTGATGAAGGCTGCTATGTTGAGACACTCATCTTTTACTACAGAGAATCTAGTCCATCGGTATAAACGGCAGAAAGGAAGATAGGGTTGCAAAGTATATTCATGATTTGACTTTTTTGCTTTAAAAAAGGTGCTACTTTGTTTCGCCTAGTCAGACTACAGCAATTTAGGGAAGCGGTGTACATCAATATTTGATAGAGACTCCACTTTCAAGCAAATCTGAACGTACCTTTACTGCCAATACTGAGTTGCCATATAGCTTAGCGCGAATAAGTTTTTTTTTTTTTTTTTTTTTTTTTTTTTTTTTTTTTTTTTTTTTTTTTTGCTCATTAAAAGCGGTTGTAATTTCTGAAAAAAGAGCACCCTCTGACATGGCTCTATGTATGGAAGTTACATTTTCATTTCCAATAAATTCATTATTTTTGAGCAAAGCTCTTATCGGCGTAGGTCGCTGAAATCGCATCACTTTAGACTTTCATTCTGTGGTCGACCAACCAGTCTTAGATTGTTGGTTTGAAATTTACAATTTCAGCAGACAGTGAGAGGTACAGTATTGCCGACGTTGTCTTCGCTTTACATTTTTGCCCTGAATTATGCCAGAGATTCCATACCAAAGATTTTCGTGAGCTCACGATTTCGCGAGATAGCGTAGGCCGGTAAATCTGTGCACTATGAATGAATATATACAGTCCAACACCTTGTCTCTGAAATTATGTGTATTCTCTTTTAAAGCATGAATTCCTACGAGGAAGTCTTATATCATTATAATCGAAGCACACTGCTTTAGTAGGAACCAGATATTCTTTGTCAGCGTTTGAAACAGATAGGGCATAGTACATGTCAATCGATCCTTTCACTACTTCTGTTTCCTTGCCAAAATTTGCATCAAGATGATTTTGGAGAAGGTTAATAAACTTGGAATGTAATCTGATAAAGGCGGCTTTGTATTTTAGTCCGAAACAGGTAAGCAGTAAAAAGGGATTAAAAGAAAAAGAGGATCATAACTACTCAATCATTCCAACCTGATGGTAATGTACGTTCTTTCGCAAATAGCAACTATCATTCGAACCACGGAATTAAGTTGTTATAGTGCTTCTTATGACTTGCTGATATCAAAAGATTCAAAAGAGGATTGATGATAGCATTGTTCACAGGCCAAAGCTTCAAAACTAGATAATAGAGACTGAAGATCGCGAATAATAACATTTGATTGTCAACTTTCAAAGCAACAATGCGAACGACGATACATTGCTGAACAAGATGATCAATAATTCTCGGAGGTAGATTGTACTATTGTTCAAAAGCCTCAACAACATCGGTTCATCTTCGATTCTAGTATTTTTATTAATTTTTTCCCCTCACAACAACTTTTTCCTTGTCAACTGTGATCTTCTAAATACAAGATTATATTGAATACTAAGGTTTCTTTGCCATTTTCTGGAAAATAGTGCAGTTGTTTACTACATCATTATATCGCAGTTATAATCTTCTGACCGGGGCAGTGATTATTTCCTCATCCTCTTTTTAAATCGAGCTACTGCTTGTTCATCTGTTGCTCTTAGTACATGACCTAATCTTGGTTTAAATTGCTTCGGTATATGCTTTTCATAATTTCCCTGTGTCCGATCTACACATTTATCATATAACAAATTGACCTCAGTAAAAAATGATCTTGTAGGTTATTTTCTACAACCTAAATGCTTTACCTGGTTGATGACCCTGTAATTCTTCTTTTTCTGTTTCATCTAATAATTTACGCTTTGCCTTTTCAGTTTCTTCGATGTTTTTTAATCGAGTACTAAAAGACAAGAAAAGTGAGCACTTAAAGAGCAGATACTCAATTCAGAACATAGCACTTTACTCTATACCAAGATCCACTTCGGGAATAGCTGTAAGCATTTGGGTTGATAGTTGAACATTTCCCTCTGATTCAGGTTTCTTTTCGGTTTTCAATCTATCCGGGATACGATATAGTTCTTCATAGATGTCTACTAATCCCTTGTGTTCATTATTCTCATTTTCATCCTCATCATCTTGTGCTTGGTCAGGATTGCCACCTCTTCTTTTTTTCATTTCGTTCTCGATGTATTCCATCCTATAAAATCAGGCCAGGTGATAGGATTGAAGGTGTTAGCTGGCATTTCTCAATATCGTTTATCAATATAAATATTGTCCATACATATGCTTATCCACATCTAATGTGTTTGTTGCGGTGGCAAAAGCGTCTAATTTGAGCTTTTTAGCTGTACTATTAACTTCTTCGCCTTCTTCTACCTTAGCTTTATATTGATCGACCGAAGGCACTAAACCACCAGTTTTCAGGTTCCAGCCATTGCTACTGTCATCGGCTTTCTTCTTCTTTGATTTTTTTTCTGCACCTTTCAATAGTTTCTCAGCATCTATGCCTTTGCGTTTACGGCGAAGTCTTCTCAATTCTTCCAACTCTTCTATTGTGGAACTAAACGACAAATGAGATCAATAAACAACCTTCGATACAGATCAACAAAAGCATGGCATAGTTAACATTATCTATATACCTTATTTCTTCTTCTGTTTGTTCTACTGCTACTTCTTGTTCATCAGAGTCAGAATCAACTTTTTTCTTTCTGTATTGTTTTTGCTTTTTTATGATCGCCATGTCTGTTGAATCTTGGTAACAACAATAAAGTATTGGAGCAGAGGGCTCATTGTTTAATGCAAAATAACAAATTTATTTGTACTCCGAAGTTGGCTTTTTTTTTTTCCCCTTTTCGGCACCTTCTTGGCTTTACCACACCGATTATCTGAGAGCAGTGTACTATTCATGGAGCAAAAAAAATATATATATGAAAGTCATGCTGGCATGAGAACTGCGTGGTAGAATGCATAATGCTCGCAAATCCACCACGCAATTTGCGTGCTACCATGTTTAATGCTCTCTACCATGAAAATTGCGTGGTAGCATGTTTAAGGCGTATTACCATGCAAAATGCGTGCTGCCATGTCTAATGCACGGTAAAAATGTAAACGGTGCAGCTGTTGTAGATAGAATTAAATCAAACTTTAGAGAAGCAGCAGAATTTTGTCTTTGTATCAAAATCATAGGCCAAATGTCCAAAGTGATATAATTGAATGATCGAAAATAATGGCGACATTATGTAGCAAGTAACATACAAATTCATCATAAATACTGTAATTTGAAGCATAATGAGTTGGTAAACAATTAGTCGCCGTATACGATGCTTGAGGATAGTCTCTTCTCCTTAGTAAATGCATTCCTTCATTCTTACCTGTTGACGATTGCTGCAATGGATGTGATAGAGAAACATGATTAATGCGTTTTTTTTTTTTTTTTTTTTTTGTTTCTCTTCTTTCAAAATTCTTTTTAATTCTTGGATAGCATAGTTACTCAATTCAACAAGCTTGTAGGTTTTTTTGTTGAACAACGAATTACATTCGGAAAACTCAAGAAAGAAGGATATAGAGTTTACGTTGATGCAAGTACAGCAGAGTTTTGGTGCCTTCATGCATATATTGAGGGGTTGTGCAGATGATGATCCACTTTCTTAGACTACTACTAGTAGCTAATTGAGGGCACTATCCCCGGGAAGTTTTGCTGTTGTTGATGAGTTGATGAGTTTATTAAAGATGTGTTACAAAGTTATGAAACTATTATGATCCTTTGGTACTTATTAGAATGCCTTTTTCGATGGATTAGATAGCATTCTGTTTTAAATTAGAATAGTATAGCCAATAAAGTTTATGCTTAGCTTCCATAATGCATAGAAATGAGCTTTTTTTTATAGAGCTGTTTATTTATATAGGAAGCAAGGATACATGAAACTGTTGTACAGATGTAAAAGTCTATTTGTCTTTTGAGAAAGAGTGTGCCATTTCTTCAATATCAGTAACCATCTCTTTTCTTTAAGACAAAGAAAGATGTTAAAAGTAAAAGTGCATCTATTTTTTTCACAGTTATTGAAGTGCTACTACGACGACGCTACAGGTCTGCAAAACGACTTGCAAAAAGTAACTGCATTAATACCCAAAATTGGACGTTTTCGCCCTTATCTTGTAACACATCATTGAAAAATTTTTTCTCTTACTTATGATGATGACCCCCTTAATTCACATGTAAACAAGAGCTAATAGATGCAATTATCAACAAAAAGGAGACGGTGCAAATTCCTCCATAAGAAAGAAAATACACCTGTTTTTTTCTTATAAATAAGCTGAAAATTTTGCTCGTTTTTTACGTTTTCTTTCTTTTTCCTCATCCTCTTTTTCTCAACAAACTTGAATGTAAAATATTTATTTTCAAATTTATACCATTCATCATTTCTTTTATAAGTCTGGTTTTACTGAAGCAACCTTTGTTTAGTGGCTATGAGTGTAGATGCAAGATGACGATTTAGATCCTTTCTTGATGAATTTGGCTATGTTCTTTCATTGTCAGCAAACTTGAGTGGTAAGTAATTTGATTGTCATATTCATCCTCCTTTTTCAAGTTTGGTTTACTGAAGCAACCTTTGTTTAGTGGCTATAGTGCAGACCGAAGATGTCGATTGAGATCCTTACTTGAGATTTTATTTTTTCTTTTCATAGATGTCGATTGAGGATCCTTACTTGAGATTTTTATTTTTTCCTTTTCTTGAGATTTTATTTTTTCTTTTCATTTTCACTCTTTCTTTTTACGTAGGTTTCTAGGGGCTGGCGATGGAGGTGGGTCTGGATGGAGCATCTGGCTGGTGGTTCCCGTTTCTCTGTAGGTCCTAGGTTCTTTTTCTTTAGCGCTGGTCAATTCTTAGGTCTTTTTTCGGTTCTTGGTAGTTTCGTCAAGTCTTGGTCCACAGGAGGCTCTTCTAGGTAGTTTCGTCAAGTCTCGTCAAGTCCACATTAGGCTCTTCCGGTTGTTGTTTGGTGGTCGTCTGCCTCGTTCAGTATCCTCTCCATCGTCGGCGACGTCGGCTTCTGGATACTTTCCCATGCCAAAGAAAGTATACCCTGCCGAGCTGGGCCTAGCCTAGGCTCGGTAGGGCGGCTATATGACAAACCTACACGCGGTGCCGCCTGTTAAGTTTCTATACTTATGGTATAGGAATGAGCCAATATGTCAGACCCATTTTTTTAAATTTTTTTTTTTATTTTTAAAGATAATAAAAACCTATTTTTTACTACCTTTATTTGTCTTATCATGCTTTGGCTAAATAACAAACTGTCTTTATCTGAATTCTTATTTCTTGACTTTCGTCTTTTTGTCTGTCTTTGTGAATAATTGTTTAAACTTTGTGTTCTAAGTTTAGAGAGAAAGAATAGGAGAATATATTGACTTTGGGTGATGAGCAATCGGATGAAGATTATACACAAAAGCTGATTGCAAATGAGGTTCAGCTCATCTGAAGGTCATGGCTCACCAATTCACAATAAGAGGCGTTTTCTTGTAAAACTTCATCAAAATTAAGGAGTAGCAGCCTCATCATATAAAAAACAACACGGTATTGTTCGAAAACAAGATTTACTGCAGCTGAAAAAAAATGACCATCGCACTTAAAGAAAGGAAAAGGTGATGTTTCTGAAATATGGACTTGAGCAAAAAAGAATACACAAAATACAGTAATATGAGAGTATCGTTTACATTTAACTGTATTTAGCATCATCAATCTCAAGAAGATTAATCATCGGCGAAAGGACGACCCGAAATATGAAAACGGCTCGAGAAGTGCTTGAAGGGATCAGTCCATTCAAGAAAAAAGAATGAAGAGGCAGAGGTTAAATACCGAACTTCTTTTTGTTATTAACGAGTGATACCACGAGCTTTTCATAAAGCATTTTTGAATTTAGTTATTGTTTCCTGCTTCTGCCATCTTTTATCCTGCTTCTGTCATCTATAGCTAATCCAGAAGGCCGCTTGGCATTAAGAGTACCACACGCACTCAGAAAATGAATAAAATTGCTTGATCAACCATGTCTATTCGCAGTCGTACGAAGTAGTTATGTAACTAATGTTACTGTGAAATAGTACATGAGAAAGATATATACAGTTAAAACTCTCAAAGGTGAGTAAGAGCATGTATGCAGCTGTGAAATTAAGAGTTATTGTTTTGTATACTCTCCTCTGACCAATAATTGATGATCTAAGGAAGCCTTCGACAACGACAAAAATGAATGCGGCTAATCAAAATATTATTGCCTGACAGATACTGTAATTTGAGAGGCATCAACATCATATAGTTATTCCACAGCTCGCTAACTGCAAGAACTTTTGACAAGTAGTAAGAGGAGGGCTGATGTCATGCTTGGCTATAGAGTGCAACTGACGCAATCTGTGTAGATGTTTTGTATACTTTCACATTGGATTCTTAAACATTTCTTAATTTGTCGTCTTACCCCGCACGACCAGGTATAAGTGATGAAGAAATCCTATTCATTGATGCATCATATACCAACAAAATCAATGCTATAGAATCTACGTATGCTTATAATGCATCATCAAGAATCGCTCAACAGTTGTGGTGGCATGGCATTTGCTGTTTGATAGGAAAACCCAGGGCCTAGCTTGAAGAATTGAAAGTGCTTTACGAAAATTTCCCAAAAGAAAATGGAGAGTTTCCCCACTTTTTGTTCAACAATTCCCTTTTCACTTTGTTCTTCTCTTCTTCATCGATTCCCATTTCCAGCAAATAGCCCTCATCGGTCATCCAATATGAGACGAGTCAATACGATAATAAAACGTACGGTACAATCACAACATCGGCGTTTCGTAAGCCAATGTCAGGCATCGCCCGTTGTCAAGCCAGTCCGTCCTGAGGAACCCATCGGTTACATCACCCTACCAAGCCTAGTAAAGTACAATACAGGTCTACGTCTTCAATCCTATCTTGTATCCCGTCGACATCAAATAACTCAACAGTTGCTGAAAGACGAGCTACCTTCCGACGTTATCTGCTTTTTAGAACACCCTCCCACCTATACAGCTGGACGAAGAATTCGTGGTAAAACTGAAATTGAAGAAGAGGAGCGTCTAAAACAACTAGGAGCAGACTATGTCGGGACAATGCGTGGAGGGCAAATCACATTTCATGGACCAGGACAGTTGATCGCTTACCCTATCCTAGATGTACGAGACTATCAACTCAACGTGCGGTGTTACGTCTCCACTTTGGAAAAAACAGTGATTGATTGTTGTTCTCAATTTAATATCAAGGCTAATACGACAGAAAATACCGGTGTATGGGTAGGGCAGGATAAGAAAATTGCAGCCCTGGGCGTACATTTACAACGCTATGTCAGTAGTCATGGTCTAGCTCTGAATTGCAATACAGATTTAAAGTGGTTTGAGCATATTGTGCCGTGTGGTCTATCAGATAAAAGTGTTACTTCTATATCAAAAGAGATGAACGAGACCATCACAACTAAAGATGTTATTCCAAGCTTAGTGAAAAGTTTCGAACATTTATTTCTGAAAAAATTGGTGCCTGTGCAAATAGATAAATTGATTACATCGAAAGAATTATTGAATGATTTATTAAACTAACTCTCCTGTCAGAAAGCGATCCCAATCGATTTTATTTTCTTCTGTTGGCGTCCAGTGCATATTTTGCTGGTCCTGCTCAAAAGTGTTATTAAACATATCAAAATCGAATAAGTCCATATCTATACACAAGAGGATTCGAGTTAGTTATAAATCATTGGCATCCCTATGTTGTTCGCTTTTAGTAGTTACGTACTATCAATTTGAAGTTGCTGTTCTTCCGGTGATACGCCGGCGTTATACCCATCCAATGTACTTGTTGCGGTGCCACTTTTCACTGTAGCGTTATCATCATTAGACAATTGCTTCGTCGTATCCGACGGATGGATCGACTGTTCCGCTTTTATTTTGTCTTCTGCATTATGAATAGGTGGGAACAAGCTTTTATTGTTTGGTTTAGGTGAACCGAGCGTCATATTAGCCATACCTCTTATGGCTGGGGATGCAGAAATAGTATTGCCAACTGTTTTAGCAGCCACTGAACGGGCAGTTGGCTTTGCAGGCTCATCTGTTGACATTGGGATGAGTTGTTGTTGTTGTTGCTCGCCACTATTACTGCCGTTGTTTTCCTCCTCTGTTGCAGATATTGTTGCAGCCGTTGGGCAAATCACTCTATCGCGTTCTTCTTTTAGTCGTTCTACCAAAACTTGCTTTTTACCAGTACAGGATAAGCCACGATCTTTCAACATATCTTTCAATTCTGCTACAGTAATATCTTCGAAATTCAAATGAACCAATTCATCGTCTAATTTCTTTTTTTTGTCTGCAATACTTTGTTCGGTTTCGGTCTTTTTTTGCTGTAACAAAGTGTGTTTTTTGTTTGGTATACGTTCAATAGCAATAGGCCGGGCATCTACCACTTTAACTGCTTTTTGGGTATGAATCACAGGCGTAGGATCGGTGACTTGAATTTTTGTAAATATCACAGGCATATGTTTTCTACCAGTACTATTGTTCTTGGCTGATGAAGCGAGTGGTTTATTATTGAGTGCATTTGTAGTAGAAGTAGTTGTATTGCCATCTTTGTTAATTGTTACATAATGGAATCTGTCATTTTTCAGTTTCTGCGTTGGTGGTTGTTGTTGCTGTTGCTGTTTCTGTTGTTGATTATACACTGCTGCAGCCGATGTTGCATGAAAAGCAGGTGGCAAAGAAGACGATCTTCTTCTTTTCGTATGCTGTCGTAGCTGTTTTCCTAAAAAGGTGTTATAAGATGTACGCTGAAGTTCAGGGAAAAAAGTGAATGCCTGCTGTTGTTGCTGTGATTCTTCGAAAGGAGGTTGTACATGAGGCTGCAGTGGTTGTTGTTGTTGTTGTTGTTGTTGTTGTTGTTGCAGCGGAGCCGGTGCTAGTGGTCGTGGTTGTGGCTGTTGGGATTGCGGTTGTTGTGAATAAGGCTGTGCTTGATGTGGTGGTATGGATACGTGTGGATCAAATGGGTGGTGTTGTACAGGATGATGAGGAAGAAGTTGCTGCTGCGCAGTTGGAGAAATATGTGAGTCCATAGAACTCTTATTACTCAGTGGAGGCGATATCATGTGCTCGTCATTGTTCGTAGAAGCAGAATACGTTGACAAAGAAGGCGATCCATCCTCTCCTTCAATAAATAAGTTGTTGCTTTGTGGTTGTTGCTGATTATTAACAAAGTTCGGGTTGAATTGAACACCTTGTTGAATTACATTGGGAAATTCGAGGGTCTAAATGCATAAATGCATAGGAGCGTTTGAGAAGGTACATAATAGTCCCCTAACGTGATGCAAAAAAGTTATTCACTTACAGACGAAAAGCCTATCTTGCTATTGCTAGTTTGAGTTGGAAAAAGTGGCTCTTCTAGTATGGTAGCATGATTTGCGCTGAAATAATCGTTATTGCCCAAGTTGTTATTGCCACCTCCAGCACCTGCAAAAAGTTTGTTCGAATTTGAATATAGCGGATTAATTGGCAAGTCAACAGACGAACTTCGGCGTCTCTGAAACGGGGCAGGATGATGATATGATGGTGGTAATTTCGACTGATCAAAATTATTTGTTTGATTGGCGTTCCAATCGATGTTGGTAAAGAAAAGAGGATAATCTAATATTTTGTATATATCGTTTGCGTCATCCATATCTGAAACTATTATAGTATCAAAAGAGTATAATTTAAAGCATAGATTTTAATTGAGTATGAAGTTCAGTTAAGGAGAAAAGAAGGGAAAACAAAAGAGAAAATAAAAAAAAAAGTTCATACCTTAATCAACCTTAAAAAATTAGTGGGGGGAGGAAACAACGGAAAAGGAATCACGGACCACGCACACACACATTAAATAAGCACACACAGCATTTTTTAACCTTAAACTCCCAATAAGGAAACGCCTTTCTACATGACGCCAAGCTTATGAAAAATCTTCTTAATTTTGCAATTTCGGCTTAGTTTTCATTTTCCCTTTCACTATCTTGCATATGTATTGCACCATCCCTTCTAAAACCAAAAACAAGTCCCTTTTCCGTTTTCACAACAGTTGCATAAATGTCGGGGAAAAAAGTTTTATTTCAGTTTCTATTTTAAGACTAATCTTGTTTAATGAGTTGCTGAGACGCCTTCTGTGCTTCAATGCCAGCTTGACCCGTACAATAAGAGTTCTTGACATTTGATCTACAGCATTTATATCCCCATTGTCCTTCAGACCAATAAGAGCCCCATACTGACGTGTGATTGTTGATGTAGACTACATAAACATAACTTGGTTAGCCCTTATCATTGAAAGCATCAAAACCGTAACAACAACTTACCATCTTCTTCGTATTTTGATCTGGCTTTAGCCCTTTCCTGTCCCTTGATGACTCTACCCGTTCTGGAATATTCAACATAATTTTCTGATTGGGCAAGCAACAACTCTTTCGGTGGTGCTTCCAAATACTCCTCTCCTCCATATTTCTCAAGAATACTCTTTTGTGTTGTATCTCGAACTTCATCTTTCTTTGATTCATATTCTTTATGTAATATAGCCACTTGTGTAGGGTTAGCTTGAAGATGAACATCATTTCCTCTATCTGCTGCTTGCCATGCGAATAATTGTACTTTTGCCATATTGGGAGCATCTCCTGAATGACGAACAAAATTATCACCCGCAAAATCAATGCTATCGTCCGATCGATTAGGAAGTGGGTTATCACGCATAGAACGAGTCTTTGGATCATAGAAGGCCGAGTCTGTGTCCAAGTTTAGTAGATACTTGGCTGTATCCTCACGAATTCTCAAATTACGAATGGTGGTTCTTGTCTTTTGATTCACATGTTGACCCGGCATATCTGCTGCGTCTGCATATTTATCATCATCATCATCATCGTTGTCTTCGTCGTCTGAGTGTACTCCGGCTATCTTTTTCGCCTCAGATGTCGTTGTAGGTCCTTGCTTATCCAGTTCAGTTGCTTTCATCTTTCTTCGTGCTTCTTCGATCTTTTCATATTCCTCAATGACTTTATCGTGCTCTCGAGGATCGTAGCCATTCCATCGATCTCTTTTCTCATCCCAATCAAGATCCACGTTTTGAATAATCTCATCCGCTTTGATATTCTCTCCTGTCCATTTTGCTCCCTTTTTACGTGGTCGTTCAACACAATCTCTTGTTTTATGTGTCATGGCACCGCAATTTTCACAAGCGCCTTTTCTATATTTCGTAGCCGCTGGTCCCTGTAGAAACACATCAAAAAGATGTCAGTATTTCATTTTTACAAAGCACAAAAAGCTAGCGCATAAAATAACCTACAGCTCTTTTGCCTCTTGCATACCAATAGTTATCTTCCTCTGTGAATTTTACTCCTTTACGCTTTTGTGGTGCCTTTTGATGCTTCAGAGACACTTTACCGGTATCGACGTACCAAGGCGCCTTTAACATGAACTGCGGTGTATGTGGATTGATTTCATTGCCTTCTTCATCTACTTCAGCAGGAGCAGTACCTGCTTTACGAGCTGCATCAAGCTCTTTGGCTTGACGATATTCTTCTTTTGTCAATCTCTGTTGCATGTTTAAATAGTTGAGAATTACGGAATGAGGGAATGAAATAGGTGTGATGGTTAAAAAGAGAAGAGATAATTGCTCCGAATGCATAACAAGTCACACAATAGTGTTATCATTTAGAATCTTACGGATTTTTTTTTTTTTTTTTTTTTTTTGTTTACCTGATCCTTTTTTACTTCACCACCATTAAAATCGTGCATTTCTCATGGACATGAAAAATGATAAAACTGCAAACTTTGCCAACGATCCAAAAATGAGGCTAAATGAACAAACTGGCAAATGGTCATATGTGGGTGATGATGGGGTCTCTTATGAATACGATGAAAATGTTGGCGCTTGGTTTCCTATGGTAAAGAAATCAACAGGAAGGCTATAACTCAAAGGCTTTTCTTTCAAAGCTATGACTCCTACTCACTTACATCTCTATCTTCCATTCACTTGTTTTACGTATTTGCTACGTAACGATCTACCTATTTATATAAAACAGTATGATGAAAAGCTTATTCAACAACAGTCGTCAGTTTATGCTGTTGAAGGTGTCGAAGAAGTAGTTATACCTAAACCAAAAGAAAAGAAAAAGAGAGCGGCTACTTATGACGTGGATCCTAATGCTCCAGAGCAACAGCAACAACAAAAGAAACCAAAACGAGAACTGCCCAACACCTCCGTCTATGTCACAGGCATTCCACCTGACGTAACAATGGAAGAGTTAAAAACAACCTTCACTAAATGTGGTGTTATCATGGAAGATTTAGAGACAGGAGAACCCAAAATTAAAATATACCGTGATGATCAAGGTGTTCCCAAAGGCGATGCTTTGATTACCTACTTCAAAGAAGAGTCCGTTCCATTAGCCATTGACTTACTTGATGAAGCAGAGCTAAGACCCGGTGAAAAAACGAGTAAATTAAACGTTCAGAAAGCAGTGTTCAAACAGAAAGATAACACAACAACTGAACAAAAAAAGAAATCGATGAGCAGTAAAATGAAGGCCAAGAAAAAACTCCAACAGATGCAAAGAAAATTAGATTGGGTTGAAAGCGATGTAGGAAAGAAGCAAGAGAAATTTGCCAAAATTGTTATTTTGAAGAATATGTATACACAAGAGGAATTGGATGCCGAACCAACACTGTATTTGGAATTGAAGCAAGACGTTCGCGAAGAATGTGAAAAACTAGGTGAAATAACCAATGTAATATTATATGACAAGTCACCTGGTGGTATTATCTCTGTGAGATACAAAGAAAAAGAAAGTGCAGATGCCTGTATAGCAGTAAGTATTTGGAACTTTTTAGTAAAAAAACGTACATATACATTTGGATTTAACTCCCTAGGATTGCATGCCATAGTTGATGAACGGAAGATATTTTGGCGGCAGACAAATCGTAGCCGAAGTATATGATGGTACTAAGTACGAAAAAACGGGCGGTAAGCAAGATGAGGATGACGAAACAGAGAAACAACGTCTTGAGCGTTACGCTAAATGGCTCGAAGAAGGTGGTGATAGTGAAGCGAAAACACCTTAGATACCCGTTTTGCAGATCAATAAAAAGGATATTGGCTTCTTCTTTTTTTTTTTTCCTTCATATTGCTTGCTGTTGATTGATTGGAAAACCGACAGATACTTTCTATTGTGAATGAATTATTGAAATTGTCCATTATTATTTCTTTTTTTGTCTTTAGTTGACTGTTAGAAAAAGTCATGTCTTTCCTAAACAATTTAGTTGATTCCTTTCAATCAGTTGTCGAGTCGGTTGTAGAACCATCGCAGTCATTTTCTTCATCAACAGCCTCCGTTCCTAATATAACGCTCAAGATAAATGGTAGAAATTTTCGACTAACGCGGTTGTTGGGTGAAGGGTAAATAGCCAGTACAGTCTGTGTGTATTATTATTGCCTAAATCTAACACGTTCAATTTATACATAGAGGTTTTGCACTTGTGTATCTAGCAGAAGATGATAATAAAGACTTGTTTGCAGTGAAAGTTATTCGTTGTAAAACAGGAAATGAAGTTGTCGAAAAAGCAAAACGAGAAGCCATCATTACAGATCGATTTCAACATGAGAATATCATCAAAATTGTGGTAAACTCACGTATACAGATCATATGTTCATCAACGAAAACTTAGCCACTTTTTTTGATCGCCGAATCTCTAGGATATGTGTCTAATAAAAGAAGAAGATGGGAGTAAGACGGTGTACATTATTATGCCATTTTATAAGGTACAGCCAATACTTTATACAGCTCAAATAACTTTCTTTGTGCGCTGACCTTCAATTCCATGCCATCGTTATAGAGGGGAAATCTGCAGGATTTGATGAATTCAAATAATTGCCAAGGCAAACATCTACCTGAAAGGCATTTATTGACCTTGTTTAGAGGAGTATGTCAAGGTGTTTTAGCCTTGTCAAATTACAAAACTAAAACAGGTCGCCACATTCCATGGGCACATAGAGACATAAAACCAGCGTAAGGTATTAATGCAGAAAATTGAAGCAAGTCGGCATTCCTTACTAATGATTATTGCTAGGAATGTACTCTTATCCGACGATTATAAAGTACCTATATTGATGGACTTTGGTTCAGCCTTACCTGCAAGGATAGAAATTCTGGACAGAAAGATAGCTATGGCAGAACAAGACAATGCTGCAGAAAACTGTTCTATGCCTTATAGAGCTCCCGAGTTATTCGATGTAAAAGTAGGCACCACTTTGACAGAAAAAGTAGATGTTTGGTCTCTAGGTTGTACATTATTTGCTATGGCTTATGGAGAATCACCATTCGAAATGACGGTGAATCAACAAGGAGGTGCATTACCTCTTGCTGTGTTAAATAGGCAGTTTTATTTTCCTCATCAAAGTCATTATTCAAGGCAATTTCAAGACCTTATTTCTTGGATGCTGACATCTGATCCCAAAAGTAGACCCGATATAACCAAAGTTGTTGAAGTATTGGATGGCATTCTGACAGAGTAGAACAGACTACTAATATAACTACTACCCCCCCTTTGGCAAACACACATATAGACATAGCATAAAAGTTAAAGAGCCCGCTTCTTATACAGCTTGACAAGCAAAGTGTATCTATTTTAATACGATTTACGCAGATAACCAGGGGCTAGGGAAAATCTTTTTTTTTATTGCAGCTTTTTGAGGTTTTTGAATAACATTACAATCGTATGAAGAAAAGAATAATTATGTACAAGTGAAAGTGTAGATATTGGTATTGAGTTTCTTTAGTCTTCCTTGACAGTGACTGAAGAGTTCAACAAGGTATTCTTCGCATCGGTTTTGGAGGTACCAATCTTTGCGACAAATGCTCTTGATTTAGCGTAAGTATCTTGAGCAGCATTTGTGGCGACGTTTTGAGCATGTTGAATACCGTTTTGAACAAGAGTTTGTCCTTTTTGCAAATGGGCATCCACAACGTCCTTGTTACTAATGTAAAGGCGAGGGAAGATGAATGCAGAGATAATGACAGCAAGAACAATGTTCATTGTCTTCATATGAGCAGAGACCTTCCAGACAGTAAAGAAAATAGCCATCCATTTAAGACTTGTCTTGGTGTCTTCGATAAAAATGATACGGGTTAAAGCACGAATGACGGTTTCAGCAACGTCAGTAACAATAGAAGTATAATGGCGGACGCTTTGACGATCAATCATCATTGTGTGTTGATTGTTGTTAATGACATCACTATTATAATAATTGAAGAAAGTGTAAATTATACGCAGCCCGCTAACCTGTGTTGCTGATCCATATTTTCTGATCAACTTACCTGTAAGGATGTGTAGCTGTCTGTTGATTATTGAGAACCTTCTGGCTCTGCATGATGAAATGGACATAAAACAAATTGATAGCAATAGCAATTGTAACAGAGGCAGAACCGATTTGCAAAAGTGAGTACCAGCGAGTCAGTAAAATAGATCCTACGAGAGAAGCGAATACCATAGCTGAACGAACAGGATTGCGCCATTTCAGAATATCGAGCACCTCTCTTTCAATCCGATAAGTAGTTTCGTTTCGTCCACGGCTCAGTGAGTGTAAATTTCTTGTAGCGTTGCCAGAAGTAGATGTAGCAGTGGAAGCCAATGGGGTATCACTCAAATGGGGCTCATTGCCAGTTGTGGCTCCATGAGACTTCCTCAAGAAAGGATTCGAAGGTCCATCGTTGAGAGTATCTACATCAGCAGGAGCAGGAGCAGGAGCTCTAGCAGGAGCAACGGGGGCGCTTGGAGCCGTGGCAACAGGAGGTAAACCGGAAGAATGTTGCAAGTTACTATGCTCCTTATCTAAGTAAGAAATGTCTTGTAACGAGGATTGATCTTGTCGAGGTTGGTGCTGGAGATATGGAGCACCACTATGTATGATATTTTGGTGTTCAGCGGGATTAGTAATGCTACCTTTGCGATCTGAAGGAGGAGTAGGAGGTCTTCCTTGTGGATAGTTAGCGACGTGTGATTCCATATTGCTTAAAGAAAAATAATAATGATTTCAGGAAAGAGCAACTTAATAATTTACCATTACATGTTTTTTCGAAGCTATTTATGTTCTTTTTTTTTTTTTTTCTCTCACTCTTCTCAAATGAAAAATTCTCTGCTCGCATGAAATAAGAGTGCCATAAGTGTAAGTGATTTGCATAATGATGATGTTATGTAGACGAAGAAAATTGCTTTAAATAGAAATGACTGTCACCTAGCGTGTTTAACCTTCTACACTGCGGCTGGTAAATTTTATTATCAAATGATTGTCTTATTTGGGTTAAGTCAATTTGGCGTCAGTGAGAGTTCCAATTAAGTTGTACGATAAGGAGCTTACTTTTTTATAAAGATATAAGATAATGTCTATAGCAAAGCGAGAGAAAGACCTTTTGTTTCGATGGAAGGCTTGCTTAAAGAAATCAGTGGCCCGGCGTAGCTCTTGAAATTATATTGAGCGAAAAGTCATATTTGCGTCACAGTACAGAAAGAAAGAAACTACAGCATAGGATACGATAGAAGAAAAGCTATGAAATGGCCATACCAATCGACAACGGCAACTACGATTGTCAATGATTAGACCAGACCAGCGAACGACCAAAATGATAGAGGTTTTCAAGGTCAGAAGGAAAGTGATTTTACAAGCAAAGGATCTCGAAATCAACCCTCCTACTGCTATGCGCTGGTTTAAGCTCTATGCGGAAACAGGGAAAATATCCTGATCGACCTAATTCATTTGCCCAAACATGTGAGCAGAGCATTCAGCAATTAGTAACATAAGACTCGCAACTCTATTTCGAAGATATCAATGACTATCTGACATCGCAATTTGAGGATTTCAAGACCTCGAAAACCCATTTGAAATCTACATCTTCTATTTGAAATCTACATCTTCGCTGGAGAAACATTCTCGTCTCATATCAACAAATCAACCCTCGACCTTATAGCAAGGTACTCTGACAATAATTTGCAGACGAGGTACGGGTGGTTGATGGAATAAAAAGACTCAGTTCTGGATAACACTAAGAACTGCGTTTTATTGATGAGGCTGTATTCCACATCAATTGGGCTAGGTTGGCTGCAGGAATACTTGCCCCAGTGGAAAGTGAAAAACTTATTCTCCAATCAATACTATTATGTTGCTACACACTGTGCTAGTGCCGCCCACTTTATCATGATAAATAGCCCTGTAGAAAGCAAAGGAGCCTACTGTGAGTACGTTGATCTTGCTAAAGCAACAAGCCCCAATAGCAAACAATATAGCAACTGCTCAATTTGTGATATTCGTGAATGAGCTTCTTAATATTACAGACACGGATGAAACCCTTTTTGGAGAACTGGACTATTCGTAAGTCGCATCACAGAGAAGAAAAATGGAAGTAGAAGTTACTGAGTAGTGCATATGTCCCTCTATTTACGAGAGCTGAACTTGATTGAGCAGTTTGGCCTCTTGTAAAGTGATAATGAAACATCGCATGTTGGTGAATTAAGAAATTTGTCGCGAAGAATTGTCGAAGCATGGACGATATATGTGTTAGCTATCTTCATAGCTTTTGTAGGCATACCTATTCCTGTATCACACTATACAAACACATATATGCCACATATTTACATATTTTAAAATGACTTGCTTGCTTGAATTAAACAAAGAGAATTTTGCAGGAGGATTGGAAAACATAACCCTGATATTCTTAACTTGCCTATATTTGATATATTGCCAAATCATTTTTATTGGCTTTGTCAAAAACTATTTCATACTCTATACTTCTAATGCCCGTTAACCCTTTTTCCATCAGTATCCAAAGATACAGCCTTATTCCTACATTACTTCCCGTTGCTATTTGGAAACAAGCAATTGTTAATTTTATACCTAAGCATGGTGTAAGACTTATTTTTTCCTCTTACAAGGACGGCCTTGAGGTGGAGAGACTTTAGAACACGCGTTTAGTTAATAATTCTTCCTACAGGAAACGTGAAAAACGCAGCATCCACTGCATTTCCAAGGCTCATTATGAAAGAGGAACGGGACCGATCCAATAGTAATCAACCCAAAGGAGGGGTTCTCCCGTGACTTGCGATCAAGCAGAAAGATCAAATGTAAAGCTACCTGTGGCAGCGAGTCTCAAAGCTGATCGAAATAGCATAGCGTTGGAGCATAACCATGATATCGGAAGGCTTGAAGATTTTCATATATCAGCCCCTTTTTCAGACCAAACCAATGATGGAGTATTCACTCCGGGTGAAGATATCAACGATATTTTAAAACCCGTAGTATGTGTATTAAATGAAATCAACTCTGATGTTCCTCATTTATTTTGCTATATATATTGAATCATAGGCAGTAACCTGAGCAGAATTTTAGCTGGCTTTCAATGTCTAGGTTACATTTGTAATATCTGCATTACGCCTATCCTCTTAAAACACACAATTAGATACAGCTTCAAATACTATACTTGTTATTATGATCATAGAATTATAATAACACTTGTACACGTCATGTTGTACTCTAAAGAACAGGCGCATATGTAATGCTGCATTCTTACTGGTTGAAATTTCAGGAACGAGTGTTTCTTGATTTTTCTTTTCTTGAATACAAACGTTCAATTGGCTTTTCTGATTTTCAGCAAATAATGAAAGGATCAAACGACACTCATTCCACCTTTTACATTATACCAACTAATAAGTTGCGTTTACTTAAACAATAACATAATTAACCACAAATATTACAACAGAAAGAACTTATTTAAGGAAATTCTGACTGTGACAGAGAAAATAGCTGGAAGTCGTGTATATCTGATGATTCAATATAATGATTGCTTCAGTTATTGCAGTGACCTAAGAATATGAATTGCAGATTGATTGAACACTACAGATGAACAAATATTACAACAGAGCTTTCAATAAGAAAGTCGAGCTTGTGAATAGCATTGCATATGTAATTGTAATTGATAGAACATGTAAACAGCGTGAAAGAAACGAAATTCCTTACCTGTACAAAGAATAAAGCTAACAGTACAGAAATGGAAGCTAAAGGTTTGAATTGGGCCACTATTAAACGTAAAGTGGGAATATATGCAACAACCCTATTTAATCTGTAAGTAATTGTATTGTGGTTTGGTTGGATCCGTCGACCAGTAATGGTACTAAGCAGTGAAACCCACACTCATAAGACAGGTTGACATACGATTGCTCCCCCGCCCACTTCCCTAAATTCTCACCCTCAGTGAATCTCCTTGTCATATAAAATAAGAACAAAATTATACATATGGACGTGTATTGTTAATATTTATCTGCAGGCCTTCCAACTATATACTTTGCTGTAGTTTCTTTCTCTTCTGATTTGTGACTCGGGTATGACTTTTGGCTCGTGATAGCTACGAGAACCACCTTTAGCTTTTTGATTCCGGTCAGTATCTCTTCCATCGGATTGAAAGTTCTTTCTCTCTCTTTTTTATAGACATTGCCGTCTTATGTTCGTAAAAAATTGTCATCTTTTATCGTACCAGTTAGTTAGATCTCTCACTGACGCCAATTTGACATAACCCAAAAGACAACTATTTGCCCAATCATTTTCCATTTAGCACCATTCATTCTTCGGGGATAGCCATCGATTTTTTTCAGAACGGACAAAATTTAGCAGCCGCATTACAATTGAAATTTTTTCCTGCGTCAACTTTGACGGCCTTCAATAACTCCAAAAAAAAAAGTTTACTTCTAGAATTTCTAACCTTTTTATAAGATCAGAAATAACCCAACATAAGTCATTTGTCATGGCAGCCACAACTGAGTCCAGCAACACGAACAATATGAAGATTGAACAAGTCAAAAGTTCACCACATGAAAAACGTGTTGCAACCCATTCACACATTAAAGGTCTTGGTTTACGCCCTGATGGTTCAGCTGAACCGATTCAATCGGGCTTTGTGGGCCAAGAAAATGCTCGTGAAGTATGTATGCTTTTCAGTTTCTCAAAGAACATATGCGTTATACGCCAAGAAAATAAGTTTTCTAACTATCTCATCGTCGTTTGATCTCAAAAAGGCTAGTGGTATTGTTGTTGAGATGATCAAAAGCAAAAGCATGGCTGGTCGCGCTTTATTATTCGCAGGCGCACCCGGTACTGGTAAAACCGCCATTGCTCTTGCTATTGCGCAGGAATTGGGTCCCAAAGTACCTTTCCGACCTATAGTCGGCTCTGAAGTCTACTCTAGCGAAATCAAAAAGACAGAAGTACTTATGGAAAATTTCAGAAGAGCCATTGGCTTACGTATGAAGGAAACCAAAGAAGTTTATGAAGGTGAAGTTACTGAACTAACACCCGAAGAAACTGAAAATCCTCTTGGGGGTTATGGTAAAACTATCTCTCATGTAATCATTGGACTCAAGACTGTAAAGGGTACAAAACAATTGAAGCTGGACCCTAGTATCTATGAATCTATTCAGAAGGAGAAGGTTACTGTTGGTGATGTTATTTATATTGAAGCTAATACAGGCGCTGTGAAGGTAGGAAGAATGAAACACATGGATTGAAGTTGACGTAACATGAGAAGTATGAGTTCTGAACCCATATAAACCATCATTTCTGTTTAGAGAGTTGGTCGCTCAGATGCATACGCCACGGAATTTGATTTAGAAGCAGAAGAATATGTTCCTTTACCAAAAGGCGATGTTCATAAAAAGAAAGAAGTTATTCAGGATGTTACACTTCACGATTTAGATATGGCCAATGCCCGACCAGAAGGTGGACAAGACATCATGTCAATGATGGGACAATTATTGAAGCAGAAAAAGACAGAAATCACTGAAAAGCTTCGACAAGAGATTAACAAAATCGTCAATAAGTATATCGAACAAGGAATTGCCGAGCTTGTACCTGGTGTATTGTTTATTGATGAGGTGCATATGTTGGATATTGAATGCTTTACCTATTTGAACAGAGCACTTGAATCGCCATTATCACCCATTGTCATATTCGCAACAAATAGAGGCATGTGTACAATTCGGTAAGGAACTTTTTCTCATTATTGAATGTATAAAAGAGTGCCAATATGCCTCTAATCAATTGGTGATAATTTTTGTGAATCTCCAGAGGAACCGACGATATTGTCTCTCCTCACGGTATTCCTGTAGATTTACTCGACCGTTTACTAATTATTCGTACACTTCCTTACACCATTGATGAGATCAAAGTGATTATTACTATAAGAGCAAAGATTGAAGGATTAACAATAGAGGATGATGCTGTCGAACATATCGCCAACGCTGGTATCAATAGTTCCCTGAGATATGCTGTTCAACTCTTAACTCCTGCAAGTATTGTGTCCGAAATTAACGGTCATTCTTCAATAACATTAAATGACGTTAAGGAAGTGGACGATTTGTTTTTCGACTCTAAACGTTCTGCTAAACTCTTGATGGATCAAGAAAAGCAATTCCTCATTTAAAGTACAACCGGCAAGTGTTGCAGCTACTTAAAGCATAGCCAAGCGTCACAAGAATTCAATCACAACCTCATCTCATTGTACAAAGAATTATACTTCCTCCTTTTTTAGTTCAAAGATGCTTTTTGAGCATTGAAATATATTTAACATATAATAAATACAAGAGTGACAATATCAAAAATGCAATAAGATATCTATATACAAGAAGGATACTATTCTAAAGCTTATCAGCTTCTACTGTGTATTAGAATTTCACAACTTTCTTCTTTTTCTGTGCCAATTTCGCTACAGGCACAGATTTTTCAATTGCTTCTACTTTCTTTTCCATCTTTTTTTCCTCTTCAACCTTCTGTTTTGTTTTGGCAAAAATATGATAGTCATCATCGTCTGCACCCTGTTCTAAATCAATCATACCAACTACTGTAGTACCGGCTTGTTCTTTTGTTACCGGACAATCTTTGGCTAAGTGATCCACTTGTTTACAGATGGCACAACAGCCACCATTGGGGTATAAACCTTTTTCATTTTTTGGACATTGACCCGCTAAATGTCCTTCCTCATTACAAACAAAACATTTCGCATACGGTAAGCTATCTTTTCAAAGAAACAAGAAAATTCATATTAGGAATAGATTTCATAGTCTGCAAACCCTGTAATAACCTACTACTCACTTCCTTTTCTAGGTTTTTTACAATCTTTCAGTCTATGTTCGGTAGTGCCACAGTTATAGCAAATGTTGGCATGTTCTTTATTTTGTGGACAGCGGTTAACTGAATGGCCAGGTTTTCTACAAGCAAAACATACTTCTTTGGCCCTTTTTGAGTTTCTGTTAAAGCTATCATTATCAGCCTGGCCACTTCTGGTGCGCTTGCCGTTCTTGTTGAAATTTCTGTTGTTGTTGTTGTTGTTGTTGTTGTTGTTGTTGTTGTTGTTGTTGTTCTTATTGCCATTCTTTTTGGTGGGTAAAAGTGGGGTAACGTTGAACCCTCCTTCATCAGCAGAAGATTTTACAAACGTTTTTCTTCCCATTTTGGTGTAACGGGTCATATTTGGCTATTTTATTGAATGATTAAAAGTAGAGGTATGTATTTACAGAAGAAGGAAGGACTGAAGTGAATTTTTTCCAAAAGAAATACAAAAGTTACAAAGCTGATCATTCAGTAATAAATCGGTGGCTTGGTGTACAATTATGTAATAATCCTTATCGAGATTTTTTGTATTTCTGCATAAGTTGAAGGAAAAAAAAAAATTGATTTTCAATTGTTAGCATCAAAGTTTATAAAATTTATATCATTGATAAACAATGCCTTACATCTTCGCTTTGTAGCCTCATAACAGGATCTATGGAGCTTCTTAGCCCTGTCAAAATGCTTTGAAATGCACTAGTAATTCCAATCATCGGTTTAATGACTGCTACGGGCACAGCACGAATGACAGTTTTTGCACTTTTCTTATTTTTCTGATGCTTTGTGTCTCTATCCTCTTCACGATCATAATGGGGCACACTGTTTATGTAATCGAAATGGCTATCAAAAGCGCTATCCCTTTTAATGATATCTTCTGCGTCTGCTACCATATTCGAAGCATTAGCAGCCGGGGTAGTCGAAGGAACAGCAAATATTGTTTGAGCAGCTGATTCTAAATTTTTACTAATGTTGTGGTAGGCGAATTGGAGGCCTTCTGATAGGTCACTGCTGTAACTACGTCGATTTTTATTCTTGTCATAATCATGATTTTCTGACGTTGATGCTCGATACCAATCTGCCGAAGAAGAAGGTGCAGAGGTAGAATAAATATCTTCGTCACTCAACGTTATTTCCACACCATTGGCATCCGTATATACAAAGGGTTGATCTTTTGCCAGCTGTCGTAATTGAGCTGCTGAAAACTCTTTACTACCGTCTGAGGAGAGTGAAAAAAAGCCATCAGCATGCTCTAACGCAACTTGAGCACCCGACGCAACTCTAGAACCCAGTTTTATGGCTTCAATTGCTGTCGCTCTCGCAAAAGAGGAGGTACCTCGTTGAATACCTTTCAATAATCGGCCGTCTTTACGATATTGCTGTATAGGTAGCAGAACCAAATCAGCCATACCAGAACTTAAATTAAAGAGAGAACGAACGGGAGAGACACCAGAAACCATGTTTATTTTTTGAGTATTTAGAATATGAGGCAGCCATTCTTTCCCTAAACGGTTCATCAGACTATCAATTCCTTTGATACCCGTCAGCTTGACATGACTAAGCGATAATTCGGAACCATCCAACCGGAAAAGATTCATAAGCTCCATTATTTGCCCTTCCTTTAAACTACCCAATTTGAAAACCTTAGGTTTATAATCAACCTTGATCGTGATGGGATAAATATCCACATGCTCTATGATGGTTGAAGAATTGTTAGAATTATACGATATTACTGACTCTATGAGCAACAGATTAAAAATACTCACGGAAGAATGCACCTGGCTTGGTTCTGAAAGATGTTGCTCTAAAATCACTGTTGTCGTTGACAAAGGAATCACTGCCTTGGTTGTTCTGCTCTTCTTCATTGTCGTCGCCGTCATCACCATCCTTCTCTATTATAGATTGGTTTGCAGCAGCTGTAGACCTCAAAAATTCCTTCTCAAATAAAAAGAACGTTTGTAGAAATATTAGGGCATCTTGATCCACGTACATTCGAATGGGAAGTATTTTAACCTTGAGGCGAAGCTCTTGCTGGGGATCACCTGGCACGGGTTTAAGGCTAGTAAGTTCAAGGTCTACCATACAGTCTTCAGTTTCTCTTTGTTGCGTACGAGACCGCATGTAACCCAAAAATTTTTTCCAATCTGATGTCATGATATTATCAATGATATCGACATCTTTAATAAGCAAATGGAAGTAGGAGGTAACATTGTCATCCTCAGGCATCACATCATAAACAGCACACACATTGCTCAATTTAATTTCCATACTAGCTTCCGTTTTGTTCTTATCTCGATCGCTATCATTTCTTGAATTACTACGGCTTCCAATCGCTGTCTGCTGTTCAGATGAACTGACTGATGTTGATAATTTCGGAATTTTTTGTTTTTGTTCCTCTTGTTTCCGTAGTTTTTCATTAGCTGCTATATCTGACTTGACGTAATCCCAATCATAACCATCATACAGTTTCCAGACTATGTTAACGTTCGAAACACGTAATGATAAAACTGCTTTTGTAAGGTCCACTATTGTATCTGTAGTCGAAGGTGTCACTTTCTTCTCCACTCCAAAATAATCTTCTATCAAGAAAAAGGACGCTAAATGTTGCCGCGGTTGCTGTACTCCATTGGTTCCTTCCAGCGTTTCGGCTACCAATTCCTCTTCAGGAACCAGCATACGTATGTAATCCTCTGAAGCTTTCTTTCGTTTTTGTGTTTGCTGTCGTTGATGCATACGACGACGTGGTTTGAGAGGAGGTACATTTGACCTTGAAGTGAGCGGCTTAGGTGTATTGTTTTGGGATGAGTCATAGAATTCTTCGACGAAGCTAAATTCTTCCATTTCAGGAATATCAATAAATGTTGGTGGTGATATCTTTGAAGGTATAGCCTTGAAAGCAGTTTCATCTATACTAGCCAACATATTTGCTCTGTTGGACGCCGTGTTCAGTTCATGAATCTCGGTTATATCTTTTGACTTTTTATGATGTGCATTATCAGTATTTTTCTGTTGCTGTTGAACCTGCCTTACTGGTTTTGTTGTCGACATTGATGCTTTCGCAGAGCCTGCATTGTCAGCAGCTGCTTTTGCGCTGAGCATAGCTGCTGAGATCGCTTCATCTCCGTTATTAGTAATGAATGTAATCAAATTCAACAGAGTCTGGAAAGAGTCAGCGCTTGTATCAATGCTGACATCCATACTTAAAAGGGCAACGTCCATCTGTGGTGCTTTTACATGCTCGTCTAATTTGATTCTAACGCGGAGTTCGATGTTTTGCACTGCTAATGTATGAATAAAACCCAAGGCGCACCAATACTTTCTTGCATCACTTGTTTTGCCGTCCAATTGTTCGCGTACCCGGGTTGGGCTTAGATCACGCTTGTCATCAATTAATAGTAGCTCACAACTCTGCAGGAATGTTTTCACTTCTATGATGGGCTGTCCTGCTAGAATGTTGGTAATAACCTCAATTCCGTCAAAAACAACGATAGTACGAGTTGGGCTGTAAATGAGTTCATAGTCTATAGAGACGTCTAGAACATGAGCAAATACTTTTATATACTGTGTGGGAGGATCAATAAACGCAAGCTTGATCATAAAAAAAAAGAAAAGAAAATTGGAGTGTTTGTTACAGTACGATACATTCAATTTTTTTTTTTTTTTTTTTGCTTTTACCTACATCTTCTGGTGCTTTCTGAAAATCAATGAGTTCATTAATAAAGTCAACGTTCGTTGTTGCTTTCCAGCAAATATTACATGCTACAACACTGGTCATTTTCTTTATCGTATTTGAGTCAAAGAAATTGTTGAGTTTAGATATCAAAGATATCATAGAAGTATTTCGCTTTGGCTAAGTAAAACAAGGAATGTGGTTGAAAACAAGATCGAACATTTTGGTAGTGCTTGCATTTCTTACGTGAATCCATTTGGGCAGAGCTTTGTACAAAAGCAGAATGCCTTCCTCATTTGTAGGATCTGAAACGTCCCTCAGTTCGAAATCTTCAATATCCAGAGTAGTGATGTTTTCATTCTCATACAAATGCTTGATAGCCGCAAAGTATCTAAATTCCGAGAATTCGAAAAGATATGCGTGCTCTGCTGAAGTGCGTATTTTCCAAACACCATTACCCATCACGGCAACTACTGACAATAAAGTATTCTTGATGGGCTGCACTGGTTCCGTTTTAGAGAGATTCTGAGTCTGTTGCTCTTGTCGTTGAGCATATGAGTTGGAGCAAACAGACGAGGTTCCATCAAGATGGCTATCAGGGAAATAACTGGCAGTGGACTTTATTTCAGAAAGAAAATGATGATATTCAACAGAAGGAGCAATTGAGTAATTATTAACCGATTCTTCTCCTTCATGAAATTGCTGATACTGGTGATTGTATTGTTCTTGCTGATGCTCTTGCTGGATTTGTTGTTGCTTTTGTTGCAATAAAAGAAACTTCGGCTGCCAAAGTAATAGATCGTTTTGAATTACTTGAACTTTATCCCATATACCTTTCGTCAAGTTCATATCTGTTCGAGGGAAATGGCAATTGAGTACAAATATCTATACAACCGTTTCATGTTAGTTTAACAAATTATACTAAGAATTTCTTTTTTTTTTTGAAAAAAAAAGGTACCGAGGTTTCAATGGTTCGTTGATTGAATATCATTGCGGACTCGCATTGTTCGTCCATTGGTAAATAAAGCTTCTGCTCTTCATCGAAACTTTCATTCCTGTTCAAGTAATTAAACAAGGTCTCAGGAATATCTGATCCGGAACCGAAAATACCAGTGCGAGGCGATTTAAACATTGGCGTATTCATTGTAGCATTTACAGCAGGGTCCTGTATTAGAATTTCTATGGTAGGTGATATTGGCCCTTGTGAAAAGACATGCTCGTTATCTTCAATTGTTTTTGCAGTAAACCAACATCTTGCTATATGATCTGTCAAAAAAAAGGAAGTATGAAGCTTGTGAATATGGTACCGAATACAAAGTCGCTTTTATGTTTCTCTTTTTTTAATTAGGAAAATTACCATCCTTCAATTGCATAAACACATTGATAGAATCAAGTTCCAGATTAATTTTGTTCGGTTTTTTATGTGCTGATAAATTGTTATTTAAGTTAGGTTGTTGATAATTGTGTTCCAATCCAAGCATTCCGTCGTCCTCTATTGTCGATGTCGTAGAGGCAAACGTGCAAACTACCTTTTTGATATCAATGCTAAGTTGATCAGGATGAAAAGTATCATTAAATTCTTCCCTTGTACTGGCTTGACTCATATCGGGGACAAATAAAATGACGCGAATAAACGCAAGCTTGACCTTCACTTTGCGTTTTTGAATAATTTCTTCAGATTCTAATGCGTCAAACAAAGAGGATTCGCAAGTCTGACCATTTGGGTAAGTCTTTTTTGGTACCTTGCGAGCGGTTGCTAGTTGTGATGTGGATACCTGAGGGTTCTGTGCTTTTATTTTGTTCGCATGAGATACGAACACGTTAATGTAAGAATCGTACCTATCAACAATACGTGGATCGAGCAGTAGCTTAAATGGCGGTATATCAACGTTAACATCTTCTGAAAAAAATTGCGCCTCATCGAATTGATTAGTATGCAGGGTTCTTTTTCTCTCGATCCGAATGCGTATAGCATTGTCTGACATGTGTGTTGGTAGTTTATGAATAGTCTGATTATTTTTAGATGGTTCGTATTCTGGAAAATATGCATTGCCATGATAGTCATGCTTGATTTGACTGTTCAATTGAAATATCGGATTATACATATCATATGTGATTCGCGCGCTTGTATCTTTAAGCATAATCTTGGCCTGAGGCGGGCTTATAATCCATTCATCTAAGCTTATATTGGCTAAGCGGATTTCACTTATTAAGATTGGAAAAGTACCTAAAGCACGTTGCTGCTGCTGCGAATAATATTGATTTGACTGATGAGAACGGCGGCGTCCTGGTTGCTGCTTTATGGATTCGTCGTTAAATTGTTGGATTCGCGCATTAAATTGTTGAATAGAGAATTTAAGATGATTGTTATTCTTTCCAGGTTGAAGCCAGTCCTTAACACAATCATCATCTGCTAAAATAAATACTTCCAATAATGTCATTTGGAGCTTGATCTTACAATCAGCATGTATTGAAGCACTGGTTGATGTACTTGCTGGTATCTTTTGCGAAGATTTTAATGGTATTTCAGCATAACTTGGTGAACTAACCTCCTGTTGGGTATATGATAATGAGGGAGAAACAGTTGGTTGCATAGAATCCAAATCCTGTAATAATGTATCAATATTGTTTAAAGTATCCTTCTTTACTTTTTTTGATATAGGTTTTTCAATATTTGTAGGAGAGAAACCTTCGGTAAATGGTTTCATTTCATCATCGGAGCTCAGCATGGTATCAAAAAGATCCATAAAAAATGCCATTTGCTGAGGTGATATAATGGCTCTAACATGTGTTGTTATGAAGTCTAATTGTTTGATTGACATGAGTGATACCGCGTCAATCGACGGCCTTAACTTCATCCTTATCCAGTTTTTCTCGTCTATAGTTGTAAATAGCAGGGCTTCGTATTGTTTGGTTACTGGTTCTTCGTCTGAAGCCTTTGGTGTAACTGATCCGCTTGAATGGCTGGAGTTGATATTGGTACGGTCCTGATTTAAAGTTTGAAATAAGGAAGATGTGCCTTGATCTGCTTCAAAAAATTCAGTTTGATTCAATACATTCACGTTACTCTCCACTTGACCTGCATTACATTCGTCATCATTATCAGTTGTGAAGACACTACTAGAACTTGATTTGCCAGCCATCGGATTGATGTATGATGAATTGGAGGGAAGCTTTGATCGAATCCAGATTTTTGGAGACGCTATGGTAACGATTTTTACTATTTCACTTGTCAAAATGGAACTCTCCATTAATTGACTGGTATATTGCTGCTGTTGGATATCATTAAATTCGGGTGTTTCATCAAAATAAGATATTCTTGGGATGCAAATATCTATAAAATATTCTTGTTTGTCGAGACTGTTATTATTTCTGTTCCTTGGTTTCACTAATTGAACAGTTGACTTATGACTGATACGGATAAGGGTATCAATGACATCGATTTTTATTCTTGACATCATTTTATCAATCACTCTTGTTAAGACCTGCAGTCCCTCAGTATCCATGTCTGTTGGCTCGTCTTCATTTTCAATGTCACTGTCATCAGTTCCCAAGTGTAGAGACTCTTGGATTGATTTGTGCAGTTCTCTCGCTTGCTCATTTTTGATTTCTGTTCGTAAAAAGTCGTCAGCAAAGTGTAGAGATGAAGACATAAGATGCTCCTCTGAATTATGTTTGCTATTATCTAGAATGATAAGGTATATTGCTTAGTCTAGGAAAATATATGTCCAGCTTATCTACGTTAACTATACCTTTGGCTTCTTTTGGTTTATTCTTGACGGGTCTCAAAGTCAAATGCAAACCTTGAATCTTTATAGTTATATCGCCGCTTAAGAGCTTTGACCATGGTATGGATACACTAATGCTTGATACCCTTCCTTTTTCCAGTGTAAATGGTGTATCCCATATCAGTTTATTTATGAACTGAATTGTAGTTAAATTGTTGCAGTATTAACAGTATATCAAAAGAAATGATTAGTTCAGTTGTCATAACCTGAGTAGTATACGCTGTGAAAGTCATTACTAATAGGTTCAAGTCTAAATCTCTAAGTTCAACACTGCCATTGAGTAAAGCGATGTCGAAATGTTCAAGATCAAGCTCATTCTGTAAAAATTGGCCTATGGCCTTTCTTAAAACAAATTTGTATAGTCGTTTCTGTATGTTGGATGGTAAAGCAAAGTTTGCCCATCCATATATGTAATTCCATGCTTTCATTGGTTTAGGATATGTATATTGTATACACTGCTGCTATTGCACTTAATACAACCGAGGTCTACAATGCAAGTGTTAAATTATAGTGAAAAGGAAGGGAAATTACAAAAAAAAGTGGAGTAAGTGGAGAAAACGGAAATAAACAAAAAAAAAGATCGGCTGATCTGAAATAAATTATATTTCATTGGCAGACGAGCAATTTTCTGTGTCATTATGGTGGGGTTTTTATGCAGCTTGCTAGACAAAAGGTAACCCTGTCTGTTCATTTGGATCCTACATCTCCTTTTGCATGCACTGATTATACATTAATACAACGTATCAAGTTTTGTTGGCTGAGCTTCACTTTGAATGCTTCTTAGTAACATTTTTCATGACTCGAAAAGCAATCAGTAGTTTATCATTTGTTACAAAACTACGAACCATAACATATCTTCTGACAGACAGCATCAGGGAGACATTTATCAAATAGCTGCCTATACTTGTGTCTAAGCTAAAAGCCAAGATAGTCATTATTATCCAACATTCTATGGTTATCTACGAGTACATAAGGCAACATGTTGGGCTGCTCAAAATGACATAATGCGTTTATAGTAAAGGTTTTAATATGAAGCTTTATTGTGCTGTTCCAAACAATATTGCTATCATACAGTGATCACAATTATAATTGTGTGATTACAGCCTCTCCTCGCAACTCCATACTTTTGAGATAATTAGAAACAAGTTTTTCATAAAACTCATCGTTTATAAGTACTTCAGCGGCTGTCATACTCATACATTTTGCTGCCCTTAGCGTATGTTGATGTGCACTTTCTGTTTTAGCAGCTTCAACCTTTTTCTGTGAGTGAAAGGGATTTTGTATCAAAGCAGTCTGTATAGGACTTACAAGCAGCATGCAGTAATCTACTTGCTCTTTGAAAAACCTCTCCTTGCTAAATGGGATCTTGCCATTAAAAATCTCTTCGGCAGGTGTACCGTATAATACCACAGTACCTTGAACAAGATTCTTTTCCAAGAGAGTTTTCAAACTGATAGCACAAGCAAGGCCTGTAATAGCGATAAGATTATGACCACAGGCGTGGTCAACACTATACATATATTCAATATCCAAAACTTAATGAATTCAATCTTCAATGTCAATGCTAAAAACTATCCTTGCTTCTCAACTATGAGAACTTACCCCGGTAAAGCATTGTATTCACTGACAAAACCTACACGCCTGTCTGTCTTACTGTTGGAGCTCTAAGCCGGCTGCTCTATGTGCCACTTCAAATCCTTTTTCTTCAAGATACTCTGTCAATTTTTATAGAATTCATTATTGCCTAATCGGGGTTTTCATGAAGCTATAAAGACACATACATACTATCTGTGTAAGTATTGAGTTTATAAAAGAAAAACAGAAATCTCCATGCACCTGTAAACTGATATCCCGGAGTTCTTGACTGACACTTTCAATCGTTTTAGCAATCCTTTGTTTAATGTTGTTAACCATTTTCGTTGATGTGGTGGACCTCAATGAGGAAAAGAAAAGAAAAGAAAAAGTGTATGTGTGTATATACCCAAATGCTAGCTGAGCTTACAATGTAAATATAATAGCTACACTACCGCCCGCTTTGAGCGTCTGATCGGTTTATTGGTAGTATAATTAAGCATGAGAGAAATCCTCTTGAAACAAAAGCATACATACATTTCGTAAAGACCTATCACATCGTGTAAAGTGTGTCTCTTAATACCTTAGCAGCAGCTTCTAGAAATACCACGAAAGTGCAGTTTGAATGACTGCAAGAAAGCACGCCATTCACCTTCTTGTAACTGTACATACTATTGTACTTTAATAACATTTAAACAACTTAAATTACTCTAACCAATAAATGCAAATTTAGATATCAAATTTTTAATTGTTAATACAAATAGTATGTATTGGACATACGCAGTCATCCTTGCCACTTTTCTCTTTAGAATGCTTTATTACGAAAACCCATCATGCCGGTTCTTTCACTTGTAACTGAATAACAATTTGTAATTTGGCTTTTCAGCATTCTTTTTGTCATTATCCACTATTTGTATTTGCAATATTTGTATAACCGCTCGCTATCAAAGGAGATTGATTAGCTTGGTTCTCAATCATGCATCGACACGCTGCTGCACTTGGCATACGCTTAAACTAATCCTCTTTCATCCCAAGTTGTCTTTCTGCTGCAAGTGATCAAAAATGGTAATGGCGATGATTGTAACAGAGAGAGATACATGCAAAGTGTTTCTTTTAATGACGATATATCAGTATCAATGTCAACCACCTTTTGTAGCCTCCCCCCCCTTTTTTTTGTCAGATAGGATTTAATCGGAATTTGAAATGCTAACGACCAACACCAACAATTGTTACAAACCATAGCTACTGTTTCTTTTGAGCAAGTGGAGGTATCTTGTCCGCTCAGAATTGTTTTGAAGTTGGAATCATTTTTAGTATACTTCTTACTAATTGCTAACCATTGTCTTTTAGTTCAAGAATAGGAGAAAAAAATTACGTTCCTGATTTTTTATTTTTATTTTTTGCCCTGAATTCAAATTTGCCCAGCAGTTCTCAAGTATTTTAATTAAGGTGAGAGCCACTTCCTCAAGACCCAACACAACTTTGCAAAATATTTTTGCCCTCTTTTTTCTCAACAAAATGGCCAATGTCACACAGTGTATATTCTAGATGAATATTGTAAGGTTACGTAGTTACGTTTATTTTACAACTCAGTGATAAGAAATACAGGTAGTATACTTTGCATCTGATAACGTCGTTGTTATTAGTAAACCATACATCTGTAGCACCGGCCTATTATATCTTTCTATAGACTATTGTCATTGACGAAAGACTTGGGCTTTCTATGTACTTGATAAAGAGACCTTTGTATTAAGGTCTTTCAGAGAGAAAGGCACCTTTTTCATTGGACTGAAAACATGGTTACCCCCCGGGGCAATTGTTACATTAGATTCTCAGCTATTGCCCGCCCCGCTTAAACAATGTTTTTAAAGAGAGATAGACTTCTCCACTTTTTTATTTTCATCATTTTTATTCACTTCATATACAAATCGAAAAATGTTTCTTAAAACCCTTGCTAAACCCGCCACAGTGAATAACTTGAGCAAGGTGAGATATATGAACTGAAAGCACAAAAGAACTTTACTAGAGTTGCTGTTAGACTATTTGGAAACGAAAGAAGTCTGACATGTCCACGTTTTTATGCATCTCTTAAACATCACTTAAATCGCCACATTAGGTTGCCACTCGTGCATTCGCTTCCAGTACCACTATTCCTACACCTACCGCTCTTGACCAAAAATCTGTAAGTATTGCTTCTATTATTTCTTTGAGTAGGCTAGAATATCGCTTCAAAATGAAAGCAAACAGGGGTGCGGGGAAGGAGGAGGAGAGTAGGAGCAAAGAATAGATCTATTACAAACATCTATTACTCTACTATCTGTGAGGTGGAGAGTGAGATAGAAACAAAGGTTGTATATCTGTAACTAACAATAGAACCGTTTTATTATAGGTGAGTCCTAAAAAATATGGTGGAAAATATACTGTCACTTTGATTCCAGGTGACGGTATTGGCCCTGAACTTGCCATGTCTGTCAAAGATGTCTTCAAAGCCGCCAATGTCCCTGTTGAATTCGAACAATACGACGTTTCTGGTTTGACCGACGAAAACGATCAATTGTTCAAAGAATCGATTGAATCACTTCGCCGTAACAAAGTTGGTATCAAAGGTACACTCTACACTCCCACTTCCAAGTTGGGCCACAAGTCCTTCAATGTCATGATGCGTAAGGACTTGGACATGTACGCTTCCTTATCTCTTTGTAAGAATGTTCCTGGTGTCAAATCTCGTTTAAGTGATGTCGATATTGCTATCATTCGTGAAAATACGGAAGGTGAATATTCAGGCTTGGAACATCAGGTAAAGATCGAATATATAATTATTTTAGCTGGATATGAAAAGGAAACCCAGCCTCGAGTATATTTTTTTATTTTTATTTTTTGGCTTACCCCACAGTTTAACGAATATTACTTTTTATAGTCCGTTCCTGGTGTTGTTGAATCACTTAAAATCATCACCCGTGCAAAGACTGAACGTATTGCTCGTTTTGCCTTTGACTTTGCTATTAAGAATAACCGTAAGAAGGTCACCATTATTCACAAGGCCAATATCATGTAAGCTTATCTACTTGTGTTACAAGGGGAGTGAACGGGAACTGGTATCATTGACTGTTTCTATTTTTTTGATAGGAAATTGGCTGATGGTCTCTTCTTACGTACTTGTCGTGATGTTGCAAAGGAATATGAACATCATGATATTCAAGTAAATGATATGATTGTTGATAATACTGCTATGCAACTTGTTTCTCGTCCTCAACAATTTGATGTGATGGTCATGCCTAACTTGTACGGTAACATTGTTTCTAATGTTGTAAGTATATGTATATATAGATGCTTTTGTGGGGGGTTTTTGACCAGTATAGAAACTGAGCCCATACTTTACACTTTCTTTGTTCATTTAGGGCGCTGGTTTGATTGGTAGCCCTGGATTGATTCCCGGTTGTAATATTGGTCGTGAATATGCCATGTTTGAACCTGTAAGTTGAGCTTTTTTTTTCTTTTTCTTGATCTGCTTTTTAGCCATATTGTGTTAGGAAAGTATGCAAACTGAAACCTTTCAATGTAGGGTTGTCGTCATGTTGGTCTCGATATTCAAAACCAAAATAGTGCTAACCCTACAGCTATGCTCTTATCTTCCGTCATGATGTTAAGACATTTGAACTTGGATGACTATGCCAACAGAATTTCCTCGGCTGTTTACGAGACCATTGGCTCCAACGTCGCTAGAACTGTCGATATTGGCGGTACTAGCACTCTTAGAGAATTTACTGATGCTGTCATCTCTAAATTGTAAATTAATCCTTCCCTCTCCTTTTCCTTTTTTCTTATCTTGTTCTCTACATATATATAAAGACGATTGACTATTTTGAAAAAAGGAATGACTACTCTTCATTCTTTCGAATATGGGTGTCTAATGTGTACAAAGGACGTAATGCAAAACATAATGGAAAGAGAGGGTGGGGATGCAATCAATTGCTATTTATTTCTAATGTTAGGTTTGTAAAAGATCAATAAGAGGAAAAAGGGCCGTTATCCGCACCCCCACCCCTCCCCCCTTCCTCCCTTCCTCTTTATAAAGAATGTGCGAGTGAAAGAAATATTAGGATGAATAACAGTAGAGTAGTGGGTAAGGAATCATTTATAAATTAAAAAAAGAAGGAAAAAAAGCAATAGATAAAATCGTATACATTTTCAACAGTGTGAAGTTAGTTCCCAGTAATTACTATTTGGACTTGTTATGCTATGATTCTGTCTCCCACAAGTAGGAGATGTCATTACAACAGTTGCAGCAACAGCGGTGGTAGTAGTACTACTACTCGTTGTAGCTGTATGAGCGACAGCATGACTCGCCTTGGTAACTGCAGTATCGCCAGTGGTAGTAAGGATAGTCAAAGCTGTGTTACTGTTGGCTTCGTAAGTATCGAAATCGGGAAAAGAGACATAGTTCTTTTGGAATTCAGATAATTGTTCCAAAGAAAGATCGTTGTTTTCATTATTATTGATATTATTGTAATTCTTTTGTTGATATTGCCGGTTGTTATTATTATTATTATTATTATTATTATTATTATTATTTACAGTAGGAAAGAAGGGTTGCTGTTGCTTCTTTTTCGAAACAATCACTCTAAAGAATTCTGTACAGATATCAGACCAATGAGGATGTCGGTGATGGTGGCTATGATGAGAGTGAGCAAGATGTTGGCGGTTATTTTGATGGCTTTTACTAATGGCAATCATTCTGTTGGCATTACTAGTGTTGTTGCTACTTGTAGTAGCTCTTTTTTTTATAGTAGTGGTAGTGGTAGTGGTAGTGGTAGTGGTAGTAGTCGTAGTAGTAGTAGCCGTCGTAGCTGCCGTAAAGGAATTTTTCGAGTCGACTGTTGAATTGCTTGGAATATACATCGTTGTCCAAACAAAGAAAGGGAAGAGAAAAGGATTCAAGGGGCGGAAGAAATGAGCGTAGTAGTGTAGTAGCAGTAGCAGTTAGCAGTAGTAATAGTAAAGAGTGATACGATAGAGTAATGACTCTATTATGTATATTACTAGAAAGAATATAGAAAGGATAGGAAGGGGGATGTGCAGCAACTTTTTTTATGTGTATGTATGTCTCACAATCTCTCTTCTCTCTCGCCCTTTATCTCTCTATTTTTGGAACTTTTTCTTATATTCTATACAGTGAAGCTGTGTAAGGGAAAGAAGATGGGAATAAGAGGAAAAATGAGCAGATTTGGGGGAAAGGAGATAAAATAAGAAACCAAACCACGCAGAGGAATGATTATGATTTTGAGGCAATTCAAATAAATAAATAGCGCAAGTCTCCTTAAACTTTTAACCTTTCAGACCTTTTCCTCCTCACCATGAACACTGTAGTTCTTATAGCTCCAATGTAAAGAATCTAGCCCTTTTCTGTCATGGCTTTATCACATGTATCTTTATCGTTTTGATCCCTCATTGAAAGCCCTTTCGTCACTGGGACTTTTTGCGTGACTAACCACAGATGAGAGTATTCCAGATCCTGCTCTGTAAATAATCACGGATGATATCAATAACCAAAGGGTAGACAAAAGAGAGGTAGATTTCCTTTTGAATTTTCCTTTTTTTTTTTTATTATTTGTAATTGTTTTCAAAGACTTTTGAACTTTGTACATAAATAGCAGGATTTTTTGTGTTATTTTGAATGCGTAAAAGGTAGTTGTAAATGGAAGAATGTGATAAATAATTAGAAAAAAGGGGGTGTGTGTATAAAGAAATCTGGAAAGTTAATACATATTATGTATATGTATATATATATATATATATAAGTGTGTGTAAAGCTAGAAATAATAAACAAGTGAAATAACTTGCTTCTTTCAAATTTGATAAAAGCTAGGCTTCAACAGATGGGTTACCTTTTTTCTATGTTATTTTTTTTATGAGAGTAATGAAGGAGAATGATATTTACAAAGATGGGAGACAGAGGAAGGACGACGCGTTTTTTCGTATGGCTATTTTCTTTTCTTTTCTTTTTTTTTTTTTTCTTTTGCTTTTTTTTTAGGGCTTACGGAATTCAGTAAGCACAGGATATATGGCTTGGAAGGCTTGATAGATTTCTTCACGGACTTTTGCACCAGTCAATACAATTTTACCAGAGACGAATATTAACAATACAATTTTAGGTTTGACCATACGATAGATTAAGCCAGGGAATAATTCAGGTTCATACTGTTGCAGGCAAAAGAGAATGAGTCAACTCTGTCGATTTAACGATGAGCAAAAAATAAAATAAAATACTTACAGAACTGAAATGACCGTGAGAGTAGGCTAAACCTTCAAGACGAATAGGGAATTTGACATCGCAAGAACCAACAATGTTTTGAATCTTGAAATCCGTAAATTTCGCTTGGAATCCCAACTTTTGAATAATACGAGCGTATTTACGTGCAGCGAGTTTTGAATCATCTTCACTTTTAGCACCAGTAACCACCATTTTACCAGAAGCGAAAATCAAAGCAGTGGTCTTTGGATCACGGATACGCATGATAACAGCTGCGAAACGCTATGATTATTTCGTGGTTTTTTCAATATCCCTTTCTAAACGGATGTGTTTTGTGACGAAAACAAAAAGTAAAAAAAAAAACCGTAAAAGAGCAAAAAGGAGATCCAAAAAGTATGATCAACAGTGTTTGATCGTTCATCAAGAGAACGATCTGGAGTGTAATTTCGATAGAAAGAACCAACCTGCTTGATCTGCTGATCATGAAGCTTCAGATCTCCTCTTTTTTTTCTCTAAAACGGGATTTTTTACTTGTTGTTTTCAGTAAAAGAAAAGAAAGTTACCTTTGGATTGTACTCTGCATTACGCGCATGAAGAGCGATAGTTTTAAGGTCTAAACGACAATCCAAATTAACAGTGGCAACAATATTTCTGTAATTTTTCATTTTTTTTTTTTTTTCAACGATTTGTAAAAAACAAATGAATCAGTTAATGTCACTACCCACATGTACACTTTCGGTGTGAATCTTTGTACACGTAGCCCAAAATAATTACGACGATATTTACTGTAGTGTGGGTGTAATACCAGCCACAGCATGAGGATTGGAATCTCTGTTAGCAGTAGTACTAGGTGTAGGAGCATCATTAGGTGCAGGTGTAGTTGGAAGAGCAAAAGGAGTAGAAGGAAGAGGCGTTTGCATAGCGGGCGTCTGCATAGCAGGTGTAGCCATTGAGGGTGTAGCAATATTAAATCCTGACATTATGATGAATTAAGAGTAATAAGTAAATTGTTGGTTATTTTCTTTACTGTAGCAAGTAAAAAAGGATGGAAGTAAAGAAAATTGCAAAGTTAAAAAGGGAAAAGAAAAAGAGAAAATTTTCTTTTATACTCTCCCCCTGCTGCAGTGACTTGCTTTGGGCTTTTGGACAAATCAAATTGAAATTTGACATATGAATGGTACAAATCAAAAAATGCAAAAAAGATTCTTTCAACGGTTGGTTTGAAGCAAAAGCGTTCAAGCCATTGGTATTCTGCTTCCAACCCTTGCTCTACAACCTCTCCTACAATATAACCTTGTTCCATCGCTTTCATGATCTATGTTGATCTGATGAAATGTGCTTTCTACTTGAAGTAATCTGGTGTGTTTTGCGAAATGAACAACTGTAACACTCAAGCGTACACCAGCTAGACTTGCAGTCTACTGGGTCAATCTATCTTGTATTTCCATTGCAATGATTGTAAGAAAGGCATGTTTGATTGTTGATGCATAAATAGGAAGCTGTTGCAAGAAAACAAAAAGAAACACAGGTATAATGTTGGAGATGTTGAAAATACAAAAGATAAATGGCAATGCTAAGTTTGATAGTCAAAGTGGGCATTTCTACGTTCGTGAGACATTGAACCCCCTTTGAATAAGTACGAAACTCGCGGAAGATATTTCAAATGAGGTAATGCGGATATCCTTCCCCATTAAAATTTCCACAAAAACCATCCTAACCCGTGGATTGCCGTCCTTACTTTTCTTTTCTTGTATGTCATTGTCAAATACGTTCGAAAGGCCACCGTAAAAAAACGGTATCATTTAGAGCAATAAGAAAATAAAAGGGGTTCTGCAGTCTTGAGGGCGTTGACAGAGTGACATTTTTTTTATTTTATTTTTTTGTATATCAATAAACAGTAAATGAACCATTCAATTAATAAAGGACGCAAGTTCCTCCCACAATCATGTCATCACAGAAAGAAGTCGTAGGAGACATAAGACAATAGACGTTTGTGAAGCCACATAGGCGGATAGTACTATAAAAGTTACGATGGAAAAGCCTTAATACCATCTAAACGCTGTAAGCTGTGAGCGTACGCATGCACAAGGGTAATTCAAACAAAACACACAACACTATGTTTTCTTGTAGGCGTTTCGTTATGTACTGCCAGACGGTTCATCTATCGTTGTTTATTGAAAAAGTAACTGCTGCCAGAGGAGCTGAGCTCAGGGGCAAAAAAAAAAAAAAAAAAAGAAAAGCCCACTCACTAGATTGAGTGACTGTCCGGAACTTTTGTGATTTTTTTTCTCGAAGACATGATAAAAAAAAGCCGTTCTTTCCTGCAGCGAAAAGAACACAAAAAGACACTATCTTTTAGCGCTGTGTCATTTTTTTATATAAAATGTCTGAAAAAGAAGGATCAGGATCGAGCATTACACCCAGTGTTAAAAAAACCACCAGACGATTTGCGCCTGTGAAAAGAGGAGGCAAATCACCTGCAGCCAAAAGACGTGAAGCAGCAGCGGCAGCAGAGTCGTCGGCAGCAACAGTAAGTGAATCAAACGGTGGAGAAACGTCATCGGCAGCAGAGTCAAGTGCAACAACAGAATCGCATACATCTTCTGCTAATAAATCCACTTCGATCGGTACGATCCGCCCTACTTCTTCAGCCGAATCGGGTCGATTACCCAGTGTGAATGATGGGCAGAAAACCAGAGGAGGAGCGATCAAGATGAAATTCAAACCCACCATTCCTTCCAAGAGAAATAAAAAAGAAGTAACTGCTTCTACTATTGATGAAGCATTGAATACATCAAAATCAGAACGCGGTGGACGTCCTGGTGAACGGGGTGGGTTTAGAGGCCGTGGTGGTGGTAGGGGTCGTGGCCGTGGAAGAGGTGGCAGAGCCGGTCCAGGCGGCATCATTCTAGTAGACGAATCTACCACTGCCTCGGGTTTGTTCTCCTTGGGTCCATCGATTGTATCGAGAATCAATCGCCCTGTCTATACAGGCGGCGGTGGTTATGCATCGTATGGCGGTGATGTACCTTCCAGAGCGGAAGGAGAAACAGCCAATTCAGATATGGTCGAGATGTTTACGACCGACATGCGAGAAGATACACCGGTGACATTCAAACATATCTCTCGATTAGAAGGGGATATTGATCCTGTCACATTAGAGCAGAAAGTGGGTAAAATTCCTTGGATCACAGTGAAGCGAGCCGAGCCAGCATTAAAGAAGGAGGAAAACAAAGACATGGAATCCCCTGTTACAGTAAAGGCCGAACCCGTGGACGATACGACTGATATATTGATGGAAGATGTACCTCTTCGTTTGGAAGATGACGAAACAACATTAGACAAACCGATCCATATCGAGAATGGTGACAAAGAAAAGACACCTGAACAAGAGGCAGAATTACCCAAGGTTTATATGGATAGCGATGCGCCCGCACAAAATATCTTTGGTTTGGATCAGAATCGCAAACTTGTTTGTGTGGCAGAGGATGAATTATTACATTTCCAATTACCCGCAGTTATACCCACATTTGAAAAGCCAAAGGTACCTGAAACGACTGATGCGGATCCGTTAGATACTGAAATGACCAATAAACCTGAAGACGACGATAAAGTAACGATTAAAAAGGAAAGAGATCTACCACCAGCAGCCAAAAAGTCAACACTTTTGCTGGAGGAAGCTATGGCCAATATGGACTTGGAAGATATGCCTGACGGACAAGTAGGCAAACTCATCATTTATAAAAGTGGTAAAATGAAGATGAAGTTTGGTTCTATTCTGATGGATGTCAATCAAGGCATGCATCCTACTTTTCTAGAGAATGTCATGGTGGTTGACCACGAAAGTGATGAAACCAAGAAAGCGATTGAATTGGGCCATATTGTACAAAAATTTGTCTGTATTCCTAATATGGATGCGCTTTTAGAAGACGTTCATAACGACGATACTGCTACCACTATGTAAATTGAAAAAATTGCATTTTTTTTTTTTTTCTTTTTTTGTTTCTGTTCTACTCTATTTTTTTCTCTACTCTCCTCTCTTTACATCTAATGTACAAATAAAATGACGTGGACTGTATATATTAGCTCTATAATATTAATATCGCTCTTATGTTATGCCTATTTCAGTCTTGAGCATTTTCAGAAAATTTTACCTTTCAAAACCAACCATGTGCTGATCTTGACAGCCCATCCCGACGATGAATGTATGTTTTTCGGTCCAACAATAACATCACTGAAAACATTAACGAAAGCACGCTTGCACGTATTATGCTTATCCAATGGTATGAACAACAAGTATTCGATGACAAAGGGATTCACTTCATTTATGCATTGCCACTTGAAATAAGGTAACGCCGACGGTTTAGGTGAATTACGTAAAAAGGAATTGGTGAAGAGCTGTCAAACGTTTGGACTTCAACCTTCACATGTACAATGCAAGCATCATCCGTAAAGTAGTTAAAGTTCCTTTATGAAGTGTGGGTTTTGTGGCGTGTCTCTCCATTGCCTAAACTCTATTGTCTTATTTGGTTTTCACATTAGTGACCTTCAAGATGGTATGCAGAATATGTGGAGTGCTGCGTTAATCTCGAGCCTATTAAAGGATTTTGTCGCAAAGCACAAGATTGATACTGTAAAATGCGTACAATGCTACAATCTTTTTTTTTTTTTTTTTTTTGTTTGTCTCCATTGAAACATCCATTTATAATATCCATCTTTTTTCCTTGGCTTCATTAGATCATCACTTTTGATAATCATGGTATATCTGGTCATTCCAATCATATCGCGACCTATCGGGGAGCAAGGTAAAGGAAACAACTCGTTCTATACGCATTCCCTGCAGTTTGAATGAAGCGCGTTTTTTCTTTTTTTTTTCCATGCCGTTAGGGAATTTGTACGATCAGAGAACAATCGTGTTCAGCTATACTGTTTGAAGTCCTTACTCGTGGCTCGAAAATATATCGGCGTGTTTGATTTGATGATACCCAACGTGAACAGGAACAAGAGCAATGATTTGAGATTGATATCTCCACCTCTGGCTTATCTGCTTACTCATAAAGCTATGCGTCAACATAAAACTCAACTTGTATGGTTCCGTTGGTTATATGTTACTTTTTCACGATATATGTTTGTCAATGATCTGATGAAAGAAGTGGATGCAGAATAGTCCACTCTGCTTTGCACGAGAATAAACAAAACACAAAGAGTTCAACGTACTTTGACATGCGAGAATAGCGCTTAGTGGCCATTCTCCTTCGTTTGAAGACACGTGTTTTGTCACGTATAACTCCTGCTCTTCCTCTTCCTTATTTTTTACCTCAAAAGTACAATTGATCCCTTACAGTCAAAACCGCCTTTTGTTTCTGTCTCTTGTTTCTGCCTTTCTCGCGCTCGCTCTGTTGCCTTTTCTTTCTTTCGGTTTAAAAGCACAGTCAAATTGATTTTTTTTTTTTTTTTTTCAAAAACGAAACAAATTATGAAGTAATGAAATTTTTATTTTCCCTTCCCTTCCCTTTTCCTACATAAACTGACTTTTCCCTTTTTCCATTATTCCCTTTTTGTTCTTCTTCCTTTCTTTCGTACTTTTTTTTCAACGAAAAATCCTCCGATTACCTTTTATTTTTTTACAATTTTCATTACTTCAACATGAGCACAACGGATGATAAATGTAAGCAAGAATGAAAAAAAAAAGACAATTTCATAAAGAGCTTCAATAGCGCTAAGTACTGTTTTTTTTGTCCACCATCTACAGCTGATAAAAAAGTACAAGATTATAAAAAACGTATCCGAGAAATTGAAGAAGTAAAGCAGCTTTTTTTTTTTTTTTTGGAAAATAAAGCAGCAGTCAACCGACTCTTGTTGTTTGATTTCCTTGTCACCATAGCAACACTAATTTTTTTTTTTTTATTTTTGCCTCCCTCTCTCTTTACCTTCAGGAAAATGAACATATCACTGTTCAATTAGCTAAAGCACGTCATCATATAAAACGGCTACGTATCGAAAGAATGTAATGAAATTAATTCAATTTGCAAATGATGCATACAAGAAACCCTTTAGCGAGAACGAAAATTTTAAAAAAAAAAAAAAATATGTCTTGTTATTCTAGCGTTCTATTGGATGAAATTGATGATTTACGAAGAGGAGGTGGACGTTCTAATGGCGTTGGCAGTCATATCAAAAAATCAAATGGTATTCATAGCGGTATAGGCGGTGCAGGCGATGAAAGTGACTCTGAAATGTCTGTTTCCGAGTCTGTGATGGTAAGCTTGAGTCAACAATTTTTTTTTTCCCCCTCTTACATGAAGGAACATGCTATTCTTACCCAGGCTAAAAAAAAAATTAAACATCACTAGTCCGAGAGTAGAGGACCCAGTGGCAAAAAAGGCCGTGGTGCAGGAGTTGGAGGTAGTGGTGGCACTGTGGCTACTGCAAGCGGCACATCTACTTCAACAGCACAACGCAAAAAAAGAGACCCCAACGCACCCAAAGGTCCTGGTAATGTATTCTTCCTTTATTGTCGTATGGAACGTGACAGTATCAAAGACGAAGTTCCCAATGAAAGTTTGGGTGAAGTTACTCGCTTATTGGGTCAGAAATGGAAAGCATTGACAAAAGAACAAAAGCAGAAATATTACGATCTATACAGAAAAGAAATGGAAGAATACGAAACAGCCATGAAGAGTTACACAGCAGCTGGTGGAGGAGCAGAAGGCGCCGCTGCAGTGGCCGCTGCAGCCGCTGCCCAACAACAAGAAGAAGAAAAGTTAAAGCAAGAGATCAAGAGCAAGCATCATGACGGCGAGGGAGAGGAGGCTGAAGAAGACGCTGAAGAAGAGGAAGAAGAAGAAATAGATATGCTTCAAGATGAAGACGACGAAGAAATGGGCCATTCTGATGAAGACTTGGCAGCAGTTCTGGCGGATGAAGAAACGGGTTCTATCAGTCCTAACGCGATATCTACCACAGCAACACAGTCCAACAATGATAAAGCGACTCATTCATCTACGACACCAAATCCTATCTCCAAGACACCCGGCACTAACTCTACTACTAGCACATCCACTACAACAACTTTTACACCAACCACCTCCAGGCAATAATTATCTCATGAATGTCCCACCTTTCTCTACTATAATCACCTTTTTCTACATTTTCTTTCTTTTATTAGCGCAACGTTATTATATTTCTCAATGGATAAGCGTCTCCCCCTGAAAGAGGGTTAATATGGCTGTTATCTATAAATAATCTTATTGGTTGATAGGTTTGATCTATACACATAGAAAGATACAAATGAATGGTCAGCTTCTATCACGTACTTTTTACATACGTACTTATATAGCACTACTACTAAACATAATATATATTGCAATTAAATCTTACCTTGAAATGTAAAGAAATCAATGAAAACACAAAAGCTTTTAAATCCTGCACAAGGTAGTAAAAAGCGCGCAAACCTGCAGGATCTTCACTTTCATTTACTTCCACAAGTGAACTCAATTTTGATGTCTTTTTAGTTTTTTTGCAAGTAAAAAAAAAAAAAAAAAAATAAAAAAAAATGAGCTTGTTAATGCTCATTTCTTCATATTCCAAAGCATGTGTTCTCGTCCAATATGCTTACCTCAAAAGAGATATGTTCATCGCCTAAACGTACTTCGATTTCTTGACTTCCTATAACATTCTTTTCTGGCCATTTAGAATCGTCTTCCCTAATAAAGCAATATTGAAACAGTTGAAAATAACGTCAATACTGAGGCGTCATAACGATACTATCTGTATAGGCATAGAGAGTATTTACTTCATAATGCCACTATCTTCAATTATTCTCTTCAATTCATCCACAACTGCAGGACTAATATACACTGCGGAAAGAAAAGTCGTTAGTATGTGTAGTTCGTTTTCGGTCAACCATTTTATAGCACCGTCTTACTTTCTTTTCTAATCAATGTATCGTTTCTGTAATTGGAGTTATTTGCATATCGACATAGACCGTCTTCTCTGATCTCAAATTCCAAAAATTCGTGCCCATGACGTCCCTTGTGTCCAGAACTACATTAAGGATCATAAGAATGGCGAAAAATGAAAGAATTCGTTAATGGACGCGATCTCAAGATGAAGACAACATTCGAGAGCTTCCGATTCTTCATCAGCAACAAATACTAACTAATATCGAACATAAAAAGGCTGAGACATTATATATGTGGATGGTGAATCAGTAATTGTTGTATGAAAAAGACAAAATAAAGCTGTCAATTCAGCAAGAAATACAGAAACAAAATTTTCAAAGTCAAAAAATAATGGAACTCGGTAAAAATGAAAGCGAGAAAAAAGACTGACTGCCTCTGTTTTATAACGAATGGTCTTGAATTTCCCTGTAAGCATAAGAGACTGACCTGAATAGAATCACTGCCCTCTTAGCATTGATGTGTTTCAAACAGAAGCATATATGCACAGCTCAAGTTGACTGAACCGTTCTGTATGGATGCAATCAAAGAGGCTTTTTTTTTACCTTTGAGAATAAGTCTGATAATGGTATACTTATTATACGTGATATGTCAGTCTCCCAGAGAGTTTTGCAATCAAAACACATAAAATTGGCCTTCCATCCTACTATGAACGTCATTTTTTCATTATCCAAAAATAGCACCCTATCTCATTTTGAAAACAAGTACATTTCAAAACATTGCGTTTTCTATTTACTAGCAGAATGAAGTGAATTTTTGTAGCCTCAGCCAAATGACTATAAGAAGAGAACAAAAGCTCTTTCAAGGTTACCCTTCTTTACCCCTCGTGTACCCTCATCAAAGAAGCCTAAACAGAATGTTGATAGTGTACACGCAATCAGAAATTATCTGTCTTTTAATGGTCTTTCATCTTTAAACCACTAGGAAAATAGTATTGGAATGCCCATACAATTGCTATACAGGGATAAAATACATACAAGTGCATATGCGAGTTTTTTTGGTTTTTTTTTGCTCTTGACAATTCAAATAGAAGGTTCATCTTTGCTGGCACCTCATGTACCGTTGCTTGATCCTGCCTCTGCTTCTCATTTTATCCTATCATATGTTGATGCTTTATTACTTATTATAAAACGCTGAAACAAACCTTTCTTAGCTGCTCTCATACAAACTCTGAAAGGTACATTTTTGCCTTTTACAGAAGACTGGTCCGAATTTTTTTAAACTTTTGATCAACCGAAAACGTGGTTTTTGCCCCTTTTTATGATCGCTTTATTTACACTTGTCCTTCTTTCACTTTTGGCTCCCTATCTTTTAATCTGATATCTGAGAAGCTTCATCTGTAAGCCTTCTGTATAACTAAGCTCTAATCAACTTTGTTCGTTTCAAAGCTAATAAAAAAAAAACTGAGCTCTCCCGTCCTAAAATTAAGCTAGAGATCAACAAAAGAGAAAAAAAAAACCAATGGCAACGCTAACTCAGACGCCACCCACTGCAGCCTTAAACCGATTAAATAATAACAATAGTTGGAGTGATCCCATACAAAATAAACCTAACTTAGCATTGAACAGCCTCAATTCAATAAACCGTCCTGATTCACTTAAAACTACACTTTCTCTTTACAATGCCATTTTCAGTGATGACGACGATGATGATACCTCACCACCCCACATTTTAGGCAATTATTATCCGACAGCTAAATTGAAGCATCCAATTTCCTCCTCCTCCTCCTCTAGTGGTTCTGTGAATAAGCATCCTATCAACAGCCCCAATACATTAAGACCAACGAACTCTCCTGCTGCTGCTGCTTCTACTGCTATTGATAACGGCACTACTAAATCTTCAATCTATTCATCAAGGTATAATGCAGCTGCTGAATCATCATTTTTAACAGCTTCTTCTTATCACGTACATCAAGCTGATAATGCACTAAAAACATTAAAGCGCATTATTTTGGAGGATGATTGGAAAAAAGTTCTCAAGCATAAAAGTGGCGTAATGGTTCATATGAAAAACGGAATGGATAAAGATGATAAAACGCCTATCTTCAAAGGCGAAGCTGTTATTCAAGGATTCTCACCACAATCTATCTTTTATGTCGTTGGAATGCGCAAATTATGGGATGAGCAGTAAGTGTCTCTTGCAACATTAGCAGAAAAAGAAAAATAAAGTAGGAAAGGGCTAGGATATGATTTGTAGCCCTTCTTACTTTTGCCTCCTCTATTCCCATTAGGTATGAAGATGGTAGCCTTGTTGAGAATCTGACTGATACAATATCATTGACCTATGAAGCCATGAAACCTACACCTACTCAGAAGTAAGTCATTTACTCTCACCACACACAAAATCTAAAGATGTTGCACATAATGCAGGTAAATAAAAGAACTCATCTATTGATTGAAGATCGCGGGATTCGGTTTTAGTCGAAAAGATTGAATGCACACAGAACGGAGCTATTATATTCGCATGTACAAGTGTAGAAACTCCTCGTATACCAAAAGTAAATGGTAGGACCCGTGCTAATATAAAGGTAACCCGGATTTAGTTATCTTGGCGCTTCTCTGTTTCACTGCATTTTGTTTTAACTTTTTGTTTTTTTTTTCCCAGTTGCAAGGCTGGATATTGGAGCCTCTTTACGGAGGTCCTAGACCCGCGACAAAAGTGATTTATGTTGTTCAAGAAGCCATGAAAGGCTGGGTACCAGGATTTGCGAAAAAGACTTTGGCCCGACGACCTTTGGTCATCGCTAAGGTTGCTGAGTATTTAGAGAAAAAGACAAATCGTCTGCGATCGCAACAACAGCAACAAAATCAACAAGTGAAAAGTGGGAGCACTTTCTTTCAAACTTTCACAGGAGGCCGTCGTCGAAGACCATCTATTATGAGTAGTAGTAATAGTAACAGCTGTAGTAGGCCAAAGGCGCCGCCACTCTCCTCTCCCTTGTTACCCGCTTTTCCATCATCGCAGTCCAATGGTTCAACCGGCTTTCTGTCACAGTCTAGCCCGTCTCTATCGGCACTAAAGCCTGCCCCTTCACAGCGCAGTAGGAATGGTTCCCTCTTACTCCAACAGCAACAATTACCACAACAGCCTTCATACAATATAAATGATAACGCAGTGAATACTACCGCTGCTTATTACGCCGGTGACAAAAAAAACGTCTCTTTTGCGCAGAACATTATAGCTTATCCGCTGAAGAATGAACCTCACGAGTGTCATGATGAAATTACGAACAGCAACAGGAATAACACATTATTTGCTGCTACTGAATCAATAGCAGAAGATCAATCAAACACTATTCATAACAAACTGACAAAGGCACAGTTGGAAAAGTCAACCGGAGGTCTTTATTCCTCTCATCGGCATCCAATTCAGAAAGTCGAGAGTCTTCAATTACTTAAACGACTTAGTCTCACTACAAACGACTGGTCTCTCGAGAAAGAATCTGAAGAGGGTTGTAAGCATTACATATTCAACGCTCATATTTCTTCAAGTGAGGAAGAGGATGACTTGACATCTTTATTACATGAGTACAATGGCTCTACTATAAATGGCAACACACCCTCGCGTTCAACACGACGATTATCCTTCATCAGAGTAGACGGTGTTATTGAAGGTAAATGGACAGCAGAGCAGCTTTGCTCAGTCGTTTGTAATTTTGAGGCAAGAAAGATCTGTAAGTAAATATGTCACCTCTATTTCAGTTGAAAGGCATGTACTGACTTTTTTCTTTCTCTAGGGGATTTTTCTTTTGAAAATGCTCGTCGGATGGATAGATTTAGTCAAAAGGATTATTTGGAACAATGGATACTGAAGCATGCCAATACTGCTGTTTCTTTACCAAGTATGGATATGGCTGTTATCACGAGTCTAGAAACAGATCCTGTGACAGGAACAGTCTATGCAGCTTCCACCAGCGTTGATGATCCTCAACTCCCTCCTCCTTTCAATTTTCGAAATACAATTCAAAACTGTATTCGTACTGAAACTGATCTCTATGGTTGGGTATTTCGTCCGCTTTCTAAAAAGAAACAGCAGCGGCATGGCGATGACAACGCCGTCTCATCCATTCATGTATCTTTTATCTGCAACATGAATTTTAACTATAACTTTTCCAACCAAGTATTGCAAGCTTGGATCAATGCTTCTTATCGATCAATAAGTCAGCTGAAACATTATTTAGATCATTATGGCTGTCCTCCCTACATTCGGCGTGTAGCGGGCAAAGTTATCAAAGAAGAATTTGATCCATTCAAGAAGCGCTGTCAGATCAAATATATTGCGAAACATCAGCCGTCGGATTCTTACCGCCAACGTAAAGAACGTCGACAGCAGCAGCAAAAACCGAATCACAATAACAAATCCGCGTCAGCAGCAACAGCATCGTGGTGTACTGATGTTCGTTTTGATCGTCAAATGTATCCTACTGGTGTAGATATTTGTATTACTCCCGCGAGCGCGACCCATATCCAGGTATCTACAAAAGGCCAAACATCCGTCAAGATCTTCACTATCGACGAGTCTATCGAAGGAGAAGAAGTGACATTCTCGATGCTGCCACTAGTTTCTGAACCGGTATCCGCTTCGAATGGGAATGTGCCTTTGCACACGCGGTATGCAATTAACGGCACTTTGTTCCCACAAACAAAGCGGATGGCCAATGCTACAGTAGCCGCTACAACTGCTACTGAAGTATTTTCCAATCACGGTCTTCGACGTGAGCATATCAATGGCTCACCAACGCCTTCTGCTGCAGTTTCAGATAATGACAATTCTTCAGCGTTAAATCCTTCATCTAAAGCTATTACTGTCTTAGATCTTACATCTGTAAACAAGAAGAGCCTGAACGACGACAAAGGCAAGTCCTCAACCAGTTATCGGAAGAGTATAATTTCGCTTAAAATCTTACGCTTTTTTTTTTTTTTTTTTTTAATTTTGCCTTCATTGCAGAATATAAGAATGACAGCTTTTTAGAACAGGGTCGGCGTGTAAAGCAGTATAAAGAGCGAGACTCTATCCGTAAAGAGACACATACTGGGCCCAATTCGGAACATAGTAGTAAGGATCCCGGATTTGTGAATATTCCTAAAGGATATGTGCTCGTTTCTGAACATCAAGTAAGCGGAATATTTTTGAGTGTTTGCTCACACTAGATAAATTCTGATCGCTAGCCTCTTTTCATCTTTTTAGAATAACAATATCATTTCGATCACTGATGAATTATCATTCAATGGACAGCAGTTGTCTTTCATATTCTTAGTTATGGTGCTTTGTTACTATATGGGCAAATTCTCTTCCTGTAGTGCTTCTTAATTGATAATGCCTTTGAAAATGTTTCTATGATACTTAATAATCTCTTGATCCACTATAAATCCCATTTCTCTGTGATCCGAGTACGCTGTGCTGTTCCACTCACACTTCAAGCGTTTTTCGTAATACTTTAGCAGGAATTTACAAAGATTCCCTAGAAGACTGTATTTGATAATGTTTATAAAAGTCGAGACCCAAGCTTTCTTTAAGGTTGTAGTGGGCTGATATATTTAACTTGTTGCTTTTACAAATTCATAGAGTTAAAAAGACAATCAGAGGTATGTATAGGTAAAAGGAGTCCTCTTGTTGAAAATGATGACCAGTTTATTCTGCTTTAGCTGCACCAGCTGCTGGTTGATCAATAATATTCAATTTTGGTAGGCTCGAATCTGCTGCTGTGGCAGCTTCTTTCTTTTGCTTTTCCAATTCCTTTCGTCTCTTATCAGCTTGCTTCAGTTCCTCTGTTTTGATACGTGTAATTCGTGCATACTAGGTTGTTGTTGCAATTATGTACGGCAAAAATGATAGAAAGGTTATTCAGCATATTGTACAAAGAAACATAAAGAATTGATAATATTGTCGAATGGTTACCTCTTTCGTATGATGAAGGCATTCGAAATAATCATCACGTTGTGAAATACAGTCAGAAGGAAGATCAGCTGAAGCATAACACTTGTTGAATTCCTGCCAGAAATGGTAACAACGCCCGCGGCCTACATTTCAAATGCTGAACGTGTTAGATGAGCAGAGAAACAATCGAAAGAAGTAAAGAAAAAAAAACCTATAAGCTTTTTATAAAACAACAATAACATACCACCATCGATACCGAAACCAGAAGCCATTTTTTAATATAAGAGTTACTTATGAGAAGAAGAAAACGGTGTAGAGAAAGCTTGTCTGTTTTCTTGGAGAAGGTCGGTATATCAAAAAATACAGGAACATCCCCGCAAATTTTATGGAGTTTCGGAATCGCAGGGTCGTGACGTACGGGGGAGTTTAAGCAATACTTTTGAGCATCTACATATTCCAGCCCAGAATGATAGTTTGTCTACAGTGATAAATTTAGTGAAAGTATACCATGAAAAAGTAACTTTTTATTAAAGGCTTAGTGAGTGATTTAAAATTCAGATCTTATATATGCGTAAATTTATATGAGCAGGTAGTGTTAGAATTTAACAGTAATAGAGAAGATAATGAGCTTTTGAGCTCATCAGCATTAGCCAAACTACAATCAAACAGCGACAAAAAATGTTAACTCAAATCTCGACAATTTTTCGCAGGTGGGTTACGATACTTACATAATTACTAGGAACAATACCGATTGTACCATCTTGCCTCTTGGCTTGCCACCAATTGCCACTTTTATTTAAGATCTCCATTACCTCTCCTTTAGCAAAACTTAGTTCGTTTGGATCCTCTGGATTTGCTGTGTCTATAAAAAGAAATGATCAACATTTTAAATATACCGCTATATTTAAAAAAAAAACTTAACAATAAGAATATTTACAAGGGTGAAGTGCTGTTGCCGTCATGGTTTGTGATGAAGAAGGCATCATGTGTGATGAAGAAGGAGCGGGTGTCGGCGAAGCGATAGGAGAACCGTAAATGGCCGCTGAATTGTTGTGATCATTCATCATCATTGCAGGTTGTTGCTGATGAACACTCGTAACAGAAGGAGGTGGTTCATGATGGTAAGCTTCAGGTGATGATAAAGCAATCTTACTCTCTTTCTTCGTCGCATTGTTTATTTCTTGCAAACCCACTGTATTTGCACCGTTCTGTGTCACAGGGACGAGGGCGCCAGAATAAATAAATTGGGACACACCAGAATCTGGTGCACTACCAAATAAAATAACCCAGAAAAACTTTTATATGTGTTAGCAAGTATAATTTGTCTTTTGTTCCTGGATCAAGTAGATACTTACCTGCATGATTATCAATATGATAGCACCAGCACTGGCCGCTTGATCCCCACTCCAACGATAAGCTATCAAACCACTGATTGCTGAGGTTAAGAAAGAAATGCTGACGCCTAAGAAGATCAAAAACTGAAGATTTCATTATTCTCAAGCACTGAGGAGACAATCAAACAAACTTTCGTACACGTTTACCATGGAAAGATATTGATGAAACACTTCACGGAAGATGCAAAAGAAGATACCACCAATCAAAAGTAATTCATAAATTATAATCCACCACAAAACGCCTGCTCTACCAATGATACAACCGCCTACAAACATGATAAGCCAGCCTATCTAACATGGAAGAATTGCAGTTAGCTATGCCAGCTCTATCTGTAGAGGACACAATCCTTTACCATTGCCATAATAGCCGACACTAGTAATATAGGATTCCTTCGCACATGAGCTATTGTAAGCATCATTTTTTTCGTCTCGGAATGAATGAAAAAGAGAAGAAAGAGGGAGCAGGTATTCAGCTAAAATCAAGGGGAGAAAGAAAGGCACCACATTACTTTCCATCGCTTTACACACAAAATTAAATCAAGGTAACGCAGAAAAAAAAAAAGTCTACAATCACATTTTCTGTCACTGTCGCTTCCACGTTGTGCATGCAGTTACAAAGTATAAAACACATATCACAACTTGAGCTAATGATAAGTTCTGGATTTTCTTTTATTGGCTTTTCAACTTTTTTCTTTTTTTTTTTGTTGTCGTGCTTTTTCTCTGAGTAACTTTGTATGTAATACATAGTGCGAGATCTAAGGACCTAATTGATCAACATTCGTAAAAGTCAAAGTGTTTAACGGTACTACAAAAATAGAGAGAATATAAAACTGTGAATCAGATAATCTCAACCATCAAATAGAAAGCATCTTTTATCATTACCTTATGGAAGCCAATATCATTAGCGTATTCACGGAAACATTGACGGCACATGTTCAAGTTGTACTTGCGGATGAGACCAGCACGATGAGCACAAACACGGCTGTTCAAATAGCAAAGTTTAGCCTACAATGTCGAAAGATTGCGTAATATGATAAACAATTCGCTGTTACTTTACCATTGACGAGAACCTTTACCGTAGGACTTGGGGTGAGAGTTCCAAACGTTAGCGTGAGCCATGATGAATTATTTATTTGAGAAGGGAAAGAAAACCTTTGAGGGCATAGCAAAAAAATTTTATAGCCTTATCGGGTATTGAAAACAATCTTTCTTTTTTCTTCCTTCTTCAACACAGGCGGGTGTCATACCAACTTGTTGATTCTATTCCCAAAGACATTACAAACATAAAAGATGCAGAAAATGAAGTTTGGCTTGAATCTACAAAAGAAGAAAACACTTAGTCAGTCTTTATCTAAGAAAAGTGCTTTTCATTCGACAAGTGACGACGAGTTAGAACGAGACGACGAAGAAGACCAGAAGCAACAGCAGCTTCACAGCAATAAGAAAGCAAAAGCTCAAGTCAATCGTCAACTGTCTAGCTATAATACGATGACGAAAAAGATAGCCGAGGAACAGGCGAAAGCACTGGAAGAAGATCCCAATATTTTTGACTATGACGCTGTTTATGATGATCTCAAGGAAGTTGAGAGGAAAAAGAAAGAAGCAGTAAAGCCAACGTCAACAAAGCCCAAGTATATTCAAAATCTTTTAGAAATGGCCGAGATTCGCAAAAGAGATAGGTTATTGGCTCAAGAAAGAAAGGTAGCTCGAGAAAGAGAAGAGGAAGGCGAGGAATTTGCTGACAGAGAAGTATTTGTGACGGAAGCATTCAAAAAGCAAAAAGAAGAGTTGGAGCGAATTGAAAAAGAAGAAAAGGAACGTGAAGCACGAGCAGAGAAGAATAAAAGTATGGATATGTTCTATAAGCAAGTGCTAGAGAAAAAGGAAGCAGAGCATCAAGCGTTGATGAAAGCATTAGCAGAAAGAAGTGTAGATAAAAACGTATCGTCAGCAGGAACGCAAAAGAAAGAAATCTTAGATACCGACTTGGCCAAGGAAGCAGCCAAGGAAGGCAAAAATGTGATTTTAAATGACAGCAATGAAATTGTGGACAAGCGACAGTTATTAACAGCAGGTCTCAATGTTAAGCCCAAGTTTGGTAGCCTTGGTTCTCTAGCTCAGTCAGATGAACGTATTAAGGAGAGAATGGAAGAGTATGAAGCTTACAAACGTAAAAAGGTGGAGGAATATAATGCAAAAAGAAAGCAAGGCAGAGATAGTGATGAACGAGAACGTCTAAGCAAAGAGATTGAAAAACAGATGATGGAGGTTAAGCAAAAGGAAAAGGAAGAAGAGGAAAGAAAGCAAAAAGAACTTGAACAAAAGGTACTGGCGAAACGCACGACACACGACGCTGCTATGAATGCTCGAGAACGTTATTTGGCGAGAAAGAAGCAAAAACTGGAAGAACAGAAGAAGTAAGCGCTATGAGGCTTTATATCCCAGCTGGCACTCCAGTGTGAATACCATTCTATTTTATATAGTCTATCCTCCTCCTCCTCCGTTTGAGCTACAATCTGTACATACAACATAAAAGATTCGAGTACGTAAAAGAAAGGGGTGATGTTGTTGTTAAAATCTCATTGGATCTTTTTTTTTTGCATTTATATAGTCTGGTTTGCTTATACGAGCAATGACTTCATACCCTTTTTTTTTTCAAAAAAACATCTGTATCTTTTTATTGGCCTTGTCAGCTTACATTTACGTGATATGGTTATTATAATTAGTTTTTTCAAAGACGAAGGTGTATTATCAATATGTGTCTTTGTCTTTTGATGTACTTTTTGAACGGAAATTATACAGTATTCAAAAGTTTCTTAGACCATTCTAAATATGACAAAAGGATGGGATCAATAAATTATGTATAAGACCTGTGTCTTTTACTTTTTTTTTCTTTTTTTTTTTTTTTGTTACCTTGGTAATTCAAACTTCTCGCCCTTCAGAACTTTATTGTAATAGATGTAGAAGAAGTCACTGTATAATGCTGTTTGAATTAAACCTGCAACCCAAGCGACCCAATCAACATATCCTTCAGTAATATATCGGTATATCCAATTCAACAAATATAATGCTCGGTAAGCACCCAAAGCGAACAAATAATGAGTGGTGATCGTTTCTGCTTCGCCCGCTTTTTGAAGCATGAATAGTTGTGGTAAGATAGCAACTGATTCTAACCAGATCGAAAAACTCCATAAAACCTGTCGAAAAAAGAATGTATCAACTCGTGCAAAAAGCATATAATCAATTTACTATGTACTGTCTTTCTTTACCTCAATTACGGTATAGTCAGCGGTCGAAGCTAATCCAAGAATAAGAGAAACACCAATAAGGTATTCGACTCTGAAAGTATCTAAACTAGCATCGTACGTAGCTTTATATCTAAACCACATCAAGTATAGGATATAGATCGATGAACCGATAAAGAAGATTTTCATGACTGTGTTGTAGATGGAGACGACCTTAAAAAACAAATCCAAGTAACGAGTGACGAAAACAAGTGCATATAAGTATTGTGTTTTGAATGAAATGCCTATATTGGAACGTTTAGTGCTTTTTTTTTCGCGTTAAAAGTGATCAATACCATTCAACTCTTTTACCTGAGCATGAATGTGTTTTTCTAATTTTCAATAGTAGAATGAAAATAGATGCTAAATGCATTAAGTCTGCCACAAGGCGAAATATGTTCATGATGTACGTGTAATAATAATTGAAGGATGCAGAAATTGGGAAAGGAAAGAAAAGAAGCGAAATAGGGGGTGTAAAACAGAGGTTTTAAATATGGAAAGGAAAGGGAGCTGCTTCCATATTGCGTTTTTGTGGTGAGATCAGTCCGACGTGATTTTTCAACTTCAGCAGAAATCAATGCCATTTACGGAAACAAAAGAATTATTTAAAGCCGGTGATTTTGGAGCGTTTACGTGTTCCACTCTCAAAGAACAAATAGTTGATTGCGCATTCTAGCTGGCATCAAGCACTCATTATCTCTAAGCTTTCAATGGCTACAGGGAAGACAGAAATCATCACTCGAAAGTGAATTGCAAGTAAGCAATGTGACAAAAGTCTTGATGTTCGTTTTGCCAATCTTCTCTACGCATTTTCTGTCACTAATCGTTAATTGTTGGTAACTTGCCATATAACAAACTTTGCAAACGTTAAGTTTGGTATCAAATGTGGTGTATCTGTTTTTACTTTGATTTTCGTTTAGAATTATTCTTAAACTATGCCTTTGAATTCTTTTCTATGCCCATTTCTTGTACCGTACGATAAACAATAAGACAAAATCAATTGTGACCAATCGAAAAGAATATAGAGCAAATGCACGCATTGAAACTATCGCACTTTGTTCGACTTTATTGCCTGATATACTACATCTACTTTTAAAAATGGGCTGTAATATAGGTAATGATTGTTTTGCCTTTTGCTTCGTGACATTTTTCAGACAGTTTCATAAGTGATCAACCGATCTATTGCTATCCCTTATTTTGGTGATGCTGCTTCCACCAATTTTATTCTGCTTAATGGTTTTGCTCCGATTCTTCCTTACGGGTAGGTCATTAATGCGACTTGGAGTGTATATTATGCTATTTTTCGTTATCCTTGATAATTGACACGCCTGTTTTCACGGCTCTATTAAAGGATTGTACCTGAAGGGTAAAAAAGAGAATGACTTAGAAAATATCACCACGCCTAATCTGACGATTGCCCAAATTTATTCTAAATTGGCAAGTCTGACAATTCGTCTGGATAACAATATTACCATACTTTTCTTGCTGCTGTCTTTTGTCATGACTCAAGATGGAGTGAACTATATGTCCTTTGATATTTAAAATTGATAATTGTTACAGCTCTCATTTATAGATCCCAGAAACTTATAATTACTCTCATACTATCAGTTTAGAACAAGACTGTACAATTTGAAGTAATATATTTAAGGATTCAGAAGGATTTCATGATACTGACTTATTGTTTATTCTTGTTAATAATAACCTTATGGAAAATGTAACCTGCTGCTTGTGTACTGAGTATATGAACTATGAGACCCAATTTCAAGACAGACCAATGAAATATGATAAATGTATATGCTATTAGTACCTGAAGAGGCACAAACAAACAACAAAAAATAATATTAAAAATTAGAGTTGAGCAGAATGATACATATGACAGAAAAAGTGGTGTTATTGAGGGCTTTTGGTAGTCTTGTTCATTTCTTTATATCTCTTACGCAATAAGATATTATAGCCATCGGCTGTGCTGCTGTAGGTACTTATTTGGTTCATTTAGTATACCAAATGTTCAACACCTTTATAGTGCTAGTATTTTGGTACGTATGAGTAGTATACTATTCACTATTTTCTCTAAGTGATGCGACGTAAAGTTAATTGGGCATTTTGAAGCGCGTATAGGACACTTTTTGCATTTCTATTACCATGGTTTGTAGGGTAAGAGGAGCAGCCATGGTTGTCGTGAAAGGATCGACACATTTTTTGTCACTGCGGTTCAGCATTTTCGGCATTATTTTCAGCAAGCCGTCTATAACTGCAACTGACCGACGATCGGTCATATATTCTCAAAAGGTATAGGTACATACGGTGTTAAATCAAAAAGAAAACTTATCCATATGAAAAAATGTTAAAAACCAGCCGCAACGAAAGGACTTTGCAATGGTAGACAAATGTTTTGAAAGGTGGTTACATCAAACGAATGGCTGAACAAGCTTGAAGAAGGCGTCAATTCTTGCATTATTCTCAAAAAAATTCCATAGCAATTGTTAAAAAAAAAACAAAGCAATCGAAAAATCGACCATCAACCAATATTTTATTCAACTATGTTGGTTTATAAAGGCAAGCAATGCTTTCACATTTTCGTCATGTCTCTCTATATCAGCTACTTATTGCAGTTGTGTCTTGGGGTGCCTACAACGCTGACTCTTTGTCTCTTTATCTATTGGAGTACAAACGTTTATCTCTGCATTAGCTTTTTATCTTTTTAGCATTATCCACTTTCGCTTGATCGCCATCTTCTATTCTACGTTTAAGGGACTGCTGTTGCTGTTGCTGATGTTGTTTCTTTGGCTGTTGTTGTTTACCTTTCTTCACAGTTGGTGCTGTGGTTTCTATTGTCCTTATGGTATTTTCTGTTCTGTATTTGACCGGATCTGAAGCCAGCAGGGCATTACTTAACCAAGGTGCTTCAATGTAGGGTATATCGTTCGTACTTAAGCGTAACGCCTCTTCTTTGTCCTCCATAATTTCCATTAGGATGACGCATGCTCTTTTGAGACCTAATATTTGACTTATTTTCACCTCTGAATCTGCTGGCATAGGCACCAGTTTCACTTTTGCTAATGCTGCCATAGTTAACAAGTGCTGACATAACTGTAGTGGTTTAATTTCTCGTTTACAAATGAATATAACAGGTGTTGATGATTTTGCTTTGTTTTTTGCTCCTCTATCTTCCTTCATATACGACTCCAAAAAGCGTGCTACTGTATTGATACCGATATGTATGCGTTTATTGAGGTCCGGTTCTTGTATCTGCTCTTCAGTTGATAACGGCAGTTTTGAAAGGTTTTCCTCATTATCGGTTGCTGTTGTTTTTGTTCCTATTGTATTCTTTTTCTTCAGTTGCTTTTTCTCTCGGCAAGCCTTTCGGTAATGACCCACTATTTCCAGAGATCTATTCGAAGGATGCAGACTTTAGTTGAAGCCAATTAGATAGCATCAGCTATTTAAAGAGGTTTTTCTTACTTCAAAAGTTGGTTTAGAATTGTTTGGCCAGTCTCCGTATGTATAGTTGGCCACTTCAGAATGAATGGCGAATTCAAGACGTTCTTATAAACGTTTTTTTTATTGGGAGATACAGAAGCCGTTCGTACGTTCTTTATTGCTGTATATACTTTTGCTTCAGACATAATGATGAACAAGAAGATCGATCTAAGCTGCGAAGATAAAGAAAAGCCTCAAAAATCATTTTCAATTGCTGAGCGGTTATTAATTTCTATAGTTTATGAATTGAATGTCAAAATTGTTTTATCAAGGGATGCTTAAGTTAAGATGGATAGAAAGTTAGTACAAAAAGGGGCAATGGCGGCTAATAATATTAATGAGATACATCCTTTCGAAGGATTAGAAAGTATAATTTGAATGTAGTACGTAGAGCTAGGTAAGTCATCTTAGGATGAAACAGTATGTAGGGAAAAGGGTGAAGGTAATGATATAAAGGGGGTGTATGTGTCAAATTGTGTATACAGCATATAGCCTCTAAAGAATAGTACAAAGCTTCTTATGAAGTCGTCGTCCGCCAGATAATGCTGCCTTTGTAGCAGCCTCTATAACTTCATCTACATTAATTTTTTGCAGTGCACTACACTCGTAATATTTGGCTCCGATTTCTCTGGCCAATTGTTCGCCCTATTCAACGTTGATATTCCTGTCAGCAATTAATTTACTACTGAATCACATTCAGACGAAGCTTACCTCTTCCGGTGTAATCAGCCTTTGACCTACAAGGCTTAACCTTCTAATCTCGTCTTGATTTGTTCTGAAATCGAGTTTTGTGCCAACTAGCAGTTTAGGTACATTTTCGCAGAAATGCGTTACTTCTGGTAACCACTATTGTACCAATTTTGAAACTCGAGTCAGTTTTCCAAAGGTTTTCTATCGCACAAGTGCTTGCTACTGAGTATTGTAAAAGATCACTTACTCTATCTTGAACGTTTGTAAAGGATGTACGTAAGTTGATGGCAAAACAAATAAGCACGACATCTGTTTCTGGATATGATAATGGTCGTAATCTATCGTAGTCTTCCTGTCCTGCAGTATCCCATAATGCTAGCTCTACAATTTTTCCATTATCCAAAGGTACATTGGCGATATAATTCTCAAAAACAGTCGGAACGTATCTCTACAACCCAGAGATTAATGTTCAAAACTTTCCATGCATCCAAATTCACTTTCTATCCAATGGATAACTTACCTGTGGAAAGGCTTTCTTTTGGTATACAACCAAGAGACTTGTCTTACCACAGCCACCGTCACCAACAACGACCAACTTTTTACGGGCAATCTACTCAAATCCATTCAAAAGCTGGTCAGACCTCCGTAATTGTCAACAATAGTTTTTGTTCCTGACTTTCTTCGGTGTACAAATCCTCATCCTTTCTACTTACTCCTCGAGTCATATTGTAGACGTGAATTCTTTTACGTTTCGTTCAACCTTTTGTTTAATACCAAATAACAGACGGAAAGAATTAAAAAACGAAAGAAAAGAGAGAGAAGTGGATGTAAAACACAAAGCAACAGTTTGAAAGCGAAAAAGATTTTAAATTGGATATATATGGAAAAAGGAAAACAACCGAAAAAAGTGCACAGAAAATTTGATTGTCTTATATCCATATCTCAGCGTAGAACACCATTCTTTATCTTTCTTTGAGCCCTACTATGCTCTCCTATTCTCGGGACTGTTTTATTGTCTTTGACGTTATTAATCGTATATGGATCTTCAATATATCTCAAAACATTTTTATTTCGTTGTCTTTTCGGTCATTTAATTAAAATGCAGCAATATGGCGCTACTTTAAAAACGAAAGCATACAAATAACAAATACACCAGTTACGTTTTATTCAAATAGACTGTAGGTTGATCCATATACAAGCTAATATTATGTTTGTATGTTTCCTCCTGGCTGCTTCTGCTGTTGCACGGTTGAGAGGCTTTTCCCTGACAGAATAGGCGATATACTAGTTAAATCAATTGATCGCTCACTTGCTAAATTACTGATAGATTGAACGGTGGCTACAATCTCACGTGTAGGCGGTTCTACGGGCAGAAGAAATTAAATTAGTTCGTTGACCAATATGAGAATCTCTAGGTTTAAAAATTGTAGTTTACTCGATTCGCATAAAATAGACAAAATTCTTATCACCAAGCTTTCTCCGCCAATAGGGAATTCCTTAACGAGACTTACGAGATCTTGCGAACGCATGCCAATGGATTTTATCATACTTACAATGTGAAGTTGAATCAGCTTCTTCACTTTATTCGATGCTTTTATATAGACATCAAATAGCCTATGAAAAAGAAATAAAAGTTAATTTCCAAAAGCAAATTATATGGAAAGCAAGAATTAAGGATGGTTTACTCTTTAAGAAGCACCGGTCGTCGAGTGCATAGGACGAAAAAGAGTTCGGCAAATCTCACTACGTCCTTCTCTGTCCAGTCATTATTTGCATCTGTCTTGACCTCACTCATACTATTCTCTGTTTCAGCAGCTTCATCTATTTCCATAGCGTTTGTGTTTATTTCATTATCGTTGGCTTCTGCTGATGTATTTTCGCTAGTGGGCGCCATGGTATTCTGTTGTCCGGCAGTACCGTCATCATTGTTTGTTTGCTGTTGTTCCTTGATCGGTTTGGTTAAATTATGTAAGGATTCAATGGAGAATTTCTCTACTCTTTCAAAAATCTCGGCTTGATTAGGATTCCACTTTTTCACAGCCACGATGCTTGTCCGTCTCTTTTTGTCATCCTCATTAATGCACAAATTAAGAAGGACATCTAGGGCCGCATAACGTATAGTCGGTCGATTGGTGACTAAGCTACGCAGAGTTGAAACACAAGATACAAACCGTTCAGAGACAGTCTCTAGATTATTCTTTATCATGTCTATTACGGTAATATCCACGTCAGGCGCTTCTAGCACTAATTTTGTTAAATTACGATCTTTGGCATCTAATTTTGGTATACATGTTTCCAATAACTTGTGGAACCACTTGAAATAACTGGGTGTATAATTGCTGATGGTTCTCGATGATGTATCTTCAGTACCATCAGTGACAATACTGTCGCTCTTGGCTTTTTGCATATGTCTTTTATCAAATAGAAACTCCTCATGTAACCAATCTAATGCTAAATCAAGTCTAAGTTTTATGTAAAATATCAGTATAGGTTCCGTATTATTTCTCTTTCATAAAAAAGCCTTCCTATACCTTTGTGTTAAATCATCTGCTATGAAAGTGATGAGGGACTCTTTCAGTTGACTATTGACATCCTCATGCTCGTCGTCATGAATAGTGATTGCCTTTTTGTCCTCCATCATCTCTTCATCACTATCCTTTTTTTTGCTACATTCTGTAGCATCAGCAATATCCATTATATTTGTACCCTTTGTCAGTAATTTACTGATGAGCATAAGCCAAATACTTTTCATATTTGTACTATTGAGTACTAAATTTGTATCAAACAAAACTCCGGCCTGTAGTATTCTATCCACTGACATTTTGATGAGCTTTCTTTTTTCTGCATTTCCTAGAATTGTTTGTTGGCGATCCAATTCATACGGCTTCAGTTTCAATGCTTGGCTAGCTCTCTCTTCGACACTGGCGAGTAATTCTACTTTAGGTTTGCTATCCTCTTTTTCTAATCGCATCAGTTGTTCTTCTTCTTTTGCAATCTTAGCTCTCAAACTTGCATCTATGCTTGTACTCTGCGGCATTTCTTCATCTTCATCTGAATCAAGCATACCCTCTAGTTTCTTACTAGGTTGATAGTCATTCATAAAATCTGCTGCTTCATTCCCAGACAATTTCGCTTGTTGGGCCGGTATATCATTCTCTCTTCTGAAACGAGTATCATTAATGTATTTCGGTTGATCGTAAGGTGGTGGATAAGGAGGTGTGCTGGATCCACTGATAAATCCTGGTCTATTTACTGCTAATGTGACTCCTTCAGGTGGTAATAACTGAACTCTTTCCGTCATAACTTCAATAGGTACATTTTGTAACACGGTCATACATAATTGAACTACATGTTGCAACGGTATCCGTGTTATATCATAGTTTGCAAGAATATTGTTCTGCGAATTTGTAGGTATAACATATTCAGTTTGAGACGTTGATGTTTTGGCTCGTTTATCAGCACGGTCTGAATCCTGTTGTTGATGCTGAGAGGCTGCTCTTTTGCGTCTCGCGGCTTCTTCGGATCGTTGTTGGTCTCTTCGTTGAAATATTGCCACATTACCTCCAACCATACCAAAAGCTGAAATCAAATCTGAACGGTGTGTTATTAGTGACTCCGTTCTGTAAGAAAACAGAGAAATGGATGGTGAGATTCCACACGAAGACGAATCGGTCATTATTTTTGTCGGTTACCTGATCAGTGATATAAACGCGAGTTTTATAGCTTTGTCTACATTTCGATAGGTTATTGGCGACTCCTCTTTTGGTCGTGTCTTCTTCCATGTAGTGAATGCTTCAATAACTGGCTTGATGAATTGCGGTCGTTTCTTCACAATAAGTGTTAAACAACTTATGGTGGCTGTAATTATTGATCTATCATAGAATGATTTTGACAGTTAAAAAGCCAGCCACTTCCATGTACCTCAACTAGACTCTGCTTCATCCTTACTCGGTATCGGATTTCATTGCCTCAAGAATATGGTTGAACACATCTGTTCCTTCTTTTTCTAGTTCTTGACTCTTTAACAATCTGTGGTCTGCTCGTAGCTATATATTATTATTGCAAGATATAAGCTTAGTACTATTCTTTTTTTTTTCTTTTTTTCTTTTTTTTTTTTTTTTTTGCTTTTTTGTTGGTTTTCGATCACTTTACATAAGAAGTATTTGACAGTAAGATAACAATGACTTGCAAACATTTGATTGTGGCAATTTTCACACCTGTGTTTTTATGCTTAGTCAATTCCGTCTCTGCTAGGTTCATAAGCGATCGTGTCAATTCCCATAAACGAGACTCTGCTTCATTTTGACATCTGAGGAAAAGAAAGAAGCAGCAAGTAAAGTCAGTGTTGCTGCTGAATTAACAAAGATTCACAAAAATGAAATGAAAGACGTATAACAAGGTCAAGACGGAAGCACCTTTCAGCCTTGTTTAGATAGTCTCTTACATTGTTTTATATACAATAGGTAATATAGTTGAGAATGCTCTTATAGAGTTTTTAAGAGTTTTCAATTCTTCCTTAGAAGCATCACTACCATCGTCCTCCCCTTCTTTCTCAAGCCCTTGATGAATCAAGTCAGATAAACACTCTAAGAACCCCTTTGTTGCGTAGATTTGGGCATTATCAGGTTGCGAAAGAACTTGTTGATCGAATTCTTGTAGTTGAGCAATTTGCCGATCAAGATCCATACTCAACTTGGTTTTGGCTGATGAGAGATAAAAGGAAGAAAGAAAAGTAGAAAAAAAAATCAAGAAAGCTAATAGGACGGCAGATACAGAAAAAAAAAACCAAAAAAAAACGCGGGCTTTTTGTTAGACTTACAACATCCGAGCGGGGCAAGCGTTAACGCATGAAAGACATGGATGACAAGTAATGATAAAATTAGGATTATCTCCTATGAATATGACTATTGCCACTCCCGATGTTTGAGTATGAGGCTATACGCAAAATGAGACCTAACGGCTGCTTATCAAACAATAAGAAACGTACTAGAACTCTGAGATCAGGAACCGAAAAATATATAATCTTTGACTCTTCTTTTCTCAACTCATTTTTTGTTCTATGCGATTGTAAGTAATTATACGGAGTCCGGAACCATCATGTCAGCAAGTAGAGAAGACTTTTCCTCACATCAAGCTCATTGTTCGATAAACCAACTTCTGCGAAAACCGATACGAACTAGTACAAATTGTTTAAGGTTGCATTAATGATTATTTGTCTAGTTTATTTGAGTAATATGTACAAAGATGATATAAAGGAATAAAATTATATTGCTAAAAAGTAATAGTTGAGAAACGAGCAACAATCAACAATGTTGCCCAAGTTATTTACAAGTCTAAAGCTTAATTACATTTACAATTGAAGTGATTAAGCAAACGAAGATGCATTTTCTTTGCGATTTGTTTCCGTTTCGTACTCCTGCTTCACCTCAGAGATAATATCTTCTTTATTTTGAGCAATACGATCGGATAAAAAGTGATTGCAATCTCGGTGAACAGCTTCATCGGCTCTTACAGCAAGTACAACGTCGCGAACAGTAGCAGTGGGATGTAAATTGTAGTAGTCAATTGCTATTTTTGGAGCTGGCTCATTTTTGATAAGACCTGCATCAATATCGTTCAGAAAATGTGTATAAGAGATGACAGCTTCTTCTTCCAAATAACCACACATACGATGAGCCGTTTTGGGGCTGAAAAGATACAGCATAAAGTAGGCGTTGAAGAAAATGCCTTGAGCACCCAATACAAGCAAACGATGGAAAAAAGTAGGTTGAGCACACTTGATCCAGCAAATCAAATGAAACCTTTCATTTTCAGCTTCATGCAATAAATGAGAGATCCAGCCGCCATCTTCTGTCATATTACGTAAAGATTTCATATGACGTAACATAGCACCTACCATACCGGGTACAGCTGCAATAGTTTCTAACATCATAGCGCGCATGTAGTGATTTCGTTTGAAGTAAGTATCGGGTAAGGTGCGCAACATCTTGACTATATAGTATGCTGATTTATCTCCGAATGTACGAGGAACGACATGTTTGCCCTCACCAAAATCGAGCTTTTCTAAGGCTTCAGTTGTTAATTTTTGCCCTTCAACGAATTCTTCACGCATGGGGATCGGTCGAGATTCCAGCGCTTCACGGAAGAAGTCCTTTGGAATATTGGTGGCAACGTTTTTAATGTTTTCATGAGGGGCTGCTTGACGTGACACTGGTGTGGTACTGAAAAACGCACGGTGGGTTGTGCTGAAAGTTGCGGCAGGTACTATAATTCGGGATACAAACGATTTGGTATAAACCAATTTTAGAGCTGGTATTGTACTAGATGTACGTAGCATTTTGTAATGTTAATAAAAATTTAGATGTTTCTGTACAAGAATGATAGATAAATCGATAAGACGAAACTTTCTTTTTATATGCTAAATCATCCAAAAGTCTTTTGATCCCAAGCCTCCGAAACCAAAAGCACTTCCGTTCAAACGGAGTTTTCACCCGAAGCATTTCAACTGGTCTTCCCCGCGATCAAAATTACAAGTTTCACTTAGTTTCTCTGACCTCACGCTGAAATCAAAGGTGGAGAATTAATTGTGCGGTACTAACCTTCAACCTCATTTCTCATAACGTTGATTTGGTGTGAAGAAAAGGTTACATATCTAGATACTAACAGAAATTATTTTTGTAGGGCTTCTCCGGGTGAAAATTATGACTCTTACACTTTCCTACTTTAGCCAATTAATTTCGGTTCCTAAGATGTGTAAGCAAATTGATAATATCGCTCCGGTTTGATTCGTACCCAATAGATGCTTTTGGTTTCGTCCACAGTTTTTTTTGTTTAGACAAATCTATACGCCTGTATTGTCCTCCTCCAAGAGATTCGAATATGATAAGAATCATCAGAGACACCGGGATTTCAATAATACATCAGGTACCAATTGTATTTATTTACAAAATAAAATACAAAAAGTATGTATAGCAACTCTATTTTATGGAACTGCACCGGCTAAAATTAGAGGAGCAACTTTGCTAAATGAAACGGCTTTTGCAGGCAAATAGCTTCATCATTCTTAGATGAGTCAATCTATTATCCCCTGTAGTGTTACAAAGGTCATTCTCCTATATGGAAGTCGAGCAAAATAGTAACAGGCTGTATGACTTATCAAAAATGATTTACTGGTCATGGCAGTAAAATAGATTGGGTTAATCGAATGCTTTTTTTCATTTCACAAAATATCTGCATGTGATAGCAATTGTTAGGATTTGTCAATCATTTAACTCGATAATATAGACATAGGATACTTATTGGTCTTCACGTGTAGTTGATTATTGTTCTCATGTAAGAAAGAGAAGGTCTTGCGCATTCAGCAACGAATAAAGCGCACGAAAAGAGATCAGAGCATCCGATCCATTTGCTAGACTCTAGAAAAAGACATATATACTTAAACTACGTTGTTAAAGTTTAGGAATCATTGATAAACGTGGAAAAGGATTCAGGTACTGGTAACATCAACTACTTTTTTTTTTTTTGATGCACAAGATAATTACTTGTGAGGATACCCGCAAGAAATTTTTCCCCGGGTTTTAGCGAATACATGTACGAAACCAGCATTTCATGGATAACTGTCTTTTTTTGCCTGTTAACTGGAATAAATTTTGGTCAATGACGGTCAAAACTTTTTCATACATTTCATCAGAGACGGACAACTATAGATCACTCGATCTATATTTTTCGCCTAATGCCAACAAGACATCACCACTTGTATTGCTAGTACACGGTGGTGCCTGGCGCTCTGAAGACAAATCTGATTATCAAGAATTGTGTCAAGGCTTCGTACACCATGGCCTTTCAGTTGCCTCAGTTAACTACAGGTTCATATTTAGAACTGCATGGGTTGTGTGGAAGATTTGCATAGATGCTAAAATGTAGTTGATTAGGCTAAGCTTGAAGGAAGGTGAGAACGACACTCCACATGTTCAGCATCCTACCCACATACACGATGTTGGAAATGCAGTCAAGTTTCTGTACGAGACACCACCTTCCGAGCTCTATGATCCTAAGCAATTGTACCTTGTTGGGCATTCTGCTGGTGCTCATATAAGCATGATGCTATTGTTGAGTACAGATATGCCTTACCATCAGTATATTCAAGGAATCATTGGTGTATCCGGTATTTACGATATTCCGCTCTTGCTTGAAATTCACCCCTCATATGCAGACTTTATAGTACAGGCTTTTGGGACAGATGATAGTGTCTACTATGATGCCTCTCCCATTAACAAAAAATCGTATATTCTGGGTAACAAACCCGTCTTCATTTTACAAAGCTCTGAAGATACTTTAGTTGATAACAAACAAGCTGAGAGAATGTATTCACACCTCCAAACATTTCATAAGAATATAGAACTCGACCTCACTTTAACTGGAGACCATTATGATATAATGAAAACTGAAAACCTACTCAAATATATTAAGCAGATGCTTCTTGTGAACGAACATACATAATAGCCCATGCACATATACCTGATATAGATCGAAATCAGTAGTCAAAGCGCAAGTACGACATATATGAAATTTGAGAGAGTTGAACAGAAAGAATAAGCTATTCAAAATATCCATTCGCAAGTTATTCGATTCTAAGTCTTGGAGGAGTTTGGCGACATTTTGTAACCAATCAACCGTCAAATAAACGTTACTGTACTATTCATCCTTCGCTTTGTATCGATTGTCAAGATATTTTTAATCTGTCATCCCGGCAAATGGATTTAATATAGTCAGAGAAATGCGTTTTTTATGAAAGGTATAAATAGCTACAAATTACAAATATGAGATGTACCAACCATATTGAAATCTTGGGGTTATGTATTTACTCACCAGAATACTATCAACTGTCTACGTTTTCTAAACTATATTTTTTGTTGTGTTGAAAGCTACTGAACCTTTTTGGGGAATATTATTAGAAAAGAATTTTAACCAGGAATAAAATTAGCGAAACTTCAAAGAGAGTTCCAGTGTCTTCGTTCATGCATTGAGGAAGAGATCTTTCATATTCAGAATAGCAAAGCATGCTATTGACCTTGAAACCCTTGGATGTATGAACTTTAGTTGTTGCTTCGTTGCATCATTGTTGTATCAGTATAGTTTGCGGGCTACCTCACAGGTTAAGACCAAACTTTTTATTCAGGAATGTTATCTGTTTCGAGTTATTCGCTCTGTGTAAAATAAATGGAAGATTTGCTTCGTCATTTTCTACCAACGCCTCTTCCAAAAAAACTTCTACTCTAAAGGGGAATCTCTCTGTCTTTAATCAAATCCTACTTCACAGGCTAGATGTTGAATGGATAAATGTAGCTAGGTCGTTGACTAAGAACTTTGGTTTTTTTTTATTACCCTTCAGATGAAGTAGAAAGATTATTTACTATGCAAGGTCTGAATTATATTATTGTGGCGACACGTATGCTCGTAATTAACTTCAGGTTTTAAGTGCTTCTTGTGTAATCATTTATAATTCAGGCGTTTAGCTTGTTATGTATTGTAATCAAATTTTTGAAGTAGTTGATTGTCTGACAAAAGAAATTCTGTGTCAAAAAGAAATATTTCATTATCAATGGCTATTTTCTTAATAGCAGGTCTTCAGTCTTTAACGAGATGGAGACGCAATGAAACACCAGCAAAGTCGATTGAAGGTAAACAATCATTATGTTTAACTGCTTGAAGAATTTTTGTTGTATATGTTATAGTAAGAATAGAAAGAGGAAAGAAAACAAAAATAAAAATAAAAAAGCCAGTGATGGATCTTCAACATGTTGAGGTTTATCCATAATTTTGTCACTTACATTTACATCCCTCTAGTTAAACGGAGAGAATGCTTGGCGTGATATTGATACGTAGACTTTATCTACAAGAGAACGGTCAAACAGATCTGACGTGTTTGGTGAGATAACAACTACAGTACTCGAGTACGTACAACCAGGTAGAGAATACATTCTACCATGGTCTATCTATATTGCATCTAATATAGGTTATAATAATTACACATCAAGCATCTGTACCTGAAATTAGTGACTAGCATACGCGTCCTCAAATAATATAATTCCCATTAAATACTACAGAGTAAATAATCTTTCTACTTCATCTGAAGAACAATAAAGACACTTAAGTTCATAGTCATCGACTTACAACCGTTACCCAGTTTTAATTAAGCAAATGCAACAAGATTATCCACCATTTTTTGTATGAGTTTACTCGTTTCTGAATCAACATCAGAAGAGTGTGATGTCTTCTATAATTACCTAAGCCAAGTATATGTAATTATTCACCTATCGGCCCATATCTATTTACAAAGTCTCAGATATGCCTTTTCTCTAAACAAATTACTTACCTCAAAAGATATAAAGGAGACCCGAATGCTACTCGAATTAAAGACAATCAACATCTTTTTATAGTCTCGCTACTTAATTTAGTCCACTATAATCCTAATTGATAAGATCTATATTAAAGAGACTTGCGAGCATAGCCAATAACTTCGTAAACAGAACTTGGCTGTCTTGTATCCTGGCAAATATTTGCGAAACTAAATATTATTATATAAGAGTAAAGAAAACGAACAGAAGAAGAGTTACGTTATTGTTGTATATGTTATAGTAAGAACAGAGAGAGAAAAGAAAACAAAAGGAAATCTGCGAAAACCAAGTTATCTTCTTTTTTATCTTCATTCTTTATCGGAATATTCAATCAATAAAAGAAGATAACTTGGTTTTCGCAGATTTCCTTTTGTTTTCTTTTCTCTCTCTGTTCTTACTAAACATATACAACATTTTTTTCTGTGAATCACTTCAAAATGTCTATCAATAATACTGCTGGTGATATGAAGGCTACTGGTGAAGTAGACAAGAACTCTGCTGCTGCTCCTGGTGCTTCTACAGGTGAAGGTGACTCTATTCAAGAAGTAGTAATGGAAGAAGGTTTAGATGCAATGAGCATCGCTGAAGAAGTAACTGAAAGGGTTACCCCTTTGTCGGGCCATGAGCATCAAGGAGTGATGATGGATGAAGCATCTTGGGTTTTGACTACAATTGACGACTTCCGTCAAGAACTGGTACGTGACATGAGTGATTTATCCCAGGCTTGCGTTAAGGGGGACATGGAAGCTTTTGATGCTGCCATGTTAAAGATGGACAAAACCCGTAGGGCTATCCGCAGCCTTGAAGAGAATTTGGCATTCCTCAGAAAGAAGAATTCGGTGGTTGATAATAACAACACGCATGAAGTCTTTTCTGGTGAAATTGGTGGTGACCGACGTAGCCTTACATTGAACCGTAGGGATTTGCCCAAGTTCCAGTTGAGCTCCGATGTATTCAAGCGTTACCCTAACGAAGAGGTGTTCGAGTCTGTTGATCACTATTTGAGGACGTTTGAGCAGATTATCAGGTCATCATCGATTGGTAGTGTCGAACGTCATTGGAGCACCCTCATTCCCTTGTGCCTTCCTCCTGGTGACTCTTCGTGGGTTGACAAGACTTTGGTGAAGTGTGCCAGCTGGTCGGACGCAAAGGTCGAATTTAGGAAGTATTATGGCTCCAAAACGGCAAAGCGTAGATTTGTGGAGCAAGTTTACACCATGAATATGGGGCTAAATGATAGCATCGTGGATTATTCAAGGAAATTCTTGCAAACTATGCATGAAGCCGGGATCTCAAGCACTGATGAAGGCGTGGCTGATCGTTTTTTGACGTCGTTGACTCCTCCTGTACAGACGGTATTACGTCTATCAATGGTCACGAACAAGGATAAGAAGTGGACTGTCGAAAAGTTGAGTGAATTGGCCAGAGACATTTTGGGCGATGATCCATCCACTTATGCTCTTGCGACTGCTCTCTTGCCTGGTGCCTCCTTCGCTGCAAACAATGGTTCGGTTGCTGTACCTTCATGTGGTGGTGAAAGGCCTGCTAAGAAGATGAAGAAGCTACATAAGGGTGGTAGCTTCCATTCTGGTGATTCTGCGGGACCCAAGTCATTCTTCCGTAAAAGAAAAGAATTGTTCTGACAAATCTATCACTTGCGGTTATTCTAACCTTCAAAAGGAACTGTAGTCTCTTATTTCAGTATTATGTAATAATCCAAGAGTGATATGCTGTTGGATACAACAGTTATAATTCTGTAATATGTGAACTAAAACCGCTGTCAAATTTCGAGAAGAAGGTGAATGCGATAAGTATGTTTTTTTGGAACGAGCTTGGGAATAAAGGATGAGAAGGGATTAACCATTAAAAAATAAGGAAAAGAATAAAGAGAAAAAGAGAAAAGTGGACGTTATTTTATTCTGATAAATTCAACTCATATTGATTGGTGATTTACTTTGATCGTTTACTTCTTGAAAGTGGATACGTATGTAAACCTGCTATTGTACAAATACTAATAAATATATCTAAATTGATAATAACTGAAATAAACTAACTATAGAAGTGCAGTGAAAAACTCAATTCCTATAGTGAGGTTTACGTATGAGTTCTTTTCATGTAAAGCAGCCAAATAAACGAAAAAGAGTAAAAAAAAGTAGCAATAAGCCTTCTCTGAGATTGCCAAACTGATTACAGCAAATTTTTATATTGTTTGATTTACTTTGAATTATGAACTAGGATAACCCGGTGAAGAACAACGTTTTGTGGCATATTCATAGTAACTCTAAAGGTTACTGTATAGTGAGAGTCAACGTGAAAGGATTATCAGTTAGATGTAGATTAAACCTCGACGACACGTCTCCCAGGCACAGATAATTGCATCATTTCATTCTACTTACGTGATAAAAATATATTCTTTGAGTCATAACAAAGTGAGTGAATATCAATATTGATATGATTAATATCGTAAATGAGATTCATAAACTCTAGGTCAAGTTTATAGTACAAAAGTTAGAATCAGGTAAAGGCCTCGTTTATTGTTTAGATCAAAATTATTCTTTATGTACGCTTTCTTAATTATATTTGCACACCTTATTCTCTCTATAAACTCCGATTATTGAGATACCCAATCGACATTAGGAGCTACTTCTAATCACATGACGGAGTTTCAACTAGCATTATGATAATTATTTACCATAACTTTAAATATCAAGGAGCCTAGCTAGCTCAATCGGTAGAGCGTGAGACTCTTAATCTCAAGGTTGGGGGTTCGAGCCCCCCGTTGGGCTTTTTTTGTTTTTCATTTCTTTCGTCAGACGTTTCCAGATGAATATGGCTCTCGTATGTAGAGTTTCTGTTTGGAGTCAAAGTATTTTTTGATACGGCTTGTAGATAAGGTAGAGTGGCCATTTGTTAAATGGGAAGATTAGATGTATACAATTTGTATCACTTATGTAGAATATTTGCTCAGGAATGGTGATTACTACGTTAGAAGATAAAGAATGTATAAAATAGTTGACGGCATTTAAGAAGGATGAGGTAAGGACTGAAAATAGACTTTAAGCTAATCGTTCCAACGCTGAAGGACGATTGGATTCAATCTGTCCATGTTAAAACAAGCTTTCTGTAATAAATATTCAATTTCTAAACCACAATGGACACGAGATACGAAAATTACCTAAATTGCAGAGGGCAAATCCAAATGTAGTAGAGTTGTCTACAAAACCCCTTTGGGTTTGACGTATATGCTGAGATAACAATTACAATACTCAAGTATTTTCAACCAGGTAGAAAATACATTTTACCACGATCTATCTATATTGCATCTAATATAAGTTATATAAATCATATGGGGAGATAGCTGCGGAATCCAGGCAACATAGAACTTCGCAAGCGAACCTGGATTAAAGAGACCAATGTATCAAAGTTGAAATACGCGATCTATCAACTGTATACACTTAAGTTTCCTCATAATCTACTTCGTATTCAACAACTCGTACCACTAATTTACCTAGGAAGGGAAAGAGCAATAAGCGCACAATCCAACAGTCGTATGATCTATTGTATAGTAAGTCTTTATACATACATGGCAAACAACGGTAAAGTTTGTTATGCTATATTTCTTCATTTAATTCTTCATCTAAACATACTTATTTTTTGTTACATGAATAACGCATATTATAGTCGTGTGATGAAGCTTTATTCTTTGCTAGTGGAATACTATAAAAGTACAAATAAATATTTTACAAAATCTAAAAGTGCAAGATATTTAAAATAGTGGATGGATATTTTCAAATGTACAAAATGAGGTATACGTATAAATATATACAAGGAAGAATGAATGAATAGATTAAATTACTAAAGATAATAGATCATATATGTAAAAGTGAGTAGGGTCGTCTTTTTATAATTTCACCAAACGACTGCAGTCATAATTGTGGGCGCGTAGATCTTTTTTGGTTTCTGAAATATCATCCAAAGTCTGCTCTAAATAAAACGCCTATAAAATATAAAAAGACATTTAAATATCTGATTGTGTAGAATAAACAAGCGATGATTACGTTAGGATCTTACCAAGAAGCCTTTCTTTGTAAGCCATCCATGTTCATTCGCTCCAAATCGATCTGCCATGTTCTTTAGAAAAGAAGGTGGGGGATGCTGACCATTGGTTGAGAACACAAACGAGTCCAACTCTTTGGGGTTTAAACATTCGTCTTTATCCTTATCGAAAGTTTCGAATATTTCTAATAGCACGTTTAATAATTCTGGTGAAAAATGGCCACTGACTAATAGAGGAACGTCTTTCTTGCCGTCGCCTTTATAATCATCTTGTTGCATAGCGGATAATATTCTCTGTTCTAGCTCTTCAAATGGCGGAAATATTGGATTAAAGGAACGACCCATATCCAACACATCTAACGCGCTACGTAACTGATTTTCCATATACAACATTGTAGCTAGAATATAATAACATCCTGCATAATTCGGCAGAAGGTCTGCGATGATAGATTTAACCTATTTAGTAAGCTTTTTTCTATGCTTGTATATCGGTAACTTTTTTTTTTTTTTTTTTCTTGGTCCCAAGTCCCTTCCATGCTGAAATGTTCCATTGAATGTGTGAATACTAACCTAGTAAAAATAACATTTTTGAGGTAATTTCTACCAACATGGAAACGTTTAACTCTAAGCGAGTTTCTTGTATCGTTGTCAACAGTATCTTCGCGTCATTATATTGCTTGCTTCCTTGATCCATTAACACTTCCTTATCTGCTTCATTCATTGTCTTGGTCTTTTGAATGTAGTAGTGCTTCCATATCTTTGGGTAATCCTTAAACTTGTTGCTTATTTCAGTTGGCAAGTTCAATCCTGTAGCTTTCACAAGTATTCTGTAAAGTTTGAAGATGTCTCCGAAATCTCTCAATGACTTCCTAAAAGTTATAAGAAGGCATAAGATGCCGAACATATATATTATGTGACATGGCTTCCGCGACTCTTACTTTCTCCAGAATTCATCGTTAGATATTAATGCCGTGCGTATATTTCTCGAGCATAAACATAGCTGTATTATATCTTTTGGCCGTAACTGGATGGCTATGCGTTGTATAACATCTTTTGGTAAATCACTTAATTGCATTATTGTAAGAAGGTAGAGAACAGTCTCTAAGCAATATTGAAAAAATAGAAAAAAGGATACTAAAAGTCTTAAGAGCTTTGGGAGAAAAAGATAAAGAAAGTTTTTTTTACTTATTATATAATGGGAAGAAAGAACACGGGAAAAAAAACAAAAACCAAAGAATAAAGCGGTGTTTCAATTGATACGAAGAAGAATAAAAAAGAAAAAAAATCAGCAAATTCTCCAAATATAGTAATAATCATTCATCAAAGAGAAAAAAAAGAAAATTTTTTTTTTCCGCGTGATCTGTAAGCTGCTTTGACAGGACAACACTCTTTAATGTCCAAGCAAAGGCGTTCTTTCACCCAATCGGTTCGTCCAAGAAGCAAATCTTCTATTTAACTTCTCCAACCATTTAGGAATTAAAGTTCGTGCAACGGCACTCACCAAGATACCCACGACAACCAAGGAAACAGTATGTGGTGTCGTTGCTGTCAAGAAAACTGCAGCACCTAAAAGAATCCTATTGAACAAAATAAACAAATGGGAATAAAAGGTCAGCTTATCTTTTGTTTAAATGATTGGCTAGACTGGAAAAAATGAGTAATAATGATACTGAGTTGAAAGGGTTGGGAGAGGCGTAAAAGTGAAACCAGAAAATTGTGCGTGGAGTAAAGTAGTGTATCTTTGATTTACTTTTGAAATCGTAAAAAAGAAACAGAAAGGTACACCAGCAAATTGCACACCGTTCGCCTTTGACTTACCAAGCAGTAGTTAATGCATAAACCCAATCCTTTCTATGCGAATAATCGACTAAATGCAATGCTACGAATCCAATCACAACAATGATGACCGTGTGTACCTGTCGAAATGTTTATTCGGAATGTTAGAAGAGTTTGCGTTCTTGTTTATGTATGTATATACACATATGACTCTTACGATCGAATTATCCTTGGTTTCATCGCAGAATTGAAAAGTTTGCCATAATACAGCAAAGAAGCAGAAAGCAGTATAAATCGAGAAAGGTGCATTGATAAACGCTTCGTCAGTAGCATTGCGAGGAGGATAATCGCGTAACCGATGATAAATAAAAATCATTGTCGCAAATTGCCAAAGTAAACCAACGAAAGCAAAGATATTCAAGTGTAAATACTATGGGATGCATGAGAAAAGGTCATTACATGTTTCATAACATATCATGACCATTATCTAAATAGTACAAAATACTTACCCATAAAGCAGAAACGGCGCCACTTAACACAGCAAATAACAGGTACCAATAGCTGATAGCTTCGTAAGCATCTAATAACAGGCAATGATCGTATTCGTTGAATCATTAGCTTTCATATATTGAAAGCGAATAGGTGATGCTTCTATCATACCTTTTGGAGCCTTCGCCAAAAACTGATAAATAGTAAAGCCAATTAACAATAACTCCAAGATGCCTGCAAGGACAAGGAAGAAATCGCGTGGGCCTATGCCGTAACCATGTCCCAGATACCTACTGGCATTATGAGTTCCGGTATTCTTCAAGAAAGATAAAAAAAAGGTTATCCAACATGGATTTACCATCCAGAGTAACCGAATCCATGAAATCCCAATAAAAGAATAGTTGCAAGCGTGTTTGCAAGCTTATACTTTATATGCAAATTAGCCATATCAAATTAGAAGCAGTTAGTAAATACTGGATAAGAACGAAACCAAAGTAAAAGAAAAGAAGAAATTTAAAATGTTAATTGAAAGGCTTGTCTGCTTTAAAACTGTACAACAAAAGCATTTATAAAAGGTGATAGCAGACAGCTGATGTCACACATTTCTGTTCTACAATTAAACACTGATGTGAGCCAAATCTGTAAGACGTTTTTAACGTCTCGGATATCTTCCATTTTCGGAGAGATCACGATTTACAAACAACAACAACAACAGCAGCACTTTTTATTTCCAGTTACATTCTTTTGTCCCTATAATTTTCTTGTAGAATGTCGACATCGTTCCGCTTACCTTACGGATACAGAAATGCACCGCCATGGCCTTCACTGTACTGGCCTTTCGAACCCAACTTTGATCCTCTCAACTTGGTGGCGGATATACCTCACTCACTCTATTACCTCAATGGTAAACGTTAGCAAAGAAAAGGCATCATTCTCCAAACTCGAAATAACACATTCTGTACAATAGACATTTGGCGATTCACCATGCTTTGGTCAATATTATTCTCATTAGCCATTTACCTACCAGCAGGTATATTAAGGATCAAGTCACCGACTGCTATATTACATTTTATTTTGCTAATATATCTTGATTTTTATACATTATGGGTGTTAGGAATTTGGGCATTTATTATGCTTGAAAAGTCCCGGACGTTTAAATGGTATATCTCGATTTTTATACCGCTGCTATTTGTACTCGGCGGTTCAATAGCATCTTTTGTCATAGGCAGCATCATGGGCGTAGCTCTTGCTTTCGTATACAACGCTGGATTTTTTGTCATGTCAACTTGGATACCCTTCTTATGGGCTTTGATTCATATACTTGTCGTTTTGATAGGCTCTTATTCTACTATTACTGCCGTTCTATAACTTTAATACTCTTTTCTTATACCCCTACTACTTATAAGCAAACCGGGCAATATATAACGTCTTCGCTCACTCTTTCCCACACATTTGCAGATCTTTGCTTACTATTTAGCAAGAAGAACAAAAGCCTGTATTATATACCATATAATAAATAACATTTTTATTCTCTTTCATGTCTGTTTCATGGGAATCACATTGGCATCATTAGCTGTTTCATTCATTGCGCTGTCATGCTCTTCTGGATAGCGTCTATTGAATGACATAGTAGAAATATAATCATCTAGTAATCTTCTTGATTCTTCTAAACGTCGATTTTCATTATGGTTATTGATCAACGTTTTATACATTGATGGCAAAGGCTGAAGCTGGTATTTGTCCTTCATGTATTGAATCAGCTTCTCAGCAATGCCCGGTCGATTGCACTTCTTGGCTTCGTAACGGAATAAATAATTGAATGTCCTCACATCCGGCTTCATACCTTTCACTTCCTCCATCTCTTTGATGATAGCGCGTGCTGTATCGACTTTGTCCGAATGCACATACCATTCAATCAACGCATTATACATTTTGAGATCAGGTTCGACATTGTAGAGCGGTAAGAGGCGCCTATATACATAGTCCAATCCTTCCACTTTCTTGTTTTGCCCATAAGCTTTTATAAGTGCAATGAAAGTATCCTTTGAAGGTAAAAACGTCTTTTGTTGCCTGGCTTTTCGCATTTCACTATCGACGCTTCGATTTACAGGGGCTGTCATAAACATGGTTGTATGTGTTCTGAGTCTTCTTACGGGCTCTTCTTCATGGAAAGGTTGGAATAGGCTTTGTATAAATGAGGTTTTTTTCGGCTTTTCAGCATTATTGGTTGATTGCATTACTGATGATGATATAGATGTTGTCCCTGTGGGCTGCGTAAATCTTTGCTGAAATACTTTTGTGGCTGCTGATACATCCCCTTTTCCTCCGTGGGCTTCTATTAACAAATTATAAGTCGTTTCATCTGGTTCAACTTGATCATTTTTCATTGTTTGTAACAGCTGTAGAGTCCAGTTATAATGTTTTTTCTGGTTTGCTGCAAACATATAACAATTATAACTGTACGTATCCGGATTTTTTATCTTTTTCCAAATAGAATGAATATTCCGCCATATCTTGCCTCGACCGTAGAATTCCAGCACGAAATTGTAGTCTACAACATCAGGTTTTGTGGAATAGTGCTTTTCCATTTGCTCTAATATGTTCATAATACAGACACGGTAACGCTCAACATCGTGAGGTTGAAAGGCAACAAGATATTTGAGTTGGAATGACTGAAGAGCCATGGAGTGTATTGTTTTCGGTAAAAGGTGAAGCTGATTGCTCTCTTTGAGATCCATATAAGCTTTGTAAACAGCACGGGTATCTCTATCTTTAATAGCAGTAAGGAGGCTTTCTTGAAGCTTTGTTGGTTTTTTTAGCAAGCGTTGTAAAGCTATAGGATCCTTGGCACCCCGATGAGGAAATACTTGGCGCTTACTGCTAATGTTGCTCACAGCGGGTGGTATACTGGCACGATGAATATGGCGACGTGTGTAATGAATACAGGGTATCAAGCGTTTATTATAACGCAAAAAAATTCTATTAAAGATTTTTTCGTTCATGGCTCTATCCTTCACGCTGCGTGAGTGTACAGAAAGGAAGTGTGTGGACGAAACCACCTATTTTTATTTTCTATTTTTTTTTTGGAGGGGTAGGCTGGTGGGGAAAGAGGGGTCGAAATGATTTTAAGGTTTCAAAGTCCGTTCGAACTTTTTTCTTTTCGGTAGATTCTGGGTTGCATGCTTTTTGTGTTATCAGATCAGAAAAGTCAAAATTGTAGAATTATAAAGTAAAAAAGTAATTTGTACATATACAAATGATTGATGTATGTGCATACCAAAGTAACTAAGAAAAAAAAAACAAACGAATTGAAATCTATATGCCTTGGACTATACGCGGCCAAGTTTGTCGAACCTATAAAAGAAAATATTCAGTTTCTTATGTTACGAGAATATGAAATTGCATTTAAACGTTACTTGTTCATAAAGCTCTGGTTTGGTTCTATGACATTAACAAAGTAAGAATGTTAAACTATGAAATTATATAAAAACTATAGGTTAAAATATCTACCTTCTTAGGGCCTCAGGATCTTCAGCTAAACATACAAAAGTGGTCGCTACACCGCTTGAAATAACTGTGGCAATTGTGGAGAACATGGAGGCGCCAATTAAAAAGCACATCATTACAATCACAGGTGTCATACCACCATTTGCATTATATGCTGGTCTTGCAACTTGTAAATAAATAAAGCCTAATAAACCGCATAAAACACCTACCAACAGACCACCTAGAAAACAATATAATGTGAAGTAAGCAAATTAATCGAGAACAATCTACCTTTAACATTTACGGAAATAGGCAAACTTACCCATAAATAGTACATTGCCAATGAGGTTATCGTTGATCATTGCTTCAATCCCGCGATCTTTGATCATTGTCCAGGTTTGTCTTGCAGAAGGGATAAATGGTCTGCCATAAATAGCTACTCCACTGAAAGCATAATAATTGAACCATTCCTAACAAAACATAAAGATATTGATGGGTTCGACGGTTAGTAAAAGAGGCTACAAACATTCTGCATGTACATCTAAAAGCTTACAAAAATACCGGCTGCACAGTTAACAATACACTGAATAATGCAAATAAAGAATGCGCCACATGCATTATCGGTATTTGACTGTGCTATTTGCAAGAAATAACGAATCATATTCACAATTGCAACCAATAAAGAGCCAAAACAGATGGAGCCAAAGCTGGTTGTAAGAGCTCGTTTAGCACTTCCCCATACAGGATGTCGAATACCATCATTCAAAAAATAAACAGTGGCAAAAATGCCAGATATAATGACATGTGTAGTGTACGTAATGACTTGCGACGTCCAAAAGTAGGAAAAAACCAAAAATACCATTGCACAATTGAGCTTCGAATTATTGCTGCTTGAACTGTACCATGTTTGATAGATACCGATGACAGTAAACATAAACAAAAAGCTAAAAGCAGTTTGAATAATCAGCGAGATAATACCAATGACAATTGTACTCGGATGCTTTTTGGTAATACTAGTGATTGTAGTAAGCATAACTGGGATGTTATTGTGACAATTCCAAAAAATTGGATTATCGTAAAGTCAGTATTTCTGAAAACCCGATTTTCCTGCTTACACTACTTTGTATATTATTGTTACCTGTTGCAAATGGTATTCTACTCCTCCACCAAAAGAAACAGCAAGCATATAAGCAAGAAAATATCAAAAATATGATGGCTGCAGAGTAATAATGCATAACGAAATAATAAATAGTGACACCAAAGTACACAATGATCGATCCAATAAACGTAATCAAAATCAAAGGGCGAGGAAACCTGTCATCGTTAAGAAATTAAGAGATTAGTACTCAAGTACACAGCATAATCCTGCACCTTTAACTTTTTACATGTTGGCAATAAGTAAATATAAGAAACTTATACCGAACCCAACCACTGCCGAAAATCCAAGTATTCTCAAAGTACTAGTATCAAAAGTCAATCCTGGCACAGCATTTTGTGATTGAATGCCGCTTCCTGATGTGTGTCCTTGATAAGTACGAAATGTCCGGCATGCAACTACTGCTAAGCCTATGAAAGCACCCAAATTACATAGCCATAATATTGTCGCCCATACGTCATTCCAGCCTGAAGAAGGCCGAATTTTGCCATTTCCTGCTCCTTCTATATCCTGAGGCGGTTGTTGTGGAGAAGGTGCGTATGATAGCTCTTGCTGTTGCTGTGAGGCATAAGTAGGCGGTGGTGGATAAGAGTAATTATTATTAAATTGTTGTTGCTGAGAAGGTGGTGCGTTGTATTGCCCCGATGGTGGTGGCGGGTAATATTTCTGTTGTTGTTGGTCGTAAGGCGTATCTTGATACATTTTTTAGTAAGGTCGAACGAAGAATGTAAATGTTCTGATAATAAGGAAATAAGAGACAGAGAGATAAAAAGAACGAGGCAAAAATGCTCCATCGAAAATTATGCAAATTAATCGTTCATAGTTTGAAACAAATTTTAAAAATCTGGGGCGCGAAGTAAAGAATTTCTTAAACAGTAATAGACTGCACGATAACGATGTCTTGCTCGGATAGTATCTTTTACAAATGGTTTTTTTTTTTTGAGAAAGCCTTGAAAGAAAGGAGAGATCCCTGCTTTACACCCTTATATTAACTCAATTCATAGCCAATTTATCAATAAAGTGTAACTTTGCAAGATAAATGTTAGGTTAGTATTTAGACATTTAATTATCCTTCGTAATGTATCTGCTTTTCACAATAGCTTGAAAAAATAAACTATGACTTATAATATAATTATGTACATATGTTAATAGAAAATCTATACAGTGATCGAAAATCCATAACAGACATCTTTACGTTAACTTCTTATATAAGAGCTACCTAAAATTATTGCCATGCTTGGGGTGGTGGTGGTGGTGCTCCGTAAGGTTGTGGTGGATAACCCATAGGAGGTCGAGATGGATAACCTGCAGGGCCACCCATTGGAGGAGGAGGAGGAGGTCTAGCGTATTGTGGCGGTGCTGTAGGGGTAGTGTTGGGGTATGCCACTACGGGAACAGGCGTTGTGTTGGATCCCACACCAATGGCTGGTGCCAAGGTGGGCCCACCTGCATATAAACGATTGGGCAATTGTACATTCTTTTTGGCTTCTGCTGCCAGTAATCTCTCTGCTGCCGAGCCATGCCTCTCTCCTTTACCATCTTTCTTGTAAGCATAAGATACAGTAATTTGTTTGTTCATCAAATATTGGCCTTCCATTGCTTGAATCGCTGCATCGGATGATTCGAAGTTATCGTAGCTGATAAAACCAAAGCCTTTGGGTAACCCTGATTCGGGATCACGGGCAATCTTCGGTGTATTGACAATCATTCCAAACGCGCTGAATGTGTCGTACAGTACCTTTTCATCAACGTCAGGATCCAAGTTACCAATAAACAGTGTTGCTCCCACATCCAAATTCTTTCTATCCGATGTTGCCTGGAGAAAAATTTGAAAGTTAGACATAGTTTTCTTATATCTCTTACTTGTTTGTCAGTTATATAATACATTAACCGTTGTTCCTTTACCTTGTTAACACGTACGGGTTTACCGTACAGTCTCACCTGGTTCATAATTTTGATCGCATAATCTGCATCGTCTTCTGTAAGAAATTCTACAAAACCATAACTTTGATGGGTCTGTGTTACTCTGTCCTTTGGTAGATGCACGTTAACTATCAACGATGATAGATTTTAACAGATTGTATTAGATTTTGGGCACAAAAGAAATGCATTGCTATTCAATAAAGGTCAAAGTTGCTGGATCTTACCAACTGGGCCGGCCTGTAACATCAGTTCCCATACAAGTGATTCTGTCACTCTTTCATCCAAATTACCAATATATATAGTTGCTTCTTGATTACGTTCGATTTGCTGCGCCATAGCTAGTGAAGTGATCGATAAGTTTGTAGTGGAATAAAAGTGAGAAACAAAAGTAAAGAAATACAGAAAAAGAGCGGAAGAACAAAATTTTGTAGCACTGCACTTTACAAAAGGGCCTCTTCATCCTCTTTTTCAATATGTCCATGATTGCATTTGAAACCCTATATTTTTAGGTTATTTAAATATTGCAGAGCATTTGGCAGCTTCCTCCTATTCTATAATAGTAGGTACATTACTACATATTTTTAAGAAGACATGTTTTCTCTGAAAAGGCATTTATTTTAAAGCTGACTTTTCTGTCTTCTACTTTGTTTCTTTCTCTTTTTACAACTCTTCAACTTAACATGACCAGACTGTATGGATTCGGTTCTAATGGTAGTGGACAGTTGGGTATTGGCCATCTAGAGGACACAAAAGAACCTACTCTATGTATTGGCTTGCCTAATGACAGTACCATCGTTAAAGTGGCTGGTGGAGGCAATCATTCAGCTCTGATTACAAAGCATGGCAAACTTTTCATGGCGGGCTTGTCGCAGTTTGGAGAAGAAGTTCAGAAGACAATCCCTGAATATGTTCAAGGAAATGCAGAATGGACAACGTACCAACTGCGTTTCGAGCATATACAATGGAAGGATATAGCTTGCGGTTGGGCATGCACTCTCATGTTGGATACAGCAGGACAACTGTATGGTATAGGTACGAGCCGGTGGAATGAATTATTAGGATCTAGCACCGACAAACTTCGACGCATTGAGCATGACAGTTTGAAAAATATTGTATCAGTAAGCTGTGGATGGAGACATGTAGTGGTTTTGGATAAAGAAGGACAGGTCTATGGTTGGGGATGGGGTAAAAAGGGTCAATTAGGTCCTTTGTCCTCTCCATCGATTGTGATAGATACAAAAAAAGATATTCGATCCGTGCAAAAAATTGATATGCCTCAAACCATAGTTGAAATAGCCTGTGGACATGTACACACACTATTGCGAGGGCAAGATGGAACTGTATATGGATTGGGATCAAACAAATATAGTCAGCTGGGAGAGGCAATAGATGACGAAAATGATGGGTCATTATCTGTGGTCTTTAAAAATGCGGCATTGGTTGACGCGTGTTGGCATAACAGCGCGATCTTAGATAGTGCGGGCGATATAGAAATACTTGGAAGAAATGATCATGGCCAATTAGGAACCTGCCAACCACCTTTGAAAAAGATTGCTTGTGGGTCAGAGCATGTTGTTGCTATTAGCAAAGAAACTGAGCATGCTTTAGCATGGGGCTGGAATGAACACGGTAATTGTGCATCTGATGAATTATTCACCTCTCAACCCGTCTACTTAGACCAGTTTGGAAAGGTTGACGTTATTGGTGCAGGCTGTGCCACTTCATGGTTTGGCACCAATACCGCCTATGATAGAAGTACATCGTGAGAGATATTAGTGGCGGACCTACAAAACAGATTACTCATTCTTTGTATCACGGCTTTCTCGTACTAAAATCTTTACCATTACGCTCAAATCAAATGCATTTGACTCCCTTTTTTTTTCTACCACTATCATTGTTCTTATTCCCATATCAAATAATCTTTTTTTATTTTCCTATTAATTGATAAAAAATGACTGCTCTTAATGCTGTAAGACCACGTATTTTAACAGGTATTGTAATTGTTCTACTGAGCTTCCTTTTATACGAAGTATTTAAATTGCATAAATTTTAAAAGTGGGCACAGGGGCTATTGGAGCTATATATTCTTGGAGATTATCAAAAACATCACATATCACAGCCGTATGTCGATCAAATTACGAGGCAGTAAAACAAAATGGTTTTGACATAAAGTCAGCAAAATTCGGAGAAGGATTATTTCGCCCTGACGAAGGTAAAAAGAGCATAAATACGCGACGCTATTAAAGGATGAAAAAATTGATTTCGCTCCCTTCCAATTAATACAGTGGTGCGTTGTGTATCTGAAGCGGACACGTCAAAAACTCCCTTTGACTATATCCTTGTCACAACCAAAGCCTTGCCTGAATGTTACAATGTGGCTGACATCATTGCTCCTGCTGTCACCAGAGACTCCACTATTGTTTTGATACAAAACGGACTCGGTGTTGAGGAGCCTATCACCGAAAGGTTTCCCAACAATCCAATTGTTTCCATTGTAGCTTATATTGGTACTTCTCAAGTGGAACCAGGAAAGATTGTCATGAGTGGAAGAGAATCGTTGCTTATTGGAAAGTACTTGGCTGCTAAACGAAATTCAGATAAAGAAAGAGAGTTTCTGATAGATCTCTTTAAAAGAGGAGACGTTGACGTACAGGTAGTTGATGATGTAGAAAGGGTACGATGGCAAAAGCTCTTCTGGTAAGATGAATGGACGGGAAATAGAGGCAATTCTGTCTTTCTTGCCTCATTAAAAGTGATAAAATTGGCACACCTTCGAATTAGGAATGCTGTATTTTCACCCATATGCACGTTGACTGGAATGAATACTTCACAATTGATAAAAAATCAAGAAGCCATGTCTACAGCCAAGAATTTAATGTCTGAAGTAATTGACGCCGCTATAGCAAATGGGTATGATTTTAATCACGAGGAACAGATGCAAATGATGATCTCCAGAACAGAAGCAACAGCTACCAATTATAAACCCTCTATGTACGAATTACTATTTGGTGACTGCAAAAGCCAAATTGAATAGAAGTTGTATGCACTACTGACTTGCTTCTCCTTTTCCTAGGCAATTAGATAGGGAACGCTCAAATCCGATGGAGGTAGAAGTCATTTTAGGGGTCCCTTTAAGAAGGGCAAAGGCAAAGGGCCTTAAAGTACCTCTATTGGAGCAAATATACCAATTATGTAGCGCTGCCAACGCTCTTGTATTACAAACAAATACTCAGAAGGAGCAATCAAAAGCAGTAGCAATTGAAGGATCTCATAACAGCGGCTCAGCCTCTAATCTATAATCACTGTGTACATGATAGAGCTGAACAGAACGGATGCTTAAATATTACTCCTTTTTGCAATTTCAAATAAATTATTCTAGTCCAAATGGCAACATGGTAAACCATGACAGACAACCAAACTTTGCTTTCCACAATCGAATCGCAATTTAATGTATTTGCATTCAACCTTGATTTACTTTATTAATATTGTACAATTTGGGCAATGAGCTCTTCCTCGGCAATATCGGCTTCTAGGTGTGCTAAATGTGAATAGTTGATAAGGTCCCCATAATAAGCTGTCAATGCTTTCACTTTCCCATTCAATGCATTCTGTTCAATTTCGCATGTGCTATCTGGACCTGCCAGTTGGGCCAGCTGTTCAGGGTTTGTATTGCGAGGAACAAAATAAGCAATATTAGGTGTTATTTTTGATGCAATTTGGTATACATTCAAACTACAGTATAAGACATTAAAAAATTTGTTTGGTGAACAATTTGTCTCAACTTCTTCCATAAACCAAGAAAACTTACCCATCACCGGGTATCATTGTTTTCAAATCATATACATCTTCAGACATATAAGCAGGGCCACCCCAAGGTGGGGACAGGAATACAACATCAGCCTAGAATGGAAGGTTAATTTTCTGGCTCCCAAAAAAAATGTCAGGATCATTCAAAAATGAGCTACCTTTAAAGAAGGTGCCAACTCGAAGAAATTGCCTAAAATAAATTCTATCCGATCTGCTACACCATAAATTTTCGCGTTTTCACGAGCGCAATGCAGTTTCACAGGATCAATATCGATGGCAATAACACGCTCACAAGTGAAGGCAAATTGAATTGAATTGCCACCACAACCACAGAACGCGTCAACTACTACATCTGATTGACACCGTTGAGCTATATGGCTAGCAATAAGCTCTGGGGTGACAGAAAACCAGCCCTCTACAATGGAAGTGCCATTGAGTAAACGTCATTGGATCAATGTTGCTGCCAAACAGTAGTATAGGCCAATACTTTACCTTTGTCCATCAAAATGCCCTCGTCGAATTTGGAAAAATAAGTATATCTTTGAGAATAATACCTGAATAAAAAAGTACGATTAATACATAGTCTTGAAACTCATCGCTTTTACCAAACCTACTTTATCATGTCTTTAGGTATTGTGGACTGGTCATAGGACACTATGACGCCGTTGTAATCTTTCGCAGGCAGGTTTTTTTGGTCACTTCTTCTCTTTTTAGATTTTCTTCTTTTTTTGCTCGAGCCAATAATTGTATATCCAGAATAAGGATCGATCAATGTTCTTTTTTTTGTAGATACCATAGGCACTTGTTCTGGTTGCTCAAAATTATTCTGATTGTTTTCCGATTGTGTTTCTTCGCTATGCTTTTGAGATGATTCATTTACTTCACTATTCATGTCCAATAATTTCGCTGCGTTGGGCGCCTTTGAGTCGGCTACGGTATTTGGATCTATTGTGGCTGATTCTGTCATGTTTATACTTTGTATATCCTGATGTTGTTTTATTATACAAGCAGATGCTCCCTTAGCGTTCTGTAAATCTTTTTGATCAATTGCTATGGTATCTTTGCCTGCAACGGAGTTCAAGATGTCTGCAGTTGGGACTGAAGAGTCCATAGTAGCCGTATTACTGTCATTGTCGAGAGTATTATCATCAACATCACCTTTTATATCACTATCGCTATATACTTTTCCATTCTCAATTGGTTTTACTTGAATACTATCACTTTCTTTAACGGAACTGTACTTCAGACCGTCATTTGCTGTGAGATCTTTGTCGATCGCCGATTGATCGTCGATGCGATCGTCGATGCGATCGTCCAAATCAGTGATAGCTGAATCTGGCCGTTGAATAGTACCTGTACCGTCCGAAGTCAAATCTAACCCATTCATGATTGTTGAAGTTGTATTGTGAGAATTTTTCACTGTCGTAATGAAGTTTTGAATAGTTTTCAGAAGGCAGCTCATTCACAAGCAAAGCAAAAGAGAAAAGGGGAAAATTCAAATCGAACCCGAAAAAATGGTCTTCGTACAACTGCATTAAGTTACTAAATTTTGTTTCTAGGGCTTACTCAACTGCTATTAAAGTAAGTGCTGGTTAATTGAAAAGCATGTACCGACTGTTCATACTTACTGTAATTATTGTATTATTCATACCATTGACCATTATCATGAAGTATACAGCTGTCTTGTGCTAATTTATGACTCCATGCCGTAGGAATATTGATAGTATTTGTGATTTGTTTCACTGTCACTGCACCTACCTGTGTTACAATAGGACGAAATCATCTCTATACTTGACAAAATAAGACACTCGTTCACGAAAAAATAAAAGGAAACATATAGCTTGTACATCTTCGAGCAAAAGCATGTCAATAGAAAGTTTACCTTGTGGGCTAATATTTTTTATAGATGATAGGTTGTTCTGTACACTGTTCAAGTAAAATTTGTCTCTTGTTTTATTATTGCTTTAAAAAATGTTACTGTGTGCATTCCATTTCCTGTTCAAAAGGTTATTATCATTACAAAAGGCTTCATCGCAGTTCCCCTTATGCTGTCGTAGCTGACCAGAATCCGTAATGGCTAATGTTTTCTCTTGATCGAGTTTTAGTGTTGGCAGAGTTTTATCAATGTTCCTTGAATACTTTTCTCCTATTTCGGTATGATGTTCGGCTATTTCAGTAACCATAGAAGCAGCAATTTTATTCTCGGTATCCTTCATACTGGTATTTTCTTTATCGCTAGAAACCATAACATCATCAGGCCCAATTTCGTTTGGCGACGATAAAATGATAGACGCTGAAGATACTTTCAAACCTTGCTGCTGAACATGTTCCGGATGCTTTTTTAGTAAGGGCAACTCCTTCTCCTTTTTAGTGTCTTTGTAGTAGCCAGCAAGTGCTTCTGTTGCTGGTTTTGAAGAAGTAAAGTTTTTCGACCCTTGACGTTTTTGAGTATGACTTTTACTATTTTTAATAGTTGTCAACGCAGGTAAAGGCGTCAGTGATCGATCTGCATAAGAAGAAGTCGAGACGGAAGATTCCAAAGGAGTTATTGGTTGCTGATGTAAGGGTGAAGAAGAATATGTATTGTTAATGTAGTAGTCTATTACAGTGCTTCTTTTCGGAGAGGTGCTGGCAAGAGTATTTACACTTGATAAACAAGAAGGTAAATAGTCATTCATATCCATATGGTATGTAGAGATTGGCGTCATTGGTAACGTAAATGATGAGAACGAGGACGAAGTGGTAGTAGTGGAGCTATCCTTTAATGGGGGAATACCCGATAGTCTCCCATTTGCGGTTGTATTATTTACTGTGAAGTATTTCTTCTTGGCTAGATTAATATCATTGTTATTATTGCTAATAGTAGTTGTGATTGCTGTACTTAATCTGGTTAGAGGGGTGATTGAATCAGCAGTAGGTATTGATGATATTGTAGTATAATAATTTTGCTGACTTCTGTGCTTTCTAATTCTAGCGGAGGAAGTAGAAGTGCTAGTTATAGAGCCTTCTCTCAAATCAAATCCTGCTGTATTTTGTCGATATAGTTTAGTAGGAAATGTTTTACTGATATTGGAATTATCTACAACAATTTAAATAATTGAGCAATTATACTAACATGATTATGGTACACTTTACTGCATACCATTGTCGAGTGTCACAGCTTGAAAAGGTGAGCTATAAGTTTCATAGCCTACTGTATATTGGCACGGAAATGTTAGTGCTCTTCCAAATTGATAAAATTAAAAATTACTGTTGAAAAACGACTGCCTTACAAGTCGAATTTACATTCACCACACTTCCTTCGATGCTGTTAAATTGATTTTCACGTGGTTCACCTTTCCGAAAAGTGCCAATGACTATAGATATTTCTTGCATGTAAGCAGGTTTCAATTTGATAGCTGATTTGACACCTTTCATCGTAAGTTCTGCTTGTATTACGTAAGAAATGCTAATTTTTTGCCCTGAGTCTGGAAAAATACTTGGCGGAGTGTTTGAGGGCACGCTCAATTCGATAATTGCTGCCTGCTGGCTTGATGCTGTTGAGGTGTTAGAGTTGATTACTATATCTAACGCTTTGAATGACAGTGTCTTCTTTTCTAAAAGCCTAATTCGAAATGAATATAAAGTGTCAGGATCTTCCTGTCATTCTCTAGAAGCTTGTTATTTGCATACAATGATCATACTTTCCAGAGTTCGTTTTATGAACTAGTCGAATAAGGGAAAACTTTACAGCCTTGGGCTTGTCCATTGCGGGAAAATTGAATATATTGCATTCTAAACTGATAGTGTCTCCTGAATACCGAATGATTTTTTAAAGAAATGAGTATTATATTGTATTCAGCCGCACTGTTCTACTGTTAAAGAAAAAGTACCTCTCAAGAATGCTGACTTCGGCAAATACAAATTCCAGAAACATAGCTTGCTGCCATTTATAAATCCAAGTTCACTACTCATGTTGACGGGTGATATATAATCTAATGATTGTACATCAATCTTATCCAATATTTTAACCTCTTCTGATATAGGACAAAGTGAATGAGAGAACCTGAAACGTGGTTTTTTAAGGGTAGCAGTCAGAAAATACACTACGTTTGCCACTTTTGGTATCTAATCAGAAAGTTTGATCAGTCTATACTGTCTTGAATGAATTATAGTAAATCATGTTCAATAGTAGCGCAACTTACATTCGCAGAACTGGGCAATCGTTTATCTCTTGGTATTTCGAATTCAAAATCATATTCATGGATTTGGCCCGAAAAAAAAGTTGTATACTTTCTAGCTTGGAGTGGTTTGGCCAGCTGTTTCTCTTCATTCAATAGAGTAAACTTATCACCGGAGTAAGTTTCGACAAAACCATAAAATTTCAATGCAATGTGTTGTATATCAATTGTTTTCTTCGGATTAACAATCAAATAGCCTGAAATATCTGTCAGCCAGTATACTACGAGTAATGGACACATTTACAAAGAGCCTTCCAATATACCTTTGATACTGTCGCCAGGAAAGTAAGTTTTCTCTTCCTTCAAATGTATACTTAATTCTTTAGAGTTTAGCATTCGAATAACAATATATATCTTTCAGAGCCGTAAGAATTTTAAACTCGAGGATTTGAATCGAGGAAATAAAGTAAAAGAAAGACATGGAAGGGAAGGAATTGACTTTTTGCTATCGTTACCACGCCATTATTGACTGTTATGATTTGCCATTCAATTCTTTTTGTTCAAGTAAAAAAAGGAGACGATTTTTATCTACGATTAGTACTGCATTTTGTACGACGGCTTACTTTATTGTCAAGCCTTTGAATGCACACTTCTAAGTGAAAACGATCTGCTTGTGACCAATTGCTTAAAACTGGATCTATGTTTATTAAATCAATTCTAATCCTCCTTTTATGCGGATCACGCAAGTCTTCAAGTGCTATAAATGTTATAAGAATATGAACGGCGATGAAGTGGTGGCTAAAAATCTTAATTCTTTCTAGGAAAGAAACGGACCGTGCGTCTTTTTGCCATTTAGATAAGCTTTTCCGCCTCTGAACAATTTGTGCTCTACACCTTTTCCTCCCGTTATTCTTATTTAAGCATAAGGTAGCAATAGAGATCCCTACATCATTCTGAAAGATGAATTGCATTACATAACGTGATCCCTAGAAAAGGAGCTGAAGAAAGGAGTGGAAGCGATGAAGAACTGAGGAGAATAGAAGAAAAAAAGATTTGCATTTCATGTGGTGTTTAACAATTTAGGTTAAATGATAATGTAGTTTATTGGTCATTTCAACAGCTGTAAGGAAACAATGGCATCCTTTTATAATCAACGTAAACTATGCGCTCGTGTACTCTTCCTTATTTCTGAGCTAGTTCATTACCGATCTTGTAATTCAAGATTTTATTCCAATCCATCTTATTACGTGTCATAGGTAGAGCTCTTCTTAATCCCTTAAAAGTGTTTTCAGCAAGATCATTATAACTATCATTCATCGCACTCTGATATTGATTATCAAACTTGGAAATTTCTTTCACCAAAGATTTTGCTAATTGCTTAGTATCCTACACATAGGCATTATTAGACTGGCTTTGATAGGTAATATCACTAATAAACAAAATACCTCTGTTCTGGACAACTCTACTTCGACATTCTTTTCAGCGTTCAACTGAACATTGCCATCTTCATAATAGTGGACATTTACTACTGTCATCCCTCTTAGTGTATCTTTTTGGGTATCGTATATCCATGAAGCAAGCCATTTTCCATTCCAGTAATTGCTTGGATTGTATTTGTTATCAACAATTGCAATAATGATTTCTTTGCTGTTATTGTATACGGTTGAAACACCATTAGGATAATGATCATAGACATAGCTCGAGCATTCTTCGTCGATAGCTGCTCTTAGAACCTCCAAGCTATTACTGTCATCGGTAGTGTATTCCTCCAAATCTGAAGCAGCCTGTCGAAAGGAATATTTCATAACTTTAAGATGAGAGTTCATAATTAAGCTTGCTATCATTCATATGGTTCATATAGTTACCAAGCGTATATGATCAAATTTAAAGGTTTGTTTTGAGCGTGGGTCAAGATATCTATCCTCGCTAATTTTACCATGTTTCGATATGATAACCTACTTGGTGAGTAACGGACAACACCAGTTAGAGGACATTTAGTTGTTGCTCTTTTTTTTTTTTTTTTTTGCTTTTTTTTTCCTGCTTTTTTACTTCATAGTCTAAACCTGGAGGAATAACAGTAACATGCTGCTCTGCATTATATTGTTCAAGCGATTGTAAAACACCTTCTTGAAGTGCTTCGTCATTACCAACCAAAGTACGAACATCTGCAATATAATGGAGCATAGACAAAATTAAGGGACGAGAAACTTAAAAATGTATTGTTTTCAAGCGGTTATGCTGCCATCATACCGTTAAAAACATCATTAACTTCACCAGGAGGACTTGAGAGAAGGAAATCTGAAGCAATTTTGACCTTATCCTCGATAGAGATGGTGTTCATGGTCATTGGAAAAATTCGATTGAAGCGTGAATGGACAAAGAAGGGAAAAGATGGGGTGCCTAATTTGGTGCGGAATTGTTTCTCTGAAGATGAACCTTTTTAAGCGAAAAAAAAGAAAGTTCATTTATAAAACCCAAATCACATAATTTATATGGATTCTCGGTAATTGGATATCTTTTTTCTTTTTCTTCTTCGTTTTATACATGAGCGAGCCTATCTCTTCCGTTGAGATAGCCCATATTTTAATAGATGGTGCTGTTATCGCGTTTTCTTTCGAACTTATTCTAAAAAACCTATGTTTTCGTTCAACTGATACTACTGGTTGCATTGATCAAAGAAATACACAGATAACAAAACATATCCGATATTTGAAGCTGCGAATGGCAATCCACATGATTATCAAATCATCAATTTTGTCAGCCTTCAGCACAAGGTAATCTATACATAAAGCATACAGAAAAGTTTCTTTGTTAAGTTGTCCCTTAGTACGAGTATGCACTTAGTAATCAGTATCTTATCAATTTTTTTTTTTTACTCTTCAATTTAAGTTCCTTGAGAGTCGACTGTCACATAGCTGGAAGGGTTGCAGACGCGTTTTATCATTTATGTTACATTGAGGGAGACATAATCTTGCTATACAGAGTTGCAGTCCTATTACCTATCAACAAGAGATCAACAGCCGCAATAACTCTGCGGTTTTAATTATTTTTCGGTTTGTTATTGGCGTGATAGATATCTTCTACATTGAAGTATCAAAATCCGTCTTATTCTGTTCTTTTCAAGCAGCCTATGAGATAAAAAGTACTGATTATCGTTGGTTGAACTATAACACAATGCTTAGCTGACAGAATATTTCCTTGTGAAGGTGGGTACTATATACATCATACTCGATACATGTATAGATATCTACGTTAGTGTCAAGGTAGCCATTGTCTTGTGCTCACAAGTTAAGCTGCTAAACCAGGATGGTGTTGTTGGAAATACCAGTCTGTATTTCTCAATTGTATTAAGCAATGTGATGCGAACTATCTCAATAACCGTTGTTAACTTAAATTTGTACTGTTTATTACATATTTGTAAGCTTCAATACGGGTCACTGAAGCTATTGAAAAATAGATTGTTTTAGCAAAGTATTTCATAATAACTTTCTACATCTTACTAAGTAGAATATTCTCTTTTTTCTTTTCATGCTTTAGGCAAGTGACGATTCAATATTAGAGATAATATTTTGGCCAATAAGCAACTTGTTCTTTATCGTTCTTGTAGGATTCGATACAGACATTACAAAAACAATATATAACCTTAACACGGTTGCTACTTCATGATCATCACCAGCGGTATCAGCAAAAATAGCAAACGGATCTACTCAACTTGCCAGAGAACGAGCAAACAAAAGATAACGTGAGGGAAACAATAGAAGATGATCAGCCCAATACCACTGACTCTACCATATTACCGCAGAATGGGTCTTCGCGGTTTAATCTCACATCAAACTTATCAGGACCAGTAGAAGACTCTTCAACTATTCTGCAATATGTGAAGCAATATTAGTTGCAAGAGATAGCGACGAAGCTGATGACGGAAAAGAAGAAAAAAGGAAGAGGGACGCTGCCTCTATCTCCTCTACAGCCATCAGTTATTATCATTTGTGATCAAACGAAAATAATCTTCCGCGGATGCATCTAAAACTTTTGTCTTCCGATCTGACAGCAGTAACTGAAAGTATTTCGCTTGATAGCCAGGTCAATAGTGATGATACTAACATCGGCAGTATGCTCGTCGCTAAGAGAACTAACAGTTTATGAGAAGCAGCCAATTTATCCGCGCAACCTTAGTATGTGTCTCGACTTCTTGTGTAATAATAATTGACATTAACTGCGGTATGACTGACTGAATACAATAGCTCGCCAGCTTAGCATTGTCTTCAAGCATTTACTTGAACAATAACAGCTATAGCAATATTACGAAGCAGTTTTTCTCGGTGACCAGAAATGTAGCAAACAGATATATGTACCCACCAATCATACAGATACGTTTCATTTTCAAGATTATGGTTTCTCGAATACATATTGTACCTGAATCAATTTGAAGCCAAAATACAGCGATCAAGCTACTACTCTAACAACGAGAAAAAATATCAATGGAAAGTAGTGAAACGATCTTTTCAAAGATTAAAGGCATTCTGTTCCTGAATATTCTCCATACTTGGTGGCAATCCATTTAAGAGGCGGATAAAAAGTAATATTATAGATCAGTACAATTAACAAATAATCCTTCTCTCGCAATACACGCATCGTCTTATACTTCCTAATGATTGACTGCGTTCATTCTATGGCGGTCCGTTAAAACGCATTTTGTAAGATCAATTTTTCTTTAGGTTCATTTTCGAGCATTTAACCCGCACTTGTCATACCTCTCTTTAGAACAAAAAGTTCAATTCAACTATTAAACAAGACTTTTTCAAAAACAATCTGCTGTTGTTTGCTATAATTGTTTTAGTATATGAGCCTGTATCGCCTCTTTTTTCTCTTCAGGTTTTTTCCTCGTAAAGAATAGCAGCATACATAGTGTTTTCTCAAAATGTAATTGGCGGTCTCAACTGCGACAACGCACAGTATCTCAACGGTATCCGTCTGTGTAAAAGATAGAAATCATAAGCAACTATGCACGCATATTTATCTTCAAAGTATACTCTTTTGCGTAAACTATACAATGTTCTAATCAGTTATTTGGTCGGATACCAGCATATGTTACGCCTATTCTGCAAATCATTGATTAATATAATGCTTTGTTTCTTTTTTTCTTTTTTTTTTTTTTTGGTTATATATTTATCCTTATTAATTGTAATAGCCTAATTGCAGTAAGTTTATTTTTTTATGGAGGGAGAAGAGGCTTTTGCCAATTCCGTTACCATCAAACAGACGCTGATTAGATTTGTCTTGTGTTTCAGAATATTTACGGAATTTATCCACATAGTCAACTTTCGCAGTCGTCATAGCAGGGAAAAGATGTTTACGAGAAGGACGCTATATGTTGATTCGATGAATAACATAGCCTTATGCAAGATTGTGAAGTATAGAATGACTTATTGATGATTTTTGTTCATGTTAAAATTATAAACCGCCACATACACATTTAGTGAAGCAAATCTAATAATTTTGCATGGATTGTTATGCTACAATTACTCCCTTAACCGGCCCTAGTGTATTAATGGACAAAACAAGCCTTTTTCAGACATGGTATGACTTTCTAAAGCTCGAATCTCGTCTCGCCGAATGACAATGACAGTCAGTTGACTTGATTGTGTTATTTATTGACGTGAAATGTTATCACCGCAATAATTGTCTGAAATCTGAACGATGAACGTCCAAATTCTGAAGGATTAATGAAGCAAAAGATCAGTTACTACTTAGTACATATGCTGAATTTTTAAGAATAGCATCACCTATCTCCGATGCACGAATAAGTAAATACAATAATTACTTTATCGAATAAATAGGTTTGATTAAGAACACGAAATGGTATATTAGATGTCAATTTCTATAAGGTGATTACATATCTAGCTAGTAGTTAAATTACAGAACGAGAATTTCAAATTGTATGAAGTCAGCACTGATTTCTTCTCTGAAACAGGTGAATTATAATCAAATAATGTACAATAGTATTAAATGGCGTTTTAGGTTGGCATACACGATTAGAAGTTCATCAAAGGAGTATGTTGCGTGCCTTTAGGGTACACAATAAGAGTTGCTACAAACAAACCAACGGTGATACCTGTCATAAAGGAATTGTTAGTATGTGCAAGATGATAAAGCACCTTAAATAATCATTACCTATGGATGTCTGAATCATACTGAGTGCAAAGCTGGCACCTTGATTTGCAAATTCATTATTTGAAGTACCAAAGAAACCTAATGCAGCTTTCAGACCTGTATAAATGGAAATAAAATATGAATACACAAGATAAATGAGAATGTAGTTATATTAAGCGAGTCAAAGGACTTACCTAAACTTCCTGGCACAAGGTAAAAGATCTACATTTTCATAAAGAATGAAAAAGAGAGGTAAGCTATTTTTGTGATTTTTGGTACCCACCAATAAAAATTATATAGACTTACACCTAAAATTACGGCATCCAGAGTCATTTTGCCTGTAAATTTCGTCAGTAAATTACCCAGAAGACCGACACAGAAGGCGGGAACAACCTGTAACACCTGACTGGGAGCATTCGCATGACATGCCAACGCCCAGTTTGTAACAAAACCGCAGCATGCAACAAAAATCATCGTTGGCCACCTTGGTATACGAGCACGTAGATATACGCAATAAGCCACAGCAAAAAGTGGAACGGTTAAGATGTAAAATGGCTGCGGGATAATAGTGACACAGGTGGACGCGCCCGAAGCTGCAATGCAATTTTGAGCTTGGGCCTGAGCAGAAATAGATTCGGGCTCAATCGTGCCATATATTTGTGAGCCCATTTCGATGCCATAACCTAGCAGGAATGAATATACGATTGCGTATACCATCCGTACAACGCCACTTACTAACTGTCTTGAAACCAGTTCGACAATAGCGATCGCAATAGAATAACCAGGCAAGATAACGATAAAAGACGCAAAAGCTACGGGAGTGAAGCAAAATCCATATTTCCAAACAGCTGTTAAAATTGCGCAGAGTGGATTAGTATCGGCGAAGATGAAATTTAGTCTATTTTTTTTCTTTTTTAGGCTTTTGGGATTACCTCTTGAAACAAACCCGATGAAGATACAGACCGTAATTTCCCAAATTGGCTGGAAACTCATATAGCGCCCTGAAAACAGTTCGTAAAAAGCGAAAAAGACTACGATGGTAAAACGTCATATTCAACGTTAATTTCTCTTTTTTCATTTTGATCTATATCCTAACGAGCTTCATTATTAAGAATTATTTTCAACTTACTGGCCATTGCTGCAGACAAGCCACCTTCTCTCCATGATCCTCCATAAAACATGACACAACCACAAAAACTGGCAAGCGCATAGACGAACGGATTCAACCAGTTTGGATAGAATTGAGGTTGATTCGTAACCTGATCAATAAATTCAAGAGCTTCATCAACTGACACTTCCCCATGAGAAACAAGCTTTTCCAAACGATAAATTTCGTTCAATTTATGCATATCAAATAATTGTGAACTTCGAATAAAATGTGTTTCCGTCGTGTGTGTGGACTGATCAAAAAATGTCAAGAACATGATGCTCGGTAGATACACATATTCAGCGTCCACACCTAGAGTCCGAGACACTTGACGCAGAATATATTCTAGACGATGGGCTGGAGCCCCATAAAGCATGAGGCATTTCACCAATTTACGCAGAAACTCCTGTTTTTGTAGAATATTGGCAATCTCAAATGTAATACGTATACGATCCTCTAATGTGATAGGTTCGAATTGAGAAGCTGTTGTGAACATGCTGTCCATAGATGACCGACGGGAAAGGTTGACAGAGTTAGCCATTTTACGCTTTTGTAGACTAGGAACTAAATGCTCGTTAGTAGTGATGGTCGAGAGCCAGCTGGACGGACGATGTGTGATATTGGGTCGCTTTGCAGAGGACATTTTGCTCGGTTGAGATGTTAAAGCATCTAGACTTAATTGAGCTTTTAAGTTGTACATAGAGGCTGGTTTGCGTATATTTGGTGCTTTCTTTGCTCCCTACATACATATTATGAAAAAGAGTAAAGGATTAAGCCTTCAACATTCATTTTCTTTCCAGCAATTTTAAAGGAATTGCTAACCTTCTTCTTTTTTGGCTTCTTTTTCACGAGCGGAGGTGGACGTCGACTTTGAGCTTCCAATTTCATCAAGTTAGCTAGCACGCTACCACCTCCAACATCGTTATTATAGCTTTTAGCACTAGTTGGAGATTGATATGTCTGCATTTCGATATCATCGTGATCAAGATTTTCCCTACTTTCGCTTATTGTGTCATCGATTTCGAAGCTATTGGTTGCTGCAGCTGCTGTTGGAGAAGAGGGGTATCGAGAGCTGAGCATACGTTGAACTAGAGTACCTGCCTCGGCAATATGATCAGGGAATCGTACGTGCCTATCCCTTGCTTCGTCTTGATCTAACGCTGCTTCTACCAGTGTACGAGCTGAAGAATCTCTTCTACCGTGTGTGCTACGTTCTCTTTTCAGATCATTGGGCATACTTTCATTGTTGTTACTACAATCGTGGTGCACAACACTGAACATGGAATTCTTCTCTTCTTCGGGTATACAAAGCTCAGAAGCTATACTGGAGTCAGCATCCGATGAATCACATGAGGTGGAAGTAGTTGCTATGCTTCTCGTTTCTTCTGTCTGATTGATATGCGAACTTCTCAAACTATCTTCGTAATTGACCTTACTTTCATTAGAGTTGACAATTTGAATAGTAGGCAAAAGAGGCCAAGATCTTCTCGACTGTAAAGATAGTGCTCTAGAAGCTTGTCGTGTATGTCTTCGTTCGTTATCTTCATCCCTTGTTGGTGGTCTATTATCTGAGTCTTCTTCCATTATCTGATCCTTATACTAACTCTGTACAAAACTCAGTGTTCGTTGATTCTATGACTTGAATATAATAGACACTTCTGATTGAGATGCTATAGACAACTATATATGGGAGAAAAGAAAGAATGCTCAAATCAAAAGATTCAACTTAGAAAAAGGAAAAGACAAGACTCGAATTGAAAGTGCCCGCAACATCTTAAATGGAATGACATTTTCTGCGGATTTGCATGGTGGAGAAAGCGGGTTCTGCGGAGTCCAATTTTTTGAAATCTTCCTTGGCTTAATGAGCCGCCCTTAATTGTCTGACACAATGTTAGTTTAAGCGGAGGAAGGATCAGTTAACTCCAACAAATAGCCGAATAATGTGAAAAAAAAGCTCAGATCCCCGCTTTTTTCTATGATGTCATTTTTCGATTTATTCCATTACGCTAATGAATGCTCTTTCAACATAAAAGCATGTTTGTAACTCGAAGCCAACGGTTTTTCAATCTTGGGTTACGCTCTCGTTATATTCCTCGTCAGGGGTTACGCGAACAAGCGAAGGTTACAGAAAATGAGAGATTCTGTATAAAATAAGAATGAGAGCGGGAATATTACTGCTATTTTCAGGTTCAAATTTTAGCATCTGTATATAGCATGGAACAAAATTCATTGTTACCAGTGCAACAATTCCCTTTTACTTATTTGACTTTTGTACATTGTTTTGCGTTTATCGATTTTTTTATTGTGCCAATCAAATTATCTTTTTTGGATCACAAGAGCTTCAGTCCATTCAAATTCCAAGTTGGGGTTCCATTGTGAAATCGAAACTAATGTGAGCGCGGTAGATGCTTATTACCTTGTTAGACATTTCTTCAGATAAAAGTTCTCGAAGTTTTATTCAACGTATAGCCATTCTACATAAGCCAATGAATAGAATACTTGACAAGACACTATCGATATATGGATGTCGTAAATATGAGCGACCAAAGAATTGTATGATGGTAGTTACAAATGGTCAAAAGTTTGAAGGAAGCGGTAGGTATTGAATAAGTTCTCACCTGATGCACTGGTTGATTTGACTGTTGTTCGCTGTTGCTACATTAGGCTTGAATGATGTTGGAAAGTGCGAGCAGGCTTGTTAAAAAGAAGCCAACGAATATTGGCGGTGACCTTGAGCGGTCCTCTTAATTCTTTTCGTGAGGAAACCAGGGGAGAAAGAGCAATACCTAACGGTTTCAAAAATTACTAGATGTGTTCTCTAGATATAGATACTCACTTATAAGAAAAAAGAAGAGGAAGACCACCTTTGTATGCATCACTATTATCTTGAACTACGACTTTTCCATGACCCCATAACATTTGAAATGCATTAAAGCAATAAAATAATCCTTAGGTTGTATCTTAATAAGCATGAAACACAATAAAATATTTTGATGGACGGAAGAGGGACTGCAGGCTTTTTTGTAAAATGCATCGATGCATATCAGCATGAATGTTGCACTATTTGTGAATAACATAGAGGTATAGTTGTAAAACATTTTCTTTTTTTTTCTACGACTGTTGAACATGATCGGTCTGATATGCTACTAAGCGGTTCCATCTGTGAGATGGTTTTACCTGTTTTTATGGAATTAGTGAACGTTTCTAGAACTTTGCTTATTACTTGTCATTCTAAGCATGCCTTTTCAGGCGGAAAATAGACTGAATGTAGCTCAATACATATCTGTAAACTACAAGTATGAATGAAAGATGATAAGAAGAAAAAAATTATGAAGCAAAGCTGCAATAAAAATAAAAATCAAAATCAAAAATAAAAATAATTGAACATGATATCAAACATATGCTAAGTATGCACCGCACGTTTAATGCATAACTACTCACGATACGTTAGCTTCACCCACATCTAGTATTCAACTACACAGAAAAAGGGAAGGCTGACTCAACCAATGGTAAGACTAATTCGCTTGTTTTGTTAACGAATATTCTCCAAAGCACTACTGCCTTCATCCAAGAGTATGGGAAACGTCTTTTGCAAACCTTGAGTTCGAATACCGCACCCTTTCAGCCTATATCTGAATGGCCTTCTACTACTTCTTAACTGTAATAGGTCAAGTAAATTATAGAGTCTATTGAAAATAGAGATGTAGATAGCTGTCTACTAATGCAGTACACATGCTCTTCGAAATACTTATCACGTGTTGAAATTGTTTACTTTAATGTTGAATTAAATCTGACAAACAAAGCAGGACAGTGAAGATCAATGCATCTTCATACTCCCCACAAAAAGGAAATTGAAACTCAATCCGCATTTGTCTTTTATACGGATTTGGTACCTTTTTTTTTTCCCTTCATTTCTCACCTGCCATTATCCACTATGTCAACTTTGACTTCAAGAGACCACTTAGTAGAGCGTCTTCCTACAGCCATCAATAAAGCCAGCTCTGAATATAAAAATAATATGAAGGAATGGCAGGGCTTACTGGAGGAATTGAATGAACGACTACATGAAGCTACAAGTGAAGGGAAACCGAAAGCAATTGCGCTCCACAGGAAGCGTGGTCGACTATCTGGTTCGTTTTATCAGTCTCTTACATTACTATTATTACGTTTACCTTGTCTAAAGGTTTAGTATTCTGAACGTCATTGATTTTGTTTTTGAATTATAGCTCGTGAACGAATTGAGCTATTGTTAGACGAAGATTCACCTTTTCTTGAATTATGCGCAATGGCTGGCTACGGTCAAGAAGATATGACACTTGGTATTGTGAAGATAAAACGTGTCTCTCAAATATCATACCGCTAACAAATCTTTAAAATAAACCAAATACAAAAAAAAAGGTGGTTCATTAGTATGCGGTATCGGGCTTGTCAGGTTTGTCTTTAAATAACAAATTCCTCGGACTGATTTGCTCTACTCATATGCAATTATCGTTTTATTATAGTGGAGTCCTTTGTATTATTTCTGCTACAGTTGCAACTTTGGCTGGAGGAGCTATGAATGAAGCGTCTATCTTCAAGGGTGGTCGAATTCATCAGATAGCCGTCCAGAACAGGCTACCAACTATCTCGTTCACTCAATCTGTATGAATGGAACTCTAATTTTACTTTGAAATATATATTTATTCTATTTGGATTTGGTTTTTTTTTTTTTCAGGCTGGCGCGAACTTGCAACAGCAATTTCGTGTATTCCATCGGGGCGGTGCAGCCTTTCGTAACCAAGCGTTACAGTAAGTGAATTAGCCAAAATCACCTCTCTTATTTTTACATTTCGAGTTAGTATAGTTGTGTGGCGCGTTAAGAGCAAATGTTATTTCTAAAAAGATCAAAGGCAAATATTCCATCATGTTGTGTTGTTTTTGGAAGTTCAACAGCAGGTGGTGCTTACACTCCTGGTATGAGCGATTATGTTATTATGGTGAAAAAACAAGCTCAAGTTTTTCTTGGAGGTCCCCCATTAGTTCAAATGGCCACTGGTGAAGTTACTGATGCGGAAAGTCTAGGAGGTGCTGAAATGCATTCTCGTATCTCAGGTGTCAGTGATCAACTGGCCAATGATGAATATGACGGTATCAAAAAAGCTCGTGATTGGGTAGCTAATTTGAATTGGCAGCAAAAAGGCAGTTTACCACTTCGACATCTTAAAGGTGAATACGAAGAACCATATTACTCTGCAGGTACGGACAGATTTTAATGTAACAGGTAATGAAAAAGGAAGACGCTGATCTATCGATACGGGGCGGTTTCTCTTTCCCGTGTAATAGAGGAACTACTTGGTGTTGTTTCTACAAACATTCGTATTCCATTTGATGCTACTGAGGTGATCATTCGTCTCGTCGATGGATCAAGATTTACCGCTTTTAAACCAAATTATGGCGGAAATTTGGTTTGCGGTTGGGCCTTTATTCAAGGGATTCCCGTTGGCATACTAGCTAATAACAATGTGATCTTCACTCAAGAAGCAAATAAGGCTACTCAGTTCATTCAGCTTTGCAATATGAAGTAAGGAAACCGGACGCGTGGATCTCTCAAAAAGCAATCGTACTGATAATATCGAACTAGGAACACACCTTTGGTCTACCTTCAGAATATCACTGGGTTCATGGTGGGCAAAAGATATGAAGAAGAAGGAATCATTAAAGCTGGCTCTCGCTTCATTAATGCTGTCAGCAACTCTACGGTTCCGGCCATTACAATTATGATGGGTGCCAGTTATGGCGCAGGAAATTATGCTATGTGCGGTCGTGCATATGAGCCTCGGTAAAATAACACAACTTTTCCAATTTATTAAAGTTAGTTGACGTCTCATGTCTTTTTTGTGACAGGTTTTTGTTTTCCTGGCCAAACTCACGATGCTCAGTTATGGGTGCTGAGCAATTAACAGGTGTGCTTGATCTAGTAATGCGTCAGGGAGCAGCAAGGTACCGACTGAGGTTTAACGAAGGAACACTGAAAGATATTGTAATTAGATTGCTAATTCATCACTTTGCAAACTAGAGCTGGCATTAAGATTGACGAAGAAATGGCAGAACAGAAAAAAGCTTTATTCCAGGCATCCGTTGAAATGGAGTCGGATGTTTACTACACTTCTTCACGCCTTTTGGACGACGGTATAATTGATCCTCGAGACACTCGAACAGTTATAGGATTTTGTTTAGCGGCAATTTATTGCGGTGAAGTTAAAGGCGGTAACCTTTATGGCGTCAGTCGAATGTAGATTGAACAATACAGCCATTAAACATTCGCTCATAAGCGCAACATAAATTATTTATTAATCTGATAAACAATATCCTGACGTAAAATGATAGTGTAAGCTTTCAAACTTTTTCTTGTGGTAAACGACATTTGCCACTCTTATATGCCTTTTGAGCACCTAGCTTAATATTCTTCATCTGGTTGAGTAACAATATAGCTTGATGCTGTTCTGTTCGTCACATCTAGAAATAAATTAGTACAGGAACCGCCATTGAAGTCTTGAAAAGAGAAATCAGTTAAGGCGGGTGGACTTATAACTTGCTCGGACTTTATAATGAGATGAATTACCAAAAGAAGTAGCCGGATCACAGTAGCATTTGCTGTTCGTTAGCCATCTCTGCTCTGTGGGGCAATGCTCAAAGAAATCATGCTTGTATCCAATGTCATAAAACCAATGCACCTCGCTTTTTTTCAGCATCATAGCTGCAGCTAAAGAGTGCACTGGTGCGTCACCCCATCTGAATAGGTTTGCAATGTTATATAATGTGAATTTCGCTGTGCAGTAAGTACCGTACCCAATTTTTACCTTTCATAAAAGAATCCTCCAGCTTTATCAAGATATCTAAAGTAAGACTGGTACGCTTCAGATCGCATGAATTTCAGAGAAGCAATCTGTAAATAGAATGAAAGAAAAGTAATTGTTGTAACGATCAATGACAATCCATTTGGAGAGATTCAAATGAAGGGAAACACATACCTCAAAATTACTCCAAAAATGACACAAGTTGTACTTCTCACCTTTGTCATCAGTTACAAAGCGAAATAAACTATCTGGACTTGTTTGAGGATAAATATGCTGTGGATATGCCTTTGCAAAGTTTAAAGTAGTTCTCCAAAGAGTTGGTACGGTGGCTCTGAACTCGCGTAATGCGATCGTAAACCCATATTTAAGATCCCTTTCTTGCATAAGTCGAAATGGATCATAATCTATATCGCAAGAGAATTTGACGCCTGGTTCTACGCGCCTGAAGTAAAATTTAATGAATCAGCTTTCATATCTACTATAGTACACGCTTGTCGAACCTTGCTTACCACACAACCTACCAGTAGTAGTCTAATTCGTCTAAAAGTGGATGCAGCATGAAGAATCCTGATTGATAACGACACATGTGTCGATAACTCTCGCTGCCACCGTATAGTATTTTTTGATCTACCATCATCTGTCTACGTTTTGCTGCCAAATCTTGATCAATCCAATCTGGATAACTCCAATGCTCCTTAGGCACCAATCCATACTGCACATCAGCATTTGTCATAGCGCAAGTAAGGTTTTTGAATTCTTCCGTAAAAGGTTCGTCATTAAGAAATATCCAGGGATAATTATATTTGTGATTGAATCGATCTTCCAAGTATCGCATGGATGAACGGAGCGCATGTAGTTCGCTATTTCTAACGAGAACGACAAAGGCAGCTTTGACTCTAGGAAGTGACAGATCTGTCAAGATCCGATATTCTGCTTTTTCAGCGGACAATTTTCCTTTGTTACTGCGATCGATGTTGTTAGTATTATGTGCTTCTGATCCCATGAATTGCACTTTCTTGCCGAAAAGTCGACTTGCAGCCCAAAACGTCTCTGTTAATTTAACCTTCTTAGTGTCTTTCAATGGGAATGTTAAGCCCTCTTGTGAAAAATACGGTTCGTTTTTTGCTGTTTGCTGGTTCTGTTCGGCATTCTGTTGGGACGACTTATCGCATTCAAACGATGTGTTACAGTAATCATTTTTTGGTATCAAATGCCGATAGATCAACAAAGTGAATGATATGACTAGGGCAGCGATAAATGCGCGGATAAGATACTTGCGAGAAGTGAAAGGCCTTGAATACAGATTTATGCTCATCTAAAATATAACACTACAACGCTGAGTATTATATATCCGTTGTCGAATAAAATCGTCCAGTAAAATTATCAGTATGATAGACTGTTGTCCTTTTGCGCAGGTATAAATTTGGTTGTAAGCAAGAGAATCAAATTTAAAAAAAGGGGAATCACATATCTTTGCAAAATGTTACATGTTTAAGAATAGAAGAACGTAACGTAAATAGAAACTGTATACTTGTACCATTACGTTGGAAGGAATGTGGCATCTTGCATAATAGTTGGCATTAATCTGCCCTTATTTGTAATAATAAAAGATTTTATTAGGTTTGCAAAATAAACCATATTGAAAGCTTCCTTGTCTTTTCTCTTCATTTAAAGCTATCAAAAGTGAGTTCTTTCTTGAAATGGGTATCCGTAGATCTGTTTATTGTGTATTCACAGTCTGTCTCGGTACTTATGCATTCGGTAGCTTGCTCTACATTTTAATCAGTGCGTCACAGCAAAGAACAAGTTCTACACTATGGTCACATTCCAGTTCTGGAATTTTGAAATCGCTCAATAGATACAACTATCCACCACAAGTCGACAAACAATTCATCTATGACCCCAGTGCTTTTAGAGACGATCAACCCCTTTCTTACACGATTGATCCACCCAATTTACCCTATAAAATGGAGGTAGCATTACCGCCATTTACCAACACTACAGAACGTCAAGCAGCTGCTTTCATTGTTCTCGTAAGAAACTCTGAATTAAAGGGTATGCTAGAGTCTATGAAGGATATAGGTGAGGAAGAAAAATTTAGGTAGAGGGCGGGAAGTAAGACTATTTGAAGTGACTCACCACATTGCAATTTTGATATGATAACGGGGGGTTGATGTATCAGAGTATCGATTCAATCGAAAATTCAATTATCCATGGATTTTTTTGAATGATCAACCTTTCACAAAGCAGTTCAAAAAACTCACAACAAAGGCAGCCTCTAGTAAAACGTTTTATGGCTTAGTGGACGAGTCGATGTGGGGCTATCCAAAATGGATCAATCAAACGCTGGCTGCTGAAGAACGACAAAAAATGAAGCATGTACCTTATGGACTCAGTGAAAGCTACAGACATATGTGCCGATTCCAAAGGTTTATATGAAAGATAAGGTTGCAAGGTTCTTGCCGAGAAGATTATCATCCACTCATGCTTTGACTTTTACTTTGTTTCAACAGTGGATTCTTTTGGCGACACCCTTTAGTATTGAGCCTAAACCTTGAATACTATTGGAGAGTTGAGCCAAACGTAAGATATTATTGTGAGTTGGATTACGATCCATTCCTATATATGAAGCAGAACAACAAGAAATACGGTAACCTACTATATATATCCTAACCTATTGTAGAATAGTAAATTCCTTGTTACGTGAACGTTTATCTTATTTCAACTTTTTTATGGCAGGATTTAATATCTCATTTAAAGAGCATTCAGGCACAATTCCCAAGCTGTGGCATCATGTAAAAAATTTCGCTCGAGAAGCGACTCGTCAGGGAAAGAACTACTTTCCTCATAAAGTGACAGACACACTATTTCCATTTATCAGTCGCGACAACGGCAAGAGTTATACAGGATGTCATTTTTGGACTAATTTTGAAATTGCCCGTTTGGATTTGTGGTTTACGCAGGCGTATCAAGACTTCTTTGAGTATTTAGACAATGCAGGAGGATTCTTCTACGAGAGGTATTGTATGAGTGCACATATTGAGATTGTAGTTATTGAATCGCCAGTGAGCTATTTTATTGATATGGGATTTTTTGAAACAAATTAAGATGGGGTGACGCGCCGGTTCATTCTATTTTTGCTGCATTATATTTGAAGCAGGACGAGATTCATTTCTTTAATGATATTGGTTACAAGCATAGCTTTTATCAGCACTGCCCCGCTGAGGAGAACCTCTTGGAGCGCTGTTCATGTGATCCAGATAAGAGCTTAGGTAAACTAATTCTTTAGTATGTTAAGGGATACGCAAGTTATCGGCAGTATACTTACAATTTCTGGCACGGGTTTTTTGCATTGCAGATTTTAAAGATAGTATGAGCTGTCTTATAGAATATATGGAGGCAAGAGATTACAATACTGCTAAAGATAAACGAACGGTTAATGAGATGCTGTTGAAATAAATAAATTCATCATGAGGAAAAGCTTCACGAGCTCTTACAATTCTTTTATAAAATCAGTTCTGATGTCAATTAGGTTTATTGATTTGAGGGGGAAAGGTGCATAACCAGTTTTACCGAGCCATGTTGGATAGTTTAAATGACCCGCCTGGCACCATTTGAACCTTACTAGTCAATGTCCATTGCTGTTGGGGTATAATTTGTACTTGGACCGTTCAACACCTAACGAAACATTTAAGAATTGCCGTCAAAAGCAAAAAGTCAATGTTTTTCGGCTACTAACCTCTATTCTGGCTTGCTTAAGATGAGGACGCTGTATTGACTTTAACAGTTGTTCATAAGCCAATTTATCCCGAGGATCAGTCAAACTATAACAATGTATTATGTTTGCAGACTGATCATCTTCAAACCATCAAGTCATAGTGCTATATACCTTGTATTTTTCAATACAAATTCTGGGATCCTAGGTTTGCTCTCTCCAGCCCTCATCTCCAATGGAAGTCCATTCACATCACTGTCATATACAGTTTTTCCGTTAAGAATGGTATGCATGATCTTATATTTATGGTCTCGCTTTTTGCTGGTTTCGACATCATCTTCTTTGAGAAATCGATCCATATCATCAATATGAATGACATTTGCAGTATTCCTATCTTTAAACGACGTATTCAGTGTAGGATGACCGAAATGGTCAAAGTCTAGCCGTCGCACACAAAATGTCAAAGTACATTTAGTTTGCAAAGGTTCAATAGCACAAGTTTGTGCAACGAATAGTTTTACGACTTTACAAGCGTTGTTGGGATCAATGGACATGGCAGCCATGTCTCTCGCAAAATTCTCTTCTGAAATGAATTTTTTTCGAGGCAGCGACGTTGTAGTATAGTAATCGTCTGATGAATGTCCTCTTTTCTTATTGGCATAGTAGTGCGAAATATCATTATAGTTCATTTATCTGAAATTTTTTGTTGTGGTAGAGTAAAAGCAGAAAAAAAAAAAAAAAAAAAAAAAAAGAAAATGGTAGAAATTCATGCAAAAAGTGAGCGGGATTTCCTTTTTTCAATATTCTGGCCTGCTAGCATTATGACACCCAATTACTTATATAGCTCCTATTGGCCTTTGATTATTTATTTTTTCCATTTCCTTCAAAAGTCAAAGGTTTTCATAATTGCTTTTTTTTTATAATTTTCCATTGCACGTGCCTGTAACAATAGGTTGCATCCTATTCCACCATGTATTAATATGGTTTTCTGCTGCGTCAAACGCATTCAAAACAGCAGTTTCGAATAAATCCGGTCTGATGGCATTGAAGAACTGAAAGTGTGATGCAAGTACGACATCGGCCCAGCCAGCTGTCTCTCCGGTGATATATGAAAACTGAGCTAAAAGTTTGTTGATGGGGACCAAAGCAGTTTTTAAAGCTTTAATATTGTTTTCTTCACTGCCAGCAAATTCCTCGAGAGTTTGACCAAATTTTGACTCTCTATCTTGTCTGAACCAATTTTGAAGTTCTTCAGGTCCTACATTTGCATGTATCTCAAGAACGACCATTCTGAAAATAGGGACAATAACATTATGATCGCAATAGTTTTGAAAGAAACGATGGACACCTGGGTTGCCATTGAATAGGCTAGAACCGGCTTTATGACTATAGTTCTTTTCAAGGTACAAAGCGATTTCCCACGAGTCCTCGACAACTTTGTCGCCATTCGTTAAGTCGACAATCACCGGTACTAAAGGTCGCTTATCCGATTTCCTGTTGAACAGATTTAAGTATAAAATTATGTCAAAAGTAGAGAAAAGCATAGCAAAAATAAGTTTGGATAACATACGTTACTTCGGGGATGACAGTCTTTATGCTGTCGAAATTGACCCATTTTGTCTCGTACGGGATTTGCTATATTATTGTAAGCAAGAGAACATCAATATAGGCCGCGTAACTATGCGGGAAAAATGGCATTGACGAGTACCTTCAAATTAAGCGCATAACGAGTTTTACAAGTATTGGGTGACCAGATAACACCTGGCTTCTTCAAAAGTTCTAAGTCGAAGAATCTAACTTGCGCCATAATAAGCAGAATGAAAAGATAAAATAAACGGGAAAGAGAGCGAGTAAAATACAATGGGGGTTTTTGTTACGTTTGCATGTGTGGATTACATAACATTGGCTGCGGCGGAGTTGTTTCGAGATAGAAGCAATGACGAATGCAGAGGTTGTCTTACCAAGTTGCAATTGTGTTGTAGACGAAAATATAAACCGTTCAAACAATGATTCAAATCCCAAAAACTTGTCAGTAGTGCGAAAAAAAAGGTACTATTCCTCACCTGTAATGATCTAAATCCTTAAAAATATATGGAAAACCGTGTTTATTACGGCGATACTTTCTTCTTCTTCGCTGACTTGAAAACATCGGGTCTTCCCGCTCCAGACCAAACTGCTTGAGATATAGTCATCATGTTGATAGCGGCGTTAATGTCCCTCTGCCATACCTTCAGACATTGCTTGCATTTGGTATAATATGCATTCTCTTCATCGGGGTCTTCATCCTTCTCTTTCCTTGCTTTTTTCTTTTCTTTCTTGATTTCAAAATTCTGTTTGCGTTTTCTGCCTTTCGAACCAACTATAGGTACAGTGAGGTCGCTTACTAATGATGTATTAAACCAACTTTTGAAGTCACCTGAGCTGCTTACCTTGATCTGCAGTTTCCGGCTCATACAATTGACAATTAAAGTATTGTTTGGTGTAGTGACCCCTTTTACCGCAATCAATACACGTTACATCTAACAGTACACGATGATTAATCTATACATTATATATATGATCAGGTATTCAAAAGGCAAGTTACCATGAACAGCACTTGATTTTTTCTTTTCAAAGATTTGCTTTTTCTTTTCATAAATTATTGTTTTGAACATGGGTCATAGTATGTATCATAAAACGTGAAATAAAAGCGAAAGAGACAACATTTGACTATAAGAGAACAATATATTTTATAGTGCCTATTTTTGAAAGTCACCCATGAACGCATACAAAAAACATTGACAACAGATAATATAACCATCCCATTCCGCTATGGTATCTGTTATACTATGACCCTCAGCCCTCTATCAATGGTTTGATGTCAATCAATTCAAAGTTGACCTTTCTTGGAACTCTTGTACAAAAAAGGCACCGACAAATATCTGGTTATTCGCGGAACACATCGTCATTGAATAAAAAAGTTGTCAAGCTTTTTGTAATTAAGCCTACTGCAAGATAACTTAAATAAGACCATTATTGGCAACTTTCTTACTGAAAGAGACTCATTTCTTGGGTTCGATTGTATGTCATCCTTAGTGCTGTTTGGATAGCATTGAATAATTGAGTATCCAAATTGATATCTAAAATACTATGAACTTTATTCTGAAAATGTTTTATAATAAATCCAAATTTAAAATGTATATGGTCCATTAAAAATTGTAAATCGTCTAAAATGTAAGCTTAAACACTGTATTAAACAAGTCTATTCATACAGACAAGCTCGGTTATTACTACTTTGTTCTTCTTAATCGGAAACTAAGGCTCATTTAAAATTTTAGAGTTGCTAAAGAAATGTTAGAATAAGTGAGCTGTTCAGGGACATATTTCGTTTCTTTTTTAATTGCGTATCTAATTTCGTCGAGTTCGGGTTCACTTGCCCTAAGGTTCCCCAGTACGAACCGGACTTCTACAATACAGATACACTCTTTTATTAAGTTAATAAATACATCGGTGAAAGGGGGAAGGGGCGTAGTAACACTAACAGTTGAATGTTGCTGTCTATTCGTCTGCTTTCAACTTCTTTACGGTCGCTTCCTCTGTTGTCACCACCTCGCTTTCTTCTCTATTTCTTTTTCCATCTTCAGTTATTTGCTGCTTGTCGTTGTCAACTAACTTTGCCTTTTGCTTTGCAACTGTCTCATCGTAAAAATCTGCAAGATTAAACAATTCACAAAGAGCTCTCATTGTTTTCGCCTGTTGAATATTTGAGTATAACTGTGATTTGGTGTGCTTCGTGTCTTCTGTGTTCATGCTCAAAATGACATATTTCGTATTTTGATAGAGATTGTCCAATTGAACAGCTTTCTTTAAATATTCTTTCACAACTGTCTGGAAAGGCAGTAAGCCCTCCTTTCTAAAGGCAGATGCGTTCCATTGTGCGCCTCTAGCGATCATCACAGAGTCTGCATGCGTTACTTCTTTCGCTTTCTGAATGTCGGAATATTGAAACACATCACCATTCACTATTACAGGAATATCAGCAATGGATTTGACAACATCCACTATCTCTCGAAGGGCTTCCCAATTAGCCTTTTCTGTTGATCTTTGTTCTTTTCTACGACAATGAACCGTGAGCGCCTTTACACCGGTCTGAACGATCATTTTTACTAATTCCTTTGTCTTTTCTATCGTATCTAATAACCTGATCTTGCATGTAACAGGCATGCCTGCTTTCTGAACTAGGTTGGTCAGAATTCTCTTGAGGTTATCAGGATTACTCAATAATGCCGCACCCATGCCTCCTTGAACAGAAAATTTCTTGGGGCAACCACAGTTCACATCTACCGCTGCAACATCTTGCTTCAAGGTCAAGGCTGCTTTTAAAGCTAGATCTGCATCAGCTGTACCCAGTTGGAGAATCACTTTGCCTTTTTCGGCTTCGGTAGTGCTGAAAGTTAATGATTTTCCTTTCCAATATTCTATGGCACCCGTGGCAGCTGGGAAAAGAAAAAAAGGAACATCAATAACCACCTATCACTGTAGATCATCCCTGCTCATCACTCACGATTATATCTGCGTTCAGATCCAATAATACGTTTATCTACAAGCTCTTCGCTCCATACTAGATCTAAACTTGAAAACAATAATTAGCGAGCTAAACAAAATGAATCGTAGAATGGCACTAACGAACCTGCTCCATATTCTAAAGCTAACAAGCGCATCGGCAAGGTGCCAATTCGCACCTTCAAGAGGTTAGTAAGCTAATAACCGACCGATACGCTAAATTTAGTGCTAGTTACCATTGGCGCTAGGATAGCTTTATTGGAATAATCAATGTCTGGATGAGTGTTGTTCTCCATAAGGATGAGGACAGGCAGATCAAAGAAAGCTATTTTTTGGCTGATTGGTTATGGAAATTCCCGGTTACTGAAAGAAACCCGAAAAAAAAAAAGAAAAAAGAGGCGCCGACGCTATCCAAGAAGTGGTTTGGTAAAATTATTGACCTAGTACTAGCAACCAAATAGTTTCTTGTATTAGGGCTTAAAAAGCTTACATTAATAATTTTTTTAATAACTTAACCAATGTAATTGTACAAATAATCTCTCCAAAATGGCCAGTAAATTGCTTATATGTTTTGAAAGGATAAAACAGAGAGAATTTTCAACGAACAATTCTAATAATGAAGGTGAGAGTATCTTCTAAACTTTTAATGCCCAAAAAGTTATATATAATGTTTGCATTGATCTCAAGCCCTGTCATTTGACTACAAGGAAGATGTCGATTTTATTGAATGGGTATAGTCACTCCCGGATATTAAATAGATTGCATTTATCAGTACCTCGTTAGCACTTTTTGCTGAACAGCTATTTCTATGTAGCCTTTCCAGTTGTAGCCTTTTTCTTTTGTGAAGCCTGCTTTTTTTGTTTCTTTTTTTTTTTCATTATTTCGCTAATTAAAACGACTGCGTCTATAAAATATGTTGCTGGACTATAAAACTATAAAAAGGGCCAATGAAAAGTAGTGTCTTTATAAGCATTAAAACTGTATACAACAGCTGTTAAAATTAGTTAAGTGCTATTGCAAAACGTAACAGTTTATATGCCTGCGCTGATAGAGAAATTGCGTTTGTCTTCATATAGTGATTACCAAAGGTCAAGGCCTTGTTGTAATAATAGATCCACTACCGTAGCATTCAATAGTGACTTTTTCTTTACTCGTACAATACATCTACAATTTATGCTTTTTGTTCAATAGTAGTATGTATATTCCTAGAGTTTTTGTTTAGCATAATTTTTGCATCCCTACGTATGATTTGTCACAGAACAAAAACGCCAGAGAATTGTGACATTATGCTGAGCGAGGAAGTTTCCCTATTGACAATTCAAAAACTGACTATAAAAAAAAAAGGTAAATGAGCTCTTTGATTCACTGCGTTACAATTATTCACAGTATGTGCAAAAAGCTGATAGCATTTAACTATGTATCTTTGACTGTCCTTGATAATGTGCCGCCCAATGTACACTAAGTCATAATAACATTAGTTGTCAGCGCTTCGAAAGTGACGATGATTTATTGCACATATTTATCAGATTGCTTACAAAAAATGATTTCGACTTATTAAATAGTAGCCAAATTTCTCTTGTGAATGTTTGTTGTGAGTTCACTTTCCTGTTGCTTCTGGTTGATTAGAAGGTCTTAATGTACAATGAGTACTAGCTTATATATACATAGCTATTAAATGGATAACAGTGCCAACATGGTGATAAAACATAAAAGAGTAAAAGTGGGTGAAGATTTCGCATCTGATATGCGACCGAAAGAGTATACAAAGTTAATTACAATGATACGCGTGATAAAAGACTTTACAATTCAGACGTTTATAAGAATTGCCAAATACGTATTGTTAAGGATAATACTAACTGGAAAGGTTAATTGTAGTCTATAAGTAATTATTAGTATTCTTTTTTGTAAAAATAGACATCAATTACACACTTTTACCTGACTGTGTAAAAAATATTGTAAGTTATTATGTAGTACTAGACTAGGTAAGTAGAAAGTATTTACACTTGCAATGGGGCTGCTGATGAAGGGTTAATCCTTTATCTCGTCATCTATTTCGTTGATTTATTACTTCGCATCAATTTATATTTAACTATTTATTAATGAGTATCTTAGGAAAGGCAACAACGACTACAAAGAGAAAAATACACTAAGGTCCTATTAAAACTATACCGTTGAGTTAGTAGGTTTGAGCTAACTCGCAGAGGGAGAAAAATGACATATGAAAATATAACTATGAATATAAATCTATATATGATACATGTAATATATAATAAGCAGCTAACAACAAATAAGCACAGTTAATATTAATTGTGCTCATGCTTTGAGTAGAATAATAGTTCATAAGGGGAAAGGAATCAGCCTGGAAATGATTTTTTTTTTTATCATTTTGGATAATCAGTTAAGAGCAGGGTGCTTCATGTTATAAAGCAGTTAATAGTCCTATAAGTAGTAAAAAATGTACTATAAGTATTTCAAAGTTATTGTTCTTTGACATACTTTTGTGCTGTGTAAGCAATTTTTGGAATCATATAACTTGAATATGTTATCCAAAATAACGCTTCAACCGAACTGTTAAAATAAAAGGGGACAGAGTGTGTTTTTTTTTTTATGAGAGTTCTACAAAGTTTATCTATAGAAATTACATGAGATAACTGTGTGGAATAACAGCCTAAAAATGTACATTCGTACCATAACGAACATTCAGCGAATAGAGACAGTTACAGTAAAAGTAAATTAATTTTTTGTGAAGATGCTATGATGGATAAAAATTTTAAACGCTATGGGACAGCGTAAATAAAGTGCAGCTAATACTTTACAAAAGCGGTATATAATTCTATAATAAATAATTCTAATGGATTGTATTTTCCTAATCGTCATAACAGCTACTGTGTTTAGAATCATACTATACTCATATGTCGGCTTATAATAGCAGGTAACAGTATCAAGCATAAATCCATGCGAGACATACTGTGATGGTCAGATCACGGAAATTTAGTTTCAGTACATTTTAGGCACTTTATAGAGAGAGGATTACTTGACAAAAAAAAAAAAAAAAAAAAAAAAAAAGGGGGGAGACAAACAAATGAATAAAGATAAAGGTCAAGCTTTTCTTTCATCTCTCTAAAAATCAGGATCCTAATAGTGTGATAGAAAATAAGTAAAGTAAATAAGAAGCTATCCTCTCAGACGCGACTTTTTTTTTTTTTTTTTTTTTTTTTTTTTTTTTTGTTTAAATTCATCTGCGATTTATTTGAACAGAAAGACAGAAAATGAAAGTAAAGTTGAAGACAAATGGTATAAGAGGAGAAGAAGGGGGGCTAAAAGAGGCACATGGGCGGCACATTATGAACAGTACTCATCACAGTGTTTAAGTAATGTCTGGTGGGGACACGTTTTCAACATTCTGTAATGTGATACTTAAAGTTACAGAGGATTGGAGTCTCTGTATGCATTCGCTGTGGACCAGGCTTCATTGTTGATGGTTACATACCAATGGTATTGCCAAAGGGTTTCCAAAATATTACCAACTAATTCTAAGGTGTAATTCTCAGTGTATGTATCTGTTGGAAGCTTCAACTACGCGACATTAATCAAATCTCCCACAAAATAAAGTAAGAAAGACCGGTAACGTCTCACGAAAATAACATTTTCTTCAAAAAGTTGGAGAAGCTGGGCGTCGATCCCAGTGCCTCTCGCATGCTAAGCGAGCGCTCTACCATTTGAGCTACATCCCCCATCTCTTCCCGATATTTTTAATTTTTTGCTATTTTTTTCAGCAAAAAAAAGAAAATCGCTCATATCTCAACAACTACTGATTGGATCGAACTCTAGTTAGCACCATTCGAATCAGCGTATTTCATTTACCCATATAGTTTATTTTCAGCCTGATTGAACGACTCTTTGCAAAAAAGTTACAATTGCATCTCGTTAATGGCAACTCCATCTTCTCCTCGAATCGCTGGAATTGAGGGTACCTTCACCCCTGCAACTGCACAAGCGTTTATAGAATATGTTCAGTCACGCCTTGGACAATTTGAAACGCGCATGTCTGAACACGATACTCTATTTCAACAACTTACGCAACTAAAAACTGAAAATGCCGAATTAAAAAAACAAAATGACGATTTGCGACGTGAGATGTCTGAATTGCGATCGCAATTAACCCATCAAGGTGGACATCTGCAAACTTCAGTTGATCCCACTGCTCCTACTGTCTCTTCTGATGAGGTTTTACCTGTTGGTAACACCCAAACCGCTGCTGCTACCTCAAAAAACTTGAACAATCAGCCAACTTTCGCCTCTCTCGCCGCTAAACCCCCTGTTTTTAGCCCTGCCAACCCCGGCAAAAGACCTTCCGCTCCTCTTCCTGGCCGCGCTGCCTCCAAAAAGCAAAGAATTGCTGCTGCCCGTGCCTTCAAAACCCCTCAAAAACAGGGTCCACAGGGTTTTGAGTATGTTTACCTTGGTCGTTCACGTCGAATCGACCGTAGTGAAGTCCGTTCTCGCCTCCGCCGCGCTGGTATTGATACTGGCCGTGTTCTTGATGTCTCTTTCCCAGCTTCCGGGGTTATTGGAATACTTTTACATACCCAGTATGTAAAACATTTCAAGGAAGTCATGACTCGTGCTGAGGCCGAGATCATTGAAAACTTTGACCCCCTTGACCCTGTCCACCTGGCCGATCCCAAGTTCGCCGGTGCTTCTGATGATGCTCGTGCCTCTGCGATGTTGGAGCTGGTGTATAACCGGTGCCAACGCACCCTCAAGTTCGTTCGTCCCCTTGTGGTTGGTCCTTTGGCCAAGTTCTTTGTTGAGCAAGGCTGGTTTTCGCAAGAAGATGTTCAGCAAGCCCTTCGTGTTGCTCGTCGCCGCCTTAAGGAAATCAATGCTGTCCAAGCGGCTTTTGCCTTCCGTGGTATTGATACTGCATCCGAGAGTGATAGCTCTGTGGATGCTGACAGTGAGTCTGATATGTCATATTAATGACATCTCATCGACCCACACATAGTATAACTACCTCTCGCAACACTATACCCGCCGAATCATATACCCAACAACAACCATTACATTCCTTTTCTATTTCTTTATGGAACGCAAATGGCCTCCGTGCCACTACAATTCATGATGTACTTTCCCATACTCAAGGCTCTGATATCCTGGTCATTACTGAAACTTGGCTTACCTCTGGTCTTCTGCCCACTAACTGGACCCAGTTCCATTTGTTTGGCTCTGTGGTTTCAGGAGCAAATGGGCGTGGTGCCGGTGGTGTCTCTGTCCTTGTGTCCCCTTCCTGTCCTTATACCGTCACTCAACTTCCGTCATACAATGGCCATACATTATCTATGCGAATAGGTCGTGTCACTGTCCATTGTCTATATCTTCCCCCTAGTCTCCGTTCCTCTGATGTCCAAGCTGTCCTCCAGTCCCTTCCTACTCGTGGTGATACCCTTATTTGTGGTGATTTCAACGCTCGTTTAGGCCATATTACTGGTGATACTGATTCGAATCCTCGTGGCTCTATCTTTCGTCTTTGGCTTTCAGACAATGATTGACCCTATTGAATGCTTCTTTGGCTTATGCTGTACCCACCTTCATTGCGTTTCGGCGTGGTGAAGAGGTCAGCAGTGTTATTGACTTCTTCGTAACTAATATGGAATCGAATACAATGGTGTCTCCCTCTTTGCGTGTCTTCTCTGAATTGTCTCTAGGTTCTGACCATAGTCTCATGACTTTGTCATTTGACTATGTGCCATCCTTGCGTGAGAATGCCCAGCAGCCCCCAGTTGAATCCGCTCCTGTCTCTTTGTCTCCTCGTCGTCTGTGGAATCTTTCCCGACTTCGTGAACCCGATCCGTTGGCCCTCTACCGATCTCTTTTTGGTGATTCCATCGGTCCTTTGAAGAATTCTCTTTCTGCCCTTGTTGCTTCTCCTCCTCCCGTTCGGCCAGATATAGATGCTTTGAATGAGCAACTCAACAGTTGTCTCTATAAGGCTCTTGATGGTTCCATTGGTGTGAAACGTGGTTCTCCTAGTTACAAACACAAATACTGGACCCCCGACCTCCAAGCTGCTGCACAGAAGCGTGATCAACTATACAGTAAGTGGCGTTTTTCCCTTGGGGCTGACAAAGCTTACTGGTATAGTTTGTATCAAGAAGCCCATCGCTCTTTTCGTCGTCTTGTTGCTGCTGCCAAGCGCCTTTCTTGGAAGGCCTTTTGCCGTGATCTGGAAACGAACTTTTCCAAGGCTACCTCTACGATTAAGAGAATTAAACGGCGGAAGACTGGCTCTGCGTCGTTTGGTCATCCTGATGGTCCTGCTTCAGCAGTGTCCACGATGGCTCATCATTTGGCCTCGGTCTATGATGGTTCTCTACTGATATCTGCTTCCCGCCCTCCTCCTCCTCCTAACTTTGCTGATAGTGTTCCTTTCTCCCTTCCTTCTGGTGGTGTCGATTTCTTCTCTGTTGACTCTCTCCAACTTGCTATTCGGAAACTCCCGTCTAGAAAGGCCCCTGGCCCAGATCACTTGAAAGCAGAAATGCTCAAGGCTCTGGGCAAAGACCTCTACCCTATCCTCTCCCTCCTCTTCTCGGTCTGTTACCAGTGGTGTTATACTCCTGTTCTCTGGCGTCAAGCCCAGGTGTTCCCTATCTTCAAGAAAGGTGATCCCACGCACCCTGCCAACTACCGTCCCATCTCTTTGACATCAGTTATGCGAAAACTCTTTGAGCTGACGCTTTCTGACTGTCTGTTACAGCATTCTCCTCCCCTTGATGTCGCCCAAGGTGGTTTCCGTCCCCAACGTAGCCCTCTGGATCAAGCCCTCTGCTTGCATGACTTGATGCATGACTACTTCCTCACCCATCACCACTATCCTGTTGTCGCTTTCCTTGATATTAAGGCTGCCTATGATACTGTCGACAGACGTGTCATATGGCAAGCTCTTTCTGACTCTTCTCTTCCTCGTCCTGTCCTCGGCTTGTTGATCAACCTTTTCGATGATGTTACCATCTCGGTGTTGATTTCAAATCACTCCTCCTCTCCGTTCTCTCCTGCCACTGGCGTTCTCCAAGGCTCAGTACTTAGTCCCCATCTTTATTCGTTGTATATCAACTCTCTTCCTGGCCTTCTTCGTACTGTTGCTTCTCCCACCTCTCCTTCTGTTACTCCACCTGGGTCTTCCCAACCTCTGGCTGTTACCTCTCTCCTTTTTGCTGATGACGTGGCGGTCTTTGGCACTAAGGATGAAGTGGCTTCTATGTTGTCCCTTGCATCCGATCACTCCCACCATCTTGGCTATCGTTGGAATCCCTCCAAATGTGCTGTCCTCAACCCTCCGTCTAACACCTCCTCCACGTCCCTCAACTTCCAACTCCAACTCTATGGGCAACCATTACCCGTTGTTGAAGAATTCGTCTACCTTGGCATGCCCTTCCGCAAGAAAGGCTTGCATAGTCCAAGTGTTATCTCTCTTCGTGCCCCTGGTGCTGTCAAGACCATGGCTCTGCTCAACTCTGTTGGTGTCAACCGTAATGGTTTCTCTCTTCTGCTTTGCTCTCGTTTGTATCGTACCTTCATAAGGCCCAAACTTGAGTATGGATTAGCTATCTCTCGCCTCACTGCTGCTGATTTCAAGGCTCTGGATGCTGTTCAGAATCGACTAGTAGGAATGTTTGTTGGTAGTACATGGACTAATGTTGCCAAGCACATTACCTGTCTACCTTCAATGCATCACCGCTATAATGTCCTGGTCACTCGTTTCGTTCTTCGGTCTTTCTCTCTGCCCCCTGACTGCCTCTTGATGTTACTGAAGCATAGTCTTCGTTACTCTCGGTTGACTCGCTATCTGCAAGAGAATACCCTTTTCCGCTCGCTGCCTGACCCACCTCCTACCTCGTCATCCGCTCTACAACAACACTGTCTCCACTCTTGGCAAGCCATTTTTGATCGCCAGATGGAGGTAGCTGCTCGTGCAAACAAGTTGGTCCTCCT